CACTCTCCTCTCCTTCTACTCCTCCTTCTCTTTCTACCACTCTTCCTCTTCTACTTCTACTCTTCCTCTCTAACCACTCTCCTCTTTCTTCTTTTACTTCTCCTTCTTCTCCTCTTTAACCACTCTTTTATTTTCTCTCTTTTTTAATCCCTTTTTCTACCACTCTTCTACTTTTTTTTCTCCTCCTTAACCACTCTTCTCCTCTCTACTTATTCTTTCTTATTTCTTCTTTTTAATCCCTTCTTATCACCTCTTAATTCTTTCAATTCCTTTTTCTTATTTCTCTCTTTTTTTCTTACTTCTTTCTTCCACTCTTCCTCTCTAATTATTCTTCTATTTCTTCTCTCCAACTACTTTTCTTCTTCTACTTTTACTTTTACTTCTTCTTTTAACCACTCGTTTATTTCTACTTTTTAATTATTCCTTTACTCTTTCTTCTATTCCTTTTTTAATTCTTTTTTTTTCTTTTATTCCTTCTCTTATTTCTTTTTTAATTCTTTTTTACTTTTACTTTATTTCTTCTCTTTAATTTTTTTTTCTTTTATTTCTTCTCCTATTTCTTTTTTTTAATCCTTTTTATTTTTCTTTTTCTCCTCTCTACTTATTCTTTTTAATCACTTCTTACCACCTCTTACTTCCTTAATTCTTTTAATTCCTCTTTCTTATTTCTTTTTTTTCTTCCTTCTCTCTTCCACTTCTTCTCTCTAATCACTCTTTCCTTTTTACTTCTCCTCCTCCCTAACCACTCTCTTTTTTTCCACTTTCTTTCTCTTTCTCTTTATCCATTCTTCTTTTTTTATTATTCTTACTTTCCTCTTAAATATATCTCTTTTATTTCTTTCTTTTATCTACTTTATTATCTACTCATTTATATACCCTCTCAAATATATATCTCTATATATATATCATACTATATTAACTATCCCCCCCTTTATCTTCTCTCTCTCTCTTTATTCTACTTCTTTCTAATCACTCTTTCTTCTCTTTTATCTATCTTATATCTTTCTTCTATTTATTTATTCTTATATTCTCCTTTCTACTTCTTCTCTCTACTCACTCTTTCTTATTCCTTCTTTTTCTAACTACTCTTCTTATTTTTCTTCCTTTTCACTTCTCATCCCTAACCACTCTTTCTTTTTAACTACTTCTTCTTCTCTTTTTTTCTAAATATTCTTTTCTTCTTTTTACTTCTCTTTTATTTCTTTTTTATTTATCTTTTCTTTTTCTCTCTTTCTTTTATTCCTCTTATTTCTTTTCTTTTCTTACTTCTCCTCCCCCTAACTATTCTTTTTTTCTACTCTTATCCTAACCACTCTCTATTCTTATTTTTTATTTTTATTATATATCTATCTTATTTATTTTATCTTTTTTTTTTTTTTACTTCTTCTTTTCTTCTTTTACTTATTTCTCTCTTCTCTTTATCTACTTTCTCTCTCTTTTATATTTCTCTTTTTCTCTCTCTTTCTTTTTTTTTATTTCTCTTACTTTCTATCTCCTCCTTTCTCTATTTCTCTTTCCCCTAATCACTACCTTCTTTTTTTATCTTTTACTCTATCTTTCTTCTTTTTATCTACTTTATTATCTATTCATTTATATACCCTCTTAAATATATATCTCTATATATATATCATACTATATTAACTATCCCAACTTTTATCTTCTTTTTCTTTATTATACTCCTTTCTAATTACTCTTTCTTCTCTTTTATATATCTTATATCTCTCTTCTATTCATCTACTCTTATACTCACTTCTATACTCTCTCCTTTCTTATTTCCTTCTTTTAATATCTTCTTATCACCTCTTCCTTCTTTTTAATTCTTTTTTCTTATTTCTCTCTTTTTCTTCTTCTTTTTCCCCTTCTTATCCCTAACCACTCTTCTACTTCCTCCTTAACCACTCTACTTTTTCTTTTACTTCTCCTTCTACTTCTCCTCTCTAACCACTCTTCTCCCTCTACTCTTCTTCTCTTTAAAATAAAAATAAAAAATAAAATACAAAATAAAACCTTAAAACCTTATACTCTCTCTCTTCTTATCCTTATCCACTCTTCTTCTCTTTAATTACTCTCTCTTTTTTTCCTTTATTCTTTCTCTCTTTTTTTTATTTTTATTTCTTTTTTATATCTCTTTCTCTTCTTTTCTTCTTTTCCTTCTTATCATCCACTTATTCTCTTTTTCTACTTCTTCTTCTTTTTTCCATATATTCTTTTCTTCTTTTTTATTTTCCTTACTTCTTATTCTCTTTTCTTTCTTTTTTATTTATCCTTTTATTTCTCTTATTTCCTTTTTTTCTTACTTCTCCTCTTTCCTACTTACTCTTTCTTTTTTCTATTTTTTTTTCTTCTTTTTATATCTCTATCCACTCAATCTTTCTTCTACTTCCCTTTCTCTTTTTTCTATTTCTTATCCACTTAATCCTTCTTCCACTTCTCCTTATCTCTATCCACTCTCTATTCTTCTTTTTTTTTTTTTTATCTATTTCTCTTTCTTTTTTTCTCTCCCTCTCTCTTCTATTTTTCTTTTCTTTTTTCTTTAACCACTCTTTTCTCTCTATTTATTCTTTATTTTTCTTTTTTCATTTCTCTTCCTCCCTAACCACTCTCTCTTTTTCCACTTCTTTTCCCTTTAACTATTCTATCTCTTTTTATCTATTTCTTCTTCTCTTTTTTAATCTTTTTTTTCTTACTGCTTCTCCTTCCTAACCACTTAATCCTTTTTTACTTCTTCTCCTTTTTATTCACTTTTCCCTCTTCTACTACTTCTCATCTCTAACCACTCTTTCTTTTTTAATTCCTCTTTCTCTCTCTCTTCTTTCTATTTCTCATTTCTATTTTATATCCCTATCTACTCAATCTTTCTTCCACTTCTCTTCCTTCTACCTATTTCTTTTCTTTTTTTCTATTTCTTCTACTTCTTTTTCATCTCCCTTTTTCTTTTATTCATTCTTTCTTCCTTATTTTACTACTAATCCCTTATTCTTTAATTTCTTTTTCATCTTTCATCTTCTATTTATCCACTCTTATATTATACTCTTATACTCACTTCTATATACACACACATATATATATATATCCCACTATATATACTAATCATCTTAACTTTAATTATACTCAATTCTTTTTAACCAAAATTAACTTTTTTTATTAAATTTATTCTTATTGCTCGCTCTCTTTTATTATTTTATATTTATTTTAATTATTTTTTTATTTATTCTCTTCTTTAATTACTCTCTTTTTTTTTTTATCTTCTCTTTAATCACTCTACTTTTTCTTTTTCTACTCCTCCCTAACCACTTTTTCTTACTTTTTCCTTTTTTAACTATTTTTACTTCTTTTTTTCTAATCTTACTTTAAAATTTATTTTTTAAATTCTTAATATTATCTCTTATTTTCTTTATTCTTACTTATTTTAATCACTTTCTTTTTCCATTCTATTATTCTCTTTTTTTTTCTAAAATTCTTCCTCTTTTTATTTCTTATTTTAATTCCTCCCTTTTTATTCTTTTTTATTTTATTTTTCTTACTCTTTCCTCCATTTTCTACTTCCAACTTTACCCTCTTTTTTTCTATTTCTTATCTTTAATTTATTTTTTATTCATTAATTATTTTAGCCCTAACCACTTTTTTTATTATTTATCTCTTACTATTTTTTATATTTTGATTTCTATTTTCTTATTATACTACTTCTCTATCCTATATCTCTTTTATTCTCTTATTTCTATATATATATCTCTCTCTCTTACCATATAATAATTTCCTTTATTTTAATCTTTTTTATTATTCTTATCCCTAACCACTCTTTTTTTAATATAATAATCTCTTTTTATTTATTTTTCTTTTAAAAATCCTATAATTTCTATCTTTAATACCTCTCTTCTCTCTCTATTCTCCTATTATTTTTCTTCATTTTTTAATTATTTTATTCTTATACACATCTTCTCTAATATCACTTAATATTATTATCCCTAACCACTTCCTTCTTTAATTATAAAAATCATCTTTTTATATTTTATTTCTCATATATATCCTATTCTTAACCCTAACCATTTTATCTCTCTCTCATATTATTTCTTTAATCTTTCTTAATCATTCCTAATTTTCTTTCTTTTTATTATACTTAATTCCTATACTATCTCACTCTATATTATATTTATATATATATATACACTACTATTTTATTCTTAGCCTTTTTATTATTTAAAATAACTTAATTTCTTTTTTATTTTTATTATTTTTATTATTTTTATCTTATATACTGATTTTTTTAAATTATTTTTATTTAAATTTCTTTTTACTATCTTTCTATTTAAGCTTACTTTCTATTCTCTCTAAACACTATATATCTATTATCTTCTCTATATACTCTTCATCTTATTTCCCTTAGCTGTTTTAGCTGATCTATCTTACCTATATATACTTCTCATCTTATTTCCCCTTAGCTATGCTAGCCTATCTCTTTTCTATTAGCTATCTATATCTATATACTATATATCCACTATCTTTATATTTATATTTCTACATACTTCTTCTTTATATATATATGCTTTTTACCTTATTCTCTCTTAGCTGTTCTAGCGTATCCTACTATTTTACTGTTATATATACATACTCTATTAATCTCACTGATCTATACTAGCCATCTTACTAATATATATATACCATATTATAAATATATGCCTTTATAGACTATATGTTACAATAATACCAAACCTTAGACTTCTCCATACCTTATATATATATATCTATCTCACCGATATATTAGCTATCTCTGTAATATATATCCACCATCTTACATATATATGCCTTCATCAACTGGATATATAATAATGTTACCTAATATGTTTATATATTACTAGATACTATAGATATAGCCCAGTAAATATGACTTAAAAAGGGAAGGAATTTAATCAGATAGAGTGATAGAGCAGAGTATCTAAGATAGAAAAATAAAAACTAAAAAAGAAAATTCAAATTAAATACAGAATTTACTTAAGGCAAATTAATCATCCTATGACACCATTTATAAAATAAGACCACCCCCTTAAATACCTCAGTCCCAAATGTGTCCCTTTCAGCTTTGAGAAGCTGATTCCCAAGCTCTAATGATGATGATTGAGAGGTGCCTATGTTCATGAGAGAGCACAGAATCTTACCCATATCAGTAGTAATATGATGGCCAAACCAAATAAGAAGAAGCCCTGGCGGAAACAGGCATTCCTCCCTATTTCCAGATCGGTTTGGACAGATCCTGGTGGGAAGAAGGCAATGAAAACAGCCACCATGGGTTTCCAATTGAAGCTGATCCCGAAGCTGGTTGAATGCAATGATCAGATGCTGGGCTCTTGGGCATTGAAGGTAGGAATGGTGGGAATCAATCTCCTGGGCATAGGCAGATTTATCATCTGCATAGTCAAATCAGTTAGTAGATAGATAGTAGATAGATAGAAAGATAGTAGATAGATACTCACAGCATGAATCAAGCTCACACCCAAGGCAGATATTTCCTTTGAGGAAAAATTCCACATAGGCAGTCAGCTTTCGCCTAAGGCCGTCACCCTCCCTGAGGACTGCCCTAGCCTGGGTAGCAACTGCCTGGAGCTCTCCCTGCCGGGCCTGGCACAGGTCACATGCCTTCTCATGCGCCAAACACCCCTGGGTAGCCCGACCATTGAATTCCCTATTGATTAGGGACCGCCGGCAGACCTGTGCCTGCAGATACTCATGGAAAAACTGTTCTTCCAGATCCGCCGGCGCTGGGAATGGCTGAGAGAGGGGGATGATGGCATATGACCAGCCAATCTCCCCAGCACCCCGCGCCGCACGCCCTGTAGCTTGAAGGAACTGGCTGATGCCCCACCTGGTCCCCCAGTGAATGACCATGGCAGTATGAGCAAAGTCATATCCTTCCCCGATGGCAGCTGTCCCAAGGAGCACGAGCTTCTGCCCTTGGTCAAAGCTCTCCACCTCCCTTTTCTTTTCTTCCTCTGGCAGCCCGGCATGGAAATAGGCTGTCTCCTGGGGATAGGCCTGATGGAACTCCTCCACCATGCCCTTATAGGGAAGGTAGATGATCACCTGACCCCTAGGGGGGATCTGCCCGGCCTGGCGTGCATCACGGATCAGGTTCAAAAGATATTGGAAGCGGCGGGCGCCAGAGAGCCTAGGGGGGTGTGCTTGGACCAGATAGTGAATGTCAGGGCGGTTGATATCACCACGGACCACCAGGGGAAGGTGGGCTGGCAGGAGGAATTGGTGGCGGAGCTGGTCCAGGGCAGGCTGGGTCATGGTGGCCGAGGCAAAGACTTTGGGGACTGGGATCTGGCTCAGGCGGTTTACATCATTCATCACCCCCCGATAGCTGCGGGCCAGGGGGATGAGATGGGCCTCATCAAAAATAATGCGGTCCAGGGCGTTTTGGTGGTAGAGCTGCATGGCCCAGTTAATGAAGACCTGGCTGACAGCAGACTCAATGGATACTAGCACTAGCCGGGTAGGAGGGGTCTCCTCATGCCTATATAGAGCATTAGTAAATATATAAAGATAGATAGATAGATAGATAGATAGTACTTACTGATCCTCCCAATTCACCCATGGCAGACCTAGGTTTTGAAGCTTAGATTGCAGGTTCAGCTTCAATGAAACAAGGGGAACCACCAGGACAGTAGTATGCGCCCAGGCAAGGCTTGCAGCAAGCAGAAACAGGGTGGTCTTGCCTCCAGCAGTTGGTAATGCCATGAGAAGGAATGGGGTTGGCTTCAGCAGATGGTAGAGGCACTCACGCTGTTCTGCGCTTCGAAATTCAGCCTGAGGCGTTCCCATGAATTCTTGAAAGAGCCCAAGCAGGAGGTCTGGTGCTTGAAGGCCCCTAGGGGTTTGAGGGAATGGCTGGTGTGCAAGCAGTCGCAGTCGCTGGCCTGGTTCCAGCTCGGCCAGGCGCGGGTCACCATCGGGAATGCCTTCAGTGACATTGGGGTCGATTGGAGTGAATGTGGGGGTTGTGGAGCCCATGAATGCATTGAACTGACCAATAGGGATCTTAGGGGATGGTGAAGAGGCAGATCTCTGCCACCAGAAGCGCAGGCAGGGCTGGTTGAGAGGAAAGGAGCTGGTAGATAGGCCCTGGGGGTCTTGGCTGTGGCCTGGGGGCCTGAGGCAGCGGTCTCCCTTGATAGAGAAAGCTCAAAAAGTCGAAATCAGGCCCCATGCCGATATAGGAATGCCACCGCTGGCTGAAGTCAATGTAGGCGGCCTGCTGGTTGATGGGGAGGTTGCCAAATTGAACCTGTGGCCGGCCATAGACCAGCATGGCCGTGCGGACGCTGTGGTGTGCTTGGCCGGCTGCTAGAGCTTCATTCTCAAGCTCACTCAGCTCTGGCGCTTCAATGGAGTCCCCCTCCATCCGTTCCCCCATGCCATATCGAATGAAGCCTTGGGCGAGATGGCGCCATGAATGGATCTGAATGCCCTGGCCGATCAGGGCGCTGGTCCGATGGCGGAGCGTGTCACTGACCTGGCGGCTGGTAGGGAGGTCGCCCTGAATTGAAAAAAAGAAGACTGCGGCGGTTTCGGAGCTTCAATGCCTGATGGAGATAGTGAATGAATGGCTCCACAACCACCAGATAGACCAGTAGTATATGGGATAGAGCTCTGGGGATGGCTCGGACAGCATTCCGCTCCATGCCAGTGGTCGCCAGCACCTTACTATACCGCAGCCGAATGAGGAAGAGCTTCGATTTCGGGTCCAGAAAGAGGTTTCGGCGGTTGATCATGGAATTGGATGCCAGGAGTGGAAGAATCTCAGTGCCTCGGGCAGGGGCGCCACTGGTCATGTGCACCAGAACAAGCAGATGGAGCAGGAACTTCTTGGCCATAAATAAATATCGCTCTGCTGGTAGGGGAATGAGATGGAGCCGATTTCCAGCCTATATGATATTTTATATATATATATATTAGTATGTGAATGCCATTCAGCCAGATAGATGATATACGGGAGATACTGACTGGCTTGAACCATTCTTTGGCTCGCGTAGGGTCATCCAGGATTTTTTTCACGAGATAGGGCTGGTAGTGGTGTTGGTAGTCCTCATTCAATGTTAGGAAATTGAATCCATTCCCCTCCATGGCAAAATCCTCAAATCGAGCTGCCTCCCCCAGCTGGATCTGGTTGAAAAGCTGGGCATCCTCCCAGATCAGCAGCGAGCCTACTAGGGAGTGTGCCAGGTCCAAGGTAGACTTCTGGAAAAATTCCTGGAGCTGCAGACGGCTGACACTAAGATGGTGGAATCTTAGGTGGTGGGGTGCTTGTTCAATCACCTGGTTGCCTTGCACGCTGGAGATCGTGTTGTAGTAGAGAGCATAGGCTCTGAAGGACAGAAGATCTCCAAGGGGGTAAGGAGACTGGTGCTTGAAGTAGGTCTGCAGCCAGGGGCCGAAGACAGCATGAAATGGGGCCGCATTAGCCAGCGCTTGGTCCTGCCCATCCTCTTTCGCTTCAAGGATCCTCCGGATCCATGGGGTCCAATGGTGGTTGATGGCGACCAGCTGCATGGCGTAGATAACGGCAGAGTAGGACTGGCTGATGCGGTCAATTCGCTTGAAGGTCACCTCCTGGTAGTGAATACTGAAACAGGCCAGGAACGCGTAGATAGGGCCCTTCATGTCATATGACTCATGCCTGGTGACCAGGTCAATGAGGAGCTTTTCAATGAGAGCCACCCCTTCGTGCACTGCCGCCTGAGTGAATTGAAAACCACTGGTGGCCTGCCAGGCCTGCCGCTCGAGCTTCTCGAGAACACCAGAGTCCTCAAGATCTTCCTCACCATCATCCCCCCCTAGGTCCAGGGCCAGATCGATCTCATCCTCTTCATCATTCTCACCATCAAGGTCATCACCAATATAGGCACGGGCACTGCCTGCCTGCAAGGGGCCTGAGGCCTTTGGTGCCTCCTCATCCTCTTCCGCTAGGGTGGGGGATAGTAGCAGGTCCTTGAGCTCCTGAATCCCCGCCTTGACCATGTGATCTATAGCATAGAGTCGATTCAGGTCCCTATCCCTAGGCCCCCTAGTGACCTGGTAGGGATAGCTCTCCAACAGAAAAACGAGAAAGCTGTGAAGCACGCGGGCATATTTCTGGGCACTGGCTGCCTCCTGGAGGGGTTTGAAAGGGCGCAGAGTCACATGCTCAATGTCAAAACTATTGAGAAGGCATCGAACATGGCGAGAAAGGAGAGGGATGATCTTCTGGCCTTTGGCGAATATATAGGTGGTGCAGGCAGTCAGGAAATCATGGATTCGATCTAGAAAAATATGAAAAAAATTAGTGCATGCCATATATATATATATATATATCAATAGATAGATATAGATATAAGCTCTAAATACTCTTGAACATCAAACACAAGGATACATGCATTGTTAGGGTTGTTCATTTCCCCATACAAAATATATGGCAAAAGAAACATGGGTTAGAGTGGTAGAGGTATCCCTCAGAGAAAAGAAATTAAACTCACCAGAATGCTCTAGGGATAGAGAGAAGAGATTTCTTAGCTTTGGGAGGGAGCGTTGCTGCAGGAACTCTGGATACCTGGTGTGGAGCTGAAATCCATTGAGCTCATCCCTAGACCCAGAGAGATAGATCTTGGCTTGCTCTGGCTGGGGCTTCTGGATTTCCTGGTACTGACGGAGCAGGGAATCCACCAGATCTGGGGTGATGCCAGAGTCAGGCTGCGACGAAGAACCAGGCCTAGAAATACATATTAGTGAAGGCGTAGAGGATACATATCTACATAAATATATAGACCACACCTGGTAGGAAGACTGGCAGAGGGTCCAAAGGCAGAAGGGGCTCTCAGAGAGGTATTGACATCCCTATACAGTGAGAATCAGCAAGATATATATTCAAAATGAGCAGTGGGAATGCTTACCTGGCAGAGACCATCTCAATGTCAGAGTCACTAGACTCAACCACCCTAGGAAATAGTTAGTGAGTGCATATTGCACCTGATACATATTTTCTTACCTAGCGTGGTGGGCATAGTGTGGCTGAGATGGGCCAGGGGTTGGTGAAGGACTAGAGGTGCCTGCCCTAGTAGGAGCATGGTCCCCTAGAGGGTGAGATGGAAGCCGCACTTTGAAAAAGTAACGATTTGGCTGCAATGCCTGGGCCAGAGTATCTATAATGGTAGGATACTGAGCATGACCTCTCTGGTGCTGATGGGCCTTGGTAATATGGCGATTAGCTTTGTCCATGGATTGAAAGAGCTCACCACAAGCACTACATTCCCTAGCTTGAAAAGAGCTCAATCCCTTAATGGGAGCAATTGGCTGGTCATTCTGAATTTGGTGAAGAGACCTAGTAAGAGGGAAGATATCAAGCCTCTCAATGATAGCCTGATAGCCAAGGTTAATAACTTGATGTTGAGTCATCAAATGGTCTTTCCTAAGGTGTTCCACAGCCTTATTCTTAGGAAGAGCAGTATGGCATTCCTTACAAATAAGGATATGGAAGGTAGGGTAGTAAATAAAAAAATCAGGAAGCTCAGTGGCCATAGTGAATAGTAAATCAAAAAGGAAAATAAGTAGAGGGTTTAGAAAGTTGAAGACAGTATAGCAATGGAGATATAGGTAATATGAAAAGAAATATTGCCAATATTACTTAGCTAGAGGACCAACCTCAAGGGATGTCAACCACCTATTTATATTATAATATGAAGAGCTTGAGACATTCCATGTTGTAAATTTAATTTCTTTCAGTTTCAAAAGATGATATCATACTTGTGGTGGTGTCATTTTGGGATCCTCAGGATCCTCTGGGAGGTGGTATTCCTGAAGTCCAGCTGAGCGATCCCCCACTCTGTGCTGTCCCCCCCACTCTATGCCGTGTCCCCTATCTAGCTGCGCCACCATAGCAATTGCAGATCTTGAAAAATCCCTCATCTTATTAATCCTGCCATTTATTGATTTCAAATCATCTTATTCTAGGCTGATGCCCCTGCCTAGTTGTTTAGGTTTCTTTCTAATATATCGATATATATATATATGTTATCTCATGTATATAATACCTCTACCACCATGTCTAAACTATAGTAATATTATTAGTGTATTAATAAGAGACCTTTTCTACTTCACTGCAATAGAATTTCTAACTCTAAACCTCTATATATCCTTCTCTAAATCACCTTAGAATGCAAGACCTTATTTATTATAATACTCTTATTAGTTGCTATTGTCTTAGCTACTATATTATTAAATGACTACCTTCCTAATTGGGAACTCAAGGTCACATAACCCTGTCACAGAACTCAACTAGACAATAAATAGGATGCTATTCAACTATCTAGGCAGTTATTGACAAGAACTTCAAGCATGGAGAGGAGGGAAAAGGGAAGAGATCTACGTGAAGCTGGACGACGTATTCCTATCCACGCGCCACGCTAATCCAAATAAGGAAACTCACGTTCTCATCCTGGTCTACATGGCAAGGGCCCTGACAAACCCCTCTGTGAGCATTGAATGGGCTACAGACCCCTAGAGAATATTTCTATATAGCCTGTAGTGGCTACATATTAGGCTAGAAAATATATCTACTAATCATTTGTTATCCCTTTTACCATATAATATATGTATATATATGCAATATCAATATATACGCAGTAATTATACCTTATAGATTAGGATTCTATTGTATCACTACTAAAATAGGCCTAACATCCTGACAAATTTAGAGTAAGAGTATAAGAATAGTAGTATAGTCATTTTCTATCTTGCTATGATAGAAGTCCTATCGTCAAACCGTGATATCTCCTTATATAGACCACTTCAGGGAGTGCGACTATGTTCATTGTAATCCTGTCATAAAATGCCTGAGAATGAGCTATAGATCAACCACCTTCCTAATTAGGCGGTTTAGGTCACGTGACTTTTTTGGCTCCTGATTCGTTTGATGAATAGTACAAGTCAGAATATACACCTTCCTAATTGGGAAATAAAAGTCCCCTGACCCCTCTAGACCCCAATGACATCAGCATATTCAATTCTGAGTTCAATTGGCCTACTAGATAGCCTATAGCAGTGCTATCTACATATTACCCTATCTGGCTTAGGGTTAATTTAAACCTGCTTATGTCATCAATCGAACTATACTAGCAGAAACTAGACCTGATTAGGATCACTATGATACTAGTCTGACTTCCTAATATGGCCTAGTTCTTGAGATAAAGATGGGTCAAAATAATTTCTGACCCATCTTTTTTAGGGTCACTACCCATTCTAATTTCCCACCAGACCCAAGTTGGGTCATTGTACAGAATATGACTTAGGGGGGCGTACGTGCGTTGTTCCCTGCGACAGGAACCGGGTTGTGATCGAGGGATCTCAGGAATGGATATACCAAGGTGATGCCGCTATACCACACGGCACCGAACGATCTTAGCAAGAAATGATATAACGATAAAAGGAAACACAACGACGAAGGAGCCTCGCTCCGCTCTATATGACAATAACGATACTAGTGAAGCAACTTAGAAACCAAAAGAATGCTCAATTTCTTGTAACTATCTGGGTGTCAGGGCCCTTGCCATGTAGACCAGGACGAGCACGTGAGCTTCCTTACTTGGATTAGCGTGGCGCGTGGATAGGAGTACGTCGTCCAGCTTCACGTAGACCTCTTCCTTTTTCCTTCCTCTTCATGCTTGAAGTTCTCGTTGATAGCTGCCTAGATAGTCGAATAGCATCCTATTCATCATCTAGTTGAGTTCCGTGACATAACTTCAAGCATCTAACTTATCCTTGTGTCGCCTGGGCTGGAGTCTGATTTTCGCCAACCACTGACTCGCCCAGAGTTGAACTGACAGAGTCGACAAATTTGAATGAAATGAATCCCTGAACCTAAGAATAGAACGACTGATCAAATTGTTAAATGGCAAGACCCTCTGATACAGCTGGCACTGAACCAGCTGGAATAACCCCAAGTCTGAATATGGAAGAACTGAATTGATGTGACTCCATTGTGTTTAGCAACCATGGGGAACTTGACTACATCAGCTTAAATGAATTTCGCAGATGAATGATTGCTGATCCAGAAGCCTTATTTGAAGACATTTGGTCTAGATACTGGGATTATGAAGAAACAATTAAAGATCAGAAGGTCCAGATTGCAGAGGCCACTGTAAAGAAGCAGGAGGTTGCTGCTGATCTGATCTTGTCACAGCAGGAAGTTCAGTGTCTACAGAAGGAGTTGAATCAAGCTATAGCAGAATGAGATGTTTATGCCTGACAGATTGCCAGAACCGTTGCTGATGGAAACATGGGCTCCCAGGTTGGACTGAGTTCCACCACCTGCAAGTCAGCTAAGCTCCCTAATCCCCCCATGCTCACTGACAGCAAGGAACCCTGTTTTGAAGATTGGCTTCTGCTGATGAACCAGAAGCTTTCTGCAAATGGCGACCACTATGACACCCCAGAACTTTGAATCGCGTATGTAGTAGGCTGCTGTGAAGGCAAGGCACAGAAGCATATCATGCCCCAAATGAGAGAAGGAGCTTCTAGCCCCTATACAGATGCAAAAGACATTCTCAACCACCTGAAGACAATCTATGAGGACCCTAACCAGATTACAACAGCCAAGAATCAGTTCCACCAGCTGTATATGAAGAATGTTGATAAGTTCTATGACTTTCTTTCTGAATTCCTCTACCTTGCAGCTGAAGTGGAAGTCCTTGAGGACAGCTGGAAAGATGAATTGTACCATCAGATCACAACAGAGCTGCAGAAGCTGACCATGACTGAGAAGCTCAAAGGAGGATCATTCCAGGAGTTTTCAAACCTCTGCTCCCAGATTGCAGGTCACCTGGAAGCTATCAATCATCAAGCTCAAAGGAGCTGTACTTTCGCCCCTACCAAGACCAGTCAGACCACCCAAGTCAAGAAGGAAACCACCCCTGGTACTCCACAATCTAATGGCGCCCCCATGACTGAAGACCTGCAAGAATGTTTAATGAAGGAAGGATAGTGCTTTAGGTGCCATGAGCAGGGACACCAATCCCAAGACTGCCCAGAGAAGTGATCCTAATCAGGATTGAAGTTCCCTGAGAGGAAGAAGGATGACAGCAACCAGTCAGAAAATGTCTGACCCAGGATAAAGTATCCTCCTTGGGTCATATTGATGGCAGCTTAGAAGAAGTGGATTTGGGTAGGTTACTTAGGGGGCAAAGTTTTACTGTACCTAGCCAGGTAGCACATAATAGAATCAGCATACCCTTATCTGCCTTAGCTGACACAGGAGCAAATGGTTACCTATGTCTTAATATATATCATGCCACTGAAATTGCTGAGTTTTTAAGGATCCCTATCCAGCAATTGGACTAACCAAGTAGGACAAAAGGCTTTGATGGACAACTAGGCCCCTTTATTACCCATGTGGTTGTGCTACACTTGTGGATTAGTGGCTGAAGATTCCTCAATCAGCCCTTTCTCATTCTGGACCTTGGCCAGCATGACATGATTGTGGGGAGGAAATGGTTCATGGATCAGGATGTCTGGCTGGATGTGAAAAATCACTATTTGATTTGGCCTAATTAGAGGCCCCTAACTGTAAGGATCTAGGCCAAACAAAATACTGTTATCCTCAAACAAATTCTTAAGCACCCAATACCAACACCTAAGCATCAGAACCACATGGAATACTAGGATAAACTGTGGAGGAGAAGGGACTGTTACCAACAACCAGGAACCACAGAACAGGATCATCATGTAAGCAATGGAAAAAGGATGCAGGCATTAGCTCTGGAGAATCCCAACTAGGGCTGCCTAACTGATACTGCAACTCTCCAGACAGATGCCTAAGAAGAGGTCTGCCAGCCTGCATCACACAATAAGAAGCTAGTTGATATTGCTATCATAGGAGCTGTACCCTTCCACTGGCATCTTAGCAAAGAGGGAACTGAGGCATGTATTATAAGCTTACTGGAAATTAATTAAATAATAGAGGAAAAATGTGCTATGGAACGCGAAGCTGAGGAGATAGCAGATCAGGAACTTGTCAAACAGAAACTGCGAAAATGCTATTAGGGATATGAAGATGTCTTCTCAAAGGCCACATCAGATAGGCTGCCACCCCACTGGACCAATGATTACAAGATTATACTGGAGGAAGGAAAAACACTAGAAGAACTAGGCTATAGCCCTTTGTACAAGCAATCAGCAGAGGAGCTGAAAGCAGCCTGGAGTTATATTGTTGACAACCTTTTAAAAGGGTTTATCAGACCCAGCACAGCACCATATACTTCACCTATTTTGATGGCCCAGAAGCTAGGGGATGGATTACAATTCTGCGTTGACTACCAGAAGTTAAATTCAATCACTAAGAAGGACTGGTACCCTATCCCCCTAGTGGATGAGTTGATGGAATGACTATCCAGTGCTAAGATATTTATGAAACTTGATATCCAACAGGGATTCCATAGGATTTGCATGAGTCCAGAATCAGAAGACCTTACCACCTTCTGAACCCAATATGGAACCTTTAAATATCATATTCTGCCTTTTGGACTGACTAACGGTCCTGCCGCATTCCAGAGATTTATCAATGAGATTCTCATGGACTACCTAGATCATTTTGTTACAGGATATGTGGATGACCTCTTGATCTACAGCCAGAATAAGGAGGAACACATAGAGCATGTAAAGAAGGTCCTAGAATACCTTCACAGTGCTGGGTTACAGGTGAGCATTAAGAAGTGTGAATTCCATGTTACGCATACAAAGTATCTTGGCTTTATCCTGACTACAGAAGGCATGGAGGTTGACTCAGAGAAAATAGCAGTGATCCAGGGTTGGAAGACCCCTAGCACAGTATAGGGAGTCCAGTCATTTTTAGGATTCTGCAATTTCTATAGGAAATTCATAAAAGACTACAGCCAGATATCTAAACCCTTTCACAGGCTCACCAAAAGGAATGTCCCCTTTGATTGGGATAAGAATTGTGAAAATGCCTTCAAGGATCTAAAAGAACAGCTTTCCAATGCCCCTATTCTACACCACTACCATCCAGACCTTGAAACTAAATTAGAGACAGATGCCTCAGATAGTGTAGTGGCAGAAGTCCTATCACAGAAGCATGATAACCAGTGGCACCCAGTGGCATATTACTCCAAGAGCATATCAGCTGCTGAAAAGAACTATGAGATCTATGATAAGGAACTACTAGCAATCATATAAGCTCTGCAAGAATGGTGAGCAGAATTGGAAGGACTCTAGCTACAAAAATGGTTTAGCATCTTCACTGACTATAAGGCTCTTGAATACTTTATGTCAACAAAGAAGCTGAATGCCAGACAGGCCTGTTGGGCTAAGTTCCTATCATAATTTTATTTCTTAATTCAATACTGCCCTAGGAAACAGAACACACTTGCTGATACTCTCAGTTGCCCCCAAAGGAGTCCAGATACTACAGACTGCAACCATCAATTCTAGATCCTCTTGAAGCCAGACTCCCTAGAACCTCAGGTTCACAGAGAGGTCAGCCTATCCCTTATCAATCCTCAGATTCACATTATTGATCAGATCCTCCAAATAAACCAAGAGTCCCCTGAGCTAGAAGAATACTGAACAAAGGCAAAAACTGACCAAGATGGACCATGGGAGTTAAGGGATGGCCTGCTGCTCTAGAACAATTGCCTAATGGTCTTAGGCAATGACCCAACCCTGCACACACACCTTTTAAATGAGGTTCATGGGCAAATATCCACAGCGCATCCTGAGTGAATGAAGACTCAGCAGCTAGTACAGGCTCAGTACTACTGGCCTGGCTGGTATCAAGACATTGAATGATATGTACGGAACTGTGCCAAATGCTGAAGAGCTGAGAATCCTCAGGACAGGAAGCCTGGATTACTGCAGCCATTACCAGTGCCTGATTGCCCTTGGCAGCATATCTCCATGGACTTCTGCTCCTTCCCTAAGGATAGGAATGGATTTGATGTGGCTCTAATGTTTGTGGACTAGCTCAGCAAACGCCCTATCAGTATCCCCTGTCATAAAGGAACCACTGCAGAGCAGATGGCGCAACTATTTATTGAGCACGTGTATCGCCAATGAGGGCCCCCTGACAGCGTTGTATCTGATTGGGGCCCCTAGTTTGTTTCCACCTTCTGGAAGGCATTCTGCTGAATCCTAGGAATCAAACTGAAACTCTCCACCCCTCACCATGCAGAGACAGATAGGCAAACAGAAATAGTTAACCAACATATCACAATGCGCCTGCAATCCTTTATCAATCACTATCAGAACAACTGGTCTGAACTCCTGCCCCTGATTGACTTCACTGCTGCAACCCTTCCCTCTGAAACCACCTCAGCCTCCCCCTTCCTTATTGATTGCGGATATGAACCCCAAACCTTATTTAACTGGACCAGCCTCACAACCCCTATCCTGCAGAATGAGAGGGTTAGCAGGGAATGAGCCAAGAGGATGGCAGAGCAGATGCAGAAAATATGGCTAGCAGCAAAGGAAAATGCTATGGCTGTCCAAAAACACCAGAAGATCCAGGCAGATCGTCACCGCCGGGAAGTGGACTTTGGAGTTGGGGATTCAGTTTGGCTGTCCCTGAAGGCATATAGAACAAGCCAACCTAGCAAGAAGCTGGATAGCCAGATGGCAGGACCCTTCCGAATTCTAGAAAGGGTGGGTCACTCCTACCGATTAGAGCTTCCCAAATCCATGAAGATCCACCCGATATTCTCGCCTGATAAGCTGCGTCGAGCTGCAGATGATCCTCTCCCAGGACAACAGATTGAGCCCCCAGAGCCTGTAATTATCAATGGAGAGCGAGAATGGGAAGTTGAAAAGATACTGGCATCATGGCTCAACAAACAACAGCTCCAATATTGGGTCAAATGGGTGGGCTACAATGAAGACAACACATGGTATCCTGCCTGAAATTTCAAGGGATCCCCCCATCAATTGTGAGACTATCATACAGCGTATCCTTCCCACCCTGGACCACCATGGCGTTTGAACGAATGGCTGAAGGCCTGGGAGAACGATAACGACCTACCAGATCACAGAGATGACAACTTACCAGCTTGAGGGCTGGGGACAGCCCTCTTAAAGAGGGGGGTAATGTCAGGGCCCTTGCCATGTAGACCAGGACGAGCACGTGAGCTTCCTTACTTGGATTAGCGTGGCGCGTGGATAGGAGTACGTCGTCCAGCTTCACGTAGATCTCTTCCTTTTTCCTTCCTCTCCATGCTTGAAGTTCTCGTCGATAGCTGCCTAGATAGTCGAATAGCATCCTATTCATCGTCTAGTTGAGTTCCGTGACACCTGCTATTTTGGCACTCTTCCTGGCCACTTTGCAATTGATCTTGTCCAGATCCTGGTCCACAGGATAAAGAAGGCCTTTAGAAGAAAGATAGTGGCTTCACTACTATTACTGAATGTAAAGGGGGCCTTCAATGCTGTAATCCATCAGTGGCTTCTCTCACACCTACACCTGCAGGGATAGGACAAAGGCCTAATCCAGTTAATCCAAGATTGGCTAACCGGCCGCACTGCCTCAGTCCATATTAGAGAGGCTATTGCAATAGCCCTAATCAAGGGCAGTCTCCCCTAAGGGTCCCCTCTATCTTTAATTCTCTTCCTGCTGTATGCAGCAATGGTAGTTTCTACCTATAAGGGCTCTTTCTGTTACACAGACAACCTAAGACTGCTATTCATTAGGAATAATCTAAAAGAGACCTTACAGCAACTAGTGGAAGCCTATAAATTAATTACAGCACTTGGGGCTACATCAGGCCTTCCTTTCTCCTTTGAGAAGACAGAAATACAGCATTTCTCTAGGCAGCAGAGGCAGTCTATCCCTACAGTCTTTCTACCAGGTGTAGGTAAGATCAAACCATCTCTATACACCTGATGGTTAAGGGTCCTGCTCAACACTAAGCTCACCTTCAGGTCACATATTAATTGGACCTTCAGCTGCAGCAAGTAGCTCACTCAACATCTCCAGAGGCTTAACAATACCTAGTGTGGGTGCCTAGTAGCTTTTATACATGCAGTAATTATGCAGTATGTCCTGCCAACAGCTTTTTATAGTGCAGAAGTCTTCTATACTAGCTATAGGCAACAAGGGGTTATCAGCTCCCTTCAATCCCTGCTCTGCCTGGCCACCCTGGCCATTCTTCTTGCATATAAAACAACCCCTACTATAGTACTCCTCCAGGAGGCAGACCTACCTGACCCTGAAGCCCTGCTCAACAGTATCCTCCAGAAGGCAGCAATCAAATATGTAAGCCTTGATGCAAAGCACTTAATTGCTTGCATTGTAAAGGGGGGCGTACGTGCGTTGTTCCCTGCGACAGGAACCGGGTTGTGATCGAGGGATCTCAGGAATGGACACACTGAACAATCTAGCAAAACGATATAACGATAAACGAAAACACAACGACGAAGGAGCCTCGCTCCGCTCTATACGACGATAACGATACTAGTGAAGCAACCTAGAAACCAAAAGAATGCTCTATTTCTCGTAACTATCTGGGAGGGAACCCTCCATTAAGTACTCCGGCCGTGGGATCCACCATACATTAGTATGTCGGAGTCCGCGGTTCTACGGTGTTCCAAGATAGGAAATATGGGAGATCGGGGGTTTCGCAGTGCCCCCGGCACAGCATAACTACCACTACAGCCTAGAGCTGTAAGAACAGGACTAGACTTACCAAGATCCTCTAATTTGTCCCTGGACCAGTGCCAGAATGCATATATATAGAATCACCCCTCCCACCACTGTGCATGCTCCCCACTGACCAGGGTAAGCACCTTTCTTCCCCATTGGAAGTAACAGTCTATTCAGATAGCTCCTGTATAGATCAGGATGCTAGGTACAGCTATGCAATATACTATGGCCCTATCCTGCTTACCCAGGGATTCAGCCCTGTTGGTGCATGAACAGAGGTCTACAACACAGAAATTATGGGTGCAGTAAAAGGGCTCTGTGCTGCAGTTAGCCAAGACTGCACTAAGTTCACTACCTAAATCAATATCCTCCTTGATAATCTAGCTGCAGCTAGCCTGCTAGCAGATAGCAGGCCAGCCCCCCATAGATAAAGACTTACTGATATTTTCCACCAACTCTCCACTCAGTGGGACAGCTTACCTTCACTTTTATCTCTACCTTACAAACCTGTAGGGGTCTGCTGGGTTCTAGACCACTCTAGGGTCACAGGAAATGAGCTCACAGATAAGCTGGCAAAGAAGGGAGCTTTATTAGCCAGTCTTGATATCCCTCTTTCTCCCTCATTCCTTAGACAGGAGGCAAAACAGTGGATCTGTGCAGATACACACATGGCATATTTTAGAGGCGCACCTCAGGCCTACTGTGACCTGGGCATCAGACCTCATACAAAAAGCAATTGTGACCAGGAATATAAGCTCCCTTACTGGGTCCTAAGCAGGCTTATAGCTGCCTATATAGGTCATAGGGATTTTGCAGCATATCATAAAAGATTTCAACATGCAGACTACCTGGCAACCTGCTCCTACAAAAGACAGAAGTCCCCTGTCTATTTCTTCTTCTGCCCACCCACCAAGAAGCACTAGAAGGATAGATAGAAATGCAAGAGAGGCAGCCTGTCAAATATAATTGACTAGCTACTAGGTACAGCTGCATTGTGCAAGATTCATCCTTTTTTAAAGATATATGCCCAAATTAGGCTCACTTAAGCACTGAATAGTGCAACAGTCTATGCTTCTACCTGGATGAACAGGAAAGGCACCCCTGCTCGACTGAAGGTAGCCAAAGCAGGTTCCTCACCTTTAGAAGTCCAGGCCAGGGTAGCGCCTGGTGCTTCTTCCACTCTTTTCCAACACATAGTGTCCAGCTTTGTTGCTTCAAGCATGTATTTATTTTAGTGAGTCTTTGCTTAGGCAGCACGTCCAGATGCCCCTTGGGAGGCCGTGGGTCACGTGTGCCATGTGATCCGCCGAGTGACGTTAAATAGTAATCAAATCAAATCAAATCAAATCAAATCAAATCAAATCGCCAGCAACGGATAGATAGTCTCTCCCAATCTGCAACGGAGTCGACGGTTGGTTCGCGATACGGCCCAGTCCGAAGTCGCCGAACCGTGAAGCGCTATCCACTGTAGGCATTTCGTGATCGACGTCTTTGGATAGAATTGAGCTATGCAAATTCTTTCCCTGCTGAATGGCCCCGTGTTGACTATCCAGCGACAGTCGAATGGAGAAGAATCTGATGATGACGATGATGGCGACGATAAGGAAGGCACTGCCGCTGAGATCGTCCCCATTCGGATTGCTGAGAGACGCTACATCGCAGAATGTGCGGTGCGGGACCCATCTGTACTCCGGGATCAGAAAGGCTATGCCTTCCACGTCGAGTGCTCCGTCACTCTGATTGCATTATGTAAACGGAGAGATCGCCGCCAGGTGACGACCAGGTGCTCTCCAGAGCCGGCGTCCGTCAAGACTGCTTTAGATTCGCCACGGCTGTCCGAGAGAGAACCCATCGTCAAGCGTGACAATCCACTGAAGTGCCAAGACTGGCAGTGTCTTTTCTGTCTAGCCAGTTACGACCTTCCTTTGGAGGAGCGAAAACGCAAGTACAAAAGGAAATATACGCTTCAGAAACACGTTGAGCGATGCCGTCTCGAATATTACGGTCCTGACGATCCCATCCCTTGCCCTGATGGTCATGCGTGTGCTGGACTGATTCTGAACGGAAAGAACAAGCTGAAAGCGCACTTTATACATGTGCATGACTGCATTTGTAGATTGTGTTCATTTGCTTCTATGACCTTGTTTGCTTTAATTGTTGCTGTATCTTTTAGAATGTGTTAATTTCCGTGATCTGGTTTGTTTCATTCATCTTGGAGCTGGCTCCATATATTGTTTGACCTGCATTCAAGTTGAGACTTCCACAACCATATTTAGTGTTCGTTTTATGCCATGTAATCATTTAGCATCAAGTTAATGTTGAAAGAATGGTGGCCCACAACCTGAAGTTAATGTTGATGTGAGCCAGGAGGCCGTAAGTGACGAAATGGCTACCTGAAGAGATCCTTTCCTAAAAGCCGTAGATGATTTTAAGACGCCAAACAATTCCCAATTTAAAACGTCCGATGATGAACGAAGATTGAAGATATCAAACAAGAGCAGGGGTGTGATGCGATTCCAAGGGGCGAAGCCAAATAGGGATACTGTAAATATGCTGTACCGTAAGCAGAATGAAAAACATAGTGTCTTAAGCTCTTGCCAGTCCTATGCCCTTTTAAGATCGAGGCTAGCCTTTCCATTCTCTACTAAGCAGTGAAAACCATAGATAGTATAGTTTCAAGCATGGAGTTAATCTTACAAAAGTGACAAAGCATCTGGCTTTGATCGGGCCATCGACAATGGAGGAGTCGACTCGATCTCCTACGGCATGCAGGAAGTTAGATCACCAACAACAAAATCGACGCAGAAAGAGGTGTCCAAGAGTGCAGGGTGTTCGCAGGATAGCGGTTAGCCACACATATTCCTGACCTTTATACAATAGAGCCGTCGGTTTTATATGCGTGGTCCCAAGTTGGTTCAGATCTGGCCTGGATAATGCTCCGAACTTGAGAAATACAACACAAGAGACAATAAGCGGAGTATCAACGTCTGGAGAATGACAACGACCACGCAAGTATAAATAGACTATAGAAACCTCGGATTAGTCGCTCTCAATCTTCCAGAACCATGGATTAGACAAGATTTGCGCTGGCGAAGGTCTCTTCGTGGGATCATATTGCAAAATCAATCGAATCAGCGCTTTTACTTCGTAGGCTTCCTCGTCATCAAGGTCCGGCTCTGACCGATCGAATAATTCTTCCATGGACGTCTGCTCTACCATAAGCGGTTCCTCCTCCGGGGCGACTCCTCCGAGCTTACAATTAAAGAGCTTCCTCTCGGGCGTAAAGTAGAGCGACGACGTCTTCCAATGCCTGAAAAGCTCGTCGGGGAGGGCGCCGAGCCGGGCGGTAAGGGAGAGAAGATGATCATCAATTTCATACTCGGACCCCGGTATACAGAAGAGTGGCTGTCCGGTGATAAGCTCAAAGACAAGGCAGCCGAAACTCCAGACATCAAAAGTATTGTTAATGGCTCCGGTAAGAATCGATTCAGGAGCTCGAAGACTGAGCGGAGTAACGGGCTTTGTTGGCGGATCGGTGAAGAAATATGCTGTTCAGGGTAGGCAGGTATGAGTATAGATATTCGCCAAGGGAAAAAAACAATCAATCAAAGCGGGAGGGACTGACCACCGCCCATATCGGATAATTTAACCTTGAAACCTTCGGTGTAGCGGGTGAAGGGCACCAACGGCTGTGCAACGCAAAGATATCGAGGAGCCCATTTATCTTCTTTACCATCTAGCCTCTCTACCGGGAAGGATATCGACCGGGCTTGTACATCTTTCTCCTGCCGGAGCATGTCCTCAGGCGTCGAGTCAACATCGTTTAGAGTAAAGAGTATATTTCCCGGTTGGAAGTCTCCATGGGCGACCCCATTTTCGTGGAGAAATGCAAGAGCCTGCAAGGACTGCTTGAGGATGCTCTTTGCCATCCGAAGCGGATAGCGGATCTTCATTCCTCGCCTGCGAGGTTTAAACTGCGGCAGCTCCTCGACCATAGTATTCACACTCGGACCCATAGGCTCAAATACCAGGCATCTGTGGACGCCATTGGGGCCGCGATGGTCGAACTCGCCTAGCAGTCGCGTGACATGCCGGGCCACTTCTGTTGGTGCGATTTCGGTGAGGTGGCGTAAAATTTGTAGTTCGGTCGTCAATCCCGAGATTTCCGACACAAGAATCTTCAAGGCGACATATTCACTGTTTCTTAAAAGGAAATAAGCAGCGATAATCTACAGCATCGCTGGCAGGCGACGCAAAAAAATCAACTCACTTCAGGTCACGGGCGAGCCAAACCGTTGAGTAGGAGCCCTCGCCGAGCTTCCGGATAACCTTGTACTGACCGTTGTTGAAGACATCGCCGAGAACGACGGGATGGTAACCACCTGGGCGGTAATCCTCTACCCACTCACACGGTAATGTAATAGTTTTAAATCTCCGCTCGTCATCTCTGAAGGCCCTCGACGGCGTGGGAGGAGGCGAGATAATCATGGCTGCGACGGAGATGCGCTGTCCAAGAGTTGCCGAGCGGAATGTCTTAGGGATGGAAGATTGTGACGGGGTCTCTTTCCAAAACTCCGAGAGACACTGAACAGTTGATTTCAGAGAGCGTGGGGGACGGCCTCGGGACGTACGTTTATATCCTCTCGACATCGACGAGTCACGGAACCTGTTACGCGCCCCGTGACTAAGCATGATCAGAATAGCAACCAATAAGGACCGAGTACGAGTACAGAACTGATCCTTGTGCGCCTTCCTGAAGTCCTTTGGCTAATCATGGATAGCCAGCGCGTTACAAATTTACAATCCACGCCGTGCCCTTAGCATGATAATGTACTTACCGAAGGAGCAAGCACGTCAAGTGGACCATTAGTCGTGACCGGCCATGAATCACGGCGCTTATGCACCTGAATCACCAACATGAAGTCGTTGAAGGGAAGATCGAGACAACTAGACGACCATTGTCTTGTTTGGCTCTGGCATGAGCAAGGAATATAAATTGACGGTTTGACGAGAGCTCGCCATGGCATGATTCAAACACCATCTACCTGTGCCAACAACCGTCTTTCTCCTAAGCTTATTTTCCATCTTGGTTTCTCGAATATATATACTTCAACGCTTATTAGTCATGATTGCCGAAGATGTTACTTTCGACCCATCCAACATGTACTCGAACAATCCCGAGGAGAAGGCGCGTATCATCGACTTGGTCATTAGCCAAGCACCTGCTGGGGCTGTGAGTGCCACGGTTGTGTAAGCTGGTCGCATTCCTCATGCAGCCAGGCCGCTGACGAGGGTTTTCAGGAACGGCTGGCAGCCTGTGGATGATGACTATGGGGGTGCTAGACTTTTTGAGTGCGTCACTAGGCCGTGTCTGAGCATCCATAGATAGAATCGGGGCGGCTGAGAACGACCACCTGCCGTCTTCGTTTGCGGGTCAGACAACCGGCCTGATGTCAAGGCGATGATCGTCTGACTGACTGCTGATTCGATTCCTCTGCGATGTGGGCAATTCGGTGTGACAATATTACCAAGCCATCATCTATCCATGTCTATGATCCTAAGCGCTCCGTAATCATGCATGCACATCGGGAATGCCACATAATGACCTGCATATGCCTGTGGATGTACGTCAGAACCCAGAACTAGTGGGATGAAATATCCATCATTGGCTTTCTGGCAATGCTGCAAGCCCCTCCTGTGGAGTAATGCCGTTCCGGTGCTGCAAGAGAGGGGCACACCAGCCGAAGCGACAGACGGCGGCACTGTACCGTCGATTACTATGACGCCGCTGGTGCTCAGATCAGCCGAGAGCATATCGTCTGACTTTCTTGGGAGAGGAGACCTGATACCTGCAGTTTTATATATTATGGGGTGAATAGCCGACGCTTTCAAGCACCACCTCACCTTACTAAGATATGTATCCTAGCGTATTTTAGCTAGCTACGAAAGCGTCGATATATCTGGTATTTCAGAATAAGGATAGATGTGAACGAAAATTATCCGATGCATGTACACAATCCAAGAAACTCAGGATAATCTGCTATAGCTAAACTGCTTGGCCGCCACACTCGTTGAATCTGCTCCTTACGGCGGTATAATGCCTGAATAGGATTTGCTATCCCGATGGACGGTGATAGTAGTTCATTGATATTAGGATGTCTCTGTACCGTATACCGGATCACCGGCTATCAGTCTCTCAAGAGACGGTAGCCGAAGCTGCCCTTGGGGATGTTTTGGAGGTTGTAAAGAAGACGTCGGCGGTGGAAGAGAAGACTTTGGAGGTTGAAAAGAAGGCATCGGCGGTGGAAGAAGTATAGTACCAGGCCAGGGTGATAAGGGGATGCGGTGATTGATCTTCGGCGAATGATGGCGTGGCTTTGACTTATGTGTCGTGTTTCTTTTAGCATGCAGCTTCGTTCGACCTTCAGACCGAGCAAAAGGAATGGCGCCCGCGCGTCGAGCCATTTCTTGCTCGCCCAGCTCCCAGTGCATGGCTTCTGCAGCTCGCCATGGAATGGCCAGTTCTTGGGCGATTTCGGTCCACATATTCTGTTTAAGTCTTCAATAATTAGAGTCTTTCTGCCATCTTTGAGTAGAACACGGTTTCAGCATACCTCTCGTACATCCTAGCAAGTCTATTCTTCTTATTCTCGTCCCATTCAGGCCACTCGAGATAGTTCTGATAATGCAATCGACAACTCATCTCGCTCCGTCCAGGCACTTGCTTACTGATTTCGGCCCACTTCATATTCTTCCCTCGCAAATCAATGATCAGCGCATCCTCTTCTGGCGACCATTTAGATTGCTTGTTAGCGAACTCTTCGAGCGATTGGGCTGAACTCTTTGTGCTTTCTGCTGTCATCGTCGTCGTTTCTGTTGACAGTCTCCAAGTTAACGATAAAGGTGATGAGAGGAGGATTGACTGGCTTCGTGGTTATGTGTTGCTGTCGATGCAAAACTGTGACTTTTATCCTCAACATCGAGTTTGGGGTGGAGGTGGGTGTGATGACCTGTCTGAGTAGAATAAGTTGACTCGGTAGATTTCCTAAGAGTTTATAACTAAACCATCAGCCTGATCACATTAAGCTGGACTAGCCATGAACCCAGCATATAGCTGCCTTCGACTTTCAAGCCCGGTCTCCTTCACAGTCTCCTTTCACACAAGGCTGAGGAGACAAAATAGATGAACTGTCTGTGAAATCATCTACGTATGTCGTTCAAACTGCGTGAGAAAGTCACAGGTCGCTTACTAGCTCAGCTTTGAACATACAGAATGTAAAAGCCCTTCAATCGGCTGGGTTTTATGAGTTAATATTCATAAATTGAGCATGTAGTTACTTAGCACGTCAATGAAACAATGAAAGACCTTATCTCATCTCTCTAAATGTCAAGTTCAGGGATCAATGTTGTGCCAGGTGGTTAAAGTTATTGGCTGACGTCGATTAAATTGCTTTTTTTTTTGCACATTTGTCCAAGGGACATGCAGCAACGCACAGGCCTCCTGCCCCTGACTCAATCTCAAACTAAGCACAATAAAAGCCCATCATCTCGCTGTGCTTTATGGGTGAATGGAGATAAACGCGGATCATCCGTTCATAGGGCAGTGGGTCGTGAGACCTCGCGTCAGCGGTCCATCATCCCGCTGGGTTTTATGATTCATAAATTAATTGCAGTTCCAAAAGAGTACTTTTAGCCTAAAGTAAAGTGTACTATGTAGAGTAGACTACACCATCAAAGCCTGATTTGATGTTAATCTTTGTGATTGGAAAAGATGGATCCACTTCTAATCGCCGACAGAGCTGAATCATCGACACGCGACTAGGTAGGCTGGATTACAAAATTAGACTTGTGCATTTCTGATTATTGTGCATACCACCGACTCAGTCTTACAAACTGTAAAGCCCTCTATTTGGCTGGGTTTTATGATTACTTAACAGGTACTATTTTTTGAGAGTGACATTGTGAGAAGACTTAGCAGTTGGTGATTGTCGTACTATATATGGTATGTGACCAATTACACACGGTCTCTAACCGCCGTCTAAATGCAAGTGATAGAAAGAGTGTTAATTGGTCAGCTATACTGTGTTCCAAACCCTAAAAGTCCACTATCTGGCTGGGTTTCTGAATTAATCGCCAATTCAGATTGGATTGTGATCGGAGATGGATCCGCTTTAAGGCTGCCGATACCAGGCAGCAGCGCACGGACCTTCCCGGCTCAGTCCCTCACATCCTCCGGCGTGCGGAACATAAAAGCCCTTCAGTTGGCTGGGTTTAATGAGCTAATATGCGATTTCTGTCGAGTCATTCATTAATGAGGCGATCCAGTTAAGGCTAGGCAGGTCAGTCGTGGGCCCTGGTTTCCACAGACTAGCGAAACGAAGTCTCTTCTTTCAACCGCGGCAGAGTATTGGATATCGTTTGCTCAGATCAGCGCACTGGTCTTGCGTCCTTAATTTAGCCTCAAACTAAGAACGAAAAAGCCAAACCATCGCACTGAGTTTTATGAATTCATAAAATGATTCTCGATCAAATGAACAGCTCGCAGTCTTGTACTACATGGGCCATGTGTCCGCAAACATTCGGATCATAAAAACCATCAATTTGGCTGGCCTTTACATATTTGCTCTATAGCCCGGTCAAAAATGTCAGCTATGGCGCTAAGTGTCACGGAGCTCAACCAGACGATGAATAGGATGCTATTCAGCTATCTAGGCAGCTATCAACGAGAACTTCAAGCATGAAGAGGAAGGAAAAAGGAAGAGATCTACGTGAAGCTGGACGACGTACTCCTATCCACGCGCCACGCTAATCCAAGTAAGGAAGCTCACGTGCTCGTCCTGGTCTACATGGCAAGGGCCCTGACACTAAGTAGATGATAGACCAAAGAAAGTCGATAAAGTCAGTCATCCATGTGGTAATCAATATGATAGAAAAGTCATGATTTTGGGGGATCAATGAAAACGTAACTTCAAGATGTTCCTCGCCATAAAGAAAATAGGTATAAAGAGATTCGTAGGGAAGACATGATAGAATGAAAAAAGCCAGAATAGATCAGAATCACTAACGATGGCGAACTCTGACACTTCTCAAATTGCTGTATCAATAGCAGCATCCATCTGTGCTGCAATATCCTTCTTCCTTTGGCTTTCCATAATCAGTGGCTTCAGCTCAGCCCGACTTGCTTCAATCAGACAGAAACCAATTATTGTTGCCCAAGCTGTGCTGGGTATCCTGATCTTGACCGGTTTACTCATATCAATATCGGACGCTTAGGCGATGCTTTCCCTTAACGTGCCTCCGCCAATGCATGTCGTGGGATACTGATTGTATGTAGAGCAAGTGAGCCAGAGAGAGAGACAAGATAGAATGGTATCCGTTCCTTAGTAGGCTACGTACGTGTAGTCGATACAGCTTCATTCTGCCCTTCTTCCCTGAGTTACATGCATATTCCACAACAAATACTAGTATTCTACATACAGCACAGCGCCTGTTTTGTTGTGGTAACACTTTTACTCTTCTGTTCTAGAGGGTGGTAATGTAAATGGGTGACCAGATAAAAATACATGATGACCTGGGCAAAACAGGGGGCAGTGACAATATTGAATGACCTCCCCTGGTTTTCTGAGGTGTTCTTGTGTTTTGCCCACTCCAAATCCCGGTTCGAGACAGCAAGCGGTCAACAGACACCGATCATAGAGTGGAAGTGAGACCAGACCACGGCAAAAACAACGAGACTCAACAGTGAAGAGAAACTCAAAAACATGGAATATCTAAGGGACAACGCTCATACATGTAGCAAGTCAGGATAATAGAATCAACGGGGGATGGGACAAGGAGGGAACGAGGGGAATAGGTGGGTGGAAAACGAAAAGCAGCCATCGCGGCTTCGGACTAGTCGAGAGGCCATTTTCAGCGCCCTCAGCGAACGGCGGTTACATCCGCGACGGTGAAGCAGAAGGTGCGCCTCGTCGAAAGATGGAGAAGGGGCGGGAACGCCACGGTAGGGCCCATGGACGGGGAGAAGGAAGTTGAGGTGCGTGGTGGTAGCGGACGAGGTCGTGGTGGGAGCGAGGGGTCACGTGCTACCAAATCGCTGCCGAAAAAGGCGTCGTCGGAATGGGCGTCTGTTCGATGCTATTGAGGTTGCCTGGAGCGCCACCGGAAATTATCACTAATCCTAAAAGGCCGTGGAAGGGGAAAATTAAGGTGATATGAAAGCAACTAAGTATACGGAGAAGAGTACTAGATGTAGTCTGCCACAACCAGCGACCTGACGCAGATCTACGACGTCCCAATTCCATCACTCAAGCACCATGACCTTCCACTCTCGCCGCAGCCTTGCCCAGTCAACAAAATATATCCAGCCCAGCTCCCGACGATGTGCAAAAGCCCCATTATTGGCAATCATCAACACGTACACGATAGGTATCTTATTCAACCAGTTCCCATCAACATCCATATAGGTCTTCCGACTATCCTCCTCTGAGGAAGACATTCTCCCAGACAGCGAGAGAGCGACGAACTCGAACTTAGCGCTCGAGTTGTATCCCGGAGAGATGACTTGTTCTCTCAGTTTTGCTGCGTCGCCGCAGAGTCCACCGATTATTTCCCCTTCTGAGTTGATGATGTTGAAGGAGTAGGAAGGTCTTGGAGTTACTCTGAGGAGTGCAGTGTGGGACTTTGTTACTATGACTCCTTGCTTCGGTGCACCCGTGGGAATACCACGTGGTATCTCAGACGTCTTGATGGTCAAGGGTATGGCTTCCCTGCGAAATGCGTGGTAATCTTTCCAGCGGGTATTGAACAGCTCACGCACGGCCAAAAAGTTGTCCGTTTCCAAGGAGAAAGCAAGGGAAATGCTTCCCACACACCCTTCCTTAATGGCAATAGCCATATAAACTTGCCAATCCTCATCTGGTTTCGAGTCAGGCTGACCATTCAAGGCTGCTATAGAACCAGAAGATTGGACATCGCCATCTATGTGATACCAAGGGGCTAGAGTTCCATAGAACTCCGTTGCTTGGTAGTGAACTGGATCGGATAGGCCCATGACTGATGACCACGACCACGTTGGTAGAGTTTCTCCCTGAGTTTCATGACGCTCTATAATGCTTGTACCATAATCCGGGTACCATAACAACGCGCGATCAAAGTCTACTACTGGTAGCCCGCTTAGAAAGGCACAAGGTCCTTTGTATAATGACGTGGTGATACCATGTAGCGCTTTGTGAGCGTCGGACCGATATGTGAGGTTTCTGGAAGTGTAGTGCCTGATGTGACGCGTAAATGATTGGAAACGGGTCGCATCTTCGGAAATAATTAGCCTGGTTGAGATAAGCTCATCCCGAATCTCTTCGACGTTGAATTGATCCTCATGGCAGATCAATCGTTCACACTCAAAGAAGGCTCGTGTGTTTGTAAAGTAGAGCCGCCTATTTGAAAGAACAGCCTCTTGGTATGTCCATCCGCGAGTGGCCCACATGTTCAGCGGATCATCTTCAACATCGCGAATCACATTCGTAATTCGCAAATCAAGGACGTCTTGGCTACGTTGAACTGCCTGTCTTGGGCTGCCAACACCTGGAATCCCAAATTCCATGCTATCGCCATAAGAAGCCACGAGCACAATCTGCGCGGAGGAATAAATGTCGCCCATAGCCTCTATTTGATGTTTCTTGTCATCTGGGTCATCTTGTATAATGCAGAGTCTGTCAGCCCACAGATACCTCTCACCCATTTTCAAACAAACTTCAATTGCGTCCTCTATTGTTTGAGGCATGCTTAAAGCAGGGAGGCCACCATCTTTCTTCATTCCATCAACTGTGGCGCGGGAGGCTGCAAGCAGGGATGACTGAGGGTTCAAGCCCCATACGTAACTTAAGGCAACAAAGCGGCAACTGCTTTTTTCAACAAGACATCGTCTATTCACGTCGATGACCCGAAAGCATTTGGGAAGATTGCACTGGGCTTTCGGCTGACACTCGCTATGTGTTTCGTAGCAGTCATTTATCTTGCCCATCAAAGAGTCCCAGGATATCATTTCTCCAGCAGGAGATGCAGTGGAACCTGCGGTGTTCCTATAAGGATTCTATTCATACTAGGAAGGATGGGATGCCTTACCACTTTTAACCTCATCTATGTGAAGATCGCCAACCCAAATGTTTGCCAATCCACCCTCTTCAGAATAATGGGCATAGATATCTCCGAAAAAAACGGTTGATCCATCTGGTTGCGAGTGCTGAGGCAGTCCCAGATAAAGAACGATATCGCAATTATCTTCTGATTTTCTTGCTTCAGATAATTGTGCAGCACTAAGGCCAACCACAATCATATGGTTTACCAAACGACAAAGAGGACATTCAGTCACAACGTGGTTTTCTACCAGCCCCTTACGCAAAGCGAACAAAAATCGCCTTTTTGTGTCAGGCTCCACGCATCTTACCAGATGCCTCAATCGTAGGTGTTGGCAAAAGCCACACAGCGAATATGCCTGAGAGTCTATCACAGAACAGGCGGAGCAGGGTTTATGGAATAGGTCATAGCGTTCCTGTTCAGATGGTCCAGATTCACTTGGGAAGTAGTAGAACACAGACGAAGAGCAAAGTGCACAATGCCCATCCATTATCAGGTCTTTCCTTGGTCAACTAGGAGCACTGCCTTATGTGTGACTGAGGGGTTCTTCAGGCGGGGAATTCATCTCACGTGCTTTCTATGGGTCAACGACTCAACACGAATAATGAATGCTGTTGGTACCCAAGCTAGTCCTTGTAGAGGCTAGTGTGAAATCCATCGAGGCAACAAGTGAAAGGGGTAAGCAAGTACCAAGAAATGTTTGACAGGCTTGAAAGGCTGATATATTCATATTCAAAGCTTCCTTTTTCTCCGGGGGGTTCCCCGCTCTTCCTCTTCATTAGTTGCCCCCTCTTACCCGGTGCCTTTGTTATGTATTGAATAGAGATTCGATTTTTGTTAATGGTCTTGCATGACTGCTTTGATGAAAATTTTGAGAATCCACTTATCTAACAATCCCCACGGACTGCAGACCCTCATAACGTTGATAATCTTCCTTGGGCGTCGATGAGACTCGACTGTGGCTGGCGGGGACTGCTTATGAGAATGAAAGAGTCGGTCGGTTTGGCTGAGGATGTGGTCGAATCAGCTGTCCATTCAAAGTCGAACGCTGCGCATGCGCACGAATGGGTGAGCAGGATTGATTTGCTGTAAGCACTAAAGCAGGTGCAGAAAGCTCTCGTCCATTCATTGGTGGCTTGACTGACAGGGGTGACCTTGTCCCTTGGGAAGTTCCCCTCCTCTCGTGGGAAGTGCCCGCTTGTTCAAAGAAATCCCTCTTCCTCCCAAGCAAAGTCTTCTCCCACTAGAGTTACCATCAGGAAAGTGACAACAATTCAGGACATGTCAGACAAGAAATGTCAACAACGAAAAGAATGGAGGGATACGCACAGAAAGCGGCAGAAGATACTCCATATCCCAGACAGTCCTCAATGGGGCCCATACAGTCTGGATTTCCCGACGTTCGGCAACACGGGCATTCTTGAGCTCCAAAGATTCATGCGCGAGTTGGAATAACGAAGCAAGTTGGGCGAAATCAAGGGAGGATATTATCGCAGATTTCATGAGAAGCTTACGGACCTCTAGTCGCCCGCTGGAGATAATTGCGTTGGTACCATCTATCTTCCCTTCATCATATGAAGACGTGGTTTTTTTGAAGGATTCACAGGCACTGCATAACCGCCTCGGTGAAAAGTTCAAGAAACCGCTTCTTCATCGGGCCTCATTATCCGGAAATTCACTTTGTGACCGCCACCTAAGCTTGGATGCCTTCTGGGCTCATCTACGTGAGCAACCCACCAAGACGATAGATGTCTACGACTACTCAGTTGTAGATTCTGCATCAAGAACACGACAGATGACAGTCCAGGAAGTCCTGTTACATTGGGAGCGCCCACAGCGCGAGCGACATGCTCTCAATCTCCTAGATATCGAAAAAAAATCGGAGACTTTTGCCCTACCGAGATAATGCAGCATGATCTTTACAGCAAAATATCTCGCCTATCCCCGGACAACGTCGGAAAAACAAATTCGGGCTGGAAGGATTATAGAAGAGAGTTCTTCCTTCTTAGCGGAGTAAATGCGATATTGTCTATTCATGTGGACAACGGTGGTCAGCTAACATGGATCTTGATTCTCGAAGGCCGGAAGATCTGGTACTTTTCTCGTAAACTGACTAGCGATGCTGTTCGATTCTTGGCCGTTATGGGTTCACAGTATCCTCGAGGATATGAAGAAGGTTGGGCAAGGGTAGAGCTATGCGCCGGAGACCTGTTGTGAGTATATTTCAAACCCTAAGGTCAGAGCATAGAGCTGATATGTCTTTAGAATTATGCCTCCTAGTTGTCCACATGCAGTGTTCACCCCAGACGACTGCCTTGCAGTTGGTGGCCATTCCTATACGGCTGCACACCTTGGTTCAACGCTCCGTGGGCTCAAACTTCAGGAAGATTATCCAGTTATATGCAACGAAGACCTACTACCCGACTTCTATGATATACTCCGTGGCGTTTTTCAGAACGCGCATAGCATCAGCGAATCTTTACAGCAAGCCGATATCTTGTCGTCGTCTTCCTTATTTCTTGATGCCCTCGACGTGGCATCCCTGGCCCCTTTGTTCAGAGCTAATAGGCGCAATGGCAATTCTCGTGGCGCTACTAATCAACACTCTAAAATCTTGGAACAACTGGAATCGAAACTGACTAGCCACGGATGTCTTCCGATAAATCGTCCTCTCTTCCTTGATGCCCTGGAAAGTTTTCAGAGAAAGATTTTGAGGGATATGGAGAACGAGTGTTAGGATCAAGACCCTCAATGTGTTTAGTTTACGATTGTATGTTGATCGATCTGAGATCTTGCGAGCATATTATGCTAGGAATACAAAAATGGCTCTACACAATAACAGTAAATCGTCATATCTGCCGATAATCGAGGGAAGTCCAGTATTCAGAGCGAGCGTCAAAGTTGGCCAGCAAAAAAGGAAATAATCTCTTTCTGTCCTCCTCTCCTCTATAAGAAACATAATTCCTGTTTTATTAACTTTGGAATTGTTACCCAGCTCAAAGAAGGCGCGGGATAGCTGGTGGAACCCAGGTTTTTGCTCGTAAGGGACCAACACAAGTTGGTTGTCGACTTGGGTAGGGGTAAGTAGGGTTACACCTCCCTTCCTTTATGATTATTTGGGTTCATGAGGCCATTTGACACATGTGGATGGAATCTATACCTAATTTGCCATATACTGTACTAGGGATAGGGCCACAGTCTTTTACTTGCATTCAAAATTGTCCATTACTCTGGGAAACAGGAAATGTAACGGAGGAGAAATGATACTGTAAAACGCTAGGATACATTATCAGCAGCGCCGTACTCCTAGTCCGGAACGGTAATTCCTTGTCTCCTTAGCTGGTCGTATACCCTCGCCCTCATCGCGACCATGTCAAAGTTTAGTGGAAGCGATTTTCTCTCACTACGAATATCAGCTTCCGACACATGAGAGGCGGAGGATGTAGAGTGTAGCATACCGGCAAAACTTCGCCTTCAGAGTCATTGCCCGGTCCTTCAACTGTATTCTGTTGCGATCCGCGATGTTCATCTCGTCCTCCTGCAGCGGCAGCGTCTTATCCACCCTCTCGATCGCCGCCCAGTCCACCCCGAACCGCCCCACCAGCCGGATGAGCCGTTTATCCTACTGCGGCAGCCAGCGGCCGCGGCCCCTAAAGTTGCCTGGCACAAAGCCAGACCCCATGGGGTAGAGAGATCTCAGTTGAACCGGATGTCCCTCTGGTAACGGTGCAAGCCCCTTGGAGCTCAGATTGGCTGCCACATCTGCGGGCGCCGGAGTCCAAAGTACCTGGCGTGAATGAAGTCGGGGTTTGCTGGACTGGCGATACGCAGGGGCACTCTGACTCGCGGCGGGAAGCTCGTGATGTAGGAAAGCACTGTAGTACGTTCGAAAACAACTCAATTGGCCAGTGCAGGAGGGCAGCAAAGGCTGATCGGCTGGAAAAGACCATGACACAGTTTACGATCGGTTTGGTGGTAGAAAGGCTCAAACTCTGAGGGAGTATCCAGGCCTTCTTATATGCCAACTATTCCACACACTTGTGCTGGCTCGCAGGTCTCCTATCAGACGAATCTATCTAGAAGTGCTTTTTCTGCAGTAGCTGATATCCCATTATCTACATAGATGACGTCCAAATGATCACCATTGTTCCGGCATGAGATCTATTGTTCCCCAGAGCCACGTTGAGAGTTTGGCCAATCAACTTTGTCACCAATCAGCTACATTCTGCTTAGTCCCGTCCTGTCCTGTCCTGTCCTCTCCTTCTCCCTCTTTATAAAGATGAGATCAACAAGTTGCATTGAGGACTCGGGGATCTGACAAAGACTAACAAACGACTTTTCCTTTTTCTTATCTTACTAATATCGTGGCCCCCTTTTTTCTGTTGGGTGTGCATCCTGCAACTTGGCGGTCAGTACTCTTGAGCCCTGTGAAGTTAAATCACGTCCCAAGTGCTTGTCATCCGCATTCTCATTTCATCCTTTACCATACGCTTCTCTGCGCCTCACTAACAACTGGAGCTTCAATGGACTACAACAAGCCTCTTGACCTGCTACACGGGGCGGAAGAGACTGTTTGGGTGAAGAAGGTAAATACGGCTCGTACGGACGGACGTATTTGCAGCTGGGCTTCTGCTTTCCATCCTGAAAAGCTCCCATGTCGGCTAGATGGTGGATTCCTCAACGGGTCTTACAATGTCGGCCAACGAATTGTTTTTGATGATGGAACAACATGGTTTCTTCGCCTTCCTCGTGCTAGCAGCATTTCTCCCGAATATGCAAACGAAAAGGTGGCTATGGAGGTCGAAGCTCTCTCCCTCATACGTGAGGAGACAACGATACCTGTACCCAAAATTCATGCTTGGGGACTTGCAGAAGAAAATCAGCTTGGTTTAGGTCCTTTTATCCTGATGGACTTCATCGAGGGCGTTTGCCTTAATGATGTGTTTGGTGGCGGCGATTCCAGACTTCTTAAGGAAGAAATCCCAGAGACCGATATCGAATACGTTTACAAACAGATGGCACATTTTATGTTACAGCTGTTCGAGATCGATTTCAACCATATTGGCAACTTGCCGACTCGGAAGACAAGATTCGCTGCCCCTAGCCGGCCACTCACATGGAAGGGGCATGAGATTCTGAGGGTAGGAGGTGTGAATACGTTTGGTTTGTGCTACGGAAGACCTCAAACATGAAATTAGGCTAATGACATTAGGTGACTGGGCGCACGGCCTCCAATCCACTAGACAATACTTTGAATACGTCAACAACCAAGACTGGCAGCAGCTCCTACTTCAACCAAATTCGATCGCAGGCCCGCTGAGCGCAAGATCGAGATACGCGGCGTTGAACATATTGAAGTCTCTGATTCCCGAATTAACGAACACAACCTATGATTGCGGCCCTTTTAAACTTATATGTGATGATTTCGGCATGGCAAATGTGATCGTTCGAAGTAAGGACGACCTTACAATCACCGGGGTGGTGGATATCGAGTGGGTCTATGCCGGACCAGCTCAATTATTTGGATCTGCTCCCTGGTGGCTTCTCCTTGATCGTCCTGTCAACGACGAGTGGGACTTCGAAGAGGGAGAGGCCCCAAAGGCCACGGACCGCTACTTTAAATGTCTCGAGATCTTCATACGCGTACTTAAGGAGGAAGAGACAAGGATGAAAGAAAGTAGTCGGAGAGAACTTGAGGTTCTGCCGTCCTAGACCGCCCTCGCTACCTATCTCACGGCACAGGCAGGCCTACCTAGTAATATGACCATACATGCGCCTATCCATTAATATCTTCACCGCACAGTTAGATCCTGACTGAAGCTCTTCGAGCTACGTCTTGTCTATTGAGCCTGCCTGCACCAGCCCGTCCTGCAGTTAGAACCTGATAGATAGAGATCCCGTAGCTAATCCGAGTATCGACTACCTAATCAATCTGTTTTTGACTACCTGCGAGCCCGCACCTTGACAAGGAAATGGATATTACTGCACTGTAGGAGTTGTGGTGGCAGTCCCAGGACTACACGCGAAGGAAACAAAATGAATATTACCGTGAAATGAATATTACCATGCTGTACACGTTGTGGTGGTGGCAGTCCCAGGACCGCGTGTGATGAGAATGGATTTTGGACTGCGCGCGAGGAAACGATTTTGTATGGCAGTACTGGGACTGCAGGCACGGATGGCCCAGGCTCGCAGCGGCGGTGCAGTCCCGGGACTGCACCATAGAAAAGACAGTGGCGCAGTCACATCCTGTACAGTAGTGCCGGGGGCACTGCGAAACCCCGGATCTTCCATATTTCCTATCTTAGAACACCGTAGAACCGCGGTCTCCGACATACTAATGTATGGTGGAGCCCGCGGCCGGTGAGTACTTAATGGAGGGTTCCCTCCCAGATAGTTATGAGAAATCGAGCATTCTTTGTGTTTCTAGGTTGCTTCACTGGTATTGCTATCATCGTATAGAACGGAGCGAGGCTCCTTCGTCGTTGTGTTTCTTCTTTATTATATCATTTCCTTATTAGATTGTTCAGTGTGTCCGTCCCTGAGATCCCTCGATCACAACCCGGTTCCTGTCGCAGGGAACAACGCACGTACGCCCCCCTTTACAATGGGGTGCCGCCAACCAATGGATAAGTGGCTGCAGCGTCTCACGCCCAACCCCTGGTAGCGTATTTGTGGGAGGAAATGTTTCAGGTGGCCAGTGCCAACATGAATATAAATGCTCGAAGACCATGGACTTGTCTCAATCAGAGCCTGTCAACTCTGAAAATAACTCTGAAATACCTGCAGCATTGAACACCATGCCTCGGAGACGTCCCCAGCCATCGACCCCACCGGACCTTCCAACCCCACCAGCTGGCTCATCCAAAAAACCATACTACGTCGCAGGTGACGAAGTCTGGTATTGTCGTGAAGGCAGTGCGTCACATTAATATCTTCCGTTTGTACTGAGGCATCATCTAAGCTATTGCAGAGAGTGAATGGCGCGAAGGCACAATTGATTCAAGTACATCGAGCACCATATTGCAAACGGTATTCTTCTCTGAACAAAGTTTAATAGGCAAGCTGACTTTTAGTAGGTGAGAGATGACGATACCTATGAACTGTGGGAAGTCCCAGTTGAGCGCATTCGGTTGAGATCTTAGCTCAACACGTCATGATATGTCTTCCCAGTCCCGCATGAATTGTTGGATCCACTTCCATAGCTTGGGGGAGGCGACAAATATGTCTTTACGAAGCCTCGGCGGATCATTGATGGCATATTGGGTTTTCCATTCGGACATAACCGTCAGCTTCTTTGCGATTGTGTATCTGAGAACCTTGTCGTGAAAGTAGTCTTTTTCATCCTTCTCAATTTTTGAGGGTTGCTGATCCTCTTTCTGAATTTCACTATAAAGCTGAACGTATTGAGGCGAACACCGCTGTTGTAGAAGATATTGTCCCACATCATCTTCAGGACCACATGCAAAGTGCCATACAGTAGCAAAGAGGTCATAGTCAGCAATAGAGTCAAGGCTGAGAAGGCGACTCAATCTCCAGGCGACTTGGGTCCGATCAAGTGATTCGCGATACCTCTGGATCAAGCTCTTTCCGACTGATTCGGGCATGGCAGCAATGAAACCATTAATAAAGGAGGTGCGTAACTCTGAACTGATTTCATCGCGATATTGTGGTAACCCTGGGGCGGCTAACAACATAGATTCGGGAATGGATGAAGTAAATGCCCAGTCAATGATGCACGTGATATTGTAGTCGTCATCAACGTAGATATTATTGACACTCAGATCAGCGTGGCACAATGGAAAAGTCACTGGAATGATGGCTGGAAGTTGATGTCTGCGTACAATGTCGCGGAGAGCATCGCCTACAATAATGTAATCCAGTCTGTTCTCTGATGAGTCGATTTTGCGTCCAACGGTCACGAAGTCGTTCCATAGGCTCACAGCACTCTTGTATTGCATGGAAGATTGATAATTTTCAGGCGAGGGAACAGGTGCAACGAAGCAATGATGCGATAACTGCAGAACCTCTGCATGCTTCAAGAACGCAGAAATAAGGCTGTCCCAGAACTCTGCCTCAGAAGTGAAAGGCCCGCGCGAGGTCTCCAGATCGTATCGTTCATGTAACATGTGGCCACGTGAGAGACATTCCTTGATTTGAAAGGACCCCTCTTCTTCGAAGAGTGAGCCAATTTTCTCAAAGCGCATCTGTGAGAGCTTCCAGGTAATGCCGCCCAACTGTGCGAGAACTCTTTCCTTGGCAGATGTGTCTAGGTCACCTTGAGGAGAACCGGCCAGTCTCCAAACTTTGGAGAGTGGCCACCCCGGCGCTTCACTCATGAGAATGAATGGGATACTGATATCGTTGTCGGAAGAAGCACTGCTACAAGTTAGGACAAGAAAGATTGTGGTCTGAGAGGGTCTGTTACCAGTAGTCGTATACTATTGGGACTGGAATGTCGCTATGAGCCCTGAGGTATCGCAGCGTGGCAGCTTCACTGGCCAGTAGCTTCATGCCCATTTCCATTGGCATGAATGTTCTGGGGTGTGGAGATCTAAAGACCCATCGTATCCCATCTGTAAATGTAATAAAGATAGCCCAGTTGAAGCTTCCTGAGGCAGGACGTTGATCCGGAGTGCAAACACATGGAACACCTTGGCGTAGTGCGCTTGCTCGACGACACAGAGCTTCCAAGTTAAAGTCGGAGTAAGTGAATACATCTGGTTTCGGATCTGGGGACGGATCTGGGGACATTTTGTTCGCAAGGAATTCGAGATGGAAGGAAAATAAGGTCAAAAAGAGGTTCGTTGCTCTTGCAGGCGAAAGTTGAGTACTCTGGGAGATGTTGATCGGGTTGAGTAGTCACGTGATCTCCATTAGCTCGATAGGGCCCGACTCCGCCGACCCCTTTATGAATACAACCACGTCGAACTCATCAAAGCTACTGTCAGAATATTCGATGTCAGTTCCCGATCGTTAAGCACCATGTGATCGATTACGGTTCTGGACTGTTAGAGGTCACGTACATTCTGCCATAGTAGACCGCCCTCACTTGGCCTGACACACTAAAATAGCTAGACCAACCTAGATAGAGACAATACAAGCAAGTTGATCCAACATGGACTAAGCCAACTGGCCACGTGAAGGACATCAAGGCCATCTTGGACAGACACAAGGCCAAGACTCCTGCGCCTCTTTGTTTGAGCCATGTGTGAGATTGTGTAAGCTGTTAAACAGTTCAGTGAAGTGTCAAAGAAGTGACGAAGAATTGTCAAAAAAGTGTCGACCACCGCAGTACCTAATTTTATTTTCAGTAGTCTGTCTGTCTTGGCATGCTGCTGCAGCTGAGACGTCGAGCACAATCGACCGCAAACAAATCGGAAACATCATTGGGTGCTCTGTCTTAGCCCCGGTTTCTTATCGGCTCACACTGCCAATCATTGCCACTAGACTCACAACTGTTGCATTCGTTCATCTGTCTTCAGCCAAACAAATCCCCAGATAACCTAAAAATTATCGAAACGCCCGATGTCACCTCTGACCGCAGCGCCTATGCAGCAGCACAAACATAAGTTGCGACAAATGCAAAAGCCCTTGGACCTACTAGCCCTGGAGTCCTTCTAGTTTCAACACAACATCGAGCCTATCAGAGTTGTTGATGTTTCACAGTCCAGCCAGTTAACGAAAGTTGCAACCAGCCACACAGCGAGTAGTACTACTCCAAGCAAAGGCATTTGTGGTAGTGTTTCGGTCAGCCTAATATTGATCCTTTGCTAGCGGCCGACTTCTGTCATGTTCCGGGGGCTTTACCATGGCATATATAAAGAGATCACTCGATAGACGTCTCAGATTCATCTCTCAAAGAACATACAGACACTGACTTTTCTAAATCCTATTTCAATTTTACTCTTAAGTCATTCTGCTGTCGTCCAGGCCCACTACGAGAATGTCCAAAGTTCTGGGATCGTTTGTCCAGAAAGCACAGGGTATCAAGAATGCCCCCTCCAAGTTCACTGCTACCGCTGCGGAAGGTAGTCGCCTTATCCCTTCCAAGACTAAGGACGCCGAGTTCCAGATGCGCATCGATGCGGGACATTACGATCCAAACACAAAACATCTCAATGTCGTCCTGCAGGTCAACTCACAAGCTAAAAGTCCAGCCCTCAAGGACTGGATCAAAAAGGACACAACACATGGAAAACTTGCTACCGCGACATTTGATACTGCGGCCTCCGACAAACAGGCTGAATACAACAAGATGCTTCTCGAACTCCAAGAAAAGGCAAAAAGCAAACTCGGATGACCTTCCAGTAAGCGACCCCCAACCAGGCACACTACTGCAAGGTTACTTAACTAACATGGATAAGCGAGCAATCTGAGGGATCTGCTTACTTGGTGATGAGGCGCATCTAACTGGGGCCTCCGGACCGTAGTTAGGCCCTCTAGTTCTTGTACAATTTGATTCTCATCGCAACGGTAGACTTTTTGGCCATCAAACTTATCGTTTCCAGTTAATTCAATAATATGCAACGTCCGAGGTCCCGTAGCCTATATTAGGTAGAGGTAGTGTAACGGCTCAGGCCAATGTAGATAGATTAATCTAATTGGGTAGCTCTAGAGAATCGCTTGAAGAAGAGAATATCCCACCGGAGCTCTGTGGGATATTGTCTATCTCGAATACAAACAGAACAAACAAGAGTCATGTCACTACTTGCTTACATTTACTACAAACTCAACAGCCTGTATAGAGGCTGCGCCATCACAGGTAGAACAAATGTTCAGGTACAAAGTGTCGTAGTTGTGGTATAGTAGAAATAACTAAGTTTGGGCTATAAGTAGTACGGTGGGCCCTTATGTTGCTTAATGGGGTAGTGATGAGAATTCTCATTGGCCAGGGGAAGTTGGGGAGATGATCATCCGACACAGCCTCGCTCGACCATTTTGCTCCACTGCCACATAATTATAAGTCAACGCTGCGCTGAGGGCTATCACTTTCCTCTAGAGAGGCAGTTCGACGTGCGCCAACATAATGAGCCGAGGCCAGTGGGCTATGTTGGTTCCAATTCATAAGCGTATTTGTACCCGCGTTGTGGCCAGGCCGAAGAATCACATATTTCCCTTTCTACCTTCTTGTGCTCATCTCCCGAAAACCTCTACGATGGTCTCAACTTCAGCATCTGACGAACGTCCGTTTCCACAGAGTCGTGACCCTATCTATCCTGATAAACTGATTTGTTTTGATCCTCATTCTTATTCCAGCGGCCGGTGGTTGCGGCAGGACAAGTCGGAACGTGCCGCTCGCTACATTAAATTCGACTTCAATGCACTTTGCCAGAAAGTCCTTGATGTTTCCCCCGGCGCAGACACCATCACAAACTGCAAGAAACTTGAAGGAGGATTCAACCGGGTGTTTGTTTTTACGCTAAACGATGCCAGGCGGGTTGTGGCGAGACTTCCATTTGCTCTTGCTGGACCAGCGAAACTAACTACGGCCTCGGAAGTCGCTACTATAAAATACCGTGAGTATAAGCCGGCAAAATGTACACTTCAATACTTACACACTTGTTTTAGTACAATCCAAGACTAGTATTCCCATTCCCGCGATTCTTGACTGGAGTAACGATCCTACAAATGCCAATAATACTATTGGTAGCGAATACATTATCATGGAACATGCTACAGGCGTGCAGCTGCATCAGAAATGGCCTGAAATGGCCGGTGACCAGCGGGTCAAGTGCATAGATGCGATCTATCGAAAGATGAAAGAGTTGGTTGACCTACGGTTTCAGGCTTTTGGGAGTCTGTACTTCGCTGAACCTCCTGGTTTTGGTGGTATGTATCCCTTGGATAAAGAGTTCTGCATTGGGCCGCACTGTGGAACTCGGTATTGGGATTGTTCTGTTGGTGAGCGGAGATATTATCATAATGTGGAGCCGAACCAAGGACCCTGTAAGGAGTTTGGATATCTTATTTATTTGAACAGTGGCGCTAACGAAAGACTCAGGGAGCAATATTGGTGAATTCTGTGATGGTCTCATTGATGCAGGTCTCTCAAGACTCCCCCCAGTCGACTCTAACATTGATAACAAACCTTTTTATCATGGTTCACCCAGAATACACCGGTCACTGTTAGAAAGCGCTCGAGCTATGCTGAAGCAAATGTCTACTGATCATCGAATCGCAGAAGCTGCCATACCATTACTGTTCCACCCAGATCTACATAAAAGGAATATATTTGTCTCAGAAGGCGACCCTGCCACTATTACAGGCATTATCGACTGGCAGGCGACAAGTATTGAGCCAGCTTTCTGGTATTCCGACGAGATACCAGATTTTGCAATACCTATTGAGACAGGGGAAACCATTTATGCTGAAGCTTTTGAAGTCTCTTCTCAGTTCCTTACACCCATTCTCGCTGGTCCTCGGCTGATGGATGAAAGCCTCTTCCGGCCTTTTCGTTATAGCTACAGGACTTGGAAGGATGGGGCAGTAGCACTGCGCCACGATATGATTGAAACGGCTCGACGTTGGAAAGAACTTGGACTTGTAGGCCAGTGTCCATACCCTCTACCCACGCCAAAGGACTTCGCAGATCATGAGAAGGAATACAAACTTTTTGAGGCTGCACAGGTTCTAAGACGCGACCTCTCAAACCTACTCAATACAGCGTCCGATGGATGGGTGCCTCCGGAAGAGTGGGAAGCAACGGAATCAGCTCATAAGGAGATATTCATGGGGATGTTGCAGGCTGTTTTAACAAACCAAGGACTAGATGAGGATGAACCTGTAAAAGACGAGGAAACCCTTCGATCAATCTGGCCGTTTGATATTAATTAGGGTACATAGAGTCCAGTTTTAGCAACGGCAACTACTTGACTTAGTCACTGTTTCTTTGTCAAAAGTGAGAATGTTATATTTATTTATCCGTGTCAGGAGTATGTGATGACTTGGCCAGATAAATCAAAGGAATATCTCAAGAACCGATAACTCCTAGGAGCTCCTTTAGAGGAATCAAAGTGGATCTGGATTCATGTTGATGTACCAGTCAGATGTCAAGAGGAGAGATATGCCTCAACTGAACAGAAAGCTGTTGCACCAAACCATATAATTTTGTGGTCACAGACACAAACCATATGGACCATTTGCTGGGTGGATACTATAGTTCTGGCAGCTCCTTGGATAAGTGAGAGAGACAGGTATGATCACACATCACATCATGTACTGAAACACAGAGTTTCATTCAAGAAGTAGCTGTTGTAGGGAATTATCTTAATTAAGCAAACTGTCACGGAACTCAACTAGACGATGAATAGGATGCTATTCAGCTATCTAGGCAGCTATCGACGAGAACTTCAAGCATGAAGAGGAAGGAAAAAAGGAAGAGATCTACGTGAAGCTGGACGACGTACTCCTATCCACGCGCCACGCTAATCCAAGTAAGGAAGCTCACGTGCTCGTCCTGGTCTACATGGCAAGGGCCCTGACAACTACACATACACAACAGGGCGTCAGTAGATGGAGAGGAGGGGGTTGAAGCGTGCACTGTCTTGGATGCTGAGTTGCAGGATGTTGTGTTTGAGGACCTGTTGAGGCATGTGATGGGTCTGTATGTGAAGAGGATTGAGGTGTTGGCTTTTGATGTGGTTACTTGGGGAAGTTTAGACTGATTATTCATGTATATTCTGAGGATAGAATCAACAACAATAGTATTGGAGCCATTCATAAAGGAAAATATGTTTACTTGCTAGGTCATGTTGACAAAGTAGAGCCGGCCTAATTGACAACTCTTGGAGGACGTTGGTAGTGTGATGTCCAAAAATTCCACTGCCAGAGCCGCGTATACCATTCAGTCATGACATTTTCAAATGAAATCTTCATCCAACCAACATCATTCACTCCAAGGCCTTCGATTGGCTCAAGTTCTTCCATTGTGCCCACACTTCTCCCCAGGTACCATGACTTGTCAATGATTTTCACCCATGCTGTCTTTCTCCTGTAAACTTCTGGTGCAGAGCCATCATGAATAATTGATGCCAATGAGTCCGCATCAACTTGGATGCAGTAGCGGTAGCGCGGAGATTGACCAATTCTGGGTGCCAGCTGCTCAGCTGTCCGCTGCTCAGCCTGGAATGCATCCAAGGACCACTGCTGAAAATGCCGCCGGACAGTATCTGCACTGGCACCATCAAAAAGTGATCGGTCCTCCAATACAGTCAAGGTAAATGAGTCCAGAATGTCCAGGCCATTGAATACTGTAAGTGAGGACTCCATTCTGGAGCGCAGATGCTGCAGAAACACAGTCCAGTCAGCATCACTGTTGTAGGTTGTACGGTAAATCACAAAACCCCAAGTCTGATGATGATCGATTTCCATATACCACTCGATGCGGTCGGCCGTGTTAAGGTCTTTAGGCGTGCCAGGCGTGCGCTTTGAGTTTTCAAAGTCTTCCAAGGGGGTTAACCTTTGGTAAGGGGTGGGATTAACACTGTTGAATATAGCGCGCGCTTCACTGAGATTGCAGATAGGAGGCTCGTATTGGTCCATTGTAAGGAGAATCGCAGGACTGCCTGTTCTGTACGTAAGAAGCTGTGCAAGAAAAGTAGAGTATGTTGCTTACCTCCAGAGAAGTTAACTGTGGTGGTGGTCAATGACTTGAAATGGTAGAGTACTCCGCGGTGTAGATTACCAGACAAGTTGCTGCCCCTCTCAACACTGTCCGCCTGTCACATGGGAAAATAACCCCTCATCAGGATCAGTTCATGCATATGGAGTGCAAGGAACCACATTTCCGCATCTGTAGTGTAAGGCTTGTTAAGATTACAAGCCTTCCCACCCCCGCTTTGCTCAAGCGGCCGGGTTGGTTTATGGCTTTATCTGTTACTATCTCGAGACCTACGGCCCTCGCCAAACCTGTAAAGGAAAAGAGAAGTGGATTGGACAGCAATCAGCCTGTGATGGGAACTACAGCTAAAAGTAGCAACCAGGACCGCAGGCAGGTCCTGACTAAGAAGTGCAAGTCGCAGACTGCTTTTCCATAGTTATAGTAGTCTCCGTAGTAAGTACTAAGTAGGTGACTAGGGGATACAGCCCGGGGGCATGACTCGGCACGGCACAGCTACGATAGTACCTAGATGTAACCTCCAAGGGTCAAACCTAGACAGCAGAAATAGTCTGTTTAGCATTTCATTAAATAATGAATACTAGTTACTCTACTATAGTAATGTACTGTTTCACAGTCTATGATGAAACACCCACACAGATCAAGTAGCCCACCCACAAATTCTTGCAGTTTGAGCCAATGGCAGGGTTCCACTGATACAGCTCTGCGAATGTGTCATTAAACTGCGACTCAATGCCGCTACAGGTGTCGCCTGATGCGACAGTATAGTACTCATTGCAGTTCGAGACAATTCCCATTTGTGTTGGGGCCACAGGAGCACTCCCGGTTCCAGTCGCAATTGGGCCATTCACGCAGTAGACATAGCCTAGCCAGAGGTTCTCACACTGGCTTCCAACTGTCATTTACGGAGGAGTATGTTAGCGCAATTACCAGGAGATTCTGCGGGTGGGTCAAACGTACTGCTTGGATTCCATGCGTAGAACTGGGTAAATGAAATTCCATACGACGCCTCTATGGAGTCACATGTATTGCCTGACTGAACTGTGTGATATTGTGTACAGTTAGCCACGATGCCTGTTGGTGTTGGGCCCATGGTGCCAGTAGTAGTAGTAGCAGTGGTCGTCGTGGGTGGAGGTGCTGCACTCCCAGTAGGCGCCGAGGCGTTTACCGCGACGCAGACAGGGCGCGTGTCGGAAGAGCTGAGATTGGCAAAGAGGTTGGTGTCGCAGTCTGGGCTGAGCCATGTGTTCCAAGTCATCAGATCACGCTCAGTGATCAAATAGTCACTCTCAAGGTCTGAACAAGTGTAGCCTTGATCATAGCCATGGATGACCGTGAAGCAGTCACAATCGGCAGCGGTTCCGGCCACAACTGTCGTAGAATTGACTGGAACACAGTAGCTGCCACCCGGAGTTGTCGTCAGGTTTGTGAGCTTCACGCAGTAGCTATAACCTGCCTGGAAATCACATGCGCTTAAATTCGTGGAAAGACTGGGGTTCCATTGCAATAAGTCATCTGTCGTCTCTTGATAGGCAAACGCAACGTATGAACAGTCGTTGTAGGCCTCAGAGCTGTTGTCATAGTTCCGATACCTCTCACACCCAGGAATGGTACCAGAAGCAGTGGGGAGGAGAGAAGTTGTGCAGTTATAACCAACTCCGCTGGTAGAAGTGGGAATCAAAGTATCGACGGAGGAGAAGGTCGCTGGAAGCACAGTAATCCATGGCGTAGAAGTGGTAGTCGGATAGCCAGAGTACGTGCTAATGCTTCCTACAGCTTCAACACAATAGGCGGCTCCAAGTTCCAAGTTGGTACAATTTTGATCGATCTCCGGATTGAGGAAGAAAGTCAGAGAGAGAAATGGAGTTTGCCTCTGATACAACAGCACATGTATCATTTGCAGCAACCTACAGAGCAATTGGGTTAGATTAGAGCTGAGGTATCGGAAAGGAAGAATGGGCCTACAGTATACCAGCTTCCACAATCTCTATTTGATCCATTCATGCTATTTGTTGGAACAGGAACGGCGACAGTTGGCGTGGATCCGGAGCTTCCTGTGTCGTTCAGCGCCCCTCCTGGAGGTCTGATAAATTAGTATTTACATACACTTGTAGAATAAGAATACCTAGGTAATTGCCCAATGTAAAACTCATAGCCAATAAAAGCAGCAGTATTCCGACACAAAGAGTTCAGGTTTGCGTTCCATGCGAGAAACTGTGTCAGGATCACGTCTTGGAGGCCTATGACCACACTATCACAGGTATCCTCGGCCTGCCAAGTGTATGTTTCGCATTGAGGAGGTATACACAAGGTTGAGTTGATAGCAGCTGGAAAATTCTGGCAATATATGTCAAGGTTGTTGTAGTAAAGAAGGCTATATGTTGACACATTAGGGATTTAGAGACAGAGATACAATCATCTGTATCATCCACCGTATACGAGCCGGTACAGCCCTGATATCAGTTAGCATAAACAAGACATCCATGGATAGCTGTAGGGTTCCATACTGGAGGAGTAGTTGTTGTCACCGTGGCAGGGACTGAAGTAGTAGCTGTTGAATTGATTGCATACGGCGGTGGTGATGTGAATGGATATGCAGTTGCATTACAGCTGGATGTCAATGATTCAAAGTTGCTAGCCAGTCCATCGTCATATCCCAGTGGACTGTTGAGCTGCATGGATAGGCAGCCAAGCCAACAATCAGAGCAGCTTTCATTTGCTCCCATGGAGCTTTTGTTAGACCAGGCGAGGATCTGTGGATCGCAGTACTGGCCGGTGCTGGACTGCATTCAGAAAAAGAAAAAAGAAGAAATGGTGACTATGCTTACCTGTCCTTTCTGCAAGACAAATTGTAGGTATAGATGTAGATGTCGGCAAAGTAGGTAGCTAAATTCGCTTGAGCAAGAAGTCCCAATGATCCATTGCTGCCCACAGATGCCAATTAGTACATACCAGGATAAGCAATGTCATCTAACACGATTTCATCCGTCTGCGCGGTACAGGCTTCTGCGATGGTAGATCTAGCACTCTGCAATGAAGAAAGGCATGAGTCAACACAGAGCGCTTCAACGCCTTCTTCATCCAGCACCCCACCACTTGAATAATAGTCAATCAAGAGTCTAATAAATAAGTAAATGGAGCAAGCTCACTCTTGCGCCAATGGATACAATGCCAATTGGCAGGACACGCTCGTGTTCAGAGCGCTCTGGCACGACTTGCTGAGCCCGGGATATTCCATGTAAATAGATGCATTTTGAAGTTGCTGCGACCATACTGCGCTGACAAGGCATATGGCAAGAATAATTACTGAATTAGCCATGTTGAAAACTTGCATTATGAGGGTTCAATGCGCCCGACATGCCGCATTGTAGCTTTATGAATGTTCAAGTCATCCATCCTGCGGGCAAAAGTATGAAACTAAGCGCCCTTCAAGAAGTATAATTTCACACCAGGATGCTGCATATTTTAGCTCGTTTCTTCAGAAAGATTGCGGTTATTAGACTTTTTCAGTCGAAACCAGGCTTCTCTATACTATATAGCCGAATAATTGACATTTTAAAGTATTAAGACTAAGCACTCAGCTCTTGTTGACTGTCTTTTGTGCCTTACCTTTTCTAAATACTTCAATGCTGATACACAGGCTACTATGGCACATCTTCCTTCGTTCTTGCTGAAAGTAGCCTCACGCCTTTCTGGAGTTCTCTTTGCTTTGGTTCTTGCTTTTCTGATCTCCAGCAAGTACGGTGATTCAGGGGCTAGATCACCAACGCCAGCTTTGCTCGCTAGAGAGACGACCAAAGCTCCTGGGTTAGACGGCGTTGATTCATATTCCAATGTCTCCGTCACAAAAAGAGATGAATACTCTTGCGGTCCTGGAAAGCCATGCTTCAATGGTGCATGCTGTGGTGCCAGTGGTTACTGTGGTTATGGCTCAACCTACTGTGGTGCTGGTTGTGTTTCAAACTGTGATGCTACTGCTGAATGTGGACAGTATGCCAAAGTTCCAGGAACAACTTGTCCCTTGAATACATGGTGAGTCTTTTCTAAAGCAGTGAGAAGAAACGCACTGGTACTAACCCTTGAACAGCTGTAGTCAGTACGGCTTCTGCGGTACCACCGAAGTATAACCCTAGAAATCTTCGATCCTAATCCTACCTCAGCTAAATCCGCCACAGGAATTCTGCAATGACAAGTGCCAATCAAACTGTGTTGAGCACCCCAAACCGCCAGGAGGAGGTTCTTCGGTTTCCATCATCCAAAATCGAGTGATTGGTTACTATGAAGGATGGAACGCAGGAAAGGCTTGCCATAAAGTTTCTCCTACAGACCTACCGTTAGACGCTTTGACACAGTAAGTGAGGACATGCATTAAAGCCCTAAACATTGCTAACAGTACAGTTTGAATTTCGCATTTGCGTATATTTCCCCAGACTCTTACCAGATTGTAACCATGGATTCAAGGACCCCATCAAGCATGTTCCGAGACAATGCAAATCTGAAGTCTATCAAACAAGATCTATCGATCTTTGTCAGTGTTGGTGGCTGGTAAGACTGTGTTCCTATCTTAATGGTAATAACTTGAACTGTATTGAAGACTACCTCAGGGACTTCTCGGATAATGGCACTGCCACCCAGCCACTATACGGTGAGATTGCAGCTGACGCTGGAAAGAGGCAAACATTTGCAAATAACGTGGTTCATTTCATGAAGCAATATGGCTTTGATGGTCTTGATATTGATTGGGAATATCCAGGAGCTCCAGATCGAGGTGGTAAACCAGAAGACACAGAGAACTTTGTTAAACTTCTACAGACTCTGCGACAGACATTTGATGCCAGTGGAAGCAAATTTGGTCTTACATTCACAGCACCCTCGTCATACTGGTACCTTCGCTGGTGCGATCTGAACAACCTGGTCAAATATGCTGACTGGATTAATTTGATGAGTGTAAGTATCCTAGGGTTTTGGTTACAGCCCTAAAAACCCTCCTGTTTGGCCCTAATACGGTTTCGCGTTAACACCTACTAGTATGACCTACATGGTATGATTTGGCGTCCAGAGGATGGAACATCTTGTTGACTTTATTCTCAGGTGTCTGGGACGTAAATAATCCAATCGGTAGTATTGTTCAGGCCCATACCAACTTGACTAAATCAAACTATCCGTTGAGTTGTTTTGGCGCGTGGACATACCACCTGAAAAGATCGTCATGGGATTCGGCTTTTACGGTCGAGCCTTCACACTTGCGGATCCCAGCTGCTCGAAGCCTGTATGCCCATTTAGCGGCGCTTCGAAAGCCGGACCCTGTACACAAACCGGGAGAATGCTGGGCTATTATGAGATCATGGACGCGCTTAACTCTGATAGCCAAATCACACTGACACATGATACGCAAGATGCAGTCAACTATTTCACCTTTGACAAGGACCAGTGGATATCGTACGACAATGCCGTGACTTTCAAACAAAAGGTAGACTGGGCGAACGGCATTGGCCTGGGGGGTGCTCTCATATGGGCGTCTGATCTTGGTAGGTTCTGCATTACCTAGGTGCTACTACTCTGTAGTCCAGAACATCCCGCTCACGACTGCAGACGATGACAAGTATTCCGCCCATTCTGGACTTGTGGGACGGCCGGTTTTGTCGAATTCAGATATCAAGGCCGTGGACAAGGCACTGTCCAATCCGAAAGCTTTGATCGAAGATCTTGCTGGATCCAACGGTCAGAACTGCTTTGCATACAAGGGTAAATGTGTAAATCTGAACGACAATAGTGCTATGCAACAAGCCTGTGGATCTGGATTCACGCCAGTGGGTTGGGATGATGCCGGATGCGGTAAAAAGAATTGTGTAGGTTATAGTAGTAGTACCCTAATATCTGATTCTTAATATTAATTCTTATCTATAGCACTGCGGCAAGCCCATTTGCTGTCCAACCCGTGAAGCACCTAAAGGGTGCATCTTCCGACTGCAGTGCACAGTGCCGGCCCGGAGAGACAAACATGAAGGGAATCAGGTCATCATGGGGAGGCGGATTTAAGAATGATGGGAACACAGATAAATGTGGCCGCGGTTATAAAGTCTCCTGCTGCCCGAATCCAGATGCAGGCCAGCTCACAGCTCAGTGTGCCTATGCACCATGGTATGTTTCCTAGACTCTATTACTACTACTCTGCTCTAACATAATGCAGTGGAAGAGGCTGTGCCATAGGGACGTCGTCCATCTTCTCTAGGAGTGATGACTGCTGGGTCGGCAGTCAACAGTACTGCTGTCCGGATCCTGTTGAGTTGACTAGCTGTCACTGGTTTGGAGGCTCACACCACACAGATTGCGCAAATGCTGTGTGCAATTCAACTGAGCTGGAAGTAGACAGAGCCCGATTTGGGGACAGTTCGAGTGGCTGTATCTGTAAGTTTTGTCCTACAAGTTGAGGGCTTTCAGGGCTCTAACAAGGCTAGATGGTCGCAAGAGGGCTGCATGCTGCACCGTCAAAACAACACCTGCTGCACCTGCAATCTGCAGTAATAAAGGCTTATGCAAACTACCTGGTCTTTGTTCAAATGAGCATAGTACTACTATTTCTTCCCTCGAGAAAAGAAACAAGAGGACAGTATATTTCGCCAGACTGCCCGACGGTGAAGAGTTGGCCATCATAGCAGCCCTCTATCCACCTATCTCACAACTTTTCTCTATTCCAGGCGCCCGCCAAGTTCTGCGAACACTATTCGCGCTGATCCCAGGATGGTGTACGGCGCCTGCTATTAATGAAATATCTATTCCTCTGGGTCCCAATCCACCGGGTTTGGGTAACGCGGATTCAGAGCACCCTCTCGATGTGAGTTTCAATTGACCTACCGCTGACAATCTAGTACTGACTGTTCATTCACATCCAGCGGCAAATTATAGCTCGTTTTGTCGAAGCTGCTTCTAGTGGGCTTCTTAGAAACCATTTATAAATACCTGTCCCGTCAATTGGCAGCCGTTTCTTCGAAGAATACTGGGACAAACCGCCAGTTGGCATGAATGGCAATGGCCCAGCCCCATACACTTGCAATGATCGCATAATGGAAACTCTTGGCTCGATAGACAATCCGTGGCCGCTCGTGCCAACAGACAGCGCGATCAACGGGGCGAAGGGACTTATAATGGATTTGAGGGCTCCCATCAGCATCAATAGTATCTTAGATGCCGCAAGGGACGCAGTCAGGTCTGATACCAGGACAGACGCCGATGCCTTGTTGTCACAAGTGCGAATTGTATGTGTCATCCAATTAATTGAACCAGCGAGATATGAACCACCGATTTCTTGAACAGATATTTGCCGTTTTCGAATATCTGAATAGGCCCAGCTTTGTTCAGCGTTTCCAATTCGTCATAGAGGACGTTAACACCCAACTTGGATATATTGAACAAGTCACAGGCCAGCCATACCTCCGGAACTGGTGGCGCGCCTTCATCAATGACTTCTTGTATCAGATTGCACTTTGGGCACGAACCTGGGCTGATGATGCTATCAATATTGCTGGTGCACCATTTGTTGAAGCCAGTAATAACGGTCGTCGACTAACACAGTATAACACGGTTATCAACGCCCTGCGGGCATTGCAGGCTCGAATTGACAATGACCTGGCATTTAAATAGAAGCAGGTGTCATCTAGGATATAATTCAATGAAACAGTATCTGAATTCTACAGAATACCTTGTCTGTACAGAGTAGGATGAATAACTCTATACATCCATAATGCTAATGAGGACCGCATTGCTATTAGGAGAAACACAGGTTCTGGAGATTCGAGAACACCAAATCAGGCATACTGAAGGGGGTACTCAGTGTAAGGCCAGCCGACCAGTGCTGCCTTAGCAAGCAGGCCTCCTAACTTAGCATGCCTGATCCTGTCTAACGGTAGATGTTTTGGGAGTGCCAGTTTTGAGCAAACTGTTATAATGACGAAAAATTTCTTCCGAACTTTAGAATCTACTCATCGCATCATTGTGCTCGTCTTAGAACCCATCCTCGTATCCATCCCTGTACCCATACTCATTTCACCTGCCGCACTTTTTTCGTACCTGTCCGTGACTTAGCCTTAAAACGCTCCACGCATGGTGACTCTCCAAGTATTATACTATGACTCGTACTCAGCCATTGGCCCTTCTTCATGTCTCCGCGCGTCATGATCATTGACGTGGGCGATATATCCCGAGCGCCCACTAGGGGGCATGGTCGATCTAATGGAGGTCGGTTTTCTTCCCGGATTGCCCCCCCAGACCATGCAGGAAGTAGAATGCGGAAAAGATGCGGTTGAAGCCCTGCTGCTTACCAAACCAGATCGCTGAATAATCTCAAGGATGGCCATCCAGCTGCTTTGCTCGCCTGGCTGTAAAAGGGCCCAACGCGACAGCGACAGCTGGTCAGGTTGACAAACATTGAGCCACTCACGTTTGGAATGTTTAATGGATTCAGAACAGTGCAAAATGGTCTGGTCTTCCTGTCAGTACTTGTAGGGGCAGTCATTGGCGAGCAGGTCTCAGGGCTTTTCTTTGATGCCTTTATGAGTGTCAGGGTCAGGGCCCTTGCCATGTAGACCAGGACGAGCACGTGAGTTTCCTTATTTGGATTAGCGTGGTGCGTGAATAGGAATACATCGTCCAGCTTCACGTAGATCTCTTCCTTTTTCCCTCCTCTCCATGCTTGAAGTTCTCATCGATAGCTACCTAGATAGTCGAATAGCATCCTATTCATCGTCTAGTTGAGTTCCGTGACAATGAGGCTATATGAAGCACTCTCAACAGAATGGCAAGAATTTCCAGTTTGAACAACGTCTAGTGGCCACCATTCCTGGCTATCAGACTCATCATTTTTGGAATAACGCTTCACAAGTGGGTTCTCCCGTGCCGTGGTATCTGTGATGTTGATTATGCCAATTCCCCCACAGCTAACAGCTGTGATATGCAAGTATGTATCAGGCAGACACGTTGGATGGTGCCCTGTTAGAATGGGAATCATAGTCTGTGGACTCCAGATCGTAACAACCGTGCTGACGAGCTACACCGTGGACTGCCACCGACATCAGGCACTGGCAGTTTCGCAATTTGTCTCACTCGTACGACAGACGCTGTCGTTCACTGTACCTTTCTTCAATCCTCCGCTGAATGATCGAGTGGGTTATGCAGGGGGGTTCGGGATCGAAGCATCCATTCTTGCGGTTTTCTACAGCCTGGTGCGTTCCATGATTGATGTTCCGACCTACGGGTTGCGATATGGAGCTGACTGTCCCGATGCACCACTAGAGCTTAATTATTTATTGGAAAGGCGACAGGATGCGTATCAAGTATCCCGTTCGGCGTCTGGAGACGAGCGATTACTGAAGAGGAAGGAAGAAAGCAGAATTGAGACGAAGGGCCGGGATTCTTTATGCCAGAAACAAGATTGTTGCAGCACACATTAGGGTTTGGTTTGAGTAAGGGAATACAAAAGTCACCATGCGTGGTGCTCCTTGTTCTGTGACATCACGTAGCATAGATGCTTAAGCACCCCCGGGCGCTAAGCCGAACATCCGAAGGATACACGCTTGTGGATCTTCGGCTCGACAATAATATTAATCAGGGATGAATTTCTTGATGGATGCGGGGTGAGTCTGGGGCAGATCGGCACTCCGCATTTCCAGTCAAATGGCCATGAAAACCCCTTTCGGACGCATGCCCGAATATGACATCCGATACTGACAATCATCAATATGGGTTCCAGACAGGCAAATCTCAGCACACATGCATGTCAGCGCTGCTACTCGCGCAAGACTAAATGCGACCGTCGGCACCCGCAATGCAGCGCCTGCGCTCGAAGCAAGTCACTATGCCAGTACTCGAACAAACGAGTAGACCGACCACTGTCGCAGGAGTGTCTGCAGGGGTTGGAAAAGCGACTACGAACGCTGGAACACTCAAATGACCAGCTCCGTCAACGTCTGGCATGGCAATCGCCGCAGATTCACAGGGATCCCGAACTGCTCGAGAATAGATCCGTACCAAGTGCCCCAAGGATCTCTGGCGCTGACCGGACGCTACGCTGCGAAAGCTCCGGAGCTCCTGCTACGCCAGTATCCAGAGAAGATGGCCCCGGGTACCGCGAACGCTTGCACGAACCTCTGCACCGCACTCCCGGAGAATCCACGCGTTATCTCGGCTACAGCAATGGGGCTGACTTCGTCCAGGTCGTGGAACGTGTTGTTGAGTCGTCGGTGGGTTCTGGGGACCTCTTGCAGAGGGTGACGGAGAAACACTCAGCAACAGAGACTTCATCACCTGTTATCAGACATCCTGAGACTCGGAGTCAAGTGCCGCTTCCTCGTCTGGTTGACCAAGTCGTCGCCATGCCGTTGATCAACGCGTATTTTGAACACTGGCACCTCACGTTTCCACTGATATATCGGCCAGCGTTCATGGAGATGGTTCAGCGGATCTACGCTGACCCTCAGGTTTACTACAATGACACAGGATCTGCATTCGCGTTCGATATCATTCTTGCCCTGGGACTGGCGTCTTCCAAGAGATTTGAATGGTCATTCGGTGACACCGAGTCGTATCTGACGCGTGCCTCCGACCGGTTGGATGCACTGTGTAAGACAAGGGATATGCGATCATTGCAGGCACTGCTTCTGTGTTCCGAGTATGGCATTCATGCTAGTCTACGTGACACGTCCAGCGAGATCTGGCATCTCCTGGGGCGGGCAACTAGCCTCTGCATGGAGCTAGGGCTGCAGAAGGGCTCTTCGACTCCTCTCCCACACTGTGACATCCATTTGACAGGGCTCGTTCCACAATCGGTGCAGGTTGAGATGCAGAGACGGTGTTTCTGGTGTTATCATAATTTGGAGCGGTTGGTTACCTCTTCAGTGGCACTGAACGCTGCGAGTGTTTAATTTCCTCGGGATGATACTGACTCCTGTCCAACAGTATCGTGAGCATCAGCCTGGGGCGACCATTGGCTCTTCATGAAGATGATATCGAGGTACCCCTGCCATCACATCTCGAGGACAATCTCCTGGAGACGGGAGTCACAATGTCGCGAGGGGGCGCACACGCTGCAGACGAGCTGACGTCCAGCTCACCTTTCTTGCAACATATTCGTCTCCGGAAAATACAAGCTAGAATCCACAGAACCATGTATACGAGCCGTGTATCTCAGACACTTCCTACATCAGCTAAGCAATCCTTACGAAAAGAATTGTCGGATGAACTTGACAGATGGCTAGGACAGGTGCCATCGTTGCCACTGCCGTCCAACAGCAATAACAGCCGGCCGGTAATCTCATCGGGATTTCTACACCCGAGCTGGTATCAAGCCCTATATTACAGTGCTTACCTTTTGCTGTATCGGCCTTCGACCATGTTCCCTGCTGCAACATCATTCGATGCGGACAGCGAGGGTAATGACGTGCTACAAACCGTGTGGAATTCCTCCCGGAACGTGTTGGCAAAGTACCTCGAGGTCCTCCAAGCAAGGTGTCTGAATTACTCATGGGTGTGTCTCTACACCATCTTCATGGCAGGCTTGGCAAACGTGTACAGCGTCGGGCGATGCGCTCAACGGCGTAAGCAGGGGATTGCTGGGTTCCTTCCTCCATACCTGGACGTTGTCGCCGATATACGGGACTGTTCCAATATCCTTACGGCGATATGCGAGAGGTGGGATGACGTCCGTAGCTCCTGTGAAATCTTCAATCGGCTTAGCATGAGTGCCTTGAGAGTGTTGACCAGTGCATCCTTTCCGCGAGACGGTGATATCGTACTCAATCTCGATAAACCCGGATACAATTCTCCCACCTCAGGCAATGTAGACCCCGTGCGAGGTCCAGGGCACTGTCCGCCAGGATTTCAGCAATGCGAACACGGCTTGGAACTCTCCTCGTCTACCTATGCACACAGTTCCTTGGATTCAGAAGCAGGCTGCTACGATCCGACAGCTCAGTTGTGCCCTCTCGAGCAGCAGAGTCCAGAAGAGCTTGGCAACTTTCTCGGCTTTCAGGAATTATCTCAAGACATGCAGGATTCGGTACATGATATGAATGGAGATTCTCATCGATCTAACGAAGTCATGCTGGGGTTCTCTCAGGACTGGTTTGGACGGTAACTAGGTATATTGTAGCTATACAACAATGTTTATGCTGTCTATATACCGTTGTGATATCATGTTCTTCAGATCGCACCCTCGATCTTTAGCTTGGAAAGCTCATCGTCCGACAGTCCCATTTCCTTCAAGACATTCTCCGTATGCTGTCCTAACTTGGGGGGTCCTTGCCGTATGGACGGCTTTGTCTTGCTGAACTTGACGGGGATTCCCAGCACATTGATCTGCCCTCTGACTGCTGCCTGCTGGTCAACGGTCTGGACCATTTCCCTTGCTGCTACCTGCGGATGCGAGAAGACCTGCTGCAGCGTGTTGATCGGGCCGTATGGCAATCCACTGCCTTCAAAAGCCTCCAGCCACCTATCTGTGGTCCTGGCTTCGAAGAGTCGAGCTAATATCAGCTTCAAGTCCTGGCGGTTCTCCACCCGCGACTCATTGTTGACAAAGCGTTCATCGCTAGCAAGATGTTCATCCCCCAGGATTCTGCAGAGAATCTGGAACTGTCTGTCATTCACCGCGCCTACAACAATGAATGAATCCCTTGTCCGAAACGCATCGTAAGGCACTATGGATGGATGTGCAGTCCCCCACCGCTGAGCCTCCTTTCCTAGGTTGAGCCAAGACATTCCCACATTAGCCAGAATGGAAACCGTAGCTTCGAAAAGCGACGTGTCGATTTTCTGTCCCATTCCTGTTCTCTCTCGAGCAAACAATGCGGATGCAATCGCCCCATGAAGGTACAGCCCGGTGCACATGTCCATTAAGCCTACGCCTGGCTTTGTGGGTGGTCCATCTGCCTCTCCGGTGATATGGAGCAGGCCGGCTTCAGCGGCAGCGACGACGTCGTACCCAGCACGTTTGGAATATGGACCAGTTGCTCCGTACCCTAAATAATTCAGGGAGTTACGATAGAAGCCCTATTCCTAGCTTTTTTACGAAGACGTACCTGAGATGCTGGCCAGGATGATAGACCGGTTTACCCTGCGCAGCGCTTCGTATCCAAGCCCAAGTTCGTCCAGCTTTCCAGGGACAAAATTCTCGACGCTGTTGCAACCATGTTAGGCATCAAAAGGAGGAAATTGAATACAAGAAGAGTTGTTTACATGACGTCTGCTCTTCTGGCTAGCCCAAGAATAATTTCTTTGCCTTTTGGGTCCTTGAGGTTCACGGTGATGGAGCGTTTATTGCGGTTGATCGTGTTGAAATAAACGGACATGTTTTTCTCCTCGGACTTCCATATTCCTCGCTCTGATTTCTCACACCAAAGGCGCGTGTCATCCTAGCCGAGTTAATCTCCTCGTACGGAAAACCCTTGGAGGGCTAGGTAAATACTCACGCCTGTCTTTGGCTGCTCAACTTTGATCACGTCCGCCCCATAGTCAGCTAGAATCTGGGTGCAAAATGGGCCCTGAAATCTATGAGCATTAGACCAGATCGGTTAGGGTGTCTCTAAGCAACTAACTGCGAGGACTCTCGTAAGATCGAGTATCTTGACTCCATCCAGCGGCCCCTGAAGGTTGGATACTTCCGGCCTCGTATGGGTTGACCGTACAGGCCTCCCTCCGCCGGTTAATGGCTTTGTTGAGAGCCATAGTTTAGGTATCCTGGACCTGGGCGCTGTGTATCTCACCGCTGCGTGCATTGCTTCTGTTCCTGTTGTCAGATTCAAGGTCTGTATCTACGGGCTACTTAAAGCCTCAACCAAGTGACATCGAAGGTAGAAACAACCTGCTCCATACGGCTTCTTCACCTGCTCGGCAGTTGACTACTCTATGCATCCCATCCCCTCAGTCGGGTAGCTGATGCTGGTGGAATATACACGGGGATTCCCCAGCGTCGGCCCCGATGTCCGACGATGGACTGACGGCCGAACTCATCCCCGCAAGAAGAACTGTTATTTAGTGGTTCTATCCGGGCAAATATCAGGCCAGTAGCTACGGTGATGAATGCATGGACGTTTGAGGATTTGCATAAAATGAGACACTATTCAAGAATGTTATGTACGTTTAGCAGGGTGGTAGGTCAACTCCGAGGCCTGAGCACAGAGAAATACTCACAGTAACCAGGTAGGAAACAAGCAATGGCTGTTCGAGACGCACTCCTCGAGAGTGATACATGGCTCAGTTACTGGACTTCGGTGCATTCACGCAAGGGCCACTGAGTTTCTACAAAATAACAATCAGGACTGGACGGATTCCCAAAAAACAATCCGGGAAGCCATTACCAAGATCTGCTCGAGATTCCCCGAGGAGTACTGGGTCATACGAGACGAGACCAAAGAATTTCCACACGAGCTTCACAAAGCTTTGGCTCAGGACGGGTGGCTGGGCATCTGTATGCCCACCAAGTACGGCGGGTCGAACCTGGGCATCGCAGAAGCAGCCGTGATGATGCAGACCATCTCGGAGTCGGGAGGAGGCATGACTGCAGCATCGTCGGTGCATATGAACATTTTTGGCTTGGAGCCGGTCGTGAAATTTGGGACTCATGAGCAGAAGCAGCAATGGCTTGTGCCGCTGATTGCCGGCAAAGAAAAGGCGTGTTTTGGTGTCACCGAGCCCAACACTGGTTTGGACACACTCAGGCTTCAATCTTACGCCAGACGGGACGGAGACCACTATGTTCTCTCCGGCCAGAAGATCTGGATATCTACGGCGCAAAACGCCCAGAAGATCCTCATTCTTGTACGGACCACGCCTTTGAATGAAGTGAAAAAGCCGTCTCACGGCCTGTCTCTTTTCTACACGGATATTGACCCGTCGGTGGTTGAGATCACCGAGATCCCTAAAATGGGTCGAGCTGCTGTCGATTCAAACAGTCTGTTCTTCGACAATTGGCGTGTACCGGCTTGGCATCTGATAGGACAGGAAAATGAGGGCTTTAAAATGATCCTGCATGGAATGAACGCAGAGCGAATCCTGATTGCTGCAGAGGCGCTCGGTCTTGGATATGCCGCCCTTCGCCGTGCAGCAATCTATGCAAACGAGAGGCGGGTTTTTGGCCAACTGATTGGGAAGAATCAGGCCATTCAGCATCCATTAGCTGACAGCTGGATGAAGCTGGAAGCAGCCCGTCTGGTGGTGTATCATGCTGCACGCCTGTATGACCAGGGTCATACTGGAGGGGAATATGCCAACGCAGCAAAATACCTTGCGGCCGAAGCAGCCTTTGAATCGTGTGAACGAGCCATCCTTGTGCACGGTGGAATGGGCTATGCAAGGGAGTATCATGTCGAGAGATACTTGAGAGAGGTGTTTATTCCGCGGATTGCTCCAGTCAGCAGGGACATGATCTGTAACTACATTGGGGAGAGGATTCTTGGTCTTCCAAAGTCATATTAGAAATATCCAGAGAGCGGTTGTAGGGAGAATGGAACCCAGACTGCAGATTTCACGGACCATGTCTCATGTCTCAATATGCAGGTTTCCTACCGGTGATACATCCCGGCTTGATATTGACCGAATCGCAGGTGAAATCTTGTCCCATATGTAAGACCACAGACAGGAAGAAAGAAACATGCTGGGTTCTATCCTTTCCTGTCAACCTAGGGTTTAGTCCATCGTTTTTTCCCGTGCAGTCTTTTTTCTCCTACGGCAACCAGAGCTGATTGTCTAACATCTTTCTTCCCCAACGCACCGTTTTAATAACCGGGCTGTTCTGAGGGCAGCCTCAGTGCCTCCCTCGCCCTCGCCTCCCATGCCTCTGGTCCCGGGGTGTTTGCCACGGCCCATAATCCCTCCAAGTTGGCCCAGTGTCCGTCAGCTGGCATCGAAACCATGACTCTCGACGTCCTCTCCACCGGGTCTATCAATACAGCTGTGTCTAAACCGCCTTCTCTCGATATCTTGATTAACAATACTGGCTCCGAATATCTCATGCCCGGTGCTGACGTTGACATTGCTGATGAGGAAGGTTGTTCGGCCTGAATGTTTGGAGCTATATTGGGAAGACCCAGGCGTGTTTGCCCTTGCTAGTGAGGAGTTCACATGGTGGTATAATTGTAAACCAATCGTCCGCGGGCTCCGTCGCTGTACCCCCCTTTAGAGGCGTGCATACAGCGTCCAAAACCGCCATCGCCATGTTATCTGACACCCTCCGACTCGAGCCGGTATTCTCGGCACAACCGTCGTGGATCTCAAAACCGGCTTTGTACGTTCCAACTTGGTTAGAAAATCAGAACGACGCTAAATAAAATAATGGGCGGAGAGAGCACTTAGACAGGTTGAGTTTGAGAAGACAGGGATGCCGACAGCGCAATGGGCAAAGGCTGTAGTGGGGGATTTGCTTGGGAAGAACCCGCCGATGGTTATCTGGAGAGGAGAGCAAGCCTGGTTTGCTCGACTGGTTAGTGTACTGCCGTTTGCGGCTTTGGATGGTATGCTGAAGAGGTTGACTGGGCTGGATGTTGTAGAGAGGATCGTGAAGGCTTGATGGATTTGGTAAGTTGTTACTACCTGAGACTATACATTGCCCTATGACAGCTATCAACACAGACCTTCAATAGAACAGACTTTCACCAGGGTCTCCTGGTCAACCCTCTCCTGCGATCAATCTCTTTCCCAGACAGCTGAAGTCGGTGCAGTGCCCAACTCAATCACCCCATATATCCTTTCACATCTCAAGTTCCTCGTTTGTCAGAGTATTTGCAGACGAGTAATCGTTAGTGTAGGTGTGTATGTTACATAGCCAGCTTCCGTACTTAACTGAGTAACGATTTCTCAACAGAAGACAATGTGTATGTGCTGCTTTTGAAATAAGCAGGGACTGGTGCTGCAGCATGCTTACGTGTAGATACTCTGGAAGCCAAATAATCAGCGGAGACACGCACAGTGACAGCTCAGAGAAAGCAAAGAACCATACCTCGGTCAGTTGATTCACGGACAGCCCTGGCTCGGCCATCTCTGCCTGGTCCAGGAAGTTCAACGGCATCCATACCAGATGTCCGCGCACCTTATCCAACTTCTTTTTTACTTCCTCGATTGGCATGTACGGGTCGGCCAGGTGGCCTTGCTTCCACAACTTCCTACCCGGCATGAAATGGTCGTACTGCTCGAATGTCCTGATATTATCGTCTGGGTCGGCGCGGAAGAGCTGTCGAAACACCTCCGTGTTCGTCGTTGCCTGCGTTGTCCAAGTTGACCAGAGATCGTCGCTGAGAGGGTCTTCCACAAACTGATCTTCAGGCCCGGGCCGATAGTCATTGGGCAGGTCTCCAGGAGGCTGCGCATTGATATCATTGCTCGCATCCAAGTCCTGGGCAGGAAGAAGGCCCAGATGCTCTCGCCAGAGGGCCCGACGGAGGGTGGCAATATGACGACCGGCTCTATAGTCTTGGCCGTCCATTTTGCTATCTATAAGGTCTGTGTCCTCCATGATGATGGCAAGCTCGCTATCATGGTAACCTAACTGGGACTCCAGGGGCGTTAGAACCTCACGATCGGAGACAGAGTGGCATAGAGGCACATACTCGATCATTCATATTTGCACTGCCGCAGATGGCGTATCTGTCATCGACAATGAGCAGTTTCGAGTGGACATAGAGTTCTTCCTGGACAAAATTATCCTTCTCCAGGTCCGCACTACCTTCCCATATTTCATCAGACACATTGCCTTGGTTGAGCATGGCATCTTTGGCAATAGAATCAGCACTTTTCGCTTCACGTTCAAGATCTGCACGCGTAGACTCGGGATCAAGATGCGCCTGTTCTTCGCGACTGGCGCGTCTCTTCAGGTGGAAACGGTGTTTGTCAGGCTCGTCTTCGGGGTCAACTGAGGGATGCACGCCCTCTTCCATGATTTCCTCGGCCTGGGCTCGTTGTAACTCCGCGTAGGACTTTCCTGTCTTCTTCTCCTGTTCGACTAGGGCCTGAGTCCTGTTCAGCCGGTCATAGGACCGAAGGTTGAAGAAAGAAATATATTCTGCAGACGTTAGAAGGTTCCGAAAGATAGAAGCGCTGAGACCTCTCTAGGGGTACCTTTTGGATCCACGCCCTCCACAGCGGCTTCAATTTGGCGCATGATAGAATGCTCCCCGCGGCAGATGGACTTATATTGGTAATCCATAATAGCGCGTGTTCCGGCAGCTTCGGTATCCCTGAGATCGCCGGCGAAGCCTGGAATAGCAGGTATAATAACGATGATGCGGAACTTTCGGCCTTCTTTGGCCGCGCGCACGCATGCGTCGACCATTGCCCGTCCAACTGTATTTTGAATTGGGGATTGCTGGTCGCCAGTGGCAGTGACTAGAGAGTCGTGAATTAGACTCTGGAAGGGTTAAAGCGAGGATGGGCACTCACTGAAGAACTGATTCTCCATGTAGACAAAGTGCTGTGCATTTCCAATCAACTCCGCATACGCATTTTGAATACTATGTTCAACCAGGATTCCACTGCTCCAGTCTGCACTACTTCGAACAATCTGAGCGGTGACAGTACCTTGGATTCCTTGGGGTTTGGACTCCAGTGGAGAAAGTGGGTGCAGTCGATATTTGCCAACTGGATAAATGGGACGTTGTACACCAACAAGATCCTCATTCTCGCCCTGGCGGCCACGCAATTCGAGCCAGTCAACTGCTGGGTCGCGCTTGTATTTATCACGCTTCACATGGTTCCATCGCAGAACGAAATGCTCCGCGATATCGTAGACACAATCACCGATGACACCCATTGCCACATCATGCCATGGCATCCGCGCATACTTGGACTTGTCCAGTTCGTTTTGTAGCCAGTCTTCAACTGATTTGAAATCCATAATGCGATTGTTGTTGAAATCCTGACCAGGGAAGATCTCATTGTGGATGCCACCAGGATACACATCAGATAGCACATGCTGGTGGCTGTCCCATCTCCCGAAGCAGAGGTCCAGACCCCCAATAAAGGCGAGGGCATAGTCTATGACGATGAATTTCTCGTGGTGAGCCTGTCACCGAACGGTCAGCGCACATCATTCGAAGGAACTGCAGGCTGCCGACCTACCCAGTAAAACGTCATGTCGCCCGCGTTCTCGAAGAAATTGTGGTCTGGGTGGCGGAGAATCTGTATGTTTCCATGTCCAGGTGATCCTTCTGGGCACAGCGCTCGCAGGGCATGTTTTGTGTGGGCCGAGTTGCAGGTCAAGGCTTGGTTTACCTGAAGGAACTGGTAAGAACGTGGATAGAGAGAGAGAGAGAGAGGCATAATTGCGTTGTCTAGACAGACCTCTTTGTATACAATCACGTAGATCTTGACCCCAGCCTCAGCCCGACGCTTCAACACTTGGTCTAGCCTCCATTCCTGGTTGAAAAAGGGGGGTCGACGAAGGAAGAGCTCTGGAGATAGCCACCAATCTGCAAGATAGATGGTCTCCTTTGCCTGTTCCAGCGCTACCGAGACAGCCCAGAAATAATCCCGTCCATCCACATACCATTTCAGCTTGTTTCCCTCGTGCACGGGGGCGAAGGACCCGAAGCGATGCGACTCGGCGATGGCCGTTCGCTTCTTGTCGGTAGCTATTTCGTGCGCCTCGTCATGACGGTGGTTGGGGTTGAAGATGTTGGCAAACTTTCCCACTTTCTGCTTCAAGTGGTGGGCGTCCTCTGGCCGTGTTGGTTTGTGTTAGTCGCTGCGTTGGCAGTCTCTTGATCTAGGGCTTCACCTGCCTCCCAGTGTCTTGAACCGCTCTGTCAGCCTGTCCATTGCGTCTGTTGCGCCAGGTCGATGTCGGTTACATCTTAGCAGCGCTTATCCAAGCGCTTCTCGGTGCCTTTTATTTTGTCCACGTCATACTGGTCTGCCAAGAACCCCGCCAAGTTCACATCCTCGAGCTTTGTATCAGGCAATCTGGTGGAGCCTCGGGAAGACTGATATCATATTCGCCGGGTGTCCCCACAGTAGTACGGAGTAGATCTATCATCCCAGGTTCTTCGTGATTAGCAGAAATCCAGTACTGTGCATTGGGGTCTTATCTAGAACCGCTGACCCTCGTTGCCAACTTGCACGGGTTACGGCGAAAATATTTTAGCGGGCATCCATCCCTAGAAACTACACCTCCATCTCCTGGCCATGCAGTTAGCTATCCCATGGCTGCACCGGGAAGTTTGTCATTAGGGCAGGTGAGGGATCGAAAATAATTTCAGGAAAGATGTAGGTGCGCAGATTCCAGGTCAGCCCTAACTGCATGTGCTCTTGCTTTTGGCGATTTGCCAGGGTCGCCCTAGTCTGTGCTACTCTTCCTCTATTCCCCTGTTCCTCTATTCCCCTGTTCCTCTATTTTAAGAGCTTTAATGAGGACACCCAGTAACGTGGACGTAGCGTGGACATTCCATCATAATGATAATCTAATAATCCCCCAGTGCTATATTGGCAAACTAACCATGATTCCTCTCCTCTCTGTCAGGGTGTGGGTTCAGGAAGGTCAGGAAACAGATTCAGAGAACAGATATCAATTGGATTGGACACTCATACTACAGGTCAGGCTAGGTACAGGCGGATAGACAAGACACAGCTCATAGGGCTACAACAAGACCAAAACAAAAGTTGGAGATATCTTCCTTATGGGTCATGTGGGCAGTCTACACTGGCAGAATAGGCCTCTAGGCTAGCACTGTATGGAGTGGGCTTGTAAGAGCGGTCCTGGAGTCAGTGAGCGCAGAGGTAAGTACACAGTACGCATATACAGGTTGGAGAAGCTGTATCAAGAAGAGAAGAGAAAGATGATAGACCAGAACACGCACATACATACACGCACGGGTCTGCAGCTTAGTCATCTTTGCGCTTAGTCAGGCGGTGTCACTAGTAACTAACTAAAAGTGGTGGTTCCCGTAACTATCAATTCCCGGCAGAGAGTGACTAGTTTGTCATCCTACTGACACGTTATCTTGCCGCCTAATTGCTATGCTGGTGGGCTCAAGCAGGCAAATAAATCTTTGGAAGCATTCCCTTATATCCGGCGACTACTAAGAAGTCCGGTGAACCGGCCGTCAAACAACTACATCAGAGGTTAAATCATTGGGACTCTTGACTGGAATCGACAGTTCATCTTCCGCCTCATGGCTCCTTCCCACATTAGCGGTCATGTAACTCGTCAAACTGGACGGATCTCATATGAAGCTGGCTCCATCGTTCGCAAGTGTGGCAGCAGCTTCAGGATAAAGCGTGAAATCGAGGCCATTGCTTTTGTGCGAAGCCATATGACAATTCCTCTCCCTGAAATCCTTGACTATCAAGTGGACTCAAATAACAGTTGGTTTCTGATGAAGCGTCTCCGCGGTACTACTCTTGGTTCGGCATGGCCGAATATGAATGATCATGCTCGGCAAAACACACTGTCCCAGCTGACATCATATCTTTGCCAGCTTCGAGACCTACACCCATCAATTCATGGACAGATTGGATCCTGCTCAGGAGAATCCGCCTATGACCACCGATTAAATAACGGATTCCCTATCGGGCCATTCCATTCTGTGTCTGAGTTCCATGATTTTCTTGTGAGCCCAGTAAAACGATGTCCCCGTCCAGAGCTGTACCTAAAATACCGCAAGCAATTTTCTGATGACTTTGCCATCCATTTCGCGCACGCTGATTTCTCATATGACAATATCTTGGTAGATGAAAAAACCGGAGATATTACAGGCATTATCGATTGGGAAATGGCTGGCTTTTGGCCGGAATGGTGGGAATACAGAAAAGCTCTCTTTGGTAGCGGATGTCAAAGATGGTGGCTTGATATTGTGGATCAAGTCATGCCATCTTATCAGAAGGAATTTGAGATTGATAGTGAAATAGAAATGTTCTAAAACTTGGTAGACTTCTTCAGCATCTCCAAACATCACTCATTTCTCCTTGAGCCATGCCTTCACGGTCTCGCGTGTGTACCCATCATAGATAAACCCATCCGCTCTCAGTTTCTCTAGACCCTCCAAAGCCCAGTCCTGGCAATTCCACCCAGACGATTCCACAGTATTCAACAGTTCTTCCTTGAGAGAACGGGACTTTGCAAGATCAACCTCTTCTGGACCCATGTAGTAGAATGCTCCAGGCATGCCGCGAAGCTGATGAGCGATTCCAAGGTTGATTCCATTCTCCACCTTCTTTTGGATGAAAAAAGACAGTGGTATGGTTTTGGTCTTCCTGTATTCAAATAGGTGCCGCGGTGGTAGGTAACGAGGTATAAGGAGTATCCCATGTTTCCGTCAAACAGTGGGTAAACGTTTGGGGGAACTGATGTTATGTCAGAAGGATCCTGGAATCTGGCAATTGTCTTACTGTCACTGTTTGTTTCTTTATAAACGAGCTTTCCTTGTCTGTCAGGTCGTGGATAGGCAGAGGATTGATGAACCAGGAGCCAATGCTGTTAGAATATATATGCTGTCGCTGCTCGGGAAAAAAGGCATCTTGATTTCTGATATTAAGATCTGAGACAATACTGGCCCATCTCTTATGCAAAAGCGCCGTGATCTGCATTGAAATCACAGAAGTTGACACAACATGTCTACTCCATATTTTCACTTATATGGTGAAGCCTAAGGGTATCTATCGTGCAGCGATGGCAAGTGAGATTAATGTTACGAGATTTTGTCCTTTTGTATCCGATGCCAGATATGGTCTGCAAGATGGGTTCGTACATTAGCCATTGAAATATACTCATTCACTATGTGTAGAAGGTTTGACTGTAGTAAGTGGAGAGCAAGTCCAACATTTGGCAGCCAGTAGGTCGCTTAGTTCTTCCCCTCTAATTTTGCAGCATGTGGCATATGAGCGAATGCACCTGAAATATACTTTGGAAACACATCATTTGATGCCCACACTGAGCTACATTGACTTTAGCCAAGAATCTGCTAGTAATTCTTTCGCAGATGCTCGATTTTCCGGTTGCCACTGAAGCATTTTCCGCATGAAGCAGAGAAATAAGCTTTGTTGTGTACCTCGTAGATTGCTTTCCAGTCTCTCCAGAGATACAGAAGGAATTTTGGCGGTACCTCTCCAGTTGCCTAAGTTTTATCCATCAATAATGCCTACTCAGTGTAAAATGAAGGAGAGCTAAGATAACCCTACCGTCACTGTCGAAGAACTTTGTCGCATACTCACTATTTTGGAGCATTTCGTTTGGCGGCGCGCCCATGATTGCTATCATCCCAGCAAGGTGGTGGCTGTCTGAAACGTCCCTGTTGGAATCACGGGCGTAGAAGAGATGACCCTGCTCAAATAGATCCCAGGCCTACAGAAATAGTTATTTTGTAGCAGAATTAGGCCTGGCAGATGAGATATACATACAAAGACCCCTACATTCCAAATGTCGATCTTTTCATTCCATGGCATCCGCAGTAGAACCTCTGGAGCTCGGTAAACCAAAGGTTGGACATCCTCCCACTGCTTCCCCAAATTCGAGCTAAAGCGAGCCTCCCCGAAGTCTGACAGAATAGGACGGCCATGCACCTTTGGGATCCCGAGGTCCCGGGAGGAATAGATCACCCGATCGCCTCCAACTTTGCGGGGGGTAGGGCTGGATTTCTCTGCTTTTTCAAAATCGACAAGGATTGATTCGTCTTCCACACTAAGCATGACATTATTTTCCTGTATATCTGATATTGGGTCAATAAGAAATTCCATCAATGTGCGCGATTTCACAGGGTTAGAAACATCATACCAGTATGAACAATCTTGGCTTCTGTGTGAAGGAAGTCGAGAGCAAGAAGTATGTGGATCAAAGTTGGCTTGAGTATATCCTCCGGAAGCACCTTTTCTACAGTCCGATTACGTAGCTCACATAGACTCATAGCTAAAGGAGGATGCACAAGACACTGATAGGCGTGGATGTTATCCGCAGAACTGATTTGAAAGTCATCAATGGCGCGTCGCACTAGCACAGAGCCTGTGTGGCTTGACTTGACATTTCTTAGATGTTCGTACACTTCCTTTTCTCTTCTTCCGTGGCTAGAGCCGCGCTCGTACATTTTCAATGTAACATAGGCATGTTGCCTACTACTTTTCAGTCCTCACTCTGAATGTCACTGGGACTAGAGCTTACTGTAGGTCTCTACAGAGCCACACAGTGGAATGACCCCCGTAGCCAAGTTTTCCAACCACCTGGTACCTTGAGCGAAATACATCACCGATCTTCACGGGGTAGAAATGATCTGGTGAGTACCCTCGCAATGTTTCCTCCTCCAGTTTGTCGTTTGGGTCGAGAAGAATGCCTGCCTGGGAAAACTTCCGAGCGGGAGAAGGCGGTCGCCCAAACACGGACCGTGTCAGTCGGTACTTGATGCCTTGCATCATCATTGGACTACGTTTGCACAGGACTGGGAGTAGTGTAAACTGTTGTGGAATATGCATGTAACTCAGGGGAGAAGGGCAGAATGAAGCTGTATCGACTACACGTACGTAGCCTACTAAGGAACGGATACCATTCAGATCTTGTCTCTATCTCTTTCTTGCTCTCTCTACATACAATCAGGGGCTCGCATTCTCAGGGGTTGGAGAGGGAGCCAAGCCGCCATACCACGTGACCTTTTCCATATCATAAACAGAGAGGATAGGTCGGTCTCTTAAACAGCGGGCGGTCAGATTGGGGCAGGCAATTGAATCACGTGATATAATCGCAAATACGCTATAATACGCAATAATACGCAATAATACGGGTATCGACTCGGCCCAGGTCGGAGACACCACGCGGCATCTAGAACATTTCACCCTAGATTCTCCGGCTAACTACCATGAACTTGACAGCGGACCCTCGAGAACTCTGCCGAAGTTTGGGCTTCATAGATTACCCATAGATTAGGGCTGCGGCCAAATATCTTCAAGAGGAAATTTCTCAGAAATGTTTGGAAAAGATCCCTGGGACTCCTTATGTTCCCTCCGGTTCCTTAGCGAGACCGGAATAGCATAGCATTAACCATTCATAATCAATCACACCCTTTGTCTTCCCCCTCAAAAGCCACTTTCTCTCTTGCCCCTGGAAGAGGAGATGGACACCAGTACTCCCGCTCTCGTATCGGGTGATGTCCTTACCTCCTTTATTGAACAGACGCCCAATACCGGCAGTAAATGAGATTGGACCGGTTTTCGTGTGTTCCTCCAGGAGGGCCTTCAACGTTGATAGGAAAAGAAGTACATGTCTTTTTGGGGCTTGCCTTCCATCACAGAAACGCAGTCGCAAGAAGGGAAATGATTATTGGACCCCTATCCATGCGAACAAAAGACAAAAATTGAGACCCAGGGGCCTTCGACAGAAAGACTCATTACGGAAAAGGGATGTGAGGAGACTTGCGCAGCAGCCTCCTACTAACTTTGAAGGTTGATTGCCCAGTAAGGGCGTCAATAATGGAACCCTAACAAAGTGATCAAATACAGTGCTATCCAGAGTCTCCAGCCCGCCAATCAGGCGCCAATTCTGGTTCATTCCAAAAGCCGTTACCGCGTCTGGTGGATCGTTGTCATCAAGCGAGGGGTTTATGGAAGAAATGAGTCGGATTGAAGTGGCCATGCGCATGGCTATATTTTGTATCTGGCAAAAGCTACCATGCATAAAGAAGAAAATCAGCCAATGCAAGTCAATTTCTATTTTCCACCTGAATCTCGACGGGAATGGGATTCCGATTGCATCGGCTTCTGATCAGATGCCGACGTTCTCACGAAGTGTGGGGAGAAACGGCACTTTTTCACTTTATATGTAAGCGGGCCGTCGTCAACCTGGCAAGTTCGAAGTATTCACAGTCGCCAATTCCCATCTAGCAAATATCTGTCGTTCTAATGCAAAATGATCTCCGGACTGGCTCATGTCAACCTCTTGGTTTCAGAGGGAACGCTCGACCAAGCATCTGAGTTCTACGAAGGCACCCTCAATCTCACCAGTGCCCCTGTGCCGCACCTGCAGAAGGGAACTTTGCTATGGTAAATTATTCACTTCTCCGCTTCTTCTTCTTTCACCCTTTTCCAGTCATCTCTAACGAATGTAAACAGGTTCAACATCGGTGACAGCGGCCAGCAAGTCCACATTGCATTCGGGACCAACGAGCCCAACTCCAGGCGCCATCCATGCTTCCGCGTCGATTCCCAGGAAAAACTGCAGCAACTACAGCAACGAATTTGGGACCATTATGTCCGAGGCGGTGCCGCTGCGCCTCTCCAAGCAGACAAACCCGGGGAGTTGAATTCAGGTGCGCTGCCTGGCCATATATAACCCATATCACGAACTAATGTGCATGTAACAGGGGCAGAGGGGGTTGAATACCCGACTCGGTTTTTTGCTAGAGATTATGCAGGAAATCGGCTGGAGTTTAGTCTTTAGTCTCTCTTATTCTCATTATCTTGTCCGGATGGCAGTTTCTAGTATTTTTCACGGACTGCCATGTCTTTCGAAATCGAGATGCAACTGTCCGTCCTTCCAAATGGCAAAACTTCTTTTCTGCATCGTAGTTCCTTTTCCTCCCTATCCCGTAACCTGATATCCAATGCTGCACATTTGCGGAAATGGTCAGAAACGGTGCCAATGGCACCAAGGCAACGATTACCGTCCATCCTGTGCGATAAAGCAGCGCATCTGCCGAATGGAACAGCTGGCTTTTAATGATACCGGACGCATTGGCAGACGTGATGAAGACCACCATAGCAATGGATTGTTCGCCCTCAAAGGGGGTATTTAGAGCCATCCAAGAGCCGTTTGCAGGATCTGAGTAGGACAGCCAGTGTTATGACTTACAAAGTTTATGCACCAGGAGGGAGACTTACGCCAGACGCTTGAAAAGATGACATCAAGGGCGAGGATTGCACAACGTGCCTTAATTCCATTTTCTTCCTCAACGATGCAGAGGATAGTCAGTCATACCGCAAAATCCCACCATAGCAGCATCCCCACAAACACCATCAGGCCTCCCAGGCCCAGTTTGTCGGCTGCAGCTCCCCATTATATAGTCGCTTCAAGCTGGATACACTGATCTACGGAGACCATGGGGTTGGACTTCAGTCGCCCGTATCCAAAGCTTTCGACCAAGGTGGGCGCATATGACCAGAGAGTCGATGATGGATGGCCCCAGCCCCGAAACGGTGAGGAAACATGAGGGTATAGGCGCCAGTTTTTGAATTTGGTCTCAACCATCAGTATGAGCTCCTTGTTTTGGATGAAATTGAATGTCATTCGCCTATCATGTGCTGGATCTCGTCTTTGGTGATATTCCTGTGTTGCTGGGCCTTGGGTCGTTCAGGAGCAGACAACGCACAAGAACTTTGCTTTCAGGTTCAGAGAGGTATCGATATCTTAGAATGGAGACAGCGTTGATAGATTTCCATTGCATGCGTAGTGACGCATCGTCGACCCAGGATATTGGCCTCTGCAATGGCCATTAGACACGCAATCTCCTGCTGCTCCGAGGGTCAGTTTTCTTGTATTTTGGCATATTCTTCCCGCATAGTTCATGATGCCATCGGGGCTTGAAGTTGCAATTATTCTTATCAAATATACCGGTGGCTTCTAAGTTTCATATTGAATCCAGCGCCACGATCTTGGACCGCGTGTGCGTGATCCGGTTTGATACTGATGTGATCGCGGGGAGAGAATAGACTTCACGGTTATACAAATACATATCCTAGGCTTCCCACCTGTGAGTACAGGGTATTGTCTTTGTTTGGCTTGACAGAGATTCATCATGGCACAGCTTGAATCCCGCAAACACATCTCCCCCGACTCCGGTTTCCCTATTACTCTTCATCCCAATTTCAACCCTAAGATCGCCGGCTATGTCCCCCCCGAACCCATTCGCGAACCGCTCAACCCTCCCAAGGATCGCGCATTATTCGCCGATCCCGAGAAAAGGGCACTTTTGGCTGCTGCAAAACGCGTGGATCTGACCGAAGGTATAGGCACAGTGTTGGAAAATGTGCAGCTCTCGCAGCTCAACAAACAGCAACTCGACGAATTGGCGCTTCTAGTGACGGAGAGAGGCGTTGTATTCTTCAAGGACCAAGATCTGACAACGAAAAAGCAGATAGAACTGTTCCAGCATTATGGTTGGTTTTGTTTCTCCCCGAGGGCTGGGCGGTTCTGACTGTCTTTTCGGTAGGGATCCTGGATAAACATCCTGCTCAAAAGGTATGAATATCTCCAAAGTACTCCGGGATCATAGGCTAATGCAATGTAGGATCAAGAAGTATGGATGCTCTAAAGCTGAATAGCTTCAATCATCTTCTAATAGTCATCTAGTTTGTCACTATCAGGGGCAGTCGCGAAGACCATCGTGAGATTGCAGCCTTCACTCCCTGGGTAGGCATCCCTTTTTTCCCGACCAGTATGCTTGTTAACAAAAAGACAAATAGCCTAGTGGAGAGTGGCATGCCGATACTTCGTTTGAGATTAACCGTACGCATGTTCAACTTGTCCATCTCCGTTCAAAACTGACACTGTCCACAAGCACCCTCCTACTCTATGCTCCGAATGGAGGAGCACCCGGAAGTTGGTGGTGACACTGCCTGGGTGGGTTCCTTCGTCTTCTTCTTGGATTAAACCGTGGGAAAGTAGTTGACAAGAGCTATCACCCAGGTCTCTCAATACGGTCTTTACGATGCCCTAAGTGACGCCTATAAAAGGTTCCTGGACGGTCTACATGCAGTTCACACCTCTCGCTTACAGTGTTCGTTCTCTTCTTGCATCTCACCCCTGATACTTGGACTTTAATTAAATGAAACACCCTATAACAGATGATACTATCCTCGATCTCTGGGGAGTTGGCCCGAATCGCCCTCCGATTGATACTCACCACCCAGCCGTCCGAACACATCCAGTAACTGGTCTTAAAGCCCTAAACGTCAATACCGGCTTTGTAACGGGATTCGCAGAGTTGAAGAAACCCGAATCCGGTAAGGAAGTTGAATTCTAGTATTATTCCTTCCATTTACTAATTGAGCGATAAAAAAACCAAGATAAAATTCTGGACTTCTTAACCTACCATATCCATGCCGCCGATGACCACTATGTGCGCTGGAAATGGAGAGTAGGCAGCGTTGCCATGTGGGATAACCGGTCTGTCTCAGTTGAAAACCCCCGTTGCAGTGTGTATTTGGCTAATATAATTGCGAGAAACCAGATGCACCCTCCACCGTGTCATCCCAGGGTCATACGAAGGGCCTCGACGCGGTGTTCGGACAACAGTTTTTGGCGAGAAACGTAAGCTTGGTCTTCTTTGCATTCTTTCGACTTCATGTCCATGCTAATGTGGGTAACAGCATACTTCGATCCAGCAAGTGAAAGCCGTAAGCAACGAGAGCTGAGGTTGAAGAGGACCAGAGAGAACGAAGTTGCAGCCACGGAGCCGAGCAGCACGCCAGCCTAGTCATTCTTATTACGTCGGTGTATATGTGAATAATGCATTCAATGGGTTGAATTATTGAATTATTTAACTGCAGTAAGCGTATTAAGTTGCTCCAGAACCTATGCGGAGCACATTATCCGATCATGATGGAAATAGACCCTATTATCCCGTGTAATACCATTGAGTAGAACTGACCGTTTCCTGATTGCCTGCGGGTCCTTGCCAATGTCGTACGGCTAATAAGGTCGGAACGGTTGAGTTCCTTGCGTAGTTTCGCAGCTTTGCGGCTGATGAGGACAGAGGGATTGGTCTCAGCGCTGAGAATGTTACCTGCCGTGACGGCACCGCAGGCGCAGAGAAGAACCCAGCAGGTCCATCTCCGGCTCGTGCGGTAGGCTATGAGGCCTCCAATGATCGGCCCAATGGCCGGCCCAAGCACTGGTCCAGAGGCAAACACGGCGTTCCCAAGGCCGTGTTCGTGGATAGGAAACAGGTCAGCAATGATACCTCCTCCGATGGTGAGGCATGCGGAGCCTCCAATGCCACCGAGGAGGCGAAACACGATTATGGAGGCCATGTTCGGGGCCAGGGCACAACCAATTTGCCAGAGGGTCATGAAGCACTGTTGATTACCAGCTGGCGTCCATAGATTTCGCTCAGAGGAGATAGGAGCAATGGCCCGACCTATAACCCATGAGAAGGCCAGCGTGAGCAAAACGTATAGCAGGGCAGGAGAACAAGGGCTCTTCCTGCGTAACCAAGTACGAAAATGCTGACCGACAACGGGCCGAGAATGGTCGAAGTGTTGTGAAAGTCCCTGTCCATGTATCTCGATTTTGTGGCCCTTGGCAAGTCCCTAGTTCAAGCTCCTCTGTCAATGGACACGGCGGTATAAACGGAGTCCATCCATGGCAATTATCCTGTACCTTGGGTTATCAGGATCATCCTGGCTATCTCATCCTACAATGCCTTTATTGGGGTCCGTTACGGGGTATTGCTCGCCGGCCAAGTCCCCGACGTCCTCGTCGTCCGGTCCACGTTCAGTCTCCTTGAAGGACCCTTTCTCAAAACCTCCAGTTTCATGCCCTTCCTGTCCTTCCTGTGCGCTTTGTCAGGAGGATTTTTGGGGAGATGCCAACAGGGTAACTATGGAGGGAGGGATGTCAATCGTACCCCGGGGGCGTCTCTCCCCAGCTCAATGTCGGATGGTGTTTTCGACTCAAATTCACCGTCCATGGCTCTGATGCGGACGCCAGGCGTTGGGTGATTACAGAGGTCGCAGTGTCATGGAAGATAGGTCAGGGATGCAGAGAAAGGAGATCGATCGGATTGGTTTGCAAGGAGCAGCCAGCTGGGGACAAACAGGCATTTCGATATCACGACGCAGTCCGGAGCCCTGAAATAGTTATGCATCTCTCTCACAGCAGTGTTGATGCTCCTAATGCAGATTTACCCATTATGCGCATCTATGCCTGGGTGTCTCTGTGGCACTGGTCTAACCCAATTGTGACCACTGATCCAGCGTTCCAGCCAGCTTACATGCCTTGCATCGCGCAGTGTAAAGAGGATTTGATGCCTCCAAATGCTAAGGACTCCAGGGGTGGATGGATCATTGATGTCTCCGCTACACAGCAGTGCATATTCGTCTGCTCGCCGCAGCCGGCCAATGCTCATTCTCCTGTAATGCTCCAACTGCATGGCTCCGCTTTAGCCTCGGGCCCTCCCTGTCACCGTGGACTGAGAGAGCTGATTTTGTGGTTCGTTGCCTATGCACACTGGTCTGTTCACCTCCTCGTCTTGCCGACATTCCAAGAAATAATGCATTCATCGGAAGAGCCTACCGCGGGCCCTGGCTTATGCTGATGAAGAATACAGTGCACATGGAGCAAATCCGGTGTCTGACAACCTTGTACAGGGTCGAGATGCTATGTACTGAGTGAAGCCTTTATTGCTTGCACTCTGTTATTCAGTTGCAATAACTTAAAATAAATAATGCATGGCTGTCCAATGCATAGCGAAGGAATAGCCGTGGGATAAGACAAGACAAGAAAGACAAGACAATCCGATCTGTCTGCAATTCTGAAGCAAATGCTCCATAATAATAACAGTAACAACCGTCATCTACGTGGCTTGCTCCTCCAGTGATTATTGCACAGATTCATCGTTGCTGTTTCTTTTCCTTTCTTTCACCCTGCCGGCCAAGATGGCCGATTCTGAGAAGATCATACCGTCATACGAAGACAAGGAACGGCCTGAATCGGAGGTAGCCGTTGAACAGAAGGATAATAATGGGCCTCAGTTTCTACCGGATAAAGACGTCGCACGGTTTCCCCTTGGGTTCGGCGACGAGCTCATCGCTTGTCGGGATTCTCGATTCTTGCGGGGATGGCATTTATTTAAATCCACAATTCAAGAGAGCGAAATCTATGCTAATTCTCTTTATTTTTACTAGCTATTCCCAGAACATATAAGTTACCGTTCGTTCTTCTCTCCGACTGACTGTACATGAGACGCCGCAGAACCCGTTGCAGGTAGGCTTTCGAACGCTTTGTTCTTCAAATTTCTCTCAGTATATCACCCTCAATTGCGGTAGAGACGGAAAATAAATTTTCTCCGGGTACATACCTCCCTGGCTTGCAAGGCCCTGCCGTCATCTGAATTTATTTGGTCGGCCGGCTTGCCGAGAATCTCATCTGCCTTTGCAGCCCAACAGATCTGATCGGGGTTCATGTTGGCTCTGGAGCCTATCAAATGTTCACGCCGTGCCATGTTTTTAGTCCTCCGGAATGTCAAAACGCACAGATGGGGAAGCTATCGGGACTCATACCATCAGGAACGCCCGCCAGACTGGCCGTTTGTTGTGTCATAGAGCCAATTTCATCGTCTGATAGGCGCTCACCTCTCCTGGCTCGTTCTTGCAGGACCCGTCGGCCCTCGAAAACGTTCTTCATGGGAGCCATGTCAAATCGCATAAAAATAGCAATAGTTCACTTCTGATCAGCTCGTATAGTGACTTTCTATTTACAAGGCAGTGCACTGCTATCTTATGAACATTTTAGGTTAACATGGTTATATATCGAAAATCGCGTGTGCGGTGCCACCGGCTCGTCCTGACGCAACATGTACGACATGGCACCCAAGAATAAATCTGTCCGGGCAACACTGTTGTCCTCCATGATATCATTCCCCCTAGGTGCATGTCGTTGGCTATGAAATGGGGATATAACGTCCATGGTGGCCGTATACTCGCTCTGACCGTCAACTGAGTTCTTAAGTCCTGTCAAACATGAGGTAGTATTTACAAAGGATATCAGCATCATTTCAGTTGCAGCTGTTATGGACGAGTTTTAAAAGAACTCTACAGAATCCAGAGGCCTTTTTCTGACTTCTATATCAGAAAATGGAGCGTCATGAAAATTGTCCTGGGCTGGATCGTGGAGAACTGGTCAACCCCCATCCACACTGTTTCCTCTCAGGTGAATAATATATAAGAAGAGCATTGCAAGGGCTTCCATGGCGATAGGAATAGGAATCTGTCCTGGAATTCGTAATTATCGTAATTATCGTAATTATCGTCTGCTGGAAGAGGGCAGGCAAGGCAGCTGACCGCTCAGTGCCCTAGCCCTATCGCATAGTCCGCGGATCCCGGCAAAAAGCGGTGGACGGACTCCGCGGAACGCGTTCGCTCTCTGCCAGAGCATCGAGGCTGAGAACCCGACAGGGAGCTAGCATCATGGCGTTCAGTCTTTCTTGAAGACAGGCCTCCTGTCTTATAAATTCGCTATCGTCGTAATGTCGCCCTCGCAGACAGTTATCGCGGGTTCCTAAGTTAGATGCGTCGCGATGGCAGGACAAAAGGAACTGCAACAGCAAGATGTCGCCAGTGATGCTCCCCCGTTGGCAGACAATCCAATTGCCGACGAAGAGGGAGACGGTGAATCAGATGGCTTCTTGAAGAACTACATGGTACTGTTGATACCCCCCCTCTCTCTCTCTCTGTGTGTGTGTGTGTGTGTGTCTCGACTTTTCCACTGACCTCGGCAGCGGATCTTCTCGTATACTGATCGCGTCGGATGGCTGCTGAATGGCCTGGCTCTGGTCGGAGCGATTGGAGCTGGTTGTGCACTCCCAATCATGGATCTGCTATTCGGAAAGGTGATCACCAACTTCAACAATCTGGCCACTGGTGGTCATGACGCTGCTGAATTTCGGTCCAAAATGAACCAATATGCGTATGCTTCCTGATCGTCGCATCCCAACGCCGCGATTCTTATCTATTAATTTAATCTCGACTAGGTTGTATTTCGTGTATCTGTTTGTTGGAAAGTTTGTACTGGCGTATGTGTGGACAGTAAGATCCTCGCAGACTCTGTCCTTGACTTCATACGATGCTAAACGATCTGATCAGTTTTCGCTATCACTGTCTGCGATGCGAACCACCAAGGCCCTGCGTATCCACTTCCTGTCCCAATTGCTTCGACAGGATATTGCGTTCTTCGACTCTAATAAGAGCGGGCCACCATCGGTCCAGGTGACTACCAATGCGAACCTGGTCAACCAAGGCATTTCCGAGAAGCTAGGCTTTACGGTTCAAGGTATATCAACCTTCGTTACCGCTTTTGTAGTTGCTTTTGCGGTCCAGTGGAAACTCACCCTCATCACAATCTGCATCGCACCCGTAATCCTCGTTGTGACAGCGATCTGTGGTTCGATCTACGTTCAACAAGAGAACATGGTTATGGAGGTTAATGCGAAGGCCGGTGCCATGGCGGAGGAAATCCTTTCGAGTATGAAGACCGTACATGCCTTCTCGGCCTTCCCAAAGCTGTCCGCCAAATACGATGCATTTCTCCAACACGCTAAACGGCTTGGGTTAAAACAGTCCTTCAACTTTGCCGTCTTCTATTCTGCGGAATTTTTCTGCGTATATGCTGGTTATGGCTTGGCTTTTTGGCAGGGTGTGAGGCTGTATGCAAAGGGCGAAATCAGAGAACCCGGTGGGATCGTTACGTACGCAGCCCCGAAATCAAGCAATCGAATTGGTGAAAATGAAAGGTGCTGAGGAACTAATCTTGCCTTTTGTTACTCTTCAGGGTTATTTTCACCGTCATCGTCGCAGCCACAGCCTTGACCCAGATTGCACCTCAGATGATGCAGATCGCGAAGTCTGCGTCCGCTGCAGCAAAGATGTTCAAGGTCATCGATCGAGAACCGACCATTGACTCCCTATCTGACTTGGGGAAGCGACCTGAGAAATGCACTGGTAACATTCAGCTTTCCCAAATTTGCTTTTCCTATCCCTCCCGTCCACATGTTCCTGTTCTCAGAAACCTAGACCTCTTAATTCCAGCCAACAAGACTACTGCGCTCATAGGCAGTAGCGGTTCGGGCAAGAGCACAGTAACTGGCTTGCTCGATAGATGGTATGAACCGTCTAGTGGGAAAATACTCCTGGACGGCATAGAGATCAAGGAGTTAAACATTCGATGGCTTCGATCTAATATCCGCATTGTGCAGCAGGTGGCTGGGCCCCCTACTTCTGCGAAATGTTCGTCATCCTGATCCGTATTTAGGAACCGGTCCTGTTTAACGGGTCTATATTCGATAATGTCGCGTACGGCCTTGTCGGTACGAAGTTCAGCAACTGCTCCAAAGATAATCAGATGCGTCTTGTTGTTGATGCCTGCCGAGCTGCTTATGCACATGAATTTATTGAACAGCTGCCTGAGGTGCGATTTGGAGCTGAACGTCTAGGCCTTAGGCAGTCTATTAACTTTATTATAGGGCTACTGCACGCAGGTCGGAGAGCGCGCAACAATGTTATCTGGGGGGCAAAAGCAGAGAATTGCAATCGCTCGTAGCATCGTTTCCGACCCGAAGGTTCTAATTCTGGATGAGGCGACAAGTGCTCTGGATCCAAAATCTGAGAAGATTGTGCAAGAAGCGCTTGACAACGTATCATCACAGCGGACGACTGTTGTGATCGCACACAAGCTTTCGACAATTAGAAAAGCCGATAAGATAGTGGTAATATCCAGGGGTGAGATTATCGAGACCGGGACTCATGATGAGCTAAACGCAGCCGGCGGAGCGTATCATCGGCTGATCAAGGCTCAGGATCTGGGAACAGTTCACGCTGGAGAAGACATTACTAAAGAGAGGAACGAAGCGCCTGTTAGCTTGGCTATGGTCCCTTCTGCCCAGAACCCCGATATTTACGCTGTTTCCATTGATGATGTCGACCAGAAACAACGACACAAACGTTCGGTTCGAGATCGCAGCTTGATTCGGTGTCTCGTCATTTTCTTCTGGGAACGGCGCGAGTTGTGGTTATACTTTCTCGTCTCTTTAGTCGCCTGTCTTGCAGGAGGTAGGATTCCTCGTTCAAGTCCGCACTGAATTGTCTGGTGCTGATTATCGGGGTCTATCACAGGCGCATCTTACCCTATACTTGCATTCGTCTTTGCGAAAGTGTTAGATGTCTTTCAGATCCAGGATCCTCATGATATGATAAGGAAAGGCGATTTCTACGCTCTCATGTTTTTCGTCATGGCGCTGGCTATCCTTCTGATATACTCCATTCTCGGGTGGCTTACAAACGTCATCGCAACGGTCAGCTTGGTCTTAGGTTCTCCAACGTGTCTGATGTGCTAACTGAGACCGATATTGGTTAGAACATTGCCCACATCTATCGGCTTGAGATATTCAACAGTTACCTGCGTCAAGATATGGCTTTCTATGATCAACCAGGGCACACCACAGGAGCCCTGGCTTCACGACTGTCCACCGAACCAACCTATCTCCAGGAGTTAATGGGTATAAACATTGGAACGTTACTTATAGCGTTTATCAATGTTGTATCCAGTTCCACACTTTCAATCGCAGTCGGATGGAAATTAGGACTGGTTGTTTTGGCGGGCGCTATGATCCCGATTGTATTTTGTGGTTATCTGAGAGTCCGCCTTGAATTCTTACTCGATGATTGTGTCCTGGATCGCTTCGCTGATAGCGCAGCGTTGGCCAGCGAGGCTGTCTCCGCCATCCGTACCGTCGCCTCGCTTGCAATGGAGGAGACCGTCTTGCATAGATACAGCGAGAAATTGAACGGAATTGAACAGAGGTCCCTCAAGTTCCTGGTGTGGACTATGTTTTGGCTGTCATTATCTCAGTGCCTTTCACTTCTCTCGGAGGCTCTGAGCTTCTGGTGCGTAGCAGGTCAATCGTTAGGCTCATTTGTTCTTGAATCTGACAACAAGTAGGTATGGAGGTCGTCTGTACTCTTTTGGGGAGTATTCTAGTACCCAACTGTACATCATCATGACAGCGGTTGTTCTCTCTGGGGAAGGAGCAGCATCGTTCTTCGCCTTCACTACGAGTAAGTGTCTAGCAAAATGACAGGAAGGTATCAGACTGACCTGAATCAGGTATTACAAAGGGGCAGGCGGCATGTAACTATATTCTCTGGCTTCGTTATCTGGTTCCTAGCGTCAAGGACGGTGGCTCTCCGGACACCTTCAAGGAACAGCGGCATGCTGCTGCTCATGTCAAGTGCGAGGACTTGGAGTTTAGTTACCCGACTCAGCCTAATCGTCCTGTCCTCCAAAAAATTAACGCAGATGTGAGTCACATTCTTCTGGCATTCTTCAATCGGGCTGACATATGACTAGATCCTCCCAGGCCAAGTGGTTGCATTTGTGGGTCCATCCGGCCACGGTAAATCAAGTCTGGTTTCACTGCTGGAGAGATATTATGATCCAGTCTCTGGTTGCATCAAATTCGACGGCACCGATATTTCGACAGTCTCGCTCAAGTCCTATAGAAGTAATCTGGCACTCGTTCAGCAGGAGCCCACACTCTATCAGGGGACGATTCGCGAAAACATCGCTCTCGGTCTTGAAAAAGATGCCACGGACGATGAAATTCTATATGCATGTCGGCAGGCGAACATCTACGACTTCATCATGTCTCTCCCTGACGGCCTTGCCACCGCATGCGGTTCCCGGGGTAGTCTGGTTTCCGGTGGCCAGCGACAACGTATTGCCATTGCTCGCGCTCTTATTCGTAAACCGAGATTGCTTTTCTTAGATGAAGCAACATCTGCACTGGATACGGAGAGCGAGCGCATTGTGCAGGCAGCCTTGGACAAGGCTAAGGAGGGACGGACGACGGTTGCCATCGCCCACCGGTTATCAACCATCAAGGATGCAGACCAGATATTTGTTCTTGTTGACGGAAGGATCGTTGAAAGAGGCACGCATGACGAGCTGTTGACTATAAAGGGCGTCTATTACAACATGTGTCTGGGTCAGGCGTTGGATAGGGGCATTTGAATAGACTATTGTTGGGCCACCTTTCGATTGTGCACATCATGTGAAATTCGAAATAGATGCCCAAGATGACTTTCCTCTCTGTTTCCTTATGTACTACCCCTCTTTATGCAACTCCAGATGTCTGTTCTTTCTGTCCGATACGCTGTGGATGTCGGCTCCAAGTCATGTCCAAGCCAAGCACAAGCACTGTCTACCGCATGACCAAGTAGCAACCGTGCTCCAAGAACCTTGACATCTTTTTATCCCTTTCTCCCGTATCTGGTGTGGTATTTGACTGGCGTATCACCCAAGATCAACCCCGTTGGCGTCACTCCAGGAAGAGTGATTGGACTTGGAAACCATTAACATTTTGGATCACCTCGTCGATATGACAACAGTCCCTCATTTACCAAGCATGAATTTCGCTGCAGCGAGGAGGTCATCATCCTCTGATTGTCTCTTATGGTCCTGGGCTATGCCGTTGGGCCCTTAGTATGGGGTCCCGTGTCAGAGGTTATAGGTAGACGCGATATCATGATCGCGACGATGATAATGCACACCATATGGACATCAATGTGCACCGTTGCCCAGAACGTATGGTCACTGATCATATTTCGCTTTCTTGCCGGAGTATTCGGCTCGAGCTCTCTATGTGTTCCTGGAGGAATCATAGCTGACACGTTTGCGGTTGATCTTCGTGGAATTGCATTCGGCATTTTCTGCGTCGCCCCATTCTTAGGGCCCGCTTTGGGACCAGCCATCGGCGGCTTTCTGTCTGATGCCGGAGGGTGGCGTTGGATCATGGGTATGCTTGGGATCTATGCTGGCCTTTCTACCGTTGCATGCTGGCTTGTCGTCCCTGAGACATACGGACCCGCCTTGCTGAGAAGTCGGCGAAGAAGCTCTCGAAGGTCACCGGCAACGTTTAAATTTCCAAGCCAGATACCGCGAATCCAATTCAGGTCAAAGCTCTTGTAAAACGTTTCTTGGTCAGGCCATGGGTCCTGCTTTTCCTGGAGCCCATCGTGCTGAGCCTCACTGTACGTCAGTTGGCCATACATGCTAGCATTTCCCTTGCTGACTTGTTGTACATAGATCTATATGTCCATCGTGTATGGAACTCTTTATCTCTGCTTCGCTGCTTTCCAGGTAGTTTTCCAACAAGGCCGGGGCTGGAACGCAGGTCAAGGAGGTCTTGCCTTCCTAGGGATCCTGGTCGGATTCATCATTGGCCTTATTGTCTTCTTTTGGGATAACACTCGTTATGAAGTTGTGTAGGAAAACAACCAAGGTCATCCCCCCAGAGGTCCGCTTGCACCAGCTATTGTAGGAGGTGCCTGCATTGTCATGGGTTGGCTTGGTTTGCTGCCACAAATGGTCCGAATATCCATTGGGCATCTCCTATTGTTGCAGGGGTCCCCATGGGGACCGGTTTTGATCTTGTTTTCGTTTGCAACGGCAATTATCTGCTCGTCTCCGTTGGTACCTTGACACGCCTTAATGGTAATATACTGATACGCTGTCCAGTGTCGATGCGTATACGATATATGCAGCTTCCGTCCTCGCCGGTAACTCGGTTATGCGGTCCGCATTCGGTTGCATTTTCCCCTTGTTCGCAACTTATATGTATCGGGTATGCTTTTCTTTCCCCCCTCAAGTCCTATCTTCTAGCTGTCAAAAGTACTGATCTCTTGTGTTTCTCATGGTTGTAGGATCTTGGTATCCATTGGGCATCGGCAGTACTGGGTTTCATCGCGCTCGCATGCTTTCCCTTCCCCATTATATTCTACATATACGGGCCCAAGATCCGCGCAAAACGCAAACATGCAGGCGAGTCAGCTCAGGTAATGGAAACTTTGCAGAGGGAGATGCTCAATAGAGCTGTTGCAACACAAGGACTGGATGCAAATAGCAAAGAAGGCGTTGCTGAGGTCTGAGGTCTGAGGATCGAAACACTTCATGATGCCGTCTTTGTATATAATAAGACCCTGAATGCCTCCTGAGTTGATGATAATCAAGACCCCTCTTCTAATAAACATCACAGTAGATCCTATCTTGAATCAATTGCTGTCTTGTAGCAGGATGGAGGCACTGTCGAATTGGTCATGCTATAGGCCTCTGCATTCACTGCACTGGGGATCTCCACTTTTGCTGCTGGCATTGCTTCACTTATTTCGACTGGTGGAACATTCCTGTACCTTACAGAGGCCACACTGGCGGCTGAGGAAATAAGGATATAAAAAGGGATGTTCTTCCAGGGGTGGTTGTTGTAGTTGTTTTTGTAGTTGCAAGTCCTCATTCCTCCAGCAGCTGACACCTTCCTAATCGGGCAGCATCATGGCCATGGTGATTGCTCCTGCCAAATCTGCCTCGCTGCGGCTTCATCCTCTTCCATCTCCGGCTGCATCTCCCACTTGGGCCTCTGCTTCTGCTTCTTCGACGTCCCTTCCCCTGCCCGTCCCCCAGGAAGAACACCATCCCCCAAAGAAATGCCTCAGGCGATGCCGGCCTTCAAACCGAAAGAGAGAGAGGCTTAAGAAAGCGTCGCGCAAGACTTTCAATTCCAGATCCTCCCCGTCCCCTGGTAACAACATGGACGCGTCAACATCCCACACGAAACTACAGAAAACTGCAGATCTCCGCCGTGTGTACACGTCTTACAGGGCCGTCTTCAATGGCCCGAATGCCAAAATACGCAGAGTAAAGCCCATCACTTCACTCATTGAAAAGTTTGCATCTCCCATGCGCAACCTGCTTAAGGACCTCGGTAAGGATAATGTCGTTGCCATGATCAAAACTCTGCTTGAGCTCGGGGTATTCGAGTCGGAGCAAAAGGCAAATATCAAGTTTCCCGAGTTGTTCAATGATTCAACCGCGCGTAACATGAATCGTGCCGCCTCTGAGTTTTCGATAAAGTGTTCGACGGATGAAGCAGTGAGGAGGATAGAATCTGAAGGAGACTATTTCAACTTTAACCAGCCTGGCCCCCTTCCATCGGTTGCTGTGAGACCGGCAACAGAGACCGCCAGTCAGCAGGACATTCAGAATCACCTGGAACCGATGGTCTGTTTCCCTTGCTTCCCAGGTTCTACCAAACCGCCGACTTTATACACTATCTCGCTCCCATACAGTGCGCAGCATATGATTGTTACACATGCGCAACGGATTCTAGAAGAGTGTTTCTGGGACTGGGCGAAGAGTCGGATGCCAACATTCATCAACAGGAGCAGCTGGGATTGCCCAGCGGCCATCGAGTTGACGACATGGTTGAAGCAAATTCCCCATTGGGTAAAAGTGCTTTCTCCCGACGCCTTTCAGCGAGACATCGTAGAGGCTCATGAGGCACGGCTACAGCAAGTGTTGGCCGATGCGACAAGGCTTCGCCACACGGCTGTCCATCGGTTGCCGACCACTGCTCGAGGCCTTGATACGATGCTCGTGTCCAGCGCGAAATTAGCAAACCTCCTCTGGGATCCGTTGCGCGCGGGTCTGCTGGAAAATCTCCACCTTGAGCTGGAGAGGCATATCAGGTCTATGGAATTGAGCAAAAATGCCTTGGATAATCAGCTCGGTGAGGGGCTGGGAGAAATCCTTGGACAGCGCGCAGAATTGGAACTAAAAGAGAGACAGCTCTATATGAGAATCGCACAGGAGGACGAGTCCAATATGTCTTTGACCGGACAACTACTACAGGAATCAGTTCAGAAGATCATTAGTGGTGAAATTGATACGGAGAGTAACGAGCCCGGCAGTGACATCACGATGAGTGGGAAATCCGATACTGAGGATACCACCGTCGGAAGTGAGGACGCAGGTAAGGGCGGTGACGTACAAACTGTCGGACATGACAGTCACAGGGAAGGTTGCAGCACCGCTACCAATAGCTTGTCTTATGAGAAGGTTGACTCCGGGCAAGGACTGTGAGGGCCTGGCCAGTCTGTGGTCAGATCTGCTCATCTCTCTGTGTCGAATAGATGTTTCCGGGTTTGTTCTTGGCACTTGAATGTCTGTAGCAGTTGACTAATCACATAGGGCAATTCGAGACGTGATTGAAGGGAAATGAATATGTTCTGGAGAGTCGTAGGCGCTCTGACACATACGACAAAGTAGGGTTTCCTCGGCGGCTTCCCAATATTGTCTAGCTTCGCTATTACATAAATATACCATTTTCTCCTAATAAAGCAGGTAATTATATAGTACACCGTTGAATTTAATAGTCAAGGCGATTCACACATACAACAGTCAAACTAACTTCATGCTGCTCCTGTCTTGCTATTCTGCCAGATTCTCGAGAAGCCCATGGGCAACAATGCTTAGCGGAACCCCCAGATGCCATTTTGCTCCATAGACAGCATAACAGAGTCTGAAAATAGTACCACTCTCTGATAGATGGCAATCGAGGCTCCGTAGGGCCGTTTTAAGTTGCTCGTGTCTATCTTGCCGCATCTCCATACACGAATCGCGGTTGCTCATGATCTGGTCAAATATTTGATGATGTTTCACAAGGTTTTCATACATCAAAGGCAGGGAGGGAGGGCTTTCTGTCGAAGTTTGGGAGGGGGTGGCAGACTGTGATGCTTTAGAAAGCTGTTCCGCAACAGGTTGAGTCTGACATGAGCTGGATACTCTCCTGAGAAGTCAGTTAGCTGCATTCAATATGGTCAATCGCGTCCCAGTTAATATCCGATTCACAAATACATACGGCGTATGGGTCGTTTCCGTGGGCCACGTCTCATCAAGTTCCAATGGGATGCCGGGCATGGTGACGACACTGTCTTCCTAAGCAGCTATTGTTTCCAGATGTGAATGGATGATACTTCAAGGCACGGCGTACAGGTAAAAGAAATATTTGGGATGATAGCTTGCAGTGTCTTATAGAGTGAGATGGCTGGATCTGGGAACTGGAAGGGGAATTGTCAATCTCATTGTTGATAGACAGATGCAGCAGCATCTGGAATTTACAGTTGTTTCTCTTCCAAGACTTTTGCCGACTTGCGAACACTTCTCGACATTTTTAAATGGCGTTCTTCTGGGCCGGGTGTGTATACCTGCAAGTGCAGCGAGAAGAGTCACCAATGACACACTCGGATAGGTTCTGGGGGACAGACGGGATATATTGCAGCTCAAAAAGTAAGTTTCTTTAAAAACAAAACTTTTTTTCATGGCAGCTGAGTTGCAGATTCAAGCGAAATCTTAACTTTGTAGTTTGTTGTGCCAGGGTAATTTTTGCAGACTATCCATCCCATGCCAAGCTGGAGAAATAGGAACCATTGCAGGTGCCATAACGACGTGATATCATGATACTCATTACTGGCAGACTGGTGGCAGGCCATGATGGTGTCCTACTGCTTCTGTTTGCTAATATCATGTGCATTGTTGCATGCCAAGTAACTATGCCACGTATGCCATTACCAAGCTGCGAAGGAATTCTCGTCATCCCTTGGCTTCAATGCCACAATAGAATGGGCTCTAGCAGCATCAGGATGCAATGTCAAGCCACAGTCACAGTCTTGCCAACGTTACCAGTCCTTGTGGCGCAGTCATCTCTGGGCGTTGGAAGCCCCAGGATCGTCCATCCGTACATGGATTCTGTGTATGAGGACAGAAGGCCAGTGGTAACGGCTCCCTGCAGCCTCGTCTTGTCATCCATCTGAAAAGGCTATAACAGCCTTCTGCAGGTCTACTTCATCCAGTGAGAAATCATCAGGACCAAATCTGACTGACGCCAGCCTGTTCAAACCTGTTGATTAGGTATCAATACATGTATGTGCTAATCAAAAAAAAAAAAAAAAAAAAAAAAAAAAGAGCCATCTGACCACTGTGAAAATATCTTTTTGGGGGGGAGGGGGGAGCAGGGTTCTTCTTCATGAGGCTCCGCGGTGTCTCTGCCTGTCTGCCTGTCGCAAGTATGCACTTCGCAGAGATCCCAGTCGTTCATTCAGTAACAGCTTCACAATGCTCAACTGACGTTCATTCTTATTTCCAATTACAACCCCCACTACCCCTTTCTTGTCCCTTTTCGAATGATTCTTCGTGCCAACAGATTTTGCCTGGGTTAATCGTAGGTGATTAAATGCGTGAGGTAATAATACAAGACATTTTTGCCTGTCGTACGCCCGGAGCTGTTCGCAAAGCGCGGACCCTATGCCTCCTCATCCTCGACTTCCTCGATCTGCACAGACCGAAGCTCTCGATTGAACCGTTCCTCCTCCTCCAGTAGCCGTTGGTGTTCGCTATCCACAGTATCGCCAGTTACAATGGGTGTAGGAGTGTTAGTGGCTGTTTGATCCGTCGCTGGATTGATGCCCTTCGCAACGCTTGCACCCCCGTGCAAATACCCCGCATGCTCAAGTTTATCCATCTCCTCTGGTTCAAGCAGCTTTCCTTGGCCTCGGACTGCGTTTTGTTTCATTCTAACGGCGGCCGGGACGAATTTGCTGACAGCTTCCTGCCGGAGGTCTCTGATTTCAGGTGCGGCTTCGTAGACCGTCTTTGCTTCGACCGCAGGCGGTTTTGCCGGGAGTGGATGCGGGCCTTGCCGCTCTTCTGCATTCGCGTCTCTTCGTCTTCTCCTTAGGTACTCTTGCGGTATGGGCGGGGGGGTGTCTCTCGGCATCGGAATTCTTCGCACGCTCTCATCCGTATCGCTGCTGTCGCTTTCCCATTGTCCGAAATGATGGCGATGCTCATCGTCTCGCCTCCTTTTCCCAAGTACACCACGTCCATCAGCGCCCCGGCCCCGCTGGCCATGCGGTTGATCACCCCTCGTCTCGAATGTAGGCGCCTTGACTCCTAGTGCTTCTCGAGCTTTTTGTACAGCCCGCAAATCCCGCTCCAAAGCTTCAAGGATCTGTTTCTCACGTGGCCGGAGTTGTTGTCCAGTCTCCTCGATGGCCTTGAGGTCGTTTATCTGTCGCTGAATACGCTCAGGATTGCGACGCGCTAACTTTTCATTTCGACGGTTGAGTGCTTCAGCCTTGGACTTCTTCAGTGCCTTTTGTTTCTCTAACTTCCGCTGCGCCGCGGCAGGGTTCAACGTGCGCTCTTTGTCTTTAGGCATGGTGGGCGAGGTTCAGTGTCGGGGGGAGGTTGGCCTTATTGTACCGGATATGCACAACAAACTGAATGAAATATCAGATACCGTTTTGCTTTTGCGGAGTCAGGGAAGAGGTGATGACTGGGTAAATACACCGAAGGATGGTAGACGATCTGTTGGTTGAGAATAGGCGATGATGTGGTCAGCGCAACTGCTAAAAAGTATAACACGATCGGACAAGATGCCGGCAGATTTTAAGGCAGACCGGACCCGCAACAGACGGCTTGGAGAATGCTCACAGGCTGCAGATGAAGAGCAGGTAGCAGTACGCTGCATGAACACGGGCTACCTAACCAGGCAGTTATCGGTCTGGGACGTCTTTTCAGCTCTTTTTGCCTTGACGCCAATAGGAACGCAGCCAGGATCGCAACGTTGTAGCCTCACCTGTTGGGCAGCAGCTAATCGCGGGGGAGGCAGTCAGAGACCGCAGGAGAGTGGACGTAGTAAATAGACTTTGCAGCAACGGCAGGGAATCGAACAGGAGTTGGGAGAGTATAGGTAGCTCTTTGGGATGCGGGATGAGACACGAGCTTTGGTTTTGGTCCAGCGGACCGGAGGCGGATTGATTCCAGCGATGAAGATTCAAGAGCGCGTCATGGTATATAGTATTTATAGCTAGCTGCATGCATCGGGACCACGCCCATCAGCACCGCTCAGTTGAATCTCCAGAAGATAAGCCGCTCTCTTTCTCTGTCTGTCTCTCTCACCTGCACCTGCTCAACCTCGTCCGAGGCAAACCGCCAGCGAGGAGGAATTCCTCAGTCCCTCCATCCATCTCCTGACGTCTCATCACCCGACTCTCTGTTTTGTCCAGAGTATTTTAATTCATCTGCTTCAGATTCTTTACCTTCGTCTCCAATGCTCTCCTACGTCTGATTCACAGAATCCCTCCTCCAACAGGAGACGCCGCTGTCTGTGGCCTCTTGGTCCTGTCGTCGCCGTCCTTCGCAGGCGCTTCCTGGGCCACTTCAACCGTCGCATTGCTCTAAATGCAACCTTGCTTAAGGGGGAAGAGAATCGGTAATCCATTCACTGTCCAGCGAGCTCGATCGAGTGGCTTTGTCTACGCTGTACCCTTGCCTCCAGTCGAGGTGACGACTGGGCTGCGGTCTCTTTGCCTTCCCACGCTCCCCTCCTTTTCTCCCGACTCCTTTCTCCCCGACACCTCTCTCTACCTCTCGCTATACGTCTCCTGTCACGCACTCCCACACACCATCACTACGTTTCCGCCGTCCTTTGCTCCGTCATCATGATCTTCTGTTCGTCTTGCCTCCCCACGTCAAGAATATCCGGCGCATCCTAGACCTCCGTCGCGGTTGGAGCATGTCTCTGCCGGGACCAAATGTCCGTATCAACCTCGATTCCGGACACCTCGCTTGGCCTCACGTCCTCCGAGATTCAGATCCTTCGACAGCAGCAGCAGATTGCACTTCAGGGTGGCCACGCTAACGGGATTTCCAGAGGCAGAGGGACTGGGAGGAACAGCAATTCAAGTTCTCGCACTGCCAGTGCTGCTAGCAGCCATGGCCGGCTGTTACTCGATCCTTTGAGTCTCAGGGCCCTTTCGCATCAATTGGACCATCTTCAGGAGCAGATCCGCAACCGCATCGAATTCGTACGTGGAAATTTCCCCTCCCCGATCTACTCCCTGTGAAGGGTATCTTCTGACTTCTCACAGCTGGAGGAACAAATACAACTGTCTATCCAAAATTCCTGCGACCATGCAGGTAACGTAATCGCTAGTGCAGATGTTGAGATCGCACGTACCCGTTCGATTCTAGCCGCTATTGATGACTTGGAGACTGAGCTCGCCAAGATCACTCACATACGGGATATTGTCAAGTCTTTCCGTGCGAGAATTGAAACCTATGACCACCGTCTTGATCAAAGCATTCGTCGGCGACATTAGCTCCCCTACATTACTTCCCCTTGTCGAGCGGGTTAGAAGGAGATGAAAAACATATATATATATAAAGAAAAACAAAAAAAAAAAAAAAAGAGCCCGCACTCCTTTCTCCCCAACTCCTTTCCTTTGATGCCATTACCCTCTACCTGCTCCTCTTTGGATCCTATAAACCTCTTTGTCTTTTCTTGCCTGCTGGGCATTCACGACTGCTCTATGCTCGTTTATTTTGACTGCTGGATGGTCTTCTCCACACTTCTTCCGTTCCTACCACTATTCTCTGTTTCCACGGCTTACCCGCGATTGTCGATAATTGAATGTGCATGTCTAGACAGGGCTCTGGACATAGAGGCCTCCAGTCCTTTCCTTGCAGACATTCTTCTTCCGACAACATCTTGCAGCTATGCCATTCCAGCTTCGTCCCTTTCTTAGTTTCCCTTTCTCAATACTTGTTATTTTCTCGGATTTGTTTTGTTTACATAGGAAGGTATCCTCGACTTCGTCCTCATCTTATTCTTGGGTTTGGAGACTATTGTTTATAAAGATCTGGTTTTGCCTCGCGGCTAATTCGCATTTCCCTTGTGATTTACAATTCATTGCAGCTTTGAAAGGAAATGCTTTGTGTTAATAATATCCGAGTTCAAATTTATATTTGAAGAATATTGTTGCTGTATTGACTGCTCCTTTTCTAGTAGTTCTAATACGCCCCCTCTCTCTACGACGTTGTCCTGCTCTTTTCACAACCCCGTCCGCTTCCCTTCTGGTCCCCCTTCTGTGGCCCGGTTCATAAAATGTCCGTTGAATACATTTGCCTGTGTCTTGTCCGCCAAGTTGTCTCGCAAAGACACGTGAACCCATATGTATTGCAGAGCTCATATCTCGTCCCTCGTGGTTCATTTTAGGTTTCATTTCTCAGGTGTTGAGTCCCTTCATTGTTTCATGGTTGTCAAATCTTCAGCAGGTCTCCTTGAATTGCTTTTGTGACGAAGTTAAATGATGATATTCAATACACCCACGAAGGCCTATTAATCGTAGTCATTCGGGAACCTCGATTCTAGAACGGAGCCCTCAACGAAATGCGTTATTCTTGGATCCAGGTTCATCATTTCAATACTCTTAGCAATGGTAATCACGACAGGCATGTAATCTCTGCCGAGATGGGGCAGCAATTCAGATGGCATTTTCATCGGTGGAAAAGACATCAAAGTTATGTGACGCTTTCAGTCTCCCTTCTGTTCTGTCTCTTTTCGGCGGTCCGTGAGTTTCCTATTACGGTTTGACGTCTGAGGGAATCGCTTCTCGGTCTGACATGCATTGCAACGAACAACCAACACATCGGCCCAGGGCTTCTTGCCTCCCTTGCTTGCGTTTCTCAGCTCATGCACACAATTAATTCCTCGTACAAGAAGTAGATCGCAACGTTTGCAGAATGACCTTTTCACGTCTAATGGTAAACGAAGCTGTGACTTCAAAGACACACCGCGCATGTGAGAGAGATATTGTCGCGGTATAGAGGCCTCGGTCGCTTTCTTGTTCACGTTCACTGCGATATCTTGATTCATAATAGACGCTGTCTCTAGAAGGCCGGAGTCCAACACGGGAGGTTTGGTCTGGATGGCATTCCGATGAAGGCTCTCATTGCTGGGGGTCGCAATTGCGGTCTGAAGATATGCAGCGGCTTTATGAAGATAATCCAGCCGTGCTCGCAAGTGACTGTGTGCCCCCTTCTGCGGGTCTTTCTTTGCCTTTGACTTGGCCATCGAGATATTCGTTTTGCGTTAAAATCGTGGTGGAACTTCGAGGGCCATTTAATGTTACTATTGCTGCGGCCATTCCAAAGACCCAAAAAAATGCCAGGCCCCGATGTGATTGACTCATACAGCTGACTAATGTACAAATATCACGTGATTGATGCGTGAGCCTTTCTCGCCTTCTCGATCTTTCGCAACCGCGAACCTTTCTTCCATCCTGTCATCTCCGTTCCCAGACTGGTTTCTTTGTCCACCCTTCCAATTCATCCGAAATAGTATCTGAAAGAGACCGTCTGGATAACCTGTCTTGTTTTCTTTCGCTCTATTTTCTTCTTTGTCCAGTTTTCGCAGTCAAACCGTCCCTACCCTCCTTTCGCTGCCTCATCGGAATACGCGCGACGCGACCGTCTCTACACAGGTTTCTCCCATTTCCCACCCATCGACTTCTTTCGCCACTTTTCCTTCGACATGTCTCACGAGGAGGATCTCATCGACTACTCCGATGAGGAGCTTCAGACCACTGACGCAGCTGCTACCACTACTGCTCCTGCTGCGAATGGAGGCGCAGCGAAGAAGGGCGACTTAACGGTCACCGGTAACCGCCCGGACAAGAAGGGAAGCTATGTCGGTATTCATTCAACCGGTTTCCGCGACTTTTTGCTCAAGGGAGAACTTCTACGTGCCATCACCGACTGCGGCTTCGAACATCCATCGGAGGGTTAGTTTGAATCACATTTCTTTCCCACCACAAAGCCTCCCTCATTGCTGCATTTTCCAACGTCCGTCCATCTCCGCGGAAATCTAGAGTCGCTTGGCCATCTGTCTTAAAAAGCTGTTCATAACCAAATCCTTGAAAGGCGGCATGTGGTTGGTTCTCTGCAAAATCATCTGGTGCTATACTGAGCAGGACCGCGCGCCTTTACTACCCTTTGCTCTCTCTGCTTCTGGGAACAGGGCTCGTAAGGAAGGGGGTATCTGTGCAGAAAACGCATTCACAAAGGGAGTCGCTGTGAACAAGCTATTCACTGAAGAACGGGAAGATGTGTCTTTTCCAAAGGCGTGCGGAGTTTCCGCTCTACCTCCAGTTCTTTTTTTCTTTTTCTGGATGGCAGGCATCTTCGTGTCGACCGCTTCAGACCCTTCGAATGGGTTGAAATATCCTTGAATAGGATCCTATCGATGACATGATGGTTATTGATTGCAGAAGACGAAAAGCTTCTTCCATGTGGCAGACTCCGGCGGGATGGACGGACACTCGCGATTCGAATTGTTTTTTTCTTTATTAAAGTTCATGGGTCGAATGTACAAAGTCTAACATACCGTTTCCGCCTCACTACAGTCCAGCAAGTCTGTATCCCGACTGCGATCCTGAACGTCGATGTCCTGTGCCAGGCGAAATCTGGTCTCGGAAAGACTGCCGTCTTTGTCTTAACAACTCTCCAGCAGCTGGAACCTGTTCCTGGAGAGTGCTCCGTCCTAGTCATGTGCCATACGCGTGAGTTGGCGTATCAGATCAAGAACGAGTACGCTAGATTCAGCAAGTACCTCCCCGATGTGAAGACTGCTGTCTTCTACGGAGGCACTCCGATCCAGAAGGATATCGAAGTGCTATCGAACAAGGATACATTTCCCAACATCGTAGTCGGCACCCCCGGTCGTCTGAACGCTCTCGTTCGCGAAAAGAAGCTGTCCCTGCGCCATGTGAAGGCGTTTGTTCTCGACGAGTGTGACAAAATGTTGGATCAGATCGGTAAGTCCTGGCGATGAATTCTGCGTTCCATGTAAATATATGTACTGACCCAAGAATCCAAGACATGCGGCGCGATGTCCAGGAGATCTTCCGCGCTACTCCCGCTGACAAGCAAGTGATGATGTTCAGCGCCACGCTCTCGCAGGAGATTAGACCCATTTGCAAGAAATTCATGAGGAATCCGCTGGAGGTCTACGTCGATGACGATACAAAGCTTACTCTGCACGGTCTCCAGCAATACTATATCAAACTCAGTGAGTCGGAGAAGAACCGGAAGTTGAACGAGCTATTGGACAGCCTCGAGTTCAACCAGGTGATTATCTTCGTCAAGAGTACTCTTCGTGCAAATGAGCTCGACAAGCTGTTGCGCGAATGTAACTTCCCTAGCATTGCAGTACATTCGGGAGTTAGCCAAGAGGAGCGGTGAGCTCATACGTTCTTCCCCGCCAGCCAATCCTTTTTACTAACAGCAATGATTAGTATCAAACGCTACAAAGAATTTAAGGAGTTCAACAAGCGTATCTGTGTTGCCACCGACGTATTCGGACGTGGTATCGATATCGAGCGTATCAATCTTGCCATCAACTACGATTTGCCGGCGGATGCAGACTCGTATTTGCACCGCGTTGGTCGTGCTGGTCGTTTTGGTACCAAGGGTCTATCAATCTCCTTCGTCAGCAGTGAGGAGGATGAGAAAGTTCTCAAGGATATTGAGAAACGTTTCGAAGTTGCTCTTCCGTAAGTTAACGCGAGAACTAATCTTTTAATGGGAAAGACTTGCACTGCTAACTATTGAAATAGTGAGTACCCTGAAGAGGGCGTGGATTCGAGTACGTACATGGCATAGATTGGGAAATACAGGTGACTGGGTCGTGGGCAGTATTTAGTTGCCCAGGCTTTATTTCAGTGAAATCGGTTGCTCTTCAAGTCATCTATTTTCATTCTCCTTTTGTTCTTGGCGTGCCTGGCTCAGCTGTGATTTTGTGTTTGTTACTCAGTAGTCTTTACTTGCCACATGCATGGCGACGCAAATGGTGCAAAATATAATGGAAAAAGGTACAGATCTACAGAGAAAGGTTTCCTATGTACTCTGCAGTCGGCGAGTGATCAACTGGTTATGGCCCCATTCGCTTACGGTGCGCGAAGAAGTCCTGTCTGGTGTTTGAAAAGTTGAGTCTGAAGCTATATGGTGCCAAGACCATATTTGTATGCAGTTTCCCTATTATAGCAGGCCATTCAATCAATGGGAAGGTCATATAGCCATCAGACAACGAGAGCTCACAATTGGGACAGAAGCACTGCCTGATTAGGCAACTACAGGGTTATATAAGGTGGTTAGATTTCTTATAGATAGCTCTACTCGTGTAGCTCTACTCAGTCAAGTTGCTGTCCATTCTCGTAATTCAACAGTTTCACGGGAGACGGCGGGAAGGATATACTCACACGTTTAACCCTATACGCTACAGATACAGAATTGAGGCTCAAAGCTTCAAATCAAGCAGTTCACAATGCAGTGAGAGTCCATAATAGAGCATTGGCGAGACCACTCTCAAACACGTGTTCACCCATTCCCCCCTCCCCCCTCCCCCCTCATCGTCCGTCTCCACAGTTTTCTTATTATCTGTGTACTGAGTCTGACAGTGCTGAGACTCGAGAGTACCAGATGGCTCACGTGGGCTGGAAGATCAAACTGTCATGGCTTGCAGAGCAAGGAAACAAAACTAGACGTCTTGCGAATCCACAGGGTTCTGTCCTGCATGTCTGATGTAAGTACTCCCATCAGACTGGATGGGATTGAAGCTGAAGGCATGCTTTCCAGTCTTGCGGATGGGATTCCAACATCCCTTGCTTCGTCTGGATAGATAGGTCTCCGCCAATTAGAGTATACTATACATAAGTGCCGTACATGCATGTATTACTTATGCTGCGGATAAGTGATGCATTGCTCTGCGCCACCAAACTTGGATATGGTGCTAGCCTATATCCCAAGGGGGCTGGCTGAGTGATAAGTATTAAATTATCCATGGGAACAGGAGAGTCGGCGATCGATTCCACATATTATTTATTGCCTTGGAACAGATACCAGGAGATTTATGGATTATTCAAGCCGCACGACTTGCATGCGGTTAGTACTGGAAAGATACGATGCAATATTATTTATTATTGTTTTCATCGGGATCGTCGATATGGATCCGATACAGAGGACTAACAGCAGCTAGCATATCCGGAAAAAGGCTAGTATCAAAGCCCATCCTTGATTAACATGCAAATGGATATATCTGCCTGCTCCGATTGGAGAGAATATTATGCAGTCGCCTGTGGCTGTGCGGTGCTCCATGCAAATTGGTCAGCGGTATTCGTGGGAGATACTCGTCGATAAAAAAAAATGTGGCTGCACGCAGTGGTTTAGTTATTGAGGATACAATTACATATCAGGAGATCCTGGCAGGATAAGGACGTCCTCTTCATTCCATCGAGTTTCAGACTGGGCCGGCAAGTCCGGCACTGTCGTCTGTACTTGTCCAGATGCCTGAGGTATTGCTTTCTGTAGGCTCCGACATAATTGGTGCACCGGTGGATTCATTAATAATGAATGAATGCATGCAGTGTTGGCAGATGCATGTCTAGTGGAAGAATAATTTACCCTTCAAGTCTGGACTCTCCCGCATGAAGCGCAAGATCGGAGGGCCCAGCCAGACGATCGTCAGTCAATCACCATGACTACTACGGCATTGTTCCTCCTCTTAGGAACCACGTCCAGCAGAGCTTGTCCACAGAGGAATCAACCCACCGCCAATCATGATGCTGACGGTTGTCCAAAGTTCAGGGACCAGGATTACAATCAGGTTGGGGCAATGGACGTACAGCCAGCATACATCCGCTGTTTCAACGCCTGAAGGAGCGCTTGTGGATATCCTTTATTCCCTGTCCATCGAAATAGAACGAGATTTTTATGGCGGCGTACGCGTATGGAATACGGTGTTATATTATTTATCCTAGAGGCGATCTCCGGCCTCGGATGAATCTCTGCAGTATTAATTCAAATTCAAATTCATTTCATCTCGCGGACCAAGTGGATAGGATCCAGCGATGGAGAAATTTGTCATGGCTAACCTAAGATTTAAGGGCTCTGGTAGTCTACTAGGCAGATATGATATGGGATTCTGCGTGGGTTAGGCGAATCCTTCCTCGCACGCCTTACGCGGAATCCATCCTTCAGAGCAGATAGAATACCATCATAAAGAGTATGGTAATTATTAATAAGGACAAAATAGAAATAATAGAGTTTGCAGGACCCCAAAACAAGAATGAATGACATAGGAAAAGGGGAGCGGAAGCGTGTGTGTGTTGGTTAGGTGAAGTGTGTGGGCGAGTCCCTCCATGCCATCGCCCAACCTGCTCAAGGTTCCAACTGACTCTGCATCGTCTCTCCTCCTCCTCTTCCTCTTCTTCTTTCTCCTCCCTCTTCATCCGTCTCCTCATCCTCTGCATCCTCTCGTTTCCTTCCTCTCGTTTCTGTTTTGCCCTTGTCTTTGCTCATTGGAGGGCGACACGTGATTGGCAATCCAATCCTTTCGTTTCGCATTTGTCGTCCTGGGTTTTGTTAGATTCTGCTTGGGCTTCTTTTCTTTTCGAACCTGTCTCATCTTATTTTTACTTTTTTTTTTTTTTCTGAGAAAAAAAAAATTCTTCTATATTATTGTATTTTATTTTACTATTTGTTTTGCCTGGTGTGCAATCGCTCGCCCGAAGGCCTCTGTCGGCAGTTCCCCAGCATCGACCCTTCGTTCTACTACTACTACTACTGCTGCTGCCGACTTCCTTGGAGCTATCTCCTTCATTTGCTCCGACGCTTCAGGAATCCTCCTACTCTCGGTAATTGACGTTCTTCACTGCGTCTAGGGACCGCCGTTGACCTCCCAGGCCCGGGTGGGAACGCCTCCTTCCCTGCCTTTCCGTCATGGCTCCTTCGCACTTGCGCGTTTTGTCCGGTTCGTGCAATTCACTTGCTCTATTCAAGTCCTCTCTCCTCTCGTCCTCTTCATTTCCCTCTCCCTTTCTCCATGGCATAGCTTATCTCTACTACTCCATTGCTCCCCAGTTCATACCAATCTCTCTTCAATCTACTGTCCGAACTGCACCCGCTCTACTTGATTCAATCCGCTGTTCTCTCCAATCCTGAGATATGAGCCGTCAGCTAACAAGGGCTTGTATAGTGGGCAGCAATGCAATCTCGGCTTTCCTTTCCTGGCGACTCCAAGCCACAGCATCCTGCGATGTAACGCTCGTCTGGAAAACGGGCTTTGAATCCGTCGCCCAGTATGGTGTCTCATTCAAGTACGAATCCTCCGTCTTGCATTGTCGTTTGTTGTATTCGATGTCCTTATCTTTTGCTAATTCGATTTATTTCTCAGGTCAAAATTATTTGGCAATGAACGCTTCAAACCTCGCCATGGTGCGGTGTCTTCCTCCCTGTCTCATCGGACCCCCTAGTGACTAATCATGCTCCAGTGGTGCGCGCCCCGGAAGAGGCTTGCTCCAGAGAAACAACATACGACTATGTCATCCTATGTGTAAAGGCCCTACCAGACGTGTACGATCTCGCAGCCGTCATCGAACCAGTCGTTACCCCACAACATACATGCATCCTTGTAAATACTACCAACACCCTGGGCGTCGAGTCGCAACTCGAACAGCGATATCCGACAAACGTCATCCTTTCTATTGTTTCGAACGTGGAAATCTCCCAGATCGGTTCCAGCGAGTTCGAACATCTGAATTCCACGGAGGTTTTGATTGGTGTCGCGAACAAGGAGGCCACGATTCCTACTTCGTTGCAGAAAGAAATGGCCTCGGCTTTCGCTCAGACGCTGGGGACTGGGCAGGTCGACTGCAGAGTCTCGCCTAACATCAAACAGGAACAATTTGAGCGGATGATTGGGTAAGCTTTTAATACCATCTTGCGTTCGTTTGGCGTGCAAATCTGACTCTCTTTCTCTCTTCAACAGGCCAATTGCCTTCCATCCTGTTGGGGTTCTGTTTGACACACCAGATTGCTCTCAGTTGCTACAAAAAGTTGGAGTTCGTCAGTTAATTTCAGATGTCATTGATGAGCTTATCGAGCTGGCGTCCGCCCAGGGCTGCTCGTTTCCCGAAGATTTTCGCCAGAGGACTATCGACAAAATGGTAGCGCAGGATACACCCAGCACCATGTACCAGGATTTCCAGGCCCGACGCCCAATGGAAGTCGAGACCTTCCTGGGGTCGCCGATCAAGTCGGCCATCGCCACCGGCGTCCGCATTCCACGCATCGAAACCCTCTACGCGATGCTGCATCACGTCAACATAGCCAACCAGAACAGAGATATGCCGCCTCCGGTTTTGGCACAGCCTCCACCGCGTTTGTCGTCGGCTCCTCCATCCCAGCGACCGCCAATGAATGGGGCTATGAGGCCAGGCAGAATGCCACCGGCCGGAGCTATGCCACCGCCGGGGATACGTGGGCCTCTGGGCACGCCAGCCCGTTCGCCGGGGGCGCTGGCTCCTCCCAGGGCTGCCCGTGATCCTTCTTTGGAGGGCCTGAAAGAGTTCAGTCACCTCGTTATGTACGATGATGCAGCGGATGGAGCAATTCCTCATGTGAACGGCAATGCCAATGGCTACTCAGATACGACTCCTGGATCTGCAGCAGCTTCCGCCGACTTGGCGTTGAGGGAACGAGAGCTGGCCCTTCGACAGCGGGAGCTACAGATCAGAGAGCAGGAGATGCAGATGCGACGAGGTGGCCGGAGGGGCCCTCCGCCACCAAGATCGACCTTTGACGAAGACGATGAAGACGATTATTTCGATCCCATGGATGCTCCACCGATGCCGAATATCGATCCGGATAGTGTTGACATGATGAGCATCACATCACGCAGGACGCGCAAGATTCCGAATGCCATTCAGATGCGCAGGAACCCTGAAATGGCCTTGAGTAACAGTCGGCCGGGTTCGTCTCTGAGTCGATACCTGGGAGGTGGTCGCAGGCGCACGAGCGACCGCATCATGCAGGAGATTCCAGGTCTGCACGACGCCATCATCGACAATCCAATGATGGCGTACTCGTCGAACAGATACGGCTCGGTTGACCGACAGCAGATGCATGTGGAGTCGCGGGCGAACTCACTCACTCCCAGCCGGGTTGGTGACTTTCCTCCAGGGCCCTATCCCCAGAGCCGGAGGAACAGCCAATCACCCGGAACTCCCTTGGGGCCCCCTGGTCGTGGAGTAGCTGGTCGTCCCATGCCTGGTGGTGATCCAGGCTATAACCCATCCAACGGTCCTTCCTATGGCCAACCATCCCCACCCGGAAATATGCGAGCGCCCATTCCGAGGTATCCCTCTGGGCCTAGTAACACTGTAGGCCCCCAGCAATTTGAGCAACAATATGGGGTGAGCAACCCGTATCCCGCCAAGGGTTCTCCAAATAACATAAGTCTGACCGGAAGTGCGAGCGCCAGCGCGGGGAGTGGTGATAGCGGGGCCAGCGCGAATATTGACTCCGAGAACTCGGCCCATAGTAGCCAAATCAGTGTTGGCGTTCAAAAGCCTGCGATGCTCGTTCGCTGAACGATGAACCTGACTGATCCGACTCCGTTGAGGTTGTCTTGTGTTCTACTTATTTGTCGCTGTGTGTCTGGACTTTCTCTTTCCACTTTCTTACTCCTGAATTGGATTAACGCATTGCTACTCTTTTGAAATGACTGCTAGCCCATTTTGCATTGCTACTTGCCTCTTCCAGAAGTGCGTTTTGCGCTTCTGATGACATTCTCAAGGAAAGGAGCAGAAGGGAAGGGGCCGATCTCACATAATAGTCTGCTGTTCACCTGTTTTAAATATACCTGAGTCCAGAGGGATGCGTGCGGACTCTGATTTATGTTTCCGCCTTTTGATGTTCATGTCGCGTCGAGAGTGTTTCGGTTGTGCATGTGGATTGATTTCTTTTCCTTCAGGTTGCATGATGTGTTCCACTTGAGACTGAGCAAGGGAATTTACCTGGGAGTTCCCCTGTGTTATGTTTATACAGTTTATAATGTGCCCCGGCATCCATTCCTCCTACACCCGGCCATACATCCAATCTTCCGGCATGACAGATCTTGACGGATCGTTGCACCACTGGAATCGGTACCTTTTGGCTCTTTTTTGTGTGTGCCTTTTCTGTTGTGTGTACCCTTCTTGTTTCTGCATGGTTCCCTCTGTGTGATGCCTGGTCCTCTTCTTGTGCTTGTCAGAATAACTGTTTTACGTGGCTTGGCTCGGCTGCCAGATGATCTCTGCTTTTCCCCTTTGGTTTTCGGCGCATTGAAAAGAATGGGGGATTTTGTCTTGATTAGAGCGATTAATTGTGAACCTGACTTGGTTTGGCCAGTTCACCATTGTCTCTGGGAATTAATAATAATGAAGCCGCGTTGTACTACCGTTGCAACCTGCGCATATGGTGATTGTAGTACTGTCTTATTTGACATGGGTTATCAATTAATGACTATTGAAAGCCTTGCATAAAGTAGAGCGAGCCCCACGTGACTTAGCCGGACGTAGATTGCAGCTCGCTTTAAACTTCGACTCCGACTCGAAACCGAGCGACAATCCAAACACTGGGACGGCCCAACCTGGATTTCCGGTAGAGAGAAAGAAGAGAGAGAGAGATAGAAAAAAAGGAAGCAAAATGTCCCCGCCCAGTAACTACCCTGGCCACCATCATCGCGCCTCCAATTCAACCTCATCAACACCGGCAGTAGCAGCCGCATCCATGTCCGCCACGAAAACAAGACAATACGCACATTTGCACTCGCAGCTAGCACAGCTGAACGCGCATCTCGCAGATACGGAGAATCTCTTACGGATGACAGCTGTGCAGGCGACTGATATGAGGTTTCTGGGGGGTTATGTGGGCTCTCTGTTTATGGGCTCTGCGAAGGTTCTAGGAGAGGAGGGCGTTGTTAAAAGCGATAATAGTGCGGACGACAAGGGGTCAAGTGGAAATAATGATGGGTTTGAGGGTTGACAATAATGTTGGTTGCTGGTCTCTTTTCTTCCTCGCTTATTTTCTTTCTGCTGCTATATGCGTACTGGTTGCTGATCTATATTTAATCGTTCTATACAGGGGAGTCGACTACTGTTGCTATGGGCAAAATTCCAATACAGTGCCAAAAAAAGAATAATATAACCCTACATGCTCAGCGCAGCCTACTCAACCACAAATGATCCCCCGAGGAGGATAGCCGGTTCATCGATGTTATGATGTTCATAGCTGCATCATTAGCCAACCGCCCGGACTATTTGACAATGTCGACTCACCTCAGTGTTCCTACACCACCGGCTTCCAGGATGAACGCCGTGTCTGTCAGAGGCTTCCCGATCCAACGCATTGCAAATGCTCGCAAGATGTGGCCATGGGCGACCACAAGAATGTCGGATTTCGAGTCTTCGTCCGAATTCGCAACGCAGTCAGAGTGATGGTATTTTGATCTGATTTCGGCGATGAGGGCGTCTAGGCGCTTAATGACATCTTGCGGAGATCTTGGCCAAATGTGTTAGGACGGTTCAATTGCAATGAAAGCATTTGCCTGGCCATCTTCTCTTCGCTCCTCGTAAGAAAACTGACGTACACAGAAATACTTACTCCCCACCGGGACATCCGTGTTTCCAAATATCCCATGGCTCCTCTCCCTTCTTCTCCCTCAATTCCTTGATCTGCGTACTCGTCAACCCTTCATACTCCCCATAGTCCCATTCCCTGATCGCCTCAGTTATTTCAACCCGGGCGCCTGTCCTGATTGGCTCCTCGGACTCGGGTCGCCTGGTGGACTGCCAGGGGAGTTTTTCCCTGCAGCCAATTTCCAGAAGTTCCAGGGTGCGTTGCGCTCTGGTACGGGGAGAGACGTAACTAGTATTTTCAACCCCGATCCATCCTGGCCATTAGTAAACTGCGCAGGAGGAACACGCAAAGATGGAGAAGAAGATAGGACTCACACATGAGCCAGTTTCTTCGGGACAATCAGGCGATCACTGCCCACAAGCGCCCTTCCGGTCGCCTTGATACGTTTCTCTCCGTTCGCAGTCAAGCAGAGATCGGTGACGCTCGTGTGGCGGCCATTAAGGGACCATTCAGTCTCGCCGTGGCGGACAACGAAGCAGCGAGGTGTCATGTTGGCATAGAGACACTGGAAGATGCCAGACAGGACAAGATGGCTCCGGAGAAGGGGACATCAACGTTTTTGTCTTCCGGTCTGGCGATGTGATATATCCGAGGATTACCTAATGCTTATCCGGGGCATGATGTCATCAGGCATGCATTCTGCGCTGGATCCGTGAAGATCAATGGCGTTAATACTATTAGATATTTCCAGAATAGATGCACGACCCGTCTAGCTTGCTTTGTCAAATCTGAGTCTGATATTATTGATGTTGTTTCGTTTCTCGTGCATATCCAGCGTGAAATCGCAGGATCACGTGATGACAGAGTTGAGGAGCAGAAAACGCACATTTGACGGCCTGTCGCATTCTTATAAACAATAGTCTCTCCGATGGCCTGTCGAAGGGGACGCTAGAAGAGCACAATGACAATGTGTGCAGTCGACTGAGCCTTCTTTGGGAGAGTCCCTTCTTTTTTCTTTCCTTTCGTTTTTGCTATCCGTTGTCGACTTCCTCGCCATCCAAAGAGAGCCACAGATTCTCAAGTGCCAGAATTAGAATCAAAAGGGCCCAAGAACGGCTGAGACAACGCAATGCCACGCAAAAAGCTTGTTAGGGATATATCCCAATTATCTGGGAAACCCCTCTCTGAAACTCTCGAACCGTCACACCTGAACATCGGCAGTGTTTCACATGAGAAATGGTTTACTTCTCCAGATCTACGCGAAGGAAGTCTTCCGTTTTCGACAAAGGTCGTCTACAGCATGATGCTTTTTCTCCTGGCAAATCCGAACATGAATTCGAGCCATCTCTATCGCGCAGACATTCTGTATGACAGTTGGGGGGTTATGTGGACGCCCTGGGAGAAAGAGAAGTGGTTCGATTCTACTCTGACGGAAGATTCAGGAAATGAACCTGCACCAGCTGCTGCAAGTTCTGAGTCTGAGTCTCAATCTCAATATCAAGCCAAACTGGGGAGGGAAGTCAACCCCTTGCCAGCGAAGGACGTGCCCGGATTCCGTCTAACCAGAACAGTCGTAAGGAGACTTATCCCAAGGAATCCGAAACTTGATCAGCCTATGGATCAAACGGCGTATTTTTATGAGAAGGAGGACGGACAGATATCCTCTTTAGAACAAGATGGTGATACCAGCGGGCTTGAAGAGATATCCGAAAGTCTTCTGGTCGTATATACACCGCATGTTCAATCCAAAGAAGATATGCCCTGGTATCACCCCTTGCTTCAGTCGCTGGCATTCCTGTACGATTTCAAGCTCGACGTCAAGAATGGCACGGCGACCGTCGCAGCACAGGATAGTACCCCATCGGGGACAGGGACGATGTCGCTCCATTTCTTGCCGTATGAGATGGAACCGATCTCAAAGCGCCTAGAGCGTACATTACTAGTTTTGCTCAACAGCCAGATTCGGCTGGCTCGGGGTACGCGCGACACTAATATGCCTGACGGTTCAAATTATAACCCGTCGAAGGATAACGTGCTCCCGCAGCATCTGGTCCAGAATACCTATTCACGCCTGAAACTCAAATATGCGGCTGATCTCTGCCAGAGATGGGTCGAGGATACTCCAGCTTCAAAGCACGTCTTTGAAGATTTATCCATCACTGCATTCCTTATCGAACTGTGGAGAATGATGTATGGCGTCGTTCCTTCTTCGGAGAGGGACGAGAAAAACGGGACTACCAGTAGTAATGACGATGACAGAACCTTCCCCGGGTTTGTCGATGTTGCCTGTGGTAACGGAGTGCTCGTATACGTACTTCTCATGGAGGGGTACCATGGCTGGGGTTTTGACGCCCGCCGTCGCAAGACGTGGAGCATCTTTCCTGAATCCGTACAGAAATGCCTCAAGGAATCCATATACGTTCCAACCCCATTTGCAGACACCATGATGGACAGCGAGGAAGGAGTTGATGCCATGCCGGATCTAGGCGTGGAGATCCACACCGGCGCATTCCAGAAGGGCACCTTCATTATATCCAACCACGCAGATGAATTAACCGTCTGGACTCCGCTGATGGCTGCCCTGGCCAGTCCGGAATCACCGTTACCCTTTCTTGCCATCCCATGCTGCTCACATTCCCTGTCTGGAGCAAGATACCGCTATCCCCCGCCCAAACCGAAGACACCAGATACCGGGTCTGACTCTACGGATGACCAATCCGAGGAATCCCAGCCAGCAAAGGGAGACCTCAAGGCCCTTCGAGCCGAAAAGTTGGCCCAGAACTCACCTGACTCGGGAATGGATCATAATGTCTCCATGTACGGCTGCCTCACCTCAAAGACAATGGCTATCGCAGAAGAAGTGGGATACGAAGCGGAAAAGACATTGCTACGGATCCCAAGTACGAGGAACATGGGCATTGTGGGTGGTCGGAGAAAAGTAGCGCGCGAGTGCAGGAGGTCGAGAAAATTGGAGACGCCGACTCAAGTGCTGACAGAGAAGACAGAAATATCATTATCGGCTGGAGGTGACGATGATGCAGGCATCGGCATAATTGACAAAGTGGAAAACATTGTCTCCCGCGAGTGTGCCCGGGAAGGAGGCATCAACCAAGCAGCGAGAATCTGGATCGAGCGCGCAAGGAGTATTCACAGGGGCCCAGGAAAGGGAGCACAACGCGAAACAGGGTCTGAGGGACATGGTCATTCAAAACAGATTGAGCGTTGAGCTGCAGTAGAGTGGCAGGCATGCAGTAGAGGGGGTTTAGATCAATAGTAGATAGATAGATTGCACGTTATATACAGCGTAGATGTGTAGCGCAGTCATTAGAAAGGCGCGAAGAGCAATACATGATATCCAGCTTTAAGAGCAAAGCAGTAAGAAATGAATAGCCAGCAACCTTCAGCTTTCCTTATATCCAGACATACTGTGATTTTCCATTTATTGAATCACGGCTACAAAGCAGGTTAGCCTCGCATGTCCTCTTGTCACAGGAACAAAGGAAACAGGAAAGGGTATAACTAAAAATCGAGGAAAAGACAAATCCTAGACGCAAGAGGCATGAACATGGCTGGTGTACATCCGGAAATAGTCATTATCGTGAGTAAGTGTGGACCAAGCGAAGAAATAATGCAGCTCACAACAGTCTCGCTTCAGGAGGTAGCTTGCGCAGTCCCCTCAGATTCAGGCTTTGAAGGTTTCGACGAAGATTCATCCTTTCTCGAGGACGATTCATTTGAGGCTCTCTGTATCATCGACACCTTCTCAGCAGCTGCATCAATGGCTGAGGACCCGGTGGTACTCGCGGCCGCACCCTCCTTAAGGCGTCTCATTCGCTCCGCTCGTCCTTCACCGGGGATGCTGCCCCAAACAGGCTCGATAGAATCGGCTCGCCAGTTGGCCCGCGGGCCAGAGATAGAAAGAGGAGTAATCGGCGAGCCTCCCACACCTGCTTCACCCCACATGCGGACACGTTGGATTCTACGCAGTTTCGCAAGACCGTAAACACAAACGACGGCGGAGATCACAAAGCAGGTCACGGAGACAGCTCCAAATCCGAAATCGGACTCCTCAATGAAGTTTTTCAGGTTCATCCCATACAACGCGGAGAAAAGAGTCCCTGTCGCCAGGCCAAGTGTGCCAATGCTGAACTTCAGATCGAGAAGCATGAGAGAGTTACGGTTCGCATCGAGGATCGCCTTGATTCTTGGGCCTCAGTTAGAAAGGGATGGTTCAACATCACAGGGATGGAAGCGAAGCTTACACTTCTTCCGTATTGCGGATGCCCGTCACCAAGTTCCCACTAGCTTCAACGATCTCGTCGCAGAACTTATAGTATGATTCCAATAGCATTTCCACTTCTTGGTGATCATCCTCATCCCGATGAACCCCATTTGCCCTCTCGGTCAAATACATGGCGGCCAAGTCATCGTCGGCTTCCAGCAGATCGTTGATTGCATCCCGTACCAGCCTAGCTTTCTGTTCAAAAGAGCCTAGTTTCTTGGAATATATCAACAAGTGTCTAAGCTTGTCCCTGTCGATATCTTCTTCCAGTGCTCTGAGAACGCGAACAACTGGCTCTCGCACGCCTTTAAATTCCTCCTCCAAGCCGGTTGTGACACTAATAAGAACAGCTTCAAGGGCGCGGAATTCGTAAGGAAGCGATCCCTCTCCCTGTTGCTTCTGTCGTAGCTTTCCTTCCAAGTCGTAGACGAATAGGGACTGCATATATGAGCCTGTTGACCCATAGGCATCAAAGACAAGTACCCGATCCGCCTTGATAAGAACTCGAAGGTGCAGAAGATTGATGAGGATAGCGCTGGGTCGAACGAGGATGTGAGGCAAAGTCGATGAGTCGATCTTGCGAAGATCTCTAGGGAGAAGACCGTACTTTTGGCCAGCAAGCTTAGCAACTAGCCAAGCAAAAGCATTGCCTTAGCGGCATTGATGAGAAAGACTGGCAATTATATCAATGCTACCCACCTTCGCAATCAGCTCGCTCTTTTTGAATTCCCCGTTGATAAGCGTCACGTTCCCATTGCTATCAAACTCAGTACATCGCAAACGCAGTTCGTTCGATGCTTTCGCCGCCAGACTACGTCCGATATTGAACAAATTCCCTGTTCCATCGTCGAGAAACGGCCCGCTGTTCGTCGTGGCTTTCTTGTCGGCTTTCCCTGCGGCCCCATTCCGTCTGAAATCCAACAGCCTGCGTAGTAACGGGCGACTCTTTGTAGATGAATGTCTCGGTGACTCAAGAGATGTCAAGAATGGCTTCGCAATTGGACTCCGGCAAACTGAGGGTCGAGACTGGGGCGTGTTCAGGCATCTAGACCGGAGATTGGGTACTTTGAAGAATTCAGCTTGCAAAGTTGCCCGACATGGCGCAGCGTTAAGATGCGTCCAGCTCGACAAAGATGAGGTATGTGACAATTGCCGGTTTCTGGAAGAATGGGGATGCGTTGATGGGCTTGACGTGAAGAGTACAGAGTCGGACTGTGAACGAAGGAATCGCAGCAACGACACAGAAGGAGCAGACGGTTTAAGTGGGGCGCGCGAGAGCATATCTGTACACATCTGGCTCAGCGGCAAAGTCCGTCTCTCAAGCCGCTGGAAACAGTTGAGCGACGCAGTTCTCTTGAGTTTTTGAGTTTGTTGGAGCTGCTGCTGCGGGCGGATAAACCAGGAAGCGCGGATTAACGGTTGATCCGCATACTTTGCTCTCGAACTACAGATTACGATGGGGAAGTATGAACAATGAATCTATTCCATTTCCTGCCTACGAAGACGCCTGTATTTGGTTTGCAAACACCCTGACACACGAACAAATGCATGCAGAATACAGGGGATATATAGATATAACAGACAAGGTATCGAACGGCAAACCAATTCCCTGAAATGCGGAAATCCAAGCAATGAAAAGCATGGTCGGGGGTGCAGCCGCTCACCAATCATCGTCGTCATCTCGCTCATCATCTAGAATGGATGTTAGCTAACATTAGACTCGAAAAAGAAATCTCGGAAGCCTTACCGCTACCGCTGACTTGCTGCTTCCTTTTAGCGAGCGCGCTCTGCAGAGCACCTGCCAAGCCTCCTTGCGGTCCACCGCCGCTAGCCGGAGCAGGAGACTCGTTCGTAGACCCTGGAGCAAAAGCTGCGCTCCTATCTTTCTTCTCTGAGTCTTTAACCTTTCGTAAGCCCCCGCCACCTTTTCCTCCACTGGCTCTAATAGCAGCCATCAAGTCATCTCTGCCACCGGTAGGTTTAGGTAGCGATGGTGCTGCTGCACCAGCGCCTGGAGGCGGAGGAGGAGGCCCACCAGGCCCAGACGGGGGAGGGGGAGGAGGGGGCGGAGGAGCGCCGAGTCCAGGAGGAGGCGGCGGGGGTGGAGGCGCAATCATACCAGGTCCAGATCCCGGTGGAGGCGGAGGGGGAGGGGGTGGAGTTGCACTCGCAGGTGCTGGAGGCGGCGGCGGCCGGGGTGGTGGAGCAAGTGCGGAAGGTGGAGGTGGAGGTGGAGGTGGAGGTGGTGGTGGTGGAAAGCTCGCAGATGGTGGAGGTGGTGAGGACACACTAGTAGACGGTGGTTGAGAAGAGGGCGGTGGGGGAGGAGGCGATGGCGGGACACTGGTAGCAGGAGGCGGACGAGAAACAGGAGGCGGAGGAGGAAGAGGGGGCGAGGATACGCTCCTGGGAGGTGGAGGTGGAGCGGATGGAGGAGACACGGTGGGAACCTTTGGAGGCAGCTGGGGAGGTGGTGGTACAGGACTTGCCCGAGGCGGAGGTGGAGGAGGAGCCCCAGGTGCAGTGCTTCGACTTGGTGGAGCTGGGGGTGTCTGCGTCTTTCTCACCCCGGTGAACGGTGGGGGAACCCCATATCTAGGTCCATTATCATCCATTGGTGTCTTCGGGGGCCGTGGAGGAGCAGCAGGGCCGGTATGGGTCCCTGAGAAAGCACGTTGCCGCGGAGGGGGTACGGGAGCAGCAGTATGAGCGAATTTGCCGGCATCTGCAATAGGAGGAGGTGCACGGAATCTTGGCTGTGGTGGTGTCTCAACGGGAGAAGCAGAGTCTTCCTGGCCTTCAGGACGGGTCCTTCGTGAGGGAGGTGGAGGCGGAGGAGCTCCTCGCCGACTACCACCGGTATTCTGAGGGCTGATCGTATGCACTTTGGAAGCAGGAGCGGAGGGTGGGGGAGGCGGAGGAGCCTTAGGTCTCTTGTGTTCGTCGGAAGATGGAGATTCTGATGCTGTATCAACTCCGTTGCTTTTGCTTTTGCTTTTCTTCTGTGCAATATACGACTTAATGAACTCCTCATTCTGTGCAATTTGTTCTTCCGTGATGCCCATCTGCTTGAGTTCATCTAGCAGTTCGTTCCATGATGGATCGTCGGTGTCAAAAAGTGAAGCCTTCTGCGATGGAATGCTAGGAGGTGGGGGAGTATGCTGGGGGGAATGTACAGGGGGTTCTGCAGAAGCCGAAGCGCCTGATGCTGACCGATGGGGGTGTAGCAGGCTCCCGAATAGCGATCGTCCATGACTCTTGCCGTTAGAGACAGGTGCTGGTCCCTGGCCACGAGTTGATGCGAAAGGCGTCGCCCTGGTTTCCTTGCTAGCATGTTTCTCCCTCTCATGTAGCTTCTTGATAAAAGTCTTGGCTTCCTTCTCGTCGGCGAAAGACAGACCAGCAGGACACTCTTCCAGCTCGAATGTGTGGAAGAAAGTACGGTCTTGGTGATAGGGGAAATCCTCGTAGATCTCTTGGTCCCAAATGACGCCCCTTGCAGCAGGCTGTAGTCCACCAGCATCAGTAAAATCCTAGATGATTCTCAAGAGAGGGGCCTCAAAAGAGGCGACCCCGGTCAAAGGTACATAAAGAGTTCTACCCACCGACACATCAACCATCTTTAGCCAAAACGTGTGCCCCACTAGATCATTGGCAAGAACTGCAGCACCCTGCAGACCCGTGTACGTCCATCTGTGGGGATCTGGATAGGCGACGTACAGTCGTGCGACAGCCACGGCGAGTATCTTATTCGCCGGCTTCGGGACGGTCCTCTTGACGGTTTCCTTGTCGGCATCACTGAGGATTGACGGCATGGCGAATCAAGGAAGATGAAGGGAGTGTGGAAGGAATGGGGAAAGGTGGGGAAGATGCCGACAATAGCTGTTAAAAGGCCCGAAGGTGCATTGCAACACAAGACAGAACCGGCACGGAGGGGAGAAGACAGTGCCTCTTCACGGGACGGCTGCAAACACCGCAGATAATAGGTATCCCCTACAGATACGGCGAGTGAAAGTATACTGTCAACGAGACAGATGGGGGTAGAAAACTGAAGAGAGGAATGGCGTAGGGAGGAAGAGTAAGGGAGAAGGGGGGAGAGAGGAAGAAAGAGAGATGGGTTGAGTGGCTTTGGGCTTTGCAGGGTGGAGTGCGTGGCAGCATGGATCACAGCGGCTGTGTCCCACCAAACCTCCAGGCCGACGGGCTATCCTCCACTTTGTCAATGCTGCAGAACAAGATATCATTTACTGTTCAGGTAATTATTCCCATCGTCATTGATGGTGAGCTTCTGTACCTGCTGGTAGGCTCATCCTGTGAAATCAAGGGAATTGTGGCGCGCCATCTTCATTGCTTGCAGCTTGATATGGTTGACTCGGACATGCCCATTCTTTTAATATTGTTGTAGCCTTGGGGCAAGGCTTCCACGTTCGGGGACAAGCTCTATCCTGTATGGAAACAAAGGCTCTGGTTCCTAATTGTCCCCATGGTTGAATGCGCCCAAAGCCTTGTATGCTGCGGCTATGCACTGATGTCATGACATCACCGGCGCCTGCATGCAGATCTGGAATATATTCAGCGTACCTACAAGGCTGGCTGCAAAACAAACCAAAAAGAGACAAACAATTACAGTTTTAAAGTCTCTCAACTACCTTGTTCACTCGGCATGCCAGTCATCCAGGCCGATTCCTCTTTCCGAAAGGACAACAACCCCTCGTCGTCTCAGAGTCGAGAATCCTCAAACAAGTCACCACAGGAATCCAAAAGGGCCACCGCGATGGACTCTATATTATCAAAGGGGCCTCGGATCCCTGACAGTAAGTGTAACGTTCCGTGAAGTCTATCTAGATATAGTTGTTTACAGTCTCCATAGACATGCCGCCGAAAACATCCCGAGAGGAAATCGAAGCCCGTATGAAGGAGCTAAATAGTGAACATAGCCACTTGTATAATAACTCTGGTTCGAAATGTAGGTGCTCTGAACGAATGAGTTCATCTTTGAAAAGCAGCAATATATATAAATCCATGTGGGGCTTGTGATAGATGCTCAGTAGCATGTTCGAGATCGGCTACGCCTTCAGACTGCCGTCAAAATTCAGTATTCAAATACATCAAAGAGGGCCGAATAAAGCAGCAATCTGAATGCAGGGTATAAGCAAATCTGATCCTGTGTCCCTAGTCTTCATGCCTGTTGCATCGTCGCCGTCATGCTCAACCGCGTCAAAAGGAGATGCACGTGACCGGCCTGCGGCTCTTCGCCGTCTCTCGCCAACTCCCGCGAATACATCCAGCTCCCTCATGCCGCCTGAACGCTCTAATGTACCGGTGAAGCTGTCCCTGCCCCTAGTAGGTAGTCCTGGAAGCGTCGTCTCACCTACTTCCTAAATGTCCAGGTTGCTGACAGAAATGAAACTAGTCTTACCAGCAGGACATCTTCACCGAACTGCGCTCCGAGGATGAGCTCGTCATCCTCGCCCGCGGCCTGGGGCTGCTCCGTTTGGTGACAAATTTACTGCATTTCTATGATGCCGCCGGCCATAATCTGGTCTTGGTTGTTGGTGCCGACGACAGAGAAAATGAATGGATCGGAGAAGGTGCGCTGGTGGAATCCGTCGTCATCAAGCGCCTGGGTAGACCACGCTATGTTGGAAGAGGCATGATATTCTGACTCCTTGAGAAGCCCTAGCAGAGCAGTATGCTATTAGCGGGTCGCCTCTGGCGAGGGGGTTGAAGGTGATAAATACGGAAAGAGCCACTGTTCCAATGAGGTGTGTTCCGGGACTACATTCCCTTCCCTCGACGGTTAGAACGCTGATGTCAATCCAGGGAGAGGATCTACTTGGAAGGGGGCATTTTAAGTGTAACCTCCAGAATCCTTATCGTAGATCTGTTGTCCAGTACGTTGAAATTCCCAGGCGGGAGTCTTTTTTGTGGTCGTGGGCTGATATGATATTTTAAGAGCTTCTTGACCCAGAAAAGATAACCGGCATGGTAGTCTTGCATGCCGAGAAGTAAGTGACGCAGAGCTTGGTTACAGCAGACTCGAGAGAGACTTTTCTAAAAGTTTGACAGAGTCGTAGCAACATCTCTCGAGTCATTTATCATCAGGATCTACCGACAGGTCAATAAGATTGGCTTCCTCAAGGCGTTTTCAGATTCGCCAGAGCCTTTCACGGCCGGGTTTGCGCCTTTGGCCAACATGATGCGAAATCTGTTTCTACGCAAAGCTTCTCTGTGGCCTCGATTCCATGTGACCGTTGCGGAATCCCTAGAGGGGCATAGGAAAGCAGAAGTGATCGAACTCGAAGTTCCACTGAGTGACAAAATGAGGGAAATACAGAATGCTGTTCTGGAATGTGTTGAGATCAGTATCACTGAACTGAAGAAATCGATTACAGGACTGGACATGGGAGACTGGACGTTGGACAGTGCCTTGCATCGGGGGTTTGACGTTTTTATCAGGCGTCAGCTCGATCCTATCTGGCATCGCATTAGTTTCAGGACCAGGCAGATTGTCAGTGACCTGACAGATCTGCGGGCTATTCTCCAGTACGTTGGATAAGTACTGCACTTCGATTGTGTAGCTCTTTATTGCTGACTTTCAATGTAGCGCTTTACTCACCTACGATGCTGTGTCTTTCGTCAAGTATCTCGATACTATAGTGGCAGCCCATTCTCCACCACCAGGCTCCACAAGGCATAACTACTCGCCGTGGCTTTTCCTCGACGCCGCCCACGTTCTTTTCCAGACAGCGAAATCTAGGGTCTACCAAGGAAAGATAACCAGCGACGCAGCCCGCTCTACGTTGACTACATTTTCTTCTTCATTACAGCCTGTTCTAGAAGCGCAGCCAAAGTGGGCTGTGCTGGCTGAGGTGCTGGAAGAAATTGAACATGACGCATATCTTAACCCAGTACCTGTGGATGAATCCAATAGCACTATATTGATAATGTGCAGTGATCAGCGGACCTGTCGGCAGCTTCGTGAATATCTTGCCTTGATGTACGCAACCGTCGATAAGGATGAGGGTGACGGTTCGGGTGCCACAGAAGGCTTCCAGGAGACGAAGCCCTCAGCGGAAGTGATGATGCGAAGAAAGCTTCGAGAGTATCTGAACTGGAAGATTTCCTTTTCCAATGTCAATAAAAATCTATCCTCTAAGCCGGATGGCGAGAGTTCAATTGCCGGGAGGGATCAGGGGTTGCCTGGGCCAGCTAATCATCAACAAGGGAGAGCCCCCCCGAACAAGAGACGTCGAGTACGTGGGGGAGGTACAATTTCCTCTGCGACAGGCCGTGATCCGAATAGCAGTGTACAGACCCAGGTAGAATTACTGGGCCAAGTTACGGGGTTACTGGATGAAATCCAACCTACAGAAGTCGAGGAAACTCAAAAGGAAGAGATTATTGTCGATGAGTTGATGGATATGGATGATTATTACGAGCTTTTTGACATGAACGATCTGGTCATCGTACACCCTTACGACGGGGATATGGATGAGCATATACTGGAAGAAGTCCGACCGAGGTACATCATAATGTTCGAACCTGATGCTGCTTTTATTCGGCGAGTCGAAGTCTACCGCAGTTCTCACTCTGGGCGGAATGTAAGAGTATACTTCTTGTACTACGGTGGGTCGGTCGAGGAACAGCGGTACTTGAGCGCAGTAAGGCGCGAGAAGGACTCCTTTACGAAGTTAATCAAGGAAAAAGGCGTAAGCAATTCTCCCGAGCGAGTCGGTGGCGCACATGCTAATATGAAGTGGTTAGAATATGGCCGTTACCCTCACTCACGACCGGAGTCTTGAAGACCCTCAAGAACAGTTCCTTCGGACCGTGAACACTCGTGTTGCTGGAGGAGGTCGACTGACGGCGACAGCGTCCCCTCCTAGAGTTGTCGTTGATGTTCGGGAGTTCAGAAGCGCTCTCCCGTCACTGCTCCATGGCAATAACATGGTTATAGTGCCTTGCCAATTGACAGTCGGCGACTACGTTCTCACCCCAGACATCTGTGTCGAGCGGAAGTCTATCCGGGACTTACTCACTTCCCTCAGGAATGGTCGTCTCTACAATCAAGCGGAGACTATGCTCCAATATTACAAGACCCCTCTTCTTCTGATTGAATTTGACCAGAACAAATCCTTCACTTTCGACGCGTTCGCTTCTGCTTCGAATCCCAGCACCAGCTTCCTAACAGATTTTGGCTTCTCCTCGTCCGGTACAGCAACCACCTTATCTGCAAGCAGCTCCCTCATAAGCCCATCCAGCCCCAAATCCGCACAGCACATGCTTGTCCTCCTCACTCTTGCCTTTCCACGCCTGAAGATCATCTGGTCCTCGTCCCCTTACCAGACTGCTGAGATCTTTGCAGAGCTGAAGAAGAAAAATTCAGAACCGGATCCCATCCGGGCCGTGCAGATCGGTCTTGACGTCGATATCGCCGGATCTTCGGATCAGGGAAATGTCATGGCTGCTACTGGTATTGAGCATCGGATTTTCAACCTGCTCCCTCAGGATATGCTTCGGGCGGTTCCCGGTGTGACGCCTAACGTCCTCGAGCGGCTAATTCTAGAGACAGAGAGTATTCACGAGGTTGCTAATATGGATGTTGAACAGCTTGATCCATTGATTGGGAAAGAGGCTGCGCGGAAAATAGTGGGATTTTTTCGTAAAAGTGTATTTGAAGATACATAGATATATGCCTCTTCTGGTCTTCTCGACAATATTCCAGAAGACGAATGCCTGCCACTTCCTTATATTACATTTTGAATTACGACAAGTATGGCCTACAATACACTGGATAGTCTCATGCTACACAGCAGATATAGAATGTTAAATAGTCATATTTTCGTAACCCTCTTCATAAAATTGAGATTGTAGAAAAAGGAGACGGAGACAAAAGGATGGGACAGACAAAAGGGAATTGCCACCGCAAGAAGAAAAATGAAACGCCACAGCGATCTATCTCATACGCATCACAATCATTTTGTCTGTGGGGACCTCGAGGACACATTTCAGCGATGGAGGGGCGAAAAATGTGGTTTGAGATCCCCGCTTTATCCATAATTCATGCCCTGAACCCGGAGAGCTTCACTGGGTTTTGTAGGGCGCCGAGAGGGGAAAAGCGAGTCTCGGCGCCGATAGGCCTGATAATATTTGTCACCTCTTCGGAAGGGTAGGTTTGAAACGAAACCGACGTGAGACTTCCTGATATGGTAACCTCGTATGAGGAAGTTGTTCCGAATGAAGGAATGGGTGGGCTGAGTTGGCCACAACGCAGGCAGGTGCCGAAGTAGATGAGGGAAAAACCCGGTGGCACTCGTGGACAGGGATGAATTGTGGAAAGTGGAGTGTTTTTAGAGCTCGTCGACGTCGATCTCCTTCTCTTCTTCGCTTTCGCGATCCTCGTCAAATTCGACGTTGTCCTCAAGACCTTCATGGCCGTAGGTATCGGTTTCGTTGATCTTGGCGTGTTCGGGTAACTCGCCGTAGGCCTTGAGACTCCTGGCCTCGTCTGCGGTGTATTTCATGATCACGTCGCCCTTTTCGTCTTGGTATTCACGTAGAGAGAGGAGGATGATGTCGCCCTGGTTGATCCAGACCTTCTTTCTCAGCTTGCCTCGGATATGTGCCAGTCGCTTCTCGCCGTCAAAACATAGAGCCTCGAGACGGCCGTTGCCTAGCATCTTCACAACCTGCGCATATTCCTGGCCTTCTTCCTTGAAGACAAGCTCACGCTTTTCGTTGTCGTTTTCGTTCTTTCCACGACGCCTGTTCTTACCGCCCTATTGTCGAAGTTAGTATGGCCGCTATTGTTCTCCTTCACAGAGAGGATGCGAAGTACGTGGGAAATCAGGTAGCGAGCGGGAGGGGTAAAAAAAAAGTCTGGGGCCTTACCTTTCCCTTGTTCTTGGGCATGTTGGGAGGTCACTAGACAGATTCTACCTTTTCCTTCTGTCTTGTAAGTGTGTGAGAGATACTCAAACGAGAAGGGCCAGGCAGAGAAGGGGATATACAGTGCCTGGAGGGAGTTGTCAGATCGGAGGTGGAAACAAGGAAGAAGCAATTTCGGCGGGTCAATATATATGAAGTCGGTTAGTGCGGAGTGGCGCTGGCCTAATTTCTGCCTAATTCCTCAGGCTTCTAACACAGCGGGTTCTGCCAATCACGTGTGGACCTGCCTTGACCGCCTTGCTGCCCCAGAAATTCTCTTCTTTCTTTCGCTCTCTCTTATCATTTTTGTTCTCCCAAGATCCAGTCGCAGGGCTGCCCCCCTTTGCTAATCGCCCTCTCACATCGTTCCTTTTGCTTCTGGTGGCGATCCTTTTTCCTGTTCCACGTTTCTTTGCCTTCTTAATTGCGGACCCATCGCGGATTGGACGCATTTCGAAGCTGCGATGCATATACACTCCTACTGGTTGCAGTGAGCTTTCAAGAACAACAGAGAGCGCATTTCTAGATTGCTAGAGTTCTTCACATGAGATTCACAGAAATCAAATCAAATAGGTGTCCACCATCTCTCCGCAGTCATGAAGACCTCAATATCCTCAAGTAATTTTATTCTGCGATACAACTCCAAGACCGTCATTTCTCCCGTCGCCATGCGTTATCTGGCCCAGCCTACGCATGCTCTCCGGCCCAAAATTGCCCATATGTATGCCACACGTGATCGGAATACCCTCTGGTGGCGAGTGTCTATGACAGAATTACTGCGATTCAAACGGGTTGTCCGTTCGTGGATAACCAGGAGAACTCGCGCCACCATCTCGGAGGCTCTGAAGGAACGCGGATTTGATCGCGAGGGCAGAAGGATTGTTAGGACTGGTCAACCATCGGAAGCAGGAGCGGATGCTAATACGAGAGGCCTAACTGGGACCCTGGAGGTCGTTATCCGCCCGCAATGTATAACGGAGGACTCTAGCACGGTTCAGAAAGAAGTTAGCACTCTGTTAGATGACTTGATTGAACGCATTCGGCAGCAGGCGAAGCAGTCCGACCAGCAGCAGAGCCCAGGACGTGGAGTAGAGACGCGCATTAGACGCAATCCAGGCAGGCAATAGTACTGATGCAGAAATCAAAAAAAAAAAAAAAAAAAAAAAAAAGAAAAGAAAAGGCATATATACGCATATGAAAACAATACTATTCTATATTGTAAACCTACTGTGCTGATTGTGGTCCTGTCATTTCCCGCTCCAGGCCTTGGCGATTCCGCTAATTGAACCTGTCAATCTGTCAAGAGCATTATGCGTCTCTGTTAAATCTCCCCAGCACATCGAACGCGCGTACACTCCCCAGAGAAGCTCAATGTTTCCTTGTCAACTACTTCTCCTTCCGTGAACTCTGTCCGAGATGTTGGTCTCCTTGACTGTTGGCAAGGTAGACGCTGGTGTCGCAGTGCTCCTGACCCACGACAACAGACTCGTAAGCTCCCTCCCATCGCAGATTGTCGTAACAGAGAACTGTCGGATTCTTTCGCACAACCGGTCTGTCTACAGAGAAGTAATATTTACTAATCGACCTCTTAAACCCACAGATCGAATTCCCCTCAGTCCTCCTACCTAACAATATCGCTCCGGGCAGCATCGTCGATATCACGGTATCGCGCAATGAAACTGCTGAGGACGCCAGCGCAGCAGCGTTCCAGGCACTTCAGAAACGTATCCTGAACACGTATGGCATCAAAACTCCGTCTTCGCCTGTCCTCCGTCTCCGAAATGCAACCCAGACTTCCCTCGTCCTGGAGTGGGATCCCATCGAGTTGGCTACCGCATCCCTGAAGTCCTTGTCCCTCTACCGGAATGGCTCTAAGGCTGGCTCCATACCTCGGCCGCTGGAGACGCGCAGTACTAAGATCAGCGGTCTTGCCATCCACACGGAGTATACTTTCCACTTGGTCCTACGCACGTCGGCCGGCACCTATCAGTCCGAGAAACTGAAATGCCGCACACACAAGATGACGGATCTATCTGGCATTACGGTGACTGCTGGGATCATCCATCCGCAGCAGAAGGAGGCGCTGGCGGCGGCGCTGGAGAGAATTGGCGGCAAACTCGTTGACACGGTGCGTATTGACACTACGCACTTCGTATGCACGGAAGGAAGGGGCTCGCAGTGGGAGAAGGCGGTTGATATGAACATCCCTGTTGTCCGACCCGAATGGGTTGACGCATGTGAAGCTGAAGGGACTCTCGTGAGCGTTCGGGGCTATTATCTCAATGCCGACCCTAAGGCCAGACAGTTTGCTCCGTCGCATGGACAGCACCAGCAGACGACATCTGCTGGTTCAGTAGGCACGAGTAGTTCTCGGGGCCGGAGCACATCAAATGGTCCGCCACAGCAACAGCGCGAACCGGAGCATCCGACAATTGAGCCGTCTCCAGCTAATGAGAAGAACGGACAACCCAAGCCAGAGAAGGGTGAAGATGCTTCACAAGGTGAATCGTCCACACACCAGCCTACCCCGAAATATGAAAACCAGGAGAAGGAGAATGAGAGGGAGACAGTCCCGGATGAGTCCCACGATAACACGAAAGCCGCAGAGCCAGCAGAGCCAGATGGAGCAACAACAGCCGCCAATGGGAAGGAGACTGAAAAGGAAAAGGAAAAGGCGGAAGAGGAAGAAGCTCCCCAAGAGATGCCTGAAGAGAAAGAGGAGCAGCCATTTAGTAATGGTGAGAAGAATGGCAAACAACGAGAAGGTGAATCTGAATTGTCTGATGTTCCGCTTTGATCTTATTCCCCCGGCTGTCTTTTTCTTCGTTTTCTCTTCTTCGTTCCTGTATCTTTTGCTGTTTCGTTTACGAACGCTTTGTTTGATATCGCCCAGTAGCCGCCACTTGTCTGTATACAGTGTATCATGCTATGTGTTATTTGTTAGAGTGAAACGTCATTAATAATATCGAATCATTCAATTCTCTATGTATAATGGAAGGAATATGTACACTGCGGTGTGTCATAGATCCATTCCTATCCTAGGTAGCATAATAGCTACATGCTCCATGAATAATAACAGCCCGAATTGCAATGCAAATGAAACACCAACATCAATGGATAGGCAAGGCAGACTTCCATTCAAATGCTATGCTAACCAAGCCAAATTAACCTTGATGACTGACTTTGTTTTTGTCTTTCCAAAGCCAATGCTAAAATAATTTATGTTCTGTAACCAATAGACAAAACCCAAACCAGAAGTTCAAACGCCGAGACCATAAAGACTGATATCATATCGAGCTGAGCTGAGGTGCTTTTATTTCGTTTCACTCCGTTCCATTCAAATCTAGGCAACGTTACGGACGACGTCATCAATCGCTTTAGCGACGTAGGTAACATTATTTTGGCTCACTGTTGAATTCGTTAGCAATCCTGACACGGTTATCCAAGAAAAAAGAAAATTTTAGGGTAGAACGTACAGCCGCTGACAGATGCCCTGCCGGATGCAATCAGGTAGACATGGTACTTCTCGCGTAGAGCCTGGACCTGGGAAGCGGTCAAACCGGTGTATGAGAACATTCCATTCTAAGACACGTTAGTCCTTTTTCTTTTGTTATTGTTTCTGAAAATGGTGATACAAAAGTAATACATACCTGTCGAACAATGTGTTCCCAGCTTCCTGGAGTCTGGAGCCGAACTAGCTCGTCGCGAAGCGCAGATCGCATGTTCTTGATGCGCGAACTCATGACCTTAAGGTCCTGATGCCACTCGGCGGCGAGTTCGGGGTCGTTGAGGATTTTCTTGACGAGAGTGCAGCCGATGCGTGGGCCCATGGAGTATTCACCACGAATGAAGTGACAGAGGTTGTTGACGACGCATTCCCTAACCTGGGGAGAGCTGGTGGTCATGACGAAGTGAAAGGCGCCGGTGCGCTGGCCATAGAGACCGAAATTCTTGGAGAAGCTCTGCGCAACGCAGATCTCCATGTTCGACTTGTTGTGGAAGAAATAGCGCACCGCCCACGCGTCATCGTCGGCGGAACCGGAGGCAAAACCCTGGTAGGCCGAGTCAAAGAAGGGGAACAGGCGCTTCTTCTCACAGAGGTCAGCGATTGCAGCCCATTGATCGCGGTCGGGATCGAGGCCGGTAGGATTGTGGGCGCAGGCGTGCAGGAGGATCACATCGCCGGGCTCAGCTTCGGCCTCGAGGGTAGCCATCATGCCATTGAAGTCCAGGGAGCGATTGGCCGCGTCATAGTAAGGGTAGGTCTTGATATCGACACCCGCGAGTTCCCAGATGGTCATATGGTTGGACCAGGACGGATTGGACAGCCAGACGTGCTTTGGCTTCGCATGAGTCTTGAGGAACAGAGCGCCGATGTGGTTGGCGCCGGTGCCGGCGACAGTCTGCACCGAGGCGATTCGGCCCTTGGATTCTGGGGAGCCATTCTCAGTAAAACCGAACATCAGATTGCGCGCGACCTCAAGAAAGGCAACGTCTCCTTCGATGGCGGAATATTCATGGCGGAAGATGTCGTTTTCCGCCAGGAGCTGTTTCTCGGCTTTCTGGACGACGGGGAGAGGCCAGGGCTTGCCATCGTCGGTTCGGTAGACACCCACACCCAGGTTGACCTTGTGAGGATTAGGATCTTTGGCGTAGGCGCCGTTCAAAGCGAAGATCTCATCGGGAGCAATTGGGTCCAAGGAATGGGCGACGGATTGAGTCGGGCGAGTGGCGATGGCCTCTGACACTGAGGGCATTGTGCTGGTTTGTGTGGTGGTGCAATTGCAGGGGAGTAAAGAGTAGCACGAAGGTGATGAGAATTGAAGCAGGAAGCAGAGCAGCTTTATATTGTCCTCATCAGGATGTTGCCGTGAGTGAACAATGTCAAATGAAGAAATAATATGATGCTTTCCAGCAATGACTCTTTTGCTGGAAATCACCTCCGATATCGCTGGAGCATTCCATGAGGCGAGTTTGCTCGCATCTCCTGATGCTGGGAAGCTCCCTCATTTATGACATGTCGTGGACTGGAATATGGACTACATACATCCATACATATATATTATGGATGGATTGGACATATATACTGAGCGAAGGTTGCACTGGGTCTCCATTGAACCCGTTTTGGGTTTGAATGCAGGTCTGAAGGTTATTCAGCTTGCTTGTCAATGAATAATAGAGAGATTCCAGCTGGGCATTTAGCATTCATTTATTGATTACTATCATCACATACAATTATTCGATTCTTGCAAATTGACTGAATGCTATCATTAATGTTGACTGTGTAGTAGTATGTACTCCGTTTGCTACGATTTACCTCGGACAGCAACGGATACAACATCCCCAACAAACTGACACTGCCGTCTCTTCGGCAGAGCTACGGAAAATATACTATATACGGAGTAGTATATTATACTATGATCTAATGATAAATTACTCGAGATCTCGACTCTGGGAGGTGCCCCAGGCCGCATTACCAGCGCGTACAGCTGTATGTACCGAAGCCCAGCAGAATGCGCGTAATAATTGTTTTACCGATACCGGGTGCTTTCGGCCAGAGGGATTCTTTTGCTTCTGCATGTTTTCGTTTTGCTTCTTCCTTTCCTCCTTGCTCAACTTCAAAAAGCTGCCTCTCCCCTCTCAATCCGTCGCTGAGTCTCTTGTTCGGCCTCTTGCCACCATCACAAGCAGGCAATCGGCGCAATCATGCTTCAAACGACTTCTTCCTCCCGGGCCGCGGTGCGCCGTACGGTGGCCTCATTGACACATGCTGCCCCGAGACGCTCTTCCTCCGCACTCTCCGCAGTTGTCCGCTTTAACAATGCCCGCGCGTGCTCCGTCCTCTGCACCCCTCGCTCCCTGAGCTCCAATTCTACTCCTCTGCAACGATTTCCCCGTCTCCAGTCCTGGAACGCCTCTTCGATCAAGAGAACTTTTGCTTCTACGCCCAACATGGTACGTCCTGGCAATCCACAGCGGCCGTTGGAACGGTCGGATGGATACGAAACAGATGTCCCTACGTCGGAAGTTGCGCTGAGCTCTGATGCTGACGAGAGCATTCCCCTTATAGGCAGCTGGTACTCGGATAGAAACAGATGCCTTTGGTGAAATCGAGGTAGGTACAGTTCTACATCCTACTACTATGTTCCTATCACACAACCTCTGATCGCATTTGACGTCACACAGGTCCCTGCAGACAAGTACTGGGGTGCTCAAACCCAGCGGTACGGAAACTAGAATACCATCTTTCCCCGGCCATTGCCATCCATACTGACTTAGAACTTCTAGCTCGCTGGGTAACTTTGATATCAACCAGCCCCAGGACCGCATGCCCCCCGCCGTGGTCAGGGCTTTCGGTATCCTTAAGGGCGCTGCTGCTGAAGTGAACATGAAATTTGGCCTCGGTAGGCCCCCTTCATTCCCAAACGACAACCCTTCCATACCGGGATGGATATTAATGGCGCTGCAGACCCCAAGATCGGTCAGGCCATCAAGCAGGCCGCTGCCGAGGTTGCCGAGGGCAAGCTGATGGACCACTTTCCGCTCGTCGTATGGCAGACCGGTTCCGGTACCCAGTCCAACATGAACGCCAACGAGGTCATCTCCAACCGTGCAATTGAGATTCTCGGAGGACAAATGGGTTCCAAGAAGCCCGTCCACCCCAACGACCACGTCAACAGGTCCGCCTCCTCCAATGACTCCTTCCCCACCGTCATGCACATCGCTGCAGTTCTAGAGTTCGAGAACACTCTTCTGCCATCCCTGAAGAACCTGCGCAATGCTCTCCAGACCAAGGTGGAGAAGTTCGAGAAGATCATCAAGATCGGAAGAACCCACCTGCAGGACGCCACCCCTCTCACCCTTGGCCAGGAGTTCTCTGGCTACGTTGCTCAGCTCGACCGCAACATTGAGCGCATCGAGAGCGCCCTTCCCCATCTCCGCCTCCTTGCCCAGGGTGGAACGGCTGTCGGTACCGGTCTGAACACCTTCAAGGGCTTTGACGAGGCCATCGCTGCCGAGGTCAGCAGGATCACCGGTACCGAGTTCAAGACCGCCCCCAACAAGTTCGAGGTTCTCGCTGCCCACGACTCCATCGTTGAAGCCTCTGGTGCCCTGAACACCCTGGCTTGCTCCCTCTTCAAGATTGCACAGGATATCCGTTATCTCGGATCCGGTCCCCGCTGCGGTCTGGCCGAGTTGAACCTCCCGGAGAACGAGCCCGGTTCCTCGATCATGCCCGGAAAGGTGAACCCGACCCAGTGTGAGGCTCTCACCATGGTCTGCGCTCAGGTCATGGGTAACCACGTTGCCGCCACTGTCAGCGGTATGAACGGCCAGTTTGAGCTGAACGTCTTCAAGCCCGTCCTCATCCGAAACCTCCTTCACAGTGTGCGCATTGTCTCCGACGGCATGAACAGCTTCCGAGTCCACCTGGTTGACGGACTGACGGCAAACGAAGGACGCATCAGCGAGCTGCTGCACAAGAGGTATGTCTTCCAATTTATTTCACTGTTTCCTCTATCACTCCAGTACTAACAAATACTTAGTCTTATGCTTGTGACCTGCCTCAACCCCATTATTGGCTACGACATGGCTTCCAAGGTAGCCAAGAATGCCCACAAGAAGGGCATTACCCTCAAGGAGAGTGCCCTGCAACTCAAGGCTCTCAGCGAAGAGGACTTTGACAAGTATGTCCGCCCAGAGCTGATGCTGCACCCCAAGGAGGCCAAGTTGTAGAGATTCGGCAAACAAAAAGTAGGACCACACACAAACACACACGCACACAGTGTAGAATAGGGCATAATAAATCTATATAGCGAAGGTGTTATTTCTGATATTTACTGCAGACAAGGTCGTTCCTACGAGTAATCCTGGATAGAGCGAGTTGATAAAAATAGCGTCAGCATTCTACAAAAGACAGCCGAAAAATGTGCAGCGGGGCGAAGCAATGATTAGAATCCGAACTACGGTAGTGGAATAATAATAGCCAGGAACGACAGCTATTATTGGAACAGCCTTCTGTTTCTCCTTGTTTTGCCTCCGGGCATCTGCAGGACACTGGCCTTAATATCTGACGCCCTCCGCTGCAATCCATGGATTGATTCTCTTCCGCATCGCCTTCTCCCTTTTTGCTTCCCTCGACAACTCCCCAGAGCCATTGGGTTTGCGTCCTATTTCTCCGTCTTCTGCTTTTCCTCAGGTCATCTCAGAAGTTGAATAATCCGGTTTAATTTCGGCTTCATCTGAACCTCGTGTCTCGAAACAACTGCCCCTCATCTCACCTGGAAAGGTCAGACGGAGAAGCAAGCAAAAGGCACCCGACCACAGCCTTGCTCTGTCAATCTCACTTCTTTCGTGTCCATTGTCCTCTGTACTTTTCTCTAATATTCATAACCAACAATGACAAGCCAACCTTTTGTGGACACTGCCGCTCCTGCAGCCAAGCCAGAGCCGACCTCGACCGCAACCTTAAATGGCCATGCCACTTGCAATGGCTCTTCTAAACAGACCTCGAATGACGCCGTTTCGCCCTCCGACGAGACGCCTCTCTTCTCGGACACCCTGATCTCCCCCGAAGTCCTTGCTGCTCTCCCTCCAGACTACACGATCCGTCCATTGCGCCGTTCCGACTACGCCAGGGGTTACTTGGATGTTCTGCGCGTGTTGACCGTAGTGGGCGATATCTCGGAAGATGATTGGAACGACCGGTACAACTGGATGGCCGCTCGAGGCGGCGAATACTTCCTCCTTGTCGTCTGTGACGGAGCCGGTCGTATCGTCGGGACGGGGAGCTTGATCGTTGAGCACAAGTTCGTCCATTCTCTGGGCAAGGTTGGGCATATCGAGGATATTGCTGTCGAGAAGGGACAGCAGGGTAAGAAGTTGGGATTGAGGATTATTCACGCTTTGGATTATATTGCTTCTCATGTCGGATGTTACAAGGTATGTTCACAAGTTTCCTTCTCCGTTCACTCTTTTTTTATCTTTATGGGCCTAGTTAACGCTTTTCTTTTCTTTTCTTTCCATTACAGAGCATTCTCGACTGTTCCGAGGCAAACGAAGGCTTCTATGTTAAGTGTGGCTTCAGGCGCGCTGGTCTAGAGATGGCCCATTACTACTAAAGAGAACCCTGGTGCAGTTACCTCCGACACACCTTTGTTTCCAAACTCCTTGGTTGCACTTTCCTGGTATTTTGGCGTTTGGGGGTTTTACTTTTGAGGCTCGCGGGCCGTCATGATTTGGAGTGATTGAATTAGACGGTCACCAAGATGAGGAACAAAAAGACTTACTCCAAAACCCGGCTGGAGATATAATCGGATTTCCGTTTGAAGAGACAGACGCGAAATTCCTTGCGCATATGATAATTGAACTGCCGGTACTTTCTTGATGGGATTACTTGCCTATTTCCCTTGCCACATTAATATCTTGCCTCCATCGCCTCGAAAGAACTGTATATATCCCAGGTCTCGGGAATATTTCCTTCCCACCTTAATCCTAATATGCTACAATTGATGGAGGACCCGTGCTCGACGGACTTGGATATGGCAGGTGCAGCGAATCTTGGAACATACCAGTCATTTTCTTTCGGCTAGTTCCGTCCTGGGTTCCTGCCACTGCAGAATTGAAAGCTTGTTGCAATTCACTGTCCATTTCCCTTCTTTCACATTGTTGTTCTGGTCCATACAGCCAGTCTCGAATTTTGGTACCCTGTGCTATCTTTATTTTTGGACTGTTATTATTACAAGATAGAATAGAATAGCATACGATTAATAGATATTACTATACGCATTCAGACATGGAGATGTGTACTTCAATGTAGATGACCCGGTTGTCCCTCCAGAGTTCCAAGAAACCATACAGCCTCCACGGGAGTACCTGGTCAGATCCACCTTGACAGTGTTACAAGTCGGCCTTGAAGAGATATGCGGCTGACTACAATCTACTAAGATGACATCGCAAGATGAATATTTGGAATGGGACGTCTGAATAGATCTACCTCGCTTTGAGCAAGTGGACAAGACTCCTAAGAATTTAATTCGACTTTGCATTCCCATTCCATTTTTCAAGAATAAGAGTGCATGTAGAACAGAGTAGTCATTGAACCGGCCCCCCGTTTTGTCTCGACAATCGTATGGATGCATGAAAACCGGATCAGGCTGTAACTCCATCACCCCAGATTAACATTGTATCTTCCATTCCGCAGACTTCCCACTCCATCCAACAACGGCTAGATGACATGGGGCATCGTCGCCCGTATCGATTTCAAATGAAAATCATGAGATCGAAACCGATGGAGAGAAAAGAGAAAACAGGCATGGCTTGTTTAAGAGCCAGGGTTGGGGTTCATCTATAGACAGGAATCGATCAGCTTGTTTTATCACTAGTCATTCTGGTTTCCTCGATTGAGGAAAAAGCCCTCCTCTTCGGCAAGGTATATTATCCGTTCCTTCAAAAAAGAACAGGCAACCCTCGATCATATCATCCCGCCATTTTAAATTGAGATTCAACGCACCTTGCGCTTGCCGCCGGTCAGGGTGACGTTAACGAAGCGGCGGGTGTACTTTAAGCGCTTAATGGCACGGCCCTTGGGGAGCTTCTTCTTCTCCTGCTTCTCGACCTATTATTTGGGGAAAAATTATTATCAGCTTTCTCATCTATGCCAAGGCCATCTCTTGAAAACAAGGCCACTTTAAAGATAATGTCTATCCAGAATTTCGTTTTCTCGATTTCATCCCGTGGTGGATTTTTTATTAGTGGGATAACACACCCTCATCCGAGAGGGCTAACCCACACAACACATCACTGAGACACGAGGGCAAGAAAGGAAAAGAAATAACACACCTTAGGAGTCGCAGACTTGACTTTACCCGCACGGGCGAGAGATCCGTGAACCTTACCCATGGTTGCTGATGTGTCGTTTGTCCTGTCAAGATGGGAGTAAGATGGGAAGTTGGGTGGGAGATAGGGGAGTTGGTGGTGTTGTGGAGAATAATTGGCTGACTCAGCTAACGTGACTTGATGCCTCAGGCGATATAATTTACTTTTCCCTCCTGATTACAATAGCGCAACACCTCAAATTTCTATTTAGATATCAGAACGAGCTTTCTACGTGCTTATAGCACAGGAATTACAATCATTTCAATTGTCTACGAGCGTGGTGGTTGAGAATCGATTGACTGGCTTTGCTGTTGTCGGTTCACAGATTGCATCCGAAACGGGTATCGTCTAGGGCTTAACCCTATCCGGTTAGATGAGGGCTATCGTACCGATACGGATAGATGTAAGGCATCAGATAATAGGGTCCCGTATTATTATCATTAAATCATTCCTTGAGGGACAGATCATAAGAATAATGGATTTTAAATGGAAACTTAATTCATGGGATATATTTGCGTAGATGTCACTTGGGTTTCCGGGCTAATGTTCTGATATTCCTTTTGTCCATTGGGCGCGATTACAGTGGATAATCTACACTTGCTCCTACACGAACAAAGCCGTCATTATCACATCCATTTCCATTTTCTGGTAAATAGCAGGCCACGCGTAGTGATAAGCCTATCTGAGAACCAAGCGGGATGTCTGATCCGCAAGAACCCAACCGCTCGTACGCCGTTTCTTATTTTGAAATGTGTCTTGACGCGGAAACAATTCCAGCCCGGAAATTTATCCGAGTATGCAAGCCCCCTATTCTACACCGGTCTTTCCTTTCCCCTAGCCCCAAGCCAAACCGCCTTCATTCCGTTTAACGAGACTTGGCGGCAACCTTGGGGGCAGCACCCTTAGCACCCTGCTTGCTCTGGATGCGCTGAGCACCACCCTTAGCGGCGTTGGCGGCATTCTTAGCCTTCTCAGCCTTCTTGCGGCTCTCGGAAGCGGCCTTCTTCTCCTTCGCCTCCTTGATGGCCTGCTGGCGGGCAGCGAGACGGGCCTCGGGGCGCATGCTGCGGCGCTCCTTGATCACATCGAGGGAGGCACCGACGACGGCACGCTGGTGCTTGACGACACGGCGAGTACGCTTCTTAGCGACCTCCTGTTTAATGCAAAACACACCCGGTCAGTAAATTGCGAAGTGAGAAAAAGCAGCCTCCATAATATTCTCTCCAAGAACCAAGTCAAATAACCCTTCGACTATTTCCCCAATCCCCACAAAACAGCTTTTTCCTCCATGACAAGTCACAAAGAACTCTCCCATGGAAACCACAATCTCAAAGAGAAAATGAAATAGCATGAAAACGCGGAATGGGTGTGACTGACTTCAGAGATACCCTTCTTGTGCTGACGACGGTAAAGGACGGTCCAGGATATCCGGCGAGGGTTCTTGCGCTGGAGGAAGAGGGATTCGGACTTTCCATTCTGGAAGCGGAAGATCTTGCTGTCGCCACGGACGTACAGCTTACCCTATAGTTTCCCAAAAAATATCAAAGTGTTAACGGCCATCCAGCAAGAAGAGCAACATCTTGTAGACACTGTTCCGACGATTTCGATAGACTCGGATTGGCGTAGTGTCGGATACGGTATGCGGAGGTTAAGGACACACGCACCTTCCCAGGGTAGATCCTCTGACCGCTGAAAGAATCGTCGTAGGTACGCATCTTGAATGTTACAGATGCGCAGCCGGTCGAGACGAGATGTTGTCGGTTGGCGTTGGGTGATTGAGTCGAGTCGGACCTTGCGGCGCGAGCTGGTTCGTGAGACTGACACAATTGTGGTGGTGCGGAGCCTCGCTAAACCTCGCCACGTGACTTGGTCTGCCCTTTGCCGCCAACGTCACCTCTCATCGTCAATGTTGGCTACGAGTTGGTGTACAATTGCTATTATAACTATTTGGAGAAACTTTCATTACTTGTGACAGATCCGTCTATTCTGGTCTAGATATCCGACACCCCCTATGTTGATACACGGAAAACATAGTTACCTCATTGATAATCTCGCGTCATTTCCGTTCCAGCAAGTTCTTCACCATACTCTGTCTCAAGGAAGGTATTCACCTTAACATCAAACCTTGGACCATATCCTAGGCTAGCTGAGAAATTCGAAGACATATTTTCACTCTAGAAGTCATGCCAATTGCAAGGTTCCCATGGATCTGGCTTGCAGTCCTATAATTAATTGTTAGTACTAGCGCTGAGCCGTCAAGGTCGCAACATCAAAGGCTTTCTTAAATACCTTGCATTGAACATCACGGCAGATGTTAGTTGGGCAAATACCAGAGCAATCTGGGCACACACGCCTTCCGCAGCCTCCAAGTATTGAGCACAGAGAGAACGTACTCATGTCCTTAACCTTGGAACCAAAACCTTCTATGATTTGGACAAGTTCCGCAGCAGCAGCTTTGTCACAGTCAGAGCTCGACTTAGCCATCTTGCGTCGTGCTTCTTCATATACACAGCACGCGATGCTGCAGACGGGGCATTTGCCGAGACAGTGAGCACAACGTAAATTCCTGCTGTTCCAAAGTCTCTCGTCGCCGACTCTACGTGGACCAGTAACATATTTCGAGGACAACAAGAGGACCTGAGTTCCGGTTTCTTTGCGGATATCTTCAATCTTTTGCCGTTATCAGTAGACTTGAGTTGGTAACGTTTCAAGAATAGTGTACTTACTGTCTTCGGAAGAACGTTGCCCTCTTCCTCGATGAGAGAATGCTGATCCTTGAAACTAAAACTACTTCTAGACAGGCTGCAAGAATCATCAGACTTGGAGAATTTGTCATTCTCTTCGTCGAAAGCAGCCTCAGAAGAAGACTTGTCACTGTTCAGGCGGCTGGTGTCCCCGAATTTAGTCAACAGATCAACTTCATAGCTGCCGCGCTTTTTGTGTTGCTTTCTCAACCATTTGTGAACGTGTTTCTTCTTGGATTTCGCAGACTTTTCGGACTTTACGTCTCCGTCAGCAGCCTCGGGATGGCGAGCAACGTCTTCGTCAGACAAGGGTCTGACCCTGAACTCTTTCTTGCCTTCATCTGAAATACTCTGTTCATAACGATCGAGGTCGAAGAATGCGTAATCTATTGGCATACTCGTTAGTCACCTAAGGTATTAGTGTGGGTTATTCGAGATCAACCTACCACCAGGGGATCTGATATATTTGATGACTTTATGGGACAAATGAGACATGGCTGGCTTCACGCTTGCGGGGCCTTTGGGCTTCGCGTCCTTACCCTGAATGCTGAGCGATTCAATTTCAAAAGAGCTCTCTTCCTTGGCTGGGCTCTGCGGTTTCTCGCAAGCGGTAGGATCATTCATTGTGACTCCTTGTTCGCCAGAAACCTTTGTCTCACACGAATCTCCAAGGGACAAGGCCACATTCTCGGCCCCTCCCATGTCGAACGCGGTTTCGAGTTGCTTAGAGAAAGACTCGAGTTCAGCACTACTCGAGGAGTCAGTTTGACTTACTAAAGCAGTTCCAGCTGAAAAGTCAACATGACGCTGTGTGCTGGTGACTGGCCCAGATTCAAGAGAGGGAAGGATGGACTTTAATTGAGGTCTGGGAAGAATCAGCCGCGTTGTGCTGTTGTGTGGATGGGAGTTTTGCTGCTCTTACCTGACAATATGGGCCCTATGAATCTCTTTGAGCCCCTTAGTATGTTTCTGGATCATTTCTTCATCTTATTTTCCTTCACTTCCTTTCTTAATGCAAACTTGTGCAGAGGCTCAATGAGAACCCATACAAAAAAGCATGGGCAAGGAGATTGTACCAGCAAGGATGAGCTATGTTTGTGAGCCCCGCGTGACAAAGTCTAGGAATGCTCTATGCTGGTGCACTTCACTCATGTCCAGTGAATGGCAGCTTGAAGGGGCTCATCAAGTCTAGTATTTATCAGCAATGCTAACCCCAATGTCTTGAATTTTGAATCTTATCCTTAACAGTACTTCAGTACTCTTTACAATTATCTACAGCTTGTCTCTTACATGTAGGACAAAGCTAGACCGTAACCTTAGCTTTAGGTTCTCAGCTCATGTAGTTTATATAGACAGCTTTCATTCTTGTCAGTGAAATACTAGATATCACAAATGCCAGTTCTGGTACAAAGAGGGTTTAGCATTTCTACTGCTTCCTTTCAGCATCTCTTGGAAATAGTAAATGCCTTCAAGTGCATCACCAGGCTCATTATCTGATGGGAAGACCACCAATCCACTGGTAATCTTATTGCAGGTTAATGTTAGATATAAGCACGACAGTGCCAATACTACGAGTTGCCGCCCTGAGTATCAAAATGAGTTTATCGGAAGATTGTCGGGTCTATTGAACGAAAAGAAAAGTTCTGGTCACGCACTGATGAAGGGATATATAAAGCCCTTCAGAGCAGCCCCGTATACCTGGCCAGAGCGAGGCCGCCAGTTTCTATGCAGATCCCCTGGAAATGAGCCATGTCTATTGAAACGCATCGGACGACGGGAAAACGAACCGAAGAGGCGGAGCTGTTTATATTTATAAATAGGAAATGGAAGAGCTTTTCTCATCGTCCAATTAAAGAACTGGATGCCTGTAACTCTCCCAAATACAGATACCTAGAACGCCTGTCGTAACCCTTGGGCTTGACATTCAGAATACCGCCTTCCTCCACGGTCACATTCAAAAAGATGGCTCCATAACTCATGCAATGGCGAATCAATCGGATCTCCAAAATTTTAGGACATAGCATGGGTTCTAGTCCATTCCCTCGCCGTCTGTATAGCGGCCGGCTCATCCTCCTTCCAACGTTGAGCAACATCATTCGCAAGTGGATCATCGGGGTTAGGAGCTCCTAGTAGAGCCTGGATCGAGAGCAGGATGGTGCGGATCTGAAGAGCAGGAGACCAATTATCTTAGAGAAATAGAGTTAGCCTGAGACTAAAACAAGCGGCCCTTTCTCATCACGAGTGCCAGCAAACACGGGAGCGTATATTATCGTTACTTTTCAAAACGTCCAAACAGATTCTACCGAGTCGATCAATATTAGGGTGGTAGATCTTAGTCAAGAAACGGATTTTGGGGGGAGTCATCGGATAGTCGTCGGGTAAAAAGAGCTCGAGTCTAAATATTCCTCCTACACCAATGTCAGTTATTTACCAGAAGAACCTCGCATTGTGTTCTTCACCTTCATATGGAGACTGTGCCGGCCCATGAATACTAACGTCGAAGTAGCGTAGGTTGTCTTCATGAGGTACAGCACTGATCCCCGGGACGCTTGAAGGCGTCAGCAAAAGCATCCCACAGTAACCGCTTCTAGCCATCTTCTTCAATAACTTACGGTTCCGCCATGAGGCGTTCAGTCTCTTTCACAATCCTCTTGGGCAAGGCCATCGTTATTGAGTTTAAAGAGATACCTGTAACCACGATCAAACTCGAAGTGGTGGGGCGATCCCTATCAAAGATGTAACTATGGGGGCTCGGATATGATGATGGGTGATGGTTAAGGGTGCCTGCCCTAATATAGAGGTTTGCGGACAATTTCGAGATGAATTCGCAGGATCGATAAAAGGTGAAACAAAAGAGACAGCAGCAACAATCCGGCGAGGAGCATATCACTGACCGGAAGAGGGGCACTACTGGACGGGTGGCCACCGCCTTCCGTAGCAAGATGTCTGTCACATGACCGCTCTGGAGGACCCCAAATCGCCGAGTCCACCTGCAGATGGCCTTGGACACGCTGTGCTCCCTTGGAGGTAAGTCCCGAAGGCCTTTGGGTGATCTCGTGTCTTTTCTGATTATTGTCCAATGTAGTGGTGACTTGAGACACCCTCGCAAGTGAACTTCCAGACGATACACGGTTGATATCTAACAGACTCCACAAGACGTTCGATACTTAACTAGTCGCTAATGACCGTCTGCTCAGGATTTCTCTACGTCACCCGGTTGTCGAGGAATCTCTGAATACAGCGAAATGGGAGTATCGTGCACTGTCCAGAGCCACGCACTCTTACCTAACTACACATGTGACATATTGAGGCATAACCGCCTTCCAAGGGACCCTTGGAATAGCAGTTGCGAAGCAGGGACTCGGGAAGTGTTCTCAAGAAGCAAGGAGCTCTTCCCAGCAAAATGCCAAGGTCTGTGGAGCCAAAGCCGTTGACGTCGGCCTTCGAGAGCCCGACTTTCGGAGAGGATAGCTCGTTCCATGTGGATCAGCCCGTCGGCTCTATGTCAATATCACCGTGTGGTCGAGATGTCGTCTTAGCATCAAAGGAAGGCCTTCATGTGATCGATCTTGATTCGCCATACTCACCACCGCGATATCTTCCCCATCACACGCCATGGGAAGTTGCAGACGTTCAGTGGTCGCCATTTGCGGCTCGCGACTATTGGGTAGCCAGTACGTCCAACCAAAAGGCATTGGTATGGAATTTAGCAATGAAGACCGGCAACAATTCCATAGAGCATGTATTACATGCCCATTCTCGGGCTATAACCGACATTAACTTTTCAGCGCACCATCCGGACCTCATCGCTACCTGTTCCGTTGATAGCTTTGTCCACAGCTGGGACTTACGGACACCTTCCCGCCCAGTTATTTCATTTTCCGACTGGTTTGCGGGCGCAACTCAGGTTAAGTGGAACAGGCAAGATTCCCATGTTATCGCTAGTTCACACGACAGGTTTCTCCGGATATGGGATAACAGAATGGGTGCATATCCAATACGGTCCATCGAAGCCCACAGCACCAAGATCTACGGTGTCGATTGGAATAGAGTTCGACCCGGTGCTCTTTTAACTTGTTCGCTCGACAAAACCATCAAGTTTTGGGACTACACTGTTGAAGGTGATGTGCCGGAGAAACTCATTCGGACGCCTTTCCCAGTGTGGCGTGCAAGGAACACACCGTTTGCGTGGGGAGTCCTAGCAATGCCCCAAAGAGGCAACAGTGATCTCCATTTGTACAGCCGCAGGGCCGGAGAGGGCAGCAAGCCTGAGGAAAATCTTCCCCTCGTCCATAGCTTCCCAGGACACAAGGGGCAGGTGAAGGAATTCCTCTGGCGATCTCGTGGAGGAATTGAGGATGGAACTGACCATAGGGAATTTCAACTCGTTTCCTGGGGAACAGATAAGGAGCTCCGTTTGCACCGGGTTGACCCTGACATTCTGCAGCGCGTCGGATACGAGAAGGGAAAGTCTTTCATATCTAATCTAAACCTCACTCGCCAAGGTGCGGTTTACAAATCATTTCGCGATGAAAGTGGTGACCAGGAGTTTGATGATATTGAACCTGCTCTATCATCGAGCCCCAATATATCTAGAGGTGGTGTAGGCATGAACACGATATCGGTACCATATGGTCGTACTTGGACTCAAAGGGGCAACGTTGACTCGAGAGTCGGCATGCAGGGGAGGTCGAACTTCAGGGCTGATACTAATCCTATATCCTGGATGCGTGGTGTGAAAATATCTGGATGGGATATTGAAACTCTTGGGGATGAGATAACCCACGTTGGGGAGAAGTTTACAAAGGTTGCTTTTGAGTCAGTTGATGTTAGACAACGGAAAGCTACAATCTCTCTTCATGGGCCATGGGGAACAGCTGGCACGTCCTTATTCCTGAAAGTCGACATAAGGTTCCCCAACGACTATCCCAGGGCCGCTGCTCCAGTATTCAGCGTCCAGAAGACGACAGCTGTTACTGACCAGCTATCCTCGAAACTTATCTCGGAGCTCCGGACAATTGCGGAGACGTATCTTTCTCACAAGCGAGGTTGTCTGGAGGGAGCCGTCCGTTATCTCTTGGGAGAATGCAGTATGGAAGAGAGTGTCTCATGGATCCTCGGCGAGTCTGGAGATATCGTCAGATCACCTGTCAATGGGGAAATAGGCGGTGATGAATCGAGCGATGAGGACGATGTTGGCATGTCTCAAAGTCAGGATCTAGCAATGAGTTCCGAATTATCTCGGCCCATAAACGCGAACGCCATGGTTCCTGTTGCGAGGGTTTGTGGTGCATTTTGGGCGAATGATGGTCGTCTTGTGTGCTTCTTCCCTCCTAAAAAAGATAAATCTGCATCTTTCCTAGAAGACTTGGGTTTCAAAGAGATGACCAGACTGTCCAGAGGTGATAAGGTTTTTGAAGGATTCGGCCGTCTACAGACAAGCTCTCCAGAGCCACAAGTGACAAGTACGCTAGAGAGTACCGACGATGGCGCTTCTGATTACTCCGATGATTCTTATACAGACTCTTCAAGTTCATCAGGATCGTCTGACATATTATCAGGGTTGCCACCGCGTCTTCCCGGACCCCAAACCTGGCGCAGTGCTGGAAGTTTTGGACTACACCGACTACGGTCTACTGATAACTCTCAGAGGTCAGTTCCTGGTGCTCTTACAGCCAGATCATCCGACACCCCACATAATGTGTTATCAATCCACAATCTAAGCAATTTGCTACCGGCGAAACGCGAACTGGCGAGCAGATATCGCATTTGTGGCAAAGGGGCTGAGGTTTGTGCCCATAATGCAGCAGTGGCCCTCGATGCTGGACACCATGACCTAGCCCAGATTTGGGGATTAGTTAGGCAAATATTACATGATCGTGTATCTGTCGAACGTTTGTCTAATCCAAATTTGTCGGGGCGTCGTCAATCAACGCAGATACGGAAGAAGGATAGCGCAGTGGATCTAAGCTACGACCTTCGTGACGAAGACGAATATTCTAAGACTGCTGCAAGCAACGTCATCCAATGGGGAAGTCATCCTTTCGGCGGTTACTGGCTTATACCCTCCCTCTTTGATCATTTCGAGCGTATCGGCGATGTTCAGATGGTCGCGATGCTTTCTTGCGTCCTCCATCAATCAAAACCAAGGAGCTGGTCAACAGCAAGGCGGGTGAAACAGCAGCGACAGGGCTCCTCAGACTTCTTCTCCGCTGTTCCGCTCACACAAAATAAATCATCTCAAGCCGCGGCACCTCTCATTTCTTTCCCTAAAGATAAACATGACACGTTTACCACTAACACCTCTGAACGTTCTTCTACTGAGATTTTGCGTGATTCAACTTCTGCATACTCAACGGGGACAACTCTATCTTTCGCATCTCGTCCTGGTGGCATCATTGCGGAACGAAAATCGCACAGTCATAATACTTCAATCGCAGCTTCTCCCGACCAGCAATCTCAACCGCGAAGCGGGTCTGGATTTGGATCTGTCCTTGCATCTTCCCTTTCTCGTTCTTTCACCTTCGGACCTTCATCAGCGTCGCCGCCGACGAACGCTTTTCATAGGAGCAAAACTGGTCTAAGTGAGAGTCCTAACACTACGACCGAGTCTGTGATATGGACATCCCATGCAAGGCCTGTGGATTCCATGGCCAGCTCGGCTGTTGTCACTTCACATACGTCACATACTCACTCGGATTCTGGGAGTGAGAGACCCCAGCAACCTGAAAAGGGGTCAGCCAAATTCAAAGTTACTTTCAAAAACCAAGAGCGTTTCGATGATGATGGGCCCTCCTACAATCCATGTCCTGGGATTCCATTCCTCGATTCCAAGGAAGGCTGGTTGTACTCGTCATATTGCGCAGCATACGCGGAGATGCTAGCCATGTGGGACCTGCCAGTGCAGCAGAGCGAAGTTCGCAAAATCGGTGGGCTACTTAAATATCTTGCTGACGGGCGTAAAAGTCGTTGGCATCGCCGTCCTTCAAAGGAGTCATTGTCTCTTTCCCCACCCAAACACCGGGACTCCACACCGGTTGCTATCGAGTCGGAGAACCAAGCGCTGGACATTCAACGTCATTGCAACAGATGTGGCCGCGCGCTTCGAATCTCCATCTTCTCGACATGGGCTTCTGCGTCGCCTTCGCTCCTGAAACGATCTGATAGAAAGGCCTCGGCTCCAAAGTGCCCCGCCTGCGATCCCAGTCAGCCACTATCCATCAGACCAGCCTGCGTTCTTTGCGGCGAAGTTGTAGAAGGAATGCTCGTTCCTTGTCTCAACTGTGGGCATGTAAGTTGTTTTGAGTGCCACCAGCGGTGGTTTTTGGCTCATCCTAGTCCACCAACTGATAGAGATGATGCTGGCGATATCCACAGCCGTGGGCGAGATTTTCAATTTTGTCCGACCGGGTGCGGCTGTAACTGTACAGAGCATATGGTGGTAGAGGTTACAACTCCTCGAGATCCTCGGTCACGTCGTCCAGGAAGCGAGGCTAGTTCTCTTTATGCCAGCCATAGCCCTCAGAACAAACCTCAAAGCCGTCGGTCTGGGGCAGCATCGGTTAGCGACCGTTCAATCAAGGTTGAGGCGACTGAGGATCTGAAGGGCTGGCACAACTCCCCTTTCGCATCACTTGCAAGGGGACTGGGCGGCGGTCTCAGCCGAGGCTTACGTCTGGAAGATGACAAGAGCAAATCAAGAGCTGGAACTAACAGTGTGTCCGCCAGCAGGAAGCCTTCTTTGGGCCAGATTGCGACAAGGTGATTGACACCACTGCAATATTCTGTTTAGACTTCAACTTGATAGTGTTTATTCTGGGGGTTCATTTAGAGATCATGGCGCATCTCCATGTTCTTGCATAGCTTGTTGGGCATTGTTTTGTTGCGCTGCTTTTGGCATTACTTAGACAAATGTTATTCAGAGCGTGTATGAGTAACAGGTATTCGCATCTACAGCACGCCTTGATATCACAGATATCATATCTTGTTCTCCTTTTTAACCCAGATTTGGCCTTTTGACATCATAAATCTAGGCGCCTGGATTTATTGCATCCAACAACATTACCCCCTCCCGAGAGTAATAGCTGTCCGATAAGTCCTGAAGAATTATCAAAGGATATGATTGAGTCAGACTCTTCTTCGGTTATGACTGAGTGTCACAGTCCTTGTTACGACTCTGGTGGACCGGCGCTTCAAGCCCTTCTCCTTGTTTGAGATTGCGGGTAGATTTTGGACATATTCTGCGTCCAGCTTCACTAGATCGCTCCGGGATGTAGTAACGACCTCCGGTCAACAGTGCATATCCACAGAAGTCCTCTCGCTACATTTCAATCTTAGTATTGATCTCCCAGTTTCTGTAGTTTTAAAGTCTTCGGAACGACAAAAAGTCCCATTGCCTCAGTGCAGATCCTCCCAGTGAAATCCCGCACTTCAGTTTTGGTGTAGGCCTTGCGTTCCGTGCTGTTTTCCTGATCTATGGTCGTATGTAAGGTGTAGAATTGTTCGGAGAACATAGGACGACGGTAATTAATCTCAAGATTTGCGGTAACACCGGTCTTTTCAGGGAAATGGCGGATAGCTACACGGCCCAGGTTCTCATCGATTAGGGTAGCTATAGCGCCTCCGTGGATAACAGTCGGCCAACCTTCAATAGCCCGTCCAAGAAATACGACGCTAATAGCTTTGTTCTCCTTTTCATTCCAGAAGATTTTCTTGATTTAATCTGAGGTCAGCAAACCAGACAAGCAAAAACTGGAACCTTATTTTAAGGCCGGGGTGTTGGGTTCAGGGAGGGAATATGCAAACCTGTAACGCCAGTCCTCCGCTCCCACGTAATGGGCCAGATGTCAACATGTGTTTCTTCTCTTCCTCCGTGAAATTCCCGTATGCATCTGATTCCACATAGTCTGGATTATCTCTCAGGTCACGGACGATGGGCAGAGCGTTCTCATAGAAGCTGTGAATACGTGCAATTTCCCGCCTATCTTCCTCTGACCCAGGCACTGGAGGAGCGGAGACTTTATAATCCATCCATTGGCCAGCTGCAAGACCCAACCCTCCGAATATCCCGGCATAGATCAGACGTCGCGGCCATTTCGAGGGTTGTTGACTCGAGCTGCTCACCGTTGCGGAACTATATGGCCTGCGAGGAAAAGGTAGTCTGGATGCAGTCTTGGGGTGCAATCGGGTTGCACGAGAGTAAAATTGTAATCGGATAAAGTTTCCAGGACCGGACATGGTGATTATATTCCAATTCGACAAGGATGCGCAGCAATTGTTGGTGCCGCGTTGGAATAAGCTCGTCGAAACATGGAGAGGCAGGTCACGTGGTGATTAAGTAGATGCCGAGGGACAAAAGCCAGAGAAGCCTGAGGCCAAGTAGTAGCCATTCGAACCTTCTGAAACTATAGATATACCACGGGATTCTGACTACGAACTGCAAATGACCCATTATCCCGCATCATGAGTTGATATAGCACGAATCATGGAATGGTATTCCTTGATATCGTTATGTGAAGGAAGCCAGATATATATATATATATGACTGGTCCATGGCCCAGACTACAAACCACTCAACCCAGTAAAGAACATATATATATACCTTCGGCAATGACTACTAGTAGTGCCTGCAGGGCATTGAAGATAGCATGGTAAGCGAGATAAGGTAGGAAGCCTTGGTTGATGAAAATTAACTATGCCATAATTCGTCCAACGGTCATATTCTTAAGATTCTTCGCCTTGAACTCTGGCTGAGCCTTATAGAGGGAGAACCGCAAAGCTCTGGAACATCGCATCGGCGAAGATTGATCAATTTCCCACACAATCTCCACCATTAAACCGTAGGTAGGTCGATAGCGCGGTAGAGAAGAATCAGGGCGGAATGGGATTCGCCTAAAGAAAAGATGTAATGTTAGCATGGAAACTTCTCATATACAGGTAGAAGAAATGCCTTACCACCGCCGGCGAGAGTTTCGATCTTTTCGGCCTCCACTTCAGTAACCTTGTCATCATTGAACCACCACCACTTTCCGTCTTCCTCGCGTCTCTTGCCGCCAGGTGCACTGGGGTCATCCACAAGCTTGCCTTCTTTCTTCACATACGCTGTGTAATGGCCACTGTCAGCACTAGCACCTTGATGGGTGATCACTCCGCGCAGTTCGTAAAGGCCCGACTTGTTGGCCCCTGAGTCTGTGGAAAGCTTGGAATCAACCAGCACAGAGAGCTCCTTTTTCGCCGCCAGAACAGAAGCTACCCTTTCGGCCTCGATTTCCGCATCCGACTTGAAAGCATCTGCTGCTGCCGCCGACTCCCCGTCTTTAACTTTGCCTTTCTCAGCATCCTTGCGCTCTTCGATCTCCTTCTTTTGCATTGGCTCCAGGCCCACAGACTCAGCCTCCGCCTTCTTTTCTTCCTCCCTTGCATGTGAGATCTTTTGGCGCTTGCGAGCACGTTCAATATCATGCTCATCTTTGCGAATTTCGCGCACCTTATCTCTGATAGGGATCAATTGCCCTTTAAGTTCCTCGGTACAGAACTCAACTGCATCCAGTTCGGCAGGAAACGTCACCTTGCGCATGATCTTTGCCTTCTTCTGAGTCTCGCGCTTCCAGAAAAATCGAACAAAATGGACGGTCAGATACTTGGGCAACCGGGAAACGCGCGAACGCCTTGTGTAAACGGCATTTCGATCGAGCGTAGGGGAATGCTTCTCAATTTTCTCCTCAAGACCTGCCATTATGCCATCGTTAAGATGGTTTGTCTCTTTACCGATGTGGCAGTCCAGCTTGAAAAAGACATCGGAAGTCACTGATGGTTTTTCTCCAGCTTCCTTAGCCGCCGGCTCGTCGCATTCAGTGATGGACTCGAATTTCCCAGCGAGATATTTGTCTACGAAAGATATCCCAGTCACGGATTCCCCTTCCCCATCACTGACCTTCAGTTTATTCCGGAGCTGGTTCATGATTTGCGACCACGCTTCTTCAGCATCTTGCTGGGCGTAGCCGTGGCCATTTCTGTCTCTCTGCGCGAACTGAGGAAATGAATTCCTAAGGGCATTTAGAAACATGATAGGCGGGATCCCCTCCTGCGTCTCGGACATCTGTTTGAACAGGTCCCGTAAAGATGCAGTGAGGTCCATAGAAGCACCTAGACCACTGAGACCAAAGCTGCTAATATCTGAAAGGCTAGTTGATGCGAGAGAATCAGGTGCAGGCTTATACTTCTGGAGCTCTTCCTGAAGTTCAGGAACGCTCCTCAGCGTTTGCAGGGTAGAATTAAGGTAGCAAGTATTCCCAAGATTCTGCAGACCAGAAGGAATAGCTCCATCTGCCTTCGCAGCCTCAGCTTCTGTCATGTCCTCCAAAAATTTCACCGCATCCTTCGGCCGCCCAAGGTCCGCAGCGCCTTGACCAGAAGGCGTGCCCATCATCATGAAAGTCTGACCCGGTTTCGCCTTCAAGGAGGACAGAAGGGTATCATCTTTGAGCTGACCACCTTTTACAAGAATCTTCTGACGTTCTGGCTCGACACCAGTCAAGGAGTAAAGTTGGTATTTGAAGGTCTCGCCGTTCGACGTCGGGTCGAGTTCGACTTCATAGCGTTTGCCTTGGTGTTTCACGATGACTGTATACATCAGCAACCATCTCCAAAAGCAGCTGCAAAACAAGTAGATGCTGTACCTGGTATAGAGGCCATTTTGGAAGTGATTTCGGGAGAGACAAAGGACACCTGGTTGTTTTCGAAGACGTATCACAGCAGTGACCCAGGATAAGCTCATAAACAGAGCCGCCACTCCAGAGCTGTTTGCTTACTAACCCTAGCAAAGTGGGATCGCCAGTGCAAACAGTGCAAACATCACCAAGCATCCCTCCCTATCGCAATGGCCAGAGACCGCTAGGCAATACGTTATAAGATCAGCAGCAGCTGTTCAGGTAGCACTCGAGCCAAAGCGCATTTTGTGTCTTTTGAATTACCTTCTGGGTGGTCCATTGCGAATACCACTACGAGTCCCCAATATCCCGATATCTGTTTATCTTCTTGGACCCCCATTGGGAGAGAAGGTGACGTTGACCGGTTCCGCTGCGGAGAGCAACGACAGTTACCCTCGGACGATACACTTCATTATGGTATGCCAGACTGCCTGGTAGCAGCGTATACTTGAGCTAATCTCCTTAGTCCCAATCGCTGCGACCATATCTCCAATGTGTTAGATCGTCTTTGACCGCCGCCCTCGCGGTCTCGAACTTCGCTTCTCAGACGTCGGAAAGACACAACGTCCCGGAGATTGAGGCCGCCAGCTCCCCAGAAGTTCTCCTTAACCCCCTGACGATTTCTCGTAATGAGAATGAGAAAGTTCTTATCGAACCTAGCGTGAACAGTGTTCGCGTTAGCATCCGAATAAAGCAAGCGGACGAGATTGAGCATATCCTGGTACACAAGTTCACGAGGTTCTTGACGCAGCGCGCAGAGTCCTTTTTCATTCTGCGACGGAAGCCAGTAAAGGTTTGCTGTTTTTAAACCTCCTACTAAGTGTTGTTGAGAAGGCTAATGGTAAGAAGGGTTACGATATTTCCTTCCTTATCACCAACTTCCATACGGAAGCCATGTTGAAACACAAACTGGTCGACTTTATTATCCAATTCATGGAAGAGGTGGACAAGGAAATTTCAGAGATGAAACTTTTCGTACGTCATATGGAATTCCCCTTCTGGCCACTGGTAATGGCGGTACACGTATTGAGCATGCTAATGCTTCTTTTAGTTGAATGCACGTGCTCGATTTGTTGCGGAATCCTTCTTGACACCAGTAAGACACTAATTTCACCTTACTTTTCTTTTCTGGTCCTCTTTTCTGACGATAGAGTATAGTTTGACTAAGTTCTGCCTTGTCTCACATATGTTTGGCTGCGGATGTCCCTTGCTATTGAACTCCCCTGCAAGCTGCAAGCTGTTTACGTTGTAATAAGATTTCGCAATTTGCGACCTGGCATAGCTTTCATTTCCTCCTAGCTGAATTTGCTTCCCTAAGCCTCAATTCTGCTTGTCTCGCAGTTGTGTTGCACCTTCCATCGTTTGCAAGGGCTACATGAGCCTAGCGATAGCAAATGTACGCAGTGGAGTATCAATGGGGTGCTGTCTCTGCATAGTTCTCTGCACTTGACACCCGAATCTTTAACTTACACATACATATTTGTCATGATATTAGGCTAAGAATAGGGCTAGGAATGGACTTAAGTTCTACTTTGGCGCAAATGACTGTCTATTTTTATCCCCGTACATGGTATAACAGGAAAAGAGGACCTCGAGTTCCCAATCAATATCACCTGGACAAATCCTCACACAGGCTGACGCTAAAGCCCAGTTTGACAACTCAGAAATAAGGCTTCCGTGCCAGATTCTATAGGAAATAGAGAACAGAAAGAAGTTGATATTGAAAGTGAATAAGTCCTGACCGGGCATTTCTCGATGGAGAACGAGCTCCACCAGCTTGTTGCTAAGTCCCGGAATCGACTTTGCAGACTACTACTCTCCTGCCCTGCCTTTCCTTTGTCTCCTTTATGCATCAGCCAGCTCTTAGCGATAAAAAGATATTGACCACCTTGAGTAACAGGCAGCGCTTTTTCTTTTCCCTTTTCTTTTTCTTCTTCTGCATGGTACCATACCTGCAAGTTCATCAATACAATAGCCTTCATTTCTGTTTTGACTCCACAGTCCTGTCATCGACTAAATGGATATTGATTAGTGACTTCACCACGAAGCATTGAATGGGAGAGAGCATGGGCGCCCCTCTTTTCAATCGCATCCAACAGGTGGATACAATAGGCAGGTCAGTGAAGTAACAGTCCCCCTCCGTGCAGTGAGACTGGAATGGACAGACATATATCCCTGGTAATCTGCTATTTCTCAGTCATCTCAACTCCCTCCCCTCCTCATCGTCCTGCCTTACTTACCTGTCAACCGTGAATTCTGCATACTAAGCTGGTTTAAAGGCTCTCCTTCAGTCGACAATGGAGTTCAAGCGTGGGAATCCTGCTTTTGCAGGATATGAGAACTCATATCCTTATAACAGGCAGCCTGCTCCTACCGGCTTTGCGAAGACTCCTGTGTCTCACGCTGTGTCTCCAGGTCCTCAGTATCTTCAGGACCCGTGCCCTCCCCCAGTCCCTCTTCCACCTCCAGGAGCCGACTTAATGGCTACTCACTTCCCTTCCGCTCAGGGTAGGAGACCTGCACTGGTTGATCCTACGGGCAAGATTCACATCCTTCCGTCTCATCCCTTCTCAACTCCAAGCCGTAATTCGCCAGTGGGTTCAAAGGAGGACTCTAGGATTGTCTCACCTTTAGCTCACCGCATTGGACGCCTGACCCTGGATCATTTGAAGAGACTTGAGTCCGAAAATGGTGCTGGTAATGCTGGTAACCCATCTCAGGGCCCTGTCTTGATCCCTGATGCCGCAAAGAGCATGGATACAGTTGCATTGCCTAGTGAGATGCCGATTGGCAGCTTGGTCCACCTCCAGCCTCCTCCTAAATGGGGCGTCTTGAAGATCTCCAATGTAGGTTAAATTTTTTCTCGAAAGCTCTGATTGACAATTTGGACGGCTTGCTTATGCTGAACAAGATTCCTTATTCCATCACCAAGCTGGAGATCAACCAGTTCCTTGGTCGACAGGCACGCCTTATCTCCCCTGAAGATGGCTGTGCTGTTCATATAATTATGGAACGACCTACAGCCAAAACAATGGACTGTTATGTCGAATTCCAGACTCCTAATGATGCCAAAGATGCCGTAACTCGTATCAACAAGATGCATGAGACAAGTCGCATTCCCCGTCTGGGTAACCGCCACATAGACGTGGAACTAAGCAGCCAGGATGCTCTTTTGAAGGATTTGTTCCCACGTGCTAAATGTCTTCATTGGAAAGATGGTGTTCCTTATGTCCTAGAGAATACCGATCCATATTCTACTGGCTTCACTGGATTCTTCACTAGCGAAGAGATTGTTGGAGCTATCCGTCATGCAGAGGTGCCTCATCGTGTAAGCATTTATTCTCTGTTCCCCTGCAATCTGATTTAGCAAGAAATGGTAATGATTAGTTTTCTGGAAAGTCTCCTTTTTGCGCCAAATGTCCCCAGAGGACATATGAAAGTTCGATCAGCACGCTCTACAAGGTGAGTCAATTGGACTGCTTATCCAGCACCTTTTTTTTTCTCACATGTCACTGCAGTTCCCTTGGTATGCTACCAAGCTCTACACGGTTCATGACCGTAACTGCCTGTTCGAAATGGTCAATCGCCAAATCAAGGCCTTGGTTGCTCGCGTTAAAAAGTCCAATACCGTTGGCCTTGACCAAAGGTTGTTACGAGATCTTCTTAAGGCGGGATTAAGTTGCCCTGCGTTCAATGACCGCCAAAAGTACACTCTTTGTGTCAATTCAGAAGAGCTGAGCGAGATACTGAAGTTCGATATGGGGAAGTGGTTCCCGTTTGATTCCTTGGTCAAAATGCCCAAGCATGACGATCGAACACTCATGGTATGACTTTCATCCATTCTGAAACAATGCGGATGCTAATTGTTTCCTTCGATAATTAGTATTATGCAGGTTTGATCTCCAACGGACCCATCCAGAATTTTGAAACAGTAGATCTGCCGAACAACTTTCCTGCAGATACCGAACTCAAATCCCCGTATGGATCTATTTGGCTCGAATGGGGGCTGGAAGCATCAAAGAGAAAAGTCTGGGATGATGCTGTCCAGCAAGAGGTGTACATTCTTAGCAGTCTCGTCTTGGCTGGCTGGATAAAGAACTATGGTGACGAAGAGACAGCGAAACTCCCTGTTCCGACTCAGTCTGACGCAGCCATCTCGACCAGCGGCGACTCGGAAAACAGCGATGCTACCGTTCCCCCCAATGGAGCCCATTCTAGTGCTTTGGGCCAAGCGTCCCCGTACCAGGACAGTATATTTGCAACTCCATCGCGTTGTGCAAGCGATAATCAGGTCCTCCGCCGTCCTTTCTTCGGCGAGAGTGCATCCAGGCTTAACCCAGGGCTCTTTATCCGCCCGGTTACTAGACCTCAGAGCAGACCCTTTACGCATCGTAACACCTTGTCGTCCCCCACTTGTCTTCCGTCTTCTAGTGATCCCTTTTTCAACTAGGGACCGGATTCTTCATGTTCCAGTCACTTTAAGTGGCTCTTACATTCTTCATTGGCTTTTTCCTTGGCTTTTCTTTGCGGTTGTTGCGGAAAGTCGCTCTGGTTAAGGTAACCGGAACCGTACGTGGCCGAAATACTGTCAAGGCCAAGTGCATTTGTTTCGATCCGATCACTGCAAGGCTGCCCTGGTTTGTATCTTGGCTTCCTCTACAGCTGGCTGAAGGAATTCTTGGTACTGGCAATGCGTTGCGGAGATTGGAATGGGTTGTTTTGGCATTGAACGCTGTGACTTTCTGAAATTTCTCACAGGATACTACAATAATCACCGGGTTAAATGCTCGTATCAGCTTCCGTACGTCTTCTTGCAGGAAATGGATCTGGGAGGAAGGGAGTTAATTCTTTTTTAACAATAAGTAGTCAACATAATTTTCATAGTAAGTCGCCTATCCCCCCCAGCTCGTCTCCTTCCGTCCTGTTTCCACCCTCTGTTTTTCCTTGGGCTTCGAAAAGAAGTTTCTTCCTCAAAAGCCCCTCTGCCATCTTCCTTTCTCTTCGTTTCTCGGGATCCTCCCAGCCAGGACGTTTCCCCTTCATTTTGCCCTTGAATCCCTGTGCTCGATCCGGGGAGCAGGCATCTAGGAGGGCTTTACAAAATCGCTCTTTTCGCTCGGTATTCACGGCGAAACGCTCATTAGAGATAGAAACCAACAATTGCAGGTATTCCTCTGAGACAAGACTATGAACTACGGGCTTCTGGTCAGGGGCGACACTATCGTCGTCATCACAGTACCCAATGATGGACTCCAGAGACAACCCAGAAGAACGTACGGCGACGATGGGACTCGAACCATCTTCAGCCTCTAAACAACGGAGACTTTGGAGACCACTTTCACGAAACCCGGAACTAGATGCGGCTGCGAGGACTGGTTGGGCGTGGGAGAGGGTAGCTGTCATTATATGGAGGATCTAGAAAAGGAAGCATTAGTACATAGTCTTTATTTCTGTTATTCTAATATTCGCAAATTTTGGTTGGATACTTCAACCTTAGAGAAGATGGACGAGGCTTTTGTGTTTCTAAACGTAGGGGAACCAAATGGTTGCATTGGTGTAAAAGGTACATACCATGGGTTCGAAATGAAATCGGACTAGACGAGGAGCATGGCCATCTTCGATCAACTTTGGTATTTTCCCACGACTTCCAGCACCAGAATCAGCATCAGGAACAAGTCCAAACAGCTCATGCAGAGTTGTCACATCCTTTCCGGACTCTGGCCTCTCCAAAGGCTCATGGGAGACATAGAGCCATCTCCCCGTGCCTTTCCCTCCCGAGGGCGCAAACTGCCTTTGTTGCTGCTGTTGCGGTTCGTGATTCTGCTTTTTCTTGCCCTCGAGGAACACGCTGATACGTCCGGCGCAACTGCTAGTTGTCACCAGGCCTGGAAGCGCATTGATATCCCGGATGAGATCACGGATGCCTTCGTCTACTGATCCTTTAGGCGAAAGATCCGTATACTCTGCATCCGGAACCGAAAGATCATCAAGGATCCTACGTTTGCGAGACTCGAAGACCTCTGGGATCGTTTCGGTACTGTCTATTGTTTTCTCCATATTCTTTTTGTCCATCTCCTTTCTTGCGTCGGGAGGTCTATTATTAGAAGATTCGCTGGCGAAAACGTATTTCCCCTTTCCAGGTGTCCTCTTCTTGCCCACAGACTGGATTTGATGGGTTTCCCCTTCTTCCACCTTTTTGGACTCAAAGAAAATGGCTACAAAGGAGGCAAAAATAACATCGAGTCGAAACAGAGTTTGGAGAATGACAAGTTCGGCCCAACGCGCGCTAAGAACCTTAAGCAGGATTAATTAATGTCAAAGAAACGACCTGAAAAACGCCCCAGCAGTTACCGCTCTCCCGGTCTTGTCATAATTATGCGCCCAGATTAATGCCAGATACACTGAAGACCGTCGACAGCTTCTTTGTCTGAAAACAGGCGTTTTTCTACTTCACTGTTTTTCTTTCTTACCACGGGGGCCTGGTCAATCGACATGGCTACTGTAGTCTACTCATAGGGCCGATATGGGCTTGTCCTGGGCCTTAAAGGGCATGCTTTCCACAATCGCTTACCAGGTCACCAAGTTCTCATATTTGGTCCGTTCCATTCCACGCCCGCTGTCCTCCAAGACTATCTATGTACAGCCCGTCCTGGGGAGAGATACAGAGAAGAAATACCGATCGTTGTGCTGTTAATACCCGTAGTACACGCGTATTATTTCTATGGCTCGTCGATCGACTCGGAAACGGCCCGAAGCCACTCCCGAGCCTGCACCAGCCCCAGCGCCGGCTGCTGCTTCTGCTGAGCCTAAGTCAGCGACGAAGAAAAGACGCGCATCCCCCGCCACCAAAGCGGATCCAAAGAAGCGAAAACTCAACCCTGACACTCCTGACGACCTGGAGGACAAGCCAAAGAAGCCCACCCAAACCGCCGTCAAGAAAAAACCTGCCTCGAAGAGGGACTCTGCAGGCAAACGGACGAAAACCAAGTTCTCTGAGGAGACCAAAGATAGCGCGAAGGCACAACCCAATGTCTCCAAAGAGGATAGCAATAGCAAGGTTACAAAGGCAAAAAAAGCAAGGTGTTCTGACGATGAGAAAAGAACAAAGACAGAAACAAACCCTCCCAAGGAGAACAGCAAGGTGAAGAAGATAAAGGCAAAAGTCTCTGACGGCAGAAATGTCGCTAAGAAAACCACCAAGGATGCCGAGGACACAAAAAAGGCCTTCCGGGGTCCCAAGAAGAGCGATAAGTCCGAGAAAACCTCTTCTCACGAGTCTGAAGCCGAGTCCGACAACAGATCAAAGGCGGCAGGGTCTACTGCCACTAGGGAGGATAGTTTTGTCACGACGTCAATCCCAGAATCGGGAATATCTGAGATGGCCTTTTCGGTTGCCGAAGCAGATGATGATGGACAAACCGGAGATGATGAGAACCCGGATAGCACAGCAGATGGCGGTGGACATGATGATATTGGGACCCAAAGGGTTTCGCCGTTACCTTCGGACCTAGACGGGGGCGCCACTGAGCTAGAGACAGACATTGAGCTATCCATGCACAGAATGAATTCTGGGGAACAGCATGGGGCGAGGGATCCCGGAGACACCCCCTACCAGGATCATACCTTGCACCCCAACACCATGCTGTTCCTGAAGGATTTGAAAGAGAACAATAGCAGAGACTGGCTCAAAGGTAAGCCGCGCGGGTGAAACTCTGGGTTGACCTTCATTCACCCCAAGCTGATGGTATCTCTTTCGCAACAGAATACTGCTTTGATTACCAACAAGCCAAAAATGACTGGGAGAGTTTCATAGAAAACCTCACAAAGAAGATCATTGAGAAAGATAAAACAATACCTGAACAGACTACCAGAGACATTGTAAGTGGTACATAAGTGGTAAAACCTGTCTCAGGAGCTTTCTGTGTATGACAGATCCATTGACAACCACCGTCTCAATAGATCGTCCGTATCCAGAAGGACAACAGATCGAGCAAGGACCAAACGTGCCCGTACAAGGTATGTGTTCATCTCAAGCCGATGATTTAACCCCCTATGGATCTTTGTTGTAGCCGATGACTGACTGACGTGTAATAGACGTATTTCTCGGCTGTTTGGTGAGTATCGCGTCTCCGCAACAAAACACCAGCTAAGCCCTTTCAAAGGTCTCGTAGCGGTAAAGACGGTAACCATGCTTCCTATTATATTCGTCTCGAACCTGGTTCCTGCTATGTCGGTGAGTCGCATCATCAACCAGCCTTCATGCTACCAACACTTTTTGCTGCCGTCTTCGAGCGTTAGGGGAGAGATAATAGACTCTATCTCCCCTGCCTCCTTCATTATTCACAATATGCTCCTAGATCCCAGTCTAATGATGCTGTTGCGGCGCATTTTGCTCTCGAATGGAACCCGGCTGGGATCTGCGGGACATGCAACGACGACAATTGGATGGCATCGGTGCCAGAATTTCTACTTGACGTATAAAGATGGGGACTGACGAAGTTTGCTCTCAGGTTCGGGATTCTCTTGTACAGGGTTCTCCCCGCAAGATAAACTTGCACTTCTTCGTGCAGACATAGACAAGAATCCAGGCCGTTTGAAGGCAATCTTAAGGGAGCCGAATATGCGACGCGAATTTCTCGAAGGAGCACCTGACAAGGAAGAAGAAGTTGTTAAAGCTTTTGTTGAGCTTCCCGAGAACAAAGAAAATGCAATGAAAAGCCAACCAAAGGTTTGTTTGTACTGCCCTCTCTACTATTGCTGGCTTTGAAACCATCTGTGAGACACGCGCACAGGTAGCCCACCATGCAAAATCACATCCAGCCACCCAGCTTCCTTATTGCATCGACTATTATAATGTCTCATTGACGTAGGTCGTCGGGCGCTTCGCATTGATCGATAGTGCTGGCGCAGAGTCGAGTTTCAATCGACGAGAATGCGCGACAACTGCCTGCTTATCAATATCAACACATCAAGCACGCTTTTTTTTTCCAGCATCTGCAATATGAAACAAGCTCTAGAGAGTTTTAAAATGCAGGGGAGGGCTTCTGAAAGATGCAGAGACCAGGGTACATAGTACCCGAAGTGGCAAATGAGGCCAGAACTCAAGTATCAAGAGCCGCGATATACAACCTGCATGAGAACAGCCCTTTTCATGAACCGGCCAGAGAAAACATTACAGACGCTGCCAATGTCCTTCCCCTGGATAATGGCAAGGCCTGCCTGCGTTCATGATGGAAAAGAAGGGAGAACGGGAGTGCCGGCCTCACCAGCAAACAGAGCTTTATTTCCCGACTCTTTCATTCTTTGGTTCGAAGCGGGTGCCTACAAGGCTCTGGACCTCTCATAGGCCTTAATCTGCTCTGCCTCCTTATTACTTTTCTACGCCGTCTCATTTGTTTCCATGGTTCAGAATTTGACCATGAGAATTTAGCTGCTATTACTGGGTGCTGACGACACCTGTTTTATATAGGGATACGAAAAGGATAACGAAAACATCGAGTTGCTCCGTCTACGCAGCTTCAATATCGGCAAACAGCTTTCCGATGCCGAGTTTCTGGGTGTCGACGCGCAAGACAAGATTGCTGCACTCGTCGGTATCATGGTGCCATTTGTAAGTTCTATGTCATCCTCATTGTCCCTGATCAAGCATATATACGCGTTTTGGTTTCGCGATCCGTGATCTACTTGGCCTTCCCACCTCCGCTTCGGAGCTGCACAGCGTTGTACATTCGACGGAGGGTGGATCTGACTATCGGGATCTAACACCCTTTACGGAGTATGGAGCGCCGTGTGACAGTGCCCATTATCCATCACACACAGATGGGGCCTGCCATTATCGCATTTCCAACGCACGCAGGCCACAGAGCATGCCATTTTGAGGGCACTATGCAGCGCTGTATATGGTATCTGTAGATCCCTCGCTAACCTCGGCTACCTCTTAATAGGTCTCCTACCTGAACAGTGTCATCATGCCTAATTGATTATCCCAACTCTCTGGCCCGTGATAGAGCGCTTCACGGCGTAGGGGGCAGCAAAGTTGAGGCACCTTTGTGATGCTTGGTCAGTGATATTCGAAGGGTCACATTTCGAAAATCAGTTACCTGATTGACTTTATCTAGGCGTGTGCTTGGGTTGCTCCTTCTCTGGGCTTCTCGGGATCTTCGTTTAGGTGTCTCCTGCCCTTTCTTAAGGAGGCTAGGGTGGTTTTAGTCACACACAGACACACAGACGGACGTTGGGAGCTCCCCTATTATTCCAAAAAGAAAAATAATAATCTATTGGGCAGCTCCTTTGCTTTCCTCTCGATGGAGTCCACTGGCGTACCGGTCTTTGCTGTCTCCCATTATATCTGCGTGAGCAATCATATGCTTTTTGTTATTTTCTCTTTTTTAAATAATAATATTAAAAAAAACTAACAGACGCGTCATTTTGTAACAATGCTTGGGGTGTACAGCGATACTCTCGGTCTGCGCCAACTGACTTACGACACCATCTCCGGGATTATAATCCATGCATCCGCGTCTCACGCCGTCTCCTGCATCGTCTTACCGTGGTCACAATAGCCATGGAGCAGTCTATTGTCTATAGTATCCTATAGGGTAGACCCGGTGACGGCACGCTCCGCCCCCAACTCCATTGCTACTTGGTCTGCCTGCATTCTAATGACTCAAAACCAACATTAAAGAGGCACCTTTGCTGGATATAATTCGCCTGCTGGTCCGCGCACCATAGCCGGCCCGTTGGCCACTCCGCTAGTATCACGGTAGTACTGACACCGTAGATACATATGCAGTACGCCATATCTATCTAATGCACGTACGGAGGACCTGACTCCACGAAAGCTTCCCATCCATACCCACTTATGGATTTCGGTCTTCTATAACAAGCGCTATTGGACATCGGGGACCACCATAATCGACAGTCTCGCGCAGTGCACTGCATCTATTGGAGACCGGTTCCGTATTCCCGCATGTAGATGGGGAATTGCCCCCCCCCGTCAACCTACAGCGTACTCATTTATTCCTCGCCCTGCGGGAGCGGACGTCAACTGGCATGCCGCTTCTATGCGAGCCCAGGCTTTTCTGCATCAGTACCCGATAGTCGTCGATTGAGCACTATAATCTATTGGGGTCTAAGCTCTTGTATATGCCTAGTAACAGTTATCCACCAGAGATACGCAGTATGGTTGTAGCCCGGACGTGGGTAAGCCCTGTTCAAGGCGCCGTCTTGATGCAACCCATCTGCTGCCTAGGACAATTGCCCAGACCTGCAATGGGTGCTGCATGATGCAGAAGGACGGTAAACAATTATACCTGTTGAGATAGTTAATAATTACCATGTTGCATCTCTTCTATAGGAAACACAGCCATCGATAACCGTGTAGCTAGCCTGTCAGTCTCGGATTGTTCTGGCCACGTCCACCCATGCATTCTCTGCATGGTAATTTAGAATTTGTAGTTCTCGTACTTAAGTCCTTGGATTTTCTACCAGAGAAGGCAATGCATACGGAGTATTGGGACTATGATTAGTGACATGTCTATTCCAGCTGTATATATTCCGAATGGAGAGGTACAGAGTAATGGGTGATTAATTTCCAGGGACTTTCATAGATGATAATAATCGAAGTTTCCATGCTTTTATGCAGTAAATTAGAATAATAATTATGGTAGCATGAACTGCCTGGTCGGAGTCTAGGGCACAGGAGCACAAGCGTATATGAGTGATATCCAGTTATGGGTTGTTGTCATTAGAGACATATTATTTTTTCTTGCCAGCTAAATTGATTTGAATTCCATACATCTAGGAACCACCAAGAGCTGATATTTGAGATTCAGTATGACTATGGATGCTTTGCCCTAAACATGAATGTACACACTACACATCCATGATGTATCATTGTAATGTCAGCAAGCATGTGTTAGTCGGAAACCCGGGTAAAACCCATGTCACCTATCATACTGCTATTATGACGAAAATAATAGAAATCAAGATGGCTTTACAGCATACATAGACAAGCTTACTGAGGTCCATTGTGCAAGTCCGGAGTATGAAGCCGGGAACCAACAGGACCATTATTAACACACAGCCACGTCAACAAGGGCAAGGACGAAGCCCATGACAGCTGACGCTTACTATAAATACCGGCAGGAAGAGGATCATAATAATCATAATTATGATCATAACAATAATAATAGATCCCTGCGTCGCCCCCTCTGCTGCAGTGTCTATGATAGGCCCCGGGAAGGTCCCGTGACCGTCGACGCATGCGGGCCTAAGTGGGATGCAAAGGCTATTATAATAGAAGTATTTTACCATAATAATAGTTTGTGATGGCACGGAGAGAACACTCAAACTAAACTTTGCCACTAAAAGACGGTCAAAGTCTATATTGATACGGACATTCCTTCCTATATATCATATGTACGGTATTTCTATCTGGACACGCTGAGTCGCTCAGTCGTCTTCTGCTATGGTGGCCATAGTATGGATCGATGAATATGATACAATATGATATAATATGATATGCCTCGTACCGGTCAGTGGATGGCAGTGCATCATGCCAGATGGCACCGATTGAGTTTGCTTCTCCAAAGCCGAGAAACAATATATATATATATAATGAGAGAAAGAATGTCGGTACACTGTATTTCCAATACAATGTATTACAGTATCTGTATTCTACTTACGGGTCTTGTATTGACTGTCCATTGTACTCGTGGACGATAGAAACGCGATACTGTTTCTAATCATTATCTCTATTTTATTCCTTTTTAATAAACAGATAGAATGCGAATATCAAAGAAAAAGAGAAAAAGGGAAACGAAACGAGGAAAAAAAAAAAAAAAAAAAAAAAAAGAAACGGACAACGAATGCAGCTTAGACGGTAGGTATGTACCTAGGTAATAATACATGTGACCCTATCAAGGACAATCAACCTGTTGCTTGTCGACAATCTCATCCTCTATCCAGTCTATCAATATCAATTCATCCATCTAACACGAGAATTTATGCGGACATGCCTTGTCCCATTCCTTGCTGTGTTGTCCCTCAAACAAAGAAGACAGCACCAGAAAAATATTTCAACTGGGATCCCATTATTGACCCCAAGGGGAATCCCAATGGTCAAGAACAGGGATTAGGCAATCACCCACATCTTAATCCATGCAGCAAACAACGGCCAATATCCATCAACCAGTCACCCATTGACATGCCACTGTTCCATCATGCATGAGATCGGCGGGAATGTCGGAGCGGCCCGTCTTGGAGATGGCCGGCGACTCGCTGCCTCAAACACACATGGCATTACAGACAAGTAAAGCCATAGCAGTCCGTGCCCAGTCCGTGAGAGCATTTCCAACTCCTCCGTGTCTAACTACACTTTCTACTACTGCACTGCACGGCTGACCATCGCTCACAGAGTATTCCTCCGAGGGCGCGTGCGGCATATGCTTGGGAACCAACTGGGTTTGCAACCTACCGCTGACTGGCTTAATGACCATGTACAATTCCTTGACGGGTATAAAAAATATGCCCGGCGTCTGGGTTCGCTAAGGGATGGTCACACGATCCTAACCATATGCAAGTCAGCCCAACTGGTTACTGGGATTGCAACCGCATTGGTCTGCTCATCTGCTCAAAAATGTGATATCAAATACATGGCACAGCCTTCGTTCCATCGGTTCTTTTTATTCAGAAGGAGGGAAGGCTTCACAAATGATTATTCAGTCTCCTGCTGGCATCAGTTTTCGGCGAATTGTCGCCAGGTATCTACAATACCGGGATCAACGTCAGCGACGCACTTCAATGGCCATGCCACCCGACTTTTTGTCATTGGATATTATTGGTTGTTCTCGAACAGCCTGCTTCCGTCTTGCATAAAACCCCTCTTTGCAGCACTGGATGATTGGCGGATGAGCTGGAATTTCCCGCTTAGTGTTCCAAGGCCTGGCGACATGACATTTGTTGAGGTGTGCTGACACTGCTATGACCCTCACCGGTTGGTGCTCTCTAATTAATATCCAAGATATTCTGGCCACACTATCGGGAAGAACTCTTTGGTACGCACTAATGCAGGAATCCTGAATTCGCCACCCATCAAGCGATAATGGCCGAAGCCTGTCCTCCCGTTTGGTCCCAGGACTATAGCACCGGGACTCTGGGGCCCACCATTGCCGCGTATCTTGGTATGGCGATCCAAGTCCAGATTGATGACCTACGGGCCACAGCACTTATAGTCGATACAGTCCAAAACGAGTCGAAGGAAAAAATATTCTGAGGTTCATACAAAAAGTTCCCATGCTTAGATTGCAGTGACACAGTTCGCTGCCGTATGAAAATAAAGATGTCCTCCTGACCGACTTCAAGGAGATTTGCGGCGAGCATCCAGTGGTGACGATTCTGATGCATCGCCACTCCTCACCGCCTTTCTCAGTGCCAGGGGATTAGGCATCATTACCTCATAAATCTTCACAGGCTCAACGTCTATCCCCGCTTTGAGCATTCCATGGAAGGCGGTTCTCTGACGAAGTAAATTCCAAGTTGCATATACGGTCCGAAGCGCTTCCTCTCCCACCATGGAGCCAACCAATGTGCCTGCCTGAATGGTGCCCTGAGGCTACTCCACAGCATGACCGTCAGCCTCAGAATATTATGCAAGGACGACGCCGTCCATCGTCAGCCAGCCCGTAAATCATCGAGCAAACAAGCAGACAAAACCCCCTATCAAGTGCAGGGCTTAATGTTACAGACTCAAAAAGGAAATCCTAAGGTTGTTAATGTGTTGTTTCCCGTATACAACGCTGTACAGCATAAGTCGTCATGCAAAGGGTGTAGCAGATCATTGGCTACTGCAGCTAGCAGTGGGCACTGACCGCGCAGATATGTGATTCTGGTATATTTAACCATCCGGGGATATACGACGGGAGTTACTGTGCATTTGCAGTTGTTTTCCATCCGATCATCCAGTTCTGGTAAAAATAACGTGTGACGAGCTTGCAGCATTACTGGAGGCCAGCACTACAGCACCTAAACATTTCTGCATGTACCTTTCGTCGGAAGAACAACATCCTTCTGGCGGTCCACCAGAGCCAAGGACCAGGACCTCAGAACGGTCGGGCAATTGATAGAGGGGCACCTTGCGGAAGAAGGTTCAAGGAATGAAAGGCCCGCTTCGAGCCAGAAATTCGGAACCGCAAGATCCAATCACACTGGCTGCGGACAGTGCTGACTTTCGATGGGCCGCGTTGCTCCGAATATGAAATATCGCTTGGTGGTACAGACGAGCCAATCAATGCTGCATCCATTGAATTTCGATGCCTTTTGGATCCTTGGTTCTCTGGTCGTTAGCGTGTTCCTGACCATAGAATGGGGACGTATGGCATTCGAGAGGGGGAAAATACAGGGCCCAACCAAAAGAAAAAGGCAAAGAAAGGAGGGAGAGATTCCCCCCCTCCTGTATGATACGAGGTTTCGAAAAAATCTCACAGGACAGTAGATGCGCGAGCCTCCGGCAAGAAAGAATTCGACATGATCACTGGATATGCTACGTGGTCAAAGCGTGGCAGACACAGACGTTAATGCCAATGCTACTCTGTATTACAGCGCTAGGCACGGCAACTGGGAGGAGACCAACCTCGTGGCTTAGGCAATCCCGCGGGCTGCAGGCCCCTCCCTGGAGTCTCCAGCGACGATGGATTATATGACTGATACCGCCTGTAAGGATTCAGGAATGGATTCGGGCAGCTAACCATGGAACCAGTTTCCGACTATCGAGCTGGCCCGTTCGGCCGCGCGGGCGGTCTCTAGCTGTACGGAGTAGCAAGGTTCAGAACCTTATATAGCCCGCCATCCATGCATGGCGTATCTATGCTTTTCCCTTGTCTGTTGCTGCAACTCTCCTGGTGTTGTTTCTATTACTTTTTTCCTTCGCTCCCTGAATTGATTTGCGTTGTGCTGCCTGACAGTTTCAGCTGCAGCTGGCCAGAAGCGGAAGCGAATTGGAAATCTTTTTTATTTTGTTATATTTCTTTCTTTCCTTCCTTTCCTTTTCTCTCTTTTTTTTTTTTTTTTTTAAAAAAAAAAGAAACAATCCGAGTTCTTGAGAGAAGCAAGGGGAAGAAAAGGGGAAAGAAAAGAAAAAGGAAAGGAAAAGAAAACAGTGTGTATAATTACCATACAGCGTAACGACCAGGTATGTATGGGTTGGTACCCTGTTCTCTTATTACGATACAGAGTCAGCGCTGTACGGCAGTGGAGAGTACTCTCATTTGCTCTTTCTCTTTTCTCTCCCTGGACTCTTTCAAGGTTCTCCCCCACTTCAAGACTTTTGAAGACGCTATGATTGCCCATTCCCGGTTATTCTTGCCATTATCCTATCATACTTTGGGGTGGGAACGGGTGGTGTCCGCCGCGGCGCCTTTACCCGTACCTAAATCCAGTGTTTCTGTCCGATGATTTGCCGTTGGGTTACGAAGCACGCATCACACATCCTTGCTTCCTTTTTGTGCTGCCCCTTTAATTTGTGGTGAGGATTGCAGTGCCTACTATCTGTCTTCTTCAGCTGATCCCTGTGGGCCCGGCGTGCTAGCGGCTTCTTAAGGGGTTCCCCATCCATGTCGATGGGTCCTCGGGACTTACTTGTTGGGTGTGGTCTCTTTTTTTTTTTTTTTTTTTTTTTTTTCTCCCTCGATTATTATTCTTTCGCATTCCACTTTTTTATATCCATCGCTGGTCGTTGGGCTGTCTCCCTTGCTTTGTCTCTCCCAGCATCATCCCACATTACATCCTTCCCAGTTCCCGTTTTGTCTTCCCAGATCTCAATCCGTCCCGTTCTTCCCGTCCTTCCGTTCTCCGCCAGCCGTGGAACGCAAGTTTGACACCAGCGCACAAGCCCTGCATCTGGTGTCGCATGCCCTTGATTTGATTCCTTGTTTTTCATTTTCCCTTTCCCTTTTCTCTTCTGCAGCCAGGCCGACGATTTCCGGTAATACGCAGTAATTCCCAATCCTGGTCCGTTAACTTTAAAAAAAGAAACTAAATTACGAATCGGGTCCGTTTGCAGCTGATTTCTTTTTATTTTGTCCTTTTTTGCCTCCTGATTTGCGTTTGTCCCCTAGCCTGCAAATCACGCCGTGTATTTTTTCCCTTTTATTTTCGTTGGATTCACTCCCCTATTCGTTCCATTTCACTTCTCCTCTCGGCCCTCCTGGGATGGAGAAATCAAGCCGTGGTGACTAGTTTGCTGCTGCGATTGCACAGACGGATGTCATACTGTCGAGTTTTGGTAACCGAATGACGTACCATTTTCCTGTGGACCAGCGTCGAGTTACTTCCAGTACATAGAGAGAAGAAAGGAGAGAAGAGAGAGAGAAAGAAAGAGCACTACTCATTATTATCACTGTCGTTGTTGCTGAGACACCGCGTTGGACACGACACCACTAACTCTGCATGCGCGTTCCTGCCAGGTTTCTCGATGGTTGCATCCCCCTCGAAGCAAGTGACTGAGTGAATCGACGGATTTCTCTTCTTCTGGTCTTCATCTCCGGGACGTCATACCCCGGCGCTGCTTTCCCGTGACCGCGAGGCTATGCGTGCACATCACCCGACGGGAGCTGCAGCTGAATCTGAGAGTCTGACCGGGGCTTCCTCGGCGCCTTAATTAGTGCTTTCGTCACGGTCTTGGACTGTCGGGGGTCGGCCCATTACCCGCTGGCCTCGTCCTTCTTATTTGTCTCCCCTTTCCCATCTTCGCCGTCATCGTCCCTACAAATGTCCAGCCATCCCCACGATCTCAGCGACCCCAATCGTCAGGGACAGTATCCACCGCCACCCCAGTGGAACGCCTCTCAGTCCGAGGATCCCAATTCTTCTGCTGCCCAGTATCCACCAGTGACTCAGTATCCGGTGAGTACTTATTCCTTTCCTCCCTAGCTTCCGTTGCTCACTGCTGACCTTGAAAAAAAAAAGTATCCTTCCTATCCTCATCCCCCTCCTTCCACTGAGCCAGACCGTTCTGCGCCGCCGTATCAATATCCTCCACCATTGTCCCAGTATCCGCCCCCCTCGACAATGGCCGCCATCCACCCGCAGGTCCAGGGTCCTCAAGACCCTTACCGTCTTCCTCCTCCTCCCGGCGCATACCGTCCTCCCGACGTCTACTCCCAGCCGCCCCCTCCCCCCACGCAGGTCGTCTATCAAGCAGCCGCTCCCCGACAACGAACGGCCATTGCTTGCCGGTATTGCCGTCGACGAAAGGTATGTTCAGGAAATACCATATCATCAATGCACTTCCTACATCCAACTTTCATATATGTCCATTCATTAATGCCCCACAGATTCGTTGCTCCGGATTCGAAAACTCGCAAGATGGACGCTGCAACAATTGTATCCGTTTCAACCAAGAGTGCATGTTCACCCCCGTGTCCTCCCAAGCGCAGGCTTTCGTTCCAGCACATGCTGCCTACCCGCACCTGAGGAACGCCCAGAATCCAGGTCGTGCTGGCGTTGTCCTCTACGGTGCCCATGGTCAACCTCTGCCACCGCAGCAACAACCAGACGCTACCTTGCCGCCTCCCCAAGGATTGTACCAGCATCCGTATGCCGCTCCACCGCCACCATTGGATGGCAGGGGCATGCCTCCGTCCCTAGTACCTCCCATGTCCCAAGATGTAAGCCACCAAAGACGTGCCCCCTTCGACATGTCTGGACAAAAGCTATCCCTCCCGCCGATTGGCCTCACCACTCACCATATTTTTCCCCAGAGACAGGCCGCCGCCCGTCGTGGATCAGGCACTGGCTTCGAATATCCCGATCCAACCAACCTAGCGCCTGTGACCCCAAGTGTCTCAACACCGGGTTATCAGACACACACAGCTCCCAGCCCGTATTATGCGCCCCCTCAACATGACCGGCGCACGTCGCCTCAGACTCTTTACTCCTACGACGGCCGCCACTCTTCATCCCCGCACGGCTCCCCATATCCGCCATTGCATACGCCGCCCCCTGTTACTAGCACAGGTAATTCTGTCAGCTCTAGAGGTGGAATGAACGTTCGTGACATGCTCAACCCGGGTGATCAGACTGGCCGATCCAGCACAGATAGCGACATGCTCAATGCCCTCAACCGCCGTGGCTTAAGCCAATAAACTTCTCGGGATGACGCCCAATGCTCCCCCAGGGAGCGTGACAGATGTCTCACGGATACATCAGAGGAATTGGCAATATGGTGGATTGAAACAAGAAAAAAAAATAATGTTTCCCGTCGTAACAATGTCGGCTTTTCTTTTCGAACTTAATTCAACCTAGGAAAAGTCACGTGCTGGACACGTTGGATCACTGTTTATCGCATGCGGAGGACAAAAGCGAAGTCATGCCTCAGTCACTGGAGCCATCGCTGCGTTGCTTTGTGGTGACGATAAAGGCATATTTGGCTATTGGCTTCTTTTTGGCTTTTGTTCAAGTCCAGAGCGGCTGATGGTGGTATCTATAGTCTGGTTTGCAACAAAAATGCGACTACAGACCTGTCCGATCATCCCCTTCACACAAGCCGGGCAGGAATTAAAAACAGAGCATCCGATGCGAAGGAAGGAGTATAACGGAAAGGAGAACAGACTAGGAACAAACGAAACGAGAACCAAAAAATCACTTCGCGAGAAGGATGATGATATCCTTCTTGCTTTCGCACTTGACAGAGACCTTGGAAATGACAGCAAGGGACTTATGAGCTGCACGATTTGGATATGGGATAGCGAGATGGTCTGGGTTGGATCACTAAAGATGACTTGTGCAGTTATCTTTTTTGGCCACGCAATCTCAGGAACGAGTTGCATTCGCGATGCCAGTCTTCATATCACGCATACTTTTTAATCTGAGAATATACGACACGACTTCATACACTATCCTGGGCAACCAACTAATGCATTTCTTCCCCCCTCCCCTTCTATCTCCCTTTCCTCCCTGTTTTCGAGTACGTTATCTGCCATATTGGTGGATTCTTGACTGGCAGGTGTACTTGTCATCGTTTTTGTTTGGCACTCATCCAATGTTGGGATAGCTGCCGGCGGCCTCCAAATACTCACATATATTTTATCTTGACATTGGAGGAGTTCGATCAACAGCTGTCATGCGATGTTGTTCTTCATTTTGTTTTCTGCGCTATTTAAGGTCATCGGTAAGGTGGATTTGTCTGTCGTGGAGGGAGTTATTTGCAATTTGCAGTTCGCCTAGAACTGGTTGGCCATTCAATGGCATCAAGTTCAAAACTTGATCTGGAGGCTATTCTGCGTCCATTGTCCTGTCCCTTACGCATATCTCATTAGCATCTCGGGCGGCTATCTGTTTCTCGCGTCGTGTTCATGCTTGAGCGTCTCGTTTTTCTCCTCATTGATCTCCCGTTCGGAATGCTTTATGTCTTCTTTTTTCTGGCATCCGGTGGTATCATCTTGTTTTTCTTGCGAAAGGAAGGCCTATGTTCATGTTTTCTTTGGCCCACTAGATGCATCATATACTTGGGAGGCTGTCTGATTATTATCCAGTTACTATTGTTTTCTTTTCTGCCCTTGTTTTATTGTAAATTACCCTCAAGTGTACTCCGTGCCAGCCCTGTTGTTAGTTCTGTTCATTGTATTTATTTTCAATGCAGTCCTACTTGCTTTTATTGCAACCGAATTAAGTTCTTCCACTACTGATGCCATGGAGTTGTTTCCATTTTCGAGGATGAAAAGGGTAAGCGACTTACTAGAAAAAGTTTGGCCACTCTATTGGTTTCGTACACAGGAACTAGATGGAGACACAGACAATCAAGACAAAGAAAAGAACCGACTCAAACAAGCCCAAGAGAAAAATAAACAGAATAATTAAAGACAGCATGGCTTTTGAAACAAAATATGATCCCAAAGCCCAAGCGGCATAACGAGAAAGGAGGTGAGGGCTAGAAGGAAAAGACCTAACCCAAACCAAACCCTAACTCATTAATTAATCTTGATTCTCATTTCAGAAACACCATAACTGCTGCAGATACTCTGTAAGGATTTCAACAAAAAGCATCCAGGATCCCAATCATATCCCTAGCCCGAACAGGGTCTTCAACCAACATATTTCGTCCCTGGAGCATGACGCAAAGTGCGTCGACGACTTTGTTGAATGTCGACGCGGCACCCCGCTCCTGTTTGAAGCGGACAATGCTGAGGTTTGCCTGACGGCCCTGTTCGAGGACTGTGTAGAATGCTGCAGAGAATTCGACGGGTCGGACGTTTAAAACTAAATGTGGAAGAAATGGAGTCAGTTAGTTTTGTCCGGTTTTATTGAAGAAAGGAACAGTGATGTCGTACAGTTATTTTCTCCCACCCTTGCGCGAATGAAATCGTCGGCTTTGTCCAAATAGAGTTCCTCTATACCGTACTGTTTCCATTCCAATAGTTTCTTATAAATGTCTCTTCGGGCCTTGAGCTTTGTGGAGTTTAGGGCTAGAACTCGGGTTGCGGGCTTTATTTGAAAAAACCGGGCAAGCCAATTCTGGTTTCTTCCAATAGCATTCGCGTGGTGGTTGTGAGGATGTTTCAAAATTTTGGATTTCACCGTTTCCGGGGGACCTGTGGAGGGTTTAATAGCAGGTGCGCTTTCTTCAGGAGGTCCTTTTTTGCTTTAGGTTAGGGCTCCTGAAGATCGAAGGGACAAGGAAGGAGGAAAAAATGCCTACCTGCTGAGACTTGATTTCCATCTTTCTTGGGTATTTTCTTCATAAGTCTTCTGAATAGGCTCTCTTTAGGTTTGTCCGTGGATGGCCTCGATCTGAGATGCTCAAGTTCGTCGGGTGGACTGACTTCTCGTACGACAACCCTTGCCGTTCTAGGTCGACCAGAATCTCCCTTCAACGATTCAGGCGCAATGTTCTCATCTACTTGCTGCTTCCGTTTGAACCATGACCACCTCTTATTATCGGGGTTCTTTGTGCTGTTTTGTCTTCTAGGCCTTGGGGTCTCTTCAATACGGTCTAGTCCGAGAGAGGAACGGAAGTGACGAGAACGACAAGAGGGGTAGCATTCGTTAGACGGATATCCATTATCCGCATTATTCTGTTTGAGCGGGTGTTCATCCAACTGCAGACCTGTGCCGTAGTCCTTCAGTGGGGAAATGCAATTGTTATGGCAGGCGGTGGGAGAACGGAGCTTTCCTGGAGAGCTACGGGGCACGACGCGAATAGTCGACTGGACATTAATGTTTTGGAATGCGGGAGAACTGCTCCGAGATGACTGTAGGAACGATGTCGTTGCTGCTGCCTTATTAAGATCCAATAAGCTCGCACTGCTGTTAGAGGTTGGGAGTTCCTCTGCTATGACAGGGAGGTGATCAGGTTCGCTTGACAATGTGATGAACGGATCCGGTAGGAAGCGGACATGCTGGTTAGCATAGTTAGATCCGTTTTTCACCGATATATCCTGCTCAATTAATCGATCTAGATGGGATATCACACCCGAAAGATGAGCAGAGATGTCATCGGCACCTGCTTTCGTAGAGTGCTCGATTAGTTTGCGGCGAGATTCAGCCAGGTGTGTGAAGCCGGAAGAAGATCTCCTCAGCTGTTTTATAGCATTTGAATGCTGTGAGTCCCCTGGAGAGATCGATGAGATGTGCTTAACTGGGGTTTCAGCTGTTGCACAGCTGTCCTTGGTACAAGCCGTAGATGAAGAGGTGCCGTTGAAAGCCTCCTCACATATCTGGCTGAGCTCGTAAGAGACTCTTCTAGCAGCGTCCTTCCAGACAAAACTGGAGTCTCTTGTCTTTCTCATTCCCAATTTATCTTTGTCCATGGTAGCACCACCGCCTCGAATGGCGATCGATTGAGGTGGCAACACTGGGCTATCCTCTGTGCTCAATTCACCACTGTCATCAATAGCCGATTTCAGACTGCCTACACTCTGATTGTCTTCAGGCTCTAGAACTTGGACTTGCATGCTCTTGGCCTTTGTCGACAGATGACTGCGCGGATGGGGGAGGTGGCGGAAAGAGACATTTCGTCGATAGCTGGCAGAGCGAATATAAGTTGCAGAATTGATGCGCCGGCGAGAACTTGTATGCGAAAGCTTGGAGTGAAGAGATCTCACTGAGCCACCCCTTATACTTCTACTGTTCAAAATAGAAAAAGTAGAGCTTGGAAGGTGGGCTTCTCCCTTATTCGTGTAAACTGCAGACGTAGTTGTCGCTAGAGGTGAGTCCTCATCACTGGATCCCAATGGATTTTGATAGGTATTAGCGATATGGGAATCCTTAAACTCCGTTGCAGAAAATGAGCACTATACCTTTCGACTTCTGGGGGAAACATGATTTCAGATAGTGATGGTCGAGAGTACATTCGAGAATGGCGTACTCCATTGCTGCTTTGGCTACGCCGAATTACAGCACGAGCTACTGGTCTGGAAATATGGTGGTAATCACTCGCTGAGTATCCAAGAGGATTTCCTTGGTAGTTCTCCAATTGCTCCTCTTTGAATCTCATCAGGGCATTGTAGAAAACCCTTTCATGGTTGAATCTATAACAACCATGTGATTAGCACAAGTATGCAATCTGAAATTTAAGTACAGCGCTGAGGGCAAGCAATATGAGATATACATTAGGAAGAGATAGACAATCTGATTGATTGATGTATGCTCTACTTACTTGGTGTCCAGCAATCTTTCAATCAATTCCTCACGTCTCACACCATGCCACAGCTTCTGAAGATTCTGCAAAATATCCAGATCGATGTCCTGGAGACCAAGCAGGGGTTGGCCGCAATCTGCAGTAGATAGCGGTGGTTGAGGGCCCACATAATGGTCACAGAATGACTTATGGAGCTTTTCATATTTCTTTAAGAGCGGATGCATCCAGATATCTTGTATGCTAATTCGATCCTCAGGTTGTTTCTGCAAAATGCGCTGGATTAGATCCGCAGCCTCTGGGCTGAACCAAGCTGGCATGATATATTCACCCTTTCTTACGAGTCGAAGTGTGCCTGCAATATCTCCCCCGTCGAATGGAAGGGATCCTGCCAGTAATGCAAACAAGATAATACCGCAACTCCAGGTATCCGCCATGTCGCCATGGTATCTTCGACCATTCACGATCTCCGGGGCAGCGTAATGGGGGCTACCACATGATGTATTCAACAAATGTCCAGATAATTGAAGAACAGCCATTCCAAAGTCCGCAAGTTTAATGTTGTATTTTGAATCCAACAGAATGTTCTCTGGTTTCAAATCTCGATGGCAGATATTGAACCGATGGCAGTAGGAAATTGCAGCAATAATCTGTCGAAAGAGACGAACCGCCTCCTCCTCTGGGAGAGGCCCGTTGCTGGAAATATAATCGAAGAGTTCTCCGCCATCGACATATTCGAGAACGAGATACCTAGATCTCAATCAGCCGCTGATGCAGAGATCCTCCTAGTCATCGTTCCACTTACAATTCCCCCCGATTCTCCCATACGTCGTACAAGCTGATGACGTTGGGATGCTCAATCAATTTCATGATAATAACCTCACGCTCGATACCGAATGGGATCTGCCTTACTTCTGACGTAGTAAGATGCCCTGCGTTCCGATCCATTGCCACAATACTCTCGCTTTGGATCATTGCCGCGGACTTCTTTGACACAATCTTAACAGCAGCTTTCTGACCTGTAATTGAGTGCTTCGCCAGTCTAACACGGCTAGTAGATCCTTTACCAAGAGTTTTCCCCAGTTGCCATGGCCCAATATGCGTTTTTCTCTTTCCTTTTCCAAGTGCAATTGACGCTGCGGGCATGGTAGGATTCCAATTAAACTTTGGCTGGAGCTCAGGCAAGAGTAGAGGACGAGGATGGCGATTTACTGAATCTCCTGCTGGTGTAACTGGGTTCTCCATGAGAGGGGTCCTTTTTGATGCCAACTTCTCCTGTTTTCTACGTGGTTCTCGTATATTCAGATGCTGGTTATTGGCTCTGTTTGTCGCGTCGGTTAACGGTTGACGCCTGGTATGAGTATTCAGGCTCTCAATTATCTGATCCACCACCATGTTATCGAGCAGCAAGATAAAACTGACGCGATTGGGCTGATTTAATGTCTGTTGTCCTCGCAGAACTTTGTCAATTGGTGCCTAGAAGTTGTCTGTTGAGAGTTAGAAGATACTCGATGAAGAAAGCACGGAGACGGAGGCCTAACCCACGGGGTATTATAGGAAGAGCTACTTTCATAGATCTGTCGAGTACTCATAAAGAGATGGATACGTGGGAACTAGATCCACGTAAGGAGGGGAAATTGGAGTTGGCAGCAAAGAGCAGAGTGTAATACATAGAAACGAAAATATCGAGACACTACTCTGTAGACTCAGAAGTAAAGCGAGAGAGAAGAAAGAAAAGAAGGTGGATACTTGTGAGTTCTGGAAAGCTGGGAGACTCGCGAGATTGTCGTGGAAGAGACCAGAGACAGGTTCGAGTTTTCAACACCTAAAGGCATCATCCAGTTACGCAACCAACGTCCCTGAATTGACAGACAACGCCAATTTTGCTGACACGAGCTGTCAAATGCTGTGGCATAGATCTGAGGTGGAATAAACTTGTTTATCGAGCTGCCCGTTTCGGATGCTTACACTAAAACCAGGAATACACCTCACGCTGCCAACGCACTTCCATGCCTTGCACTTCAGGAAAGGCAAGACTAAAAAGTATAATTGAGATTGGCTATAGTTTATTTTCAATTATCATAACTTGCGTCGCGAGTAAATGCAGGTTCACCATGGTTTATGGAAGCTAGAGAAGGCTCCGGGCACCAACGAAGCGCGCCAAAGCACCAACAACCAGCGACGCAATGAACGATATACCATGTTATACTACTATATATAGGCCAAAATTACCTAGCAGCCACACTGTCGATAATCTATTCGATCTGCGACGAAAGGGGCTGTTGCGGGGAAGCTTGCATATTCTGGAAATTTAGCCTGCTCGCTCTCACATTCTTCCTAAAGAGTCCCAGATAGATCCTGCTTGCTAAGTGTGCTGAATATTTTATTACAGGAAGACCAGATGCGATTTAAATTCTGTCCTTTACCGATTAATTGTTCCATTCATTCACGTCGTGCGTAAGTGACGAGGGTATTCAATGGGAGCACGACAGCAAGCAAAGCGGGAATATGCTTCTATGATGGAAAAAGCAAATTATTTATCTCTCTCGAGTGTTTTAGAAGATTCCCTGTAACTAATTCTGTAAGTAACAACAGGCTTAATGAACCATCCTTCAGAGGCTGCCAGTCTGCGCAGGGGACCAGAACTATCTAGTGCTAAGGTAACAGCACTTCTTCGGTGCTGGGAAGAAAGAAGAAGAAGGATAAGGATAGCGTAGAGCATTTATATAACTGGTCCATCTTATTTATTTCTTGGAAAAGCTATTCACCAATGTTCCTCTCCAATCGAGACATCTTCCACGTCAGCACCATCCACAAACCACCTACCGTCTCCATTACCGTCAGGGCCGATGAGCATGTCATTCCCACTCATCATCCTCTTGCACATCTTCCCCGTCTGCCAGTCAAAAGTCCAGTCCTCGAGACCATAGCACCTCTTCCAGCGCATCCCGTCCTCGGCGTCCTGATACTCATACCAGAACTGCACCGCGATTCGGTCATCCGTGAAGGCAAATAGCTCTTTTCGGAGTCGATAACTGTGTTCACGATTCCATTTTGCTTTCAAGAAGGCAATTATAGCTTCAGTTCCGGAGAAGAAAGACGTCCGGTTGCGCCAGATACAGTTGGGCGTGTAACTCTTTGAAACTCGAACCGGATCTCTGTATGATGCAGCAGATAAGGTAAAGCGTAACCAAAAATAAAATAGAACTCTACCCAAAAGGTGTTTTTCATCTTACTGTGTATTCCACATATTCTGCGCTGCCTTAACTTTGTTTCTCGCAGTCTCCTGGGTAAATGGGGGCTTGATCTCAGCCATGGCTTCGTTTCGAGTGATATTGTATATACATAAATAGACACTTGGAGAAAGTTAAAAGGAAATATGGAAACACAACACAAGCTACTCCCAGCAGATAATATAGGCCAGAGCAAAATGACACACAAGTAGGAAAATATCTCCGTCGTTCAAAGCCCGGCCATATCACAAATCCCACCAAATCCCGTATTGTTTAGGAGTCAACGGTTGCAGTCGGCTGAACTCCACCATTACATCATTATTCTGAGATTGCTCCAACCAGATCAGCATCCCAGGAACGGTTCATTTAAAGGAAGGACTTCACCTTCATATGAGCCTAGCAATTATCTAAAGAAATGCGATCAGTACAGGTCTGAGGGAAGGTTGCAATGAGATACAGCATTACGGGTGTTGGGCTCCACGGAGAGCTGTACAAATTAGCCCTACCGTCACAATGTACTCTCTTTTGAGACATCACAAGCTTACTATGGATAAGCAACCCTTCTGAAAACGAATTATGGATGTAGGGCATAGTAATCACGTAGTCAAGATCAATAGATCAGCGTTCTGGGCAAATTGACTCGGAGAAGACAGCGTGCTCCGATTTTCATAAGGCTGAACCTAGGGAATCCATGTAAAAACCAAAGGAAACAAGATAAATAATCATCAGATGCCTGACATGTTCAGAACCATTAAGACATCAGTTGGGCAATTCATCCTTTCTAAGCTACCTATTCTGTACCGATCCCATCGACCGCCGGGCTGCTCATTCATGACATCTTATTGAGACAAACATGGAAATGAAGACAAAGTCGTGAGTAAAAGGAAGAGAGATGAGACAAGGAATTTCAAAGGTCACCAACAACTCCCCAAACAGATTTCGCACAGGTGATATGGTGCGACGGAAAATAAGGCCAGCTTAATGGTCACTCTGTGGAGGCATGGCGGCAGCTATCGCATCATAGCTATGTGTATCCGCAGTAGCGTCCGTCATAATCCATCTGGTAATATACTGGAACGTCTTATCCTGCTGTTCAGCACTATCCTCGAGTAAAGGAATTGGTTTGCTGTAGCGCAAGACGACTTTGGATTCAGAAGTCCGCCTCGATGGCATGGAACAATTTTGTAACTCATGAGATCAGAAGGACCTGTTAATCACATTGTTCGTGTATTTCTTCGCATAGTATATTTGACGCGGCTATATGTCCATACTGAGTTGATGCCATGCACAGCATCTGTGGTGGTTGTGCCCTTCCTATACATACATACCTTGAAGAATAGTCAACAGTTCACTTCGTAAGAGGGACAAAGAGGTTGCTAAGGAATATTGGTAAGCGCACTTGATCCTCGAAGTTCAATTTCAAGCACATTCCTGGCGATTGAAGGCGTATTATGATATGCCAGGATTGTCACGAGATCTATGTGATTATTGCTACTTGCGATGTTGAATATATACGATATCTCGATGGCGACCAGCGAAGAGGGAAATTGGTCCCTTTGTGCCTACTTATGGTGAACACATGAGAAACCTGTTAACTCGGCAGCTGGAGGGCCAAGCAACGAAAGACAGGCCATGCCGTTGGTGAGGACTATTAAGGTTGCTTGCCCAGGAAGAAAGTCTATCAGCATTTTGGTTGGATCACATAGGATTTGATTTTAAACTCTCAAATACACATGGTGTATTTCAAATTCTGTAACATAATGTCGAGGTTTCTCGTATCTCTGGGTCTATGGTCTTCAGTGGCGAGGAGTATTATTATTTCTTGGATGCATGGGATAAGTAATCAGGGACGTATCGACACGTCGAGGACCAGACGACCATGGTGCCTCTGAGTAAGAAGGGAGGCGACAACTTAAAAGAATGCTTGGTTGATGGAGAGTTTCTGAGCGCGAGATTTGTCAAGGGACAGGTCTAGATAGACGGTTGGGCGGGGCTCCGTTCTCGGGCGGTCTTCTTGATAATAAGAACATTCTGCGCCTTTCTTTCCGCGTCGGGCGACCCGCGCTGGCGACATCACAGCCCTGCATTATTGGGTTAGAGTACCTTGGACAGTAGGATGTAATAATAATGGGCTATTAATTAGCAGTGGTAGAGATTGATAACTAACTAGTACTAGGTAGAAGTCATGGTGGGGAGAATGCCCCTCCTCGCGGGAATTATTTAAAGCCCGCCGGCCCCTCTCGCTCCAGTCTGACTTCCTCTCCCTTTGTTGACCTTCAACTGTTCTCTACCCGAAATCAATCCATCGCCAGAACTTATTTTCATCCCATCATCCCATCTAGTCAAAATGCCTGGTCCTGGTTTCAAGGCTGGTGACAGCTTCCCCGCTGACGTTGTCTTCTCGTATGTCCATCTGCGTCTTCTCTTCGTCCTCCCTGACCCCTCTGCTCAAAGCCATCATAATCACCCAATATCTCGGACAAGCTAACATCGATTCTTTCTGTATAGCTACATCCCCTGGTCTGAGGAGAAGGGCGACATCACTGCCTGTGGTATCCCCATCAACTACTACGCCTCCAAGGAGTGGGCCGACAAGAAGGTCGTCCTCTTCTCTCTTCCCGGTACGTTCCCACCACCGATTTCAATGTCCCTTTCAACCCTCTGCCATTGGCCCTCGCCTGCTGACTCGTCTCGTTTCGCTGCGACTTAGGTGCTTTCACCCCCGTCTGCTCCGCCAGACACGTTCCCGAGTACGCCGAGAAGCTCCCTGAGCTCAAGGCCAAGGGTGTCGATGTCGTTGCTGTTCTCGCCTACAACGACGCCTACGTCATGAGCGCCTGGGGCAAGGCCAACGGTGTTACCGGAAACGACTTCGTACGTGTTCATTGCTGGCCCCTGCCTACTGCTGAACTCCCTACTGACTAGATGCTCTCCAGCTCTTCCTCTCCGATCCCGAGGCCAAGTTCTCCAAGAGTGTCGGCTGGGCCGATGACGAGGGTCGCACTTACCGCTATGGTCTCATCATCGACCACGGCAAGATCACCTACGCCGCCAAGGAGCGCGAGAAGAACGTCCTCGAGGTTTCCGACGTCAACACCATCCTCAAGCACCTGTAAATACTTCACAAAGAATAGACCTAGAATGGCTTAGACCCTAGACGCGGGATCTCGTGTGGGGGATAATGAGCTGCTGAGCAAATGCTCGGCATGCATGACCAGTAGTTCGATTTCCATAGAGATTGAATACAATTTATTGATGAAGCTATGGTCACCGTCTACCCAATCCAGTAGGATGATGTCAATCCCGCAGCATGCAGTTGCATCCGAGTCAGAAAACGAAGAACAAGGCACCAAGCTGCTTGACTTTATTATTGGTGTACCTGTGGCTGCAAGGAGGACTGTGCACCTGTATGCGGGACCCATGAGCCGCTAGGCAGCCCTATCCATATCGATCTCGTCGACAACCGTCGTCTGTGCGGAGAACAACCTTTTTGACACTTCCCTTTTTTCCAACCCAACAAATACCACTGTTCCCGTCTTCGAACATGGCCCTGAATCCGCCATCGAAACGCAAGGCAGCTTTGCCGGGCCCGTCGAGACCTGAAAAATCTTCCACCGCGTCCCGAAAACGCACTAAAATGTATGATGCGCGTACTCTCGCCGTGCAGTCTGCCGATGCTGCTCTGTCCGCGACGGGTGAACTCAACGTCGCCGCTTATGTTGAGGCACGAGAATTCGAGATCCGCTCCTTGGAAGAGGGCATGCAGCGATCGAAGTCGGCGCTCACGACCCGTGCGTTTCAGAAAGTACCGCGTTCATTGAGAAGGAGGACGGCCAGTCACAATGTGAAAAGAGTTCCGAGCAGACTGAGAGCAAGGGCAAAGAGAGAGGTATTCTCAATTCTATCCTTCCTCTCATTGAACTATGCACATCCCACTGATGCTCTCTACAATAGATGATCGAAGACAATACCCCAACGGTGACAGCCCGTCGACGCAAACCAACTCAGCTTATGCGCATCCGTCTCGAGACCGCTCGACGTCTTCAAGGTCTCAACGCCAAAACCAAAGCCAAACGTGCAGCCTCAAAAGCAAAACGGGATAAAGAAACCCAGGAAGTCTTGGAAGAAACCGGGAGTCATGCGTTTGAGATCGCACCCCGTGTGCCTAAAATCAAGAAGAACAAGCTCTCCAGACCACCCCCTCCGGAGGCTAAGTTCCAGAAACGCCAAAGGAACAAGACATGGTTGCCCACACACATGTTCCACGCGAAGCGTGCACATATGACACCGTCCGGAGATCCATTGTGGAGATTTGCCCTGCCTCTGTCGCCGACGGAGAAGAGCTATAGACCTTCTCACCGGGCGCGAGGGGCGAGGGGTGCTGTGGCATGGGATATGAGTTACATGTCTACGATTCAGTTGGAAGGAACTGAACCCGCCCTGGAGACCGTGTTGAGAGCGGTAGGGGTTGATGGAGAGGAGGCATGGGGTGCCAAAGGGAGGAGGTGGAGAGCTGGAACGAGGGCGCTGGAAACCTGGGTTTTTGAAAAGGGGAATGATGGCCCAGTCAGGCCTCTTGCACCGGTTACACTTATCTGGCGTGCTCGATCGAAGTCAGAAGATGTTGAGATGGTTGATATCGGCGATTCCAAACAGAAACGGAATCGGGAAAGGCTCTTTATCCGAATCCACCCATCTGCATTCCTACAGCTATGGAATGATCTGCTCGAAGTTTCAAAAAGACAGAATCCACCGGTGATGATTGAGGATCTTCGTTTCGAAATCGGCAGCATTGAAATTGCAGGCCCGGGAGCAACGGAGGCATTGATTGCTACCCTGCAGCCTTTAATGGGTGATCGGAAGGAGACCGATACTACAGAGTCTACATGGTCATCCCTCTTGGGAGTGACGAATCCTTCCTCTCTACCGCAAAATGCGCTTCTTGCCTTCTCCATTTCTGATCCTCGACTTCACTTCCCGCCCAAAAGACTTACGATTCCAAACGATGATACGCACATGAATAATCTTGCTGTCTTGCTATCGTCATGGCCACCGGACAAGGCCCAGAGCGTAGCTGCCCTCTTCGATCGTCCTTCGCGTTTATCTGCTGTTCGTCGTTTACCTAGCCAGAAAGCCATCAGCCGCCGGCGCACCCTTGCGGGTCCAGGGACCTATCCTCCATCCCAACCCACTGACCCCGAAATTCCAGTAATACTCCTCGCGTCTAGGCCGAAGGCTCGTTCCCCAAAGAATGGCAACAGCAATAACAATCTCTCAGGAACTTGGACCGTCCTTTTACCCTGGAAGTGCGTTCTCCCTGTTTGGTACTCCCTGATGTACTGCCCGCTTTCAAGCGGGAGTGTTCCTCGCTTTGGCGGCCTGAAAGAACAACAGCAGCTCGCATTCGAGGCTGGGGAACCTTGGTTTCCAGGTGATTTCCCGGGGACGCGAGCGGGGTGGGAATGGAATGTACGCGAACAGCAAGAAGCGAAGAAGGAATGGGAGCGAAAGCCCAAGGGGCGGAGGGTCGAATTCGAGAGTCTCGACTTGGGCAATGGCAAGAAAGGTGAAATCGGAATGGGTTGGGCATGTGATTGGGAGAGGCTGGTACAAGAATCGAATGGAACAGTTAGGGGTAATAAACGAGATGCCTCTCAAATGTTGAACACCGCTGACAACGAGCCTGGCAAAGAGGGAGCTGAAAATGATACAGTCCCACCACTGAATATCCATCAACTCCCACCTGAAGTCACCAGTAGTCTCCTCAACAGACCTACTCCATCTTCCATCCCCGACAATAGAACCGCCCTAGCAACAGTCAAAATCTCCCTTCTGAGCCGAGGAACTCCAACCCCACGAGCACGCATTTATCGTCTACCGACCACAAATCCAGAACTCCGGCAGAAATGGCTGGATCTCGCATCCTCACAATCAGCCCAAAAACAAAAACGGAAACAACCTGATGGCTTGCAAACCTCTTCAATGTCCACATTAACACGGGAAGAAGTGCGTCAACGTCTAGCCGCCTCCCTGATATCTCCGCCTGTTTCGGATAAAAAGAAGGAGAAGGGCAGCCATCTTCCACTGCCGTCTGAAGAAGACTTGATCGGCTTCGTCACGACGGGGAATTACAATCTCTCCGAAGGGAAGGGTACGGGGATCGGGTCGATTCTGTTATGGAAGGCCCTTGTAGGAGGGGACAAGGAGGAGATTCCTTCTCAAAGACGGAAAAATATGTGCATTATTCGTGGTTCGGGAGAGAGAGTTGGCAGATTGGGCGTTTGGGAGGTTATTTAGGAGGCTCTTCAATTATCATCAATACAGCTGTCGATGTTAGCATCTCTACACTATTTGCTCGAGACAGAACATAACATTGCATTTATGCATCACGCAACGCTTTAACTAAAGATCTAATCCATATACAATGGTACATATAGCAGACAGACAAGCTCTTGAAGTGCCCGACACCGACAGGACATACCCTCTTATCCGTTCGATCCATACATGCGTTGAGCATAAGATGGGCCAGAAAACGAAAAAAATCTACCCAACAATCCGATCAACAAATGCCTCCTCCAACCTAGCAACCTCCTTCTTGAATCCCTCGACCTCCTTCCAGCAATCCAACGGCCTCCTATCATTCAACCGCAAACAGCTAACAACTTCATTCCGCGCCTTCTCCACTCCCTCAGGCAGCTCCATCAACTTCCTGCGCCCATCAAGCTTACTCCGAAGCTCCTGGATCTCACTCGCCACGCTATCCCTAGAAATATCACGGACGGCAACGGCAACGGTCTGCCCTTCGGTTGCGACGGGGGCGGAGTCACGGCCCGCGAAGGGAATCCGGGGGGCGTCTAGGTCCAGTGAACCCCGAGTCGGGGAAGTGGTGGATATCGCCGCGGGGGTCGTCGTAAGGGCATCTGCGGTCTTGGCTTCAGCGAGACGCTTCTCGATGTCTTTGAGGGTCTGTTGTTCGCGGGCTCGGATGCGTTCGAGTTCTTGGGCTACGCGGGCTTGGATTTGGAGTTCGAGGGTTTTGGCGCGGGTGGAGTCCGTCTTATTTGTTTTTCTCGCGTGTCAATCGCATTTCTGTGTGTAAGTGTAGATGCAGTCAATCAATCACGTACCTCTGCGCTGGTTTGGAGGGCCTCGACGAGGTTTGCGGAGAACTGGATGGGTGATGTGCTGTTTGAGTCAGCGAGTTAAGTCAATTAGATCAATTCCTATATGCTCCATTCCAAGGATGATATTTTATATCGTGTAGTGCTGGGCATCCGATTCATCATTCATATTCCTTCTTTCCCGTTCTGGATTTCCTCCAATTGACTTGATCCATTGCGCATCGAACACCACTGAACACAGACCCAAAAAGAAAAATTCAAATAGACAGATAGTCCATCGAAAAGACATAAACACGCATACCTCGAGAAAACATGCCTCGACCCTTCCGAGGTCTCGGGCTTGGAGCTACCAGCGCCCATTGTCTCGTGTGCTGTCCGACTAACTGGAATTTATCCGAGAGTGACGCTTTTCGTTCCTTTCGTTTTCCCTGATCACTCCTTGCCCGGGGTATCGACCGCAAGAGGAGAATGTTCCGGCGAGACCGCAAACCGCGAAGAAGTACTGCGAGGTGTTTGACGCCGACCTGATTTCTGTTCCAGGTTCACATCCGAGCTCCGTCGGCGGTTGGTCACGTGGGTTAAGTGTTCCGATTGTTTTCTCTTTTCTCCATAGTTGGGCCGACTTTTGGACATTCCATTGTCATTGTCTCTCCTTAGGCAATGTTCATATGGGAATAAATATTCTAGGCTGGGACATATATATACATGGACTAGATGCCTTTTTTCCTGGTTGATCATATCATACAATGCCGTGAATGAACTACAGTATCCCGAGACGAGAAAACCGGCCACAGCAGACAATACTTTGCAAACCTTGAGTTTGCCCCTTGATTATTGTTATTGTTGTTGTTGTTGTTGTTATGAGCCTGATTTGGCGCTGTATGAAAATCGAATGATCAGAGCATTACGGGTAGTAACGAAGCTAACTCGCAGTGAGGCAAAGAGATCCTGGAGAGAGTGAGGCGTGGGGAGGCGCAGAATCCCTCGATGCAATATGATTCTGCTAATTGATTTTTCTATGGATAGATCCGTAGGGCGACTAATCTTTGCATTCAGATCATCCCTAAGCTTTCTGCCTTCAGGTTGTTATATCAACTTCTTATATATAAGTACTGGCCTTGGAATAGAGCCAGTGGGATGATCTGTGAGAAGAGGCATAGCCACAACAGTGCAGAAGGATGCCAGCAGGCACAATGTTCTGTACGACAGAACAACTGGGGGAGTTGCCATGGCTGCCTTCCCTCCCCGCAGAAAGAAGACATGTACAACCCAGCAAACGACCTCCATCAAATATTCTATTACACATTAGCCTTTATCTGCTGTAGAATGATAATATGTGGTAACAACATGCTAATTGCCAGCAATCCATGTTTGCTGTCTGGAGACTCATATCACCCCACAATATGTGAGCAGATTCCCCGTAAAATTGTCCGAGACGGCGGTTGTAGAAGGTCTGCAGACTCGGCCATTCTCATGGTACGACCATTCTCTGTAACTGCCGTTCCATCCGCGCATACCTAGGTATGCTGTACTGTATAAGCATCTTGTCAAGGGAATAGTGAGGCCATCCCACGTGATGCGGAAGACATCAGATGCTGCTCTCTCTCATTCATTGGAAGACCTGCAATCCTACCGTGAGAGAAGAGCCCGCAATTCGACGCGTCCAGGACATACATGCCGGGGAAGTCGGCATCGACGGAGCCCGGAGTGAGCATTAATAAAAGAATGCCAGTGTCAGTCGATATCGCCGCGTTGCTAATCGGGCAACCGGTCAACCGGCGAACCCGGCGTTCCTGTTGGACGGGGACGTAGTATTTGCCTTTACTTACAGTGAATTGATGTGACCTCATCTCTCCGCCTCCCCCACTATCCTCGACCATGTTGCTCTCTTCGCTAACCGACCCCGAAGGTTACCGTAGGGGTCGGTTAGTAGTATAACCTTTTCCCCTTGCCCCTCTCCAGTCTCTCCTTCCAGTCCCCTTCTTTTTACTCTTCCTCTTCCGCTTCCGCTTCCTCCTCTTCTCTCTCTCCCTCTTTCCCTCTCCTCCGAATATCAATCTGATCCGTGCCAATGTCCGTCGCCAAGGATCTGGTCGACGAGGCCAAGCGGCTTGCGAGCCAATTCGTCTACCCCGCTGAAAGCGTCAGACGCGATGTCGCCGAGTTTATGCAGGAGATGGAGGACGGCCTGCTCGAAGAGGGCACGACTCTAGGCCAAATTCCAACCTTCATCACCTCCGTTCCTGATGGCAGCGAAAAGGCATGTACCGCCTCCTCCCTTTCTATCTCTGGAGCCTCTTCTTTCTGACCAAACCGTCTCCTCACAGGGTCTCTATTTGGCCGTGGACCTTGGTGGTACGAATTTTCGCGTATGCTCTGTGGACCTGCATGGTGATGGCACATTCTCCATGACGCAGTCCAAGATTATGATCCCTCGCGAACAGATGTGTGGCGGTACTGCGAAGGAACTCTTCTTGTTTTTAGCCAGGCAGATTGAAGCCTTCCTCCGCATCCACCATAATGAGCACTTCGAAGCACACCTGCGACGACGTTCCAGGGGCGATGCGATCCAGAATGCATTCGACCTTGGCTTCACCTTCAGCTTCCCCGTCCACCAGTTGAGTGTGAACAGTGGCACGCTGATCCGTTGGACCAAGGGCTTCGACCTTCCCGATGCTGTGGGAAAGGATGTCTGCTCTCTCCTTCAAACCGCTATCGATGAGCTGGATCTTCCGGTTCGCGTTGCCGCTCTTGTCAACGACACCGTCGGAACCTTGATGGCCCGTTCCTACACCTCGGCCGGAAAGAAAGGCGCGCTAATTGGCGCTATCTTCGGTACTGGCACCAATGGTGCCTACGTCGAGGACCTCAAAAGGGTCAAGAAACTGGACTCGATGGACGGCGCTGATTGGGACAAGCAATGTACCAAGATGGTCATCAATACGGAATGGGGTAGCTTTGACAACCACCTGAAGGTGTTGCCCAACACGACCTTCGACCAGCAACTGGATGCGGCCAGTATCAACCCTGGCTATCAGATGTTCGAGAAGCGCGTCTCGGGAATGTTCCTGGGCGAGATCCTGCGTCTTGTTCTGCTTTCCATGCACAATGATCCGTCCGTTAACCTGTTCCGACCCAATGAGGTGTCGGGCGTCTTCATCCCCCAGGATTCAGGTCTCTATAGACAGTGGGGAATCGATACTAGCTTTTTGAGTTCTGTCGAAGCAGACACCAGCTCGGATCTTCACTACGTCAAGACCGTTATGAAAGAACACCTCAAAATTGAAAACCCCAGCACTGCGGAGTGCGAGGCCGTCAGGATCATTGCTGGCGCTATTGCGAGGCGCGCTGCTCGACTGAGCGCTGTGCCGCTGGCTGCCATTCTTATCTCCACCGGTTCCATGAACAACGGAGCTGTTGACATTGGCGTCGACGGCAGCTTGGTCGAATACTACCCTAACTTCGAGGGCATATTGCGCGAAGCCTTACGTGAAGTCTCCCAGATTGGCCCTGAGGGGGAGAAGAAGGTAGAAATCGGCATCTCTAAAGACGGTAGCGGCGTCGGGGCCGCCTTGATTGCCTTGGTAGCCCGCAGAAGTGAGATGACTGCTCCTCAAAAGCCATGACATCGTATTCTCTTCCTGGGCCTTTTCCTTGCTTTTTTAATGAGGCATGCCATAGCGTTTTTCTTTTTTATTTGATACCATCAATCGTCTGCTACCCTTTTCCCTTTTCTCATCTTGACACATTCCAAATAATCTGGGCCTTTTGATCATGGGAATTGCGACTCTTTTTTCGCAAATTCCAGATGCTCGGCACATGATTGCATGGATGGTGTTTGGAGCATAGAGGCGTGTTTAGGCGTGTCGAACGACGATACATTAGCACTGCTTTGGAGCATGGAACAACAAACCAAAAAGACGAAAGAATCTTCCTGTGCACATTATTTTTTTCCCCTTCATTTTGCTTTTTCTTTTTCTTTTTTCATATGAAATAAAACCAAGCAATATCAGGAGAATTAATGCCCAGGGTTTCAAATAGAGATGGCCTTTGCTTTATCTGATCTGTACACCGCACAGAAAAAGTCAAAAAAAAAAAAATAAATAATAATAATAAATAAGGAACCGCACAAAGAATGCGAATTGGGGAGCAATGATAAGACTACTAAACAGCAGCATAAAGACTCAAGTAGACCCCCCAAACTACACCGCTAGCACTCCCAAAGACCACCCTCTTTTCCATGGGAACAACCGTATACATCAACGCCGACACGACAGGACGATATGCCAACCGCGCCAACATAATGGGATAAAAGTCCTCTTTGACGAGTCCGAGAATAGCACCAGCACTCGTCCCCTTCAACCAATTAATCAACACGATGAACAAGACAATATTTACCACCGAACCGACCGTCTGGTCCAGAACGAACTTGGCCATGAAGTTGCGCATTCCTGAAGAGGAAGGAGACGAGGAAGATCCATGCCCAGCAATGAATGATCTCTCCTCTGTAGGAAGCAACTCGATTGCATCAATAGCATGTTCCTCTCCGATCCCGAATCTGCTGCTACCGCGTCGGAACGGTGCTAGGAGCACTGAGAACGCACGTCTGAACCCGGATCGGGCCCTGCCGAATGTAGGTCTTGGGAAGCCGGGGAATTTTGCTTCGATGTATTTTTGCCATTCGAAGTTGATGGGGACGACGATGATGCCGTAGATGGTGAATTGGATGAGGGCGGGCGTGTTCAGGGTGAACGCGAACGGTTTCTGTTCCTGGTTAACCGGGTTTCAATCATATATATATATATATATATATATATACATGTATATTTACGTACATTGTTTCTATGGGCATATTTGTACTGGTCTATCAACTGGGCCAGGACGTTGGCGATGATGTTGAGGATGGTGGATTGAATGAAAGTGACGGTTAGGGGGGAGGGCATGGTGGTCTATTTGCGACCAGGAGGAGCATGATAATACCGTATTAGAGAGAACAGTACATGGTTGCTGGATGGCGCTTTGTCTTTACAAGTCATGAGAAAACAGACTCATCTTTTGATGCCAGGGTAGCAGCAATCTCAGAAGAAAGGAAAAAGAAAAGGAAAAAAAAGAGAACACAGAGTGAACGGTCAATAGCTGCCAAGACAATCTACTCCGCGTTACAAAGGGACGCGCTCCACCTCCGCAGACTCGTCTTCTACACCACCGGAACACTCCTTTTGCGAACTACAACATTCGGCCCAGTCTTTGCACTTGTGAAGTGGTCAATCAGCGCCAAATGACCCCCAGTGTCTTCTCCTTCGCGGTTGGCCAGTTCAATGTCAAAGAGAAACATTATTCTGGCGATGGTCAACCGCAACTCCATCATCGCCATGCTCTTCCCGATACAGCCTCGTGGTCCAATACTGAATGGACAGAATGCCCTTCGTGCTATCTCAACTTCATCATGAGTGGTCTTCCATGAGTCCGTGCTAGCCTGGCATATACTCCCCTCAATCCATCGTTCAGGGATATACGATTCCGGCTCTCGGTAGTACCGCGCCTGTCGATGGATGGAGTAGGTCGGAGTCCCACAATCTGTTCCCGCAGGCAAGAATACTCCGTCAACCATGGCTCCCCCCTCCATCACCTCCCGCGGAATCGCACCGGGGACAGCAGGAGCCAGGCGCAGAGCTTCGTCGATACATGCTTTGAGATAGACCAGATTGTTCAGCTTGACGCCACTTACGATCTCTTCCACAGCATTGAAGCTCTCCCGGACCTCCTTCTTAAGCTGGTTCATCCTCCGTATATTCCGCACAAGGTAGAAGATGGTCGCTGCCAGCGTGGTCGAGGTTGTATCACTGCCTGCTATCATCAATACATTGGCTTCACCCCAGAGTTCAGGGGTCGTGAGGCCCTTGCCCGTCTCAGGGTCCTTGGCATTTAAAAGGTAGTAGAAGAAGTCCTTTTTGGCGTCGTGGCCGGCCTGGGTGCGTTCTTTGGCTCGTTCGTTGGCCTCGACGCGCGAGTTCATGATGAAATTCCATCGGTCGCGAGTGAGCCGTCGGATAAAGATCTGGTCCAGGTGCCACCTATCCAGAGGCATCCAGAGACCGCACTGTTCTTTAATTAGTTCGTATCGTCAAAACATCATACCGTCTCTATTACTCACCACATAGTGTCGGTTTGCGGCTCTGTCCACCAAGCGAATCACCTCTCTCCTACCACTGGAAACCAGCATGTTGAAACTCTTCCCAAAACATAGCTCACCCATCACGTCATACGTGAGGTAACTGAACCAGTCCGCCATGTTCCAGACTGTGTTACCCTCCTTCTGATGCTGCTGGCTGTCCTCTCCCGCCAAGGCGGCGCAGAGCTGCCTCACATGCAAAAGCATCACATCTTCCATCGCCTTGAGGGCATTATCTGAGAATGCCTGGCTGAGAACCCTTCTCTTTTGCCCGTGCACAAATTTATCAATGACATTGTGTGTGTTATACACACCCTTGATTGCGGGAAAAGCGTTGTAGAAGTCGGCCTTCTTTATTCTTTTTCCGTGGCCATAGATGTCATGGAGTCCCCGTTCGGTATTAACGGAGACGAAGTTCGGTGCCACACGCACATGAGATCCATACTGTTTATGAAGACCATGAAGCCATAGATGACGGTCGCCTTTGATTCCGTGATACAACTGCACCCAGGGGGTGATCCCTGCCAGGAATGGACCAGGTATGCGGCGAAGGGGATGAAAGAATCTATTATGCGTGATATATGCGAAGACCTATTGACCTTGTCGTCAGTGTCATTTTCTTTCTTTTTTTGTTGGGGGGGTAAAACAGAGCTCCCCGCAAATTATGCATGTCCGGGGAAGGCGACGGCAAAACATACCAGAAACCCCAGAATAACCCCCAGCCCCGTGGCAATTCTGCTGTACAACAATCTCACAAGGATCAACTGCAAATGGACTAGCATATTGATGATTCTTTCTCTTGATATGAACGGATTGCATCAGAACCCGGGTCTAGCCGTCAAAAAGCGCAGCCCCGCAAACTCAATGGTAAGCAGCCTGAATTGGAGGGAGCAACTAAAGGAAATGAGTCTTGAGGATTCTCTCTTTCTTCCTATTTATCTAGGTGTCCTCATCGGTACTGCTGCTTGGTTTATATACTTCTCTTTACTTGCGGTACCTTGTCAAACTGTCGGCTACACTCGGCCATTCTTTTGGGGACATCTCTGCTTTGCTTCTCTCGTTGGTCCTGTCTTTCGCAATGATAGCGGTATTCGTAGTGTACTCCGTACCGGGAATGTTAATAGGTCATTGGCATGCTTAGGTGGGTCTCTGCTTGATTCTGCCATCTCTTTGACCGATGGAGCCCGTCATCCTGGGGTCCGGTAGAACTTCTCTGTCCGGGGCATAAGCACATGAAAGCAAGGATGCGCCGTTTCCGTCGTCAGACTTCTGCGCTGTACTAGTTAAATATGGAGACCGCATGGAAAATTGTGTTTTCGTTGATCGAATGTAATATCCAGTCTAGACTGTGAAGCAACAGATGCTCGTTACAAAGGAATTAGCACAATGCAGGGCTGTATGTACGCCGTAGATGCACCTGCATGTTTTCAATGGATTATACTGGAGCCATAGCTTGCTGATGAACGTTGCATTCAACGCGTTGCACTGCCTTGCGTTGAAGCCCTTAGTTAAACCTGCTTGATGATGTGTATGTCAGATAGTTAACTAGGTGCCCGGTTTGTTTTGTTTGTTCTGTTTCTCAAGATGCCTGAGACTCCCAGCCCTTCGGAATTATTATTAACTCTCTCCAACACACGACTCGTCCTCTGCATCTATTGATGTTATACGTATTCTGTTAACCTTTCAAAAACAAAATCCCTCTTGAATACGGTAACCATTTCTTGACATCTCACCATGTCAAATCTTTTTTACCTCATCGAGTCGCGAACGCCAACGTGACCATTATTCAGCCCCGACTTCAATTCTCCGTCTCGGACCCCCAAGGTTTGGATATTAATCATTACTATTGACTAATTAATTCTTTAACGCAATCGAATACCGAGTGTCCAGCTCTGTATTCCATATAAAATGGCCTTTCTAAGACCATCTCAGCAACAAAGCATCCAGCATGCATGAGATGTTAGATGCACAATAACTTGGTACTGCATTTATAATATTGCGCAGAGAGATTTGTATACTGGTTATTCCTCAAGTAAAATAAATTACAAGTGCTTTCTTAGTATTTTTAGTTACTCTAGTGTGTAAACCTAGGAAAATTGTTTTTAAAACCTGAAAAATGAAATACACCCTTCCACAGCCAATCTATGTATTTGATCTTACTGATATTGTTGTAGAAATATTGGTGGTGAAGGTATTGAGGTCTTAGAAAGGGCCATTTTATACAGAGCTGGGCCACTCGGTGTCCAGGGCAATTACGTTACTCAACTATATCGTAGCTGTGCCCATATCTCCGATCCGAAATTTGTTCGTCTTACTGCTCGCACTTTGGCACGATTACTGTACAGCGTACAGCCTCGTCAACCACCGAAATCGACATATAATTTTCTGCATGTTGCTATATTTCGTGTGTCTTTTTATATCCAACTGGTTGGGAACTGTTTCCTCTAGACGCTTGCTAGAGACAGTGTACGTAGTAGCAGTATGCTCTAATTCCGAGCAGACCAATAAGTCCCGGGCCGATTTCCGTGCCAAGGTATGCGGGGAACCACCGCCTTCTTAATATAGCCAAACAACTAAACCCGGCTGGGAATAAAGCTGTTGGATCACGTGGGATTCTGCCACATAGGTCCGCCCTCGCTGACCCTTTTCACCACGTAGGCCTATCTAGCTAGTAACCAACCAACGATACACCTCCATTAAAAGCCGATATCTGGTCATGTGTTTTTCCGGGTTGGACGCAGAGCAGAGCTTACATCCCTTCTCCAGCGTTGGAAATGCATCTACACCCATGTTGTGGACGAGTCGACCCGCTAGACAGCATGAAAAAAAGCTTTGGTGGCGCTGGCCCCGCGTCCTCTACACTTTTGCAGTACGGAGATCACCAATTTAACCTAACGCACGTTCAGTTCGCTGCCGTTGGCGACGAACCCAGATGGAAGCCAGAAGTTTGCCCGCGACTCTGCTTTGAAATATACGAGGCCTGGAAGTATCCAATGTGTCTGGAGACAATATACATCACCATAACGCCTGCTCTTTTCGCTCTGTGCGTTCATATTTCTACGCTGTATACTAGTACAGCGTATTAGCGGAAATGGCGATTGAAGAAGTAATGCTGGCCTGGCCGGAGCGATAATAAGCCTCCATATTCGCATTGGTCCAGTTACTGCTCGGTAACTGGCAGACACTGAAATTGCATAGAGCAATTATTCAGTGATTCTGAACTCAAATCGAGGAGTCCACGTTGTGCTCGCTGCTGATCATGCAGCCCACATGGAAGACATGGGGGGCTTTCTGTGAAAGGCTGAAAGCTAAAGTCTTTAGTAAAGGGCTTTACGGTCTCCTCGGTTTCCTATATCACATGGAGAGGAGATGCAGCTATTTTGACGCGAGAACAAAGGTTTCCCGTCCATGAGGATGTCGCTCAGCTCTGGACGCAGACAGTTGCCATGCGCTTTTTTTTGAGTTCTAGTCAGAAACAAAGGGACAGCCTTACATATCAACACCTATTCCGAATTAATACCGTTGAGGAAAGAAGATGGCAAGAAAGAAAATCAAACTCAAAAACGAAAGAAGCAGCATGGCTTGGCCTGCGAGTGGGCCCTACCCCGGGATCTGACTCGAGGGGCTCCGCGGTGCAGCGGAAACAGACTGGGGCAATCAATAGAGCACAGATGATGATATTCTCGACTATCCAAACTTAATGCTTCTTGACGCTATTACGGTCGATCCCTGGTGGAATTTCCCTCCACAACTCCCTGAGATACAGCTGGATGCAATACCGGTGCAAATGTTTATACTCTTGAATACTTTCTGGTACCCTCATATGAAACACGCTAAGCCACTTTTGTAAAGCCTTCCGAAAGGCCTTGTTACATCTTTGTGTATTGCATGGTACTGGCCGTTCCATGACGCATAATATTTTACATAGCCTGTATCCCCCACGTATTCGTCAGACCACGTGGATGGTTCCCCCAATGAACCTACCAAGGTTCCCTCCCGGAAGATCACGTCGATCATCCTCGTATGGCAAAAAGATGGCCCCCAATCTAGCTCCATCGACTCTGGAGTTTATCCGTGATATGATTTTGAGCAATGAACTTACTCACTCCCAGATTGCCAAAGCCACTGGCTGCCATCCAAGTACTATCACTAGGCATGTCACCAACATGAACCTCTTTGGAGATGTGAAGGCGCCCCCAAATAAGGGCGGACGCCCACGAAGACTCACACCGGTTAAGCTTAAAGCTCTCTGTGATCACCTACTCGAGAAGCCCCATCTATACCTTGATGAAATGGCGATTTTTCTGTGGGACGAGTTCCAGGTGCATGTAACCACATGCAGCATTGGTCGTGCTCTCAAGCGTGAAGGCTGGTCCAAAAAAGCCGCTAAATATAAAGCAAGAGAGCGAAATGCAGATCTACGTGACGCGTACTTCCATTTTATGTCAGACCTTTGCTCATACCGCCTTGTGTATGTGGATGAATCTGGGTGTGACAAGAGGGTAGGATTCAGAAGAATCGGCTGGTCTCCTCTTGGTATCGCCCCGAGTCAGGTGGCCAAATTTCATCGTGACCAGCGGTATCAAATCCTCCCAGCCTACGCGCAAGATGGGGTCGTCCTGTCCCGTGTTTTCCAAGGCTCCACCGATGCGTCTGTCTTCGAAGATTTTATAGAGGAGCTGCTTCATCATTGTGGGAGATGGCCGGAGCCAAAATCTGTTCTGGTTATGGATAATGCCTCCTTTCATCACTCTGAGAGATTGGAGCAAATGTGCGCAGAAGCAGGGTTAAAGCTGGTATATTTGCCCCCGTATTCGCCTGATTTGAATCCAATTGAGGAGCTCTTCTCCGAACTGAAAGCCTTTATAAGGCGGCATTGGCAAGTCTACGAAGATAACCCCGACCAGGGCTTTGATTCTTTCCTTGAATGGTGCATTGAAACCGTGGGTGCGAGGAAACAGAGTGCAAAAGGACATTTCCAGAATGCTGGTCTGACAGTCGAAGAAATGCCGTAGGGAATGTATCCCTGCAGACCAGTAAGTTAAGCTGCCGTGCCTGGGGAATTTACATTAACAAAGTTTACATCATAGTCAAGCCTATGGTGAAACGTGAGGTCCGCCAACGGCATCTTCAAAGTATCAAGATGAGATGGGAAAGCAGACAGCAGAGCAAATCATCAAATTAGCAGACAGTTAATGTATCTAACCAGCCACCTAGTCGTAGTTTCACTATGTGTCCCAAATTCGTTGAGCCATCTTCTCTCACGCTCACTTCCTCTATATCACGAAGGATACTCTCTATATATTCTTCTGCGCCACTGAGATGTATAATACGCGCAATGGCACGGTGGACGGCGAGTAGTCGAGGAGAAGGTGGGTCGATCGTACGGTTTGGGCCTAGGGTCAGTGTCCGAATGACGGGGAATAATGGATCACGTAAGAAGGAACGTTGCTCCGTTGAATCAATCTTATATTGATATGGATCGCCCGTACGCATCCATACGACTGTCCGTATGGTCATTATTAAAAATTACCGTTTTATACATTGTTATTAAATACACGGAAGATAGATATTCCATATAGTAACCATTTATGGTTTAGCTCCGTTTCGAATAAGGTTTCAGAAAAGAAGTCAGAAGTATAAACATTTGCACCGGTATTGCATCCAGCTGTATTAGAGGCCCTGGCCCTCAGCTGCCACAGGCTATATCAAGTTCTCTTCTTCACCTAATTCCCGACGTTCCTTTCCCTCTGGCCTCTTTTAACAATCACGGCCGGCTTTTGCAGCCTACTACCTCCCTCTGTCTCCCTGGCAACAGTACAATTGGTTACATTCCACCATGTCAGAGAATCCAGAGAAACCAAAAGACCACGCAGGGTCTATTCCTAGTGACAGCTTCCCGGAGCACCTGGAGCATAAGTCTGAAGTCCCCAGCCCACCTCCTGCGAACAAGTATGGGGACCCTCGACATGCAGAGCCTAAATTTTCCTATTTCGACGGACAGTTTATTGGCATCTTCTTTGTAAGCTCTTTTCCTCTTTCCTTTGAGAACCAAGAAAAAATATTCCAGCGAAATGTTCGCTAGTGCTTATGAAAAACAAAAACCAAAGTCATGCGTATTTGCCTTCTACTCGGCCATGTTGGGGACATTTTCTCATTGGAATGGTTACCAAGGAAATACCGCAACTGCTCTTGGGGAGTTTACGTTCTCTCGAGCAGCCATTGCGGCCTGAAACACTGATGGTTAAGCTGTTACCAGGTCGATCTCCTGCCCATGACCTGGGCATGGCCCACTATCCTCTTTGCACAGACGATCAGCACTGTTCTATTTTGTCGAATGTCAGATCTTATCGGTCGTCGTTACATTTTCTTATTTGGAAATCTGGTTGCCTTTGTCGGCTTCCTTGCTACTGGTCGGGTAAAAGAGCCTGCCACTCCCACAGGACTGAGCGCTTTGATTGGCATTGGTCCTGGTATCCAGATTCTGGCTTCCTTTCTGAATTTGACAGAGCTTGTTCCTATCAGGCATCGCTTTGTAGTGTCAGGAGCCTGTATGAGTTGTTTCGCACCACTGCTTGCCATGAGACCCGCAATTGGTGAGTTGCGACCAGGTCCTCGTCCATGCATTCTATAAGCAAAACAGCTAACCTGCTACCTACAGCTGAGGCATTCTACAAGAATACTGGCGATACATGGCGCTGGTGCTACTCCTTTAATGCGATCCTCTCTTTTGTCGCTCTTGTTTTAGCGGTACTCTTTTACTTCTCACCGACTTTCGATCAGCTACATGAGGGCCTACCAGTGATTGATGAGCCCAAAAAGAAGAATTGGGTGGGTCTAGTTGCGCTCACAGCATTCATCTCGATCTTGCAATTTGTTCTCATGTGGGGCATCATAATCTACCGCTTTCTTACCCTATCTATCTCTGCTAAAATGAACCATGCTGACTAGGTGCGGCCTGGAGCTCCGCTCAAACAATTGCCGTGACCACTATCGGTGGTGCTGGACTAGTCCGTTTTGTTGGATGGGGTGAATAGAGTTTCTCTGAGTATGGCTACATATGTGATTGTACAGGTTCTAACAAGTATTTAGAATACTATCTGGGAAGTGACCATGCTGCCTTCCCAGTATATTTCCTTCGAAGTTGGACAACTCTTTCCCAGGGAGTTATTGCTGCCTTTACTTCCTTTATTGTATGGTTCTATTCTCTCGCCACCAATGTACAAAACATCACCATCTACTATCAGTATGGAATGAAGGGTGCTTGGTTCATAGTGAGTAACCACCTATCACTTTTGGTAATGCAGGATTCTCAACTGCTGTATAGACTTGCTGGTCTGCTGGGTTGACTGCAGGCTATGTTATCTCTATATTTGCCCTTATTCGACCAAAGCATATCAAGCTACACATTATAGGAAGTGCCTGGCTAAATATGATTTTCCTCTCCTGTCTCGCTGTGGCAGAACTAGCAAGGTCAATTGGATGAAAGTCTTTTGGGTTCTCGGCGGTATCGTCCAAGGATATGCCATGGCAGTCAGCTATGTCTCAGCGCCCATGACTTGTCATAAGAGGGACATGGGACTTGTTGCCGGTCTCATTTCTGGAATTCGGAACCTCGGCTTTGGCCTGCTTGGTAAGTTTTTCTCATCTCCGATTTTCAGAAATGTTGTTGTATAGGCTAACCATTGACACTAGAGGCTATTTTCCTCCGCATTGTAAGTCACATTTATTTTACGATATCACGTTGGCAGTACTAACACAGTCACTCTCTAGTACTATCCGAAGTTTATGAGTGTGATCAAGGGCATCATCATAAAGAATCTCAGTGCTGTGAAGGCATCCATCAGGAGGTTCTGGCACCTCTTACAAACCGCCTCGTGCCAGCGGTTACGCCATTACTTTCTAAACTTTTGGCTCTCCCCAATCTCAAGTTGTATCCCGTGTAAGTATGATCAGGTGTGCTCAGGATGCTGAATACCAAGCCTGGAGATTCATCCTGGAGCTTGCCAATATCTATAGCTGCGGTTTCATTATTATGGTCCTCTTCGTTGCCAGCACTGATCAGTACCTGACTAACGAGATCTGGGCTCATCTGAATCGTCCTAATATCTTTGGAAATCCCGTAGGAAGAAAACGAACGAAACGGGTAAACGGCCACAGCACCTGAAGATGATCAGCACAAGGGCCGCTCCTCTCATCCCGTCGCATTGCCGAACTGAAGTGGAAAATTAAAGGGTCCTTAGTTCTGGTATTCGTGATGTCTCCTTATGATTGCCGGTACAATATTCATCAACTGGGTTGATCGAACTTGCGAGCCCTGCAGTCCGACACATTGCATTGGCAATCTGCTACTTATCAACGCCTAATATTGTATGATATATAATGTTTCATGCTCGCTCTTCATGACGGATGACCTTGGTTATCGGTGGCGGTAGTCAATCCAATCATATTCTTCTGCCTCGTATGGAGGCAATACTCAATGTTTCTCTCTTGTAACAAAGTACACAGCTTCGGTGGTTGCATTTGTTAGTTTTATTTTTATTGTCCCATCTCTGGTCATTATTGCCCTACCTAGGCACCATCGAAGTCTACGAAACCATAACAGCACTATCAAGTAACGGCAACCTAAGATCATTCCCGCCGAGTCAGTCTCCAATCTTTAGAGCGTTCAGGCCACTCACACCAGATGCTATTGTCTCTACGTAGCATGTGATAGTCAATATTGCATTCCGTGTTTCCAACTTTCCACTGGGCAATATAGCTTGCAATGGTGATTAAAGGCCGATCTAGTCATTAAATTAAAACTGGGAATACACACGCCACTCACAATACGATCAACGCTAAATCGATAGACGACCCTTGCGGAGGACACTAGGCAGGCAGACCTGGGAATTGGCCTACCTTTCATGCGGCATTAGCATTAGTCTGTGAAACACCGAATGTAGTACTCTATGTTCGGTGTTAGAATCTGTATACAAGCTATACGGAGTGTAGGATGAATGGAATGAACATTGATGTGTTGCTCATGGGACTCTTGCATTGACGGTGTTGTCTGATAATATGATAATCCATGACTGATTCTGACTCCTTCACTTCCCACCTTTGTCGTGGAATAGCCCGTTTCCGGAAACTCTTGGGACGAGCCTTCGTCTATTTCCGGCTCTTCAATTCCCTTGAAGGGGTTTTGGGGAGGAGAGTTGGACGAACACAACTCCGGCATAACATGCAAACTTCACATTCTTTTTTCTCCACATTCGCTTGGGTATTTGATAATAATTAGTTCCTCATGGGGTTGGAGAGGATACCAGTCCACAGCATTACTCAGTGCCGGGGAGCTTCTCTCGCTTATCTTTGGCCTATCTAGCCAAGTAGTTCCTATGTGGTGTACCCATGTAACCCTCCATCGAGAATCCACTGCTCATTATCATCCCTGTCATCTTGAACTCGTCGCCAGGTTTGTTTTCCCTCTTTCTCGTTTCCTGTGGTCCGATCTGATTGTTTCCCCTCCGGTGCTTTCCAGATAGGCCGAAACAGGCCACCTGCTGCGAGAAGAGGGTTCTTGCTAAACGCCTCACCACCGCTAGGTTTTGACGACGTCGTCTCAGCATCCCGAAGTTCTTCCTCCTCCGCATCTTCCACCTCGTTCTCCCTGCTTGAACTCTGCTCCGCAGGACCAGTAGCAGTGTGATATACCCTGGTTATCCTGCCGCCTTTGATATCCAAACTCATAAGGGTCTTCTTCTTCTCCCACTCCGGTCGTGCCTTTTCCTCTATCTCCCGCTGAATCCGCTGCTGTTTCTTCAACGCTAGTGCGCGTTGCGCGGGACTCATCCATAACGTAGATGCCACGTTAGGTGTCTCGAAATCAGCAGCTTCATCCACAACCCGTGTTCGGCGAGCATTCTGTGCCTGAAACTGAAGGAGCCTGTCACGATGAGCCCTGGCAGCGTCAAGCTTATCGTTTGCAGGCAATGATCCTGCAGGCCCCGGTCCACCATCACGCTGCACACTTTCATTGTGTGCTCGCATCTTCTCTTGGCCACGCTCTGCTCGTAATTCCCGGATCATGTTTTGCACCTCGTCGCTAGACAGGAGCGGTGTGCCGCAGAATGAGCACGGTTGAAGCCCCTCGAGAGAACATATTATTTTCCCACAGTTGAGACAGTTGGGAGCTGGCGTAAACAGCGGATGAAAGGAGGCATAACAGTTGCATTTCCGTCCCTCCTGGCCTAGAGTAGGATTCGTAGATATCTCCAAAGCAGCAATTGCTGCGGTCAAATCGGCAATGTTGTTGGTAGTCACCGAACCCTTCGATGATGGCATTGAAGTCCCTGATGCTGCCTGTCGAGACGTCGACTTGGAGGATTTCGACTTCACATTCGGTAGGAAGTCTGATATTAATGGTCCCGCCGAAGTCGGAGGATTCCTCGTTGTCTGTTTAGATGAAGCGGGAGATTGATTTCGTGACGAGCCAGCGGAGGAAGTATACGGAGATGTATTACTCTGTGGTACTTGAAGAGCAGCCGGTTCACTGTAAAGCAACTGCGTCTTCGATGTCGACGCTGACGGGCCAGCCTTGTCCTTCCTGTTGCGTTCCCGCGAGGACGAAGCGGACATGTATTCCTCCTCTTTGCTAGCTTTAACATAACCACCCGCTACATTCCCATAGCCCTCCGGTTGACGCAGAGGCCCCGCACTATGCAAGGGAGGCTTGTACTTCTTATTCTTCTTTGCGCCACTCTTCTCATTCGAACCACCGTTATTAGTGTTGAGCGACGTATCCCGTCGCGAGTTGAATGACGCAATAAACTCGAGCGCTGCAGGAGAATCACCCAGCAGGTTCTTCAAATGTTCCGCACTTGCCTCTTTAGACAGGCCCGCAGAATACGTGATGATTTGTGTAAGAGATTCATCATCCAGAGGGAGAAGCTGTGCGAGGCGGGGGACACCCCAAGCCAGAAGGTCGGAAGACATGGAAAAGCTCTAAGGGGCATATAAATAGCCCAATAGATTAGAAACCAAAACAAGGAATTTCAGACAGGACAAGAAGATAACCCAGTCCAAGGATGTTTCGCTATGAGCGGTGCTTGACAAAAAGAGAGATGGGAGGCAAGTTATCTGATGTACATAAGCCACATAGGACAATTATGATATTGTTGACTAAGCTGTGCAGCTGGAATTGTTCATCATGTGATTTTAATGCATACAGTGTCAATGGGAAGAAAGCAAGAATGGCTTCTTTGCTACTTATTTTCTTGCACAGTAATGCCGTCAAGTGTAAAGAAAGATACATAACTTCAAGCAATCACGTCCATTCATAGTTCAATGTCTCAAACAAAACAAGTAACTTCAGCTAATGACACCAGCATATTCTACAATACACCATGATCGTCTATGGAGTAGAGCAACAGATATAAAGAACCAGAAACCAGCATATCCAAGACGCCTCATATGAGAGAAGGGAAGAAAAGAAAGCAAAGTGGTATGGTTAACAGTGCTGGTCGCAGTTCTTCTATGATACCCTGAATGCGAAATAATAAGTGCGTTGACATCGTTATAAAAAACGAAAGACGACAAAGGGGAAAAGCCAAGAAAATAACTCCCTTAATGAAACCGCTGTGTGGTCAGAGAGAACCGGTCGAATATGCGGCATGTATCCCCGAGTATCTGAAACAGTCTTTTCGGGGAAGGGAGAAAGAATGACAAGAGAGGCCGAATGTAATTAGGCCTTGGAGTCACCATTCGTTTCAATCTTCAACCCACCATCCCCCGCAGCTTCTGCAGCCATCATATCAGGTGTGGTGCCATTTTTTAGTTTGCTTGGGGGAGGCGGTTTTTTGCCCGTCAGTTTCTTGGGCGCTCCGAGCTTTTTCTTTTTCGTCACAACTGGAGCCTCGTCATCTCCGGGTGGAAGGGGCCGCTTGGGTGCTGCCGTACTGGGTGTGCTACTGTCTGATGGGGGCTTGTTGCGGTTACTACCCCTACCGGATAAGCCCATGCATCTGTCTAGATGCTGTGCCACCCTAAAAGAAGCAAAATATCGTGGACAGTTAGGGCATTTTACAGTTGGATATCCAACCTTCTCGGGAGCCGTGTGCTTGAAAGAACCATCTGGAGTGGTCGGAGGGCTGGAACCTGGAGTGTTGGCATTGGTGGTCTGTTTCTTCTTTTTAGTATTCAACTTGTCCGTAGCGAAGGGATTCCCGTGAATATCATATCCCGGTCTAACAATGGGCGGTTGTTTCCGGCAGTACTCCCTGTATGGGTCTGGGGGAGGACGAGCACCAATGCCGGTGGATGGATATAGCAAACGAGGCAATCGACACTCAGGGCAAATAATCTCTTTTGTCGTATGGAGCGGATTGCCCTTGAGGTACGCCTTTCCGCGTTCGAAAATGGCTCCTTCTGTCTCGACTCGAACGTTTTTAAGATCATCAGAGTCCACAGAAGCCTTTGTAGCTGTCTCCGGGCGAAGTCGGGCAGCCTCTTCTTCGGCTTTCTGTCTAGCAAGTACCACGGCTGAGCGCATGCGTGCAATCTTCTCGTCACGATGAGCTTTGAGCACGATGTCATGGATAATATTGTAGAACGTGTCATTGAGAATGTCGCATGTCTGCTACGATTAGATACTTGCTAAGGAGCGGTGGATCTTGAAATGGATGATGTCCTCGAGTGACCAAATCCTGTACTTACCAGCTTTGCTATTGTCCCAGCAGGAAAAGACTTTTTCCCTTCTTTCCCGTTTGACTCGGCCATTTTTGACAAGCTTGGTCAAGCCTAAAGCAGAACAGTTAGTATCCACGGTGGTGCAACGCAACAATAGTAAGAATACAATTATACAGGCTGAGTAATTTAATCGCAAATATTTTATTTAGGTGAAATATTTTCATACCTCGACTGTAGTATCTCAGGGAGATCCTATGTAGCCCAGCTATTCTCCCGGCTATACTTCCCTCTCGGCAGTCACGCAGATGCGTTTAGCGTCGCCCTTGAATGTGAAAATCCACAAAGACACGATAAGCTGTCCTGTAAAGCAATCTTATGTTGTACTTCAACCCGTCCCTGAACATATACATTCGCGATCGGCGGGTGGTCCGGGGGGGAGGACGATGCGGGAAGACCAATTCAAATACCCGCCAACAAGCGACCCAAAAGTCCAATCCTCAAAAAGAAAGGTTATGAATGCAGGTATCCAAGTCATCCGGATCTATTGTAGAGAAGGAGAGGGATCTATCAGCTGGCAGAACCATGCAACGCACAGTATGACGTGCGGGCGTCTTACCTCCTCAAGTGAATGCAGTGCTGGATAGCCAGCCGTTGCAGTTGAACCACCTTCAAAAACAAAACTTCTCTCAAAACAGGAAGGACAGTGATGCCAGAAGCAATGAACGCGGGACCAGCGGCATTCAGGTAGTGTTCCAAGGTGCCACTGGGCCTCCTGGTGAAGCACGAGTCGTTGGCGAAGCCAGCTAGATTCTCCGAGCGAACTTTGAATCTGAGATCTTATCTTATCTCCGCTGTTCTTTCATTCTGGAGTCAAGACATGCTGCAACGCCAGAACACTCACACCTTGTCTTCTCCCTCTCTCAATTCTATTCCTTTGCATTTGCCTCTGCGTCATCAATGGTCATAACGGTGTGCTTTCCTCTCAGAAATCGCCATGGCCTACCAGTTCTTCGCCAAAACCCAGCATTCCAAAACGCCCGCCGCCACCAGTAATCATGGCGCGTACAACAGCAGACAGAACAGACCTCCAACCCATCCGCCGCCGCTGGTGTTTCCTCAGTCTTCTTTGAATCCGGGATTGAATCGCAAACCGCCAACCTGCGGTGATTCTTCCTTCCAGCCCGATCCGTACCCTCGTTCTTTGTCGTCCGGCTATCCTACCCCTCACCCCCACGTCACTGTCGAGCCTGTCAACACGGCACATATCCCATCTCTAACCCGAATTACAGGCCTACTCCTCCCAATTCGATACCCAAATTCCTTTTACACTACGACAATAACGGATCCCGTGATTGCGTCCTTGTCGCGCGTTGCCATCTACCATGATCATCCCGTTACAGCACCACCCACGCCGGGGTCCATTGCCGCGTCCAAGTCCTCAGGAACAGATAAGGTCATAGGAGGGATTAGGTGTCGGCTAGAAAGACATCCCCAGTTTATAGAGCCACGGGGTAAATCAAACACGAGATCACGCCCGGAACCTACAAACCTCTACATACAGACCCTCCATCTGCTTTCCCCCTATCGCGGTAACGGGGTCGCAACCTCGCTGCTCAATTCGCTACTATTCTCTTCTCCATCACCGGATTCAAAGGCTAGTTCAGGAAATAGTGAAGTATCCGACCTGGTGAAACACTACAATATCCGTACTGTCACCGCGCATGTCCACGAGGCGAACGAAGAAGGACTGAATTGGTACATTGCGCGTGGGTTTCATGTCGAGGACTGTGTTGTTGAGGGTTACTACCGGCGTCTGAACCCTTCCGGGGCTAGAATTGTGAAATTAACCATGCAGTGGGAATATGAGGATGGGGAGGAGTCGCCTGCTAAGATTCAGAAACTGTGCGATGATGATTCAGCCAGTCAGAATGGAAAATCCAAATATAGAAATGTTGTCCACGATAATCAAGATGACGATGATGACGACTGGGAAAAGGTCGAGGTCGAGGATGGAGAAAGCTAAGACGACGTCTAAGTCAACAACATTGAGGTCTCAAAATTAGCCTGATGCTGGAGCCAGGAATGAGGTATCTTTGTTAAAGGTGCCCTTTCCCGCTCTTCTCGACGCTCATGTTTAGCATTTCGCCCTGGGGTCTTCTGTGGTTGATGTACATCTGTGCATTGGCTAGAATCATACTTTCTTGCACTTTCTGGCGTTGGTTGTGCATTTCATATGATGACTTTTCCCGTCTGCATGTTTCTCTCTTTTCTCCGTCCCTTTTGCTGCATGGATCAGAGATAATTTTCACGTTATGTAGATAGGCAAGCTAACCACTGTAAATAGTCGTATGAAGAATAAACCATAAATGGGGAAATTATCTATCAAAGCACAGCAGAGAGCGCTGGAACTGCGCAACCTGTATCTTGTTTTTCTACTGGAGTTAGCAAAAATTGGGCTCTTCATCTGCGGGATTTTTTAACTACTGGACTTGAATGGACATCTTGGAGATGAATGCTTCTATGGTAGTAAAGTCGTGACTTATCCTCCCCTCACCGCCTTTTATTGAGAAAGTATTCTGCCTCATCAATCAAAAAAGTTCACGGGTTCGCTTTGACGACGTCGCCGTATTTTCCTTCTGGTCTTGCCATTGTTTCAACAAAAGATCCCAATTTGACCTCAAAAGTCTTCTCAACTGGGTGCACCATGACTCCTACTGCTGCAGCCACAGCTGCTCCACCACCCTCCTCAGGCGCGAGCCGACACCCACCATCACTTTCTCTCCCGCCATCGCAGTTCGCCCGACTACAACCTCATGCTTACCTCCTAGCTCATCTATCGCCTCCTGCATCAAGCAATCAACCATCCGTTCGGGCCAATGGCCGCGCTCCATCAAAGTTTCGCGTCACATCTTCAAATGCGGGTTCCTTGACACATACGAATGGCAGCGCCGTCGTGCGAATGGGAGATACAGCAGCCGTGTGCGGCGTGCGCGCGGAGATCTTGCACACAGAAGATATCGCCGCATGGAGCGTGTCTCGGTCGATCTCTACAAGCAACGAGACTAATAAGCCTAAACGGCTCAAGACAGACCACAATACCAGTGAGAACGAAGCCTATGGTGATGACGACGATAACGAATCGCACATCCAAGACTTTAACCTTCTCGTACCCAATCTTTCCTTGAGCACTGGGTGCGCTCCCGGTTTTATTCCCGGTGCGCCACCATCAGCCCTGGCGCAGTCATTGTCTCATCAGCTTCTTGCGCTGTTACATAGCAGCCGGCTGGTCCGAGCGGAGGACTTGAGAATCCGGTACCAACATCCTGATTTTTCGGTGGGGGAGGAGCATAATGAGTCTGAACGGATGGATGTCGAGGAAGAGGAACATAGGATGGCAGATACATATTCCGCGCAACGGGAAATTAAAGCTTTCTGGGTCCTATATATCGACGTAATGATCATATCACTGGCGGGGAATCCCTTTGACGCTGCATGGGCTTCGATATTGGCTGCATTAAAAGATACGAAACTACCCAAGGCGTGGTGGGATGTCGATAATGAGATGGTTATCTGTTCGGACGACGTCTCTGAGGCCCGAAGGTTGTCCTTGCGGGGTATGCCAGTCGCAAGTTCATTTTGCGTCTTTGAAGCTGATGCCGCTGCCGGATGGCGAGCTATTGTTATTCCCGATGCTGATTCTAAGAAGCTTGATGGCCAAAAGGGATCTAGAGGAAGATGGATTCTAGCTGATCCGGATGGATATGAAGAGAGCTTAAGCCAGGAGAAGATTTGCATTGTCGTTGATAAAGAGCAAGACGGAAAAGGCAAGACGGTAATCTTGAAGATGGAGAAGAATGGTGGTTGGACTGTTGGGAGGGAAGAATTGAGAAAGCTTGTCGACTTGTCAGCACAAAGATGGGATCAGATGAAACGCATTCTGGGGGCGCAAGGCTAGCTTTTTTTGCTGTTATGTTATGTTAAAAAATGGCATCTAGAAAATAAACCACAAATAATGATACCATCAAGATCATGCTTTTACATGGTGGATCTTTTTCCATGGACTGCAGCGGTTCTGTCTATGTCTAAGCGAAGCAAGCGTTTATTTTCACCTGCAAATCTTTTATTCCATACCATTTCCTGCATAATACCATCAACTCCTTTTGCTGTGCCCCAAAGCAACTAAACAGCCCAGTGTTATTTCACAAGTGCAAGCAATTTGAGAATAAAAGCAAACCGGAGAGGGGTAGATCATATCTTCTTTTCCTCATCAGTCCATCCGATCAGGAAGACAGAACAGGCCCTATTGATTCTCCTTTCCTGGACTTCGTCGCCGTCTCTTATATGGCGGCTCTCCATCCCCCAAGCCAACTAAAAATGGAACTGGTTGGCCTGCCTCTGATGTTGACCCTTGTGATTTCTTCCGGGGAAAGGACAGAGAGATAGTGACCAAGTTTGAAGTCTTATCGACCTCGTCATCTTGATCCTTATCCTTACGCGTCTGGCTATCCCTCTCTCCTGACAGAGTAGCGTGGCTACCATCCTCTTTATTCGCTTTTTTATCAGAGGAAGTCTTTTCCTCATTGGTCGCATTGCCATAGAAACCTATGGTATCACCAGAGAACAGGCGCATAAGAAGGCCTTTAGTATTCTTTGCAGATTTGTCTTTCTGCTCTCGTTCGGCTTGCTCCCTTTTCTGTACCGCATCGGGTTCATCATCGTCGTCCGCATCAGAGAACTCCCACATAGAACGAATCTCTCCTCTAAACAAGGCCGTTCCCCATAATGAAGTGAGAACAGCAGGAACGAGGTAGAGCAGCGCCGGTTGGGCGTGGTTTGAATGCAGCATGGCAACAAGGGTGGCGATCATTCCTATCGTATAACCAACGAGACTAGCTTTAAAGTATGTCTTGGAGAAAGACCGAGCGTCATGATATGGGGGTTCCAGCTCAGGCTCGCGAGGTGGGCTAAGTCGGGTCCAAAACCGTTCACCCCAAGCACCGGTTGCGGATTGATATTGGGGCCTTACAAAGGCTCTCCCCTTGCCTTCAGCAAGAGCCTTCTGGATACCCTTGCGTCTGTAGTACAGAAAAAGGTCGAATCGCAGAGCCAGTCCTATCATCATGCCTGGGATGACAATGTCTCCTAATCCCAGCATGGCCAGGGAAATTGTATCAGGCTCCTCACCCGGACTCGGAGGGCGTGGAAACAGAAGTTTTATAGGTACATCCAGTTTCGTCGCCACTGTCACCATCAGGGGTGTGAAGAAGACGAAATAAATATCGTAGACGAACAAAGATCCTAGAATGAGAGATCCTGTCGCGAACGTGGAAGGTGACATGAACTGCAAAGAACCATAGCAAAAGCTAAACCCAAGAAAATTCGTCAACCACCAAGGCTTCTTGACAAAAGCAAAGTAGCCGACGGCAGACAAGCCCACAATCGTGCTGATAAGATCAAGAAGGCCGACCAAGCATTTGAGATCCAGAATACCACGGATATACGCTCGGAATCTTAGCCGCTGATAGGCAAAGTTGCGACAAGCCCAGAGCGTCTGGCGAAGGCTATTTGGGAGGGGGATTTGACCAAGACGGCCAGGCAAGGGAGAGTGCCTAACCAAAGTATCCTCCCCGGCAGTAGTAATGAAAGTGCGGTTGGATTGCTTTCCCCGCCAGATCCTGTCATCTGTTCGATACATCCTGGGAAAGATGAAGGACCGCAAAATACAGAGGGCATCTTTCAAAAAGGCGACGGCGAAAAAAATGCCCATTTGAGAGAAATAGAAGCTCAGGATCTTGTTCAAGATTGCAGGGTCTTCCAACCATTTAATCACCAGATATAGACCACCTAGGGTAAGACCAGCGGTTAGAGGAAGCATCACAGCATCGGACGGCTCCAGTCCTTCCATCTTTTGAATCGGTCCTAGCTTCCCTTCACCATCGTCCTCATCGTCCGTATCGTATTCATCCTTGCTTTTAGAATGTTTAGGCGGTTTGGCGGCGGATGACGGTCTCGTCAGCGATGCATGCGCACCAATATAGATCGGGAATAAAGCTGATACGATCAAGTGTCCGTAGGTAGGGAGGAGATGCTTGACAGCTTCGAATTCGTAAAAGACATGTCCCAGGAACTCCGCGACAGGGCCGATGTTGGGCATGATGGCCGGCAGCTTGTTTAAACGGATAAAACGAAAAGAAAGACGGGGGAGTTGGTTGACTGGGAATGAAGAGAGGCAAAAAGAAAGCTTTTAAATAGATAAAATCTTCAAGCCATGATGCTGCCAGTTAGTCAATGGAAAGATTGGGTTTGTCAAACAGTGAATACTCGAAGCCGCCAGATATTGATTATTACAACTGCCAAGACATCTTGAAGCTACCGCTCGATCTACCACAGAACCTCTTGACATTGCAACACATGCGAAACGTTATACCTTAATCCAACAGCTGGTTTACTCGATCCATTATGGCAACCGATGTGGCACTAGATACAACTATGGTGAGGCGTCCACTGAATCGGATTGTGGAAAGTGGTTACTGACCCCTCGCAGGGCTCGTTCACCGTGGAGCTTTACAATGAACATGCGCCCAAGGTCAGCAGCCTATCAGTCTACCCTACTCTTCGGACTGGTACAAAGCTAACATCTACATCTCTAGACATGCAAGAACTTCGCGACACTCGCTCAAAGAGGCTACTACAACGGCGTCATTTTCCACCGCATAATCCCAAACTTCATGGTCCAAACTGGCGATCCCACCGGCACTGGCAGAGGAGGCAGCTCGATCTACGGCGAGAAGTTCGAAGACGAGATACATTCGGGTCTCAAACACACTGGAGCTGGAGTATTGAGTATGGCGAATAGCGGACCGAACACGAATGGCAGCCAATTCTTTATCACCCTCGCCCCGACTCCATGGCTGGATGGGAAGCATACCATCTTCGGTAGGGTCAAGAGCGGAATGAGAGTCATCCAGCGTATGGGGCTAGTCAAGACCAATCCAGAAGACAGGCCAGTGGACGAAGTGAAGATAATCCGAGCGAGAGTCATCGAGGAAGGTGTAGAGGAATGAGCTATCTCGGAGAGGTCCCGTTGGAACTCGGAGATCACAATTGCCTACTGCCGCACTTTCACGGTACCTCCATGGGAATTCAGCTTAGAAGGGAAATTCGCGAAGCACTCGGCTACAGGGCTCACGACTACCCTTTACAAGAGCAACAGATACAGTGCAGCCATGACCAGTCAACCAGCGCGCGTACGATATGTCTGTACTCTCGTGCAGGGGAAACCCACAGAAGGTTCACTACCAGGGCTACTTGACCAAGCTTCGGCTCTTGCAGAAAAAGTGCAAATGCTTCTTAATATAAAATAGCAGAACAGATGATATGTAACAATAAGAATGTATCACTACAAACGAACTGCTTCCATCAGATGTTATCTCCAGAGCAGCAGATACAGAGTGACCATGGTCGTATCTACCACTCCCATACGAAGACAAGACCAATGAAGGCTTGTCCAAAGGAGACGGCACTGTCATAGAAAGGCAGTACGTCTATGGAGGAGTGGTCATTGTTGAAGGAAAAAAAGAGGCAGAGCAAAACGCACGAAAAATTGTCTTCAAGCAGCCGCCAAGACAGTCTAGCCATCTTTGGTATGGTGTGCGTCACTGAGCTAGTAAATCACGTGTCACACCGATTTATTTCGCACTTTTCTGTTCTTCTGCTTCTTGACTCCTTGGAATATACCACGGGTTCTGAGCGGATGATCGTCTCTCTACCACTCATGGGCCAGGACAGGCCCAGTGTAAAGACGTGTTTCGCGATCTCTGACACAACGTGATGATACGATAGACTGAGGTTACCTCGTCATAATCGAAGAACGAAGACGTCTGCCAGTTGGGTCTTTTCAACCCATCTCAAACCGACATGGAGTCGCTTGCAGAAACTTTATGGGATGTAACAATCTCTGGAACCGGACTGGCTCAGTCGCTTCTTGCGCTGTGAGTTCACCTGGGACAGCCTCGTACTCGATACCATTACTAACGATCTACTTGGTGAACAGGGCCCTTTCCAGGTCAGGTAAGAATGTACTCCATGTTGATAGAAATCCGTATTACGGTGGCTGTGAGGCAGCCTTCAGCCTTCAAGAAGCCGAGGAATGGGTTGATAAAGTAAACCAAGGTCAGTGCCCAGTCTCGAGATCGGCCTGATATGCCGGGATATTTCCTGACGTCCGCCACTAAATTAGATCCTGGCCAGACTCCATTTGAAGATGCAGCGATTTATTCACCCTTGGATTCTCCGGAGACTGAAGTGAAGCTCTCATCTTCCCGATCCTACACGCTCTCATTATCTCCCCACCTTGTTTATGCCCGTTCAAAACTTCTTCCAACCCTGGTCTCCTCCAGGGTCCACAAGCAGGTGGAGTTTCAAGCGGTTGGGAGCTGGTGGATATATACCCCTGCATCTGAACACAATGAGAGCCGCCTATATCGTGTGCCAAGTAGTCGTGAAGATGTTTTCGCAGATAACTTTATCACAGTCAAGTCAAAGAGAACTCTCATGAGATTCCTCAGGCACATTGCCAAGCCCTTCCAGGATGATCAAGCGTCGTCTGAAGGTGAAGAGGATTTGTCTGCTCCTTTCCCGGATTACTTGGCTTCAAAATTTCATGTCCCGACTGAGCTGCACTACCCTCTGCTTTCCCTATCATTATCCCAGTCCAGTCCTCTGCAGACAGCAGCCAGCTACGCCATCCCTCGGATTCAAAGACACCTAGGCTCCATTGGCGTATTTGGACCTGGATTTGGAAGTCTCCTGGCCAGGTGGGGTGGTGATCCGGAGATCTCGCAGGTGGGCTGTCGCGCCATGGCTGTTGGCGGCGGCGTATACGTCCTAAATACGGGGATCCGGTCGTTTGCAGAACCTTCCGGTTCTCAAACCGATGAACATCGTATGCTCGTACAGCTGTCGAGCGGAATTGATATTCAAACAAAGTATTTGGTTGGCTCGAATTGGGATCTCCCTATTCAAGCAGACGCTCGACCGTCATGCCGTAAGGTTGCTCGGTCAATTACCATTGTATCGTCTCCTCTTGAACATTTCTTCCCACCGACCGCAGAGGGCGGTCCAGTTCCCGTGGGATCTGTGGTCGTTTTCCCTGGTAATTCTCTAGATCAGGCCGAGGATTCTCCATTGGTTTACCTCGTGGTGCATTCAAGTGAGACTTGCGAATGCCCCACTGGACAGAGTAAGTTGCATTCGTTTTTCATTTCGCCCAAGTCAAATGAATCAGATCTTCTCATATGATGACTATCTCCAATACTTATCTACATTGCCTGTAACTGCATTGATGAAAGTTTCAAAACCTCTGACAGACTGATCATGAGCATCCATGTCTATTGCTTTTTTTCTTGGAAATTCTTCTGTTCATATGACTGACTTGTCTGTTAAAAGGTGTGATCTATGGCAGTGTCAGCATCCCTGGTCCTCAAGGACAGTCCCTTTTGAAGGCAGCCGTGGACAAGCTTTTGGCGACCGCCACCAACCCTGACGGTCAAGCAAAGGTACTGTGGTCGTTGCAGTATACACAGCTCGGACGAGAGAACGAGTCCGTGGATGCCGCACAAGCCATCAGACCTAGCTCCCTTCCGGACAATGTGATCTGCTTCCCTCCATCGGGTCTGGATCTCGCATTTGAAGATGCGACTCTGGACATGGTGAAAGAGGCATGGAAGCTAATAATGGGCGATGGTTTCTCTGAAGACGAGTTCATGAAATTCGAGGACAGAGAAGCTGCGCAGGATGAAGATGACCGTAGCACATAACAAGTTGACTTGGAAAATAATTTAATTAGTAGGGCTATATTAAAGTATTCAACAAAAAAAATTGAAACTGAAATGCAATAAATGTACTCCGTATGTGTTGTGTATATCTCAACTTGAACAAGAGCATTCCAGTTTTCTATGATAAAACCAAGGCGTGGGAGAAACAGTACTCGGTGGAAGGCAATGTGCAATTGGAGACATACGCCGTGATAGCAAGGGCAGAGTGGTGTAGCATTAGTTATCAGCATGATACCTAGGTAGATTCAAATGCCTTTGCCAATCTATAGAAAACCTCTAGTGACGCCAATTGTGGATTTCCAATAATAATAGTAGGTTGACTACTGTATAAGGACAAGAGATTATATATATCACTATATATTTTCCACTGCAAATATGGCTGTTCACCCTAACACTTATTTAGATAGATAGAACGAGAGGAAAAGAAAAGATGAAAAAGTAAACAAGGTCAGTCAAAAAAAGGAAACACCTTTAACAAGATTAAAATGAACAGAAAATAAAAAGGCGGCTCCAATTTTCTCCATACCATACATACATGCATACATACATGAAAGACATACTCCTTACCGATGAGCCATATCATATCAATTTAAGTGACTTGGTTTGAATCTGGTCAGCCAGCACAGCTAATCCTCCTTTTGACGTCGAAACAGTATCACTACCCCATCATATCTTCCCGGCTCGAAGTGTAGCTTGGTGGATTGAACGGACTAGCAGGGGCGCCCAGTGGTAAGAAAGAAACGGAAAGGAAAGATTAGAAACAGCGGATAGACCACCAAATGGAAGAAAAGATGGGGAAAAGACAGATAAATGATGATCATTGATGTCGACATCAATAAATAGACTCGAGGGAAAAAAAGCAGAAAACAATTACCAACAAATAATGCACCAGAAACACCGCCCACCTCCACCGTCGTCTAGGAGATGAAAAACGGAAAAAGGGAGAAGAAGCCACTGTCAGCTTCCGAGTCCAGACAAGTGGTTGTACTGCATCCTCCAGTCAATTTCTTTTCAATTTGTTTATCGCGGGATTTTTTTGTCGGTTGGGTTGGCACATATTTGTCGGGTATCGAACGACAGGAAAAGAGAGAGAGCAGAGTGCACTTGAATCAGGACAGAAAGGGGGAAGCGAAACAACAGCCCAGTCGGAGACGCAGGGAAAAAGAGAGTGTGCGCCCGAGAGAGGGAATAAAGTTGAAAAATCAAGCACGCACAGAAGCACAAGGAAAACAGATACAAGTGGTCCTCTATGCGGTAGGTTGATGCTGGGTTGACATCCGGTTGCCAACAGCAGAAATGCCTGGATACTGCGCACTAGCCTGCTGTTGCTGCTGCAGATTCTGGTAGTACGACGCCATCTGCTGTTGCTGCTCGTTCGTCATGTAAGCGGGGTGCATTCCCGCGGGACGAGAGATGTTGGACTGCTGAGCAGCATTAACATTGTTATGGTTGACATCCTCTGGAGCCTCTGCAGGCACTTCGGGGATTGCATCAACTCCGTTCTCACTGGTAGTAGGATCGGGTGCATTGAGACAGGCCTATGAACGAGCAAGGGGAAGGACGAGTCAGTGAGGTAGTTCTCGGGAATATTAAATCCAAGATGAAATTCTACGCGGCATACCTGAATGAGATTCTTCCCTTCAGATTTTGTGACCAACGGTTGAAGTTTGGGAGTGGTAAACGTATAAACAAGACCGGTTTCGGAAACGACGAGCAGCAGGACCTGGGTTCCCGTGAGAACAGACAGCTCGTATGCCTATTACAAGATGCGATGGACATCAGCAATAGGGAATAATAAAAAGCGGATAAATACAGAATACACGACGCGACGAACCTTCTTCATAATACCAGCTTTCCGCTTGGAGAAGGTAATGTGGCGACGCGACTTGTCCTGGATAAACTTGATCTCAATCTTCCTCCGCTCGCGACCGGGCTTATCTTCATCGTCATCGTCATCGTCGGCGCTCATGCGAGAACGCTTGGTGCCGCGGTTGTCGGCGGCGCCATTACCGGCTGGAGGTTGCAGCTCGTCCTGAGTAGAAGGCTTCTCTTCTCCAACGGCAGTGATATCGGCCATGCTTAAGAGAGGAGCAGATCGAGGGAAGTTAAGAGAAACTGATCGTGGACTCGATCTTTCGTTTGCAGTTGTGGTTGTTGTTGACGCTGGCGCTGTTACTGGGCGTTGCAGCTGCTGGGAGAGGGAAGACGGCTGGACAATCGAATGCCGGGAGCCAGCAGATATATAAAGAGCGACGATGAGTGAAAGGGAGTCTAGGCGGATGAGGGAAAAGAGAGGGAGAATAATGGCCGCAGATGTTGCAGTTCGCGGTGGTCGCTGTGGGAGGTACCCAAAGAGGAATGAAGCTTGGGATTTGGGGGGAGAAGGGAGATGACCAAATCGAGTAACGCGTTGCTGGGAGGGGAACAGGTTTGGGTAAGGTCGAAAGGGAAGAAAAGACTCGAGGAGGCGACGAGGTCGTGCTCGCTAATCTTGGCAGGCGGTCGCCCCCGAGTCACGTGCGCGCCACTGCCGAATCGGAGCCGCCGTAATATTATATCATTACCCGTATTACTGTCACAACACCGTACCGTAACCATGACCGTACGGTACCGACAGTGGGACGCGCCACCGCAGATATGCCCGGTCGGTGATTGGCTGGAGGTGCCATGCTGATGCAAGTTGCAACAAAGAACAATCTGCAGGTTTGATGATTGCAAAATGTGGAATATGCTAGCTGGCCATTGCATGTTATCCATGATGTAGATAGATGCGAGATGATAGATACGGGGTGCTTCTGCAGAAACGCGCATGCTGTCCCCAGTGCAGTAATTTTCACTATCAGCAGTACAGCAGATAACCACATCCACGGACTTCCTATGTACCCTCCATATACGCCAGACATCCCCCGCTGATAATAGACCAGAAGAAAACAAGAATGTCAATAGGTAGTGAAGTCTATTTTACAATGCATTAGGCGCTTGCCTCGTCACGAAAAGTCAATAGTAAGGAGAAAAAAAAAAAAAAAAAAAAAAAAGAAGCAGAGACTGAAAAGAGAGATTAGGTAGGAGTCAGGTAAAGTGGAAAATGAATCGAGTAGCTAGTAGCAAAAATGCCTCGTGAATCCAAGGTCATGGTTAACAAACCTGTTTACTTGGAGTGCTGCAAAGAGCCAGCCGTGGTGTATATGAAGTAATGAAGTAATGAAGGGAAAAGAAACCAAAAGACGCGTGTAAATAAAGAATATACCCGACGAGATTTACTCCCGTTGTAAGGAAGAGAAAGAAAAGCAAAAAAAAAAAAAAAAGAAAACCCACAAGTCCTATCATTGATGGCGCCATTCACACCCATACAGCGCCCGTAAATGAAAAAGGCAAAAAGAAGACAAAAGACACGCAGTGGCCGAGAGTGAGTTTCGGTAGGATGAGAAGGTATACTGTATGTGCATGAATATGACTTCACAATGCAAGGGGACCAGCCTTCATTTTTGGTCGTTTGAATTCATCTTGGCCTGTATGCGGCCAACGGTCTATTTATTTCCTCTCATGTGGACTTGGGTCTACCTCCGACACCACCGCCTTCGGGCCCGAGCCAGACCAGCTCAATGATGCTGCGGCCCTCTGCCTCTTCTCGGACGTATAGTTGGTGCACATTGTCACCGATCACGTATGCTTCCCTGAGAAGCCACCGGTCCTTGAAGACGCCTTCTTGCTCTTTGGGGCGTAGGGTGCCCAGACGGTCCTCGTAGCCTCGAGGATCCTCATCCCATGTCTTCTCCACCTGGTCAAAGTTGATGACATCGTTAGGGGTGGCCTCATCGTACGTGTACTTGACGAGGGAGTATCCATTGGTCAGAACCCAGAAAGACCGGAATGACCGACCGGTGATGGGATTCACGATCTCTTCCTGGTCAAAAACCCATCTGCGGAGCACAGACTGACGGCCTGCTGCGGCTGCCACAGTGCTCATCTTGACGACATCCTTAGTGTACCAACTGTTCCAGTGGTGCAGGGATTCGATCCTCCGGCCGGACTCATACAAACCGTCAACATCACCCTTCATGTCCATCTGATACAGCGAAGGCCAGGACGTCAAGGGCGTATCGCCAAATCGCTGAATGCACTGGCCAAGCTTCTGGTCACCGGGCTGCTCGCCCCACGATTGGCACTCATCGTAGTAGGTCTCTAGGACGTCGAGGAGAGGTTTGGAGACGAAAACACCGGCACCACCAAAGGCGATGTGGCCGAAGGTATCGACCTGCCAGCTGGCTTCTGATAGAGAACCAATGTAGTGCTTCTTGCTTGCATCAAACATTTTCAGCTCAGACACTAGAGTGGGGAGAGAGAGGAAGAAAGTATCATCGTCCATGAACCCAACCCACTCGGTCTGCGGGCGTTCATTTCGGATGTGTTCCGCGAAGGCCTCCACCATACCGAAGTAGCGTGCGGTAAACTCCAGAGGCGACGCCTTGAGCGTCACGTCCAGGCCACGGTTGCGGAAATACGTTTCCTGGAGGGCCAGATTGTCGTCCGATTCAGGGACGAGCACCAACAGGCTGGCCTTAGTGTTGCCGTACGAGTAGAGGAGGGCCGGGAGCATGTGTTCCAGACGGTCTACAGTAGTAGACAGGCCAAACAGATATTTGGAGGTCTCCTCTATATCGGTATCGGCGGCTACATCCACATCGATGACTTTCGGACAGGGCGCGGACGGATCATTGATTTTGGGCATGATGGGAGTTCCGCGATCCAGCTGGGTGAAAGGCGGGAGCACGGGGGATCTGATATCCTCCAGGGAGGTGAATTCGGCATCGGAGCTCACGAAGTGAGGCCGGAAATAGGCACGAGTGTAGTTCTTTCGGGGGAGCCATTCGGTAAAAGGCAGAGGCGCAACGACCGAGTCGACATGGCAGGTGGTCTTTCCAGGGGGCTGTAGCTGGACGACCTGGGCTGGCTGGTTAGGGGGCGGATGCGGATCAACGGGATGCTGTCTGAAGCGGAGGAATGCGGCTTGGTCGTAGCGTTTCATGAAATAGAAGAAGAACGCGACTGTCAAGAGGGCTATTAGGGGGAAGGTCGTCCTCGACCTGAGAGCCATCCTGGGCAGGCTGGAGTAGGCTGATTTGTGAAACATTAAAGAACGATCGGGGAGGATGAGGAGGGTGCGAGAAATCGATGACCACCGGTTATCGCAACGAAGTGATGACTCCAAGAAGACCGGAGACTTGAAAGAGCGGAAGTTTAAAAGCAAGTCAAGTTAAGAAGTTGTACGGAAGATTCGCAACGAGAGGCTGGTGGCGTCGAGACCAGCGACACGGTGCCGGGAAGCGGGAGAGACGATGTAATCAATCCGTTTCCTTTTCTGTTCTGCTTTTCTCCTCCAGTCAAGAAGAAAGAAATATAATTAAGAGAAAAAGACTTGAAAAAGAAAAAAAAAAAAAAAGAGCCGAAAAAGAAGAGAAGTTGATGAGCGCAACCGGACCAGAAGTCCAGGGCGTGGGGAGGAGCGAAGAGAAGAGGAGGGACCTTTCGTCTTAGCTTTGGCTTTTTGCCAGCTCACTAGGATGGAAGAGAGAAGAGAGAAGAGAGAAAGAAAGAAAGAAAGAAAGAAGGGGGGAAAGGGAAAAGAAGAAGGCCTAAGGAAGACCAGGACGAAGAAAGGGAAACGCCAAGTAGGGATGCGAAGGGAGCACCGGCGGGTTTTCGCTAGCTGATCCAGGCCCAGCAGCAACACAGAGAAGAAATGTATAATATTATGATAATATTAATGGGCGCAATTAAGCTTCTGACGGCGATGCGAAACCTGGAAATCAAGCCACTACAGATGTTTCAGTGCCGCTACGGAGTACACGCAGTTACTCACATTATGCTACACCCGCCATCTAATAGACAGCTGTAATACTATACTATACTATAACAAGAAGACAGACGGACTCCGATGTCCACGATCAAGACTCTAGCAACTCCTGAAAATCATTCTACAAAATAAACGAACGATGGACAGATCAGCAGTGCCATCCGGCCAATGGGCGCCCACCAGTCTGCCAGCAGCTTACGAGTCCCGTTCAGGAGGCTTCGTAACCAGTTGCAGGATAGTTTACGTGTGCTCGTCATATGCTATTATTATAATGATGTCCTGCATGGATATGGATATGGAGTACTCTCCTCGTACATATCTACATATGCATCCCTTCGGCCCTGTATTCCAGGGAGCATCCATCAGCACGATGCAATTGTTATAATTACTATTCTATCTGAAACAAGGGTCCCGGACGGAGCACCATGCCGGTGGCAGCAGGGCACGGATGCCATCCCCGTGCGCCTACTATGATTGTATGCTAGATAGATATCTGCTTTCAAACACGGATAAATAATAACTTATAATACGTCAATTTCTTAATAATATTTACTTTTTCCCAATAGTGAATGGGCCTACCCAATCAATTAGTCTTAACTATCAAAATTCTTGGCAATGCCGTGTATTTCCTCATTTCGTAACCGGTCTTAGCTGCCTTGAATTGCAGGTTAACCATGCCCTGTCCAGCGTTGCAAATACATGGTGCCCGTCTGCCAGATGGCAGTGATAGTGGCCCGCCCTCCCGTCCTCGAACCCGCGAGGAGAGGAGACGAGATCGACCCCGATGCCAACTCGGATCGAGACCCGGAACTCGATGATGGCTCCTGCCGATAGAGTGCGTGCTCTGAAGGGTCGCGTTTGGATCCATTGCGTAGATAACTGCCCACAGTACCATACCCTACCACTGTCGGCCGTTCTCGCTCAGAGTCCGTTCTGTCGAAAAGGGCTGTCCGAGATCGCCTGGTCGTGCTCCGTCGCCAGTCCGACGGATTCCACGTTTGGCTTGCCGCACGTGCCCGCCTGTGTGAGCTTAGCGGTGACCGTCCGCTAGATGGGACTAAAGAATTCATGTCATCTCCATTTCTCCTAGCGGCTGCAGGTGTGAAGCTGCCGCTCTTACTCCGGGGTCTGCCTGTATGATGAAGGGGGTCAAACTCATAGTCCGAATCGTCGAGTTCGGCCCAAATGTAAGCCGGATCCACGTCCGAGGCAGAAGTTCTGCGATGGTGAAAAGGAAAAGGTGAATCTATAGAGGGGAGATTGGGCGCACGCTTCTCTGGTCGTGCGCCGATCGTGCTTAACAGTGGCTCGCGCTCACCAGCACGGGATTCTTCGTCGCCATTTCCAGCAGACTGGGATTGCCCGTCGATGAAACCCATATTCGGTCCCAAGACAGCCTGACCTGAACCGGCCACTGCATGGCTTTCAGTATCTTCTAGTCTCCACGAAAGACAGAGAACCCCACTCAAGAGTACAACGGTACCGAGCGCTATCAGGACAGCGCGCGACGAGCTCAGCTGGGACACTTGACGAAAGTAGATCAGTCCGTCCAAAATAGCGATGATATTGTAGATACAGAAGACAAAAGGATAGAGAATGCTAGTGCTGCACAACTTCAACCCACGATGTAGATAAAACAGCTGGATGAGAGCGAGTAAAATCATGCTGATGAGAATCGCCCATGACTGCCACCGGTTGAATTGATTGGTGCGATCGACGACCGTACGAACAAGCAACTCAACCGCTGACTTGGCCAGCAGCAGCGAATGAGCAGATAAAACCCCACTCACAAAGCCGTATGACATTCCACAGATGAGCTTCAGGCGACTTTGAAGTATAGGCAGAAGTTCAAAATGAGAAACCTGTGGATGGGTTGAAGATTTGGAACGAGAGGAAAGCAACTCAAGCAGTCGCGAACCGAGCAAGATTACAAGTACCAGGGCGGCGGTCCCAACCATCCAGAGAACGAATGCCCGGCGTTGCAAGAGATCCAACAGCTGGCGCAGACTATGTGCTGGCTCCTCAATCGCACCAAATATTGCTATCAAAATGGCGCCCATGCACACGAGAACCGTACCGATGAGGGAGTATCTGGTGAATGGCTCACCAAGGATCAACGTAGCAAATATGGTATTGAAAACAAGTCCAGACTGTGACAAGTAAGCTTCAGCATTCAACCATATACCTCCTCCCCCTCAAAGAAAATGTAGGTAAGTACGTACTGCCTGGAGTGTCGACAGAACAGGCAGCGGGAGAGTTGTGATCTGAATGGAACTCCCGATGATGTTTGCGAAGACGAACATGAACATACCCAGCTGCAAAATGTCAGGAGCACACCCTTTATAACTAAAACCGGAGGACTTTGTCCCAATAATTATTCGTACCTGCCATCTTCGACGCCTGTAGGGAGGTCTGCGGAGATCGAAGGGGTTCTTCTCGTCTTCGAGGATATGCGACTTGCGCTGGAGTGTAAGTCCAATGGCCTGGAGACTGGTCGAGATCAACCCGACTATTACACCAACCTGATCGTACACAAGTCAGCAAGACCTCTAAAGCAATGTAGCTAGAGCAGCTTCAACCAACCGTGACAGTCCCGAGGGGCGATAGACCACCGAGATTGCTCATGTCGAGGATCCCCGTGCAGTGGACGCTCGGAGGGTCGACGCAGGTAGGCGGCACATCAGCGAAACCTCGCTGCGCCAAACAGGGAGAAGAAGAGCATCGGATATATGAATATAAATGGGTGGGAAGACACGGAAATGAATGAGGACGAGAGAGTTGACTAAATTAAAACAAAAATAGATGCCTGTGCCGGAGCGGGACTGACTTCATACGGCGTGCAGCGGCCTGGAGGAACATCAGCCGCGAAACAGCTTACCTGGATAACCTCCTCCGTACCTTGTCACGGCAGAGCAACCCGACGTCGACCGCGGGACCAGCCCAAAATCATCCATCAGGACATAGGTGAGATTGATCTTCCTTGTACAATCCCTGTAATTGGACCATTTACGAAACAAGGAAGCTGACTTGAGTCTCCAGTGGAATCTCAACAGATAGCATCCTCGAAGCTCGACCTCCCCCCGCCTCGTCAAAGAACCCCAGACCACCATTCCATCCACCAAGTTCTGTTTTCGGGGACCCAAAAAAATCTCTTTCAAGATGTCGCAAGGCCATGCTCTCTCTGATGACCAGGTAAGAGCCCTGTAATGCCGCATCGGCGACGCCATGAGCTACGGACATACTCATCCAATTCCGCATAATGCTAGGTCGCGGGTGAACTCCGCAAAATGACCGCTTTCATCCGACAAGAAGCTCTGGAGAAGGCACGAGAAATTCAACTCAAAGCCGACGAAGAGTTCGCGATCGAGAAGTCCAAGCTCGTCCGCCAGGAGACGGCCGCCATCGACTCCCTCTACGAGAAGAAGTTCAAACAGGCCGCCATGTCTCAACAGATTACCCGGTCCACGCTCGCGAATCGGACCCGTATTCGTGTCCTTTCTGCCCGCCAGGAACTACTGAATGATCTTTTCGAACGTGCTCGCGCGAAAGTCTCCCAAGTCGCTTCCGGCGACAAGTCCAAGTACCAGGATGTGCTGAGGGGGTTGATTCTCGAAGGCTCGTATGCCTTGAATGAGGAAAAGATATCTGTCCGTGCTAGGGAGAAGGATTACGATCTAGTGAAGAAGGCAATTGAAGACGCAGCGAAGGAATTCAAGGAGAAGATCGGCAAAGAGGTCACGGTGGATTTGGATGAAAGTAATCCGTTACCGGCTGAGTCGTAAGTGCTTCCCCTTCCCCTTGGCTCAAGACCCATTTAATTCTGTCAACTGCTAATGACCATTTAGTGCTGGTGGTGTGGTCATCATTGGCGGTCGAGGTAAGATCGAGATCGCCGATACCTTTGAAGAGCGTCTGCGGTTGCTGGAGATTGATGCTCTCCCAGCTGTGCGCGAAACTTTATTTGGCAAGAACTTGAACAGGAAGTTTTATGATTAAAGCTTCATGTACGAATCTAATAGGGGCTTTTCGCATGTTAATTTTCTTTTGCCTACCGTCTGTTTCTGGAGAAGCGCCTTGTCCCCTTCATTTCATTTCATTTTCTTGCTTCCAATGTTAGTACTTAGGTTATAGAGAATTGGCGTATTCTTTGTATCTATCTATACCTGGATCCGAATATGCAACATGTTTTTACATATCGTTCTAGAGACCAAATAGGTTAAACGACCATGTATCCGCTGGTTTACGCTTCAGCTCAAGGTAGTTACTATCGGAGTCATCAACGTCATTACTTAGACGCCCAGCTATGCTTAGTGTGCCTTTTCCCCGAACTACAGAATGATTATAATTGACATGGACCGTGAAGGCGAGCCATTATGAACCGTCGTTCTCTGGAATGAGGGCTGGTTTATCATCATCTGCTCCCGAACGACTGACAGTCAAATATTTCTCCATGAATGAGCTGCTGCGGCTCATTGCTTGCCAGTCGTCCCTCCCATATGTCCCAAACAGGTTTTTCTTCGGACGAGGCTTCGTTCGAAGAGAATATACAATGCGATAATGTAATGCTTCAAGGCCCTCCTTCGCTTGAGTCCGTCTGAGATGAGACGCACCCGAGTCCTCGATGGAGATGAAGATTCTTTTTATCCGGTCTGCAAGCTTATCAACTTCCTCATTAAATCTGTCTTCGTCCATTTTTGTGGTGAGAGAAAGCTTCAACGACTCAGGGTTAATGGCGATGTTGAGAAGTGTAGTTATTGCTCCAAGCTCCTCGTAGTCGTATTCGACGTCGCGTTTCCCCTTATGGGCTTTAATATTGAAGCGCCGATCTTTGAGAACGTTTCTGATACGCTTTAGATCGAATACTGCCTCTGGTGATTCAGTAAGTGGTGCCGGATCTCGAATTAGAAAGGCAACTGCAAGACGACATCGAAACAATGCAATCCAGTCTGATGTTGGTAGTATATGCTTCAGAATACGGCTCTGAAATACCGCATCGTTCACAGTCCCGAAGGCGTTCATGCAGATACGTTGCACCTGAAAATCGTTAGCACATAAGTTTCCCCAGGAACGGGAGAGATAGGCTCTACCGTGCTCTCAATACTGCTCTCCGGAATACTTTTCAGCACACTCGTAATTGCATGCTCCAGTTCGGGACAGACCACACTATCCCCTACTAAAGATGCATCGGCTTCTAACCGGAATAAGATGTTTAATATATGTTCTCGGGTATCATTGGCAAACCTTTTGTCTCACCATCAGCATCCGAAAACGGGGGAGTAATATACAAAGGGCTTTACAAATATGCCGAGTCCCGCAGCAATTCCAGGACAGAGAGTAAGGGCGAATTTCTTTTGTGTGCATCCTTCGAAGGGTTGGCTGTACAGTGTCAAACAATCACGGAACATCATGAAACCAGCGAGGAGTATCTCTGTTAGAGCACCTACGTTGAGTTGGAGAGTCAGGGACAAGTGCTTTCGAGAGGTCCAATGCTTCTGGTTTAGCACCCAGCCGCCGAAAGAGATCATCGATGTCGTTTGGGCGAATGAGTGATTTTACTTGATCTGCAGTGACGTGCTTCTGGACTTAGAACGAGGCCAAACCGAAAAAAAAAGAAACAAAAAGAACAAACCCTGAAAACCCTACAACACGTATATCTCAGATCTTGGCGAGGTTCGGATGATACTCGACGACAATCAGCACTGGCTCTGGACTATGCGAATGAGAACGAACCAGATTGGAAGATCCAAGTAATTAACTCAGCTGGAACGAGATTTCTCGATAGAGCAAGGTTGACTATTCCAGAATGGAGTGCCCGCTGGCGGGAATCAGGCTCTGGGAGCAAGTCAGAACCAATATATCAAACGGACCCAAAGAAAAGACCCACCCCTCAGAACAGCTAGATATGTGCCTGGAGCAATCGTGTCTCGTGGAAATTCCGGCGGCGGTAAACCAAGGCTATTGTCAAAAAAGGACCACGTCTTCTCCTCGTCAAAAGCCTCAGTCCGTTGAACGGCGTCATATAGGCGTTGCAACTCCGTTCCCCCATCATCATTGTCAAGTGCTGATGTCAAATGTTTCTGTAACTGCCTGCGTCGACCACCCACACCTGAAGCATCATTGTTCAGCAATGAGTCACAATGCTTCTGTGAAGTAGTGGCTTCAAAGGTAGCTTTTAGTTCTGCCACACTAGCCTCGACCTCACGATCGTCGACTGCACTTGTAACAAGTGAATCGAGAGTGAACTTGTACTTCCGCGCAGAGATACCCGGTAGAATTGGCTGATTGGTATCTACCATACCTTTTATCCGTCGAGATCGTAGCTTCATGCCTTTGTCGGTCGAGATATCATGCATTTTATTTTGACTATCTCTGGTATCGGTAGCATTCATGAAGAGATTCTCAGGATCTTCCAGTGAATGTAAAGACTCTGTTTCTTCACCATCAGAGCTAATAACTACTTCCTTTCCATCCTTTTTTATGCGTTGCGAGACACTGAAGCTTCTGCTTAAGGAAGAACGTTCTCTGTCATCTCCCTGGGAGGTTGGTTCGGTGGACTTTTTTTTGTCCGAGCCTTTGACGGGAGTCAATAAAGAATTGCTCAGCGGATAATCTGGATTGCCCAGGGAATCAACAACAGTAGGTCTTGATAAAAGCGAGGAGGGCTCAGTAAGTGGAGATGATTGAGGGGGTTCATGGGTCTCATCAGGCTTATCACTCAAGGCAGCGTCCGCGTTGGCTTCAGGTACGCCACGGCGAGAGACAGAAAATGCCGGGCGTTTTAAGAAGTCCATAAGGCGAGACATGTTGCAAACAGTTTCCAACGGGCATTGACACTAGAATCGTGATCCCAATGTGCAGTCGGATCCTTAGACATTCGGCATGTTCATCTATTTCGCACGACGCCTGACACGGAGATGATAACGCGTGGAGTCGTCGCGAAATCACGTGATAACAAAATTGGTCCCGAAGACCCTGTATAGGATGATTATACAGGTCGAGAGAAACAGTAACTGACCCCTACAGTAACCGCGTATTCGACCCCGAAGGTTACTGTAGGGGTCAGTTAATGGAAAAGACAATAAGATACCTAGGTATATACTCTGTACTGCGTAAAAGGCTATTCCTTACAGGTGCGGACAGGCCGCCATGAATCATGATGTCCATGATGTGTGGATTCCAACTACGTACGCCTCCCGGCAATCTTAAATAATCTTAATCTTCATTTATTGAAGTCCATGAGTTTCTAGATGCGTACTCAAATAGGCAATTAACATCTCAGAGAAGATATTACTGACTCCGTAGTATTCCATTGCAGTTCAGCGTTATTAGTTTGCGGTAATTGCAGATCACATGCAGCCTTCAAACCAGCATTTCCCCTCGCACTTTCTTGACAATATTCGGATTCACGGGCTGTATTGCAGTAGTATAGCTTCATGCCACCTTGTATGTACGTATTGCATTATGACGGAGGACATGTATTGCCACGTGACCTTACGATGCCATTGATGCCACGTAAGTTATTTACGATTGAACACTACTGTACGGACTCCGGAGTATGTTCAGAAACATGTGGTGTTTAATTAATACTAAGGATCTATAGAAGGGCACTCGTAGTTATCGTCCAGATACCTGGATAGACAGATTCAGATCCTGTCGTTGCCCAAGACATTGAACTGCTGCGCCGCGTAAGCAAGTCGTCCCTGTTTTCGATGCCGGTTCTGAATCATTATTAAGGACTATGAAAGGTCGAGTTGAAAATCTGATTAAACCTACTCCACAGCCGTTCCGGTTCTTCAGACGTAATTACAGCATTCGGTGGGTGCTGACGCCAACGGATCCTTGCAAGTGTTTTCATAGCCACGGAGTGCAGAGCCCACTGGCATATCATACTAAAAATACCTCTACTTGCATATCTTGACAGTCGTAATAGTGCTCCGTAAGCTTAGGAATATAGACCCTCGAGGAAGAACCTCCCGGGCTTGATGTGAGAAGTATGCACTAAATATGTAATATTTAACGATTGACAACAACAGCAACAATAATACGATGATGTGTGTACTTCGTCGTCCGCAGCGAATTTCCATGCGACCCTATTCGGGTCCAACAACCCCTTTTCATTATTGCTTCCGTCTTTTCTGCCTCTTAACTTCGTACTTTTTATTGCGCTACTTGTCTGGGCATTTTATTTCGTTCCTTTTAGCCTATCTCGTCACCGTCGGGGAGAGGTAGCTCACTAAAGATGATCGTCCAACCGTAGGTGCTCCGATCGACAGAGACTCAACATGCCGTTGCCAATAGGACAGGGGAAAGGGACGGACTAGTAACATGGAAACTTGGGAAGGAGCTCAGTCTGTTTCAGGTGGGAATTCCTACTGCGATATGGAGCATTATTGAACTGCCTTTGAAGCTTGAAAGTTGGCATGATAATTAAAGTTTAATCGAGTTTTATGCTAGCGACAGTCCGAAAGAAAGAAGGAAAGAAAGGGAGCCCACTTTAATCACATGTATTGGAGTGCTGTGCAGCATAGATACTTACTCTTCAAGGCAAGATACTACGGAAGAAGCGGATACGCAATTTTCAAACGTCTACGATTTTTCAAGTACCGAGTAGCCGGCCACGGAGGATATTGTGGTATTTGCTGTCGCCGCAACCAGAGTTTTATTTTATTTTTATTTCAAAAAAATTTTTTTTTTCTGTGAACCAAACTCCCACGCCGAATTGGAATGTCTTTGATAATTGCGTGGTTGGGAAGAGTGTACTAGGCCCGGAAAACGCATGGTACAATACGGTACGGCGCCGTACAAAGTATACAGTAATGCATTATTGATGCTGACGACACCCTGGACGCTGGACAGTCCTGGGTAGGGAGCAAGGCTACCCTAGGCTGCAATGCAGTATTCCAATCGCACTCGAGATCTCTAGGTACAGTACCAGAGTTAGGAATCAGTAGGCAGTAACATCATGTTCAGAAGAAATTCTACGTGGCAATTCATGCAAGTTCGATGCTTTGCCTCTTTCGAGAGAAGGCCTGTTCTAAGCCCTGCTTACAAACTGCGTAATTTAACTCCTGTATGATGAATACGCGCAGCAGGGTGAGAAATCATATCCGCCCCGATCCTAGCAACTTATTCCTACTCCGTACTGTTTCTCTCCATCATCGCTCCATCTTTGTCTCCTACCATCTTACCTTATTTGATCCCGGTCTTTGAGCTTTCGCTCGTTCGTCAGCCCTTTTCTATTTACCAATGTTCGATGCATCTTGTGGATAACCTCGCGTTTCATATCCCCTACTTTCCTTCCTGGTATAGCCTTGGCTTACCTACCTTGCGTTCGTGCCCTCTCCCTCGTCGCTCACCGTCTTGCATCTGACCTGTGTAGGGCGACGCGGGAATTTCAGTCTATCTTTTGATATTCGTTCGCAGTCTCTTTATGAATCATTCCGTACCTCTCGTGCCTCTTGATTGACCTATCGAAGAAAGAAAGAAGGGGGTGACGAGAAAGAGTGCGCAAATCAAAGTGACGAATACAGAGAAGCAAGCGATTCGCGGACCAGAGTGCGCTTAAAGACCAAGAGTTATTCTTGGGGTGGATGCTCTCCCTCCATCCGATCAGAAGATCGCGGCTGTCCACTTTATAACGCCCGCACTGGGTCGAACAATCGGCTAAATGGCTCCTCCGCGCTTTGACGAGAATGGTAACGAGCTCCGGGAAGTGCAGAGTGACATCTCGAAGCCGACAAAGCGACAACGATGGGCGACCCAACGATTGTCCACCACCGGGGGCGTGAAGAAACGCCTCTCCATTATGGACCGCATCCAACAGAGGACACATTCGCATCGCGAGAAAAGGAGGTCGGGCGCAAGTAATGCTCCTATGGTGGATGGGCCTGAAGGGGAGGATGAGGATGATGATTCAGAAGAAAATAGGAGGAGAATCTACTTCAACGTCCCGATACCAGAATCTGCGAAGGATGAGGACGGCCAATTCACGATCCAATATCCGAGGAACAAGATCCGCACCTCCAAGTATACGCCATTGAGTTTCGTACCGAAAAATATTTTCCTGCAGTTCCACAGCATAGCGAACATATATTTCCTTTTTATTATCATTCTTGGTGTATGTGACCCCGACTGACTACTGTTAATGCGATTCACAGGTCTAATGTAACCTCACAGGCTTTCCCCATCTTCGGTGCTGACAATCCTGGCATGAACGCTGTACCCCTAATCGCTATTGTTGTCGTCACGGCTATCAAAGATGCCATCGAGGATTGGAGCCGTACTGTCCTAGATAACGAAGTGAACAATTCGCCTGTTTATCGATTGGTTGAGTGGACCAATGTTAACGCGTCCTACGATAAGGTCTCTCTATGGCGTCGCTTCAAGAAAGCATGCACTCGCGCTACAGTGGCTACCTACAGGATGTTTGCCCGCAAGAAGACAGATCAAGACTTGGTCGAAGAGCGACGCCCCTCAGCCATGGTGACTCCACGGACGTCAATGTACTCCCCCCGAGCTTCCGCCTTACCCAACGATGCCAGTCAGGATCTGGAGAATGACGGTATTCAAATGAAACCAGTGAATCCGGATACGCGCTCGGACTGGCCGCTGTCGGACGAAGAACAGACAACCCATCTCCATCCTGACAAGTATTTTGCCGATGATATTGAAACTTCCCAAAGACACAATGTCAGTGTGGTTGATAAGTCCAGACCTGCTCCGGGGACCGCTAGGTTTAAGCGGGATTTCTGGAAAAGCGTCCAAGTTGGCGACTTCGTACGTATATATAACGGAGATCCGGTTCCAGCCGATATTGTAATCTTGTCAACTTCCGACCCGGATGGTGCCTGTTACGTGGAAACTAAGAGTTTGGACGGAGAAACGAACCTCAAAGTTCGTCATGCTCTCCATTGTGGTCGCCAGGTCAAGCATGCCAGGGATTGTGAGAAGGCAGAGTTCGTGATTGATAGCGAGCTACCGCACCCAAACCTCTACTCCTACAATGGCGCTATACGCTGGCAGCAGCGGGACCCACATTATCCAGACTCCCCTCCGAGGGAGATGGTCGAGCCTATCTCAATTGGCAATGTGATGCTCCGTGGGTGCTCTTTGCGCAACACAGAATGGGTTCTTGGTGTTGTTATCTTCACTGGATCTGAGACGAAAATTATGCTCAACTCCGGAGAGACTCCGAGCAAGAGGCCCAGACTTGCGAGGGATTTGAACTGGAACGTCATTTATAACTTCATCATTCTGTTCTTCATGTGCTTCATTTCTGGGGTGGTTAATGGAGTAGCTTGGGGTTCATCGAACAGGTCCTTGGACTTTTTCGATCTCAAGGCATATGGAAGCACGCCGGCTGTTACTGGTATTATCACTTTCTGGGTGGCCATCATTCTATTCCAGAATTTGGTCCCTATATCCCTTTATATTTCCCTCGAAATTGTCCGCACCATCCAGGCCGCATTTATCCACAGCGACCTTTTCATGTATTACGACAAACTACAGATGGCCTGCGTCCCAAAATCTTGGAACATATCGGATGACGTTGGACAAATTGAGTACATATTCTCCGACAAAACCGGCACGCTTACTCAGAACCTCATGGAGTTCAAAAAATGTACCATCAACGGAGTTGCATACGGCGAGTCATATACAGAGGCTCAGCTGGGAATGCAGCGGCGGCAAGGAATTGATGTTGACAGGGAGATTGGTAGGATGGATGAGCAATTGGCTATATCTAAATCTAGGATGCTTGACTTGCTTCGAAAAATTCACGATAACCCATATCTGCGCGATGAGAACTTGGGATTTATCGCACCGGATTTCGTGGCTGATATTACTGGTCAATCGGGTGAACCTCAAAAGAAGGCCGTGGAACATTTCATGCTCGCTCTTGCTCTGTGCCATACTGTCGTCACTGAGCATACCCCGGGTGATCCTCCTACAATTGAGTTCAAGGCACAATCGCCTGATGAGGCAGCTTTAGTCGCCACGGCACGAGACTGCGGCTTTACTGTATTAGGAAGAGCCGGTGACGATATTATCGTCAATGTCATGGGTGAGGAGCGGACATATACCGTTCTGAATATCCTTGAATTTAACTCATCCAGGAAGCGAATGAGTGCGATAATTCGGATGCCTGATCGCTCTATACGTCTTTTCTGTAAGGGTGCTGACAGCGTTATTTACTCTCGCCTGGCACCTGGCGAACAGCAGGAGCTTAGGAAAACTACCGCAGATCACTTGGAGATGTTTGCCAGGGAGGGTTTGCGAACTCTGTGTGTCGCGGACCGCGAGATCAGCGAAAAGGAGTATCTAACATGGAGCAAGGATCACGACGCCGCAGCTGCCGCAATCACGGACCGTGATGAAAAATTAGAAAGAGTTGCAAACGAGATAGAGCAGCAACTTATGCTTATAGGGGGAACTGCCATTGAGGATAAACTTCAAGTCGGCGTTCCGGAAACTATTTCTCTGCTCGCAAATGCCGGTATTAAACTGTGGGTCCTGACCGGTGACAAGGTTGAGACCGCGATCAATATTGGATTCTCTTGCAACCTTTTGAATAACGACATGGAATTGATCGTTCTAAATGTCCCTGAAACCCAGTCAGAGAAGGCGATGTTGGAGCTCGATACTCAGTTACAGAAATTCGGATTAACTGGCTCCGACGAGGAGCTCATGGCCGCCCGCCTGGATCACCGGCCACCGTCAGGAAGATATGCCGTGGTTATTGACGGAGATACCCTAAAATTGATGCTTGACGATGAACTGAAGCAGAGGTTCCTTCTGCTGTGTAAGCAGTGCAAGGCTGTCCTATGCTGCCGAGTCAGTCCTGCTCAGAAGGCTGCTGTCGTTAATATGGTCAAGAATGGCCTTGATGTCATGGCCCTTGCAATCGGCGATGGTGCAAACGACGTTGCAATGATCCAGGAGGCTGATGTGGGAGTCGGAATTGCCGGTGAAGAAGGTAGACAGGCAGCCATGGCTTCTGATTATGCTATTGGACAGTTCAGATTTCTTCGACGTCTAGTCCTTGTCCATGGAAGATGGGCCTATCGCCGACTGGGAGAGACAACAGCCAACTTCTTCTACAAAGTACGTTAAATTCAAGCCGACTTACTTCTCGAGTCCCTTAAGTGAACTGCAAACTCACTAACTTGTGTAGAGTCTTGTCTGGACATTTGCCCTCTTTTGGTACTCGATTTATAATGATTTTGACGGTTCCTATCTATTCGACTATACCTATATTGTATTGGTCAACCTTGCGTTCACGTCCTTACCTGTTATTTTTATGGGAATTTTCGATCAGGATGTCGATGATAAGGTGTCCCTGGCTGTGCCGCAGCTGTATATGAGAGGTATCGAGCAGAAGGAATGGTCTCAACTCAAATTCTGGTATTTTTTTACTCCCTTACAACTGTCCCTTTCTCCGGTACTAACATTCTCCAGGTTGTACATGGGAGATGGAATATACCAGTCGCTCATGTGTTTCTTCATGCCGTATCTTCTATATAAACCAGGCAACTTCGTGACGTATAACGGATTGAACATCAACGACCGAACTCGAATGGGTGTTCTAGTCGCTACGTGTGCAGTTCTCTCCAGTAACTTATATATCTTGCTGAATAGCTACCGTTGGGACTGGTTGACGGTGTTGATAAATGTCATCAGCAATTTGCTGATCTTCTTTTGGACGGGTATCTATACTTCGGCCCAGTCCTCAGCTCAATTCCAAGGAGCAGCCCACGAGGTTTACGGAGCGTTGTCCTTTTGGGTTGTTCTCCTGTTGACCGTTGTTCTTTGTCTTCTTCCTCGTTTCGCTATCAAATCAGCCCAAAAAGTTTTCTTTCCTCGCGACGTGGATATCATCCGAGAACAGATCACTGCAGGCAAATTCAAGTACCTGGATCAATATGAGGAATTTGGTCCTCCACCTGGAGCAGGCGTCAGCTTTGGTGGCTCCAGCGATTCTGCTGGCTCATCTGATCTAGGGAAACCAATACAACCTATGAAACAAGAAGGCGGGCTTTCCGAAGATGAGCGGCCGATGTACCCGCCATCCGTTTCGGGAATTGCGAACGTGGTGGGAAATCCTCGCAGTCAAAGTGGCAGCGTGACGACGAATTACACACCCAGCCTGGACAGGCATCAGAGTCCACAATCCATGGAGTATACCTTGGATCGCAACCGCCCCTCCTTCGAGAGAATACCGCGAAGTTTCGATCCAGGCGTCAATGTCAACGCTGCCTCTGTTGCCTTCCCCGAACCAACGGAGAACCCGTTCAGATCCCCGAATGATCGCCCCCTATCTCCTGTATAAAATCGTTCTACAATTCTGTTATATTACACTTACACGATATTTCTGATGACTGTCTCCTAGGTTGTTATTGGCACTTCGAATTTCTTGCGGATTTCTTTGTCTTCCTGTTTCCTTGGATGAAATGAGCAATATTTTCATTGGCTATTCCCAATAGAAGGCGTTTGGTACTTACGCAGATAGCTCTTTAGCTGGCTGCTTTTCATGTCCGTTTTTCTTTCTATTATTATTATTCTTCTTCTTTCAAAACCCCGTTCATACATTCCTTTATAATTTCTATTTGTTTTATACTACTCGTTGCTTTTCTGTAAGGAGACGGATGGCGGATTGTGGAACCTCTGTGGCTAGCAACACCTTGATGATAATCTGTATAACGAAGTTTCATTGGACATTATGCACGATACTGGCATCCTCTGCCTGTACGAAGGACCTCAAAAGATGAGGATGTACAACGCCGTATTAATAATTCATGGAAGCTATGTAGTCCCCTCCGGCGCGTCTTGCGAGCTTGTCGTCGCGTAAAGTGCACTTCTGACCGCCTTCTAGATCAGTAAATCAAAGCACTGTCATGGGCCAAGCAGTTTTTCGTGTTTTCCACCCCTCTATCCAAGGACTTTCTTCTCTACCTCTCTCTAGATTAAGGAGGAGAAGTTATTTGGATCCTTCCTGTTGATGCAAGTGCCGCCCCTACCCTTCTGCATGTTTAGTTAGGGTGGCCGAAAACATTGTCCTTCACCGACTCTCCCTTCACTTTATCCTATGCACATCGCCACTCTTCCCCAGAAGGATTCACTGTAGCCATGGCTGCGTAACTCATGTTGGAACGATATATACCTGGTCCTTGGTACTGCTATGGGTAGATCTATCTTCCTAGTCGGACCTTAATAGTCATTCCTTTCTTACCCGCTTGGATAAATGCCCTTTTACCTTTCGTTTGCAGCAAGTCAAACCAGGCCGTGAGCTTAAGAATCATGGAATTTGTGGATATCGTTGGGTAAGAGTTATTCATCGTTCATTAATCTTTCCCTCCATTCTGGGTGATGTCCCTTTTACTGATCATTTTTCTTTATAGTGAGCTTCAAGCCATCCCCGACGATGTCCACTTACTTTGTCCTCGGCAACACGACGATGATCATGCACGATACGATAGCCGTGCGGAACTCGATGAGGCAGGCAAAGAGCTAGTTGAGGAGGCTGCCACTCGCAGACAGAAATTTCTTTCGTGTTTGCGAATATTAGCCTACAATCAAGATGGGGTGGAGGAGCTCCAAAGCTGGATTGTGCGCAAGCTGGACGATACCTTGGAGAAATGTGATCTCTGCATCAAGGGGTATTATACGGGGAAGATATCGTTAATGGAATCGCTGAAAGAAAGCTATGATGACGAGGATATTGACAAGTTTGCCCGCATGCTCGATGAATGGGATATCAAACGCATCACTCGGAACTTGAAGGCTGCAACGACAAAGCTGAGGGAGATTCCGCCGCAGGATATCGGACTACATGTTCTCGATAGGGCGTCACTGTTGTCCATTTTCGAAACTTTGAGCTGCGAAGCGATGCTGCGTAATGACGACTTACTCCAGCAGTATTTCGAAGAGCCGTTTACGCTCATCCAGGTTAAACGCAGTCTGAAAGTGTCAGATTACATCCCCGCTGTGACACGATTTTTATTCAATTCCCGAGAGTTTCGCAGTCGCTGGGCCATTCATTCTTGGATACGGTATACCCGCCCCCCCACCACGGAGGAGTTCGACTGGGCAATCAAGGAGGCGCTACTAGATACTCTTCGAGTAGCCTCCCAGCAGCCACCTCATGTACCGGTTATCCAGAGACTCTGGCGTGGCATGCAGCTCATTTTACAGAAATTGGACAAAGACCAAATAACCCATAATTTGCGGGCTCTAGAGATTGACCCTTGTCGTCTTTCCGTGGATCACTTGGCTATACCGAGCTCTGGATTGCGGTTCCTTTTGAATTCTATCCAGATCTTTCTGGAGAAAGCTCCTGGCGATTTCTGGGATGCCATGCAAACAATCTCGCCTAAGGCTATCATTGAACAAGTCTTCTATAACCAACAGCTTGAAACTTTCCTTATGCAGACAACCGATGGCCAGCCATTTGAGAAGTCCCCTTTGAAAGACATGTTGTCCTGGATAGACCCCTTCATGTCATCATTAAAGGGCGCTCACCGTCCATCTGCCTGCAGATTTCTGGCGTTTCAGCTCCTGAATAGGCTTCAGGATCAACGTTTTCCCAACTTATCTAGGTATCATTGTTTTCACATTGGCCTGGGTGTACTCATTTTGACCCTTCGCGATTTCACCGACAATGAATCCTCAAGAGGCTCAGTAGCACGTGTCATCTTGTCTGAAACTCTGGATGTCGTCACTGAGAATATTGATAGGATCCTGGAACCCCCGAGTTTTATTATTGAGCAGGGCCGGCAGAACGCTGTAAACTCGTTATGCATGGATGTCGTCAGGAATACGCTGGCCCTCGAGTGTCAGTCTTTGAAGAGTGATTATGAAGTCATCCTCCGACATGGAGCTCTTCAGCATGGTGTTAGCACCTACTCTCCTCGCATCTGGGACGCGGTTATTAAACACCTGCATGAGGATAATCTGGCCCTTTCGACCGCTGCGTTGTTGGGCATCCTACCTCTTGTAGGCCTCGAGAAGTTTCCTACGAAAGGAGAAGATAGCCGGGAGAAGACACATTTCAACGTTATATACGGGCATCTGAACCATCTCTCCTGCCTGATTATCGAGCGCCTTGCGGATTTCAAACAGGAGCATCTTGATAACTTGTTCAAGAGCCAAAACACTAGTAGTGCATTGATTTCTGCTCTTTTCGCCGCTGACCTAAACACCTATCAAGCTGCTGTAGATCTCATCAAGAACGTCAGTGGTCAGTCCGCCAGGAGGGATGCTATATCCCATCTTTTGCAATCTTTCTTTACCACCACACTCTTTGCGCTGAGCTGGTCCTTCCGACGGATATCCAACATGAAAACTTTTGCACCTGCTCCGAGGATGCTTCACACTGGTACGGATATCGTGGATATTCTCTGTAACAGCCAAAGTGGCATGCTCCGGACCCGCAAATTAGCCGACCGCAGAGAAAGTCAGTCTATTCAAAAACTCTGGGAATACCTATGGCAGGCATTGACGACAATATTCGATGAGACTGAATCTTGGAATCTCCGAGGTAATGACAAGAGCGTGATGTTGGAGTTTTGTCGAGATACGATTCAGTTCGCAGACCTTCTTTTCGGCCAATATGGCGTTTTTCGAAGCGCGATTGTCGATGCGGAACCCAGCCAGGAGAAGAATGCAGGTGAAGATTTACTCAAGTCTCCTACCGCAACCATGAGTGCCATGGTTAAATGGCTCAGACTCAAGGATGAATATTTGGCGACCACCCTGGTTGGGCTTGTAGCAAAACTGCTTCGTCGACTAGGCGAACTGAACGTGACGACGGTGAAAGACGATGCGTTGAAGTTCATTGAGGGAGTTGCTGTCAAATCCACCATCAGAACCATCCTGACACCACGAGAGAAGGCCGAGCTGGTCCGAGCCTTAGAAGCTTACTATAAGAAACCCGTCATCACTGCCTCGACCGCTGCATTCAAGAAGCAGAGCACAATTACGGCGTTTGCCAGATCAGCCGATGTTGCAAGTATATCTAGCCCATCACGGGGCACAAGCGAAGATGAGGTCCACGAATCTGGTATTCCAGATGATGTGATGGAGCTTTCTCGGTCTGTCGAACTGAATAAGGAGAGAATCGCTGCCCTGTCCAAGAAAAAAGCGGAGAAAGTGCTGCCGAAGCTGCCTCCCGCTATTCAAAAACCGTCACCGTCTCCAGCGCTGCTGAAACCAAACGCGAGCGTGCTGTCCTTCCGTGAGAAGCGTGAGAGAGAAAAGGAGGCCAAGAGGAAGCGTGATCAGGCTGAATTAGCACGATTGAAGAAGAATCTTCCTCTACATGGAGTGGCTGAACAGACTGCCGAGCAAGGGTCAGGACTGAACGGAATCGGAGTCAAAGGCAAGGACCATTCTGCTCCAGCTGAGAGCATGATGGTTTCATCTGGTTCGGAATCTGAGTCGGAGGAGGAAGACGAACTCGACAAAGCACTGTTCGGCGGGAAAGTGTCGTCAAAGCCCGACGCAGTCAAAGCGTATGAGGAAAGCAAAAGGTTATCACTCAAGCAAGGCCCTGTCAAGAAAGTTAGACAAGTACGGTCCGCCAAAGACATGCGGGCTCGGCTGGCTCCTGATCTCTCGGCGTTGCATCGCACGTTACTTAGCTGGGACTTCTTTATGGATGGCGACCTTCCTCCAAGTTCAGGAAAAACAGATTATACCCTGGTATCTAATACTTTCCGGGATCCAATCGAGTACCAGAAGACGTTTGAACCGTTGTTGATCTTGGAAGCTTGGCAAGGCTTCCGGTCCTCAAAGGAAGAAAGTTCGTTCAAACCCTTCGAGGTTAAAGTTGCCACCCGGTTGTCCGTGGACTCTTTTGTTGAAGTTAGCACGGTCATGCCGTTACTCGATGTAAAGGACTATGGCCTAGGTGAAGCAGACATTGTTCTTCTCTCCAAGTCGAAAGCTACGACTTCGGATTCAACTGTTCCTCACTGTCTCGCTAGAGTTTCTGGCATTAACAAGAAAAGGGGCAGCGTTGAGGTTTCTTACCGAATTAATCCTGGCAGTCCACTTGTCAGCTCTCTGACTCCGGGTGCCACGATTTGGGGAGCCAGAATAACTTCTCTGACACCACTTGAACGAGAATATGGTGCTCTCATGGCTTTGCAATACTATGACCTGTGTGAGGAAATCATCAAGGCTAAACCATCACCAATTCTCAACTATTCCGAGGCGAGTCTCCGTGGGATTGTTGAAAACTATAAACTCAACAGTGCTCAGTCAAAGGCCATCAAATCGGCCCTCGACAACGATGCTTTTACTTTGATCCAGGGACCCCCAGGATCCGGTAAAACGAAGACGATCGTGGCACTTGTGGGGGCTCTTCTGAGTGGTAGTCTTGGGGATCACGGCGTAGCGATCTCGCGGCCCGTAACTACCAGTAGTTCTAAACCTGCTGTAAGGGCGACTGCCGCAAAAAAGATGCTTGTTTGCGCCCCTAGCAATGCTGCGGTCGATGAATTAGTTATGAGATTCAAAGAGGGTGTGAAAACCTTGCAGGGCCGCCAGGAGAAGCCATCCGTTATACGTCTTGGAAGATCCGACGCCATCAATACTAATGTACTTGACGTCACTTTGGATGAGCTGGTCAATGCGAGACTGACTGCAACCACACGCACGGATTCGGGGGAAAGAGACCTGCAGAAAATTTACATGGAGCACAAAGCTGCTGATACTGCATTCAAGGAGATCCGCTTCAAAATCGACCAATGCAGAGCGCAAGGGTTACCTGTTCCCATCGAGCTACAACGGGAATTCGATCTTCTCAAGAAGAAAAAGAGCCAGCTGAGTCAAGAGATTGATAATGCCAGAGATAGGAACCAGGCCGCTGCCCGTGACGCTGATTTAACGAGACGGCGCATTCAACAGGAGATTATCGATGGTGCGCATATTATCTGTGCTACCCTCAGCGGTAGCGGTCATGAGATGTTTCAGAATCTAAATATTGAGTTTGAGACTGTCATTATCGATGAAGCGGCACAGTCGATTGAACTGAGCGCTCTCATTCCGCTGAAATACGGGTGTTCCAAGTGTATTCTTGTTGGAGATCCGAAGCAGCTACCGCCGACTGTGCTATCCAAGGTTGCATCGCGTTTTCAGTATGAACAAAGCTTGTTTGTTAGAATGCAGACCAATCACCCTAAGGATGTGCACTTGTTGGACACTCAGTATCGTATGCACCCAGAAATCAGCTGCTTCCCCAGTTCTGCATTCTACGACGGCAAACTTCAGGATGGACCAAACATGGCACGCCTCCGGGTTCGTCCCTGGCATCAAGGTGAACTCCTAGGGCCGTATCGATTTTTCGACGTGCAGGGACTCCATCAAAGTGCTGCCAAGGGTCACTCTTTAGTCAATATAGCTGAAATTAGGGTGGCTATGCAGCTCTACGAACGTCTGACCACCGATTTCCGTGATTATGATTTTTCAGGGAAGATTGGTATCATCACGCCGTACAAAGGTCAGTTGAGAGAATTGAAGACCCAATTTGCCGCCAGGTTTGGGAACTCCATTTTTAGCATTGTTGATTTCAACACCACGGATGCCTTCCAGGGAAGAGAGAGCGAGGTCATAATCTTCTCTTGCGTACGAGCTTCGAATAAGGGAATTGGTTTCCTGGCGGATATTCGTCGTATGAACGTCGGTCTAACGCGTGCAAAGTCATCTTTGTGGGTGCTTGGAAACTCCCAATCGCTGGTTCAAGGGGAATTTTGGAGAAAGCTGGTCAATGACTCGCGTGAAAGGAATATGTATACCGAAGGTGACGTTTTGGCGATGCTCCAGCGGCCTCAGTTTAATGGATATAAAGACGTTCAGATGGTCGATGTTGATGATCCTGCGCGGGAGCCGCCATCGGTGTCCTCGCGGGCTCCATCTGCCAGTTCTATTTCTCGACCTTCATCAGCACTAGAGAGCGGCGACTCGCCTTGGCCTATGCCCATGTCTGCATCCGCCAGAGGAACCCCGCCAGCTCCAGTGCCTGATGGTGCTTCCGGGGGTCCTTGGGGCCTAGATGAGACCAAGATGTGTGGAATATGTGGAAGCTCGGCGCATATGACGCGCAACTGTGACAATACAGATGCCCAAGAAGTAACCAGAGGGACTTGCATCAGATGCAGAAAACCTGGGCATACACGGGCATTCTGCACTGCCGACCGCTGCATTGAATGTGGCCAAATTGGACACCTTGCTCGGAGTTGCACATCAACCAAGTTGCTTTCAAAGCAGGAGAAGAGTAGGGTTGTGAGGGAAGAGAATAATCTCGCACATATTCAAAAGCAGAGAGCGGAGCGTCAGCGACAGAGGCAACTCGGAGGCCATGATCCCAAGGTTCCCGTTATTCAAGTCGCAACAGATCCCCCTGTGCCTAATGCAAAGAAGCCCGACTTGTCCAGAACTGGGGGTAAGCAAAGTCCGATCGATGCGTCAAATAACCGAAAACGCCGTGGCTCTCCTATATCTGCTGGTCCCAAGACGTCGCGGCAACGGACGTCTGAGCAAGGAGGGCCGCCATTGAATGTCCCCAAAGCTCCAAAAGGCGGTCGCCGTAACCTGGATTCCAATGTTCCAGGCTTTACAGATGTGAGCTATCTCCATGTTTTTCTTTTTAGGTTAGGTACTTTACGATGTTGTGGACGGCAGACTGACGACTCTTTTTTTCTAGCAGCTGGTCAAACCTTCACGGGACGGACCGGCGTATAACACCATCTCAAATGGTAATAATAAACCTGGCAATAACCTCCCAGCCAGCGCGCAGCCACCTCATCAACCTGCTCCAGGCCCGAGACCTGTTAATGGAGTGCGTCCTCCACCTCGCTTCCGCAAGAAGAAGGAGGTCGACCCGTTCATCAGACCGAAACGGAGATGATTCAAGAGTTACCTCGCGAATCAGACGCTAAAAAATACGGAGATTGTTGCTTTTCATTATCTTCTCTACATGAATTGGGCTCCTCGGTTTATTCCAGAGCATCATCTTTTCCTCTACGCAGTTGGAAATTCACTCTCAATTCTCGTTTTCGCATTGCATTAGTTGCGTTTGGGATGGCTTTTTTTTTCGCTTCGTTCATCTTCATGTATTATATATTCCATCATGACTATATCTAAAAAGGGCTCAGAGCACTGGGAGGCGTTTGGGGATACCTAATCATGGCTGCGTTTAGCCGTCTCTCTTTTCTACGATTTGAGATGGAAGTACAGTATCTGAAGGGAACGTAGGTACTACAACACAGTCTTAAGACTCGACAGCAAGGCATATTGCATCTATAAGGGATGCCTATCGGGTAATGATCAAAATTGGCACACTGCTGTACTTGTGATGCCAAGCCGTTTGTGAACGGCGCCCACGTTACTAAACGACAGCCTCCTGCAATCTGCAGCCTACCTTGCCCTTGCAGGAAAGACACGAGTCGCCCCAGTGTCGATGTGTTCCATGATCCGATACTATCTGCACTCTTCCGTTGGTCATCAATGACCATTCGCGCAGCCAGCACGCGTTATGTCTCTAGTTTCCAATACATATCAATACCGACCAATTCATCGGATTATGATCCCGGTCGCCATCGCTATTGTGTCGTGTCATTGAATAGGGTCGTTTGTCTCGCATTGTTTGACTCGGTTCCTGTGCCCCTTGTTTATAGATGCAAAGATGCACATAGAAAGAAGTCTTATTGGTGCTGAGCGTTAGAACCTGCGAACAGTTCAATTGCTGCGCTGCGTCTTTTTTTGTCATAATTGCTTGCATATTCGATACATTAGCAAACAATCTATTTTCAAACGATATACAGTCACGGTCGGTTCGGTTCCTTCCTTGCCAAATAGTTGTCTCTATGTCCCCTCCTGGTACTCGGTATCTTGTTGATCTATTCGATCCTCTTTCGAATCGTTGAAATCTGAGCGTTGAACAACCGTCATCAGCAGACTTCAGGTCTCACTATGGATCATTCAACGACGGTACATGAAAATGCAGTTGCGCCAAGTCCAGTCGTTCCGACGTCTCGTCCCGGTCTCTCGAGGAAGAAACGAGGCATGACGCCAATCCTGGCATCGAAGCAGGACAATACGACTGCCATATGCACTGGAGAGGCACAACTCCCAGAAAGGCTATCGGCCAATTCGATAGAGGACCAAGCCTCCGTGAAACTCTTACGGCATTCTCGATCCCGAAATATGCTCTCACAAGCACTACCGTCAGTAGGAGCTCTCGAGGCTTTCAAAGCCAGCCATCGCCGTCTGTGGCAAGTCGTCCAGCGTCAGAAGAAAGATTCCCATGGCACCAAGACTGTTTCGATGTCTCCACAACCGAAGTCGACTCGGCAAGCTAGTCAAGATGACAGCGACCACGATTCTATACAACGCAAATCTGCCCATAACATCAAAGATATCGATCAGTTGTGGTTTGAGCATACCGTCAAGGAGAAAGAATATCAAGACAGTAATAGCAACCGGATCGCGTCACTCGACTTTGGGGATTTTGGGGATTTCGTCACTACCATGCTGACACCGCTTTCTGGTGATTCACCCTCTTCCCAACCCGCAGCTCTTTCTGGTGACGAAAAGACGGCTCTACTTCCTTGTGTGGGAGAACAGCCGCCTGACAAAGAAGGTATAGTTGGTTTTGTTAGTATACATGATGAAGGCAGTAACATCAACGGCGGATCTTCGGCAACTGCTCTTACCTCTGAAGATGCGGACCATAGTTCTTCTGTGCAAGACAGTCTCCTAGAAGGGGACAATGTTAGGACATTGGCTTCCCCGTTGCGTTCAATAGATGCGGGACAAGGTGGTGAGCAGGAACAAGTAAATATCGTCAAGAAACCAGGCACCGTCATCAGCAGCAGAAGCTCCACACTTGGCTTGACGACCACTATTCAGGCATCCCCAATTTCGATAGAGGGACATACCAACATTTTCCCTAACTCTGGAATTCCATCTCCCTCAAGCTTTCCCAGAAAAGCTGCCCTCAGTCCGCTTAACAAAGCCCGACAAGCCCCAGGAGTTGTTATTCCTCCTTTTTCCTTGGAAGGCTTCTCGTCCACAAATACAGAGCTTATTAGCGAAAGCAAAAGATATTCGACCGGCACATTGTCGTTAAGCGCCGTGTGCAAGATTCCAAGCCCTCCGAGGCCCATATCGTCTTCACCAAAACAACTGGAGAGGTTGGGAGAAAAGGTTTCAACACACGGAGTACATCAGAGTTATCCCAAGAATAAGAACATTCCTTCACTCGCATCTTCGTCCTTTGGCTCTATTCCGACGTTTCCTTTGCCGCCACCTATGAAGCCCCTGCCTCAACTGCCAGGATTTTCCCTAGCTGGCGAAATCAACCAAGGCCCAAGTGTAAGTTACAGAAAACTGACTCCACGAGGAAGCACGGATTCCTCATGTACGCAGCGCTCCTTGGGTCCCAGTCAGCCAGATGTTTTGCGAGGTTCCGGTTCTACCAATCTCCGGACTCTCAGAACCGAGTCAACTGCTCCTCTTCGGACTACTTCAGAGTCAACTGTCACATCAGCGATACCCGCCAATGTATCAGGCCTAGAGTCTTCCGATAAATATCTCACAGAGCGAAAATGTGGAGGGTATACTGGACCAGCCCACTCAGTTCCTCTAAAAGATACGGCAAAAACCCGTCCTGTCAACAATCACGCATCTCCGGCACTGGCTGAGTGGCTGATATTTCCACCGTCACAGTTTCCTCGGAGCCGTGTAACACGACCTGTCAGACAGCATAGTGCTAGACGAACAGCTGAAATTAGTAAGAAAGCCATGAGGGATGCTGCCAATTCAACTTCGCTTCCTTCTCGATCATCGTTACCGTCAACACTCCCTGTCATGCCGGATTGCGCTGTGACTGCTGGTGCAGTTCGAGTTGGCGCCCAACATACTGTGGATGTCTGCAAGGGAACGGTACCTAAAATGCCAAAGCCTGGCAGGTTTTACAGGAATAATGTTATTCCCTCAGGTACTGAAATTCAGGCCACAGAAGTACGCCCTCGTTTTTACATGTCGTCGGACAGACTGCAAAAGAGACGACAAGTTCAGATTCCGCTTGAAATCGACTGCAATCACGGATCGCGTACGGAACAAGCAACGTCCAATTACCTTTCCCCTTTATCTTGCCAGTCCCACAATTCTCGCAATCAAAGAAGTTCAGCGCTTCAATATCATCCATCCCAGCGAGTGACTCGTTCGAGAAATAATTCCCAGAAGACCCAGCTAGCCCGGGTGTTGCGCGAGCTCGAATCCCGTGTCGCCCAGCTGGAACAGCAGAACAGGATCCTCGAAGCTGCACTATTTTCCAGGCCTAGTGCTGCCCCCAACCCTGAAGGCAAGAATCAGCGTTGTTGTTAATCAGGACAAACATTGTTGTCTTCGCCAAGCCAAAGGTTGGAGTGATCTTCCTCTTCGCTTCTGATGAGGGACTCTCCTATCCATGACAGAGCAGACCTTTCTAGAGAGAGCACTCAAAATGGGGACTTTCAGGAGGACAAATAATCCTAGAGTTTCAGTAAAGCACCGTGTAACAACTTTGCGAGATGTTAGAATCCTCAGTTTCGGGGTGCAATAGTTAGGGACTTGGAGGATATAATGGTGAATCATGATATCGACTGGGCAAAGAAGAGATCAACGAAGAGACATCTTGGTATAAAAAAAGAGGAAACCTTCTGAACAAGCCTTTTTCCTCATTTTTATTTGACGGCCTCTCTGTCTCTTTTAATTCTTCTAGTCAGTAATTTCGCTTGCCCTTGTGGCCCTTAATATTGCATGGTATAATGTTGACGGTTCGAAATCTTTGGTTTTTCAGGTTAACTCTTATTTTCAATCGTGGGATTCATCATGATCGCGTCAAGGAGAGAAGAAGACAGACGCAATGAAGTCGTAGCGATTGTTTGCCCGAGGCTGTATAGTCACCTGACCCAACACCTGCCGATTTGGGCAGATTCAAAACCTCCGGAGCGCGTCCCTCGCAGGATAAAAAGACAAAGACAATTGTCCATTCTCTCTGGGGAATTAACATCGCGATCAGCTGTTGAAGTTTTGGAAGAGCCCGGATCTGGTGTTCGGAAACCTTCACGGTGCTCTGTTCTTGCTGTCTAGTTTTCAGTTCACCTCCGCAAATCCCCCCGCGGACATGGCAAACCCAACATCAGTAAGTGACCAGGCCTGAATCAATATGCTCTACTGTACAGATCGTGCCTATTAACCCATTTTGCACTACGGTAGCAAGTTCCCCAGCACGTAACCGCGCTCCTCTCCCATCTGAGTTCCCGCCCTGGAGTGCAATCCACGTTCATCCTCTCCCGCAAAGATGGCTCTATAATCCAAAGTACGGGACTATATGCATCGAATCTAACGACGGGTAATCATGCAGCAAACGCAACGGCCTCGACTTCAGATTTAGAGCCTGTAGAGGCAGGACCGGATCACAAACATGCTCATACGCAATCGTCAAGCTCGAATACAACCACAACTACACAGCCAGAATCATCAACTTCCTCATCAGATGCGGCGTCAGCATCTCCTGCACACCCGCGTACACAGACGCCATACCAGCCGACTCAAGCTGAGGCATTGGCTGCTCAGATCTACGCTTTCGTGTCGAGTGCATCGGCACTAAGTTCGGCCCTCACACAGCCTCCTTCGTCCTCGTCTCAGGCAGCAACGGGAAACGGGTACTCGAAGTCAGAACTGAATGGGCTTGAGGAATATGTGAATAGCAGAACACCACGCGAAGAAGATGGAGATGGAGAAGGCAGTGGGAACAACATCCAGGAAGATGATGAGGTCAAGTTGCTCCGGTTGCGTACAAAGAAACACGAGATTGTAGTTGTTCCGGATAGGAAGTATCTATTATGTGTGGTCCATGGCACTACTTCTACTTCCACTTCTGGTTCCTCAGGAAGTTCTAGATGATTCGTTTGGATGATGCTATATTGTTCATGAATTGATGGCGTTTCCTGTGTCTCTGTTCTCTCTTCATTGTCTTTGTTCAGTCCTCTATCTGCATTTCTGCATTCTGCGTTTCATTCGGACTGGCTACCCTTTTTTGCAAGGCATATAATACCCCAGATATTGAAAGCGTATTCCTTTTTCCTTTTCCACTTTTGAACCCCCGAGAATTGGCTATCCTCTTTGGACATGATTCTGTTGCCTGCACTGAGCAAGGTACATGCCATTCCTACGTCTTTCACCCATTGTCTATTTCACTCCTTCTCCGCCTAAGGACAGCTACTCCGTATTACCGAATTTGATTTCATTGTTTATAATGGAGGTTGAGGCATGCGTGAAGTTAACCGATATTGATCGGGCAAGTTACATCGGCCAACTCCATGCTCCACATCAACAGTCTGCCTATATGTTCAAACGACTGCTCCCTGGTTTATTTGACCTTATTTCACTCAAGGGATAACTTGGCTGCATTTTTTACCAAGTTTATTCCCTGAAGAGAAGAGAAAGCGAGTTTATCTTGTCATAAACACCGCCAGCGAGGAACAATATCTTCGACCTGAACGTTTGATATCACCAAGGCGCCAGGGCAGTTCCCCTCTCTGAACCAGAAACAGGTGTTTATGGATAACGCAGGTAAGTACAATTGATAGAAATATGGTTCCATCGGAACTTTCTTGATGCTTTTCTAGGGTAGTCAAGTACTCGACTCTGTCATTGAGTCGTAGGGAGAGACTCCCAAGGACACTATGAAGGTAACCAGTCTGATACATGAATAGTATCCGGGACTTAACTGTGGAACAAATGTCCAGCTTGGAGCCACGTACGCTATCTCTAAAGCTTCCACTACCAAATATGAGAATGGGTATGAAACTGCGGCGCGTTTCACCGATGCTTCTCTGGATGATGTGAGTTAGGAGCTTAGGCCGTTCTTTATCTTTACTACAGAGAATTCACATAGAGAATGGGTAACAGCAAGACTAACATATTGTGATCTGTCTCGGGGGCATCTACCACACGGCTTCTACACAACCTTTCCACGGCTTTAGCTTTCCAGCCCGGCGACGAATTGATATTGTCCAAGTCAAACCACGCAGCCAATATTGCACCCTGGATTAGAATTGCCAAGTTATTAGGTTTTATTGTCGAGTGGTGTGGTGCTAAAGACCCCCAAAACCATACCTGTGGCGTGGATGAGCTGCAGGCATTGCTCTTACAGAAGACAAGGCTCATTACTTGTCCTCATGCCATATATACAGTCATCGGCTTTTCCAGGAAGTAGTTAGACTAGAGACTAGAGGACGTGGAGGATGGAGTTGTGAGAATAATTGTTTTGCATTAACACAGGTGAATCTATTATGCTTGGCTGTGCTAGTAGATACTGACTATCTTACTAACGCCTTGCCCATATGGATGTACTAGAGGTGAAAGAGCTGGTCAAAGCCCCGCAAGAAGTTACCTAAGAGGAATAAATATCTTGAGTCTAGTGCGCATGTGGCATGGGAATCAATTATTTATGTTCCAGAGAAACTCAATGAACTTTACATACAACCTCATACTGTGCCAGAGTCAGACACTCTTACTATTGATCTGGATACTTCCCAATACTTAGATCTGAACAGATATCGGTGTTCGAAATGAGCTATGTTCCACTTGAATTTCCGAACTTCTCACTATCTTATACCATCCCATGGCCACCATTCAGCAACATAAACTAATCTATCAACCCCCTAAAATAGTCACTCTATGTCTGAGCACAGGTTGCCGAACCCACACTGTAGTTCTGGCAGACCGTTCCTTCGGGACACTTCTGAATCGGCCCCCGTGTTCTGACTGACATATTGATTTACTTGAAAAGCGGACAGCAGGTCCATATATCCAGCTACGAACTGTACTGCTCGCTCCTGTCAGCCCTAATGCAGTCTCCGCAGGACTGATGGAAACGTTGAAAGTCGTTCCTTTTACGGTAAGGATGATATTATTTAGCACTATACTACACCACTGTACTTTGAGTGCTATTTTTATGACTGGTAATTTGATGCAAACACCAGCATGCCTGCCTATCCATCAATGCCACGTTTACTGTTATATCTCTGTAAACATCAAACTGGAAGCAAGTCCACTAGGGTTCCACGGAGTCAGGTGATTCCAGTTTCCCTTTTCTCCATATTACTTAACCCATAGTTGCCTATATATCGAGGCAATGTGTATAATAGAAGTTTAACAGTATAGTTAGACTACCTGTATCTACATTAATCAAGATTTTTCATCGGCAGTGAGCCCCAAATGCCGTTTGTCTAACTTATCTTATTACGGTACAGAATCCCCACATTGTTAGGGATCTTCAAACTACGTGGTACTCCTCCACAGTTATATGCGTTAATATTACTAAGAACCGTCCAAGCAGAGTATGATCGAGGCTGTGCTTTTGGACTCCTACGTAATGATTAGTTGAATATTCGAAGCACTATGTAGTATGACTATGTACTACGATTAGCATGATCTACTTGGTAGAACAATGGGCAGAAGCGTCTACTATCGGGCTACTTACTAGTAGATTACAAATAGTTCATATTTGTAATGGTATAAGAAGTAGGGAGATCTGCCTACTTCGTTCCCTATTCGAAAACACCATCATTATGAAGCAAATGGCCAACCTCCGAATCTCGCTTCCAGCCTTGCCCCCTCCAGTTCTCGCTTCCTTGCTCGTCCCACGGGGATTTGACCGTACAAATCTAGGACTAAACGTGAAACCCTTCAAGCCTTCCGGGCCATAGTCTCGCGCCTTCAGCACAACAAGCATATTCAGAGCCTCCTTGCTCACTGGGTATGCACCTCCATTCCCGGTGGGCTCGGGGTGCGGCGGTCCACGAAGAGCTTTCCGCGGCAGCGTCCTAGCACCACTACTTACGAAGGATCGAGTATGGATCCCGAGACTTAGAAAACAACGGTCTGAATGCTTCCGATATAACTGCTGGGCCTATCACGTTTGTTTCCAGACAGGCGTGGAAGTGAGGCTTGAGGTTATCGATGACCAGGTCACTCACGGCTGCATTGCTCACCAGGACATCCAGCTGGCCGAATTGTTTCTATACATGGACTGCGGCGGCTTTGGCTGACTGTTCATCGGTAACGTCAAGAAGTAAGGTTGAGAGGGATCCCTTGGGATTCAGAGCCTCGATCTTGGCTAGTGCGGCTTTGGCTTTCTCTTCTGATCGGCTGGCCATGATGACGTGGTAGGTTTCCGAAGCGCAGGCGAGCACCTTTGATGTTGCGAAGCCGGTGCCAAAGTTGGTGCCTGAGTTTCCACGGTTAGCAAATGAAAATGTTTATATGATATCTAACTGCTGATATTACCGGTATTGAGGATGATCGTGGATGCCATGGCCAGAAAAGAAGACAAGACTATCAGCCAGCAAATAATGCGGGTTGACACCTGGAACACATCTTGACCTATATCAATAACACAGCGGGTCAGGATTAGTGAATGGGCTTAAGATCATAACACCGACAGCATATAAGAAGAACAAGGGTGCGAGTTGAAATAGTAGACTGACTGGACAGGCAGATGGCCTGCAGATTGCCTGCAGATGGAGGGACGCTGATGCAGGTACCTTAACACCGTAGGGGTTATGCTATTTATCTTGGCTGCTTCAGTGCAGTTTCATGATAATCTTCAGATTGAGATTCATGTCTATGTACTCAGATATGCCCAGGTAGATGTAGACCAAGACCATGAGGCTTGATCCTGAGATTCAGATGGACGATGTGAATTTCTTATTATTTCCTGATAACCATCAACAGATGCGCATGCGGTCATTGTTGGGCCGAATAGCTCCATGAGGATCAATACTCTGCCCTTGAATTGGCTCAGTGAAAATCATCGGGGGTTGGATTTACAGAGCATGTTCCCAAGTTGTCTGAACTGCTGTGCTACGCTGGATGCGAGGAACTCACTGACGCTACAATTACATGTGCTAATAATAAGCTCTAGACAAAAAGGCATGATTTCTCATTAAGCAGAGCTACCAGATGCCTGCAATCCTTTCAAAAGACCTGCAATTAGCTGTTGTACTGACACATAGGGCTGCTGCAGACTCTTCTGGTCGTCGTTTTATAGCGATTTCTAACATTTGATGTCGGGATATCCAGAGTCTTTTGAGGTTCATTGGCAAATTCTAATCAGCCTAATGTAGATATTAGTAAAATCTATCTCAGATGCGAACTGATTCTTTGTGATGCAACCGTCGTCTTAACTTCACTCGATCTTGGATCTACCGAAACCTAGACATCGGAGGTGCCGTCACGATTGTCCCGACCAAGCAAGGAGTGCGCATCCAGGCTGTCTTAGAACTGAAAATCCTCCAGCTACCCCGTATTCGAGGAATAATAATAATAGCATCATGGAAAATAAGACAAACTCTCATTCCCCGCCACCCCCTCAGTCAATATGAAATAAACACTGCCTCAAAGCGCAAAGCTGTTGATGAACTCGTCTGTGTCCCGGCGCAGCAGTTTCTATCACTTGAGTTCCATATGCAGCAAAATATTTATCTGAATTCGCATGGTAATTCAGGCCAGCAGCTGGTTGCCGTTGTCATAACGTTCCTCGTTCTTGCTTCAGTGGCAGTCTCTTTGCGATGCTATGTGCGCGTCAGACTGACAAGGTGCTTTGGAGCGGATGATGCACATGATGCACTGGCGGGGATCTCTTTGGTACGTCTGTAGTAGTCGTTATTATGACTCGCATGATTTAACATGGGAAAAAGGTATTCTTTGTGATCGGTTCTACCCTCTTGGTCGCAACGGGGACAGGTAGCTTCGGGCATAGGTGGATGAATCTTCCTCAGCCACGATAAGGCTCGGTTTGAAGGTGAATTTTAAGAATAACCTCATGAAGAGCTTCCTAAGATTTGGGGACTTCCCTTGACGTTATTTCAATCAGTTCCTCTATTTCTATGAGTTGTCGTACGGCGTCGCGACAGGCCTGGCAAAGTTACCAATTTGCCTGTTTCGCCTCCGCTTCACCGTTGAGCAGACACACATCGGCATCATCTACGGCGTTATCGGCGTAATTATTTTCTTCTCGGTCTTCCTGATCGTCTTCACTGTTCTCCAGTGTAAACCAGTGTCTGCATATTGGAACAACAATGCAACAGGCGACAATGTGGACACGGTCAAGGTTACCTATGCGCATTCGGCGATTGTAGCTGCAACAGACTGAACTCTCCGTGTCTTGCCCGTTTTCACCATCTGGGCGATGAATCTGGGATTTTGCACAAAGGTCTACATCGGGCTTGTCCTGGCCCTTGGTTCTTGGTAATTATAGCGAGTCTCCTTCTCTGACCATACCGGGTTATATATATCCATATAATATATTGTGCCAACTGACAGCTCCCCCCAGCGCCTGCATCGCAACATTACCTAGGTTTGCGTATATTGGATACCTCAAGGATCCCAGGGATATTTTCTTCCACACCGGGCTTGTTATCTGGTCACACATTGAGGTTGGAATATCTCTCATGGCTTCGTCAGTGGCGACGCTACGACCGCTTTTCGCCCATTTGAGAGGGATGTGTTGTACTGGCCATGGCCAGAGTGAGAAGTCAACCGGTGGAATCTGGATGAGCATGGGCTTCCTGTCGAAGAACGTATAGAACCGACGGAATCGCAGGAATTTGCTGGATTCCCAGTTTGAATTGTCGTCGTCTGATGGTCGTTTCTTATGCTCTTCCTGGAGATGATAATAATGCTTTTTCTCGTTATAAATATATCTACGATAGATGAAGTACGCTGCTTACTGGCATGCAATCAAGGCAGGGCATATAACATGGCCTGGGTATCGCCATTCTTCACTGTTCATTCACCTACACCACAGAATCCCCTGTTCCGGCCAGCCCAACTGCTGGATATTACAAATACACTGCGCAGGGTGGCATAATCACAAGACTCGGCAATGGCTCGGTTGCCTCTGATTATTCATAACAAGTCCTTGGCCAGGGATGCCCACGCGCATTGCATTATTTATCAGGTAAACTAAGTTGTTGGCGGTTGTTGCCTACCACAGTGGACCGACCGTATCGATTGCCACGCTAACGTGAGTGACTTGACTTGTGGCTTGTGAGCTTTGGAGCCTCTCATTTTTTGTCCTTTTGTTCCCGTCAAAGAAAAGGAGTCATGAATGAAGGCTCCTCTCGGCGCTGAATGCTGTCTGTGCCCTGGCCTGTGAGAGCAGTTCCAAGCGAGTTCTTTAGATTCACTTCATTCCTTCATCAGGTATCAGGCCCTCATATGCCCAGACATGATTAGCTGACGGAAGTCGCTCGTGAAAGGGGCCCCCCACTGCGTGGAGGAAGACGGGGGGTTATCCGTGATACAGGAGTTTGAAGGAGCAGTCAGTGCATTACAGGGCTGTACTGTACTGAGTCGTTAGCAACCTGTCCACAGGAGAATAAAAGGGGAATAATGAATGGGAAAAGAAGAATACAAATGCGTTAACTTGCCTAGAACGTCGAAAACTGTAAAAAAAAAGCCCAACTGAACGAAGACGAGAAGTGTGTCGGTCAGGCCGCCGTAGGGTTCGGTATGAGTCACATAGCACGAGGTTAACTATCTGTTCGCGTGAGGATTCCAGCGCAGCACGACAGCTCTCGGTGCAGGCTGCATTTTTCATTTGTTTTTCTTATTATTAGACATTAGTTCGATTGTAGATATTATAAAGATAAAGATAGACCTGATTTACGAGTGGTCGAGAAGGCTCGCATCCTGGAAATGGACATCCGGGCTGGCGCCTAGTACGACGAAGTAAAGGAGGTGGGCGGTTATTGGAGAGCCCGATGCTGATGTTCATAAGTATTCATATTCAGATTGTAGATTCAATATCGAATAGTTACTACAGAAGTTCTTTTGAGAGCAGCTCTCGATCATGATGATCTGCGTCTTCCAGGCACCGGTATGGCAATGCCGCCAATCAGACCCGAAGCGAATACTCGTGGCAAAGGTAGGGCAGTTGGGAGGAGAATTTGAATTAGTTGTAAGGCAGGAAGAAGAAAAGGAGCCAGATAAAATGATATTCCGTGTAGAAGTGGCAGTATTGATGCCCAGCAGTCCAACGATGAGGCGGATGCAGATGCAGTAGGCAGCTGGAATGAGTAGAGTAATACAGCGACACTCTGTAGGACAGGAACAGTTCCACTGAGGTTACTTGAATAAGTGAATAATTAACTATCACCGTGCTTGTACAGGGTAAATATTCTGTACAGTGCATAGAGAAATAGAAGAGTCCTGACTGGCTGTGCAGGCCGTCAGCCAGTTGGCACAACCTGTTATACTCGCGATTCGGCGCTGCACAAAGACTTCATCTCACCATCTTCATCTTCATCCCATCCCATCTCCATCTCCTCTCCCCCTCTCTCTCATCCCTTCTCATCATGTTCTCGACCTCCTGCAGAGTCATCTGCTAAGGACAGCATCATCCAGCATAATCGTGGCCAGCGTCATCATCATCCTCTCCTCGCTGAAAGCCTTTCCCACTTCCGGCGGCCCTCCTTTGCCTCCCGACACGACACTCCTTCCCGCCACTCTCGCCACAGCAGCAGAATCGACTGCTCCAGTGAGTAATAATAATCATCTCTTCTGCCATCTGCTTTCTGCTTCTCCAGCCCTCTGTCCCCTCCTCCCCTCTCCTCCCGATCCACTGGTTCTGGGCTGCCGTGACTGGATCGCCTCTGCTTCTTAGTCAGTGACTGCCTGTTCTGCTCCGCCCGCCTCGAAGTCAGCAGGCAGCCTCCCGTCTCTGGTTCCGCCTGCTGGAGGAGTCATACCAAGCCCCATCGCCCTGTATATAATTCTTCCCTTACTTCTTCCGCTCTCCTGGTCCCTGGTCCGCGTCGCTGACTTGCCTGCTTCTCTTGCCGCAGTTTCTTCTGCCTCAGGCTTTCTTCTCCCTAGCCACCACCACCACCGACCGTTACTCTCCGAACTTGCCGTGACCAGCTTACCCAAGCCAGTCCCGTCCTTGGTACTGACTCTTGCTTGTCGGCTGGTTCGGCCCTTCTGTTTATTTTACTCCCAAATCCTCCCGGTTCAAAATGTACCTTGTTGATTGTACCTCTTCCGTTCCGATCACCATTGCTCGATCCTCAGCGCCAGATCTCCGATCCTCCACCTTTGTCATGCATGCTTAAGATCAAGTCCGTGGTGTATCCTCTGCAAGAGTCACGTCGGTTTTCCCCTACGTTGCCTCTTCAACCACCTACTTGTTCGCCCGTGATTTCGGTTGGATCTACATTGGATTCGGCAAGTCGGTGATCGGAATCGTGAGGGTTTGATCTTTTCTTTCTTTTCCTTCTCTTTTCCCCTTTTCCTCGGTTCTTTTCGTCTCGTGTCTCGATAACCTATTCTTCTGTCCGTCTTTTACATTACGCAAGTCTACTACTACCTCCAAACCTTACCCTAAAACCCTACGACTTCCTGGAGTTCATCGCCGCTGTTGCGCTGAACCCCTAATCCTCCTTCCTTCCTCCTTCCTTCCAGCCCTCCTCACGACGCTGGAAGTCTCCTATCTCTAAGGGCTCTGCCGTGGCCTGCGACCCAAAGACGGCCTCTGTATCATCGGCTACTCGTTTACGGTTTTTGCATAACGGTCTATTGGCAATCTCCCGGTTTTTCAAATCGACCATTCCTGGAATCTTATATTCGGTCCTTTGAGTTAGGGCGTCTGGCGCAAAGGTTATTCTTCTAATATTGTGTGGCCATCTCGAGATACCCCGGTTTCTGAGAGTATTTCGTGTCACGTAATTACAACGAACCTCCGGATAATGACGGGAATGGACGTCCTGGGTTTGAACCTTTCAAACCCAAGCATTCCGCCGCAGAAGGTGTCTCACGCGCACCCATATGCTTCTTCAATTTCCTCTTCTGCCTCCTCTTCTTCCTCGTCCATCTTTTCGCTCGACGGTGTCTCATCCCAGAGCGCCATCTCGTCGACATCGACGAATCCGATCGATGTGATTTGGGAGAGCGAGAGCGCACCTCAGACTGGTGGCCGAGGCTTGTCTCATTCAAGTGAATCAAGTTCCCGTTGCCTTCGGCCTCTTGTAAATGGGCTTGCCCCGAAAGTCACTGACGCTCCAGTTCCACCGGAGTTGCGCAAGCATCCTCGGAGAACCACCAATTATGTCGTCCAGTCGAACGGCGTTCCATGCGTCCGCCCTCCACCCTGTCTGGTGCGCCAGTCCGAGCGGAAGGTGAATTTCGTCGATAGCCTCGTCGGTAAGTCGTGATAAGATAACGGCCATTTACATACGTTCCCAAGCTAAGTCGTTGCCCTTTTGGGCACGAAGATTCCGCGTCGCAGATCGTCGAGATTATCTGGCCCCTGTCGGCAGTATTCCACCGTGCCGACTCTACTGCAGGAAGCAAAGGTGTTTTGCCTCTTCGTACCTTCATCCAAGAGACGCTGCGTCGGTCACGCACCAGCTACAGCACGTTGCAGGTGGCGTTGTACTACCTGATCAAGATCAAGCCACATGTGCGAAAATTCGACTCGAACGAGCAACCTCGGGAGAGATCACTGTCGCGTGCTATGCAGTGCGGGCGTCGTATGTTTCTCGCAGCTCTCATCTTGGCATCTAAATATCTCCAGGACCGGAACTACTCGGCGCGTGCTTGGAGTAAGATCTCTGGCCTTAACACGACGGAGATCAACCAGAATGAGCTGCTATTTCTCGACGCTGTGCAGTGGAAATTGCACATCCCCGAGGCTACTTACCATCGATGGACTAGCATCGTACTGAAGTTGACTCAGGGCGCTGGAGGACCACCTCGGCCTGACGGTCTGTGCTGGCGGACGGCTATCCCCAAGCTGACTCCTGAACTGGATACCATCGACGTGGAACCTGCGAATCCGTTCATGCCGTCCTTCGGCGGCTTTGATTTTGAGTCGCTGCCTCCGCGTAGTCCGCCTACTGGTGACCCGTCTAACCCATCTTCCTCTGCCAGTGGGCAGGCCCCGTCGTACCCGCGGAACATCCCTGTCACGCTCGAACCGACTCCCCGGATGGACTATCCGACTTCTTCGTTCCCGTCTGTTCCGCGACCTCCAATGCTACCTACTCCGCAGTTGACGAACCAGTCGAGCCTCGCTTCCACCCCCGCAGCGGGTGTTGGCGCTTACGTTCTTCGAAGGACTTCCATCGGTGCTGCTATGACCCAGGCACAGAACATCTGCATGGCGCGGTCGACGCTCGATCAGCGCCCTCCTACTACGTTCTGTGCCAAGGCAAACAGCTTCGATGGCTTTCCGACGTTGATCCGCCGGTCTTCGCTGGCTCGCTCGAACTCATCCATGTCATCCCCGGAGTCGATGGTCTCGGATGTCTCGACGGTGTCGTCTCGCTCGTCGCGCTCTTCATCAATATCATCCAGCGCATCTGGCCCTTGCCCCCCCGTCCAAGCTCGTTTGGCTGTCCAAGCGACTCGCCGATGCGCGAATTCGCTCAAGGACTGCCGGAAGAATGTGGCTGTTGTTTCGCCTGCTGGGGGAACGACGGTTGCGACCGACGTATACGAATCCCCCGAGTCTTGTAAAGGTGTCGTCCCCCAGATGCCTGACTTTTCTGGCTTCTCTCTGGGAACTCCCGTCGATCTGAGTGCTTCCACCCAGGAAGCTGCCCGGAGCTTATGTGAGCTCTCCGGTGCTGTTTCTGTCACTCCCCAGAACCCGGAACCTACGAGTTACCAAGCTTCGCGTCGGAAGCGTGGCCGGACTGGGTCTGAAGACTTGTCTCTGCAACTTGATATCCGCCGTATGATCAATTCCCATGCGACTAAAGGCGCCTCTATTCTTCCTGATGGGAATTTGGCAGATTCGCTCCTACTTGGTGAACAGAAGCTTCACTGTGTTCGGGGAGCTCCTCGGCTGGGCACGTATCCTCGGATCGCATTGTCTGGTCCTGTGGGTACGAAACGTGCTTGCTGTGGCAGCGAAACAAGACAGGTGGCGCTCAATCCGAACTTTCGGGTTGAATTCGCTGAATAAATAGTCGCTTACGTTACAGGATTTCCTCTTTCGTTTATCCTTTTCCTGTGTTTAACTTCCTAGGGCAACAAAAAGCTAGCTCCTAGTGCTTACGGGTGGACCTCGCATTGAGGGAGGCTCTTGTATTTCCTTTCTTTCTCAGTTCCCTACGTGAGGTGAAGTGATGGAAATGACAAGAGGACCCTGCGAAAGCGGGAACAATTCTTTCTTAAACCTTTTATTGCCGTTCTTCTCCAGATATGCTGTTTTGTTCTGTACATATACCCAACGGCTGTCTGGGGCTTAGGCGGAAACAGAGGTCCTGGTATTCTCTGGGATCTTTCTTTTTTCAACAATGGTTTCTTTTCACTTACAGCAGCATGCCCACAGATGTACTGATATATGCGAAGGCGCAACTGTTACCTCGTTGATCCTGTTCTCGTTGATTGTATCATTCTCTTTTTCTGCTTGACTTGGTTATAAGTTGCGCATGGAGTGCGGTGGTTTTGGTCTGATTTACTTCATCTGTTCACTTCCTTCGCTATGGTGCATCTCTGGAAGGGAGCTGATGGCAGACATGCATATACATGGGGACCATGTGGCGTATAATAATCTCGAGGGTTTCTTTTTTTCTTACTTCGGTTTCCGACAAGTCGAGCCAGCGGTCTTTTCCTCCTGCGCTGGTGAGATTGGCGTCAAACGTGGGCATGTTGTACATAGTGAAGGATCGGGTAGGATGGACATGGAACTTTTTTGAGTTTCTAATTTTCTTCTTATTCTGAATACGTTGACTCGAGTCACCTAGTTATGTTGCTAAAAGGTTTTGCTGGTTAATAGTTAACGGTAATAACTAATGATCGTGTACTATTAATAATTCGGCAAAGCTGCTTCAAGATAGTTTCTGCCTCAGGCATGAAAAATATCTCTTCGGGTCCGACCGGAGAAACCCGGAGGAGACCGGAGATGGGCGGCCCGTGGCAACATGGCATGCTTCACCGCAAAATCACGGGATCCTGCTCCCAGAACTGCGGCGGGATGCTGTAGCCCTGAGTATGGTATGAGATTAAGAGTAGGAGGGGCTGCACTAGTCCACTTCCGGCCTAGCGGCCGTGCTGATTCGATTAGATTAGATGGTGACGATTGCCTCGTGATAACTGACGCTTTGTTGCTGCTGATGGCAGTTACTTCCCTCTCCGGATGCACCCGCCGGCAGTCAGTTGACAGTGATGCTTGACGAGGGGTACTAGTGGGGTTCTTCTGCTGCTCCCCTTTTCGCCTGTTCTTGTCGTCTTCCTCTTCTTATCTCTCCTGTGGTTTCTGGAAGAGCCGTGGTATCGTCTCGACTGTTCATAGCTCTCTCTCTCTCTCTCTTTCTCTCTCTGTCTCTTTCTCTCTCTCTTGTCTCAACGCAAATGGGACGCAGTTTAACCATCTATTCGTCTCCCTTCTTGGGGAAACTCCTCTTCCTTTTCGTCCTTTTCGGCCAGTTTGTCTTGCGGGTACAGGCTTCTCCAGTGGCTCCTGCTAGGGGAGTCAGTAGCGGATATTCTAGCGGCAATGGCGATGGTTCATCTGATCAGATCACTCTGGATAACATCCTGGGGCCCGACATCGAAGATGAGTCTAAACCGAAAACCGAATACATACCCATCATCGACGGCTCCCTTGGCAGCGAAGAGACAACGACCGGTCTTCCCTCCTGGCTCACTTCGACCCTCCTAGCCCGTCGTCTTCTCGCTCTCTCTACCACTGGCGTGGTGTCGACTACCTTCCCCGATCCTTTGCCTTCAACTCGCCCGTATTCACGGACTCCTCCTGAGGTTGCAGGCCACTCGTTCAATCAGAAGGAATACTTCGCCGATTGTGACGAGTATCTCTTCCCCAATGGCAGCGACGCCGATTATGCAGATAGGGGTAACCCCATCTTCCTTAGCCTTTACATTGCGACTACCTTCCGCAACATTGCTGCAGGCTCGAAAAATGTCTCCCTCTCCATTGACTGGTGGGATCATCTAGAAGACACGGAACCGTTGTACCCAGGTTTCCCTCTCAGCCCGGCGGGGCTTCCTCGCGTCACATTATTAGGGTACGTGGAGCCGTTGGAGAGAGCTGAGGAACATGGTCTCTCAGAAGAAACAGAAAGGGCGCTGGAAAGGTGTTACATAGAACGCCATCCTGATGCGGCGGTGTGGTTACCTGGTCGAGAGGGCTCGCCGCATGCGAGCTTCTGGGCCAAGTTGATTGTGAAGGAGGCTTATTGGATCGGGGGATTTGGCGATATTGCGAGGATTGGGTGGCTTGATATCTCGGAGTGGAAGAAGCTGACTAGAAAGACCGGTGGAGAGGATGGACGGGGTTGGGGGGACGTGAGATTGCCCGGCGAGAAGTAGTCGTTTTTTCCTTTCTACAGTCTGTCTATATCATGGCATGGCGTGGCATAGCATAGCAATATTGAATCCGGGGTCTTTCGCTTAAGTGGCAGCTGCAATGGAAGCATCATGTTACGTATGACTGCCAAGGATCTTATCACCCTTGTTCCCTAGCACATACCAGTTGTCAACGAGCAAAGCTTGAAGATCCAGCAGGCCTCAGCTTATCACATCCTGGTTACTTATCTGACTTATCTTGTCTGTTTGACAAGCAAAGATAGCGATACGATGTGACTGATGATTGTCTGCCGTTTGCTGATAATGCTGATAGTATGGGGTAGAGTTGCATGGATGTCTTCTCCTGAGGCCGATACTGCGACGACTAATAAATACTAATAATGATAGTAGATGATAATAAGCTTGATTGAGTACTCTTATTAGTCTCATTCTATTTCATTTCGGTCCGTTCCTATTTTGTTCCTGTTTTCTGCAGTGGTCGTTGGTTCAGGAATCGCTCTCCTATCACCAGCACTACTACTATGTGAGATAGTCCTGGGCTCCAGGACAAGTGTCTATCTTCTTGAAGAAGCCTCAATTCAATACGGGCTTAGCCAGTCGACCATGAAACTGCCCGCGATGAAGCTACCGTCTCTGCGCGTGTCGCAGCCCAAATCCGCCTTCGCTGAAGGGAATCCGCGGTGGACGAATCTCGATCTCGATCCGATTCCGCCTCATCAGCGTAAATGGGGACCGATTAGTTTCATTTGTATGTCTGATGGACCGTTTCTCTATGTATGGAAGAGGGGGTTAACGTATATGCTAACATTAAACCAGCGTACTGGATCTCGGACGCGTTCAACATGGCAACATGGCAGTTCGCGAGTAGCATTATCGCCGTCGGGTTCTCATACCGTGAGTCCCTGGGTATCGTGGCGTTGTCATTCTTCATCATCTCGTGGGTAATTTCAGGGAACGGTGCCGTGGGTGCCATATACCATGTTCCATTCCCTGTGATAGCGCGGGTTTCATGGGGATTCTGGGGCTCGTACATCCCAATTCTATCGCGGGTTATCCTGGCCGTGTTCTGGTTCGCAATCCAGAATGTCAACGGCGGCAATGCGGTGCGTGTCATGATAGGAGCCATCTGGCCGAGTTTTCTGCGCTTGCACAACGACATCCCCGAGTCTCAGGGCATCACGACGAACGGGATGGTAGCGTACTTCCTGTTCTGGCTGATTCAGTTCCCCTTTCTCTGCATGAGTCCTAACCAGCTCCGGTGGCTGTTCATGGCCAAGTCGATCCTCGTGCCGATTGCGTGGATCGCAGTGCTCATATGGGCCTTCGTCGCGGAGTCTGGTGGCGGGAAGATCTTCGATCAGCATTCCAGCGTCACGGGCAGTGCGTATAGCTGGCTGTGGTTGGCGAATATGACCTCCGTCCTGGGCAATTATGCGACCCTCTCCATCAACCAGTCTGATTTCTCACGGTACTCGCGCGTCTCCGTGCGGTGGCAGCTGCTGTACGTGCCTATGTTGCCGGCCGTGTTCACTTTCGTGGCCTTCATCGGTATCGCGGCTTCATCGGCGGGAGCAGCCCGTTACAGCGGCGAGATACCATGGGACCCGACGGTCCTGATCAGCCACTGGTCCAGTCGAGCGTGTCGGTTCTTCGTGGCGAGCTCGTTCGCGCTGGCATCGCTGGGCGTCAATATCTCAGCAAACTCCATCTCAGCCGCCAACGACCTCACCGCGCTGGGACCGCAGTATATCAACATCCGGCGAGGCCAGCTCCTCTGCGCATTCCTCTCGTGGTGTCTTGTTCCGTGGAAGATCCTCGAGTCGGCAGGGAGCTTCCTGAACTTCATGTCGGCGTACGCCATCTTCCTGGGCCCCATCGCAGCTATCATGCTCTGGGACTACTGGGTCATCAACCGTCGCAAATATGACACGCTCGCCATGTACCAGCCGCACAATATATACTGGTACACGTACGGGGTGAACTGGCGCGCCGTCGTGGCGTTCCTGGTCGGCGTAGTGCCGAACCTGCCCGGTTTCATTAACACGGTGAACTCGCACATCCACGTCGGTGTCGGTATGCACCCGTTCCAGTTCGGCTGGATGCTGGGCTTTGTGGGGACGAGTCTCGTCTACGTAGGCTTATCGTTGATTTGGCCCGCCATGGAGACGAAGCTGGAGAGAGCCGTCTTGCCGGATGAGATATACGGGATGCGGGATGCGGTGGTTGAGGGCGTCGAAGCCCGTGCCGATTCTGACGAAGCTGAGGGTGCGGGTGAGAAGTTCAGTCATTCTAGAGAAATGGTCGTTGAGAAGGACGGACGGACTGCTTTATCGAGGTTTGTCAAGGGGATTGATCGATTTGTGTAGTTGTACTCTGTACTTTGCCTTTTTGTACAATCTGTGTTTGCTCATTGAGTCTGAGCTGTCTAGCATTAACGATGTCGACGAATTCAATTCACCCACCTTATTTCCAGGAATAAGAATAACTCGCTGTATCTATCTCACCAGACACCACGCACTCTGATACGTATTATTCACTGCACTCAACAAGCCACAGACATGCGCGACAACCGACCCTGCCACGAAAACATGCCAGATAGTATGTGAATGCATCCAGATATCGAACCTGCCTGGAAAAAGGCGTTCAGGAATTCGTCTCTGCGTATATTAGCAGGGTATAAAAGCTTTCAGGAAGAAAAAGAAAAACCCCTACCTCCCAAAAATAACACCCAATAAACAACAAAACCCCCTCGAGGAAATAATACGGCACACCCATCTTCTCCAACCTGTTTGATCCCCATGCGAGCCAGACATGGCCGATGGGAGCGATGGCCGAAAGACCCGTCCCGATGAAGGCCGCCAGACGCAGTGAGCGGAACTGGGGGCCTCTGAATTTGGGGCTTAAGAGGGTAATAGCCGTGAGGAGGCTCAATGTGAGTATCTATCGTTCGTTAATTCTGGATATTTTGTAGGGTGCAGGATCCTGTGGGATATTGTTTGAAGGAAACGAATACTTACAAGACCCCAATAGAAATACTTTAAGGCAGGCTCACAATAAAACCCAAAATGCAAGCCACTGATAAAATTCCCCAGGATGAGCGTCAGAATGCCAACATAGTCGAATTGCAACCACCGATGCGCCGCGTGCTCGGAATGGTTCGAGAGCGTGTGATAGAACGCCGAGACGAGCAAACAGGTCGACGCTGTGAACAGCTGCAGCGAGAGAATACCCCAGTCGAGTCCGGTGAGCTGGATACTGGTACTGGTACCGATAGCATTTCCATTTAGGGTTTGGGTTCGGTTCCAGTTCCAGTTCCAGTTCTCGACGATATATCGGTACAGTGTGCCCTGGGCAAGGAGGAACAGCACGCCCGGAACGAGGTGGGTGTAGATATTGCACGATTCATTGTGCAGATACGTCCAGCTTTTCAGGGAGGTCCAGAAAGACTGACTTACAGGCCGGTATCCTGTTAGGATGTACGGGTTTGAGTCGTACCAGGGGGGCAGTTCTGAGGGGGTGAGAAGTCTGCGCTGTTGTCTGCGTGATTTTTCTTTTTCTTCTTTTTTCACGTCTGAATATAATGGTTGATAGTGAGGTTTGCCGTCTTTTTTGGCGCGGATGAGACGGATGCGAAGGAATGCGTTTAGCACCATTTTCTATGTTTATTTGGGGGGGGGTCTTTCTTTCTTTTCTTTTTCTATAAATGCTTGAAAAGATAGAAAAAGAAGCGGAGACTGCATCGGCATATAAATAAGATTATTGCTATATAGGTCAAATGGCATCGGGTTATTCGGGAAAAAACAACGCTCTCTCATATAACCTTTGCCATTCACGGCAATTCATTCGTGGATCCTTCCTTCGCGATCCACTTTGCGGTTGGTTTACGCTGCGTCGTGTACAGAATGGTCATTTGGTCCTTTTTTATACCTAGGTGTTCACGTAGGTATTATTCTACCCTAATGTAGAACCCTGAACACAACAAGATGTTTAGGTGCTACTTTTCGAGTCTGCATGTATGCTTCAGATTCTCCAGCTAGATGTTTGACTGTAATCGTCGACTGATTATATCGATTGCTTTTATGTATTTTGGAACATGCATGTCCGTAGGAAAAATCAACGGCCTGATGGTCCGTTGGGAATTGCCGTTTTGGGCAGTCCGACATCTGAATGGCCTCAGGCATGAATCACGTGTGATAAACAAATCACGTGATCCTGTCTACCAGGAAAAAAGCCTTCTTGGGAGAACATTCGGACCACCCCAGCGCTGGTAGATGCCATTGTCTGCATCACGATGGGTTCGAGTCAGAAAAAGAAGAAGGATAAGCAAAAGGATTTTCAGGTAAGCCGCACAACCCGTCTGCGTTGTACCGTATGCTAAATTGATCGAACGTAGAAACCAAAGCTCAAAGTCGGCAAGGCAAAACCAAAGCCGGCCAATTTTACGGACACCAGTTTTCAGTCAAAGGGTAATTGATTGAGTCAATCAGACATTTATTGTTTTTCGCTTTCTTTCTAACTGGGCCTGCATAGCTATTGTTTTAAACCAGCAGTCTCTACATACAACTGCTCCATCAGCCAATGCCCAGTTCTCTCACCATGTATCGCTTTTGTCGTCCAAGTCAGATACTCAGCGTCGCGAGTCCCTCGCTCATCTGACGACGTCTATTGTATCCCGGCCTGTGGACACTCCTCTTCCGCAGCCGGTGAGCGTCATTCTACCCAGCGTGCTGCCGTTGATCCTGGACGCAAGTAACGGCGTTCGGGCTCAGTTGCTGAAGCTGCTCCGGGCTCTTCCATCCTCGGACATAGAGGATCATGTTCCGCAGCTACTGCCTTACGTCCGAGCGGGAATGACGCATCTTGCTGCAGATATCCGTGTTTCTGCTGTCGACATGCTCTCTTGGCTTATCGATGCTGCAGGAGCCGAAGTGGTCTCTTGCGCCGGCGGATGGATCAAGACGATGAACTGCTTCATGTCAGTTCTCGGGTGGCATACAGAGGAGTCGTCTAAGTGGTCATCCAACCGTGCTTCTTTTGGGAAATCCGGTAGCCAGGGAAAGCCGATGATCAAAGTGCTGCAGACGCTAGCTGAGTTTTTAGAAGCGGGGATCGGCAACCCCATAATGGACAACACCCTGACAGACTCTGACGGGGAAAGGGTAGTTATCGGTTGGGGGTTTCCATTGTGTCATACTGCGCAACATATGATTCCCACGGCTACCGTGCCCTACGCCTATCTGAATCTGTTCGGCCAGCCCCGAGATGAGGAAGGGGAGATGTACGAGACGCGCGAAGATCGATTCCGGGTGTTCTCGACCCGGTTCATGAAAGCAGTCGAACGGGGACTGGAGAATGCTCGCAAGGAAGGAGGCGAGGTCGGAAGGGCTTCTGCTGGTGTGAGCAAGGTGTTGAGGGAAGCCGTTTCTTATGGACCAGGTCCGTGAAAGACGCGTAAAGAGGTTATGCTTGTTTTGAACTCCACCCGTGTTGGACTGCAGCAAGTCGTCTACAAGACCGAAAGCGAGCCCGGCTTTATTACAGATTGCCTCTTGGGAGGGTTTATCCGGTTTATCCCAGCGAGAGGGTACCACAAGTGAACAGTCTCCAAGGCTGATGTCCTGCAATGCTAGGATGCAAGGTGCATGCGGACACAGAGAAGGCGATGCTCTATCCAGCGCACTAGATGGGACAGTCAGGGTCATGTCAGGTTGCGTCTAGTAAGAGGACTGTACCAGGACTCAAATAACGATTATTGACGAACCGATTAAATTCTGACATTAAGACGTCTAGCATAATTGGATGTCCTTTCTATCTCTACAATATCTAACCATCAAACAATCCTATCTGGTTATACTGGACTCCTTTATCAACCCTCCCATCCAAGCGAGAATGCTAAGTAGCACCTATCCATATTCATAGTCAGCTGCAATTACCATCCACACAGTACGGGCAAAAAGGCAGAAAAGACAAACCTCTGGACCCCCCACCCAAAGCCTTGGCCACAGTCTCCTGTGCCCGCTGCAACATACTCTTCCCACTGTACTCCTCCCTCTCCTGCTCCTGTCTGCGAAGCTTATCCTGATCTCCGACTCCACCGTGCGGGACGGGGATCCAATCTCGCGACGCCTGCGTGTTACTGGGTGTATCCGAGAGGCGGCGGGTGGTTGCTTTGGTGTCTCCTGGAATATTTCGTCAGAGTTCACGAAGCCTCAATTTTCAAAGTGGCATATGGATTATGCAATTACATACCCGGCTGCAAGGATTGGTGTATGCTCTCCGTCAAGCTGCTGGCTGTTTCGGCGGATCGGTCTGGTACTTGGTTTGTGGGGTTGATGGGATCGGATGATTCTTTATTTATATATAATAATATTAGTTGAACCTTTTATTTCTTGTATTTATGGTTGTTCGTGCTAACATCCATCCACGATGGATACGTACCCTCTGGGGAATACCCGCGTTCACCTTTCTAGGTCCATATTAGTAGATGGACTAACGCGCACCAATTTCAAAGAATAATATTATATGGAGAGATTAAGAACTGTAGCAAGAATCTCATACCGAAAGACCAGCCATGGTTCGTTAACCGATGCAAGAATAGTCCGTCCGCTGAAAGTTTAATTTAGCTTCAATTGACCTGCACACTGTACGGAGTATAGGGCGTATAACCAACAGCTCCTGATTTACAATGACAGGAGCATAAATTCTAGCTGAGATCAAAAAGATAGAAGATTAAATAGAAGATTAGGTGCTATTGATGGTACCGTATGGAGTAAGGGTTACGTTGCCAACCACGACACCGGAATATAGATGCGAAGATGACCTGGTCCATGGTTTGGTTACTAGCCAACGAAGCTGGAGAAGCTGAAATAGGGTATAATTTAACTATGTCCAAATCTCCAAATCACCCATTAAGGTTGTCATGTATCACAGTGGAGAAATGCAGATTCATCTCCAGACCCGGCATTCTGTATCACTTGGATCTTGCATGAGAAACAAACCTTACAGAAACCCTGCAGATTCAGAACGATTACATCGGTCCAGACTCCAGAGTCCAGACCTTGCAGGGCTGCGTGACAAGCTTCGTGTTCAGGCTATCTCCGTCTGCGAGGGCCATCTGGCTCAATGCAACCATATGCAGATAGAAGATGATTGTCTGCAAGTACGAGCATGCATGGCACATGCGCCGTTTTTGCGGAGTCGATTAGCTGTGGCCAGTCACGGCGTTTGGATATGAATATCCATTTATCTTATGTGCAGGTCGATACAGTGCGCTATGACTTGTGCTGATAAGACGGGTAATCCTCGAATGGAAGATCAATCAATCCATGCCAGGATTTGCCCTGTGCGCTTAGATAGCACTCTGCAACCCGGGACGGCGTATCTGCGTGAGGTTGTGCGTGGTTTTTATCTACTGGGGTTTCGTATATGCGGTGATAGCGGTATAATGGTCCTATTTCGGAATGGTTAGCACCAATGTGTATGCTTTGTAAGACCAATTTGTTGTTTGTTCTAACCAAGAAAAGATAATAAATAGATAGCAATAAACATGGCCGAGTTTCTAACAAACTAGATATATGTTGGTGGGCAGTGCTAGCCAGCCATGGCAGATCAATTACGGAGTATATGACTGTTTTCATTATGATGACGTGAAGTTGTTAAGCCTCCATTAATAACACATCCAAGTCATAGTTATATATCTGTTCCCTTAAAACAACTTATACGTCGAGTCTACTATGCTACTGCAAATGTGTCCTTGGAAGGCCTTCCGCCGTCCACAAACCAACATGCGCACAAGGGATTGTAGAAATTGTGGTCTCTGGTCACCCAGGAGCAAGCGTGCTTCCACGCAAAACTGGAACGAGCAGCCAATATATGTTATTCACTAATGTTGATAATCAAGCGTCCACCCGAAACTTCGACATTTCTGTGCACAAGTCAAGTTGGCGCCTCTTTGATTCCTACCACCCATTCGCCAGCTACTTCTTATCAGGAGAGTCACCAAGGATCAGGAGAGAGCACATATGGCTCTTGCCAACCTGATGATCGTCTAGCTATCTATAATGAATGGCGCTAATCTGTCTTTAGATTGGACTGAGATCTGCCGTCATTGAAACGGCTTCGCGCATAAAGAAAGCTGATCAGGAGTCTGCTCCCCAAGACCTTCCCTCCCGGTAGAGCAGATAAGTGGTCAACCTTGGTGATGGAAACTGGATATTCCGAATCAAAGTCGAAGCTTGAAGCAGACGCGAAGTGGAGCCCAATGGCGACGTTAAAACGGCCCTGATGACCAATATGCACCGGAGGAAACCAGAAATAGTTATCCAGAAGTGGGTGCCCATTAACACTGGACAAACCAATTTTGCCAACTCCCCAATAGCAAGTGGTTGTTTCAACGCTAGTTGGTAAGCAGGAGACCTCTGTCAGCAATGGGCCCCTGGTTCTTTCCTTTCAAGACCTATTCCTTCGGAGCCTAGCTGGCACGAAGGCGACATCTTGTTCACGGACGATGATCTGAGAGGTGGCTGGGAAGGTCTGGGAGAAGCAAGAATTTGATCAAGATTGGCGAGAGAGTGAAGCTGTAGGCATAGCCTCCCAGGGTGGAAAAGCCACTTCTAAACCAAAGACGACCAGACATGTGGCGTAGTCGGTCTGGGATTAATGTATGTAACAGAATGCTTCCGCTTATCACTGAGCAGTCTTCCAGGAGAAGAAGTTCCAGGATCAGGATGCCTAGTTGAGAAGGCTATGAACTGATCGGACCTAGATAGGGTTACATCTTAACTATAGATAAGAATTGAGTATGTTGAGCAAAGTATGAGCGCAAGTAACCAGGGTAATCAAGACAGGGAAGAGGCAAAGAAACCCCTTAGTCAAGACTTGAGCGTATTGCCATATATAGTAGTACGTACACCGTAGTATGGACTCCGGAAGTACGAAGGCATGCAAATGCTCTAGCACCGAAACCAGTTATCTACCGTGAATTCCGGGCCAAAAAACCCCCTTGAGAATTCCCAATGTACGTCCGCAGCGTAGATAACGGCGAATATAGCGGTGGAAAGCGTATCTTTCCGGGAGGCGATTTGCAACTGTGGCCATGACGTGTCGGTTTGAACAGCGGTCATTGCCTTATCTCGAGACTCGGCATATCATAATGGAATAAATTGAGAACTCTGGGGCTGCAGACCCGCGGATCATTTGAGTAAGAGTTTCATTCGAGCGAAAATTTTTCTGATAAAGGAAAGTCAATTATGTCTGTGTGTGTGCAGGAATCACGTCTTCAGATCTTATCATGGGGTGCGAAGTACCCGGGTTGTATATATATATAAACCGCAGGGTGCTCAAGGTCTCGTTCGTCTTTTTCTGATGAGATCTCTCGCCTGGGAATGTCTTCTCCACAGCGCTTGAATCCCAACTCGCCTCGTCTCCCTAGATCGTGTCTTGTTTTTTCGGCCATGGCTCCAGTCACCTGACTACCTCGGAATATCATTCATGCCCTCCGGTCCTACATTGAATTGTATAAGCAGGTGGTTATATCACGTGATAAACATGAACACGTGAAAATTTTGAGGAGATGTCTCTCAGGAGTCAACACTTTCGCTGGTGCGTTGACCTCGAGTTTGATCAGCTTTTGCCTTTGCCTCTCTATCATCCTTGTTTCTTTTTCTTTTCTTTTTTCTTTTTTTGTTTTTGCCTTCAGGCCTATTGCCACCGCCCCAGGCATGCGGAACCGGGCGCTCACATAATTTTCCCGTAACCGCAGCAGCCGCACGAAATGGACGAGCTAGCGTGGGGGATTTGCCTCCCTTTCCGGCATCGCATCCTGGGCTCCGGACGGTGAGGGTTTGGTACTCTGATGGCTGCAGCATCAAAGTTCTGGCTTTTTAGCGGGTAGTGCGGATACACTATTGTGCTTCAATTCCCCACTCATCTGCCGTCTCGCGAGATCTACGCCCGCCTCTGGACGTTGACTATCACATCCATGTCGATTGGCTTCATGATCACCGGAAAACTCGCCTGTGAGAAATTCAAGGTGCTTAATTGCCCTTGCATCTCCAAAAGCCCTTGTCGGCAATCGCGCCTTACCCATAAATTCCGTCTTCTTGGGTTCGGAGAGGTTCCGTCCTTGCGGCCGTCCTTCCACGCGCTGCAGAAACCGTCAGTCAGGGCTACACTGCTGGATATTTCCTGGGCGGGAAATCATTCATGTGTCTACTCCAGATGGAGTATGGAAAGTATCTGAGTATAGCCACAGCAACGGCCATCGGGCACGCGACATGCTTTTGCTTGATATTTACCATCTCCACAGCAGCTGAATAGTGTACCTCCAGGAACGGGGACCTGGCTTGGACCAAGGGTCCATCGAACGAGCTCATCCAATGGGACCAGCTGAAATGGTAATGGAGGGGTCTTCGCAGTGACAAACTTTATTCCGGTCGCCACGGAAGCATCAGATACATCATTTACCGACGAAATCGGCGCGTCGCGACATCGGACATACTGGATGGACTGACATTTCCGGCCTACCGTTCTCTTGGTGTCGATCCGGTGCATTGTGTGGTGGAGTGCTCAGGGGGTAATTGGCGAGGCTAACGGCTATGTATACGAGGCACGAATTGCAGGTCTCCGATCGTCGTCTGCTTATCGCGAACCTTGACAATCAAGGACCATGCATACGATATGGACCACCTATGCGGGCCTGATGCTAAACCGGAGGGTTGCTTCGGACACTCGAAAAGGTCGACCGGCCGTTTTAAGCTTGACGCAGATGGATCCGCGTACCATGGTTACAAATAATACAGCGACCAGAGACGCCGTATGGTAAGATCGGTCGTATTCGGGTAAATTAGGAATCGTAGGCTGTCGGCCGGAAGACCAAGGGAGAAAGTATACGCGGACAGCAGCAGGAAGGGGCTATTGTTATTCTGATTATGATGGTCCGAAGGACAGCTTGTCTCAGAGATTGATTAGAGTTGGGCTTAGCCCAACCCAAACCGGGAGACTGGTTGTTCCAGACGACTGAGATTATAGTGAATTCGCTGCCTAGAGTCACTTAGCTGCGCCTAACCGGGTCCACTGCATTACGACCTGTGTTGGCAGTGGCTTCAACAGCAGAAGATCGCCGTCTGAAGAAGGATTCGCCGTCGCGCGCTGGGAGGTTGACGGATGCCATTTGGCGAGGCGACAGAGACGAGAAACAGCGCTCCAAAAAATGCTTGATTGGACGAAGCAGAAGCCTGGTTGTGCATAAAGCACAGGCCACATGCCGACCCATGCAAGCGATGCAGCTGGAGGACTTTTGACTTTGGACGATGGATTTTCGAGAACGAATCCAGAAGCTGGAATAGCTGCCTCTCGACTCATGAATCATGACTGCGGCGGACAAGTCAGGGGGATCATGACCAAGACATGTCTTGGTGCGGATTGAACATGAGTGAGTGTATGGTCTGTAGATGTGCAGATAATCTGGATAACTGTAAGTGACAGTGAAAACTCAACAGAGAGTACTCTGTAATGGATATAGACTGTAGGACATCCTGCGTGGCAATTAAGTCATATATGCACGCACCAGATCCACCAGACGGGCGAAATGACCGAGGGCCAGTTCCGTTTTGGCGTGGGCGGTGGGGCTGCGGCTGCCGCATCGACCATCGTGCAGATGGCTCCTCGCAGTCTACACACGCACCGGTGCTGTGTATGAACACGCATTGCTGGGAATCCCCGCAAGACAGGCTTCACGGCTTCAGATGCTTTTAATTTATTCGCTATTTTTACTGGCATTTTTAGGTTTGCATGTAGGATTATTATTATTATTGCCATAATAATATCCGTCTGGAATGATTCCGTGGCTGTATTGTATGCTTTTCATCTCCTACGGCGGCAAACGTGTAGGAAATCGTCCGAGGCAGCCCAGGAAAAACTGGAGCCATCCATGGATGGATGATTATTATCCCCATTACTAGAAACAGACTGTAAGAAGAATTATTCTCCTGGAGCTGTCTTAATATCACTTCCTTTTCTTCCTCCTCATCCCCATCCTAGCTCATCTTCACCTCCCTTTCCGGAATCCCTCCCTCTCCTTTTTTCGTTTTCTCTCTCTCCTCCCCTCTCGCGTGGGCGTCTCTTCGTCGTCGCCAGCCGCAGCCCCGGTTTACGGAGTACCGAGCTGCTTCTGTTCGTTTCACTCTCCCCCTTGATCCCTCGCTCCCATATCCCCTCTTCCCCCCCGGCATTATGTCGGGGTTAACTGATGGACTGCGTGGGGGAGTCCGTCCGACCAAGTCCGCTGCATATCCTTCCTTGTCCTTTCTCTCTCCAGAATCAGAGATCTCGCCGTCAACCGCCGCTCCCGTCATGCAGATACCTCCCGCCTCTGAATTCAATCCCTCCTCCCAGCTGTCCGACGGCTTCTCCATCGACTCCAATTTCGGCCAGTCCGCCTCCCATCACACTCAGGGTCTGCTCCAAGACTCTCTCTTCCCCGAATGGAAGAACGATGCCTCCCCCTCCGGCTTCGAGAACCCAGAGGAGATGCAGGAGAAGGATCCGTTGGCCACCCAGATCTGGAAGCTATACTCGAGGACCAAAGCCCGCTTGCCGAACCAGGAGCGCATGGAGAATCTTACTTGGCGTATGATGGCCATGAGTTTGAAGCGTAGGGAAAGGGAATCTCATCGGCAGTCCCAGTAGGTCTTTTTTTTTTTTTTCTCTAGTCCTCTTAATTCCACAACTGCGAGGAACTATTCTCATGAGTCACGTACAGTGCGCCTCAGCCGAAACAACAACCCCCAGCCACCAGCGGCATCTCTCAACTACGCCAGTTCGATAGGATGGCTATCTCCGGTTCCTCGCCTCCGTCGAAATCCAGTCCCGCGCCATCGGATGATCCCATGAACATCGATGACTTCATCGTTCCCATCGAATCTCCTGTGGAACAACCCATGTCTCCTCCCACGGATAGAACAAACTCGACCAATTCTGCTGCCATCCCTATAAAAGGCCGCAGAGATCAGCCCCAACCTGAGGCTGCGACCACCGTTCCGGCCTCCTTCCATCACCCGTTGCAGGATCAGCGCAGGGAGAACGAGTTCGGCTATGTCCAGCGCCGAGTGCGCAAGACGAGCATCGACGACCGCCAGTTCCTCGCCAACAGCCTTCAGGTTCCGAACCGCAAGCGTCCGGCCGAGTCGTCTCCCCAGATTCCACCCGTGACCAATAGCATGCTAGGCAACGATGCCAACTTGTCGGGTGGTGTGCCCGACTACACGCTGGACCATCCCTCGTCGGGCTTCGCACAGCACACATCGTCCAGCCTGTCTTTTGGTCTGGACACGATGAATAGCCTCAACGACGACCCGATCCTTTCTGCTTCTGGTCCATACCAGCAGCAGCAGTTTACCTTTTCTCCTGTCGAGTCCCCCATGACCACGGGTAATCCCTTTGCCAACATCTACGCCCACACCCCCATGGGGTCGTCTCTCAACTCCACCGAGTTCTTCTCGCCGCCGCCGTCGGGTTATCAATCCGCTGCATCCACTCCCCAGCCTATCTACGAGAACGAGCAGAGCATGTACTTTGACAACCCCGTGGTTGACGTCCGTAGCCAGCGGCGCATCCCTAGTTATGTAGCGCATCGGTCCTCGAACCTGTCCGCTTCTCTGCAGCACCGGTATCTGTACAACGGAAACGGTGACCAGCACTTCAGCGGACCGACTTCGGGCGTGCGCTCGCCCGGTTTCTCGGTGAGCAGCCAACCCCAACACGTCGATCCGTCGCAGGTGCTGGGACAAGACTTCTCTACTGCCTCGTCCCACTCTGGCGTGAACCTGACGACCGGTGACAACCGCATGTTTTCATTCGGTGCTGACTCCGACAATGAGGATGATGAGGGCAATGTCTTCCCCGACCGCGGCCTGGGCATGACGGCCGATTTCAGCGGCATGGACGACATGTCGGGTGATCAGAATCTGCCGTGGGATACCCAGTTTTCCGCATCGTACAACTCGATGCCTGCCTTCCCCGGCCAGCATCGCAAGCATGTGACCATCGGCGCTGCCGATCTGATGGATACGTCACGCAACTGGAACCAGGGCAGCAGCCTACATCGTGCTCACGGATCGGTGGCCTCTGTTAGTGAAGTTCGCAACCGCGAGCAGGATCCGCGTCGACAGAAGATCGCCCGGACGATGTCGTCACCCAACACCGGTCAGCTGGTGCGCGGAGCCGCAAACAGCGCCTCGCCCAATACGCCTCCCGAGTCTGGGGTTAACAGTACTGTGCCGTCTCGTCCCGCCAATGCCACGGGCTCTAAGAACAATGAGCAGAACGGCAACGGTAACAACAATAATGGTGGCCCCACGACCTGCACCAATTGCTTTACACAAACGACACCGTTGTGGCGTCGTAACCCAGAGGGACAACCGCTCTGCAATGCATGCGGCCTGTTCCTGAAGCTTCACGGTGTAGTCCGACCGCTATCGCTCAAGACAGACGTCATCAAAAAACGCAACCGCAGCAGTGCCAACAGTCTTGCCGTCGGTGTCTCTTCGCGATCGGCCAAGAAGTCTTCGCGCAAGAACTCGGTTCAACAGACCACAGCCACAACGCCCACGTCGAGTCGTGCGCAGAGCGGTACAGCGTCCTCCGAATCTCCGCCATCTGTCCCTACCTCAGCAGCTTCCCCAGGCGCCCTCCAGGGTTCAGGAAAAAATGGAGTTGTGCCAATCGCCGCCGCTCCTCCTAAGGCGACATCACAAAACCGCAACTCGGTGCTCATGGCTCCTAAACGCCAGCGGCGTCAAACAGGCGGTGCTGATTCTGAAGCCTCTGATGAGACTCCTAAGCCCACTTCGTCGGGACGTTCCAAAGTGGTACCTTTGGCGCCTGCTATGCCTCCTGCAGCGACGAACCCTGCAAATCACAGTATTGCAGGCGGACAGGGTGCAAGTCAGGAATGGGAGTGGTTGACTATGAGTTTGTGATTGACAAATTGTCAATCACTCGGCTTTTTTCCCCCTTTTTGTTTTTTTCTATTCCACAACTTTCTTTGTTTCATATGCCTATTATAGACTGGACGGGAAAAGGGACTGGTCAAAACCACGCGAGAATCTCCATATTAGAGCGAACGCGGTGTTTTGTCGGCGAAATTTTCACGAGGTTCAATTTATGCTCATTACGAACCGTTTCAAGGCGACGACTTTTTTCAACCTTGAATCCAAAATACGGTGTGTTCTCTCCATTGACAGGAATGGACCTGTCAGCGCCCGCGGTCTTTTTGACGAAGGTTGATATGACGTGATGCAAATGCCTTACTATTTTCCCTTCTTTCTTTTACCGCTGCTCTTTCATTACAACCAATCAGTCTATTCGGCTCCTCGGGGTTTTCACTTTGACAGAACAACATGGTGGGATGAAACTGGGAAGTCGGAAGAGACTGGATCTCATATTAATGTCTGACGGATTTTTTTTGTCACTTTCATGTTCTTTTCTGGGTTTTCTCACCTCTCAATCTCACCGTGTGGGACTTCGAGGTTATAATCTTGGATACAGATGGGTTTTTATTTTCATGTTATGCCTGTCGTATGTTGTGTGTCTGATTGTGCTTTTGATTGATACAATCGCGTCTGTTCCGGACCCGCCCCTTTTGCTTTACTTATTCGTCTTTTTTTTTTTTTCCCCGGAAATTCTCTCTTCTCTTACCTTTGCATGCCGTTTCGTCTCTTCCTGCTTTTAGATCAGGGGTTCTGGGTACCGGACAGAAGTGCGCATCTCCTTGTGTCTTTTGACATTTTGCATTTCATTTTTTATTTTCTTATTCCTGTTCTGCTGGTGAGGTGACGGTACATGATTATCTATTCATTATAGTTTTAACCTCTCAATCAATCTATCCATTCATTAAATTTTCTCCACTTGTAATATGAATCTGGGTTATATTGGAGGCGCAGGGGCTGGGGCTAGATAGAAATAAATGGCATGCATATGGATGTATCCCAACATGTTTGTCAACGGGTATATATTATATAGGTGAAAGAAGGAATAGACAGTGTAATTACAAGCCATGCGTCAAGAGTAGACAATAAATAATACCAACACTAAACACGTACTATGCAATATAATAACTGGCAGGTAGAACTCAAAACAGGTGTGAAGACCCCCTTATCTTTGACTTGTCTTTCTGCAATTACGGTGACCACAACAAGGACTACTTTGCGGATTAGACAAAATCTACAATAGCAGTAGTAGTCACCGTTCCGACGAAGATAAACGTGTACCACGGATTCAATTCAATTCAACAATAATGCTTCTTTGGTATGTATATCTGTACAGTACAGAATGGATTTAAAGGGTATCAGCAGTCGAGTCAGTCAGTCAATTAGGAATCGCCATGAACGAGAATTCCACCCATTTTACCACTGCACACATGGAGGTCATGATTCCGAAGTCCATATGTATATAAATATATCCATAGCATCAGGCCGGCCGTAAATTCATGACATGTTTATTAATAAAAATAACGTAAAACACAATACACACCACAGATACAGACTTGGATTCAATTCGGATTCAGATTTCATGTGGGCGGACGACGACCTTGTGGATGACCATGACCGAACTGATCCGTTGTCTGCTGCGGTCCCATCGCCACTCCGGCGTCCATACCCATATTCATCCCCATGCTCATATCCATGCCCATGCCCATTCCCATTCCCATTCCAAGCCCCATCCCATTGTCCGGTGTATACATTGCATATGGAATATTTAAATTTGCGTCGGCCATGTTGTTCATGTCCTGCCACGTCGTATAGCCCAGGGGCGGTTGCGGTTGGCCGGCGTACGAGGCGGACACCGGCGAGGGTTGATGAAATTCAGGAGGCGGTGGGCTGCTGTGCGGGTTCATGTGTAAGGGGGAGTTGGGGAAAGATTGGTGTGGAGGCGGGGGGCTCTGAGCACCCATATTCATGTTCATGCTCACAGGTGAATCTGAGAACATATGCGCGGGGCTGGTCATGCTGCGTCTCGGATCTGGAGGGCTAATTTGCTGCGCGAACTGATCAGGAGTGTACGGCGAGGGCATCTCCGCAGGCGTGGGGAAGGACATCGATCGTGTTGGCTGCTGGAACGGCACTTGCCACACTTGAGGACCGCTCTGTTGTATGGTATATGTCGAGGCGGGCAGTGGTGACCGCGATCCACCAGCAGCGACAGCAGCACTATTCAAAGCATCTTGCTGGCTCGGGACTGTTGGTGGATTGGGCGGAATTGGGGCGATTGGTGTTCCTCTCTGATTCCACAGGTTTGGTTGCAGATTCAACATCTGCTGTTGTTCCTCCGTCAAACTGCCTAGAAACTGCGTGTCCGGTACAGCAGCGAATTCATTCCATGGGATGGACGGATCGAGCGGCGCGTGTGCAGCGTAATCTGCCACAGATGCTACGTTACGATCTGCGGGACAACAAAGTCAGCCTGTTGTTCTCCTCACACCAGTCGTACAATTCCTCTTCCTCCGTCTCGCATTGCTTTTTCTCTCTTGTCCCCCCCTTCCCCCCTTTCCTTCTCCAATACAGAATAAACGATCTGAAGATGGGCTCGCACCAACCTGTAGTAAACGGCACCTGATTACCGACATATTTAGCTGCATCGAACGCCGGCGCTCCTGGACCAGGACTTAACGAGACCGCTTGATGCGGAAAGAACGTATTAGGCTGTTCTGCACGATGCCCTGAGGTATTCGAGGCCGCTGTTGACGGGAAAGCTGTCGGCAGCGTATCTGCTCTCGAAGCTGGCCGCGATTTTTTCTCCGCAGGCGGTTGTTGGTCGACGGGATAGTATTTGCATTCCTTCCTGAGTTTTATACAATCCACGCATCGTCCCTGAGGATCATCTGGTGCAACTTCACATCGGATTTTTCTTCGCCGGCAATGCACTGTGAAATTTCAAGGCGTGAGTAAAACCAATCTGGCAGGACGCAAAGCAAAAATCTGTGAGATGTGAGATGGACAAAGAGTCATTGCCATCTGAAAAGCCAACGAGTGGTGTGCTTTCTCTACTAACCACATGCAACAGACGTTCGATGATACCCTAGTTTGTTGCGCTTCTTTTCGGTATTTGGAGCGTTGGGGCCTTTCATGGCCGCTTCTGGGGATTTCACTGTCACTTCTGTATATTCGACGACTCCGGGCATCGCTCCCGGGAGATGGAAGCCTCAGCACTGTTTGCTGCCGACCGCAGGAGCATCAATTCTCCAACGTTCCCACAACTTGCCTGCAAGGCGTCGCGTACTCGTTGATTCGGAAGGGAGGCGATAGTAGCGAGGAAGCGATCCCAAATTCCATGCGATTACTCGTATAACAGCAGTGGAAACAGATGAAAGGCTAGCGCTGGCCTTCTTAACCCTTCTCCACACGGATCTTCCAAATATGCATAAGTAGCCCAATCGCACACACCCTCGAAAAATGAAAACGACACCCAATGATAACCAAGCACGTCGTCGGGGTTTTCCGTCCGCGGTACAGGCTGGGCGTAAGTAAGACGGGGAGTAGTGACTTGCGCAAAGTGAAAGAAGGCGAGAGTGTATAAAAATTATTTATCCCCTCGAGCTGGGGTTCAGGATAGAGGTGAACCCATCGACTAGGACGAGAAGAGGGATGGTTATTAAAAGGGGGGCATGATTACAGACGAGCGACTCTGTATGCAGAAGTAAAGTAATTCCCTACTCCATAGCCCGTTAGAGAGAAGAGCAGTTAGCAGACAAAGCAGCAAACCAATAGGAGCGTCTGCGAGGGTGAAACACACCAGGGGTTCTGCGTCCCTGCCCTCGTTCTTCACTCTGAGTTTGGGATAAATAAATGGAGATGAAATGTGTCTAATTATAATGCGGTCTTGAATCCAAGAATAGATTTCGTTGCTCGACTGCTACCTTTGCATGCCGGAATCTGAGAAAATGGATGGATCATCATAATCCCACCGAGATGAAGCCGATTGACTGTGGTTACAGTTCATGGTGGAAGATCTCCCTTCATTTTTCTTTTCTTGGTTCCAAATTTCCACGTTCTCTTTATAAATTTAGTCAACACGGCGTATGAAATTACTCCGCACAGAGTGCCGATACCACCTTGACATGTCGATCTCGAAGGAGAAAAAGCATATGGCCGACTTTGGAGGGCAATGGTAATTTTTTCCCCTTTAAAGCTGACTGTCAAGTAGGTGGTGCATAGGCTTGGGGTTTGAACCAATAAAGTGTGATAAGCTTATTCTCAGTTCTGTCTTGTGATGCATGGTAGCAGCACAATGCACCTCTTTCAAGTAAAAATTGAAAGCGTTCTCTACTCCGTAAAAGCCCTGGAACATCAATCGGCCATTGACTTGAGACGTGGTTCTCTGCTCCATGCCGACAGACCTGGGGGTGGAGGAAACGTCGAACAGCATAATAATAGTCTACGGCGCTGCACGATTGATGTGCCAAATGGCGGTGGATCCAACTTCGCCACGCTAAATGGAGCCATTGCGCCCGTCGGCAGAGGAAAGCCCCCGAAAAAAGATCGCAGAGATATTATTCGTATACCGAGGTTGCGAATGCATGAGCTATCGAAGAACTCGACCACATCCACCATAATAACCATGGCTGCGGTATGAGTCCGGTTTGTAGAAGTAACAACGGCCTCAGGTACAATCCGTACGGAGTACCCGGGGGCATGGTTCCACAACGCCAAGAGACACATCGTCATCACTGGCTAGAGGAATCAGCCTGTGAGCTTGAACTCCGGAGTATTAGAGTGTTTTGAATTTCTGAAACATCAGCCTCCAGATGGAGAAAAGTAATAATCAGAGGCTTCGGTGCCTAAGTGGGGGGTTGCGCCTTCGGGGACAAAGTGCCCGAAGGTTTGATTAAGGGTAATATCAGCGCAGCATGGTCCTTTGGCCAGAGGTCTTGGCACAAGCCATGGCCAAAGGTTAGATAAAAAATATGGAGCCCACCAGAACCGCCGAATGGGCAAGATCTCATGGAAGCCTTGGAAGGAAATATTATTTGGTACAGCATAGGCAGGAAGCCTGAAGGGGGAAGTGTGTCAGGACAGCGTGGTACGTAGCTGCATGGGCCATAGAGTGCATGCATGTACCATGCGCCATGCATGCACTGCAACTATGTTGGAGCCAGGCCTGGAGGATGATTGCATGATTCTGCACCCCGTCTGGTCCAGCGTCCCAAGCGTCGAATCGCAGGCCATGTCGAGGTGCAAGCCCACAACGGAATCCAGCGCCGGGCTTTCTGCAGAGAGGCAGAAGAACGAGATACTTACCGAAAGGGAATCTCAACGCCCTGTCGCCTGGGTAAGACTGGTGTCTCCGCAGGAGCGTTGGAAGGATCAGCGTTTGAAGGCTGACTCGAGAGGAAGAGATGACGTTGATGCCAAAGACACGAGAAGAGAAAAGAAGCGCGATGTGGCTTAGTCAGCCATGTATAAGCATAGTTAACTAACTATTAGACCCGACATCTCTTTCCAGTCTGGGACTAGCGCCAGCCGTGGTCTTCCCAAATAGGAAGTAGCTGTTCGGCTAGAGAATAAATTCCGTTTGGGGATGCGCTAAGCCATCTATGGACTAGTGCCGTCTCCTAGTACACATCCGGACCTGCACTGTCCAATAATAACGCATGTCGATCTTTCATGCATCATGATAATTTTCAATATACGCAGTACTCCGATGATAGGCCCTCCAACTACTAGCAGCTGCACATCCTACTTTGGAGGCGTGGGGGTGAGGAGGATCGCGAATAGAGAAACTCCTGCGAGTGGTCCTCGTGCTCGCTTCGTAGCCATGCGACTAAATGGATCTTGCTAACCGATGATGAAAAGAATAAGCTGATTTGGGATGGTGGGGTTTGAAAAGAGTGAACTGTCCGAGGGGCTGAAGGTCCCTAATGATTGAATTCTCATAGTTACAAGCCGAGTATAGTGTATAAGGACATTGTATAGAGGCCGTTATAACCTAGCAGGGTAATCTTGCTCCCAAGAAGAATTGGTGAGGGTTGCGGGAATGAATTAATCGTTAATGCCGAATGGGCCTGAACAAAAACTTCCACCGTCTACGTAGTAAGAGACGCAACCTGGGCCTACTAGCTACTATAAATCGTAAGAAGATTGACGTGTCATTATGATTATTACGATTGTGCCCACAGAGCATAGATCATCTTAGGTCAATCAATGTTGATGTTGTAAAGGTTGTCCGTGGAGTTGCTCATTCTCCAATGTGAATAGCAGGATACGCTCTAATGCAGCAGAGCTGATCCCAACAGATGTACATCATGCCCATGCCCACACAAATGATTTGTTATTGTTGCACTGTCCCGACGAAGTAACTTGGTAATACTAGACACAGGCCAAGAGAATAGAGCTCTTGCAGTGCATCTGATATTTTACTGACAGTACATGGAGCTTGGCCAGATGAAGATATCTTCAAATGCCGGATCCAAAACGCCTTGATTGCCACGGATTGCATGTGTTTCGAGTGTTTTGATCTATCGTCAGTCAGCATGCTTCGTGAAGCTTAATAGGTCTTCCAATGGCCGGGACATATTTCGAGATGAAGCTAACCTAATGCTCTTAAGTGAACTGGGTACCGATAGCCACTGAAGTCGATGACCTGCGGCCCAACAAAAACAGATGATATCCCCGACTATGTCAACCCAGAGAGAAATGTTGCCCCAGGGCATTGGCGGATTTACCAGCTGGCTCTGGGTTCGGTAGCGACCACGGGCCAGATAGCTGCTAACCTTAACGTGAGGCCATATAGATAGGGTTCCGAAATGATGAGGCATCAGATCCCAGAACTCTTGGTGGCCTCCTTGGGGCCAGTGACCATGGTTGTTGCTCTCTGGGAGCGCCCGTAACGCTTGAAACTGCCCCGAAGGCGCCACTAAGCAATGAGACCCCAGCTCACTTTACTGTTCCACAACTTATTGAGAAGACACAAGATTCGCGCTGTAGACATGAGCCACTGCATCCGCATGCAAGGGCAATCCTGGGGCAAGAACTTGGAAAAGAAACACTTTCGTCTCCAAGCCAGCCCTCAGTTCGAGATCATTATCCACATCCTGACATGCATCCAGATGGAGAAACTTGGACTGATAGGCGAGGGGGCCTTTGAATGCATCTGGATTCAAACCCAATACATCCTTTTCATAAATGTGGCCAGATATCGGTGCCTTGAATAGTCTGGTTAAAGAAGCCTAATATATCTGTTGCATGTAAAGTGTCGTCAGTTTCCAACGCAAGATTTAGAGCATATTTTGATTGGATTCACTGCAATCAACAGAATGGCATCTGATGCAGATTCCAATTCGGTAGAATCTAGCAGCCCAGTTAGCCTAAGATGGAGTTCGTATCCTTGGGAGACAATGAGAGACCTCTCTTCCCCTTAGCCTAGCTCAATTATCAATTCTTGTGAAAGAACAGTCAGTCCTTCAGCGTATGAATCATTCCTCTCTGCTTCAACAAGCTAATCGGATAAATATAGCACAATCTGCTTCTGACCATCCCTTTTGCAAATGCCTTCATTGAGACAAATAAGAAAGCCATCGTGGCACTGGCCCATGCCACGCGATAAACAAAACATATATCTTGCAGAACTTTTTCCTTTCATATACATACTATTTGACACAATCCAGCATTTCTCATCTGTGTCCATTCCATCATGTCGATTAAAAAGTATATTCCGGCAGGTTGGATATGGCCCGCTCCCTGGAAATGCGCAGTTTCCATTTCATCGCACAGAAAGAGAGCCAGGCAAGGGACAATATGGTTATAAACACTTGTCAGGGGACCTCAAGTTGGAACATGAAAATTTCCTATCTTGCTACCTGACATTGAGCAGCAATGCGTGGAGCATACCGATCTCCGCTTTGAAGCAGTTCTTTAATGCGGAGATTCCAGGCATTCTTTTCAGTTTTCGGTTCATCCCTGAGTCTGCAATTGTCGATACACAGATTCAAGAGAACCTGTTTATGCCTCTCAAGGGTTCGACGAGACAGCGGGCCAGATTAGGCACCCTATGACTTGGCGTTATACTTACGAGAGTAGTAAAACGTACTTTAATTAGAGGTATTCGAAGAGGCTCGCAGCGCTTGGACCTGGAAACCGTTATTATAGATTGCCCACCACTCTCTGAACCATATACACTAAGGTCCAGGAACTGAAGTCTTGCAGATCATCAAGACCTGAGCATAAATGCCATTGCACCTGGCCAGGCCAATGTACCTACATACCTAGAAATGACAAGACGATGCTGAATCTGACAGCGTCAAGATGGCCAATATTTTGATGTTGGCTTAACGGTGTTGCGTGAAAGCGTTCTTTATGTCGGCAGGTCGACCCTCTCCTTGAACCCGTCAAGCCTGACGGGGGTTTCACTATCCTACGGCGTATAATTGGCAAGTATTCATTAATGGGTTGGCTTGGCTTGGCTTAGATTCCTGTGAAATTGGCTGGCACTGGTCAGATAAGACTTGCGAGTTATTTCCGCAACTAGGCAACTTAATAATATTATTCCTTCATGTCGACCAAATCCATGGGTAGGAATGCCTGGCTGCTGCAATCTTAGAGTTCCTGGACGATGGTTCTGCGTTATTATTTTGTCCGAGAATGACCATTGGAAGGAGCTATGTATATTGTACAATATGATACCGACAGGATGGTGCTGTTCTCCCGGTTGGACGTCCTCCAAATGACAATCTGCAGGTATCCATCCGGCCGCACTGGTCGCTCGTAGCGAACTTCCGCTGTTTTCGCACCACGTTTTGGAGCGGTAGATCACTCCTATTGAGGGTCGACATCCTGCATGAACTAGCGCCATACGACTAATGCTCGATTGTAGATGTCTTGAGACCAGTCATTCGACCATGCGCTGTGCGTCGGTGCGACTTCGGAGTTAAACCGCGGCAGACACAGACACCGTTGCAATAATAATATCAGGTGAGGAGGCTTCTTTTCTGTTCGAGAGTCATTATTCGTCTAGAACATGACGGATCCAGTCATTCTCTATCGACAGCGGTGCAGACTAGTAAGTGATCTCCGTGGTTATTGGGTCGAGTGGATGCATGTTCTCGCTTACACCCGGCACACGCTAGTTTTTACTTTTTCCACCTCGTATTCTCAATGTTAAAGAATCCCTATTCTGGAAAGGAGAAGCATGGGGTTGAAGTTGACAGGTACGCAGATTATGCGCAAATGCTAACTGTGTAGTCCGGGGACCTATACCGTCAGTATAGACATGTATACATGCAAGGAATAATAGGTATTGCCGGTATTATTCCCTACCTGGATGGGTACTTGCAGACAGATAGATATGTCCATTTAGACGTACTCGCGGTGGAGACCAATCTCCTGCAGCTACAGGTGTTTGCCGGAAGACCCGTCATATCATCTCGCACAATTTGCACCGAGGATTGTATCTTCCGAGCTGCAGTGGTGGACGTACGGAGTCCTCCGTACTATCTTCAATGCAAGATATGCTGTTAATCGCTGTACCGCAGATACCGCAGATATCAAGTGCTGGACGGCAACGTGAAGGGTTGCAGTCGGTCCGTACGGGCTTCTCTCATCTGATGCGCATTGGCCAGGCCCGCGCATCGAGGCTTCTGGACCCTCCGGGAAATCATACTAATAAACAGAGATTTGAGGGTGAGATTAAACTGTGTCATTGCGTCTCATGAAAATACCATTTTGTGGACTGATCTAAGGACGGATTATTGACTTTGGCTGCTTCTTCCTCAGCATAGTACGTACATGCGAGACCTCACCGGCCCAGGCACGGAAGAGTAATTAATTACCCCCGAGTCACGGAAGTATGATTGCGTATTATTGCTGTATTTTCCATACGCGATATCACAGTTATCGCCACGGCGTCCAGCGTACGTACAGCACCCAAAAGGCAAGCGGTGTCCTATGCTCCGGGCTCACGTGGAGGAGCCGACACCGACATAGCATAATACAGCGTAGAACCTGGGTTGTGATGGCCATTCTGTTTCCAATGCGATCGTGGAAGGAATGGGATCTTCGCGGATTTCAGCTGTTGCTAAGCTTAATCGCAGTTTCCACCAAACAGGGACAGTCGTCAGCCATCGATTTGATGGGCGCTCGGGGAGGCGTGAAGATCAGTATGACACCTCCCCAAATCTTCATTTAGAGTGTGTACACAACTCTCGGCGAGAACATACAGTGCACATACGACATACGATGTACCACATACGTACACCGTACATGCAATGAAGCAAGAAGAGCCTCTAATCTGCCCTCCCATCCACCATCTGCCACGCACGTACAGGGTCGATCAGGACACGCAGAAAAGCTGGAAATGGAGGCCAGCAGGGATCTGGCATTGGACTGGACTCGTGGCCCGCCGACTTGGTTGGTGGTTGCTGCCGAATAGACTTCTGCTAGCCCATGGCTACGTCTTTATTTGCCTCTCCTTTTCCGGACTCAGCGTCCCGGACCCACGGCGCATTGCAATTACTATTCGGTTCTCCGCCGCTTTCAGCCTCTATCTATTATTATCGCGTCGCTTTCGTTTCTTTTTTTGGGTTGTGTCGTTGAGTCCCGTTCATTTCCCCAACCAAGGCCATAGTGGGATCGGCCTGTCAGCTTGGGATGATGCAGAAGAAGAGGGAAGAGCGTGCTCTGACCGAGTAGTATGATGATCGTAGACAATAGCGCCTTTCTAGACCATAAAAATAGCAGTCGAGATCTCGACTGGAAGCTGGACGTTGTCGTCGTCGGGGGATTCCAGTTCCAGGGAAAAAGGAAAGGCAAAGCGAATCTCTGGGTCTCCGTATTTCACATTCCGTTATTTACTGTTACATACCGTACGGACAGAATTACCAATATTACGTCCATCCAGACCTCCAACACCCTCACGCTCGCTTCTCTTCGCTCTCGTCTCCTCTTCGACCTCCCATTCATTCTGGTAGATTCATCATTGCGTCGTTTCGATCTCGACGATCCAGCCAGGTACGCCCTCAGCTCCGGCTCTGCACCAATCTCCAGCGCTGCCAGGAACCTTCTACCTGGGGTGTACCCTCGCGTACATTCCCCTCACCACCCATCCCCTCTGTCCATCGCCTGCCAAATTAGGTCAGCATCGTCCGCTTGTGCGCCGCAGCTGTGCCTGTCTATCTCTCTTGTCACATTGGGGTCTTGTAGGCAGGCGATGCATCCGTCGCGGCTTCATTACTCCTAACGACACCCCGTCCTTTTATCATCTCTGGAGTTGGATACAAGGCGAAAAGAAGAAAAGCGTCACCTTCTCTCTCACACGAACGACCGGACTGGTCTCGCAAATGGGCCTTCCACAGTGTTGATAACTTGGTGATTGGTTGCGCGACTGAATCTACGTGAAAAGACGACTGCCAGGACGAAAGAGGGAACATCTAAAGGGGAAAGAGAAAAACAAAGACCCTGTGCCCGGAACTTTCGTTCTTTTGGCTATCTCTATCTTGACTGTCCATCCTGTCATTTCCAGCGGTCGCAGTAGTAGGATCGCCTTATTCACGATCTGACCGCCCCTCCTGGATCCTCCAGAGCCACCAGGAGGACCGTTGGATGATCGGTATTGGGCTTTTGGTGCCGGAGGAAGCGCGACGTACTCCGCGCCAGCTGGGGGTCTAGTCCCCAACGCTCTGCCGGTTTCTCTGTCGATGGTAACCGCGGAGATCTGCCGTCCTCTGGCATTATCAAAATATCCATCTGTCAACCTGGCTGCACTCGCGATTCCGCCTCCCGGGATGGGGCAGGCGCTTGAAGCGCTGGCAACTCCGCAGTCATTGAACGCTCGCAGACCCGAGGCTCCCACTCTTCCCAGCTTCGAACTTCCTCCGCCCAATTTCCAGATTGCCGGTTTGACTCCCAAGTTCTCGTCTTCGCAGCCTAACATTCATCCTCCATCCAGTGCCGGTGTCACCAATCTGCTCACTCCCCCGGAAACGAGTCAACCCGGAGACGGGACAAACCAATTGCAACCGGTGACGGCTGCCACTGCGGTGACTGCCGGTTCTGCATTACCTTCGGGGTACACCCCAGCTTACTGGCCAGGGCACAATCCATACTCCGGCGCCTCGGGGCCACCTCAGCATTGGGCATCTGGTGTCAATGCGGTGTATCCTCCACGCGCTGCTTTTTCTCCACCATTAGGGCAGTACGGACGTGATACTTCGACGGTGGCTTCTCCCCCCACAACAGACGCAATGCCACAACAGGCGTACGATATTAACCAATTGCCCCCACTCCAACAACCACTTCCTATTCCGTCATCCAATGTCCCCACTGCTACACAGCAGCAGCAGCAACAACAACAACAACAACAACAACAACAACAACAGCAAGCTATGGCAATGATGAATGCCCAAAGTGCGCCGCAACGCAAGCCGACCGCATCTCCGCAGTCCCTGGCCTCGGCTGATCCGTACGGGCCAAAACCCCAGTCGGCTGTACCTTACGGGAACTCGCCACCAATGCCCGGTGCTCACCATCAAAGCAGTTATGCATCCCCATACGGTGGGTCTCCAGCTCTGGTACATGGCGGACATGGAATGAATGCTCCCGGAAGGATGCCTCCTGGCCCAAATCACCCGAATGCTGGACCCCCGCCGCAATTGGGCTACCATCGCCCGCCGTGGCCGTCGTATTCGCTTCCCGCCATGCCTGGGCCGATCATGACCAATGTACATAACCCGAACAGTCCTATGTCACTGGTTGGTGGTTTGCAGCCCGGATTCTTGGCCGGGTTCAACAGTGGACATGTTGCTAGCATGCAGCAAATGTACGGAGGACATCCTCCGCTGACCGGCCATGCACAGCCTAGTCCGGCTAATGACCGCCCATTCAAATGTGATCAATGTCCGCAAAGCTTTAACCGGAATCATGACCTAAAACGACACAAGCGAATTCATCTCTCTATCAAGCCATTCCCGTGCGCCCATTGCGACAAGAGCTTTTCCCGCAAAGATGCGTTGAAGGTATGGATAATATTCCCCCTCAATCCTGATTTAGGTGATATAGAAATTGACTAATGTGGCATCCTGTTTAGCGTCATATTCTTGTCAAAGGCTGTGGGAAGGGTAATCCAACTGACAGTGGTGACGCGAACACAAGTTCAGCAAAACCTGCAGGTGAGAACGCAAACCCTGCAGCAAAGGACAAGGAAAACAGTGACGATGGGAGTTCTGTAGCCACGGGCGGGAATTGATCGAGGGAGACAGTGTGATTACTCTCTCCCCTCCCTATCTGTTTGGTCTTGTGGACTGAAACTGCGTCTGTGAATCTGTTCGCATTTCCACCCTTTCCAGTGTAGACATCTCGTTATTGCGGTATTTCCCTCTTCATATTTCGCTATTCATATTCCCTTTTCTCTTCTTCTGTTTCTTTTTCTTTCCCTCCCCCTTCTATTTTTTGGTGTGTGCGGGAGCGTCCTCTGGGTTTGATAGTTGCAGGCAGCAATATTCATACGGTGCGGTTTACATGGTTTATCTGGGTTTGGGAAATCAGGGTCAAGAGGCGCGGTGGGACAAGTTTCCTATTGTTTATCTGGATGGATATTGTCTGACTCTGGACCGTTTCATATTTCTTTCGTGCTAATTATTGGGAGGAACCTCCTGGGCTTGGTTTATCTGTTTGCTCATGTACATTTTCCTTTGTGTCTTCCTCTTGGAGCGAGCTGTCTTTGTCTTGATTCCCCTATTGTTCGTTTCCACTGCATATAGTGTCTGTCATTACCCATGACTTGTGTGACTATGTCGTTGGCCTTAACAAATTTCAACACCGGTAGAAGAGTGCATTGCACCCAAAACTATGCTGTGTGGCATTCTTCTTTTCCTGATAGTCTTTCTAGAATCTTCATCTGGGTTTATTTGGGAATTAATGGGAGGGTGCTATATACCTACAGTATCATGCATCTATTAAGTGCATTAATGCTATGCAGCTAATATAAATGGTAATAAGAAACGTAATGCAAAGAATCTATTTAATGTTGCATTATTTACAGAAAAACATCCTCAAATAGATTCAACTATATTTTGACCTATTCAAGGTATAGCACTCGTAAGGTTAGCTATAACTGTAGCACCTCATAAACTTATTTGACCATAAGGTAAAACATAACCTAAGAAAGCTGTAGCCATCATAACGATAAGGATTACAATCACAGTGTCCTTGTACAACAGCTTCGATGTTTGAAAGAGGTGCAAGGGATAGTCGTGCATGTAATAATATTTAGGTCAACTACAGAGAACAATCTACACCGTAGGTACTTCGTATCTGTATTCGCATCTAGCCGTGTTATACTCATATCACAGGGAATATAATATGTATAATCCGGCCATTCCTCCTATTTACAACAGCTACCCAGTTATGGTATACCTCGACCTTCTGGAGTATATACAATGTAATTTCACTACACTATTGTGACTTGCAAAGAGAGATGTGTGAGAGAGAGAAGAGTGTTATATTCTACAGACTGATTCTCAGTACATCCATCTAACAACACTACCATCCACCACAGGACATACGACATTGACAATAGAATATTTCACAAATATACAAAAAAAAAAAAAAAAAAAAAAAGAAGACAGGACATACATCCACTAAAAGTCATCTCATCTAACATTCACGAATATCAAGAAGAAATATGATGCGCAGACTTCCACTCATCCACCAACCCCCGATAATCCTCAACACCATACGGCTCGATCCAATCTATCAGGGACGCCTTACGCTGCGACCTGAGCCCCAGATCGTGCACGAGCAGATCCACGTATGGAATGGCATCGAAGACAAAATCGGGATTGCGCCGTCCAAAGCCTCCCGGGTATCTGAATTTTCCGAATTCGGTTTGCAGCGCTGTTTCCCAGATGATATCTGCTGAGCGCTGTGGTTGGCCGGATTCGGATTCGGATTCAGAGGTGATTTTTCTCTTGTTGTCGAATGATGCGAGGATAGCCTTGGTAATAGGTGAAGGACAGGTGACTGTCGGGGTGAGGGTGAGTCGGTCGGTGAAGTAGGCTGAAATCCAGAGTGCCTGGGTTTGGGCAATCAGTGCCGTGTTGATGGTCATGGTTATACCCATAAAGGCGATGGATCTTTCTTTCAGCATGCTTGGGACAGGGGGCACCATGAACCGGGCGAGACGGAAGGGATGAGGCGCTGTGGCCTCGGCTGTATCGGCGAGGGGTTTGTACTTCTCGTTCGGGACGGGTTGGTCGCGGAGTCGGGGGTAGAGGCGGAGGATTTCCTCGTCCGCTTGCTTGAGCAGGGTTTCGTCAAAGAGGTCAGGACTCCAGGGGAAGCCAAGGTCTTTGTCGATCCCTGTTGGCAGGAATTTGATAGGGGGAGTGGCCTTCCAGCCCGTGGAGCAGATAAGGGCCGTTGTAGGGATAGAAGAGCCTGTGGAGAGATGGACGGTGTTTGGAGACAGGTGGTCAATGTCGGCGATGTGGATTCGGATGCTGCCGTCTCTGACCAGGTCGAAGAAGTCGGTGGGATAGTTGAGGATGCTGAGAGACGAGGCGATCCAGAACGGGCTGATCCACGGCTGGAGCTTCTTCACCTCCGGATGCTTGTCGTAGCCATTGGCATCGATGACATCCTGGGCCAGCACTGCCCAGAACGCATCGACTAGTTTGCGGCCCAGCCAGGTGCCATGCAGGAGACGCCGAATAAAACCATGGCCGTCCGCGTCACCCCAGATACACGGACTGAACCACGTCAGGAACCGTGTGGTGACCAGTTTCTCCAGCCACTTCTTCAGCGGCGTTACGTACGGCGGCGCCATCCAGATAGGTCCATGGCCCGACTCGCGGATAATCCAGTCCACCTGCATTCCGGACGTTGCGCAGGCATACGCTGCATCCCAGGAGGACTTGGTGCCACCGAATATGGTCACGTGTTGGTCCTTCTTGAGCACTTCCGGCTCGTGCTCCAGGAGATCGCGACAGTGGAACAGTGGAGCGCCAAATGACTCCTGCCCTTCAAACGAAGGGAGATACGCCTGAGAGGTAAGACCAGTTGCTACAATCAACCTCTTCGTCTCAATACGCGATGTTTGCTGCTGTTGCTGCTTTGTCTGGACCACCGTCAACACCCACGATCCATCCGAGCGATGCTCAGCGCTTTCCACCCGGGAATTGAGACGAATGCAATGCTGAAACTTGAAGTGCTCTGTGTACTTCTCAAAGTACTTCTGGAGAACATGCCCGGGAATATGCTCGCCGGGCTTCACCCCGAATGTAGCTTCATCCATCGGGAAGTCACTGTACTCGTAGGTTCCCAGCATGTTATTGGACTTGAGACCCTTGTATAGCCGGTGTTTGGCCCAGACCCCCCCAACGGAGGATGCAGCTTCCAACAGGGCGACATTACTGGAGGGGTTGACTTCCAGATACGTCTTGACAGCGGCAAGTCCGCACCAGCCTGTTACTCATCAGCTAGGTGTAGATATTAATGGGGTCAATCTCTGTTGAGCGTGTACCGGCGCCGATAACCACGAGATCTATGCTCTCCATTGCAATGGGATGATAGTCTTTATACCCCTAGGCAGAAAGGAACTCGGTTTAGATAGCTGCCAAAGGCACAGCCGCTGTCATGCGGAAACAAACGCAGAGCAGTGGCGATCGACAACCGGGTTATGCAGTTTTAAGTAGCTGATACCACCTAAGATAGTAGAGTTGTGCCTCGTATTCCAGATGCAGCAAGCCGGCGGAACTTCTCCTGCAAGGAGCTTGGCAGGACCGGCTTAGAAATAACCCGATAAAGGAACCGTGTGCGATGGTAACGACGATTGTCGTTCTCGACTCGCTTCCAGGCTGTACATTCCAGAGTCGGACATCTTCTAGACGTCCCGCCTTCTGGGCCCGTGTGAACAAACAACAAATAAGAGAAAGCTAAAATGGGGGGGCATCATACTATGCTCGTTCCACCGCGGGACGGTTGCAATTCGGCCTTCAGGTACGGACTGTCGCCGATGTTGATCAGCGGGTTTCGCACTCTTCACAAAATTCAACCACAAGACCTGTAAATAGCGTGCTGGAAGTGCCATAGACAATTGCTCATTGACGTATTCATCATATATATGTTTGCTCAAATGCAGAGACTGTGTCGTAGTTATCGCTATGCTGTATCATATGCAGTGTTCCTTTTGGACTTCAATGGCATCAATCATATCATAAATTGTATTGGCCTCATTTCTCGGGCCCACGGGAGAGAGCCTTGTCCCATAATTCCCATTCATTCCATTTGCCGTTCTAAGGTAGGTTCAACGCTTGTCTCAAGGTCCATCCGGGAGTGCCGATCGCGAACCTTACTGCGTGCATGCGACGTGTCGCGCCGGGCTGTGCCTCTTGTCAGCATATTCTGCATGCATATTTACCAGTACCCTAACACGACGTAGTTATGTCAGGGCATATGTATTAACTATGTAGACAGGTATCCCTTTAAGGGAATAACGAGTATCTGGCAAGACCCTGTCAGCATTCGGACAAATCATATCTAGTAAACTTAGACAGATTGGGACATCAATACCTTGCGCAGCAAATGTCGAGTTCGAAATGATGCATTATCGTGCCTGGTAGTCTAGATTCCACTGAGTACTACCTCGGAATACTTTGTTGCACTCGTGGGGCTTCCCCTTTCTGGTTCATTGTGGACTCCCTCGTTATGCAAGGATATTTAACTGTCACTGCCCCTGCATGGCCCATCAGTCTGGATAGAGGGGCCGTTGGCATAAAAAGGGTCATTAGAGACAGACATTCAATTAGTATCTAGCCCGGGTCGCCACTCCGGTATATTCTGCGCGTCGGGTCCGGTTCTATGAGGAAAACACAACACCGCGACCCATGGGCAAATAACAGAAGCCTTCACCCTCTTGTCCATTGCCATCGTCATCATCGCTGTGCGGACAGTGGCGCGATGGACGACTGCAGGACCGAGGAACTTCCAGCTCGATGATTACCTGATTCTGCTGGCAGCTGTAGGTGGAGAAAGCTCTTTCATTCCCTTCACAAGTCGCAGAAGTTTGCATTGCACGCAAGAGAATAGATTCTGATAGTAAATTTGCAGGTAACATATGGCCTTGAAACGGGAGCTGCATATTGTGTCGGTGCCTGGTTCCATGGACTCGCCAACAATTCCATGCCCGACGAAGCTCGTCGAACGCTTTCTCCCGACTCGGAAGAGTATAGAATGCGAGTCAACGGGTCTAAGACGCAGGTAATCGGATGGTCCTTATATACATGTCTGCTGTGGCAGTTGAAGACATGCATGGCCGTGTTTTATTCAAGATTGACGTTTGTCTCCCTCTCCCAATTTCTGTCAGTACTAGAAAAGGAAGCCACCAACAAAAACGTAGGGACGGACTGGTCAATATGCGATGGCGCGTCCGCTTCGCATACATCCTTATTGGAACCACCTATATCGCTACCGTCCTTTCCATCCTACTGGGTTGCCATCCGATGCATAAGAATTGGCAGATCTACCCGAATCCTGGAAGTGCGTTCCCTGACCATTCAACCCTTGCAACGAGAAAGAATTGTATCCCTCTAACAAGTGCAGATCATTGTCAGCCCGCAATATCAGAGATAGACGTATATGTGACGGTTGTACTCAACGTCGCCACAGATATATACCTTATCACCATACCGACTCCTGTACTTAATCCCATTATATTTCCCTCAACAGACACACAGAGCACAACGTACTGACTGACCTGACCGTATCAGATCCTGTTCAAAGCCCGCCTTCCCATCCATGAGAAGCTGGAACTTCTTGTCCTCTTCAGCGGCGGCATCTTCGTCATGGTAGCAGGCATTCTCCGCGCCGTGTTGATCGTAACCGCCGGACCAAACGGTGCCCAACAAGCCGGCAGCTGGGCCTGTCGCGAGACATTCGTCGCAATAGTCGTCAATAACGCCCCGATCGTCTACCCCACCATCCGACGGGCGCTCCGCAGTCCAAACGGATGGAGCTCATTCACTCACAGTCTCAAGTGCCACCTTCTTGGATCCAGATACCAGTCTCAATCAAGCGCATATGGAGAAGGGTATCCCAGATCCACCTCGACTAAGGACATTGCCATGTCGAAGCGGAGCGAGAAACGGAGGAGGTTCCGCCACCCGCTGTCTCTTCCGACCAATACGTACACTACCAGGATTCCCACCCTCACGGATAGTCAATGGGATAATCTCAGTGAGGAGCAGATGATCTTGCCCACCTTTCGACAGCAGCCGCCGACTATAGCGGCGGGGAGCGTGGACTCTTTCTATAGTGAGGGGATCAAGGTCACGCAGGAGACTATTGTCGAGTCGCGAGAGAAGAAACGTGCCAACATCACCGTGAAATGATATGATGATTTTGTATATATATGCAATGTACGCCGGCGTATAGATGTTTGTTCTGTGTAGGAGATACATGGACAGTACTTAGTTCAGTCAGCCCATCCTCGGAAAACAACCTGCGATCTGATTGGTTAGGTAAACCACTCACGTGTTACCAAAATAGCATGTGATATAGGCAGCCCTGAGCACTATCCTTCCATTTTAGGAAACAATTACCTGTCACCAGGGCTTATGCTAAATGACTTAAACAGAAATGCATCATTGCATGCCGGTTGGAATGAAATATAATATGTCAGATGCGTACAGGGACCCTATAGTTTAGTGTTAGTGCACTTCCCTGCAGCTGGAGTGTGGAGTGTGGACTAATCGACCATATTCCCACTCCACCAGTTCGCGCCTCAAGCTTACCAGGACAACATCTCCCAAACTGGCAGGGCATTAATCCCCATCGAGGTAATGCAGAAATCCATCAGCAAGATCCTGTCCGACCAATCCAGCGTAAATGATCCTAACTGAGTAACGGATTAAGTCCTCGGCTCCAACAGAGAAACAGGATCTGATACTTCGTACATTACTATAATACACACAGCACTGTACATCCAATTCTACTGGCATCCTCTGAAAGTAGAAAAAATCAATGGAGACGGTGACAGTATTTACAAATGCACATTGCCCCCTTCTCTTCACTCCAACGGTAAACTCCAAAACCAGATGACCAACGCCTGACCGATGAGACATACTGGAAAGAGGAACAAAGAAAATAAAGACGGATCACCCACAGGGCTAAAGAGTCCAGAAGTTGAGAGGTCAGAACGTCGATAAAACGAGAAGACGCCTCATAAGACGGAATCAAGCCAAGTTGAACACCGAAGAGCATATGGTGGTTCTGGACAAGGTACCTGCAAAAAGAAACCAAGACATGGGACTGTCTGGAGGTTTCCCGATAAATGACAATGCATAGGAATGCACAGAAAAAGTATGAAGCTTCAAGGAATAACAAACAACAGAAAAGTCATGGCGGCGTAACAAAGGAAAAGATAATGAATCCAAGGTTGTGTGTTCAAAAAACTCGACATTGTCGATTAAAAATGGATGCATCGCATAGAAAGGCAAAATGCTTTGTTGTCCAACTCCTAGGCTTTTCAAAGAAAAAGGAAAACAAAAAGTAGTAAATGAGCGACTTCGGTCAGCAACAAATAGATACTATGTGGTGCGAGCAATTGTCACACTGTAGTAAGCCAAAATGGTGGAATATACACAGTCAAATGACTGCAGTTGAAAATTGTATCTCGAACAACTTAGACGAGGGAGTTATTAAATATGCGTGTGAGATTGGGTCATTCACCTGAAATTGCGGATAACTTTCTTCCCACGCGCCAGGAAAGGACTGGGCATCTCGTCCTTTTCTGGGTCCCACACTGCTGGTGGGTCATATTCGCAGGAAGATTTCAAAACCGCAGTTGCCGTAGTATGAGAGTCGCTGGAGCGTCGTTTAGCATCGTCGGCAGGGCGACCGTTGCCTCTTGCCTGGGCCAGTTCCACCAAAGTACGGCCACCCATATTGCGTTGCATCACAGCTTTATACATCCCATCGCCACCGCTATGGGCCTTGGAAGGAAGTTGCTTGGTAGACTTCTTGCGGGTGGGAGATCCTGCATCGGCGGCGAGATTCGCAGAGGACGGAATCTTGGAAAGACGGCGATGTGGTGATCTTGCTTTACCCTCACCCTGAGTTGGAGACATCTGGGGCAACCGGGAAGGATTCGGAGGAAAAATAGGAGGCTGGCTGCCCATATTTCGCATCATGGTGGTGGTATTCTGCCGAAGCAATGGTCGGTGGGGTGCTCTGAGAGGATCTGGCCGTACTCGAGGACGAGTAGGAGAAGCTAGATCAGGAGTATCGTCATCGTCATCGGAGTGTATCATGGTAGGCTCCCATCTTGACTTTTGTCGGTCTCCTTCCGCAAAGGCTCCCGAGGCACGACGCGGTGACAGTGAAAGCGATGCAATCGAAATAGGAGAGGGTTCGGCCATCTGAATGTCCATGGGAGAATCGACCACAGTCTTGGAACGACTGAATGGTGTGCGTGTTTCTTTTTTCGTGGGCTTGTTTGCATCTGGGGTCGGTGATTCCAATGATAACTGGCTAATGTCGGTGCTGGAAGGAAAATCGGTGTCGTTGCTACTGCTGGCTGAAGATTGAGAGTCTGGATTGCTTGCCCTGAAGGCAGCTTCCCTCTTAAATTTCCCGATTTCGGCATCAACCCTTTCCTGAACCTCCAACTCGAATCTCTTTCTAAGCCTGTCAAGTTCCATTCGAACCTGTCGATCAATCTCCAGTCTCGCTTTTACTTCCCATTCCCGGCGAACGGTGTTGTCTATTTCAGCCCTCAACAATTGCTTCTCCTTTTCTAGCCTCGCGTGGGCCTGCTCTATTTCCCTCATTTTTTGGAGTGCGGTTTCTTCTCGCTTTCGCAATATCTTCCCGAGATCAGTTACTTCCTTCTCTTTGCGCATCAGGCGGATGATAGGAAGGTTAACCAAGGCCGCAGTGTCTGGACGGTGGTCTGGATTGACTCGGAGACAACTCGCGATGACATTCTTCAACTCTGGTGAATATTTATCTGGAAGAGGTGCGTACTTCCCGTCACGAATCTTTTGAATAAGCTGGATATGGGTTCTGGCGTTGAATGGCGGTTCCTTCTGGCACAGTTCATACATAATGCAGCCGACAGCCCAGATGTCGGAGCGAAGAGTGTATCTCTCAGCACCGCAAATCTCGGGAGACATATAGAAGGGTGTCCCAACATAAGTCGATGCAAAGTCATGGGACCGCATAAGCTTTGATAGACCAAAATCACCAAGCTTGACACAGTTATCGGTGTCAAGGAAAATGTTTTCGGGCTTCAGATCGCGGTGCAGAATGGTGACCTGCCCTTGCTTTCCTTTGAGACCAGAGGGTTTAGGTGGTGGCCCCAGGACATTCGAACCGACTTCTGGTGCATCAACACCGTAATGGCACCGGTACAAGGCGGTAGCCAGCTGCGACAGAATGCGCCAGACGAATTCCTCATCTGCATATTTGTTCGACCGTTTGAGATCCTTGATGACCATGCTAAGATCACCCCCGCCACAGTATTCCATGTATAAATACAGATCTTGAGTCGCCTTCAGGTGTTCTCGATGGTAGTACGCGACGATGTTTGGGTGCCGAAGGGAGCTCAGGATATTAAATTCGGCCGTGAGCTGCTCGCGCTCTTTCTGGGACATTTTGATATAGTTGATTTCCTTCCGGCAAAGAATCTGTTTCCATCATCAGAATCGCAGCTATGTAGGTAGCTATCTCAAGGGTCCTCACGAATCCATCTGATTTCCGCTTGACCTTGCGAATCACCCCAAAAGAACCACATCCTGGAGATCACGGTCAGTTGCATCATATTAAACAACCCAGAAATGGTATATATTACCAATCTTCTCCAATAACTCATACTTATCCGCCTCAGCCAAAGCAATTGCCATTGTGACGACTGTGGCCCGAGTTGAGCTTGTACAACAAGACGGCGATATTAAAGATTATAATAGAAGAAGAAACAGAGTAGTGCACTGAGATGAAGTGAAATCCGAGTCATCGACTGATAAGTTCTAGAAATCAAAACCTGTATTGGTTAGTAGGGTGCTGCAAAACCTGCTGGAGCAGAAAGTTGGAAACATGGAGGAACATGCAAGATCATCCGGGATTGTTTAGGTGAAGCGCTGTTGCTGAGCAACGCGTGAGCATCTGTGCCTTTCCCCTGTGGAGAAGGCGGTGAGGTTTTTGCTCTGTAGCGGGCCTGTGGACGCAAACAGGATGGATGGAACTATCCATTGCTGGAAGTGGACTTGATTTTGCATCGCGAAAGAATCTAGGTTTCCAAAGTCAATGAGCTTCCATCAAGGCATTGAGTGTCTTTCTGGAGAGCTTGTTGAAACTTGACACTTTTCGGGACTCTTGAGAATCCAAGAGTTGATAATGTCAGCAACAACACGTGACCTTGATTATCGATAAGACGATGGTCCTCTCCATTGAACATTCGCATTCTCCTCCTGCGACAGACCGAGGCAGACCGTCGCTGCGGACCTTCGATATGACCAATGCAACAGTCCTTTCAAAGAATGAGCTGGAAATTCGCCTCCGGAACGAGAAACAACTGGTGGATGAGGGTGTCATCAAGGAGGACAATCCTCTTGACCTCAGCCTGCCATTTCGCCAACTCTGCGATGCTTGTCGGAAGGGCGACTTAAAGGTGTGTCAGGAGAAAATTAACGAGGGGGTTAATATAAATGCTCGGGACCCATATGATTATACTCCGCTTATTCTGGTGAGTGATCAGTTTTATGCCGTCTGATGACCAGATAATATGTCTAGATGGCTTCTGATGCGCCTGTGACTGGGTGAATTGACTGTGTCTTCGCATAGGCTAGTCTTTGTGGACATTTTGATGTGGTGCGACTTCTTCTTGAATCCGGTGCTTTGTGTGAGCGAGATACGTTTCAAGGTGAACGGTGAGATCTTGACTCCTTACTCTCAGCTCGACACCTCACTAACTGAAGTATGTTCCTGTAGATGTTTGTACAATGCCTTAAACGATAGAATACGCAATCTCCTTCTTGAATATGACTATTCCAAGTCTACAGATCCTCTTCAGCCACTAGCTGCTCACATCTCTTCGCTTCTGGCTCGAGACCATCCTGTGACGTCGGATATCGTTGTGGCCGCCGCCGACGAGTCGCTTCATCTGCACAAATTTATCCTCGCAGCGCGATCATCTTATTTCCGCAAGAAGCTAGGCGCGGCTCCAGAAACGCCATTATGGAAGTTACCGAGTGCTATTCCCCCACAGGCCTTTGGTGCAGCAATCAAATACCTTTACCTTGGAGAAGTACCTCACGATTTTCGAAGCGGACCCGGTACGGGATATACAGAATCAGACGTTCTGACAGGGCTTGACAAGATCGCCAGGACCTTGGAGATCGAAGGTCTCTTGGATACTTTAATTGCCAATGGGGATCGCAGGTTGACCAGGCAACGGAGAACGGCAGAAGTGGCCAAGGGCCAGCAGCAACTGAAGGAATGGTTTCAGCAGAACGTTCTTCAGAATAAGGTGGTCGTTGATATATCCAAAGCAAATGATGTGAAGTGGGATCGCAATAATGCGGTTTTCGCGGATGTCTTGCTTCGAGCAGACGAGTCACCGGAAGATTTGGAGGAAGAGAACGGGGAGGTACCCGAGATTGCAGAGCGTGGTGGCTCTATTCCAATCGGCCCTGCTGCAGCATCTGCAGTCAGTGTGGAAAAGGGTCGAAGTCGGAAATCGACACTCTACCCTTGCCATCGAGCAATGCTGCTCCGCTCGGAGTTCTTCAACAGCATGTTTTCTTCTACTTTCCGCGAAGCTCATGTGAAGGATTATTTGCACATCGTTCAGGTGGACTGCTCCCCCGAAGTTCTTGAAATCATCCTTACCTTCCTTTACGTGGAAGAAGTCATCATCCCGCTGGACCTGGCGGTCGATGTGCTCTTTGCCGCTGACATGCTTCTGATCGAAAAGCTGAAAACGAAAGCGGCGGTGGCCATCAGTATGGGCGGCAGCGGGAACATGTCTCAATCGGAAGCCTCAAAAACCAGGACGGCCAAGGAGGAAGAAGAACTGGACATCTACTCGATCATACGCGCGGCATGGTTAACGCGTATGCAGCGATTGGAGGAATTCGCCGCACGGTACATCGCGTACCATCTAGAGGCGCACGTTGACTCTGCCGAATTCGCAGAGCTTATCCGGGAATCTGCGGCGCGTATCCAGGGGAGACAGGAGACAGACTCGATTGAATTGTTGGATGACATCAGATACTACCTCGGGGAGCGATACCGGCTACGATTTGACGACGCGGGGCTCGAGGAGATGATGACAGGAAGGGAACAGGAGGAGGAGGAGGAGGAGGGAGGAGGAGGAGGAGGAGGAGGAGGAGGAGGATGGCGTTGGCCAGGTCACTAACGGAGTTGAAACGCTTGACGTTTCAGACGGTGATGCTGGCAGGCGCACGGCAGATAGTACTGTTCCTAGCACGACAGGAAAGGCAGCTCCAAGAACAGCGGGCCGCGGGCCTGACGTCAGGACGTTGGACGGACGAGTCGCGACGGACGAGTTCGCGAGGGACGCGACGAACTACCAGATCCTAATGGAGAAGCTGGACCAGCTTCTGGAGCGTCTGGGCTTGGAGGCATAGTCCAAGTCTATAGACACGTGACGACGATTGACGTACGATTTACAGGAGGACTACTGGCATTACGGAGTATATATATAGGATAGAGCTGAGCATGCGTTGAAATAGAGCACTTTTGATATACAGCTAGTCTTCTTTGAAAGTACCTGGAGTTCCTGCTGTCTAGGCGGCTGTCCAGGCTCCAGTTTCCCTTCACTTTCATCCTCTTTTGTTTCTCGTTGTGTTTCCTCATTCATCCCATCTGGCCATATCTGCAGGTCAATCTCTGCCTATTACTTCTCACCTGGTACTGATACAAGAAATGGGCCTCTCATTATCTCTTACCTGCCGAGCCTTTCCTGGGTGGAGACGCTGTCATAGGTAACTCATGCAATGCTAGTGATAATATGCAGATCTAGGGTTTCGCTGTCCCTTTCCACATACACAGCATGGACACCCTGATCCTGTCACTTCACCATGGAGACAGGATCTTAATTTACCGATTTCCCAGCAGATCATCCTGCCATTTGATCTCCACATGGACCGTTCAACATTTTCTGAAAGGAAAAACCTCGAACTCCTTCTCAACATTTCCCCTGATGCCCAGAGGATCGACTTTGACGAAGATGTCTTGGTGTACCATTTTGACTCTGACTACCTGCCACCAAAGCCATGGCCAAAGAAGATTGCTGGTGTACCATGTTATCTCACATCAGACGAATATTGATTGCCATCTAGTTTACATTGTGCACGACCTTGAGAAGATGATCTGATGAGCTTCCCTCTGTCTACGTGTGCTTCGAAGGTCGCATGAGACATGCCAACCCTTTATTCCTTTGAAGCCAGAGCCAAGTCCATAAGAACATTGTCGACACTTACTATCAGCGTCACTGTAGACGCTGTTATTCAAGCTAGAGCACGGCGCTGGAAAGCCTAGAGCCCCTGGCCATTGAAGACTTTGCGCTCTCTGAGGTTCTCTAGGTTCTCTTTCAAGTATTCGACTTTGAGCGGTGCGAGGGTGAGCGCGAAAAGACCGTGATCGTAGCTCATTTGATCTACAGATACAGTCCAGCTCTTTTTCAGGTGCTTTCCACTTCGTCATTGGTACATTCGCGCAATCTGTCTGCCGTTATATATACGTCCAAATCTGCTTACATTGCATTTGCAAACTGAAGCCGGGGGGGAGAGAGATCAAAGGGTTTCCACTACCATAAAATTTTGTTTTGCTATTCCGCTGCCGTTTTGGGCCACATGGGACGCCAAAAACAGCGGCTTTCAGCAACTATCATCTGCCACGCTCCCGCACTAGACCAGCAGACTTCCTTGACCCTACCTGCACAGAGATGAACAATCCATCAGCAGCAAAGGAAAGGGCTAGTACACCAATAGCCACATTGTGCCAAAAGGGAATTATGGGCAAGGTGGGCTGTTGTAGTGCCCTGAAGCAATAACTGGGATATCAATAAAAGACTGGCATGAAGTAGCCAAGAAGTTGTTAGTAGTAAGGACATGATCACGCCCCCAGCACCCTGAGAACTGGGATCTATACCATAGAGCTGTGCCAATTTGTTAGTACATGCTGAGAAATAGACAGTTGTGATGCCCTTCTGAAGCCATCTAGGATTCGTTCCGGAGGTCATCAGCAGATGATTCACACATACTACCAGAAAGGACTGGGCCGCAGTGCAGCTCTTGGGACTTGGCATTGACACATAGTTTCACAAGGTAGGATCTGCTAGTTGTGAGATGCCCAGGCAAACCTCGGAGTGTTGTCTTCTTTTGGAACATACAACGCCACGGTAGACTCCGCATGGTGCCATGAACATACAGGAGTGGCAGAGCGGCTTGGAATAGATCCACTTGATGGCTTTGCATGAGGTACTATTATTGTGACGGCGTGGAAAAACAAGTACTATATAAGTGAGTGCAGTATCAGGTCTTACGACCTGATATACTGGTCTTTTGCCGGTAGTGCAGCGGTTTAGTCCTTAGAATGCATCCTAGGAGCTAGGTCGTGACATGGATGTGAAGGTATGCCCGATCGCTGGTAAGGGCATAGGGCTAGGGCATAGGGCTAGGGCATAGGGCTAGGGCATAGGGCTAGGGCATAGGGCGCACAGAGCATATCCCATCTTCACTCTCCCGAATTCTTCCTTCTCGTCTTTCCCTTCCTCTCATGCTTGATTGTCTTGCTTGTCTGCCTGTATTTAGGAGATAGAGATAGTTATCATCTATTGTATCCTATTGGAACAGAAAAGAGACTTCACAAATTTAGGGTTTAACCTTAAATCATCCATCCGTTCCATTCCAGCCTTGGTTTATGTCGAACGGGTAGAGGCATGCCAAGGCCAGTCTCTACCTGGGCTGAGGCTTAACTAATACTATACTTATGCTCGCTGTGCTTTGAATGCTATATTCAACCATGAATATCTTTACAACGAGCTTGATTTTTTCAGTTCGACTTTTGGTAAAATTATAGATTATGTATTAATATAGCTACTACTTTGGTTCATGGGAAATTATAAAGAATTGGCGGATAATAATCATGGTTGAGGTAGCTGTCATTTGTAGCACCTAATATATATATGCACCCTATATGTACTTTTTATTCTAGCACCACAGAGACTTTCCCCTTTAAGATACCACCACTTTCAAGAAGTACTCAGGATGACACTCAGTGCATATTTCTCATCATCAGTGAGTACCCCAGTGACCAGTTACATGTCACCATGGGCTTGTTCACCACTTCTCTTTGCGTAGGTAGCTTAACAACATCATCAGCCCATTTTCAAATTACCTTGGCTCACCAATTTAGTATGAGGCCTGCAGTCTTGCGAGCGCACGCCAGGCCAGTCAGGGATCGAGTGGCTTGGATACAAAGCAAGATAGCTATGATATACGAAGGAGAATGCATGTAGCGAACGTAAGTCTAGCCTTACTACAGAGAATAACCGCTGGCCTCCCTAGAGATTGCACCTGCCAAAATAGGAGGTTCATGGGAATGTAGACTAAGATATATATTATCCAGTATATAGCTTCATAGAGCCATATCGCTGCTCTAGCTATAGCATCAATTAATTATATTCCCCCCTGACAGCTTGACTCCCGTACTTACCAACCAAGACCCCTTCACATCTGGCACGCCCCCATCCCTTCAGCACAGGCTCTCTCCTTGCCAGTGTAAGTCTTCCGTATCGCGTCAAGGTCCTCAAATGCAGCATGCATGCCTGGAACGACTCTGGGTAGCATGGCCAGTTTCCCCACCTCAGCGAGCCACCAATATCAGTATTGGACGGCTCGTAGATGATGCCCTGGGTTCTGAAATATCCGTATCTTGCGCCATGGATGAATTAATTCCTAACCCGATATGAAAGAAAAGCAAAGAGTAGGACAATGATGTCGAGAAAAACGACGTCAAGCACGACTCAGTAACATAGAAGCGACCGAGGAGGGCAGTGACGAAGCTAGCCACATAGCTCATCACAGCCACAGGTGTACACCTCCTACATTCACGAATACCCACATCGAACTTGGCCAGGTGCGAGAAGAGGTCTGCCCGCCAGTGGTAATCCAGATAATCCCCCATGGACCGTGGCAAGACAAGGGATTCCCAGTACCAAAGGCGTTGAGGCCTACAGCGGCTAAAATGTGTCAAGAACGAACGAAGAACAGCGTTCTAAGTGGTTCTTGGAGCCGAAGACCCCTGGATCAGATGGAGAGAAAAGATATCGACTGATCAGCAGCTGCACAAGAATGAATGGGGTAACACTAAAGGATGCCAATATTACCCCTTCAGCAGATGAATTCGCAGAAGAATATAGCGATTCAATGCGCAAAATAACCATATCCGAGTGTGGTGGAGCCGGAGGGTATAGAGGGATTGAGGCTCTTAGGGTGGCGGGAGGCGCCGAAGAACCTGTATGAGATGATAGTTATTGAACGGGATTCACTGTTGGGATCAGTGAAGTTGAGAAGGGAGGTGCCGCAGAAAGTGAATGCTGGAGAAGTGAATGGGATGAGCTGAAGGATAATAGGGAATGAGGATCCCCCTCCTTAGTCTTTTCCCTCTTCCTACTCTCCAACTCACCTACTTGATAATTACCACCTCGTTGGAGCGTTCTCGATCGCCAGAAAGCGCCTAAGAAGACACCACAATATGATGAGAGACTCTGGAGACGATGATGAATCCCAAGGCCAAATGACGCCACGGCGAACCCCTACGCCAGGGAACCCCCTTGTCTTGCGCCCTTCGGCCGCTACATCGCAACCAGTGACACGTCTTCGATTGCGGAGCACCCAGCAGAATGAGCATACCTCTGGTATGGCAGATCAGGATACCGAAAGCAAACCCACGCAAGGTGGAGATCAGCAGGAGGATAAGAGAGCTTTGCATGGACGTCATACCAGAGGTCTAGCTGTGCCTCAAAGCCAGATGATCAATCTCACGCCCGGGAAGGCTAGGCAAGAAGTAGTGCCTTCAGTGGTGACGCCTGGGGTGGATCTGACTCGCCAGGGAGAGCTGCGGGCTCGCATGATCCGAGACTTGGCCAGGACTGACCCCGTACGCGCATACCTCCAAGGGCTGGCATATTTGGAAGAGGGAATGGCACTAAGAGAGTCCGCGCATGGATTGGTCATACCGGTAATTGAGGAATGTTCTAAAGTCCCTGGGTTTGACAAGATGCGGAAAGCAGATATCTCGCGCTGGAAACAGGCCGAAGGGATAAAGAAAGAACATGAGGAGACAACACACAAGGTCCAGAAGGCTTGGGAAGCAGTTGAAAGGAACTGGGGGCCAGAGGTTTTTGGTACCCTTCGCCCCCTCGCGAGGCATTACGCCTACGCTGCAGCCTGCCGAAAGATGTCGAGGAGTTATTCCTGGGCAACAATAAGAAATTGCAGCCACCTATGCACTCTGCGTCGAATCCAGGGGGCCAACAAGAATGTCGAGAGCCAGTACTATCAAACAGTGGCGACTGATATTCAAAATGCCGAGAAGATTTGCAGACTGGAGGGGCCACCAATGCTGGTGGAGGAGGAGGAATTGCATGCCTGGCGGCTGTACCAGCGGGATGACGGGCTTCTGGCGCAATTGACAGAGTTTCACCTCCATCTCATACAAGCCAAGAGGAACTCCCAAGGAGCAGAGGGCCGCCATGTCTCAGGTATGGTGAAGGGAAGCGAGAATGTGCGCCCACAATCAATCCCTGAAACGCAAGACTGGACCGAGCCAGGAAGCGAAGACCCTAACGCCACGGAGGAAACTGATCTCATGGATTGCCGGGAGGACACCACAGATGGGCCTACCCCAGGTACAGTAGTCATTCGCACGCAGGATCAACTACAGGTCCGGATGCCAGGGGCGACCTGGACCTACCAGTTGAACCCGCACACGAGGCGCTTGATTGAAGAGGCCATGGAACGGGTTTTGATGCAGGCAGGACTACAAGAAGGGGCCCAACCAGGGGAGGGCCGCACCTTGACATCATTGATTGAGAGGAGTCGCGTCGAGGAAATAGAGGGGCGGCTGGAAGATGAAGGGGAGGAGTCTGCTGGAGAGGAGGTTGTCATCACACAGGGATTCACACCCGTGAATTGTCCCCAGGCGGCTCCTCGCCGTCGCAGGAGCCGCGACAGAGTGTACCGCGCCCCTCATACTACAAAGCGCAGGAAGACGGTTCAGGATGGCAAACAGGGGGACCCAGGTCTGGAGGGCGAAAACAATGAGCACGCCTCAGGTATGACGACAATGTCGATAGAAGAATTGGAAGGAATCATCTCAGCCGTTGTCCCTGACTCAGAAAACTTGGCATTTGAAAGGAACGCCCAGGCTGCCGAAGAGCGAGAGCTGACCACACGCCAACTGGGAGCGGAGCTAGACGACTTCATTGAAGCGCAAGCAGAAAAGGTGGGAAGGGAGGCAAGTCTGGACACCAGGGGAGTACGGGAGCGCCTGGAGCACCTGATTCATGGGGAGAAGGCCTTCCAGGGTCGGGACAATGAACGCGAGAAGGTGCAGTGGGGATCAAGGGATACTGTGAAGGGGTGGTATCAGCGAGAAAGAGAGTATCGAGCTGGAGGCGAAGCACCGAATGGGGAGTCAGAAGGGACGGCTACCTGCAAGGGTTTGCCTCGAGGGAAGGTCCTGCACGTTCAAGATGACGCCCACAGGGCAAGCCCAAGGGCCTCCCTCGAAGATATTGCCGATGAGACTGGACTTGAACGGTTCTACATTGAACGGGACCCTGAGGCTGGAGACTGGAAGGTTTACGAGATCGCGGGGTAGGTGTGAGTTGTGACGCCCTCGCCGAGGGGGCCCTGGGAAGTTTCGAATGCCGTCAACAATAACAATTTCTGTGAGTTCATTGTAGAAATCTTCACCTTCTCCCTGAGCAACCGATCGAAGAACTTCAATTGGCCATGGAGGCTCAAAATTCTTGTATCACCTGATTGACCGCGAAGTAGGGTTCAGCTCGCAGTTGTAGATTCCTCTCCAATTTCAGTGAGGTTATGCTTATACCATTTTCCAGGCTCACCAAGAACACCTTTGCTCCTGTCAATCTCCTCTTTACTCAGTATCCTTGTCAGAGCACGAGATCAATGTTTGTGGGAACTCCGTGGCATTCCTGACTTGCCCAGCCCGCTCAGGAAAAGGTACAATGGCGTATTGTTCTTATCCATTGATCTGTAAGGTATGCCTGGAAATATTCCCTACATGGAAAGACAAGGCACTGCAATAGATCCTTATTGCATGCTGGCTGGCTATGTGAGTTCATTTTCCACTTGATCCTGCCTGATGATGGCCTAGGGCTGCGTCTGTAGTCTCTACTGTATAAAGCAGACGAAAGTCTTCTCATTGGCTTTTGGGCATTACCCCCTTCGCCGGCGACGAAGGCGTGCATGGATGCTTCTTATCCATAGACTGGCGTGTAACCTTCTTGCAAGGCCCGTAACAAACCCCTAGAGCTGGGTGCATTTTATTGAGGCTACATCTCGCCGCTGCTCACTCTAATTAAGGATTGCCGCGGGCCGCGGGCGATCATTTTCGGTAACATTAAGCGATCTTGGCTCGTTTAATCATTATACATTTCCTCCACACACCTTTTATTCCTGAGTAGATCTGGGCAAGGGGTCCTGTCAACCGTATGTATTATGCTCATATCCGTTCAATCAAGGTTTCGTTTCTTTTCGTCTGTTTTGCCGCTTCTGGATGCCTTTCCGACGGTTTTTTTGCTTTTTGCGCTTCTAGGTACGGAAAGTTTACCAGTTATACTTTACTTTTATTTTTACACTTTGCACTGGGTGCATGGTATGGTATGGTATGTTATGACTGTATTGTTCGTTCCACTTGTCCGTCTTATCCACAAACCAAACGCACACCGTGCCAGGTTGGATCGAATCTGCGGTGCTCGGAGTATATTTGGCCGAAAAAAAGAAAAGGCCACGAATTGGGTCTGTCCTCGTATTATTATTTGTGAGTACAAACCTTAGTGATAATAACCCGAAAGACTCTCCGAACAACCCAGGCATTACTTGACTGCTCCATAGTCCATAATAATATCATCATCATGATCCATTTATGGGCCTACTATGGAGTGCATAGGAACTACTACCGTTAGATGGGGAGCCAGTGAGCGGGCGGCTTCACTCCGACTCTGCTTACCGTGCAACTACGGACATCCGGACATACGGTTCACGTCTGATTGATGGGCCGACGTGGGTGCTAATGTACGTCGTCGGAGATAGCAGAAGGTAGAACTCATTCAAATGATACATATTGGCTGACAATGTATATATGTATCGTAAGATATATGTATGCACTTTTAAGTTCTAATGAAACCAGTCGTTTGAACTTTCCATGAAGCCAATTCGATTCAATTCATCCCATCCAATAAAATAACTCCGAGGAATACCTAATCCATGGACACTGGGAATCCATTCAACCCATCCAGTAGTAGTCTTGTTGCGCCTAGCTAGCTGGCTGGCTCTGGTAGCCAGAAGATCTATACAGTCTGTGTCAAGTGACGAAAAATGTATGTACGAGAAGTATGGTAGATGTAGTCGAAGTGAAGACTAGACCAGGTCCTTGCTGTGTCTGTCGATATATGAGTTTGTCTGATCGATCAAATCAAACGTAAGATACGAGCAAAATCGGCATCGCAAGTTCGTCGCGACCTGCACGAGCGGGTTCAATGTTCAGTTGCCGCACGGGTTTCGTCCGGAGTAGCCGTATCGTTATTCTCTCTCGGTGTGATTCCCTGAATATGGGGATAATGTAGCGGATTTTGAATTCATGCCGAAGTAACGCATCCGTAGAAATAAAATCACACCAAAGACCGAGCAGGATGACACCCCCGCTCGTGCCGCTTCATATTGCTCCGGACGCTGAAACTCTTCCCGCAGCCGGCATGGGTGCATCGGAACGGCTTCTCGCCCGTGTGGCTATGCGAGTGGATGCGGAGGCTAGACGGGCGCGAGAACGCCTTATTGCAGACGCGGCAGATATACCTGTCCTGCGGCTGCTGGTAAGGCGCCGCCGTGGAAGGCGGGAAGTAATGATGATGCTGCTGCTGCTGTTGCTGTTGCTGTTGTTGCTGTTGCTGTTGCTGTTGCTGGGGCCAGGTCGGTGTTGTCACCGGTACCACTGCCGGTGGTGGTGGGATGCCGGTGGCGGTGGTGGTGGGGGGCTGCTTTGGCTGTGCGGCTTGGTAGAAGTACACGGAACCGGATGCGGAGGAGTCGACGGGGGATGTGTAGGAAACTGTGCTCAGCGCGGGGGATGCGTACGGTGGTGAGGGTCCAGAGGGGGCGGTTGTAGAAGACGGACTGGACAGAATGCGGGATTGGTGATGTGGATGGACATATAGATCATGGCTCGGCGCAGAGGCGGAGGTAGTCGTAGACGAAACTGAACCCCGCGACACTGATGCCGAGGGAGAATGCGGGTAGCTCTCGCGACGGTCATGGAAGCGCGAGTCCGCACGCTGTGGTGGTGGCGTTGGGGGCACGCGGGCAGGAGAAGGAGGGCTGATGTCTTGGCTCAGGGAATGCCCTCGAGAGGATCTGCCTCGGTTTGGTCTGTGGCGTTCTATGCAAGTTGTTAGCCGGGATGTCTCCAACGGGAAGCGGGAAGAAGAACATACTGGCTGCAGGCAAATCATCGGCGGCCTCCAGCAGGCTGGAGATAGAAGGGAGGGAACACTTGCGCTGGTCTTCCACCGGCGGAGACAGAGGAGCCTGGGGGGAGCGTACGTAGGAGGATGGCGCGGGCACGGCGATGGAGAAGTAGGAATTGGAAGGGGCCTCCAAGGCCGTTGGAGGGGTGTAGTCGGAGATCATACACGCGAGGTCCATGACGTTGGACCGTTTACAGAACGGGGTCTGAGTGAGGGTGCACATGCTGACGGTGATCCGGAGAACGTGAAGCAGAAGACAGGACCAGAAGACGAGAAGGGAGGCAATGTATGTATGTATATGCAGTGCTCGACGGTGGGGGATGCACGGTAGCAAAGCTCGTAATTATAACGAGGGTCATCAAATCCACAGCAGTCCGGCGGGCGGATCAGCCGACACGAACAGGGTTGCTGATCAAACTAGGTTGGCGTGGATGAATATAATAATAATAATGATAACAATAATATGATACCCTGTTACCGGTGTCCTGGAGCCGGTGGGAATCAAAAACAGGGGCGGGGGGAGATGGATCTGATTGCGTCGAGATCTCGGTTTCACCCATTCATACTATGTACTAGGACTAGGATGTACACCTGTCGATCGTCGGAACGCTTAGCCCTAGTTTACCACTGCCTGCGGACTTAGTAATTTCAACGAGTCCAGACTGAAGATCCTCTTGACAGATCGCCTGCGAGCCCAATCGGGTTGCCCAACGCCCAATTTCCGGGACTTCACGGAGCCCTTCCACACTTGCGGGATGACTGCAAGTGAGCGCGGCGCGGGAAGAGGATCACCGTGCTGATACTGATAAAACAGACGATAGCCGCTTCATCAGCATTACTTCATCCGTGGCCAAGCCGAAGTTTAATTGCTTCGTTGGGACTGTTCCAACTAGCCGATTCAGAGGCCATTCTCCAGGAGTCACCATCCACGCCGTTCCACGACCATGGCATGGGGTCTTTAGGTTGCGGCTCGGTTCTCGTAGAGTCTGCAGATACCATAGAACTGTTGCATTGTAGAACAGAACAAGGAAGAGCAGTCGGTCCCAAATCTCCCCCGTCCCCCGTCCCCCGTTCCCCCGAAAGCCCGCAATGCTAAGAATAGATCCAGATCGGCCACTGGCGGATGATCGTCGCCCAACCGCAGCGCTTCTGCTCTCCCGCCGACTACCGCTTCCGGCAATTTAGTCGGCGTCCGGCGCTTAGATCACCGGTCTTATCTAGCCCTAACCCTCTAACCAAGGGCTCCAGGCTCTCTAGGCTGACAGCCTAACCGGGTAACCCACTGCCGACCGTATAACGCGTAACGAGAAGCTCATCGTGCAACGCCAATCACGATCTGCCCTTCACCTGCATCCCCGGGGCCATTGCTTTCTGCAGAGCATATTATTACGCTGTCTCGATGATAACCAGGCCCCCGAAATAAGCAGTAAGATGGAGAACACACCACTTAAATCAGGTTGTAACCCCCTACCGTTGCATTGATCCGTCGCTGATTCATCCTCCTATCCAATGTCCAGGGTGGTCGTTGATCTTGAGCATCAATTCAATGATCTGCGGTGGCTTTTGTGCCGGAGCTATGAAAATAATATAACATTTGATGTGACGGCTGGGGGAAATACGATGCTTTTTTTCCTGCTTCTGAGCCGGGTTTGGATTAAGTCCTTCATTTTGATTCGGGGGATATCAGACAGCATAGAAAGTATGCTGTCCACTGTCCAGAGTACAGGACTCAGGAGTACATGGCTCAATGAGGTTGCCACGGTTGCATGTAGGGGTAACATTGACAGCGTTGCATATCGTCCAGCAGAGTCCACCACCCGAATCCTTCCCAACTATCGAGCATCCGGTTGGACAGTTCACGTGCAGCATGGCCTTTTACATCGTACGCTTACAAGCCTACAAGGACCTCTCTGTATCACTGCGCTGGATGGAATAATGGTGCTATCATGTCACCCCTGAAAATTGGGTTGGGCACTTGTCAGTCAGTTAATACCCGGGGTATTATTATTGCACTCGGTAGATGAAACTGGAGTCGGTACTTTATTCTAGATAATAACGTTCCAGAACATATAATTGCTACTCCTACTCCGTACATACTGCATCTACATAGTACATGTAAGCTGCCATAATAATAGTAGTATCCGGAGTATTCCGTATAGTCATGTACAACCTCAGACCACTCAGGCCCATGCGCAAAGGAGTCAAATCTAAATTATTATATGTATACCTAATGTATTAATATTATATTGTATCTAATTAACCTCCTCCAGGATTCGTAATTCATCGGTAATCATCCACGTGTTGGGAAATAGCAGTAATTAGCCCTTGATATTAATCACTTGCGACGGGGTATACTTCTCTCCGTACTCCGTGGACACTCCGAACTATGACCATAGTGAGCTACCCTATATGGTATGTAGTATGTACCTTCTGCGAGCTGTGCTTGACCAGTGCTTAATCCTGATAGAAAGGGCTTACGAACGCCTCACTCTTTACGTCGTACAGTGCACTAAACTCACTACTGGTCGATCTCATTTACAACCTGGTTGCCAATTTTGGGTAGGAGATGATCTACCGCATACACTACTTACTTCGCTCAGGATTGCTCCGTATCCGCCATTTCAGATAGCCTGTGATGGTTTGTTGAGGTGTTGAGGCTGTAGCGGGCTACTTGTCCAAGCCAGAATCCTGAAAAAAGAGAATAGGATTCACCCTTACAACGCAACGCTGTATACAGACTTCGTTAATATACAACGACGTAGATATTCATACCTATGCTTTACACTCCTATAGTCCGACATCTGTTCTATCCAAGATTCGAAGAATAGAATCCCATCTCCACGTAGTGGCAAATCCCAAAATGAGCCACGCTTGCGAGCCGCAAGGCACAGACAAGGCCTTGCCAGTGCCATGACATAGGAGATCTCTCCTCGCTCCCTTAAAGACCACTTTATGAATAACGTGTCTATGAGGCAGTTCGCCTTCTATGGGACATGAGCATAAGCATGAGTCCTCCAGGGGCCCACAGTCATACAATAGTGAGGCAGACCTTGTATTTGCCACAGTATATCCGATCAGGTGTTCTCGAAAGAACCCCCAGCGAGGATTGAACGGGATTTGAAATAACCACCCAAACGCCGAATGAAATGCCCTGTCGCTCGACTGCATAGAGGCGAGGAGGGGCAAGGCGAGGAGGGGCAAGGCGAATGAGAGGCAAAGGATGCACCGTGCAGGTTGAGCTGCTGGAGCATGAGGCAACTGCGTCTTCGTCCTTGAGAATCGGGCATTGTCTGCCTACCGTCTGTCTTGATCTTCGGAGGAAGAAGGGCAATGGAATACTGGTAATCTCTTTGTATCAGTCTCCGCAAGCAGAGGGTATACTCCAAGGAACCCTGCCATAGGGTATATGCACTCTGAATGTTGACCTCAACGAAGTCAACTGGCGAACAATGAGCATTGAGTACGGAATGAAAAGACCGGAGGCGATCGACATCTTTCAAGTTGCCTGGCTCTTGGTCTAGCACGTAAGTAGAATACTACAGCTCCAGATTAAAAGGAAGCACGGAAATGCCGGTTGGCGCTCTTGTTGGTCTTTTTGACTGGGCTTAGGCCAGTCCAAGCGCAACTAGTGTGCTTGGTATTCCATTCATTATACTGTACAGGGAAAGTCCTCTGCCTATTTGCGCTCCAGGATATCAAGAAGATATATATATACATTCATCCAAACGCATGCAAGGTATCATTAAAATCTTCAAGTCAAGCAGAAACACCCACACCTGCATTACCGCCACGCATCTCCAGAGCCCTGCCCTTCCCCTTGCCGGCGATTTCCCGCATCCGCCTGATTACGCGACCGAAATCAACCAGGTCATAGTCCTCCGGCATGTGCTCACCACTGACGATACACAGGACCTTCATGCCGGGCTTGTAGGCCAGCCCGTTGAGCAATTTAGGCGTAATGAGGAAGTATTGCCCGCCCCCGTGACCTCCATTTCCAGTTATACTGTCACCGCACGCGATATCGACCAACCGTTCATGAACCATGCGCTCGTTTCTTGGGTCCATGCCCTGGTTGATCTCGTCAACGACCCGGAATGGCGATGCAGAAAGTGATTGCAATGCCATCAGATAGAAGATGGTGCTGACAGCTCGTTCTCCTCCAGACTGGCGATGCGAATCAAGTAGTGACAGATTTTCGTTCTCGCGGAATTTGACATGGATCTGGATGGACCATTGTTCAAAGTCTGGACCATCCTCGTCCTCTGGTTTGTCCAACGACACCTGTCCAGCGCAGCCAATGCGAGCAAACGAGTCAGAAAAGGCATCACTAATCTTCTGTACCAGGGAGTCAAGCTTCGGTTCCCATGTCCCACGGACTTCATCAATAGCCTCCTGAAACCCATTCAGGCTGTTCTGGAAGTCTGTGAGCTTGCTGCGGAGCGCCGCAATATGCCTCTCACGCTCTTCAAACTCCTTGATCACGTTGCTATTACCGCCCTGCGTAAGCTCCAGACGTGCTTTTTCAGAATCGATATCGGCATCAAGCTGATCCATAGTGTGGTTCGCCAGGGTTGGAAGTAACTCCTTCAGTTCAGGATGGTTCTCGGCAATTGAACCGGTAACTTTGCGCGCCTCATGTAGGAGTTGTCTTCCGAGCTCTGATGCGGCCTTAGAGTTCCGTGATGCTTCATCCAGCTCAGCCCGTTTCGCATCTAACCGTGCACGGTACTCGGAATTACGTTCACGTAGTACTTCAAGATCGGAAAGAGCCTCAATATGATGGACTTCGAGTTTGACAAGTTGCTCGTATTGTTGACGGAGCTCCTCAACAGATTTAGCATAATCCATAGCCGCTTCGGCCTTTTCGATCGAGATTTGATCTTGCTGGTTGCGGATATCGATGACTCTTGTTTTGATCCGCTCGAAAAACCTCTCCACGTCTTTCTTCTTGGATTCCTGCTGATCTAGAAGGGGTCAGAATAATTGCCACTGCAATAAGCCCACAGAACACTTACTGATCTTCTCGGGGATGGCCTTGTAGTTAATAAGGGCCGTCTGCTTGGCAGATTTCTCCTGCTCGACCTCAATCTACACATGAAAAAGGGTTTTAGCTTCAGGGCATCTTCGGCTGACAATGACAAAAACATGCATACCCGTTCTCGGTCCGTTGCTTGATGCTCTCTCCCTAGCCGAGTAAGTAGCTCCTTATCAGCATCAATTTTCTCCTGCACTTCATTCAACTCTTGTTTCCATGTGTGGATATCTGATTCCAATTGTTGCTTCACGGATGCGTCGACTGGTTGGGACGTCCAGATTTTTGCTGGCCGTACTTGCCTGACGCGAGTAGACACTGCACCAGGTCCATATTCTCCTCGTCGAATGACCTGGTAGCTGTGCTTCCCGGCAATCCAAGAACTAATTGGACCACTTTCCATTCTGTTGTACTCCGTATCTGAAATATCTCGCAGTGTAACAGGTGTTTGATGCAATCGGTTTTCACTGCAAAACATCGCCAAAACAGGTTCTGGACCGCTGAGGAAATCTTTCGCCCAGCCCTGAAAACCAAGTGCTTTGAGCTCCTGTTCTGACATAGGAGGCTGGAATCGCTCCAGAGGGACTGAACATGTTCTGATGGCGACGTCCGAAAGCCGCAGTTCAGTATTCAAAGCCTTTTGCAAGGTTCGGAAGTCCTCTTTGCTCTGGGTTGTGAATACAATGAAATCTGTCCTCTGAAACAATGACTCTACCACATCAGCATACTTTGGATCTTTTACAGAGCAACAGACAATTGGCGGACCAAAGACTTCTTTTTCAAATCGGTCCTGATTTTCCAAAAGCCACCTGTACGCTTTCAGTGAATCTTGGGATAAGTTCTCGAGCTTCGCTTCTTGTCGGCCAGTTTGGGAATCCATGTTCGTCAAACGTTGCTCCGCTTGCTTTATTTGACCTGATCTCTGATTCAGTTTATCCATAAGCGGCCGTTTCCTATCCTTTATCTCCTGTGCTCGGGTCTCCAACTCTCTCATATGCCGTCGTTTTTCTCTCTGCCGCAAGATTAGCACATTCTTCAATTACATCCCATGCATAACTTACAATTTTCTCATTATAAGAGTCGATATCAAGCTCTACCGGCTCCTCGTTCAATTGACGCTTGAGCTTGTTGATCGTTTGAGTGATTTTGCTCGCCTCCTGTCTGTGATTGAGAAGACTCTTTTTTTCAGCATCAATTTGGGAGTTGAGATCTTTGATTGAATCCTCGTATTGCTCAATATTCTTCGCGAGTTGAGAAGCTGCCCCATCTGCATTCTCAACTATCCGTTTTTGGTGCTTGACAGCTTCATCTAGCTTCCAGGTGTAGTCTTCTTTTGCCTTAACCTCTTTCAAAGCAGGTTCCAATGCCTCTTCTAGCTCTTTACTTTCACGTAAGACTCTCTCACGATTCTGTTTGGCAGCTTTCACTACTGCATGATGGTCCTTGTACCTCACAACAGGGCGAGATAACTCTAGCAATTGGATTTTTTTCTTGATCTGTGCTCGCTGACGCATTCTTTCGACGTCTGATCTCTGCATCTCTTGCCGACTTTCCAAATTCGCGAGCAAGTCCCTATCACCCTTGTTGTCCAGCTGCAATTTCTTCTGCTCTGCCCTCAGTTTCTTCAAGTCGTCGTGGAACTTGACCATTTCTGGACCAGCGGCGGCTCTTTGCGTAGAGTGAAGTAGCTCCACCGGCGTAAGCGCCGCGAATTCGCTTACTTTATCCTGAGGAAGGAACTGGCACAGGTTATCGATCTGGATCGAGAATGACTGAGCAAGCTTCAACACCTGAGCACGGGAAGCAGTTTGCCCATTCACAGTAAAGGTGCTTTTGTTGCCATCGCGCTTGATGGTACGGCACACTACCGGGTTCCGACGATGTTTCGGTGATCGCGCAAGCTCAATTTCGATGGTAGCTTCTCTGCAACCGTGTTTTACGAATTCGCCAGGATCCTTAGCTCGTCCTAGGTGCTATTCGACAAATGTGCAGATTGTTAGCAGCCGTTTCACGGGTATCAGTCGTAGACTGTCCAAATTATTCGGGGGAAAAGATACCTGCGGTCCCCATCCTAGACCCAGACAAATCGCGCAAACCAAGGTGCTCTTCCCGGTACCATTCGGCCCAATAACCATGTTCAGCTTCGGCCCTGGGAAGAATTCGGCAGAAGTATAGGTCACAAAGTCCGTAAGCTTGATCCTGACAATAGAACCAGGCTTGTACCCGTTCACCTCAGATGCAAGACCATTGGTGAGCGACGAAGATTTCCCCGCTCGCTGGGTGCTTGTCTCCTGCGTACTATCCGTCTGCGTCACGCTACTACGCGTAGTTATGGCTTGTGACGTGCTGTAGATATCCTCATTGTCATCGTCGGTATTGACAGATTCTTCTTCCTCATCATTACTTTCGGGGGATGATTCCACTCGAGGGCGTTTGTTACTGTTACGGGTACGATTTGGCGTCTGAGATTGAGACGACGGCATAGACTGTGCTGGAGTCTCGTCTTCATCATCTTCAACCCGCCGTCGTCGACGATGTGGAACAGTTGCAGAAGAAGACATGTCTTATAAGAAATCAAAAAAGAAGCCGCAAGCGGCTCTTCTTTTAGGGTGCTGCAGATACCAGAGCAGTCTTGATTCAAATGGATAATAATAATGAGACACGATCAACGCGACGCGCGACCGTTGGCGAGAGACGTCGTTAAAAGTCCGACCCCGGTAGGCGGTCTGGGATAGCAGTAAATAAAGTTTCTTTTCGCGGGAAAACAAAACGTCAAAGGGAACCTTCGGCCGATGATGGAAGTGAGCCTGGTGGCAGCAACTAGGAATTCATATCGCGATGGTAGCGGTTCAGAATGTGCGACGTCTCGTTTTAACCGGGGCAGTGGTTTCTGTAACCATTGCAGGATCGCTGTATGGCGCAGGGTTGAAGACTGAGCAGGAGGCCACCCAGGTATGTTATATGCGCCATATATACACGACTGGCATTTTTTTTGACCGGTTGATTTTCTTTATTCCATTTATATACTTGTTTAATTAGATAATGGAAAAGAGTGTTCGCTAATACCTATGACGAAAAAATAAAGAAAACCCAAAAGCGTCAAGAAGCCACAATCGACGAGCGAATTTCATCTCTCCAAACCATGAGGGCAAGCCTGACAACCAAGAAAGAAATGGTCGAGAAGCAGATTCAGGACTTGGATGCAAGAATTGAGGCAAAAAAGGAAAAGGGCTTGGGTTCTGCCAATAAGCCTTGAACGACGTGATGGGGCTAGACCGATCAATTCGAGGATCGATCACCAGCAATTCATGTTCTCAAATGAAGGTACGCTCTTTACTATACACATACGCGTGACAGTATTACCTCATTAGCGCTCGTGATTATTGATCACCGCTAAATTAGAGCAGAAACTGGTGGGTAGTCAACAGGTCTTTACGGCGAAGCAAGGACCCTGCTACCCAGTCAATGGGAGGATTTTGACTCGTTCCCATACTTTAATACTCTGTCAAAGGTGCCTTGCAAATCCTCATAGAACATCTAAGGATTGCTTCTGGTGCTCTATCTACTCTGCTAAAGACAGCTGCCCAGTAAGCAGCAGCGGCAGTTCCAACACCGCGAATTACAGCAGTTAAGAGGCTGCCATATCATGGCCTCCGTCTATATTTGGATAGTAAAGTTTGCAAATGTTTCGAAAGGTTCGTGGCTTGACGGAATAAGATAGCTACTCTTGAAAGATCCTGTTAGCTAGGGACTTGGGAGAAACTGTTGACCCCATATTCAAACCAAACCTTACAGAAGACTTGTTCAGCGAGCCTGTCTTTTGGAAGTCAATAGCAATAGATAGATCAGTCTACAAATTAGAAAAGTACACTATGAACTAATTCTGGCCGGAGATCACTATTAAAGAGGTGTTCATAAATATCTCGCTATGTGGGATATCATCGCAAAAGCGAAATCAAAGAGTGACTTGCCCACCATAAGATTAAGGAAATATAGACACGATAGATATGCTATCCAAAAGCGTAACCCAAATTATCCCTCGATCCCTGCAATAAATGCGTATAAGCATTTGACATTCCGTCGTTCAACATAAAATATCCATATTCGCTAATTAGACAGAGCATGCCATCATGATATCATCAAAAAGAAATTATGTTAGTGTATCAGAAGTCCAGCACCCCACGCGCGAGCGCAGAAATGCTAGCTTCGTACCTGGCCGGATTATGGTCGGCGAACATGCCCGATCCAAATCTCAATTCCCTGAACCAGGTTTCGACGCTTCGAACATATTTTAGCTGTACTCTTGTAGCTGGTCGACCTAACTGCGGATATGGTTCACCAGCAGGTCGACGGGTGAAAGCATCGCGTTGGAGAACGCGTACTGTTTCGACGACCAATACTTCACCCGGTGGGACTAGTTTCGGCGCGCACATTTCCTCTCGAAGCATCTTGAGGGTCTTCCAGGCCCAGGCATCTTCGCCAACGCCATCACCAGCTCTAAGGGCATAGGAGGTTGATCGACGTAAAACTTATTGATGATGCTTTGTCGGAGTCCATCAAAGAAGCGATTGCGTATTTGGGATTTGGCGCCGGAGGCGTCTCCTTTAAACGCAACCGAGACGGCGTGCATGTCATGCAGAATACCCAAGGAAAGACTAGGTACCACATCCTGACCATTGATGACGGTTGTAATCAACCCGCGAGTCGCACGACGGAGAAGGGGTGACATGACCGCCGGCGGGCCGTACGCATAAACATGAATGGGACGACCAGGAGGCAGGAAACAGGTAGCCTTGGAGCGATATTCACCATTCGCCGACGGTAGCATAGGCCGCAGGACAGACTCGTGAGATGCGGTGACAAAGGACGTGCCCGACGCTTCGTCGTTGGGTACCGAAATCATAGTAGCGAGAAGCGCAGCCACACCACCTCCGAGGGAATGACCACAGAACACCACACCGTAGTCTGGGTATTCGTCCAAGGCAGCTTTAATTGTAACTAGGACTCTTCCACCCCCGCCCTGTAATAAACGCCTCGCAGAGGCATGCATGCCCTTGTGTACCTTCCAATTTCTTCCCAGCCATACGAGGTCGTCGTAGTCACAAGTCATATCTGTGAGGATGTCTTCAAAACCCCACGTTCCCCTAAGGGCCAGGACAACAGCTTTAGATTCGTGGTCTAGGCATAAATAGTGGACGAGAGGAAAACCTGTTTCAGTTTCTCCAGCAGCATTGGTGCCACCTTCCGGGTCAACAAATGATGACAGCAGGATGCTAGATGGGGGCAATCCAGCATAGTTCGAAAAAGCACTGTGCTCATGCTTATCTGATCCTTTAAGGTGGAAAGTCTTGGTGTTGGTGGTCGGGCGAACCCCCATTACCTTGAGAGCACTAGGCCCGTAAGACGCAGAAGAAAATCGACAGAATCGTCGGATGTTCTGCACAAGATGCTTTTCGGGGAAGATACCGGGAAATGAACCGTCGCGCTGGAGGTCTTGAATTGTTTCCATATCGTCGTGAACAATGCTTTGGGGACGAGGAGCGAGAATAAGAGAGCTCTCCGACCCTGCCGTCGCCAACGAATATATACTATGGGAAATGGAGTTAGATCTTCGCTGGCGGGTGCTCGGACCGTGATCGTTACTGATAGAGACAGTCATTTCCGTCTCCGATCTAGTCACTGACATAGCACTGCTGCTGCGTATATGGCTTCTGGCAGTACCGGACGATCCCGGAAGCATATCCGCAGACAGTCGAGAGTAAGAATCTCTCTGCGCAAGGAAGGATTCTTTATTCTTTTCACGAACTGAAAAGTAGTCAGGACCGCTATTTCTCGCATCCCGTTGGTGAGCATGAACATTTGGGGTGCGAACCGACTTGACTCTAGAAGAATTGGGCAGTGGGACCCTCAAAGAATCCCTGTTTGGCAGAGGGGCGTGCACCAAACGGTTTGGAGACGCGAGACCCTCGTTCGGGTTTATTTTGGTGTTCGGACCGACAGGCGGCCGTTGAGGCAGTATCTTCCTTACGGTTAGAGGGCCTGTCGACGCTCTTTTCGGTTGCGACAAATTCGCTGTCGACGGATCCAACTTCGGCTTTTTAGGTGCTTGTCGCTTCCGACTTTCATTCTTTTCAGCGCCAGTTTGTTTCACTTTGTGGGCTAGCTTCGCCAGTGAACCTTTCCCAAACATGCTCTTGGCAGTGTCAGGTCCGCTCTGCGACGACGGACTGGAAGGTTCGCAAGACCTGCTGCGAGAAGGAGCCGCCGCATGACGGGAGTATGTAGAAGGGCCATTCGATGTCCTCAGTTCAGGCAAAGGCTTATCATTCTGGACTCGCCTTGGAGTACGAGGTCTAGGGCACTCCAATTCTATTTGTGAGTCCAATTCCGGTCCAAGATCTTCCACAATCTGTCTGCCACCAGGAATTGATACGGTATCTGGTGCATCTGTAGAAACGGTGACACCCTTCGTGCTCCTTTCCGCAGACTCTGATTGACACGGCTCCAGCTTTGTGCCTTTCATTGTTTGGTGTATGACATCAGCGCTCTGCGATCTATTAAAGGCCGTTCTGAAAACAACTGTATGCTTAGGTAGATGGTGAGAGCTCGAGTCATTCGCATCTTGATGGTGGTGAAACCTTTCCGCAACCATCTTGGTGCCGGGAGGTGCGGCAATTTCCGCCGTATCATCGTCCAGAATGTCCACCGTGATTGTACGTGCTGTGATCGTATCAGTCTTAATCGAAGCATGACAACCCCGGGGAAGTTGCCGCATTATATATAAGCGAAGATCCTCATCTGATATCTGATGGTGGTCGTCGGGTGACAGCGTCAAATTGGCACTGTCCAGCGTATCAACGACGCTTGTTGAACGTTCAACAGCGCCAAAATCCTCCTCGTCATTATTGAGGGACATAAATGAAGCGGCGCCTTTGCGCTTATTTTCCAAGTCATCTCGGGCGTCATTTGCACAGTCCAACTGGCGTGTTCCAATTACATCGGCCCGGATACCATTATCCAAAATGACGACGTCCCAGACCGTTTCATATCCACCAGTATTATATATCTCACTTTCGGTGGTTTTCCTTCCCCAGCGTTGTAGCATGGCAAATCCAACGGTACCGACAAGAAGATCCCCGACACCGACCTTATCGGTCCCACCCTGTTCCGATTTTCTGAACTCCCTTCTAATGAGAGTTACAATTGCTGCTATTGCCCTGGAAGATTCCGAAGAGCCAAGAATGGCATCGAGGGTGGACAGAAGGCTTTGTGACAGATGGGAAACCGATGTAAGCGCCGTAGATGACAGATGGAATGTCGCCGCAACGAAGAACGAGGCAGATGTCAAGGTTGAGTGTAAAACTGCAAGCTTGAGGGGCTGTCAGTATCATAAAAAAAGGACGTAAAAGAGAAACCGCAAGATGTTCAGTCAAGTAAGAACTCACGCTTCGCTCGAGCAGAGACTCTGCCTCCGCCTTCCCACGTTCGCTGCTTCGAATGGCAACATCGCGCCCAGCCCTAGTTAATACGCCTTCGATAACAGCTCTACTGAGCTCCAGACCTGTCAGCGTCGTGACCCTAACGCCGTCGATGGCAGCACCGCCGAAAAAGGCCCCTATCCGAAACGAGAGCGACGTGGAATGTGCGAAGAACGACACCAGAGAAGCAACTGGCCGTGGGAGGAGAGTGGCACCGGACGTCGCAGGCACATGGTTTCCCGCATGATCCAGAGTATTCAGCGCGCCGTTCGCGTCAGGCGCTGTTCCATTCTGTTGCTTCTCGAGGGCGCTTTCAGTATTGGAACCACCAAACATCACGAGCCATTTAGTTGGGGGTGACGGGGAGCGAGCGGCATCAGAACAGACGTTTCTGGAGCCATGAACAGATCGAGGGAAGATGAAGTTGAATATGACATCGACATCTTCTCCTGCCGGTCCAGGAACGGGGCTGTTTGCTGAAGAAACTTTGTCTGCTTCGTTGGGCGAGTCGAAATGGCCAGTGGCATGTGATCCACAAAGGATTCCCCAACAGAATGCCACCGCTCTTCGCGTCAGCCCATGGATAGTTCGAAGACACGCTGCTGTTATTGCTTACTACATGGCAAGCGTCTATTTGTTCCATGGGTTAGTCGTCTGGTTGGCGAATCCTGAGATACGTGGGGTACGAAATAGGCATCTAGTAAGCTGGCCCCTGAACTTCCTAACATGTGAAGAATGCTGACTCGAAAGCTTGCGGGGAGCAGGAACATGACCCAGTCAATGATCCAGTGCCATATGCATCCTGCCTACATCATAGATTTAAGATCCCCCGGATATTGTACCTTTCTGATGCAGCTCCTGTTGCATTCGGCGGTGGTGCGCATCCCCGCTAACCCCATGCTTTGCCACAAGTCTGCCAACAGACCCCTCATCACGCTCTTCGCCCCATTCTTGCCATCAATAGACAACCCATAGATAACTGGTCGACCGACCAGAACGGCCTGGGCTCCTAGACAGAGGGCCTTGATGATGTCTACCCCGGTGCGGATTCCGGAGTCGAAGAGCACGTTCATCTTGTCGCCAACCGCGTCGACAATCTCAGGGAGAACCTCGAGAGCGCCAATGGCACCGTCTACTTGTCGACCTGCGGTTGTGGTATGAGCAAATGCTATCTGATGGTCAAATGGCAATGTGAACGCGGACTTACCCCCGTGGTTCGAAACGATAATCCCGTCGCATCCATTTTCATATGCCAACTTCGCATCATCCACGTGCTGGATGCCCTTGAGAACGATGGGACCATCCCAATTCTTCCGCAAGAAGGCGAGATCGTCCCATGTGTGCGACCGTCCGGAAAACGTATCCCCAATCCACATTCTTGATGCACCTAGAACGTCGTCGTCGACCTTGGACCCGGTCTCCTTTTCAAACTTTGCGCAGAAGACGGGGTCCGTGAAAGCGATCTGGTTACCGGTACCTCGAATGAATGGGATATAAGCGTGGTCTAGGTCTGCCGGACGCCTGCAACGACAAGTTCGAAGGGGTTAGTCCACATCTACTGCAAAAGGACATACAAGGTAGGTGTCAGACCATGCCAGGGACCAGGTATCCAATGTAACCACTAGGACCTTGTACCCGTTTTCTTTCGCCCGTTTTAGCAAGGAAAGTGTAATGTTATTGTCAAATGGCCAGTACAGCTGGAACCATCTTTTCCCGCTCTTGTTGGCCGCTGCCACCTCTTCAATCGAGCTGGAGCTAGCTGTGCTGAGAATGTATGGCACGTCGACCTCCTCGCATGCCTCGGCGAGACCGGTCTCTTTGTCTTCATGGAACAGAGATTGGATGCCCACGGGCGCCATGAGTAGCGGATGGGCATATTTCTCCCCGAATAGGTTCACTGAGATGTCCTGGTTATCCATCTATTATTGACATCCTTGTTAGTTATAAGAGAGCCACCGGGTCTGCTGCGCAGCACCTACCGCTTTCATCATCCTTGGAATCCTGTGCCATTATACGATTAGAAATCGAGGAGCCCATCTAAACGGTTGAGATGGACATCACCTACAGTTTCCACTGCCGAAATGCCAACCGGTTACTGTCCATGGTGGCCCTTTCGCCCGCACCCCCCGCAACATAACTGAAAGCTCGACTCCCCAATGCTTTGCGGGCTTGCTCCTCCAAGAGCCTGGGATCAGTCGTAACGTTTGGTTTAACATTTTCTAGAAAGCCTCTCCCGTAGATTTCGGTTTGGAATGCGCCGTAGTTTTCCGACATTTCGATTGCTTGATTCGCGTTGAATGGCAAAAACACAGCAGCAGTGTCTACGAGCTGGCGCGCTGTCGACTGGGATGTTCAATCGCTTTCTGCAAGATTGAATTGGCTGAACTAGGTTGAATCAGCAGTGAGGAGTAGTTAACTAGTTAACTCACTAGTTACTCATCCAGTAAACACCGGGTGGCTTTGGTTTTGCCTCGGCATAGCCTTGGAGGGGTTGGTAGTGCTTATATTCTCCCAGCAGTGTATCTATGTGGTACCCCCATTTGATGCTAGGAATAGTTCTAATTGAGATGCCTGGAGTCATCAAACTCGCTTCAGTCTGCAAGAATCCAATAGCATAGAATGGATCCTTTGGAAAGCGTTGATAATGGCCACTACAAGGTAGTGCACACAGACTTGATATCATCCTACATATAAAACTCATAGAGTACTAGGAAGAGGCTATGGCAATTGGATCATTCCACTCAGCCATCATGAGTGCCTGTGAAGACCTAGACCATGGCATGGTAGTTGACCAGTTGGTGGAAGACTGCGTCCATGTACAAATAGCCATCGCCAGGACTTCTCTTCCCTCATCGCCCTCCTAAATGAACTCATCAACAAAATGGCCTCCCAAATCACCTCCTGCTCACCCAAAGGAGGCTAGTCCCGGTATCCAGGATTGCTTTGGTCAGAGTCTATTGTCATATGCGGTGGACCACGGACGTGAAAAGATCGTGAAGATACTGATCTCTACGCTGGGAGCGGATCCAGCTTCATGTAGTTCGTCAGGCCAGGGTCCAATTTGGCAGACAAACTGAACAGCTGAAGTATTAGCATTCTTAAGCCACGCTTTCGTCGCATATGAAAAGCTTCGGCAAAATAGTTCATGACCAATGCAGACAGGAATACTACCGCAGAACAGAATGCAAAGAGTAGAAAACCTCGATCCAAATTGGCTCGCGCAAATACACACATGACTAACGCATGTCAACCACCACTAAATAAAAAAGAAGACGAGATCACTTCTCTTCCGGCTTCCGCCCGTATACAATGCGCTGCTTCGTATATATGTGATTCGACAGGTCCTTCACCTCCTTCCGCACGTTGGCAAGGAAGACTTCAATCTCCGCCCTCTCCCAACCCAGCACACGGGTGAATAGAGCGTACGTGTACGGAGCCACGCCTTCCAGCACGTTCACCTGGTGATAACGACCGATCTCCTTGAGCTTAGGGTCCTTGGGCCAGGGACTCTGGGGGACCTGCACGGGATCTCTTAGCATCGGTTACGTGCACTACATGTATAGGAGTAGACCAGCCCACCTTGGAAATCTTCTCATGAACATCCACAAAACCAGCCTTGATAAGCTTATCCTTCCACTCGGGTCCGGTTTTAAGAACTTTCCCGAACTTCCTAGAAGCCTCGTAGATCAGCTCGTGGTTCTCGACAAAGTTCTTGGCATTCAGATGTGTACCATCATCCGACGTCGTGATGAGGTGAATCGATACTATCTCGAAATAGCCGCCAGGTGCAAGATTTCGATACGCCTGGCTGAAGAGTCGGTCGTAGTCCTTCACAGATCCGTCGAGGTCTCGAGCATGGATGTAGTCAAAGGGGAGGGAATAGTGCCAGTCCTGTTCGTAGTCGTCGATTTCGAATCGGCAGTTTGGTGGAGCCTGTGCGTATCAGTAGATTGCACTCGTACAGGGCAGACGAGGAGGAAAAACGGTACCAGGCTGGCTGGATGGGACTCAGGTCGTTTCCCATTACTTCTGACTCGGGGTGTTCACTGCACAAGGTTAGTACTAGATGGAGCAAAGAACACCAAGCAGATTCCCATACTCGGCAAAGTCAATAGCCCAAATACCGGTGCCGGTGCCAATATCGAGCACCCTCCTGGGATTCTTGATCGGTGCAAGGTGTAGTTCACCGTCAAGCAGCAGCCGGTGGATATGATGAGTCTGTGGTTGTCAGACGACAGCGGGCAGCCCTGGGATTGCTGCAGGATGTAGCGTACCAAGTCCAGTCGATCCTGTTCTTTTTCATCGTTCGGCTTTTCGTGACGACAAGTCAGAGGACAGCTTCCAGACAGAGCATAGAATACGGCAAGCTTTACCTGCTTGGTGTAAACCCATTCGTGGTTGTCTAGTGCATGTTGTCTAGATAGCGTATTACCCTGGATCTAGCCCTAGAACATCCCCGTTGCTTTCACGAGACTGGCCATTCGGGTGTTTCAACCCGTGTCTCTTTCCATTCCTCTGTAATAATAGACTTACTCCTCGATAGGAAAATAAATGAGCAGTAGAAAATAGCAAGAATTATCTTCCGAATCCCCCAGACGGACACCAGATAGCCCCAGACGTATACAGACAGGAGATACAATCACCTTCCAGTGTACCCCAGTCCAATTTCCTGAGTTGCTGCATGTACAACAAACGCAGATGAAAATGGCAACTGAAACCCGATGTCCGCAGGAGACTTGTTGCTGATTGCCTTCGCCAGAAGCCCCGTCGACGGCGGTTTCTCAGCGGATGGGTTGACTCGTGCATCATCTCGATCCGACAAAGACCCACAGGGTAGTCTAGACATGAATGGGACGATGGGGATCCAAGAGATCATAGAAGAGAATATTAATTGATAGGTGGAGAGATATGGAGATCGAGTCCATCGCAGCCCCATCGTGGAGTTCCGGGGATGCGTGAAGCCCTAACAGTCATAGACACTGTCTCAAAATATCCCCCGGGAAACAATGCAGCTGTAACCGATGGCACCAGCATTCCTTGTCGATACTATCTTCTCGGAAGTGGGGAAGGCCTTCTTGATAGACACTCATCTCTATTCGTGGATGGTCATCAGTGCAGCTTGCATGAAGCCCCAGGTGAAATCTAGGGTTTCGTTCACAAGGAACGGAAAAGAGTGGGGAGAGACGTCAACATACCCCGTTAATACATCCAAGCCAGAGCGTTTCTCTATCCCCTTTTTCTTCGGGGCTAACTATGATGTCGTTATGGAGACGCTGCCGTCTTGCATCACGGAGACTCGGCCACGGAAGTATAAGAGTATCACCGCTGGTGAGCATTATTTGAAGAAGATGGGGTATTCGTATGGCACTAAAGCTGCTTAGATATCCATCTCTCTTCAGATGTCTGCTGCAGCTGCAGGGTGAATTGGAATTTTCATATGGCTAAGTCTATAACGTAGCAGATGCATGCACTGTAAAACAGCAAGATATGCAAACTACGCAGTTTTCGTGTTAAGAACATAGGAAAATGCCTCATCCAGAACTTGAAGACCCTCTTCAATTTCTTCAGCAGAAACAGTCACCGGCGGCGCCAGACGGAAAACACCACCCATGCCAGGCAAACTGACAACATTACACGAGAGACCGCAGAGCATTGCCCTGTCCGAAACCGCCTGCCCGATATCCGGACCAGGAGCCTTTGTTTCAGGATCTGAGATGATTTCAATACCCTGCAAAAGCCCGCGGCCGCGGACGTCACCGATACACCAGTGCTTCTCCTGCAGCTTGAGGAGACCAGCGCGTAGTTGAGCACCCCGTTCCGCTGCGTGTTGGCAGATGTTATCTCGCTCGACGATCTCGAGGACCTTATTACCCACGGCGGCTGTTAGAGGGTCGTTGAGATGTGTAGTGAGCCATAGGAACCCGGCTTCCTTGCATCCACGCTCAATATCAGCAGTAGTGCTGATCGAAGCCAGGGGTAGACCGCAACCCAGTGTCTTAGATAGGGCTAGGATATCAGGGACGACGCCGTCGTGCTCAAAGGCAAACATTTTACCGGTACGACCGACGCCGGTCTGGGCTTCATCTAGGATCAAGAGCATGCCTCGCTTCTTGCATTCGGCGCTGAGGCGTCGAAGGTAACCCGGCGGAAGATCCAGAATACCACCCGTCGAGAGAATGGGCTCCAGGATAAAGGCAGCCAGGGAGCCGACGCTTTGCCGATCAACCATGGCCCAGCCAAAGTCCATCTCGGCCTCCCAGTCGTAGGATCCGTTAGGCTTCCGGAAATACGAGCGATAGGCATATGGTGCAGGAAAAGCAATCTGACCAGGCACACATGGCCCGCCATTCCTCCGGCCGGTCGAATACGTAGCGGAACCTGCGCCCTGCGTCAGGCCGTGGTAGCTTGCGGCGAAAGCTACGATCTCGTACTTTCCCGTGTAGTACTTGGCCATTTTGATAGCAGCCTCCGTGGACTCGGAGCCGGTACTGAGAAAGAAGGACTTCTCCAGAGGCGCGGGGAGCAAGCGAGCAAGCCGTTCGGCGAGGTCGACGACGGGGTGCGTGATCATGTTGCTGAGAAGGTGGTCAAGCTCTGAGATGTACTTCTGGACGACTGCGACAATCTCCGGGTGGGAATGGCCCAGGAGAGAGCTCATCTGGCCCGATGTGAAGTCGAGAATCTGTCTATTGCCTGCATCGTAGAGTCTGGTGCCCTTGGCCTTAGTGATTACAACAGGTGAGGGTGGCACGCCCGTTGCCATTAGATACTTGTCTGCTTTGGCGAAGAATGTGGCATTGTCGGTTGAAGCCATAATGTAATCGAAGCAATGTACATGGGAATGAAAGACAGAATAGAAGAATGAGCCATGAATGCTCTTGGATATAGAGCAGTTCCCCGCGGCAAGTCATTATTATCTCCGAAGTTATCAAGTTAGAGTTGACCGCGGATCAAGCGGCCATCTGCTACCAGCTTCCGATTTGATTCCGTCGAGTTTACTGGCGTGCCCTTTCACAGTTACGATCAGATTAATTACAGCGTGCTCGATGACATGGATGCAGATTCAGCCTCCAATTCCCGCAACCGGATGGACAGCGGACATGGAAGACCATAATGGTCTCGCCCTTCTCACTCGCGGAGGGTATCTGCTGCACAGAGATATGCCCGATCCGCGCCGAATCGACAAATCCTTCCGAGTCCAGGCTCCTATGGCAGTGCACCGAGTATTCCCCGTCCGGTAAATGAAGACGGCACTCGGATTGAGCTTGACCGGTTGCCGGTGTGCGATTCGGTGTCATTTTACCCCCAGAACCAGAACACAGAGGACCTGTTCTCCAATATGACAGGCATTGTTGCTGAGGTGGGGAACAGCAGCTCACATGTTATTAGCCCCAGCGGTCGCGGATGACTGAGGTTCTGGAGAGCTATCTTTCTACGATTCCTGATTCTCGAAGGAGATCCCTGATCCGAGCCGGTCCCAGCTCGAGTTGATGTTTGGCAACGGCGGAGTGGCCGGTACGGCAGTCGCCTTGTCGAATGCATTGGGCTTGAACCGGGATCCTTCAAATGGGAATATAAAGGAATCTTCAACGAACACTGTGAAAATGACCGCCCACAGACTTCGGGCTTGGCCTTCGAAGTGCCCTCCATAGTCCGTACAGCCTCACTCCCACGACGCGTGATCAATATGCAGCACAGGTGGAGTGGAAGTTATAGGCAGCCTTGGTAGTAATATAGAGTATGCCAATGGGAAAAGAGGGTTGTGGACTTTGGCAAAAAGGATCGTTCTGGGGGCGTGCGACGCAGACAAGTTCCCGAGTAAACTCAGCCAGGTGTATTTTTCGACAGCTTATACTATGAATAAAGATATCAGACAAATGACCAGGTTTCCAGTATGGGTGTATTCTCAACGCTACAAGTGATATTGAAGTTATCACAATGATTTGATTGCGATGTAGGGAGGATTCACCTCCTTCCAGTACATCGAAGCGGGTTTGCTATGCCATCTCAACGATACTCAGGTCAACAGTGGAAAGAGAGAAAGAGAGCATCGTATCTTTATGGCAGGAGAAACAAAGACAGCTCTGAAATAGGAAGCAGGCAACAGAGACATGTGCTCGCAACCTGTAAGGGGTTGAATATAGAATTCATGTATGCTACACGAAGAATTCCTTGAGGAAGAGAACAGAGACAACGGCTTTGTGTACAAGGAAATAGGCGATCCGGCAACAAACAGAACAAATGCAACAAAAGGGGCAGACAAAGCAAATGGAACAAATAAAGCAGATAGGGCACTCAGGCATAGCCCTGAGTTTGCAATACGCCTGGGCGTAGCCCATGACACAACCAGCTAATGCGTCATGGCAACCTTTTTGTACCTGTATAATAGCAAGTTCAACCAAAGTGACTCAATCTTTGCTTTTCTGGGTTCGATCCTGGAGAACAAGCTAAAAGCTATCCACTCATGGCTCCACGGCTTCTATGCGCTGAGTCTGAGGGAAATCGTGGACCATGCTCCATAGATGTCCATGCAGCAGTATCTGGACTACTTCCCATATATTTGAGCTTCGGTCGGCGCGTTGCCATACAGTGGCGCATGTTGGGATCCTTTGTCGAAATGCCCATCCATCGTTGCTTTAAAGACAGCACAGGGTACATCTTCATTGATCATAATTTGGAAACGATTCCATTTTCTTCCCGCAGGCATGTCAGTCTGGCCCTGCCCCAGGAAACACCAGTGCTTCGCTCCGTAGAAGGCGATGCAGACCATATAAAATGTCTATTTTAGCAGCTGTCCGGCTTGCGTCCTAGCAAACATTTCTTTCCCAGGAGTGTTCTTCGTTTGTGGGTCGTTGTTCGGACCTTGCCCTTCGACGGAGAGGTTATTGGCGACGTTATCTTCGTCGCGTTCGGGTTTTGCTGGGAATCTTCCCAGGAACCCCTATATGTCGGGAGGTCGACCATTGTGTCGCTGGCGAATCTACCATCTCTGCTGCCAGACCTTGCGCACCCAAAGAACGCATCGGGCAGGCGACTCGTAGATATACAGCCCAGTCTGTTTTCAAGAACAGCTCATCTACTATTGGAAGGCTGTTCTATTTAGCCCATGTCATAAGATGAGGCGCATGCCTGCCCCCAAATATAGGAAAGAATCACGAAGACAGTCCCAGGGAGATGGGCAAACTGGGAGGTGGAACGACATCCCAGTCTGCACGAGGAGTGCCCATCTGGTTTCTAGAATATCCAGGATATCTTTCTGTTCTCGCCGTTTTCGACCTTGAGAAAGGTATCTGCCAGCTCGGAAGACCCATGTGCATTGTAAGCTTAACAGCACGAGTCGCTGGCCTTGCCCGATCCAGTGGACTCGATTTACCGCTTTTTGGTGGACAGCAGTAGACATGCTCGGAAGAGCAATATGTGCTTTGCATTGTCCAAATAAGAAATAAAGCCCCTTCATTTGGATATTCAATCCAGTTCTGACCTATGATACCAAATATTTTAAAGTATTAGGGCCCCTTCACGCTTTAATACCCCAGTAGCAAGGAGAATGTAAGGCCATATATAATGTAAAGCCGCATAAATATAACCGGTTGTATGTTGTACGGTTTCTAAGAGACGGCTGAGACGGTGTCCAAGGGCTCTCTCAGCCAGCGATTCTTTCTCGGGAGCCTTTCAAGGCTTTTCGTAACTGGCGCTTTGCAACCAGGACAGATAACGAGGGCACAAAAATATAGCTCGTTATATTATCGTTACCGGGCTAGGGCTGAGATATCTCATAGCCGGCAACGACTGGAACAAGACATGAGTATTTCTTCTTTTCAAGTTGGATCAGTATCGCACACCTTCGGTATTGCCCTTTTTTTGTTTTTTTTTTTTTTTTGTCTTGACTTTGCTTGGTCTCCAACATTTATTCGAAGGTGAGAACCTGGCCGTAAATGGGTTCTCGCAGCAAAGATAATAAATATAACCCGTTGTATGTGTATAGAGCTGTGGCTGTGTCCTCGTCTAAACTGCCTCGAGGGTCTTTTTCTCGCTGCAAAGATGCATGAATATGCCTCACAACTTTGAACACATCATTGAGTTGTGTTGTCTACCAACTTGTCTGTCTCTGATTCTCTCACGGGTCTTATGGAATGTTGTATGTGCTGTAAAGAGGTTGTAAACAGCTGTAGCTTTGTCGAAGTTGACATGCCGGTCTGTTTTTCGCTGCGTGACCGGATCTCTGCCGTGAATAGCAGCCATGCTAATGGTAGAAGCAACACGTTTACGGCATGATAAAAGAAACAATATACGTAAATATAGCCTGTTGTATACAGTCCATAGCAACGGCAAATGGAGCTGCTGTTCGCCCAAGGGAGCTGTAAGGCTAACCGGTAGTCGATGGCTGTATGCTTCTTCCGTTGAACCTGGGTCAGAAGAGGGTTTTACTATGAGAAAGGGAGTAGGTAGAATCAGAGAGACTTGCCAGTATTAGACCAAAAGGGTCACCATGGCGATTCCATCACAACAACATTGCCCGTGATGATAGGATTCACCATAATGTTACTCAGGTCACCAAAAATTGACGCCTGGGTATCCCAAGCAACATGTGCGCAGGCTGTGCAGGCACAAGTAAAACAGGATGGAGAAAAAAAGAGGAAACATAAATATAACCCGTTGTATAAGGGCCACCATCATTCTTTGTTGACAGAGCCAGTCACAGAAGGTAGGCAATGGCCCCCATCTGCATTGCAGGATGTCTTTCTTCATTTTGACTCTCCTGGAGACATCCTACTGATTCGTAGGAGGCCAACATGGCCAATTGGAAATAGACCGCAAAAAGGAACATAAATATAGCCCGTTGCATCACACGGGTTACCGTTAGGTAGTGTGTGAAGACCCGTGGAGAATGAAAGGCGCCAATGGGTCATACGTAGGACAGGAATAACCGGGCCATCGTTGGAGCCTTCAGTTAAAACAGAGTCGATTCTCAGTATAGGACAGGGTATCTCCGAAGGTCTTCCCAACACTCACCAACGTTTGTGATGTCAATTTGTATGGACCGGATTTGGTAAGACAAGACTTACGGTAAAGAGCGGATATAGATATAACCCGTCGTGTTCACGGGTAAGCTGATTCAATAGAGAATGTCAACAGCAGTTCATCCTATCCTGGCTGCTGTCGATCGTTAACATGGGTCGGAATGGAATGTCTTTGAGGTTCCGTCAAGACCTACCTTAGCTCCTTGTTTTCGATGCGTTCGCGTTCCCGATAGGAACAGAACCTTGCCATCTAAACCTCACAGAAAAGAAGACATTTAAGTATATAACCTGTTGTATGGAAGAACAGTCATCCAAAGAGACCGAGACAGGTAGTCTCTTACGGAGTTCCATTCCGATCTTGTACAGCCCCTGTTTAGTTAGAAGATTATTCGACCTCAACATGAGATGTGTATAAGACTCCTCTCAGCACGTACCTGCTGTTGCTTAAGGAGCTGTTATTTACAGCAGTATGCTGATCTGTGCAAAACAGATCGTTTAAAATCCAAGCCATATGGCAAAGAAGAAGACACATAAATAGAACCCTTTGTATCGAAAATCAACACAACGCCAACTTGCTTGTGTGATGAGGTAAGCTGCAGTCGGGGTAGAGTCTGTCCTCGTACTGTCCTTCTCTGATTCGAATATTGCTGGATTTTCGAACTGGAGATATGTATAAACTTGCCCTCGACACCTAGTGCGATGTCGGTTGCTACATCCAGAAGCATGTTCTGGAGTGGATGCATGATCTGGCAAGCAATCAAGGCTAGAGTCAGTTTCAACTCCTTCTACACGACGAATGTTAAATGGCGGGGGGGATAAATAAAATAAAATATAAAATATAAAAAAATATAAAATCAATGAGAGGGAACTGGAGAATGAAACCACATACCGACCATACATCCTATAAAGAAGTTAAAATAAATTGAAGATGAAAAGACTTTATATCGGGGTCTTCAACTCTCGACACGGTCCTCCATTATATAAAACCGCAGACGACTGCACATTACCGCATGCAGTAGTGTCTGGGCTATTTCCCAGACACTGTGAACAGGCTTATCCACAATGGGCTCATGCGAGAGGGATATATCAATTTCGTCCGAGTGGATAGTGTATAACCACACTATTTAGGGCAACATCGTTTTGTTTGATGTCCTTCCATTGAAATGCGGCATCACGCCCATATGCGATCGGTTTTGTACCAGAGCAGAGTCCATGCTGCTTTGCTACTTTTCACTGTAACCATGTAGCAAATGATCAGCAATGACTGACCGTCTGCCAAGAGATGAAATATAAAAATGGTGCTTTGGTCCATGCAAAGCCGTCAGAGACAGGCCGGAAGATGGGTGATGAAAATCTCCCTAAGAATGAAATGAAATACCCACCGGTATTATAAATTGGACAGCCATTACTTGTACAGTTCACACAGGAGTGGACTATCAGACTGAGTCTCAGATCATCTTGAACTGATTCACATTCTGCCTGGAGGAGCATTCCATCATTAGCATATCTGACAGGACCACGGAGCATAAGTAAAGCAGCACCAGAAGAAGAGAGAATAGACAATGAATAGCCTCCAATGTAGACTTCGCAGGCAGGAGAAGGTATCTAATGCTATGCCTGATAGTATAGACACATATAATTATTGGTGAGAGGAACACATATTATATGGTGTCGATACTATCAGAAACGGTACTGGGACGGGCTTATGCAATGTCCCCCCAAGGGCAGCAAAGGAGACAGGGTCATTTTGACACTGTACAGCAGAATATACCATATTTTAGAATATTAGAGGTGAGTAGGGAGGAAGGAGAGAAGAAGAAAAGAGAAAGCGAGAAGTTGAGCATGCTTTTTAAGTTCAAATGTTCAAAGAGCACAGGGGACACGTAATCAACTTCATTCACTTGGAATGCTAAACCGGGGCCGATGGAACAAAGAAGGCGTCATCAGGCATTCACTGACTGAGAGTTTAAGCGAGATTAAGATATGCGGGAGACCGTACCAGGTCCTTGCAGTGAAGACAAAGGGTGTGATGGAGGGTATCTAGGGCTACGGAGACGGAGGAGCCGTGGAGGTGAGGGCTTCCCTCCTGTAACAAGGCCAATCTGCTGTCTGAATAGACAAGGACAGGATGGGACTAAGGATTAATATAGCTAATATAGCTAATATAGCATTAAGATAAATGTCTATTTAGCTTCGTCCAACCCGGTAAAACAATCAAATCAATGCGGCCGTGTCCAAAAAGAAAGAAAAAACTCCACGAATATACATTTCCAGCCTTTTTGGGTATCTTTCACTGTACAGTAATGGTATAAGCTGAGAGAAAAGTAGACAAGGAGAGCCGTATAGACGCATGTACATGGAATGGAATCAAATCAATATGCTGGTCGCGGATAACATCAAATTCGCGCAGAGGCTGTCTGTAATCCTTCATTAGAAGACACGCCAAATACGTCGTGGCCCCGTTTATCGTCGGCCATCAAGCCTTTGATGACGCCAATGGCGCCGGGTGTCTCAACCCAAGCGTCGTACGAGTGCTCCAGAACCAGCCGGGCCTCCTCGATACTGCTCTGCGAGCATGAGTCCGGCTGAGTAGCCGGGGTACAGCCCGGGTCGACAAGACGCTCCCAGAAGTGCGGGTTGCATGTCTTGACGGCCGCGTAGAGACTGCACACCTGCAGCTCCAGGGACTCGATAGTGTGCGAATGGTCCCAGCAGTCCATGAGCTTCATGTTGGAGCTAATGATGGGACTCCGCACGATATGCCTCTGGATACTGTCGAGGATCTCCCGGGGCACTTTCTCGCCCACCACGATGGAGTTCTGCAGTGCCTCCAGATCTAGCAGGAGTTTGATCTTCAGCAGCGTGACGGCAACGGTGTGGCTGAGACTGAACGGCCGGCGGCAGAAGATGTCGACACACTCGAAAACATCCGCGTCCCGGGTATCCAGGTAGGGCAACTGGGTGTTGGACCAGTCGTACTGGTGGTCATCGCCCGTAGTATGCCACCACTTGAGAAAATCATAGCACTGCTGGTCCCTGTTCAGGCGTAGAAGTAAGAAGGGCACGATATTGCGCACACCCATGTTATCGCTCCGACACAACCGGAGCATGTCCAGGAGATGTTCGACCTGCGCCTGCACGGAAGTACGCGTGTTGATCTTCCCCAGCGCGTCGGCCAGCGCGAAGCGAGCCCGCATGTACTCGCGCGTCTCGAGAATACCCCAGAAGATGCCCTCGTAGTTCTTGAAGACATCCTCGCGCAGCGACGAGAAGGGCGCGTTAGAGCGCAGCGCGCGCTCCTCGGACTCGAGCCGGGCGCATTTCTTGGAGACCGCTTTGCAGAGAGGGTTGTGCGACTCCAGATGGGCGGCTTGATGCGCGCCGTTGCAGTAGAGCATGACCTTGCAGTGCGGACAGCATTGCAGGTTCTCTGTTTTACCGCAGACTCCGCAGCCAGAGGAAAGGCCGTGGGAAATCAATATGTCCACGGTCATGTTGTTTCTTTCTTCTCTTACCGGAAACAGAAACAAAGAAAGTGTTCCGTGTTTCCTCTCTTTCAGGGAAACTGAAAGAATTGCAAAATCGCCGGTTCTTCCGGAATTCAATAACCTCCGGACTCGACCTGTAGGGCTGACTAGGTTGTGATTCTGGTGTTAGGGGGAAAGAAGGCGAGAGCCTCAACCTGTCAAACGGTGAGCAGCCATAAAAGGCCAAAAAGACAACCAGGAAGGCTAACAGATCATGTCGTCAGACAAGCAGACTAACTATCGCTGTGGTAGTGCAGGAGAACAGCCCGGTCTGTAAGGGTGAGAAGTCAGTCTGTGACATCGACAACGATGACATGAGATGAAGGAGGAAGAGAGAGAGAACGGGAGCAAGAAAAAGGAAAAGAAGAAGACGTTAAGGCCCTTTTCTTTTCTTTTTCCAGTTCCCTTCCCCATCTTTTGTGCTTCAGGTTCGACCCACTAGCAAGATTGACTGCAAATTATAGACTCGCGATCGACGTGGCCGATGGATCGCCGATGCTGGGCCGGACGTGATTTGTGGTTTGCGGAGGCGAGATTACCTTGGTCCAAGGGTCGAGTTGATCAGTATTCTCGGTAAGGGGAACTCTTGTTTCCAGGCACGGAATTCAAATGGTTGAAGTGGTCCAGGAAATGGAAAGACGGACACAGGGCAACGGGGGAATACCCCTATTGCCCCCGGGTTGATATATACGAAGTCCAGCGCCCTGGATGGAAGGAAATAGAACAGAACAACAAACAAACAATGCGGAAAGGCATGGATTGATTGAAACTTTGCTACGGACTCGGCAGTCCTTGCTTCCAGCAAGAAGACAAGAGGCCAATTGGCCCTGTCCACGGATTGACCAGCATCAGCATACACCTGCAGGAGTGTCTGTCGGACTGCTCCATGTGTCTTTCTTTGCCTTTGCCTCTTGATGACGATGAGAGCTACGCTGTGTCTTCCGCAGATCGCTGTCAGGCCACTGTGGCAGGTAACCTCTGCTTCTATTTTCTACCCAGACCCTTTATTCTCCTTCCGAGGCATGCCATGTCGAGACTGAGGAAATCGGAATAGGGATTAGAGACACCGGGAATGCTGGCGCATATGCACCCAAGGGCATACACACTGTATGTAGTATGTTGTTATGTACTATGCACGCATCTGCCTCCTCCCGAGAGCCCGATCGGAAGCTATCCGCTACGTATCTGAGGACTAACAGCACCAGGAATACCGGCAAACCTTCCAGAAAAGGAGGGGAAGGCAGAAAAAGCAATAAAGCGCTGCAGGCAGAAAGTCTAATTCCCAACGCTGATGGCCGACAATGACCTGGCCGGTGGTAGACCGACATTTCCTGGGAACTTCCCCTACGCAGCTCCCAGTGGCGAGGAGCAAAGAAAGTTTCGGTGATAAATCATAACGCGCCGCGGAAGAAACAGAGTTTGCGCCATGGTTTCTTTTTTTACCTTCACCTTTGCTGAACCTGTTCGTGGCGCATGCGTGATTGGAGGAGCGCTGGATGCTGAAGTCATGGCTTTCCGGACACGAATTCTGCCTCGGATTTTGGGAAGCTTTGCAGATGCCAGGTCAGCTGCCTCTCAGGGCTTTGTCGCGTGTTCCTTGCTATGGTGAGGCCACGATATACTGGAGCTGTAGCCGGTAGCCGGTGGCCGGTAGGGAGGACGCAGGGGGGGAATGCATATGATCTAGCAGTCTAGAAGTCTCTAGGCCCTAGGAATCTATAAGAATGATGCCTGATGCTTCAACGTGTACACCTCTCTCCCCCGGGAATCCTTGTGCTTGTATTGCAGCGCCGGGGCCACTGCCAGACACGACACGCCTCTCGTCACCATGATGCAGAATAACAACCACCGCCGCTGATGCCGGGCTCATAGACGCCCCCCCAACGAGAATAGCGTCACTGAACCAGAACTGCTCTTCGCCTTACTTCAGGGTCATCATCCATACCTCCGGGTCGGATTCTTAACCCCAGCCTGCCCATCGCTGCGGCGGAGATGCGAACAGGTGGCTTTCCAGGCCCAGTGAATAGGTATACGGGGGAATCTCATATCATCGCTTGATCGTGTCTCGCACCAAAGGAGGTGATCTCAGGATGCATCCATGGCTCGATGACTTCCCCAACAGTGCTATTTCCGGGCGATGTTTTGAAATGGTTGATTGCGGACTGGGGAGAGTGTATGCCCAGCTGTATCCATCGGAGGAATAGTTCGGTTCACACGCAAGAAAAAGAGATCTTACCTTTGGAAACCTGCAATGCTGTGACTGTTCAGATGGTATATTTTCCTCTTTAATGCGGTTATGATTCTCGATTTAATTCATTCTTGTTCTCTTCAAGTCTGCTTGCTTCTCTTATTTGGAACACCATCCAAAGAGCTCAACCCTTCCCAGAAGCACCAGATGATCAGGTCCAAGACGCGAACAGATCGAGCTTGCACTCCAGAATAACTCATACCCGGGGGATAACCAACATGATCAACCGAGTAAACAAGACAGAGCCCTCACACTGATCGAGGACGTGGGCTATTCCACGATCAGTTAACTACAGGAGACTGGAAAATGTCGAATCCAAAGTCCAGCCGCTATGGGAGCAACTAGTCGACATGCGCGAGCTTCTTTCGGATTGTCATCGAAAAATGCTAGTCAGAAATGATGCTCTACTGCAAAGCCCTACGATCAATGGGCATTGAGAACATTGCATTCGTTACACGCATCTACATTCCACATTCCATTCAAATACAAGCAACAGCTAATAAAAACAGAGCCCTGTCTCCCCTAGAACGCATAGCCCTCCAAATGGCCAAATCCGGCGCCCTAAACCAACTTCGCCTGATAGCTGCTGAACCGGACTTCTACCTCTCCAAACTCCGGTACGCCATGGATTTCATCTGGGCCAATCGGCTTTCCGCTTCTTGCTACTCCGGAAACTTTCTCATCCTCTTCCGGAGAGAAACAGTGGGCGGGGCGAGATACTGGCTCATGGGAATAGGCTCCTCGAGGAGCTGATGAGGAGCGGTAGTAGTGGTAGTGGTGGTTCGAACGAGAAAATAGCACGGCGTCGAGACGTCTATTTGCAGATTCCACGGTCAAGTATTGAGAATTACGGACGGACGCTGCAGGACGGTAATACTCCTGGTGCTTCTGCTCCTACCACTGCTGCTGCTGCTGCTTCTCATGATGACGGGGGAGCTGGTGCCCAGCTGATTGAGTCCACAGCTCTGTTCTGGAACCTCCTCGAAACATCCCAGGTTGGGCTGCAGTCCTTCGTGACGGAGGCATTCATCGCAGAGTGAGATTTTCCGTCGTTGAACCTGTTTTATTTGCCGACGGCGTGGCAGGATTTTTGGGGGATTTCTGCTTGTCTGTTTAGTTATCTGCATCCTTGTATGAGACATACGTATAGTATATGGATCATTCTAATTACTCCTGCTCCTATAAAAGACAGCACTTGGGGGCAATCAGTAAGGACAACAACCGAAGATAAACCGACAGTTCACATGTGGAAATTTGCAAGGGAAGAGAATAGGAATTCCAATTTCCGCGTTGCATTATTCTCGTCGAGTTCAACTTTGACCCTAGGATTGTCGACCTAAGTCTGAATTCCACGTATTTGCATGCATACGTGGGGCATCTACAAGTCGGAGTATCTCTGGAATATTGAGTCATTCATCTACTCCGAACCATCGTAGAAAACAGAACATGTTGTAAGGATATATAACTACTATGTAACAATACATCCTTTAGAAACCTAGAGAAAAGTTAGTATGACCCTGTTCACGACTCAAATGCTCAAACTAACTCACCCTTTTCCGTGTTGCCCTCTCCCATACTCTTGCTGCTGCTGCTACCGCTCTGGATTGCCCCCAGAATGCCATCGATGTACGGCGCCCCGCTCCACTTCTGGTGCGTGAGGACGTCGACGCCGAGTTCCTTCTCGCGGGACTGGATGAGACGGACGTAGGCAAGCATGCCCTCTTCCTTGAACGCGCGGGAAAGCTCCGTCGTTATCGTGGCGTTGCTGTGAAGACCGGCGAGCGAGATGAGTTGGAGGACGAATCTAGAATTCATCCATTAGAATGATTTTCCTTCTTTTTTCTTTCTTCTTTTTTCTTGCGATGGATCCACTCACCCTTCCTTGGCGAGATCCCAAACAAACGACTTCAACGACGCCTCGTCGAAGCCCTGCCCCATCCAGTTGAATGACGGAGAGAGGTTGTAGACCAGTTTCTTGCCCGGGAATGCCGACCGCACGTTCCTAGCGAGGGTAGCTGCCTTCTCGACGTTCGGGTCACCGGTTTCAACCCAGAGGAGGTCGGCGTAGGGGGCGAATTCCTTGGCGCGTTTGGTCGCAGCTGGGAAGCCGGCGCGGTAGTGGTAGTAGCCTTCCCTTGTACGGGGGATATCCCACGACCAGAAGACGGGGGTCTTGGTGTAGTCGTTTGCCAATTCTCTGCGGCGGGAAAGGGCCAGGTCCGGGTTCTCCTGGACCTTCTTCCTGTATGCCTCTCGGACGGCGGGAGATGCACCCTCTTTCTCAAGATGTGCGTCGACGGCTGTGTCGAAGGTCAGGTCCGGTCTTTCACAAGAAATATAGGAGACTTACCTTCGTCAAAGGTGACCAGTTTATGCGTCTTTACAAAGTTCAATTCGTACGCGTTGATCTCTTCTGTAGGAACGCCTTCTTTCTCCATCGCCTGGAGCGTCTCGGCAAGAGGCTCAATGTCCTCGGTGACGCCCAGGATAAACTCATGGTCACGAACGTCGATAGCACTGCTCAGCAATTTCCCGCTTTCCGAGTCGGTCCGAGCAATAAGGAGGTTCTCAGAGCCCATTAGATCCCACTGGAAACGAGCAGCAACCAAGCGGTTGATATGCTCGCCTACAGGGACGAGCACCTTGCCTGCGAGATGGCCGCACTTCTTTCCACCATGCATCTGATCCTCGAAGTGGACGGCCGCAGCACCATTCTCTGCGAAGAGCTTGGCGAGCTTGAGAACTGCCGACAAGCCGCCGTGTCTGTAGCAAAACGAGATACAATAAGCCACCCCAATCCACTTTTCCAGAACGCTCAAAACAGGACAAGCACATACCCGGTATCTCCGTCCGCGACAATAGGCCGTAGATAGTCGACGTAGGGAGTCCCCTTCCGCTCCTCGGGAGTCAACCTTTGTCTCGCATCCCAGTGCTTCCGATCATGCAGCTGCTGCGCCTTGAACAACCGCTGAACCTGGTTCGGCACAGTGTTATACGGATAATCGCCGAAATCGGCAGAGACCTCGTTGGTGGTGGTCAGCAGCGACGAACAGGCCCAGCCGGAGATGTACAGCACTTCCTGGTTGGGAGCTTGCTGCGTCATCTGCACGGGATCGATAGCACCCACTTAATGGAAAGAAACTGGTTAGTCCATAGCCTTCGTAAAATGTCAAGAAAAAAAAAAAAAAAAAAAAGAAAGAAAAAAAGAAAGGTAAAACAAGCCCACTGGTATGAACCGGCTTCCCCTCCGCGGCACGCTCATTCAGCAAATTGAACAGCTTCCTTGCCATCAACGAGCTCGGATACGACTGCTGCAGGGAACCACGCTTGCTCACGATATCCCTAGCCGTGTAGGGCCGCTTAATCCCTTCGTACCGTGGGGTCTGCCACCACGCCTCGACATCCTTCACCTGCTGCTCGAAAAGAGCGTCCTCGGCAGCTCCGGCTTTCGCGGCGGTCGACAGCAGCTGGAACGAGTCAGCCGGAAGCGATGTCGACACAGGAGGCTGTACCGGGCGAAGCTGAGAGGGCGACGACATTCGGAGGGATGAGTACGTGAAGGACCGCAGAGCTGCTGCGCGGGATGGTGACAGACTGCCAGCAGTCGTGGGGAGGCGACGGGGCAGGCGACGGGGCAGTCGACGGGATGCCCTCCGGAACATGGCTGTAGGGGGTTTTGGAGGATGGTATTCAAGTTACAGGACAGACAGGAGCAACGAGAACCCAAAGAAGACGTTGCATCGTGACGGTGATGGTCGCGTAGTTGTTGCAATGACGGACCGGGATCCCCGCGTTGACAGTTCCAGCTCGGACCGAGGAAGATTCCCAGATTATTCATGGGGATGCCATTATCATTCCGGCGAAATCGTCCATTTCCGTACAGTGTCTAATTGAATCAATTATGTCGGGCGTATCTACATCATGCATACTCCTCCACAACACTCTTGGGCGCCACATACTTGCCCAGAGGCACATACGGAATAGAATCATATCCAAACGCCCCGGGACCCCCAATCTCCAACCCGCGAGGACTCTCCGTCCAGCGAGGCGAACACGTAATCCCCAGCACAGTAACCATCACCCCGTACCGGAACTCAGGAACGCCCAGCGCGCGTCCGGACTGCGAGTCCAGGACGGCAATCAGATCAGGAACGGTGGCCAGGTACTTCTCTGTCCCGTCCTCGGCGATATGCTTGGCGTAGATGTTTTCGTTCTTGAACGGGATCTGGAGCACGCCGCCGACGGCGACGGGCGTGATGCCCGCAGATTCAAACGGTGACCTGCTGGCGCTGTCCTCCTGCTCGTCGTGGCGCACTTGCTGGATGGTGATCTCTCCGTACGAGTGGGCTTTGAACAGCCTCCTTTCTACGGCGATGATCTTGCCGCGGAAGAGTATCTTGGCGGCTTCGGGTCCGCCGCATGCGGTGACCATCTGCTCTGCCACGGTACTGACGGTGTTGTTTGCATGGGCCAGGGCGATGGTGCGACCGATGCGCCAGGCGAGGGAGATGGTGTTGAGGACGCTGCATGAGGCCACCGCGTGCTTGGTGGTGGGTTTCGCTGCCATGCCGACCCGGCTGCCCATTTCCGAGCAGGAGGCGCGGAGGGCCCGGTCGACGATCTCGTCGGTGGCGGATTTGGTCATGAAGATGGTGTTTCCGTCGCCGCTGGTGATGGCGCAGGGGACCAGCGCTCCGGTTTCGTAGGCGCAGAGGGTCGTCTGCCAGTACGTCGGGTATGCACGACCTGTTCGCGTTAGCTAGGAAGACTTCGCGAAAGACGACAGTCGGAAGAGAGTAGATGAAATGGATGCATACCCATGAAATCCGCATCGACGGTCGGACAGTTCTCGTTCTTGGACGACCCCATCGCCAGTCCCTGGAGCCCATTCGCACCACCGATCTCAAGGTCAATGAAGGCATCGACCTTTTGGTGCCCGAGGAACTCCTTCAGCTCGACGACAGCCTGCTCCGTCTCATCATTGGCAAGTCTCTCCACGGACACCGCAGGGCTTCCCATGTGTCCACCCCAGTAGATGACGGCGTCATCCGGCAGCGACGACACGTCGACGACACGCATGATGTAGCCCTGTCGGACTTGGTCTCGTAGACGAATGTACTCACTGAATGGAGAGCCGCCTCCCGCACAGCCCAGGACGTAGCAGCCATCGGCTAGCCAGGCCAGATCGAGCTCGGAGATGACCCATTCGTCGACACCCGTACTTGGATTCTTGACCACCTTCGGGCGATAGGATAGAATATCCGCTGCTGACTGCGCGTGGTCTTCGTCTTCCGTGCTCTGTTGCTTTTCGCCTTCTGCGTAGAGATCTTCATCGTCGCCTTCACTGTCGTCGTCAACGAAGCCATCTTGCAACGGGAGACCTTGCGGTGAAAGTTCCCCGACTGCTCGGGCGATGACTCTCACCTGGTTCGCAACGTATTGCAGGGGGATCGCGTCGACGTCGGCAACGTAGACTGTGTCGCGGATGGCGCCAGCCGCAACGGCGCGCTCGACCGCCATAGCCTTGGCCTTTTCGACAATCTCCGCGGCAGACTGGTCTGCCGTGTTCTGGATGGCATCGACGGTGCCGCCGACCTTTGAGATGGCGGCGCCCACGGCGTTGGCAACGGAGTGGAATGGCGGACAGATGACTTGGGACACTCCGTCCAGTCGTGTGGGAGAAATCACCGACCCGCCACCAACGAGCAGAACCGGAAGAGGGGCCGGAGCAGTCTTCATCTGGTCGATGACGCCCTCGAGCATGGTCTTCATCCTTGCCTGTGCCTTGGCCACGATCGCGGCATCCAGATGGCTGACCAGTTCCGGCTTTCCAATCTTCTCACCCGCAGCGACGGCGATATCCGTCGCCGTGAGAGTGTCCCCCCCGAACACCGCTGCCTTGGAGTCCAGGTAATGTCCGACAGAGTCCGGTCCTACCGTGACCTTGTTGTCGGCCACACGCACAATCGAACCCCCACCAAGACCGATGGACTCGATGTGAGGCATGCCAAAGTTGATCTTGACCCCGGCGACCGTGACGTACGCAGACGCCTGGCGGGGGAAGCCCGATGGGAGGAGCACGCCCACGTCCGCCGTGGTTCCGCCGATATCCACGACGATGGTGGCTGTCCGCTCGTGGTTGTCGGCGGCGGGCCCTTGCTGGAGACCCAGATACGCTGCTCCGCGCATGGAGTTGGTCGGACCGGACGAGAATGTCCGGATCGGCAGCTTGGCCGCCGCGGGGGCATCGATGAGAGTGCCGTCGTTCTGGGTGAGGTAGAGGGCGCATGTCAGATTCAGTCGCTTCATCGCAGCCCGGAAGCCGCGGATGGTCCTCCGGGCGAACGTGAGGATCGATGCATTGAGGATGGAAGCGTTTTCTCGCTCGAGGAATCCGATCTGCGACACCTCGGAGGAGCAGACGACGTCGACGCCCGGAAGCTCGCGCCGGATGATGTCCCGTACGTGCTTCTCCTGGCGGAAATGCTCGTCAATCGGCGAAAAGACGCCGGACACGACGACCGCGCCGATGCCCTTCTCCTGGATCACGGCGCACTGGGCGACGACCTGTGCTTCGTTGATGGGGGCTTCCTGCGAACCGTCGATGTGCAGCCCGCCATCCACGTACCCGCAGTGGCCGTTCATGATCTTCTTCAGGGCCGGCGGGAAGTCGGCAAACGGGGGGACCTCGCGCGTGAACGACTTGGAGAGGCGGATGACGGCGACGGCGGACAGTCGCCGGGCATCGTGTTCGATGATGGCGTTGATGAAATGCGTGGTGCCGATGGTCAAGCAGGCAACCTGCTCCCTGGGCACCTTCGACTGCTCCAAGACGCTGCGGACGGCCGTCTCGATGCCATCCGTGACATTGGGGCTGGTGGTGGGCGTCTTCTGCAGCGCGATGACCCCCCGGTTTGGGGCATCGGACGCCCTGGCATCGAGGATGACCGAATCGGTGTTTGTGCCTCCCACGTCGACGCCAATGCGGTAGAATCCGTGCGGCATGATGGGCTTCTTCTGCACGGACTGGATGAGCCAGACAGCAGCTCTCCGCGGATCCGGACGCGCCGTCTGCTATTTATCCCAGCGAGCCCGGAGCAGCAGCACTCCATCGACCAGGCTGCGAGAGCCCCTTCGCCCCGCAACGATCCATCCAGCAGCCAAGGGCGGCCGATGCCAGTCCGAATCTGATCTTATCGTCGTCGGCCAACTGTCGCAGGCGTTGGTCCACCAATTGTGCCTTCTTTTCGCCGACGGGACATCCACATGCTCATCGGGAAGACCGCGTGCGGCGACTTTCCCCGGAGATGGGGCGACTGGCGCAGATAGGCCTCGCCGAACTCGATGCATTTGTTGTGGATATTAGAAAGAAAAGCAAATATCTATACGGCCATGGCCGTCCGGAGGGTCTTCTACCGGTCCTGACAGGGATAAAGACGTGCGGGCGACTCGCCCTATTTAGCCCCGGGCTCCCGTTCTCCTGGGAATATCTGCAAACCCTGTTTTCACGGGCAAAGAACCATCCTCGCCTCGGTCCAAGATGGTTTCCCTCCGCTCCCTCGTTTCCCTGGTGGCCGTTCCGGCGGACAGGGAGAACGGCCGCTCGGCCTGGATCAACGACGATATTCGTCCGCTGCCTCCATGGCGCCGGACCTGGACGCAGTGGGCGTATGTCTCCTTCTGGGCTATCAACCAGATCTGTCTCAGTAACTGGCAGCTGGGCTCGTCGCTGGTCTCCTCGGGGCTGTCCGTCTGGCAGACCGTCATCGCCGTGGTCGTGGGCAAGTTCCTCATTGCCGCCGTCGCGGTATCCAATGGCTATGTCGGTGCGGAATGGCACATTGGGTTTCCGGTCTGGTCCAGGGCTGTCTGGGGGATGTACGGGTCCTACGTCGCGCTGCTGCAGCGGATCTTGCTCTCGCTGGTCTGGTAAGTCCCCCGGTTGAGACCAGGGATGCTGTTTGGAACGGCTCTAACGGCGGCTAGGATGGCCGTCCAAAGCTGGACCGGCGGGCTATGCGTCACGGCAGTCCTCTCCTCGATCTTCTCGGGCTTTCAGCATCTCGAGAACGTCTTCCCCGCGTCGGCACATATGACTACCAAGCAGTTCGTTGGCTGGATCATCTACAACGTCCTCACCGTTCCCATGCTGTACCTGCCGCCGGAGAAGACCCGCACCCTGTTCGCCGTGATGAACGCCGTCTCCTTCTTCACGCTCGTTTCCATCATGATCTGGGCCCTCGCCATCGCCAAGGGGGGCGGCCCTCTGCTCCACCAACCCTCGAGGCTTTCGTCCGCCGAACTCGCCTGGCAGATCGTCAAGGGCATCACCTCCACCATCGGCAGCATCGCCGTCGGGCTGACGAACCAGCCGGACTATTCCCGGTTTGCACGGAGGCCGGGCGACCAGGTCTTCGGGCAGTGGTTTTCCATCGTCGTGTTCGGGGCGTTCATGCCGTTCTTCGGCTGTCTTGCCTCCTCCGCCACCATGGCCATCTACGGGGAAGCGATCTGGAACCCCCCGGACATCGTCCTGAAGTGGCTCGACACGGACTACAACGCCACGGCGCGTGCGGGCGCCTTCTTCGCCGGCGCCGGGCTGGTCGCGTGCCAGCTGGCCGTGAACACGGTGGACAACGCCTTCTCCGGCGGCATGGACACGGCGGCCCTGCTGCCCCGGTTCATCAACATCCGCCGCGGGTCGTACGTGGTCCTGATCATCTCCATCGCCATGTGTCCGTGGGAGCTCCTCGCGAGCGCCGCCACCTTCATCAACGTCCTGTCCGCGTACTCGGTCTTCCTGGGGCCCATGTGCGGCATCATGGTCGCCGAGTACTGGGTGATCCGCCGCCGGAAGGTGAAGCTGACACACCTCTACCGGCCGTCTCCGGAGAGCATCTACTACTTCTGGAAGGGGGTCAACTGGCGCACGTTCCTGGCCTGGATCGTGGGTTTCACGCCGCAACTACCGGGCTTCGTCAACGCCGTCAACCCCGGCATCGTCGTCCCGGTGGGCTGCACACGACTCTACTACCTTGCCTTTCCCGCGGGCTTTGCCATGAGCTTCCTGTTACAGGTGCTGATCAACCACCTGTGCCCGCCTCGCGGGCTGGGGGAGATCGACGAGGTTGATAGCTACGGGACCTTCACGGACGACGAAGCCATCCGGCTCGGCGTCGTGCCGAGCGGCCACGATGTGGAGGGATTTGAAGTTGCGCAGCTGCCGAAGGGCGTTGAGAAGGAGCATCTTGGCTGTTGATTGTTTTCGGTTTTCGGTTTTCGGTTTTCTGTGAACTTGAGCCCTATGCATACAGCGTACGTAGAACCTAGTGTCTTTAATGCGAGAACTCCTGTCGACAAACCCGCCACCCATGGACTGGCTGTACGCCCCGACTGACTTGGATGTGCTGTCCGAGCTCTGCACGGCTTCGACTCCTGTTGGGCCACGATGCAGCTTCAGCGCCGTAGAAGTCATGATGACTGTCGGCATCCCCGCACCAAGGCCTTATCTTTCTGGGATCGTGTGGGAGGTTATCTCCAGCCATCAGATCTGCTGCCTTTTGGCACCTCCGCACGGCTTATCTATGCTCGCTCGCGCGCGCTCTCTCTCTCTCCCTCCCTTTCCTCCTCACTTCTTCTCGCCCGGTTTCTTTTCTCTTCCCGATGCTCTTCTTCCCGCTCTTCTGATTCCCTTGGCTCGTTCATGTCTGTTCGGCTCCTCCCTGAGCCCATGACACCACCCCACCGGGCATGGAAGACATCAGAATCCCTTCTCCCTCTGCTATTTTAGCTCCCTCGCCTCCCGCTGCTGCTCCTGCTCTCGCCCCCGCGGCGGCGGCTCGTCGCTCTGATAGCCGGCTCCCTCGTCCGACGACTTCCGCTGCGCCGGCTGGCGAGCCGGCGAGGGATCGGCCAGCGGCGGCTCAGGCCAAGCCCAAGCAGTCGAAAAGCCGCAATGGTAGGATCGATTTCCCCGGTGTCCTTGCTCTGCGACTGATGGGCCCTACCGAGGCTCCCCTGTACAGAGCCACTGTGCTGACCATGGCCAGGCTGTCTCACTTGCAAGGTCAAGCGCCTGAAATGCGACGAGTCCAAGCCCACTTGCCAGCAGTGCAGGAAGCGCAACGTGCCGTGCGGCGGGTACAAGAAGGAATTCAAGTGGCGGCCCTTCGAAGAGTGCAATCGCTCCGCCAAGTCTGCTTGCAAGGGGAAAAAGGGTATGTAGGCCTCCGTCCAATCCATGTCTGTCCCCGTTCAGTCAGTCGGTCGGGCGTTTCGTTAAGGACCACGCAGTCGCTCCGCCGGCGCCGAGACCAGTCGAGAATTCGCTTGCGAGCCTCCTTACGCCGCCCGCGACGGAACGTTCAACCCCCCCCCCGTGGAAGCACGCCCCGTCCCGGTGAGGACGTCCTCGACGCGATCCGTCGGCTCTCGATCCATCCGAAACTCCCCTTCCCACCCGAGCAGCCTGCCGGCAAGCCAGTCGGACTTCCGAGCGTTCTTGTCACGCCGGGAAGCAGACCTGGCTCCTGGTCCCACAGAGCTTCCGGACACCCTGGACATCGGGATTCCCGACGGCGACGACGTCTCTTCTGCCGTGCCGGATTTTGGTCCGGCCGAACCGTCATGGTTGTCGGGGCTGTTCGCGCCTGGCGGCGACCTCCAGTCGAGCCTGGACAACGGCTCGCGGGGCCTGCCCGCTCCGCCAACCACCCCCAAGTCGGATGGTTTCAGCTTCTCCGCCTTGCTCCAGGACGACGCCGACGATGCCGAGGAGGTGGTGAGAGCGTCGGAACCGAGCCAGCGGCCGTGGATGCTTGCGATGTCGGGGTGGGATGCGCAGACGCCCTGGGGCGACGAGCCGCCGGCACTGAGCCTGGTCAATGATCCGGACTTTGGCATCGCCAGTCCGGAAATGCTCGTCATGCGCTTCGACCGGATTACGTGCGGCATTCTATCTGTCAAGGATGGAGCCGGGGAGAATCCATGGCGGACCTTGGTGTGGCCCATGGCCAAGGACACACCGGCCTTGTACCATGCCATCTTCTCTCTCGCGGCATTCCAGTCATGCAAGGAGAATCCAGCGTTCCGGGTGCACGGAGTCGACCACATGCGCCAGAGCATTACGTGCATGGTGCAGGGCATCCAGAACATGCGGACCGACGCCGCGCTGGCCACCAGTCTCGCATTGGCGTTCGCAGACACCTGGGACCAGCACACGCGTACATGCATCCAGCATCTGCGAGGTGCGAAAGCACTGGTATCGCAGGTGCTGCGGGACAGCACGCAGACGAATCTGTATGGAGGCGACATGGGCCGCGTCCGGTTTCTGTACAACACCTGGCTGTACATGGACGTGATCGCGCGGCTGACGTCCCTCGAGGAATGCGGGAGTCGGACGCTGGACTTCCCCATTTTCAACATGCCCAATGACGGAGTCCACGAGATCGACCCCCTGATGGGCTGCGCGGCGACTCTCTTCCCTCTGATCGACCGAGCGGTCCGGCTGATCCAGCGCGTCCGAAAAAGCGAGTCCAACTCCGTCGCTCTCGTCTCCCAGGCGATCGAGCTGAAGGCGCTCATGGAGCGATGGGAGCCCCCGGAATTCTTCGAGCCCCCGGAAGACCCGACCTCGGAGGTCCAACATAGCATCCAGACGGCCCTTGCGTATCGCTGGGCAACGCTTCTGTATCTCCACCAGGCCGTGCCCGAGATGCCGTCGGAACCGGCTTCAGAGCTCGCCAAGCGCGTTCTGATCCTCCTCGCCACGGTTCCCATGCACTCCCGAGCAACGATCATCCACATGTTCCCTTTGCTGGCGGCTGGATGCGAGGCCGACCAAGAGGAGGACCGCAATTGGGTCCTGGAACGGTGGCGTGCCATCCAGTCCCGGCTCATGATCGGCGGCGTTGACCGATGTCTGGAGGTAGTCCAAGAGGTATGGGCACGTCGGGATGCGTTCGAGGCGGACAAATGCCGCCGGCTGGTGCGACCGCGACGAGCCACCCACCAGTACGTCGCTCTGGATAAACTGGCGAAGAGAGGATTGGACCATGGAGGGGGATCGGAACCAACCGCCTACGCGCCGGGTGAACCGTGGCGAAGAAGGTCTGTCGTCGAGGACAGCGGCTCATCATCTGCCGTGTCCCGACGAAGCTCGATTGCGCCTCGCTTGGAGAATATCGAGTTCGAGAAGACCGTACGAGGGAGATTACATTGGGTGACTGTGATGCAGGAGTGGGAATGGGAGGGTAGGTTTCTTTTTTGGCCCTCCGGTTGCAATGGCAATTTGGCTAACAATATGCAGTTTTCATAGGATAGCAACGAGACAAAAGGGCAAAACAGATCAATTCCGTGTTCATTTTCCAGTTCATCTTCCATTTCCGTTTCATGAAGCCCCCACGAGTCACCCCCTCTGCAAGAAATCAGGGCGTTTCGATTTCTTCAAATCCCCCGTCCCCTCCCCCGAGACGGGTTTTCGAATAGCACTCGCACTCATCCGCTGCGGACCAGACGTGCTCCCCGTCGACTCAGCCTTCCGACGAGTCCGAGGCGTAGCGTCGAGATACGAACGCAGCGAAGCCAGATACGATTCTAAGTCTTCCGTGATGGAGACGGTCGCCATGACGTTAGTATCGCCCGACGTTCGATGACGATTGTGTAAATTGCCGCGTATGGCTTTTTTTCTTTTCCAATGACTTCGTGGTGTTTTATAATGACAGATAGATTGGACGGTGCCCTGCCTTTTCTGATTGATTCTTACGACTGACTCTGGATCGATTGGGCGTTTGTCTGTCTCTGTCTGTGTCTGTGTCCAATTCGTTCTGTCTAATGTCCAAAATCAGCGCGGCGTTCGGAGTGATCTTATATGTATGACTGGGGCGGTTTATAGTATGGGAACAGCCAACGAGGGAGATTGCACGGACTTGAGGATAGATAGCGGCCCTGTCTTCTTTGTGCGGGATGATACGAAGAATATGTTGTCGCTCTCGCAGTCTGCTGGGTCTTATTGTCGATTGTACTTATTTTGTTGTCTGTAGCTGGCGCTTTCGGGATCTCCACCGGATATTTCGTATCCTCTTGTCTTGGTCTTCCGTTGTCGTCTTACTAGTTATCCGTTAAAGTACGAAGATAGCGGACGTATAGCAATACACGACCATTCCAGTTGCAGTCAGCTGTGATCAGCAGGAATAACCAAGGAATGCCGGCTCTTGTCTCAGGGAGAAGGGACAACAGTTCCACCCTGAAAGTTATACGGTCTCTGCGCGGGGACGATGATGACGGAAACGGAAACCCGCATTGGGCTGGTTCGGGAGTTTAACAGGCGATAATAATAACAGCAGAAGGAGAATCGGCGGATCAGGGCTAATAGAGATTAAAGAGGGATAAAACCGCGGAGAGAGAGAGAGAGGGGGGAGGGAGGGAGGATATAAAGCTTTAACCAACCCCTCGATGACACGACAGGCAAACCAGACTCGGAGAAGCAAGAAAAAAGTTCCGTGAGTGTTCAATCAGGGTGTTATTTCATTTTCTTGGAGGAATATTAGGAATATTACACTCCTGCTGTCGAGCGTCGAGCATTATTACATGGCTATGGGACGTCACAACAGCTGCACTCCGCAATGGAGCAGACCTGCATCCCCATACAGGGTCAAGTCAGTATCTACCAGCTACCAACATAGTATTCCGGTGCTATAAGATGACCCCTAACAGTAATACTCCAAGGATTGCACCAAAGCAAGACTTTAGCTCATGCCCTAACCCCAAACGGCAAACCCTGCTTCCCCGGAAATGCTAGCCTGTTCGGGTCAAAGAATCCTCGATACTATCGCAAACGATTATAGCCATGAGCATGCAGTATCTACGGATGTCGTACAGCGTACAGAGTGCTCTATCTGGTATGACAAGGTTCCTGTGAGGGGTAGATGAAACGCAATCCTCCCACCACTATCTCCATCACTCCATCACTCCATCAACACTGCATACCTAGACGGGACATCCGATCCGTTTCGTTCTGGGAACTGTCGACTTCTCCAATGGGCTCATTCTTCCCCTCATTCAGGGTCGATGTTGTGCTCCGTAGCTGAGCGCTGAATTGGAGATCCATGAGGGCAAGAGGCAGGGTACCAGGTATAAATATGGCATGTATTCCTTGAACAGCCACCACCACCACCACCACCACCACCACAACCACAACATCTCCAGTCAAGCAGCTCAACAGCCAAGCAGTTCCGCAGTCAAAGCACTTCTCGGTTACAAGAAAACCAAAATGGCACCAGTCGCATTCAACTATCACGCCCAAGCGCAAAAAACATACAAACCCCCCCTCATCGCCAACGAGAATGCCTACCTAGGAGATGTCTTCTCAAGGTAAGCTTTCTTCTTCAGTGCATCAACGCGCGCTCTACTAACACGGAAAGTGAAAAACTATCCCCCGAGAAACCAATCTCAGCCGGCTTCTACCGTCTCGAGAAAGGGACGCCCCTCGTCTACACGTACACCTACGACGAGATGAAGATCATCCTAGAAGGCGAATACGAGATCTCCGATGAGACCGGGCAGAAGGTTCAGGCGAAGCCGGGTGATGTGTTCTTCTTTCCCAAGGGGGCTACTATTACCTTTACGACTGAGTCGTATGGGTTGGCATTTTACGTGAGTTTCTCTTTTCTTCTTACCGCGATTCCGGATTTATCCCAGATCCATATGCTGATTGTTTAGACTGGACAACGCAAGGAGGGTGCTGCTTAGTGTGCTGTCATTGTGAGGATTTACATGGAAATGTTAATGTACATCAAGATAGAAATGACAAAATACCTGTTTACATCAATATAGGCTTGGTAGTGGGCATCCCCATGGATACTCAATCGCTGCAAGGAATATAGTCCACGAGGAAAGGTGTGGCAGTATGATATAGGAGAATGGGTGATGGCTGCCTGGGGGTTGCAGGGTGAGAAGAGGGCAGTTGAATTCCAAAGGCAACTGGGACAGCATCATACAAGAATCGCCTCTTTCCTCTTTGACTTCTCTTCCCACTCGCCTCTTCGTCTCTTTGCCCTCCTATTCGGACGCCATGAAATGACACGGTAACAGCCTTCTGCCGACTGACCCATCTTCAATGAGATGTCATGCGATGAAACCGTTACTGGCACGGATGGACTGGGCCTGAATGGGTAGGAAATCCCTCACTGGATTCCAAATCAGCCATGTCGATCCAGGCACTGTATTCCGTGGAATTACTAGGGCAGGGAGCCATTGCACAGATTGTGATGCTCTCAGTCTGAGAGGATTCGGATAAAATAGCAGCAGCCTTCAGGTGTTGAACGGCGAAGATTGATAGACTGGCTTGATGCATGAACAACGACTGTGGGATCAAAAAAAAGTAATCAGATCATGTTATGCCCAGGTTGTGACATGCGAAAATGAGCTGGCACAATTGATCAACATGGCCAATGCCCAACGCCCAACTGGTCCTTCATTCAGGCTGGAACTGAATCAAATGATATGGTCGAGACCCATGGGGATATGATGAACAGCGGAAAGCAATTCGATCATCCAGCAATTGGCTTTTCGGCACGGTGGATAGAAAACAAATACATCTCCTGACGACTGGAGGATGAAACATACCTTCAGAAGATCATGAAGGGACTCGAAATAGATCTATGCCCAGCCATGCAGGATCAGGAAGCTGAGCTTCTTACCTGGCACGAAAAGCTGCAAAGAAACCGAAAACTCCGGGTTTTGACCCATGGATTGATGCGTGGTGTGAGGTAGTCACTGAGCTTAAACGATCCGATCTTCTCCAGTATAATTACGCACAGAATCACATCCTCATCGCGAATAGAGAGTTCCATCCAGAGCATGAAGCATGCAGGCGTAGGCGGATTTAAAAGGGTTCTGGCTTACCTCTGAAGGTGTGCGTGTACCGCTGGGTCTTGAATCTTGGTAGAGAGGATGATAGTCATGATCTGTTAGATCACGTGGTATTCTGCCGCATAGGTCCGCCCTCACAGCCCCTTTACCACACTTCAGCCTAGTTACCAATCATACACTGTAGCTATCGTGGAAAAGGGAGGACTCTCGGTGTCCATTATGTGAGTCCTTTTAGTCAATCATCCCGACCACATGCGGTTAAAATGCCAGGGTATTCCTTCCCTCCAGACCTCATAGCGATTGTAGTGTCCTATCTGACCCTGTCTCCCAGCTACAACCCCCATATTTTCCAGCCCCTGGAACGAGTGGGCCAGTATGCGTGCATCAACCGCAAATGGCAGATGGTCGTTGAGCGTCACACCTTCTCAACGCTGGATCTGACCACACTGGAGCGATTGACGCAGTTCGAGCAGATAGTGGCCAAAAATCTCCAGCGCCGTGCCTATGTGCACAGAATCAATCTGGTGGTCCAGCTGGAGGCGTACGATCTCATGGCCCGTGCAAGGTTTTGAAACCACTGATGAACACAGGCGGAACAATGGGATTTTCACCAGCACTATCCAGACCCTCTTTGGGATTCTTCAGGCATGGCCTAAGGATCATACTGCAAGAGGAATCCACCTGTCTATCAAGGCGCAGTCCCCTGGTGATGTGGTGGACAGGAAGCGGGCACAAGACGCCCGTCGGAACCCAAAAAAGGACCTCTGGGGCTGCCGGTATGAGAAAAGCTACCTGCAGTTTACTAAAGAAAATCTGGATGGGCTTGCAGCTGTGAGTGCTGTCACTGAACTTTCGGTTGCTGCTGCATGCTGCCTGCCCTCAGCCCTAGCCCTGTGCCCTACTTGCTCAATCTGCTGGCACCTTCTAAGACATGCCAGTGCCAGGGTCACATGCTGACGGTCATACCTCAGGTACAGTCGTCACACCTACCTTCATGAAGAGTGTTCTTGGAATGTCCAAACTGTAGGCAGCCCTAGTGTTACACGATCACACTCTTTCTTAGACTGACAAATGATACAGAAATACCTTCACACTGCTGGTGTAAGGGGGGGCATTCATGCGTTGTTCCTGCGAAAGGAACTGGGTCATGGTCAAGGGATCTTGGGGATGGATGTACTGAAACGATGCCACGATACAACATAGTGCGGAATGATTTAGTGAAGAGAAAGAACAAAATAACAAAAGAAAGGATGCAATGATGATGATAACAATACTAGTAAAGCAACTTGAAAATGAAACGTATGCCTGATTCTTCAAAACTACCTAGGAGACTCGCCTTAAGCATTAAGTATCCTTCTGCCACAGACCCTGATGACCTGGGTGTCAACTGGATGGAAACAAAAAGGTTGAGTGAGTCGTTGGGAGTGACTGGGCTTTTAACTATGGCAGGTAGGTGCCAGCTAGCCCTCAGCTGGTGAGGTGCTGGGTAGGCCATTTTCAGCGCCCTTTGTGAAACTCAATAGGAAGCAAATGGTATTACAGATGATAGTGGCTGAAACGCTGTTGTTTTCGGCCTCAAACGAAATTCTGCATGGGAATAAAAGTACATATATATTAGATCCAGAACAAACTTCATTCCAACAGGTAATTTTGTTCAGTTCCGCTTTGTGCCATCCATAGAGTGGATGTTGCTTAAAGGCCAGCAGTCTGCCCCATCCGGCTGCGTCCTCACCCAGTGTCGCTTCAGTTCGTCAGCGATGTATCCAACAGGCTGCTCATCGTTCCGATCAGCGTCGACCAGTGCTAATTATTTGCGGGGAACGGTCCAGGACTCTAGCAACACCCAGTGACAGCGTTGCCAGTGTTTTACCTGGCCACACGCGTCAGCGAGGATCCCCCCTGGACAGAGCCCTGCTTTGGGCTTCCGTCCAGGCGAGCCCTGTCACCAGCAAGGGCGCTTTAGGCTCTCTGACAAAGTCGAGCTCCGCAGTATTCTTGATGAGATTCTTTCCCAGAATCCCTTGAGCCGTCGAAGCACTAAGTATTCTAGCAGTTTTTGGTCGTCAGGCTTCATATCAAGGGTTATTGTTGAAGTGACGAGGATATCGAGATTTATCCTGAACATACCAAATCTTGACTTCCGTCTCTGCGATATCCCTTGTTCTTGGGTTGCTAAAGTCAGAAATTGTCTGCTCTAAGCCTTGTCAATCAACATATCGAACCGAACCATGTACCAATGGCCCTAGGGCTTAGACATCTCAGACGTCCTGCAAAGATACCGTGACAGATTCCGGGGAGGCGTAGAGGATAATCTAAAGGGAGAGAGGCAGAAGACAGAAGACAGACATATATAAGTGTCCCGGATGTAGGAAAATGCTCTTTCCATTCACTGTCTGTAGCGAGTGAATGGCAAAGACAATACCTCTAATTTACCCGATTAGGAAACGGCAACAAACACCCACCTGTCGGTGACAATTATTCACCATCTCCATTTGGTGCATCCAATTCCCAATTCATCTCTGACCATTGTCCCTCATTTACCTATGCCGAAAAAGTCCACCAAAAATGAGCCACAACAACTACAACCACCAGATAAATGGCCCCTTCGACAAGAACCATAGCATCCCACCCCCCTTCCCCAACCAAAAGCCACAGTTAACACTCACCCATAAGAAGAAAACAAAGCTGGAAGATCTGCACAATGAAAAGTTCTTCCCACCCTACTCGAAACTCCCACGAACCAACGACCTGGCGCTGGAATACTACGACTTCTACCGCACAGAAGATGGGCCCATGTGGGCACCCCGCAAACATTGGTGCTTTCTTGCGGAGATCCTAGTGGTCAAGCAGAAGTCACCGACGTGTCCATTTAGCGTTATCGTGCGGGATAAAGAGGGGCAGAAGTGCGAGATTTTCTTCGACACGGATGATCATGGGGAGTATTTCCGGTGTTGTCGATGGAAGCGTGGAGATAGTATTGCTGTCTTGTATCAGCATCGGGGGGATACTGATCCCACGGATGAGGCGAGGAAGTTGGTGATGGATCCGGAGGACATTGAGAGGCAGAGGGAAAGGGAGAAGAATGAGAAGATGCAGTTGTCTTTGGATATGAGTTTTTTGATTAGGGTACGTGGGATCATTTGATATTCGGCTGGGCTGGTATGTTGGATTAACTCGATATCCTTCTAGGGAATCCGTTCGTCGCTGGAGGGCTTGTTCCGATTGAACGAGAAGGTGCGTTTCTTCGCTAAAAAGACCCGTGGGATGAGGAGATGTCATGGATGTGATCGTTTGAAGGCGGGGCTGAAGACATGCGCGAAGTGTGGGTTCTTCTGGTACTGTAATGAGGTGAGCACTATCATCTTGCTTTCTTTATGGAAATATCTAAACATGGCATATAAACCGGATAGAACTGTCAAAGTATCGGCTGGATGGAGAAAGGTCACAAGGAGGACTGTCAGCTCCTGCGAGACTGTGACCTGCAAGAAATGTTTGAGATGGACTGGAATTCATATTGCTGCTATAAGAAATTCCCACTGCGGAGATAGTTGGAATCTTCATTCATTGACGAGCTTATTGGAGCCGGAATCAAAGCGAGGCGTTGACAGCCATAAACAACACGACATTCGTTAAATAGACCAAATCACATTCAGAGCACTGTTCATATCCTCAATACCTATTTACTTAAACGGGTAGCACAACTGTCTATTCACTCATGACAATAGACATGCAAGTCCTTTGGACACCATGAATAACCAGGATTTACTCCGCCGGCCAAGCAAGACGAACCATATTCAAAATCTCCGACTCATTATCCCCAATAATAGCCCTACCACCAGTCCAATCAACAGTCTAGCAACATAACCCGTCAGCAAACCCAAACAAAGCAGCAGGGGAAAGAGAAGGCAACATACAACCGGCCTCACAAACCGACTCTGATCCTCCTTAAACCTCCTAATGGCATCCTCTGCATCCTTCGCCCCCACAACCAAATCACTAGGCTTATAAACCAACCTCTTCACGTTCCCCCCAGCAGCAGCAATAGGCGTCGTACCCCCAACACCACCGGGCGAGATGAACTCAAGGATACTCCTCAATTGATCCGTGGTGGGCGGGGCAGTGGAGATCTGAAGATCGAATTCGCCGCGCTGCTTCGCGATCTGGGAGGAGTAGTCGCTTGCTTGGTCTTCTGTTGCTGTTTCCGAGGCGGTTACGGAGGCTTGCTTGAGGAGGGTGAGGACGCGGGTTGAGGGGGCCAGCTTCGGGTTGTGGAAGAGGGTTATTGGATCGAAGACTTTGGGCTATATTTTAGGTGAATTGAGCTTGTTAGTATTGCCTTTTCTTTTCTTTTCTTCTGTTGTTATTTCTGTTGTACGTAGTTGTTTATTTGTTTGTTTTCTTGGATTCTTGGGAGGGAGTGGGGGTGTATTTGGGGAATTAGGGAGTTAACTCACAAAGCGGAAAACCATCTTGACCGAGTTCGTTTACTACTTTGCTCGGTGTATGTCGAATTGATGGATGAGGATGAGTATTGAATGGGTGACGTTCGCTGCTGAATAAATCTTGGAGATCCGGATACATTACGTCACGCACGTGGTCTCTCCTTCTCGGCATCACCGGGGGATTCTGGAGATTTACTGGGGAATTCATGGCTGGCAAACCTCAACTGGAATCTGAAAGCATTATGCCATTGTAGACAGCGTCAATGGATACCGGAGACCTCATCCAGATCAGACTCGTATTCCGTCTAGAATGTCAGAACAAGGATATGCGCATCAAGCAGATGCTTTTACTCATGCCATTTTCTGTATCATACAATAATTATTCGCCATGAACGCCTGCCGGAAACACCAGCAGCGCTGTGCCATGCACCAACCCATAAGCATCCGGACAACCGACACAGACATAACCAGAATGCACACATACAATGATGCCCTGTCAGCCACAGGGTGAAAGAGGACCTGTAAAAACAACATTCGAAAAAGAAAGGAATCCAATGGGCCGAGAAACCCGTCTAGAACGAGAAAAGTAAGTCGAGCCAGCTCGTGGGTGGAAGGAAAAAGACCCGAAAGTTAAAAAAAAAAAAAAAAAAAGACAAATCAAGAAAACAAAGGGTCATGTAAGAATGCAGCACTTAAAATATCGTTCCAAACGTCCCATCAGTTGCAATCGGCTTCCTAGGCGAAGTTCGTCCTCCGTCCATCGCGGGTTTGCGGTGACTACGATTCATTAGCCAGTGTTCATCGATTTGACCTTGAAAAAGGGGACCACATACCGGAATGTAAATCCGACGAATAATCCCTTACTCATCTTCTCATCCCGATCGGCCATCTCTTCCAATGCTCGTTGCTTGTCGTGCACTTCCTTATACTTAGCCATGTCCGCGTCGTTGGTGAAATCGTCAAAGTATCCAGCGTCCGTCTCGGAATCCAAATCAGGCACAAACGGCGCACGCTGTTCTCGGAGCTTCGTGAAATCAACTTCGTTAAAGTACTCGTGGTTGTGAATTTCGTGGATATTCTTGAATCGCTGCTCCTTCGATGCGACCAGCTTGGTGATGAGATCCCATGTCCGTCGCGAGAGGAAGTAATTCGGATCCTCATACACGGGCTTGTGAAGCACTCTCTTCCAGTTCTTAAGATTCTGCCAGGTTTCGTCAACGGTGGCACCGGCAAACGGTGGGTATCCCGCTAACGCCTCGAAAAGCATGCAACCCAAACTCCAATAATCGACGGTGAAGTCATACTGTTCTCCCTTCAGGACTTCCGGGGCCATGTAATCGGGCGATCCGACAATGGACTTGGCATAGTTGACCTCTCGCTTTCGGAGAGATTGATAGCCCTCACGCCTCTCCGCCATTGTTCTCTTCTCCATTGGTCGACCAAACGGCACGGGGGTGTTTCCCACCTCCTCCAGTTTCACCCGCATGGACTCGATCTTACCAGGATTCAGCATCCCCGCCGCTAGACCGAAATCCGTCAGCTTCACATGGCCAGTCGAGTCGATCAGGAAGTTCTCCGGCTTAAGGTCCCGGTGGATGTAACCGAGGACATGCAGCGCATCGACGCAGCAGAACATCTCCGCGACATAGAAGCGGGCATGACGGTTGTGCAGAACACCAGTGTTGTTGAGCAACGTACGGAAGTCACCGCCTGGAACATACTCCATGGCCAGATAGATGGAATTGTCATCCTGGAAGGCGTAGAGCAGCTTAACCAGCCATTCGCTCTTCGCCGCAGTTAAGATGTCGCGCTCGGTCAAGATGTGTCGGATCTCATCCAGTTTGAATAATAATTTCTTGCTCATCACCTTCAACGCGCAGACTTCGCGAGTGTCCTTCTTCTGCGCCAGATACACCTGTCCATAACCGCCCTGGCCCACCTGGGTCAAGATCTGGAAGTCATGCTGCCGTAGGCGGGTGCGACGTTTCCGCAGATGGGCGCGTTCACGGCCAAGGTATTTGAGAAGGGCGGGTTCGTATTCATCGATCGGGGTTTCGGGAGGATCTGGATATGCGGCTTTGAACTGGACAAGGCGGTTTTGTCGGTTATGGACGTAACTGAGCAGGTCAAAGTAATAATCGAGGAAGTCTGTTCCAAGGCAGAAAAGAGTCAGCGGTGCGACACCCAAACCGGACGGTGGAAGGACGTACATAGTTGGGTCACATTGACAAGACGCTTGACACTAGGTGTCTGGAGCTTCTCCAGCTCTTCTGGTGTCAAGCCGTGCAGGTGAACCTGTCGTCTCTGAAGCGTCTCGTCACGAGACTGGTATGGTTCCCGACGCGAGATGGCTGCCGCATTGATACCCAACCCCAAATCCTTGTCGAGACGCGTGGGGCTCGGAGGCCTGTTCTCCTTGTTTGCCTTACGCGCCGGGGTCGAGGAAGGCTGGTGAATCACGCTTTCATTGAAATTCAGGTCGTCGGAGCCGGAGCGGCCGCTCTTCGACGGGGAAAAGGAAGAGTGGTTAAGAGCCGGCTTGGTGGGGGTAGAGGGGGCCAATTTTAGGGCCTTGTCGAAGGCGCTGGGCAGGTCAATTGCTCCCGGAGGCGCCCGATTCTTGCTGGGACTGCCCTGCGGGGTCTGAACCGGGCTGGTGAACGCGTGTCTGGCGCTGTTGTGGATGGGAGTTGAGGGACGGTCTACGGGATCGTTTCCCGATCGTGTGTGCAGGAGGGGCGGAGGATTGGGCAGTCGAAAACCACGACGCTCCGAACCGTCCGCGGAGCTGTTGAGCGCCATCATGGTGCTTTTCGCCGGTGGATGGTTCTCCTGTCTGTCGTATTCTCCAACCTTGCGGCTGCGAAGGATCGAGGCTGTCGACGTGGCTGACGGGCGTGTCTGATAAGGAGATCGGGATTCGATAGGATCGGCTAGTGGGAGCCAAGTTGGCTGGCACTGGATCCTTCAGCTGGAGAGAAGGAGAGAAGGAGAGATGAAAAGAAAGTGGTTGCGAAGGGGAAAGAAAGAAAGAGAGAGATGAAGAGAAGGCGAAAGAGAGAAGTAGGAAACTGCAAACAGCAGAACAGCAGAAACAAGATGCAGCGTGGAGGTGTCTCCTGCTGCAACTCAACTATTTAGCATTAAGTGAATATTATTATTAGCATTAGACGCTTTCGAACTAAAATACTACTAATAGTCCACAATGTCTCCGATCTGCACGCCCTCGTTTTACGCCAGCCACCCCTGGTTGCCGCAGCAACTCTGTCCCTGCTGGCCGATCCAGGATCATTTGCGTCCAGCATCCTCGTAACTGACTTCCGTCGACGAGATAGAGATGCAGCGGGCGGGCCTGGTTTCCGCCGATCCATGCGCGGATACTGGTTCCATGGTTCAGCTGGATTCCCCCCCTAGTTCTGAATCTCAGATCCAGCTGAGCCTGTCGTCCCACGGGTTGCGGCGGGGCATTCGCGCTGCCATCGCCACAGGAACAACGTTAATGTTAATTCCCCTCAGCTGCACTACTGCATCTCATCGATCAGGGTTGACGCTTTGGGAAATAAACGGACTGCCTCCTTCGGCGTTTACCTCAGCCGCTGTTGCACAAAACCGGAAGTCTGCCTTGCTCACTGCATCGGCCGTGCATTGGTTTCGGTCTGGATGCCGCTAGTCAGAGCGCTGACGAGTGAGACGGCGCATGAAACTGTGAGCAATCAACAAAACAATCCCGGGAGATGATCATCAAATGTCTGGGCTTGACGGTTGTGTGCGTGGGATGCGGAGGCCTCCGGAGGACGCCGGTAATCACGTTGCTCGACGCATTTCCCGCAGAATGGACGATGGAGGGCGTGCGTCAAAATGGGAGAAAAGTCTGACAACTTCTCATAGCATGTCTATAGGGTTGGTTATTTTGCTGTCTATGTACACATTTTGCGAGGGTGGGAGCATCCTCCTCCCCACCGTCCGTCTGATTCATCTACAGCGAAATCCAACGGCCCATCCACTCGTCAACGATGGATTTCGCTTCGTCCACCAGCCCAAGATCCAGCAGCAACTGCGTCGTCCCACGTACAGCCGAGTCGAGAGCAGAGAAGATCCACGCGTGAGTATAACTGGTGTGCTCTCCAACGAAGATCGTCTTGAATTCGGTCTGGTAGTACGCAGGAAGGTAAAGCTCCTGCTGTCCAACAAGGGGTGCAGCCCATGCTCCTGCCTGCCATTCATCGACCTCCCAGCATTGACGGAAGTATAGACCTGATGTTGGTCAGCATGCTGTTTCTAACGGGTCGACTATTTTACTTACCAGTGTATTCCTTTGCTGCCACTTCGCCGTGGATCTCCACCATAGTACGTTGGATCAGGGCAACATGATCTTCAGTACTCAAAGCTGCAGCTGAGCGAGCGGGTGTTCCGCTAGCATATGAAGCCAGAACGACACCTGGGCCCGTGCTGTTTATCTGGTACGAGGGGTAGCAAACATTGCCAACGCCAGCAACGTCTACCGAACCACAGCCACCGAAAATTGGGTTCTCCGTATGTTCCCAGAAGCGAGACCGGTAGTGGAGGGCCATCTTGCACGCTGGCTCATAGTTCATTGTAGAGATTGCCCGGCTGAGCAAGGACGAGTAGTGGGGCAAGTTCCACAGTCTGACTTTGCTGAACGGCACGGCAACAACAGCATAGTCATATTCCTCGCTTTCTGGTATCAGTTGCATAGGATCCTCCCGCCAGTTGACGGCAATCTTCCCGGTGCTTTCATCGTACGATAGACCTTCTACCTGGCGGCCGAAGGTGGTCTTATTGGCAACGTGCGGGTAGAAGGCGCGAGGGAGAGAATCGAGTCCCTTGTCGATCGTGCGCCATGCGGTCGCCGCAAAGTACGTGTTCTCGTAGTAATCCTCCCAGATGGGATAATCAGCCGTTCCAGCAACGTAGTCCGTGGTGTTCGCGCTGTAACCCAGGGCGTACCGCAGATATCCCGCCTCGGACCAGTCGAACAGGCCATTCTCCACGGCCTCCTTGTGCGCCTTGTAAACATTCGCGGCGAGATTCCTCATCGTGTTGATATCATTGATTTTAGTGTAGTTTTCAGCAGCAGCTTCAGCGTCCGCAACAGCCGTAGCATTCTGTGGGGGAGGCGTGTATGAAAGCGCCGAGTCGGCCTTAATATCAGCCACCGTTGGGATACGGCCATCAGGGAGACGAACACCACCAGAATCAGCAGGCAGGTTAAGTCCATTTTGTGTCCATGGAATGAAGTTAACAGCCAGCTCGGGATTGCCGGCGTTTATCTTATTCAAGACATCGCCCAGCTGGAAGACCATCCTGTGGTCTTTGATCTCAATCGTCTCGTTCGTCCCGGCATAAGTCACGCTGACGGGGAAGCGCATAGGACCCATTTCCTGATACTGGTACTCATCTGGACGGGTATTGTTGAAGTAATGTGTCCTGACGCGGCCGCCGACGCGTTGTGACGATTCGATGATATGCCAGTTATGCATGCCAACGGACGAAAGAAGAAGGCTGGTCATCAATCCGGACATGCCACCGCCCACAATAGCGACAGAAGAGTTCTTCGCCCTGGACACGAACGCGGCGCTGTTATTCTTCGACTTCATGTATGCGACGCCGTCGAACCAGGGGCCCAGCGCGTCGGCTACATCTGCAATGCTTTGCCGCTTGTACACCGGGGAAGAAGTGATGGTGATGGGTGAAGAGCGGCCCACGCGAGTCGTCCCTGAGAAGGCATGCAGACAGTGTGCATGCGGCGCATCAGACGGTGTAGTCCAGACGAATCGTTCTGGTCGTTCGTCTCTTCGAACGAAGACGCTTCCGATGTGATGATGCGCCTTGTGTGCATGAGTCATCTCACAATCGCCATAGACCAGCTTGACTTCCCCCTCGAACGAATCTTCAGTGAACTCCACATGGATGTTATGCAGAGAGTCGGCTGTGACCTCAAAAGGCCCATGGAAACGTATCACCTCGTCTCTATGCGCGGGAGAGGCAAGGCTAGCCCCTACCAGGCCCAATGCCAGGAGGAACTTCGAGACGGCGTCCTTCATACTGCGACGAGGAACCACAATAGATGTACTGAGGACTAGTGAGATCGTCACGATGCTGGAGAGTCTGCATTTCTCGTCCCTTTTATACCCGAGTCATCCACATCGTCTACTCAGACTCACGACAACATCTGCATTGGTACCGAGCAGTATAGCCGAATCTCCAAGAGGTTTAGTATTGAATCTCTCAGCCAGAACGAATGGCAACTCCCCCAGCTATCTCCATGATAGTGGTGGTACCTGATATCCGGCTGGACTTACTCAATCTTGCATCTTGGCCGGGCTTGTATCGGAATCAAGCCCGACGAGTCGACAGCAATGATAGCGATGCAGGCACGTTTAGATTTACGTCAATGAAATCTCTCATCACTCCAGGAATAATCTAGAAGCGAGAGATAAGGATTCTCGTGGTACGCTGTATCTGTTCCGTCGCTTCGATATTAATGTCTCCAATGATCTACATAGCCTGGCTATTTCTCCAATCAACAGGTTGATTTTGAATCGTCTTGTTCAAAAAGCTCAGTATCCCTCGCTTATTGATGCTCTCGTCATATCTACGCTGCACGGAGTGGAAGCTGCTGATATCTTCTGTCAAGATGTATCGGATTTGTTGGATGTGCAACCAACCTAACTGCCGAGAAGCTGATAGATAAGAGCCATTTTAGTACTGTAGAGCCATTTTAGTACTGTAGAGTCATATTAGTACTGTATCAGTGTGCGGAGTAGACGCTGCTAACAGATTGCGATTCTGCCGATTTCCCCCTCCCCCGAAACATCAAAATAATAAGAATAATACTCCGTATGCCCTTTGAAGTTTGTACATAGGAGGGCTCAGGACGAAAGCGGTGAATGGCAAGGACAAACCGCCTCGGCCGAGTCACGTGGCAGAGCTCTCCCCGCGATTCCTTCTGCTCTGCTGCGGTTAGCTGCTTCATCGATGATTCTGGCCATCGATCTCTAGACCAGGTTTTCTGTTGAGTTAGAGTGTTTCCAGACACATAGAGAGCACAGCCGCCACAATGGCCCACGTGCACCGCGCTCCCTTCATCGTCCCTGCGCTAACGAAGCATACGGCGACGGTCATCATGGCGCATGGATTGGGTGATAAGTTAGTTCTTGTCGGCTTTTCACTTACTTCGAATATAAATTCAGAAGCTGTGGTAGCTGACACTTTTATGTCTGGCTTTGGTTAGTGGTGCCGGATGGTGCGTCCCTCGTCCTTTCGTATCCCGCCTCTGTTTGTCATGAACGGTCATAGTAACTCGAGACCCTGTTTGAAATAGGATGTCGCTCGCGCAGAACTGGCGTCGACGTGGAAAATTCGATGAAGTCGCATTCATCTTCCCCAATGCCCCTATGATCCCGATCACAGTCGTACGAGCCCCCTCGTCGATACTGTACCGTCTACTTCTACGCGGAACATTTGACTAAACGATAGGTGCTATATAGAACTTTGGAATGACCATGCCCGGATGGTACGATATTACAAAGCTTGGTCGTGATGTAAGTTTCGTTCGATTTTCACAGAGGACCGAGCGACGAACCCCTTCTGACCGATTCTCTTAAACCCATAGTTGGATTTCGAAGAGGCTCTGCGTTCCCAGGACGAGCCCGGAATTCTCCGTTCCCGCGACTACTTCAACACCCTGATTAAGGAGCAGGTGGAGAAGGGCATCAAACCTTCCCGTATCGTCATCGGTGGCTTTTCCCAGGGCGGTGCCATGTCCCTGTTCACGGGGATCACGAACAAGGAGAAGCTCGGCGGTGTATTCGGTCTGTCCTGCTACCTGCTTCTCAGCGACAAGATCAAGAACTACATTCCGGAAGACTACCCGAACAAGAAGACTCCAATTTTCCTCGCCCATGGCACAGATGACAATATTGTCCCGTATGCATTCGGGTCCGCGTCATCCAAGACAATCAAGGAGTTGGGCATAGATAATGTCGAGTTTCACAGCTATCCGTATGTCTTGTTCTGTCTTGTTTTCCATTTCCCTGACTCTTTTATTTTTTGCCTAATAATATATAATATCCAGAGGCCTCGATCACGGTGCCGAACCAGATGAAATCAACGACCTAGAAATTTTCCTCCAGAAGGTAATCCCGCCGGAAAGTGAAGGCGAACCTTCCTCGGGTTTATGACTCGAAGCAGATAGCTACGGACAGGCGTCTGGAACAGTAGAAATACCGGCGACATATAGTAACATCATTGTGGGTTTGATGGTTTTCATTGCGATGGTTCCGGTTTTGAAATTTCTCCCTAGGAATTAGACAGGTACACAGACTCGGATTCAAGGTATCTCGATAGTCGTTCATAGAGTCAAAATATATTTCTCACCAGTGATCTATGGTCAGTCATAGTTAACTGAGCATATATTGCTTACTAAGAATGCTGTTTAACCATGCAGTTCCCATGTGACTAGAACCTCCGCCAGACCGTCAGACAGCTATATTCTTTGGATTGTTACATGTTTGCTGCTACAATGCAATATATCATGGAAAAAATCTTAAAATACGAAAAATTGTCGACTATATGATGTGAGTGAGCAAGGCTCCCAACCTCCTTTCCTTGGGTTTCGTAGCCGCCTAACTTAGCAGCACAAGCAGAACTGAGTAACACAACCATTGAATATATATTTCTTGGATTCAAAATAAAAAGCCGGACTATCAATTTTCAATAGCCTTTGATATATCTTTTCCCTTTTCTCGATCAAGAACTTTCAACTTTTGGCAAATCACACCGTTACTATCTACGCGCATAATCGACATCCCAAGATGGCGCTCAACGATGCCGTGGCCATAAGCGGGTTTTTTGTAAATGGCCTATTTCGTCATCCTCTGGACTTTTATTCAAGCGTCGGTCCTACCTTGAGTGAGTTGACCTTTGGACTCTGTGGGGAGTCCTTTGTGCCGGAGCGGGACATTGGTGATCTTACTGGGAAGGTTGTCTTCGTGACAGGAGGTACAGATTAGTTCCAGTTTTATTCTTCTTGCAGACGGGTTCCATTTCATGGACTGATATAGGGTACTCGCGCAGGGAATACGGGTCTAGGAAAGGAGACAGTTTTCCAGCTGGCACATCACCAGCCATCCCGCATATACCTGGCGGCACGCAATGAGGACAAGGCCCGTGAAGCCATGACCTCTATCCAGGATAATTTCGCCTCCCCGGTCGATATTAGATACATTCCGTTGGATCTGACCTCATTCAAGTCCATCCAGGCCGCCGCGAAACAGTTCACGGAGGACTGTGACCGTCTGGACATACTCATCCTCAATGCCGGCGTGATGGGTAGCCCGGCGATTACCACAGAGGATGGGTTCGAGATCCAGATGGGTACGAACCACATCGGCCACTTCCTCCTCACCAAGCTGCTTCTTCCAACATTACAAGAGACTGTCGCTAGCGCTATCCCCGCACCAGACGTGAGGGTCGTAACAGTAGCGTCTCTGGCGTATACCCTTTGCACTCCGTCCAAAGTCATGATGCCCACCTCCGCTCTCTTGGAAGCGAGCACATGGACGCGCTACGGGGCATCCAAAGCGGCTAATATCATCTTTGCAGCGGAACTCGCGCGTCGGTACCCGGATATCCTATCTGTTTCAGTGCATCCTGGCATGGTGGCCAGCGAGTTATACGAGAGAGCCAGAGCTGTGAATCCGGTTCTGGGGACTGCGCTCGTTGCTGCTGGATCGATATTCTTCCGCAGCGTGCGTTCGGGGGCGCTGAATCAGCTCTGGGCCGCTGGCGCAAAACGGAATCTTTTGACCAACGGCGCTTATTATGCACCTGTCGGGATACAAGGCACGCGCAACGAGTATGCCACAAATGAAGAGATGGGGAAAAGGCTTTGGGAGTGGACAGAAGAGCAGATTGGCGAGATCCTGGCAGCCGCAGAGACGAAGTAGAGGTTGTCTTCCTGGACAATTTATGAATGATGATAGTTAGCTAGAATGAATCGATTAGTTAGGGTTTAACCGAGCGCCGTGATGCCGCCATCGGCAGCGAGCCGAACCCACAATGCAGCAGAAGCGCCCGCGAAGAGAGCTCTGCACGTCGAAATTCCCGTCCACAGCGTGAAGCTGGTAGACAGCACGTAGCAAACTAGAGCGTAGACAAGGATAGAATAAGCGCCGAAAACAATAGTAACAGTTTAAGCAAGGAGTGTAGACAGCCAAAGCCAGCCTTGCTGGGCAAGCGACAGACAAGCATCACCGCCTTAGCAGCGAACGGCCCTTTGTCCATCCTCCTCCGTCCGGATCCCCTCGACAACCTCCCTCTCACTCACTTTTAATCGAATCCAGGAAACGCAAGCAGGTTGAATTCGTCAGATTCAACTTCGTCCATCCTCTCGCCTGCCTTTCTCTCCCGGTACGGTGCCGTTTTTACCTTCCCCCAGCAGAACTTTCTCAGCTCGTCTCGTCTCTTCCTGCTTGATCAACCCTTTGCCGAAGTTCCACAGACGGAACACTCGACTGGGACTTTTTTTTTTTCGTCAATTTGTATCGTTCAGTCATAAACTGCGCACTAATTCGTACGGCAATTAGGAATTTACGAACAATCAGTGACACATATCCATCACGATGGATCAAGCAAAGCTAGCTAGATTGCAGGCGAGCGTGCGGATTGGTATGTGGTAACTCTTTTCTTTGCGTGAGAGATTGGATGTGTGCAGCTTCCCTGGGTTGTCGCATGGGATTATATTTTTGTGGATGCTGTTGTTTCTCTGTTTCGCTGTTTTGTGTTTTCCTTGGCTTGTATTCTTGCAACTTCTTCTGGAATAGGTGACTGACGGCTTCATGTCCTTCTAAATAGGGTGCGTATAATTCTTTCCCCCCCGTCTTCCTCAGTTTACCTACATGTAAAACTCGGAGTCATCATCGCGATCGCTATTTACACCAACAGCATTATCCACAACATCCTCGGACCACTAAATATCCCACTCATGCCTTCATCGATCACTTCAAAACTGACGATCTATTTCCATCAGAGGCAAGGGTACGCCCCGCCGCAAGGTCAAGAAGGTCCACAAGTCCTCCGGTGCCGATGACAAGAAGCTCCAGGCCACCCTTAAGAAGATGAACGTCCAGCCCATCCAGGCCATCGAGGAGGTCAACATGTTCAAGGAGGACGGAAATGTCATCCACTTCGCTGCCCCCAAGGGTGAGTATGATTCCTACTTGGGTTTCATGACGAGATCCCATGGCTAGAGGCAAGCTGCTCATATAATATTCTCCCTCTACAGTCCACGCCGCTCCCCCCTCCAACACCTTCGCCATCTACGGCAACGGCGAGGAGAAGGAACTCACCGAGCTCGTCCCCGGTATCCTGAACCAGCTCGGCCCCGACAGCCTTGCATCCCTGCGCAAACTGGCCGAGAGCTACCAGAATCTGCAGAAGAAGGAGGGCAAGAAGGAGGATGAGGATGAGGACGATATCCCTGATCTGGTTGAGGGTGAGAACTTTGAGAGCAAGGTCGAGTAAAGAGGGGAAATTTTATATGCCGAAAGGAAAATTATCAAACAAGGGCAAAAAAACAGGGAAATGAAAATACGGGAGTCAGAGGAATGACCACGAGAACAAGAGCAAAGACTTTCTTCTAAAATGTGGATTAGCGATATGACAACCAGGTTCTGTTCATTTGGTCTGGTTTGGATCTCTTTTCTCTTCTTCAATTAACCTCCATTCTCGTTTCTCTTCCCTTGGTCTGGTCCGATTTGGTTTGTTACTATGCTGTTCAATAGGTGAGTGGTTTGGAAGGCCTGAAAGCAAGATTTTGGAGGGGATATGAATGACATTACGGGATCATCATAGTGTCTTTGATGGAGCTGTTCCCTACAACTAGAGTAACACCTTGCCACATCAGATATCAGCACCAAATGCACAGTCTTTGGATTCAGCATACTTTCTGACACTCATCGAGCTCTATTATTATTGCTTGACAAGCACCGTCTGCAAGCCACACCACACCAGGAATGACGTCAGGCCTGTTGCATACATACTTGAAGTTGTAGATACTTGATATAGGGCACGATGCAGCTTTACTACAACAATACAAATATCGATATCTATTTCATTAACCCGTCGAATCAGTTCTCCAGACCAATTAATTAACCACCATGTCCCTGAACACAGTCACCAGTGGCCTCAAGAAACCCCCCAAGATACAGTCTCCATCTATCGCAAAAGATGTCCAACAACAACCAGACCTCAAGGAAACAACAGAAAACCTCACCCACCCGCTCCTCCCAGGCGAATTCCCCCCAGACGAACCAAAAGACAAAGACCAGCAAGAACAAACCGTCAGCATATCAACAGCCTTCTCCCAATGGTCCCATTCCCTCCTCCCAAACACCCTCGACCTTGAATCCAGCCTTAAGAGGCCTAATGACCTGGCTCCTCCCCCCGCCCCGCCAAACAGCCGTATACGAAGCAACGCTCTCCCGTCCCTTCGCCTCAACCATCATCTGCCAGCTTCTCTGCTGCGGGGTGCCGCTGCTTATCTTCCTGGCGGGACTGTGTGTGTTCGCGGCTGTTGCGATAGCGCTGTGGGCTGTTTTGTCGCTGGTTGTGCTCGGGCCGGTGCTGTTGGTGACTAGTTTTATGGGTGTGTCGCTTTGGGGGTGGGGATGGGTCTTGTATGGGTTGGTTAGGTGGGTGGATGGGGCGGTTTTGGGGGGTGTGCTTGGGAGGTTCTGGTTGCCTAGGATTCAGCGCCGAACACAGTCTCAGGATCAGAGTCAGAGTCAGGCTGGTGGGGGAAGAGCAGATCAAGGGTAAGGATATGAATAAGGGGAAGGAAAGCAAGGAGAAGGAGAGTTGATGTAGGACAGGAGGATTCTAGTTCGTTTCTCTCCATCATTGCTGTGATGGACATAATCTGTATTCCGTGTCATATGGAATGGTCGAGGTATAATACATTGGAAAAAGGTCTATCCCTCAAACATATCATAACTCCTCCTTCAGCCCACAAATATCCGTCCCAATAATCCTATCCACCATATACCAGAACCGCCAATACACATTAGACTTATCGTAATCGAAACTCCCGTCTTCACGGAGCTGTGGCCCATCCCCCACGATGTCACCAGTGAACCAGCTGAGGATCGGTATAGAGCGGAGCACACGCTCCGTGACGGTTGGTTGGGGCGGGAGGGCTTCGTTCATGGGCCGGAGTTCTGCCTTGCGGACGGCAGGGACATGGGACATATACTCGGAAGCGGGTTTAGGTTCGGCGGGTTGGGCTTGTCGTTGACGGAGAGCTGGTGGAGACGGCTGCTCGATTCCCGTCGCGGTCGTTGAGCTTGCCGTGGCGGTAGACAGTTGTGAGGACTCTTCCTCGATGTCTAACAGGTTGTTGTTCGTGGACTGGTGAGGGGCGAAGAGACGATCCTTATCCTTCGTTTGGAGTATGGGTGTGGTGAGTGATGTGGATATGGGGCGCTGTTGATTCCGGCCATGTGGCTGGAGAGCTGTTGCAGCCGCATCAGACCCTACAGGCAATGGAATATCTTCCCCAGGTCCCTGGCCATCGTACAATCTGCAAAAGACAAAGTGGCCATCAATTTCCTGGGGCGAGAAGAAAATCGCCCGGTCCGCAGCAGCGCGCGAATCAAACGTGATCTTAATCCAGTGGAATCCTCCCGCGTACCGTTTCGACTTGCGGTTCGCATCTGCTGAAAGATTCGCGCGAATAACAATATCACCACCACTCAGCAGTTCCGAGAAGCTGCTGGTCAAGTTGGGATCGGTCCGAGGATAGTCCTCGCAGATAAAACCCTGCGAGATGCGTTCGAACTTGTCAATCACCTTCCACTCTGAGTCCTTGCTCCTGTATCCATAGAGTATGCATTCGGTGGCGACTTTCTCAGTATGCGGGTTAGGACGGGTATTTTCTAGCGTAGTTGATGTTGCTGGTTTTGACGGGTTGGAGTGTGATTTTTCTTCCTCATGCAGCTGTTGCGTGAAGAGACGGCTGAACTCTGCAACATTCGGGTTCTCCCTCCTCGCTGGTGTTCCTGTACGAGCGCGCGATCTAGCATGGTCGTATCGAGCATTCCTTCGCCTGCCGAACGGCCCTGATTCTTCGGGTGGTCGTCGTGGATTGCGAGATTCACTGTTCGAGTCCATGTTAGTTTGCTTGATTTGTCTCCCTGGGGAATGCTGCATCGCTTTAAATCATGTCTCATATCTGCATGATGCTAAACAAGATGAAACTAGTCTGAGACATACTCTTTATAGACGTAGCCCCAGGGAAGGAGATTCCCCTTCTCGTCTTTTGCGCGCTCCTCTAAGGGAACGAAGTGATATTCCATGGCAACCTCCGGTCTTCGAGTTCTTGGTTGGGGAAACAGTCCAATCGTCAAGTAGCAACAAGGTTGTAGTCTGGATATCGTCAAATAGGAAAGCTTGGTGTAGGTATTATAGTAGGAGCCGGAACTTGACGCTGGGAATGGGGGAAGTGAATGGCAAAATCCGTGCGATTTGGGAAAATAAAATGCGGAGGTAAACACAGCTAGGTCACGTGATAGAACTATCAGTCACTGTTGGATCACGTGGGATTCTGCCGCATAGGTCCGCCCTCGCTGACCCTTTTCACCACGTAGGCCTATCTAGCTAGTAACCAACCAACAATACACCTCCATTAGTCACAGTCCCGCGGGCACGTGATTAGCGCGTGTCCCACGCCGACGTTAAATAGCACTACTACTACTACTACTACATCTACCACAGCAAGCAGAGAGTATGTTGGAGAGTATGCCTATTAACGTGAAATATCTCTATTAATCTATTTTTCAACTTCATAAGAGCTTCCCGCAATGAACGACCCCTTCGAAGGCCCGACAATAACCTCTCCAGCATCAGAATCAGAATCTGTCTTCGCAATTTCACTATCATCCCTCTCCTTCGTCTCCTGGACAACATGAGAGTGGACGGCAATCCAAGTCGGGGCGACACACAGCCCTAGCAAGATGTCAGTACGATGATTCCTGTAAGTATTCCCTATTGAATGAAACTGACCCAGCAAGATAGTGTTCACGGCCAAAGGTACACGGCCACCATACCAATCCTTCGTATTCAGACCATAAGAAACAGCTTCGCCGAAACTTTCCTGCCCGCGAAGAATACCAGTTAACCTGGTGAGCTCGGCGATGTCATTCGTGATCGTGCCAACGAAGTAGTAGAGCCAGTTCTGTGCGGCTTGCTGTGCGAATCCCCACAGGAATATCACGAATATGCCCTTCACGAAGCCTGGTGTTGTGTAATCGAACATGGGGGGATTCGGACTCGCCGTGTACTGCTCTTGGACGACCCAGGCGTAGACCCAAGCCGCCACATGGATGAGGATGACATAGTACCATCCGTACGTGAGGCGCTTCTTAGGGTCGACGCGTTTCCAATCAAGCCAGTGCGAGATGGTCTGCGATGCAAGAATAGTTACCCAGTCCGATAGGAAAGCGATCAAGCATCGAGCGCGCACGCTGAAATAGTACGTCTTGAAATTGCTGGAGTATTGGTTGAAATAGACCGCCCAGAAGATCGGGAGCAGCAGGATGACCGTGCGGTCTTTACATGTTCGCCAGAGAGCCTTGAACTCTTTTGCCCACGAGTCCTCGACATGCACAATAACAGGCGATCCGTCTCCGCGTTGCACCTTGGACGGATGCGTTAGGAGAAAAGCGACAGGAACAGCCAGACATTGCAGCACGATGAAAACAATATATGTTGAATATCCCACACTCCCCTTTCCCTCACGGTGGATATTAAGGCCCAGAACGATCGAGTTCCCGATAATTGGCCCCAGAGTCCTCCACCAGACCCAGATATTAAGATACGTAGCTCTCTTCGAGGGCTCCGGGTATCCGATGGCAATGGCACCCTCGCTCGCCCAGAATAAGCCTGCGGAGATCCCACAGGCCACGGAGCCAAGAAGGACAAACCACACGTTGCCGTACCGTTTGTTCGTGTACAGGCCAGCGGAGTACACCGGGTAACCCGCCGCACCGAGAAGCAGTGTCCATTTCAAGCCGATGCGGTTCGCCAGCGGTGCGCCGAAGATGCAGAAGAAGCCCATCAGGCCGAAGACGAGGGCATTCGCGGCATTGATCAGGTACGGTTTCTCCGCACCACCTGCGCCGAGCGAGTTCATGGCATTCCACAAGCCCGGTGCGAGGAAACCGACGGCGCCGATGACACTGGCATTGAATAGGGATGTCCGATACCAGACTCGCTTGGGAGGCTTCACACCGGCATCTTCGATCTCGGGGATGTCCATGCTGGTGTAGACGTAGCTTAGGGCTTAGGGTAAAAGCCTAAGAAGCGTTTTACGCGAACTAGCCGTATGCATTTTGCTATGCGAGTTCCCTGTTTATTTATATGTATGCTCTTTCTTCTTAAAATCTCTTCCATCGTGAAATACGATGGTGAAAAACTTCAAACAATGTCGCAAGAACAACGGTATATCGCGAAATATCAAGCATGGATCTAGTTGGCGATCTTTGGTGCTTTGAGTGGATTGCTGCGCTGCTCACTTGCTGCATCCGGAAGGTTACAATTTCCTAGGTAGTAGTTGATAGTAATGGAATACTAATAATACTGACGCTAACAGAGATCGAGACTGATGTTAACGGGACTAATAAGTCCAGACATTCAATCGGAGACGCGCTTTGCCGAATGGCATCTGCAATGCTCCACTTTAGAGCTATGGTGTCATATTCTACTACGGAGTAGTTAATAATATCATTTATCTAACCTACTGATTCTTATCTACTGATGCTTCAGAAAACTGATATAACCCACGTCCCTACCCAGACCGCACACGTCCGCGAATTCTCCCACCTCGCCCCTTCGTCGTCGGACGTAGTCCATGAACGCGTCCAGAGGACATGATCCCCCCGGACCAGAGTGACAGTAGGGCAACTGCACAATCTGGTCGTTGATATTGATGCGAAGGAAGGTCCGGTTGACATCTTCGTCCGTGTTGGAGGAGCATGTCATTCTCTCCAGCGTGATCCGGCCGCCCATGGGCATGATGGGGGACATGCGCCAGATTCGGTCCGGCGCTGCGTGGGTAACGGGGAGGTTGGGGTCGTATTTCGAGTCGTTGAAGATGTTCAGTGCTGTGAGGAGGGGGGCGATGTCGCCGTCGTGGACGCTATATTCATCAAGCATATTAGACGGATTTGTTCTGTCTGCATTGCATTGCAAGACAGGGAGGAAGGACAGCCATACAAACTGAAAAACAGCGTCCCTGCTTCGGGTCCAGAGTGCAGAAGAGCAGCCGTAGCATTCAACCACAGCCACCCCATTGCGCCTGCATACGGATTCCCCGGTCCAGCGCGATAGTAATGGATCACATCACGGGCATACTCGAACTGCTCCCATTCATCTTCCGTAAACACATCGCACCACGGACTGGATCCCCGAACCGTCGTCTCGAAGGCGCACATCTCCTGCATGCCGAATACTTCGAGATTGGCCAGGTTCCCCAGTGCCTGATTCCCTTCGACGGAAACCAGTCGCTCCGCGATGGCCGGGATGTAAGCCTCCTGGAAGAGAGCGAGCATGTTGACACCGTTATCATGGCCGTGCTGTGTATCTTCGAGATACCGCAGACAGGTATCTCCGGGCGTGAGTGTGTCTGCTCCACGTTCGAACGTCTCCGGGATGACCTGTAGCTCGGCATGGTCTTTCTCCCAGTTGAGGCCGAACATGCCCGAGGCGAAGTGCTGGGCTGTATGAATGACGCGCTCCGAGTCACTGGCCCAGAGCCGGGTCCTGGAATGGCGAGGGAGGAGATGTCCGTATCGAGTTCGGAAGCGGACACCCGTCGTGAATGCGCCCAGAGTACCCGCGTAGGGGCCGGTAGTGGTCAATTGCTCGAATTCTCTGGACGGGTCGACGCTGAAGTAAGTCCAGTTGTTCAGGAAGGCAAGAGAGCCGTTCAGGACGAGATTCGCCTCCTTGATCCGATTGAGAAGGGCGAGATGGCCTTGATTCGAATTAGATCTGAATATTTGACGCTTATGGGAGCATGTTTCAATCATAACATACGGCTTCCAACGGAACTGGTAGGATATCTCTCCGCATGTCGGGACATCTAGCATCGTGAGCAGGATTTTAATCTGGACATACTAAATAATAGAACAGACCATATGCACTTGATCAACTATACACCCCTCCGGCGGCTCAATCCCAGCCTGTCCCTCTCCAAGCTCAACCCACGGTCCGTTCCCGCCGAGATGATAAAGAAGATTCCATTCACCCTTGCGACCCGCGGAACCAGTGCGGCGAGGATGGAACCATGTCCTCCAACTTGCACCATGCGGTGAATAGAGACGAATATTTGGACTCGCGAGGACATATTCCTCCGTCTGGGAGGTGTCGGGGTGAGAAAAGGAGCCTACGCCTGAGCCGAGGTTGTTGTAGGATTTGGATTTGCTGGCTAGGAGAACGGTGAGCAGGGGCAGGAGGAGGGCGAGGGGGAGAGGGAGACGGGGCATTTTGGGAGTTAACAAGAGGAATTGAGGATTTATTTCCTGGTATTCTATGCATGTGGGATGAGACAGTGGGAAAGGACGGAAAAGCTGATCAAGGCTTCGTTGGGCGCCAAGAATATAAATAGAACTGCACAACGGTAGATGCATACATCAATTCATAGCCCTCGCCCGATATAAAGTAACCGGTATTGATACTACTATTGATATCAAGCATCTCTCTGACGTGTCAGCAGATTTCAGGTGAGATTTTGAAGATCGGAGAAATCTGCCTCGTCACTTCGACAAGCGAGGTCGAATGGTGGACATGGTGGACTGAGAGCAAGTATAAGGAGGACAATTGAGCCCGCAAAAGTCGCAGCCAGCTCAATTCTCACACAACTTGCTTTCTCTCCTTCAGCTTCTGTGCCTTTCCCCTTCCCTCTTTCCAGTCGTCCGTCTGTCCCGAGATACTCCAAAACATTTCCGATTACCCATTGCAATCTTCAAAATGGCAGTGGTATTGACAACAGTGATATCCCAATCAAGCTGCCCTCTTTCCAGGGAGAATTCACAGAGGATGGCCTGCCATCTCTGAGTTTGTCTAACTCAGATGACAGTCTCCAGGAGTTTTTCAGGCTTCCAGATGCACAGGACAATATTCCCATTGACCTGATAATCCTTGCCAGCCATGGGGCTCATAGGGATACCAGGGGTGATTACTTCACCCCGCTCTGTTCTCACTTTGTGTCTCTACCACTGGATGAGTTTGCAATTCCTCCCTTGGCCTTTTGACGGTGCCCTACCACGCTGCATGTCAGGCTCTTGGCGAGCAGCATGTGAAGACAGGGATACACTAGCAATGAGTCCCTCAAGACTCCCGCACAACATTGAAAGCCGGCGTGATTGCAGGGAGGCTCAAGCAAGTTTTAGGAAGAGGAAGTGTACGAAATGGCCCATGGAAGACGTGGACCTTCTGCAGAAGCTGAACCCGGATGACAGTCAGTCTTGGTCAGACATGACAAGGTTATTCTCAGAGCAGTTTCTGGGCAGAAGTCAGGGTTCAATTCAATTCTCAGATGTCACTTGTGGAGATCTTCTTCCCTGGCTTTGGTGCTATCTCTACCTCTGAACAGCAGCTCTTAGCCAGTGATCTAAACAGCAGCACTCACCTCCTCTTTACCTGTGGGTTTTCCTCCTTTTCATTCGATACGCATTCCGTCATCTAAAGGAAATTTTCCGAACCCACTTCAGTTTATGTTTCTGTCCCCACGTCAATGCGTTTCTGACAGTTGACAGCTTCGACAATTCATGTCCTATATCATGATGAGGTGTATGATATGGTTGTTAGTTAGATGGCTCAACGGCCATTTGTCGATAATGCCGACTCCTTAATTGCCCGTGTGAGGTCGCGGCAGAGAAACGTCACTCAGGCCCAAGCAAAGAAAAAGCCTCTCACCATTTCTCCTTGGAATGGATCATTCCCCTTCTGGTGTAAGCAGCATCTGCTCATACTCCATTGTGCACTAAGAAAACATATACATCTCCTCCATTGGCAGATATCCAAACATTCTGAAAGAACTGGTTGAAGAATGTCAGAAGGATATCTCAATGTCATCCAGACAAAGATTTCGGTTTTTGAGCACCGACAAGGTGAATGGAAGAAAGCCTGGCTGAAGCCAGTCAGACATATCACCACAGTCATCATGGACAAAGAAATGAAAAAGACTTGTTAAAACATATGGAAGAATTTCTGGATGAGCCGACACGGAGGTGGTACGCTGCACGTGACATTCCCCATCGACGAGGATACCTCCTATTTGGACCGTCTGGAACCGGAAAGTCTAGTTTCCGTTTCTCAATTTGTTCTATAGGCAGGGAGGATTGCCAGGGCAGCTAGGTGGAGCAGGGACTGTAGGGAGCTGATGACCTTTTGTTGTCGTTAACCAGTATAGAAAATTTCTGCCCCATAGAGTGCTGTTGGTAGGACGCATGGTAGTACTGCTGCGCGCATAGAGGCTACTGGACACCCATGCCGGGTGTTACTGAGGCTCTGGAGGTGTTGTGCCAGCTGCTTGCCACGACTAAACACCCAGTTGATATGGGGCTTGAGGGTGAGCTTTGTGTCGAGTCGGACCCCCAGCCAGCGATGTAAAGGGGGGCGTACGTGGGTTGTTCCCTGCGACAGGAACCGAATTGTGATCGAGGGAGCTCAGGGATGGACACACTGAACGATCTAGAAGGAAACGATATAATAAAAGAAGAAACAACGATGGACCTCGTTCCTATACGACGACAATACTAGTAAAGCAGCTTAGCAACCAAAAGTATGCTCAATTTTTCGTAACTATCTGGGCAGAAACCCTCCTTAAGTACTCTCCGGCCACGGGCTCCACCATACATGAGAGATCTGGGATTCCGCAGTGCCCCCGGCGCATTGCTTCATTTTGTCTGTTGCTGTGACGGCGTGGAGAACAAGTACTATATAAGTGAGTGCAGTATCAGGTCTTACGACCTGATATCCTGGTCTTTTGACGGTAGTGCAGCGGTTTAGTTCTTAGAATGCACCCTAGGAGCTAGGTCGTGACAGTTGCCAGTTCACATACTTCCTTGGGCAGAATGCCGTTCTCTCTCTTCTTCTTCTTCCTCCTCCTCCCAGGGAATACTTCGTGTATCTAGCACTACAATGAATTCTATATTCAACCCACTACAGTTATATCTGTAATTCATACTGTTGCCATTTAATTACTTCCTGGGGGTAAATTCTGCCAGCCCACGGTGGAAGCTCCATCTCCTGGCTCCAGCTTCTTCTCATCAGGACCATGAAATACCAATATCCAACACACATCCAGACATAGTTCTCTGGGTTCCGACGGGCAAGTTGGCCATATATCAAGCCATCTTCATTTTCAAGGGTTTTAGTGTCATAGTCCATGAAATCTGGATGTTCATCCTGGCGCTTCTCAAGAGTCGCCTGGTAATTCTGCCACAAGTCTACAGTAAACACGGAGTTCGGAAAATATGACCTTGAATAAAGTAAAATAGAAATAGAAAACCTGGATAATATGCTGATGATCCTCACAGCTTGAATCTGGAGTCTTCTCCGAACGTCCAATGAGATAGACAGTCTCATGGAATGGAGTTGCACTCATGGAAAATACAGCTGAGATGAAGGTGCCAATTTTGGGTGTTCCGCTTCCAAGATTAAGTGAATCGTACTCATTAGTAAGTGCTCTAGGGCATATTGTCAAGGTATTTGGTTCAGTAAGTGTCTGCGTCCTTCCAAGGGTTGCACCCGAGCAGAAGGGCAACGGGTCACCTGCTGAAGATAGTGTGGGTGGTGAATCGAACATGTAGCCGTTGGATGCATCCAGGGCCCAGTATGGGTGAAGGCCAGTTGCTGCACTATCTTCCCACAGGTAGTCGTGGTACTGCGGAATATCTTGAATGGTGATCTGATGCAAACTGCCCTCATTGTCAAACCCTGTGACAATGTTTCCATCCATGTCAAGGGCAAAATCATCCAGAGCACATGACCTCACCCATGTCGAGCAGCAGAGCGGCCACGGTTTTTGAGGGATATTGTCAACCAGACTGCCGTTGTAGAAGTTCTCCATTTCTCTGAGTATATCTAGTATATTCAGATCAGCATAGTATCCTTACCATAGAGAAATTTATATTCTTCATTCTCCATATCTGTTGGACTCCGTCTCATGTATGCGCTACGGTAGTACTGTGCAATCCATTGATATGGGCTAGTGCCATCAGACACATCCTGGAAGACTTGCAAGCCAGAAGCAACCAATGCCTGGGCCTCTGCAAACCAACTTGTGAGGATTTTCGTTCTAGTATCGCAACTGCCTCTTTTGCTACCACTGTGAACAGGGAAACCATCGTTAATGATAGCAGCCAAGGCGGCTTGCATTAAATATGCCCCCATGGTCAAGGACCAGCAAAGCCATTTCCAATGTAGTCCAGCCGCCCTATAACTGAGGACTTAAAAGCTGAGCAAATGAGAAATTTCTAATAAGAGTTCTGAGGAGGAGAAAATCTGCCAGCCATGCCAACAATCGGTGTTCAGTCTTCTTGATATACTGCGCGAATAACAGTTCTCTCAGTTCTTTACGAGCCGTTATTTTCCAAAGTGAGACACCCCACATTTGGGCATCACTATGCCTGCAGTGTGCGGGTAATCTAGATCCATACTAATTAGCCTTCCCCATATCGTTGCATTGTGGAAGGAGATTTGCGGCCCGCCATCTTGTCTGTTCCCGCTTCCATCCAACTCAAAATCTGTGCTTAATAATAATGCCCATATTCATATTCGCCAAAATATTGGATGAATCAATGGTTTATCCTAGTGTGACGCTAGATATGTGTTAAGTAGGTGTTAATCGATTGGAAGTGTGTCTTCTATTGTGCTACTATCTAGGTGCGCGCTTCTTAAACCGGCTGTATAGATTAGGCGAGGGCGGTCTAGCATGTTAGATCACGTGGGATTCTGCCGTCTAGGTCCGCCCTCGCAGCCCCTTTAGCACTTCGGCCTATCTAGCTAGTTACCAACCATATATATGCCTCCATTATAACAGGGCAGGCTTCACATGACCTGCAACGTAATCTGTGTTGGGGGCTCCTATTGGCTCGGCGTCTTCCTAGTTAGGTTTAGCTCATATTACTTAGCATTAGTTTAGCTTAGCATCGGGAAACGGGAATCGGCTCGGCCCGCCCCAGAGAACCCTCGCGGCACCTAGGAAATTTCGCGCTAAATTCTCTAGGTGGGCCGGGCTCGGTGTTCATCTCACCTAGAGATGTGCCAAACGACCTGGGCTGAGCTTTCTCTTCACTTATACTGGCCCTACGCTTACACATTGCATAGGTTGCACTATGCTTGGAATGCAATATTCAACCCGGAATATCTTAATCAACAAATATTTCTATAACAAAGTTGGTTTTTGGGTCGGACTTTTGATATAACTGTGTATCTTCAAAAGGGGCTCTTGCAAAACCCTACTCTTGTTCTTTCCATTCATGCCCATGCCTTTCCCAGCTCGAGGTATTGCGATAATGAAACTGCTCCCTATCCTGCCGTTGCTGGCAGGAATCGCCCGTGTCCAGTGTGCAGCTGTCTTCGCCCATTTGTAGTATGCATACCATTTTTGTATCATTCACATATGTACATAGACCGCTGCGGACTCCTGATATGCTTGTGTACGTGACCAATCCGCAGAACTACACCCTCTCCGTCTGGTATGATGATATTCAATTGGCCCAAGAAGCTCACATTGACGCCTTCGCTCTCAACATGGCGTACGCGGACCCAAGCAACACCGGTGCTCGCACTTGAATTTTCAGCCGCAGAAGGCAAGGGATTCAGTCTATTCTGCTCCTTTGACTACGCTGGAAATGGTCCCTGGCCTGAAGCCGATGTCATCAATCTCATCACATCACCCAGTACCACCACATGCAACATCAGGGCAGTAGCCATACGAACAGTCAGAACTACAAAGCCCATCATAGCTGGCAGCCTCTTCGGCAATCAGATATCCCTGAATACCTGTTTCATTGGGCCTGTGCTGGACTGTGTAGCTTTGGCTGCCAGTTCAGATTCTGACCAATTGAGCGCTGTACCTGTACCACTGAGGGCGTCCTGGTAACTCCTCCGGCAGCTACAAGTACAATCATTGGCGTTCCAGTGGAGAGTGGTGCTGCATCAGTTACGAGCAGTTTGTGCAGCTTCGCCTGTGAACGTGGATATTGCCCCTTTGGAGTGTGCACAACTACATCAGCGCCTGCCAGCGCAACTTCTGGGTCAGGGTCAGGGTCTGGTAATGTCTACATTGAGGTTTATTAGTATTCTCCCTTCAGGTACGGATGATCTAGTACCAAAGCCCATCCAAACGGTCGCGCGGTGAATTTTCCTACAGGTGCGTAAAGTAACGCCTAGGAGGTCTGCAAGGGGACTTAGGTGGATTGTGGATAAAGGGAAAATCAAGTTGATGAGGGCTAGTTCTCCTGCTCGGTGGCCAGCACTGGACAAGGATTCCACGCGAAAGAAGACAAGACATTGACTGCAACAACAGATAAGTGTAGAAAAACACTAGCTCGTGTCCATGGACCCAAGAACCATGTCTTTGAACCACTAGAGGGAGCGTCAGGTGTCGGGAAACCAAGATAGAAATCAGGTTCGTCCAGCAGGTGAGGGCGGAGACAGCACGGGTTAGAAGAAGACTAGCCAAGATACCGCCAGCCGCAATGGCATAGATGTCTAATCCTTGCATCCTTTCTTTGACAAAAAGCGGCCTCGAAATTGTGAAAGTGGACTGAATTTGGATGAAGCGCCTGGGGAGAAGTTAGACCTATTTATATGTGAGATGCCTACAATATGCCGTCCCTCTGCGGTACAGTTCCGAAAATAGAGTGTATTCTGCGGGAGGCCTATTTGGGTCGAGACAAGCTGTCCACCCATCCCAACTCTCTCAGTTTCGTGCAATGGATCACACTCTTGCACATATCCATGAACACTGAATTAATCTGACAGATATTGTTGCCATGCTGGTGGTCCAGTTCCTTATATTCTACAACCAGGCTAATGATGTTCAGTGCAGTGGAACTTTACGCTTCGGACCTAAAGACATAACTGACTGGCTCGATTCAACAGATCTGAGATACGGCGCGTATAAACTGTGCTTTCTTGGACCAAGAAAGGCGTAAGCGCGCATTGGGCGTAAGAATCGTCATGACTGCCTCTTTTTTAGATTTGTACTCCAATATACCTGGATAGAGGCCTTGCTCCTCCCTGGATAGGAAAGGAATTGGTGCTCACCTTCCTAGACAACGTGTGATGAGACTTATGTGATAACTGTGTTGGAAGGTTCTGTTCACCTCCTTATCAACCCATCCATACCTTCAATTCAACCGATAAAAGGAGCCAAAACTCTGCAGGTCGAAAAACAGATTTTCTTCCGGCGATTCGTCTATCTCCTCTCAAGTGATTCGTAACCGGGAGCTAGAGACTAGGCACCACCTTCGCAGCTAGCGCAAGAGGCGAAACAAGGCAGATGAGGCATTCCCCGAACCTTCATCAGCGAAGGCCTCATTAGGGGAAGGTTGAGACCAAGCAATCCGAGGAAACGAAAGAGGCCCAGAGGTCAACGGTCATCAAGCAATGGCCATTCTCATGCGAAGAGGGTGGAGATGGAGTAGAGCTGTCCGAAGGGTAGGAGGAATGACCATTCCATCACCAGCAATTACCCACCATAAAGGCAGGTAACGTGGAAAAGGCCACAAGACTGCGGGGTTTCCACCGAGTCAGCCTGTCGGCATATCGGCGACTCCGTACATCCCAAGGAATGGGAAATGAAACGTGGACGGCAGGCAGGGCGCTTTACCAAATCTGGGCAATCATCGGATAACGCAGCATCCAGGGAAGGGGGCAATGCAACAGCCAGGGGCATGGGGAAGGGGAAAATTGAGAAGAGAAAGTGCGTGGCCGGTTGAGGGCGAAGGGTCGGGGTTATATAGATGGTGTTGGGGCGGCAAGCGGGCGAGCAAAAGCGGCGGCAGGAGGGGATATGGGACTAGTCTAAAAAAGGAAAGAGCTATTCCGTTCCGGGAAGCAGAATGACCGTGGGCGGTAGGCGGTCTGAGGAGGCAGGACGGCAAGCAATGGGAGCCGTTTCTGGCGCCCCGCTTGCCGTGTGTCAGAATACTGAGCTAGCTTCTATGCACTATTCGACCTCTCAGTCATTGAAAGTGCCTTACCTAAAGCCGCGAAACAAAGATAAATATATGCCATGGGTTAAACTACATAAGCAAGCAACACCTAGAAAGCGTAGCGAAATCGTGGATTCCGGTCTCCCATCTCCTGGATCGCTTCTTCCGTCATGCCCTCGATTTTGTCATCTTCCAGCCCCTGCCCCCTGCGCCTATTGATGCGATGCAGACAGAACCACATAACAGCATACAGGATACCGGCGTATCCAACCATGGCCAAGGTGACGGCATTCCCGCGAACATAGCGGGGCGCTTCAGACGCCTTGTACAGGAATGGGGACATGACACCGCTGACATTGCCAAATGTGAGCTGCAGGCCCGTCGCATAGGTCCGTTTGCCGTAGCGAGGGAGATTTGACGGCAGCCATGCGAGCGGAATTCCGACCGCCACGTATAGGCCCAGTGCGATGAGTAAGGCCCCGAAGTAATGTACGCCCGACGACGAATCCGAGATCAAAACCCCGTAACCCACGACGGAAATCGCAGCGAAGATACATACGAATATGGCGCGGCGTTGAGTCCGGTCACTGAGCCAGGCAATGGATATGTATGCGATGGCACCCACAGCGTAACAGGGGATAGTGAGAGCCTGGATTTGCGGCGTCGACCATGACCCCATCCCTTTAATAATCGTCGGAAGAAAAGTGCTGTAACCGTAAAGCATTGTATCGGCACCGAATTGTCCAGTGCAGAATGCGTATATCTTCCAGTCCAGTGCTCCCTCCTTCACGTCTGCCCAGTGGAACTTCTGAGCAGATGCCGTTTGGCCCAGGTGACGACTGCGTCGCGCGACCATGAGCGCCCTTTCTTCTTCGTTCAGATAGTATGCGGTCTCAGGATCGTTTGCGAGGAAGAACCATGTCGCCACGCCGATCACGACGGTCGGCATACCCTCGATGATCATGATCCATCGCCAGCCTCGCATGCCGCATATGCCATCCATGTACCCGATTGCATATGCCAGCAGACCACCGCAAGCGCCAGCGACGGCAGCACTGCTGAACAGATAGCTCGTTCGTAACGCAAGTTCTCGCTTGCCGTAGAACAGGGTTAAGTAGGTCATCATACCGGGGAAAAGGCCCGCCTCGACGACTCCAAGGAGGATTCGACAGGCCACCAGGCCGCCGTAGTTTTGTGTGATTCCTGTCAGAGTTGCGATGACGCCCCATATTATTGCGATCGCGGCGATGTAGCGAGATGGTGTAAACTTCTTTAGAACCAGGTTCGATGGTACTTCGAACAACTAGCATAGAACAGACAGTTAGCTCTTGAGAGTCTCTTTTAGAATACAAAGCAACCAGAACATACGCAGTATGTTACAAACAGGATAGAAACCGCAGTTAGATACTGATCGCCGACGAGACCCAAGTCCTCTTCCATGCCGTACAGACGGGAATTGCCGATGTTCACTGCAGAAATTGCCCACAACGTCAGTGGATGCAAAAGGAACGCAGAGAAGACAAGACATGGATCCTCACCTCGGTCCAGAAAACTGAACAGGTACAAAAGTACCACGAAAGGCAATATATGTAAATCAAGCTTCCAAACCAGACGCTTCTCCTCCTCCGGGTCAATTTGGATAGCATCCCCTGAGAGCCCAGTGAAGTCATCCTGAGACACCGGTTGAACCACTTCCACATCCCCCTTGGCCTCGTGTACGTGGTTTAGGTCTAGTCCTCCCATCGCGACTGACTGATGCTCTCGTTCTGAGTCAAAGGTGCGAGTCGGTCCACCTTTTAAACCCCTTCATCCATCAGTCAACAGAGACACAGACCTCGCCACTTCAGCAAGCTGGTTCCATTTCCATCTCTGCAGGAAATTTTAAGCTTAGATAAGTACAAAAGGGGATGTGGTCAGGCCCAGAGGTGGGGATCAGCACCGATAGATATGAGGAGAAACCATTATGTACTCCTTACGGCTGCAAGAAGAATAGCCGTATCACTAATTTCCACAGCCTGCCAATAGACGCATGCTGAATACGAGTGTTGTTCACACTTTAATTGCATAATCAGTTATGTCTGGTCGATGGATTATGTGGATGCAAGGATTCTCTGGAAACACCGAAGTCGGTCGAGAGAGGTTCTTGGCCGAATGACTCATCTGGATCTTTCCTCATGGTTTCGGTGATTCCTTTTCGGTGAATCCTTTGGTTCATTTCGTTTTCAAAAGTTATTATTATTATTATTATTATTATTATTGTTATCACCATCTGCAACCACGTGTAACAGGACCAATCCGTGGATCTGAATACCTCGACGAAACTCTGAAGTCTTATTGGTGGATATATTGAGCATCACGTGAATCACAATGACTAGCCTATTGCAGACTAGTTTCTGAGTTTGTTATAGGTCACATGTAATATGCACGGTTAGACCGCCCTCGCCTGGCCTGCACCTAGCCTTCCTTATCTAATGGAGGTGTATCGTTGGTTGGTTACTAGCTAGATAGGCCTACGTGGTGAAAAGGGTCAGCGAGGGCGGACCTATGCGGCAGAATCCCACGTGATCCAACATTATCACCAGCCAATCACATGACACTCCTCCTTCTCCCGTATGGAGATGTCTCATAAAACCACTGTCGAGCATCATTACAGTATACTACCTGGGCCACTACTAGATGCTGGCCATGCTTCTGGATGAACCTGCCGCTCCATCAGAGAGCTGGAAGCATGGCAGAAATACAAAGGCCCAGGCAACGCACATTGACGGGATGCTATACCTGCCGCGAGCGCAAGTTGAAATGCGACGATACCCGCCCTTCATGCCGGCGCTGCATCGCGCTGGGAGTGGAATGTCAGGGATATGAAATCAAGCTTTCCTGGATACCATATCAGGTCAATGGCCAACAGGAACGATGCATCAAAGTGCAGCCGCGTCATAGACATCGAAGAAAGACCTCTGGGAATAATGAGGGTGATGCTGAAGTATCACTGTGCCGGCGACCTTTGTTTTCTGGTAACACCTCTACTGGACATTGGATTACAGAAGCCGCGTTCAAGTGATGACCATCCAGGCTGAATCTCTCTGCAGAGACAGATAGGTTGAACATGGTTCTAGAAACGCAGAGGGAATTTGTCGCCGGGAATCAAGACCGCAATGTCTCCAAAGCGATTGACGAACTGGATCGGAGAGCAGAGAGAATACCACGGAAGCTCGGGCATTATGACCACCTTGGTCCCTTCAGCGTGTTTGTGCTTGGTTCCACTGAGACCACAGATCAGTTGGATGGCGAATCCTGCAGCTCTGCACAGGCCGACGCGATATCTCTCCAGGAGCCGATTTCCGATTCGGACGTCCCAGCACTTCCTGGCCACACAGTGTTAACCCATGAAAGAACTAGTCCTCAAAATGCTGAAAATACCAGATCCGCTTGGCTCTTTCCGGGTGTCGATTGTACCATTACCAGTGGTGATCTTCCCCGTCAGTCTTCAACCCAACTGGCTCCCTCTTGGGATCTTGTAGGACAATATCCATATCCGTCTGACGGAGACCAGACCGCTCAGCAGACCTTTACTGAGCTGGGACTGGGTTGCCCGGAGACTACTATGGTCATATGGAACCATGGCCAGCCAGATTACGGAAGTGTTCCATTGCATCCTCCACACGGCAGCTTCCATCATAATCCCGTCTATAGTAAGCCTATCCCGATCGTGAAAGCAGTTCTGGCCATCAGAACGTAAGACAAAACTTAATAACAACTCCCACCGAGCAGGTATATCGAGGACATTGTCAAGCAGCCAAGGCCTATTAAAAATCCCTCCCGAATCTCAATTCCTACTGGAATACTATGCCACCGAAGTGGTCAATTTTATGTGCCACCTGCCCAATCCAAACTCTCCATGGAGAACTATTCACCTCCCATGGGTTATGAGCACCATGTCCGACTTCGCTATTTTCGGGAACGTTGGCAAAGCCAGGCTGGCTTTGTTCTATGCCTTACTCTCGGTTTCATCAAATCACCTAAGCTCTAAAATAGCACCATTGTCATCCGAGGCTACACAAAAGAGCCTAAACATGACCTCTGAGACGACCGGAAACAGGTATTCACTGCCCCCCAACAATGGCTCCGCCAACTATTGGCTAGCTAGAGGGTTATCGTTTCAGAATGAGGCTGCTGCCCAAATTAGAGCTTGTCTACAGAGTCATGGTTTTGACATGCAGGAAATGTATCAGGCGCTTTTGATGAGCCTACTAAGCATGGTGACCATTAGTGTGAGCTCTCCTGATGTTATTTCTATATTGACAAAAATCCACTAATACTGCCGATGGTAACAGGTTACCAGTGGGAAGCTGAGCAGCGCGCATACCTACTTGCAAGGCGCCGGAAAACTTATCCAGAGATACCAATTGGCAAGGTCCAGCCTTCCCTCCTGGAAAAGCAGAAGTCTTACGGCCCTGCATCAGATTTATTTATATCTGCAGACCATTCATAGCAGCACTCATATTTCCTGGGCATCCTGTTCCGGCAAGAATATAGACACGGAGTCATCATCTAACTCCGGATTTATTAAGGAAGTCCATGGACTAGCAGCTTGCGGATCTCAACCTTCCGTGACCCCACAGACCAATTTTGACTCTCTTTTAGATTATGGAGGCGACCGCCAACTGCTTACGAACATATATGGCGTCCCATACTCGCTCCTGAAGCTAATCGGACGTGCATCGGAACTGGCAAAGGAAGTTGAGGAACACGGCGAGACTGTGCATGATACTACAGGCTTCCGTCTCCGATGCGAGAAGCTCGAGGATGACATTTGCACTTACCAGTCATCGCCATCAAATGGAGAGAACCTTACTTCCAACTTCCGCCCAGACGATACATGCATGCAAATCTCTTCTCACCTGGCACACGCAATGCATGACGCTCTGATCGTAATGTTCTTCCGGCGCGTGCGCAAGGTGCACCGGGCTGTTCTACAACACCACGTCAAAAGCACCCTCGGTCATCTCAAGGACCAGGAGGCGATCAAAACTGGAGCAGGGATTCACGCACCAGCACTTCTTTGGCCGTGGTTTATGGTGGCTGCTGAGGCAACCGGGGAAGATCTGAGGGAAGAGGCCCGGCAATGGTCCGGCGTCGCTATGCGATACGGTGGCCGTAATATCGAGGCCGCTGAGCAGGTGGTACGGGAAGTATGGCGGCGCCATGACCAGCGACTGTCCCGGGCGACATGGGTCGATGTGGTGCGTGAGTGGGCAGTAAGTCTCGTATTGACTTGAGGACCGGGGGTAATTGTACTATAGAGCAAGCTGTTCTTGTGATATACCTGCAAATGAGGGCCTTGCAGTATCTCTGTGTTCATCCCCGCATGGGCCACGAATGAGACACGGCAGTTGGATCCATCGTTTATCGCAAGCCGAGGCGGGATGGAGACTGGGGAAGGTCCAAGCTCGGCATAACCTGCCTCTGTCTCCTGGCAAGAATGAAGCCAAGTCAAAGCGTTGTGCGCAGGATAGACATCGACTACCCGTATCTAGGTATCTAAACCCCGTAGCCATAGAAAGTATTCACTCAGACCGGCTCGCGATAGCCTTCCCCAGCTACAGTTTACCAACAACCGGACTATCAGTGACTGAATGGAAGTCTCTCGTCTACACTTCTGATATATAAGCCTGTAGTTCCTCCTAGATGGATCGGATTGCCCGTTCATGTTCGTATATGTATGCTTCTCCAAACTCTTCTTCCCTTGTATATAGCCATCCCTCCTCACAATGGAGGAGCCAAAGACACCCACCCAGAAGCCCGTTGAAGTGGCTCCCCCAGAGGACTGCTATCTAGGCACGATATCCCCCGTCCCTAGTGGTGAAGGGGAGCCCAACAACCGCCACGGAGAAGCACACATGGGCAGATACCGTCGTTCGTTCCGCTCGCGACACATCCAGATCTTGTCACTGGGCAGCAATATCGGCAGTGGACTATTCATCTCCACCGGCAAGGCTCTGCGGAATGCTGGGCCGGGGAATATGATTATTGGGTATGGGGTTGTTATGACCATGGTATGCGGCAGCTGCTTTATTGCCTTGTAGCTCTAGTCAAATGGCCAACGCTGATAATGACCAGGTTATAGCAGTACTGCAGACATTAACAGAGATGACGGTTGCATTCCCCGTCAGCGGCAATGTCATCGACTATGCGGATCGGTTCATAGACCCTGCCGCTGCCTTTGCTATCGGGTTGGGCGAGTGGCTTGCTTGGACGACGGTGCTGGCGTCGGAAGGCGCTGCTTTCAATGTCGTTGTTCAGTACTGGACTGATGCTGTGCCGGTAGCGGCTTGGAGTAAGCAGTCCTTCTTCTTATTGAGGTAAACTACGTAGTAATATGGACTGACAGCTTCCAGTGACAATCATCCTCATCATCACCTTTGCGGTCCACGCGTGCCCTAACCGGGTCTTCGCCGAAGTCCAATATGCCACTGCCTTGGTGAAAGTAGCAATGATGCTTATTTTCATCGGTACAAGCTGTGCCATGCTCGCCGGTGCTGGCCCAACAGGTACCGTCCATAACGGACAATACTGGCGCGAGCTGCCTCCATTCCTGCATAATGTGAAGGTGAGCAAGTCTGCATCCCTAGCCATCGTCAACACGCGGTTTCTCATTGCAGGGGAACGACATAGGGCACATGTCTCTGCGCCATCTACGCCATCTGGGGAGTAGGCGACCAAGTCTACGTAGGCATCATGGGCGGCGAAGCCAAAAACCCCCGCTTCAGCATGCCGCGAGCCGTAAGGAGCGTCGGACTCCGGGTGTTTGGCTTCTTCATGCTCATCATCGTGTTTATCACCCTGCTTGTACCGGAGAATGACCATCGACTGCTGGGTGCATCGGGCATGAATGCTTCGCCTCTCGTCATTGCGCTGAACGACGCCGGGATCAACGTCGTTCCTGATATTCTCAATGCGGCATTCCTCATTATCGCCGCTACGGGTGGTCTGGAGCCGTTATACATCGCCTCGCGGGTACTGAGACATATGGCTCTGGCAGGACAGATGCCGAAGCCGTTGGCTAGGGTTGATAGTCGAGGCCGACCGACGTGGGCATTGCTGGTAACGGCGGTGTTTACGATTGCTTTCACGTATATCAATTGCAGCAATACCGGTGCCGTTGTCTTTACTTGGTATGTTCTTTCTTTCCTCAGCTTTTCATCCCTTGCAATGCTGACCCTCTTTCTCCCGCTCCTTGAAAGGTTCTCCTCCATATCCTCGACCATCTTCATGGTGGTCTGGGTGATAATCCCCATCTGCAGCTTCCGCTTCCACGCCGCCATACGCGCCCAAAACAGCGATATTCTCAAGGGCAGGTATGCCTACCGTGCGTGGCTGTGGCCTCTTGCCCCCGTCTTTCTCGGTGTCATCGCGTTTCTCGTCCTCGTCGGCCTGTTCGCTGCGTCCCTCTACCCCGTCGATGGCGCGCCGCTAAGTGCCTATTCCTTCTTCGAGACGTATCTGGGCGTGCCTATCGTCCTCGCTGCCTTTTTGGGGTTCAAGATCGTATTTAGGACGAGGTTTCGCCGCGCGAGTGAGATTGATCTTGTTTCGGGTCATGTTCCTTTGTCGCTTGAGAATGAGGAGTTTCTGGACCGGTACTATAGTCAGCCTATGTGGAGGCGTGTCTGGAGTTACGTTTCGGCGAGTTGATGTTGCGATGAAGATGGTAAATGTCTACGAGGTTACGGATGGATACACAGCCTTCATGCTGCTTCAATGAGATCGATGCGCGTAGATACTATGGCCCTCGTGTAAGAGTCCACTGCACTACACATAACAGAGCATACACCTGATCCAGCACCGGCGTAGACACGCCCAGTTTCCTCCCCACGCTCAACGGCGCACCCAGAATAACCTCCAGCTCAATCGGCCGCCCATTCTCCAGATCAACTAACATACTCGGTCTGAACGCGCTTGTCCCCGGTGTTCCCTCCAATGTCTGCTTCACGACAGCCTCATCCACGACATGCCCGTACCCGGCCGCCTTCGCAATGGCGACCATTTCCCGCATCGCCGGTTTAAGTAACGTATCCCTCCCAGGACTGCGTATTAACTCGCCCACTGAAATCCGCAGAAGCGTACACAGTGTGTTAAACGTACCGTTCCACAGCAACTTGCGCCAGCGCGCTGCGACAATATCATCGACCAGAATACAGGAGGCACCTGTGCCCTTGGCCGTGGCGTCGGCGAGGCCAGCCGAGTAGGCTTCCACGAAGCAACGGGCTGCACGGGCCTGCTCTTCTCGCGGGAGGGAGGACTCGTGGTGGAAGTACGCGCCTATTTTGAGCTCGTCCGGGTCCTCGTGGTAGACGGTTCGTGCGGACGTGAAGCGGGAGCCGATCATGCTCACGCCGGATAAGATGGGGTTTGAGGGAAACTGTTCCGAGAGGGGGGCTTCGATGCCCAGGCCGTTCTGGAGGAGGAGGATAGCAGTCTTGCGGGGGGTGATGAGGGGTGATATATCCTTTGTCAGGGAGCGCATCAGCTCCGGTAGTGCCTTCACGGCAATAACAAGGAAGTCATAAGCACCATTCTGGTCGTCGGGGATGGCGGACGCGATGGAGGGCACGACTAGACAGACATCAGCGGCAGGTTAACAAGGAGTGACAACCGGATCGATCAACGAACTTCTATACGGCTTCCAGGCCGTGACCTCACCGTGGTCGACAGAGGTGATATCAACGCCTTTCTCGCTGACAATGGCATATTTGGAGCGCAGCACGGCCGTGACGCGAGCCTGTCGAGACTGTTCCAGCACCAGGGCTGCAATGGTGCCGACGCCCCCAGATCCAACGAGGCAGATGTTCAGCATTGTCAATGACCGTGTCTTGAAGGTCTCTGGATATGGGAGTGCAATGGGTGGTAGCCTGGGTGGTAGCCTGGACTGCAGCTCGAATATAACCACCATCAATCGTGGTCACTCATTATCTCCCACAGCCCCGCAGTGAATCTCTAGATTCTGAGGCCGTGGAATCCGACTCCGTGATGATCGGGGATGCCGATTGATCATTATTATCTGGTCCATCTCCACTGAGCGATAAGATGCGGGGACTAAATGAAGATGAAGGCAAGTGATCCCGAGCGACAACAGCAATACGAGCAATGGTGTCCGATGCTGATAAAAATAGCATCATGGTGTCTGGGTATATCCCACGTTCCTTTCTTGACCGCATGCCCCAATTATAGAATGGTGGTGTCTCTAGAAAACCGTCCGTCCCCGGGAGCAGCTTTGAAGGAAGCCGTCGCGAGCGCGAGAAACGCCGCAAGGAACGCGAGCAAAAGAAAGGGCAGCAGGAATGTTGTCGATGCGAACTCCAGCATTTCCGGACTGCAGATGTCGGACAGGTCACTGTATACCTCGACAGCACCCGGTACGATCTCCCCGCTGAGATGGAGACGAGCCATATCCCATTGTGTATGGTAGGATACCGGATTGTTTTCCGAGAAGCACCGCTTTCCCGTGAAGCAGGAGCTGCTCGTATGTTTCTCTGGAAAAGAAGAAAGCGTAGACGGTGAGGACGCTGTTGAGATGGCGAAGGAGTGGCCTCGTTCTGGGCACCAGCAATCCCCGCGGACGGGATTGGTGACCGGCACTGAAAGGTTAGAGCTGATATAGAAGAAGACGGTCATATCGAAACATGCAAAACATACTGCAACCTCCGTACTGGCCCCTAACCCAGCCAAAACTCCTCCCACAAGCATCAAGCCCTTACCGTGGGCAAACCCGCACGCAGTATTCCACACCACATACCACATCGACGGAAGTATCCAGACATTCCACCTCCCAGAAAGCTCCGTCATGGGGGCCAAAGCCATCAGACCAAACGCAAACGCAAGGACGAATACGGAGACAGCCATATTCGCTTCATCCGGACCGATATGGAGGTCTCCGCTGATAGCATCTAGGGCTGGAGCTAGCATGGCGCCGCTCAGGAGCGTTACCAGGGCTGATGCCGGACTCAGTATGATTTGGCTCGTCCGCTCTTCTCATACTTTCGGTATTATCTGCTGAGAGGGTGTTGGGCGTTGCGGAGCCGTCTCTGGATGAGTCTGTGGATTGACTGCGGGACAGCAAGCCCTAAACCCAGCCACGAGGATGAGAATGCAACTTGAAGACACCACGATCACGATCAACCAGCTGGGTTCCGTGGCTCGACTTAGACTTGCGTATTTATTTCAATTACTCCCGAACGTGTAAAGGCTATTTATACACCTCACTGCTCCATATGATGGCCTACCAGAGTCGAAGTCCCAGATGTCCGATCACTCGGAGGCGGATAAGATGTTTGATGCAACGTCCACGTCGACTATGAATGCCATTTGTCCAGAAGATGTAACTTGAATGTGCGCTTTGAATGTTGGGAATTTAGCAGTGATGTCTATTGGTCTTGTTTTATGTCCACTAGCGCTCTGTTGCATGTTTATATTAGCTGTCTGACTGCATCCGAAGGACTGCTCAGGGACGCACATAATGCCTTCGTGCTGTCTAGTTCCACTGGCGGAATTGGTAATTGAACAGCTATAGTTATCGAAGCCTGGGACGCCTCCAAGGTCGGTACTTCTGCCCATCGTCTACTTACTTGCGGACTGACTTGCACAATGCTATCCTTGGCTGATCATACTACCACCATAGAGCCGGTTCTGCGCAGATTGAAACTGGTAGACCAGTCAGGCATGTTGTCAAATGCAGAATATGCTTTTGTGTGCCCCCGATATTCCGGATGCCATCCTACGTACTCCCAATCGACTATTGCAGTAATTGTACCATTGCACACAATTATATTCCATGGATAGAGGCCAGCATGAAAGAACCAGATGCGGGCTCTTACTGGGCGCAAGGGTTAGGATGGGTCAGATCTTTTTTGTACTGCGGACAGTTGATAATTGATCGGCCTCATGGGCAGCATGCTGAACGTAGGAATAAACCCGAAGAACAAATCATAGGCTGGTTTCAAGTAGAACAATACCCAATGCATTCAAGATGTCCGTTACGCTCCACATGCAACGTTGACTCTGGTCAACATACGCAACACGCCATGCTAGATGCAGCACAAAACAGAGGGGGATAGAGATGCAGCAAGTCGATAGTAGATCCGACGACAATACGAGGAATATCTCTCATTCATCATTCATACTCAAGGCCCCTGCAACAATCAGAACCCATTCCGCAGAAGAGTCCAAGCAGAAGAAAAGCAGGGTAACTCACCAAGAAATGAAGATGCCCATTCCGATTCTCAATCTTATCCGACAGCATAATCCCCTGCCTTCCTCTCGAGCCGCCATCATGCATGCGCAGATCAGCACACAGCTTTGGCCCGTACGGGGTCATTTCCAGAGCGATGTTCGAGGCGGATAGGGTGAAGTTTGTGCCGCCCCAGATGAACCAGCCTGCCATTAGCTACACGTTAGACATTATAAATCTATGGATCAGGATAATAGATGAGACTAAATACCATCTGTGTTCCCAATATGGTCATCCAATCTGATCTTATTCGGGATGTACTGCCCCTCTTGGTTGCGGACCATGCATAGAAGGAGGGTGCATTGGTGGCGCTCGTTGACCTCGATGTGGATGTCTTTGGAGGAGGAGTGGAAGGACATGTTGTCTACCGCGTTAACAGGAACAAAGATGCTTTTTTTTTTTTCTTCTTCTTCTTCTTTTTCAATGGGATTGAGTCAACTTTGAGTAGCGAGAGAACTGTAGAGAGAAGGATCAGCTTATTTATGCAGCCCCTCGGATCAGCCACAGTCGGCGGGGCACAGTGTGGCGGGATGTGCCAAGGGATAAATATAGAATTATTGGGAATAAAACAGTAATAATAGAATGGCATAGAACTAAAGAACTCCATAATAAATGAAGAGCAGTCTTGTATTCTTGTCATGCTGGATGTGGCTGAGCTACGATCCCGCCAGTATCATCCAGACACATAGCTGTTCTGTCCCACTATCCACCGTGACATTGACAAGAGAACAAGTCAGTTGAATGCTGTCATTAAATTAGTCTTGTGTGTAACTACCTCTTGTCTATATCCATGCCATCAAGATCACTTTTCATATCCAAACCCGCCCGCTAATGCATGCAAGTCACCAGCCGAACAAATCAACGTCAACCCGCAGCATAAGTGCTGAGTTTCCTCAACTTCGGCCCAAGCCGCCACATAATAATCGGCGCAGGCACCCCGATCCCAATCGCCACGAATGCCAGCAAGCTATTCCCCCACCCGTAGTCGAGCGCCTGGAACATATACGGCGCGAACAGCGGGAACCCGAATCCGGCCAGCGACCGTAGGAATGCACACGCAGCGAGCGCGCTGGCTGCGAACCGCGTGTATGTATCGATCAGATACGTCTGGATGCACAGGAAGGTGATAATGTTGCCGATGCCGTAGATGCAGGCGCCGATGTTCGGGACGATCCAGTGGCAGTGCTTCTGGGCCGTCCAGCCGTAGATGAAAAGCCCGGCTGGGATGAAGAGGCAGGCTGCAAAGAGGAGAGGGACGCGGTACTCCGGCTGTCCGACACCGTTGTTCTTTTTCTTGAGAATGCGGTAGATTCGGTCGTTGAGCGGGGCGGATATCTGCGTTCCCAGAGTGAAGCCCAGGCCGAGAGAGATGTAGTTGAGACCGCCGATGCCGATCGATTCATGGTAGTATTTCGGATTGGTCCACAGCTCCGGGAAGGTGGAGAGCATGAGATACATCAGGCCGTAGACGTAGGCCATGTAGCATGCCAGAGCCTGGATGATGGGCTGTGTCGCAAGCAGACGGAAGGGCCGAACGAGGGACACCCGGAGCAGTTTGACGAGCGTTTTGTCGGCGCGCTCCTCCGCCGTCTTGTAGTCCGGGTCTCCGGTGGATTTGCGCAGTTTCTTGGCCTTCGTCTTCAGGATTACCGGGGCATAGGTCTCGCGGAGGAGGAAGAGGCCCAGAACCTGGATGGCACCGTCGACGATGGTGGTTGCGTAGAATACCCAGCGCCAGGTCGTGTTCTCGGTGATGAAACCACCAGCTATAGGACCTACCGCGGGACCAAGCAGCGGTGCAAGACTGTACATTGAAATCGCTTTGCCACGTTCTTCCGGGATGAAGCAGTCGCTGAGCACTCCTCCACCGATCTGGACAGGTCAGTGATTTTCTTCCAACGAAGACATTCGAGTCGGACAGGGGAAGACCTACGGCGAGAGGCGCACTCCCTCCCAGCCCGGAGAGGAATCGAAATGCAATCATCTGGCCCTTGGACTGTGCGACACCACAGGCAACATTGAACACAAGATAGAACAAGTTGGCCGCCTGCAGCACAATGACCCTGCCGTAGATCTCGGACATGGGGCCCAGGAACAGCGGGCCGATTGCATACGCCAGAACGAAGACGGACATGGTAAGCTGCGACTCGACTTCATCGGTGATGTGGAACTGTTTCGAAATGGTGCTCAGCGCAGGCGCCACCATCGAAGATGACACGGGCGAGATGAAGGTGAAGCAGGAGACAATGACAGTGGCCGCCCATTTCTTCCTGAGAGTCCAGTTTTTGGGGTTCTCTGGATCATCAGGGCCTTCCCAGGTAACCTGTTTGTGTGAGCAGGAGTAGACGAAGCAGATAATGAGAATGAGCATACCAGTTTCGGATCTTGTCCAGTCTCTGCTTCTCTCGTTTTCGGCCGACCCAGTCCGCCCTTTTCGATATCGTCATGATGTCCGGTGCCCTCGCTTTCTCTGGAACTGGACTCTGCATCGAAGTGTGCTTCCCCTTTGCCCTCGAGCGTCGGTTTCCCGCTCAATCGCTGCGAAAGCCTCCTCTCATTTTCCTCTTCCTCTTCCGCCATCTCCTCCAGTTCGCCCTCATTCATGTACACGCCGGCATCATCCACATACCGGCCGGAGTAGATGTGAGACAGCGTTTCCAGCGTCGACGTTGACCTCCGTGACCCGGCAGAACGAGCAGTTGGTATGCGCGAAAGGTGGTCGTCTGCCATGGCGTCATAGCAACGCTATGGAAATTGGAGAGAGGCGAGCACAGAATACGACTACACACGGGCCACGGCAAGGTGAGTGAAGTGTCAAGAAGCTTGCGAGTCGCCTCTAGATTTAAGAAGTTTCAGCAGGAAGAAAAGAGGTCCACCGATGCAGTCTTATACAGTCCAAAAACCCTGGAACGGCCAGTTAAGCACCGATTTGCCGACCTCGCGAGTCCACTTTCAGAGCTGACGTACGCAAAAGCCTTGAAAGGGATTGGATTATTGATTGGAAGTGGAAAATGGGGCCGGTGCTTCAGATGCCAGGTACTCCATACATTTCTCAGCTCCTTTGTACTGCATAAAACCAGCAGTTTGGGCGGCCGCCACTCTGGTCGGCTTCATTAATGATGAATTCATCCGGACTCGGGTGCTTCCAATCAAATGGATACTGCCGGAAAAGACCCCCTTGAATAATGATTGAACCAATGGAGTTTTACGATTCCATCGGGTCTTCGGCAATGCCTTCTCTGCCCTAAAGCTTCCACGAATCCCAACACGCTTGATTGGCCTCGATCTACAGCCAAGCCGCGCGGGCCCAATCGAGACGGTTCTTGTCGGCGGGAGAGTGCCGGTTTGCCATGGTATTTTACGTCCGTGATACTGAGCACTGAACACTGAACACTGAACACTGAACCTGAACCTGAACCTGAAGGAACTGCTTAATGCCGGCAGCGACTCCACTCTTGTCGTTTCTCTCCCGGTACAGGGCCGGTAGCGGCTCCAGCCACTCCCGCAGGCTTTTCCAGCTGGATGGAGTATTCCGTAGTCGGTACGGAGTGGTTCTGTCTGTCTAATCCGCCGTGTCGGGATATCAATCCCGTCTCCTCTTAACTTCAGGTAGCAGTTGATCTTGCTAAATATGGAAGCGATCATTTCACCATAGGGGAACCGGGCATACGGTGAGCTGGGAAAGAATTTTTATTGCTTCCCACTCCGGTTGGTCATTGCAGCTCCTAGTGGTGATAAGAGCCGATTCCCTGTAGCAGCAGTCAGTCCACTAGCAGGCCGACAAGCCTGGGCATACAGCCATCGAGTGTCACTCATGCTGGATTTGTTCCTGTCGAGTCAGGAAAGCCGACTATCCACCTCTTTTGCGATGCTCCAGAATGCTTCCGCAATGCAATGCATCATGCTGTTGTGTCTGTGCTGATGTAAGCTTGGTCCTGTTTATGTTGGATCAACTTGCTTGTATTGTCTCTATCTAGGTTGGCTAGCTATTTTAGTGTGTCAGGCCAAGCGAGGGCGGTCTACTATGGCAGAATGCACGTGACCTCCAACGGTCTATTAATGGAGGTGTATTGTTGGTTGGTCACTAGCTAGATAGGCCTGCGTGGTGAAAAGGGTCAGCGAGGGCGGACCTATGCGGCAGAATCCCACGTGATCCAACATTTATGCAGCACCCCAACCCATCTGCAACCACGTGAACTGCCTCAACCGCAGCGGATTCTGGAATAGTATCAGGCCTTCATGATGACGAGCAGTAGGAAATGCTCCCTCCTCTCACGCCTGCGGAGACACGGCTCGTTTAGAGCAGTCCATCTCTCCATTATAGACAGACCTTGACCAAGCGAGGCCCAAATGGGTAATGAGGTCATCATGACAGGAACTCCAGATCTACCCCCGAGTGACACTCGATCTAATATCATGTCTCACTATTAAGCCCGCTCTCAAATGCTCTCTGTGTGAAGCGGGCTACATCAATCACAATGCCGAACCAAATCGTCCGCGTCCCTCAGCTAGGCGGCACCGACGCCGCATACCAGATCTCGCAGCCCTACGATCCTGCGAAACCCACGATCGTGCTGATCAACTCATTCACGACTACCTCAGAGCTCTTCCAGGCCCAGTTCTCCGATTCAAGGCTTACAGACATCGCCAACCTGCTCGCCATTGAGCCCCTCGGTCATGGGCAGACACGCGCCAGACGCGAGAGCTGGACGTACTGGGACTCGGCGGAGATGAACTTCCAGGTCATGGATGCGCTGCGGATCTCGAAAGTCTTCGTCCTAGGGACTAGTCAGGGGGGATCTATCGCAGCACGGATGGCGGTTCTGAGACCGGAAAAGGTATCAACATATACAAGCACATCTTCTGTTATCCGTCTGATATTAACCACTATGAAATGAATGCGTAGATCATCGGGCTCATCCCCATAGGAACATCACTAGACTCCGAATCCGAACGCTCCCGACAACTAGGCTGCTGGGACGCCCCTGGAGTCCTCCAGTCCATCATCATGCGCTGGACCGTAAAGAATCCCACGCCCGACTTCGAACCGGACACGAAATACTGCGACTTTCTGATCGACACGGGCTTCAACGACTGTTCCCTGCAGACGCGCGAGTTCTGGCGCAACTCCATCAAAGCGAACTATCAGGGCGACGCTGGACGGAAACGCATCCGCATGGCTGCGATTAATCTGGCGGAGCATGACGGCTTGCATTTGCGGTTGCCGGAGGTTGGCTGTCCTGTTCTCTGGATGCAGGTGAGTGCGCTCGCTAGACTGAGCCGATTCTGTTTTGGGTCGGGTGTTAATGTGCAGTTACAGGGTAATCAAGATGCCGTCTATTCTGTCGAAAACGCAAGTCAGGAGATTCAACTTTTTGTCAATTCTCCGGATGCTCAGCTTGTTGTCGTTGATGGGGGTGCGCATTTGTTGAATGCTACGCATCCGGGTGAGGTCAATGGTGCCTTGGTTGATTTTGTAAAAAGACAGGGCCTGTGAATTTCCTTTCCTAGTTAGTTTTACTGCTTTTTTTTTTTTGGCATGGTCGATACGCTGTCCTGCAGTTGACCGGTTAAGTCATCCAGGATCCACGAAATCTCACCCCCAGTATGTGCTGCCCCATTCACTGACCAAGCAGCTGATATCCATGCTTCCTCTGGGGACTTTCCTCCAGCCATCCGTTCGATGAACATAAACAACAATTCCCTGTTCTATGACTGTTCTATGACTGTGCTTGTCAAGTAATATGGCATTTAATGGCTTTGATCAATACAGTGTGCAAAGCTAGTCCTAGCTAGACATCTAACTATTGTATGGAAAGGTCAGCATATCTCTGACCACAATTGCATGGGTCTTCCTTCAGCTGGATCCTCCATCTACTTCGACTCCACCGTCTGCTTGTTGAAGAACTTGTTCATCAGCATGTTGACATACTGGAAACCGTCAGCCGAGTTCGAGCAGTGAAAGGAAACGTTCTCTCGTACCTCTCCACAACTCACAGGCGGATACTTCGCTGGATGCTCAGAGTCAATACACGAATCCAAAACCGCGCATCGGTGGCTGAGATTGAAGCCTGCATCAAATCAGCCGAGTACTTCTTTGCCTATCAGCATTGATTCACTCCCTCACCGAAGAACAACGGCAGAGACATCCGAGGCTTCTCGGACCGATTAGTGTTAACCCGATGAACGGTACTCTTCCACCGATCATTCGTCGTCCGCATCAAAAAGTCACCGATGTTAACAATAAACGTTCCCGGGACGGGCGTAGCTTCGATCCACTCATTATCAAGATTTATGATATTCAACCCACCCACGTCATCCTGGTAGAGAAGAGTGAACGATTGAATATCCGTATGGCTACCGATGCCAATCGAGTCTTCGGCCCCGTTTTCATTCTCCGTGGAAACCCGGATAGGCGGGTAGAAGTTGATCGTGCCATTGGCACCTAGGAATATGGACATCCCGTCGAACGCATCCTCCGGCTGGTCCAGAGCAAGGGCGAAGACACGGACCATCTTCCGTGCCAGCGTGAGACAGGCTTGGTAGTACGTGACCGTGGCGCGTTTGAAATAATATATCCCCCCTCGCCCCATTTAGCCGGATCTTCGTAACAATTCAGCGGCACTGGGGTGTTGAATTGCGTGGCATGAATCAAATACGTATTCTGGAAAGGAACTTGCAGCCAGTCCTGACGAACGATGAACCACCAGACCCGTTTCTTGACTTCCAGGTCAATGAGATCCTGCACGGTTCTCGCCGGATCCTCTCTTACATCTCGATGATCTGCTTTCTCGGATCCTAGACGATGCAGGTTCAGAGACTGGGCTATGCGGATGGTGGCCGACATGAGCACCATTATGAAATCAGATTGGTTCAAATTATGGGCCACCTGGAGCAGAATGCAGATTGCCTGGATGGACGAGATGGAATGAATTGCCATAAAATTGGAATTAAACAGCGTCGTGAGACATTTATTGTATAGGTCTTGCACTGCTGAGGCTGTTTGTCTGTCAGACCAGGTGGATTAGGTTGACAGCATTAAGAAGACATACGGCTGATAGACGGATCGAGAGCTAGCAGATCTTCTTCATCTGCGTGATGAGCAGTCGACTGCGAAAGCGTGAGGATACACTGGCCAGACCACAGATAGGATCTAGGCGAAATACGACGCACAGAATGGCATAATAGAGCGTCTGCCACTGCTGATCACACGGAGAACCCGCTATGAGCGCCGACTCAAATTCTTGACGGAAAGTCGGCATATGAACCGCATTGTGCATCCGTGCCAGGTTTTCTTCGTGAAAAGCAAGAAGCCTCCGTGCTGTTTCGAGCGGCACAGCCAAATCCCATAGTCCTGGGACTTTAAGGCTTGCACAATCCCCTCCCCTCGTATCGTGGTCTACTGATGTCCTTCCAGCCCTATTCAGGATACTCTGCCGTCCCAAGAGTAGGAATTCCAGCATGACCGTAGCCTCGCTAGAGAGCTGTGGAAGAACCACCAGGGGCTTCTCGTCCGGAGTCCTTTCGTTGCCGTGAGCAGTGCCCGGCGGGCCAGACGAGCTTCCCACGGCATCATGCCATGGAACATTGGCAGCTGATCTGTTCGGGTTCAGGGGACGCTGTTCAGGCATGCGCCTATTTGTGCCCCCCTTCCTTCGGGAACGTGGCACTTGTACGAATTCACGACGGCAGAATTCTGCATTGCCCCGATCTACGCAGGAGGTACAGGGGATTGTCTTTGAGCAGCGCAGTTTCCGACGAGTACACTCCGTGCAAGAAAGCGGTTGTCGCTGGCTTTTTCTGATCGGGACGGGGGCCGAAGTTGCCATGGTTGGAAGAGAAGGATGGAGCTGGGGAGTTCCAGGTGCTGCGACAATAATATCTTCTCTGTACCGACCACGGTGCAGTAGATAGTCTCGATGACTAGAGGATCGATGTTGCTCCTCGAAGGCTACCGAAGAGGACAAGAGGACGCCTTATCAACGGCCTCCGCGCGCCAATTCTTGAATATAGAGTAGAGCAGGGGATACGGGAACTACATTGTCGTGCTTCTATGGCTTACAGCACAAGGCAGAACGATTTCCATAGCGTCCTCCATAAAATATCGACTTCATCCGAGAATGATCTGCCTTTCGCGCTCTCGATGAACCGGGACCAGATCTGGCGGCGGGATGTCTCGTCGAGATCGGGGTAGCGAAGAGATACGTCGATACGGGATTCGAAGGCACGGTCAATATGTTCAGCGCGGTTACTGGCGAGGAAGAGGATGGGAGGATGCCCTGGTAGTACTAGGAATATGGATACCAGTTCATTCCTCTGCAGATCGGTTCCATTGCGGGTTTCCATAAAGACGTCGGCCTCGTCAATGAGGAGAACCGCCCCCCATTTCGGAATCATGCTAAGCACATCCTTGAGTCTGTCTTCAATCGTCGAAGCCTTTTTTCCCAGCTCACCGGCACTCAGCATGTAGAGAGGCACTTTCATGACTTCTGCAACGCTTTCCGCTGTGAGTCTTTCCCACCCCCGAGGACCACTGAGAAGGATGATGACACCACGGCCCCTCCCCCGAACAACATCGTCAAAGGAGTCCGTCTCCTTCGAGTGGGCTTTGGCGAATGCAAGAATCAGCTCCTTCAGACCCTGTTGTGTGCGAGGTAGGACCAAGGAGTCAAAGGCGTTCGTGTTCCAGGTAATGTCCTTCACTCCGTCCACGAAGAATTCCAGCCATCGCTTGTCATTGAGCGAGTATCTTCGCAGAACCGGCGTTGCAATAAACTTCATCATCGGTAGGGTCTCCTGCTACTTCACAGCAAATTGGAAATAAGTTGTCCGGATTGAATGTTTTGACGCATCGGCGTCGACGATGATGCGGCTGTTGACGCTAAATTGGACTTCCCTGGACATGAAATTGGTTATGCCGACGCCCTCATACTGTCTGTAATGATATCCTTTGAGCCCTTTCCACAGCTTTCCACGGGCGATTAGTTCCCTGCGGACAGTATCCTGGTCGCTGTGGTAGACTAGAGGGAACACCGGCAGAGAAGTGATGGGAGAAGTTCCTTCGAACGGAGGTATGTTGAGGTTGCTTGTGCTAATGGTTCCAAACCTGTCGCCGTCGAAATCAATGTATTCGGCTGTGATTTCGAAGTTTTTTCTACGGGGGTGTATCCCACTCGATGAGAAAGTGAATCCGCACTGATGCCCTTTCAGAACGGCCAATATGTGCTCTCTGGCCTTGCTGAAATTTTCCCACCGATGAACAAACGGTTTCAAAGGCTTCTGGAACTCGATGCGCTTCAGCGTCAACGTGAGACCGGTATATCCCTCCATCACATCTGCAAGGAATTTCTTCAGCGGCTCACTCCGCACCACGATGGAGCTGATCTCGACCTTCCGGCGTCCACTGTAACATTTGATGTTTCGTACCAGCAGTGCGTATTGGTCCGACTCGAATTCTCCGCTGGTTCCACGAGGTCGTCGGGGAGTTTCTCCGTCCACGATGTCCTCGGCATTTCAATGGGATATTCCTCCTTGTCTGCCTGTGGCCTGTGGCCTGCTGCGGCCTGGATGTGTCACCCGGTACGACGCGACAACTCACAGGCGTCAGTTTCGCAGGCAGGTTCAGCGCAAATATTATTTGTCTACGTGGAAGTCTCGATTATCATCGCCATGCCAGGGGGCTGTACTGTCCTTGCACACGTTTGGCCCGGATCAGGCTGGATCACATTCAGTCAACAAGGGAGATTCGTCAATCGTGACGTTGATTCTAAGGGCATTCCAAGGTCAATTGTGGATCGTCAGACACCTTCTGCTGCAGAAGATTTGCAGTCTGCAAACCCTTGAATGACATGCAGAAAAGCCAGAGCAAAGAAGAAAAAAGAATGATGATGTACAATGGACTTCACCGATTTCAGCCTTCCTTCTGAACCCTAAGTCCCACGCCAGTGTAAATGATGGAAATCAAAGCCTCCTCCAGCACCTCCATAAAGGCTTGGAGATAGATATTCCCATACAGCATGTTAAAATTGGCACTTGGAGCGAAGACACACAAGGCACTCCACACCAGATGAACCCCCAACAGCGGCAGTGCCATGATGAGCGCCATCAAAATGCGGCGATCTTCCTGCGAGGCCCGGCCGAACTCCCCCATGTTTCCTAGAACGAGCAATGCTAAGATGCCAAATATGGCTAGAAATATGATGAAGCCAGTCTTGGACAATTGAAGTCCTTTAGACTGGTCGGACGGGTTGCTGAATGCTGCGTATACGCCTCCAATGACGCAGATGGCCATACCTACTACGACGGGGACCTGCAGGAGCCAGAGAAATAGGCTTCTGCCAGAGAGTCCGTTTGAATTTGGTCTTCTGAAAACAAGGAGAGCAAATTGGCTAGTCAGTTGGACAATTCGGCTGACAAGACCTCTCCCGGGTCGCAGAGGAAACCCTTACTCTATTCCCTCAATTCCAATTCCATCGGCGCTATCCAGGCTAAACAGTGCACGATCAGAAGTCTGATCAATCCTTTGCCACGGGTTTAGTTAGCCTTCCCGTATCCTAATGGAAAGAAACATCCAGCATCAAAGACATACACTCGCCTCAACAGCCCCAGACTGGCTAAAATAAGCGGAGGCAGACCGACCGATTGGAGAATCCGTGCCGCGGTGGTGTACGATATATTCATCGGTATATGCTGGCGCAGGACTTCAAACACAGAGCCGACAATGCGGACCGCTGAAAAGATATTCAGGTATATCCATCCCTGCGTTCGATGGAAACCCAGCCTGATGACAATTGAAGCGGCGAGGATGAAGATAGGGATATAAATCACAAGCTGCGCGATAGCAAGCTTTTCACGTTCGGCTATCATGGTGAAGGAGACTTCTCTCTTTTATCCGTGAGAGGAGTTCCAAGTGATGATTGAAATCAACAGAGAAAAAGGGGTTGCACTGTCCTTGTACAGACAGAATCAGTACGGATACAGGGTCTATTATATGGAAGCTGTCCAGGATAAGACACGGCATAAGCCACGCTCGCAGTTATCCTTGGACGATAGGTATCTTTACGCTATAGAAAGGCTGCCCAACGCCTGAATTAGGGCTAACTGCGCAAACTCCCGCGTTACATCCCAACAGGGACTAGAAGTTGCGCCTGTCCTCCTCTCAAAGAAAATTCAAAGGGCAAGTCGCTATTAGTGTTGGAAAAGGAATAAATTAAACGGCCCATTAAATTAACTGACAGGGTTCATCCTGGGGGAAACTGACATGTGCAGCATGCCAGGGCGCCCTAAAGTTTAAAATAGTCACTATATTTTGGGGATCTGGGCTGTGGCCGTGGCAGTGCTATAGAGTATGTAGGATTTCCGGAAAATTCTCCCGGCTCAGACAAGGCTAATGTAGCATTGAACCGGCAAGGCTGGGCAGTCTGCCAATTCAATTATAGAAAAATCAAGCCCTGAATTGCTGTACAGCACACTGTTCAATGCCGATTATAACGAGGTGCGGAATGAAGAAACCGTAATAAGAACTGAAATGATATTTTCTCTGAGATGATCCACTTTTGACTGTCTTCAGTTTCAAACAGACATTATGGAGTTCGACCGAATCTTCACCCATGGAATTATTCCCAGATATCCCACAACCCTAACAAATTTACAGGAGTGAGTGTTATTGCACCGGGACGGCGGAGACACCAACCAACCTGGCTGTTTGGTCTGGGAAGATGCAGTGGCACCGCGGAGATTGCTGCTGTGGTTGTTTTCCTCTTCTCCGACAAGAGCTGCTTCATGGACGGGGCGTCGTGGATGTTGACGGCGGAGTCGGAATTCCTACATGATCTATCATGTTTTCCCTGGAAATCTTCTCGAGTTGACAAGGATCATGCATGCTGCAAGTGAATGCACAATTTACAGCGCATTCTCCCCGAGCATCCCAGAGCATCCCAGAGCATCCCAGCGCTGTCTGTTTGCCATAAATCCCCCAAGACGGATTTCCTTCCATCCTCTCTTTTTTCCTCCTGACTCTTCTTCAACGGGGGTCCTCCTCCATCTCTTTGACGGCGTGCAAGTGAAGGAGCTTGCCAAATTTCAACATCACCTCGCAAAGACATCATTCTATATGTCTTCTATACATACCCCTATGCACGTTCCGGTTTCCTCTGTAGCCAGCGCCAAACAAGCACCTACATCAGCAGCGATAGTAGACATAGAGCTGGAAGATATACAGCAATTTTTCCATCGACGTCCTTCGGGATCTGAATCGCTGAGAGTCCAGATGAAAAGTGCAACGATCACACTCCTTGACTGACAAACGCGTAGTTCAGAAACGTCTCAGAAACCTCAGAAGAAGGCGACAGAGCCTCCCGGGTATACGAGGGCCGCAAAAATACACATATCAGCAAAGAGTGCGTGTTTCACCGTTTTACAGGTGTCTATCACGCATATGTTAATCGGTTATAAATTGCTGTAAATATGACGGTCACATATGACCAGGAAAGCCCTAATCATCGGACTTCGACGACACTACTAAGGATAGGGTCATTCTCCAGTCTTACCAACGTCGACTCGGCTTGAGCAAAGCAAACGTAATTCTGCGGAAGGCACAGTTACGGGATTCATGGATGACCGAAAGTACACGCACGGTAGAACTGCACGGGCTCGTGTGCCCATGTTATATATACATGGAATGGGGCCGTTGATTTATCCTCTGTCCCGGATTGCCATCGGAGGTATGGTCTATAAATCTGACACGTTCCTAAGAATCCAACGCGGCTGTGAAACTTGCAATAGACATTGTTCGCAACATTTCCTCCGGAATTATCCCGATCAAACATGTAAGCGTGGGTGTCAAGAATATGGACAATACACCGAAGAGGATTCAGAGGTGACTGCGGGGTTCCTATACCACGCGCCTCGCTCCCATCGTCTTTCCTCTCTTCTCTTCTCCATGTTCGGTATTCGTTGAATATAGCACGGAATAGCATATGTAGTAATTACACCCTCCTCAAACACCGCCCAAGATACTCATCAACCGTATCCACATCACTCAACTCAGCAATCACACCCACATATCCATCGGGCCGGATAACAGCAACTGCGCCCTCATTTGCATCGACTCCGTAAATACCATAGACATCGTCCAGTTCGTGCCCGGAGTAGAACCGCATCTCAGAGTACTTCTTCAATCCGGCAGGTAGATCCTTCCAGGTGAATTGCCGAGGAAGACGGGGGTGGATAACGACCTGTTCAATCAGCTGGTCCGGGAAGCTTGGGATAATATTCTTGGTGAGTGCTGTTAGGGACTGGGCGGATTTGCCCCTTGGATCCAGCAGGTCTGTCGAGGTGAGGACGAGAATTCGGAAGCGGGCTGTTGAGGGGAAGTCTGGATATCTCTGTTAGACATTGCTTTTACCCAGGGAATAATGTATATATTTCGCTACACATACCCTCATGCAAATCCCGCCGACATGCATCTGCGTGTCTCTTAAGCTTCACATTCAGCAATCTCCTTCCCGGCCTAAGGATACCAGAGAGATAATCCGTTCCCTTGATCGGGTTTTTACCGGCTTTATTCTTCTTCTGCACAGTCAGGTTTTCAGGGTACTCGATCCCGCAGCCGCTGGTGAAGCCGTTGCCCGTGCTGAATACTTCCAGGAATTGGTCGTGGGTGAGACTGGTCGTGCCGTCTCCCGACGCGCCTATTTTCCCGGAAAACATGGATGAGAAGGCACGATCAAATTCAATGAGTTGCTGTGCGATTGTGTGGCGTCCTGTGTGGTAAGTGTCGACGAGGGAGTCAGGGGATCCGACTCCAGCGCCCGCGTCGGGCGTGAGGCCGTTGATAGAGTAGATGAGCTTCCACGCAAGATTGTACGAGTCCATCATTGAGACGTTCATGCCTTGGCCGGCCTGTCTTCGTGTTAGCAGAATGAAGGGTAGCTGAAGGCAACTAACTCCACATACCTTAGGGCTATGAGTATGGCATGCTGCCGGGAATCCGTCAGTGTATATTGTCATGTAAAAGAGAAAAGACAATGTCCAGAGCTGAGAAGCATACCATCTCCCGCAATAAACACTCGATTAGCACCCTTTGAATCCTTCACGGTGAAGCTTCCCGCCACCCGCTGTCCGATCTGGTACGCTGCCCACCAGTCAACAGCGCCCTCATACTTGGGCTTGATCTGATACGGCTTAAAAGAAGCCGCGGCCTGCTGGAAGATCCCTTCCAGCGTAACCTGGCTCCTGCGAGCCCTGGCATCTTTCGTCGCCGCCTGGGTGCCATTACTATTGCTATCTGAAGCAACAGCACCAGGAACCTGCACATACAACCGCGTCAGATAGTCACCTGTCACGATACGCTCCCGTGGAATGACCATGACTGATCCCGCAGGCGAATGAATGGCACATCGTCTCCGAATATCAGGAAAGTCAGTATCGACGACCAAATCGACAACTCCCCAGATATGATCCAGGGATTCTCCTTCCAGTTTCAACCCCATACACCGTCTGATAACTGAATGCGCCCCATCGGCACCAACGAGATGCTTTGACCTGATTGTCCTGCGCCTCTGCTCTCCATCCTGCGAGACGGTCTCCAAAACCGCAACAACGGGGAACTCCTCATCCCCTTCTTCATCGATCTTGACATCCACGACTTTTGTGTTCCTTTCTACTCCGCGCTTCGAGTACCGCAGCAGATCCGTCTCCAGGATCCTCTCAATCCGCCCCTGATGAATCGTAACTTCATGTGGGTATCGCGCTTGGACAGCAACGTCAGGGACGATGGACGTCCTCTCGATAACGGTATCCCTATCATCGGACGGGTTCCAGAACGCAACCTCCCACATCTGGCATCCTTCCGTGAGGATTTCGTCGGAAAGCCCCAATGACTTCAGTACTTCCAGTGTCCGCGGCTGCAGACCATCTGCTTGTCCGGATTTGAGAGTGCTGGGTTTGGAATCGACGCAGAGCAATGAGTCGTCGCTCAGTCCGTAGCGTGCGAGGAGGAGGTTTAGCATGAGTCCTGCCGGACCAGCACCGACGATAACTACCTCGTATTTCTCACCATTTGATGTGCTTGGCTGAGTGAATTTGGGCGAGAGTCGAGGCAAAGGGGGTGCGAAGGAGGGGAGCACTCGAAGTTCTCGCGAGCTGGAGGAGAACTCGGTGAAGACAGGCATGATTTGGATTCAGACGACAATGGATAATTGAATTGGAACGGAGAGCACTTCGTCGTACTCCCTGCGGCCTTGCAATGTTGAACGGAGATGGGAATAGACTGCAAAATAGACTTGTTTTGCACAGCGTATACAGGCTGTCTTTCTTTAAAGAGGAGAAAGGGCACGCTGGCCCAGGAGTGCTCCATAAATCGAAGCAATCTGTCTACACATTACCGGAGATCCCGACATGGCTCAGTCCGCACGGGCAAGTCAAGGAAGCCATCAATCCCTCTTTTCGTCCCCGGGGGGGTATTGCCGGGCTGACAAAATGTGTGTCAGCGATCGGCTATGTACAAATGACATCAAGTGCAGCTTGCATATTAACTCTCCTGGCGATTGTTGAGGTAGATAATGGATCACTGCAATTGCAAGACATTCTTATCCCCCGCTCTTCGGAACTCCCCATGGAGCCGGCCAAGTGGGTCGGGGGAAACCCGGGATCTAGGGGTTGAGGGCCGATCAGACGACTGTCGGGGATCCCCCAGATGTGCCTGAAAGCTGAAGAATGCCTCCAAAATAATAGGCGAAGCCTGAAAACACGGAGTTGACTGTCGGCATCTGACCCACAGCCGTAGTACTTGGTGGCCGCGTTAAGGTTTGGCCTCCCTGATCTGGACTAGCTTTTGTGGGGTGTATCGGTCACTGTTTTGTATCATTGTGACAATATGGTATCAGTACGTATGCATTACGCTGCTGTATATCCCCAATGCAAAGGGGAGGTCTGCATCCGCCTTGAAGCCCTCGATTTCTTTCGATAATAATGGGGAACGTGCATGGCTTTAATCCCAGGCGGCTCACTTAAGCCACAAAACAGGGAATGCTTTGAATACAACTGGAATAGCCCCTGACTGATAAGTATAGCCAGTTCAACCAACGCACATTGTTATCCTCGAGTAGACTAAAGGGTTCTTGGCGTATGGCGCAAGCGCCAAATACACATTGAGGCTCGGCATTAGGACAGCAAGCCAATTTCTGGGTTCGTATCGGTGCAGATAGTAAAGAGCAGTATAATTCAGGCATTGGATCACCATATCGTTGATATGTCTGACCTTCTGGTCTTGCCCGAGTTCCCTACATTCTATGCGGAGTTGCTCCAGAAATCCATGCGCGTCAGACATCTAATCGGCATGCTGAAATCAAGCTGCGAGGGGGGATTTCCGTGGGGCCGTATGTCCAATTCTGTCCAGTGTGCCGGATAAGCTTGGAAATTGCATTTTAAACTTGGAAAGACAATGCCTTTGTCCCCGTTGCAGCCGAAGTTAAAGGCAGTAATAAACAGCAAATTAAGGCAAGGTATTTCCTCCCCGATGAAGACGGTAGGTCGGAACAGACAAGGGTCCAACAGCCACAGGCGCATGGATCGTATGGTGCTCGCATGCTAGCTATCCTTCATACATGGCTGGGGTATAATTTTCGCGGTTTCCCACTTCTCTCTGAACTATCATGCTTTGCATTTATACCAGTAAAAATTTTGTTCGGGAACTTTGTCGTGATTGCGCAAGACTCTCCACCCCTGTTTCTTTCACTCGTACACATCACTCTTCACCATGAACCGTCTATCTCGTGTGTTCAGCCCTCTCTCTCGTATCAATAGCGGCGAACCAAACGGCACTCTCACCGCAGACAACAAATGGATAGTTGAAGAACGATCTATTGATGAATGCAGACCCCTGAGAATTGTCATCATCGGTGCTGGGATTTCTGGAATCGTTTCCTCTATTCGGATTGCACAGCGGATCCCCAATGCGGAGATCTGCGTATATGAAAAGAACGAGGACATCGGAGGGACTTGGTTCGAGAACAGATACCCGGGATGTGCATGCGGTATGGATATCTCTGCCGTCCTTGGTCGAGAGCATGGACCGACTAACCGCTTCTGAACTGTTGCTAGATATCCCGGCACACACATATCAGGCGACCTTCGAGCCGAACAAGGCATGGTCACAATTCTATGCCTCAGCAAAAGAAATCCATCAGTACTGGAAAGGAGTCGTGCAGAAATATGGATGCATGAGGTACATCAAATTGAAGCAAAGGACTGTAGAAGCCGTGTGGGATGAGAATAACTCCAAGTGGAACCTAAAGGTCGGTACTCTTGAGAGACTCGTCACAGAATGGAAAGCAGCTGATGAACTAGGAACAGGTCCAAAATGTTGACAATGGCTCCACATACCCCGATACATGCGACGTGTTGATTTCGGCGACCGGTGCTTTGAACGAGTGGAAATGGCCCAATATCCCTGGTCTTCACGATTTCAAAGGAAAGTTACTGCACAGCGCTAGCTGGGATGAAAGTTACGACTACGGCGTAAGTGTTGAAAAAGACTGCCTTGTCCAGACTCTCTGTGACTGATAAACCCACAGGGAAAGAAAGTTGCTGTCATTGGAAACGGTTCGAGTGGGATTCAGATCGTCCCAGCTATGCTGCCACATGTATCTCACATCGACCATTATATCCGGGGACGAACGTGGCTTGCTCCAACATTCGCACGAGGCGAGATCGATAAGAGGAACGCTGAACTGGAAAACTGTAAGACTTAGTCACCATGCATGCTGGAGCAGCCCGGCTGACAGTATTCCCAGTCTCCTTCACCCCCGAAGAGATCGAGACATTCAAGAGGGATCACCAAGCCTATCAGAAATTTCGGAAAGGTACCTAGGTTATACTCGTTCGGTGTGACGACTTGTCGGCTGACTGGCATCCAGAAATTGAACTGGAACTGCAGGCAGTGCATGGGGCGACTATCACAGGCACGCCGGAGCAAATCGGCGCTCGAGAGATCTTCCTGCAGAACATGAAACGACGTTTAAACAGAAAGCCAGAGCTTGTGGATGAGCTCGTACCATCATTTCCGCCTATCTGTCGACGTCTCACACCGGGACCTGGCTATCTTGAAGCCCTGACAGATGACAAGGTTGAACTCATCACATCCGAGATCGTCAAGGTCGATGAAGCGGGCATTTTGACAGCGGATGGAAAGCACCACCCTATCGATGTTCTTGTCTGCGCCACTGGATTCGATACCACATTTTCACCGCGATTCTCCATCATTGGCCGCGGTGGTGTCTCCTTGAGTGATCGGTGGAAGGACACCCCAGAGACGTATCTTTCGTTGGCTACGGATGGATTCCCCAACTATTTCATCTCCTTGGGCCCCAATGCGGCCCTGGGGGAGGGGAATCTACTGCTCCTAGTTGAGAAGTCAATCGATTACTTCACGGAGTGTCTGAAGAAGATGCAGCGTGACAACATCCGATCGATGAGTCCTCGTCTTGAAGCAGTCCAACGCTTTACCAAACACTGCGATCAGTATTTCTCGCGAACCGTATTCAACATGAAATGCCGTAGCTGGTACAAGGGAGGATCTGAGGATGGAAGAGTGACAGCACTGTGGCCAGGTAAACAGCTCCCGTTCTTGTCCTGGAAGGTCGTCCCCTTAACACTGACGCATACTACTTTTAGGATCCTCTCTTCATTCGTTGAAGGCTCTGAAATTTCCACGCTGGGAAGACTGGGAGTACGAGTATGTCAATAACAACCCGAATGGCTGGATCGGGGACGGCTGGACAGAGAACGAGAAGAACAAGACCATCAATGTGGACTATCTGGATGACGATCAGGTTGATTTCCCAACTCCCGTTGCGGATCACGTTGGAAACGGGTTTGTAGCTAAGATGGGAGTCTTGTGAAGGGTGGGAGATGACCGGGGAGGATGTGGGATAGTATCAGAGGCTGTAGAGTGTACATATCCGGCATGCAAGAAGTTTCTTGGGTTCCATCATGCTACTTGTTTGTTGCCTCAGGCACCAGTGGTCGTCCTGAATAACCGTCGTACAATACACGTAATGGTAAGACTGGTACATGACGCAATTGGTAACTGCAGCGCCGTAAGCATGGCCCAATAATACGGTACCACCAGTGGTTGCAGATAACTACCAGGTGGGAATTGCTGCCTTACATAAGCGCATCCCCCCCATCATTGATCCTTCGCTCGCTCGAATATCTAGTTTTACCCCGGATTCAGGCCTTGCAGCGCCATCCTGGCTCAGCTTCATCCCTCTCCCTCCCAATGCGCAATGAAGCCGACTATCGACAAACAGTTCCGTTGCGCAACTTGCCAGCGAGGTTTCACCCGCATTGATCACCTCAAAAGACATCAGTTGCGCCGTATGTCCGTTGCCTGTTGTTTGCCATTTGTCGGCCACGCACGGTCTCCTCATGTTCCTGTAATTCACTTCCCTGTTTCGTATCACTATCTGACCCTGTGAATCTGTTGCCGCAGATACCGGGCTGAAGCCTTACTCGTGCGTTTTCTGCAGTACAGCGTTTGCCCGATGGTATGCTTGACGGTCTCTTATCACCGAGGACGTTCAGACTGATGGCCCAGTGATAACTTGCGCGACCATTACTCCGACTGTGCCAAACGAGGCGACCAGAAAATCCCCGAAACGGGCCAGAGAGGCAGACGACGCCATGCCTGCCAGTCAGTACGTGGTTCCATTCCCATCCGGCATTGGTTGATCACCGGAGGATGTTGGCTGACCAACCAAACTTTTCCCAATAGTGTACCCTGATGAAACTACGCTGCGATGGAGAGAACCCTTGTAGTTCCTGTCGAAAGCGGAATATCCAGTGCAATGGCCGTCAGAAACCTGAGTCCGCGACCGCCGGGCCTATTCAGGAGATTCGCAGTCTTGCTGTTTCAGACAGTTCATCCGCCGTAGGGTCTGCGTCAACAAAGAGTGAGGAGTATGATCAGTCGCTAGACCGAGGATCAATCAAGTTCCTTCTCAATGCTGGCACCGATAGCTTCACCGAGCGGTTTCATCTTCCTCCGCGTAACGATCGTTTCAGAGGGCTCGTCTTCCATAACCAGAAAAATGGCCTCGAGGATCTTCCAGATGCGGCTCCATCCTACGATGTGACGGCGGATGAAACAACTGTCATGCCCGCCTTCATCGAATGGGATCCTGCGACCCTGTCTTTCTTTCAGGACACGTTTATCAGCCTCTTCCATGGTCCCTTCAGTGATGTACCCAAGTCTACAGAGAATTCGTATTCGGATGGAGCGGTTTACGAAGCTCTTTTACCTGGTCTAGATCCATGTCTAACATTGTCGGGTTGTCAAACTGCATATGAGCCAGAGAAGCCGTTTTCCACTGCATTGATCCAATCGATACTCTCAAGGGTGTGGACTGTCCCGCTTTGCGCGAAAGCGCAGACCGAGCTAACCAGCGATCTCAACTTCCTTCTGACGACCTCCCGCATTCGGAGGTTCGTGTCATTTTATTTCAAGTACTGGCACCCGAATGGCCCGATGATCCATCCGCCGTCGTTCAACGTGGATACGGCGCCGTTGCCCCTGCTTGCGGCTGTGGTTTTCATGGGCGCCATTTATTCCAACGATGTAAGAGAGACTTCTATTGCCAAGAAGCTCCTCGACTTCGCGGAGCTGTTTGTCTATTCTAGCGCTATATTTTCGTACGAGAGTGAAATTGGTGCCAATTTCGGTGGCACCACAGAATCATTCAATGAGAATGTCAACAGTTGGACTCAATTCCAGAGTATCCAAGCAGGATTTCTCATGGTTATTGTGCAATACTGGGCAGGGAGTCGAGCGGCACGAAACCGCGCAATGGAGAGCCGATTCAGTGACTTGATAAAGGCATGTTGAATCATCATACGGGACTCCCAACGTAGCTAACGCTGTAGGAAACAGGCCTGCCGCCGAATTGGGCTTCTTGACTGCCGGCATCAGCCGCAGGAGCCGGTGTCTGAGGAACTATGGATCCAGACAGAGTCACGAATTCGGTATGGGATTTATCACCTGGTCCCAACGCCAATGCATCGGAACTGACAGATCCCTCGACAGGACTATCAGCATCATCTCACTCATGGACTGCGCATTCTTGTTCTTCCAGAACTTCCCATGTCGGGTGATGCATACCGAAATGAAATGCGAATTTCCCTGTGATGAGTCGGTGTTCAACTCACCCCATCCATTTTCGGAGCCCAAGTTCTGTTACACACGCGGTGTCAGGCTCTGCGATGCCTTCCAGTACCTTTTTGAGGAACGTCCCAAGCAGGAGCCTTCCGCCACTCATCCCATATCAACCGATATAAATCCCATGAAACTAACTGTATTAGACATGTTTGTGCTGATTCACCGTATGTCCATCTTATTCCACACTAGGCTTACCCTTCATGTTCATCGCTAATTTATGACCCTCTAAGTCCTCTACGCCTTCATTGATTCCCACATGACGCTACTGATTCCGGTCGTACAAGACTCTCACCCCGGACCTCCCGACCCCAATCGGAAACGGGCTGGGGCAATTCCAGAAGACGCAACCTTGGCTGCGATCCGCAACGCCCTGTCACGCTGGCGTGACATCTGGCTTGCGCTCCGCAGCCAAGTATCCTGCAACGAGTGGGTATCAATGGGCTTCTACAAGAATGGGTACAACTTCTGGCTTGTGTCCCAGTTGCTGATTACGAATAAATGTGGCGTGGACGTTGTAATGCGAATGGAGGTTAATTGTGAAGATAAACTGCAAAGACTTAATGTCTTGCTTCAGGATGAGAATGAGTGACCTTTTGGTGGAGTAATGGCTTCCGAAGGCTCTACTATAGACATGATGCATACTATGTGCGTTTTTTGAAATGGGTTTGTTCGTTTTTGGGGTTACTGGATGGAAGTGCATTGGGTGCAAATAGACGGGTTACATATACATGCAATGGTCGATACGGTTTATTTTCTTGAACGGAGTACTATCTCGAGGGTTCGCGTAATACATGGCATGGTATAAAATGAAGTCAGTGAGACTTTGACGGGTATATGGCTGCAATGGCAACAGTTCAGAGGTAACAGGCTATTATTGTGCTTATATTCATATTAATAGATAATTCCAATAGATGAAAAGAAAATATGATAATCCCTCTCTATCAATACCCGAGATAATCTAACATAAAAGAAGAGAACAAGACTGCATTCTCATCCTGTCTACAAACTCATTTCGCAGCCTCCACAACCTCCTGCTTGGCTTCCTCCCCCGGTCCCTTGAGACTCCGTCTGTACAGCGCAATCCGACCAACCTGGACGATACCGACACAGCCGAGGAAGAAGTTGACAGCAGCCAAACTATGAAAGTTAAACACTTTTTCGCGGGCTTTTTCTTCGGTCAAAGCAGAGACTTACAGATAATTACGCGGTTTGATGATCATGCACCAGCGAGTCCAGATGAGTCCGGTAGCCGTGAGGGCAGCGTTCTGGGTCAGAGAGAGTTTCTCTACGGGGCGCTGAAAGTCGGAGATACCCGCGATGACGAGACCCCACTGCCGTGAATTCCAATTAGCATCTTGGCTCTTGTACTGGAACAGTCCGGGAAGCCTTCTGTATATATAAAACAGGAACGGTGCTGAGGATCGCGCCAAATCGTGAATCATGAATCACTCATACCTTCATGACAGGGGCCCTATACACAAATCAAACCAGAATCAGCAATTGACACAAACAGGGTAAATTTCATGAGAAAATTCCAACATACCAGAAATGAACCGTCTTGATGCCAACGGGACTGTTCCATAGACGCTGGAATGTGCTCTGTTGTTCTGCCGTAGCGCCTGCATCTGTGCTTTGGAACCGACGAGCCTGGGCACCAGACTGACGGAATGCATTGCGGAATGCAGCTCTGGAATTCTGGAAGAAACGGAGACCGATGCGGGAGGACGACATTTTGATAGACGTGATGCGGAGAAGCAGGAGAGTGGAGATGGAGATGGGACGAAGCTTTCAAAGCTTTCAACGGCGGTTCCAGATGAAAAAGCAAGGATAAAAAGATACAGCCGGCTCTAGCTACTGTGCCCAGTAATGAAGCCGCGCAAGATAAGGTGAACAGAAAGGAATCGTCGCCAACACCGTCGAGTCAACCCCGGCAGTCCTCCGGTGACCGGTTGGGGTACGGCACGTGACACCCCGGTTGTTTTTGCGGCTCGTTTTCCCGCTGAGGTAAGCGGTCTGCGCCAACCTCGAAAGAACGCCCAGTGCCGGCATCATCGTGGAAGCTCAAGCCATCCCCCGCGACAGCATTGCGTCCTTGCCTCGATTTCCCCTGGGGACGCTGATTATCTTTTGCTGAAGAAGCATCTTGTCAATTGAACCAGAACCCCGAACCTTGCGCGCAATGGCCCTCACCAAATACGCCTTCACCAAAGGCTTGAAGGAACTCCGTTTCCTTTTCTGCCATACATCAGAACACAGCGCAGCGACGAGGTGAGTCGTCGTCTTTTGCTGTAGTCGCGATTTGAATAGCCTTATGTGCCATATTTTTCTGTGCATAAATTATCACTGGAATATGTGACTGATAAAACCGCCCAATCCAGGTCCTTCCTCCAGCGAGCATATCCCACCATGAAGAGACATAACCCCTACACACCCATCCTCATGCGCGAGGCTCAAGGCACTCCGCCAACGCTATATGCCAGATACGGTATGAGACGACCCCATTGGAGTTGGCATTATAGGATACAGTGCTTCGAAGCGGGGATAAGTCGCTAACTACTGGATTTCGTGAACGGCAGAATTCGGAAAGGAGAAGCGGGAGCCTCTGGATGGTATGTGATACCCCTTCTTCGTCCGGAATTAGGCGATCTGTATTTTATCAATGGTTCAATGGCTGATTATAATTCTCTGCAGGCCTCTCGGATAAGGAGATCGAAGAGAAAGTTAGAGCACTGGCGTTGTCTCATTCGTGATGATAGATTGACTGTTTTGCCTTTCTTATAATCCGATGTGACTACTGTATATGATCACACAAGTCAATCTGCCTTTTCCTGCCGAGTTTATGTTGCGTCGAGATAGATGAATCGAAGCGTGCCTCGAAAAAGATGCCATTCATTCTTCGTTCGAGTTTCTTTTCTTATGTCTAGTTCTAGGTTGAAAAGAACTTATAGTACAGGTCCACTACTATTTCCAACCTCCCCAAACCTAAACTGCGCCCAACTCATGCTCCCTTCCTTGAAAGTCCACAGCCTCTTCCCAAGATCGCTTCCCGCGGCTCCCGCCCCAATATAAATGGGGAGCAAATGATCGAAATACGGATGCGCCTGCCGCGCATCCTGTCTCTTCATCAAATCCACCATTTTCTTCTCCCTCTCTTCCGGCGCGGCGGTGACGGCATCCTTCAGCGCCTCGTCGAAACTGGCCGTATATGGCAGGGGCTTGGAATCACCCATTGTAAACCACATATCCCGGAGATTATGCACTGCCATTCCGGAGACGATGATGAGGATATTCTCATCGCGGAGTTTGGAGATGGCTTGGCCCAGACGGTAATGTTGGATGGGGTCTTCTGTATTGAAGAGGGAGACTTGGACAATGGGAACGTTTAGGGGATTTGTGTCGGGTTCGAATGCTGCGTCAATTAGTAGGGCAGTACTTTGCGTGCATGATGATCATGATTCCGAATGACAAGTATGTCCTTCGTGCTTGGTATGTATACTTACCACACTTGAAACTGGCCCATACACCGTGATCCAGACCTCTCTTCACACCCTCAGCTTTGATATTTGCTTCCTTGAGCGCATGCAGGACTTTGTTCGCAACTTCCTTGTTCCCGACATTGGGATATTTCTCTTTATAATAGTAATCCGGGAAGCCGTAGAAGCTATCATATAATTAGCAGTTGACCTCAATAGACAAGTAGAAGGGTCAGTGTTAACATACTCATATATCAAGTCCGTAATCTCTGCCGTGTTCACGAGAACCGTATCTTTCCCTCCCTGCCAATGAGCAGAGAACACCACCACAGCACTCGGCTTCACCTTGCTAGTGATCTCGCGGCCGATCTGGCCTAGTTTGCTGTACGCGGGATGCTCGTGCTCGTACATGACATTTGGCTTCGCTCACATGGAAAGTTAGCAGTGCTCGAAACTTGCAAGACAAATAGATCATACCCCACCATGACTAAGGAAATAAACCGGAGTCCTCATTGTCGACTCAAATCTCAGCCCCGAAGCTGGCTTTCCGGAAGTGGGAGCTGAAGAAAACAGCGATGAACTAATAGCAACGGTGGTGATACCCGATCCACTCGCAAGGGAACGGGAGAGGAGCCTCTTGAATCCGAACAGATTGGCGATGTTCCCTTCACCGAATGTGGAGGCAATAAGGATTGCGATGGCGAGAGTTAAGACAGAACCGAGGAGAGTATTGGTGCTGATATTCCAGGTCCTGGTTCTCGTTCCGGATGCGGTTGCTGGGTTGGTCGGGGGCTGATTCGGATAGGATGAAGACATATATCTATTTTTTTGGAGGATATCCTTGCTTTATATGCCGAACAGGTTAGTAGTCTTGACATTGTTCTCGTATTCTCCATAGTGTATCTGTACTAATAGTGTATGCATGTACCTTTTGATGCCAATAAGCGCAACACATCAAACTCAATCGGATCTGTACCAACCTTATATCCTACGAGTCCTGCCGAAATAAGAAAATATTTGACAACAATTAGAGATAGAGAAAGAATTTATTTAACGCAACAGTCCCATAGTTCGTCATGCAAGCCATAGAATGTAACTAGGGGATGTTGTCAGCAGCGCGGAATCAGGCCGCTGTTTGTCCTGTTTGCTATGGCCGCTTCTTTCGCCAGTCGGAAGGAGGCATAAATTACTGGATTGGGCAAGCACCGTAGTTGATTTCTGGCGCATGCAACATATTGCTTGCTGCCTCTGAAAATCCTGAGTTCTTTTCTAAAAGTACTGCTGCTCTAGGCCATAGCATCACGCTGTGAAAGCGAGAGAATTTGAATGTACTTGACAAGTTATCAGCATAGAGGATCTGTAAGCGCTGCAAATGAAGCGGATAATGGTTAACACACTAAAAAAATAGTGGCACTTAAACACATTGGAACCCAAGACTTTACACACTATAGTATACTATACTATCGGGCGTATTATGTATTCCCGTAAGTCTCACTCTTGATGGATGGTTAAGGACTTTGATATCACAAAGCGCATTCTTGAAAATACTTCGATGCTCAACAATCGACTACAGCAATATGAATTATGAAGAAGAGCTGGAGCTCTCGCGCGTATGGCCGTTTGATATATCGGATCCTGGTACAGAAAGAAACGCCTGAACAGTCAGGTTTCTTGAGCGAAAAGATATCTATTTACTGTACAGATAACCCCCCTTCTCTTTTACGGAAGCCACGGATGGGAAAGCAGGTCCTCTGCCGTGGTCCGGTCCTCGGGCCTCCAGCGCAGCATTCTAGAAATAAAGTCTACAAACTGGGGCATTCCGTCGTCATCATCAATTACTTTAGCCATGGGGACCAGGTCCTTTTTTCCAATAAGCTCGGGGAATTTGAATTGTCCTATCAAATCAGTTAGCTGCGTCTAGTTAGGACACTGCTAGCATACCTTTAGCGTCAAAATATCGATATGCTTCTCTTCCTCGGTCGAGAAGATCTGGTGGAGGGGGCCCCAGGAGAGAAATAATCTGGCCTAGATGGGTTTCGTCTGCAGAGCCTGAGCTGCGCGAGTCCGGTGGTGTGTCGAACGGTCCGCGGCCATAGAACAGGTCCCAAAGCTGATGGACTATTAGTGGTGATCAGGATCATGATAAAGAGGTCTTTACCATAACTCCCAAATTCCAAATATCAACACTGTAGCTCCAATCCCCCCCCCGAGACAAACTTCCGGGGCCCGATATCCCTCTGGCTGGATGGGGTGGCTGTTCGGGGGACCGTCACCGCGCACGGCAAGCCCGAAGTCAGTTATTACCGGTCTACCCAGTTCGTCGGGAGACAGTCCCCAGTGATTTCGGGATAAGTATATGTCCCGATCGTCCAGTTGTTTCCGCGGAGAGGGATTGTTCATCTCATCTAGTGCGACCGAGTCCAGGATAGACGGGTTGCGTAGAGCCAGTAAGATGTTATCGGGCTTGAGATCTTGTTTATCCGTTAGCTGTGACCAATTCTAGGAGCGGGTCGGTTGAATGACTAGCTACCTGTATGAATAACGTGGCATTCGGTGTGAAGATACCGAAGTCCTTCTAGTATAAGTTTAGACACCGGTTTCAAGACGTCGAGAGGGATGGTGTTTCCTTCGAAATGACGCTTCAGCATCCATAGAGGTTCACAAAGCGCATCAAAGACCATGCAAATATGGGTGCCACCCGGGCTAGCAACACGAAACGAGTCTAGCAAGATGGTGACAAAGTTGCGACCTGGATGCTGGGGGTTTGCCTTGGTTATATGCTCAGTAATGCGCAGCTCCTTCTCCGCAGACTCTTGAGATGCATAATTGCTTGCGTTAACTTTGATGGCCACATATCGGGGCGGAAGCCATCGCCACCTATAACATCATGAGACAAGGCTTGAATAACTATATTATCAGATAATCTTCACATACTGGTGGAGATCGCGTGCTAGCCATACTGTCGAACTTGTTCCCCAGCCTATTTTAGCGGCGATTTGCTATCGGTTGTTGAGTATCTCATAAAGACGTACAGGATAAAAGTGCTGAGGCTTATAATGGGGCGTGTGCTCTTCCTCAACCAGATCTGTCGTGGGGAGTAACTTTACCGGGAGCAGGGTAGGTTTGCAAGGAACTGACTGAATAATTCTTCTAAGGTACATGGCTATAAAGAGATGAGTAAGTTATTCGCTGCCCATTCTGGTGTTACCCATGCTGGTCGTGTTGAAAGCAGGGGTGGAAAAGGGGGAAAATCGGCGGCTCGGTGGTTGAATACGTTTAAGCTACCTGGTAGTCTACTGCGCGCCCATTTGGTGGCTCTTCCTCTTGCTAACCTTCAAAATGCCAAGTCAAACGCTAAGCTGCGTGGTAGCAGCCCTGCCCAGCGAATTTGAACTACATTGCACTAGATCCTACTGTCCCAACGGCTTGTGAATCCTGTCATAGATGCCTCACTATTTCAGAGGGTGCGCGTTAATGGCCTCCAACTCTGTGGATATGGCTGTCTAAATATATGCGATGGGAGAAATTCTATAAAAGACCAGAAAAATATATCTGCGAACTTAACCCGTATCCAACGCGCTGGCCTTTTTGATTCTTTTCAGTCGGCGGCCGGTTTTCCCCCGTCGCAGACGGAGGCACCAACGGACGAACAGGGTTAGCTCCCGCTTGCCTGCAAAGCGGAGAGCAACCCCGGGATCGGCCCATTTTGACTCCGGGGACGACTTGTATTTCTTGTTCTTCTTCCTGCAATACCTGGTCGTGCATTAGCCGACCGTGGCCATGTAATTAGAGACGCCTGCTTGACTCACCGTTCCCACCGATTACACATACGAGCGATCATGTCTCGGGTTTTGTAGGCGTAGCCATCATCGTCAGTATCGGGTGTATCGTCGTCTGAGTTGACATCGGGGTCAGTGTCAGAATCATTGACTGTCCGAATCGGAGGAGCTGGTGTCCGAATTGCTGCCCGAAGCGCTCGGACTCGCGCGTCTAGTGGCTGGTCACTCGGATAGCTTGGTCAACGGCTGCGTCGACGAGTGGTCTCGACGACGAGGAAGACGCTCACTAGTATCACTACTAGCATCATCATCACCATTATCGTCACTGGAGTCTGAGTCCGAAGAGTCATTCATACGGGTCAAAGAACCTCGCGTTCTTGCAGTGTTTCGGGTTGTCTTGATGGGTCTTTTCTTCGCCGAACGTCTTCGACGAGATACGCCTCGACTTTTGCGTTTGCGTCCCCGAGCCGTGGGGAAACAATCCGAGGACATCAGATCGGTGTCAGAATGACACTCGATCCGTCCGTTTCCATGCGGAACGACACACTGGAAGTTTCTCCGTCGCTGCTGTCGGCATCGCTTCGACGGTGTTGACATCGGGCCATTCTTCAGGAAGATCAAGCCGGACAATCAATGGAGAGAGCAGCAGAGTAGCTCGTCGTTGGCCTAGATTGAGGAAGAGAAAGCTGAAGTATGTCTTAGACAAGGAACCAGCAGGAACCAGTAGAACTGTCTAGATAGTTGGTCATAGAGGTTGCTCAGTCGAAGGGAAGAGGAGCAGCACCAAGTGGTTTTATATAGAGGCATGTGACCGCAGCAGCGGCTATGACGGTCAAAGGGGTCGTGCTGAAGGGCTCCATTTTCGGCGTTCTCATGGGCTGAGATTGGCGTCGCTGAAGTTTGCTGTGACGAATAATTCCTCAAGACTCATCATCAGAGCGCCCACGAACCAGACCCGCTCTAATCACGTGCCAGGAACCTGGGTGAGAAACCATTTTGTGCATTGTTGGATGAAAAACCGTGGTGGCGGTTGGCGCTTAGATGCCATTTTTAGCGTCGATTGTGGGCCGAAAAAGGCGGCTGGGGACCAAATCGAAATTCATAGGTAGTAAAAAAAGAAAAAGGGAAAAAATTACCTCCCCGACTGGGAGTCGAACCCAGGTCTCCCGCGCTTGTTATCCATTAAGGACTGACAAGCGGAAATCATGACCGTTAGACCATCGAGGACTTGTTGATAGAGTTTGTTCTTTTTCGCTATATAAGCCCAATTTAGAAACAGCTCCTTAGGGAAATACAGTAAAAGATCCTCGATATGACGAGAACTTGGCTCTCCCACAATTAATTTTCCCATATAAATAACGAGATCCCTCGCTACAACGAGTCTCGTTATTTCTCTTGAGCTCTCCATGTAAAATCTCGTTATATCAAGGTCCAACAAGCTAAATTATGCCCAAGAGACCTCCATTCCAACCTCCCAAAAAATTGCTCTACGTGCTAGGAAACGCGTCCATCCTAACGCAACCCAAAAAGACCTCTGAAAATGGTTCTAAGAAACCTATAATCCCATATTCTCATCTGGCTTGATTTGAGATATCCTCTCTTCAAAGTATAACCACTTTGATACCGGATCCCTACCTCCTCGTGATACTGAACGCCAACGCCGTGAGAACTGGCCTGAGCTAGAAAGTGCCTTATTCGAATGGACATTAAAGGTGCAGATATTGTACGACAAAAGGCTCATTGTTTTGGGAGAACATATATTCAGGGCAAGAGATACCTACCTTCAGTAATGGCTGGCTTCATAATTTTCAAACACGAAGATCAGTCAAATGGTATAGGCAGCATGGTCCCAAAGGGCTTCTTGATATTTTCAAGGAACATTCATATCCGGCGCAGGTATTGTGGAGCACATTACACTAGGCGGGTGTTTGATCAGGTTATTAGTCCATACTGAGCTGTACGTGCTGGGGACTTCATTCAAAAAAAAAAAGAGAAAGAGGGGCGTAAAAGGATCGGCTTTGGAAGCGAATCCATGGAGAAATCTGCGTCTCGAAGGATTTATATCTTTTAATACCGGTGGGCTTCACGAGGACTCTAGTAAACACAAAGTGGGAGATTTAAAAATCCATCTTCATATAGCCAACAGGTAACTGAACGCTAGATAACATTCAATTTGAACCCATGCCATACCCAAAAACGCTAAATACAGTCTTGTCTCATTTATATATCTACACTTTTCCCTCATATACCATGTATATACATTAAAAGCTATACATTAATGAATCCAGATGAGCGGAGCACCACATTGAGCTTTCGTTTCATTTCCGAGAGGGCCAGGCCATTCATCAACACCACGCCAGGATACTCGGAAGTCAAAGCCATCCTCTTTTTTATTGCCCAAGAGGCGGGAGAGAAAAGGGGAAAAGGAACTTAAGCATGCTCCAGCTCCTCCTTAGTAGGCGCCTTGTGATCCATATCGGCAGACATAATAGCAGCAAGGTCACGTCTCGTCTCCGTCTCCGCCGACGGACCGTCAAAGATAACCGCAATCTCCTCAAGCGTATGACCCTTCGTCTCGGGAAAGACGAACCAGATAATAATGAAGAAGAGAGCCAGCAAACCGACGTAGACGAAGTAGAACTTCCACGCGATGGCGTCCAGGGCGATGGGGTTAACGAACTGGTTGAAGAAGCCCGCCGCGAACTGCACGGTCAGACTGAGCGACAGACCCTTTGTACGGAGGTAGAAGGGGAGGATTTCGACCGGGTACGCGATGGAGAGAGGGGTGTAGGCGATGTCGTAGGAGCCGAAGAAGAGGAAGAGGAAGGCGACTGTTGCGCTGCCGGCGGCTGTGATGTGGAGTTCGGAGAAGACGGCGGAGAGGGCGGTGACGATGGAGAAGAAGATGAACATCAGGACCGTCGAGAGCATCCAGAGGGGACGGCGGCCGTATCTTTCTGCGGCGAGGGCGCCGATGGCCGAGCAGATGGCGTTCCAGGCTTGGAGGCCGAGGTTGATGCCGGCCTGTTCGCTGGCCACGGTGATGCCGACGGATTTGAGGATGGGGGCGAGGTAGTACGAGACGACGCCTGGGTTCGTTAGCAATGGGATATCAGCACGCACCGGGGGTGGGGAACGCAATAACATACCATTCCCGGCCCACTGGATCATGAAGCCGACCAGGATGCAAATGGCCAGACGATGGAGCGCCCCCTTGGTCTCCACGAACGAGGACCAACCACTCTTGTGGGCAGAGGCACTCTCCAACTCGATGGCCTCACAGATCTCCCGGAATTCATACTGGACGAGGGGATCGGACGTGTCGCCGTTGGCATGGTACCGAGCGAGAATCTGCAGGGCCTCCTCCTGTCTATCCTTGGAGATGAGCCAACGCGGACTCTCCGGGATGACTAACAGACCCAGCAATTGGATGCCGGGGAAGACGATCTGGAAGAGACAGGGCACCCTCCAGGACCAGGTGGTGTTGTCGCCGATGTACAGAGAGCCCAGGGAGACGGAGGCGGCGAGAATCGCACCCCAGTGCCAGGTGGCCTGGAAGATGGCCGTGACGGTGCCGCGGTGGCGAGGATGGGCAATCTCGGTGGTCAGCGGCGGAGCCGCGGTCTGCGCGAAGCCCAGCCCGATGCCGATGGCGAGACGCGTGCCGAAGAAGGCCCATCGGCCCTCGGTGGCGGTCTGGACGATGCTGGCGATGACCATGATGGCCGACCCGACGCCGACGCACCATTTGCGGCCAAAGTGGTCCGCGAAGTACGAGGCCGGGATGAAGGTCGGGGTGCCGCCGAGCGAGACCGCCGAGATGACCAGGCCCTGCAGGTTGGAGCTGATGTGTTCGCCGATGTTTTTGGAGTCTGCATGCACGGGAGTCAGGGGACGTCGCGGGGGGAGTGATACCGGACATACTCACACATGGGGATGGTCAACAGGCCGTTCATCAGGGCACCGTCGTACCCGTTGGCAGCGGCCGACGCGAACATGAGCACGACGCCGAAGTTCAGCCGGCGGAGACCCTTGTCCCGGATCCAGCTGCGGTTCGTGTTGTTGGGGAGCGTCGCATAGTAGTCGTGGCCGCCGGACGAGGCCGCAGCCGAAGCGGATACCATGTTGGCGGAAGGGGTTGATGGATCGTAGGATTGGAATGCACGGGGAGAGAATGTAGGAAAGCCGATGGAAGGAATCCGATCAATGGCGTCTAGTATGCATGGTAGACGGAGGTGGTTGAGTGAGGGCCGTGGAGGAGAACAGACCCTGGGCGAGAAGACACGAGGCTTATATAGACAGCCGGTTCGCAGCTAAACACAGGCTTCTCCTCCCATCTCTCGAGCCCTGACTGACTCTCCTGTGATGCCGACGAAGCGAAACTGGAGAAGCGAGGAAACGCGAGAATACGGCTTGCCGGCTCCAGAGAGTCTGGGCGACTCGGCTTCCTGTCTGGACGCCACAATCCAATCCAGTGACCACGAAGTGTGAGACAATCCTTCCTCGTGAGCGCAACACGCCATTGGCATCACCAGACGAGGAAAATAACTTCCGGGGCCCTGATGATCTGGGACATTCCGATGGAGCAACAACAAGCCCCAGAAACACTCCCGCATGACCACGTATGGAGGCAAGCTTTTCCGGGGAAACTTCTGGGCACCAATCCTGCGCCAGACGGGGCGATTCCACGGCGAGTCTTGCGGGGGGGATTCCGGGCGGGTTTCTCGGCGAGATTCTTCGGCGTGGCGCTGGCCATTGTGGGCCCCAGCTTGCAGTGGTTTCTCGCAGGCCAGCTCCAGCTGGCGCATTGCCTAGGGACTTATTAAGCTATAACAAGCCGACGGTCGGTTGCAGTCAATCAGTCAATCAGTCTACATGGTCAAGTGCCTGCGCTGCGGAGAACGGGTAGATGCTCGGAGATTTGCTTCTCGTGGACTTTCCTCGCTGCCCGTGACGGTGCGGTGTCTCACCGAGGGGAGACACATAAATATGGGAGCCCGTCGTTCTGTTCCGCAGGGACAGCATTGCATTTCTTGTCTTTGGCTGTTATCTACTTATATACATTATTCCACGCGCAGAGATGCCGGAAAACACCGCGTGGTGGAAGGAATCCACCGTCTACCAGATCTATCCCTCCTCCTTCAAGGATTCCAACGGCGATGGCATTGGCGACATCCCAGGCATCATCTCCGAGCTGGACTACCTCCAGAAGCTCGGCGTAGACCTCGTATGGCTCTCTCCCATCCTTCAGTCGCCGCAGGTCGACATGGGATATGACGTGTCCGATTACTATGCGATCCACCCCCCGTACGGAACGATGGAGGATGTCGACAATCTCATCAAGGGGCTCAATGCGCGCGGCATGAAGTATATCATGGATCTTGTCGTGAACCACACGTCCGATCAGGTGCGTTGATGTCCCGACGGAGCGGGCGCAGCGGGTGTATCTGACTTCCGCAGCACGAATGGTTCAAACAGTCCCGATCCTCCAAGGAGAACCCGTATCGCGACTGGTACATCTGGAAGCCTCCCCGGTACGACGAGCACGGCAATCGCCAGCCGCCGAATAACTGGATCGCGGCTTTCGAAGGTACGTATCGGTGCGGTGAAGTTCCTTCTTGAATCAAGGCTAACGATAGAAGGCTCCGCGTGGGAATACGACGAAGCGACCGACGAGTACTACCTCCACCTCTTCGCCGTCGAGCAGCCCGATCTGAACTGGGAGAACCCCAAGGTCCGCGCCGCCGTCCACGACATCATGCGATACTGGCTGGACAAGGGCGTCAGCGGATTCCGCATGGATGTCATCAACATGATCAGCAAGGACCAGTCCTTCCCCGACGCGCCCATCACCAACCCCAACTCGCCGTGGCAGCACGGTGCCCAGTTCTACTGCAACGGGCCCCGAATCCACGAGTTCCTGCAGGATCTGGGCAAGATCCTCAAGGAATACGACGCCTTCTCGGTCGGTGAGATGCCCAACGTGTACGACCCGGCGGAGATTGTCAAGTGCGTTGGCTTTGACCGGGGCGAACTGGCCATGGCGTTCCAGTTTGAGATCATGGATCTCGACCAGCCTGCCCCGACCAAGTTCCTGCCCAAGAAGTGGGAGATGTCCGCGCTCAAGGAGGTCGTCTCCCGCTGGCAGACTTTCATGTACGAGAATGACGGCTGGAATGCCCTCTATCTCGAAAACCACGACCAGGGGAGGAGCATTTGCCGCTTTGCCTCGCCCAAGCCCGAGTTCCGCGCCTACTCAGCGAAGATGCTGGCCACCTTCCTGGGTCTGCAGAGCGGCACTCCATTCGTCTACCAGGGCCAGGAGTTGGGGTTGGCAAATGTTCCAGACAGCTGGGGGATTGACAAGTTCAGGGACCTTGAGACTCTAAACTATTGGAAGGACGAAATACTGCAACACCACGCCCAGGACACAGAGTACCAGGAGATGACCATGAAGGAAATCCGCCTGAAATCCCGGGACAACGGACGCCTACCCATGCAATGGAACAAGGAGAAGTTTGCAGGTTTCACCACTGGCACCGAGCCTTGGATTGGTGTCAATGAGGATTACGAAGAGTGGAATGCGGCTGCCCAGGTTGGCAACCCTGACAGTGTCTTTGAATACTGGGCGCAGATCCTCCGCCTGCGCAAGAAGTATAAGAATCTCTTCGCATATGGATCATATAAATTGATCGACGAACCCAATCAGGATCTTTTCGCCTATCTGAGAGCATATGGTGACCAGACCGCCCTGATCCTGACAAACTTCACCGAAAAGGAGGTCGGCTGGACCGTCCCATCTGAAGTCGTCCCCATTCTCAAAGGTGGTACCCTGCTCGTGGAAAATCGTAACCACGACCGCTCCATCAGCTCCGATGGTACAATTACTGTCCAGCCCTTGGAAGCCTTTGCGGTCCTCCTGAACAAATCAAGTGTCTAAACCGACCTTTTCCCCCCGACGAACCACTCTTCTCTGGATACGAAACTGGAGGAACGTCATAACATCATGCTGCTGCATTCTCGTCATTATCATCATCATTATCGTCGAAGGTTTCAACGACCTGGTAGCCTGCTCTCGTCGGATCATCGACAGCCGGGGGAAGAGGAGCATAGAATCGATGAGGAATACCCGACTCGTCTAATTTCTTCTGCAATACTTCCAAACCATAGGGCCTGTGGCTCAGTGACGACAGCAAGCAACATAGACGGTGGAGCATGTCTCGCGTTTCGGGGGTGCTATTGTGCGAAGTCGACGGAACGCAGCAGATGACATCCAGTAAAGTACTTGCGATCTCAAATAGTTTGATTTCCTAAAATTCAATTAGAATTTGTGGAAAACACGAAAAAAAAAAAAAAATCCGCCAAGCTACTCACCATTCCAGTGCCATGCGCCATAAATGCATCCAAGGGCATGGTTGAAACGAACTGCATAGCGTCTCTCGCCACATGGACTGGGTACGTGAGGCACATGCTATCATCAGCCGAACCACTAGAGAGGTAGATATTCTTCAAAGAAAGTTGCCAAAGTAGCACCCGTAGCCATTGTTGAGTAATTGCAATATCCGTTCTCTGCAATGCATTATATGCCGCCGACCATTGAAGCTGCTGGCGGAGTTGGTTCTGTAGCCGCGAGAGAACTTCTTTGCTACACACTCCGTCCTTCGGCGTAGCCGGTCCATTGCGCACAAGAAGAACACCCTCGACCGAAATGAAGAGACCGACCAGAGTATCGAAGGCTTCCACGAGCTGGAGTTCGTCCAAGTGGTCACGCTCCGGTAGTCTGATGGAGTTTGTTAAGCAAGTGTTTATATCATGCTGAATGCCGTGCCCTCTCTCAGTTAGATAGAGAAGCCAAAAGGTCCTGCGCCTGTATCTTTCCTGCTCTGGATCTATGTACTGGTATGTGTCTTCCCTGTCGAGCCCCAGGAGCTGGCACAACGACACGGCCTCCCGGAGCAAGAGGGAACTTGTTCTAACCTTCCGCTTTGACGAGTAATGGAAATGTAAAAACAACGGCACGAGAACCGCTTCCAGAGTGTTACTTTCGCGATAGTCATACATCGCACGGTAGCGCTCTGATTCGACGGCGAATCGGTCAGCCATGGACCTTTCGTCTCGTGTTTGGGATGGGCCGATGCCATCAGTTGGTTGGTGACTCTCTGGGTGGAGTTGTAATTGAGTGGAGGTGGCCGCGCATACGGCAAACGCCAACGCGCAGATTTCACAGTTATTCGTATCCTGCATCAGTCTGCTGCCGAGACGGGGTGCATCGATAACCGGCCAGACGGGGTACATCCTCTGCTTGTAAATCTCCAGGTGAGAGAGGACGTCCGCCAGGGAGAAGTGCGACTCCCATTCCGCCGCCAGGGATAACTCGCCACCCACCAGCAACGGTGGGGAGGCTGTTGAAGTCGAAGCTGAAGACGATGAATGCGTCGTATCCGCTAACTCTGATGACGACCTTGCATTATTATTACCATTTGCAAGGGATGATGGGTCCCCGGAGGCAGCTCGGTCTCTCAGGTCCCGCAGGCGCTTATTGATCCGGACGTAGGTCTCGGGACGAGGGCCTTTCGGTCCCGGCTTCGAGACAATCTTCACATAGGTGCACTCGAACCCAGCCCTGGCACAGTTTTGACAGGGCCGTCCACCGCTGCACCTTGTTTTCCGGAGGGAGCATCCATCACAGGCCCGTCTCCTCACCATTGCAGGGGACCGAGATCGGATCAGAGAGAGACGATAGGGGGGTCGAGGATGGAGAATAAGCCGAACGAGAGACAGGAGAGATACAATTCTATGCGATTGCAGGGAGACATCTGACGGAACATGATCTTCCAGGCTGCGTACGAGCCATGACGACTGCTGGGAAGATCGAAGGTGACCGGCTGCCCGACGTCTTAAGATTCGGGGCGGGTCACGTGGTGGGCTAACGATTTGCCACTCTTCTGACATCTTCTGACATCCCCTGTCAACTGCGATTCTACGACTCTTCAACGCATTCAAGTCCGCATGCAGTTCGGGTATCTTCTTCATTATTGACTGCCTGTCCCCGTCCCTTTATCCCCCAAGATGCCATTGCCCATTCATTACAGCCTCCGGTCATGCCATGCCACCCCCGGTTCCTATCCAACTCAAGGCCAAGAAAAAGAGCACGGGCCCATCCCTCATTACTGAATCAAGATGCAGTGCAGATCATATCGAAATGAGGCCATCGGTCGAGAAGAAGAAAAAGTATCTGTATCTGGGGAAATAAAAATAAAAATAAAAATAAAAAAATAACAGAAAAATTACATAACAACGCAATCACCTTCGTTCTGCCGGTCAACAGCAGAGCGAGAAACACGCGTCTTTTGCATCCGACCACCGCCCTTCTTCAGGTCTTCGAGACGTTCACGGGCCTTGGGGTATCCCTGCGCTGTGGGGAGTCAGCATCGTATTCGAGAAGAAGGGATTGGAGAATAGAGTTTGTTGAAAAACCTTACCAGCTGCGCGCCAATACCATCTCTTAGCGTCCTCCAAATTAGGAGATACCCCAATCCCAACTTCCGTGAAGTAGCCCATGGCGTATTCGGCCTTGGGAATACCCGCAGTCGCTGCTTTACGAGCCCAGAGGTAGGCCTCTGTGTCGCTCTGTTGCAGAATCCCTTCTGCACCGGTGAGGTACCAGCCGCTGAGGGCGAGTTCGCTTTGATGTTCGCCCTGTGCGGCGGCGCGGGAGTACCAGAAGATACTCTGGCGTTGGTCAATGGGGCACCCCATAAGACCGTGTTCGTAGGCAGCGCCGAGACGGAACTGGGAGAATTTGTACCCCAGCTCTGCGGCTTGCTGGAAGAGCTGCCTAGCGTATTCCTCGTCGTGAATGACGACATTGTTCGGCTGGGAACTCTCGTGCATAAGTGCTAGTTCATGAAGGGCATGCGGGTTCTCCGCATCAGCCTTGTCCGCAGCGCGCTTCAACCAGGAAACGCCTTCACGCGGGGTTCGGGCTTGCCCCAGTAGACCTTTGAGTAAGATCATGCCCATCTTGTACATGGCTGGTGGATAGCCCAACGATGCAGAGCGCTTGTACCACTGAACTGCTTTGAATGGATCCCGCTTGGTGCCGCCTCCTTCTTCCTGGCCAATCTCATAGCACACGGCAACGCGATATGCGGAATTTGCATGGCCTTGTTTCGCAGCGGAATGATACAGATGGAATGCTTCCTTGGGGTCAGGCTGCAGGCCCAATGTGCCCTGACCATAGCAGTCAGCCAGGTAGAATTGCGCTTCCGGGTAGCCATTGTGTGCGAGCCGCTTGACCATCTTATGGGCATCGGTGGTGTACTTCTCTCGGGCTTTGGCCCTTGCCTTGATGTCCATCCTGCTCTCATCCCCGAAGAGGACTGTAGCAGCCTCGGCTAGTTTCTTCGCAAGAAGAAGCTGGACCTGAGGATCCTTTGGGTTGCTCTTGGCCTTGTCCTGTAGACGTCGAATTTCCTCATGAGTGACCGGCTTTGAAGATGGGCTAACTACCGGGGCACTTTGTGGAGCGGCAAGCGGCTTAGATAATTGTCGCACAGGTGTAGGGGCAGCAGTAGAAGCAGGAGTGACTGCGGCAGTGGCAGAGCCAGCTCCGACAAGCCCAGGTCGGAATGGTGCCGGGTGACGGGAAAGGCTTGAAGGCTTTTGTTGTGGATCTGAAAGCTCGATAGGTGTCGGCAGGGCTGGCGTGTTAACACGATACGGCCTTGGAGGAACATTGCTACTATACTGCTGCGGCGTGGGCCCTCGCGGAGGATAGCCACCAGCTATAGGGCCTGCAGGCCCGCGGCTCGCGTGACGCTGCGGGTACTGCATCCGCATCGGTTCTTCATAAAGGTTCGGCGGATTGCTTGGGGCATACGCTCTAGTCACCGGAGGAACTGGGGGCGCGTCATTGGCAAATCCAAACTCAAAACCATTGTCAATGTCATTAACTGCTGCGGCCCTGAGGTTCGGCTGGGATTTGGCATGCTGCGGTTGGTGTATGAAATCAGGTTTATACGCCGCGTACTGGCCACCCGACGAAGAGGCCGGCATTTTAGGCTTCGGTGGTTCCAATCCTGGTAGACTTTCATCGACAGCCATCCCCGAATTGTTATCCGGCATGGCGTCGAAATTCGGCATCTCTGGCTCTCCGGCGCTCGACGAGTCATAATAGTTGTCGAAAACAGCATGTGCACCATAATGCTGAGAGTCAGAGAGTCGCTCTGCCGTGACGATCTGGGCTTGTCCCGCAGCACCGACGTCCATTACCGGTTGTCTTACAGCGGGCCTAAAGCTACCAGCCGTACTAGGTCGCGGCGGAGCGGCGGTGTAACCCGACGCTGCTGGAGACAGCGGGGGTTCCTGGTAGGTAGCTTGCCAAGGGTACATAGGTCCGCTCGTGGTGGGCGATATCGGGGGAGACGACGTAACTGGCACAGTCGCACTTCTCACAATGTGCTGCACGGGCGGCGGCGGTTCTGGTTCACTAGCAAATGTATAAGATCGCTGCGGAGGACCAGGATGGCGACCATACGCTCCGTTGTCAGACGGAGGCCTGACTGCGGGTTGTCTTCCGCTGGCCGACCTCAGGGGTCTACCAGGGCCCTCCGGTCCCATTGGTCTGGTGGGCGGGCCTGCCATAGGACGATAGGCAGTCTGTTCCCTTGGAGTCTGTGGGCCGGGCGACCTCACGGCAGGCGGCACGTCACGAACGCTCATTGCTGCCATGTCCGTCTCAAGACCAGTTTGCGGAGGGGGTCTTGCCTTTGGCTTAGTGGGGAAAACGGGAAACGGGCTATCCCAGGAACCCTTCGCAGGCGACGGGGGTGGCCGCGCACCTGAACGGATATTATTAGCGGAGCGACTGGGATGCCCGTCAATATCTCAATTCGACTCACCTTGTCTAGGTGGGTTCTGCCTTACAGGCGGTAGGTCCGCTCGCATCTTCCCTGCACTATTCGGTGGTCTCGGAGCTTCATTTGAATAGAAATTGCGGTCGCCAGAGCCGTATCCATTCCCGGCTGGACGTCCCTTACTTGGTGGACCTTGCTCATACGGGCGCATCGTCGGCGGCCCAAATCCGGCACGGCGCGGGGATACACGCGACTGAGGTGGTGGTGCTTGTGCACTGGGAGCTGAGCCCGCGTATCCGTCATAGGAATCGTATCCAGCATTATCGTAGCGTTCATCGTCGTATTGGTAGTAGCGATCATCGTAGGCATGATCGTCGTAGCCCTGGTCGTAATAGCCACCTTGCGCTTGGGAGTGCCAATCTTCAGCCTGAGGGTATCGATTATCCTGGCGGCCGGGCGGGGGTCTCTGCACCGGACGTTGCTGATACATTGCCGGATGAGTGTGTCAGGAGAGCGCCCTCACGTTGCACCGGTAACAGGGGCTATCCTCCTCCTGTTGACCTCGCGGGTCAACGACAAGTCGCACCTCAAAATATGCGCGCGCGCGCACACGGCCGGATCGAGTCGGTTCGGAACTGGCGTCAACGAATTCAGTCAGTCCATGTCACGGAAACGGTGTGATATCGAGAGCGAAAGCGTCAGAACGCAGTACAGCAGGGCTATGCCTGGAAGCGCGAACATACGATATGACCGCAGCGGTCACAGAGCACATGAAGATGCCCGGAAACAGATGACCATCTACCCGCGACGACGAGACTCAATGAATGAAAACAGGCAAGAGACACACAGAGAGTGAAGAAGAAAGCAAAAACAAAAATTATGACATTGTCAGCGGGCGCATAGTGACAGCAAGGCAGCAGAACTGAAACACGACCGGCGCATCCACGCACCCCTGGACAAGACAAGAACAAGGACCACCACCCCGCGCGGCAGCAGTCCGTTGAAGGGGGAACAACTCACCAGAGGGCAGACGTCAATGACGAAGTGACAAGGACCCGTTGGCTCTGGGATGGAGTTGGGAGAAGGAGGTTCGCATTCCCGAGGCCGATATTAATATCTACAGGTTGCAACGCAATATACAACGCAACCCGGCGGTTTAGTAATAATTAATCCAGGAGAAGAAGAACAAGAACGCCGTTTCCGTCCACCTGTCGTCAAAAAGACGGGTAGATAAAAATATGAACGAAAAAAGAAAAAAAGAGGAGGAAAAGGAAAGAGCAAGGGAGAAGAAGGGAATTCTGACAAGAGGCAGCTGTTTCCACCGACCCACGGCAGTCCCGATGGATTTTCATTTTCACTGTCCCGCAGTTCGTTGAGCTGGCGGATCTATTCGTATTATCATTGGGATACTACTTGCTGGTAACTGCAGGGGAGGGATAATTGGCTGCAGGTCCAGACGATCAGGGATCACTGACGTATAACCGCTGCCATGTATACACCCCTACTACCTAGTACCCACAGGATTGCTACCTGACGACCGGCGCGATAGTAGATAGTAGTCCGTACGTATGGAGAATTGAATTGAATTGTCTCTGTTGATCCGGATAATACTATCGAGTGGGATGGTCTTGGCAGTCGACATCAAATTTCAGGATTGCTAGTACGCCACAGTTCCATGGATGCTGCGTCTGGAAGCTCTGGACGCTGGACATGATTCGAGGGGACTTTCCACTCTGTTAATTACTCCAGCAGTGTTATCTGGGTTGCTGCTTCTGCATATGAGTATTATTACGGACTCTGGAGAGTCTCACGGTGACTGCAGCACCAGCCACAATAGATTAGGTATAGCACCGCCACACCGCCACACCAACATCATTCTCTTCCTAGAGCAATCCTATTGCTCTACATAGATCATTCAGTCCACTCCAATTGTACCATTGCCCTTGTTTGTCCCTTCTTTTTTTATTATAAAAAACCACAATCCAAAATGTCCCGAGCAGGAACCTGGTTCAAAATGCTCATCACGTAAGTCCCATCCCATCCAACCCGGATGATCCCATCCCATCCTTACCAACCTTCCCCAGAGGAACCATCATCTGTGTCGGTGGCCCTGCATTTGTCCAATACATCCGGCCCACGGATGAAGAGCTTTTCCAGCGCTACAACAAGGACATCCAGAAGCAGAGTCTTGAGGAAGGGCCGCGCCGCGCGAAGGAATTTGACGATTACGTGAATCGACTGAAGGAGTGGTCTAAGTCGGATAAGTCGAGTGCGTCCTCTCTCTGTTCACCATTTCCCCGGTAGTCGATATTATGTAGCTATCAAATAACGTAGGATACGTCAAGTGCACTACTAACTACTAATCATTCTTGCAGTCTGGATAGCCGCGCAGGAACAGGCGGATCGGGAACGGGAACAGCGCAATGCCCAACAGGCTCGGGTTCAGGAGGAGAGTAAGAACCAGCGGGATGAGATGAGGAAGGAGTTGCTAGGGGAGAAATGATCGGAGTCTCTTGCTTGGATATTCTGGCTGTATCTATTTTGTATGTTTATGTTTCTTTCTGTGTTGTTTGCTTTGTTTCGTCTGGTAGATGTAAATATATATTTGTATGATACCTTTGTATACGACCAAGTCCCTGGCAGTACTGTTGTTACTATCTTATCCAGATCTGTGTGCTGGCCACTTGAATAGCATTATTATTGATGTCCACTGACTGAAACTATATTGTATTCAACCTGGAAGTAGTTCTATAATGCAAAGCTCTACCGAAAATCCCGAAGAAAATACCCACTGTCAACGCCAACCATGTACAATATATGTCTCCCACCAGCATCAAGGATCACTTAACCATAAAGAGAACACCACAGATGGTAGCCACCACGAAAATCGACGTAAGAACCCCCGCCCCCACCTGATCGCCCACCGCGATCTTCATCTCAGATATCCCCAGAAACTTCTCGTCCGAGTTACGAGTTCCCGCGTTCGGATCACCCTTACTGGTCCCACCAGTGGAATTCGTGACGCGCGGAGGTACACGATCGGCCAGATTTGCCTGGAACACATCCAGTGCGCTCATCTGCTCGCCCACACCCGTGCTGCCGTCGTAATCGGCGCCTCGTGTCCATCGTAGTCCGCACGCGTTATCGGGACCATTGCACTGCAGGGCGGCTGCGGCGGCTGATGCTCGGAGTCGGGGCATGAGTAGATCGTAGGTGAAGGGGGCTTTGGATGTGGTCGCGGCCATCCAACGAGATAGGTAGGCTTTAAAGGAGCGTTGGTCGACGTCACAGTGCGTATTCTCGCAGAAGACTTCGGTCATGACGTTGTCCTTAAAGAAAATGTCAAGGCCTGCGATAATGTTTTCCAGACGGGTTTTCCATATTTCGGCTCCGTTTGTCTAAATAGTTTTATCATGTCAGGTGAGTTCCCTTGCAATCTTGTAGACTACTAGTAAAAATGTTCAGACATACATGGTTGTACATGTTCGCCGCCCCAAGCAAAAAGAGACCAGCGTTATACGTCCATTGGATATGGTTGATTTCAGTACAGTTCTTTCTATCGTCCGACCCATCGAAGAACTGATATGACGGACCAATGAGACCAGTCGCGTTAACCCAGTCCCAGGTCCTCTCTGCCCATTGTGCGTATGTCTCGTTGTTGGTATATACGGCCAGCCTGGAAGCGAGGTTGAAGAAGCACCCGTTCGAAACTGTATTCTTGTAGTTATATCCGGCATTGAACGCGAAAATCTGCCATTTAAGCCCCCCGCCGCAAGTACTCGTATCCCACCGATGTGCCTGAGTATTGAAGACTGCCTGTGCAAGCTCCAGCCATTGCGGCTGGTCTGGCGGCGGGTCAGGGAATTTGACTTCGGCCGCGGACATGGCAGACAGAGCCCAGAAGGCCTGGTCATCATTCCCCAGCGTCCTTGTCTGGTTATCGGGCATGTAGTTCTTATCCCGACCTACCTGCCATAACATAGCTTGGGTCGTCATGTCGACGTACTGCGTATCCCTAGTGTAATAGTAGTACTCGATTAAGGACCCAAACATCGCACCCGCTTCCCACCAGTAGTACGGATCGGGCAGATTTCCAGGCACATCCCCAGGTCTGAAAATGAGTTTTTAGAGCGGAGCCTTCCCTAACGCAATGAAAACAAACTGCCAGTTTCTCACTGACCTATATCCCGTGTAGTACCGCACCATCCCAGCAGCTGCCACTTTTGCGGCTTTTTTTATGGAATCTGGCATGACAAACTTCTAAATCAGTATTAGGTGACACAAGAAGGAAGAGCTCCTTTTTTTTTTTTCGTGAAAGTTGCACTTGACTCACCCTTATTGCTTAGGTTGAGATCGATGGATGCCTGTACTGGTTGCATTCCAACAAGAAGAATGAATGTAGTGACAGCATGCCATGAGGATGACCTTATAAGCCTCATGGCCACAAAATCTGCGCAGGTGAAATAAGGGATAATAGTAAGAGAAGTTCGAGTAGATGACAAGAGTTTATGTTATCTCCAGGGATGCAAGATCAGGCTGATGGCGAGCTCAGCTCCCCAGGGACTGAAAATATTAATGGAAGGGTTGTAATGAAAGTAAATAATGTGGTATTATGGCGATGAATGAATGACAGCCTCAGGACCAGAAAGTGTGAGAAGAATGAAAGAGACTGACTAGCATGAGAACTGAAGAGGAAATGGGCGCTACCACCTGGGAAGAAGGTAGACAGTTCTTAAGGAAAAAAGGCACAAGTGGGGAACTGGGGAATAATGAACGGGCTTGGAGTCCATCCTCCTTTAATGGACTAAAAATGATTGCCATGACACCCGAAGACCCAGCGTTACTCAGGTCGAAACATCTGCCAATCCGGACAGCCAACGGGCCTGAGGGATGGATCTTAGCCGATCTATGGCGGCTGCGGTGGTTTTAATAGTCATATAGTGACCAACTATGGTGAAACAAGGACCTGATTGTCTCAGCGGGAACCGCGCGGAGGACCAGGGCTTGGCTGCGAGTCTTGGCAATCGACAGCGGAATTAGCGGAAGGGTTCTTGGCTTGGCGGAACAGGAGAGAACATGGCAGTGGCTGTGCCACACATACTCTTAGGCGCCTTTATCTGGGTCCATACCTATTAAAATTCCTGCACTGCCCGTTTTAAGGCCTGCAGTACCGTCGGATAGCTGCGGTATGTCACGCATATGTTGATTCACATGCTCATGTACAGAATCCAAGAAATAATGCACGGCCTGTATCAGTAATAGCCATGGGTATGATAGCCCTTCCATTTGACAGGGTAATATTGGAGGCTTGGGTTCGTTGTTAAAAGAAGTCTAGATGTGCTCGAGTGAGCCCCTAGTTCTCTGGCAAAGATTGAAAATGCAAGATCAAGGCGCTTGTGCATTTCTAGGACCAAAGAGCCTGGGAATACTTCCAGCATACATTTAGTAAAGGGGTCCCATCATCTTCAACGAGACAAAACTGAACGATGAGATAGGTAGAGCCCGCTGTTCTCTGTCTGCTACTCGGACCCTGTAATTGTTATACCATCCCAGGTAAGCCTCAGGGCCTAGCTAGACTATGTCTGTGACTCCGTGTTGAAGGGCTGAGTATGACAAATACTGTCTCATTGAGCACCACGACGTGTTCGTTTCTGCTGCTTCTGCCTCAGACAAGTCTAACCATATCCGAATACGTGTCTAAGTTTTTATTAGAATCGGCATCAAGGTTAACCAGTCATCTCACTCACCATGTGTCCGGACTTTGCATGGGTCTACTAGGTTGGTAAAGGCATAGAATGACTTCTGCGAGGACTAGTATCCTTCCCTTACAAACCATATCATTCGCATGTTAGGTGTCCCATCGATAATGGTATAATTGATCGTACATGAAGTTAAACATACTCCATCTCATGCTCAAAATTGGTCAACCATAGCTCGCCCTTCTGACATCTTCTACCGCTTATGAAGAAGGCTGTTCCAGTTGGATTCGTATGACGTCCATTTTCGCAGGTTTTATTACCGCAGAAATAATGGAACTGTTGATTCTATGTCTAGAGATGGGTTTCCTGGTGGCTTCTAAGAGACAGATCCATGGAATGTACTGGCTACATCACATGACCATGGCTGTCTATGTTTATTCCCATCCCAGAACAGTTGCAGCAGTTGCTATATCCTCTGAATATGCCTCCACATTCGTCTTGACATGAGAAGTTGAAAAACTAGCAGAGAACGTCTTTATTTACTCCTTAAAGAAGGCCTGTTTTGGCATCCGATATAACGGCTGGCTGACCCCTGCAGGGGGCCTTGAAATACTGGTGGCTGAGACAGCTACGATACGAAGTATTAGGAGATAATTCCCTAGGTAAATTAATATAGAAAAATTTTCTCTGTAAGAGTAGTAACTGCGTGTCTTGTTTTCTTTTCGAACGTCATCTAGCAGTAGTACGAACTCCGCTGCTGTACGCCTGGACTATGTTATCTGAACAGCACAGGAACACACACACACCGCTGGCTGCCCAGGAGAGAAATAAGAAACAAAGAGAAAAGGATCTCGAAGCGAAGAGAATTTCTCACTGAACAACTTATTTTCCCCCTCAGCCACCGACGAAATAAATAATAGTGCCGCCTACTTGCCATCCATCACGTGATATATCCCGGGCTGAACCGAAACGCTGACAACCAAGAAAGGACACGGCCATCCCATGCCTGTATTCACCCCTGTTGCTTCATCTTCCACACTGTTCCAAAGCACCCTCCTCGACTCGCTACTCGTCTCCTCATCTCCATCCGCATCCCGGTTCCTGTCGGCCATCTTTTCTTCGCTGCTCCTTCCGCCCACCCGTGAAAACAAGGACTCGCGTCCTTGCCGAGACCTACTTGCTTGAAAGTCGACCTACCGGCGGCAAGTCGATAGCGACCTCCACTTCACACCTCACACTCCGATCATCGACATGGCTGAACAACCCTACGACCCATATATCCCATCCGGCTCATCTGGTGCCGGTGCCGATAGAAATGCTGCACACAGCGGCAATCAGAGGACGGCCGCGCTGCAGGCGGTAGGCTCTTTCCCCTTTATGCCCGATGTGTTGATTTATTGCCATGGCATCTGTTGTCTTCCTTGTCGCGACGAGCATACTTTATTCGTCGCACTGCAGTGCAGTCTGCCTTTGTGCAACAGTTCGCTTCCCGATGAAGTCACCCAGAATGCCTTACATGCTCGGACAAGATGACGCCAGCTTACTGTGTTTATCTGGACTTTTGCTGACCTGTCCCTGCTCTTTTTGGCTATAGCAAATCGATGACACCGTCGGTATAATGCGCGAAAATATCAACAAGGTCTCGCAACGTGGCGAAAATCTCGATGCCCTGCAGGACAAGACAGACGGTCTTGCCACGTCGGCCCAGGGATTCCGCAGGGGCGCCAACCGTGTGAGGAAACAAATGTGGTGGAAGGACATGAAGATGCGAGTGTGTCTGGTCATCTGCGTTATCATCTTGCTTGTAGTCATCATTGTTCCAGCCGGTACGTTTACCCTTGGGCAGCGGATCCTACCGCTGTGGATAAAAAGTTTACCCTCGGTTACTGATGATTCTTCACAGTTGTGACCACCACTAAATAAGCCACACGGTGCAGCGAACCTTTTTTTTTGGCAACGAATTTCACCCTGCGCGTCGTCCTATTTGGTTCCTCGTTGACGTCGTGGAGTTTTGTTTTCAGCAATTAATAATACCTTTGTGCTTGTTCCCGGGCTACAACTACCTGATGTCCTCACGACCGACCTCACTCTGTTATTGCCTACTTTATTTTCACGTTCTACTCCCTTTATCTTCGGAGTTCGATGACGCTACGAGCTGATCAGGATATTGGATGAGTCCTCTCGCGCGGCTCGTCGACGGTGCAGATGCAAACGACCCACTGGTGATTTCTCCCATGTTCGAATACGCTTTTTTTGATTTCGTTCTCGTTTATTGTTAGCTGTCCTATAATGCACTATCTGTCGTTCCAGCCAATGTGTATACATGCCTCTTTAGGCTTTCTTTGTGCGCATTGCGTACTGTAACCCCCAATTGGCACAACCTCGCCGGGTTCTACTCCTTATAAGGCTATCCAGGAGCCCAGGTGAGAGTTGCATAAGCGCTTATTATTTTGCCATCGCTATTAAATTACTCTGTATCCACCTTTGCAACCATACTCCGTAGGGATCCTGAAGGCACGGTTAGTAAGCGAGATAAGATGAGATTGAGTCACAACACCCGGTTCCGATAATCGCAGCCAAGGAAACAAACTTTTTCCCTCGTTCTTCTCCCTCTCCACACAATTCGTGCATTATTCACTCGCAGTAAGTCTGGGTACTCTCAGCTTCGACTCTGCGCTATTATATACCGGGGGAACAGAGAGAGATAATAAAGGGGCAGAGTTGCCCAGTCGCCGTGTGTCCCAGTAAGTCTCCGAAGTACGGGCCGGCCTTCAGAGGAACATCCAAATCCCTCGTAAATCCGCATCCCCGCTGGGCATCCATCCTATATATCTGTCCCGTCTGCTCTTCTAACCGCTCTGTGCCTTGTTATATAGTTCTCCTTTCGTTTGCGTATCGACCATTGAAGCTGCCGCATGCTGGTTGACAAGATGTTGTCACTTCGCACTGCTGTGCGGAGAGCTTCCCCCAATGTACGAGCGCTCTCCGCACCACGCGCCATTCTTTCGTCCGCGAGACTGTCTGCGCCCTCTTGCCGCCATACGTTGGGGGCATCCGCTATTTCGATCTCACAGACTCGCCTTTACTCGCGATCTGCTGATTCCCAACTGGCCGCTACCCGGTCCACTGTGGTTCAGTTGTTGAGTAACATCGGCTCGAAGCGTGAGGTGCAGCAATACCTCTCTCACTTCACTTCTGTTTCCTCGCAGCAGTTTGCCGTCATCAAGGTTGGCGGTGCTATTCTCACGGAGCACTTGCAGACGCTCTCTTCGGCTCTTGCTTTCCTCAACCATGTCGGACTCTACCCGATCGTCGTACATGGCGGTGGACCTCAGCTGAACCGCATGTTGGAGGACGCTGGTGTGGAACCAGAGTTCGAGGATGGAATCCGAGTCACCGATGGCAAGACTTTGGCTCTCGCTAGGAAGCTATTTCTGGAGGAGAACCTGAAGCTGGTGGAGGAACTGGAGCGGAGGGGCGTCAGGGCTCGTCCCATCGTCTCCGGGGTTTTCACTGCCGATTATCTCGACAAGGACAAATATAAGTTGGTTGGCAAGATAAACGCTGTTGACAAGGCTCCCATCGAGGCTGCCATCAATGCTGGTTGTCTGCCGATTCTGACTTCCATGGCGGAAACCCCTGAAGGACAGGTCCTCAATGTCAACGCTGATGTCGCTGCTGGTGAGCTGGCACGTGCTCTTCAGCCTTTGAAGATTGTCTACCTAGCCGAGAAGGGAGGTTTGTTCAATGGCGACACTGGCGAAAAGATCTCCGCTATCAATCTGGATGAAGAGTACGACCACTTGATGAAGCAGTGGTGGGTGCGCCACGGGACACGCCTGAAGATCAAGGAAATGAAGGAGCTCCTCAGCGATTTGCCTCGCACATCCAGCGTTGCTATCATCCATCCGGCAGATCTACAGAAGGAACTCTTCACCGACTCTGGTGCCGGTACTCTAATCCGCCGAGGAAACAAGTTGCACACCAAAACCAGCCTTTCCGAATTTGAGGACCTGGAGAAACTGAAGGAAGTGTTGGTTCGTGACCGTGAAGGACTGGATGCGCGGGCTACCGTTGATCGCTATGTTGACTGGTTGAGCGAACGCAAGTTCAAGATTTACTATGATGAACCTATGGAGGCATTGGCGGTGGTGCTCCCTTCAGAGAACGAATCCGGCTTGGCCCAGTTGGCCACTTTCACCATTACCAAGTCAGGATGGCTAACAAATGTTGCCGATAACGTCTTTGCCAGCATCAAGAACGACTTCCCCAAGCTCGCTTGGACCGTGAAGGAAGATGATGAGAACCTGACTTGGTTCTTTGACAAAGCCGATGGCAGTTTGAGCCGCGACGGCCATGTTCTCTTCTGGTCTGGCATTGAGAATGGCGAGGAGGTCAAGGACTTGATCCTTGAATTCACCAAACATGGCCGCCAGATGCTGGGTAACGTCAACCTGGAATCAAGGCTCCACCATGCGGCGCAAGCGGCCCTCGCCAAGGGATTTGGCGCCAGCGCTGCTTCTATTGAACAGAAGCGTGCCTTTTCTTCCACCAGCAATGCCCTCCGTGCTGTTCGCTTGACTCGTCCTACCGTTGCCGTGAGCGTCACCCGGTCTTACAGCACCACTAACCCCAACCCCCCTCTCGGAGACAAGAATATATCCAATAGCCAGCCATCGAAGGTTGCCCTTATTGGGGCTCGTGGTTACACTGGTCAGGCTCTTATCAGCCTGCTCAACTCCCATCCTCACATGGATCTCCGCCATGTCTCTTCTCGAGAACTTAACGGAAAGAAGCTCCAAGGATACGAAAAGCGCGAAATCATCTATGAGAACTTGAGCCCCGATGATGTACGACGGATGACCTCGAACGGAGATATCGATTGCTGGGTTATGGCCCTCCCCAATGGTGTCTGCAAGCCCTTCGTAGACGCGGTGGACCAGGGTTCCGACAAAAACGGTGTGATCATCGATCTGAGCGCAGATTATCGTTTTGACAACAGCTGGACCTACGGTCTCCCAGAGTTGGTTAACAGATCTAAGATTGCACGCGCAACGCGTATTGCCAACCCCGGATGCTATGCTACTGCCTCGCAGCTTGGTATTGCTCCTCTGGTGCCGTATCTTGGTGGGCAGCCGACCGTTTTTGGTATATCTGGGTACTCAGGAGCTGGTACCAAGCCTAGCCCTAAAAACGATGTCGAGAACCTCACAAACAACATCATTCCCTACAGCTTGACGGATCACATTCATGAGAAGGAAATCAGTTCGCAGCTTGGCACTCCAATTGCGTTCATTCCCCATGTGGCTGTTTGGTTCCAAGGTATTCATGTATGTATATCTCCTTTCGCACTACCTAAATCCCGCCCTGCCATTAGCTGCTAAACATGAATGGTAACTAACTAAACTCGAACAGCTTTCCATCAACATCCCTCTGGAGAAGGAGATGACCTCTCGTGACATCCGCAACATCTACCAGGATCGCTATGCTGGTGAGAAACTTGTCAAGATCGTCGGTGAAGCTCCTTCTGTGAAGAACATTGCCGGCAGACATGGCGTTGAGATTGGCGGTTTCGCTGTTCACTCCAGCGGCAAGCGAGTGGTTGTCTGCGCCACCATTGACAACCTACTGAAGGGTGCAGCAACGCAATGTCTTCGTAAGTCCCACCACCTTGGTACCTGTCAGGATGAAGCTGACGAATCGACGTCTAGAAAACATGAACCTCGCGCTCGGATATGGCGAATATGAGGGTATTCCTCTTGAATAAATTTCCTGCCCTCCTGCCAATATCCCATGTGTCACTACACGCCTATTTAGATGTTACAGAATATTTCACAACGGGATTGCGTTTCCCATGGGAAACAAACCATGTATGAAGTCAATTTTGAGTATCCTTCTCTGCGCTTTCTCTTATCCCACGTTTCATACCCTGCGTGCTTCTTCTACTGGCCACGGGTCGGCCCGGTTGGGTTACTGTACTTGGGGATAATCGTCTATTCGTCTCTGAATCTTGTCAAGCATACCGTATCGTTGTGGATTTGCAAATTCGGTTATCTGTTTATAGATATTACAGTTTTGGGGACTCATCTTTATCATGCTGTATCTTTTAGGTTGTCATTTCTAAGTCTTCTGCTGTTCTTTTCCTTTGCAGCTACAGGGGGAGAAATGTAATGTTTTCTGAAATCCGCAAGACAGAAAGAAAAGCGAGTGTTGTTCCTATTACTGGCCATCCTTGGCTGTTGTCTTATATAAAATTCAGTCTTTTTGTATTCTGATCCTCTGCCAGTTGGTTCCTTTTGTTCTGTTCCGCAGGTAATGTCTACCTTTGCCTAGAGGGAAGAGCAGTGTGGCCGGAACGTCGGCTATCGTAAATGCTGTCTGAACTGTGGCAGTCCAGAAGGAATGCCCAATATTTAGGGAACTCCAAGTCACCGGAATCACAGTTTAGGACCAGCTAGGCCTTCGATCGAATGTCCCGGAAACTTCTCTACCAAGCTTCTACAAGTACCTAGGATAGATACTGGGATCTCGTTTATAGTCCATTGCTAGGAACGGTCAGAAATATCTCGCATCTAGGATTCCCAGGGCAGGGCTTCCCTCGCTCATGTGAGACAGCCTCTGCCATTCACTAGACCACGACACAATTCCACTACCAGCCCACCTCCTCCAGACGCAACTTTACGTGCTCAAATTCATTACACGCGTCGTGATTGTTGCACTATTTCCTCTTCATTGGTTATCTCCATTGAAGAGATCATTCTAGAGGAAGGACGATATAGCCCGTATTCCTTCTACGACTCTTCTACCCAGTCGAGTAGTTTGAGGAGGCCACTGGATCGGGAGTCCTGTAGGGAACAGGTATTATATATGCAACACTTCATTTCAATGGATGCCGCTGTGGCTGACTCGTTTCTTTCACCGTCTTGGATGGAATAGATCGGGACTACGTTCTCACTAGGGCCTTTGTCCCGGAAGGAATTGGTAGGTTTTCGTCTCACCTAATATCCTGTATTATGACGCTGATGAGTGCTCTGTTTAGTTCGAGTCACTGCTTCCATTCTCATATTCTGTTCGAGCCGGCTGGTCCCATGATAGGAGAGTGAACGTCGTGGATGAATGAGAGCAGAGTAAGGGATAAGCCAAGATGTTTTATAGTCACGAAAGTATGTCCTCTCCTTCTGATATCCAGAGCAACACTTGTCGCAATCTAAGCCAGCTAACTACTGATAATGTATAGTCCTCACATCCCCTGAGCATGGAGTTGCTACGATATGGTATGTGAAATCATAGCCCCCAGCTGCGATGATTTCCAAACCATTGCTCACGAACAACCGAGTCTAGGCTCGTTGCAACCCTTGGGTCAAAGTCTATCGCTAGGAGACTGAACCGAAAGGCCATTCTGGATGTGGACGTTCCCAAGGCATGCAATGTTATCATCAACCCCGAAGCGCCAATGGCGCTAAGGCTCCAGGGAAACATGCTGTGAGAACCTGTCTATAATAATCTGTTGTGTCGGTGCCACTTTGATTCTAACATATTTGTTTCCCCAAAGATACGGCGTATCGAAAGTCTACAACCAGCAATGTGGCTATACTCTTACGGACGTGCAGGCCATGCACGACAGAATGAGGTCCATACTAAAGGCCATACCTGGAGGTGGATTAGATCCAGCCGCTGGCAAGGCTAAGTTGTTTTTCCTCTTTCCCTTAACTCCAGATTGAATTAATGTACTAAGTATGAACTGTATAGGCCGGACCAACTTATTCTACCGTACGACCCGGCGTTCTCGCCAGATATAAACCTCCCTGGAATGACCTTCGACTTCATCACGTTCAATACAGAGACAGAAATAACGGCAAGCCCGCAATCCAGCCTTCTCTGGACGAGGTCTTCTGGTCTCAGTCATTCAACTCCGTCAAAAGACAGTTTACGGCTTGACCTACCATCAGACGATCTTGTGAAAGGCCTGAGTGGATTCGGTACCGAAAGTGACATGGGCAGCCCTGCTCACAAGAGAGGCATATTTGACAAGAACCCACCATCATTTACGGATGAGGAGGGGGTGCTGCTTCAGGCTGACTTTGAGTTTGACGAGGATGGGAACATCGTCGAGCTTGGTTCGATGCAGCCTTCTCATGCACGAGGAAATCAAGCAGGTGGGAATGTAAATGAGACTCCAGTGATGCCTAGTATGAAGGGAACCCTAGAAAGAGAAACGCGCCCAGTGAATCCTCAGGTAAGTCTCTTGTTTGTGTGAGTAAGGCGACATTTACAGCGTCTAACACCTTTGTAGCAAATGTTAATAGATGAGGACATGGAGACGGGAATCGGAAAAGTTGACGCAGAGGTACTCGTAGACGGACATATCTCTGGGTCAATCCGCGATTCTCTCCCCATGAATGATAATGACCGTCCCACGAATGATGTCGAGATCACAGCGCGTCAAGCAGCAAGGGTGGCCAAAATCTTGCCTCTGGACAACCAGATAGGACTCCGCAATACGGATCTTGCCCAGTGGAATAATGAATATCTGCAGCATATGGCTATTGTCTCTAAACAAAAGAGACAGAATAAACTGTCAACTCAGGCTAAAAAGAACGCTGTCTTCTGGGTTTTCGGTATGGGAATTGGCTCTGTGGGTACGGGGCTCGGTATAACACGTGTGCCACATCCTCTTCAGTCCTTTTCTGGAGATGAGCTTCATGCTGCGCTTTGTGGTGGTATCTCGAAAAGCGACCGGAAGCGCAATCGCGTTGCGGATGAAGATGATGACTTGGATTCCGAGGAGCGACGTGTTCGCGCGAGGGAAGAAGAGGAAGAGCATGTCGGACGTGGTGGTGGCATACAACCTCTAAATATTGCCGACATTATGCAGGAGGTACGTACAGAGCATCGATATCTTTTCTTCGGGACCTGTTGATACATATCAAACTTTCATACAGGATGTCGAGATTGGCCGTCTTAGCCAGTCGCCCCTGCAGGACCATTCTTCTCAAATGCCGTGGAATATTACCGCCTCTATCCAGGGTTCTCGTCAGGGCTCAACCGTACTGCCTGTATTTCGCGGACTCGGGAGCGTCAGTGATTTCTCGTCTCGAGGACTTCCTGGATCAACAGGGTCTCGGGACCTGACAGACTTGGGCAGGCCATGGAATCGCCTTACAAGCGCCAGCCCTCTTGCAAGGCGCGGGCTATCCTTGGATCTGATTGGAGGTAATAGATTCAGTAACCTTGCCCTTTTTGAAAACGACGACAATATCGACATGCTGGGAGACTTGGACCTGAGCTTTTATCTACAAAGTGACCACGATGCGGCTCAGGGGGAACCCTCAACCCCCAAGCGTGACAGGGTGGGTCAGTCATCCCCCAAACAGCAGGTATTGACATCGAAGCTGGACCGAGAATGTCTGAATTTCCTGGACTTCGTGAAGACGCAGATTGAGGTGCAGAAAGTCATAGGAGCCGACGCTACTCCAAATGAAGAACTGGAATCTAGTAACCTCTCCAAGGGAAAGCAGCGCGTGCATCATGTTCCGGACGAAGATGAAATCGCCTTCTCCGTGCTCCTGCCTCCCAAGAAGACATCTCGTGTGGTGGCCACGCAAGGCCTGATGCACACTCTCACGCTTGCGACGAAAGGGATCCTGGGGGTCGAGCAGGATGAGACGGTTGAAGAGAGAAACGACGAAGGGTATGGTACTGTGTACCACTACGGGGAGATATTCCTGCGTCTGGCGGGAATTTGAAAGGTTTCTTTCCTTTTCATATTATTGTGAGAGTATCCACTTCGCTTTCTGTGCTTTTCATATTGAGCATCTCTCGATATTAATCATGTTATGGAGTTATGCGGGACAAGCTAAAGGGGAATGGGTTATGGTATCTGAACTTGTTCGAGGCGTTATTCTCATTGACATCTGATCTACTGTTCACTCCATTGTATTTTATTTATGTTAATTACACCTTTATAGCTTCATTGAAACCCTTCTGCGTTCTTCTGGACATGTCCCAATACGTGATACTCGAACTGTACTGGGTACGATTCAGTCGTACGAGGTCGTACGCGTACATAATACAAATGTATATATCTCAGCATATGAAGGATCTGCTGTCGGTCTCAACTGCCAGAAAGAGATGAGTGTGTATTATTATATATACTCTGTCGCATCCCTCCCAGGAGAGATTTTACTTGGACTAGCTGAAGGAAAGACAGACAGGATTCTGGTGGTGTGGCCGGGGTCCAAGCACATGCGCCGTCGATACGCGTACGCCAAGTACTTACAGGACAGGTTGGCCAGTGGTAACGGAACAACACAGCATGATGATTCAACAATATTATCATCACAGTACCATATCACCTACTCTTATTATTCCCTCAATCTGAGGATATCTACCAAGCTTCTCCCATTACTCTACTCTCTAATTGCCGATGCAGTGACCGGAGAGTGACATGAGAGCTGTATAGCTATTAGCAGTACAGACAGAAAGTGGTGATGACAAATATTACGGTCACGCGTAAGTTTCGGTCTTGTCCCGTTCCGTTCCCGTTTCGTCCTCGTTTCTTTCCTCCAGCCTTTCGCTCTTCGCTTTCTCCCTCTCTCCACGCTGAAATTTAAAAGATACCTCTCGCTGTCCTCTTTCCTTGCTGTCCTCCCCTCCTCCCCGTTCTCCCATCGTCTGAGGACCACAAGCCATCGTGTCTTTCCTCCCAGATCCGTATTCTGGTTTCTTTTTACCGGAATATTCGACTCTGCCAGCTGGGATCATGGGGCGGACCGTCGACCAGGAGGTTCACGCCGCGTTCGTCGAGTTCCGCGCCAAGGAAGACGATAAGGTGCGTGACCTGCGTATTTCCCGTAATATTTCAGCCTCATACAGAACGGGAACACCCAACCATCCGTTTCTGTTTCTGTTTCTGTTTTATGTTACCCTTACTGACTGTTATTTTCGCTCTGCTTTCGTCCTCGACAGTGCCTTTCCGTCCAGTGTATCTACTGCCAGCAGATTCGCGCAAAGAACACCTCGCGTCAGAAGCAGCATCTTCTCGAGTGCCCCGGTCTTCGCGGCCATCCCAACGCTCCTCAGCCTACCTCACAGCCTGCCCAGGCCGGCCCCAATGGCATCGCTGCCGCAAATGGCTACGCTGCCACCCCCAACGGTGCTGGCCCAGGGCCTGGAGCTGGCCCCGGTGGTCCTGGTTCCCTCTCCGCTGCCAATGGCGCGGCCCTCATGTCGAATGGTGTGAATCCGCATACCGGTGCTCTGCAGACTCCGCTGCAGAGCATGCAGGGTCGTCCTTCCCTCTCTACGCCCGGTGCTTCTACCGTGTCGGCTGCTTCTTCTGGTCCTGTTCAGGCGCCAGCACGCCCGACTCCTAAGACCAAATCCAAAGTGAACAATTCCAACCTGCCTGCTCCGCCCCTTGATGATGTCCATGCTGCTTTTGTTGAATTCCGTGCGAAGGAAGAAGACAAGGTAGGGCTTCTTTTCTAAGGGACCAAAGATCTGTCTTCTGACAAGGTTGTATAGTGTCTTTCCGTCCAATGCATATATTGCCAGCAGGTCCGCGCGAAGAATACAAGCAGGCAGCGCCAACACCTTCTCGAATGTCCCACCTACCTCAGTCTCATGAAGGATTCGATCCCAGCCAACAACCTCCTACACACTTTCCCCGAAGGCGATATTGCCCGATCTCTCCAAATTCCTGCCCCCAGCCTTGAACTGGACTTCCGCATGAGCATAAAGCTGAACCCCAAGGTCACTGTTGGACCCAGCATTTGGGGACAAAGGGATTGGGTTTCATTCATGGGTGGCCAGTGGGCTGGTCGATGGGGAAAGGGAATTGTGTTGGTAGGCTCTCCTGTATTTGTTGCTTTTCCTAGTTGTGTATCTCGGTGAACATACATACTGACAAGTCCCTCAGCCCGGCGGACAAGACTCCCAGGTCATGCTGAAGGATTCTGTCACTAGTCTCCGCGCAAGCTATATGCTTCAGACTGCCGATGATCCCCCGGCGTTCATCATCGTCAAGACCAGCGGATGGTTAACCGGCTCCAAGGAAATGCTGGAGAAACTTAATGATCCCACCGTGGCAGACGCTGTCAATCCTAGCAGCTACAAATATCGCGTCCATCTTTCCATGGAAACCGGAGATGACCGTTATGCCTTTTTGAACACATCGATGTGGATTGCTAGCGGCTGCTGCAGGTCTCAAGAAGGTTTGATGCCGATTCCCACCGTTGCTATAAAATCTGGTACTGACCAATCAAGAAGTAATCTTTGACGCATTCCGCGTCAACTAATACCGTTGACTGTCTATCTTTCCGTCGCTTTTTCGTCCGTTTTTGAGCGAGTCTTATCTGGTTCTATTCGCCATGGGGAATTTGGTGTTTTTTTTTATTTATTTTCCCTGAAATTTCCAATCGAAAAATGTGGTGCAGTCAAACTTCAGTGTATCTGTTCATTCTTCTTTCCGACGGACGATCTGCTCGTCTTGTTCTTCTTTAACCTTAGTCACCCTGTTCGTTTGGGATCCGCATTCCCGACTCCCAAATCACACTTCTCGAGCTCGAGCTTTCGAGAGAACGATGGATGCCCCATGCTTCTGACATAGCATAGCTTTTCACGGCCGTTTATCTTTCCCATCAAGGTGCCTGGGACATTATTCCTTTTGCAGTCACCGCTCCTTTTTTCATTTTCCTTTTTTGTTTTCAAAGCGAACTAATAAGGATATCCCGTGATTATGATTTTCCAAGGAGTCTGGTTCTGTTCAATCTAGTTCAGCTGCCTTGCTATTTGGATGAAGGCTTCAGGTTTCACAAAACAAAGAACAAAGTACAGTACAATCGTTACTGGTAGTTGTACGTGTACTCTGTATGTATTAAGGTATCTTATTTGATCATCGGGTATTCGTACAGTCAAGGGATAGGGCAGTAGGGATATTGCCATCTGGAACTCTTCATATTAAAGAATCCAGGGTCCTGCTGCACTTGGTTTACTCGAAGATCGGCCTGAATTGGCATTTGCTCTTAGTTATTCAATTATATTTAATGAACGAACCTGAGAATACCTTCGTAATGACCTTATTGGAACCATTCCGGCCATATATAATAAGCCCTAGGGCTGTCGTATATTGCGACTCTCGAATCCAAAACAAACCAACAGTATGTAGGTTATAGTGTACTTTATGTCAGTCAATGACATGCGAATTCATCCCTGACTCGTCCGGGACTTGTATAGGATTCCTTTGTCCTGGACGACATGGTACATGGTGAAATTGCCCATCTTCTATTCGAGCTTAGGTTTTTGTTTTGAGAATTTTCATGCCAAGATACTTTAAACAACAGGAGATATTTAACCAATTTAGTACGTCCTTCATCCTGTCCGTACCGAGTAAAGGAGGTACTGCTTTCCCATCCAGCCAGATTCAAGGAAAGGGCTGTTGCAGAAGACATCAATCCATGACACTTAGTACTTCATGGTATTCAGGTCAACACCATTGTGATGTCCCTGATTAGAGCTGTAGCTCTTCCTCCATCCATCGGGAATTAATTCCGTCAAGATATCCGTATAGAGTCTGGCGTAGGAACCCTAACCATGATCCGAAACGATGGAAGGGAAAAACCAATATAACAGGGAAGAATGCAACGAGGATGGAGCCGCGCTCCGTACTAGACGACGATAACATACTAGTGAAGCAACTCGAAAACGAAAAGTATGCCTGGTTCTTCGAAACCACCTAGGAGGAGGCTCGCCTTAAGAACCCTTCCGCCACGGACTCCACCATACCTGAGTATGTATGCTGATCATCCAACAGTATCTCAAGATAAGAAACAGGAGAAAGAAGGGTCCTGTATATGAATTCGTAGTGCCCCCGGCACAACGTCTTTAGCTCAATGCCTGTGATGCCTTCTGCACACTCAGGCATTCAGAGGTTCGATGACTCCTGTGCTTAGGTGTGTCAGTCTATTAATCCACAATCTAGTCTGAAGCCAATAGCAGACGTTACCAAGTTTCCTTGCTTGCAAGACAATAACCAGTACCTATCTGCTGATCATAACAAGCCATAAAATAGCAGATGTGTGGATGTTGAGAAGTTCATGCCCAGCATTTGTCTCCGTCTGTCTCCTTGATTTGAAGCTTGGTATATTTTGGAAAAGAGAGACAGATGACTTGTCTGATCACTGGTGAATACGAAAAGAAGTCAATTGGGAAAGTCAACTGCTTATTTCGATTGTGTACTGACCGTTCATATAACACATCAGTGGGTGCAGTTTGAATTGTGTAACTCTTGGAAGTTGAAGGTGTTCTGCTTCTTTCCAGTTCAGCCAGGGCATCGAGCACCTCCCGGTGCGAGTATATGTTGGCATGAACTATATCCGAACGGGTATCTTCAGTGAGTCTGGGCCAGGGTCGTAGCAGTCCTCAAGTAACGTCTCTGTCAACTATCGTGCGTGACATGCGAGAGCTCTTAGGCGTCATGACATCTAATTAGGTCAATAGACTCAAGACATGGCAATCCACTGTCGCCGAGTATGGTGATCTGTATCCATGTAGATTTCTGTACTTCAAAGAAGCTGCTCTTTCTGCGCGACATGACTTTGGAGTCACCAGATACCCTTTCAGTATTAGATTCAATCTTTTCAAGTTTGGATATTTCCGTCACTCACTTATAGACGCAATAGTACCCTCCAGCCCACGTCGCTCGTACCTCCGCCATCGAGTCGTATGAACGTTGAGATATTCCTGGTAGCTGCACACATCGAGATAATGGAGCCAGCCAGGGTACCAAGCATCTGCACTACGACCTCCTTAGGTACAGCATCCTCACCCGTGCCATTCTGGAGCATAGCAATATACTCCGAATAACTGCTGGCGATGCGCCGGCCGTGCTACATGCCAATGTCAACATCCGAATTTGCCGTGAACGAAGGGTGATGGTATTCGACGCGTCGTTAATCAGAGTGGCGATGGTCCGTTTCTCGATTCCTGGGAAGCAGTGATACAGCAATTTTGGGGAGCTTTTCGCCTGCAGACTGCAGTATGAATATTAATACCAGTACACCAGTACCATCCCAGGCTAGATCCCACTACCTCTTGGTCCTTGTATGATTCGTAGAAGAACGGGATAACTGCGTAATTTGCCAGACATTTTGCGGTTTGTCTGGTTTCTGTTCTGGTTCTGGTTCTGATTTCCGTTGTGAACCAATCTCTTCTTGCATATATGAACAAGTCTCTCGATGTAGCTTGAAAGGTTATCATGACACCGTAGTAGCTCTTGCTAATCTCAGAAGTCTTCAGTGTCAGATATACTTCGAGGTGCGTTCGGTGGCCGTTGACGCAAAATAACAGTATAGGTTTAATTCACGTTTTCTCGACATGATGTAGCGTCATGTTTAATATGGCGCAGTTGTATCCTTCAATGACATGTTTCGACAGACCGGCTTCTTGCAATGGATTTAGACCCCTCCTCATGCTTTATAATCTCGACCTGAGTGAAGGCACAGTAAGAAAAGGAAATATGCCCGTTTCAGTGCCGTGTGGACTTTCAAAGTCGTGCACGGCTTAGCCCAGCATGATTTGATGGCTGTCTTTTCCGGGTATTTCTGCTGAGAGCTTCATAAGGCTTTTCGTGAAGATGGAGGTGTTTTCCTCTAAGATGACTAGTCTCGTCATCTTGCCAAGGAATAGACTCGTGACTGACAGAATTTAATCTTCTTTCCTGGCTCAGAAGAGTAGGCGTATTTAGCACAGTGGAATTCAACGGCAATAGTATCCAAACAGCGGATGAATCCTTCTGCCTTGGTGTTTGACACCCCTATCAGACGAAGGTTCTCTTGGCTGGAGGCATGCAGATAGGATCCAGAGATATCAGACATTGTATAAAGGACAATATTAAAAAAAAAAGCCTGCAAGCTTTGGGGAAAGATAGAAACAGCTGGTTGGGACACACCCAATACCTACGAACAAGACATAAGTATTGCTCTCTTGTGCCACTGTGCCATCTGATCCAGAAATCTCACTCACCCTCATTGGAGGTAGGATAGACCTATATACGTATGGCGATGTAATGACTTCGTGTCGATGTCGGACTGAGCTGGAGTCTTCCTGCTCATACGTCTCACCAGCTCAAGACTCCGTCCTTATAGGATTATCTATAAGATCTGGTTATCATGGCTGTCAGCGGAGATATCATCGAAGTGCTAGATGCTAACACTTACTTTATATACTCTTGATCCCGTAAGGACTGAGCATGTGCGACATATTTGGTTCATGTTGCTTCGTCAACTGCGAACCTTGAGTCTACTAAGCATCTAGGAAGATTTCTTCACTTCCTCCCAACAGCTCTTGTAGGCTGCTGGATCACATGCGGCACTGACCATTCATTGCAGCGGGACTATCCATGAAAAGTGAATTGCTGCTGACGAGACTCCAGTGAAGATATATAGAGAATGCCTCAGGCTCACATCGACCATCCTTGGCTGAAGAAGCAGACTTGACCTTGTAGAACTGTAGATCGCAGCGCAATTGGTCCAAGATGCAATCATTCTCTGCAAATCAGTTAATTATCCAGAAAACAACAGTAATACGCCCATGGGTAATTGTAATCTCTGCAGTGCGGCTGGCATCTTAGGGTTTCCGATTTCCGGTGGGAGCTGCCTCAAAACGTGCTGTCTCAAAATATGCTGTAGTATATCAGTAGCTGTGCTCCGGAATACTTGCATTGTTCTCGCCGAGTAAACACATCCACCTGGATTTACGTGAATATGGCCGTCTTACTTGACAGCGTTTTCGCATATAACGACAGGCCAGGCGTCCTGGCTACTAGTGCAATTGCCCTGGTATGTTCGCCCTACTCCGCAGTATATACATATATTTGACAAAGCTAAATGGTGGCAAAGGGCGCATTAATCTATACGCTCTTTGTCCTCACCTACAATGCATACTTCTAGGGAAGAAGCAGGGACTCATCAGTCCTGGGTAGATAGTTTCACCACAGGGAATGGAGGAAGCATGATATCGGGCATACGGGGAGATAATATAGTCCATCCAGCGCTGGGTTGGGTCAAACATCGGGTAACTAACCTTCGGTATCGAGATTGATCAACTTGCCCTTTGAGTCCACCTGTCAGTCAGACATTTGCTTGGACAGATGTGGTTACTGGTAGCTTTGGAGATGAGTAGGTCCCGTGCCTGACCCTGTAGAGAACTTCCTCTGTTGCAGAATGATCCCTGTTTAGCAGCTTGTTAAGCCATGTCTGAATCTGCATATGGACTCTACAGTAGAGCAACTAATGGTGTTGTGGAAGTTTCCAACCTGTTCATGGATTCATAGCGGCCCTCTCTATAACTCAGAATACAGACGTTTCAATGGGAGAAATGCTAAATCCATCATAATGACATGAATGGTACACTGATCTATTATCCGAAATCTATGCGGTTTAATTAATGGCCCAGGTTCTTAGGTGCGACGGTGGCAGGCCCCTCAGGAGTCACATAGGCCTGGAGTTCGTTAGTTGACTGATTGATAGACGCGTAATACAGTGGGTGCGTTGACTACATACCTTGGACATTCCTCCGTCGACAACAAAGTCACTTCCATTGACAAAACTGCTTTCGTCGCTCGCTAGGAATACGACAGCGTGCGCCTGCTCGATGGCCTCTCCGAAACGACCCGTGGGGAAGTGCACTTCACGGCGGAAACGCTTGGGCTGGTCGTCTCCCAGCCAGTCCTGGAGGAGAGGGGTGCTGTGCGTTCGTTAGATACCAAACGTTTCTCCAATACAGAGAACACTTACTTCAGAGGAGCAGGGCACAAAGCATTGAATCGGAATCCCTCACGAGCATGCACGATGGCCAACTCCCGGGTCAATGCAAGAACAGCACCTTTGCTGGCCGTGTATGCCAACTGGGGCGTAGCACTTCCGACCAAAGCCACCACGCTTGCGGTGTTGATAATGCTACCCTTCGTCTTCTTGTGACGGCGCAAACTGAGAACGGCATGCTTGCATCCATACCAGACACCCTTGACGTTGATATTCTGCGTGAGATCCCAGATCTTCTCAGGAGTATCAACGGCATCCGCATCGTCCGCATGCATGATACCCGCGTTGTTGAAAATCACATCGGTGCCGCCCCAGCTGTCCTGGGATTCGATCATGGCTTGGACTTCGGATTCCTTCGAGACGTCGCATTTGACCGTCTCCACGCGGGGAGCCGTGGGGACGACCTCTTTTACTTTGGCGAGAGCCTTCTCGAGAGCTGGTTCAGAGATATCTGCCATGAGGACGTTGGCTCCTTCACGGGCGAAGAGGATGCTGGTCTCTAGACCAATTCCGCTGCATAGAGTCCGTCAGCGCATTGGAAGAAGGCAGAACGGGATCGAGGAAGATTACCCAGCGGCACCCGTGATGATGGCATTCTTGCCCTGAAGTCTTCCTCTTGGTGCGGTGGCCATGATTATATTCTTTGAGGTGAACAGGTTATCAATGCTGAGTCAATAGCGGGGTAGGGTCTCAATTGGATTGAGATTGGGGGTTTGCAGTTGTATAATGCCGAGTACAACTGAAAGCAAGAAAGCAATTCGTCAATTAAGCAATGGATGATAGAGATAGAGAGTTGAATCTGGAAGAAAGGAGGAAGAGGAACAGGAACAGGAACAGCAAAGGGGATATAATAGTTAACGCGGGGTCGCATTATCTAATCTAATGACTGATAGTTAACTAGTTAATCCAACATACAGAATCACCGAGTTCTCCGCCTTCACTTTCTCGACCACGCGGATTGCTCACTCATCCCGCTGGCTCAAACTCCTTCTCGTCTGTCCCACATCGATCCTGCGCAGGAAGACAAGGAAAGTCCTAGCAGTGTCTGTCCAAATCGGTGACTAACGGATATCACGGACACCGAAGAGATAAGCGACGTAGCGACGGCCCCATTGCCGCTGATAAGCTCCACGGTGACACCTGCGACGGATTGAGATAGCTCCAGGCTCAACAGCAAGGTGTTTTCACTTGCTATCTTTTTCTCTTATTCTATCCTATTCCTGTCCTCTCTGCCTGTCTTTGGTTAAAATCGTCAAGTCGCCAATTTGGACACCGTCCCAGCACTCCCTCCTCACCAGAACCATGCCCTCCGACGACCCCGCGGTGACGGTCGACAATGTCGCCCACGTCCTCCAGGACGACACCATGGTCAAGGTGGCCGGTATAGACGTCGATGGCATCCTCCGCGGAAAACTCGTCTCGAAGAAGAAGTTCCTTTCCATTGCGGCGGACGGGTTCGGGTTCTGCTCCGTCATCTTCGGATGGGATATGCATGATCACACCTACTTCAAGGAACTCGCTATCAGCAATAAGGAGAATGGCTACCGGGATCTCGTCGCTGTTCCGGATCTCAGCAGTTACCGGAGGATACCGTGGGAGAATAATGTGCCGTTTTTCCTCGTGAGCTTTTTCGATCCCGAGACGCACGAGCCGGTTTGTGCTTGTCCACGGGGACTGCTGAAGATGGCTACCGGCAAGGCTGAGGCTGCTGGGTATCGGGCTATGGCTGGTGGTATGTCCGTTGTGTTATTGTCGGATTACAAGGTCGCATGCGGATTTGGCTGATTCGCCGCAGCCGAGTATGAGTTCTACCAGTTCCGGGCCCCGGGGGGTTCGTCGACGGCCGCTTTTCTCAAGGAGAACCCAGTTGAGTCTCTGCCTCCTCTGACGGAGGGGATGTTCGGGTATAGCATTACCCGTCCCATCCATAATCAGGAATATTACTATAGTGTCTTCGACGCATGCGACAAGTTCAACTGTCCGCTGGAGGGATGGCATACAGAGAGTGGGCCAGGGGTCTATGAAGCTGTGAGTGGTTTATGTCCGGAGTTCGCGGAAGTGGACGGGCTGACCTGGGATTGCTGTCATAGGCACTACAATTCTGTGAAGCCAAGGACATGGCCGACCAGGCCGGACTCTTCAAGTAAGTAATGGCGCATGTGCAAATACAACCGTGGCCAACATTTCTCCAGGTATGTGGTCAAATCCCTTGGCATCAAGCACGGCATCACACCAGCGTTCATGGCCAAGCCCCGTGAAGGTCTTCCCGGGAACAGCGGGCATATGCACATCTCCCTTGCTACGAAGGACGGGAAGAACGCTTTCTACCGCGAAACGCCCGACCCATCGCCGCCCTACCCGGAGTTGACACATGTCTCCGATTTGGGTAGATATTTCCTAGCCGGCGTGCTCACGGGGCTTCCGGATATAATGCCTTTGCTGGCACCGACGATCAATTCCTACAAGCGTCTGGTTGAGAACTTCTGGGCCCCTGTTACCGTGTCATGGGGGTTGGAACACCGTGCAGCTTCGGTACGGCTCATCAGTCCGCCTACTGCTAGCCCTAAGGCAACACGCCTAGAGATACGGGTGCCGGGCGCGGACACGAATGCGCATTTTGTCCTGGCGGCCATTGTCGCATTGGGATGGCGTGGGGTAGAGAAGAAGCTGTCGATCCCGGTTCCGCCGCTGGGGAAAGGGGAAGACATGGGCGGTGCCAGCGATAACGGAGTACGACTGGCGAAATCGCTCAAGGAGGCCACGGCGACTTTTATGCGCAAAGACAGCGTAGCACGAGAGGTCTTCGGTGATGCATTCGTCGAGCACTTTGGAGGGACTCGGGAGCACGAGGTGCGGCTATGGGAGGAAGCGGTAACTGATTGGTTTGTTCCCTTGACTCATTCCGAATATGTCATCGGGCTTGAACTGACGTGAAACCTGCAGGGAGGTGAGACGGTATATCGAAACGGTCTAAGCGGTTTTCCGGTTTCTTGGGTTATATAGCACGATACCACCTTGGTTATAGAAGGATACGAATAGACGTATTTGATGCTATGATATCCGACGAGTCTACTCCGTAGCAAGACAAGATACCTGCAGCACGGAAACCAGCTCCGGTTAGCGCAAGCGTCACATGTCCCAAACTTGGTCTTCACGTGCAGCGTAGTATTCCTGATTCGACAGGAGAGCCACAGAGGGGTTCCTTGCCAATGGGATTGCGGACACGGACGCTGAGGAGTGCCGGGATCCCTGGTCCGGAGATAAATAGATGGAAAGCTGGACCATGCTCCTGCGGCCCTCCGTGGCGATCGAGAGAAGAAAACAGGTCGGGATAACTCGGGCCGGCGCACAGGATCCTGGTCTTCGTTGTCCCTGTTGATGCCGATAATGTCTGGGGACTGGATGGCTGAACCGCGGCTGTTTTTCGTCGGGGAGTTTGGTTGACCGGGCGTGCGGGGAATCCCCGTATACGTCAGAGTGGTAAAGCCGTTTGACGCATTGAAACTTGAACCATCGCCAGTGACCGGGGATGTCTCTGTAGACTTAGTTCATGGTCGATTCAAGCATCTTAGCATAGACCTCTGGACGATCCGTTTCTGCAGCATCGCAGAGCTCCGTTCTCCGAAGAGATCTCGTTGTATACCGTAACTACTAATAGTTGTAGATAAGAATAAGCTCTTGCCGTATCGGGCTAGCTGCCCCGGGCGGGCGGGAAAGCCAGCGCTGTCGGCCGAGAGACGCAGTTTCCCGCGGGAAACTGCCAACACGTGACCGCACGTGATGCGTCCATTCTGGGGAAGCGCGAAACTTCCGCTCATCCTGGCGGGTTTTCTGCGGCGCACGGAGCCTTTATTGGCTGCTGCTTCTCTGTCGGTGCCGCGGCTGTTCGCCATGGCCGCTATCTGACGTATTCGATAACCGAGCTGCGAGACTTATATATCGCCGGGGGGGCTCTTTGCTGGGGGTGAGTCCTTCCATTTGTTATCTCGTCTTGCTGGTCCTGCAGGCTTTGAAAGGGCAGTTTCTAACATCATATCCGTGAAAAGTTGCATAAGAAAACAAGAGAATCTAAAGAAGCAATCATGAGTCTCGTCGACGCCCAGCTCAAGGACGTTGCCGTCCTCGGTGCCCTCAACAATGAAGCGCGCAAGATCCTCACCAAAGAGGCCTCTGCCTTCCTAGCCATCCTCCACCGCACCTTCAACCCTACCCGCAAAGCCCTCCTCCAGCGCCGTATCGACCGCCAGGCCGAGATCGATAAGGGTCACTTCCCCGACTTCCTCCCAGAGACCAGGCACATCCGTGAGAACGATGCTTGGAAGGGTGCTCCTCCCGCTCCGGGTCTGGTGGACCGCCGTGTGGAAATCACCGGTCCCACCGACAGGAAGATGGTGGTCAACGCATTGAACGCGGATGTCTGGACTTATATGGCTGATTTCGAGGGTACGTTTGGCCGGCGTCATTGATTTTGCGGATGTGTGAACAGACCAACTAACGCCCTCCAGACTCCAGCGCTCCCACATGGGACAACATGATCAATGGCCAGGTCAACCTCTACGACGCCATCCGTCGCCAGATCGACTTCAAGCAAGGAAATAAGGAATACAAGCTGCGCACCGACCGCACCCTCCCCACCCTCATTGCTCGTGCTCGAGGCTGGCACCTCGAGGAGAAGCACTTCACTGTCGATGGCGAGCCCATCTCCGGTAGCTTGTTCGACTTCGGTCTCTACTTCTTCCACAATGCCAAGGAGCTCATTGCTCGCAGCACCGGTCCGTACTTCTATCTGCCCAAGATGGAGTCTCACCTCGAGGCCCGGCTGTGGAATGATGTGTTCAACCTGGCTCAGGATTACATTGGCCTTCCTCGTGGTACTATCCGTGCTACCGTGTTGATTGAGACCATCACTGCTGCTTTCGAGATGGATGAAATCATCTACGAACTGCGTGACCACAGCTCCGGTTTGAACTGTGGACGTTGGGATTACATCTTCTCCTTCATCAAGAAGTTCCGTAACCACCCTCAGTTCGTGCTGCCTGATCGGTCCGATGTTACCATGACTGTGCCGTTCATGGATGCCTACGTCCGGCTGCTGATCAAGACCTGCCACCGTCGCGGTGTGCACGCCATGGTGAGTTTTGATTCTTTGGTAGTAGATCTTCATGGAACAGCACTAACTCTCCACAGGGTGGTATGGCTGCTCAGATCCCCATCAAGAACGACCCCGCTGCCAACGACGCCGCCATGGAGAAGGTCCGTGCCGACAAGCTGCGTGAGGTCCGCGCCGGCCACGATGGCACCTGGGTCGCTCACCCTGCCCTCGCCTCCATCGCTTCGGAGGTCTTCAACAAGTACATGCCTACTCCGAACCAGCTCTTCGTTCGTCGCGAGGACGTCAACGTCACCGCCAACGATCTTCTCAACACCAACGTGCCCGGTAAGATCACCGAGGCTGGTATCCGCCAGAACCTGAACATCGGTCTGGGTTACATGGAGGGCTGGCTCCGTGGCGTGGGCTGCGTTCCTATCAACTTCCTTATGGTGAGTGGATCCGTTGCTAGTTGCACTCTTCTTCGCCTCATTTACACCTGATTATGCATGTGCTAACCCCCTTGTAGGAGGACGCCGCTACCGCCGAAGTCTCCCGCAGCCAGCTGTGGCAGTGGTCCAAGCACCACGTCACCACCTCCGAGGGCAAGAAGTTCGACAAGGCCTACGCTCTCCGTCTTCTGCAGGAGCAGGCTGACAGCCTGGCCGCCAAGGCCGGCAAGGGCAATAAGTACCATCTCGCCGCCCGCTACTTCGCTGGCCAGGTGACTGGTGAAGACTATGCGGACTTCCTGACAAGGTATGTCTCGGATGAACTTGTGGATTTTAGACGATTAATTGCTAACGTTGATACAGCCTGTTGTACAATGAGATCTCCTCCCCTGGGCCCGCTGCCAAGCTCTAGAGGAGTTGCCAAAAGTTTAGTTTGGTCGTTATTCGTTGGAGCACGCTTGTCGGGAATCGGACGATATGAATAATGAATACCCTTTCTTTTGCTTTGTTTTTGTACTGTCTATATTGTGAGAAATTGACGGCATTCTGTGTGTATGATGCTACCGTAGTTAAGCGTTCGTAATTTCTCGGGTCCATAGCATCACTATCACCATGGAGCTTGGTATAGACAACATCACTTTCATCAAACGTAAAAAGGAATCACAATTTTTCGGTGTTTTCCAAGTCTCCTGGCGAGGACAACAATGTCTCTTAAAAGCAGCGTGTCTACCTAGAACCCGTTTTCCGAGGTAACCCAACAACACACTGAAAGGCTCTCGGGGTTCAAATTCCACCGAGTACAGCTGACCGAGCCGAAAGACCAGATAATCCCTAGCAATGCATATATTGGACGGTATGCGTCGCAGGGCTCATCTACCATTCCAGGCTCGACAATTGTAAGGGGTTTCCCGTTCCAAGGACTCCAACCAGGGGTGTCTGCGGCCAAGACGATCCTGCAGGTCATTCCATGGGATTCTTTGCGAACGTCGCCCATGCGGTTTGCATGTATTTACTCAGGCCGACCTCGAAGCCCGTAGCGTTCACTCTTGGGCCTCTGATCCGTGTACACGCCGACATTTTCGCCTGGGAAGAAGTACATATTCGGGAAAGTCAAATTATGATAATTCATTGAGACTACGACAACATCCTGATTTGCGGCAAGGTCTGAGCCCTCGTAACCCGCAATAGAGCTGCTATCCTCAATAAAAGCTCCACCCTGGTATTTGGGTACCAGCCGTGCTCCTGCTTTCGTGATGGGGGGGATCATCACAGGTATATAAACCATGACTGCTTTAGACCCCGGCGTATCGGTATACAAGAAGAGAATGGCTGGACGAGCACAGATCCCAGGACATGGTCACCAGCAGTGACTATGAGGCCAGTAGAAGGCGCATTCTATAAGCACATACACTGTGATAGTGGTTGAATCAGGTCTTTCCGATATCAAGAAGTCACATACGGCAATAATTCAGTGTCTGCAATGGCAGGGGTTACATTGACATTGCAGCTGTCCTCAACAGTTACCATTGCGCAATTATCCCTGCAAGGGTGGCCATGTTTCAAGCTTCTTCCAATGCAATTCTCCTCGGATATATTCCAGATATACATGAGGGTAGGCCTGACGCACGCAGAAGACTGCGCTGCCGCCCTTCTGGATGTGATTAACCCGTAGCCTCGGGATATGATGGCCTTCATCACATTTTCCCTGAGGCGAATACCATCATCAGTACCATGGATCAATAGACAGTCACTCACCTTGCCAAGTCCAAGCTGAGTACCAGTCTCCTCACATCCAGAACTCTCAGAAGCCAGTGTCAAACAAAGGATACTTCAACTGCTGTTCCTTGACAAAAGAGGGCATAGAATGGGATACGCAATTGGCATTGGAGCTCGGTCCGGTGTGGCCTTTTGGCGAATCCTGGTGTAGTGATTGCCATATTGTTGGACATAGTAGATTGCAATGTCCTCATCGCTATAGAGCTAGTTTTGAATAGTATATATGCTTTTGGGGGGACACTGTCCCCTGTGCTTCGAGATCATGGTCTAGGGTGGAACGCTCGGTAACGTACCTAATCAACCACCGAGCTGCGAATTTCGTGCGTTCCCCGCGCCAGTTTCATTCTACCCTTTTCAACGCGTGTTTTTCACCTTCTTCAAATACCACATGATTGGGGGATTGAAGTCAGTGAGAATGGATGACAACTGATGAAATTGGGCTTTGTTAGCTTACAAATGTCTTTATCTTATCCACTGAGGCACATACAACTGGGAGATATCACCTACTTGTCTTTGATGGCCATGAAAGTCATTTAACTCCTAGGTTTGATGAGATATGCAGCCAAAACAACATTATACCAATCTGCATGCCACCACCTTCATCACATCTTTTACAACCTCTTGATGTGGTGTGCTTTTCCCCATTGAAAAGAGCATATGGGAGGTTGGTTGAGAATAAGATGCGGCTTGGCTTCAACCACCATATTGACAAATTTGATTTTCTGGAGGCATATCTGTGACGACCGTACCTGAGGTATGACCGTCAGCATGTGACCCTGGCGTATCTTAGAAGGTGCCAGCTGATTGAGCAAGTAGGGCACAGGGCTAGGGCTGAGGGCAGGCAGCTGCCCTCGCCTCTTTCCTTCCTCTTCTCCTCGTGTACGATATTCCTAGACAGTACGGCCAAATAGCGAGTTGCTTTTCTCTTCTCATCCTATTATAGCTGATCATCACAAACTGGCTTAATCCTAAAGGGTGCTTTCGCAGCTTAATATACAACTTAAGACACCCATACCACCAGGCAGCCAATCAACGAATTCAGCACCAAAGACACCTCATAATCTCAAGCAACTTGAGAAGCAAGCAACTACAATCAAAAAGCTTCTAAGACATCATACAGAGAGCCTCCAAGTCCAACAAATATGGCATTAAAGCAGCTTATTAAAGGGTGTAAGATAGCTATGAATAATGCTATTATTCTTGCCAAAGACAACCAGGATTTATGAGCTGCACATGAGAAGCAGCTTTAAAAAGGAAGCAATCTAAGTGACAGATAGCTACTACAGAGGGTCTATCTATTATTGAGGAAGGCCAACAGCTTCTACAGCATGAGACTGAGGTCCAAGAAGCTCAAAATGCTCAACCTATTGAGCCAGCACCGGCTGCAGTTGAGCAGCATGTACAGGCACCACCACGGCATAGTGATTGCCATATTATTGGACATAAGCGATCACAATGTCCTAATCGCTATAGGAACTAGTTTTTATAAATATATGTGCTTTTGGGGGGACACTGTCTACTGTCCTTTTAGGCCATGGTCTAAGGTGGCCCGCTCGGTTGTGAATTACGTTAACAGGTTGCTCTCCAGGATGAGTCAGCATGGCATCAGGCAGAACGAATACGACCACCTTTCAGTATGTATACTGACTTGCATTGAACTTGCAAGTGACATGATGGATTCTGCGACATCAAAAAGACTGTCTAAGCCTCGTCGGACTCACAGAAAGTCGCGTCTAGGGTGTGTTAATTGCAAGGCGCGGCGTATCAAGGTGAGAGTCGGTCATGCAGCTAGCTGTCTGGAGTATTTTCTTGCATGATCATTTCTATTTCAAGCTGCCCTACTTCAACTGAGATATGGTCAATTTCACTGACAGCCGGCGGTGTGATGAGAAGAAGCCAATCTGCGAGAATTGCAGCCACCGTGGAATGTACTGTTCATTTGCAACGACTGGAAGCCCCGAGATAGGATCAGAATGTTCCGATGTCCAACTACCGAACAGATACCAATTCCGACCTTACCATCCCCTCCAAGGAGTCAAGACATAAAATCCAAAACGAATCGTCCCAGGCTCAAAATGATGGATGCCTAATATCTACCAGATCAGTGGGGATGCAGTGCAGTGTGCCGCCTCCGTTCACCAGTCAAAATCAATCTCTCACCTTGATGTCGCTGGCTGATCTGCAGCTATTCCATCATTTCCTCATCGAGACTGCATGCACCCTCGTGGATGATGTGAAGGAATACCCGATTTGGCAGAATGATATCGTTCAATGGGGCTTTGAGTTTTCCTCCATTCTGCATCTTATATTGGCCATCTCCGCTCTCCACATGAGCCATAAGCGACCCGAACTGCGAAATGAGTACGTCCGACAGGGAGAAGACCACTTCACCTTTGGGATTCAATCTGTTACCGCTATGTTGGCCCAGTTGAGCGCAGAAAGCTGTCAGAGGGTTTACATAGCGGCCGTCTTGATCTGCTTTGTTTATTTCGGTGGAGGGCCTCGGCCGGGCGAGTATCTCATTTTCAGCGACGATGGGCCTGCAGAATGGCTCGTTCTCATGCGAGGGGTGAAGTTGATTTTACACTTGTATAATGATAAAGTCTTTACGGGGATTCTTCGGCCAAAACCCAAGATTAAGAACGATGTGAGCGGTAGTGTCATCAGCCCGTCACTGCGGGATGATTTGAAAGACCACGCGGTGCGCATTGAGAATACACGGCAGCTATTAGAGAGACTGCCAGATTCTGCAGATCAGGATATGTACAGACAAGTGATCAATGGCCTGTTATCGACGTTGAACGAGACCTATTCAAGGATGTCAGCAGAGAGGCCAGCAGTGGGATTATTGGACGTTCTAATCGGCTGGGTTTATCGACTCCCGGAGCGATTTGTGAATCTGGTGGAGCAGAAAGAGCCGGTATCCCTGGTGATACTCGCGCATTGGGCTATGCTTCTGAAATATATGCGGTCAGTCTGGTTCATGGAGGGTTGGGATGAGCATGTCTTGCATGGTATTTGTGCTTCTCCCCCGTTGATATTCGGCAGTGGGTTGAGTGGCGGGAGGATGAGGTATGAACACTACCGTTTAATTGTTTCTGCCTAATTGTTACTGATTTCAAGTAAGAATCGAGTGACGAACTAGCAGAAGGGTGATAAAACCATGGGTTCTGCAGGAAATGCTCATCCTCACCGCATCACCGCTGATATCAGACACGGTGTACATGGCGCTAGGCCGGATAATCCGCTCCCTAGACGCAGAACACCTCTCCAGCATGCGGACCAAGTATCTCACCTTTATCTTCGTCCTCAACGACATCATCTGCATCTGCACACAGCTGGGCGGCGCCGGCGTCCAAGTCACCGGTAACGCGAAGATAATAGATGTCGGCAAGAAGTAGTTCTTGCCGGACTTATTCTGTCGTTGATCATTTTTACCTTGTTTGTGTGGATTGCTATTCATTTCCATCGACGACTTCTCAAACACCCAACTGGTATAGTTACCCAAAACGCGTGCCTGAATTACTGGCAGCGGTACATGTGGGCATTATATCTCGCCTGTGCGGCGCTGATTCTCCGCAATCTCGTCCGGACTATCCAGTTCGGCTCCGTTCAGACATCTGCTGTGAATACGAAGGAGGTGTTTATTTATATTTTCGATGCGTTTTTGATGGTTGTTGTTTTGATTGCGTTGGCGGTTTATCATCCTGGTCGGCTTGTTAGGATGGCTCATCGGGCTGCTGACGGGGGTCCTGAGAAGGGTTACGGGCCGGCTGCTTCTAATGACGATTCGAGCCATATTTTGTTAGTGGATTATCATGGGGTTCGGTAGTGGGCATTGCTCTTGACATATTAGACTGCTCTTGGTAGGGGATGGTCTAAAAACTGCTGCCTGCTATAGAGATAGTAGCGTTGTTCCATAAACAACACATCGATTCATCTCAAGTAATATCAAGCAAGCACTGATCGCACCCACCTGTACAAAAATAGAACACTAAATATAAGCACGAACGAGCAATCTAAAGTGCGTAATCCAAAAAAAGGTAGGTAACTATGGGCCCAGTCCCACTAGTTACAGGTCCCAACCTAAACCAAGCCCTATATTTCCTCATTGAGACATCTTCCCGAATACGAAGAATTCCCTTTTTCGGAAATGATACCATGATACCTCGAAGCCGTGATTTTTAAACAGCTGATATTCCAACCAACTACGAGAGCAGAGAAAAAGATCCAACATGCTCGATCCATACTGGCACACCCTGACAAGAACAGCCCTCCGCACCGTCCAGCTCGCCCTCACCGTAGCCATAGCAATCCTCTACGGAATCGACCTCACCCACACAACGAACAAACACGCCCATGCCCGTCCAGAATGGATATACGCCGACGTTACGGCGTCCCTATCAGGGATTACCTGCCTCACGCACTTGCTACTCGGAACAGCAACGACCACAGCAACCCGCATGCTGCTATGGTCATTATGGGGTTTCGTCCTTTTCGTTCTTTGGTTGGCGCAGGTGGGTGTTTTTGGGGGCATCTATGTTGACTGGAAGGGTCACTACCCGGGTTACTACGACGATGGCTCTTATGGTGCTACAAGGTCTGTGTCGCGTATGAAGGCTGGGGTTTGGGCTGGGTTGCTTAATACGGTGCTGTTCTTTCTTTGTGCTGTTTATGGGTTTTCGCAGGTGTGTTGCTGTTGTTGTGGGTGTCGTCAGACGGAGGGTAAACTGGATGGTGGTGATGATGATGCGGATGTTGAGCGAGGCGCAAAGCAAATCATTCACTGAACCGCTGGCCATGCTTGCAAAGTGAATGGCATCTGTCTCTCCATACAGCAGAGTCGACGTTCACTACGGCACAGTCTGGGAGGGATCAGCGACGAGCATCAGTCAACCAAGCCGAATGACTGGAGATTCGTTGTGCATCAAAACAAGTACTGCCATGGAAGGAATTTGAAAAGCATGTTCGTTCTACCACCTGTGCCCACGCGACTGGGACATTTTTGGTCTCCCGGATGAAGGAGACAGTACAGGGAATGACCCCCATGCACATGTCGATGCATATGACTCGGATACAAACCTCCCACTAGTCCACGCTTGAGTAAAGGTATTTAGTGATATGTCCCTTCTCCAAGCTATGACTGATGAATATCTGGTCCAGTTCAAGCAGTAGCTGCCCACCTGTGCCTATTCCTTAACGAGTGACAAATGCAAAACGGGCGTAGCCCATTTTCGAGGACCCTGCATATCTTCTGGGGTGAGAAGCGCATTGATACACGGTAGGAGGCTTGGTTTGCATGAGATCTTTGGCTCATACCGTGCATTCATGAAAAGGGCCATTTGACGGAGGAACCCATGCACGAAGACCCAGGGCAAAGCCGTTGGCAGTCGTGTTTTACTGGCTCAAATCGAACAGGCCTGTTGGTGAAATTGACCTTGCAAATCATCACCTCAGTCTCCCCGATGTCCTCACGGATAGCCTCCGGTGAAGTGGTTACTTTGGAGACCAAAGCCCTTCAACACACCGCTGCCTGATACACGCATTCTCGAGCTTCAGTGGCGATTGCAACGAGTAACCGCGATTAGTGGAACTAGGAACTACAGAGGCGCAAGATCGCGAAAGACGAAGATTTGGATAGTGATGTCGGCTCCAGCTGTGGCTGCCTTCATATGCCTTTTGCTTTATTATCTGGTATCCTTCCATCTTCCCTGCGATGAATTATACATTCCAAAATTGAAAGGTACATACATTAGCACCCTCTCTCCTCTGTCCTTGTCCAGCTGTCCATGTTGATGCCTTGTACGCGGAAATATCAAGCTGGCAGCTACCTGTACTTGCCGATCAAGCACAGAACCAGGACAGGGATTAGTATTCTTACAACAGGACTCATGCAACAGGCCGTGTTTCATCCAAGCATCGAGTTAACCGGTGGTTGGGCCGTGACTCTTCTAGGGTTACATTGCCCTGTTCTCTGCATAGACCAACTTTTGCTGGGATGGTTACTCCAGCAGCACTTTCTACCAACACATTCTCACTGGAGTACTCCCGGTTAACATTCCTCCCACTCGAGACAAGATGTCCTACCGATTCTGCATCGCCTCCACCGGCTTCCCCTGCAACCACCACAAGATATTCGCCGAAAGCACCGAGAACGGTCCAGAAACCGGTCATACCCTCGAAAACAACATCCGTGAGCAGAGAACGCATTGGTAGTGTGACGCATGGCAACGATCCCCAGATTCTGGTTATCTTCCATACCTCCGCCGAAAAAACGCTTCCGTGGACCGAAGAGGCTTTACCCTGATGAGCCGCTTCGTCGATGTCAGGAGTGGAGGACTGTCGAACGAAGACCATGGGTTCGCTGTTTAAGTATGCCCAAGCCAACTATATCTGATTGATTATTAATTGTTCTTGGAGCCTGCGCAAGAGAAGGTTCTTACATGCGGCATGATGTCTACATTGCATATATACGACATCACCGGTTGACGTTAAAAGCCCATTCGACTTCCCCTAAACTGCCGGCGCGGAACTATACCCATTACCCCCAGAAGCGAAGCATCATTTAAAAAAAAGGTACCATGTCATCTGAAAAGAAAGTGCTTGTTACCGGCGCGTCCGGATTTGTCGCAACACACATAGTTGAAGCCTTCCTTAATGCCGGTTACAGAGTCCGCGGCACCGTTCGATGCGAGCAGACAGCCGACCTTGTCCGCCAGACCTTTCCCGAGTATGCGTCGAAGCTGGAGTTGTCCATAGTACAGGATATCGCGAAGCCTTCCGCATTCAGTGAAGCGGTTCGGGGGTGTCGACGGGGTAGTCCATACCGCAGGCCCCTTCAAGATAGACGTGGAGGACAATGAGCGCGACCTCATCCGTCCCGTGCTCGAGGGAACCCGAAACATCCTCGAGGCAATCGAGAAGAATGCGCCCACCGTCAAGCGGGTAGTCCTCACTTCGTCCTTCGCCAGCATGTTCGACTCCTCCAAGGGTAACCGGCCGGGCTACGTCTACAACGAGAAGGACTGGAACCCCACGACGTACGAAGAAGCAACTCGAAAGGACAGCCCCGGCTTTGTGTCGTATCTCGCGGCCAAGTCTTTCGCCGAGAAGGCTGCCTGGGACTTTGTCAGGGATCGGAAACCCCATTTCGACTTGGTCGCCATCCTGCCCCCCTGGATTTTCGGCCCGAATAAGAATGCCACCGCGAACCTGGCGAAGCTCAACATGTCGTCCACCGATATCTATAAGCAAATGTCTCCTACATGCAAGCCGACGGACCCCGTGCCTGTGAATTCCTTCTGGAGCTGCGTGGACGTGCGGGACGTGGCCCAGGCGCATGTGCGAGCCTTTGAGGTTCCCGAGGCGGGTGGTCAGCGTTTCTTCGTCTGCATGGGGAATTACAGCAACCAGCAGGTCGTAGATATCCTTCGTGAGAAAATACCCGAGCTCAGAGACCGCGTGCCTGTGGGAAAGCCTGGCTCCGGCTTTGGAGGAGTGGAGTTATATACCCCTGATATGTCCAAGTCAATCAGGGTGCTAGGGCTCAAGTATCGCGATCTTGACCAGACGATTGTGGATGCAGCGAGGAGCTTCTTGGAGCTGGAGAGGAAGGGACGCTCTTAGGCGCTCTGAGGCGCTCCGGATGATAGAGTTGGTCCCTGTATTGGCTTAGAGGTTACATGATCCCAGTACGCTTAGTTAGCTAGCTGCTGGCCTGGGAGGATGAGATCTGATGTGCTGTTTGACCGATTAAAACAATATATCCTACTCAGATGTAAATCTTAATCATTCTATCGGACCGGGCTTGGACCAGGGCTACATCGCCTGGATTCTAGTGCTCTACCTCAGGTTTTCCGGTTATTAACCACCACATCCACAGCAAAGAATGATAACTAACCAGCCATGACATACTTATATTGCACACAGTTCGGAAGCATAGCTACCGGATCTCCATTTATTGGCGGCATGAGCAGCAGTAATGGACATTCTAGTTACCAGGATCCGCGCGGGGCGAAGCCATATAACGCGGAAAGTCAGGGATACAGCCAAACCTCCATAATCACCAGGAGTACCTGAACGATGAAGGCAGCACTAGTTGCATCCTCATGCACGGGGTCACAGTGTCCTCGGCTAACCAAAGCTGTATAATGCGCGACTTATTCGTCCGCGATCAGCATAACCTAAACCGCGCATCGCCGACACGAAATAATGCACCGCCGGTGCAAGGGAGGAGGGGACCTCGTTGCAGTCTTGTCCATGACCAACCCTTCTGAGCATCCTAGGTGCACTCAATAATGCCCGGCGCGCGTGTCGAGAACTCCGCCACCGGGGAGACACCAGGAGAAAAAGTGATGCTGTACTCGCGAAGACGCAGAGGAAGCTCCCTGCCTTCCTCGACCACTTCAATGCGCACGATCTAAAGATATTCTTTCGGTGATGGGTCGCCGCATGGGTGGCATCACTGCTGATATTGATCTGTCCGTCGCTTCGCAGTATTGGGACTGCCATGTCTTTCGCTTGGTGAGTCTGGCCCTTGGATAGTTGACTTGAATGGGATATACTGACGGGATACTTTGACGACAGCATGGCCACGTTGATTATACCCCCTTCCTCCGTTCACCGTCTACTTTCTCGGAGCCCGTACCCTGTTCATTGGAATGTTTCTGGCGTGGGCATGGGGCGTGATCGCCATGAAGGCCGCCTATGCTGCCAGACCGTCGGCGGATACACAGGCACGACTCGCATCCTTGCAGCAGGAGGTCGCCAGAAGGCTAGGGAGGAGGGTAAAGACCCTGCTGGCCTGGCGCAGATTATGTCCTCATGGACAGCCTGGCGTCCATGTTGCTCACTTCAGGAGCGGATGGCTGCCATCTGGTATGAAACCAAGCACCATACCTCTTTGTTGATATCAATAGCACCCAACAAGACATCCTCTGCTCCATTGTCCATCAAATCTGGTGGATCAAGCTCTGAGTCTAGATCTGAAACCGCATCAAAGTCACCAATGTTCTGAGATACCATATGAGATGCCATATCACGCTATGGTTGCTTGTCAGATTTTTCCTTTTTTGTTGCTCTATCATTGCCACATCAGCTCTCATGAGAATTGAAACCTCCAGTTTGTCCCAGGCAGCATGTTTATAATGGCATTTGCTTCCTGTCATGGGCTACGGCCAGGCATATGGTAACTCAGGGCCAACGCCTGAGCACTCTGCTAGCCCTATTTGATCCATTTGCTCCATTTGCTCCATTTGCTCCATTTGCTCCATTTGCTCCATTTGCTCCATTTGCTCCATTTGCTCCATTTGCTCCATTTGCTCCATTTGCTCCATTTGCTCCATTTGCTCCATTTGCTCCATTTGCTCCATTTGCTCCATTTGCTCCATTTGCTCCATTTGTTCTGTTTGTTGCTTCTAGTTAACTTACTTCCTTGGGCACAACGCCGTTGTCTCTCGAAAACACCTCTTGTTCTCTTCCTTCTCTCAAGGAATTCTTCGTGTATCTAGTACCAAAATGAATTCTACATTAACCAATTACACCAACCCCCTTTATTCTTCATCTGTGTCACGACCCGTCCCATGAGACCGCAGTACCACATTGGAAGGACAGGGTTGGGGAGTTAACCAATTGGCGCGCATACTTAAGACTTTTCATGCATGGGACAGGTTCGCCTGGTTCCATGAGGGCACAGGGCTGGGCCATGCAGGTATATCACATCCTTGCTTCCACTACCTTTCCTTCCTTCCTTCCTCTTCTTCTCCCCATATGTGGTATTCGTTTAGTACTGACTTGCATATGACGCTTCTCTTTTCCATCTAATTGTAATACTGGTTATCATATGTTCGTGGCCCTCCTAGCAACAGGAAATACGAGCTGCGTGCTGCCTATTAAACTGCCCCAATACATGAAAGAGAACTATCCAGACATCAAAGGCGCGAATGTCTTATTCCAGGACGAGACGGGTATTCCTATTTGGCTGCCGAGACGGGTTTAGCCCAGGAGAAATAAACTCGGGTCCAGATAGGCTTAGCCTTAAGCCAAGGCCGTATCAAGGGTTGACAAGCTCGCATCATCATCTCCATCCCGTGCCCGATTAGAGACCTGAAATTAAGCCGATCATCCTGGCCAACCAAAGCCCGGAGATGGTTAATATGGCGGCGCCGCTCCTGGATGGGTTGGAGAATATTTAACGTGGCCACTTCTCCGGCTGCTTCCTGAGGCATTGTTCGCTATGTTGACCTTTCTCCCGACTGGTAAGGTCTTACAGGATGTCTCCGTGGCACCTAAGCCGACATATCCTTTCTTTTGTACTCTGGTTCTCTTGGCCCTGTTTGATCCGGACCCAAACAACCTCCACCAGTCATGGTCATTCCCACGTGGGAACACTGGTTCAGGACAATCCCGTCGGCATTCCATCCTTGACCTACGACTGTGCCAAGTTACCTGCCGTCTGCGACGACATCAATGCTCGGTATTCGTTACGGCCTGTTCATGGGGGGGTTCGGGACACGGCCGATAACAGCACTGGCTATCACATTTTGGACCCGGATATGAATCCAACCCACTCGCGTTCCGCAGTGGATAAAGAAGCCCCTACTACAAATTCAGTAACTGCCACCATTGCGCCGAGGACGGGACCTCCTCACGGCCTTGAGCTTCGTATCCTGCCCGTCGGAGCTTCAATCACGGTCGGTTATCGGAGCAACGAAAATGGCGGTGATGGCAATGGTTATAGGCTGCAGCTTTTCAAGGACCTTTCCCATGGTAAGCATTTAAATGTCGTGGCCGGCCACATATATCTTTTCTTCGGACCTCCCTAGGATAGGACTCCTTTGTTTAGCTGGACTTTGCTAATTGGAAATTCTTAGACTACCATGTCATCTTTGCCGGAACTCGGTCACAGGGCACTATGAAAGACGGTTACTTCGCAGCATGGACGGGCAGAACAATCGAAGAAATCGAGAAACTAGTCCCACCCTCACTTCAGCAACGACCAAATATCATTCTCATCCACGCTGGGACAAATGACATGAGCTCGAACCCAAAGATAGCCCAGCAAGGAAATACCCCAAACGGTGCTGTGGAGAGGCTAGGCAACCTGATTGATGAATGCGTTGCTGCATGTCCTGATGCGACTGTCCTTGTAGCTCAAATTATCCATACCTGCCGCAAAGATGGATCAGAACAACGAATAGAGGAGTTCAATAGTCTGATCCCCGGGGTTGTAGGGAAGCGAGTAGCGGCTGGCCATCACGTCATGGCAGTCAACCTGCAGTCATTCCCACTTGATCAGCTTCATCAAGATGACTGCATTCACCCAACAAACAAGGGTTACAAAACCCTAGGCAGTATGTGGGCACGGGCTATTCGAACGATCCCCGAAGACTGGGTGAAAGCCCCAGTCGGGCATGACCCGGTACGGGCCAGCGGTAAAGCTCCCAGCTTGAATATTCCTTGTCTGCCTTGGATGGTGGTGTGGATGGCTGTATCATATTTCATTCTCAAATTAGAGGCAATAGGATCATAATCCAATCCTGAGCAGCTCTGCAGTGCAATTATTGGAATAAACCTTGCATCTAATGCCAGAACATAGGACAATTCTGTTTTAATATATCTTCAAATGGTTTAGCTCTTAGTACATAGATTGAATTCTTTTTGTGAATGAACCATCAATATCAGCTAGTAGCAAGGATGATGAAACGCATGGCCAATATGTGAACTAATCCGATATACTAGGATGGGGGTAAATGTAGGGTCCTTATTCTAATAGGACTAATTGCTGACTTTGTACAACGTGCTAAAAGGTCAACTCGGCGCTTGGAGCTTCGCCGGTTTTTCGCTGCCCTGACAATAGATGTGATCGGATATTTATGCACGAGACTGCGAACTTAGCAGCCGTACAATATGGACAGCGTCCCCGGGATATCGTTATATAAATTGTCAACTAAAAGTGATATAAGACAGTCTACTACTTCTCAGTGTCCGATCCGTCCCTGCTGCTGACGTCCTTGGCCGGCGGGATGACTACCCCTGGCTCTGGCTCCGCGGGCTGCTGAGACAAGAGACCGGGAGTGTTCTCAAACATGGTCCAGTCTCCGATTTGCTCGTCAAAAAACTGGGCGCGGTCCAGGCCGATCATCTCGTGTTCTTCGTGAACTCGTAGGTTCATGCCTGGAATGTACTTCAGAATGAGCAAGAGAGCGCATGTCATGACGAACGAGTAGCCGGCTTCAGCGCAGATGGCAGCCAATTGATATCCAACCTGGATGCCGTTGTCGCTGATGGCACCGGCTGCTTCCGTCGCACCATCCAGGTAAGCCACTTTCGCATTCGCAAAGAGACCGGTCAAGAAGGAGCCCACCATCCCGCCGATGCCGTGGAGCTTGAAAACATCCATGCCCTCATCGACATGCAGCCAGTCGTTAACGTTCTGCAACCCCGAGCAGACGATCCCCGTGATGAAACCAATGACCGCGGCCAGCCAGAAGGAGACGAAACCGGCAGCAGGCGTGATACCTACGAGACCGGCGATGGCGCCCTCGCAGGCACCCACGACAGAGAATTTGCCTCGATGTTTGATCATATCAACCAGGACCCAGCCGAGGACACCGGTGCAGGCGGCCGTGTTGGTGTTGAATAGAACAACCAAGGAACGGACGCTGAGGAAGATAGTCGAGCCGCCCTAGGATACGGTTAGAACCGAAAGAAAGAAAGAAAAAAAGAAAGAAAAAAAGAAAGGAAGAGTCATGCTGCGAGGCTCCAGGGCATACATTAAATCCAAACCACCCGAACCAGATCAAGACCGTTCCTAGAACGACCAATGTGGTATTGTGAGGTTTGCCATGCGCCGGTTCTCCAACATGCTTGCGCTTCCCAAGGATCATGGCATAGGCCAGTGCAGAGCATCCCGACGCAATATGGACCGGACCGCCTCCGGCAAAGTCGAGTGCGGGCAGGTTATAGAGCCACCCGTTGGCGTTCCACGTCCAGCAGGCAATAGGGCAGTAGACGATCGTGGCCCAGCAGAAGCTGAAGATCAATGACGGGATGATATTTCCGCGTTCAAAGGCTCCTCCGACGACAATCATGACCTGCATATACTCAGCCCAAACGATGCGTCACACCGGGCGTAATGCCGACTCACCGTGCACGCACAGAACAGGAGTTGATAGAGACAGAACAAAATCTCGGGGATATAAGGAGAGCCAGGCGACGGGGCCACGCCAACATCTATGAGGCCAAAGTTCCTGAGATTTCCAATGTACGAGCCCGCAGTTCGAGACTATATCACTCGTTAGGCACGGCTTCTGGCATTCGATACGTTTCTGGGTTCACCCATTACATATGCTAGAGAATAGCCCCAGAACATCCATTGGAAGGTGGAGCTTGTGACGATGTCAGCCATGGGTGCAGCGACTCTTCACTTGACGGATACTGACACGGCGAGGATCGTAAAGGACTGGAAGAGCAGCGCCAGCGCTGATTTTCTCCGGGCCAGACCGCTGTACAGGAATCCGATTCCAGGGATAATGACGAAGACGACGAAAGTGCACAGGGCCAGATAGACATAGTGGTATTCGAACCCGACGAAGGGGGCGTTGACGTCTACCTCGAATGGATTCCCGCCGTCCGGGATGCTCGCATTGTACACGGGCTGCACTCCGCAAACGGTTAGCATTGCCTGCCACAGCGTGGACAGAGGCCAGAGTTGAAACCGTACCTCATCAGCCATAGTGCGCTTCGGATGGCTGTCAACGATGAAAGTATGCACGATTGATCCCGGGCGATCTGCCTCGCAAAGACTGCCAAAGACTGCCAGTGTCCGGCGGAACCGGGCAGGACTGGGTCTATATCTCTCAGTCTGCCGGGCCCAGAGCGTCCTTCTGTCATGATCCTGCGCCGGGACGACTTCGTGCTCCTCTTCCTTTCTCTATCTGGTGCACCAATGCGAATGGCTCATCGCCTGGTCTTGGCTGTCTCAACGCTGGGGAAAACATGCTCTCCTTATCAATATCGGTGCTTCCAAGATCCGCCGTAATCGAGATAACGCGCTCGGTGCTCGCCCGCCAGGATCATGAAACTGTTTCTGGTTTGGTGCGGCATGTCGCCAAGCTCTTAGGATCCAGTTGAGCCACCCAGCAATTGGCCACAGATAAACGCTCTTGGCGTCTGAACTCAAAGCATCTTGCCTTGGCTTGAGCGTGGGTGGGCAATCGATCTCCGTATACGAGGAGGAAGGCATGTTCAACTTTGCTGGCTTGGATCGGGTAGGCGTCTGCTTGGCGGATCGCTCAACACAGCTAACCGGAAGAAAGAAAAGCATGATCTTTCAAGATCTACCTTACTTGCGGAGTCGGGCATATTTGGCCCTCGACTCATCGCCGTTCTGCGTGGCCACTTTGGATGGCGCTGCACTGTGTCCATCGGTACGTTGATATTGTATTGCTAAAGACATCTCACGAGGACGGCACTGATTGAACACAATTATGGAGTCTGTATGGCAGTATTGCATTGACATTGGCCCGAATCCTAGCAGAAGGCAATGGACAGGTTGAATCATTGTTTCCTCTTGCAAGCTGTCTTTGAACTCCCCGTCTAGGCCACACCCAATGTAGAAAGACGAGACGACGCCACGGATTCTTATAGAAACACCAAGCGCACGGCTGACACCAGTTCAAACCGGCATGGTCTGCACTCGGGGCCGTGAAGGCCGCGAAAGAGACGACGGCCGCGAGGCCCACGTAGGTCTCCTGTACAATTCCGCCGCAGACGTACTCCTACTCACGCGCCGGCCCATGTTGGCCTTGTTATCCTCCGCGAGCGCCTGGGCGAACCTGCTGTTCGCGCGCACCTGCGGTCCTTTCCAGTAAAAGATGTAGATAGGCACGACGACGACGCAGGAAAGACACGCCAGAACGGTGCTCGCGTACTCGACGTGCCACTTCTTCCCGATGTTATGATACATGGGCGTCGCATACATTGCAGACACACCGGCGAGAAGATCACGGCCAAAGGCATTCCCGCCCGTCGCGGAGGCCGAGTACACGCCATACGCGGCAACCATGTAGTCGACCGTGGAGAGATAGATGGCGTAGTTCGCGATACCGACGATCGTGGAGAAGACCATCGACCCGATCCAGTGCACGCCGCGCTCCTTTCCGAAGGACGTCCAGGCGAAGCCGAAGAGACCGATGGGCTCGAGCGGCGCGAGGAAGAGAAGCCACTTCAGACGGCGCTCGGGGGGCAAGGCGTCGCCCCCCTGCGCCTTCCGGATGGCCTGGTCTCGCCAGAACCAAGGGAAATAGGAGAGGTAGGCGAGGAAATAGGCCAGGTTGATGGGGATGACGGCCCATGCCTGTCGCAGGACCCCCCAGTTCCAGCCCTCCTCGTAGACGACGGCAAAGCTCTCGAGGAAGATGAAGATGAGGGCGTCGGAGAAGCCGGACAGCAGGGATAGACAGAGGACGATAGGCTCGCAGAGGAGCATGTAGAAGGGTCTGATCCAGATCTGGCCGGCTTCTTTGAGCGAGACACGGGGGCGTTTCAGCTCGTTGGGCCCGTAGATGGTCGGGTCTTCGCCCGTGCGGCGGCGTCGCTTGGCTTCTCGGTCGATCAGGATGGTTGAGCGGCTCTCCGGCATGAAGAAGATGAGGGCTTGTACGAATCCTCCGAAGATGAGTTGGATCCAGAAGAACCATTGCCATTTCAGGTATATGCATGGCATTCACACGTTAGCTTCTTCGTCTTCTTCGCCTGTTGGCTGGACAAGGATGGTGGCCTACAGCGCTGAATCGGACCCCCGATCACACCCCCAATGCTTGTCCCGATGGCAGAGGAGAGGACGATGAAGGCAAGGGGAAACTGCTGCGTTTCGGCTTCGTAGAGGTCGGCAATGAGTCCCAGCGTGACACTGCCACCGGCGGTAGAAACGCCCCCCTGGGTCGTGCCAATTCCATCAGCATTCCATGGTCAACTCGAGCGACTGCGCTTCCTCTCAATGCGGGAGAACGAGAACTAACCAGCCCACGAGCAACGACGATGGTCCCCCAATTGGGAGCCAAGGCCGCGGGAATCTGCCAGATGTTAATAAGAAACATGGACAGCTGAAGAATCGGCCAGCGACCGAATTCCTCGCTCCACGGCGCCCACAGCTCACACCCGATGGAATAGGTAACGAGATAGATCATCTGCCCTACTCTGGCCTCCTGCGGACCGATGTGAAACGCCGTCGACAGGGGCCTCACGGCATTGGGGAACACGGACGTGTTGAAGTTCATGGAGACTTGGACGGCCGCGACCGACGCGAGATACATCCATTTCTTCCACCGCGGCCAGCAGTAGGCTAGCTTGTCGTAGCAGTCATTTTCCGTCAGTTCACGCTTTCCGTCTGCGCGAGGAACCCCCTCTGCCTTTGGCGGGTCTAAGCGCGGGACCACAGGCTCGACGCCGCGTTCGCTCTCTGTTTCCTTCTCGGTGAGCTCTCTCGTCGGGCTGTGGTGGTCCTCCTGGTGCGGGAGGTCGCTCGTCATCATCTCCGCCATCGTTGCCGTTTCCGCGGGGGTTTCCGTGGCGCTATCCGGTCGGACAGAGTCAAAGGGGGGCATATTATATACTTGGGGAGTGGCATGCTGTCGTCATTGTTCCCAGTCTTGAATTGGGGAAGTCTAATTTGACTTCCCATTGCATCATGACCGGCAGTAGACGTGCGTGGGTTCATGAGGGCGACGAGCCACGACGCATGCCGACTCCACCGTTGACCACGCAAAAGCAGTCGGAAAAGGATGACTGGGGGGTGATCGATGATATCAACTCGCTTTCGCTTTTCTCCACGCGGCAGTTGATCTTGCAGTGGAGTTGGACGTACGTACCTGGTTGTTAAGGGTGTTGATAAGACGTGCAGGAGGAACATGGAGGCTGTGATGTCACATACGCACGGAGGATCCTGCAGCAACTGTTTTGTGATTACTACGAAAGCTTGACTTCCGAGACACATGAGAGGCCGCCATTTCCATTTGGCGCAACCGGGGAAGCCGTGGTGCGTAGGGGATTCAGCGTCGAGAAGCACCCTGCATGGTTCTCGGTTAATGGACAGAGAACCCTTGCTAAGAGCATCCTCATCCTCGGAGCCAACGGCGTCTTCTCGAGACATCATCTCCGCCTCGAACGCCTGGTTAAACCGACCCTGTGCGGTATTTGCCCTCTTCCCCGGCGTGCTCGACGGCGTTGCCTGCTTCCACGGCGTGGGATACGGGATTGCCTTGCCGGCAGTTCTCCCAAGCAATGTCGAGTCCGTATGCTGGGCCGGGTGGATACCACATACTGCACAGTGTGCCCGGTCGATATTCCTGACTCGACGGAGACGGTTATTGTTACGAAACAAATCACTGTAGCCTAGCTCGCACGGCCGTGAAGCCACACTGCAACGCCAGGGGCAGGGCTCCTGTGGCATTATTGCTCTGCCTAGATTCCATCCCAAGAATTGGCCAGCCGCAGCGGGTGCTATGCATCATAATAGGGAGACAGGAGATCGTCCTGCCGATCCCGGCTTCCCGGATGCCGATATCATTCATGAATGCCGGTCTTTCTCGTCTTTCTCAGCCCAGATGAGCTCAACCCTTCGTGAACGAGCACCGCATCAGGCGTGGCGGTGATGTAGATCATACGCCGTGATTATCGACAGCGTCCAATCTCGCCACGCGAGAAGTAGAATAGAAGACCGTGGAAAGGAAACGCTTCCCTCGGACATGGCTATTTGGTTATTTGCAGTGGAGACTTTTGCCGTCGATCCTCTTTTTTACGCTCTCTTCACGGCGTGCTTGCGTATGTCAGTCAGTAGATTCCTATTATACAGCTGGAAACCCACCTCTAAATATACTCTGGCCCATTGCGACGCTGCGAAAAAATAAATCGATCCACCTGTTCGGGCTTGTGCCGTCGTGCCCGAAGGACGATATAAGAAGGGCTGCCCGGCTGTCCTGGTTCGTGGAGAATCTCTGCCGGTGGACATTATTCACGGAGTTGATTGATATAGACGCCCGAAGTAGCAGGCAAAGAAAGAAAGAACATGAAGCTCTTCTCTCTCCTCACGCTGGGGGCTCTTCTCTCCGCAGCAAACGCCCTTCCGACAGCCTCTCGACGCTTCATCCCCCCGAGCCTCCGTCATGTAGGAAGCAATTCCACCAACGCGACTCTCTCCAGCTACAACGCTACATCTTTCACCTTCATCGCCGACAGCAATTTCACCGAGATCCAGTTCCAGCCCCTCGTTGCCTCCGGACAGAAGTTCTACGTTGGCGGGAACTCGAGCACGTATTGTCCCGACGTCGTTCGTCCTTGTCCCAAGGGCGTTGACACGGTTGTTTATCCCAAGGGATCTTTGGTATGTACCGCCCGTTATGATCCCATATCTGTTTGCTATGTATGAGTGATGAGTGATGCTGACAGAACCAGAACGTCGCCGTCCCAGGCGGCCAGCAGATCTACGTCGCGCCCAACGGAGCCCTAAGCTTCACCGTCCCCCATTCAGCAAACATCCCAACCAACTCCTCCACGGGCCCGTTCGTGTTCAAGAATACCACCACCGCTGCCCCTTTCTCCGTCGGTGAATGGTCCTACGCCCGCTCCGGGTTCGTGGCGTGCCCCGTCAACGCTACCGGTGTCGAGAGGTACCAGGTCTTCGTGGCCAACTCGACCGGTAGCTCTGCTGATTGTCTGCCGTTCAAGGCGCTGGCGCAGCCGTGGGTTGCTACCGCGAACTGGACGGTTGGTGCTTGGGAGTACTTCTGATTCACTCAGCCTGGCCGATGCTCGATCGAGGTTGTATGGCTCATTGAGTCACCACAGTGAAAGGGGACGAAGCTCATGCTGGAGGTTGTTATTTTTGGATTCTTTACACTTCCATGGGATTGATGCCTTCTTCCCATGTTACGCTCCTTGACGATGTTCACGTTCATGTATTCACGAGTCACTCCTTGCGAACCTTGACAGCCTGTATAATATTTAATCTGGTTTTGTCTTTTCACTCTTTAGCCGAGGGATTATCTTTGTTTATGCCATAGAACATCTGTACACTTCCGGCGGTTCCGGTAGAATGCAGAGAAGAGGTGGGGTGGAGCCACACTGATGCTATCTGCATGGCATGGCAATGCTCCTCTTCCGCGAGAACGCGTTCGAAAATCTCCAGACATCCAAACCTCATCCACTGGCCTGTCCAGAAGAAGCCACCAAGGTGCTGTGCCGAATAACTGGGCTGGGCCGGCAACTGGAGTACGTGGTTGCTGAGAACCCCTTGTCCCGGTCGCCGATGACAGTAATAGTTACCAAAGAAAAAGGCAATAAAAGGTAATATCCCAGTCGGAAGAGGTTTTCACCAGCGGGCGAATTGTCACAGGAAATTTGGTCTTTGGCGTAGGCAAGCTTCCAATCCGATCGAAGTCGATTTTGAAGGGCTGTAGCATGAAGTTCGCCATCTGCCCGTAGACATATCCATCCTCCGTAAGCAGTCTCGATTCACCTTCTCATCGGCGTCTCTCTGACAGATGCCTGCAATACGAGGGGAGCAGAGAAACCAGATGGTGCCGTCTTGGAAAATGGACTCCTGGCCCACGTCGTATGACCCATTTCATACAACCAGCCCATTCAGCCTCCTCTGCCAGGTGAAGACGGTCGAGAGGCTTATCGTAGTCCATGATGTTAGAGAGGTGATGGGCACCAACGGCGACTAACAGCAGATCTGGACAGCTCCCTTGTAACTGTGCTTCGGATGCAGTTTCATTGTTAGAATAGTGCACGGACTTATTCCTGTATTTATGCCTCTTTGATCGGGTGTGATGGTAAGAGGACCTCAACAGCCTAGCATTGAGGTAACCAAGCGATTCAATCCGATTATACCATCCAAGTATACGTTACTCCAAATATATCTCACGCCGTTCTAATACTCGCCAACCAATGCCAAATCCCGACTACTCCTCCCAACCCAAATGCCAAACTTCCCCTGCTCAGGCATCACCCAGTTCTGCCGCCTCACGCTCCAATAGCTTAGATCCTTCCGGGAAAGCGTCATCTCCACAACCTCCGACTCGCCTGATTGGAGCTCGATTTTCGTGAAATTCCGGAGAACCCGGACGGGGAATTCGATCTCGTCGTGCTGCCATGGTAGCTTACCCCATTTCTCTGTTACGTTCGCCGGGAACGAGACATATAACTGGGCTACCTCCTTTCCGGTCCGTGAGCCTGTGTTGTCGACTTGCACCTGGACCCGCACTACTGGCTCGTATAAAGATGGGTTTCCCCCGGGTCCGCCTCCGGCTGGAGAGGGATGCTGCGTTTTGTGATAGCCGGGTGGGAACGGGTAGGGGTTTTTCTTTGGTTCTGTACCGTCCAGACTGGAGAGATAAGGGTATATGTACTTATGCAGCTGTCGGAAGCCGGCTGGAAATAGGGAAAGAGCGGGATCCGGCCGTTCGGTGTCGTAGGATGGTGGAGACGCGGTGTCATTGGGCCGAGGAGATGGTAATGCCGATTTCTCGAGTAGTGGGACAATATTGAGGTTGGAGAGTTGGAATGTGGTATAGGACAGGCCGAACCCGAACTCGAACCGGGGAGTGATATTTTGTCGGTCAAAGTGGCGGTAGTCGATATATAGGCCATCCGTGAAAGTCACTTGCGGGACGGGTCCGTTGGCTTTGTAGAGAACCTGTGCATTGGGTCCATAGTCTGCTAAGGTCTTGCCAATGGTGTACGGGAGTCTTCCGCTGGCATCGACTTCTCCGAATAGCACGTCAACCAGGGCGTTTCCGCTCTCTTCTCCTGGTAGATTGGCAAGGAGAACCGCATGTACGCCTGGGAGATCGATCCAGGGTTCCATGAATACAGGCCCAATTGCATGGATGACAACTACCGTCTTCCCTTGTCCGTTTCCGCAGCCAGCCGCGACTGATCTAATAAGACGATCACCTCCCCCTTGGAGGAAGAGATCATTTCGGTCGCCGTGGATACCATCTCTGTGTATAAATCCTTCTCCCCCATCTGCATTGGCAAACACGATACATAGGTCCTTATCCTGGAGGTCTTCTTGCTCAACCGTGTTTGTCAGATAGCCCTTCGTGTCGACGTTGTCCGACGTCCAGGCGGTCTGAAGAGCCTCCCATGGACTGACCAGGTAGGGGAATTCAACAGCTCCGCTGCCCCAGCCTGACGCCAGGGTTCCCTGGTTGCATCCTCGATCGGGGCATGCGTTAGGTCCGTTGCCCGGACCGGCATCTTCCCCATAGATTCCTACCCGGAAAGGAGCTCCTGGACCAGATCCATCTCGAGACAATGGTAGAATATTATCAATATTCTTCAGCAGAACCGTCCCCTCCGCCGCAACCTTCCTGGCAACATTCCAATGAGCATCTGGTCCCTTCCCCTGCGCATCTACAAAGTGGTTCACCACCCCTGTAGCATCATCATCATCGCTTCCCTCGTGCAAATGGCCAATTTCCTCATTGGTCCACGATGAGAAGTTCGGGCCACCTTCTCCTTCAGGTGGCGGATGTTCCCAAGTATCTTGCTTGAGATGGTACCAAGCCGCCACAATGCGCGTCACCATATCGTTTAGTCGTTCCATGGGAACAGATGAGTTTAGTACTGCCCTAGTGAGCTGGCTGCCCCACAGGGATTCTCCGTCAGTCCAGCGCAGACCATCCCCAGGCATACTCATGTCCAAGCCTGACAGAGCACTGCCCACTCCGGAACGTTGTGCGAGCCAGTCTGATTGAACAAAGCCCTGGAATCCGAGCTCATCCTTCAAGATTCCATTAAGGATCTTGCTATTCTCACAGGCATGGCTGTTGTTTACCCTTTGATAGGAGCACATAATACTCGCAACGTCCGCGCGAATGCTCTCAGCAAAAGGCCACACAAAGACTTCGTGCAGAGCACGGTCGTCGATGTTGGATGATATGGCAGTCGGTATGCCCCATTCGAAAGGCTGACGAAAATGCTCCTGTTCGTTCATCACGTAGTGCTTAGCAGTAGCCATTACACCATTCTGTTGGATTCCTCGAATGGTCTCCGCAGCTGCCACGCCTTGGAGTACAGGGTCGGAGCCAAAGCCTTCCCAGTTACGACCTCCTGCCGGGTTCATTCCTATAGCACCCATAGACGGACCAAGGATGACATTCACGCCTTTCAGACGGGATTCCTGGCCTAGTGCACGGCCACGCTCACGAAAGAGATCTCGGTTCCATGTAGCTCCCGTCGTGATGCCTGCCGGGAACGCAGAGATATTATCTGCAAACCGCAGCCCTAAAGGTCCATCCTGCAAACACAGAGAAGGAAATTTGACGATGTCGGCAGGCCCTGGATACATTAGTCACCTTCATATTCTCCTGGAGATTTGACACTTACCCGTGTTCCCCACACACAACCCCATCTGCCAACCTGTTCCAGTGGTGATGTTAACCTTTTCAACTAGGGTCATTTCCTGGACCATCTGCTGAGCTTTGCGGTAGCTCTCCTCCCATTCCCTCACAGTTCCCCCAAGAGGAGTAGGATACCATGAAACCGGATCCTGAAATGTGACAAAGTTAATGATCCAGATTCACACCACTTCAACATCCACCTAACGACACCACAGACATGACAGGAAATAAAAAACTAAAACCATTACTCACATAATGAACAGGAGGCGGCCCAGACAGAAATCTAACATCTCCCCAGAGTCCAAAAAGAGCAACCAGAATTACCACCACGCCAAGAAGTGCATACCGCCACGTCGGCAAGAAATAGCGTATCCCCTTCCGCCCCTTTTCAGGTTGTTTTTGAAAATGTCGATCTCCAAAATCGTCACTATCATTAGAGTCCAAGGAGAATCTTGAACCGATGAGCAGATCCCTCTCTGCTTCCGTGATACTTTCTAGGTAAGCTTCGGCATCGTCCGCATGGCGGATGGGCCTGTATGCGCCCCTTGGTTCCTTTCCGCTCTTCGCAGAAAGCGGAGTTCGGTCTTCTGGACCGGGACCTGATATTGGGGATATGGACAGCGCATCATCGTTTTCTCTAGGATTGGAGTCATAGTAATCGGGAGGTGGTTGATGGGAGTATGAATTGAACGGCTTGGTGTCCATGGGTTCCATGGTCGGATACCAATATCAGATATAGCGATTGGGGATTGATTGCATTGAAATCATTAACTCATACATAAATCTTGATACAGTAATAGAATGGGATATATGCCAGCGTGATAGAACTTCGAATTTGCTCTGTATTCCCTCTTTCTGGGAGACGCGAAGGATTGATTGATTGATTGTATTATTTAACGTCTGAAAGGAAGACGCGAAGGAGACAAGCCATGGCAATCAAACGACGTCCAGTCATACTGGAGAGGTCATGTGATATTAGCCTGAGGCATCGAAAATTTACTGTTTACTCAGCACAATTCGCTTCATGCATTTGTACAAGTTCCCCAGACTATACAACTTTTGTTTATTTACTATCCAAGCATTCATACAGACTCTAGTCCATAGGAGTAATTAAACAGATCAACGCAAGCATAAAAACATATAATGCAACATCAGCAACAGCAGGTCATGAACAAAGTCCCTTCGAAACGCCGGCCAAATCTATCAAGTCAAGTCGTATCAGGGAAAAGAATAGCCGAACATAACATCAATCTCATGATAATCCAAGCAGAAACAGACAAAACGAAATTATATTCCAATCAATCGTAGCAATATGTGCTTCGCAAGACACACGATTATGCCTCGTCATCAGTGTCTGGCGGTTTGGGAGTGCCCTTGGGAGAGTTCAGCCACTCGATGTGTCTCAGTCTCCGGCGGACTTCCCGCTCCTTGAGCTGCGCACGTGTCAGCTTCTTCTTCTTCTTAGCCTTGAATTTCAGTTCTCCACCGTCTTCCGCTCCGGAGTTGACGGTTGATGGAGCAGCACTGGGGGCAGCGCTGGTAGCTGCCGAGTTGGTGGCGCTGTCTTCGAAGCGATCAGTAGCGACAGCAGTGTTCGTCCGGCTAACGATGCGGCCGTCAGCGACGTGCAGTTGCTCCGGGCAGAGAGCGCCCACGAATTCTTCGTTGTGGGAGATCATGACAACACCGCCCTTGAAGTCGCGGATGGCAACAGCCAGGCCACCCAGGGAATCACGGTCCAAGAAGTTAGTCGGTTCGTCAAGGACCAGCAGATGAGGGTTGTTCCACATAGCACCCGCGAGGACAACCTTGACCTTCTGTCCTCCAGAAAGACCCGAGATTTGGTTGTGAGTGGCAATCTCAGGGTCCATACCAACGTCCTCGAAGTGTTTGGCAATCACCTTGGGCTCAAGCACACGGAATCCAAGACCCTCGCGGGAAGCTTCGTGATCGTCAAACTCCTGGACAAGTTTGAAGAAGCCAAGTTCCAGCAAAGTTTCACGGGAGATCATGGTATTGTGCTTCGGCAGCAGACCAATCCATTTACTAGAACATTGTCAGCACATGTGGGAGGCAGGAGGAACCCAAACACGAATTGTACTTACACTTCATACTGGAAACTCTTCTTCCATTTCTGCCGGCCCATAAGTGCTTCGATACGACGAGGGCCCCTGCCATCCCCAAGATCCACTGGCTTCTCCATTTGAGCCTTGTCTTCTTCGGTGAGCATGCGAGTTTGCTTCAGGAAGACTTCACGATCATCTCCGTTGGCATACCGCCACTGGAGATACTGGCTGGGAGTCTTTTCCAAATGCATTTCCACGTGCTCGAGCGCATGCTGCTTGATGTACCCAATACGAAGGTTGGGATGCTTCTCAACCTTACCAGTTTGAGGAATAGTTTCACCGGTAAGGAGTTTGATGAAAGTAGACTTTCCGGCACCATTGCCACCGATGATAGCCACGCGAGATGACAGCGATAGTGTCAGAGACGCATCAACCAGAGAGGGTTTGCTGGCTCCAGGATACGTGTACGACACGTTGCTTATGCGAAGAATAGCGCGAGTATGTGACTTAACACCGGACAAGATACCGGGTGGGGGGAACTTGAATTGCACATTGGTGGCGGACAGGGTGTAATAGCTCTTGGCCTCAGGCTTTACTTTGACGAAACTGCAAATCTTGTCAGCATTCATTTCACGGATTAAATAAGAACTAAGTCCGGAATAACTTACGCAGCCAGGTTGCCCTTGTAATGAACAAGCTTCTTCTGTTCGTAGTGGTAAATATCTGTGCATACCTCGTCAAGGAATCCGGAGTCGTGGCTGACGATCAAACTAGTGATCTCGGTATGTTTCTTCAGGTATTCCTGTAACCATTTCACGTTTGCAACATCGAGATGGTTGGTCGGTTCGTCCAGAAGAAGCACGTCGGCCTTCATGAGCATAGCACGAGCAAGGGCAAGCTTCATCTTCCAACCACCGGACAGGGAGCCAACTTTCTGCGATTGCCTGCCCTCCGGGCCGTCGGTAAAGCCGAAGTCGAGCAGAAATTTGGAAATATGGTCGCGGTCCGCATCGATTCTGGGGTCCTTACAGACATACTCCAAGATGCTGATATCCGCATCTTCGCCCTGGTTATGCTCAACGAAGCAAGTCTTGACAACGTCTTGTGGAGGGAAGCCTTCCAGTTTGCCGTCACCGATACTGCGCATGAGAGTGGACTTTCCAGCTCCATTTCGACCGCAAAGACCATAGCGATGACCCTTCAAGAGGCGCAGTTTAGTATGAGACAGAAGCAGCATACCTCCGTAAGCCAAAGAGAAGTCCGCATTGACGATTTCAACCTCATTCGGGTCCTCTTGAACTGGTTGGCCGAACTTCCGATGGTCTTCCTCGACAAAGTGAGCTTTCAAGTCAGAAGCAACAGTATCCTGCTGGTCATCCTTGAGTAATCCGCGAAGATACGGCGCTGTGCAATCAACTATGCGGTCGAACATTCTGCAGTTCACGTCCTCTCGAACCATTCCAGCGATGTAGTTCTTGACCAATTCCAGAAATGCTGCATCCTCGGGGGATGCCGCGCCACCTCGTTCTTGAATCTTCGCATTCAGGATAGATAGAACATCCTCTGGAGTGGTCTTGGCAATCGAACCAGCTGCAAGGTCACTATCGCTCATGGCCTTCTCGATTACGCTCAAAGCGCGCGTGGCGAGCTCACGGACTTCGGGGAGTGAGGCACGATCCTTCACAGCTTGGACACCAGGCTTCAGCTTGGGAAGGAAAGTGCGTGCTTCCGCTGGATCATGAACAAGTTTCGTCAAATTTTCCACGACAACAACAGTCTGACGGAGGACCTCCTGAGGAGTGGTGGGTGCATTTAGGGACCGCTCCAGGAGAGGGGTGAGAAGTGCAAGAACTGGAGAAGTAACGATTGCGACGAACGTGGTCTGGGAAAGGGCATGGATAGCCTTCTGCAATGTCTGCTCAGATGGTTGTTCCATGGTCTTCATCAACAGAGGAATACGGGGTGCGACATCATCGTTAGAAAGAAGGGTAGTAAGAGCAGCCATGGCCTTGGTAGCCTGCTTCGCAACTTCGTTCTTGAGGTCATGCATGCCAGATTCAACGAGAGGAATCAGGTCCTTAAGCGTCTTTCCCATAGCCTCACGCAGCAAATCCTTCAACTCTTCCTCTTGTTTCGTTCCTGCACCCATCTGGGCTTTGACGGCCATCTTCTCCACGAGGGCATACGCACCCACGAACCCCTGCCACTTGCCAGTGGATTTGCTGAGGTACTTCTCGATCGCAGGAAGGAGGGCATTGACCAAGGACTCGGGCTTGAGACAGGCAAACAAAGCGTCAATGGCATACTGCGCGGCCTCGCGTACGACTGCACCCTTATCGGCCAAGGCATCCAGCGCGATGTTGAGAACCCCACCATCCTGGAGAAGGAAGACAACTTCGCTCAACGGATGAGCTGGGGGAAACCGTTCAAACAGAGCGCCTAGGATCAGCATAGCGCTTTCCCGTTTGGCTCCATTCTTCTTATCAGCAGCAGCCTTCTTCACCTCTTGCAGGACGTTGTAGTGCTGGAGACCGCGATACCCGACACTCTGGGTCAACAGGGTTGTCAACGCATACGAGGCATCGAGGCTCTGCTGAGATGTCTCAGCATTGAAAGCAGTGTTGAGAATCGAGGAGACTTCCTCCGTCGAGGGAGGCACCGAGGAGGGCGTCTTCGAAACTGCGAGGGGCATACTGGGCGTCTCGGATGGAGAGATCATATGTGGCATATTTCAGCTACGTCTGAAGGAAAAGATGCAGGAAGTCGTAATATCGTAGACAAGAAACTGGTTTTACCAGCTGATGAAGGATAACACAAGCGTGTAAGACAGATATTCTCCCTGAGGCAACAGGCCTCTATCGCCCCTCCTACGACGAGGGGCTCGATAAGCAGGAGAAACAGAGACTGGCAGAACGATATATAGAGGAATTAGAAACAGCTTCTCTAATAGAGAGATGCCGTGAAAACAAAAGGATAGAAGCAAAACAAACGAGTAAGAACAAGAAAAACAAGAAGAGACGGCGATGGCAGCCCACAGTCTCTGCTGGGAATAATATTTTTTTTTTAAATATAATTTTTTTAAGTCGCGCAGGATTTGAAAAAAAAAAAAAAAAAAAATAATACTGCCTGAGGCGAAAAGTGGCGGCCCAACACGTGGCGCAGACGCTAATCTTGATACGGCATTTGGTATTTGCTTAGTCATCTTTCGGCCGTGCCTCGGCCTCGGCCAATTCTCTGCATTTATGAACATGTTTGAAGATGAAAGAGAAGATCGTTAAATATCAACCGCTCAAACAAGAAAACTGCAATTTCAAATCCTAATACAAATAGTTTATACCCCTATCATCAAAATGATTCAGGAAGCAGCGCCACATCCAATCTCTGACGCCTGCAGCTTCAATCCTTTTAAGTCCCAAAAAAACACCCAAACAATCCCCTTTTAGTTCTTCAACAAGCCCTTGATGTTGATACTCTTGGGTCGCTCAATAGGCAGACCCAGGGCGCGATCCCAGATGAGCTGGACAAGTGGTCCAAGGGCACGGCTGACGCCGAATGTGACGGTATAGTACAGAGGCTGCTGGAAGCCATAGTGGTAGAAGAGGACACCAGATGCGGCGTCCACATTGGGGTGAGGATTCTTGGTCTGTGTAGCAGGTTAGTAATGACATTTTATCAGAGCTAATTAGAAATTTATCCGGAGAAAGAAAGAAGAACCGTACCTTTCCGTGTTCTGTCAGGACGAGAGGGGCGATCTCTGAGTTCTTCTTGACCAACTGGAAGACGGGGTTGGCAAGGACATCAGGGCGGGTATCAGCAAAGTCCATCAGAGCCTGGAAACGAGGGTCAGGCTTGCGCAGGACACCGTGGCCGTAGCCAGGGACCACACGGCCAGACTTGAGGGTATCCCAGAGGTAAGTGCGGACATCCTCATCAGTGAAGTTGGTTCCGATCCTGTCCTTCATGGCCAGGATCCAGCGCAAGACTTCCTGGGCGGCGAGACCGTGCAGAGGACCAGCAAGACCCAGCAAACCAGCCGAGTAGCTGAGGAAGGGATCGCTGAGAGCGCTTCCGACGAGATGGGTTGCGTGGGCGGAGACATTGCCACCCTCGTGGTCACCGTGCAAAGCCAGGTACAATCTCAACAAGTCATGGAAATCCTCGTTCTCCTTACCACCCTTGCCAAGGAGCTCGGCGAAGTTGTACGACCAATCTTGGTTCACGTCAAGGGGCTGGGTGCCAACGATGTCGACTTCATCGGGGCGGAAGACCAAGGCAGCCACACGGGGAATCTTCGCCAGAAGCGAAATGCTGTCCTCGAAAGTCGGTTCCCAGTAGTCTGCCTTGTTGAGACCCCTCTCGTAGGCCTTGGCGAAAGTGGACTCGGTGTTCAATGCTGCCACAGCGACAGAAAGCTGCGTCATGGGGTGCATGCTGCGAGGGAAAGACTTGATCAAGTCCAGAATGTGCTGTGGGAGGTGCGACTTCTCCGCCAACTCACGAGAGAACGCGCGCACCTGGGCAGTCGAGGGAACCTGGCCAGTCAGGAGCAGCCAGAACATAGCTTCAGGTACCATCTCTGTGCCGGTGGGTCCCTTCGGGAGCTCCTTCTGGCAGTCCTTGATGGTCTTGCCGTGGAAGCGGATGCCTTCCTCGGGGTCCAAGACTGAGCCTTCCCACAGCAAGGCCTTCAGGCCACGCATGCCACCGATGACATTAGAGATCTTGAGATCGCCGATGACTTCATCACCGCGAGCCTTGAGCTGCTTGAACTGTTCACGTTTCTCAGGGATCACCTCTTTTAAGGTGGTTTTAAGGTCCGTGGTGTAGTAGCGGGCAGCGGTATTGTAGAGGGACACTCGGCTGGACTGAATATAGCGGTCAGTGACTGTTTTTTGCTAACCAGACCAGCGACGGATGCCCGCGGATTCGCTCACCTGGGCCACCTTGGAAGCGTGGCGGGTTGTTGACCTCAACGTCGCGGACATGATGACTTAAATGCGGGTACAAAAAATGCGGGGAAGAGACGGTCCGGGGTGTGGGGAGAGGGATCCGGAGCAGGGCAAAGGGAGAACGATGAGGAAGGTTGGCAGGATAGAGAAAGGACTCTCCAGGAGAAACAGAATCTCAGCAGGAAGAAGATCCAGGGGATTAAAAAGCATAACAACAAGCCAGGCAATCGACGTTCTGTTCCGTGCCTGTCTTCCCCCTCTCCATGTTTCGGTCCGATTGGCGTTGGCCACTACCGAGGCAAGCACAGTGTTAACCGCTGGGCTTGTCTTCCCCAATTCATCGACCTGCTCTTATTGAATCGTTATTATGGTTTATTATTCTCGTCCCCGCGGCTGGACGGGCAAAAGGAATTGCTCAGCTTTATGCTTTGCTCTCCGGTTCTGTTCGTAGTTGGCATGGACCCTTGAGTCTCCTAGTAACAACAGTCGGCTTGCTCTCTGCTAGAACAGCACTCAATAGTAGTAGACAGCAATCCCCGGCAATTCCGGCCTCCCCAGGATCGTTATTGTACGTTTCCGTTTCAGGCGACAATTGTTTATGGCAGCGACGGTGCCATTGGCTGTGTCCTCAGCGTCTGTTCAGCACTGTGTAGGAAACCCGCGCTTGCACATACAGACGCGACCGCTTGAGCTCCAGCGTTATACCGCTTCTTTTGTGCAGAATGGAATATGAATATCGTCATTGCTGCCTCTTGTAGCTTGCGGTAACTTGACTGTGCTGTCTGGCGAAATGACATCACAGGCATGAATGACTACATTCCGTTCCCGAAGACTGTCTGTCCTCTTGTCAGGTCTGGGAGTCCTCATTAAGACTGGTTTCGAATTATCAAGAAATATCCAGATGCATCTAAAGTCTTCAACGAACTTCAGCTCTTTCGTAGGGCACTTTCCAACCCTATGGGCCCGATTGGCCTTTATCGAACCAACCCTTGATAATCGGAGCAGTGATTTGTATGACCCGCTGGTGCAGAGCAAAGGCAAACTCTATTGGGCCACGGGAATCCGAGGAAGGTTTCTTGGCTGAACTGCTGCAGACCAGTTGGCCATCCATCCTTCCGGGCAAGACGGAAGAAACCGAGAAGGTTGGCCCCTCTCTGGGCTGACAAGAAACGATTAGCAATGAGCTATGAAGAATTAAGAGCACCTATCTGCATCAGTCAACCAGTGAGTGCCATGGTTCTTGTATAGCCGGAGATTGTGATGGCTGAATGCCACCACTTCCAACGCCTACTATCAAAGCACTGTTCGTACAATCATGAACAGCCCCTATCCTCACCAATAACTGCATGAATTCTCCGGATAGATGAGGCTGTATTCTCCGGTGCCCGGATTGTCTCGGCGGCGATTGGTGGAGTTACCTTGATAATGCTTCACTCCATCCAGAGATGAAACCGATAAAGCAATCCTCCGTTGGCAGCCAAAGAAGATCAAGAATGCCACCCGGACAAGGAGATTATTTCACACGATAACAGCATCTCCATCTGCAGATTATCTACCAGTGGGACTGCTCTAAATTAGGAGACGCCTCCGGGGACGCGCTGAACGGGCCGATACTTCGCGAGACAGAGACAGAGGCACTTTCAATTCCTCACGAGCGGCCTCTTCGTCTGGATTCGCATCTTCTATTCAAGATCCGTAAGCATGGCGAAGACCTCCGGCACATACCGCATCGGTGTCGATGTCGGTGGTACTAATACCGACGCTGCCATCATCGACATCACCGCCGCTGACTCTCCCTCTCGCGGGGTGTCTGCATCCTACAAGACCCCCACCACTGTCGACGTGACATCCGGTATACATACTGCGATCAAAAACGTTCTTTCCAAGTCCCAGGTGGACCGCAAAGATGTGCTCAGCGTCGCTATCGGGACGACACACTTTGTGAATGCTGTCGTTGAGGCTGATGCTAGACGGCTCAGTAAAGTTGCAGTCGTCCGTCTCTGCGGGGCCTTCACAAGAAAGGTTGGTGCCTCTTGTCAAGAAGGGAGAGACATAGGAGTTCCTGGTCGTGGTGATGCTAACCATGCCAACTCTAGGTTCCCCCGTTCGTCGACTTCCCCCCGGCCCTCAGGGAGATCATGGGTGGGCCGGTATTCTACCTTGACGGAGGTAAGGCAGACCATCTGACAACAGCGGGAGAGGTACTAATAATAATGGTTTGAATAAGGTCTTGAGATCGACGGTCGAGAGATCTCTCCGTTGAACCCCGACCAGATCAAGGAAACAGTAAAGAGCATCCAGGAAGCCGGAATCAAGATGGTAGCCGTCGTGGGCGTCTTCTCACCTCTAGACCATGAAGGAATCCACGAGGAGAAGTGTAAAAAGTTGATGCTCGAACTGGATCCTTCGTTATCTATCGTCTGCTCACACTCAATCGGTAATGTCGGGCTATTAGCACGGGAGAACGCAACAATCCTCAACGCCTCCATCCTTACTCTGGCCAGACGGACGGTACGCGCTTTCTGTAGAGCCATCGCCAAACTCCAACTGGATTGTCCCCTATACTTGACACAGAATGACGGCACATTGACAGACGCTGCAACGGCCGCCGAGTTCCCCATCAAGACCTTTGCGAGCGGGCCCACCAACAGTATGACCGGTGCGGCCTTTCTGGCATCGTTAGACAAAGGCAATGAGGCCAAGGCCAAGAGCATAGCTTCCGAGACGCAGGTTCTCGTAGTCGACATCGGTGGCACAACAAGCGACGTCTGTGCTTTGCTTCCTTCTGGGTTCCCCCGGCAGGCGCCAAATTTCGTCGAAGTTGGCGGCGTCAGGACCGCGTTCTCCATGCCTGAAGTTTTATCCGTTGGACTCGGTGGAGGCAGTCGTATCTCTTACGACGAGAGCACTGACAACGTCTGCGTAGGGCCAGACTCAGTCGGTCACTATCTCACTACCAAGGCAATGGTCTTTGGAGGAGATGTAATGACATCGACAGATATTGTCGTCGCCTCTGGGGCAGCCCAGATCGGCGATGCTTCGAAGGTCGCAAGCATTCCATCTCACGTTGTGGCCGAGGCCCGTCTACAGATCAAGAAGATTCTGGAGAGAGCGGTCGACGACATGAAGGTCTCCGAACTGCCAGTCACTCTTCTTCTCGCTGGTGGTGGCTCGATTGTCCAGATGGACGCACTTGAAGGCGTTGCGAATTGCATTATACCCCCGCACCATGATTCTGCAAATGCAGTCGGTGCTGCGATCGCCAAGGTTTCCGGCGAGGTCGACACGATTGAGATTCTGGAGGGTCGTGACGAGAAAGAGGTGTTGGAAACAAGCAAGCGACAGGCTATCGAGGCTGCTGTAGCCAAGGGGGCGGACCGAGACGACGTGAAAATCGTCGAGATCGACAAGATCCCTCTGCAATATGTCACCAACAAGGCGACTCGGTTTATTGTCAAGGCAGTCGGCAGACTGTCAGGGATTCAGACAGCGACAAACGGTAAGTCTGCGGGAGACGAGATTGAGAAGGATGAAGACGAAGAACACGTTGAGGAAGCAAAGAAGGCTGTGCCTCCAGCATCCCTCCAGTCCTCCGTCAAGCACTCCATGTATATCGATATCGAGAGATATCGCCCTGAAGTCCACGGTGACACCTGGTACATCTCGGAGGTGGATCTTGAGTTCATCGCCACGGGCACTGGAGTGCTAGGTACTGGCGGAGGAGGCTCCTCGTATCTGCAGTATCTCGAATGTCTTGAACGGCTTCGCGATCCCAATACAAAGGGACGCATGCGGGTCATGTCAGCGAAAAGCATGAAGGATTCCGACATTTGCGTGTTTGGTGCTGGATACGGCGCCCCCAGCGTATCTTGCGAACGGCTGCAATCTGGCACGGAGATCGTGACGGCTGTCGAATGTTCAGTGAAGGCGTCCGGCCTCACGCACTTTGAGGCCGTTCTTGCAGACGAGATCGGAGGTGGGAATGGACTGACCACATTCCCGACCAGCGCACATTATGATATTCCTGTGATCGATGGTGACCTTATGGGCCGTGCTTATCCCACGATGGAGCATGGTAAGTAGCGATTCTTCTGCCTCCTTTGGTGACACTGACCGTTTTATTGACATTGTATTCTAGCAACGCCTTATGTCTACGGACACAACGTCACTCCTTGCACGATGGCTGACGGACGCGGTAACACGATGGTGGTGACGGTATGCCGTTCCTCTGGTTCCCTTTTCCCTTGAAATGCTAACATCAGCAGCACGCTGAATCCACGAAGCGAGTGGAAACTATGCTGCGATCCGAATGCATCGACCTTGGACTGAGCGTAGCCGTCTCAGCGAAGCCGTTGCCAGGCGACGTGATTAAGAAATACGTCGTCCCCAACACCGTATCTCAGTCGTGGTACATCGGGCGAGCTATTCACCAGGCGAGAAAGTCCAAAACAGATATCATAAAGGCGATAGTGAGACCTTCCTTTCATTCTATTTGCCTTTTTTCCGGCCAATCTCACAACCCCTATTACTAACAACGGCATCATCTAGTTTGACACAACCCCCGGCAAACTACTATACTCCGGAAAGATCATCGACGTCAAACGCGACGTCAGCCGCGGCTACACGATGGGCCAATGCACAATTGCACCTCTGGCAAGCGACGAGAAAGAGGCCCTGGGAACCTCTGCGTCCAGAGCCACGACTGACGAGCAGCGTTACATCGTCATTCCGTTCCAGAATGAGTACCTGTACGCCGCATACGCGGACCCTGGTGCCCCTGACGACGTATCAAAGCAGGAAACCATTTGCACGGTCCCCGACCTTATTTCCATCCTCGGACAGGACGGGGAGGCCATTGGGTCCCAGGAGCTGCGGTACGGGCTTCGGGTTAATGTCATCGGCATGGCTGCTCATCCTCTCTGGACGGGCGATGAGAGAGGGTTGCGAGTCGGTGGACCGCGTGGATTCGGGCTGGATATGGAGTGGAAGAGCATTGGGCCGTACCAGGAGCCTAAGAGTGTGATTACAGAGTTTGGGAGTGGTGACTCTTGAGGATAGACCGTATAGGGTTTCCTCTGGAGTAAATACTAGGCCGGCGTTTATCTGGGTTCCTCGCATATCTTGACGAGCTGTGGGACTCTGTCCGGAAGGATTCCGATATCACGTAGATATCAGCGCGGAGAACACCGTGAAATAGCTTAAATGGGATTGAGATATGATTCAAGTGACCAAAATGCAACGGACAACCGCCGATCTCCAGGACTTATCTTGTTCGGTTCGACCTTCCAGCATTCCCGTATCCGCAGTCGAGATATTCCTCTGGACCCCGGAGCAGATAAATAGCATTCACTCCTCCGTGAACGATTGAAATAATCGACGTCTCCCTCTGATTCCCCGCATCATCCCAGCAAGTCCTACCCCACCAGCAAAACAGGCACAATCACAAACAATCGGAACGAGAAACAAGATGAACGCGGAAATCCTCATCGTAGGCGCGGGAATCTACGGCGTCAGCACAGCCTACCACCTCGCCAAGTCCAGTTCCCACGATGCCTCGCGCATCACCATCCTAGACCGGGCACCAGCGCCCTCGACCAACGCCGCCTCAACGGACGTGAGCAAGATCGTCCGCGCAGACTACGAGGATCTCTTCTACATGGAACTCGCGTACGAAGCCATGGACGCGTGGAAGAGTCTGCCCTTCTTCAAAGACTCGGGCGTATACCACCAGACGGGATGGATCTCCTTCGACGAGAAGGGGAGTGATCTAACCGACCGCGTGAGGGAGAATTTCAGGAAGAGTTCCCGGAAGGATGTCACGTACCTCATGAGCGCGGAGGAGGTGAAGAAGAGCTGGGGTGGGTTGTTGGAGAAGGCGGATTTGAGTCCGTTCGAGACGTATTACTTCAATCCCGATGTTGCGTGGGTGGACGCCGGGAGGGCTGTAGAGATCATGGCCGCTGAAGCTGTGAAGATGGGGGTGAGGTATGAGGTTGGTGAGGTTGCGAGGGTGCTGGAGGGAGAAAGGGGTGGTGTGAAGGGGGTCGAGACGACGGATGGGAAGGTCTACGGCGCTGACAAGGTGGTTTTGTGCTCTGGAGCTTGGACGAGTTCCATCATGGCTTCTCTTGAAGATGAGTTGCGTTTGCCAGAGGAGAAGACGATTGAGAGTCAGATCTATCCTGCTGGAGTGGTTGTTTCGCATTTCCAGCTCAGTGCAGAGGAGAAGAAGGTCTATGACCAGCTACCGATCGTGATATACGGTGAACAAGGTCGGTCTGAACCCCTTTGAAAATGTGTTTATTATTCTTACGCAGATACAGGCGAACTATGGCCTCCAACGGACTCGGGTCTGCTGAAAAACGCCCACGCCATAACCTTCACAAACACCATAACCGCCAAATCCGGCCGTCCCATCACCGTCCCAGCGCCAGGGAGCCAGTTCGACGTTCCGAGAAAGCTGCAAGACCTCGCACTGCAGCAGGTCCGCGCCCGTCTTCCGCAGATCCTCGATGGTGATCGACAGGTCGACTACTTCCGTCTCTGCTGGGACTCTGTCACGCATAACAAGCACCCGGTGATCACGCGGCATCCTGATGAGAGGCTGCAGAATCTCTACATCGCAGCCGGGGGCTCGTTTCACACCTGGAAATTCCTCCCTACGATTGGCAAGTATGTAGCGAATGTGATTGACGGAGTGGGCAATGGATCTGAGAGGGATGGGCTGTGGGCGTGGAAGACGACAGCTCCCAAGAGAGACCGGAAGGAGTTGAAAGAATTCTACTGATATAACTCATGGATAACTCTTGATATCCGCCGATATTATTATATGTGTATCTTTTGGGGGGGGTTGTCGACAGTGCCATGGATGATTGATGTTTCTTCACTGCGTCATACTTCTTCAATACTCTTCTCCCCCAGACCATCTAGACCATGGAAATGATGAAATACTGCTAAACATATCGACGATGATGTCTGGTACAGCGTCTGCCTGTCAGGCATGGGGTATGGGGTAAAAATGCGGGAAATGCTTCCTGTTCACTTCTTCTTTCTCATCCATCCACATTCGTCTCATTTCATCCGTCTATCTACATTCATCTCATTTCATCCATCTACATTCGTTTTCATCTGTATATAGAGCAGAAAAGCACGAATCGACGACAGGAATCACAAAGCAACAGCATCTACATATTCTTTTGGAATAACTCTGCGAAATGGATCGTTGCATCTACGCGCCGTTCTACCCCATGCGTCGCCTACCTGCGTCTCACGACGACAGACGGCAGTCTGACGAACTCTCCCGGACCTCAGTTGAAAACAACGTTGGCAGCGAGGTCGGGTTCGACACGATCGACGAAGAAGAGTACGAGCTACCTGCCCCGATCCGCAGCCCGAGTCCTCAAGCGGACGACGTGCACAATCACAATCACAATGGCGATCACGATCACGATTACTACCACAGCTATAGCTACAGCCATAACTACGCATACAACTCGAGCGACACCCCCGACTTCGCCGTCCGGAGCGGCCCATCGACAACCTTCGTCACCCGCCGACCCATCGAAGGCGACTGCAGCATCTGTATGCTTCCACTCCGGTACGAAGAGAACAACAGCGACGACTCGAGCGACACCGAGAGCACGAGCTCCACTGACTCAGAATTCTGGGACCCGCCGGGCCCGGACGCGGACGCTGAATCAGAAGAAGCAGACGCTGAGCCTGAGCCTGAGCCTGAGCCGCATGCCCATGTCTCTGGCTCTGGTGCTGTGCCCGTGTGGGGACAGATGGCGCACGACAGCCACGGGCTCCTGTGGTGCCGGAGACAGTGTGGGAATAATTTCCACGGGAGATGCATTGATCGGTGGTCGTCCGTGGAGAGCTTTGGGTATAGGCGCCCGACTTGTCCTGTTTGCCGGAGTGCGTGGGTTGATTAGGTCTTTTGTCTTGGGAAGTGTCTTATTTGGTTCTTTCTGACAGTCCATGGGCGTTTATTATTATTATTATTGACATCTACAACTAGTTCATTAATAGTCAAATGGTAGATTCATTCCATCTCATCGCCAGCATACAAGTGAAACACCGTGATCATGAAGTCCGACGAATAGAACTACCTCGATTGGCCCAAAATACCGACAGCTTCGGCTCTCCAGCAGCAGATGCTGCAGATGCAGATTAAAACATTATGATCGTTGGCTGTTGGGGTCAACAAGATCGTCACCGGCTCCAATAACCCACATCTAATTCCACTTTAAGTTATTTACATCTCCACAGCCTACACGGTCCGCAGGATTACTCACGAAGTCAATTCCCGAGGTCTCCTTCCCCTCCGTCGCCCCTCCGATCTATCTTCCTAGTACTCATCGCCTACTCACACCCAGGCTCAGCACATCCACAATGTCCCTCCGATCCATCTCATTGTCCTCCAGGGCCATCCTGAGGAGGTCCTATGGCACCGTCAACAACAAATTCCCCTTCCCGAATGTCCTGCAAGAGGCGACGACAGCGTCCGTGCCGCGCACGAACTGGACCAGGGACGAGGTGAAGGAGATCTACGAGACGCCGTTGAGCCAGTTGACATATGCTGCTGTATTTTCCCTCTCTTTCTTATCTATACGACATCTTTACAGACCCGTTCAATCCTAATGATGAATAAATACAGGCAACCGTCCACCGCCGCTTCCACGACCCCGCCGCAATCCAAATGTGCACACTTATGAACATCAAAACCGGCGGCTGCAGCGAAGACTGCTCCTACTGTGCCCAATCCTCCCGCCACAACACAGGCCTGAAAGCCACCAAGATGTCCCCCGTCGACGAAGTCCTTGCAGCCGCCCGAACGGCCAAAGCAAACGGCAGCACGCGGTTCTGCATGGGCGCCGCCTGGCGCGACATGCGTGGCCGCAAGACCTCCCTCAAGAACGTCAAGCAGATGGTTTCCGGGATCAGGGAGATGGGCATGGAAGTCTGCGTGACGCTGGGGATGATCGATGAGAACCAGGCGAAGGAGTTGAAGGACGCTGGATTAACTGCCTACAATCATAACCTCGATACATCCCGGGAGTTCTATCCGACTATTATCACGACCCGGTCATATGATGAGCGGTTGAAGACGCTTTCGCATGTTCGTGACGCCGGCATTAATGTTTGCTCTGGTGGGATCCTGGGTCTGGGCGAGGCGGACTCGGATCGCATCGGACTCATTCAGACTGTGGCTAGTTTACCGAGTCACCCTGAGTCGTTTCCGGTGAATGCACTGGTGCCCATTAAGGGAACCCCGTTGGGTGATCGGAAAATGATCCCCTTTGATAAGTTGCTCAGGACCATTGCCACGGCTAGGATTGTCTTGCCTGCCACCATTGTGCGATTGGCGGCTGGGCGTATCTCCCTCAGCGAGGAGCAGCAGGTTGCTTGCTTCAATGCCGGTGCCAATGCTGTCTTTACCGGGGAGAAGATGTTGACTACTGATTGCAATGGGTGGGATGAGGATAGAGAGATGTTCGAGAGATGGGGGTTCTATCCTATGCGGAGTTTTGAGAGGGAAAGCTCTGCTTCTGCAAAGGTTCAGGATGTCGTCGAGGATACCCCTGCGCAAACCGCTGCTAGTGCGTGATTCATATCCTCTGAATTGAAAAAAAAAAAAAAAAAAGAAAGAAAAGAGAAAAAGAGCAAACGAAAGAATGAAAGAAAAATGCCGCTGCCCATGTCTCCTTATCGGAAAAACATGTCTCATGATCTATATACTTTTTTTCATATCCTTTTCTTTTATCTCCGGTGATCCACATGTATTTACAGCTCAGCTAGACCAAAAGAACAGAATGCATACGCCAATATACATTAGATCCCAGTGCTCACATCGAAGGATCAATCTAACTTACAACAAAGCCGAGCGGAGCAGTCCTTCCAACGCCCGCAAGGACTCGGACTTTGACGTAGTACTAGCCATCAAGTATAGCACATTGCCGAGGACTCTGGAGTGCACGTTAAACTGCTTAGCTCCGACTGAAAGATATTCTTGGAGACCCTTTGCTGCAGTGGATGTGTAGCCTATGTACTCCATGTCAGTCCGATCAGTTCACAAAGTATAATTGGCCCCAGTGGGGATAGGGGAGGAAATGACATACCGGCGCCCTTCTCGTCTCGCAACGAGATACTGAGAACTGTGCCTATTGAAAAAATACCATCTACTGATTTTGCATGGGAAAGATCATGCACAAAATCGCGCGACCATACACTCCAGATATCCGGGAGCGTCTCTGTTCCCTTCTCATTACTGCTTCCAGTTTCGCTCACCCTCCAATCCTCGCGGCACTTATCCCAGGAACCGGTCGCATCCAGGCTCATCATGGTCTGCAGTGAGTCCGCGGCAACGGTGCATCCTATTGCGTGGGCCGTGTAACTGTGTCCGTGTAATAGGGCGTCACTCTTTTCCGGGCTAGAAAAGGCGTCGAAGATTTCATTACTGGCCACTGTCGTGCACAGAGGGATTAGTCCACCCGTTAATAATTTGGCGTTAACAGCGATATCTGCGTCAACGTTGAGGAATGAGGCGGCAGTAAAACGTCCGAGACGGTACAAACCGACGAAGACCTCATCGAAGATGACAGGCAGGCCGGACCAAAATGAGTCCTTGCCTCCACTAGGGGATTTGGCGGTAGTCGAGAATAGCTGTGGGTTGTTGCGGACGACTTCAATTAGGCACCGTTGGAATAGGGGATCGCTATAGATGTGGATGTCAGTGGTAGTTAGATCATGCTGAAAGAAAAAATACTAACCATAAGAACATCCCACCGGCCCCTAAAATGATGGGCTCGAGAATAAGAGCACCGAATTTCTTTCCTTGCTGCTGAACAGCATTTTGGATTGTGTCCTTGATGTAATCCTGGTACCGTTTCCCAACATCCGATCTAAGTCTCTCCTCCAGATTGAAGATAGCACTCAACGATGAGAAATCGAGATCTGGGCCTAGTGATACTTTGAGAGTCTCCGGAACCTCGATCTTCCAAGTTCCCCGGGTCATCTTCACTTTAGGGAAATCGAACCAGTACCCGCGCCCACGATACCATTCAACTTTCTTGTTATAAGTTGACGGTTCAGAGCAATCCATGACTCCTATAGTGTCGCCATGATAACTGCCTTTAAGACCTAGGATACTGATTTCCTCTTTACTCGCGTCCCATCCGTATCGCTGACACGCAGCTCTCAAACCCATCTTCACAGCGACTTCCATTCCAGTACTTCCGTTATCCGTGTAGAAGACCTTTTGGAAGCGAGGATTTCCCAGCTTTTCCAGTAGGATTTCTGCCAGTTTAAGTGCTGGTTCATGAATAGTTCCCGCGAACATGACATGTCCATACCGTCCAGCTGCATATGCAGCAGATAAGGAGAGGTTAGGGTTGCCGTGTCCTAGGCCTTGGGTCCACCAGGATGCAGAGCCATCAAACGTAGCACGAAGTTTGCCATCTCCCGCACTATCATTGTTAGACTGGTACGTTTGGAAGTAGTCGTCATATGCTGAATCGATGACGGTAATGTCCTTGGCTTTCATGTCATGATGCTGGGTGAACGGATACCAGATCATGTCGTGAGCACGATCAGCCATAGACTCCAAGCGGTCAATTCTCTCGGCATTTTTAACTGCTAGCTCATCCAAGAGCTGCAAGATATCGGACTCCTTCGCAACCTTGGAATAATATGCTACCAAAGCCTCCTCGTCTCGTGCGAGAGAGTCAGCATCCTGCCCAGCGGGTTTCACCGGAGGCTGCGGTAGTGGCACGAGCGGAATGCTCTTCTTCCTAAAATAATCGCTTAGATATTCGTGGTTCTTATAATAATTGTCACGGAATACCAAAACCGAGTGCACATCATAGCCACGGAGCATGAGAGATTCGTAGGCGGAGATGGACGACGAAATACCACCCAGGCGAGAATCTGCGACCAGGACAATTGGCAAACGCAGGGGCCGGTAGAGGTCCGCTTGAGAGTTTCCATTTGGACCAGGAGAATGCACACCACCGGCTGTTTCTACGATGCCGAAATTGATGCCATCCTGGGCCCAATCTGACAGAGTACTGTACACAGAGGTCAAGATCTCATCATCGTGCGGAACCTGGTCGTGTTAGCACTTCACTATCCACGGCAAAGCTGGCATTGATAAAAAATAAGTGGCTTACTGTTCCTTGCTGGGCTGCAATATGCGGGCTGACCGGTTCGTCAAATTGGTATAGGCATCTCGTCCGGACCCCAGGTGCAAAACGCTTAATATGTCTGCATAATTGAACCCGTTAAGCTAAGTCCTAGGCATGGAACTGGCAAGAGAAGACAAAAAACATCCAGCGGATTCGACAGACGGACCGGTCATCAGCTTCGTCCAGTGGGCCTGTCGACACGGGCTTTAGAAAAGCGGCCTGACCCCGGGACTTTTGAAAGGCATTGCATAGAGCAGTTGAGACGACTGTCTTCCCAACACTGGTGTTAGCACCGTAGACTTGGTGTGCGCGCAGTGTGCGCCAGAGAGCTGCTCCAGTCGGCGGCATCCTGATAGGTATATCTAGCCAGCGAGTCTACGGGAGCATGACAGGAGAATTGAACAATAATAAACCCGTGTTAGGACTCCGGACTCAGAAGCTTTCCAGTCTGTGGAGAAGGGATTAATTAATGAGCATGACGGTGTAAATGCCGAGGATCGGCACTGGAAACACCGAACGACAGCCGGTTGGCTGTGGGCTTGTATGACTGGCTCTGCAGAAGACAACGCCGCCGAAAGCTTAATGAGTAACGACCCGGACCGCAGAGGAGCGATGAGAGCGACGAGGGAGAGAGCAAGTTGTTGGGACGCGAACCGTGGAAGTCGTTGAGAATGGAATTTCCATTGCAAACACCGTTGCCCTAGACGGACTAGCGCTGATTATGTCATCGGGGCGTCGTAATACCACAGCATACCTGACTCTTCCCTCGGTAAGACTTGCTTCTAGAAACATGCATCTCCATCTTCAACATCTCCATTCCAGCTATGGCACAACTTACATATTGGACAAATCTGATACTCGTTAGATTCTAGGCATACTCTCGAGCAATTTTAGAAACATGACAGGCACTGACTTTAGGATTCCTGTCCGCTGATATTCTTCTGAGAATCACCCTCTTCTTCCGCCATTGCTGTGCTCCTCATACGCTTTCTGGGCATACAACCCTTCACTGTGGCTGCTATTTGCCATTGGGACCAGAAGCAATCATGTCGTCTCCCAAAACGCTCGTGGATTCCTTCCAAGGAGCCCTGCGCAAACGAGAGGCCAAATCCTGCCGTCGACGACTGACTGTCTTGCCAAAAGATTCGGTCGACCTTTCATCCAATGATTTTCTCTCTCTTTCTACCTCTCCCGCTCTTCGTTCTCGATTCCTTCGGCTCCTGAACGGCGTTCCCGAGAATGTCCCATTTGCGAGCGGTGGCTCCCGGCTTCTGGACGGGAACTCGGCTTATGCGGAACAACTGGAGCAGTTCATAGCTTCATTCCACGATGCCCCAGATGCGCTCTTATTCAACTCTGGCTTTGATGCGAATGCAGGTGTGCTTTCATGCATCCCTCAGCCAGGAGATGTGATTGTCTATGACGAGTTCATCCACGCTAGTATTCATGAAGGCATGCGTCTGTCACGAGCCGGGAAACGAGTCATGTTCGAGCACAGCTCACCTGCTAGCTTACGAAGTGCTCTGGAGACGCATATTGCGGCGGATCCTCTGATCCGAGATGGCTCTCGGAATGTCTTTGTTGTGATAGAATCCGTCTACAGCATGGATGGAGATGTGGCTCCGATCCAGGAGTTTATCCAGATTGTAGATCAGCTCTTGCCGAAGCGAAATGGATACTTCATTGTTGATGAAGCTCATGCAACTGGGGTGTTTGGACCACGTGGTGCTGGTGTTGTTCAGCAATTGGGTGTCCAAAAGCGCATGTTTATCAGAGTTCATACGTTTGGCAAGGCCCTGGCTAGCCATGGTGGTATGTATCCTCCGAAGGCGTTTTCTTGCTAAATTGTTCCAAGACTGATTCCTCGTTAGCTGTGGTACTTTGCTGCTCTGTTACCAGGGATTACTTGATCAACTATTGTCGCACTCTGATCTACACGACGGCCTTGGGGTTCCCTGGTCTTGCTTCAATCCGTGCATCGTATGAACTCCTTTTGCAAGGAGAAACAGAACCTGTAAGATGGCCATCCCCTTTCATTGAACATGATACTGATACCCGAGTACCTAGCTGCAACACAACCTCCAGCAACTGATACAACACCTCAACAACAAACTCAATGAGCTGGACTCGATCGATACCGCCGTGCTCCAAGTCGACCAGTTTCCAGGATCGCCTATATTTTCAATTCGTACTTTATATCCACGCCATCTGGCGACTTTCTGTCAACAAAACGGATTTATCGTTCGCGCCATCATGCCTCCCACTGTTCCTGCAGGTAAGGAAAGAGTCAGGGTGTGTCTGCATGCAGGTAATACGACGGAGGAGATTGATGCTTTCGTGGAAACGATTGAGCAATGGCTTCAGAAGGTTAAAAAACAAGACTTTGCTAAACTGTAAAGTATGGTTGCCAAAGGTTACGCCTTTTGTTAGATGATATGGTTGCTTCCTGATCAAGTATTTGTACATATAGGGTAGTCAAAGAGCTGTACATTGAGTGTCTTGCTTTAATTGTATAAATGTCAGGCCTTTTCTGGTCCATCTGTATGTGGAACGGCCAATATTGAGGCCATTCTTGTACTTTATACTACTGATCATACATTCTTAGGACTGTTTGATATCTCACAAGTTGTAGAACTATGGTGAACTGATCTACTTATACACACTACTTCTTTGTCCAGATACCCTCTACAGGTAGTCTAATAACAAACTCTTTAGTAATGCTTTCAAATAAATAGAACCAGAGTGTTCTGTACAAAGATCCTCTATGCCACCAGCAGAAGTTTGGACAAGCTAGGTTGCTAGGTAAAGTGACAGCTAGAGGTATCCACTTGCAGTGAATGAGATGGGTCTCTACAGCTGATCTATTTGTCTTCTCCTGTTAGAGAATGTGCTAGACTGGAAAGAAATGGAGCTTCCCAGGACATATTTCCACTAAATATTAAGAGGGGTGTCTTCTACTGTATCTGTATGATTCAGTTAGCCCTTCTAGAGGGTGAACCCTACTCACACTAAGGGTATAAATCGCACCTGATATCTCGCCTTTCTCCTCATCTCTTCCTTTCTCTTGCACGTCTCAATCCTTTCACTCTGCCAATCTCTCTCTTCTGTACCTGACGCAATTGACGCTTCCTTCCTCGCCCTCACTCTTTAAAGTCCCCTCTTGCAATAATGTCCTATACAGCTCTCTTCACTGGCATCCTTGCCTTGACTGTAATTACAGCACAGCCTGATTTCTTTCGCGGACATAACAACTCAAATACTAATATAATACATCTAGTTCTCCACCCAGGCCCATGGTGGTGTCGTCCATGATAAAAGTGTCAGTGTCGCCTACCTTGAGTCCCAGGGTTATACTATCAAACCTCTGGCTTTCACTGGTCCCCTTGTGCCTGGAGGTGACAATGTTACTCTTACAGGTTCTGCTGATGTAAGTGTATCATTATCACACAGTTTACTATCTTTTTATATAAGTATGGTAACTGATATGGAATGTGGCTATAGCACATTCTCACCCAGCTGATGGAGCTTAACCCTACCTACAATGCGGCCGCTATCTACGGCTGGGACAAGACTAGTACTGAAACTGCCGGGAATGTCAATGGTAACGAGACTGATGTCGATTTTAATATTGATCGCATCATCAAACGCGAACGCGTACGTTTTATCATTCTATTTGAAACAAACAAACACTGATACTACTCCAACAGATTGTCAACGACATCCGCTGCACTGACCGCTTCCGCGGTGTCGGTCGAACCAGTGCAGTGAAGGAAGGAATCGCCAAGCTCAAGAAACTAGGTGGTACCTGCTCTGCTGAACCGGATACCTGCACGCGTATGTTTTGCGGTGACGAGACGGGGATTTATCTGTGCAACAATGTGAGTTTGAATCAGATTCTCCTGTTACATTCTATATTATTCGCTGGACGGAATAATCTGGATATATATATGAAAGAAAAGAAACATGCTGATGAAGAAAAATAAGAGCGACAAAACAGTCAGCCGCTCCTGCCTAGAAATAGCAGAGGACTACGCTGACGTTGTCCGTCTTGTCTGCACGGTCGATCCGTACAGGACCTATTTCAATGGGCAGATATTTGATACGGAGAAGTTCAATGTCTTCCTCGGCGGTGCAGAGTGTCATTGGTAGATAGGTATTTGTTTATTATTTTTCTCTTTTCCGGGCGATGGGGAGGATGATGATACCGTATCCTTGGAATGGGCTGAAGTGGATTGAGACGGAGATGATGGCATGTGGGAAACAAACTGGGTCTGGTCAATTCTTTCAGTTGTTGCTGTATTTTGTCCATTGCTAGGAAGGTAATATGGAGGACACGACGGTTCGGGCATCTTGTTCAGAGTCCAGGATTAGGGCTAGCGGCTGTTGGCCACCATTTGTCATCATGCTTGTTTATGCTTCAGTTACGTGCTCAGTGGATGAATTCATGACTTTAAGATGCTATTATGGCCTTTTTTTTATCACTCTTCTTTACCTCAAAGTCCTAATTCACTACTTCACTACTTAAATCCTAACTGCAGACAGATTTTGTAGGCTGGAATAAACCAACCCATACGCAATAAAAAACGCTTCTAATGCCTATGTTTATGGTATAAACTAATATGTCTCGTATCATTGCAAGCAAAACTCTTTGTACTAAAACCCGCTCAAAACATAATACCAATCAATCATGCAGTAGCAATCTTATCCTTGACATACAAGTCAATATACTTGTCAACATCGTAGTTCTCCAGCTCAGCCCGGTTGTTGCCCAGATTGATGAGCTCGTCGATGCGAGCCTGGTCAAAGTGTGCCTGCAGGTGACGCTTGTACTTGTCGAGGATCTCGGGCTTGGCTTCCTCGCGTCTGAGACGGTGGCCCAGGGGAGCCTCAACAGCCACCTCTTCAAGGACGGTGCCATCGTTGAGGGTGACGGTGAGGGCGTTGGGGATGGTACGCTTGGCAGGGTCGTGGTAGTCCTTGGTGAACTGGGGGTCCTCGACGCAGCGGATGCGCTTGCGGAGGTCCTCGACGAGAGGGGAAGTGGCGGCTTCAGAGCCATCGGCATAGTCTTCGGCCGTCAGACGGTTGAAGGCCAACATGGTGGCGACCATGTACTGGAGTCTGTCAGAATGTTTCTTTCTTTTACGTACGGGAGTATACACACCTGAACACAGTGGTCACGGTCAGCAAAGTTGTCCATTGCCTTGAACTGCTTGTCAATGATGCGGATGCAAGCTTCATGTGTACGGTTGGTGATCTCCTTGATGTCCTTGGCGGTCTTTCCCAGAGCAGCGAGTTTCTTGTTGATGATCTGGGCAGCCTCAATGGCCGTCTGGGAGTGGAATTCGGCTATGGAAACAGGTCAGATGACAAACTGTAGCGAGAATACCGCGGGACCAAAAACTGAAAGCTTACCTGGATAGGAGACCTTGAAGAGGACATTCTCCATGACGTAGCTGCCATACGGGCGTTGGAACTTGAACGGCTGGCCCTTGAACAGAACGTCATAGAAACCCCAGACCGGGGCAGAAAGAACGGTTGGAATTCCCTTCTCGCCCTTCTGGACGCGGAGAACGAGGTTGACAGCCCTCTGGCATGCATCACCAGCAGCCCAGGACTTCCTGGACATGGTGTTAGGAGAGTGGCGGTAGGTCCGCAGACTCTGGCCATCTGCCCATGCCTGGGTGATGGCATCAGCAGTCTGCTGCTCGGTGAGACCCAGCATCTTCGAGACCACAGCTGTGGTAGCGACCTTGACCAGAACAACGTGGTCCAGTCCGACCTTGTTGAACGAGTTCTCCAGAGCCAGCACACCCTGAATTTCGTGGGCCTTGATCATGCCCTCCAGGACATCGCGAATCTTCAGGATCTTGCCGTTTCCCAGATTGCCTCCGGCACGGTTCGTACGGGAGATCCAGTCAGCCACAGCGAGGATACCACCGAGGTTGTCAGAAGGATGACCCCACTCGGCAGCCAGCCAGCAGTCGTTGTAGTCGAGCCAGCGGATCATGGCACCAATGTTGAATGCACCGTTGACCGGGTCCAGCTGGTACGGGGTTCCGGGCACGCAGGTGCCATTGGGGACCACAGTGCCCTCGACAATCGGGCCAAGGACCTTGGTGCATTCCTTGAACTTCAGTGCCTCCAGACCGCAACCGAGGGTATCGAGAAAGACGAGACGAGCAGTATCGTACTAGAAGCATCGAGTCAGAGGAATATTAGGGAGGCGAGAGAGAAAAGGAGAAAAGAAAGGGGACAATACCGCCAAGTCGGAGTCGATCTTGTACTTGTGGATGTAATCTGCCAGATCCTTGATCTCAGGGTCGTACTCTTTATCGCCCAGAGCAACCGGGGCAGCCTGAAGGCGAGACATTGTCGAGAAGCGAGAAGCCTGAGAGACTGTGGCCGAAGGGGACTTCAACGAGCTGGTGGCGACGCGGGGAGCGGAGAACCTGGAGCAGGAGGGAGCAACCACGCGCGAGGACAAAGAGCGGGGGCTAGACCTAAGGGTCAGCCGTCTCAACGCTGAGCACGAAGACATGACGGGCAGAGGCAGGGAAGGGATAGGAATTGACAGTACCCAGGATGAGGAGATGCAAGAAGAAAGAAAAGAAGCAGAGGGAAAAGAAGAATGAGGATGACCTACGTATTAAGTCAGTACGTTGCCGAGGCCGCAGATCGGCTATTCTTGCTGCTGCCGTTGGCGCAGGCTGGAAGGGAATAGCAGACAATCCTCAATAATAATACTAAATCCTAAATAAAGGTGCTTCCGTTAGGCCAGCTGCGAATATCGGGGGTCTTCTGTCGGAAAGAAAGGAATTTGCTGGTTATGATTCCGACGATGCAGAGGATTCCTCTTCGTGGATGTTTTGAGGGCAACCGAGGTAGCTGTTGTTACATGCGGGGGTGTATTACTTAGCCCTACGTGTTGCTACGACAGGCACATTGGAAATGTACGCCATGTAGTTCAGTTCTACTGTTCAGCATTCATGTGATCCAATCTAGGCTATTGCTACATTGTAAAACACGTTCACAAACTCCAATGGCTCATTGTCCGCTCGAAATGTCCGTGTTTTTGTGTTCCCAGCTCCCTCTCAACTATGGTCCGCTGTCCGCCTCTCGGTCCGCTATCCGTGTTTTCGGCTCCTTCCAGGAGACGGCGTATTCGAGCCAGGCTGGACCAGCTCCGTCTCTTCCAGATCTCCGAAGGCAAGGCTACAATTCAATAACAGCCGCTGGATCCTCCGCCGTGAGCTGCTCATCAGTTCTCCGCAGCGACTTAATGATCTCCCGATATATCGCCTTCGCCAAGATCGGAGGCACTGCGTTCCCGATCTGCTTGCGCACTTCTTTGGTCCCAAACCGGTGCTCCATGGGGAACGTTTGCAGGCACGCGAACTCGCGGTTGGTAAACCCCCGTCTGCCTGATGGGTGGTAGTTCCGCTCTCCGCCGCTACAGGTGATCGTCTTGGCTTGCTGGTTGCCATCGAAGGCATCTCGGTATCCGTTGCGGAACCCGCGAATCAACGCTCCGTCCACATCATGATCCGACGCTGTTCTGGGGATGTTCGCGATTAGAGAATTGATTGTCGTTAACGGTAAGAGCCCTGATCCAGGAAGTCCGTGAGTCGGCTTGGGGAATGGTGGAAGGCTTTCTCCTGGCCTGGGGACGGCAGACAGTTAGTATCTTTGGAGAAGGGGGAAAGGGGAAAAGGGGCAAGAAAGACAATACCCCGACGCAATGATGATCAATCGTCGTCGTGACTGCGGCACGCCGTACTCCATGCAATTCACGATCTTCCAGCGCACCGAATATCCAATGTCGACAAAGTCCTGCACTACGCTGAAGAATGTCGGCGTATGCCGCTCAGAAAGCCCGCTTGTCTCTTCCATCGTATGGACTCGGGGCTTAGCTTTGCGGATTAGATCCGCACATGACCAGACACATGCCGAATTCTCATCGTCTCTTGCGCAATTTACGGTATGGGCGGCCGAGAAGGTCTGACATGGGGGTGACCCGTGACTGACATCCACCCTCAAATAGTCTGCGTCACGAGTGAGGAAATCAAATACGTCGGTATGCTCGCACGAAGCGCTTGGGAAGTTCATCCGGTACGAATTCATAGCATGCGCATTGTTATCGAATGCCCACTTGATCTCCAGCCCCGCAGTTTTGGCACCACGCGACACGCCCCCGGCACCGCAGAATCCGTCTCCGAAAGTGTATTTTCGAGCTGGAGGAACGTTGGGTTCAGGTTCTTCTTCGGCTTCTGTGAGATCGATTACAGTCGTTCCACTTGAAGCTTCCAGATCAATAATTCCTCTTGGAGAAGACTGCCGGCTCTCTACGTCTCCAAAGGGAGTTGTGGTTCCTCTCCAAGTTTGTCTCAAAACTGCTAAAGGGACCCTGTAACCTTGGTCTGCTTCATCAGGGGTCAGATATGCCACCGACCCCTCGTTACCACAGCCGGAGTCCTTTTCCGGACCAGAGGGGCGAATCTGCTTGAGACGACAGAAAAGTGTGCCTTGCGAGGGGCGCTGTTCTCGTGTTTCCATAGACTTACACTGGTTTGTAAACCGGATATTGCAGAATCTTTTAACAGACGGTATAAGAGGCACATCATCCCTTGTGAAGGGGGCTATTACCCAGAGAAGTTCATCCCGCCAGATCGGGATACATGTATCTAAATGGCCGTCTGTAATCTTGAAGAGACGGCGGCCGCGTAGGAATATTTCCCCAGAGACGTCCTCCAGAACAGCTTCTATTCGAAGAAATGAATCGTCATGAAGCTCAACCGATAAGCCAGCTCTGTATATGATATCATCGATACATGCTTCTGGGATGATACGTCGATATTCAGGCTCGGGTGTTTGAGACTCCTTCTCTGGTTTTGGTGCTGCTTGATCTGAGATCTCGCGCCACTGTCGTAGTAACCTTGCGAAGTGTTCGTCGGTGAGATAGTCGCCTTCGTTGAAGGTGGAATCGTAGTCGGTCAGGTCTATCACTCCCTCATCTGATTCTGGTGGATCTGAGACTGGAGATGAAGTAGGAGCAACGTAAGTATCGTCAGTGATATCGATGATCGCGCTGTCGTCAAGGAAGTACTGATGATCTGGGTCGTTGTCATAATATATAGCGCTGTCCATGTCGATATCTATATCGTGTATGTCAATCGCTTCCATGGTGATGAGTAAAACGGGTGAGATGGCACGATGTGAGGCTTCAGGAGTGAGGGCAACAAGATATTCAGACTCGGATGAGACCTTGAAGAGCCGTCTGATCCTCAACTAGCGAACAGATAATGGCAACTATATACAGTTGAAGCAAGTAAGATGGAGAAAGAGAGGGCAAGGAGATGAAGGAAGAGACTGAATCCTCTGCCTGTCACGGCGGCATTCACTGTATCTGTGAATGACATGGCTGGGAGTGTTAAGGCAGTGAGGAGAGACTTGTTTTCTAGTGAGGGTATTAGAGAAGATGCAACAGACAAAGCCATGGGTGGAACATACTACAGTGTTTCTTAGTTATGTGGCAGGATGGGAGGAGGTCAGTGAGTATACAAACAAACCTACATGCATGCCGCGTAGTCAGGGCATATCTGTGGCCTGAGGCATTAGTTAGTTGTTAATCACCTCAGGCAGCAATTAGCTGACTAAACTTACTAAGCAGCGGCTCGTTCGGCACGGGACCGGAAGTATGTAACGCCGGTTCCTGCGGAAGAAACGAGAAAGAAAAAAAAAGCCAGTGGGGAAGCAATGAATAATGCGTCTTTCGTTATTGGAACGAAGATAAGAGGAATATTAAATTGCCTCCCGCTTCTCCTCCTCTTCTTCTCTCTTTCAGCTTCTGCTCCCTCCTCCCTGCCATGGGTTCTATTCCCTCCGTGCCGTTTCTCTAACATGTGCTGAAGTAGCAGCCTATTCGATCGTATCTTGGCTTTGACTGAACAATTTTTTTCCTGTTGTTCGCCGTCCCTCTGGATTCTTGGTCTGCAGTGTAAGTGTTCAAGCAGTTTGGAAGCTGTTGTTCGCTTCCAATCCATTCGTAGCTCTGTTTCTATGATGAATTTCGGTTTTTTTTAAATAGATGTTAGACTTCCTAAGCATCATTGCGGAGAATTTCCGACCTGATAGTACTCGTTTTTTCCGTTGTGTTTCTGCTGCATCCGTTCTTTGCATTCGTGGCAAGTGCTTACTGTTTCGATATTCCTAGTATCTCTTCGTCAAAATGTGCGGTATCCTCGCTTTGATCCTCGCAAATTCTGCTGCCTCCGCGGCAGTGGACTTGCACGAGGCGCTATATCTCCTTCAACGTGAGTGCCCAATTTCTACCCCTATGGGTGTTCATATGGCTAATGTTGGGTGTTGTTTTCTGTAGATCGAGGTCAAGATGCCGCTGGTATTGCAACCTGCGCGTCCGGTGGTCGGATCTACCAGTTGAAGTCGAACGGCATGGCTGCCAAGGTCTTCCACGATGGTGCCAAAGTCGCAGATCTTCCAGGTCCGATGGGTATTGGTCATCTGAGATATCCAACTGCGGGAAGCAGTGCAAATGCCGAGGCTCAACCTTTCTATGTAAATAGTCCTTATGGCATTTGCCTGGCCCACAATGGAAATTTGATCAATGCCACCGAGTTGAAGCGGTACCTCGACCTGGAAGCCCATCGTCACATCAACACCGACAGTGATAGCGAGTTGATGCTGAACGTCTTCGCGGATGAGTTGAGTGAGACCAAGAAAGCGCGTGTCAACAAGGAGGACGTCTTTGCCAGCCTTGGCAGGATGTACGAGAGGTGCCAAGGTGGCTGGGCCTGTACCGCTATGTTGGCTGGTGAGTAATTCTAGATCACCGACAATTGATATAAATCTGATTAACGTTGATAGGTTTCGGTATTCTGGGCTTCCGTGATGCCTATGGAATCCGTCCTCTGATCCTCGGGTCGAGGCCCTCCCTTGATGGCCCGGGCACGGACTACATGATGGCTTCGGAGTCGGTTGCTCTAGACCAGCTTGGCTTCACAGTCATTCGTGATATCCAACCCGGTGAAGCCGTCATCATCGAAAAGGGCGGGGAGCCTGTCTTCTGTCAGGTGGCTCCCAGGAAACAATATGCCCCGGATATTTTCGAATACGTATACTTTGCACGACCCGACTCTGTAATTGACGGTATCAGCGTGTATCGTAGCCGGCAACGCATGGGTGATCGCCTTGCCGCAAGGGTTCTCGATGTTCTTGGGCCTGAAAAGGTTAAGGATATCGACGCCGTCATCCCTATTCCTGAAACCTCGACTACTGCAGCGGCAAGTCTTGCTCGGTGCCTGGACAAGCCATATATCCAGGGTTTTGTCAAGAATCGATATGTTTTCCGGACTTTCATCATGCCTGAGCAGAAGACCCGGCAAAAGGGTGTCCGTCGCAAGCTCAACGCCATGAAGGGTGAGTTCAAAGGCCGCAATGTATTGCTCGTCGATGACAGCATCGTGCGTGGAACTACGAGTCGAGAGATCGTTACAATGGCAAAGGAGGCCGGTGCGAAGAAGGTCTACTTCGCTAGTTGCGCACCGGAAATCACGTAAGTCATGTTCCCTTGATTATGTCAGTTTGCATTTTGCGCTTTTCTGACTGGTATCTCTTTCCTTTTCATAGACACCCACATATTTACGGAATCGATCTGGCCTCGCCGAATGAGTTGGTTGCTTACAACCGGAAGGTGGAGGACATCGCGGACTATATTGGCGCTGACGGCATGATTTTCCAGACGTTGGAGGACCTCACAGGAGCCTGTCGGGAGATTGCGCAAGAGAGCGGCTGCAAGGAACCCATGAATTTTGAGGTGGGAGTCTTCTGTGGCCGTTACATCACTCCAGTGTCAGAAGGTTACTTCGATCATTTGGAGATGGTTCGCGGTGAAGGCCGCAAAATCAAAGCTTTGGAAAAAGCTAAGCAGGCTGTCACCCACGGTATTGCTAGCCAGAAGGATTTCCAAATAGCGACGAACGGTGTCAAGTTGGATTCCAACGGTAATATCGTTCCGGCATCGCACCCAGGGGAATCCGATATTCCCAAGGTCGATGTCAGCCGCATTCAAGCAAATGCCTCGGAAGAGGTCAATCCCAAGGTGAAGGACCGCATGGACATCAGTATCCACAATATGGGTGATTATGCATAGCATACGGAATGACCGAGTACTTAGCAAAATCTATACTGATGACTATTTTGGTTCTCACTTTTTCTTCCATCCGCCACTTTTGTCGACTTTCACATTGACTTATTCTTTTTTTTTTTTTTTTTTTTTTTTTGGCTATGTGGAGTTCAGGTCGTGGATAGAAAAAAGAGGTTGGGCGGTTAATTTGATTATTCCATTGCTTCGCATGAAGGAACCCTTGCTCTCAATATCTTTTTTGCTTGAGTATATGAATGGAGCATGACTATAATGTCTTGGATGTTTTTCTTAGCCCTTGGCACCACGGCTCTGTTTTACTAGTGCCTGTTTTTTGAGCAAAGCCTCTACCTCCGACTGGAACTAGGCCACAGCAACAATTATAATCGTGGCTGCAGTGAATGCTTATTATGTAAGCAGGCTATTATTTGCCCTTCTACGGGCTCAAATGGGCTTCATACCTCAGCGATTTGCGCATTACATAGCCAGTGACGAAAATCGGCACAGACTATAATTTAGCAGCTCTCGGGTACGATTTTCTGCTGTTGGGCTTTGACTAATTTGTTACCATTCGCAGTGTCAGAAATTGGCTGATATCGTCCTTCAGCCTAGTGCAGGGATCCAGGTCTGCTACCAAAACACTTGCATTCATTTTTCACAGGCTACTTCCAGGAATTTTCCAGTACCGCATCTCTGGTCTTCCTTTCCATCATGGGTGGGACACTTGACAAATTGGGCATTGAGGGAATGGCCGCAAGTATACCAAATCTGGTATTGGGTGCAAACTTCGCGTTGTGGGAATTCCGTGTTCATGTGGTAATAAGTTTGTGGCTGGGAGATGTCAAGGCACTAATTTTGGTGATAGGAATAAGAATACCAAAAGTAATAATGCTGGCACAGAAAGGCTGGCAAGACTGGATATCTTTATATATCTACCAAGATGTTGATACATATCTGCCCATCTTAATGTCCAGGAGAGTAAGCATTCGAAGAGCGAGCTCAGGATATTTAAGGCCTTAAGAAGCGGGGCTGCTGGATGCCTGATTCGGTCTTATTCTTCATGTGACCTTGCGCCAGGAATCCCAGTTACCCCTTCCTTCTCGATTGGCATTCGAACAAAACCTCTGTCTCTTTGGAGTCAGCCTGCTCATGTTGGATGATCAGTACCGCACTGGTGAGAAACGGCCAGTACAAGACATTCTACGTCGAAGATCAGAGGAATGGGTACCAGCAATTGGCAGTGATACTGACCTGGAATCAACATCGCATAAGGGAAATGACACCAGATGCGGTCGGCACCATGTTGGCTATATTGGTAAAGAAATTGGGCCCTGTCTCAGAGAGTCACCATTGTTTGAGGGTTACAACACATGTGGAGGGATAGAAGGCCAAGTGTGCTCTGTTCTTGCTGCTGTCTGGCTTGGGGAAGAGGAGCAGGAAGAGGAGCTGTGAAGGCTTTCTAATGCTTCCAGTAGATTACCTTTTTCCTAAATCCAAAGCGAACATTTCACAGTGACCAATATGCTACGGATCTTGAAAATCCTCTATCAGAAATGGCAACTATCCTATTGTGTATGTGTTGAATGTTTGGGTTAAGTGCTTCTTGGGAAATCCACATCTCTTCCTTATGGGTGGGGGAGTTATCTATTTAGCCTAATATATCTTGCTTAACCTGAATTATCTTTCTCCTATCTGAGCATAACTGGCGGTGCGAAATGTACTCAGACAAATGAGACAGAAGTCTTTGAGACTTGCGCTTAGATTTGACTCTGAAATTTCCATTATAGTGTCTCGTATTCTGCATCCAAAATAGGCATGCGAATCTACTTTCCACGAAGCGCTGACGGGAACCAAGAATAGCTACAGACGTAAGCAGGCCCGGCTTAGGATATTCATTGACTTAGACACAGCTGTGTCATGGAACCATCTGCAATCCAATCGCTCGCTTGCTGCGTTTCTGGTTCCCTGATCCTGGGATTGGGAGAAGGATATAAAACCCTAACCGCGGATCACTTTTCAATGCTATTCTCAGACTCGGTTTTGAACCTTTCCAGTGAATAATACCAGTTTGAAACAAATCCAAGGAGTCCGAATTGCCACGATGTTCGGTCTAGGCAGTTCCTTCAATAACCAAAGGCCTGCCACTGCTGGCAAACCCTTTGCAGAGCCTTCACAGTCTTATAGTGAGGTTGGTGTTCTGGTATCTCCTATTAATGCCATATGATGTTAACGCATATTATCAAATAGAGGCGAAAAGGAAAGCTCAATCCCAGTAGCAACGGATTTCTCTGCAGCATCCCACAAGACCAGTTTCGACAAGAGAATGATATTGTCCAGATCCTCACTGAGGCTGTCACTTCCTACATGTCCTTGAATTCTATTCGCATGCACGGCGGTGCCAAGAGGCAAGCATGTACCATTCCCGAATAGGAACGCTAAGCCGCATCCGGTAATTCGCCGTCACCGCACAGTGCGCTGTACACTGTGCAGAACATGACGTCACTACCCTGGGCACACCTCCGCAATAACGCCCAACGATCAACATGGCTATGCATCGACGTTCGCATTCCTGCAGGCAGATTTGCTTCTTCTTTCCTTACATGGGCCCTTGCGAGCTTTTGTAGGGCTGGCAAGATTGATATGCTTGCCAATCCCTCATTTGGTCTGGCGATCACCAAGTGCCATCGACGTAAATTGGTTGATGTATGACGGGTTGTGCTAAGACTCTATGTACAGAGATGAATCGGAGAGGCAAATGAGGGCGGATGTTTGTATTTTTGGGTGCCTATGATGTTAATGTGCCTACTGGGTACATTGGGTGTGTAGATATTTTATCATACTAGAGTGTATATAGATATATATATATATGGGTATTTCCGGTTCAATTCATGAACCAGTCTTTTTCATATATACATAGTATACACATACACTCAGAAAAGAAAACAAATCAACTTATCCTCATCATCCACATACTAATCGGATCGAATCAAATCAACAGAATGGGCGCTGTCGTATCCTGCGTACGTCAAAACTTCCCCTCTCACAGATAAACCCCTCGAAGATAACAAAAACTAATGACGAGAAACAGATCGCAAATGTCTTCCGCGCCATCGGCTCCTGCCTAATAACCATTGTCAACGCAATTGGAACCGCCCTCCGCGCCATAATCGACGGGATCGTAACGGTCCTCGACCTCACCATCTCATGCGTGACGTGCGGGGCTGTCGGGAGAAGGAGACATCTGAGGACGAGAGCTGGGACGAGGGCTAGGATGACGAGGGCGAGGATATAATTTCTGATCCTGGATTGGATCTATTCTCCGGATACATCGCTCCCTTCCAGAGACATACCTGGCAGGGAAAGAAAATTGGGAGGAAAGGGGCATATGATGGCATGAACATGAATTCAATGGATGTACGGACGAATTACTGGATGGGTAATGCCCCTGTTACGATGTTGAAGTTTGTATTTTTATATTGTTTTATTTTAATATATAATTTTTTTAGAGAATCCTTATATCCCCAATGTCTATGTACATTATTTTTGTTTATTCCCACATGATCAGTTTTTAATAAAACCGCTGCTGCACATTCCAACGAGATTAAAACATCATCGACATCAGAAAATCCTTCACTCTTTTATCTCGCATGGGAACATCATCCCAGCGTTCCTGGAATAGTAACGCTACAAACGGATCCGACTTGCCCTCTGCGTAGCTGAGAGCATCGAGGAAGTGGCATCTGCGCGCCGGCCATAAGAACGGGTAATTGTAGTCTTTCTTGCGTATATACATCCGCAGGAGTACCTGGAAAGTTTCGAAATCCCTTTCACGGATCAATTGCCGCAGTACGCGTTTCGAGCGAGCGCACGAGCTGTCTTCATCGATATATGCATCGAGGGATAGTAGTCGGAGAAATTCCAGCTTGGGTTCACCCCACGGTGCCTGGAGGAGCTTATCTGGCATTCGCGCGGGGGCAATTTCAGCACAGGACGGGAAATGAAAGAGATCAGTTGTGAAGTACACGGGGCCCGGTCTGCGGATTTCGACTGCGCCAAAATGGAACCAGATAGCGACCAGCATCGCTCGATCGGAATTTGAACCTGAACCCGAGCCTGAATCTTGTTGGTCTTCTTGATTCGTGTCGGGTTTCTTTGCGCGGAGGATAAGGTCGCCTCTACCTCGACGACCCATGGAACCGTGATCGTAGCGGCGCATGTCCTTGAAATAGGATGAGATATTGGACAATATGCGTTGGTCTTCCGGGGAGAAGATGAGATCCTGGCATTTCCGTCGAAGAACATGACAGATGTACTCCTGCTGACATTTTCGCATGAGTGACAATGTGCACCATCTGCATTCAAGAATGGCAGTCTGTAGCTTCGCACGCTCCTTCAGTGAAAGCGCGAAAACGTCGGCCTCCTCTGGCAGGTAGTCTCGTGTGAAGAAGTCATGTCTGGAACTTTCGTTGGTGCTGCTAAACGCGACTCGAAGGAGCCAGGTATAGACTAGCGGGGTAGATAGGACCCTGGCGATATGGATAGAGGCTCGTGGGAGGTTGACTTCGAGGCTGAAGAGGAAGATTTTCTGGATGATCTCTACTGGTAGACTTTCCAGTATCGACAGCTGCACAGGTTTCGGCTGCGTTTGAGACATGTTGCTCAAGTAGGACAATAAGCGTTTAACCCTCTGGATCCATTCATATATTATTAATTATGATTCTGTTCATTCATTCATCCCACTGCGCTCTTTCAGGATAAGGGCATCAAGGAGAGTTCCTATCCCCCTTGCAATGGCTGTCTTGACTTGGCGTGGTCATTCCTAGACGAGCTGTCAACCTGTCTAGTTTGACGGAGACAGTGATCGGCAAAAGAGAAGTCAAGTGAATGCAAGGACTCTTAGACCAGTTTTGTCCAGGAAGACTGAGCCAAAGCCTGCAATCCTGGTACTGGTGTACTTGCTGCGGGTGACCTGAGGGACGACTCTCACCGTCCAGAGTAACCAGGATAAGACGAATAAGCGAACGGAACACCCTATGGTGGAGTCCCAAGGGAATTCTTACTGCCAACACAGTAAGCTGAGAGCTGTTCGGGTGAAATGGGATGATAAGTCACAGACCGAGGGTCGAGAGTTGGACAGGTGAGATCGAAGAGGGACTAAAAAGAACGAGAGTCTGGCCATTGGGATTCGACCAGCACCACGCAGGTGGAGAACAGCGCTCACAACAAGGTACCAAAGGAAGCATTGGAGTCTCTAACTTGATCAATTGAATGTTTTTCGTTTGATATTTTCCGATAGAAAAACCTAGATTTCATGACATTGCAAACAGCGTACGCCAGACCCGTCTTAAAAAGGTCGATCAACCCGCTACTTCGCATTGACTCAAGCAGGGCCAAATATACCCGATGACCAGACAAATTTGCTTCGTCTACAATCTTGACGCAATGAAAGCAGGACTTTATGAACTACTAATATTCTCAATATGGATACGTCAGCAGCCACAGTGCGTCCACACGCAGCTGCGGCTCATCCGGATGTCGGAAGGAAGAAATACAACACCAAGGCACAGGAAAACCATCCTATTATTCAATAAATTCTGCTATACACGTTTGGAATACCAGCAGCGCACCGCGAGACCATGCAGACGGAAAACCGGATGACCCTATAATTCCAGTGATGAAATTCTCGGTGCGATCAAACTGGTTGGAGGGAAAAAGCGGAAACGCGAGACAAAGTTTCCGATATTTAAATGACAGAGAGATCTCCGAAGCGCTCCTACAGAACCGAAATAGAATCAGCAAGTCATTCCAATAGACAGCGTGCAAAGTATAATCAGTACGAACCTTGTAGCCAGGCGGCATCCACTTGCCGCGAGAGACCAAAGAAGCGGTCTTCTCGTCGATCTCGGGCTGGGCGGCAGCAACCTCGTCCTAGAAAAAGAAATATCTTTAGCATCCCTAATCCAAATGACCAAAATGCCTGCCAAAAAAAATACATACCACCGTGAGTTCGTCGAATGGCCGGGCAGTCTCAATGTTCTCCAGGGTCTTTTCCAAGCTACGCAGCTCAGACTCAACCTTGCCCTTAGTCTCCTCAGCGTTCTTGATAGCCTGAGTCTCAAAGGCATCAATAGCCTTCAGCTGACGGCTAACATCATAAGTAGCGGGCTTGAAGTTCTTGAGGTGGGTCTCGATCTCGTCGACAATAGCCTGATTCTTCAGGACCTGGCGGTAGTAGCTGAAGTCGACGGTCTGAGGGAGTTCAGACAAGACCTGGACCTTGCGACGGGCGTCATCGTTACGCTTCTTGAACGCCTGCAGGGAAGCGGCGGTTTGCCCGCGGAGGCCAAGGGAGGTGGTGACCTTGGCCCAGTCAATCTTGAGAGCGGCGCTGCGCTGTTAAAACGGACGGTTAGCGGATTGTATTCCTAGAGTAACTGACAGAGCCCTGCCAAGCAAGGAGCCATTGACGTACTGCTGCCATTGTGAAGGGGTGGCACAGGAGAGATCGAGTGGAGAGGAGAATTCAGCGTGCGAAGCTGAGGAGTCGGAGCGTCGGAGAGTTGAGGGTGAACTTCGGCAAAGGTTGGAGCGCACGGTCACGTGGTTCCCGTCAACACCGGCACAGAAGAACCGTTCACTTTCCTACGAAACGCATACAGCAGTGTTTGTTCTAAGTCCCATTTATTTTAAAGAACGACTTGGATTGAGAATCAGAGTCACTTTTCCTGCTTTTTTCCCGACTGATTTACACTATGCGTCTGGCAAAACCAGCACTCTTAGGGTCAAGTTTCATATTCCACGTCCATCTCACCCGCAGGCGAGGACACTTAAGTCATTGCAAGCGCGCTATACTTCTCATATGCTGAGCGCCATGATTGAGTTCACGATATCGTTATCGTTTTCCCTTAGTGCCTTGACGGCCTTCTTGCGGGATACACTGGCCTGGGCCATGACGAGCTCAATGTCCTTAGCTTCGAGACCAGTCTCGTCAACCTCCTCTCCGTCATCCTCCTCCTCTTCCTTCTTGGCCTCAGTCTCAGGAGCCTTGCCCTTGCCCTTGTCGTGGTCGTGGTCGTGGTCGTGGCCAGCGTGCTCGTTGGCAGCCTCGGCAGCAGCCAGCTGTTGGGCAGCAGAAGCCTGAGCCTGGGAGTTCAGGTCCTCAATCTTGGCCTCACCGAAGATACTGTATAGTTGTAAGCAAAACTTATTAATGCTCGTAATTTAGAGGTCATCGGGGAAACGAACATCCAGGTGTTGCTGCTGGGAGAGCGGTAAACTTCGGGCTGGTTAATAACGAAGAGGATCTGTACCCCCACGGAGAGAAAAAATCCGATTAGCCGTTTCCCAATGTAAACTTCACAGAAGAGCGATCGCTTGCAACAAAATTGACGGGGATGCAGGGTATACATACACCCTTGGGTCTGCGAAGGGTGACACGAGTGATGCCCGGGACGAGCTTCAGACCGAGCTTGCCAATAGCCTTCCTGGCCTTCTTCTCGTTGCGGTTGTGAATAACGACAGAGCCACCAGCAGGGACGGTGGGAGCTTCTCCAGCCTCAGATTCGGAGGAGCTGCCCGCATCCTCAACATTGGTCTTGGGGGTTTCCTCCTCAGGAATCTCCTCAACGCGGGGGTTGGCCATTTTCGCAATTCGGGCGAGTCTAGACAGATAAACGTAGAATCGATGGTCAGCACTTGCAGCGCACAATCGCTTTCAGTTCAGACAGAACTCGCTGTGACTCCCGCAACCTTCCAGAATTATACGCTCGTCAAGCAGTAGAAGAAATTCCCGTTTTTCAATTCTCTGGATAAAATTTCACATACCTGAAAGGATAACAAGGCGCTGTGGTGGGTGATATGGAGTCCCTTTTTTGGGGTTGTCTTGCTTGAAGGTTGGAAAGTCGCGAAGCTGTGTGAATCTCAAACCTCCCGAAGTCGGTTAGCGAGCTTACTCGAGACCCTCAAACCACAGACGATTCAGCACGCAGAGAGGCAGCCAACAACAACAGTGCAGAGTGTCTAGCGTCAAGCGCATACAAATGAATTGTAGATATTTTGTTATATGCTATTTTGACCTCCACTTTTTCTCTCCCTCCTACAGAGGTCTATATATGCTCAAGTATGGAGTACCAATCAGCGGTTATGACACATGTACCTGGACTGGTTCAACAACGTCCAGCGACCCAGAGATTACGAGCAGAAGAATATCAGCATACTTCATAGCAATCCCAAATTACTAGTAATCCTCACTGAAGACGACTGAGTGAGGAAACAGACAATTATGATGTACTGGTATATAGCAAGGGCTCAGTATAAGATCACATGACCTATAGGTTGCATTGCACTCGGTCCCATTCTGAACGCTGGGCTACTATTCAATCATTTCCCCAAAGCTTCTGGATTCATTAGAGATTTGGCTACTTATGCCAGAATATCCGGACCCCTTTTCATGACATAGGAGGACAACCACTGCCGGGATATCAAAGTCTTTTGTGTCATTTTTTTGCTGTCATTGATAATTCGTACAGCAATTCACTGGAAAAACACCAGTAATTGAAAATAGCCCAGAAACCCTCACACTATGCACCGAACCTCATGAAAAAAGCATTTATTTAGCAGCAGCAGCCTTGACCTTGGCATAGGACTTCTGGACCTCGTAGCGAGCCTAAAAGTAAGGATGTTAGTAAAGAACTTAATTGCATCAGTCGCAATGAATATTGCCGACTTGTGCGCCTCTCGCATCCATTTATAACCAAATCTCAACGTACCTGCTTCTTGAGTCTGAGGACCTTGAAGCGCTCGAAGTCGGTCAGGTTCTTCCTCCGCTCAGCGCGCTCGGTCTTCTGGGCAAAGTTGCTCTTAGCCCACTTGTTGTCGATCTCACTCTTCTCCCAGAGCTTCTTAACGGGACCGGTGCCGGCTGCGAGAGGCAGCTTGGGGATGACGAAGTGAGTCAGGGTAGCATGTGCGAGGGAGAGGACATGACGAGGGACGATCTTCTTCTCGTCGCCGGAAGGACCGTCAACGAGAACCTGCAATTGCACCCAGTCAATTTCAACTGTCCAGATCACATCATGACTTCTCCCACGCCTTCCATATCTTCATTTTCTCCCTCCGGTTGCCTCTAATCTTCCAGAATACCTGGGAAAAACGTACACGCTTGTGGTCGACAATCTGGACAATGACGGCCAGCTTGCCAGTGTAAGGCCCGCTGCGGATGAGGACCACACGGCCAACCTCAACGAGTTTCCATTGGGCGAGTTTGAGATCGATGTCGGCCATGGCGAAGGCTCCCTGTAGAATCGCGAAGTCTCAGCTTAACTGACCACCTCTGTAATTTTTCTCTTCTCTTTTTTTTACTGCGTTCAACACTCACGGTCAACAAACTCCGGGTCGGTGGGTGATCGGGTGGGGGAAATTTGTTGTCGAAGAGTCAGGGTTGTCGTCGAAGGGCATCCGCACGAACAAGTCGTTACCGCGAATTTCGGTGTTGCACAGAGTCTCGCTTAGCCGCCAGTAGAATCTCACCGCCCTGTGTGCGTGCGGCCTAGGGCTGTCACCGTTTCCGGACTAGTGCCCTCGCCAGCCGCTTCTGTTTTTCCGTTCCGAGGAAGCTCTTTTTCTTCGTCTTCCTCTTGCGTCTTCTTTTCTTCCAGCAGCGCTCTCTTGAACGCCCCTGTCTATAGGATATAATGTTATCCTATTCGAGCTATTCATTATCACCAGTTCCTCTTACTAACTGATGTGAGTACTGGTAAGTCCTAATACTCTCCTCTCAACCCTGACATCTCATGATGTGGTAATTTGCGATTGACGCAGTGTCTGTGAAGCCCTCGCCGGGGTTTTCAATACAGCACTGCCGCATGATATTAAAATCTTAATTTCTCTGAAATCTGTCGTTGTCAACTTTGTCGTTCTCCATATAAGCAATGCAATTGGGACTAATCCATTGAAGACTGTCCTAGGTTACTTGCTGCTTTTTCTTCATCCTCGACTCCTTTCAGCGATCTGCCAGGTATGTTCGAGATCTCTCTTTTAAAGTCCCTTCCCGGTCCGATGATTATACACTATCACGCCTAGATAGTAATTGACGCCATTGGCGATGATATTACCCTTTACACCAAGATCTCTGAGGACCTTCGTTTTCGCACAGATACTATTACTCATGTTCTGGTTGAATTTGATTTGTGTCTAACTTCCTCGCAGTTAATTTGACTAGTCAATGCGAAGCACTGCCAATTCATAGGACTCATGAAAACAGCTAGTGATAATAAAAGAATTCATGTACTCGAAGTTGATCAAAGTTCGTCGCTATGTGACAACATTTGCATAAGATAGGAAAAATTAAAAGGAGTAGAAAGCAAAAAGACGCTATGTAATTTTAGACATTCCATATCAATTCGCTCAAACGAACTGCCATTCGCCCCGTGTATCATGTATCCTTCCCACAAGATCCGTCTAAGTCCACATATATAAATGCCTTTTATGAAGACGCAGCCCCTGCAGCTGGCAAAGCCTCTTCACAGCTGAGAACCCACATGAAGATAAACTGGATGATATACGAGTAGATGAAGAGAAACTGCGTCCGACGGTTGCGCTGTGAACGTGCGACGGTCTGCATGGATCCACCGCGCATGGACACATCGCTGCTAGAATCAGGTAGTAGGACATACTTTAAGGAACGAAGCTGTTTCACACCGTCAGCTGGTCCAGTCATAGAGGTAGCGAAATTTCAGCTTACCAGAAAGAAAGCATTCGCAAGGAAAGTATAGGTGAACACTGTCCAACCGACCCAACCACCAGTTCCCCTTCCCGGAGTCAAGATCTCCGAGGCCACCAGGGTGACGATGATCCCCACAAATTTATAGCCAGAGTAAGCAACTAGGTCGAGTAATTGCGAGTCATTGCTGATGCTGAGGATGTACATCGCCATCTTCAAACATATAATCTCGAAAACGATGACCGCAATAGCGGTCGTAGTTATAGAACCCAGAAGCTCCGGGTGGAAATTTCCACGGAAACCTGCGAGCATCGCGGAGAGAAGGATGTACGTAACCAGGGCCATGACGGGAATGTACATATCCGGTGAATTGAGGTCATCGCGAGGGGGGAGGAACATGGACGAGTATTGCTGCTGCATTAACTGGCCATTAGGCCCAGCGGAGGTCGCAGTAAGACGCGCCTGCTGTCGAGACCACGGCTTGTGACGCCAGGGGAAAAGAACGAGGGCGAGTTTATTCAGGACGTAGGAGTTGGAAACGTTGAAGTAATGTTTGAGCGCTGGTATAGATACGTAGCGGTTGAACTGTCGCATCAGGTTAGAAGCTTTATTGGAAAAATGAAACACCATGGACCATCATAATTTGCAATGATGCACAATTTAATTTCTGCTGGCTGGCTCACATTCTGTTCCATATACTCTTGTCCAGCCATCATCGCATTCTTGCCAACTTGAAATCCCATTTGTGCTGCCGGGTCGTTGATGAAACCACCGAACCCCGGAGCAAATGTCCCACTGCCACCTTGTGCTGGTGACGGTTGATATGGATTGCCATAGCTTGATGTCTGAGGTTGGACTGGGAGAGGTGGTGAGCGCATCATCGGCACAGTCGAGACATGCTGCGGCACTGGATGGTGAAGCGGAGGAGACTGCGCGGGTTGCGGAACAAAAGGCGATCGATGCATGGTTGGCTAGGATCAAAGAGGATAAGAAAGAAGAAACACAGGGACACTGTTGCTCTTCGATTGAGCGTAAGCTAAGGAGACACGATGAGTTGCGAAGTGGTAGGAGTTCTTGTTTAAACGTGGCTGAAGATCCGCTCTGAGCTTCCGCAACTCTAACTATTTTTCTCTGTCCCCGCCACCATCCCCTTTTGCAGCGCAACAATCATTCCAGACGACACTGCTGCACTTCTATTACCCAAAGAGAAGACATGTTGGACACGTTCGAGATCCTGACGACCTCCGGAGTCGTTTTATGGTCCAAGTCGTACGCACCTGTTGGCGCCCACATAATCAACAGCCTTATCAACGAGGTCTTTATTGAAGAGAAAGTCCGACCTAACGCAGCAGCAGCAAATGGTCTGTCTCCAGTATTCAAGAAAGAGAAATATTCTTTGAAGTGGAAGAGGGTTAAAGAATTCAACCTAATCTTTGTGGTATGTCACCTACGCCTTTCAGTCTTCATTTCTGTCTGTTGTAATAGTAGCCTAACATGAGTTGCGACAGGCTGTCTATCAATCGTTACTTCACCTAGGTTGGATCGATAAACTACTGGATAATATCTCAACTATATTCATTGACCTATACAAGGATCAGTTGAATAGTGCGAGGGCTAGGGTTGTCGAATACCCCTTTGACAAATACTTCGAGCAGCAAGTCGGCGAGCTGGAAGATAATAGGGGCTTTGTCTCGGAGGCAGCATTGGCAGACAAAGAGGATAAGAAGGACCTGCTTGTCTCATCTGATAATGGCGGTCCCCCGCCTCCACCAGTACCTGGCCTTGTCAAAGGTATGTTTAGAAGCGTGATCCGCGTTCCCCTCGTCGCGTTGAACTGGTGCTAACGACCTAATAGCGCAGCGTCAAGCTGCGCCGGCCATGGCGACCTCAAATGAGCGTACGCCATCTCAATCTCCTGATAGTTCCAGATCTTCAACTCCCGTTGCGAGTCACATTATCACTGCCAAGGGTGGACCCGGAGGTCGTGTGTCTCGCCGTGCACGCAAGGCCGCCCATGCAAGCGCCAATGGTTCACCTGTCAGTGATAACAGTGCGCAAAAGGGCAAGACTCCCAAGTCTGGGAAGAAAATGCGTAAGTGGGGTGCCGATGGATATGCGGAGGAGGACGATGGGGTGGTCCTCGATTACTCTGCTCCCGCTGAGGATTCGAGCATCCATGTTCCAGCTGTGGAGGTTGTTCCACAGGAATCTTGGGGCAGTAGAACCGGCAAAGGCCAGTTTGTACTGAAGGATCTTGGGGATGAGGTTCATTCGATCCTTGAAAACGCAGACAATGAGCGGGCAAAAACGAGCGCATCCACTGGCCTCGTCGGTTCCGGTTTCAATGCCGTCGGTGGATTCTTCCGTAACCTTGTCGGCGGCAAGGTTCTGGCCGAGGCCGACCTTGAGAAGCCATTAAAAGCAATGGAGGATCATCTGTTAAAGAAGAACGTTGCGCGGGAGGCGGCAGTCCGACTGTGCGAAGGCGTCGAACGTGAGCTGGTCGGGAAGAAGACTGGCAGTTTCCAGAGTATTGATGCTGCACTTCGTTCGGCGATGGAATCATCGCTACGCAAGATCCTGACGCCCACGTCCTCTTTGGACCTGCTACGCGAGATCAATGCCGTCTCTTCTCCCTCAAGCAAGGGGCAGGCTCCGCGTCCGTATGTGATATCCATAGTTGGTGTCAATGGAGTTGGTAAATCGACCAATCTCAGCAAAATCTGCTATTTCCTGCTACAAAACAACTACCGCGTCCTGATTGCAGCATGTGACACCTTCCGCTCTGGCGCTGTAGAGCAACTTCGCGTTCACGCGAGGAACCTCCACGAGCTCAGCACTCGTGAAAACGTTGGCGAAATTGAACTCTACGAGAAGGGGTATGGAAAGGATGCAGCAAACGTGGCCAAGGATGCGGTAAGCTACGCAACAGCAAAGAAATTCGATGTCGTCCTGATCGACACGGCCGGTCGCCGTCACAACGACCAGCGTCTCATGTCTTCGTTGGAAAAGTTCGCCAAATTTGCGCAGCCCGACAAGATCTTCATGGTTGGGGAAGCCCTCGTGGGGACGGATAGCGTGATGCAGGCACGTAATTTCAACCAGGCCTTTGGCACTGGCAGACATCTGGATGGCTTCATCATCAGTAAATGTGACACTGTCGGCGACATGGTCGGTACGCTGGTCAGCATGGTGCATGCAACCGGTATCCCAATTGTGTTCCTGGGAGTTGGACAGCATTACGGAGATCTGAGGGGTCTGAGTGTACCGTGGGCTGTTGGCCTGCTGATGAAGTGATTGCATTGGCCATAAGGAGCTTACGGGATTCGGCCTCCTGGAGCTAGATATTGCTTTGCTTTGTGGGTGTATCTTTCTCCCTGCTCTCATCTTTTAGTATAATAAATGCCAATAAGAGGGATATATGGCCTGAAGTTCCGTCAGCCACCCTGCATGGTGACATGTACTCCGTAAGCACTGATAGATTGTACAGTTCTACATAAGTAGTATATAGTATCATTTATAACTAGAATAATCATTGGAGCCTGATTTATTTCATGACGTCCAGATTTTGGACAAAACAGGAATTATATAAAACAATGGTTCTCAATGACTTCGGCGTAACCCGAAAGCGAAAACATCGATATATATTACCATAACTTATAAGCCAACGACGACAATAAGAACAACAGTCAAGCCACAAAACACATGAAACAGTCACAAGCTCTATTAAACGCTGAACCTACCATATATCATGTTCCATTCCATGCGTCTATGAAAATAAGGACCAACCGGCCTTGTTCTTTTTCAAATTCCACCATGGGAATAATTCAGGACCCCTGGCAGGATACGAGCTACCTCATCGACCAGTGACGGTAGGAGGAGACTCCCAATGGCGCAGCATCTGGTTGACTGCCCTCGTCCACTCCTTCGTGCATGAATCGGCGAGCTTGTTGATATTGTCTGCGGACGGGATACTTCCTCCCCACATGTCAGGGTTGGAGGCGAGGGCTCTTGCGTGTTTGGGGATTAGATTCCTAGACGTATAGTTAGAAACATGCGGCACCATCTAAATGAAAGCAAAAAGAAAGAAACATACATATTCTTAATCTTCATCAAAACCAGCCAGCAGTAATTCCAGCTTCGAGAACTTGCCGGATCCCCGATGACCATCCACTTGGCCTCATCTAGACATTGGGAGCTGAAGGGATAGCTCCTCGTCAGGCCCCGGAGTTCACTGATGAGGTTGTTCGAGTTGACGTAGTGCAGCCATGCGCTAGTCATGGGCCCAGTTACGTCGTGGGAGGCGGATTGCGCGAGGATCCTCTCGATGCGGCGCAGTTCGGTGATGGTGTTCACCTTGTGCTTTTGGAGGGAGTCGATCAGTTGGTCCTTTGTGTATTCCATTTCGAGATCGTGGAAGGTTATAGACTGCGAGAGATATAGATGGACAATGAAGGCAATTCAAGAACTGCAGCTGGCTTTTCGGCTTGGTGGTGTCGTTAGAGATTGACGGTCGACAACACCAAGTAGATGGGCATATTATATAGCCAACTGGACGGAAAAGATGAGTTCGATGAGTTCAAAGAATCGTAGCGAGTATGCAAGACTCCAGAGAAGGATGATTGATGACCATCATACATTGATCTTGGAGAGCTGGAAGACTCACAATAACAACCAGCCCTAATCCAATCGCGATGGAATATAACCTCGTAAAGCACAACATACAGCATAATCGTTTCTAAATAAACGTGTCAACGGGCTTAGTGCCTTCGGGTCCTGGCAACCATTGACGAGCAATTGGGTAGGTTTTCCACGCACGCAGTGAGAACCAGGAACACCGATGCAGCAGCTGGGGAGGGATGAAGAGGTACAAACTGATTCACAATTAAGAAACATCTTCGCCTTTTTTGGAGACTTGATGGAGAGTCTGGATAAGCTTGTTGTAACCGTCACACTCGCGCTGAAGGGCTGGGCCTGGAGTAAGGCATTGCGGGAATAGGTGAGATGAGCATCCTCAGGACGGTAGTGATGATGATACAATGCAACGGAGGACTGATCTGACTTCGGAGCCAGCTATATTCACTTTCAGACATTATGCGATCTATCTCTGATCCGATGACGATTCGTAAGCCAATCTTTTCAGCTCGAAGTACACTGGTAAGTTGAATCACGGCGGTTGGCGCCTACTGACCGGTAAGACAGTATAGATTCCAGTTATATCAGGCGAGATGAATCTCTGCTGCAACTGAGAGCCATCGTACTATGCTACGCGAAACTGGGAGCCTCCCAGAATAGAAACGTCTCCGAGAAGCCCTGAAGGCCACATAGGAGGCTCAAGCACGACGATCCCAAAGGGCCGGGGGGCTTGCACTAGTTCCAAGAGCCATCCAGATCGCCGGAACGCTTGCTGTTAAAAATAATATTGCATTGAAGATGCTCTGTAGGGTACGGTTACTGTAGAGTTGCATTGGTTGCTAATCGTCTATGCTACCGAGTAGTAAGCAAGGACCGCGCCACAAATAGTTAACACCTTGGCAGGGACAGCAAGCGCTGCATAAGCCGGATAATCATGCTAAGCATAACCGCCGATAGTATCTGCATCGGAGATTTGTATCTGTGAGCTTGGCACGCTCGTTCGGGAGATCCGTGTTGGTGACTGGGACATTCTCTGTACTCTATAGATAGGGCAGACACGGCCACAGCCTTTCAGGAACCAACAGGACCCCCAAAAGACCAGCTTGGTTGACTTTTCGGTTCCAGGAAACACATAGATCGAGTACGGCGCTACGAACGAGACACCGAGAAGCCGTCATGATGTAGACCGGCTTGTACAGGTGGAAGTGCAAATGAGCCTTCCAGTCAGCCTCGCGCTTAGGGATGGATTCTGCAGATTTTGATGCATAACCGACAAATATTGAAGTCTCTTTAAAGACTGAAACGATGGGTTTGACCGGTTGAAACCAGAAACACTGGAGCTACGCCATAAGGCTTCCCTAGGATCATACGTCTGTTTCGGTAACCAGTGGAGCTGGAACTGGAACTCAAGATCATTCCACCATCCTAAGAGGATCCAAGAATAGACCCAGCATGAGAATTGCCATGAGCTGAATGAATGTCCAGGAAGCATCTTTAGCTCAGTGGGGTACATCAAGTGAAATATGCACCAGGTGGCCTGGGCTTGTTTCAGTTAGTGACTCATAGTTGAGCACACTAAACCCTAGTTCTGACATTCCGAGGGACGTCGTGGAGCCGAGCTGTATGAGAGAAGTTAGAATGCATTTCCCTAATGGCCTGAAGGAGAGCAAGAGAAGAGAAGAACAATCCTGAGGCATTGAAAGGCCTGGGCGGCCAGGGACGGCAGAATACACGCACTTCCTGAACAACCAGGTAATGGATAGGCATAGGCATAACTATGTATGGTCGTATTATCAACTAGGCATGCCTGTGCTGTGAGATAGGTAGCGAGGGCGGTCTAGGACGGCAGAACCTCACGTGGTACTAACACCAGGCAGAACACACGTGACCGCTGACATAACATAGTTGTGGATCTGTTGTTGGATCAACTTGCTTGTATTGTACCTATCTAGGTTGGTCTAGCTATTTTAGTGTGTCAGGCCAAGCGAGGGCGGTCTACTATGGCAGAACGCACGTGACCTCCAACAATAGTACATTGCTGACTCATCACTAAAGAAGCGATGACGTCATTGTTCTGGAAATGACTTAATAATCAGTATTTTCACGTGACGACTCAGCGACGCCTGCCTTGCTGCAGCTTCGCTTCTGCGCAGCAGGTGGGAATTCGTATTCTCATCTCTGTCCATCTCTCCCTGCTGGTGCCCCCTTTAGAGCAGATGAATTCCTGAGGGGCATCTGTCAATTGAACATCCCAGCAGCATCCGGTCGGTCTGCTCTGCGCGAAAAGCCTTGCGAGCGGGGCCAGTCCTTGCACCCCGCCAGAAGCCATTGACACCCTGTGCCAGTACATATTGGATATTTCAAACACTGCTGTGTGAAGAGAAACACACATTATGTTGCTGCGTACTGATAGCAACAGCTAGTTAGCTTCGAAATAATATATTTGCCGAGAGGATGAAGAAAGTACCTGAGCAGAGTGCTCTCAATCGTCAGAGCTCCCACCAGCACTACCACACATTTGATACTCCACCTCCAAAGTCTCGGGGCCGCCCAAATTCTGGCGATTCAGGACCCTCGGCTGACAGCTCTCAACACCACGGCAATGACAGCCCCGATCACCCAGGCTCCGAGACGCCTTTGCCAAAGAGGCAGATGGCTGTCTTGGCTATGATTGCATTGTCTGAGCAGACTGCCCTGAACTCATTCAGCCCATATCTTCCGGATATGGCTTCCTCATTTCCAGAAGTTAACCCTGACGAGGTGGGTGTGTACGTGGGCTCGATCGCGTCAGCCTTTGCGCTGGCCCAGTTTCTTACCAATTTCTTCTGGGGCTGGCTGTCTGATCGCGTCGGGCGGAAACCAGTTATATTACTGGGGACAATCTTAACGGCAGCGTGTTTCGTGGCGTTTGGATTTTGTACGAGACTATGGCAGGCCATTGTCGTTCAGGCCCTTATCGGCGTAGTAAACGGCAACCAGGGTTTGGTGTCTACGTGCCTAGGAGAAATTACAGACAGAACCAACCAGTCGCGAGTCTTCACCTATCTTCCCGTACTGTACGGAATTGGCGGAGTTACAGGACCTCTTCTGGGCGGCCTACTAATTTTTGAACAAAATCCATTCAACAAGAAGGAGCGAAACCCCTTTCCTTATCTCGCGCCAAACCTCGTCTCTGCCGCCATCTTGCTTGTAGACTTTATACTTACAAGCATCTTTCTTGAGGAGAGTCACCAAGAGGCCGTGGACAACTTGCCCAGGCTTAAGCAGAAAGTTCATGACTTGTTTAGCTGGCTGTGGCAATTTACGGCTTTTGCAAAATCCCCGACATATCTGCACTCTCATTATCGTCCACTTGGCTATTATACCAGAGACAGTCATGACCATGATGATGGCTTGCCTCCCGATACATCGCCCTCTCCGAGCCATGACCACCAGCATCTCAGGCGTGCGGATATATTCCAGCGCGACACAATTTTGATACTCGTTACATATCTTCTTTTCGCCTTCTCCAATGTCTCGTTCAACTCTCTATACCCGGTATTTGCGCAAGCACCTGAGCCTCTTGGACGTGATCTTGATCCCTCCGAGATTGGCCTAACCCAGGGCTTCTCCGGGGTGGTTACGATCGTCTTTCAGATTCTCATCTTTGGTAAACTGAGGGATAAAATGGGAAATAAATGGACTTATCGGGCTGGTCTCTTAGGGTTTGTAGTCTCGTTCGCCCTCATGCCTCTTGTCGGGTACACGAGCGGATCTCGCAATGATAACGGGACTAGCCGACGATCTCTCGTGGTTATAGAGTTGTGCGCTGTCCTCCTGATCAAGACCATTTCAACAATTGGAGGCTTAACCAGCGCTCTTTTGTTGGTAGGTCATACCCATAAGATGCGAGAACGTTCAAAGAAGCAATCTTACTAATCTCTGGATGATAGATTACCAACTGTGCCCCAAACCACGCAGTACTGGGAGCTATCAATGGCCTCGCACAGATGCTCTCTGCAGGTGGTCGGACCATTGGTCCGTTTCTTTCCGGGGGATTGTTTTCTCTGGCTGCCAAATCCCCAACACATGGCGCGTTATTGGCATTTATGGTTTTCTCGGTAACAGCTTTCATTGGCTTTCTTGCAAGCTTGGGAATTCGGGGGAGAAAGCTCGAAGCGGGGGGGCTCATAACGAGAATGACCCTTATAAATCCGACGATGAGGAGCATTCCCGGCAGTGAGGGTTCTCCTGTGCCGTAAATTGCACTTTTCTTATTCCCATAGCGCACTGCAGAGGGTATAATGTACGGGCTTAGACACCAATTATGGATATACGGTATAATGGCTGCATGATTTTCCAGACCTGTCGAATTATTCCGCTGTCTTCATAACCTTGCGCTGTCACAAGTCATTCCTGAATTAGAAATGTGAAAGTGGCTTAGCTATATTACACTATGCTGGCCTGCGTTTAAACTGCAACAACCTATCCGAGGCGCTGAAGCTGCTAATATCATCCACAGTCACCCTTATTTCTCTCACAAGGCTGGCTTGCTTCGCCATGACGGGCGGTGCATAATTACGTGCCTTTTACGTCCATAGGTGAAGCCCTAACCATACTGGATTCTTGTCCCACACGATGACGACAACAACAACCAACAAGAACCACACGAAGCTCATCATTACTTGTTTTGCTAAATATGCAGGACCAAGAGTATCGGCCAACATGGTAGGGTTTGAAACCGGATGCTAGCCATGTTCCATACTGGCATTTCCCAGGGTGAGTCATCAATTGCGTCTGTCATGGAGCTACTAGTACCTCTAAGCAACCCATCTGTCAGAAGCCGTTAATGCTGAGAAGGCTGATCTTCTGCAATGTAAAATACAGCTGAGATGCGTGCAGGAAGGGCCGCGTCTAACTGACTTGGTTCCGTTTATCTCAGGATTGCGAGCGCTGGACGTACTTGGCTCGCTCTTGTCCGAACCTTATTGAAAACAAGAACATGGGATACTTCGTCCACGGGACTCCATTTCAATGAACCTCGTCTGGTTAGAAGAAATACAGACTCAACGGACTCCATGTCAAGATGACGTTGGAATAACGGAATAAAGCCTTGTCACGTCACGCTTATTTACAGCCCTCTCAGTGTTCGTGGCTTAGGAACATATATGCCTTCTCTATACTGGACACTTGGTATATCCAATGGATCTTATATTATTTCCCTTTTATAACCCTACCCTTGTTGAAATTGATTGACTTCTTGTCTTTTTACCACATTCAAATCACCGTCTGATTAGGGTAGATCTAACTTGTCAGCAAGAATGACGACTACTCTTGCCGGTGGCCTACACAAAGCCCAGGAAGCTGTTCGAAACGCCTCATCGGGGAGCAAAAAGGCTGTCGACTTGGAACGGGACATCAGTGATATTCATACGAAGCTTCCTCTGACCTCTGATCATGGCGTCAGGATCCCGAATACTGATCAATGGCTGAGGGTTATTGGGGAGGACAAGAACCACAGTATCGGTCCAACTTTGCTGGAGGATCAACTTGCAAGGGAGAAGGTACTACTCTTCCATTAGAGCTGTTTTATCCTTCCGAGGGAAAGGAAGCATGAATTGACAGAAGTCAAGATCCACCGATTTGACCATGAACGCATCCCGGAAAGAGTCGTACATGCTCGCGGTACAGGCGCATTCGGGAACTTCAGACTCTTCCAGAGCTGCGAAGATGTTACCCATGCTGGTATCTTGACAGACACCAGTAGAAACACGCCTGTGTTTGTGCGTTTTTCGACCGTCCAGGGTAGTCGAGGAAGCGCGGATACCGTGCGAGACGTCCGTGGGTTTGCGGTCAAGTTCTATACGGACGAGGGAATATGGGATTTGGTTGGGAACAACATTCCTGTATTCTTTATTCAGGATGCTATTAAATTTCCCGACATGGGTATGTATGAGACCCGCAGAGAAATAACGGTATCAAAGAATCAACTTAGGTGCTGATTCAAAAAGTCCACTCTCTCAAACCAGAACCCCATAATGAGGTCCCCCAGGCGCAAACAGCCCATAACAACTTCTGGGACTTTGCCTTCCTGCACGAAGAAGCCACCCATATGTTTATGTGGATAATGTCAGACCGTGCCGTCCCACGGTCCTTCCGCATGATGCAGGGCTTTGGAGTCAACACCTTCGTTCTCGTCAACAAACAAGGGAAGCGCCATTTCGTCAAGTTCCACTGGATTCCGAAGCTTGGTGTCCACTCTCTTGTCTGGGATGAAGCCCTGAAACTGGGAGGACAGGATCCGGACTTCCATCGGAAGGACCTCATGGAGGCCATCGACAACAAGGCGTACCCAAAATGGGAATTTGCAATCCAGCTGATCCCCGAGGAGAAAGAACATGACTTTGAATTTGATATCCTGGACTCTACCAAGATCTGGCCGGAGGATCTCGTGCCATTGAGGGTTATCGGGGAGCTGGAGTTGAATCGGAACGTCGACGAGTTCTTCACTGAGACTGAGCAAGTTGCCTTCTGCACCTCCCATGTTGTCCCTGGGATCGACTTCTCGGATGATCCATTGTTAATAGGACGCAATTTCTCCTATTTCGATACCCAGATTTCTCGTCTGGGAATCAACTGGGAGGAGCTCCCCATTAACCGGCCCGTGTGCCCCGTCCTCAACCACAACAGGGACGGGCAGATGCGTCACAGAATCACCCAGGGAACCGTGAACTACTGGCCGAACCGGTTCGACGCTGCTCCCCCCGCTGGACCAAACGAGGGCGCATTCGACACCCTTCAGGCCAAGGTAGCAGGCGTCAAGAAACGGGCCGTCGGCGAGAAATTCCGCGAACACATCTCCCAGGCCCAACTTTTCTGGAACTCCATGTCAGCCCACGAGAAACTACACATAATCAAAGCTTTCAGCTTTGAGCTCGACCACTGCGATGATCCCACAGTCTACCAGCGGCTCGCGGGGACAAGACTGCCCGAGATAGACCTTCATCTAGCACAGAAGGTAGCCGAAGCGGTCGGAGCACCGATACCAACGCAGCCACTGAAGCAGAACCACGGTAAACGAGCTCCGCACCTCTCGCAGGACGAATTCGCAACGGCCAAACCGACGATCGAAAGCCGGAAAATCGCCATCATCATCGGTGACGGATATGATCGCGTCGCGTTCATGGGAATGAAAGCCGCCGTGTTAGCCGCCGGTGCGGTGCCTGTCATCATCGGACTCAAGCGCTCTCCCATCTACGCTGAAGGCGATGCCCGTGGCGTTATCGCGGATCACCAGTATGATGGACAGCGCTCGACCATGTTCGACGCGACTTTTGTCCCCGGTGGCTCCCATGTGAAGACGCTGATCAAGAACGGGCAGATCCGTCACTGGATCGCCGAGTCTTTCGGGCATCTTAAAGCTATCGGTGCCACGGGTGAAGCGGTGCAGTTGGTGGAGACAGCTTTGAGAGATGTCGAGGGATTGAAGGTTGCCGGGGCCCATGAGTCGCAGCATGTGGAATGGTACGGGGTTGTTACTGCGGGACAGCAGAAGGCCGAGTCCTTCAGTGAAGGTGTGAAAATTGTCAAGGACGCAAAGGACTTCGTCGGAAAGTTCTTTTACCACGTTTCTCGGCATAAGAATTACGAGAGGGAGTTGGATGGGTTGACTATGTCTGTTGCTTTTTAGGTGATTTGTACTAGATGCGTTGCAAACATACTGAAAGACCCAATGGCATTCTATATGAGAACAGTGTGACTGCTGTATATGAAACGTGCTCCAAGATGGTTGCCTCAATGTATCTGTATGGAATCTCTTCACTGAAAAGTGATATCAAAACGGGTGAAGTGCTCGAGTAAAGGAAAGATTGATGTGATGCAACACTAGCTGAATTGAATCTCCCGACATTCCCACCGAAATCATCATAGTAGGGAATTAATTATGGTCGAAAAATTAGACAAAGGACGCTCTGAAGAAAATGATAACCTGCCTTGGCCATGATCGACCACCTGTCGCTGTTGCTGGTACTGTTGCTCGCGAACTTGTGAGGCGAAAGCAGCTCGTCTTAGACGAAGATCTTGCTCGGATTCGCATACTCTCATACTTGGACGGACACCGACATTCCGAGGATTATTGATCTGGCGAGAAAGACGCCTTGCTGAGAATCTCGCACTGTGGCTGGCATGATTACCACCCTGGGATGAACGCTTCGACCGCTGTCGCTGAGTTTGCTGCCTAGATGACAAGCTTGCCCTATATTCCTGGTCTTTCCGCAACGACTCAAACGCCCTTGAAACAGCTTCCTTGAGAAATGCAGAACGGCTGGTTCCTTCTTCAGGAAGCTCCCATCTGGTCAGGCTGATTTCTCGGGCTCTTTGCAAGGTTGCGGCCGCGCTTTCGAAAGGGCAGACAGAACTTAGGTATAAGACTGCCGATAGACCGAGGGTAAGAACATAGTAGGTCCATTCCTCTGTTGAAGATTAGTTTCCCTTTCACTGATGAAAACAGAAATGGAACTAGATAACACCGGGCGAAACTAACCTAATACCCTTTCCTCCTTCGCAGTATCACCAACTGAAACATCGTGGCCCTTGTATATCCCTGCTTGTCGAGCTTCGGCACATTTTCCATGCAACGGCTGGAGCAGGACACCAAGACATGTCCAAATTTCAGTCATGTCGTATAGCTGCTTCGGCGATAAGCCACCTTCATTACCTCTCCCGAATCCAGCAGGTGGTTCCAACAACACATTATTAATACCGAACGGGTCTGTGACTGACGCAGACGAGAAGCTCAAGTTATTCTTACGCTGGCCGGTAGCCATCGGGCCCCCTCTCAGCCAATCCAGCTGGCCGATCACGTCGTTTTCTCTATTCTTACCGCAGCCGAAAATCCGGCAAAATGTCCATATGCGCCAGAAGGCATCGTCGATCTCCGCTGCCTGGATGCTATCCACGCCGGCAAGGCCTTGGACTGTGTCGCGCCGAAGAAACGGTCCGCAGCGGGCTAAAATAAGCGACTTCAATTGTACCAACGTGTAGATGTCGCGAGCATAGCGGCGCAGATATAAGGCAGGAGTATATTCGGGAACCTGGGCATCGGGATCTACCAACAGCTGCCACTCAGTATCCCACGGGGGGCTCATTTCCCGAAACTCCCAAGCTGGCGGAGACATCTTGAAGAGTGCTTCTTTCATAAGATGCAACTCGTATTGCTTATAAATGCGGTAAAAGTGTCTATTGATGACTGCGATGCTGAAAAGATCATTTAGCGAATGAACATTCTTGAGAATCAAGAAAACCGCTTCATCAGGCGTGTTAGTCGGGAAGTCACATATGGGCTTCCGCGAAGCGGATCTCTCAACGGCTGGAGATGGAAGTCCCGCATCGAGCTCATAAAGTATCTCTGGTGCTGTGGAATAGCCAAAGTCGGCTGGAAATTGGGGCTTGTTTAAGGAGACAAATATCTTTTCCTTGAAGATATTATCGAGCCCATCTCCAGACCTTTGCTTGGCATGTTTCACTATGCTTTGTCCACTTTTCTCACCTGCCTGCTGCATAGAATTGGTAAATGATCCAACACAGTCTTCCAGAGACTTAGAGCCATAGGATTTCAGTCGAGAAAGTTGATGGGGTCCTTCTTCAGCGCCTCTAAAAGGATAAAAATCCACACCTAGGATACTAAGAGGCTTGGATAAGCCCTTTTTCCCTTTCACATCGGTGGTGTTCGAGTCCTCGTTATCCTCAGTGTGGAATCTTTGATCGCGCGTTTTGGATAGCAAATCTGGGGTACTACGAGATCGATTGGCATCATAGCCATGCACCTGTTTCCAGCCCTTCACAAAAGGTGGGAAGGTGAAATGCACCTTGTGCCTCTTCCCAAGCTTTTTTGTTTGATGCGCATCATCTGAAAATTCGACTTTGCTGGCTTGACGTCTATCCAATGGTCTGGATACCGATGAAGACGCTTCGTGCGAAATGTCCTCCGAAATATTTTGGGGGCACTTCTGAAGTGGGAACATTTCGGCGGTCATATTAATGTCCCGTGGGTCTACCTTCGAAGGTTTGTCAATAGCCCCCGATTCTTCTGGTTGAATAGATGTACTCTTCGTAAAATCAGCAAGAATATCCTCGAGATCTTCTGTTGCCTGCAATAATGTAGGGCTCCTTGGATAGAGTTGACTCCTTGGGATTTGACTATACTCTTTAGAGGCATATAAGTCGCTCCTCCGGATTTCAGAAGAGCCGTATTGACGGAATGACAACGGTTGCATTTGAATTGGAGGTTCCAGAGGCGGGGACTCATTCGGAGAACCGTCTCTTGACAAGCCCCTCACTTGAAAGACAGGTGATAAGGGCGGTGCATCATCAAAAACGCCTGCTACGACAGGAGAAATGATCGGATACCTTATGGACCGATCTGCTCCAGGATATTCAGGTTCCAGACTTGCCACAGAGGTCCTGCGGCTATAGCATGATAATGAGGCTATATCGAAACTTTCGTCGGATGAGGAAGCAAGCGCATTCATCTGTACATTCGGCTCGGTAAGCCCATTGCTTGGATTGTGATCTTCCAATTGATTGCGTGGGACGGGATACGCAGGTGCTGGCCCGCGCGTATCAACTGGAGATACTACAGAAAGCCTTGCGGAGGCATCTTTATCGAGCCTGGTGATGTCACTATCTTGCTGTTGGTATATCTTGGATCGATCGGATAGAGGAGAGATCAAAGCATCTTCCTCCTCTGCTGAGGACTCTTCATCTGATTCTTGAAATTCAAAGATCGTTTCCAATGGTTTCTGACGCAATGGAGGTCCAACTGTATCATCTGTAAGAAGCCAACTGGTTTCCGCCACACTGGAGGTTGTTCCATTCTGCTTTGGCGGGCTAAAACTCAAGAGTGCCGACATTTTGATGGATATGTTTGGAAAGACCGGGTGGTCTATCCTTTACCTCGTACTGCCGAGAACTAAATCCAAAAAGACTCCAAACTCGGCAAGGGTATTTCTTTGATCTAGAGGGTGCTCGCCTCATTCGAAACGACGTATCTTTATTTCGGCTCGCTCCTCTGCACGCGTCTTTTCGTAAGACAACGCATAGTCACAGGCAGCAGTTATTGTAAAGGTACAATAGACTGCTTAGGGTAAATACGCAGAAATCAGAAATTAGTATAAGCGTTTGTTGCCCTGAAGTTGTGGAAGTTTCGGGGGCAAAGCTATTAGGAATAACGACAGTGGTGAGAAAGATGGATTGGATAAACAACCGTCCTTGAATGAAGAGAGAGACGAGTAAATGGCTGTACCAATAGGAAAGACAAAACGCGTCCAAAGAACGAGTGGCTTAGAGCTGCAAGATCCGTTTTGGGCCCTTCTGCTGGACAGTGAGCAAGACAAAGATAAGGGTCACAGATTCGTCGGTTTAACAGGAAGATGAAACCGGAGTTTCAACATGGCAGAGTGCCGGAGACAGCAGCCTGCTATTATCAGTTCAGAGAATAGATGATCCTTTTTGAAGGTGAAACAAAGGAGGGCACCCGAACTTGTTCAAGATAGAACTCGCCTAACAATGGACATGGGCGCTCCCAGGGCCGCAACCCCATCGGTTTGCCATGAGGTCCTCCAGATCGTCCCAAGGCCTGGACTAGTCCAAGACAGATTATTGGGAGTCATAACAGTATGGACATCACAGCAGGGTCCATCCCTGCACCTGTGGCTGTTATGAAGGTAGCATTGTCAAATTCTTTGTCTGGGCACAACCAAGACCAGCTTGGAGTCTTTCCCCCTTGTCCTTGTATGTTATTATTAAACGGCCATCAACGGATGACTTCTTTGGCTATTTCTCTCGGTATCTTTTATTTTCTGGGAGTTTCTGGATGCAGAAGTGATCCAAAGATAGATGAGCAGAGTTGCATGCAGGGTCGATGCGCTGTTTTGCAGATGAAAGGCTCTCAATATGGCAATGCGCGTGATTCGAAGGAGCATGCTTATATAAGCCTTGTGTACGTGACACTCCAACAGACACAGAGTGACACGTCCATCGTCGTCCATCGGTGACACTCATAACATAATGCAGATTGCCCACCATCATTCTGTATGTCAGAAACCGGCCCGAGTGAGGTGGCCAACCATGTTGTCCGTTTCCCGCATTGCCTGTAGGGTTCCAGAGAGTAACGCCAAACGCCTAATTCCAAATAATCCCCCTTGACGCCCAACCTTTGCCGGCATTCCACCAAGGTCCATAATGGCACAGAAGCAACGGAGAATCGAGCTGCTTCAGGTAGAAGCCGATGAGAATGACCAGAGTTTCTTCCGCGTCCTAGTTGACGGTCGAACCGTGAAGTATATCACTATTGATCCCGGCATATTCAGCATAGAGGATATGTGTTTCGGTCCCTCCCTCACTTCGATTCTCCCAGATCTTCCCGATTGGGATTGGAACGATGGACTTGTGACGAAGGATGCCAGTGGTCGCCCGTGCTTTTCGCGTGCCAGTCGGACTGCGTTCCCCGGGGTCAAGAACACGTGGCATGGAACCTGCGTGGATTACCAAGATATTTTGATAGACGAAAGGCTCCGGACTGGCGTCTATGCAGTCAAATGACCAATGTTTGACACAGCTGTCGTTGCTAAATTCGCCCGTTTTTACTGGGAGATTCAATACCTGGAGAATGAGACAACGGCGTACCAGTGGATCGATGGTCACGATATTGGGCCGAGATTTCTGGGCCACTTGGTTGAAGACGGCCGCGTCATCGGAGTCTTGATAGAACGAGTCAGAAATGCACGGCATGCGGGCATTGAGGACCTAGAAGTCTGCCAGAAAGCGTTGTCTCGGCTGCATAGCTGGGGATCAGACACGGCGATATCAATCGATTTAATTTTCTCATTAGTGGTTCAAGAGCCATCCTGATTGATTTTGACACATCTCGAAGATGCGACGATGAAGCTATGCCTCGTGAGGAGTTCGAAAATCTACCCGGATACCTGCAAGACACGTCTGGAATAGGCGGCCCCTTTGAACTTCACTGACTGCATTTCATGGGCAGATCGCATCTATCAATGCTGGACAATTTTTGTGCCAGTGATGCATGATTTTTTGAAGGAAGGCTACTGTTTCTGTACACATTATTACCGCTGCTTCAGTTGCGAATGAATAAGGTCTTGTTGGAACCAATACATTTCACAGAGGTGAATATAAATTGACCCAAAGAAGATTCTCTATTTGAAAGCACCGGCTCCGACAACATCATCCCATTTATTTTTATATCACACTAGCAAAACCTTCCCAATTCCCCAAAGCTTGTCTGCACTGAGCATATTCGGGTGTCTGTATGCGGTTCAAATTACTCTCTATAGCATCTTACAACATGAGTGTTGGTACGCAAGCGCCCAGTCTAGACATTAAACAAGATTGGATGACTAACTAAGAATAAACGATTAATAGGCCCTATCATGAATCGGGATTATCCTTCGCATATGCAATGGACTACGCAATCAACGCCGTAGCCTATGCTGGATTTGATGCTGACAGCGTTTCCTGCAGTTTAAAAAGCTATGGTAAGCTGATATCTATTCCGCATGAAGGAAGACGAGATCTGTTATTGACATGATCATTGTGGTTAGGTACTGACTGCAACCTGAGACTCTAATCGACAGCTATGTTTGGGTTTGACTGTGGATTCCTGAAACAGGATGTGGCGCAGCCAACATAATAGAATCGTCTATAAGTATAGAGTAAGGACAAATAGGCTAAAAATAAACAGTGGACAAGGTGAACGATACCTAGGGGGGTTTGAGGTTACACTCTCCTTCCTTTAAGCACCGTATGCGTATGCTGGCTCTACTTTCTCGCAGGGAGTCGCTCCAAAAGCCCGTTGTGACCGATACAGGCGGCTGACTACTATGCATCAGACTATCGCAATCCCTTATTATAATGAACTAAGGCATATAAGCTCCTAAAATTGGAGACCGGAAAGCTTACAAAGAGGCTATGTGACCTAGCGAGCTCTCGAGGGACATGTCCACCAGTATTCAATGAATATGGCTAAGGTCTAGATCTAGATGTACGCGGCAGTATAACTTCCCATAGTTATATGATTCTTCACCTCTTGAACCACTTATCTAGACATGAGACTGAGATACACAGCCCAAACCACGCCGAACAGGTTGCCCACGAGCAAGCGCTTGTCCGCCGGAACAACGGTGAAGTTCAAAAGCGAGACAAAAGGCCATAATTTGAACCCGGCTATCATTATCGGCCAGAAATCCTATACATGACAGAGAAGGTTAGCGGAATCAGTGCCTTGTTCGGCAGTTTGGGACATATAGAAAGATGCTGGCTGAGGCTTACACCTTGCACTTGTCGCTGAATGACTTCGTACTCCTGCCCTTGTAAAGCCCCCATTGTCACGATAAACAGCACTGTATACCAAGCAGAGCCGATCGTTTGATCAATTATGATTTTTGCCATGGTGTTTTGGATGTTCAATTTTTGTTTCGGAGGTTGCAGCTTCTTCTCCTTTTCGGACACGACCTTCTCTCCAGTGAAACCAGGAAATACCGATTCCAAGTTCCCCAGCCATAGGAATGTAAGTGGTGATATGACAACAGCGCAAGCAGTAAATTGCAGCACTGTTTTTGTGTCCAGGTCGAATGGTTTCTTAATTCGAAAGGTTCAAGTTAACGACGCATTGCCTTGTTTGGAAGCCTGAGGCTTCCGTTGGCAAGGCCCAGAGAGAGTTTTCACAGTTAATTGGGATTACTTGACGTATATTGAAAGGCAAAAGATGGGAAGAAATGAGCATACCTCGTCCTTGTAAGCGCTTATTGCCTGTGCGAGCACATTGGACCCCGCGTTGATCAGGGCCGACTGGAGTGTGGCTTTGGCTATCGGAGGCACGGTCATGATGGATTATATATAGGATTTCAGGGAGTCTGAGAAACTCCAAACGCGATAAATTCCAAATGCGATAATTTCCTTTCTGGTCTTGTTTTTCCTTCGAAAGGCCACAGGCGATGCTGTTGTTCTTTCTCGTGCGGTTATCAGAGATTATCGGAGCAGCTCGTTTCCCCGTGAAGAAGTAGGATATATGTCTTGATGGCCAAAAAAAGGAGCTATGAAAGTGACTGCTAAATATATATAGTCTTGTCTCATGAAACGAGGCTTCCACCTTTTGTCTGGGGAGAGAGGAAGGATTGGAGGGGAGGGGAATCAGGAGGGAATCAAGAACCAGACTCAATCCAATGAATTTATGAAGAGAAACCGGTGACGAAGGATAATTATCGGATCTGGCGTATGCAGCGTATAGGCAATATTTAACAGTATCCAATAGAAACATCCATAAAGCGCAATCAATATAATCGTCAAAGATCATAGAGTCATTGCAGATTTGTTCCCCACATCTTCATCATTCATCTCACACCGACTACCTCCCTCACCATACCAGCGTCTCCTTCGCGGGCGCCCGGAATACATTGTCACTGCTGAATAATGGATTGCTGTTATCCTGGAAGTGGAGTTCTCGGCAGACTGCATTTCAGATTCTCTGTTGGCTTCTTATCCACCTACGTCGAAAGGGGTAGATATACTCACGCATATCGGCTTGCATGGATTTCTGGCTACAGCTCGGCTGCTGCAATGCTGGGAATACCTCTGCTCCCTGGGCCTTTTCCAACTTGGAATGCGCCTCGAGATGAGCAAGGATGGCCGTCTGCGTGTCAGTATCTGCTGGATTGTTAGAGCACAGCACTCCGCGGAAAGTAAATCAAATATACCTGAATTATCGCCCTTCGATACTCGAATTGATGGCCTGGTTGATAGTCGTTAGTCTATAGAGCTGGGACGCTTGGACTGGACTTGTCAAATTGATACTTGCCCTGAATGTTCGTGAAATTCCTCCTCCAAGTCTCGGACCCTTTCTTGCAATAACCTGGAAAGCATACTTGACAGGGTTTCTGCATCCGAGTCAACCGAACTTTCTGATTGCCAGCAAAACAAATCGTATCGGATCGATGTCTTCGACTCGGAGATTGGGGAGAAGCTCAGCGAATACCACCATTTAGTGCCCTTGATATTGTGGATCGAGGTGTTGGGAAATAGACAAAACTGCCGGCTCTTGGGCTCATCATTGCTGAGATACCTGGCCAACGCAGCCATGGCAGATGCCATGGTAGATTGAGCAACTGGAATCGATCGTTCGACTTCCGCAGGATGGATGAACGGTGTTGTTCTCACTTCAAACGTCAGGGAATTTGAATCGGAAAGCCATATACAGGGGAAGACTTACGCCCAAATTTCCAGTTGAAATTGCCCTCAACTGCCTGACTCCCTGCCCAGACGAACTTCGAATGGGGAATGCCCATCCAAAACTCATTCCTACCCCGGTTCTGCACAAACTCGTCCAATCCATCAAAGTCACCTTCGGGGACTTCTTTACCAGCTTCCAAGTTAACGAAGATAAAGCCGCGCTCGCTCACTCGAGTATGGATCTCAAAGAGCCCATTCTGAGATTTATCAAATCCCGGAACATCATCAAAATGAGGAGCCTTGACAAGATTCCCGTACGCATTGTAGCTCCAGCCATGATACCTGCAGCCCAGGACCAGGGAAGACCCAGTCTCCTTTTTTGTGATCGTGTATGCACGATGGCGGCATACGTTGTGGAATGCCCGGATCTTGCCATCCTTGCCCAGGATCAGGAAAATGGGAAACCCGGCCATGGTGAATGACTGATAGTCGCCTGGTTTGGAGAAGCGGGTCCTGTGTGAGATGTAAAGCCATGTCTGCGTTTCTGGCATCAGTAACTACCGGTGTAATAGCAGAAAGAGAGATCATACTTTACTGAAGATGGCACGTCTCTCCAGCTCCCATACGTCTTTCCCCGTCCACCAGTTTTCAGGGAAATTGGATTCTTTTGATACAACATACGGTGACGACGACGATGATGGTGTTGTAGTGGTCGTCAGCGGCACCGGCTCGATATCCCTCTTCGTGCCTTGAAGTTTGCCCTGGATAAGTGGAAGGATCCAAGTTCTTTGCAGAAACGCTATGCCCGCTAGCAGAGTAGCCAGCATCGGCGCATATTCGAGGAACCCCATAGTAAAAAAGAGTAATGGAAAAAAGAACTTGAATCTTGTCACGGTGTGCACAGTCACGTCCTCGGAAACCAAATAGGAAACCTCCCCGTTTATGAGCACGTCAAAGGCCTAATAGCTTCAAGGGTTCGTTCACATTTATACCCAGCGTTTACCACAAGCCGTGGATCAAAGGTGACCGCTGCCTGAGCTGACCTGACCTGGCCAGGCCTGACCAAGAACGGTCCATCGTGATTATGGGTTGACCTACAACTCATAAACCGGGCCGAGTATGATATGCTAAACGGTTTCCTAATCCGGTTGAATATTCCCTGATTAACAATATTCTCCGCCAGGCTTCGACCATGGGAAAGTCAGTCTCTCGAAATAGAACGGAGATACTGGTATGGTGTGGAACCCGAAACAGGGAAGTTGAACCTTTTATTCGCCGTGTATGATTCTTATCTCGCTGCTATTGTGTGCCTTCCATATAATCCTGCAGATAGGTGATATCATCTAGATCTTTATAGGTTTGTTGATGATTAACGATATATGAAATATGTGGCATTGACTGAATGCTGAAACCCTAAATTGCTGCAAGCCTTATCTCACTGTGTCTATAGATACTACGGAGAACATCTCCGGAATTTGTCCCTGGCTCTACCCACTGTTGATAAGGGTGCAGGGAAAGGAACCGAATGGATTTCTACGCAATGGCCTGGACGTGATCGGACACAGGCAGTGCATTCCGACTATCCGTCTTCAATCCGGAAGCCGACGTCAGTCTGTCTTCGTCATATTGCTGGCGGACAAGATCGAAAACCCGTTCTTGGTAGACTGAAAACTCTGTCAGAGAACGGAGAAATCGAAAGAAACATACATAGAGACAGACTTACAGGCTACTCCCGTTTCCTTTTCGGGGTTCAGAATGCCCTCGTTGTATATGCCCTTGGTGAGGTTATCCTGGGCCTTCTCGCAGAGCTCAAAGTCTTCCATGGCTACCTGTCGGACGAACTTGAAATACTCCTCAAACTTATCCCCAGATTCGAGATGGTAGTAGTCAAATTCCATCCTGGTTACGTTCGGGTCCTCCGTAGGGCAGACTCGGAAGGACGACATTCCCCCCCCGTACACGTTCAGAGTGCAGTTCGGGAAGAAGTAGAGGAACAATCCGTCATCAGGCTTCTTGGGATCTGCAATGTGCTGGGAGAAATTCCGATGGTTGTAGACAGTGTAGAACGTTGGAGGGTAGTAGACAGAGAATGATGGATGAGTGTACTGGCAGTGTAGACATTCTTGGTATCCATCAACCCTTTGAAGCCATTAGCACGAAGAAATAGGTTTCCCGTACGGAAACCAAATCTTACATTGTCTTCCAGTTGAAGCGTCCCTCGTACTTGATGCTGCGACGATGCGGGAGCTTTGTGAAGTCCACTCGCTGAAGCAGACCTTCCAAGTCCGGGAAATACTCGTGGAAACTGGGCGCATCATCCGACAGAGACGAGAACAGTAAGCCGGTAGGAGTTAGATGGCTTCGCACGGTGGCTCCCTTGGATAACAGTCAGTATTCCTGCTTTGAATCCTTGAATCCTTGGATGTTGATGGCTCTATGCCACTCACCGTGTCAGCACAAATGACCTTAATGTCGTCTACTGCTGGTATATCCGTGGTAGCAGAGGTTCGGACGGCACAAATCTTTTTCTGTGCAATCTCGTAGTGGACTTCTTCTCCGACATTGAGAAACCTGGTGACAGGGCCGAGCAGGTACCATGACTTTCGTGAGGTTAGCTAACACTAGTCCATGGGTCGCCAGGGTCAGAACCCAAACGTACTTTCATGAAAACAGCTCGTCGCTCCAGCTTATACAGCGGAAGACTGCAATACCAAGAAGCTGGCAGAGTCCGTGCCAAATCCGACATGGTTGGTGGCTGGCACAACTGTTGAGATGGTCAAAAAATCAGAAACTGGGATAGGAACACTGGAGCAGAGCAGACAGTAAGATGTCCAACTTCCAACAACTCGAACTACGTGAATCAATTTAAACTAACCACCATTTCTCGACATTTTAAAAAGCACGATCGATCTACCATGAAGCTTGAAAAAGTCCCAATTCCAACGTCCGATTGGCCAAGCGTATCGTTTCCCGAAGAGGTTATACAATCCTGGATGAGCAGCAGATTATCTCTTAGGTAACAATGTCATCAACCTGGATGAATGACGGCGGGCGGGGTCCATTCGAAAGTACAGAGCAGCCAGACGACCATGTTGCAGTTCGCAGTGGCTGTCGAAGATGGACAGGACTGGAGATCACTGGGCATTCGCAGGGCACTGCTGCAACGCCTCTGGTGGTGGAAGAGACGTCTGATGGAGCTGTCTAGGCATGTCCAGGCCTTCAGACAGCTTTATTACAACGATCTTAATTGCTGGTCTTGGGGGTTTACGACTATTCATAGCCTGTCCATCGGGCTGACTCGATGGTAGGTCTGCGCAAGAAGCGTCCGAGATTAATTCCTTTTTTGACCCTGTTAGAATACCAGATGATCCAGCTTGTGATCCATGACCATAAAGCTCGTGTCCGGGAAGAAGATGGCCCCGACTTGATGTACAAGTATGCAGCATGCTCTATTATCGGGCTTCTTCGATGTGTTCCGATGAACCTTCTACACGAGGACGTCCGCATCACATGCATCCTCGATGCATTTTATACCTTGTTCGTTTTGATTCACGCCTGGGAAGCATAGAGCTTCACAGAGCAAAGGAATAATCGACCGTCATGTTGCCTGATCACTCGACGGTGGCGGCAGGGGCTGGTTGCCGGGATCCCCAGGCATCCAGACGGTGACCCAGATTAGGCCCCCGCATTCTTCCATCATGACTTTCTTTCATGTCTCCTACTCCCCTATGACAAGAGAATCGTTCAGCCTCCGAATATTTACGTCGAACACAGAATGAGCAGAATCAGCATTCTGTCTTGATCAAGTTCCATATTGCTAGCTATGACAGGCTCTGCAGTGAAGTTCACGCCGCCTCCCTCGCCTCCCTCTCCCGCGGCGTCTTTCTACGACGTCAGCGATGAGGAGGAGGCAGAGTACAACACTATCGCACATACAAGTTCTGGAAGAGGAGTCAAACTGCTCTATTCTAAGAGCAAGGTACGCTCACTATCTGATCTCGATCCTATGGTCTAGCTGCTTTCTTCTCTACGATGGCTGACTGCGAGTCCCGCGCTGTCCCGCGGACGTCATTGAGTACAGGTCTATGTCCACCCTACGCCGTCCGCCAAAGATAATATCCCCGGGTTCATCGCATTGATTCAACAGAAACCCGTAACGACTGCATCAAACAGCCATGGCCCATTCAGTCCGCCCTCCTCTAAACCCGATTCCTCCTCCTATCTTTTAGCCTGGGTGCCGGAGTCCTCCCTTGGAGATGCCTATAGTACCTATGTTAAAGTTGATCTCTCGGACGACTCATCTCCGCCACGCCAAACGTACCTGGTACCTCCACTCCCGGCGACGACAACCTATAAGGACCCAGTCGGTCTCTATGCCTTCGCAGTACCGCTATCAGAGATCTATTCACTCCTCGTGCGACCGCCAAGTTTAGGATGGTGGTTTGGAAGTCTTGTGATCAACACTCGTGCGGGGGATAGTTTCCCGGCTCTTTTCTTTCATGACAGTGAATGTGAATCAACGATCTTACAGAAGAAGAAAAGGGCGAGGGAGAACTTCGATCCGTTTGGTGACGATGGCGTATTCTGGGGCGGCGACGAGGTGCTGCGATGGCTGCGGAAGTATGTGGATGTGCAGCGCTCGGCCGTTGATAAGGTCGCGTACTTGATCAACCCTTCCGATGAGGATCAATTGGCATTTGGGCGGCCGCTCTCCGCGGATTCGTCGTCGAAAGCCACGCCCCATGAACAACCCGCTCAATCCCACCCGTCGGGGAGCGGGCAACAAGACGCTGGAATGGACCCGCTGATGAAAGCACTCAAGGAGACTCGATGGAAAGTTCTCGAGCAGCTGAGTAAAATTACAACGTTCACTAGGCGGACGGCCAATGATCTTGTGGACAATCCGCGTCTCCCTCCGCAGGTCCGACGTTTGCTGAAGAATCCGGAAATTCAAACCCTGCAAGATGAGTTCGATAGTGCCAGACTGTACCTAGCGCGATGGGCCATGAGTATTGCCGAGCAAAGCGAAAGAGAGCGGAATCAGCGTGTATGGTCTGCACGAGATGTTCTGGAGATGGAGAATAGTTCCGTTGGAGATTTCGAAATCCTTGAACTGGAGACCGGAACTATGTCCATTCACGAACGACGAAAGACGGTAACCCTGAAGGAATGGGAGGGTTTCTTCGACAGTACTAGCGGGAGATTACAGGTTACTGCGGACGAAGTCAAGGAAAGAGTATTTCACGGGGGTCTCGATCCTAATGATGGGGTCAGAAAGGAAGCCTGGCTCTTCCTTCTTGGGGTGTATCCGTGGGATAGCAGTCACCAAGAACGTCAAGCGTTGATGAACTCAAAACGGGATGAATATATACGGATAAAGGGAGCCTGGTGGGAAAGGATGATAGAAGGCACTTCAACTCCCGAGCAACATGAATGGTGGAAGGAGCAGAAGATCCGTATAGGTACGTATGCGAAGATCAAATGTTAAAACGGGTTTTCCGGCGAGCTGATTTGGTTCCTGAACAGAGAAAGATGTCCATCGGACAGACCGCACGATCCCTCTTTTCGCGGGTGAAGACATCCCTCATCCGGACCCAGACTCCCCGTTTGCGGATTCAGGTACAAACGTGCATCTTGAGCAGATGAAGGATATGCTGCTCACCTACAATGAGTATAACCCTGATTTGGGATACGTTCAGGGAATGAGTGATCTACTGGCCCCGATCTACGCCGTGATGCAGGACGATGCTGTAGCGTTCTGGGCGTTTGTCGGGTTCATGGATAGAATGGTTAGTGGTCCTGCTTGAGGTCGACTCTTATGCTTCGGCTAATTCCTTTTGATGTAGGAGAGGAATTTCCTTCGCGACCAGTCTGGAATGCGCGAACAGCTCTCTACCCTAGACCAACTTGTGCAGCTCATGGACCCGCGGTTATACCTCCATCTTCAATCAGCAGACAGCACCAACTTTTTCTTTTTCTTCCGCATGCTCCTTGTCTGGTACAAGCGCGAATTTGAGTGGGTCGACGTTTTACGTCTTTGGGAAACGTTGTGGACAGATTATCTATCCAGTAACTTCCACCTCTTTATTGCTATGGCAATCCTAGAAAAGCACAGAGATGTTATCATGGATCATCTGAAACACTTTGACGAGGTGTTGAAGTATAGTGAGTAGCCTGCCTACATTAGGCTTCATGAAGCACGCGCTGACTGTGGGCTTTCCAGTCAACGAACTGTCAAACACGATGGAACTCGTCTCTATTCTTACACGCGCTGAATCAATATTCCGTCGCTTCGAGAGGACTGTTCATCGTGTAGATTCAAAGAACAGTTTCCCCGCGCCTGCTGTCCATCAACGGAGACTGACGGAAAGGCCCAATAAGGGAAAATCCCCTCAACAGCCACCAACTGCCTCTACCACTGGCGTCGATGCTGGTCCGTCCGCTCTGCAGAAGACATCAGAAAATGAAACCGTCATATCTCCAAATCTGAGACAGCTTTTGAGCAGGGAAATCTTTTGGAAAGCCAAAACGCGCGAACATTAACATAAGGCGAAGGTGATATGATATAATCGGGTTTCCGGTTTTCCCATAATGATACATTCATGCTTACTTTTTCATGTCACCTTGTGTGTTTTCCTCTCAGATATATCGTGCTCGCGTTTCTCCGTGTCTATGATTCTCTACTAGCGTTTATGGGTTAAGTCCAATCGGGAAGGGCTTCGGCTGGCGTTTCATTGGTGTGACTTGCAGGCATTGTTGATACGACATGAGATGCATTATATATTTAATTGGATATGAGATTTTTCATTCCGCCAGTCGGATTTCTGTCAATAGAACGATTGTTTAAGACAATTGGATGAAGCGAAGATGGGTCTTCATTCTAGGGCCCGTATAAAAAGACTCCATATCTCTGAACTGGAAGGCCGTTTGCCTACGTGTGGTATATCACACCCCCTGCTTTGAGATCAGCTAGAACATACATTATTCTGCTTGCTGTGTACTTCATTTGTTCATATTCACTTCTGTAGTCACGTTCATCGAGGCTAGGAAACGGAGAATTCTTTCTATAATAACAACACAGACATGAACAGATTAGCTCGTAGTAAGATGCAGATATACCCACCCCTAATAGAATTAAACTTACCCAGAAGGCGAGGAGATGCCCTTGTTGGATCTGCAATCTGGCCAACAGTCAACGGCGACTCGCTTTCTGCCAAAGAGCGAAAAAGCCCTAGATCCGCGCCAAGACGAATGGCAGCAACAACCAGACCTTACAATTGTGACCATTAGCATCGCATGCACAGGGAAGTTGAAAGGAAATTTTGGCCAAGTGACAAACTGAATTGTGATTCAAAGAGATATCCCTTGGGCTCCAAAAATAAGTCTGCACCTGTCGCAGCTCGCACCTTTATATGCTCCTGCATTGGATTTTGTACAGTTCTGCTTCTTCTTTGGCCGCGATCTCCGAGGGACTTCCGCGGGTTCTCTTCTTTTTTTCATGGAGCTGCCGCGGATTCTACAGCTCCTCACAGACATGATATTTGAATATAACTGTCCTTTCGAGAACCACGATGGAAGCCTCCGCCATGCCATTTTTGTCGTTCGAGGAAACTGAAATGCAGCCAGGCGTCGAAAGGAGATCTACAACGCATTCACAATTCTGGAAGAAGCTAAAGAATAATCACCAGTTGCGGGAGGACTGGTTAAATCTGTCAAAAACCGTCCTTCGTCGACAAAATATCCCTGTTCGGGTACATAACTCATGCTTGCGATAAAATCTATATTGTAAATGAGTATGACTGGAGTCCCTATGGACAGGACAAGGTCAAAAAACAACAATGGCCTCCGGATATTCAAGATGATCGCAAAATTCGTGAAAATAACAATGTGCATGGTATATAAAGCCATGCACGCATAAATGGCAGGTTATTAGAAGGTAAAAGAAGGAGTAATCGGAAAATATTCCTCGCGCTGTCTATCCTTTCTACATGTCGAGTGCGCTCGAAACATAGTGACGGAAAGCGAATAGAAAGCCTCTTGGAATATGCACTGCAAACTCCCTCAAGGTCTATGATGTTTTTGGTCGTCTGGGAAAGAATCCCACCAGTATGTCAAGTTCTTCTTGTACCATTCCACAGTTGTAGCTAGACCGGTGGAAAAGTCTACCCGTTGTGTCCATCCGAGGTCTCTGAGTTTCTGCCCATCGAGGGCGTAGTCGTGGTCATTAAACGGCCGGTCCGGGATCCAAGAAACATGCTTATCAAAATCTTTGTGGCCGAATAGGTCGAGTATGTGAGCCGCTACTTGGCGGTTTTGGACTTCATAGGCCGAATCCACATTGTAGATCTCGCCCACTGTTCCCTTGTGAAGGATGGCGTCGAAAGCGTCGGCTGCGTCGGCGCTATGCAGGAAACGGCGCGCATTCGTCCCGTCTCCTTGGAGAGTGAGCTTTTCTCCCTTGAGCATTAAGCTTGTAAACAAGGGGATGATCTCTTATGGATAGTTTAAGTCAGTTTTCGTGGCGCGGAATGAGAAAAACATTTAATACCTACTTTCGGGGTATTGGCAGGGTCCGTAGACGTTATTGCTGCGAACAATAATGGCCGGTAGCCCATAGCTCTTTTGGTATGCTTTCACATACATCTCTGCAGCAGCTTTACTGGCGGCATATGGATTCGTCGGTGCCAGAGGCGTCGTCTCCTCTGACGCTGGCACACCATTGGTTTCGCCATAAACCTCATCTGTAGAAACATGAATAAATCGATTGACTTTGCCATATGCGCGAACTATATCCAGGAGAGTATGTGTCCCGAGGACATTGTTCTCCGTAAAAGTGAACGAATCGGTGAAGGAGTGTTCCACATGGCTGCTAGCAGCAAAGTGAAGGACGCAGTCTACCTGAAAAGACTCCAGAGCAGAGCGCACTGTCTCCCGATCAAGGATATTGCCCCGAATAAACCGAAAATTGGGATATGTGAAAAGTTCCAAGATGTTGTTCCAGGATGCGACAGGGTCCATCTTATCCAAACAGACCACCGTGTAGTGATCCTGATACTGGTGGACGAGATGCCGCGTTACCCAGCTCCCGCTACAGCATCATCAATTCAGAAGATGTTATCAACAGCGGAATTACTGGTCCAAGCAAGGAGCGACTTACATGAAGCCCGCACCTCCAGTAATCAGAATACTTTTGACATGTGGCAATGGGGGAAACTTGCTCGATCCAATCAAGGGAATGATGCTCGGCGCCTCCTCGTCAGGGGTAGTAATGTCTGAATTTGATCTCGAGCTGCTCATACTCGCTGTGCTGGACGGCGAGGATGTCCTCAGCCTGGGGATAACTCGTGCCATTCCTCCTACGAGTCTGAGGGTTAGGGGTGTCATGAAGGAGACGTGAGATTAACAACACTTGTCTGCCTGCACAGAAACTCCGATTTCCAGCAGCATGTCGTAGCCGCGCACACTCTGAAATGCCTGAAAGGTGTCTGAGTCGCCTAGCGGCGGCTGTTGCGCGAGGGTGAAGCAGAAGCACACCCTGTTCTGTCGCAAGATCATCCCTTTCTGCCTCAGGCTCGCAACACGCGTGGCAAGTCACGTGTGCGGCCACGGTTAATTCAGGAGTTTAATTCCGCCAATCAGAGGCCATACTTATGTGGCCACTCCCGTCTTGGCAGTATTTCCCAATTGGTATGCATTTCTATCACGTGTTTATTGATGCTACCTCGTCAGACACCCTCGTAATCAGCAACAACAGTGGTCTTTCATCAAAGCAAGAAGATATCCCATCCGTTCATCATGGTTCTACGAGTTCTAGATAACGATAACTCACTCTTTACTCCCGAGTTCGATGGGCTCGTACAAGGACAGCTGGAGAAGTGGAAAGTACCGGGGATGGCAATCGCCGTGATCCATGGCTCAAGCACCCATTCTAAGGTACTACCGTTTTAGCCAACGAGATACTCCTGGACAGTTGAATGAATATATCGTTAGGCATACGGGATCGCAGAGTTTCCCGATAAGAAAATGACCACCGACTCTCTCTTCACCGCTTGTAGTACCACCAAAGCCTTCACAGCTGCTGCCGTATCTCTTGCGATTGATGATAGCAAAACGACCGATTCTCCTCTTCACTGGGATACTCCCATTTCTTCACTTATCAGAGACGACTTTGTCCTGGCTGACAGCCATGCCACGGCAAATACTACTCTGGAGGATGCCCTGTCACACCGGACTGGCTTACCGGGTCATGAGACTGCAATGGCGCTGGCGTATCCTAACGAGACGCTGCGTGAGGCTATGCGAAGACTGAGACATCTTCCTCTCACCTATGCCCCTCGAACTACCTTTGACTACTGTAATCACATGTACATGGCGGTCTCCCATGCGTTGGAGCAGATGGCCGGTGAGGACCTAGGTGCGATCCTTAAGGGGCGCATCTGGAGTCCACTTGATATGCAAGACACATATTTCTCTGTCAAGGAGGTCAAGGATTGTCCGTCAACCCGTTCACGGCTGGTTCAAGGCTACACGTGGGTCCCAGAGATGAACGAATATGCCGCTGAAGCGCACATGGATTATGCGCCTACGACAGGCACTGGCGCCATTGTCAGCAACGTTCTGGATTACACGAAATGGTTGAGGGCATTGGTGTATCAGACAGGTCCCATATCACCTGAGGGTTATGCAGAACTCCTCCGCCCACGTACAATCATCTCCAACTGGGATCATCTTATGGTCCCGCCTTCCCCGGTCCACCTGTACGCTCTGGGATGGTTTGTGGACAACTACCGTGGCGAGCAATTATACTGGCACAGTGGAAGCTGGCCCGGTTTTGGGATAATGGTGGGATTTATTCCCAGCAGACAGTTCGGGTTTGTCATGATGGGAAACACGGTGAATGCCAGAAACGCGCAGCTGGAGCTCTATTTGTATCTCATTGATAAATTGCCCGGAGTTCCCGGTGCGCAGCGCACCGGACATATCGCGAAGATGACCCAGCGGGTAGAAGAGAAGGAAAAAACGAGCTCTGAGAGCATGGAAGAGGCAAAGAAGCGGTTATATCCTTCGCTTCCTGAGCGTCCGATTTCCCATTTACTACCATTGGATCGATATGCGGGAACCTACAGGCATGCGGGATACGGTTCTATCCCGCTGACTCTCAAAGGCGGGCAATTGCATTCGGACCTGACAGACCGAGTAATCCGCATGCATCTGACACTGGCGCATGCGAGTGGAGAGTTTTTTGTCGCTAGGGCTTATCCCCCTGGAAGGCGACGCTCTGGTTCTGAATACTTTCGAGTGGAATTCCATGTCGACTCATCCGGGACTCCGCAGAAGCTTGGAATGGAACTGGAGCGGGGACTCGGTGGTGAGAAGATTTGGTTTACCCGCACGTAGGCTCGAAGGTTACTTGTCTATGTTTCTTCCATCGTATGGGATATAGAAATCCATCAGTATGGATATCTAAGAACCTTGGAATGGAAACCTACTTACCAATTATGGACTAGTCTCATGTGGATTTTATTAGCTCTCTGATTGGCCTCTTTATACATGCTCTAGTTTAAATATGGTATAGTCTCTATTGCAGCCTCAGGCAATGAACGTGTCCGGTTATTTTGCACTTCAACGTTCTTTGCTGCAGCACGATATCTCAAGCGGGCGAAGCATAAGCAGTTCGGTTGTTTTGGGGAAGCTATGCGCAGTGCATGATGGAGGTCATGTCTGTTGACTGAGATACATTAGGGCTTGTCTGATGCGCTTTCAGCTTTTCTGTGTGCTGGATCAGCTATATCGCCATTACCACGCTGTCACTTGGAGAAGTCCAGCATAAACAACAACTATGGATGGTTGGTGGAATTGACTTGGCATGATTTTATTGCCTCTTTAACCTTGAATTGCACAAAGAAAGGCAAGTAAAGCGTCGGCTTTTCATATGCAGGCATACAGCGTAGTGAATTAACTTATCACAAAGCCCCGCGGTCTGATAATAATCACCCCGCGTTATGTAGGATGTATGGAGGATTCTTCGGGGTTTGTGCAGACTCCCAACGCCCTCCAAAAGATAGACTTCGAGTATTTTAATCGCATTGATTCTGCTCTGTACATTGCTCTGGGTCGCCCGTCCGGTTATCCCCCACGCTGCGGATTCTGCAGAAGAGTCTTTCGACATGTCGATCACCCATATTGTCCTCTTCCAGTTCAAAGCAGACGCCCATCCTGACGTTGTTAAAGATGTACATATGGGCGTCCAAATACTTCCCACACGACAATAGACGGCTGGCCATGTCTCATCCGAATAAGGTCTGCAACCGCATGCTCTCCCTCAAGGAGAACTGTCTTCACCCATCATCTCAGAAACCGTACATCCGCTCGTCAATCGGTGGAGCCGACAACTCCATCGAAGGCGTTCAGGTAAGACATCTCCTGTCTCCTGTTTGACCCGACTGAGCCATTTTTGGTTGTTGTTTAAGGGTTTTTCTTTCTTTTCTTTTTTTTTTTTTTTTTTTTTTTTTTTTTGAGGCACGGCTAACTCCTGGACAGAGCGGAATCACCCACGCCTTCGTCGTGCAATTCGCTTCTGTTGCAGACAGAGACTACTACGTCAAGGAGGACCCGGCACATCAGGCCTTCATCCAGAGCTTGGATGGAATAATCGAGAAGGCGCAGGTTGTTGATTTCACGGATCGGATATTTTAGGCGATGCACTGAGCTGCCCGCCAAGACGATCGCCGTAGAATCCACGTCAGGAGTTCTTCTGTCTTGTCGGTATATGGAGTAGGCAATAATGGACAAAGACCATTCTTTGGCGTGGCGATGCATTCTTGGTACTCCATGTCCTATTTTCAATGCGAAAACGAACGTAATGATGATTTGCAATGTCTCAAACTGTGTGGAAACCTCACCGTCTTCCATCCCTTTTTTTAGAGTAACATGACATCAGATTGCCCGAGGTATTATTTTAGGTACGATTCCCGTGAAGAATGTATATATAGCACGAACGCGGCACTTCACTTGGATTGTAAGGAACCAGTTCAATCCATTGCGAACAAACTCTCATCAACATGCGTTTCACGTCTCTCCTCCCGGCTCTGGCCTCCGTGTCTGCAGCCCTACCCACTGCTACATCTTCCTCCCCAGACCAAACGTTTGGCCTGATCGCCATCCACTCCGGCAGTGATGTGCAGTATGCCGGCTTCAATGCAGCACTGAGCAGTCTCTTCGCGCGTCTTCCTGCCCAGAACGCAAGCTGTAACCGTCCGGATGATGGCTACGCTACCTTCTACCTGAACGAGGGCGGACTCTTCCTCTACGATACCTCTGCTACACCGCAGCAGTTTTACGTTGATCGCTCCGGCATGGGTATGTATTTTGCTTAATCTTAATTTCTTGCGTATATACAGCATGTGTGAGAGGATGAATTCTCATTCAAACAGGCCAAGGCAAGATCGGCTATACAACTGGTGCCCAACCCGCCCCGAGGAACTCCGAGCGTACCGGGTGGGCTATCGATGAGCAGAATCATCTCCAGTTTGCCGGGAATGATCTCATTGCTTGCCCTAACAGCATTGATGGGGCTTATAGCATTTGGGCTTCTGCTGGTGTTGCGAATCCCGGGGGCAATGAGAACTGTGTTGGTATTGCGGCGCGGGTGGTTGAGGATGATGATCCGAATGGATGTGTTTATACTCAGTGAATGTTGTGAAGTGGGTGGGTGGTGTATAGATGTAGCTGTATATATCGGTTGGCTTAGCTGGCATAGGCGAGGATTTGCTGTTGCAACTCCTTGGTGTCTAAATGTGTTCACCATGTTTCGGTCGCATCGATTAATATATTATATATTCTATTCTGACGCAGATGAATCCGCTCGAGTTGGAGTTGAATGATATCTCGACGCTCATACAAGAGTCGATATCGAACGAGTCAACCCTTCCAACCATCCCATCGCTCAAAATCTTCCGTGTCAAGGTCGAACAGATCTAGCATCCTTCCCACACTCTGATTGACCAAATCATCCACCGATCCAGGCCGGATATAGAATGCCGGCACAGGAGGGAAGATGACTGCTCCGCTCTGCGTCGCGGATAACATGTTCCGAAGGTGGATGTCGCTCAGTGGTGTTTCGCGCGTCACCAGGACGAGACGTCGGCGCTCTTTCATTATCACGTCCGCCGTCCGTGAAATTAGATCATCGCAGAATCCTGTCGCGATGGCCGCCAGCGTCTTCATGCTGCAGGGCACGACAATCATGCCGTCTGTGCGGTATGACCCGCTTGCGATTGGAGCCGCCATGTCGTTGACATTATGCACGTAGTCTGCGAGCGCTTTTACATTCGGTACGTGGTAGTCGGTTTCATATTTGATGGTTTCGCTGGCCCATTTGCTGATTATTAGGTGTGTCTCGACGTTGAGACGGCGAAGGGCGATAAGGACCTTTATTCCCATGATTGCGCCGGTGGCACCTGTCATTGCGACGACTATCCTGCGACGCCGGTTGCGCTGTGGTCGAGGCTGTTGTTGAGGCATATCTGCAAACACTCTGATGTCCATGTTGGCGTCCACGTTGGGGTCGAGTCGTTCAGCTTTGGGAGATCCAGGCATCGAGCGAGGCGGGATGATCCCGTTAGCGTTTCCAGATCCTAGAAACGATTGAAACATATGGTCCACTAGAGCCAGTATCGATAATTTTGATTTCTCTTCTCAAAGACCGAATCTTCCCGCTATGGATGTTGAAGGCAGTGTGGTCTTTTAATACTACCGCCACGTCACTGATAAGAGGATTTTCATACCTCCCTTGCCACGCTTGTTGGTTTTCATTCTAAAACCATTCTGAGAAATCGCAGTGGATTTTTATCGGTCTTGCTCTTTTTCTGGTGGGACCAAATGTGTTGCATGCCATATCCGAGAACGGTGTCCCCGAGGCCCCGAGTCCCCGAGACTCCGAAGCTCATCATCGATCCTAAGGGAATTGATCTTCAACCGTAAAGTCAAAAGAAGGCACTTCCGTGTAATTAGCATGATGTTACACGTCCGATTATCCTTTCGGATCCTCACCATTCATAATCCAATCGAGATACGTAACCGGAGATAGATTATTTTGGTTGAATGCGTCTATGAACGAGACATGTTCCGGACTTCGTATATATCGCGTCAGCAAATCATACCTTTTGTGTCTTCCCCTCACGATGGATAGTAACCCACCCATATTCAAATGTTGGAGGAAATGTATCCTGTCGAAACTCCACTGCACTATTGGCGCGTCCTTCATGGGCATCTTTATTTGATGCGTGTGCAACTCCTGACGTTGCGTTCGCGTCGAGTGGCACGCTGCTGACTGCATTTCTCAGGGCGACAAGGGTCCGGATGTGTCGCTCTGACAGCCACAGAGTATCATCCGACGATGCGCTCGCGTTGATTCCAGCTCCCAATCCAGCGGCAGTGAACGCCTCGATAACCTGATGCTGCAAGTTCCAGCACTCGGGATCATTTCTTGTTTCCTCCCAGAGACACAGTAGCAACGTTGAGCTGAGCGCTGTATGAATCATCGACCAGGTGCGGAGAGGAACGATGCTCAGGGCCTGAAAGTCGAGAAATGCAGCAGACGCATTTATTAAGCCCTCCCTTGCCCTCTTACGGAGGATATCACCATGCGGGTTGAGAAGAACTGACTGTGACTTTCTGATAGCGGGTCGACAAAACACCGATACTGCGAAGGAAAAATGCATCCTCAGTGCTAGGTGCTCTAGATGCTGCTGGAGAGTTCTGCAGTTCCCGCGATCTTGAAGATGACGCTGCGCTCGGCCGTATATATTATCCAGGCTCCTCAATGCGTCTATGGCGTCAGATGTCTCATTCTCACCTGGTGATTTTTCCTTCGTAATTTCTAGACCATATCGACATAGATAGTGCATTATGTCCGTATAAGAGAGGTCCCAGCGAGATGCAAACTCAGCATCTAGCATCCAGCCACTCAGCGAAACAATACAAGGCCGGTCATAGCAAAGACTGAGAAGGCAGTCTTGCCAAGCAATATTCAACCTAATAAACAGTTGGTCTGATCAGAGCTCTAACACGTTCAGAATGAGAGAGGAAAAGCCAAATAGCAAGGAAGAAGGCGTACCATAGGGATTTCGCTTTTGGTTTCAAAGAATCAGGCCAGTGGGAAACGCTCCTCTCCGTATGCAGACCTAAAGTTTGCGCTAAACGGACTGTCGTCCCCAGCAAAGCCCAAGCTGCATCTGATTGTCCGCTGTTCTGCAGAGTATTTCCGAGAATAAGAAGAGCCTGGATAGTGTCTAGAGACGGTCGAAAGAGGAAATTAGACAGGCGGAGTGCTTGAAAGCACCGACGCGCTATTGGGGTTGTGCGTTAGCAATGAGTGTGGGCTGTACCGTTAAAGTATTCTACTAACGACAATCAAATCAACAGCATACCCAAATCTTGGCATAGCTCCGAGCGCGTAGGATTCTCCACGTCGGAAAAATGAACACCGGTGGCCAGTATTGCTAGAAGAAGACTGATATAGCCTACAGCTTTCCCACTATTCCACCTCTCGGAGATACGCTTCTGGTCCCGCAGCTCGCCGGCGGAGTAGGCATTAAGATACGTGCAGAGCTCAGACTCAAAATGATCCATATCCACCAAAATTGGATTAAAAGGGTAGGCTCTGATGCGGTAAAAATGAAAATATCTGGAATTGAAATTAGCTGGTTATTCAAATAGCACCAATCAAGGGGAGCAATGGCCAACCTTGATACCTCTTCCTTCTGAGGAAGGACTTTCAATAGCGCCATCCAGCGGTCTTGTTTTGTTCTCAAATCCATGAATGGATAGCTGCAGCACGTATTCTGCAACCCCAGAACCGATCTTGCTTCCCTTGCCATTGACTCATTGGGGTCTTGCGCTCGAGAACGTAATAGGGATACCACCGAGTTATCTCCTGAATAGACACTGGGATAATCTTTGGATCCTTCATCCGTCGCGGCAGTCGTCTCCTCGGGACTGTTTACCACGCCGGATTGAGCCGACCCAAGCACCCGGGATTGCAATGAGTGCACATTCCCAGTGACCGACGTGGCTGTCGTTGGGTTTCTCTCGGGGCCCGCGATGAGTCCACTGGAGGTATCATTCAGTCCCGGGCTGCCAATATCACGCGAGACCTGCTTCGAACGGACAGAACGGCTGCGTTCCAAGGAACTCTGCCTGCCATGAGACGGACTACCTATATCATAGGTGCATATCTCGGGATGGCCACGCTTGGAGCAAGTCCGGCAAGGATGGCCGTTGTCACATTTGACTTTGCGCTGGCGGCAGGGGTAGCACGCTCTTGCTTCACGCTGCTTGCGCTTCAGCTGGAGAACTCGATTGACTTCCTGCCGGTCGACAGAAGTTCTCGTCGAGGAGTGCTGATACATGCCCGGGGATTCTTGAGACGATCATCAAGATGATGAACATTATGATATTACCAACCATAAAATAGCGAGTTAACTAAGTTAGTTGCGTTGTTTTATGACTCAGCACAATCACATGACACCTACCAAGGCTCTTCGCATCGACTTCCACAACTTCCCACTGCGTTTCCCTGCTGCATGCATCAATCATCCTGACATCCCCTGTACACTATCATCGACAGTGGTGGGTGCTTTGTCCATTCAAAATGTATCGGCGCCGCGGTCGCCCATCTCGGCCTGGACAAAGCTATCTTTCCACCAGCCACTAAAACATACTATCATGTTGGATGTCTTTTCCTACCCTGGATCAACAGCAAATGCAGTGAGCCATGCCTCTTGCACAGATACTAACCTGGTATGATAATTCTGTACGGCGTTGCCAGGGCCATGCGCAGCATTTGGAAAGGCGATGGCGTTCCTACGTTAATTAATGCAACTTCACAGGCCGAGATGAAGTCTACTCACTAAGGATTGTTACCAACTTGGGATCCTTCAACGGTTTAAGGGAAAAAACGCTTCGTACACCTGAACAAATCCATAGACATTGGTCTTGAAATGTGCTCTGATATCGTCGATCTGGACATCTTCGAGCTTGGGCCAGATGAAAGCAATGGCAGCATTGGCGATGAGGATATCTATATGGTCAATCACTTGCGCAGCTAACTCCTTTGCCGCATCAGCTACTCTTGTTTGGGGACGTAGCATCCAGCCTGGCCACTTTCACTGTGGTCCCTTCCACCACTGGTAGGGAGATCAGTTCCTGAGACGTTTAATGGCTAGGATTGCGATTGGCAGCAATGGTGGTGTGATTCAGTCTGGCAGGTAGAGCTCCAGGATTCCCTTTCAATGCAGCGTTTGGCACCGGTGATGACGATGATGGTTGGAGCCATGATGAATTTGGTTTAATACATCGACAGCTACAATAATACTCGTTCGTTGGCTTCCAATACGGCTACCTGGATATTGATCCTATTTCTATTGCTTCCCGGCTCGCTCTTTTTCGATAACAGTATTATTAAGAACCTCAGGAAGATAAAGAACGATTTCTAGGATTGCTTACTCCATATATCATGGATTAATAATAATAATAATAATTCTCGGCATCGAGGCGGCCATGAGCAATGCCGCCAAGCAACTGAACCCGGAATTCCGAGTTGTCGGCTGTACAAAACACCATGGAACATGGAAATCCAGCGGTATCGCCCGGGATAATAGCAACGGGCCGTTCCCATCGGTAGTGTCAAGAGAGAATCCTCTCCGAGACACTTTGTCGAAAAGATGGTTTCCCCGAGCTTCCCGAGTCGATGCGAGGGTCCGAATATCCACCGAGAACTCCGTCGGAAGGACGTGTATATATACGGTCCGAGAGTTACGAACGCTCATCTACAAGAGTTTGATCAAGTGACAGCTTGTTATTCTATTGCATTGCATTGAACGAAATCATGGCATCTACGGAACCGCATCTCTGCTTCAGATCGTTCGTCGAAGCACTCAAGGCCGACAATGACCTGGTTGAAATCAACACCCCGGTCGATCCCAACCTCGAAGCAGCTGCCATCACTCGTCTAGTCTGTGAGACTGATGACAAGGCACCTCTATTCAACAATGTCATCGGTACCAAGAACGGCCTCTTCCGGATCCTGGGAGCGCCCGCGTCGCTTCGCAAGTCACCCAAAGAAAGATATGGCCGTCTAGCTCGCCATCTGGCGCTGCCACCTACAGCCAGCATGCGCGAGATCCTCGACAAGATGCTTTCTGCAAGTGACCACCCTGCGATTCCCCCGACCATCGTCCAAAGCGGGCCTTGCAAGGAGAATAGCCTAGAGGGCGACGATATTGACCTCACCGAGCTCCCTGCGCCTCTCGTCCACAAGTCCGATGGAGGAAAGTACATCCAGACATTCGGCATGCACATCGTCCAGTCACCGGATGGCAAATGGACGAACTGGTCCATTGCTCGCGCCATGGTGCATGACAAGCGCACCCTCACTGGCCTGGTCATCCCACCGCAGCACATTTGGCAGATCCAGCAGATGTGGAAGAAAGAAGGCCGTGACGTACCCTGGGCACTAGCATTTGGTGTTCCTCCCGCCGCGATCATGGCCTCTAGCATGCCTATTCCAGACGGCGTCACAGAAGCCGGGTACGTGGGCGCCATGACGGGCACATCTCTCGAGGTGGTGAAATGCGATACCAACGACCTTTATGTACCAGCCAACTCTGAGATCGTGTTCGAGGGCACGATGTCAATCACCGAAACCGGTCCTGAAGGTCCCTTTGGTGAAATGCACGGCTATGTCTTCCCGGGTGATAGCCATCTCTGCCCTAAATATACCGTGAGCAAGATTACGTATCGCAACAACCCTATCTTACCCATGTCTTCCTGTGGAAGATTAACAGATGAGACTGTATATCACTCCCCTAATAAGCTCCATTATTATCCCTTCAGTGCTAACTGAAAAAAAATGTGCATTAGCACACAATGATCGGCTCCCTCTCAGCCGCCGAAATCCGCAAAATCTGTCAACAGCACAACCTCCCAATCACAGATGCCTTCTCCCCCTTTGAATCCCAAGTAACATGGGTCGCACTCCGCGTAGACACCGCAAAGCTCCGCGCCATGAAAACAACTCCCAAAGAATTCGCCAAGCGCATCGGCGACCTGATCTTCAACCACAAGGCGGGATTTTGCGTCCATCGCATCGTGCTATGCGGCGATGACATAGACGTCTACGACGGCAAGGATGTCATGTGGGCCTTTTCGACGCGTTGTCGGCCCGGTATGGATGAGACTTTCTTTGAGGATGTGCGAGGTTTCGCTCTGATTCCGTATATGAGCCATGGGAATGGGCCGAGGAATAAGGGGGGGAAGGTTGTGTCTGATGCGTTGTTACCGAGTGAGTATACGACGGGGGCGGATTGGGAGGCGGCGGATTTTGAGCATTCCTTTCCTGAGGAGGTGAAGGCGAGGGTGTTGGCGAATTGGGAGGGTATGGGGTTTCAGTCTAGAGGGTGAGTAGGTTAGGGCAGCCCATTCGACACGCAACCCAACATGCTACATCCGATCTGCTGCTTTCAAATCGGCAACAGCATTCAATTAAAAAGTTGAAGTAATAAATCAGGCAATATAAACACCGCAATGCCAATGCTCCCGCAAATGCTAAAGCCATGCCAATGCATAGATGTAATCAATATGTTCAAAGAAAGAGAATAAAAGCCAAAGTCTAACAAAAAAAGCCAAAGACAAGCCAGCACAATTCCCTGTCCAATCCAAGATGTATGTAATGTAGGCCAATATTATTATGCGCCGAACGTTCCCAACCCGAGGAAGTCATTCATAGTAAGTATGCTGTCGCTGTTGTAAATGAGTGCTTTTTGCAAAGGACACATGCATTGTCCAGGATGAAAAATCAATGCAAGATGAAAGTCGCAATGCCAGTGAAAATCGAGGAGTAACTCCAAAATTATCCAAATATGTATAGGAAGATATAAGAGAAAAGGTAAGAAACGGGCAAAGGATTTCAAATTCTAATTCCTCCTTTCATTCAACCCACGCAATGCAATGCGCCGACTCACCCCGGCCGGTCCGATATCGTGAACACCCCGCATTTGAGGGAGAGACGACACCCTGCTCTTAAGGATGGGAGGTGGCTTCAGGGTGGCAGAGGTTCGCCTGGCCTGACCAAGCACATCTTCTACCCATGCCTCACTCTCGGGGGACATGGAGACGTGCCGCGATCGTGGCTTTGGCCCTGCTAGACCGAGTGGCGTTGATTGCGGGCTGGAAACTGTGGAGGCTGGTGGAGAAGTAGACAAAGGCGGACGAGATCCACCCGACACGGAGGCCGCGGACGATTGTGAATCTCGGCGGCGAGCAAAGAGGTTCGAAGCTGGTGGTGGAAGGTTCAGTTTATCCCTTGTCGCGCGGAGATCAGATATCGCGGATACATTCGAGCCACGTCGAGTTTTCCGAACAAAAAGGGGCGAGGGAGGTCGCGAGCTGAGAGCAGAATTCGGTCGAGATGGTTTCAGCCTGGGTGCATGGTCGCCAGGCGACCGCCGTTCTGCCGCAGTCTGAGGCGCCTCTCCCGACTTTCGGTGCCCATGATGGAAGGCGTATTCTCTTAGGTATTCAGCTAGGTCGGCCCATCCTCCTCCAACTCGCACCATGAGTCGCTCCGAATTCTCCCCGACAGAACGAACGAAAAGCTTAGTGGGGTTGGATTTCTGATCTCCAAGGTGGTAGACCCTCACAGAACGATCTTCGGGCGTATACGAGGACGACTGTCTTCTGCTGCGAGATCCAACAGAGGTTAGGAATAAGGAAGGAGCAGGAGTGCTGCTGCGTGTCGGTGACCCATCTGGGGATCCTGCGAGATAACGTTGTCGCTCTTTTTCAGCCAAAGATGAGATGATAGGTGACTCGTGGATTTTGTGACCTGATTGTGATACCAGATGGATACGCGCCGGGATATTCGTAAGGATGGAGCTAATCTTTTCGTCCATGTAATCTGTGGGCTGTTTCGACGCTCTGCTGAACGTCGACGCTCGGGACCGAGTATCTTCGGGCTGCCGTGGGGATTCTGGCCGCCATAGTCCCAGGCTCTCAAGGCTAGGATTGCGCTTTAGCCGTTTGTTTATCCTAGGGTTGTTCAGATAGCTGGCCAAGTTCAACAGCTGAGGCCGATAGCCTGGACTTCCAGGTATTGAGTCTCTTGAGCGCTCTGAACCCGGTGAAGGGAAGTAGCTCGCTTCTGATACTGCCCCCGGGACTTCTTCAGCAGAGAAGCCAGGCCTTAGTGGCATTACGTTGCCAGAATCGAATCCCGACCCCTTGTTGCCCGACCGTTCGTAGTCGAACAGCGCGGCTGAGGCTGGTCTGGGCGTTATACCATCATCCACCTCAAAACCGGATTCGCCATTGAAGTTGAACCGTTCATTAATGAAGCGTTCAAGTGGTAGGCTAACGGCTCGGTTGTGTTTAAATGCGGTATTCTTCTGGCTCTCTAGGCGAAGTAGATGGTGTGCTCGAAGGGTATGGCTAGGATTTGGTGGAGTACGGTCACAAACTGGATCCACCGCTGAAGGTCGCGGAGGACTTTCAAGGGGCACAGGAGTTCCGTTCGGCGATGCAGGAACATTTGCTCGGACCTCGGGACTAGAGATGAGGGATGGGAACTCGGACATAGAGTCGTCAGAGGCACTGGATCCTCGTCGGCGAGGATTTGCAACGCCCTTCTCGAGACCGATACGCTCTAACCGGAGGCCGGGTAGCTTGATAGGGCTATCCAACCTATGCCGCGCAGGTACGGGGGCAGGAGCACCTGCATCTGTCTCTGCTTGGTTGGCGATATCAGATTCGGCGGGCGTGTGTACACCAAACGCTTCCTGGTCATCGTCACGAGAAATGGGACGGTCATCGCGCTCCGAGGAAGGGCCGGTGGACTCAGAAGACCGCGAATCGTCGACCATGACTACGGCGGGAGAAACCGGTACCCTGGTCGCACGAGGTTCAGTGGTTGTTTTCTTCGTGGATTCCAGCTCTGAGACTGGAGTCTTCGGCGATTCAGAAGGAAGAGCTGATCCGTCAAGCGGTGAGGTAACATTCGTCATGGGTTTCGGTTTCGCAGTGGCAGACGTATCTTCTATGAAAGAGCGTGCCGGATTTGGACCCGAGGCAGATGTTGGTGGCGTATCACCCTCCACATCCTCCACAGTGATGCGAAACTGACAGCTCTGATTGGCAAGGGCATCCGTAGTGTCCAGGGAAGCTGAAGAAGGATGTGCACCGGCAAATGACTTTTCAACAGTTGAATCTCCAGTTCGAGTGTCAGGCACGGAGCTTTCGGTTTTACATTCGACCTCGGAGGCTGTAGTTGGAGATGCAACTGACGGCACATTAACAGATGATAGTAGAGCACCCATTTCATCTTTTTCATTATTGGCAGAATCGGACTTGTCAACAGGAACTTTGGGTTCCCTTGTAGACTCACTTTGAGATGAGGACACCGTCTTCTTAGTGCCGACTATTTCGGAAACAGGATTATGCGGGGCCGGGGTTCGTTCTGGTTCACGGGCTTCGTTCTCCTCGGGTTGATTCAACCGAGCAGTTTCTTCCGTCTGACGGGCAGGTTGATCAGATGCGTCAACTCCAAGCTCCGCGTTCTCCGCTAGCGCAAGTTCCTTCGCGGCAGAACTAGGCTCTGCAATATCTGCGCCTGTATCCCGCTGCGCAGCATCGCTCTCGCATACGGCAGGAGTAGTTCCCCGTTGTAGAGTGCTTGCCCCAGAGTCAAGGCTGGGTTTCGCAACGTCCGTACCATTCGGCGGGGATGAAGGATGGAATTCCAAAACAGGAGGAGAAGTAGAAGTTTTCGTAGCTGCTGGGCCATCGCGCTGCTCATCGGCGATACTGTTCGAGTGGCGTTCAGGAATAACAGGAGGAGGAAGGGGTGTCTGCGTAGGTACCACGCGAGGATTGTGGAGAAGGCGGTTCGCGTCGGGTTCAGGAGCATCCGGAGCAGCAACTTGCGGGGGTGCCACCCTAGGTTGGTCAGGTACATCGGCCGACTTGGGTTCGGGGTTATAACCTGGTTCCTCATTAATAGTCCCCATCGGGGCGCGCCCGATTGGGCGTGTTGTACTGAAAGAACGGACCTGTGTCGTCGGATTTTCGGGTTCGGTGGGTGCTTTGGAAGGGATCTGGGAAGCTTTCTTGGTCGCTGCCGTCAGACGGATCAATTCGTTTGCGACAGTGCGTCTCTCGGCGTCGACAACCCAGTTGCCAAAATCAGCCTCGATGGCTTCCAGATCGTCAATCCAGCTTTCCGGCAGGGAGTCTTCGCGGCCTTCCAGCGCATCGAGGATTACGTCCATTTTTCTCCCAACGGAGACAACCATGCGCTCCAGTTCGGCCTGTTTGGCGCGGAAATTGGCTCTGGAATACAAGGTGTCGTGTTCTCTAGGAGATTCCGCAGACCGTAAAGAGCGAAACGACGAATCGAGCGCGCCCCGTGTATAGCGCAGGCCATGCAGAAGATCGGGAATCTGACGTAGAGCAAGAAGCCGGGCATCCCAGGTGGAAAGGAGACTGTTGAGGCGAGACAAAAGCGGCAGGGCACGCAGTATGGTGGCGGTGATAACGGTAGTAAAGTCACTTAATTGGACATAGCTAAGTGGGGGAGGCGCAGACATGGTGCTCGCCGAAGAAGAGGGCCGAGAGCGATAGGGGACGTGGGCATTGAGAACGTGTTCCTTCAGCTCTTCCATTCCCAACGTGTCTATCCCATCCCGGATTTCTTCGATGCGGCGTTCGTACTTCTCAACCGCGTTCGCCGGGAGACTGCCATAATAGATTGTTTCGGACGCATTTTCGCTGACGGGAGGAGATGACGGGGGGATGAACCCCTTACCCAGGTGCGCATCTTTGCCTTGCGGCCAGGACCATGTCCGCACTTCTCTGTACCATTGCCCCAGCTTCTGCGCTGCCACGGCAGCACGAACACATAGGGCACGTTCTGCGGGAGAAACCTGGGCTATGCTGTTGGTGAGAAGGTCCTGCGCAATCTTCTCGTGTTTGGGCACGGCGTTTGTCGACGAGAGAGCTTGGAGGGTAGATTCGGGGGAGAGACTGCTCAATAACGGGTCGAGCTTATCGAAGGAGAAGGAGGCGTTCTTCTCGTGGGACTGATACATCGAACGGAGGCTTGCCTCGGAACGCGCGGAGAGCAGAAGGGCGGAAGCGCCGCTTGAACTGCTCGCCATCGTGGAGAATCTGCCGAGGGAGACCCTCTTTTCTGGACAACCACGCTCGCAGATGTATGTGGGGAGGGTCGGGGAACTAGATGATCTGTTTTCGTAAGGAAGAATATCGGCGTGAAGTATCGACAGTCGGCAGTAAGGGGTGATGAAACGCGAGCATGCTGAGGCGCGTTCCAACGACGAAATCGAATTGGACGGCGATACCGCTGAGACGGCTAGAATGGGAGACGAGGAAGGACAAGAAGGATCGATAGAAGGAGGAAGAAGTGACGATAGTGGGCGAGCAAGGGTGGTGTTCGTGGGATGAAGAGAGCGTCTGTGTGTCGTCGGAATCAGGAGATGGCGAAGGGTCGGGAGGGACAAAGAATGCAAGGAGGGAAAGGATGAGACGGCAGAGCGGCACACGAAGGATCCAGATGAAGAGAGAGAGAAGAAAAAAGAGTGGCAGGAGTGGGTGAGACAGAATAGACCAGCTTTTCTGCCTGGGAGAGTGAGGTGTGATGGTGATGATGAGGACGAACAGATTGGATGCCGTGCGGCGCTGGCGATGGTGGAGCTGAGCCCTTTTTATAGCATTTTCCGCGGCCTCCTCGCGAACCGCCCGCTTCCGTCAGTGCTTCGGCGCTATTAATTAGTGATATGAGAATTTATCCTCCTTATGATTATGCATCCGTGAGGCCATTGCTGCAGGATGTTCGCGGGGTCTCCCTGATTTGCATTTGCTGTCCTTCGGGCGCTGTCCATGGTGCCCCGATGCGCTGTCTGCCGGCACTCAGGCATCTCTGCGGGCATCATTGCGTGTCCCACGCTGTTGTACCTACTCTATATAGTATACGCACGCTGTCCAGGCCGGGCTATACGCGCTGTAGGCGGGTCCGGCCAGGTGGTGCAATCATCAACGTGCTGTCCACAGTGGCCTACGTCAGTGTATATAAAGTAGGATCTCGCCATCTTTCGGGATGCGCAGTGACTGTCCGCGATTCGTTCATCATGATCAAACAGTAGGCTCGTACGTGGAGGGTGAAGAAGCCCTTCCTCGCAGTAAGAGACCGTGAGTCCGGTCATGATGACTTCAGCTCCCTGCTTCCGGTACGCGGCGACCAGCCGTATACCGGATGGCAGGATTAGAACTCTCGTACTTGCGTCGGCTGCGATCCCGATGTCACCGTCCTAGCCAGAGCCAGCTATACTTCGGATACATTCGCAATGGACGTGGTGCACAGTCTGCCGTCGCAAGTGCGAACCCCGAAAGGGATCCACGATGAATCGGCTGAAGCAGGTGAGTTTGGCCAGCAGTCACTCTCGCAGAACGATATGCAATGTGCCGACGTCTCCAAAATAGCATGCCTCCGTGAAATCCCCTCGGATCTGCTCACGTCGCTCGAGGAATTGGACAACACGTTCACCGTCGACGTGGCCACGCTGAGGAAAATCACCGATCACCTCGTAGCGGAGCTAGAGAAAGGTTTGATGGTGTCTCCCTATCGCCTGCGCAGAGAAAGCAATAACTAAGAGACCCATGAAAAGGTCTAAGCGAGGAAGGCGGGGATATCGTCAGTAGAACAGAGAAAATCGAAACGGAGTCTCGTCCAAAGTGCTGACTAGAAGTGTCTCTGGCAAGCCGATGAACGTCACCTGGGTCAAGGGATACCCGTCTGGCCATGAAAAGGGGAATTTCCTGGCCCTCGACATGGGTGGGACGAATCTGCGCGTGTGCGAAGTCGACCTTTCTGGCGGCCAGGGGGAATTCGAGATCACCCAGAAGGAGTACAGGATACCCGACGAGCTCAAGACAGGCACAGCGGACCAGCTGTGGGATTTCATCGCCGAGGAAGTAAGGTCCTTTGTCCACCAACGGCTCAATGCTGGCCAGACGTCCTCGAAGATACCGCTGGCCTTCACCTTCTCCTATCCCGTCCACCAGCCATGCATCGATCGTGGAGTCCTGCAGCGCTGGACGAAGGACTTTGATGTCGCCGGAGTCGAAGGATCTGATGTGGTCATCCAGCTGGAAGCTGCTCTGGAACGAAAGGTTGGCGAACTGTGTACGTTCCCATGTGGAGAACCCCTCGTGGCTTATATATTTCATCCAGAAAGTACCCGTGAGAGTTGTCGCGCTGGTCAACGACACAACGGGCACTCTCATCGCATCATCATACAGCGACCCTGAAGTGAAAATCGGCAGTATATTCGGCACGGGCTGCAATGCCGCATACATGGAAGAGTGTGGATCGATCCCTAAGATCAAAAACAGCGGCCTCCCAGCGGACACGTTGATCGCCATCAACACGGAATACGGCGCGTTCGACAGCGAGCACAAGGTTCTACCCCAGACACGTTTCGACAAGGAAATTGACCGGCTCTCACCGCGCCCCGGTCAACAGTCGTATGAGAAGATGGTCGCCAGCCTATACCTCGGAGGCCTGCTCCGTCTGGTCCTGCTTGAACTGGGCGAAACAGGCAAGATGTTCAAGGGCCAGGATATCTCGCGCCTCCGTACAAAATTCGCGATCAATTGCCAGCTTCTCACCGAAATCGAGGCAGACCATACCCAGACGCTGACCGGGGTACGGGACCTGTTCAAGACACAGCTAGGCATTGAGCTGGCGCCCCACGAGCGGCGAGTCCTCCAGTTCCTGACGGAGCTGATAGGAGCCCGTGCAGCTCGCCTCTATGCATGCGGCATTGCCGCTATCTGTAAGAAAAAGAAGATAGACAGATGCCACGTCGGCGTGGACGGGTCCGCATTCAGTAAAAACGCTGTCTTTCAAGAGCGTGCTGCCCAAGCACTCCGTGAGATCCTCCAGTGGCCAGACGACACCGAGGACAAGATCACTCTCCAATGTGCGCAGGATGGATCTGGTGTGGGAGCAGCATTGATTGCGTCGTTGGCCTTGGAGAGAGGCGATGGCGCTGTTCATTCTGCTAGTTGAACCCCATCTGGACTGGACAAGACAGCTGAGGGGCGACGAATGCCCTTGAAACCAGGTGAATCCTGTAGAATAGGATAGAGGATAAATTTAGTAGAAACAAAATTAGACAGGGATGTGAAACAGCGTCTTTACCTCTAGTCGACCAAGCTTCCTTTGCTCCTTTACGGCGCTCCCTCTGCAGCCCACCACTGGATAGCCCCTCGTGAGGCAATCCCACGCCAGGACAAAGATCACAAATCTGCAGAGATCAAAGCCGTCGCATTAATGACTCTCCTGGATGATCATAATATCAGGACATTTTCTTCTCAGGGTTACAAGATGTCTTAGTCATCTGGATCACATGACAGTCCAAGGGCAGCCCTATTTCGTCCTTGTCGGCTGTCATCGCGTCTTGCAACCATCTAAATACATCGAGAACCAAACCTCAACAAAACCAGCAGTGACAGCATGCTCCTACATGACTCGTCCTAGAACATAGTCACGGCTGTGTTTGACAATGCGGTTTCGAACCCAGTTGGCCAATACCGTCACTTTTGCCAGTGAGTCCTGTCAATAAGAACTAGTTACCCCCGCCGATAGCCCGCGTCGAGCTAAGCATGCATATCTCAAGAACTAACCGCATCTCTCTCATCCCTGGGCAAAATATGTTGGATGCGTCTCGAAGCTGATGCCATCCGGTTTACGATCATCCCCGACCAAGGCACGCAGGTGTGGGCTCAGTTGCCGGTGGTATGTACTACTGTCGGACGGACGATGTTTTAACATGTCCGAGATAGAAGCTCTCCTATGATTGATGGAGGGTTAATATTATTCCAGGATAGCATCTTTGAGGAATCTACATACAACCTCGTATCTAACTCGGGGGTAATCAACCTCGAAGTCCCCATTGGAGCACTCAATCGCGCTCTCCGATCCGCCATCGGCGCGTCAAGCGCGCACATCCGACTCACGAAGAAGGGGAACATCCCCCTTCTCGCGCTGACGATTATCTCATCATCATGGACACAGGGTAACAATGCCCTTGGCATTGTTGGAAACGAAAACGAACCCGCTCCAACAGGAGACGACACGACTACTGTTACTGCTGATCATGACGGCAACAATCCCAGAGGTCCTGAAGGAGGAGCTGGCCCCCGCGAACGCGAAACGGTAATAACCCAAGAAGTCCCCGTGAAAGTCCTCCATGAATCAGTAGTGCGAGGTCTCCACGAACCTCGCTGTCGCGACCCAGACGTCCACATCATCCTACCCAGTCTGATCCAGCTGAAAAACATCTCGGAGCGCTTCAACAAGCTAGCCACTGATGCAAATACAAGTGCGAAATTGAAAGCGTCGTCTTCGATTACAGTGTCTACTATGTCTTTGGTCTCGCCGAAATTGGAGTTATCGGCCAACATGCACGGGTCCCTGAAGCTAGCTATCGCGACGGATGCGCTGCGCATCTCGAGCGTGTGGAGTGGCCTGGTCAACCCGCCGCTTGATACGGAGCGGCTGTCGCAGACGGAGATTGAGCAGTTACCGAGTGAGCGAATGCGGGCCTTGGCTAGTGATGACGAGGCTGGTTGGGCTAAAGTGAGGATTGACGGAAAGGATTGGGGACGCGTGTTGAGTATTGGTCGGTTGAGCCCGAAGGTCGTTGCTTGTGAGTATTACTTCTAACCTTAGTAGCCAGCAGTTAGAATGATGTCGTTTGGCTGACAAGTCGCAAGGTTTCATAAACGAAACAGCGCTCATACTCTATGTTTATCTACCTGGAAGTTGGAATGGGGAGGAGTCTTGCTTGACTGTAAGCATCTATGCACACCTATTAAGTGAGCCCAACTAACGTATTGACAGTACTATATCAATTCCTACTCCAGCTGAGTTGTTTCTGAAGACAAATATGTATTCCACACATTGCATTGCCATTAGATTATAGTGATGTTTGACAAAGTATGATAGAAGAACAATTATTACAAGTAATATGATCAAACACGACAACATTGTAATCGCATCAAGTAGGAAAACAAGGTCAGTAAAAGACATAGAAAAAAAAAAAAAATAATATCAACATCACTCAATGGTCATAGTCTGGATGGCCAAGTCCAGAACTCATCCCATACACCAGTAGGTGCGGTGAAAGCCATGGTCAATATACAAGACGTAAAATGCATCTCATGTAAAAAGCAATAATGTAATAGTACAAATGAAATAGCGTGTCCTGGAACAGACATGTTCACGCAATAATCTTCTGTGGTAGCACGAAGAGAGCTCCAGCAAAAGAATGATCCGCGTATCCGGCTGCTCGATCTGTCATTGCAAAAGGCATACAGCGCTCATTTAGCCATGACGTCGACATATCTGCCCTTCTTCTTCGCCCTAACAGACCCTCCCTTGCGTGCTTGTGGTTCCCCAAGCAAGTCATCTATGGAAGTTGCATTGCTCAATGATGTAGCCGGCCGGGGCGGTGGAATCCCTGGGGTAGATGATATAGAACGGGGTATATTCCCAGCTGCTAGAGGCGGTGCGCTTGACGGGGGAGGCGCTGGGCTTGCTGAGAGTGGAGGACGATTGCCCATGGCCGAAGGGGCTCTGCTCCCAGGACCAGAACCCGTCGGAGGCGCACCAGGACTATCAGACCTGGCCAGGGGGGCGGGCCCCTTTGGAGGAGGGGGCGTGCTGTGTGCCAACGTGCTGCTACCGGGATCCTTTTTGTTGACCCATCTCTTCAGCTCCTTATCATAGTAAAACGAACTGGCCTCGCCGAGCTTAGCTCGAATCGGACCACCGCCACCAGCAGCGTTGTTAGTTGCGGCGGCATCTTTTTTGCCTCCAAACCAACCGCTGAACCAGCCCTTCTTTGGAGGAGGGGCTTTCTTAGCTATAACCAAACAAGTTAGTGTCCAAGCTCGCAAATTCGTACGAGAAGTACATACCGTCTGCTTCGGCGGCTTTCTTAAACGCCTCGGCCGCTTCACGATCCGCCTGCTCTTTTTCGGCCTTCCGAATCGCCTCTGCACGCGTTGCCATATCATCATCATGATCCACTGAGGGTCTCCTTTCTGAATCCTCGACAACAGCATCGATGCTTGATGGAGGTTCATAACTATGACCGCTGGTTACTGGCATATACCCGGAGTTGCTTGGCGGCGGTACATTCACGGGGTTTCCGTTTCCAGCAAATGAATCAAAACTAGGTTGGGCCGAAAACTGGGTTTTCGCCTGATAGGCACGATCTTCATCGACTGGTGCGAGAGGCATGTACGAGGTCTGAGGTGGCGTAAAATGATATCCAGTAGCCGGCGATGAGCTATAAGGTGGCGCTGGTTGGTACGGGTTGGCCTCCACAGGGGGTGGCTGTTCCTGGGAACTTCTCCTTTGCCCAACGGAAAATCCGAAAGAGCCAGATCTCTGAGACTCAAAAGATGTTCTGCCACGGACATTGTCAGGCGAGCCATTCGGCACGTACTGATTTCCAGGATGGTATCGCGAAGGCATTCCAGTCGGAATAGGTTGCGAACCCGAAATAGGATATGATCCATATAAATCTGTCACGGAAGGCGAACGGCTGACGGTTGGAGTACCGGTAACCTTTGCAAAGGGTCCAACATCAGCATCTCCCATCTTTCCGGATCCCGTTGACGCTGCATCACTGTCTTCGCCAGACACGAAGCTGTTGAATTTCGCCCACATTGAACCAGATACTTTCTCCATACTAGGCCTTGATATCCAAGAGGATGCTCCATCGCTGGTAGTTTGCTTTAGGCGCGCAGTGAGTTCATCAACTTCAGAAAACAGCTGTTGATGACAATATACAGAGGGTTTCGTTGTGGCTTTAAGCGTCCCAACAATTGCATCACAATACTGCAGGGCTTCTGATGTGCGACCATGTTCTGCAAGGGACTTCGCCTGCATGAGTTTGAAGGCTAGAAGATGCGGCAAAGTAGCCGTAGGGGAGTTGGCTAGAACGGAGGTCGCGTATTCATATACCTCTGTCAGTTGAATGGAATCTTCATCCAGTAGAACATGGGTGAAACGCTGGTGATCAACTCCAAGTAGAACAATGCTCGACTGTGGGTCATCAGCACCACCAAATATTGGGGTCCGCGAAAACAGATAGCAGATATGTGCCGCTTCTGTACGACCATAGTTTGACAGTAGTCGTCCAAGGCTCACAAGCGCCTCTGAATCAGAAGGGCTCCGGTTACTCAGAACAAACTGAAGAGTCTCTCTCCACCTGTCGAGGCCATCAAGTGCATTCTTTGTTGGACCTTGACTGTTAACTTTACTGACCATCTGTAGGCCAGCTCGAACTGAAGGAGGCACGAGCTCATCAATGCTCTCTTCAATATTTCCCGCAAAGATCTCGTACAGCGCTGCGAGCGACTCGGCATTCCCAGACGAAGGCCTCATTTCTCGTCGTACGAATTCTTGGACAACCTGTTTCCAGACAGACTTGTCCAGTGTCGAAGCAATTATCATTGCATGCCCCCATAGACGATTGTCAACTGCTTCCCATACGGCTTTTTCGCGCTTGCCGTGGAGCAGATTGTCACGTAGGGTCTCCGTGAATTGTGGGCTGACCGAGTCAGGCCGGAACTGCACCTCCGATTTGAAATCAGCCGAATTCGTGAAGCTGTTTGCATACGGCTGCTCGGCTTCCGAGTTCTGGAGATTCGGAAATATCGTATTTCGCACAGCGTTTTGTACGTCAGGCGAACCTTCCAAGGTCCCGTCATTTTCTACCAAAACCCTAACAATCTTCCAAAGCAAAACCTTTTCTTCTTGACGTTTATATGGTTCGGGGTGTAACTGAGCCGCCTCGGACAGGCCCTCATTCTCAAACGCAGCTATCTTACTCGAAAGCCAAGCAAGAACATCTTTCTTCTTGGACTTAGCCTTGAGAGGGCCAGGATACCGTACAACACTTTCGGGTCGTGACACCCAATCATTTAGTTTGTTGAGTTTCACTTCACCCGGACTCGATTTGATCTTTGGAGTGACTTGGCCGGCCGTATATCGCGGGACATGTTTAGGGAAACAAGAAAGAACGACACCCCCGAAGCCAAAGTTGACAATTGGTGCGCCTTTCCATCGCTCAAGCGGATCCAATTGTTGCCCATCACTAGGGGGTATAAACTCAAGCTGCTCAGACGGACCATGGGCATGTATGGTGGAAGGCGGAGAGTAAATATTGGGCAATTGTGTTGGAGAACCGGGGCCATTAACAGAAGCAGGACGCTGGAGAGGATCAATTGATGGGACTGACAATCTTGGGCCGCCTAACATTTGTTGGCCAGGGGACTGTGTTCGGGATCTGCGAGGAGGCGAGAATGGCCCATCAATGGACATGGGTCCATTTTGCAATCCAGGAGCCGGGAATGCCGACGGAATTCCGGCAACTGGTCCAGTCCTCGTTGACAAGTCATTGGCATGAGGTTGGGGAGCATAGGGGTTTCTAGGCGGAGAAGTCGGTCCATAAGTAACAGGAGAGGTAATATTCTCATGAGCACTAGTTCCTGCGAAATCCAAAGCGTTAATGGAGACAATAGGACTTTGGTCGGAGATCTGTCCATTGGTTTGGGGTGGCGCATAGGGAGTTCTGTTAACTGTCTGCTCCAAGGGTGACACTTGTTGTTCCTCTGGTTGATATGCATTCCTTTCAAAGTAAGCTAGAGGGCTTGAAGTGCGTGGTTGAAACGGAAGAGACCCTGTTGAGCCAGATGCACTTGGCGGTGGAGAGGTATAGCGGCTACGAGATGCATGAGCAGAGGACGGAGGTGGTGCCGGCGAGTATCTTGGCGAAGGAGGAGGCTTTGAACCGGCTTGTAACCCAGGAGGTTTTGGAGAATACCTCGAAGCAGCGCTCGGTACGGACGGCACGGCTGGAGCTAGCAGGTTCGTATACGGATCCAACTTTTCAGGCTGCTGAAGCTGAGGCGGCGCATAAGACTCAGGGGATAACTGAGTGGGAAATGGGGGGGCAGTGTTCTGGTTTTCAACTGGCGGGGGTGCTGTTGAGGGCACCACGCGGTCAGGAGTATATCGTTCTGAGCCGAGAGAAGGTGCGCTAGGATACTGGCCAAAGGTCACTGGCGGCGGCTGAGACAGCGCAGAAGCGGCACTCTTGCAATCGGGGGTATATCGCCCTGAGCTTCCCGGTCGAGATCTTGGTGGCGGGGGAAGCTCTTCGTAAAAGTTCTTAGGAGGGGCTACCGTCTTAGGCGGAGCATTTCCAGACAGAGACGGTGAAGTAGACATGGGAGGAGGAACGGGAATGCTGCTGCTTCGAGGAGGCAACGGCGTGTTGGCAATCTTTGGAGCGGCGGGTTTGTGTGGTCTCCGGGGTAGTGTAAGGTCCTCTGGGAGGTCATAAGGAGATCTGTAACCTTCTTTGGAGCGTTCGACGAAACTTTCAGGCTTCTGCGCTGGAGGAGTTGGTTTGGCCGGTGGCGCAAAGTACGAGGAACCAAAAGTGGTATCCGCCGGCGAAATACCATCAACAGAAAGCCCTTGAACAAGGTCTGAAGTAGAAGGCTGGTGAGGCGTATAAGAGACCGGCTTGCCACGGGGAGGCGATTCAAACGGACTGTTCAGACCATTTGGAACGACGTGGTCAACAGGTCCGTGAGCCCCTTCAGCAACAGGAACTTGAGCCGCAACGGAGTCCTCTGCCAGCTCATCACCCAAAAGTATATCGTCATCATCGAGTTCCGCTTCCCACCGTGCGGCCAGATCTTCTTCCGAAGGAGCCTCGTTGACAGGGTTCTCAGAAGTTGGGGCGCCTTCAAGATTATTGTGTTGCTTAGAAGTAGGTGATGTTTCACTTGCCGGTGAATCTGGGCCCAACCCAATGTCCCCAATTACTTGTGATGTGCTTTTGCGAGTGATATGAGATGGAGATTTTTCTTCTTCCCCGAGACTCGACGACTTCTGAATGGATTCAAAGAAGCCACCTTCTGCATCTTCATCTTCATCAAAGATTGTATTGATTCCATTTTCACCATTCACGGCCGGCCGAACGGGGCTCTCGATACTGTCGTCCAAAAGAGGCATCCCTTCTTCAAATCTTGTATCTGGGTCCGGAGGAGAATATATTGGCTTCGTCTGCGTATTCAACTGGTTAAAAAAGTCTTCTTCGTCCGCCTCGGTATTAACATCCATGGCAGTTCTCCAGAAGCCAACGCCGTTGTTATTTTCCGTCCCGTAATCGGCCACAGAGCTCTCTCGGTGGTCCGACAATGAAGCCCCTCCGATGCTCAATTTCAATTCTCCGTTGTCCTTCCGGGGAGAAATGGTATGGTTCTCCAGCGTCGAATGAGGTTCAGTTCGTTTGGCCTCACCCTCCTCAGGAGGCGCAACCTGATCCGCGTCCTCATTTCCTGCAGGCGCAGATTCGCCATCTGTCGGCAACTGGAAACCAGTATGCGCTGCCTGGCTATTGCCATTTATTCGCGGGTCTCCATTCTCTTCTGCTTCCGATATGACGCCGTCCTTATTCGAGGTCTGATCGGCGTTCGTCTGATGGTCAGGGTCAATCGCACGGGGAGCGGATGGTTCGCCATCATCCGGAGAGGGGACACCTGGCTTCTCCTGCGCCGGCGAACTGGGATCGTCTAAGGCCGCCATTTCTGCACTGTCCGTCGCAGTCGTGGAAAGGATATCGTCAGGTAGGGGAGAGTCTCCTGCTGCGGCATCATCGGAGTGTAGAGCCGTTCCAGTCGCGCCCGAGTCCGGATGGGGATCACTGCCGTCAGGACGAAACATGGGATTCCACGAAGGGTACTCGGATGAGGAAATTATCGAGCCATCATTGCTATGTGCCATGACGACTGTGTGCCGTCTCCTGGAATAGGAATAAAAATCGAATCCTCCAGAGCGATCGACTAGACGACGCTCCCCAGGACAGGTCTCAGGATGGGCGATGGCGAATAGTCACAAACAAAAGGAGCGGCCTAGTGATACATCAAGTAAGGAGAATTAAAGAGAAAGGAAAGAGAAGGAGAGCAGGATCAAAGGCCGGGGTTAGGAAAGGTGTCACGAAGAGGCACAGAGAGGCAAAGGCATTTTCCTGGTCTTTCTATCCCTTAAGAGTTAGGAGTCGCCGGCGATTGATTTGCTGGAGAGAGATTCGCGTTGGATTGGGATGATGATCCGGTCGACGGAATCGCACGAGTCGTCCCATGTCACATGTCTAGTCTACAACCACTTACTATTAATACTTAGTAGTATATGATTCCTCTCAGCAAGATTACTACTATCCTTACGGAGTATTTATATTCTTATTTTAACTCCTAATTGCATACAAAGACCAACTGTCTCCCAGCATACATCCTCGATACGGAGTTCTGTAATTTCAGTACAGATGTCACCGTGGCTGTGCGTTGCCATACCGTACCGTACCATCCGTTACAATACACACCATGGCCCCATCATGTGACTGGGATGATCTGTTCTGATGCCACCCTCCTTCAAGGCAGAAGTATAGCAGTCGCCAGCATCGAATTGCTGCTGCGGTTGTCACCGTCAAGGACTGGCGGGAACTACAATACACGAACTGACTATGACGGCGTTGAAACCGTGTAGTTGTTGATATTCTAATTCCACCACAGAGCTCTTGTGGATCCGAGCTCGATTGAACCGAACCTCCTATCGATAATCCTACCCAAAACGCAGTGGATGCCACTCGACGTGACATGACAGTTTCGGTCCTGGTTGCGCCAGCTTCACGAGCGCTGTTGTGGGAGATTCCGGGGTATCCGTTGAGTTTCGTTGCGCTGCCTTAATCAACATGCCTTCGCCAACACTACACGAGCGCCGGGATGAAGGCGCCAGTATCCTGAACGACTCCGAATCGGACGACGACCTTGACTTGGAGGAACTAGACCCAACCACGGCAACCTTGCACAAGCATACTCGCTTTTCTAGGGATGATACGGCACTTCGGAGAGGCTATGGACCGGGAATAGCGCTGAGAAATTTGCGATCTGGGATTGGAAATCGTGCGTGGAGACGACGAAACGCGCCTGGATTACGCAGGAGTTCGGAAGAGGACATGAGCGGTTTGCTCGGTGGTCAAGACGAAGGGGGAGCGCGGTCATCACTGGCAGCGTCCCGCACCTTTGCCGACGATGATGCTCCTCTGCTACAGGATCGCAGGCGCAGCTCCGCTCGCTCGTTCAGGGATGATAGGCCATCAGCAAAGAAGAGCTTTCCTTTTAGTTTCCTCAGTTTCAAACCGAGTAACATTCTCAAGGCGACTTCAAATAGCTTGAAAGGCAATCGGTCCGAGAACCAAGAACCAAAACCCCCGCGTGACGTATCGGTTGGACAGCCTCAACGTGCCAAATATCCACCGAACGTTGTTTCCAACGCCAAATATACACCATGGAGTTTCTTGCCTCGCACACTCTACAACGAGTTCTCGTTCTTTTTCAATATCTACTTTCTCCTTGTGGCCTTATCACAGATACTTCCAGTGCTGCGGATAGGCTATATGTCTTCGTACATCGCGCCGTTGGCGTTCGTCGTTTCGATATCCTTGGCAAAGGAGGCACTGGATGATATTGCGCGCCGTCGAAGGGATGCTGAAGCAAATTCGGAAGAGTTCTCTGTCATGTATTTCGACAAATCCACTTCCCCGGGTACCGAACCTGGTGACATATTGGAAATTACAAAAAAATCGCGAGATCTCAAGGTTGGAGATGTGTTAAAACTTCGCAAGAATCAGCGTCTGCCTGCGGACGTTGTGATTTTAAAGAGTGTCCCTAGCGAGACCTCCAGTGCTTCTCGGAAATCCACGGCGCATGAATCGGTCTCTGAACCCTACCCAGATCTAATCGATTCGAACCAGGGTCCATCAACGGACCAAGGCGCAGACGGCAATTCAAATTTGGCTACAGATGACGCAGCCCGTCTTGCCCCAAGTGACACGTTTATCCGTACAGATCAGCTAGACGGCGAAACTGATTGGAAACTACGCCTGCCGTCGGTGTTATCCCAGACTCTCCCTCTCCGTGACTTCACCAGACTTAAGGTCACCGCTAGTGCTCCGGATAAGAAAGTGAATGATTTTGTCGGCACCATAGAACTAGCACCTCCAGTTGGCTTCTACGACCCTCATGTCGAAGACGAAAATCACGACGGCGAAGCGGCACAGGCCAGCACTGCGCCGTTGACAATCGACAACACTGCGTGGGCCAACACTGTTCTCGCCTCCAATACAACTACCTACGCAGCGATAATCTACACAGGCTCCCAGACACGGGCAGCAATGTCAACATCTCCTTCTCGGTCAAAAGTGGGACTGTTGGAGTACGAAATAAACAACCTGACCAAGATTTTGTGCATTTTGACTCTTGGACTCTCGATTATCTTGGTAGCCCTGGAGGGATTCCAGCCGACAAACGATAAAGAATGGTATATCGCAATCATGATATATCTTATCCTCTTCTCAACCATCATCCCCATGAGTTTGCGAGTCAATCTGGATATGGCAAAAACGGTGTACGGCCGCTTCATTGAACGAGACAAAGATATCCCAGAGACCGTTGTCAGGACGAGCACGATACCAGAAGATCTAGGCCGAATTGAATATCTTCTATCGGACAAGACGGGCACCTTGACGCAGAATGAGATGGAATTGAAAAAGATCCATGTTGGAACCGTCTCCTACGCAAATGAGGCTATGGAGGAAGTAGCTTCCTACGTCCGGCAAGGATTTTCTGGCAATTCCTTGGCGACTCCATCCACGATTTCCAGCGCCCAAGCAGGACTTGGAGCAGGGCCTCGGGTGAGGAGAGAGATCGGCTCTCGCGTGAGAGATATCGTTCTGGCTCTTGCATTGTGCCACAACGTCACCCCGACGATGGACGAAGAGGATGGAAAGACAATAACTAGCTATCAAGCGTCATCCCCGGATGAAATTGCTATTGTCCGCTACACCCAGGAGGTGGGACTGAAATTATCGTACCGTGATCGGCAATCAATGGTGCTCGAATTCACCGGTACCGGCAACGTTGTGGTGCGTGTCCGCATTCTCGATATCTTTCCGTTCACTTCAGATAGCAAGCGTATGGGTGTCATCGTCCACTTCGAACAGGATGCTTCGGCTCTGGAGTCTATGAACGATGACAGTGAAATATGGTTCTACCAGAAGGGCGCTGATACAGTGATGTCCTCTATCGTCTCTGCGAATGACTGGCTCGACGAGGAGACGGCGAATATGGCTCGAGAGGGACTGCGGACTTTGGTTGTAGGCAGGAAACGGCTTTCCTCGCAGCAGTACCGGGAATTCTCCATCAAGTACAAGCAGGCGTCTCTTGCTCTCCAGGGCAGAGACATGGGAATGGCCAAGGTCATCGGAGAGTATCTCGAACATGACCTAGAGCTTCTGGGCGTTACTGGCGTTGAGGATCGGCTACAGAAGGACGTGAAACCGTCTCTGGAACTCCTCCGTAACGCGGGAGTGAAGACGTGGATGTTGACTGGTGACAAGGTTGAGACGGCCCGCTGCGTTGCTATTTCCGCGAAACTCGTTGCGAGGGGACAGTACATCCACACTGTCGCCAAAGTGCATGATAATGCAGCTGCCAAAGAGGCCCTAGACTTCCTGCGTAGCAAACCCGACTGTTGTCTCCTCATCGACGGGGAGTCACTGTCTTTGATGCTGGGCCAGTTTCGGTCTTCGTTCATATCAGTCGCGGTTCTACTGCCGGCAGTCATCGCGTGTCGATGCTCGCCTACCCAGAAGGCGGAGGTGGCAACCCTGATCCGCCAGCACACGAAGAAACGCGTCTGCTGCATTGGCGATGGCGGCAACGACGTCTCCATGATCCAAGCTGCCGACGTGGGAATTGGCATTGTCGGCAAAGAAGGCCGTCAGGCGTCGCTAGCTGCAGATTTCAGTATCACCCAATTCCACCACCTCACCAAGCTCCTGGTCTGGCACGGCCGAAATTCGTACAAACGCTCGGCCAAACTGGCCCAGTTTATTATGCATCGCGGATTGATCATTTCTGCATGCCAGACCATGTATAGCATCGCCTCCTACTTCGACCCGAAGGGCCTTTTTATCAACTGGCTCATGGTCGGTTACGCCACCGTCTACACCAACGCGCCCGTCTTCTCGCTGGTCCTGGACCGCGACGTTGACGAACAACTCGCAAACCTCTACCCGGAACTCTACAAGGAACTCAAATCCGGCAGAAGCCTCAGCTACACTTCCTTCTTCACGTGGGTCCTCGTCTCGGTCTACCAGGGCGCCATCATCCAGGGTCTCTCTCAGATCCTTCTCGACAGCATTTCCGGCCCGCGACTGATCAGCGTCTCATTCACTGCGCTCGTCATCAACGAGCTCCTCATGGTTGCTGTCTCGGTCACCACCTGGCACCCGGTCATGATTATCTGCATTGTTGGTACGGCGCTCGTTTACGCCGCCAGCGTGCCATTTTTAGGCGACTATTTCGATCTAAAGTTTGTGATTACTCTGGATTGGCTCTGGCGGGTAGTTGCTGTTTGCGCCGTGTCGCTTGTTCCTGTTTGGGCCGGGAAACTTATTAAGCGGTCGTGGAGACCACCGAGTTACAGGAAGGTCAGGGGGTAATGCAATGCATTTCCATTCCTTTTTATATATTTTATTTTCTTTTTTTGGTACTTATTCCTGTTGTTTCCCGATTGTGTAACTAGGTACCTTTTCGTGTTTAGTCTTTGTGGCTGTTTCTCTTTCTCCTTTCTCATTCCCTTTTGGTATGTATATATGTATATACTTCCGTACTCCGTCTATGCTTCGGAATCTGACGCGATGCCATCGTTCCGGTACTGCTCTAGGGTGTTCGAGGCACAGTTCTAGGCATGCATGTACCATGGATGCGCGTTCCGTGGTTGCAACAATGGCCATCAGGGCTTAGGGTCAGCCCTAAGAACGCCACATATGCTAGCGTCCGAGCTGCTGGCATCGGCCCAGTGGAAGCGCAATTAATAATAATATGATCCCAAAGATTAGATTTGTATTTCTGATCATGCCAATGGCCCCTGCTGAGGATCGTCTGGAACATTCCGCGGCGATAGTCCGTCGCAAGTTATTTTCGGATCCATCAGGCCGATTAGCTCTGCTAAGTTTCTGACTGCGTACCGACAGTCAGGATTAGGTTCGTAGATATCCATAAAACTTGTTTCTTTCCGTCTGCGATTAAGATTATCATTATTGATTAATATTCGACACGAGTGGATGTTGTGATTATTGTTAATATAATCCATGGTGCTGTTGAGATAGGGCACACACCGACACTACCACCACCGACACAACCTACGCGCGCGGCCACATGTAAAACATGACCCACGCGGCTGGAATTGTTTTTTTCTTTTTTTTGGAGGTCAGAACTCTATAATGACGGCATGTACAAGTCACCGGGATCCGTCTGGCAAGTCGGAGTCACAGAAAAGGCCCCAATATCCATGGTTGGAGCTTTTAGTACGTGGCCACGAACAGCGGTTGGCCCACGACAAGAGACATGCATTCGGGTCAGTAAAAGTTGATGTCTCACAGCGATCCTGCACCTGCAGGCGCCTGTTAATAATAGCACACAGCGTTGCAGTTAGTTCGTATCTACCCTTGTCCTCCAGATAGACACAAACTAGTTACATAGCGAGTGTAACGCTGCGATCCATCACCCCACCCATGGGCTATTCTTGCCAAGTTTTGCTTCTTATTATAGCTACACGACGGTCGTCAACCTGGTGATTCGATTGCATGCTGGACCAGGGAAAATGCCGTCGCTGCCGTCACTGCGTGGGCCCTCCCATGAATGCCCTGGAGGGGGGCAAACATGCAGTATCCAGACTCTGCCATCCCGAAGATCTTCTGTCGGTTCGAGAGGCGAGAACGAACCAGCATGCAAGGCGAGAGGCACTGCCACCCACTTGCGGGTAAAAGATCCAGAGGAAATTATCCGGATGCTTCCATGTCGGTGTTTCTGCTGTCTGATTGCGAGATCCATGCGGCGTGAGAGGTTGGTTCCCATATTCTCCCCTTCCGGTGCCTGATAAACCTATTCTACTCCAGAACTCCGGCTTGGGTTGTAAAAAAATCCAAAAAAAAAAACCCAAAAAGAAAAAAGAGGGATTTTCTTTTTGCGTTGTCTGAAGTTTGACAGACAAGTCACTCGTTTCTTTCTTGCGTCCTTCTTTATCCCCCTCCTCTCGCGCTCGCTCTCGCTCATCTCTCCCTAGCACTGGGGTATGTAGGATTCGTTCTCTGCGCGATTCTTCCACAGCTTGAGTCGCAGGACAGGACGGTGTGTGTGTGTGTGTGTGTGTGTGTGTGCCGGGATGTTCCTCACGGAGATGCAGTGCGTGGCGGTTCTTATCCTATCGTTGCTGTCCAGCACTGCGCGTTGCTGGCCCTACACCGAGTCGCTCGTTGACTACAACCTGAACGAAAACAGATCCGCAGTCTCGCCCATCGACTACTGGGGAGAATGGCCGGACCATGAGTTCCATCCATCGCCGGACAACTGGCGGTTCCCCGTGTATACCATCTTTCTGGACCGCATAGCCAACGGGGATCCGCTGAACGATGATATTAACGGAACGGCCTTTGAGCATGTGGTGAACTCGAACCAGATGCGCCATGGCGGCGATCTGGCTGGGCTGATCGATACGCTGGACTATATCCAGGGCATGGGCTTCAAGGTATGTTATGCTCCGTGTCCGATCGGACTCCAGTCCGTCCTTCGCTCACCAGTATAGGGCATCTACTTCGCGGGAACATACCTGATGAACCTCCCGTGGGCGTATGATGGCTACTCCCCGACGGATACCACTCTGCTCGACATGCATCATGGCACGCTCTCGGACTGGAGACGGACCATCGACGAGATCCACAAACGGGATATGTACGTGATCGTGGACAATACGCTGGCGACGTGAGTGTACTCCCCGGATGCCGTGCCTGGACACGAGCTAACATACCATCCTCTCCTCTCGCAGACTGAGCAACCTCATCGGCTTCAAAGGCTATCTCAACGACTCGGCCGATTTCCGAGCGCACGAGTATCAAGTCGAGTGGATCACCGACAGACAGTATGCCGACTTCCGGTTCGGAAACGACTACAACGAAACCTGCAGCTATCCCAAATTCTGGAACGAGACGGGCTTCCCGTTGACCACCGGCGGCGTCCAGGACCTGAAGGGCTGCTACAACAGTGATTTCGATCAGTATGGGGAGCTGGAGGCCTTTGGCAACTTCCCCGACTGGCAGCGTCAGCTGACCAAGTTCGCCTCGGTGCAGGATCGTCTGCGTGAATGGCACAAGCCCGTCCGCGATGTTCTCATCAGACATTCCTGCATGCAGATTGCCAGTCTGGATATCGATGGGTTCCGCTTCGATAAAGCTGCCCAGGGCACCCTCGAGCCCGTCAGTGAGATGCTGGCTGCGTACCGTGAATGCGCGAAGAAGTACGGCAAGCACAACTTCTTCCTCCCCGGGGAGATCACGTCGGGCAATACCTTTGGCACTCTCTACTACGGCCGCGGTCGTCAGCCAGACCAGTATCCCAAGTCGGCGGGCGCGGCTGTCCAGCTCACGAATGATTCGGATTCGTACTTCCTCCGAGACGATGGGTACCAGGCGCTGGATGCCTCCGCGTTCCACTACACCATCTACCGGTCGATGACGCGTTTCCTGGGAATGGACGGGAACCTCGTCGCCGGCTTCGACTTGTCGACGGATTTCATCGAGGCCTGGAACCAGATGCTGGTGACCAACGACTTCATCAACGCGTTCACCGGCGAGATCGACCCAAGGCATATGTTCGGCGTCTCCAACCAGGACAACTTCCGCTGGCCGGCAATCAGGAACGGCACGGAGAGGTATCTCCTGGGGCTCTATATCGTCACGCTGGAGCTCCCTGGAATCCCCCTGGTCCTGTGGGGTGAAGAGCAGGCGATGTACGTCTTCGATGCCACGGCCTCCAACTATCTCTTCGGCCGGCAGCCCCTGTCCTCCCAGACTGCCTGGTGGACGCACGGCTGCTTCACGCTGAACACGTCGAAATTCTACGATTTCCCGAATGAAAAGGGGCTGTTCGGTTGCCACGATATCACCGTCACCTACGACCAGCGGAACCCTGCGCACCCGCTTCGCAACATCATGAAGCGCATGTTCGAGATCCGCGAGCAGTACCCCGTCGCCAATGACGGTTGGTATCTCCAGACGCTGTCGCAGCTGACGAAGAACGTCTATCTCCCCGGGTCGACGGGCACTCCGACGGTGACCGGTCTCTGGTCGGTGCTGCGCAGCTACTTCCCCGGCGTGCAGAACAAGACATCCGACGGCAGTCAGGCCCTCTGGCTCGTGTACCAGAACGACAACAAAACCGAGACGTACGGCGGTGATTGTAGCAACAAGTCTACCGCCCTGCTGGCTCCCTTCCCGTCGGGCACGAAGCTGAAGAATCTCTTCTACCCGTACGACGAGATCACGTTGGAAGACGGCCCGGGCGAGGTCAGTGTGCAAAACGGCTCCCAGTCCTACGGCTGCTTTCGCGGCCTGGAACTCGCTCCGTGGGAGTACCGGGCCTACGTCGAAGCGAGCGACTTCGTGGAGCCCGGCCCTGTCGTCACCGAGTTCGTCCCCGGACACGACGTTCGACTGGTGTCTTCGGAGGACAATGGCGAGACCGTCGACATATCGCTGGGGTACTCGTACGAGATGGATTGTGATGGTATCACCGCAGCAATCTCGCTGAATTCGACCACCGAGAAGGGCATCGCACCGTCGCTCGACACGTCCAGCGTGAGCTGCAGCAAGGTCCCCGCAAGGACAACGGGCAACAACTTCATCGGCGAGATCCCGACGGTTTGGACGTGGTCCGCCAAACTGAAGAACGTCCATCACGGAATCCATCAAGTCACGGTCAAGAATGTTTCGACGACGACCGGCACGCCCACGGACTCCGTCGACCGGTTTCTGTTCCGGGTTGGATCCCTGAACAACCCGCTCATCACGCCGCTGGCGAACTACTCCTCCACGCTGGTGCATAAATCCGGCGATGACATCTATGTCCAACATGCGGCGGCCGGAGCCGACAAGTTCCGCTACTCGACTGATTTCGGCTTGAGCTGGTCCAACTGGACGACGTATACCGGTGGCAACACGACGGTCGACATCCCGGCTTGGAGCGGAACGAAGGCCCAGAGGTGGAAGGGGACTCACGTCCGCCTGCAGTACTTCTCCAGACTCTCCGGCAGCAGCGACTACGTCCAGGAAGGCGATTACGGCTGGGAAGAAGGCGTGCCTCGACGATTCCCTCACCTGTGGTGGAACGGCCCGTATAATCAGTACGGGTACGACGCGGGATTGAACAACGAGATGAAGTACGACACCAAGGACCACCGCTGGAAGTACGACTTCGTCTACGAGTGGCCGGCTGTGGGGCAGATCAGCGTCTGGGGATCCGACAAGAACGGCGAGCCGGACCAGACGGAGATCTACGGCGATGTCGACAACTCGTCAGTCGTCCAGAAACTGGCTCCGTCCTACCTGTCGTCCAATGTCATCAACATCACCCAGCTGCCTCCATTCCCGCATCTCGGCTGGACCATCTCGCTCAACGATGCCAACCTGCGATATGAAATGATCCCCGTCGGATCCGGATGGGGCCAGCTTGTGCTCTTCGTCCTGCTGTGGGTTCTCCCGGTCCTGATGGGTGTTGCGGGTGTGGTCATCTTCATCAAGACATTCTACCGCGTCAAACTCAACACCGACGGCACCGCGCCGCCGGATGACAAACGGCCGCTGCTCTACTGGCGCAGGCTCCGAGGGAAGTTCGGCACAGAAGATCCCTTGGAGAAGGCAATGTCCGAGAAGGATTTGCCGACGGACATGGCGATCGCAGCCGCGCCGGAGCATCGACGTACGGTTCTGATCGCCACGATGGAATACAATATTGAAGACTGGAAGATCAAGGTCAAGATCGGTGGTCTCGGCGTGATGGCCCAGCTCATGTCCCAGAATCTGTCCCATCAGAATCTGATCTGGGTGGTTCCCTGCGTCGGTGACGTGGAGTATCCCCTGGACTCGCCGACGGAGCCCTACGTGGTCACCATTTTGGACAAGGCCTACTCGGTCAATGTCCAGTACCATGTCGTCGACAACATCACCTACGTCCTGCTCGATGCTCCGGTGTTCCGGCAGCAGACCAAGGCAGAGCCCTACCCTCCACGCATGGACGATCTCGATAGCGCAATCTATTATTCGGCATGGAACCAGTGTATCGCGGAGACGATCAAGCGATTCCCTTCCATCGATATCTACCATATCAACGATTTCCACGGCTGCTTGGCGCCGTTGTACCTTCTGCCCACGCGGACCATTCCCGTCTGTCTCTCCTTGCACAATGCCGAGTTCCAGGGTCTATGGCCGCTCCGGACGCCACAGGAGAAGAAGGAGGTCTGCGCCGTCTTCAATCTCCCCGTCAAGGTTGCCACCAAGTACGCCCAATTCGGAAACGTCTTCAATCTTCTCCACGCCGGTGTCAGCTATCTTCGCTTCCACCAGCGCGGCTTCGGCGCCGTCGGAGTGTCCAAGAAGTACGGAAAGCGCTCCTGGGCTCGGTATCCCATCTTCTGGTGTCTTGAAAAGATCGGCAGTCTTCCCAATCCGGATCCCTCTGACACCGCCGCCTTGGAGGATCACTCGAACGCCGAGGCTCCCATTCAATCCCAAGAACAACGGATCACTGACAAGCTGCAGGCGCAGAAGTGGGCTGGTCTGAACCCGGATCCCAACGCGGACCTGCTGGTGTTCGTCGGACGGTGGTCGAAGCAGAAGGGGGTCGACTTGATTGCGGATGTCATGCCGGCTGTATTGGACTCCAGACCGCAGACGCAGCTGATCTGTATCGGGCCCATTATTGATCTGTATGGAAAACTGGCGGCTATCAAGCTGGAACGCATCATGGCCATGTATCCCGGTCGTGTGTTCTCTAAGCCCGAGTTCACCGTTCTGCCCCCATACATCTTCTCCGGCGCGGACTTCGCTCTGATCCCGTCCAGAGACGAGCCATTTGGTCTGATTGCCGTCGAGTTCGGCCGGAAGGGTGCTCTCGGCATCGGTTCTCATATCGGAGGTTTGGGCCAGATGCCTGGTTGGTGGTACTCGGTGGAATCTGATGCAACCCGCCACCTCCTGCATCAATTAAGAACCGCCATCAAATCTGCTCTGGATTCTACCGAGGAGACTCGCGAGGCAATGCGTGCAAAGTCCGCCAAGCAGCGGTTCCCGGTCCTCGAGTGGATCCAGAAACTCGAGGTCCTTCAGCAGACGGCGATTCAGATCCACCACGCGAAGAACAAGAATACCGTATCGGGCGCCATGCCAGAGTCTCCGAACTACTGGGAGATGCAGAGCATGCGGTCCTCGTCAGGGGGGCTCCACGGGCCACCCCAGTCGATAGTGGACAGTGTAGACACACCGGGAGAAATATACGAACATGCCCAGTCTCAACTTCAGGAGCTGCAGACAGTCGAGGGCAACAAGGGCAGTCTGGGCCGCAAACTCTCGCTCGGTCGACGATCCGGACCTGGTCAGGGCAGAAGCCGCCTGCAGAAGAAACCGCCGCATGGCAGCCAGATCTTCGACGAGCACCCGGACGAAGAGACCACCGATGCCGATGAAGGAGGAACTTCGACGCCGCGGGAGAACTACATCTCTGCGGAAGATGCCATGGCCGCCATCAACAACAGTCTCGGGTCTCAGGATATCGGCTCCTCCTCCCTCGACAACAGCGCCCACGCCAGTCCGCGAGCATCTTACGTGGCTGTCCCCGGCTCCCCGTACTATGCCTCGCGGTCTTCGACCCCGGCGCCGGGAATGTCTTCTGACATGCTGCCACAGTACCCATACTCATCACTGGCCTCTCCCACTGGTGATAGCACGCCTCTCAACCACTCACGCAATGTCTCCATGCTGTCCTTGCCTTCGGTCGTCGGCGAGCACGGTCAGCAGCAACAGCAGCAGCCCGTATTCGAACTGCAGAAGGTCGACCCGACCTTCACAGACAGTACGAACCACTTCACGCGGCGCTTCGAGAAGCTCCTGAACAACCTGAACAAGAAGAACTCTACCACGGACTGCTGTATCGAGACGTACTTGATGAAGAGCGAGCGCAAGTTCTACAACATGTACAACGACGCGCAGCTGAAGCGGCAGAAGACTCATCGGATGACCTCGCCCACTGCAGACCGTTTTGTCGAGGATACACAGTACAACCGCCTCTCACACGGCAGTGAAGGCTCGGAAACGAACGATTCGGATCAGATGGATGAGTGGCTCTCTCGTCTGGGGTACAAGCGGCCCATTGCTATCCAGCGATTCATGAGACGACGTATCGGGACCTGGCCTGTCTATGCCCTGTTCCTGGGCCTGGGACAGATCATCGCGACCAACTCTGCGCAGATCACCCTCTTGGTCGGCCAGGTAGGTGAAACAGCAACCAAACTGTACGTGATCGCCGCGATCTACTGCGTCTCATCTATCGTCTGGTGGTTCCTGTTCGCCCGCTTCCCGTCCGTGATTGCTCTCACTCTCCCCTGGTTCCTGTACGGCTTTGCGTTCATCATCATCGGCATCTCTCCATACGGTATCACGGCTTTCGGTCGAGGATGGGCGCAGAACATCGCTGCGGGTGTGTACTCAGCCGCATCATCGAGCGGATCACTATTCTTCGCCCTCAACTTCGGCGACCAGGGCGCCGTCCCCGTCAAGGATTGGATGTTCCGCGCCAGTTTCATCCAGGGCATCCAGCAAATCTACACCGTCGCCCTGTGGTTCTGGAGTTCGAGAGTTACCGCGGCCGAAGTCGGGGGCATATCCTCCGCGGCACTGAACTCATGGAGACTCACGGCCGTAACCATGCCCATCGGCGGGGTGTGCTTCGTCGTCGGCGTGCTCCTCGCTCTGGGCCTACCCAAGTACTACCGCCAATCACCCGGCCGGATCCTCTTCTTCTACACTTCTCTCTTCCGCCGCCGTATTGTCCTCTGGTTCTTCTTCATGGTCATCGTGCAGAACTGGTTCCTCGCAGCCGCGTTTGGCCGTAACTGGTCGTTCCTCTGGACCTCCAAACACGCTAAGGCATGGGAGATCGTCATCCTAGTCGTCTTCTTCTTCGTTGTCCTCTGGATCATCATCCTCATCATCTTCCGTGTCCTCTCAAAGGAACACAGCTGGATTCTCCCCGTCTTCGGCCTGAGTCTCGGCGCACCCCGCTGGGCGCAGACGTGGTGGGGAACGTCAAATATCGGCTACTACCTACCCTGGGCCGGCAGCTTGCTTTCAGGCTCCATCGTGTCGAGGTGTCTCTGGCTCTGGCTCGGCGTCCTCGATGAGATCCAGCAGGTCGGTCTGGGTATGGTTCTTCTTCAGACTCTGACCCGAGTCCACGTCTGCTTCGTCTTGCTGGTCGCTCAGGCTATAGGATCCATCGCTACTATCTGCGCGCGTGGGTTTGCTCCCAACAAGATCGGTCCAGCCGGAATCTCGCCCGCCGTCGGCTCATCGTTGGATAAGGTTGCCAATGCGTGGTTCTGGATCGCGCTTTTCTTTCAGCTTCTGGCGAGGTGAGCATCACACCTTTCTTTCCAGGAACCCTTTCCCCCAAAACCCTACTATCAATGCGAATGCGAATGCTAATGCTAATAAATACAGCTTCGGTTTCCTGCTCTTCTACCGTCGCGAACAACTTAATAAGCCCTAGACTATCATCTAGGCTATGACAATGAATAAACAAAAGCCTTAATGACAACCCTGTAGACCCTTACGATCATGATATGACCTCCTTCCTCACTTGATGTTTTTCTCCTCTGCACTTTTCCTCTTGACTCCTTGATCTGATTTGGTGGATATCTCATTTTCTCAGATCTATACCATCCCTGATCTTAGTTGCTGTCTATGGGCGTTTAGCTTGGAACAGCTAAAGGAGTATTAAGAGGGTGTATATTATTGTGATATGTACGGAGTAGATCTGAAAGAAATGTTTCAAATATTTGGTTTTTTTTTTAAAAAAAAAAAAAAAAAATGGATCGGTTGACCTGAAGTATGGGGAACTGTCTAGGTAATATATATATATATATATATTTTAGTCCTTGCTGTGTAGATTGTAGATTTCAAATTCATTTCAAGGTGGATTACAATGTTCACAGTTAACAATCCTGGATTCTGATGAGACCAGGTAAGTCCATTATCATCATAATCATGCCATAATAAGTATACCAAAGTCAAAGAGAAAATATACCATCCTCTATCAAGATAGACAGAATATACCATACACACTCCGTGAGACAGCCATCAAGCCGGAATAAAGACCTTCTTAAACCTAAAGTGAGCCAAATCCCTCGCTACCTGGATGCTATTCTTTAAATTCTGCTTCACAATCACAGAAGTAGGCTTGGAGAAGAGCTCATCTATCTCTTCGAGGGTCTTGTTCTTAGTCTCGGGCATAAAGAGGATCTGGTAGAACCAGCCGAGAACAGCGATGCCGCCGTAGAAGCCCAGCGTGAGACCGATCCGGGTCATGGCGTTCATCATTCGGGTGAAATTGTAGGTGACGATGAAGGAGCAGAGGAAGAGGTTTGCGTCCGCGGTCGTCATGCCGTAGCTGCGGAGGTAGGTGGGGAAGGATTCACTGGGGATGACCCAGGTAAGAGTTCTAATAGGTTTGTTAGCTGGGAGTGTGGATAAACATGTGAGAAAACTTAAAAGGAGACATACGCATAAGAACCAAAGAAACCCTGGTACAAGATGATACCCGTGAGATAGACACCCTGTGCTGCAGCAGGGTGTGTCTCCTGATTGATTTGGTAGCCGATGCCCACGAGCACCAAGCCGAGGAAGAAGCCAGGGAGCATAGCGTTGGCCCAGTACCGACGGCCAAAGCGTTCCATGTACATGACCGCAGGGATGGTACCGAACATGAGCGCGCCGCCTCCGACAAGGGACATGAAGACGCTGTCCTTTTTGTCGAAGCCGATACTGCCCATGAGAGTGCTCATGTAGTACATAACAGCGTTGACACCGGTGAATTGGCCGAGAAAGATCATGATGTTCACGTAGATGAGCGCGCGGCGAGCTCGAGGCTCGGTGAAGAAATCGAGCCAGACGAACTTCTTCAAACGCTGCCGTTCCTCAACCTCCGCGGTCACGGCTTGGCGCATGCCCAAGAACTCATCTTTGGCTTCGAAGTTGTCAAAGCCTCGGATCAGCTTCCACACGCCGTACGCTTCGACTACGCGGTTCTTGTGCATCAGGTACCGAGGACTCTCCGGCAGGAAGATCATGCCGACAAGGAGGATAGTAGAGAAGACAACTGATGAACCGAGGATATAGCGCCAGTTGCCCTTGACGTTGATGAAGATGGCCGCCACAACGTATCCGAGGACCTCACCGAATGCGATGTTTAATTGGTACAGGGAGACAAGGTTACCACGAATTCGTCTGGGAACTATAACACCTCGAGTCAGAATGTTCGTTTCAAGCAGATGGATACGGATTGACCGGTGGAATGAGATAACATACTACACTCAGCCACATAAACGGGCACAGTGCCACCTTCCAGGCCAACACCCATACCCAAGATGAAACGGCCGGCGAACATCATGCCAAAGTTGACGGCGCCGGCTTCCAATGCCGCTCCAATAGTGTACAAGATACAAGACACGATGATGGCCATCCTTCGACCCAGGAACTCGTTGGCAGGGGACAGAATCAGCGCGCCGCCTACAGCGCCCAAGGGCATACCAGCATCGACCAGACTGCTCCTACTCGAAGAAAGATGCAAGTCGCCAGGTAGGTCAATGTTGGCACCACTGATGAGGGACTGATCCAGACCGGAAAGCAAGCCGCCCATGGAGGCAAAGCCAACGAGGACGTAAGTGAAGACAGCGGGATTGGAAAAGGTGAACAGCATTCTGGAGGGCTTTGTCTGCCTGAGCTGTTCCTCGAGCTCTTGGAGCTCAGCGTCCATAGCAGACTCGGTCAATTCCGTGGCCTTGGAGTCACTGAACTCGCGGCCCTTATCGGGAACCGCCAATTCCTCATGGTCGGCAGTGTGCAACTCGAGATCCTTTTTTTCTTCAGACATTATGGATCCTTTCTCGATCTCTCAAGGGGCCACTAGCCTAGTAACAGCCGGGAGTTACCCCGAGGTTTCGAAAATAATGATGAGAATGGGGAAAAAGTAGAATGGGGGGAAACCAAGAAGATGGACAGAGGGGCAGGGAGAAATATTTAAGTAATAACGGCCCATGCAGCAACCCTAAATCCTGCACAGAAGGGACGTGGGGGGAACGAAATGAGGGTGCGAGAGCCAGCCCTGGGAAGACAGGGAAGATGCCTGAATCGAGCATGCATCCCCGAGAATTATCCCCAGCCGGTATCTTTCTACTCCACAAGGAGACGCAGAACGGCGTAGAAGAACCAGATGGTTGAAGTTTAATCAACCTGCACAAGAAGATCAGCGGATGAACAAGCCAGTTGGGAAAGGACAATATCTAGGCGCATACGCACCATTGGACGCTGACAGACGCCGTGGTGCAACGCACGCATGGCGCTCTGCCAATCTGCAGATTTCCGTTGATACTTTTTCAGTCCGACTTGCCAACTTTGGTAGCACGTGGACCTGGGAAATCTTCAGTGGACAGATACGCCAGTAATAATGGGCTGATCATCGTTGAGCAAGAGAGACAGGAGTTATGTTGTCGAGAATCGGCGAAATTCACGGCATGCCGCTGGCCAAGACGGTCCAGACGCGACTGGAGACGCCGTACGGCGTGAAAAGTTCTTCCATGTGAGCCGTGGTTGTGATCAAGCCGTCCATGTTGCGTGCCTCCACAGGCTTCCCCGTGGTACGACCCCGTACCGTATTGGTAGCCATCTCCGGACGGCTTCTCCGCATGACCGCTTGATGGCAAGGAAGATGGGAGGATTGTCTTCCAACAACACCCAACCCTGGCATATTGAAGCTTGCGATCGAAAGCACGTCCGCTGGCTGCAGCCACCAAATCTTCCTCTGGGAAAGCAGCGAGAGAGAAGCCCAGATTTGCAGAAGGAGGACAGAAAGGGAAGGCCAGGGCACGCCTATCCCCATGGGGACTGGCTGGAGAACTCGGGAAGATCCTGGTCTTGTGACTAGCATGTGACCTGGCCCCCACACTAGCCCCGCGGCATGTATGCTTATTAATCTACCGGTACTGCATTGAAAGGCGTGAAATTTTCAATTTACGCGAAATCAGAATTTCGGAAACTTTCCCATACAGTAAACATGCGGACATCTCTCGGCATTAACACAAGCAATCCCGATTCCCGATTATTACTATTACAGAGGCTAATTACCTGTCATATGTACATAGACACGATCTAGAACAATTAAAACAATAACCATACCCACCCCAAACCCAGCGCCCTGTATGCAGCCAGCCCGAAGAAAGTGCAGAAAGGAACCCGCAAGCGATGTAGATAGAATGACAAGGAACAGGTGCCAACAGAGTGGCGCAATCCAAGCTGACTGATAAATCCGTCAGCTGGACCTCAACTCTAAGACGAGTAGCAGAAGGTCAACATGGGCAGAGAACATGCAACAGGGCACACTCATCTCGCAGACCGCAAGACTGCATTACTGTCGATGAAACCCTCCACTGCAACCAAGTGACCCATTATCAATCAGCGTGAACCCCACATCCTCTCCCCCGAGGGACTTCCCAATGGCTTCCGGGAAATAGGCGAATTATAGCCATACCGTGGATCTTCATTTTTCGCAGTCAGAGGTGCCGATTGTGCAGAACCGGACCGACCACCTTGTAGTCGCGCCCTCAGTCTCTCTTGAGCGGACGGGCCGCCGTCCATCGAGGTACGGTGGGATGGTACAGACTGAAACGACCCTGCCCGCTGACTAGGCAGCGGCCTCGAGGCAGCTGGAGATGGCCCACGCGGTGACAATCGGCCCGACGACCCCGGAGACACTGACAGCTGACCGGAGCTGGCAGGTGCTCGTCCTCGTCGAAGACTGGATGTTTGTGCTGCTGGAGCCTGAGGAGACGAGCCAGAATCACCCCAGAGATCACTAAGTCCTCCTGATCTCCCAAATGAAGTTGCAGTAGGCGATTGGCCATATCCACCTTGCGGAAGCTGTGATGTTGCGATCATTCGGGCCGGGGTCTGAGAATGGCCCTTCGGGTCCGGAGGGAGCCAGGGCGGGAACGGACGCCCCTTCTCCACGTAGTATGCGCGTAGAACGTTTGAAACATGAGAGCAATCTTCGTTGTCTGAGTCGTCCGACTCCTCTCCAGATGTAATGGCGCGGCGGAGGGAGTTCAAGCGTGTGCCGAGGTTGGAGATCGCGGAAGACGTTGTGATGGAAGAAAAGTACGAAGCCATCCTAGCAGATCGGTCAACCGCCTCTTTCTTTTCTTGTATCAGATAGAGAGAAGACTATGGATTCGGGCCTTGCTGCAGGTTGTCTCGTCAGTTCCGTCGAGAATCGTAAGGAATGGCGTCGTAGGCTACCGAGTTATTGCGGTTGCGGGAACAGCGAATCGAGGTCAGGAACGATGAGCTGCGACTGAAACAACTATCAAATGCAGAAGGTATCACTCTGTCGAGGATATGATCAAGCAGGGGAGCGTCAAAGGAGATTGGGGGGAGAAAGGAGTTGCGTTGAAGTCTGAGCGTCTCATCGCAACGGTTTCACGCGGGATGTTTCTAAACCTGTTTCATCTCAACCACGTGAGACTCCGTCATCGCTGCATGTCTACACTACAGCATACAGTGATACCTGAAAGTTTCGACGCCCCTATTATTATGTGATATTCTGCCAGTCAAAAGCCACATAAAAATTTATTACGAAGTGTCAGGTTGTGTATACGTGTTTATAAGTGCCACATTCAATCGAGGTTCGAGAATCGGAAAAAAAGCCGGCCCGAATTTTGTGGCAGACCTACATTGGAATGTCGACCTCAGCTATGTCCCTGACTCCGGGCTTCCATGGCTAGAACAACCAACTCAGCGAGTTCGACCCCCATCAACACTAACTAGCGTACATGTGAGCTCGAATGTCCTATAGTCAGCATAAGTCTTCAGCCACTCCTTGTCAAAGACAGATCAATATGAAGGCCCCTTCCTCCAGCAAAACCACCAGTGTATCTACCAACACCGGTGATAACCGAACATTTGAACCCAATTTAGACACAAGCTTGACAGAACCAGAGTGCCCTCCTTGTAAGAGCTTGATGGCGGTGACGGCGTGAAGAGGCAATCAATATACGGAGAATGCTAAGTACGATCGTAGGGAGGAAACGCAGGGTCCTTATTGCTTAAGAACTAATCACTGACTTCGCTATGGTATTACGGAATTCAGTCCCTAAGTGCTAAGTGTCACGGAACTCAACTAGACGATGAATGGGATGCTATTCAACTATCTAGGCAGCTATCGACGAGAACTTCAAGCATGGAGAGGAGGGAAAAAGGAAGAGATCTACGTGAAGCTGGACGGCGTATTCCTATCCACGCACCACGCTAATCCAAATAAGGAAACTCACGTGCTCGTCCTGGTCTACATGGCAAGGGCCCTGACACTAAGTACACATGGTCTCGTGTGGCCTAAGGCTGCGGCTTTTGCGGCCTTACAAAGCGCCAGGATGAACATCCAGATTTTATTGACTATGACACTGCTGCAAGCCCATAGATAGGACCCTCTTTTCCTATTTCTTATCCTGAGATATTGTCGGGCCACTGCCTCCGCTATACTTAGGTATGGTGGAGTCCGTGGCGGGAGAGTACTTAAGGCGAAGCCTCCTCCCTAGGTAGTTTTGAAGAGCAGGCATACTTTTCGTTTTGGAGTTTGCTTCACTAGTATCGTTGTCGTCGTATAGTACGGAGCTCTGCTCCATCAGCGTTGCGTCTTCCTGTCATATCGTCTCCTTACTGAATCGTCCTTTGCCGTGTTGTATCCCGGCTTCGTTTCAGTGCATCCATCCCCAGGATCCCTGGACCACAACCCGGTTCCTTTCTCAGGGAACAACGACGTACGCCCCCCTTTACAGTGCCTTCCAATCAAGCTCTTCTCTCAACACTTTTCATGGATGCAATCATATCATTACCTGAACCTTCTGGCCATGTCTCTATTCTGGCTCCGCTGCCCACAGCCGGATTGGAATGTCAACCATGGGAGCAAAATGCTGGGCCCTAAGTCCAAGACCCCCCGCAGATATCGCCCTGACATGCTGAATAGACTCTTTCTGCTCTTCATTCAGGGGCCATGGGAAATATGCGGTTACCACAGACAGGGTTTCATTAAATGAGTCAAAGAGCTGTAGCGCAAGGGTGGAAATACCGGTTGTAGATCCCGCGATACAGAGCATAGGAGAAGATGAGCGCGAGAAATGAGACAGCAATGCGTACGGGGTCCATCGTTAGAGAATACACTGCTTTGAAGCTATATCAGACCGAGACGGTGAAATAGTGCTTATGTGCGCCCAATGAGCTAGGGATACGGTGTCATTTCAGGGTCACTAGACTTGATGAGGGGGCTGTGTCGCGGACACAAGAGGTTTCAGCCAGCAGGGGGCTGCATTAGCTAATCTGGGAGTGTTGCCTGACATCTGCTCAAAGGGAGGTTGACAATGGAAACAAGAGAGAAGGGCACCGAGATTTATATAGATGGCGGAGGTTGGCGGGCGGTGCAGGGCAGCAGATCCCAGGACGGCTAGCGTTGGACGCTAAACCGAATCCGGATCCAACTAAACCGCAAATGGAGGACATATACTGGAACGGGCGTCGCGGCGGAAAGCGCCAAACCCGAAACGGGAGCGAGCCAAAAACAGCAGCGCATCCGCAAATCCAAATTATGCTATGTGGTCAAGACCCTTGAGCTGGATGCATTTTATTGAGGCTACATATCACTCACCATTCAGGTGAGCACTCGCCCCTGCTCATCCCATGCTCAGTTGCGCTCAGCGAGCAGGGGGCGAGCACCAAAACGGAAAGATTAAGCCAAGAAACGACATAAGAAATCCTGTACTTAGTACAAGCGACAAAATAGTCAACTATGCTCTCTATCAGGATATAGATGAAATACATAGAAATATCACACTGGGCCTGTAGAACACGCATGCGATGCCCCGATCGCGGCGGAAATGGACCGACACAGTTCCCGAAAACGCCATGCAAAATAGAAGACCAGACACTTTTCTTACCAGCAAACCAGAAGCGTATCCCTCTTTCCTAGGCCATGAGGCTCTCCTTTGCGGCTCCCTCGGTTTCGTATTCAATCTCAATCCGAGGACCCTTCTTCCTCGGCTTCGCTTGGGGTGCGGCACGCTTCCTCTTCGCACCAGCCTTCTTCTCCTCCTCTTCATCATCGCTGGGCTCTCCATCGCTATCGTTATCATCGCTTTCGTCGTCGTCGTCGTCATAGTCATCGCTCGAATCTGCAGACCCTTCTCCAATCCAATCCTCAATATCCTCCAGATCCTCATCCTCCTCATCGAGGTCACTGACATACTCGACCTCTCCAACACCCTCTTCTTCCTCATCCTCATATACTTCTCCATCGTCGAGATCCTCATCCCTCTCTCCCTCCCCGGACCTCTCAAGGCCGCGAAGAACCTTCTTCCAAATCCCCTCATCCACATTAAGCGGTGCATCCCCATAGGCCCCGCTCCGCAACCTCTCAATCAACTCCCTCTCAATAGCCCTCTCCAACTTCGCAGCCGCCTCAGCCTTCCGCTCTCTCGTCTCCTCCCTCCGCCGAATCTTAGGTGCAAGCTTAGGCACGATCTTCTCCCCCAACCGCTCCTCCTCCTTAGCGATCTTTCTCATCCGGATTGCAACCTGCGTAAGCCGCGTAAGCCGCTGCTTACATTTATGGATCAGGAATTTTGGCCAGTAGATCAGTCGCTCGTCGAGTTGCCCGAGTGCCTTGGCGTAGTTCGATGAAAGTTTCACACGCTCCCACCATTTGCTGGGCATGTGTGAGCGTTCCACCGTCTTTATGTACAGGTACATAGCTCCTGTTTCGGGGTCTGAACGGACGGTGGCATATCGTGAATTGGCGAGCGGGCAGGATTGGCGATTGCATAGACCCGTAACGTTGTACTCATTTCGGCAGAAGTTTTGCTCTTTTGTGGTCCTTTTTATTACTCGAAGGAAAATTTTTCTCTCGTTAGTTTGCGCTCTGAATAAACAATGCTAGGACAAATGGTAATATGATATTGGACAGGGGGGAGAGATGGTGGAATAAAAAAAGAAGAAAAATACCGCAGTTCAGGGTACTGACTTGAGTTTGTACGAACAAAACTGCTGGTTAATCACCTGCCAGACAATCTCGTCAGATGACATTTTTTAAGATATAGCCCCAGGCCAGTCTCTAAGGCTCTGGACAATCCAAATTCAACGGAGTCGAAAGGATAAGACGAACGGACTGTCTCCCTTGAGAAGTCTACTTCCTGACGGGACGACCAAGCTGCGAGAAAGAAAAAATTGCCGGTAGTAACGATCACGTGATTTGACTCTTTATCGATAACCGCCAGCACGCTATTAATTAATATCCAGTCTAGAGAATCTACCCGCCATTGAACATTCATTTCTCAGATATTGCAAGGGGGTATTATTGACACGACTTATTGCTACGGTCATTATGTTCCACTGCAGACAATTGGTTCAACATCATAATCCCAAGGGGCCACCGTCCCATTGAGTCCCATTCATCAACGGGCCTCCCGGACCGGCCAGATCCCCTTCATCTGCGACCCCGAACACGTCGTCTCCGAAAAGGCCCCATCCAAGAGCCTCCAATTCACGGACGAAGAAATCCCGCTCTTCTTCCATGAGGGCCGTGCCCTCCTCGCCCCCCATGGCATCCTTGTACTCGCGCAGGTGCCACCAATGCGTCAAACCTCGTAGAGCTTGTTCGTATGGCAAGGCCTCCTCAACTTCCGCGTCTACATCGGAGCCCGAGAGCCAATCATCTCGCAGTGATGGGCGACAGTAGAGATATATTGCAGTAATGACCCGCATGTTGCTTTGGCGCCATTTACGGCCGCAGTAGGGTACCTGCGATTTGAACAGTTTGAGAGTGTAGAGGCGGAGACGTGGATCCGGTATTTTGAGACCTTTGCGCAGTATTGCACTGGATTTGTATTGAACAAGCAGCAGACATCGATGGGCCTTACCGCGGGTAATCTTCTGCATGATGTGCAAGTAATTGATGGCGGAAAAGAAGTTGCGGAATGAAAACGTGGTGATAGGCTCCTTAGGTGGAGGTGCGGTTGGATAACCCAATTCATCAACTTCGGGACGGGGTTGATGCTCAAGAAATTCTGGAAGTGACTCTTCGGGTGATGCAGCCCCTGTTGACGAGTTTCTCGCGGCAACGTCTGGTCGATTTCGGGGAATAGGTGGAGGAACAGCTTCCTCTTCAGCACCGCATGATTCATCTCCTAGATTCACCGTTGGTTGATCTTGGTTTGAATGCACTTGACAGAAGTGGAAAAAGCTTGGGCCTGTCAGTAGGAAAACTGCCTATATTCAGACTTCAAAGTACTCACCCAAGGTCTTCGCGGTCATTCTTATGTGCTATAGCTTGGTCTATGTCTTGATGGGCAAACATTTTGAGGATTAGAGGCAGATAGTTGGAGTCGAGCAACAGCTGAGTCATGTATTCAAATTTTAATATATCTAATACAGCTGGGTTAGCTTTATGTAGAGGGATTAATGTAACTAGGATTCTAGACTTACGAGATCGCTTGAACCATTTCAGCAGGAGTAATAGGGACCCCGACACGGCCTTTCCTGTAACCTCTCGTAACCGAATGTTGTCCAGTTCCTCGATTGCCGCATCACAATCAAGATCGACAGAGAAGCTGTTCTGTCCAGGAATAGGACCGTTCGTCGTTCCATAGGGGTTACTATTGCATATCAGTAAGGTATTCATAAGTCTTCGAGATTTCCATACCTCGCAACATGGCCATTTTGGCCATTCGCTTGATTTACAACAGCACTGATATTCGTCAGAATTATCTTTAGAAAGACGATGGTGATAGACTGAAGGTGTGGCAATGCTTGCGCCTGGTATACTGTCAGTATCAGTATCATCTCCAAGGAAGATTTCAATATTCACATAGAAATTCTCAACCCTATCTAGACGCCGTTGAACATCTTCGTTTGTTTCTTTTCCAGAAGGCTCCTTGGAGCCAGAGTGTCTCTTCTCTGACAATTCCAGCCCCTGAACGGCCTCAGTTATGCTACCAAGGGCATTGCTTGAAGCAATAATACAGTCTTCAAAATTCCATCCGCGGTCATATTTCATGAAGCGCTCTCGCTCTTCCCAAAGCTGTCGAATGGCTCTCGTCATCTTGACATGGGAAGAAAATAGTTTCCCAGCCTCGATTATAGAAGCTGGTACATCACTTCCTTCCCATTTCTTGCCAACCAAGGTGTCTTGATGCTCTGTTGTGCCTTTCCCGCCGATGTCATTGCTATTTTCGTCAAGAGGAGGATACATGAAAGGAAAATTTTGGTTAGTCTGATAGTTTTGTTTCTTTCCCGCTTTCCCTCCGGGGCCGATAGGTGACGGTGGAGGCGACGGGGCTGGAGTTGCAATATGAACCGAATGATGCAGGATCGAACCGTTGTCACCGGGAGCAGACGGACCGATTCCAGGGAAAAAGCCACTGGACGAGTTGGCTCTGCCGAAATTTTGGGGAAGTGGAGGAAGGATGGAATTGCTCTCTAATTCGAGAGGGACTACCGGGGGCGGAGGCTTATACGCCGGGTATTTCGATGTGATTTCCTGCCGAAAGGCTTGATAGTCGAGAGGAGAAGCAGTGAGAAAGGGCGTCCGCTGAGAGGGGTCATTCATTTTCTCTTTCGAATGGGGTTCCAGTTCGTCTTTCGCTCTTGCCAGGGGTTGACTGCCACCAAAACAGAGAAGTAGTAGCTTCCAGAGGAGAAGCACAACCCTCGTAAGAGGAATATTCGCAGATTCATCCCAACGTAGTCGAGCAATTATCTCAACAAGAAATACCATCAGATTCGGATCCAGTTCAGACACTTCATCCCGTATTGGTGTATGCTTATTATCAAATGCTTCCTGCCGCCGACCAACTTCGACGACAAAGTATAAGGCTGTGAGGATCAGATTTGCTTCACGCTCTGAAGCAGCAGCGCGTACAGAACTAGTATTTTCGGGCTCAATGACATCTGAGTCAGTTCGGACTTTATCAAAAACCCGACAAAATTGCTTATGCAGCGCAGCAATCCCCGAACACTCCTGAAGAAGAGATATATCATTCTCCATCCATTTTATCTGCAGTGACTTGAACCTGGGCGTCTCCATAGCCACCTGGGAAGTTGAGTCTTCCGGATAATCAGCCATGACTTTTCCAGCAGTCAACCCCCACACTCCTGTGATCAAGTAGCAAATAGCTTCCAAGGCTTCCACACGAGCATAGAGATCATGGTCCCCTAAGCCATCAAGCGCTTGGGTCATGAAATATTTGCGTAAATCGTAGCTAGCCGTGATCCAGGACACATCTTGAGAATCTGAAGGTTGATGGGCACGAAACTCATTCCACCGATTATCAAATGAGATCCGCATGCCCATAAGCATGGCTCGGTCAAATTCGCTGTACTGAAACCACTCTTCGAGCTCATCCACGAATGGTTGAGTGTCTGCATACTCAAATGCATATGCAGGTTGTTCAGCCGCCTTGGGCAAACCCCCGACGAGTTGTCTCAGCTGCGCCAGACTTAGTGAATCCGTTGCCCGGTCCGGAGCCTGCTGAGCCGGAGCAGGCGGCGGCGGCTGCAATGGCGGCGGGGGAGCCACGCCATCTCGATGCAATGCAGGACGTCCTGGTTCAATTTTGTTCTGCTTTGCTAATACGTCGGACGCGGAATTTGCAGATGCTGGGGCCTGCTCCCCTCTGAGCCCCTCGGCAACCTCTTCCATCAATTGCTCATCCGAGACTGGACTGATATCGGCCCCAGTTTGATCCACTTCATCCGCCTTGACAAAGTGATGCTCCTGCAAGCCAGAACCAGCAGAGACACGCCGATTATCCATGGCTGTAAAGGAAACCCTCTATCGGTTATCGAAACAGAGAATGGTCTGATTGGGTGTAGAAAAGGATTAGCAAGGAAGAAAAGTGAAAGTAAGAGTTGGATAACAAAATTCAACAGCTAGCATTATCATCTAACGCATCGGAAAAGAAGCCATGGTTATCTAGCTGTCAAGGGAGCATGCGCCAGGGAGACGGTGAATGATGAGTTGGGCATCTTGGACTTCCTGTCCGCTGCCATCATCGGCACGGTCACGTGCCTGGAAAACAGGGTGGCGTTAAAAGGGGAAGCGCCAAGAGAAAAGCTTACCTTGTTGGTTGGTACGGGTCGCCATAACTGGTATAGCGTCCCTATATGCCAGGAACGTCCCGTGGTCCCGGTAGGATCGTTCGCCCCCCTGCTGGGTGCATTTTATCAAGTCTGATCATTGCGTGCTTTAACATCTGCGCTGGGTTCTACCTCTAAAAGCAGCAAAAAGCATCCGTACTGAATATTTCCAGGGGGGCTTATAGCTAGCATAATTATCACAAGTGCAAGAGAGTGATATTCCCCGCAAGCCCAGCGTGAGATCATCCTTGGTGAGATATATGTTGAATCTATACAAGCGGAGTCAACAACTTTATTAAGAGGAGCTATCTACGAGTAATCTAACCGCCTTCTATAGCCACCTAGGTGCCTAATCATGCAGTCCTTACAACCTCAATATTGTAATTTATCTGGCCTAGTCGCTATTGGCCGGGGACCGTATGATCATTGGGACGATCGTACGGTTTGTCGTAGTAGGGAACTGCCTATGAATACGGTCTTGGCACCGTATAGCTTCAATATATAATATGATGAAGTTAAGCAAAAAGTGTAGCATATAAGACACAAGACAGATGTCATCAATAGACATAACTTATCAGTCAGACTTAGACGACGCAGGATCACTGCAACCATGACGCCTCGACTTGCGTCTTGCTTCCCATCGCTGCCACCCGGCCTCATCCAGGTCTTCGCTAATAGCCAAATCTCGAACTCTGGCGAATCGAACAATCGCCAAATTCAGGGCCCGATCGATCCAGCCAGCTGTTCGGAGGAAGTCCGTGGCAAAAAACCAGGAAACGGCACATACAGCTCCAGCTGCGCATCCCGCTAGTACCTGTTTAGGAGTGTGGTAGTTCAGATAAATGCGGCTGGCAGCCACAAGAGCAGAGCCGAAGCAGAATACAAAGGACATTGCTACTCGTTCAAGAGACTTGGCCCCTGCCCGGGAGCTCGGTTGAGCGGGTGTACGTCGGAAGAAAAGAAAAAGACACAGGTACACGGCGAAATATGCGACAAATTGCGCATGAGAGGATGGCATGCCGTAGTCCTTTCCGTACATCTCTACATATCCGAGTCCATTAGTGTTGAGCACTGGATCGTCCTCGCAGCAGAACTTACGCTGCGGCCGCTCTTCCTTGATCACTCTCTTCAAAGCGAAATTCACAGCTTCACAGCCGAGCTGCCCAGCAAACATCAACAACACTTCTACCTCTCTGGATACCCAAATGAGAGACACATAAACAACACATAGGGCCTGTGGAACCAGAGCAAGCCATGCAGAGGCGAATGACACTGGGTCTTCGGGGTTCTACATATGTCGTATTAGCTCGCATGCTCAAGATTGGGCTTTGAGAGAAAAAGAAAACACGATCACTTACATAATGCACATGTGTTAGGGATAATGATGCCAGTCTTGGTTGATCCATCCTGTACGTTCGAAGCAGCCTAAGGAACTGTGGTTGTCGGTGTGATGGTTCTACAGAATTGATAAATAACGGCACTAGTCCGCATACGGGCATATAGATCACGTGACCGTATAAACCGCCACGCGATTATAATATCACGTGATTATCTGGCGTGCGGCTGTTATTCTTCCCAAAAAGGTAAGGCGCGGGCTGAAGAGGGGGAGGGGAAGAAGTCACGAAAACGAAAAACCCGGCAAATTCCTTCGTTCTCACTCATGCTATTATTGTTACTATTTCATCTCCTTTATGACGCTCTTCGCCCTCTTCCCTCGCCAGTCTTCGTCCTTAGCTCCGTCTCTATCATCCATCGCCTTCCAGACGGAGTCCCCTTCATCACGGCCCCTCCGCTGCTTCTGATTCCATCAAATCATGACGCATCACTCTCCCCGCTATAACTCCGGTTTCCCGTTGCATATCTCTTCAGCATCCTCGTTACTGACGGCCCCATCCGAGTTACATCAAATACCACTGCGGAATCGCTACACAACCCCCGCTGTTATCGCCTCACCCGGGTCTCATCGCAGGTTGCCTTCAGGATTGGGAGGGTCTTGCAGTACCTGACAGCATCCACTGGTTCGTTCTGCCGCCACTTAATTTTTTTTTTTTTTTTTGAAAATTAACTAAGCAATATTTTATTTGTTATTTAGATTAGCTGTCATTCCTTCTGTGGTCCATATTGCTTTTCGTCTCCTTGGAATATTCTCTACGCCAGGACAATGGTGTAGCGTTTGTTCCCAAGCTTCAAGTCAACGGTATATATTATGGGAACCATTTTCTGTTAGGACGGGCGTCGAAACCGCGCAAAGACTTAGGGCGGGACAAGCCTACCCTCGCCATCTGATCTAACCTTCAGACAAATAAATACAACTTTTTGTGCTGCACATCCTTGTCATACTCTTCGGCGGAATTCTTTGATCATGGCAGAGTCTATACCCTTCTGCGAAGATGAGCGCTCCGTGGAGCTATCATCTATTGCTGCCATATATCCAGAGATCAAGATCGATCCCTCGTTCTCCTTCAAGGCATCCCTCTCCTTACCCGTCGTGCCTTCAACACCTTTGCATGTCTATTTCGACTCTCCGTCTGATGCTGACTTCACAACTGTTTTGACTCCCCCTACTTCGGTCGACACGAGCGATGCGAGTCTTAACTCGGCTATAAAGGGTGGGTTTGGTAGCTCTGCTCCCAACGCAGGAAGGGATATCCATGCCCTTTCATATCTTCCTCCTCTCGAATTAGAAATCGAATTACCCGACGGCTATCCCTCTGAGAAACCACCGATATTCAACATCAGAATCTATCCACAGTGGCTGACATCCTCGCGTATCTCCGAACTCCTAGATGACGGACACCGTCTCTGGGAAGAAGGCGGAAAGGAGCTCGTCGTTTACACATACATTGACCACCTCCAACAATTAGCAGAAACAGCGTTCGGTATCGCGGACAGTCCGGATGGCGAAGTACTCTTTTCTAGAGACTTGAAGATAGCGTTGTTGGATTTCAACAACAAGGCCGAACGTGAGAAGTTCGAACAGGAAACTTTTGAATGCGGCGTCTGTCTCGAACCTAAGAAGGGGGCGAGTTGCCACCGTATGCTACATTGCTCGCATGTCTTCTGCGTTCCGTGCCTTCAAGATTTCTATAATGCATGTATCACAGAAGGAGACGTCGATGGTGTCAAGTGCTTGGCCCCTGACTGTGCTAAGGATGTGAAAACCATTCCGGAGTCAACGGGGGATCCGGCGAAGAAGCGGAAGAAGCACGACCGGACACTAAGCCCCAGCGAGCTATTGCAAATACCTTTAGAGCAAGAGACTGTGCAACGTTATGTTTTCCTCAAGCGGAAAAAGAAGCTGGAAGCTGACAAGAGCACCGTATACTGCCCACGGCAGTGGTGCCAGGGTGCTGCTCGTTCAAAAAAACATCCGAAACCCGTTGACCCTATGGCTGATGATTTTGACGACTCCGATGAAGACGATGGTTTCGTTTTTGACCCTATGGGAGAGGAATCCCAGTTGCCCCCTATGGCTGACCGTGTGGCTATCTGCGAGGAATGCAACTATGCGTTCTGCTGTGTCTGCAAGAAGGGCTGGCATGGCGAGCTTGAACGATGTTTCCCGCGTCGACAAGCCGAGTTGTCGGCGGAGGAGAAAGCCACAGAGGAATACCTCAGACTGTATACTTCTCCATGCCCCACTTGCAATGCCCCCTGCCAGAAACGAATGGGTTGCAACCATATGAAATGTTTCAAATGCGACACCCATTTCTGCTATCTCTGTTCAAGTTGGCTTTCAGAAGACAACCCGTACCAGCATTTCAACAACATCAACAGCAGATGCTATAATCGTCTTTGGGACTTGGAAGGTGGCGATGGTATCGATCCCGAGGGGGCTGAGGCTTTACATCGCATACCAGAGGCTCTGATCGAATTTGACGACCTAAGTGATGACGATGAAGAAGATAATCCTGTCTGGGAGTTTGGTGATGACGATGACATTCCTCGCAGGCAACCACCTCCACCTGCTCCAGCGCCTCCACGAGTAAACAGAGCTGGGGGTCATGGTAATCGCCGGCAACGTCGAAATCAGAATGACTTAGACGCCGCAGGCCGTGCTGCGGCTGCGGAGCGGCAGGCGCAGGCGCAAGCTATGGCCGAGATGCGAAACCGCGTTGATGCTGGGCGGAATCAGCAAGGGCCGGCTCTGCGACCTGGACTTCAGAGGTTCCTAGACCTCGTTATAAATGACCGTGAAGATGAATGGGACAGTGATGAATTGGACGATGATTTTTGAATCTTGGGAACCTCAAACAAAATGCCGAGTTTTTTTTCCCTTTTGGGCCATCTATCTCCTTAATTTCCTTAACGAATTCCCTCGCGCGATTGACGATCATGACACATTTTGCATCATATCAACGATATGTCTTTGGATATTAGCATTGGCATTGCATGGCATGTGTTTGTCTGTTTGTAGAAAGAAGCGTTCTCCTTTTTCCTTACTTGCTTTGTTTCCCATCCTCCCTGTACAACATTACATAGTCTAAAACGAAAATTTGATCACCTCTTGTCTATGTCTGATTCTTATATAGACCCAATGGATGATACAGGAATTCATTCCCTTTTTTTTTTTTTTTTTTTTTTTTTCTCGTGCAACCTCAACATATTTCATTGTATTGTCCGTTATACTACCGGTGATTCCATTTTATATGCGGTAAGCGGACGCATTGTCAAAGAAAATGGAAGAAAAAGCAAGAGTTAAACAACAAGATATTCACAGCCACCGTCCTCACTCTGCTCATTGACAACGCCGCTATCATGCCTGTTCTGGTCATACCAAAATTCATAGCTCATGATCGTGTGGTCATCATACATAAGTAACAGGCGGTAGCGGCGAGATGGGTACCAATCACGCCAGCTCTCATTTGGTTTGTAGATACGGGATGCCCCGGCGTGGTATTCCGGTAATGTAAACCGGGGCAGTTTGGACTCCAGAGTGGACGTAGAGGTGGAATGGGTATGCATGAACCCCTTGTCTGGGTCGTTTTTCTCGCTCCAAGACTTGGTGGTGTCGTCTGGAAAGTTGAAGAAGTGAGATTTATCTGCGTGGCCTGGGCTCTGCCCATCACCTGTTGTGCTAGACACAGAAGAAGCAGAGTCATCTTCATCCTTTCTATCAATTGTTTTATAGCGAAAAGTAAGATCGTCGAGATCAGTAGCACGCTGGGGAATATAGGGCACGTCGGGCGGCATTTCAAACCCTTGAATGGGACTGACGGTCATTCCGAGGAGAGGCCTCAGGGGACGATCGCCGTGTCTTTCCTGGTTCATGAATGGTACGATCCAGTCGACCCTGAAGAGCATACAGTCTCCGAATCGAGTCAGGGCAATTATTGCTGCACGCCCTTTCTGGGAAGCAGCGACAACAATGCCGTGTTCGGGGACATATTTCACCATGTTAAACCGGTCGCACGAATGGATCGACGTGACCAAATGGGTAAATAACTGTCGCAGGGGTGCGCCACAAACAACGGACGCAAGCGTAGAGAAGGGGTCTGGAATCAACCGTATATCGGTCTCCGAAAAGTGTAGAATGGGGAACTCTGAGCAGAAGGAAGCTGGTGCACATGGTGATAATAATTAGTCTTTCTGTCCGACTATCGAAATGGGTATCATCAGATTATGCCGATCTGGTATACGACTTACCTGTGCTTGGTACATCCTGGTCCTCTTCTTCATTTTCATCGCTACTCCCCTCTCCCTCTGCCTCCCAACCCTCATCATCATGCTCGGCATGGCTATCACCGGTACTGCTTCCAGAAAACTCGTCCGGACCAAAGGGGGCACCTCCAAGGGCATCGAGAAGAGCCAGATGAATAGGCGGTGCGCCTTGCACGCCAAAAGACTCCGAACCCTGTGATGAGATAGAGCTATTCTCATGACTACTATCAAGTGCTTGATCGTAGAATGGTTCAGTCTCCATGGCAATCATTTCAACATCGCTGTCACTGCTATCTTGATACATGTCATTCCCTTGAAGATCCCGTCCTTCAGGGCTCTCCATGCTGGCTGATGGTGAACCGATGGTGCCAAGAGTCTGAGTAACAAAGCCTGTATCACTCAGGTGAAGGGGGGAGGTTTGGCTAATACCCATTCGAGCCTCATTCTTCAGCAATGGAGGGATACTATTCTCACCATCAATGCGACAATCTGGACTGAAAAGGTCGGGGAGTGAGGGCGGCCTTGGCTTAATCCTCTCCTCCGGAGGGAAATAATTGTATAGACGAGAGACATTTGTTATCCGACTGCCCAGACGTGTTAGGTCAATAACTCTCTGGTTATGCCCTTCTAGAACGGTCGGTTTGCCACCACATGCCTCTTCGAGAGATTTATATGGATAGAATGCTCGAGGATCGAGGGCCAGAACAAACCAGCCACGCTCACTACAAGGCCAGTCAGATAATGCATTCACTTGATGCACCAGTGTTGGATTTCAGGGTCTTACTCATTGCGCACACTTCGCGGGAAGGCCCTGAAGGGACCCAGACTTTGCCAGATCTTCCATACAAGCATTTTATTGTCGATGTCTGTGCTCACCATCCAAGTACCATTAGGGTCGAGATCACAGTTAAGGAAGGACACGCATGGAATATTAGTGAAATGGCCTGTATATGACAGTCTTATGTTACGCGAGCGATGCCCACCAGGCATCAGATTCCGCAATCGAATAAGTTCATCACTGGAATTTATGAGATCCCAAGTCTGCTCGTATTCCCGTTGATCGTCACTGGCTTCGAAGGAACCGCTAGGATCAGAGTCATCTCCGGAAGGGTTGACTAAGGCAAAGGCAAAAACCGTGATAAGCCCTGTGTTGGCACTGACTGCAATCAGGCGCGCAAATTTATGAATGGCCAGACCCCATGCGCTTTCTTCAACAAATTCGGCAAAAAAAGGGTGGATCCCGGAGTCGTCCAAAGGTCGAGCCAGATCAAATTCAGCAGCACGCTCAAGTGCCCAAAATATCGTTTCGACATGATAAGCACAGACATTGCCGGAATCAGTTGCAAGAAGTAGAATTTCCTCGCGGCCCAGATCATCAACCAGGATGTTATTAACTGCATGCGGCATCTGCGGTGATATGTAACCACCAGCACGCGGGTTCTTCATAATAGGAGTTATTATCATTTCAGGCTCTGCACCCAATGCCTGTGATGATCCAGCTGGTTCCCAGACATAGATCTGATGCCGACATGCAGTGAAAAGCAAGTTGCGACGTTGGGAGAGCGCAATCTTTTCAATATTCATTAGCTAGAGGCAAACGTGACATATTTGAAGAAGTGAGCCGTACCAGATTATTTCTCCAAGATGCAGTCTCAGGAGGAAATAGATCACCCCTTCTAAACATTGAATGTTAAGCGCCGCTCAATGTGACTAGCCATCAGGTGGATAACATACATAGGAAACTAACAAAGCTCGATCAGCACAATGAAAGAACTGAAAAACAATCTTCCATTTCATTTCATCTTATCCTTTTGGGCATTATCAAGTGCATTACATACTCTTTCTGAACCTTTATCCACATTCAGCTCCTGGACATGTAGGGTTCTGCCTGGGCGCTTCTGGCGGCTCCCGTCACTTTCAGACGTCATCTCGAATCGCAGGAATGTCTCTGGCAGATATGAATTCAGGAACTAATAGGAAATTTTATATCTCGTAAGGCTCAACTTCCGCGAATGGCCAGAAACTCGTCGGAGAGACGAAAGAGAGGGCCAGGCGGTAGTAGCAGTGCGGAGCTAGCATTGCAGACGGGGCTGGGAGGGGCCTGAGACGCAGTGCTAGGGATGGAGGACACAGCAGCAGATGGGAGACCGTCGCTGAGAAAATTATAGATAGGCATGGCCGGGATGCGACAGGGCTGCACATCACACCTGAATCCGAAGGCGTCTCCGACAGTTTCCAAGGTTCGATGAGGTCAACCAGCATTCGGAAGGTCGCTGTGCACGTGCCATCTTGCTGACGAAGGTTGAATGAATCCACTTGCTTCACTCTCGTCAAACAACCACTGTAGAACCGGCCAGCAGGGAATACACCATGGATCTTGTTGCTGGTGTCCGAAAGGAAGGCAGCCGGTAAGTCTAGTATTGGTTCTGTTTCGATTTTCTGCTCTTCTATCGAGGCTGACCTTGCTCCGTTTCCCCAGCGGCGGCCGTGGCGACTTCAAATGGTCCGACGTCAAAGAGTCTTCGCACCGCGAGAACTATCTTGGCCATTCGCTCATGGCCCCCGTCGGTCGCTGGCAACAAGGCCGGGATCTGACATGGTACGCGAAGGGTGAAGCGTTAGATGAGGAAGAGAAAGCGAGAAGAGACCGCGAAGAGATCAAACGCATCAAAGAGGCCGAGGAAGAAGCGATGGCTCGCGCTCTGGGCCTGCCTATCCCTCCGAAGAGTGCTAGTGCAGCTAACGCCAATTTGACTCCTCTAGGCGCGAAGGATGTTCAGAAGGCAGTACGTGATACCACAGCCGACGAAGACCTGTCCAACGACGGAATGGGCAAAGGTGTTGGTTTTGGTTCCTATGGAGGTGGTGCGCAGATTGGGGGAGATGATGAGAAACTAGAAGCTGTTGGTCTACTTCCAGAAGAACGAAGACATCGCAAACGCAGCCGCAGTCCGCGGAGGGAGAAAATACGATATCACAATGGTAGTCGCGATAGGGAGAGGGAGCGAAGGCATCGCAGACATCATGATGACCGCGAGCGGCACCATCGTCACAGTCACAGGCATAGGTCGAGGTCAAGGTCGAGCCCCCATAACAGGTATCATCGGAGAAGAAGGTCGGGTTCTCGTTCTAGGAGTGGGGATAGGTGGAGAGAGGACGGTCACAAGAGATCCCATCGATCGGAGCGCGACTTCCCTTCAGACAGCCGTGACCATCGCTCTCACAGAAAGGAGAGAGATCATGGTTACAGTCATCGGCATTGATTCGCTTCCTCGATACCCTTTTCTAAATTTCTAATTCCAACGGGCGCAGGCGTTTTTGGCATTGGGAGAATCATGAGAGCCAAGATAGTCCATTCTATTCGGGTTTTAATTCATGCAATGTACGCCATACTATACATTCTTCTATAGCTTCCCCTATAGCTCATCATGGGCCGTCTTCTTGCCTGCAGGAAGGTCGGGCATAGACATCATCTTCACGACCAAGCTGGTCCAGCCGGTGAAATGCTGCGTCCGCTGGCCCTGGCCAGTTTCTGGGTTATACTGTTCCCAGGCGAATCCGGTTCTCTTCCACTCCCGGAACACGTTTTCAACCAAGTTTCTCCGCAGTCTGGAATACATGTCTTGGGCTTGCTCCTGGTGTGGCCCAGCCGTGGTTGCAATGTTCTAAAACGGATATGGTCAGATATCGGATTCACGACTTTCTTGCGTTGTTTCTGCACTACTCACATAGAGATTTTTCAACACCAGATGGTTGATGTTGACCCACACAGGGCTCCTCCAGTAGTTCTCATCAGTACCATAGAATTCGTCTTTCTTGCTCAAACTCCGAACACCATAGTCGCTCCACAGCTCCTCGGGGTCGTTGATAAGATCCAGAATCGGCTTGAGTCGGGGGCTCTCGGGGCCCACCATGCCTGTCAGGAAGGGGAATATGGAGATATATCCCTTGTGACAAACATGGATATCCTCTTCGTACTCGTCGATGGTCGCGTCACAGTATGTCTGCGCTGGATCGTCCCAGTGGAGATCATCGATATTGTGCCCAATTGCAACTTCATAAGACTTGAACTCTTCCACATCTTCGGTCTCCGAGAGAACCTCAGCAATGCGGCGAAGTGAACGGGTCATCATTCCCATCCAGCTGATTAGATCCACGTGAAGTTCATCAGGGTGAGGTGGCTGCGCCCTAGGATAATCATCTAAACCGGACGTCAAGATGTGCTGCACAGAGCGACCGCGCCAGCGGTACCCTTCCTTGGTCGAGAAGACCTGCCGGTCATAGCCTTTAACGTTACCCTTCTGGGTCTTCCTGTACCAGAAATAATGTCTCTTCAGCAATGGGTAAATCGAACGAAGATAAGCGTCAGCCAACTCCGGATTATCCAAGTGCGCCGAGCGGATTCTCTCCACCATTTCCTCGGAGCGAGGCTGTTGATCTTTGAGTTTATCAATGAAGGCCTCCAGAATTATGAAGAGGGTAGGAGGATTGGCGTAATGGGGATATTGAACCATGAATTCAGGCGGTACTTTGCTGCGAGCTTCAGCGCCTAAGATCTGCTCCCTGGCAATCCAACCATCTTCGTCCATTAGATTAAGCCAACTTTTCACGATCTCAAGCCTGGACGTAGTGAGCACTCTAGTCCATGATTCAAGGAGAATAAGGTGATTACGTACGCCAGATCCATATCCCATTCAACAATAGGAATCAAATGAAACCCTTCATCCCAAAGGAAGCCTCTCGGGAAGAACGTGCGAGAAGGAACGCAAGTGAAAAGATCTTTCGGTCCTTCAAGGACAGGTTGCGCACGAGCTTTCGCCTCTGCTGTTTCTTCCCAGAACCCTTCATTCTCCTCCTCGTACTCCGGTGCAGCAGAGCGATCAACAACATCTGTCCCATGGAAGAAGCCAATGCCACCGACGAGGTTTGAAAACATTGCCTTTGAGAACTCGGAGTATTTGGGAGAGTCGAACGGAGTTTTGGGAGACAGAATCTGGTCGAAGCGTTGGTTAAAGGAGAGCGAAGCACTTTCAATCTCTTTGGTGAGAGTCTCAGCTAGACGATCATGTTAGTTCTGCGTACATGCACACAAAAGAACTGAACAAGAAGACAGGAGGAACACTTACAGGTCATGGGGGCCGGCGAGGATCCGGACGAGAAGAGAATATCGAACTGTAACCTGTCAGCTGCATCAAATGTGCATGGAAGGGCAACTATACCTCGAAGGGTCCCTTGAAAACTTTCTCCACCAAATGAACATTGCCATCGCCCGGTTCATTCTTGATAGTAAACACCTGCGCTGGCGGTGGTGGGTTCGTTTGGCCGTACTTCTCGACATAGCCTTCAACCTGGCTCTTCAACTGGGAGAATAGGATAACTGGGATGCGGTCAGCACTAGCTTCGTAGGGAACTGGAATGGAGAAGAGAGGACAACGTTTTGATTGCCAAAGAAGCTGCGCTTCCAAAAACAAACTGGACACAATGCTCCGGTCCAGAGGCTTGTCCTCATAGCTGGGGTGGTCATAAAAGGGATGCTCATTGGTCTCAGGCCCCGCAGTGACATCGAGTGAGAAATCTCCAAGATCCAGAGTATTGCCAGTAAACTTCACGTCGCCCTCAAAACCGCGGCCATCAGAATCTGTCGCAACTCCAATGTTTCCAAGTCCCTCGAGGGTCGCATAGAAGACCACAGTCGTGATTTGCTCATCGGATCCTTCTTCACGAGGAACTCCCTTGATACGAGCTGCCCAATTTCCTCCATGCTGGCCACCAGGAACCTTGACGAAGTCGATTGTCAGGTCTAGTGTGTTTCCGGCGTCGTGTATTGTTTCTCGGCCACCTTTTCTGATATCGTATTCGTCCCAGCCATAGCCTGCCATGCCCTCATTTTGTTCGCACGTGTGTCTAAGGTCTTGGAGGCGCGTTAGCACAGAATAATCATAGCAGATAGTGTGGAAAAGGGAGCTGCATTTCGACAATCCTGAAGCAGGTACTTACTGCGCTGGACAGAGTTGTAATCCTCCACCTTCGACCACATCAATCCGGCAGATAAGCTATTTGGGAGCCGGGGACGCACTCCGAAGTAGAGATTTGGTTTATAGGGACCCCATAACAGTGATTCATTGTTCGCTCTGCCGACCTTTTGATTCAATGCGGACACGTCCGCAGCAGAACCTTGGTTGGCAAGAACCCCAACAACATATAGCAACGGGGCTAAGAGAATTGATATCGATATGCGCGCGCGATGCATCTTTTTATAAGAGCATCCGAATTGCAAAAGCTGGAGAAGCTTTCACCTGGGAATTGGCATATGTACTGTACCAGGGGACGTTGTATGCTCTCGTTCTATCAGTGGAGACCCGCAAGGTTTACGTGGCCCAAGCTCTCTCTTTGCGCTGGGCAACGTCCTAGCTAGTACCTAGGTACCACTACTATTTACTACTACGTATCCGTATATTCATCATAATCACAAGTGTCATTTCTTGCTATTCACCGACTTGCTGGTCATCGCATTTATCTAGTATAATAGCTCACCATGCCTTATACACGAAGAATTCAGAGGAAGTTCCTTGGATCCAAAGATCCGATATTCGCGCTTTTGGCTTTTCCGTCGAATACAAATTCGCTGATAAGCTTCCCGGTTCCTGGCGCGTTCTGAATACCCCAGCAAGTGTGGCCAGCGGCAAGGTACAATCCCTTGATGCCAGTATGGCCGATCAATGGTCCCCCTCCGGCGCTCACGTTTGGTAGATAACAAGCCTGGCATGCGCGGACCTCACCATTGCGCAGCTCGTCCGATACGCTGCCTACTTGATCGACGATATTCTGGCATCTCTGTTGGTCGACCTGGACGTCTGCTGTCGTCTTTGGGAGTGGAACAATATGGTCGCCTTCACCACAGCAATAGACTGTGTCATCCGGGCGAGCATAGATCTCCGGCGTAACGACAGATGGCCGCGCCTTCTTCGATGGGTAGAAATCTGCCGGTAGCTGAATGGTCGTGAAAAGGGTATAGGCTGATACCGGTCTCGTTGGTTTGATGACAACACTATGCGCGCGAGTAGCCGAAATTGGGGCCTGTGGGAAAACGGATTTCGTCCAAGGACCCGCAGCGATGACCACGTCTGTGGCCGGTATCGTGCGCGATTCTCCGGTTTCTTTATCGGCATAAGTAACCGACTGGACACCATTCGCCGAACGGGCAATATCAGTAACTGGCCCGAAGATGATGTTCGCCCCCTTTTCTTCAGCCAGTTTCGCTATCGAGGTGGTGAAGTAATACGGGTGAACCTGGGCCGTCTCGCCAGGACCGCTCATGCTGTCGTACTCCTTCAATGAGCCAGGCACTAGCCAGTCCAAGTCCTGAGGGATGCCAGCCTTTTTCAATTGCGCTATCGCAGCCGCGGTCCGCTTTTGTAGAGAAACAGAACTGCCGGTTTCCCCCCTGTCGACTTCCTTGTCGCTAACTGGACGACCTTGCGCGGAGATCTGACCACAGTTGACCTCTCTGTATCCCCATCTGTCTATTCCACCGTGCTCTTTCGCCAGCTCCGCATGCAGTTTATAGCTCAGCGGAACGATATTGCTGGGGTACGCCCATAATGCCAAAAGCCCGCCGGCTTTACCAGACGCTCCGCCGGCGAGTTCTGTGGCCTCAATAAGAGTCACTTTATGGCGAGATGGATCGTAAGACGGATGCCTCGTCAGGTAATACGCAGAACAGCACCCAATTATACCACCACCTTAGAAGAATTTGTTAGTTCCATCTAACAATGGAAATGCGGGACAACTTGGGATAGGAAGTATCTCTATCATACCGACAATGACGATTTCACGTCGATCGCTCGAGGCAGCCATCTTGCGGAGTAAGCTGATGTTGTTACACAGTTTAACTGAAGCCAGAGTCAGAGTGGTGCAGTTAAGAGGTATATACAACGATGTGTCAGAGTTGGTGAGAAAGAAGTTCGTTACGTCAGGCGGGGTGGATTCTAATAGTTATCTATATCTCTGCTAATTAATATCGGACGAATTCTTCCGAACTTCCAGGAGGATCGAAGAGTTTCCTCTTGGAAAATTCCAATTCATGAATTTATGCCGATGATAAGGTCAAATTGCCTTACAAAGCTACTCCGGCTTTCCTGCAAGGGATTGTTGTGCTCGATTGGCTGTTATGTCCGACATTTGGCCCAGAAGGCTTGGTAGAAGCAAAAGAACATAAGGTATCTTTACATAAGATTTCCTGCCTGTGCTGTCTTATTCCTAAATAGTCAATAAGCATGGTGCTAAATGGCGTGTGAAGAGTAATCAGCTCCAAGGTATGGAATCAAGCAACAGTAATCCTTCCCGATAATGCGCCATTACAATGCTGCGGACAACTGGGTAACCGTGAAAATAGAGTAAATAAGTCAAAACGCGAAGCAAACACAAATAGAACAGTATGAACAAGCCGAAAAGCGCCGGCGTTTGATATGGACCTTCACCTTGTAGGACTCAGTGGCCTGTTGAACCCTCCAGTACGGTTCATATACTGTCTGTACTCAGTCTTCTTTTCCTTCCGCACACCATAGATGTTGTTCCCCGGTACTTTCGTATTTTTGGTGCTCCTGAACTTTGTGAATCCCATGCTTTTACGTATCAGCTCCTCCAGTTCTTCTTCCCCGTCAACCTCAGCGGAATCCACATCCATCTGATCTCTGTGACGGGCCGGAGATAGATGATGTGAGTCAGCTCTACCGTTTGTATGCCGCGCTCTTTCGTGAGGCCGGCCTTCTCTGCGATCGTCCTTTCGATCTGTTCTGGAACCCCGATGGGGGGGTGACCTGGTCCTATCCCTCGTACCATTCCGAAATGGCGAACGCGATCGATCCCGAAACTTGTCACCTTTCGCTGGGAGTCCTGTATGTAAATTATCAGAGCACAGTTCAAACATGAGGGATAAAGAAGTAGTCCACCTACCGCGTCGATAGTGCCTATCTCGACTAACGCTCCTCTCTCTGTCACGCTCTTTCTTGTCCCGGTAGCGGTCACGGTCTCGTCTATCTCTTGATCTACTTCTCTCCCGCCTCCTCTCTCTCCGATCTAACGAGCGGGAACGAGAACGGTATCGTCGATCATCAAGCTCACGTGCGCCGTCTTTTGTATAGGGTGTACGCCTTGCGTTTCTATCGGGATCCGATTCGGAGCCAGGTGAGTGTGTTCGCTTATCATGCATCTCCCACATTGATGAGCTATCAGTGCGACGAGCGCGTTTTGCAGGGGGCTCCGCTATCCTGGATGGTGAAGAGACGGGGTGTGGTCGAGGGGAGGGCTCCACGGAATCGCGCCTGCGCGTCGACATTGTCGGCGATGAAGAATGAAATAATCGCAAATAAGTTTATGAAAGGACAATCTCCGATAATATCGCTCTATAAAAGCACAAAATCCAGAAGGCAGTACATAGCTGGGTATCAGGAAAAGAATAGGCAGACGGTGTCTCGGTGACACACCGAGCGTGAAGGTCAAAGCCAATTTCTGGCCTCTCCGCCAAACGTAAGTCTTGGCATCCAGACGCCTTCTTCTAGCGGGGCGCCAGAAACCCTTGTTGAACCGCCTCGTCTGCCGCGGTATCCCATTGCCTCTTGCGGTATAGTGTTTACCGTTTCTGAGATAGCCTTTCCCTCTCACCGCTTGATTCCGATTAGGACTAGCGCAGGCAGAATAACAAGTGTTTTGCGTCTTTTTGGCCTCGTTCTGAAACTGACAAGCTTCCTAGCATAATCTCTTTCTTTTTTCACGGGTCTTATTTCATTTCACTGATACATCTCTTCGTCCATTACAACCGACTTGATATGTCTGTCGTGCGGCCTGGCATGTCACAGCTGTCCCATCTGGCTTCCAGAACCAGCTTTTAGGCAGTTCTCGTCTAGGCTTGACCAATTACTGGAATTGCCTGATATTATCTCCATCAGCATCCCAAATATGGACGTCAATATTTGCCTCAAGTTCTCAGACAACCGGGAGATTTCTCTAATCATTCTTGTTCATCGTATTGGCTCGATTATTGACTCCTCTGGACAGGTCCAAGACAGTTTAACAGGAGCACAGCTCATTGAACTGATTAAAAGTGAAACTGGAAGCCAAAAGATTATTTTCACCTGCATGGGATCTCGGCTATCCTCCGACAAGAGCCTCAGAGAGTTAGATGTGCGGTCTGGATATGTCTTCAAGGTTGACATTGATTCGGCACACCAAGTTACAGAGATCAGACAGAAAGCTGCTGTGATCCCAAAGGCTGCCAAATTTAACCATGGCTATATTATTGAACAGATCTGTCGCTTGGCAGAAGCCAGATAGCGACGCCACTTGATTTGGCTAAGTTTCTATTGGGAGAGTCCAACAAGGTCTACCAAGTCGCTGGTGAAGCTAGCAAAGATGAACCTGAATATATTTAACCTTGAAGAGGCTGCGATACCTCTTTGTCTCAAAGATGACACTTCACTCCATTCCATCCCTGAGGAAATATTGAAAAATTTTAGAGCCTTAGAAGATACTAGATACAACTGGAACAATGAACAGTACTGCAGATTGTGAGCAGAGTTCATCACAATGCCTGCATTGGTTCAGGCACAGTGTAATGCAAATATCCCTTTGCAGTCATCCACCAGAGACACTCAAGAAAAAAACATCCTGCTTTCATAACACTGATGAGACATGATCCTGATGCTGAGGCCCCCCAACAAGATCTGAGAATGTTTCACGAATATGATTTGCGAGCTGAGATCAACCACCCAGTCTCTGGTGTTCCCTATGTGTTCACTGGTCGCGCTGACTGGGCAGTGGGGCACTCTGGCTGTGGATTTTCAGACTCCATTTTGGTTCATGTCAAGGCCAAGAAGAAAGAAACATTTGGGAATGCTGAGCTGCAGTTGACTGCATACTTGGCTATCTGCTATCATGAAAGGAAAAAGGCCAACAAATCCGTCCTGTCTGTACAAGGCTTTTAGCACTGATGGCCAACGCTATACTTTCCAGCTTTTGGCCTCAGATGGTATGCTACACTCTAGCAAAACCTATGATACTGTGGATGAGAGGGATCTTGAGATTGTGTATAATTTCATAGTCCATCAAGTGGAAACTGAAATTAATTTGTCTCCAACAAGCACACTAGTCAAAGGATCACGCACAGAAAAGGAAGAGGCGGTCAAAACTTATGCACAAGACACATTTTGGGAGATATTCAAGCCACCTCTGTACTGCTCAGACAGCGAAGAGGAAGAACGGCCAGATTTAGATCTTGATACCTTTGCATTGCGAGAACGAGGCATGCTGAAGTGAGCTTTATCTCCTTTTCTCACTTTACAGACCTGCATCATCTATAGCGATTGAGATATTACCGGATTAGGGACCCAAAAAAGGTGTGCTACCAAAGGACGCGCTTGGGAACTGTTAAAATGATGCCCGTTTCTTCCTTTGGAAGTTAGTCTTATGAGCTTTGACATCTGCAAAAGGAACATGGAGCAGCCTGCCAAATTCTGTCCAATGGAATAGTGATATGTGGAACAATTTCTGCACGTTGTCCTAGTTTCAGGGCTTACAATGATCACCACCCCCTGAAGCTACTCTCAAGGACGTACTGGGTGAAACCATCATTTGGGCCTAAGGTATGTGAGGAAATCACTGTCGACCACTGTGAGGAGGAAATTGAAGGGAGAGAATCGCATAACAGAATGCATGTCAGTATTCTTATTTATCTTGAAAGCCTCCTTTTATTTAGTTGATGTTCGCCTACAGACGGGTGGTTTAGGTGTAGCAGTCAATCCCATTGAAGTCAATAATATGAGAGAGCTTAGAGTACTGTACACTGGAAGCTATTTATTGAACTCTTCTCGTAATCAGAAAAGTCTAGTGCAGGATGAGTTTCATGATAAGCTACACTATATAATCAGTTTCTTTTGATATCTGAAGTGATCTCATGAATTGGGGGAAGAGCCGGATTATCCGTACACGACCGTACTCGATAAAAGAGGCAACAGAGAGAAAGCTAACTGATGAGATTATATTGGACTCATTGTTTTTCTCACCACACCTTCAGATGAGACGCTGTTCATCAGAACTTCAGGTTTATCGACCATTTTTTATTTATTTTCAGATAGATTTATTGAACTGATTATTGTATTCGAATATGCCATTTATGGAACTCTGAGGCTGAAATCTACAGTCTAAGATATTATCAAAACCGCCTCTGAAACCATTCCACCATCTTGCAACTGGGGCAAACAGAACTCTATCTGGGTTTAATTCCTCTATGTTTTGCAGCGGCTAGTTCTCCATCTCTGTCCTGTTTTATTCACCTAGTCGCATCCATGACTGCCTTCCATGCTGACTCAGCTGACCCGTTGTCAAATCCTCTCAAAGAACAACTCTTTGAAGAGATGTATTTTGAAATTTATACCCCGAGAGAAAACTGAATTTGAACGTGAGATCCTCAATCATATATCTTTAATCTTCCTGGTAACGGTATGGTAGCATGCTGAAACCTGAGTTGATGATGATATGAGTGCTACCAACGCCTCGCCATGGAAATGGGGGAATGGGCTATTCTTCCTCGTGAACAACACTCCATACAGCAAAACACTTGCTAGTATGGACCTTACAAGTATCCAATATTTGAATATGACAGCCTGAACTCAACGGCAAATGGCTGAGTGGGTTTACATTGAGTAAACCCTAATCAGCGCAAAATGAACTCCACATGAGACCGGCAAGTTTTATTGTAAAGGTAACAATTATTCCGATAACTATGATTATCTCTCCAGCAACTTAAATACCAGAAGCAAGGAAGTGGGATTGTAGTTATGCTCCGGACATAATAGCCTAGGTTGCATGGAATTCTTGTATACACGAGACAGAAAAGCTGTGCTGATATCAAGCGCTTTACTCTCGTTTATTTAATTATTTGCTTATTATATTTATACTTCTCTTATTCACCCTCTCCCATCAGTCAACCCTATCCCTTAACGCCAAATCAACATTAAACTGAAGGCGAAAAAATTCCATCTCGTCTTGATATAGTATTGGCTATCAACGTTTCTAGAAAATTCCTGGTATTTAGCTTAGTAATATAATATAAGTCTCTTTTCATATTGCCGATGAGAATATTAAAAAAAAAATCAGCCTTCCAAGCCCATTAGTAGTCAATACTCCAAACGATGCCTGATAGATAGGCATTTACCCCTTTCGGTTAAGCCTGAGCGGTACGGCCCGTTGAGCCTCAACTCTAAATCCAGAAAAGGAAAGGCGGTCAGAAATCTCTTATGGCAAAATCCCAACACCCCGCAGCGTCCCTTCCAAGTTGCCTGTCCCCAATAGATCCATATCCTCAAACCAATCTTTTAGAAACAAAGATATGGCTCCCATAAATCTGGCTCATCGACGAACTCATAATTTACTTTTAATCTCCAAGCTTCTAAGTCTGAGGGATACTGCGTCACCGCTCACGCTCTTGTTGGATTCTCTGGAGCAGCCGGCAAAACCACTCATTAAAGAATACATACGACGTGCGAAGGTGAGTAGGCCTGGTTTTTTTTTTGAGAATTGTCTGGTTCTGTGGGCATCTTATTCCGTATTAAATACGCGTTAACGACTCGTTGGGAATAGCTCTGGAAAACTGTTATGCCATGTGTGAATACTTATTAACATTGCCGGACAGTTGTCCAAAATTCATGTTACTTTTATTTCCTTCGAGACTTTGAAACAACCAGATGGTGTCGATGTCTTCATTTCAGCTCGACGTAAGAGCACGTTAGATATCGCAAAGGAAGTGCGTGCTGCATGCTCGGCTCCGTCTGGTAATCAACCGCGTCGTATGTGTCCACGTCTGGTCTGCATTTTTTTTATGAATATCTGCTCACTCCTGGGTAGGATGTCTTATAATCATCGATGCGATTAATCCCCTCCTAAACTCTAAAGGTTCCGATAAGAATGTCAACCTACCAAGTTTTCTGGGCTCATTTATTGTCCCCCCAGCACCTTCTACGCCGAAGGTGGAATCATCTCTTGTGGTGACCTATCATCAGGATGTCCCAAGTGTTTCTAATCGGCAACCATACTCTCCCTCTCCCCTTCCGATGTTAACATACCTTGCGACAACCATCATCAAACTGCACTCATTCTCTCACATCCTCGCTCAGAAAGCTGCACGAGATCGCAGCCTAGTGGCTCCTGTATTCGGTCTTGCAGAGGAACAAGACGGTGTGTTGCTCGGCAGGCTTGACAAAATAGCTGGTTGCGGAACTACAGGAATTGTTCTCGAGATGGAACATCGAAGGAAAAGCGGCCGTGGGGTTCTCGAATGGTATCTATTACCGCCTGCATCTCATTATCCGCCCCAGCAGATGAAGGAAGTTGTCACACTTCTTGACGATAATCCTCTATATCGACCTCCGGAGGAGCTTGATACTGCAGCAGCGGGTGAAGAGCCTGAATCCACGTTCGACTTGCGACTAACCGAACGGCAGAGGCGAGAGAGAGAAGGCGTGGTATTACCGTATTTCGATGCACAACATGGCGACGGTCCCGGAGAAGGTGGACGGATCTTATACGACATGGGAGAGGAAGATGACTTTGATGAAGAAGAAGATGAGATTTGAAATTCTGCAAAGCATTTATCAAACTTGCGCTACACGGGCGAATGTGCATGACGTTCTGTTTCCAACAAATGGCTGCTTTTCTAGATACCTGCCCACAAGCTGACGGGAAATCTTTGGGGATGGCATGGACAGCTTAACACTTTTCGCCTTCACCAAATGAGGCTTATCTTCCGCGACCGTTGAATATATTTCGATCGAATAATTTCAACATAGACAACAACGTACGAGTGACTGCAGCAGATCGGTACGAATGTATCGGAGTGCAATAGGTGCCATCTACTTTCTGCTTTGGTGCGCAACCCTTGCTCATTGGGCTGGTCCAAACGACGTGAGTATACCAAATAGCCTTTAAAGACATGGTCGAGCCGCCGAAGCAAGTTAGTCTCCATAGTGTTCGATCAGAACCACTTGTCGCTTGGGAGATCGTCATTATTGTTAGAGTGCAGCTGCATTTTGCTTATCTAGATAGATAATTTATTCCTTCGACCTCAATTTCTCGTATAGTGAACCTTTCTACATTCATACATGTGTGTAAATATGTGTAAATTCCTATCATACTTTCCTAAGAGTCATTTCAAATGAAAGACGAGCGCAAGAGCAAGACCCAAAAAACTAGGATATAGAAGGCTTGGAATCTATCCTTAACATGCTGCATACTGATGCAGAATTTGGTTAGATAGATCTGCTTAACCTCTCTTTGAAACCCATGGCAAAAGTTGTCATAGATGTAGAAGAGCCCAACGGGGATATATATATCACCATCTCGACAAAAGCAGGCTTGCCATGACAATGATGAAATATTTATCAACAACGAAGATGCAAATAGACTTCTAGTGTAAACTGTACAATCTTTAATTCGAGTTAAGCTACAATGACGATAGAGTTTGCCCTGGGAGTTTCTTTGCAGACATCCCCTCGGGTGTATTATCGCCTCAGCACCCCGAAGACCTTATTTTTCTCAGATATTCCTAATTTAAGGAATCCAGGTTGCGTACTAGCTACCATCTAAGTCTCAGATGACGGCTAGGGCTAGTTGGATCGCTGGAAATTCCAGCCTTGGAAAAGGTAGTAACTCTATGGCTACGATTTTTTCCCTGTCTCCGTTAAGCCGCTTCTAGGGAGCTCTACAGAAAACCTAGTGATGGATAAAAATCCGGTATGTATAGATATATTAGGTATATTCATACAAGGGTTCGTGAAAGGTGACATTTCTGCCCACATTAGAAGAAACGCCACCAGATAAGTATGAGAAAGACAAGTCCAACACCCGCATAAGGCCCGTACTGCAAGAATAGTCAGATGAAGAACCACATATGCTAGCCATCTGGCAGCAGAACTGCAAGACTCACTTGTTTTATCAGTAACTCCCAATTAATCCGAACTGCAGCTTTCCGGTACTTCCTACTATCTTCCCGCAGACGTCCCGACAATTCGCCCATTCGTTCCAAACTGTCTCCGCGGTATAGAAGATCTTCAATATTTTTCGTCATCACCTTGGTGACATCTCGGAGCTCATCATTTAGCCGGTCAAGGTTCTGTGATGCGCGACTGTCCTGGTAAAGTTTCTTCGTGCGTTGAATGAAGGTATCAAACTCCACAAATGCATATGGTCGCAGATTGGGAGAGTGGTAGCGTGCAGAGGAGTAGGTTGTGGTGAATTCAGTGGCAAGGTCTGCAAGATAGGTGAATGCTAGCTTGCGGGGGTATGAATGGTCGCATATGCAGAGGAAGCAAACATCGTCCTTAATAAGATAGCTACAGCATGGTGTAAATATTCTCTGGTCTTTCACAACTTTCTTTCTTTCCTTGAAATTCGGAATAACCTTACTGGAGACTGTATTGACCAGATTCAATACTGGCTTGCGGTGCTGAGTTGCGATTCAAGCGACGGAAGATCACTTTAACCTGAGATTTAATTTCAGCGAGTTCTGCCTCTGCCTACAAGTTCAAGAACGTGAGTCGGAGAATAAGGTTAGCCCAAGGATCTGGGAAGAGAAGACAGTGGATGAGTTAGGAGTGGGAGCGCGCAGACTAACCTGTTCATCGTCCACCGACGCTGCCAGCATTAGGCCTTTATTATACCCCGGACAAACCATCATCAGCAAACTGCGCGAATATAGCCAACACTGAATCACCCACCATCAAGCCTTGCGATCTGCGTCGATTTGACCATCCTAAAAGGGGATCCCAGCGACCCAACTGGACTTTTTTGAGCGTGTCCCAGGGTCTCGCCGTTTCTCGTGCGTTATCGTGTAAGGGGTGTCAGAACAATGGCCCGCAAGCGCAAGGCGGTCGGATGGGGCAGTATGGGGAAGGCTTCGGCCAGGTGAGCCCGCAAGATCTTGATCCAGAGAAGAGCATTATGCGTATTGCACTGCGCCGTGTTCAAGCTGTTCTACCCTGAAAACGTACGGCTGATAATGTCCCAGGCGACGCCGTAGCACTGGATCTTCTGCTGATGTAGCCGAATGCCCTGACGCTGGCAAGACCGGCCCCAGCATGCCGACTACAAATTCCGCTCCAGCCAGTGTCCGACCTAGACGGAATACAGCAAGAACGTCCGCTAGAGATCCCTGGGGAGAGGAAAAGCTTCTAACCAGTATGAAGTCGCCTCTTATTGATATAGATCTTGTGGTATGTCCTGGTTTCCTCGAAGCGAATGAATGGGGAAAGCGTCATAGGTGAAACGTGTGAGCGACTGCTAATGACAGGGAATTACAGAAATTACTCGCGAAGCCCGAAGCATGGAATTGCCTTGACGAAGTTGAGAAAAGACAAATTCTAGACTTGCTCCCAGATCACATACATCCTATCCCGGACCCTCCCGGAGAGGACGGCACAGAAGCCAAGATACCACCACTACCGGAATCCTTCCTACGTTATTCCAACCATTGGCGAAATGGCGTGCGTCAGTTCCAAGTCGATTTAGAGAACGGTCGCTACGACCCAGAGTGGTTGCGCCAGGCCGCGGAGGCCAGCCAAGAGAGAGCAGAGGGGCGTTTCGACAAATTCAAGGAAGAAGAGTTTGAGCAGTTCTGGGGGCAAAAGCAGAAGTTGAATTACTCTGTTATCGCTGGAGAAAGTTCCCGGGTGAAATTGGTGACATTGATCGAAGAGGGGCTCGTCCGAGTTGGCGATGTTTGGAAGTATTCACGCAGTTTCGGCAAAGGGGGTTCCAGAATTTTAGTCGAAAAGGAGGCCAAGGTGTGTACACTCGATTTCGATCATTTTCAAAACATTTTGTCTAATATTTTGACAGATTATGGAGATCAATGGGGCAACCCTCTCGTTTGTTATCCCTCCCGGCCAGCGCGTCTTCGTTCCGCAAACACAAAGCCCGGTGACCCATGAATCACCTCGATCTAACAGTAGTACAGACCACGAAGTACACGCTGAAAATGAAGCGAGTGTCGTCATTGCTACAGACAAAGAGATGTCCACGCCTCCTGGCGGGAAAAGGAAAAACAGAAATTCCATGAGATCCAGGCCTGAAGCCCCAAAGAGATCACGAAGGAATAAACAGGATCAGAACTGTACAGAGAGCCAATTCCAAGCCAAGGAAGATGAGGAAGTCCTCCCCATTTCAGAGTCTGAAAAGGAAGAAACACCTGCGACGATGCAGAACAGCAACCAAGAAGCCGAGTCCGGTGCCATAGAAGCCTCCTCCAACCCATCTGATAAAGAGCCTGAACAGCGTGGGCAGCAGGTGAAAGATGAGCTATCTTCAAGTTCGAACGTCTCGGTGATACAAGTGCCAAATATCACTGGGCCTCAGGCCCTTGTGACCCGGATCCTGAAAACTGACGGCCGCATCACTCATCCTCCAAACGGGAATGCTTGGAAAGAAATTCGTTGCTACAGGAATAATCAGGATATGGGCAGTCTTTGGGAAATAAGAGAAACTTGGTTCGTAAAGCAGAACTAGGCCGACTGAAAATGGCCATACGGCAGGGATATTGTGCCCGAATCAGCCGAGAGCATATATGTACAGCCCTCGACTCTTTTTCAAATACCGAAATTGCTGCCATTCGATACTTTGGTCATGAAAACGCATGTTAAGCATTTTCATCGGCGGTAATATCAACGGCGTAGCTCGTCTGCACAAAGTCTTCCAGTTCCTTACTTACAGTCTTGAGTTTTTCCTTGACACTTGCGGCCCCTTCATGCCCTACTATATGGCGTGATGGTGGATTCTCATGACCGCCAATAGAGGTGATGGCATGTACTGTTTCCGCAACCAGGACTTCCAGATGCGTGGAACTCAGAGGAGGATACATGGACACAACCTCAGGTGCCGAAAATGGCCCGACTTCGGAAGGATTTACTTGTTCACCTCCGCTTTCGTCATCTGAATCGTGCCCATCATTGTCACTAGGGCTAGGGGCTGTATCCAGCAGACGAGACACCAAGCGATTGAGTATTCCGCGGAAAAGGGGCGCAGGGTTGACTGCTGGAGAGTATGCTGGTGTTATGGGAGGCACACTAGTAACTAGATTCGTGAGAATGCCAATCTCGATGCTCGCTTGAAGGATAGTGAGCTTGACGTTAAACGGAGCTATTTCATAAGCCAGACTCTGCAATACCCCGGAGGTAACAAATTAGTACCTACCATTTTGCTCTGTAGTTTCTGCGTTCGAGTGTACTTACATCGCAAAATCCCTCCAAGGCCCAGCCCGCTGCACAGTACATCCCTAGTCCAGGTGTACCGAGATGCGAAGCTGCTCGGGGTTAGAGACTTGATCGGGAAGTTATAGGATGTAAGAACCAACCGATCCCAGACAGAACCATGACATGGCCAGATTTTTGCTTCCGCATGTGTGGTAATGTGGCCTTAATAATATTGACAGGCCCAAAGAAGTTGGTTTCAAATTGGTTGCGTACCAGGTTCAATGCCTGCTGCGAAGCCGCAAGCTCCTCTACCGTTCCGATAATGGCTGCAAGTCCAAGAAAAAAAAAAAAAAAAAAAAAAGATGTAAGGCCCGAAACAAGTGCAAGAGTTAAACCGAAAGTGTTTCATAGAGCTCATACCTTGGCTTGTGCAGCAAAAGAGAATATCTACCTTGCCAAATGTCGAGACAGCTTCCGCAACAGCTGCTTGACATTCGCTTATTACCCTATATATGTCAAAGACAACTATCAGCTACCCCAAACCCGCCTAGGAGCCACATGAATGCATTGAAAAAAAGACCACAATCCGCACCGGATATCCAACGGCACAGCTTTCAACCGTCGGTCCCATCCTTCTTCGCTATGCCGATCAACCTCGGCCAGAAAAGCGTCGAAGCTATGACTGGGATATATATCGGACTCGGAACCCGAATACGCCAGACCTAGCAAAGCATAGTCTCCATGTGCGAGAATCTGCCGTGCGACAGATATCCCAATGGATGAGTCCCCCGCGGTGATAAGCCATACTCGCGGTTCACCATGGGTCGGGAACGGGGAGCGGAAGCAGTTGGACGATGGGCGATTATCTGTCATAGGGGAAGCTTCGATGAAATTCCATAGGAGATACCCATAGCGTGGCCCTTGTCTGTCGATGGAACTGCAGTAGTGGTGACAATGGAAGAAACAAAACCGTTGCGGGGTTGAATTGACGTTGACGGACAAAGTTAACTGACGCCATTCCGCTTCTGGAACCAAAAAGAGGCGAACTGGCTTTATCTGGGTTCGCTGCCCGTTTTTCTTTTCTCTCTCCTGCGCTCTTCCACCGTCAGTCCCCTCACGCAGGAATTCAAGATGCCAGAGCAGAGACAGCGCAGAGATGAACCGGAGGAAGGCGTACGTGTACAATCCTGACCATGTATAGCCCCAGTTCTTGGATTGGCTAATGTTTCGATCCTTCTAGTTCGGCCTGAAGACAGTTCTGAACGGTGTCGGTATCTTCCTGTTGACGCAGTTTGTCATAAACCAGTTCTTTGCTCCGAAACAGCCAGATGCGGCTTCTCAAGTGCAGACTGCTGGTGTCCCTGCCTTCACTGCTCGTCCGGATCGCAGCGAGATCACGACTTACCATGCCGTTCCCGACCTCATTGCTCCTATATGGCCCGCCGACAGTGCCTTGGATATCAATATCTACGTCTCGTCTTCTGCTGTAACGCCCAACTTCCGCAAGCTTCCGAGTGAGGCTCTTGTGCTCCAGGAGAAGAACTTTACCCTTGGAAATTTCAGCGATACCCGAGAGATCGAGACTACGATTACCCTCCCCAAGGAAGTTCAGAATAACGGCACGCTATGGGCGCATTTTCTTGTCGGACTTGCCGGACATCAGCTGGACCCTTCTGCTAAGGATTACAGTACCGACTACGCTGTCCACATTTTCCGCCCTTTGAACCAATATCTGCCGAAGAAAAAGGCCAAGAAGCTCAAGAATCTCTTGTCTTCTTCCGATGAGCCCGACAATGAGGAGGACGACACTCCTGCGGTTCAGATGGTGTCCTATTACCACCCGAACTTTACTGTCTCCTTGGTTCCTGACTCCGGTCCTCTGAGATATCGTCAATTGCAGCACCCAATTCGGCAGCATATACAGCTGGAGGCGACTGGTGCGAGAGATAGTACTGGCCAGAATGGATGGTACTATCCGATCGTTTTCCTAAACACCTTCTGGCAATTGAGAAGTCACATGACAGAATTGAACTCGACCGTCAAAACAGTGCCATTGCGCATCACACTGAATAACCAGAAAAATTGGAAATTCAGCATCCTGGCTAGCTATGACGAAAATACAAGGCAGGCTTCACGTCAGGCTGCCTTTGGTGGTCAAACGCCAGGTGGCGGGGATGGAAGCGAATTCGAGATGTTCAAGGAAATTCTGTTGGACACAAACATCTGGCTGTTGGGCACTACAGGCGTAGTCACTATTCTACACATGGTATTCGAGACGCTTGCGTTCAAGAATGACATTGTAAGCAAAATACCCAGGCATTATATTCGCTCTCCTGGTCCAATTACTGACATATTTTCTTTGAAGTCCCACTGGCGTAAGAAGAAAGATGTCGTCGGAACCTCTGTCCGGACAATTCTGGCCAATGTCTTCATGCAAACCGTCATTTTCCTGTACCTGGTTGACAATAGTGAAAAGACTTCTTGGATGATTCTTGGAAGTCAGGGCTTTGGTATTCTTCTTGAAGCATGGAAGATAACCAAGACCGTTGACGTACGACTACGACCACCACAACCAGGATCAATCTTCTCTTTCCTCCCTTATGTGGTCGTCTTTGAAGACAAGCACAAGCTCACGGAGACGGAACAAAAGACCAAAGAGTACGACGAAATCGCATTCCGCTATCTATACATTGCCGCCATCCCTCTCCTGGGAGCGTACGCCGTCTACAGCCTGGTCTACAACGAACACAAGTCGTGGTATTCCTACATCATTGAGACTCTAGTTGGCAGTGTCTATGCATACGGCTTCCTGATGATGGTTCCTAGCTTGTATATCAACTACCGCCTTCAGGTTTGTGTCCTGCATTCCTTGAATTCTAATCTCACATTTGCTAACAGAGCGTCACCCCCTAGTCTGTTGCCCATATGCCTGGAAAAGCGCTGATGTACAAGTTCCTTAACACTTTCATTGATGACCTTTTCGCCTTCACTGTTAAGATGCCATGGCTTCACAGGCTTTCAACCTTTAGGGACGACGTCATCTTCTTCATCTGGCTCTACCAGAGCTGGAAGTACAGGGTTGACTACAAGCGTGTGAACGAGTTTGGACAGGGAGGCGAGAGTGATGAGGAAGAGGAAGAGAAAAAGGAGGAGACCGCTCCGAGCAACGACGCGAAGAAGCAAAAGGAGTCTGTCCAGACATCTGCCAAGGAGAACTCCGCCTCAGCTCGTAGGAGGAAGTGAAATTGCCACGGTCGTGGCATTTTTTTAGTATGCGCAGACTCAATAATGCCTGCTAATAGAGCCCTTTCTGTCATCCCAGTATTTCAGTTTGGCTCCGTCTATATAGCACTATATATGGACTTTAGCGTTAGCATGGTAGAAGAATACGGTTATAATTAGTAGATCTGTCACTTTGTATGCAGTTTAATTCACGGATATCTTCTCACTGAAATTCCAGAGAGACCTAGTTAGGCCATGTGTACTGGTTAAATGTAAACGAGCTTAACCAATGCCGGTGCCATTTGATATGGGCGTCAAATTTATGGCACGGCGCGCGTTCCCGACGAAGTTGGAACAAGACTTTTGTCTGCGGATTTGTACCTGGAAGCATCAATATCCACTATCAGGGTAGAAGCGCGATTTACTATATTCCTTTTTTTTATTTTAATTATTCATTTTAAATCTAATTCCCCGTGCGATCCCTCTTCAAATTCTTCCGTTGCGTTGTTTTTGAGAACACGACACGCCTTGATAGGACCGCCATTGGCATGGGTTCGCACCTCTGCTAAATAGATACAACAATAATAAGCGAATTCTACTCGACATGAAAGAATAAGACCAAAGGTGTCTTGATCAATGTCGTCCAATATGGATACAGGTTTGAGGCAACCAGGAATCCCGACGCCGACTAGGTAGACCGATTTGCTAACAAACCGGGTGCGCAGATGCGGAGTGGCAGCCAAAGGATCTGTTGGATGCTGTCGAACATCTGGAAGCAGGTACGGAATGATGATCTATCTTTCTTTGCCGGGGAAATGTTCTTTAAAAGATTCTAACGAGGACTCTGTCAGTGGCCTTTGTGCCCCCGAAGCAAAGGTACACGGATGCTGGCAAGCTAGCCAAAACAATCGCCTCGTACGCGTATGAGGATGGAATTCCCCCAGCAGCTCTGAATAGCCTGATCAACATCCTCACCAAAAATAATGCGCTGGATCAGAGCGCAATTACGACTCTGGCCAAGAATCTATATCCCTTGGGCAAGGTACCGTCAAAACTCGTTACGCGAGTGGTTTCTTGTCTTGGCCCAAGCAAAAATAAACCGTCAACCGCAACTCAGGCTCTGCTCTTAAGATGGCTGATTCTTGTGTACGACTATCTCGAGGATCGGAACCACCTGTTCAAACTTTACGCGGCCCTTTTTAACTTCCTGGACATGATCAGCCTGCGTAAGTCCTTGTGTCATTTACTCTCGATAATCACGAGGCGAAAACATGTAAAGCCCTTTCGGGTTCAGGCGGTTATGGAATTACTTCGGAACTCGGGTGGTGATGAGAAAGAGCTCCTGGGTCTGCTGAGGGTGTTCAAGAACTACTACCCCGACATTATCGTGGGAGATCTGGGAGGATTGAGAAGAACAGGCGGGTTTTTCTTCAAACACCCTGACCCGGAATGGCCAGACCATATGAAACGTCTCCAGGACAAAAATGCGCAAAGGTCGGCCGAAAGTCAACCTTCAAGTTTCCAAGTCGTTCGTCGTGGTGGGTTTAAAAGGAGCAAGATTGAGGTTGTCATTCCGAGCATGCAGACTTCGCGAGTGTCGCGCAACCACACATCCTTGGAAGAGTTACGGGGCATTAGCCATTTTGTTGAGAAACTCGATAAGATTGAATTGCCTAATCAAATCATCTCAGCACTTGGTGATGGTCTGGGTCAGAAGTACCTATCACTGGTCCAGTCTGAGCTTGCAAATCAACGACTGGAAGATTGGCTGGAAGGCTTTCTTAACGACAAGTTGGAGAGCATCCGCGACGATACCGATGACGATCCAGAAACTCTGACTTACGTGTTAACGTTGGCTGTGGATTATGCTCGACTTCTAAAGGTTCGTGTTATATTTTTAATTCTCCACCTGGTTCGTCTGGGTTTAGTATCTTATGCAACGTGACAGGAAACACCCGCTGCCCTTCTGTCATTCTTGAAGCTTTACCTTCCGTTATGGAATGGTAAAGACAACAGAGATCAAGTCTTTGGCCTGCTCGAATATCTTCCTATTGAACCGTACGAATCCGTACGAAACGACTATTTTGCGCCTCTGGAAGCTGCAGTATTAGATGATATGCTGCATTCTAGAGCCACGCTGCTCGACTTTTATACTTCTTTGATTCGCCAATGGGGAGTTAAACTTCGAACATGGCCTTCTTCGTTCACCTCAGAGGAACCAAAACCTTTAACACATCTGATCTCCTACGCGGAGCTTTTGGCTTTGTCGACTTTGGAAAGCCCTCCGATAGTCAACGACAGCGAAGATGCAGAAAAGACCAGGCCAGCGGTACTATCTGTTATTGAATTCTACAGTGTACTTGCCGAGCTTTTCTCTCATGCTTCTGTAAACGAGAGCATTCGTCTCACAATTCCCTTGGCTCCGACAGTCTACTCTGTCGCTTTCACGCCAATCAGCTCTCTTCTTTCCATTCTTTCCTCTGTCCTTTCTGTCTACAAGTTATCATTTGAGGAATCCTTGACTTCAGAAGTCCTCCAAGAGCGACTCTACCCGACAGAGCTGGTCGGCCAGTTTAATGGTTATGTCATGGATATCTGCAACTTGGTCTGGCGTAACAGGGCCCTGAATACGGAAGACGCAGATGCACGGGGCTGTTTGATCCCGGAGATGACTGTAACTGCCCTAACACAATACGTCCGCGACGTCAACGAGACCGCTCGAGAACGCAAACGCGAATTCCCATTCCATTATAAACTTCCTTTGTTATTTTCTGTTAGCCACCATGTGGCCCTGTGCAATTTCTCAGCGGCTTCGTTCGCAGATTTCGAGGATGAAAACGACGCTAATGAGTCCCGGCCTCGACTGAGGAAACCCGTCACACAAAAAGCGTTGAATTCGTTGGAGAAAGAAGGCGGCGTAAAAATAACTTGGCAAGATTATCGAGTGCGGATGCTTGACTGGCTTGATGGGATAGGGAGCCATGGGATTCCGAGCTTGATGAGGAGCACCATGAAAGCTTTACGGAAGGAATGAAGGTTTGGACAGAAATATGTACAATTGAGTTATTTTGTCGACTCTATGGATCAAGCTTCTTTCTTTAATGGTGTATATATGTGCGTCCGTTTTCATTAACATAATAATGTACGTAGCCTGCTGCGCAGGGAGAATGCAATCTATATTATATCGTATATCGTCATGGCCAACTGCGAAATTCGACAACTCCGTCCAATCTTCTTCGGCTACGTCAATGGCTCTGGCTCGAATTCGTATCTGTTTTTATAACTTCTGGGTAGTGTTGACATAGATATCTTGCACACTGGAATCCTCACGTATAGCGTTAAGAGCTTGCTCGAGCTTTTTAGCTAGCTCTTCATCCTCCACATTAACCATCGTATCCGGATTTGGATCCCAGAGGATTTCTCGCTCCTCGACATTGAGGCCGATTAGTTTGGAGAGTTCGTCTCCAACGCCCTTTGTTTGCGTAGGTTCAGTAAACACAACCAGACGACCATCGTCGTCTGCAGTCATATCTGTCCCACCAGCCTCGATGACCTGGTCTAGATAGTCATCAGGGTCGACATCATCTTTCTTTTCAAAAATGATCCTTCCTTTTTTCTGAAAGAGGTAGGTGGTAGGTGTTATCGTCCCGCCGGCGGCCTTGATAATACCACGAATGTCCTGAAGCACGCGAGCCTTCTGATCGGTTTGGCATTCTATGACAGTCGCAACGGACGGCGGGAAGATAGCCTCAATGGTCAACGGTTCGAGTGACTCTCCAGTAATGCTTATTCCTTGGCCGCGGGCAATTGCTGTCTCGATCACCGACTTGGGCATTCCGGCTCGTTTTGCGTTGGCAAGTGCGAGAGTCAAACGGGGATTGAACTTCGGATCGGGGCCCATCACTGAGAACGAAGGAGCTCGGTTAGTGTTTCGAAAGCGATCATGTACTGTGATTTACTTCTTTTGGAACATACTCTGGGTAGCAGTTCGGATCTCCTTGCTTATGTTCTGACGCTCTTTGCTCTTCGCCTTGTCGTTCTTCGCCTTGTCATGCCTGATGGTCGACCACCTGTTGTGGCCGGAGAACAGCGCGGACGAGCTGCTGAAGCCTCGACAGGCATTGCATACGGGTTGATGTCTAGCACTGGAACGTTTAAGCAGCATTTTACTTGAGTTTGACGCAATTGAGGCCATCTTGAGTCTGCTGTAGTAGAAACTTAGAAGATCGAGATCATCGACATTACTTACTGTACTCGGACCGAGCCTTTATCCGCACCCTTAGGCAGAGGACATTTGGCGATATCAGAACTAATTCACTACTTGAAGCGGCCAACTTCTGGTCTTTTCTTTCCTTTAGATACATGATCACTGCTTTCGCTTCCCTCGAAAGACTCAATGCCTTCTCCGGAACGCACTGCGCCCTCTGCCTCGGAGAATACCGTCCCTCATGCGGAGCTAGATGTCACGAAGCTCCATGCGCTCCCGTCAGAACAGCAGGATCTCTATCTCCTTACATTCACCTCCGATCTGGTGCAGTATATACTAGGACTTGATGCGACCCAGATATCATCACAGCAAAAATCCTTAAAAAAGGAGCTCATCAAAATCATCCTTCTCCGTTCGCCGACCATCACTCGAGTACTCCGCAATAACTTGGGACGATGTTTCAGCACTATACTTGGGCGGGGTGACCGTGGGATACTTTTTGATACAACCTCAGACCTCCTGGGGATCGTGAATGCGGGAAAGCATGAAGCAGAGCTCAAGACAAAGCTCGCAGCGGCGCATTGCTTGGGGGAGGTTTTCGCTGCAGCTGGAGACAGTGTCTTTGCGCAGTCGAGCATTGTCATCTCAAGCTTGCTCAAGTTGCTGAAGAACTCTAGCAACTACACTGGTCTTCGCGGCTCAGTTTTTGCGGCTATTCGGAAGGTAATAGTCGGCATCAAGGTTCCTCTTGACGAACAATCAGCGCGCGACGTTTGGAAGCAGACCCGGAATGCAGCGACTAATGATAAGTCGATATTCGTCCAAGTGCAAGCATGCCGGTGCATCGAACACTTGATCAATACAACTCCATACTTCGACAATTCAAACGATTACGAGAATCTGAAGACCCTCGTCTGGAAACTCGTTGATAGTCCTTCTGCCCCCGTTCGACATGCTGCTGCGGCTTGCCTGGCTCGGGTATTGGTCAAACTTCATGCTACAGACATACGAGTCGACACCCCGAAACCCAAGAAAACGAAGAAGACGTCAAAGAAAACGGCGTCTCGAGCAGGGGCCGAAGATGAGGCAGAGCTATCGGAGGCTTCATCCCAGAAGAAAGCAGAGCCACGTCTGTTCTTCCTTCTCCCTGACCTCCTCAGACAGCTTTCTGCGCAGTATCTGCGAAGCACTACCTCTAATCGCTCGCGGGCGGGTATTGCTGTTTGCTATAAGCATATAATGCGAAATCTTGGGGACAAACTCATCGAAGAACGTTACGGTCAGATCGCAAATCATCTCTTATTCGATCTTCTGAACTACCCGACTGTAACATATAATCGCTTTCGACTTCTCATGACGAGAAAGTTTATAAAGAGTATTATGGAAGATACAATCGGCCGCGAATTGCTCCACGAGAACAGTCAGCTCAACGCTGCCAAGTGGTTGATTAATAACGTTCTCAAAGATTACCCTAAAGTCCTTCAGGAGCGTCGTGAACCCAGCAAATATACCTTGACGAGCGCACTTAGTGCCTTGTCTTCTCTAATCCTCTCTCTTGGTTCGTCTTTTGGCGCCCTAGCTGAGAGCTGCCGCGAAGCTTTGCTTCAAGTTTTAACTCATACCAGTTATGCTGTTCGGATACATGTGGCGCAGTGCATGCGTAACTTCGTTCTCGCTTGTCCCCATCAACTACTATCTTGCGTGACCATTTGTATGAACAGTTTAAACAGGGAAATTAGCCAGCTCTCCACGCCACGACATTCAGCTCGACGTTGCGTCGGCTACGCAAATGGGCTGTCGGCAATGTTGAGCACTTCTCGCTTGCAACCGCTCTACGGCTCCGTCGATGTCTTCTCACGCGTGTTCTCACAGGCAACTGATCTCTTGAAGACGAGCGGTAGCTCCGAGCTGCGTGCTGCCAGCACCCAGGTGCAGGTTGCTTGGATCCTGATAGGAGGATTGATGCCTCTTGGCCCCAGTTTTGTCAAGATTCATCTGTCTCAACTAATGCTGCTGTGGAAGAATGCTCTCTCCAAGCATCTAGGTAAAGAGAGTCTAGCTCAACGCGGAAACTTAGAAGTAAGCTTCCTTGCACATGTCCGAGAATGCGCATTGAGTTCTCTTCTTGTGTTCTTGGAATACAACAAGAAATTGATAACAGCAGACGGGGCAAGGCGAATTGCAGCGATGCTGCAGAATACTATCGCTTTCCTCGATGATGTTCCACGGCAGAAGTCTGTTGATGATATTTCACAACGGCTTGTCCCATCGTTGCAGCTTAGCGATTACGTTACTATGGTCCGACGACGCGTTTTGCAGTGCTTTTCGAAACTAGTGCACGTCCATCATCCCAGCCATGGAGATGTCATCTCCCAGTCTAGCCTGCTTGGCCTTGCAATTTCGTCATTTGCGGATCCGGATATCACTCAGCCGAGCGCTTTGGAAAGCTCGATTGCAACTTCCACCGGACAATTTGAAACCCTGTGGGACTTGTGCGATAACTTTGGTTTCGGAGTGACAGGCCTTGTTCGAGAATATATAGGCGAGACTTTGTCTGGAAAATATGATCATGATAGTCGCGCGTCTTGGTCGGCGGTGGACGTGGCCGGTGAAGGCATTGACGATGCTGTGAGTACTCTGAAAGTCTTTGTCAATCTCTGCTTGCTAGCTGTCTCACACCTTTGCAGTTGACCTTCCCTATTTGCCAAGCTATTGAAAACGACTCTGTCCTTCTGTATTATGCTAGGGAAGGAGACGCAATGGCCGCTGACCCGCCAACTACTGGCGTTGTCAATGCCGCTATAGAATTGTTTTCTGTTGCTATTCCACTACATGCTCCGAAGGTTCAAGAGAGTACTGTGGAGCAGATTGCAACGTTCCTCTCCTCCCAGAGTCTTCAACGGAATCCCGGACGGAAAGCTGCAATGACTGTCAACATTGCTGTGGCGCTTCTCCACGCTCTAAGAGTGGCAGTCAAAGAAACAGAGTTTGCTGCAGGAAGCCTGAGCAACTCTACTGACAAAATCCTTCAGGAGCTTTTGCAGGTGAGCAGAATCAAGTCCTATGCCCTTTTACTAGAACCGTAACTAACCGTCCCAGAAATTTATTATCGACGCTGACCCGATCGTCCGTACGATCGGCGTGGAAGCATTTGGTCGCCTTTGTGATAACTCCGGCAACGCCTTTACGAATACGCAAATCAACTGGCTTGTAGACACGATTGTTAACAATCGGGAGCCGAACGCCCGTGCTGGTTGTGCGACAGCTTTGGGGTGTATTCACTCTCAGGTTGGTGGTATGGCAGCCGGTCTGCACCTCAAGACGATTGTAGGAGTGTTAATGTCGCTATGCAACGATCCTCATCCTGTTGTACACTTTTGGGCCCTTGGCGGCCTTGAAAAGGTTGCCAATTCTGCAGGACTGACGTTCTCACCTTTCGTCTCAAGCTCGCTAGGGATGCTCGCCCAACTCTATAATGCCGATACCCATAATGAAGAATCCCCCTCGTTGGCTACCTCCAACATTGAGATGTCCTTCCTCACACCAGTTGTGATAAGCCGCTGCATTGATTCCCTCATCAATGTTCTAGGCCCCGACTTGCAGGACATCACCAAAACACGCAATCTTATTTTGACTCTAATCCGGCAATTCCAGCTGGAGGACAACCTTGCCCTGGTGACCGAAAGTTCCAAATGCCTTGACCACTTGTCTCTTTATGCTCCCAATTACGTGGACTTCCCTGGTCATGTTAAACGTCTGCAGAAAGAACTCTCTGCTGACAGTCAATTGGTACGAGATGTTGCAATTCGCGGATTGAACAACATTATGAAACGAGATGCTTCAACCGTTATCCGGACTGCAGCTCCCAGTATCGAGGATGAAATATGGCTGGCCTTTGACGATACGCCGGACAATTTGTCTCTTAAAAGCATGATCGAAGACTGGTTGCAACAAACAGCGCTGACGGAAGCGGAATTATGGGTACAGCGCTGTCAAAGCATCCTGACCAAGACACGTACGAAAACGGAGGACATTGTGACGACTACTGTCAAGACTGCAGCACCTGAGCTGCCAGATGATGAGGTTGCTGGATTTGCATCCGCTGTTGCTGGAGAAGGCCAGGCGGATTCCGGGGACGAGACGGCTTCCAGCCAAGAGTTTCTGAAATGGCAAAGTCGCAACTTTGCGATGAACTGTTTGAGCCAGCTACTAGCGATAGTGCAAGAAGCAATACTGCCGGACCAAACGATCCCTGCCGAATTAGCTCTTCAACAAAAGGTTGGAGACATTGTTAGGATGGCATTCTCCGCATCTACTGCCAACGTCATCGAGCTGCGTGTGTCTGGCTTAAAGATCCTTGATCAGATTCTCAAGGTACGTTGGCTCTTTTCCTTTTTCTTTTGCTTTCTCGTTGCTAATGAAGGCCCGCTCCAGATGTTTGGGAAGACCCCAGATCCGGACTTCTCAGAAGCTTCTCTCCTTGAGCAATATCAAGCGCAGATTGGATCAGCTCTGACCCCGGCATTTGCGGCAGATTCGTCACCGGAACTTGCAACAGAGGCAATCAATGTGTCTGCCACCTTCATTGCAGCGGGTATAGTTACGAATGTAGATCGAATGGGGAGGATACTCAAGCTACTGGTTCTTGGTCTCGAGAATTTTGCCAGTAAGTTCTGCTTGTTCAATGTTCAACATATCTCTGCTAACAACTTTTCTCAGAAAACCCAGAGACGACTGAAATCGGAGACTTGAAAGGACTCAACTCCAATGCCAGGGTTATGGTCAAAATGGCTCTATTTTCGGCGTGGGCCCGCCTGCAGGTCGCCAGCGCAGAACAGGAATACCTAACAAATGTAGTTCAACCGTATCTTGCAAAACTTACTCCACTGTGGCTCTCCTCCCTGCAGGAGTTTGCGCGTCTGCGGTTCGAGCCAGACATTTCGGGCAGTCTGGGAACAAGCTCGCAGAGTTCTAACCTGGATGAAGTTTACGCGGCGCTGAATCGGGAAACTCTTTTGAAGGTGAGCGCTAGATAGTTGACTTTTTGGTGGTGACTCATCGGCTGACTGTGCCACTCAGTTCTACCAAGATTCATGGTTAAACCTCGTCGATGCCATTTCCGGGCTGGTGGAAAAAGATATCGAGTTCGTCTTCGATGCACTTGACGGCAAGTTGAACCAGACAGAGATGCAAGAGAAGAATGGGGATGGTGTCGACGGAGAGGTGGAAGGAAAAGGAGCTGACATCAACTATCGCGATGAACCTGTCGCGTTCTTCTTCATCCTTTTTGGATTGTCCTTCGAAGCCCTTGTTGACCAATCCACGCAGTCACACCAGAAACTGGAAATTCTTCAAGCTCTCAAGAGGATACTGCGGCCAGGGATAGCCGGGAATGCGATATATCAGGATGTCATTTTCTCAGAGACTATGGACAGTCTGGATCGGCTTGTCCTGACCGAGGGCATTCCTATACAGACAGTTATTGTTGGGATCGCAAGGAACCTCTCGCTGGATCATCCCTCGGCAAAGGGCGACCAAGAACGTGGCGACCATCTGTCTGACGATATCGAGCAGCTTTTCGAATTAACAAGAAGCATCATTCTCGTTCTCGCGGGTTTATTGCCTAATTTGCGCGACTCTATGCCCCATGCACGATTCAACGTATCGTCCGATGACTCCTTATCACTTATTCGCCTAGCACTTTCGTCACTTGTTGATGTCTCCTCGATCTTCCCGTCTATCATCCGCAACGATCTTCATGCGTGCATACTACACATCTTCAACACCATCCTTGCCACCGGAGTTTGTCAAGCCGAAGTGGTCCCTCGTGCCCTCCCCATATTTAGGCAATTCGTCAATGGCATAGCTCACCCCGAGGGCACCACGCCGGAAACATTGGAGAATCTCCACATTGTTTCTCACCAGCTACGCGGTTGTCTCAGTCGCTTTCTTACAACACTCACTATCGCACAGCGACGAGAATCTAGCACATCTCTTCCCTGCGCTAAGAATACACTGCTAGCAATTACAATCCTATTGACCACAGGAAGTCACCTTATCCCACCGCAGGACCCCGTAATCCCTCGGATCCTCGACGAATTCCTCGACTGTTTCCAGGACGTCGGCCTTGCTAACGTTGCGACGGGGTGTCTCCGTTCAATCCTCCTAGCACCCAACCAACGTTCTCCCACGGGCCAGGTAATCGCCGGATACCTATTCCCCAGACTCGTTGGGTTCCTCGTCGGTTGCGCCGACGTAAGTGGACAAACACCAAGCGACCCCGAAAACTCGCGTGCTGGAATCACCCGCACTCTGGTGTCCTACGTCAACACCAATGCGACATCTTCGGCTATGTCCACCGTCATGTCGGCACTTATCACACGCGCGAAACGCGAGGGACCACCGATTTACCAGGAGACGGCTAGCAATCTGCTCGAACTGGCGAAAGCAGATCAAATGGTATTTCGGGCTTTAGTGGCCAGTGCAAACCCGGCGCAGAAAGCGCTGCTTGAGGAGATCTTCCGGAGCGTGGATGTTACTGCGATGGCTAGGGCGGGTAAAGGGCAAGAGAATATGGAGGATGCAGGACAAAGGAGTGCGCCGAGTATTGCGTTGCGGATGGATTTCTAGGGAATGGCATCTTTGATGATATTTTGATTGAGATACACTTGTGTATAGCAACCTTATTGCTATGATCTGTCTATATCTATCCATTAATCTGTAAGTTGATGAACAAATGAAATGAACAAATGGTATGAGAACTTCAATTACCTAGATGTTAAATACTGGATGCTAAACCGGACTCAATAGGCTGTATCTATTGCCATGTTTCTATGGAGAATATAGTGGGTGTGTATGTATAGCAAGGCCAGAGCCTGGATGATGACAATGACAAAGGAAATTAAAGTGGGTATAAGTATATATAAATCTTTCCCTTCTATACATGAAAAAAAGGAGAAAAAGAATGGCCAAGCTCAACCCAACGACTCACTCAAATCAGACAGCGACATTTCATTAACGGTTTTCGTTGCTCGTGCTTCGGCAGATTCCTTTGCGAGTGCTTCTTCTTTCGCCTTCTGGGCTGCAACCTGTGACCTGCGGATGGAGTAATATTTGAGGAAGAGGATGATCATGACTGCAGACCGGATGTTGATTAGCACAAGACAAGGACGAGACTCCTTGCATTAGAAATTCCCTTTATATGAAAGGGAAATCCCGCAAGAGAATTTAATAAGAATGATGAAAGCTCACAGGCACTTGTTGCGATAGCCATAGCAGCCCGCCTTGTCAGGATCCAACGTAAGCCCTCGATAGCGCTCTTCCCATCACTGTTCAGAGAGACAGTGATCTTATAATTCAATTCTTGTATTGAAGTATTGATGCTCCTCTGCAGCTCTCTCGTGGTCATCTTGTGGTCGTTAAACATGCCCTTGATATCGTCCTTCAAGCCTGCGAGCTCTTGGTTTAGCCGTTGGGAAATAATGTCTTCCTCGTGCTGTAGCTGGGTTCGAGAGGAACGCTGGCGTTGAATTTCTGCATTCCGGGCTGTCTGCAGCGACGACTGGAGTTCGGAACAGGCGGCTTTGAACAGATACGACTCGTTCTCGACGTCGGATTTCGAGACAAGGCTTTCCCGGGCGACTGTAAGGTTATTGCGGAGGATGTGGCGGATTGCTTTCATGATTGTGACGGACTGCTCGTTTGTGAATCCACCTCTGGAGAGATCTTGTACTAAAGAATAGGTATCGAAATGGTGGACATAGCGACCCGGCGTTAAGTGGATCGGTTTGTTGCTAGGATCAGTGGACGATGTCACGGACGGTGTCAAGGATGACGAAGGCGAAGGCATATGGAGCACTTCTTCCAACGGATTATCGCTACTGGAAGCTTCCGATGTCTGTTTCCCCTCGTCACGAGCTGCTCCCTCCACTGGCGTGAAGTCCACCAAGCCATCATCCTCCATTTCAGGGTTGAGATTCTCGCTCTGCGATTCTGGACCGGCTGATGCCGATGTCGACACTTGTCTCTCAGAAGTGGCAGGAGGGTTTTCAGGATTCACAGATGATTTCGAATAAACTGACGGCTGCTGTCTTTCAGTATATTCGTCCTTTCGCTTTCCCCGCGTCGACTTCCCAGCAACACCGGGTTGCTGCTGACCAACCCCGCCTTCTTTCGGCTTCGACGGTGGAGGCAGCGTAGGCTCAGCTGCGGGCCCATAGCGCCTGTGGTATGTCTCCTGCCTATGCGACCAACTGGTATGAAATTCCGCCTTCAAAGGAGCTCCCCGTGGGCAACGATGACGAGAAGCCGAAAGCCGAATTGAACGGTAGGTTGTTGGTTCGCACGACCGCACAGCGCGGGTCAAATTCGGATAAAGGAACGGAAGCCTTGGAGTGGCCATTGCGAAGATGAGAAGAAAAGAAATGGGGAATGCTTGAAGGAGAGGAAGGGAGAAAGCATGCTGGTGGTTGAAGATGAATGAATCACCGGCAAGTGGATTTGGTTTTCCGCGGCGAAGCTGAAACGTGACGCGCATACGTCAGTCCTCGGGTCTCTTATAATAATAGAACATTACTACCTAGGTACATTCTGCACAAGATATAGTGATGGTATTAATTAACGACCGGATAATATACAGATTCAGTGAGCAGCCAAAAGACCAAACAGCAGCTCTGTCCGCTTCCAGTATTCCTCAGCTGTTCTCTTTACAGACTTCTGGGTTTTCGGGTCATGGTGGTCTTCTAGCGTCTCGATTACAGAAGCAAATTCTGAGTTCTCAGTGCTGCTTGTTGCCAAGGCGGATGCCAAATACACCGTATCGAAAAGCAGCTGAATCTTCTGGTCATGAAGAAGGTCTGCTTCAGATGTACCCTCGGGTTTGGGGTTCTCAGCACTGCCACCGTTATCCGTAGACTGCCCGTTGATATTGGATTCCGATTTGGAAGTCTCATCATCCACCGTATGAGGCAAAGATTCCAAACCCTCGAAAGCAGACAGCATGGCCGTTGACAACTCTCTACTTGCAGCCATCTTGAGAACCTTAACAGTGGAAGGATCCCAGAGATCTGAGCCGCATTGTGTCATGGATGTCATCAGACGTCGCAGAAATTTGAAAGTAGATGGCAGTGGCTGAATTGGTAACGCCGGATCCCCTTCCCAGAGTGTTCGGCCTGGGACCTGCCTGCGACGCGAGTGTAGTTCAGATGATATATTCAATGGACCCGCACAGGTGGTCACTTGTGCCACGATTGTTCTTTGCAATTCGGGAACGATGTCACTTGAGAATGCAAAGTCACTCGATATGAACTGTACGGGTAAATCACCCCGGATTTGTCGGATAAGTCGCAGCAAGAAACCGGCCTTGTCACTTTGATTCGAAGCACCAAAACGTGAGACCGCATCACTGAGCGAGGACTGAAGGCCGTCGAGAGCTTGTTTAACAGCTAACCCGAGAGTATCAACTAGTATTTGAGGATCGTCTTCGTTCAAAATGGAGGTAACATCCACAGCAGTATCTTCGTCCTCCCCGTCGTCTAGGATATCAACCCATCTCACCCGCCGCAAATCCTCGATCAGCTTCCTAGAATGTTCTATTGAGCCAAGCCAGGCTTCGTAGTCTTTCACCTGGGCGGAAATTCCTTCATCCCAACCAAGATACCTGTCCATAACCGCCTGCTTAAAGTGTGTGGCCCCGTTAGAATAGTCAAGAGAGATCAAATCATGATCCCAAAGCAACTGCTCTGTGTGCTCGGAGTCTTCCCAGTTTTCGGTCACGAACAGAACATCTCGGCCCAAGTCCTCCAATTTCTTGGCTTGTGCGTGTAGGACTCTTGTAAGCTGTCTATTGAAGAGGCTTCGGATGTCTTCTAAGACACTGGTAGGCGAATGGGTAGGGATTGAGCTTCTTGAGGACAGCCACATTTCCAACAGCTGCCGACGAAGAGAGAGGAGCTCGGAGAATCCATCCCACCCTGCCAGATTCTTCTGAGAGCCCTCGACAAAAGCCCGAAAGGCGTTGCTAGACCATTGCTTTATCGTCTTCTCCGCCTCCGGTTTAGCCCACTCGCTGAGTTTGATCCAAGGCGTAAAGTTTTTCACATCTCTGGAAACGAAACGCCCAAGAACACCAAGGTCCAGATCATCAAGGTTCCTGATTTCGGGGTCCGTCAGAATTGGCCTCGCTTTCAGCTTCGCAAGAGCGTCTGATAAGCGCCGTGAGAGCAAAGTCTTAGAAGTCCGCAGAGTTTCTATATACAGTCTGAGAGCCTTCAGAATGCTCTGCCCGGACAAATCGGTCGAGTCAAGTAGTTTCCCGATAACCTCCACGCGAATCTGATGGAAATGACGAACAGCATCGTCAGAGGAGCTGGTCCCCAGGCAATAAGCAGCAAGAGCTTCGAGTAGATCATCAATGGTGGAATCCGCGGATGCAAGGCGTCTATAAATACGTCTCCGGAGGCTTTCTCGGAAACGATCCAGTTGCACACGCAAGCTCTTCAAGAACGGTGGGAGGGCATCCTGTTGCGAAAGCGTATTGTGGAGAAGTCGAGAAACAGCCATAAGTTTGGCTATTAATAAAAGCGAACCTCTTTTCCTCAGCAATTTCGAGATGGACGTTATGCAACGGTGGAGAAGGGCGAGCTGCGCAGCAAATGCACGTTTCTCTATATCTAGAGCCACGGTTAGTCTCGTGGAATGAACGGCCGAAACAAGATACACAGTCCGCAAACCTTTCCCGATAGCTTCGCCCCTTATCTGGCAGAGATGGGCATATGTCTTCTCAACGACGCTTGGATTGCATCTGCGTCCAACGTCCGTCAGATTAGATTCTACCTCTTGGATGTCGCGGTTCATGGAAACAATAGTCTCGGCAGTCCCAAGGAGCTCTCGATATCTCGTCCTAGGATAGAACTAAAAGTTAGCGAAGAATTCCAAAGAGGCCTCGAGAGAGTCCCAAGAACGGTGACATACCCAACAAGGGCACGGAGCTTCTCCTGACTGCTCGCGATGTCGCGACGCAGCTCCTGTTCCACACGCCGTACTGTGGGAATCGGGTATTGAAATGCTTCCTGCCATGATTTTAGGCTCTGTGGCTCTGGAGGTTGAGGGGCCATGGCGAGGAGCTTGAAGCCAGAATCTGGATGCAGCACTGAAGCTGGAAGAGGCCAGAATGCAGGAAAGTGACTACTGTATCGTGCACGGACCATGTGCTTTATGCGGAGAGCTTGATTTTCTCCAGCTTTTTTTTTATTTATTTTTTGACTCTTTTGACTCATCAACAGTCACTTATTTTATTTCACCCTCAGAACACCTCTTCTTGTCTTCTTGTCTCATAATCGTTGATCTCCTTCTATTCAACCATGCCCCTCATGGATCCAGAGGCATCTTCGGCCCCCGTGCCACAGAGACTCCCATTTCCGCCGGTGACTTACTCTCACATTCTACACTGCTCCTATCATTACTGGCATCCTCTGTATGAACGACTTGCTGTGTCCCTTCCTGCATTTCCTCATATTAATAAGGTCTCCCTTACAGATACCGCTCTATAACTCCCAAAGCTCGAACTATTCCACTTACAGGGCCGTTCGTTTCGTATCTCCGCGCCGATGGAATCGTCCTCCCACCTGAAGATACCCCGCCCTCCGAAGACGACGATCTGGACTCATTCTCAGGATCCGACGAAGAAGCACCAGACCCATCAACAGAGTGGAAAGAGATACACTCGCGCATTCAGGCCACAATAGCCGAGTTTGGAGGGAAGGTAACGCCGAAACTGAACTGGAGTGCGCCCAAGGATGCAGCCTTCATGTCCGCCACGAACGACTTGCAATGCCGAACTGCAAATGACATCTACCTCCTTCTGAAAAGTAGCGACTTCATCACTCACGACCTGGAGCATCCCTTCGATGGCTGCGTCTCTGATGAAGAAGCTGCCGCGGCAACAGCACCAGACACGCAGCTCGTGCGAGCCACCCCGAAACCTGACATTCCCTACCACCTGGTCCTGCGCAAGTACGTAAATTTCAATCCCTCACTAGAGTTCCGCTGTTTCGTGCGCAACCATGTCCTGCTATGTATCTGTCAGCGGGATCAGAACCATTTCGATTTCCTCTTTCCCATGCGCGATACTCTCCGGGCGAGGATTCAGGCTTTCTTCGACGAGAAGCTCAAGGATACCTTTCCCGACCCGAACTTCGTATTCGATGTCTACATCCCTCCGCCTCACAAACGAGTCTGGCTCGTGGATGTGAATCCGTGGGCTGAGAGGACGGATCCCTTGCTCTTCAGTTGGCTGGAGATCCTCAGAATGAAAGATCCCGTCGGAGTCACCGAGGAGGGTGAGACTGATGATCCTGATACCCCAGAGGAGCAATTCGTCCGCCTATCCCTAAATAGAAACAATTCATGTCCGGAAGAGCCGAGCGAAATCTCGGAGTCCGAAGGTGATAGTGGCAATAATGATGAGGAAGAGGCAGCCCCGCTATTTGCTGAGTTCCGACTTATCAAGCGTGACGACCCCGAAGCATACGCTTTCACGACATCGCAGTACTCGGCGCACAAATTGCCGCGGGAGGTTGTTGATGCGTCGATTGCGGGACCGGGTGGGATGAGAGAATTCATGGGGCAATGGCAGGATATTCTGGCTAGAAGGACACAGGAGGATCAAGAGAGTGATGATGAGTAATTGGTTTTGGTGGGGTGTGTGCTGGTTTTAACGGCCTTTGATCGAAAAACGACAAGGTTTACTCTGTTGCTTTTGACGGTTTAGAAGGTTTCTTTTTAACGAGATTGATGGCCATGAATGAATACTTGCTGAAAACAATATAATAATTATTATATCATGAACAAATATACTATCTAGCTTAGGCTAGCGTAGTATTCATTCCATACTATATACTATAAACAGCCTACAATTTATGCTTCTTCTGCCCCGTAGCAATCTTCCTAAACTCCTCCTGCGGATAACCCCTCAAGAACCGATCAAGCCCCATGTATGCCTCCAATTGATTCTGTCTATCCAGAATCTCCCTTCCAGGCCTCCGAATCAACTCCTTAATCCTCAATAAACTACTTTGATTCAAATGCGTACCCAGCCGTTCCTCCACCTCCTCCAGAACCTTCCCCAGGAAACCGGTGGAGTCATCCTGTCTCCCTGATGGCGCAGAGATGACCTTATTCACGAAACCGGTGGCGACGAGCTCATCACAGGTAATGCGCTTACTCATGATAAGCGCCTCGTTGGCCTTCGCGATGCCGAGGCGTTCGACGAAGGCGTATGACGAGCCGCCCTCTGCGACGAGGCCTAGGGAGGAGAACGGTGTGAGGATGAAGGTGTGTGGAGCGGCGTAGATGAAGTCGGCGAATGCGACGAGGGCGGCGGAGAGGCCGACGGCAGGGCCGTTGAGGGCTACGACGAGGATCTTTGGGTGCGTGTAGAAGGTGCGCGTTAGGTCTATGTTGCGAATTACGAAGCCTTGGACGACGTCGAGGCGGGGGTTGCCGGTTGAGTCTTTGTTGACTGCCGAGGATACGTCCGCTCCGCTAGTACAAAATATGTGTTAGCAATAGTAAAACCGTCCTGTTAATGTATAAATATATATAAGCCTGACTGTGTCATCCTTACGCTGAAAAGAATCGTCCCGTGCCTGCGATGATGGTTACGTAGATATCATCTCGTTGTGCAACTTCGCGGAGACGCTCCCCAATGAGGTAGTAATGGTCCAGTGTAAATGCATTGAGCTTCTTGGGTCTGTTGAGGGTGATGATAGCTATCCGATCTTTGTAGGTGAGAGTGACGACGTTTTCGGCTGCCATTGCGCGGACTTTGCGGGGATTTGATGGATCAACCCAAGGACTCTTCTCGGGAAAGATGTAGATTATGCAATTCACGAAAATGGTCCGAAATGAAAAGCTCCACTAAGAGAAGCAAGAGATACCTAAACTATTAGTACACGAAGGAGAACCAGCTCCCCCCTGGTGGAGAAAGATCCCTGCATTGATCGATTATCAACGTTTGCCGGGGAGATTGCGGAGAGCCGAGGCTGTGAAGGCGTCACGTGATGCGAGCCATTTGTTGTCAGCATTTGCATCCTTTGCACCATTTGCATGGCCGAGTGAGCAGTCACCTGACCACGGCAAGCCGCCGAGCGTTCCCCGACTCCGGCGTCCGGCCATAATAATTGCTGCAGACAAAACGCTATAAATCAATCAATCAATCAATCATTTCAATCAATTATCCTTCACCAGCAGACCAAAAGAAAAGAAAAACAATCAAACTCACCATGTCATTCATCCTCCGCAAGCTCCAAGGCGGCAACCTGGAGGTATTCAAAGTAGGTTATCTATAACCAAATGAGTTTCGAACGATTTCGAACCGCAACTATGCACGAAACTAATCATTTCTTTCTTCTAGTTCGGCGTATACATCCTTTTTCCAATTGGCTGGATGTACTACTTTGGCACAAACCTCGATGATCGATTCCATATATCCGGATTCTGGCCGTCGGAAGAACAGTCTCATAAGATCCCGCTAGACAAGGAGGAGATTGATAATGAAATTGCGCGGATGCGCAAAATGGATGCGTTACGGCGAGAGCGGAGAAAGTTGGAGATGGAAGCTCAGGCTCAGGGCCAAGTGCAGCAGGCTGCAGAATGAATGAAATCGATTCTATTCAATCAATGAATGGGTGGGAGTTCTAGGAGTATACTACGGAGTATAGTCTTACTTATTATACGGGAACCGGTTTAAGTCATTCAGCTCGGTATAGGTTGAGACCACCGAGAAAGTTGCAGCTGTCGAGTTACACGTCTTGCTGCCGTGTGTGATTTGCATGCTGATCTGTACAACACTCTACTCCTGTATATGCTCTGGTCTCGGTGTCACGGGAGTTTCTTTGATGGATATATTTCTTGTACCTATGAAAAAAAGGATACATAGGTGGCTAATGGGAATTATTTCCTATACCGTGCCGATGATGGTGGCCAGGTATGGCAAAATGTACACAAAGCGCAACATAGTGTCTTGTGGTCATAGGAACCATTCCTCTCAAAAATAATGGTAGAAATAGCACAAAAGTATCTAATTTCAAGAGCCATAAGGGGTATTTCACGAAATCATATCCACTGCAATGCGATTGGCCAACAGATAGAAAGAGAAAAAAAGTAAATAGCCCAGGATACGCCGGTCTCCCTCAAACCCAAACACCTAGCACCGTCAACGGAACAATCCTTTTTTTACCGTTCAAAACTCACTGACCAACGTATGAAGAAAGACAGCCGTGCGCAAAAACTAGGAATATTGCAATGTGGATATCAATGCATGCAAGCAAAGCAATGAAAAGTGATATGCCTGTGCGGTGGGGTAACTCGTAAACAGATTTGAGTGCCATCGAAAACAGCAATGGACAAGGCTCCCAGGATGATGGTTCTATACATGGGGGAATCAAGAAGGAAAAAAAGAGTGAAATATCAATTGACATGTTCAATTCAGGCAATGCGTCTCATTATCGTCGTAGCCGCGTTCTTCGCCGTCTCGTACATAATCTCCAAGGTCTGGGAGCCGGTCTCGAGCCCCGAGCTTACAAGCGGAATATCGGTTGGAATGAAAGGACGCTCCCCGACCCAGTAGTAGTAAAGGTGACCATAGATTGCCCTGGCGTGATCGGGGAGGTAGACGTAGGCGCCGGTAACAAGCATCGTGATGAGGGAAAAGAGGAGGAAGTCTACCGTTGAAAATAGAGTCAGAATATAAACAAGAGAGAAGCAAGGGGAGAGCAGGCTTACTGAAGATAAATTTTTCGGTGGGAGTAAGCATGTACACGGCAAATGTGACCTCATACTGATAGATCTTCAGACGAACCCAACGCACGGCAACCTCTAGAGCCCAAAACACAGAGTCCATGGCAGAGCAGTATGCGGAGGGAAATTGCACGTATGTTGTCAGAGCAAGAGAGGGGAAGGACCAGCTTCAAATACGCCCGGACTGATGGTCATTGAATGGACGAGCAAGCTAAGAATGATGTCTAGCTGCGTGTAGTAGTCAAGGAGAAGAGGCAGCTAATTGAGGACGGCTGCGTGGAGTATAAAGGCAAGTGAATGGTTAGAAGGAAGAGGGAAGAGGATGTAAAAGAGAAGGATAAAAATAAAACAATTGCGAGAGAGAAAGAAGGGGAAATTAAACGCAAGGACTCTGGAGAAACGTGGAAGAGCCAAGGGAAGTGAAACTGCTGGCCCAGCTCCTGTGGGGTAATTCACCTGAATGTACTCCGTACGTTGATTGTATCAACATGGTTAGTCAGCAGTCTGGCTGAGAATAGTTAGTTAACTAACCTAACTAGCTAACCGACCCCTACGGTAACCTTCGGGGTCGCGCGTATTGCGCGACCCTGACAACCACCCGAGCACCCCAGCCACCCGAGCACCAATTTTAGACCCCCCTTCTAGCTTCAATATCTCAACGAATTCTATAGTATTTAACTTCAAAATATATTTAAACTAAAGCTCTACTCTTCAGCTTGGGCCCTAGCATGTCGTTGCCTTCGTATAATAATTCCTCGTCGAATGCATACATCCAGCAGCTCTGGTAGGCAACGCTTATACTTAGTCCTCCACCTCTTTATTTCAGCCTGCTCATTAATATTCGCAGTATTTCGATTTATAGCTTCAAGCTCTGAGCTTGATACTATGCCTCCCTTGCGAATCCTGCGCCTAGAGGCCTGTGATCAAGCTGCGCGGTCCCTAGCAGCTTTAATATACCGGTCAAGCTCAGCTTCGATAGCAGCTGAATATGATGCTAGCATACTACCACCATGAATAAGCAGCTCTAGGCCCTCATTAAATTGATCCTTGTTGATATCATGAATCTCCCATATCCTATCACCAATCTCCCTAAATCATTCAGCTTTTTTTTGGCGTACTGCCCCAGGAATCAACATCATTGGTATTGGTGGATGAAGAGGATGGATGATGTGGTTGAGGCATTTGATTGAGTACAATTGATGGATTGAATGGTATGATGCCAGTCTTTTGGAATCCATGCCGAATAGTACGCTTTTTGAATGTCTTCTTGCGAATTGCCCCTAAGGCATGAAGGAATTCAACCTTAGTAAATTTACTGTATTCTGAGTAGGTTGCATCTGCAACTGCTTCTGAATGCCAGTGCTTATATGCATGAAAAACACCAACATCCAATGGCTGCAAGAAATGACTTGTATATGGAGGTAAGAAGAAGGTGATGATATTGGTCTTCTCACAGAATTCAACAAATTCATGTGTTAGATGGGAGCCGTATCCATCACATATAAGAAGGGTATATTGACCCTTCCTATATCTTTTAGTATGCCGATAGAATGACTGAATCCATTGGAAGGCAATTGTATCAGTCATATAGCCATTTTCTGATACTCCAATTGAATAGTCTTGTTGAATATCAGCAGCTTCAAACCAATTTGTAAGTATACAGCTACCACTCATGAGAATAAGTGGTGGGCAGGTCCAGCCATCTGCATTGACTGCTTCAACCACAGTAACATATTCACAGTTTGAATTCATCCCAATATGAGGCTTATTAATATTGAAGTCCCTGGTAATAATCCATTGATCACAACCAACACTGATATTGAAGCCAGTCTCATCAAAATTGTAGATATCCTCCTTTAATATCCCATGGTTCTGGATGGTCTGATGGAGCTTCTGAAACCACTCCTGAATAACCTCATGATCCTCTGCACGCTTGTGGTCAAGCTCTATAGCTCTAGAGCGACGTCTTTTATATTCAGGATGCCTTCCTAGCCATCAGTTTAACCATTTCTCGCTGACAGTAGGTGGAGGGGTGTCTAGGCTGGTATGGGTTGATCTCAGAATAGAATTGGCACTTGATTGGATCATTTGTGCAAGTGGCTTTATATTTAATTGCTCTAGAGTATCAACATAGTGACACAGAGCCTTTTCTTGCTCTTCTGATAATCTGGTGTTGGTTGGTGGTCGTTCACATAGATTGGACCGTCCCTTCCACCTTGCGGAGAGGGTTTGCCGTTTAACTCCATATTCACGTGCAGTTTTGGCGATATTTGGGGGATTTTGTGTGCTTAACGCGTCAATAGCTTTGAGCATTCGATCTTCATAATTTTTATTGAATTTGGGCATGGTGGTGGTGGTTGAATTATATGATAAAGTTGATGGGTTGGAATTCTACGAAGTTCTAAAATCGGTGCTCGGGTGGCTGGGGTGCTCGGGTGGTTGTCAGGGTCGCGCAATACGCGCGACCCCGAAGGTTACCGTAGGGGTCGGTTAACTATTAACTATCAACTATTATCTTTAACAATTCATCTGCCTCATGGCTTCTTCTAGCATTAGCGGTCCTGTAACAACCCAAATGAATTGGTCCCTTACGAGCCTGGCTCAACCACAAATGCAGCAGTAGCTTCTGGATAATGCATGAAATAGCGGCCATACTACAATTCCTATCCTTGGAATTGTTGACTATCAAGTGGATTCAAACGATAGTCAGATTCCTATGAAACGCATCCACGGATCTTCACTTCATTCGGCATGGCCGAACATGAATCACTCTGTTCGGCTAAACAAAGTCCAAGTTGACATCAATTTTTTGTCAGCTTCGAGACTACATCCATCAATTCAAGGACGGATTGGATCCTGCTCAGGAGAATCTGCCTATGGCCATCGAGTAGCTAACGGGGTTCCCGTTGGGCCTTTTCAGTTCTGTGTCCGAGCTCCATGACTTTCTTGTGGCACCAGTCAAACAATGCCCACGTCCGGAGCTTCAGCCAAAATACCGCAAGCGACCTTCCGATGGCTTCACCATTAATCCCACACATGCTCATTTTCCGTATGAGAATATCTTCGTGTATGAAATAACCGGAGATATTACTGGCTTGATCAACTGGGAAATAGCTGGTTTTTGGCCTGAATAATGGAACGCTGAAAAGCTCTCTTTAGTGGTCAGTACCAGAGATGGTGGCTAGATATCGTGAATGAAGTCATGCCATCTCATCAGAAGGAATTTGAGATTGATAGTGGACTAGAAATGTTCTGAAACCTTCACTGTTTGTAGCTGCATTGAGTGGTAGGCAGATGATCAAAACATGAAACTTGGAAGCTAAGGTTATCTAAACCGTGGTCAGTTCCAGTCAGAGACGAAAAAAGAGTTGCAGGGGGGTTTTGGGCGTCTCAGGTAAAGTTACTTACTATTTTTATGGCTAGCTAGTGTGGATGCAGCCAGGCAGTGCAAGGACCAAAATGGCACTGCGGACGTCATTCTAGATCCCAGAGCCGAGCCATATTGTCGTCTTCAATTTCTCTGCTGGGCATCGAATAACGTCCTTGCGTTGCCATTGTTCTTTTGCGATGAAGCCGAGGATCGCAGTGGAGTCTTTTGAGCTGCTCACCGCCCAGAGCTACTTGCTGCACCCGCCATCTACTACGGAGTAGTTGCAGGTGTATCCAGGCGGCTCTGCCAAGTACAAAATGCTCCTCCCGGCCATTACCACAGCCTCCATTGCGAAGCACATCCACCTCCATCTCCCCGGGCCAAATACCCTAATCAGCGTCAATCATGTCGTCACAAGAAGGCCATGCCCACTACTCCCACTCTCAGCCCCAGCATATCTCTCCCCGTTCTCCTTCCTAACCCCCGCCCTCGCGAAACACCAACTCCCGCCCCGATTGAAGATCGATGACGCAGACATCACCGTGTCCTATCTCAAGGGCACAGGCCCGGGGGGGCAGAAGATCGTACGTATATAGCTTAGCACATATGCACTATTCTATCATGTCTTTCTCGATGCATCCTTAACCCACCTCTCAGTTTCTCTCTCTACATTAGGTATCTACCTGTTTATCTACCAAACTGACTAACCCTCAATCCACCCGAGCGCATCTAGAACAAAACCAACTCCGCCGTCCAAATCATCCACAAACCGACTGGAATCGTAGTAAAATCCCAAGCCACACGCTCGCGGTCCCAGAATGAGAAAATCGCCCGCCAGCTTCTGGCAGATAAGGTTGAGGTTGCCCTGAGAGGTGATCAGAGTCGAGCCGCCATTAAAGCCGAGAGGGCCAGAAAGAAGAAGGCGAGTAAGATAAAGAAGAGTCGGAGGAAGTATCGCGAGTTGGAAGCGAGAGATCAGGGTCGTGGACTGGAAGAAGGAGAGGAAGTAGACGGGGATGAAGAACAAGAACAAGAACAAAAAGGGAATGGGCAAGAGCTAGGACAGGAACAGCGACGGCGGGATATACTGGGCGGACAACCAGACCAGAAAGGTTCTGGGAATGTATAGGTATCTCAGTCCCATCGCAAGAACTATTCTACATGGTGAAATGAGAATAACATCCAGAATTGTTATTCAGATCATCTAGTCGCTGGTGTAAGACGGAGCAAGACCCCTTTTCCAATGTAGATCGATCCAACAGATATTAAACACTTTTCTTTTATTCTTATTAGACACACGACAGGAGACCATCAAACGCCCACCAACATGCTCATGCCGTGATGTAGCTGCTCAGCACTGTTCTCGCCTCGGCCCCTAACCGTTCCTGCACAAATCCAGAAATCCGTCCTCCGTGTGTCTTGTCCGCTTCTTTCAGGTACCTGCCGACCCATACCTTGAGATCGGCACCCGTCTCCGGCCATGGATCCTTTGTCTGCGGCCGTATAGTGTTCAACGCGGTGAAACCAACCCCGAACGCCATGTCTTCAACGTCGTGCTCCGCAATGATATCATCCTTGCTTGTCGGGACTGGAGGAAGTTCCAGCACTTTCAGGAGTGCTTCACAAGTGAAGCCCCATCCCTTCTTGTACCGGTTCGCGAAAGCTTCCGAGTTTGCAAGTGTCTTAGTGAAGGATACCACTGCGGTTTTGCGATCGAACGGCCTAGCAAGCTTCTGCGTCTCGGGAAGGATGAAGTTGAGGTAGATGGGAGTGAAAAGCCTATTGCACTTGATGAGTATAGAACAAGCAGAAAGAGGACGGGGCTCGTTACGTACCCTTCTTGCACCTTGTCCGTGACTTGAATGACAAAGTCTGCGCTGTACCCTTTATCATTCCGCGCCGAGACAAAGTGATAGAAGCGGACAAATCGCAGAGTGAGGGTCTCCGTCCGGGAGTTCTGGAGGCGGGTAAGAATAATCTGCATAATCGAGATAAAGTACTGCTCTAGGGCCGTCCTGTTGTATTTGAGTGAGCAATGGTCCACTTCTCCATCTGCTAGGATGAAACATACCGTGGGAAGCTGGTAACAACACTCTCCAAAAGATCAAATCCATAACTTTCATTCGTCTTAGTCGATAGCAATTTCTGGAAAATGCCCAGTATAGGCTCGATTTGGTTGTTCTGCATAATGTACTCCGAGCCACGGTGTATGATGGAGGACAACAGACGCACGAGAGCAGGGACATTGCCTTTCGATTCCCACATCACAGGCATAATGATTGGGGCAATCAGATTCTGATAGTAGGGAGGTAGCGTTCCCGATGGGTTCGCCTCGAGGAGAGCCGCGAAGAGTTGGAAGATGTATGGCATGAATTCTGGGGGTATCAATCAGCATTATTGGTAAAACGGGTTGTTTTGGTTTGGGGTTTAGTCCTTCTTACCTTGCACATCGGCTTGGAGAATTTCCGCAAAGGGAGCATAGAGAGCTTGCTCGAGTTTATCGGGGTTAGCAGGCGCTGCGTACCTGTCATCTTGTCAATAAAATAGCCCATATCAATGTACCGGGGCATTACGAACCGGATAAAAGCGCCAACAGCTTCAAAGTGGAAATAGTAAAACCTTGGATTGCTGGGGTTGGCACTACTGATCTTGGTGATGTTGATCAAATGGTGAAGGACGCTATCCGTGTAGGGAACCACGCCTTCCTTGATGACTATGAGAACCCTCATGACGCATCTCATCAGGAACTCATTTTCCTGAACTTTCTGAGGCTCTGGATCTCTCTGGATCAGCTGGAATATGTGCTCCAAGAGATCTTTAGCCAATGGCAGAATTGTGCTGGTTGGAATGACTGGCTGCCCTTGCTCGTCGGTGATAAAAAGTGCCCTTTCAACTGCGATACCGGCGTATGTATAGACAACAAATTTTGTAGACGCAAGATGCTGCACTAGTAATGGAAGAACTTGTTGCCACAGCTCCTTCGTGATAATGCTACGGAATGTATAGAGATACTTGATAGCATCCACCTTCAGAATCGGGTGCAACCCATCTTGGGCCACCAGATCCGCAACAAGATATTTCTGAAAGAAATCCGGAATACTGACCAGTGGGTTGATCATAGTGACTCCGTGGCTGGCTGTGGCAACACCTTTGGCTGCAATGGCCGAAAAGAGGTAAGTAGCCGTATCCTTGGACTTCCAATTTGCGCCTGGGTTCTTCGCATATTCAGTGAGATAATGTTCGGTGTATTGAAGGACGACCTTGGTTACGGATGCCTCGAATTTTTCAGCCAGCCGCCTCAAGAAATCAGTAGCAGCTCGCCGTCTGGTATCGCTATCCGAACCTTCAAGATCACGACGGATGAACTCGATCGGTTCATCTTCAAACAGCTCTTCGTCGGACTCCCGTAGGCTCACGTTTGGAAGAATGACTTTCTCAACAACTTGACTTAGCACTGCTTCCGATTCGAAAGCAGACGCATGTTCGGGCATGCTTGCAATTGATGTCAGAAACTGCAGCGCCCTGCTGACGAGAATGTCGTATTTTGTCTCGGGACCAATCGTAGTCAACAATGTCCAAGAACTCTCCACAAATTGTCCAATATGCGGCTGGAAAACGTCCATGTACTTTTGCGCATAAAGAGCCAAGACCTCAAATATTCCAGCCCTGACATACTCCAATTGACCGGATTCGCTCTCATCATCCGTGTGGAGCAGTTGATTGTCATATGTCAAATACTTCAGCAACAAGGAAGCTACTCCGGAAAGGTTATCCTCGAACACAGGAGGAAGATCTTGACATGAGAGGTCGTACAGCAATTTCATCATCAGGTTAAGCTGTACGAACCCCTGCATAAGGTTTTCCTTGTTTGCTTTGTTTTCCTCGAGAAACGCATCCAGACCCTTACATTATTGTCAGTGCGTGCGCGAGAGTAATATTTATTTTGCACGATCTGGAAAAGAAATACCTCGAGAAGACCCAGGAACGGTGTACCAAACCTCTCCAGAACATGGTTGATCTCTGTGTACAATGCGTCGGAACGAAAGAGAGGTCTCCACCTCTTAAAAATTGAATGTGCTACTTGCAACACACCAATGTTGACCGTGGGATTTGAAGGTTGAAGTCTCGAGACGAGATCCTAGAGATGTGTCTGATCAGGAAATTGCGACCTAAGGCAATAATACAAAAGGAAGAGGCTTACATCTACCAGGGTATCCCACCGCTCCCAGAAATCACTGGCTGCAATAGTGCTGACGGCTTCGCCTAATTGTGATTGTATGCCCGCAGGAACAGAAATCATCAAGCTGATCAGCTCGCTTTTGATGGTGGCTACCTCCTCAAGCTGAAGCTTATAGTTCCCATCTTCATCTGTCCAGTTTCGTCTGATGAAGTTTTTGAAAAACAACGCGCTAGCAAGGCGGGTATTGTATGGGTAGGATGTTGAAGCCGTAATCTGGAGGAGCTGTAAAGAAAAGCCAGGTTTTACTTCTTCTTGACGGAGAGCAAGCTCGGCTAAACACCCGTGTCAGAAATACTGTTCTGTCATTTGCTTTCATTCTTTCTAACAGAAGAAACGAACCTTGTTTATTTTGCCTAGGATCCAAGCTCGCCTCTAGGAGCTGAGCAACAGCTCCCTGACCATCGGCCATCTTTTGACGTGTAGGTGGAGGATGTACGGAAGATTGAGAGGAGGGGTATGATTACTTTGCAAGAGGTAGAAGGGAATAAGATGGCAATATAAAGGGGAAAGGTAGAGATGACTAAATTCCTGGATAACAGCCAGGTAGCTCTTCAAAGCGGACAGTGTGTGAAGCTGTAAGGTGAGCAGCCAGAGCAAAGAAATAATAGCGTAGGCCCGCATCCCACGGTTTAGGTACTTTGTTTGGTGGGTTGCCCTGCCACTGCCAGGCGGTGTATCACGTGTCTTTTACTGACGGTCACGCTCCAGACTAACCTTTTCAGGCATCAGACAAAGTCTGTTCCTTTGAGGAAGTGGAAGAACTACTCCCTCCAGCCCGCATGTCGATCCTCAGAACTCTGATATGGGGATCCCTTCTCAGCCGTGTTAAGAGTTGTATATTGCCCTATGTATCCTCTTTATTCCTCTGCCTTCCCTTGAAATTAGTATAGTATTCATATCATTCTGCCTTAGGCCCTCTCGCCAGCTGAAAACTTCTCACACCCTGAAGACAACCTACACTGTTGCTGCTCCAGCCGTCTTGAATGCGCATTTCATACCCTCCAGAGCTGCTGCAGCAGTTTCCAGATCCACATTTGTCACATTTCAATGGTGGACATCTTCATCGTTTCTTATCAGAAGCTCGCCGTGTTATTAGATACCCGTCATTATAAGTGGGTACTTCGAACTCGGTTGATAAACCGCTTCCGAATACCCTTCAACGGTCTTCGCCGTCGCTAACTGCCATTTCCGCAAAAATTCAGATATAACCCTTTCATTTCAAGCGTGTATATATACCTCGTCCACCCGGGCGTATGTCTTCTGAGGATGTTCCATCGCCATCCCAACCCAAACCCTCCACTTCAAGCTTCGCCGATGTCTTCAAGACGTTAGGGGTTGGCCGTCCAAAGTCGCAGTCCCCGATTTCCCCGCAAGATAGCAGCTTGCATTCTCCGTCGCTCGCAACAGAAGGACGCAGAGGCAGTAGGGTTACGTTCGGGTTTGAATCAATGCAGCAGCAGCGTGGCAGCCTCGTCTCCAACTCCTCGGATACTTCGAGTGGGCCGGACTTGGATGCTTCTATCAGGGCTATCGCGCAGCAGAACCTGCCGCTTGCGATCGACGAGGCGGAGAATTTATCAAGATCCATTCAGCGGTTCACTTCGGAGCAGTCGATTTCATTATGGGAAACTGGAGCATATTTACTTCGCGGAAGCACGCCGGACGCTCGAAGGGCTGGGTCGAAGTTATTGGAGGCAGTTGCGGCCCGTCAAGATCTGTCTCCAGCGGCCAAGCGCGTTGTCTTTGAAGCTATAGCCTCCCCGTCAGAGCCCGATGTCATCCCGGCACGCATCCTGTCATTGATTTCGTTGTCAGATCATGGTAGGAAGCTGGAGTTCACTGGCTCATCTGTCTTACCGATAGTCTCGTCATGTCTCGTTCCATTGTATGAATCAATTTCGTTGGTGCGGTCCAGGGCAAGGAAGGGTAAAGTGGCCAAAATGGGCTCACTAAACGAAGACGAAGCAAATTTTGCAGAACTGTTCCAGTTCGCAGTGGACCTAATTACCCTTCAACGCTGGCCTCCCAGCGGCGAAGAGATTGAGTCGCTGCTGGAGCAGGTATTCATTGTCTGCAAGAGGACAGTTGTCGCATCTGATATTAAAAACTCCCTTGCCGTGTTCGATGCCGTTATTCTGTACGCCGATGTTCCTGATGGGAGTTTCGTTCCCTTACTGGAGGTGTTCTGCAGCATTCACGCTTCAGTCAGGTCGCTTTCAGGACCCACATCCAGAGCTGTTCGTAACCTGGCAAGGTCTCGCAAACAGACGCAGATGGTCAATACTCTTCATTCATTTCTACTGAATTTCTTTTCCGAGCAAGGACGAAATCTTAACGTTTTACGAGGGGCCATATACATCTTTACTGACCTTGTTCGGGCACACGGTCAAGACGGGATGCCGCGACTCTCCTTTGAACAGTTGATAGACTCTCTGGAAGTTGTTGCAAAGAAGGACGACGGTCGGATCGAGGCTGATATTCTAGAACTCTGCTTAAGTGCACTAGAAGGAGAATTCTCCAACATTTCCTTAGCGAAGGATTGGTCCAAGTTTGTTGGTATTCTAATTACATGCTCTCGCAGAATCATCGTCGAGCCAGACCTGCCTTCTTCGACACCCAGCGCAGTGCCACCTCACCCAATGTCGAGGACGGCAGCACTGGATGATACAAAATCGCATATTTTAGCAAATGTCGTTCGAATAGCTGGTGTTATCGAAACTCTCTGGGAGCAGTTGGAGAGGCAGCAACGACTAGAAGCTGGTCGATTTCTAATGGAGGTCTCTCAGCACATCGAACCATCCCAAGCTGACCTGGTGATCAATCTAATAAGGGCTGAAAAGCTCTGTTATCCTGAGAAGCTCGAGTGGGTTTCTTGCTGTCAGAAGCTGATCTTTTCTTTCCTTCGTTCTCGGACAAAGGCCTCAGACATCCGTATTCTGGCCCTTGACACCCTGAAAGAGGCTTTTACCAATTACGAGCCCTTCGTTCTCTTTCAAGAAAAAGGTCTTATTAACCTGATGCTCCAAAACTTTTCTGACGAGGATGATCTGTTATACTTGGAGTCACTGGTTTCTTTCATAGTCGAACTTTCTATTCTCACAAAAGACAAGACAACATTCACGTTTTTGGTCGATACTCTTTGCTCCCCGATGAACAAAGATCTGAACCGAGATGAGTCGCAGTATCCAGACTCTCCCTTGCAGACTTCTCCACGACGACAGTCAGCAGCGAGTGTCCTGGAATTATCATTGGCAAACGTGTGCTCTGTTGGACTTGTTAAGATATTTCTACGCTCTTTGAACTTGTCAGCATATAAAGCTGCTCTGGTTTTTGAAGCGTTGATGTACATTGCACGATCCCTGGACCGGCATACTGATTCCCGTCTAACGGTTTTAAAATTATTATTCCGGCTTCGATGCGATTCAACAGGTTCAATTACAGTTATCTCCCCTACTGAGAATGACTTCCTCGTGAGTGTCTTGGGCCGTACAGTCGATACCGGCTCTAGACAGACACCTTTCGAAGATTATTCTGAATGCCAATGGCAGTCAACACCTGCGGTGAAATTACTCGGGAAAGAACAGCCCGCCAGTTTTCTGTCCAGGTCTGCAAGCCGTGGTTCAAGCTTTAATATCCGCCAGTCTAAAGTAACTCCTCCGGTCTGGGCTTACGGCTCGTCGCATGTTCTCCCAGAAGAGCCACCTAGTAATGCCAGTCCATTTGTTTCTGCCTATTTAACTTCTGTCGTCCCAAACCAAGGAGAGCCAGAATCTTCGCACAAGGTTGCCTTGAAAATCAACCTATGGCTGGAAACTATCATCTTGTTGTTACAACGCGAACGTGACTGGGACGTTTACAGCTATATATTGACTCATCTTGGTGATCAACTCAGCAATAGGGCCTTTTTCAGCGCTGCTATTCCGCAGATCAAGCTCTTGCGCAGTGTTTTATGTGACCAGGTGAAAAATGAAACTTTCCATGAGCCACCGGTTTGGACGGGGGTTAAAAAGACCGACGTAGCGGTTTGTATATTCGATTCTCTTTCCATGCTGATTAGTTACCATGAGCATTTCGCCAAAAGTGAAGAAGATGAGCTTGTCCGTGCGTTCATGCTAGGCATAATTGGATCTTGGGGAGGCACAACTCGCGGCTGCATACATGCACTTTCAGTCTGCTGTCATGAAATTCCTCTTTCAGTGACGAAGTCATTGAACGGGATCCTTGACAAAATGGCTAAGGTAATCACTATGGCGAACATGGCGGTTCACATCCTCGAGTTTCTAGCGTTGCTTGCTCGGCTCCCAGATGTTTACGTTAACTTGCGAGAGGAAGAGATCCGTACTGTGTTCGGTATCTGTATTCGGTTTCTGCAAACTTCTAGAGAACAACGAGTCAAGGCCTCCGAAGTGGGAAGTACACGCAACCTTCCAGCTGCTACCAGGAATAGCGCTACTGCCGCTGCCTCTGTGGAACTGCCTGATTCATTCGTACAGGATGCGATGTCAAGATACGTCTACACGCTGACTCACCATGTCATGATCTTCTGGTTCCTGTCGTTGAAGTTGCAAGACCGGCCGAAGCATGTGAATTGGATTACTAGCCGACTTATCTTTGACGAAAATGGGAAAGATATGGTTGAGGAACAGAGCCAGGTTTTCATCGACTTTATGCAGAGAGTTGCCTTCTCTGACTTGGGCGATACCGTACCATTCGATACTTTTCCTCCAACCCCTGGTGATGGCCCTGTTTCGAAGAAATCGTGGCTTGTTGGCATGAGTATTGTCACGGTGGAAACCGCCGGGGTTTCCGGCCTGACCCAGATCACGAAACGGCAAGCGTCTGGAACAACATACGCTATGTATCAGCAACGGACAGCTCCACTTCTTCCTCATCAAGTACCTCCGGCGCCTGATGCTCATTTACATCCCGATGCCATGCGCACGGCTATACTTCCAAGCCACGTTATGCTCCAGCTGTCAACCACTGCGTTTCCTACACCTACGGTAATGCAGCCTATTCCACTTCCCGACAATGATATGATTCGTCGCGCTATTGGTGCATTCGATCGGAACGACATAGTCGATGGGCATAAGATAGGTGTCATATATATCGACAAGGGTCAAACGACGGAAGCTGAGATCCTCGCTAACGCCGCGGGTAGTCCAGACTATGAATACTTTCTATCCGGTCTCGGAACAAAGGTGCCATTGAAGGGTGCCCGCTTCAACACCCAAGGGCTGCATAGTGATATTGACGGCGAATATGCTTATGCGTGGCGTGACCGGGTAACAGAGATCGTTTATCACGTAGTAACAATGATGCCCACCGATTTGGAGCGTGACCCCTCTTGTATCAACAAGAAACGTCACATTGGAAACGACTTTGTTAACATCATCTTCAACCGGTCAAATCTTCCATTTCAGTTTGACACGATACCATCTCAGTTCAACTTTGTTAATATCGTCATCAGCCCAGTATGTCGCCTTGCTTACAAGGAGTCTGGAGCGGTTGAATGGGGAACTTCCAACTTTGAGAATCTGTATTACCACGTGAAAGTGATGAATAAACCTGGCTTTCCAGAAATATCGCCTGCTGCGGTCTCCAAGGTCATTTCAGGGAAGAATCTTCCAGCATTTATTCGCATCCTGGCTTTGAATGCGTCGGTATTCTCGCTTGTTTGGAACAGCCAGGATGGTGAACACATTTCATCCTGGCGCAATCGTTTGCGAGAGATCAAAAGGCTTCGAGAACGGACTTTGGGGTTACAGTATCAGAATTCTGATGCTACGGCGGAAGGGACCTCCTACCCAGCATATCGGCGCAATACGAAACCTAACATCCATTCGGAAGAAGCGACCTCACGCGGTTCAGTGGTGGCACCAGATTCCGCTAGCGAGTGGAACGCAGCTGCTGGGGGTAACGCTCTTTCTGGCTTGGATTTCTCCCGATGGAGCCGTTAGTGACGAAACATGGACTAGTTGTTTGGCATGTTGTGTGAGGATAAAGCTCAGGGGTGAATCAGTTGGATACTTTTCTTTCCGCTTTCCATATACCATATCTTACCTCTCTGCACACCTTTCCTGACTTGTCTTACATTCAGTTCGATTTCTTTCTCAAAAAGAAGAATTTGACATGAAAAGTTATGATTCCACTCACCTGGGTGGTTAATGTCACTAGAAATTTGGTCTGACATATGATACACATGATTTTCTTTTTCTTGTAAAAAAGCTCTCTATGATTCTGCAGGATACCTATGCACAGGAGAATGTATCCTTTCCGTTGGAACAAATTCATTCCACAAAAAACATTCATCGACAACAAAACCACATCTCCCCACTAGACTCGAACGAAGAGCCACCCTGCCCATTACCCAAGTCCAAACTCGCGCGCAACGAATAGCCCAGATCATGCAGACACTGGAGCACATCCAAAAGTATCAATCTGCTCTGGACAGCACCCACAGTCCTATTAGTGTTGGACCACGGCGTATCTTTTATCTTGATCTCAAATATACCCGACACGAAATCGTGGTTGCATTTCTCGATCTTATCCCCGAAAACCGTCAGGAAGGAGTTGGCCAGCTCACGGGGGGCATTGATGAGATGAATCAGGTCCTCTGAGTCGAAGGAAATGCATAGCCGGGATAGTTCCTCCGGTTGTTGCTGTTGGAATATTATAGCACCTGTGTTTTATCAGAAGTCCAATAATAATCTTATTCCTCTGGAGACAATATTTACCCCTCTCAAACGACGCGGAATACTTCCCAACCCGCCTCAACCCCCCAGCAGCAGGAACGACGCTCCATCCCTCCCTCGCCAGCTCATCCAGTATCCGCAGAAGAACATTCCGAATAGCAACTTTTTCATCATCATGGCTGTACGAGTACGGGTTCCCGCGCAGCTTGATCTCAAAACTCCCCGCATTATCGGGTCGTACGTCCTGAATGCCCCGCGGCCAGAGAACGGGCACAATCTCGTCCGCGATCCGCGAGGTGAGTTTCGTGGGGAAGCGGAAGAAGCGGATTCGGTCAGGAGGGAGAGGGTCAGGAGGGCGTAGTTGGGGTTATTGTTTGGGGGGGTGTTGGTGGTGGGGATTTCGTGGTAGGCAGGTGGTTTGTCGTTCATCTTGGTTAAATCAATCAATCACTATCGAATTCGAAGTATTTACTGTCGTCGTTGAAATGGGTATTGCGATGTTCACATGCTATGCTGGCTATGTCTTTTAAGAAAGGTCATTTCATAATTGTTGACTCGGGGTAGCAGGTAGTGAATTCTATTCGCATCTGAACGCGCTCGAAGCCAGCCAGGCATTCACTTCTTTTGTATGTGGCCTGCCTGATGCAGCTGATGTTGAAAGATGATCAGTTCAGCCCATGCGGGTAATAATATAGCCAAGTTGAACTGTATTCGCTCTCTTTCTAGGCTGTATTGCATATATATATGCATGGGCTAGTAGATCATGGATACCTAACACTGCCCCAAGTCTCTGCGAACAGTGATATTCGAGCATCTTACGGGTCCACTTAATACCTCTGTATCTGCCTGGAAATATGGATAGAATAATAGTGCATCGAAACTGTCATGTAAGGATTAACTAGTGCCAAGCACTTCATAAACAGGGCAGCCTCTCACAGATGTCATGCCACCTCGCTCAACTTAACCATCCACCATACCTCCAAAAGTGCATCGAAATTCAAGAAATTCACCTGAGGAAGAGGGAAGAACTATACTTGCTATCTCTGCTTTAAAAGCAAGAAATCTGCAATATTACCGAAGCAGCATGGTATTTTAATATTCCGCGTGCAACACTTCAAGATCAAATGGGCATACTTTTCAAGCAGAAACACGTGCCAAAAACCATAAACTGATTCAAAATGAAGAGTAATTGCCTATACAATGGATTCTATTGCTAAATCGACGTGAAGTGCCTCCTTAACTATCTCCATTTACTGATGTGACGGTTAGCCAGCGGCCGAAAACGGCAGCACTTGACGCCGTTTTGCGAGTCTAGACAGCTAGCTGCTGCATATTCAGGAAGGCTTAGAGTAATTCTAGAGTGAGAATGAGGTCTCTGAAGCTCAGGATACTATGCCTATAGATCCAGCACTTTCTGCAGTTGGGCCACACGTATGAGCGCCGCTGCAGTGTTCAAATTGTCATATTCGGGGACATACTAGAGTTAGATGCCCCAATACAATTAGTAATTGGTTCTTATATAGAAATGCAATTGTTTTGTTGATAAAGGCTCTAAAATCTCACCTAGGGGTGGAAATCGGAGCGGAGGTGGCCGCTCGTTTGTGGAATACGTTATAGACCATCTCTCTACAAACCAGGACAGTTCTATCCAGTCCATAAGGGAAACTCGGGTACGAATCGCAGATATTGTATTCTTCTGAATCGTATGAGATAAATATGCTTGCACTTGCATCCTGACGTTTGGTCCATGGGGCAATGGGCCTTTTGGCCGCAAAAAAGGCAACTAGAGATAAATTATCCGGTGTGTGCAATGGTAGTATCCTGTGCTTGTGTACAAATTCTATATTTCATTGATCTATAATATTCATTTATATATGTAGGGTTATAGGGTTAAATCGATAATTAAACATAAGTAAACCCTCGCTTTCGTGCATACCACAAGAGAATTTTAAATCCAAGGAACCACAATTAATTACAACGCATTCATAAATCGTCCCCAAATCTATAATTACATGGTGTTTACCCTCTCATTCACCATCCAAAGACGTCTCCCACGCTCAATACGGTCCACCGCACTCCAGCCACCGCAACGAGTGTTATAACATCCACAACGACCAGGACCGCGGCACCCATCATGAATCGGGGGCTGAAGATGCGATATAGCATGAGGTGACGACGGAGGTGGCCTGCCCATAGTGTCGTGGCAAGGTTGATAGTGGTTAGGTAAAGTAGATGCGTCGTCGACGCTTGGATAACATCTGACAGGAGTTTTGTAGCGGGGTTGCGCGGTTTCTGTTTTTCTTTCGACGAAGAAGAGGTAGATTCAGAAGTAGGGTCAGAAGATAGGGGTGAACCGCGGTCAGATGTCTCGAGAGGGCGTTTCCAGAGAACTGTGAGAGGGACGGCCACGGCAGCGAGGATCTGGGCGCCGAAAGTGTTCAGAACCACAAGGAGGGGAGACCAGGGATATTTGATGGTGGAGAGGGGGATGAATGCCGATTCCCACTGAATCGTGCTGAGGACGGCCTGGTGGCCGGTTTTGAAGTAATAAAATGAGCCTAGGAGGCCCAGTACAACGGGGCCGATGGCGGAGTTCTTGAGCGTCAATGCATTCGTGTCGAGGATCTCAAGGAGAGAGAGAATCTGCCAGAGGAGCAATCCGATGGCGCCCTGGCCTATGGGTTTCTGAACGAGAATTATGGCTAGACAGAAGTTGATGACAAGGAAGAAGAAACGGGTTCCATAGACGTTGCCGAACCCTAAAATCGTAATTGTGGTCCGTGGGGGTTGTTGTGGGTCACTGCCTTTCTCGGGCTCAGAAACGCCCTGGCTCACGCTGACGCTGACGCATGGCTTCGAGTAGAAGTATGCGGTCGTGCCAACGGCCAAGGCCAACGCGATGACGAATTGAGCGAGGAACACACGGACCGACTTCAATGTCTCTTTGCTTAAGCTGAACCATTCACCGTCGTCAGCAGCCTCAAACAACCAATAGAGAGCCGTGACAAGTAGCCCAAAGCGGAATGCAATGCCAATCCACAGCGTAGCGGCTCCTTCGTAGGATTTTGACGAGACGTAAAAGGACCGTACGACCGCGGGGAGAAGAAGAGCCAACAGAAAAGGTATTGCAAGGGTCCAAGGTGCAGAGGTGGACGATGTAGAGGAAGAATAATAGGTGGAACGGCAGAACGGCATTTGCTCTTCACGGCAGAGACGCGCGAGAGACGCTACCCTCCCAAAGATTATGAAGAGTATCGAATGATACACTCCCAAGACCCTGTCGGAAGTGGTCTTCTGGCGCATAGAAGAGGCGCCGGCAACAACGCCGAAAGTTGTGAGGAAAAATAGGAGGATTTCATCTTCCCAGATCGTATACGAATTCGAAGCAAATCCGACAGATTGAGAGACGGTGAAGAGAACGGCAAGCCAGCTCCACAAGGAATTAGGAAGAGGCGGCAAGACCTTTCTTGGAATGCCGAAAATTGCCAAAGAGGCCCCCGATATACTTCCCACGGCGGCCAACAAAGCAGAAAGTTCAATAGCCGACTCTTGTACCAATCCAAGTGATATAATGGATAATCCAGTCACTGCACCCAATCCTAGACCTGACCCGGCATATGAAAGTAATGGAGAATTAAGGTCCGTTCTGTCCATCTGGAGACCTCGAGCGTAGAACACTAATAGAGAAATTGCCGCGAAGAGAACCCCAACCCCCCAGATCATACTTGGAACATGGAACTTGGTCCAAAGTCCGCGACATACAGAGAGAGTTTCCCGCTGGTAACTCCGGTAGAGGTCATAGGCCACACGTAGGGATGCAGCGCTCGGCCGTGACATCTTCGAGACCTTCTGCCACTCCTTCTCTGCTGCGTCCCAGAGCAAAGGAGACTTAACTGACCGGTCAGCATCGCCCCCTCGTGAAATTGCGTATTCATCTTGATATCTCTTGATTTGCGCAGAGGCCAGGCGGTTGACAGCCACCAGATTCTTCATATCATTTCCGCGGGACCCGGAAAACGCTTCGTCAATTGGCGAACCTAGGTTATTGAAAGGTATAGGTAGCCCGAGGAGCAGAGAGAAAGTCGGCACAAGATCAATTTGAGGAATCGCCCGCTCCTCGGCGGTCTTCGGCGGTAGGACGTTCATAGGGTCGATACGGCCGAAGATTTCTCTCTTTGAGTACATCCACAATGCCGCTCTAAGCTCATCATCCGACTCGCCCCCATGGTCACCCTTTGAGTCCATGCCGTGGTCACCCATTACCACTAATAACGTATTCTCATCCACGGCGGCCATGAGATCCCGGACTACCTGGTCCATCTGCCGAAGTTTGGCAGCCATGGCCGGGTGATTTGGTCCATACCGGTGGCCAGCATGATCAACACCAAGATAGTGGCCAAAAATGACATCCCATTTCGTGGCATTGTCCCGGTGTAGCAGGGGGAATAGATGTTCCGTCACGCCGTTGTCGACAGTATGCAGGTCCCACACGTTAAACGAGTCAAATGGCCGCGAGAAATTCGAATCAAAGTGATCCGGGAACAGACTGTACCAGGTATCATCACCAAGCTGAACCAAATTCTTCCCAACAGCCTGTAATTGCGCCACTAGATTATCCTCATCGATGACCATTCCAGCGAAATTGGAGCCAGCATCTACGAACGTAGGAAGAGTTCCAGTTGTCAGTCCTTTGAGGCGCTGCAGAGTCGTGGTCGGCGGATCGGCTATGAAAGGCAGCAAGAACGCATGCCCTGGAGATTCCACAGCAGTTTCGTAAAGAACAGGTATGTTGTCATGGAACAGATGTGCCTTTTCGTCTTCTGATTTCGGTGTAAATGGGACTGTAAAATCGTACCTCAAAGCGTCTATTATAATGACAACGGCCTTGTCAAACGATTTCGGATGCCAACAGCCCTTGGCAGTATTCGATGCCGTGGTTGGCAGCAATGTGACTGGATCAACAAAGGGGAGTACTTCGCATGACGATTTGTTTTCCAAGATGGTCCGCGTTAGGAGGAACCCTTTTGTAAAGAAGAATATCCCAACAACATGTAAGGACCTGCATAATGAACATCATATTAGAAAATAATCTGCAAAATATGGGAAGCAGATGGGGGAGAAAAAAAAGGGGGGAATAAAAAGCTCACAATAGCCAAGCAAGCACCCCCAATAAGCCAAGATGTTTGACCTTAACTTCCCATTCCATGCGCTTCATTCTTTCATCCTCCTCAATTGACGCCTTTGCCTTCTGGGCCTGCGTCAGGCTCAGAGACGAAGACGCCGTGTTTCCAACGCCATGCTTGAGGTTGGCATTCGCATTAGCCGACCCCACTGTCTTTTTCGAAACCATCACAAGGAAAGAAGAAAAGGTGTCTAGCGTACTGCCGAGACCCCCTCAGAAAGAGAACAGGGCGAAGGGGAAGGGGGGCGGGCGGCTCTTGTCTGACCGGAGTAGGTCGTGTGCCAGAAGACGACAGCGATACCCCTGGGGATAAGAAAACAGCGAACCAGTCGAATTGGCAAGAGTATAAGGGGTTTATTTGACGAACGGAAGAGGAGGGGTGCAAATTGTGGGATCGAACGAGCCCTGTTCTCTTTTTGATGGAGTCTCCTGCTTAGTGGGGGGAGGTAGGCGGATTGTATGGACAGCTGGAGGGTTCTAAACCATGGACATGATTCCAGCGTCAGTTCAGTCTCGGCCGCCCGTGAAGAAGGGACTCGGAAAGGACGGCAGTTCAGGTCAATCTGTGGTAGAAAAGGAGAGAGAAACAATGTTCGCGAAAAGCACGCTGTTTGCTGGCCGAGGGTTCATGTCGGCGGAGAACCGGTCGTTCCGCAAGGGCCAAAGCAGCTCCCATTATTGGCCGGAGCCGCGCGGACGATTCTCCCCATTTTACAGTGGGAAAAGAAGGGATTTGCCTCAGGATTCAAATTATTTAATTTCCTACAGTGGAACAAAGATAAAAAGGAACCGGCTCGGCCGGCTGTCAGTCTTACGGAAGATTCAATCGACGTTGCGCCTGCATGGAATGTGAAATAATAATGGGTTACGTACACCATCCAGTTTTTGAACCCGGCAAGAGACCAGAAATGTAGAAGTATAGGGAGCAAAAGAGGATTGGACACGTGAAGAAGTGAAGAATGTTAAAAAAAGCAATCCTTCGAGGAGCCGCGTATATTTTCGAGACCCTAGAAACGTGGCAGGGCTGAAAAAACACGCATAGGTATACAATGGCCAAGACAATGAACGCCAGAGAAGGAAGGCCCTGAGGCACAAGAGAAGAATAAAAGAAGACAAATACATATAACTAAAAAATAGAAGCATTTCCAAGAAGGCTTGGCGTTCTTATAGTATACACAATCCAGTTCAGTATGTATCCACCTAGGTAGGGTGTCTTCCGGTCTGGCTCCCAGAAAGATGCCAGAGAACTCTACCCAAGGTTTCGACCATACAGGACGAACGAAATGGTTCAAACCGCATATGTGCATGTCAAGAAGGAAAAAAGTCTGGTGCGAAACTAGAAGGGAAAATGAAGAGGGTATTCGCCAGATAATTCGTCATGCTCTTGTAGTTAGATCATCGAAGAAAAGTTGATATTGACAACAGTGGCTTGACCGGGATTGGGGACGAAGCGATGCGGATTTGACAGTCTACCTAGAGCCTTCCGTGCGAATCTTCCTTCTCCTTCAGTCCGCCCATGCGCTCCAGGTCAAGAGACTGGAAACGACCCGAGTCAGGCGACTGATAGGGAGGAAGCTCCTCATGATACGGCTCCAGACCGACACTACCGGCCTCACTTATTCTCACCACCACCACTCGTCCGGATTTGCGCTTTCCGGTTTCATCTTCCTCTTCAGGGAAAGTGAGACGAATTTCGGGCACGGGACTCTGTGGGGGGCTTGAGGAGTTTTCCAATAGGTCGCGCTTCTCATCGATGACGAATACAGACTGTTTCTTCCCTTGCGTTGCTGTGATCGTGAGGCGGCGTTGGCCGTTGTGTACTGGAAGCAGGGGCTCGCTCTGATTCCGGCGTCTGCGGCGCAGGAAGAGAAGCCCACCAACCAAAGAAAGAGCAACCAGCACGAGAATGAGGAGAGCGATTAGAAGGTCGACAACTGTGGGAGAAAGACCATCATTATCATCGTCGCTACGAGCAACTAGTTTCGACACTGTTTCCATCATCGTGCTAGTTGGCGGATGGGTCGGCTCTCGCCAAATCTGCTTCTGATGATGGCGTTTTCTTTGCTGAACTTTTTTTTGCTATTTTCTTCCCCTTTCTTTTTCAATGAACGTGTTTGGATGTCGTGGCAGGTTTCGAATTGGATGGACAGTCGAGACAATCGGATATTCCAGGGTTAGGTAGAATGAATTCGAGACGCGAGTGATAGATGTCAAGACCAGTAGAAGTAGAGAGTGAACGTGAAGAGTCCTTGAATTTCTCTGAAACTCAGGTTTAAGGAGGGACAATCAATCGATTCCACGATGATCAAGGAGGACGGTAACGGGGGTAAGAGAACGGACAGCACGGCGCACAGCTGAAAGAATGAAGCTGACACCTGCTAAGAGATGAACGGTAATGAACGAAAGGAAGGAGAAGCGTAAAGGATAGGCCAAGGGGTGGAGGACGACGAGGTTGAAGATGCAGCGAAGATGCAAAGTGAAAAAGGGAGAGGGGGCCCGGCAGGGAGTTAGCACTGAGGAACTAGTCAACTAGCACTCTGCCCAGGCGCGTCCGGCCGCAGGCTCATAGCGAGACATGTCAATAGCGTGTGCTATTTGTAGCGCACTGGAGCCACGCAATTTCCCCTTGGTCCAATCGTGGCACTGGCGTACCTGAATTTGGGAAATTCGCACCAGTCACAGTCCGCGGGCCAGCGGGTCATAATAATGCCGAGTTGTTAGGTTATCATCATTATTCTCAGACTAACAGGTAAATCTTCCCTTTGGTATGCTCTGTTGTGTACGGGGTAGAAGGGATTTTTTCTTTGCCCTTCATTGCCACGTGACTATACTCATTTCCTGTTGGGGGTTAGCGTGAGTGAGCTCCCCAGGAATCTCTCGAAATAATAATCTCGTTCATCATTCCACGACTGAAGAGAGAACCATGTGTCTGACTCTCACCATGCAGTCACCCCATGATCCTCGGCAGGACGACTAATATCAATCAGGATCCCAGACTGAGAGAGTGAGAGTTTCTCGCTATCCCTATCCGCCTGAGCCGGTTTGGTCTCGCCTAGGACTGGGTTGAAGGGTCCTACTTCTGTCATAGAAGAACCCATCCTGTTCAACCCCATGATGCCCTGGACTCGAGTGAGTGATGCTCACAAGATGGAAACAAGTCCTTCCCCCATCAACGGGCCTGGTTGACTGAGGCCAATATTCTGCAACGACCAAAATACTGTTGTCTGTCAGCAGCAAATAGCTTGCTGCCTGCCGTTTCTCAGCTGGTCATCATGCCGCATCTGTTGGCTTTGGAGAAAAATTGCCGACCCCCTTAAGGGACATCGCCGCAATCCTGATTTTCCGTGCACCCTTGGTCCGGATCATCGTCAGTTGTTCCCACAGGGAGGGCCTGATCCGCTTCTTCTCAGACTCGAGAGCGTCCTTTCTTTTTGTCTGCAGTCTCTGGAGACCAGCAATATGAATATTTAGCGAAAAGAGGGTTGCGTATCAACTGGGGTAACGGGTTATGACTTACGCACACCATTCGATCTGATCGTGGCGTGGCTTATTCGCACCCAGCAGGATCGTTTCACTAATATATATCATATACAGAGCTGTACGATGCAACGAATAATATTACGCAGGTAGGGATAGTTGTTGGAGGCATTGCACAGTACCAAGGCAGACAGGAAAACGTCCACACTGCAAGAATTGGATACCTTGGGGTAGGCAACAGGAAAGCGCAAATTGGAGCATGTACAGCATGTCTACCTGAGACAATTTCTCCGAGGATGCATGTCTCAGTGTCAATGACAATATTACCATGTCATACCTGGCAGACAAGCGGGGGCTTTCCTGACGTCTGCACCGTGCTATTTGCAGCCGTTGTCAAAATAATGAATCTATGCCCTTTGAAATAGCAAACTGGAAGCAAAAACGAGAGGGTAATATCAAGATAAAATAAGATGAAACGAAATAAAATAAAATAGAACAGAAGAAAGTGAAGTCTATGACAATTTGTCATGTCGTTATGCAGTCAGTCAGGCTGCCACTTGGCAGAGCAACGGTTCCGTATGGCACCATGTCACAAACCGCTGGACACAGCATCTTTGCATCAGACACTAATCATACTGATTACTGATCCGTACTCTGTATTAATTAATCTATCAGTCTTGCTCGTTTAAAGCAATGGCATATCAACACAGCCAAGAAACCCCTCCAGACAAGACTATCAGATATGTTAACTATTAGATACCACCTAGGTAGATAGTGCCACAAGTGAGTTCAGAATCAGGCTGGAGCAAGATGTCTACGCCAATGAGCACTGACTGCTGTGGCTTATCCCGGATCGGCCTGTTACAGATCACATCCTGGAAAGCCAGTTAGTGCCGATTGCTGAGATACACTTGACTGGTAGAGATTAGTTACCCGAGAACATACTGAGATAATCCATGGGAAATAGTCGATTAAAATGACAATAGTGTCCCTGGTGCCTAGCTAGCGGCGATAACGCGTGGATGCAGGATCCGTTGGGCTTTCTCCGTCTGGCCGCAGCATCTTGATTCTGGATGGCATCAAACAAGCTTTCACTGCGCCAAGAAAATCGGCCGATTCGCATGGCCCATTGTCAGTGTTCCACTTGCTCAGTGAGGGGAAGTCAAGTGGATGATGGTAGCATGTCATAAGCCAGAGATGGATCCTTCACCCAATCGACTTGCAGCCGGAGGGAGGATGAGCGGACAGCACGGGTCCATCCATGGTTGGCAGCAGAGCCAGACGATCGTTTCGCTAGGAAGTCTCGTCCGAAGAGGTGTGTGTGCCCAACACAGCATCCGGACCTACAGGTACGTTTTCCTCGAGAGATGGAATAATCAGCATCATGGATGATGATCAGACTTGCAGCTCCAGCATAGGGCTTGCAGAGTGGCGGAGGTTAGCGGGAGACGGCCCATGGCGAGCAGAGACGCGGATACGGCAGAGGAAGCTGAAGCAGCCCACTCTAATATAAAGAAGCCCCTAAAAAGAAGCTCTGCGCGGGCCCCAGATCGGGGATGCGGCTGGAACAATGGAATAAGAGCAGAGAGTAGAGAGACATCATCGTCGAGCAGGAGAGCAGCGACACAACCAGAGGTCTGCAAACTGTAATATAATAATAATAATAATAATCTGAATAATATTAATACTCACAGTCATATTATCTAACGGAAAAGTTTTCTCTACCTGTCCAAATTCCAGCTTGTTATTTCCTCCGCCTCGTTTTTCCCTTTCTTCCTCTGCCCGTATTCCTTCGATTCTTTGCTGCCAACACTCTCTTTCTCTTCTTTTTCTGTTTTGGTATTTTCTTTACGACCTCCCCTTTATCTACCCCCTTTATCCATTGTCGGGCTGCTTCTTCTTTTTTTATCCTCCCTTGCGGCCCGTTTCCTCCGTTTTCATCGCTCTCCCATCGGTCTTGGGCAGTCGAAAGAGCTCGCGATAAAAAGACCTTCCAGCTTCTCACCCTTTGCTGGCCGGCTCAAACCCCTCTCCTGTCTCATTCTTGTGTGACAGGTTGCTGCTGTGCTCGGTCTCTCGTGGATTTTCCCTCTCTCCCTTCGAATCTCCACTAATCGCACGCCCATCGCTGTGTCGGACCTTTTCCTCCCCTTCCTTTGTCTGCGAATCATCCTGCCTCCCAGCGTCCGCCTGATTACACGTCCATTGTTACTGCTAGACCAGGAAGAAGCACATGAGGTTCACCTGCAGGCTTCGAAACTCTAGGGGCATGCACGCTGCGTAGCCTTTTCGCTATACGATACACGGACGACCGATCCACGGCTACCTGCTGCCAACTGACGCTGGCAAACGAAGGACCGTCTAATCCATCTTTCTTCCCCCTTGTCACCTTTCATCCTACATATTCGATCGCCCACTTGCAGGGCTGTTCGCTCTCTTTTCCTCTCTTCACTCGCTCCCCAACTTTCCTCGCCTCTCTCCTTTTCGTCGATCCTACACCCCCTTCGTTTGTGCCTTGTTCCATCTGCACATATCCTGGTCTTCTAAGGGCTGTCTTCGACTGGAGATAATATTATATTCTTTTCTCTCTTCCTTTATGAGTATTTTTTTTTCTTCCCTCTTTTCACCCCGGTACATTGTGTTCTCTTGCATGGGTCTATCTCACCTAGGTGGCAAAATCTCGGGCTAACCTAATTCACCGTCTCGACTTTTCAGATCTCTTATCCTCCTGTACGAGTCGTCTTCAGAGTCCGATCCCTCTGCAAAATACGCCTGGAGCTGTCGCTTGTCTACTTGTTTGGTTTTTTTTTTTTTTTCTTTCTCGAATTAATATAGAATACCCAAATACTCGCCAGACCCCTCGAGTACATAACATATTCGGCCAATTTTTTTCCCCTTCTTTTCGCACTCTCTTCTCGATTCAGAGCTTGCTGTGATGGCCTCCGCCATGGCAGCGAATGCTACTGCTGTTCATAATGTAAGCCCTTTATTCGACGATCCTTTGTTGGGCAGCATAGTGATAATTGAAATGCAGGTACGATCTGGAAGAGCGCCCAACATCGGTTCTTCGGGCATCAACTCGGAGAGACCACGGGCCTCTCATAATCCCAGCATGGGTAGTTTCGGTAGCGGCAAGACTAGCTGGAATAGTACTATCTGGGGGGATGGCAGCCTGGGAAACGGTTTCACCGATGGTATGGTTGATGAGTTCTGACCCAACGTTGATATACCCAAATATATCATACATTGCTGACTTTATCCCCTTTCCAGATCAGCACGTTTCGGACACTGCCTTTGAAGGGAAATCTGGTTCAGGCTCTTTACTGCCTTCGTCTCAGTCGGATGGGTGGAATGGTCGTCCCAATCTCCCATGGAGCACTGTCAGTTCCACGTCCTCTTTGTCTATGGCACCAAGCACCGGTATTGCCTCTTCGCCTATCCAAAGCCGTCCGAACGACCGAGGTGCTCCTGTCCTTACAGAGTGTGGTGAGACACCGTCATATTTCACTCTCCCTCGGGCTTCTGGCGGAGCTGTGAGCCACAAGGCGTATTTGAACTCTGGTTCCGAGGCAATCACACCTGCCACTGATTCCATCGCCTTCGGCAGCTTCTCTGGATTCAAGACTGGAGAAGGCAGACGGCAGATGAGCTCATCCTCATTTGGCACGCCAATGGGGTCGGGCTTTCAGGTGAAGTCAGGATTGTCTGCTGCTCTTGACACGCCAACCTCGGATGAGGTAGCTGCTTCTATGGCTATGCCGGCTCTGGCTCACAGTGTCTCCTCCGATGCTCTTTCCCAGTCCCAGGTTCGCGCTCCTTATACCCATCTGGCACAGAATTCGACCTCCTTTGCCTCCCAGAGACCACCCCACTCCTCCCACTCGTCTTTCCAGTCGGAGAACCAAGCGTTTGAGTCTCGCTACGGCAGCAGCCAGGTGGACCTGAGCGCTGGTCTTAACAAGCTTCAGTTGAATGAATGTGGATTTCCAACTCAGCAAAGACCGTCATTTCTGGCCCACGCGTCATCATATGATGCATCTCTTAACCGTTTGAAACATCACCAGGGAATGGATGACCTCAATTATCAGACCGCAGCCAGCTATGCTGCCGAGAGTTCTTCCGAACTGCCACTTGGATACAATCCGAACAGGTCTCATCTGAGTGACCGTAGCTCAATGACCTCAACAGACCACACACGCATGGATAGCCCGTTCTACCCTTTCATTGACAGCCCAGTTGCTCAGTATCGAAATGCAGGCCGACTTTCGGAAAGCCAAGCAGCAGCCCTGGAGCGGAAACTGCGAGGATTTCCACAGGAGCAAGATTACCCCATTCAATCCACCAACTCGCTGCCCAGACTCCCTTACCCCCCAGCATATGACTTCGCTGGATACCAAGCTGCACGGTTGAATGCCCTCTCGGGGTTTTACCCGGTCACGCAGCTCGGTGGTCTAGGGGCCGCTGCAATGATGGCAAGGCCCCATCGTGACCACGACCCTGTCCAGGTTATCCGTAGTCCCTTGTTGGAGGAGTTCCGGGCTAACAATAAGGGGAACAAACGATACGAGCTCAAGGTTTGTAGCTTTCTCTTTCTCGCGTATTCCGTCTTCCGTGTCCTTTGGGTGACGTGTAGCTGACTCCCTTCGCCAGGATATTTATAACCATGTAGTCGAATTCAGTGGAGATCAACACGGATCCCGTTTCATTCAACAGAAATTGGAAACCGCCAACAGTGATGAGAAAGAGCAGGTTTTCCGTGAAATCCAGCCCAACTCCCTGCAGTTGATGACAGACGTCTTCGGCAACTATGTTGTCCAAAAGCTTTTCGAACACGGAAATCAGTCGCAGAAAAAGATCCTGGCCAACCAGATGAAGGGGCATGTGCTGGCTTTATCCACCCAGATGTATGGGTGCCGGGTGGTCCAAAAGGTAATGATGCACGTCGTCGGGTTTGAAAAGATCGTTTTCTGATTGATTAATCTTATTAGGCACTGGAGCATATCCTCACTGATCAGCAGGCCGCTATGGTTAAAGAACTTGAGAATCACGTTCTCAAATGTGTCAGGGATCAAAATGGTAACCATGTGATTCAGAAAGCCATCGAGAGAGTGCCGTCTCAATATGTCCAATTCATCATCAACGCATTCAAGGGTCAGGTGAACCGACTCGCTGCCCATCCATATGGCTGTCGCGTCATCCAGAGAATGTTAGAGCACTGTGAAGAGGAGGACCGTGAGTCTATCTTGGCGGAGCTTCACGCCTGCACTACCAGTCTCATTCCTGACCAATTCGGAAATTATGTGATCCAACACGTCATTGAGAACGGAGAAGAAAAAGATCGATCCAGGATGATTGAGGTCGTGATCTCCCAGCTACTTGTTTATTCCAAGCACAAGTTCGCGAGCAACGTGGTTGAAAAGAGCATTGAGTTTGGAGAAGAAGGCCAGCGCCAGCAGATCATCCATATGCTGACTTTCCCAAATGAGAAAGGAGAAAGTCAGCTTCTGGGGCTGATGCGCGATCAATATGGGAACTATGTTATTCGTAAGGCTCAAAAGTATGTTGTGTATTGATTTGCATTGATGGCTAACCATGTGATTAGAGAAAGTTCTGGGTCAGCTGAAGGGTGTCGAACGAGATGCTCTCGTCGAGCAGATCAAGCCGCTTCTCAGCCAGCTAAAGAAGTTCAGCTACGGGAAACAAATCGTGGCCATCGAGAAGCTTATCTTTGACCATAATTCCTCTTCGAGCAATACTCTACATAATAATAATGCTTCCTCCTCGACGCCACCTAATTCTCACAAATCTTCTCCGCTGCCTGTAAAACGGTCGCTCACGAACTTCGAACATGGCAGAGCTCCCGTCGTAGGCGGCGCACCTCCCACTCCACCCCCGACAGACAGCCAGAGTCCTGTTGATTCGAAGGGCCTGGAGAAGGGTTTCGCTAAGAGCAGCGTGACCGCCGTTTCCGAGTCCGAGGTCGACAGCACGGCTTCTACTGTCTCCTTAACTGCCCGTGGAGTGGAATCTTGAACGACGAACTCTACAACTTTTACCTTCGCCTGTTGACATAAATTCTTCTGTCCATGATTATCGAACCAACCCCGCTTCTGCTTTATAATTCGGGTGTATACATACACGGAATGCAGAAGGATATATGAGTTAAACTGTCAATGTTTGTGATTCAATGCCAGTGTTACTATGGCGTGATGTCCAAAATAATGAGACCCATATTTGTTTTCCGCGGCCTATGCTCGCCCTTTCTTTCTATGTCTATTCTTACCCAGGCTTTGTTCATTGTTTATGGTTCCTATTACTATTTTTTATTGTGGTTCTTTCTCGTCTTCTGCGATGAAGGCGAAGACTATGTCTTCCAAGAGTTTGTCCATAATGGCTTCATTACTGCTTTTTTTCTTTTCTTCCCTCCTTTTATTCACAAGGAATCCGGCGTCTTACAATTCGGGTTAGCAAGGTTGTCTACTGGGAAATGTCGATTACACGGGGCCAGTGAAATGAGAGATGGATGGGGCCAAAAACTGGAAATAAGATGGGGATACACGGGAGTTATCATTACTGTTTATTGTCCTCGCCTTGAAGCCTTCACTCTCGGTGCGGAGTGTACATTGTGGGACACAGAAGAACGAAAGGACCAACCAACAAGAAAGCCGCTCCCCAAAAAGGTGAGAAAAAGGAGTTTCAGTGTTTGCTATTGCTCATGCGGTTTTATTGTTTATAAAAACTTTCCCTTTCGATGTGTGACTACCAAGACGTGATGTATCTTTTAGCTTGTTTTAATGGGATTCACCGGGATGGGTACTTAATAATGCAGCAATGCAATGGAGGTAGGTGAATGAAATACACCGATGCACCACAAGTACATTTACATGAGCTCTATCCTGTCACACCTTGTAAATGATGGCCGTATTCGCTGCAGATATAGTTTTGATATATCTATCTGATTTAAAATGCATGAAGGGGCTTCGGCGGCGCTCTACAAGTCAAGTAACAATATTAGTTAGTAGCCTGGGCTTTAGATTGACTCGCAGATGTCTGAAATAGACTATTATGATCTACCTTAATATTATACTCGGCATGCTGTTGGGTTTATGAGCATGGTTCCTGTCTTCCTCACGTGATGCGGCCCATGTCATATCCATCACTTCTCGACAATCTCTTGGAATATCCCCACATCTACGTAACAAATCCCCGAACGTCTAAAGAAAGACCAAAAAGAAAGAGAAAGAGAGAAATGTCCTCGAACGTCGGCCTCTCCACACCAAGAGGAAGCGGCACATCAGGCTACGTTCAACGAAACTACGCCTTCCTCAAACCCCGAAACGCAGGCTACGGCGCCCCTTACCCACCACCAGGCGCAGGCACGAAATCATCATCCTCATCAAATAAAGACAGCCCGGACGGAGCAGCACGTCCATTCCACCACCGCCAACCGGATAGGCAGATCCTAGAACATGACAGACGGCGGGCGATCGAGGTGAAAGTTCTCGAGGAACGGGAAAGACTTGAAGAGGAGAATGAAAGGCTAGAAGAAGCCAAGGATAAAGAGAAGAAGATTCTCTCCGAGGAAGATATTGAGGAACGATGCAATGAGTTGAGGAAGAAGTTATTGAGGGAGTTGGAGGATGCGGAGGATCGGAAGCGGAAAGGTGAATCTGAATTTTCTGCTGAAGGTGGGAGACGGAATCGTCGACGAGGGATGTCGCCTCCCCCGCGGGAGAGGAGGCAGTTCAAGTCCTACCAGGTTCATGAGTTGGCGGAGGCAAAGATTGAGGAGAGTGAGCGGCTTCGGAAGGCGTTGGGGATTAGAGAGGATTGGGAGAGGGAAAGGGGTAGGGAGGAAGGGAGGTAGATGGCTTTTCTACTGGTTCTGTTTCTTTTTCTACTAAAAAATGGATGCGAAGGTTCTGAAGGCTATGGCGTTAGGTGGTTAGGTGCTGGTTTCTTCTTTTAGCATGAGGGAAGGATTATTATCATCTTGGATGCTGAGAAATGTCTATCATTCATGATATATCCAAATCATTACATGGTGTCTACCCGTCATCCCCAATGGACTTTTCCAGTATACCCATAACCAACCTCATCTAAGTGAGAAACTTTTCAATAACCCATCCCTCCTTCAAATCCTTCCTCTGCAGCACCTTCTTGGCAGGCAACGGCCATCCTGTACTTCCAGCCTCCCCGACCAGCGATGGAACTACCCAACAGATGCGCTTTGGAGGGACATCCTCCACAGCCTCCGCCTTGCCAATAGGCTTCCCATACTCTATCAGTGGAGTGCCATGAGCAATGGCAGAGAGTTGCAGCCCGCTCGGAGTAGCGAGAGGGAACATCCGGATCTTCGCCACTTGATCGGAGACCAGAGCAGACGACGATTGCTGGAGATGAGAATACACGATATACTGTGGCATTTCTGTCGGCGAGAATTTGGCGAGGACGGATGATGGGTGAACGTAAACGGCTCTCTCGGATAGCTCTTTGCCCGGTCCATCGCGGGACCTTAAGAGCGTGAGGTAGGGGACGTCGATGGCCCTCCTCGGTTTTCGTGGCATTTCCGGTGGGATGGGCGCACAGTCGGCGCGGATGGCAACGTTGTCGATGAATCCGGCCGTCACTATCTGTTTGAGTGCCTTGACTTGTTTCCCGGATGGCTCTGGGAGGCGCGCCTCGTAGGGTCCCATCAAACCTGGGTTATTGGCACGGACGATGTCCGTCAGTTGACGCCGGAGTTGGGATGCTTCCTTGAACGCCTTAGATCGGAGAAACATCTTCTCGCAGAATGAGTCCGGATTCGAGGCGTAGGCATAGGCGCAGACTGCTGACATGAACTTCAATGCGTCCGAAGCGTCGTCGTGTTTACTGAAAAGGCGATGCGCCCTTGCGTAGTCTTTGCCTCTATTTTCTCTCGCTGTATCTTCTAGCCGGTCTGAGTTCGTATATACCTTTTCTTCTTCCCCGCCGTCGTCTTCTTTGGAAGATGCCATGTCAATTTGGTTCTCCGGGATGAATAAATCGCCAACTGCCAATGCTGCGACGAGGGCGATGACGTACGGCATGCAGCCGTGCTGATGACCGATGTGTAGCATCTTCCCGAACCTGGGAGACAAGGGGTATGTAGATAAAGACCGACCGATCGCCGTCACCTGCCCATTTGAAGTGAGAGCTCCCAGGTTTTTTAATAGTTTCTCGGCTTTTACCAGGCCCTGCCGGCTAGGAGGAGTGGGAAATGGGAAATTTATAACATTATGGAGACCCATGCTCTTCATTTGGAGCACAACACCTTCGATTGGTGTTCGTAGAATCTCCGGGTCCGTGTATTCAGCGAACTCTCCTTCGTACAACGCAGACGAGTATAACCTGTAGCAGTGACCAGGCCCAGTTCGTCCCGCTCGTCCCGCTCGTTGATTGGCACTTGCTTTGCTGATCCAGCCGATCTGAAAGCTTTGAACTCCGGTATTTAGATCGTACTGTCTCTCCTTTGCTCGTCCACAATCGAAGACGTACTTTATTCCAGGAATCGTAAGACTAGTTTCAGCAACGTTGGTCGCTAAGACAATTAGTCGTGAGCCTTCCGGAGGTGGTTCGAAGACCTTCATCTGTTCCTTCGTAGGAAGTTGGGAGTAGAGAGGTAATATGTGGACTCGCGTAGATGAGTCCATTGCCTCCTCATCTAAGTCAAACCCATCGTCTTCCTCATCGTCATCTAGGCCTGTGATTTCCAGGTCGCTGTCGTCATCATCCCCATTTCCTGGAGTAGGTATCTCACTGCCGCCTAATTCCATATCCTCCGTTTCGAGCGGTGCATCGTTGGCGGATATCTGAACCTTTGCCTGAATCACCTCACCACGCTGTGTGGGTTTGAAGGTTTGTTTCAGACGTCTGGCGAGGTATTTTATCTCGTTCTGCCCTGTCAGGAATACAAGCATGGCCCCTGGAGGCAGTTTGCGATGTCCTCTCGAGACCTTCCTGAAAGCCTCTTCAACATAATCACGATGTGTCCGTCTGGAGAAGTGGATGGTAACAGGATACTGCCGGCCCTCTGCTTGTACCAGCGGCGGCGGACCTTGACGGAAAAGACTCGTATTCTGCGTGAAATCCGAAATCCGCAGCGTTGCCGACATGATGACAAGTTTCAAAGGTTTGACAGACGGATCTTCCTCGCTCATAGTCTTGCGTAAATCCACAATCCGACTAACCATCCCGATGAGAATATCTGTATTGACACTCCGCTCATGGGCTTCATCAATGACAATTATAGAGTATTTACTCAATGAAAAGTCGTCCGCAATTTCCCGTAGTAAGATTCCATCAGTCATGAACTTGATAGCGGTCTTATTAGTTGCCGTACTTTCGAAACGGATCTGGTAGGAAACTTGGCTAGAAAACTGCCCCAGTTCGTCGGCAACACGTTTCGCCATACTCACAGCAGCAACCCTGCGCGGTTGAGTTACACCTATCATTCCCGGGTTGGGGCTGTCTGGATTTCCATAACCAGCTTCGAACAAGAACTGTGGAATCTGAGTGGTCTTCCCGCTTCCAGTAGCTCCCCATATGACAACGGTTTGGTTGTTGTATATTGCCTCCATTATTTTCTGCTCCTCACCAACCACGGGCAACCCCAGACGCGCAGCTTGCATTTCCTCGGAACGGTTAACCTGGACGCTGAAAGCTTTCCGATCCGGATCCCCCTTGGTCGTCTGGAGTTCTAGGGGTAATGGCTCTTCTTCTGCGACAGTATTCCTTGGAAGTTTCTTGGGTTCAACGAACGGCTGCTCCGTCACGATAGGCCCTGATGTGGGCTTGAATCCCACTGTTTCATTGATCTGCTGTACTGCCCAAGCTTTAAAAGAGGATCTTCTGGGTTGATCCTCTCTAGCAGATGCTGAGCTATCTTCTTCATCACCCTCGTCACTGTCCTCATCGCTATTCTCGCTTTCCTCTTCATTCTCAGAAGGTTCTCCGGATGAGGAACCGCTATCTTCTCCTGGCGCTGTTTGTTCATGAGCGCCATCGGAGTGGATGGATCCGTCATCTTGAACACCTCCCTCCGCTTCATCTTCCGAGTCAAATCCTTCCCACGGTATTTCCTCTACTGGTTCCTTCACTGGTTTCACCTTGGGTGCTCGCTTGCGTTTCTTGATGATTGGGAACCCATCGGGTCCAACTTCAAGAGGTCGTTTCAGCCCACTCCCAAATGTCACTGGCACCGCTTGAGACTTATTTGTATCTTTGCTTACGGCGTCATCTAGCTTCTGGTCCCCTTCGTCCGCCGAAAGTTCTGAATCAGAAACAATTCCGTCCGTCGCGTTAGCAGCTGTAGGTGCCGAAACAGCTTCGGTATTTGAATCGTGTCTTTTTCGCTTCCCAAGGTTCTTGGAACTCTGAAGTTTGGATGTATCGACCTTGGACTGGGCTAACTTTTTAAGCAGCTCGAGGTTTTCCTCTTTCTTAAGCTTGTTTTCCTATAGCAGAGGTTAAAATAAAAGGTAAGATGAATTGCACATTCTTCCACGCACAATGTATTTATCTAGACGCTTCTGTTTCTTTGACGAAACCCGCTCATGCTGTGCCCTCAGCTCTTCTCTGAGCTTTTGCTTTTTTGCTTCCTTTTCACTTTTTGAAATGGGAAGTATCTCAGCAACATTTGTGTCAACAAGTGCTGTGCTTTCCTTCTGTCTGTTTTTATGTTTCCGTTGGCGGGGTGTAAATTTCGTCATTATGTATGATAATTAACCCTGACTTCTAGGGTAGACAGGGATCATGAACTTATAGAGCAAAGGAATGATGGACATTTGCAGATTACTAGATGTAGCAAAAAAATCAGAAATGTGAGAGGCGGTGAAGACATTCTGTCCACAAAGCGGTGAGAGAAACTTCACCGCCTTTTGCTTGTGCAAGGATAACGTCTTTCTTCCAATTCAACTTGACCTTCAGCATCCATCTACAGAATAATTACTTGCCGAAGGATTGAAATACAGTGTAAGCTTTGCATGTCCCATTAAACCCAAGTCTTCAGCCAGCAACCAACCAAATTGAACAGAATGACCACTATGACTCAGCCATTTGACCTTAACCAATTCCACGAGTCCCTGGATATTCCCTTTCCAGCTGCTACTAAACAGATTGCTGGGACGGTCAAGGGGATCCAAACAGACGTCATGTCAGTTGGCTTCAGCGACAAGATCTTAGTCACCATTTCCCAGAAAGGCCGGCTCAATCATTGGGTAAACCTCCCCTAAAACGTCTCCCGTCAAGATCCTTCCACTGAAACGCCTTAGCTACATGTACCACTAGAGAACAGGAATCCAGGAACAGATGGATTGCATACAATCTCAGAAGCGACAGATGATAGTCTTCTTCCAATTACCAACTTGACCGCGACAACACTGTTAGGTGGCCATGCCCCTGGACAAGATATCATTGGTCAGCTGTATGCTCGTCAGATTGCGAGTGCTATTGCTACCAAGTCTCCAGGCGAAAAGAGATTACTTGTTGTCGGACTGGGGCTCGAGACCACTGATGTTGACCAAGATGCGTTCTTTGACATCATTGATCTTGCCCTTCAGTGTATATGAGCTCCTTATAGCGAAGTTGTAAGAAAAAGAGCAAAGAAAACAAGGGGGGGGACACGTAAAATGAATCCGAAGATGACTCACCGAATCTGATCAGGAGGTTGGCATTCTGCCTAATTCTAGAGATGTCTCAGGAAGAAATGACCCATGCCGTACGCGATTCGAAAAATTTCACCAAGTTCCTCCTTATTGAAACCTTTGAGTGTTATATCTCCAAGGATTTCTAAACCTCCATTGAATATGGTGCGAACGAGGTCTTTTTCGTCAAATCCTGGTATTTTCCAGTTTGGACCCGCGACTATGGTCAGTGAATACACTGTGAGCGGTCCTTTCGTGTACTTCAGTGTCAGCATGAAGTTGGTGAAGCCCCAACGCCTGTGCAGAGCAACTAGCTTATCAGAAGAGCCAAGCTCGAGAGTGATTGACTGGTACTTCTTTTCGTACTCGATCTCGTCTGTTCTGCATGGATACTGGAGGTGTTTGTGAAACCCTTGAACGTGGCAGGATACAAGGTCTTCCATGCGGCGCTCGAACACAGCAAACGAAGTCTCCTCGTACTCTTTGAATACCAGGTTGCGATATCTCAAGGAGCACAACAAAGCAAGTGAGGCTTCATGATAAATAACATGACAGGTTCTCAGAATTGCGAGGTTATCTGCCGGGACATGTCCCTTCGTCTCGATCTCGACTCGACCGCCATCGTGTGGGAAGAGGTAGCCGTATATCTTGAACCTCAGGCTAATCGGAAGACGGAAAAGCTGGCAACGTAAGCGTTCACTACCTGCCACTATGGCTGGTCTGACCAGTTTGGAAGCCTCGCGAACTGCCACGCTGAGGAAAGTTTCCTGTTTAGGTTGTCTAGTGGGATCCTGGCCGCTGCCATCGGGCTTCTCGGCTTCCGGTTCGTAAAATGGCAACGTCAAGCTAACGACTTTAGTTAGCTAAGGCATGCTAAAGAAGAGTGCAGTACTTAGTGGCCAGATGACTTACCCATGAACGCAATCCTCGGGTACAGAAAGGGGAGGTTCCCACGCGCGAGTACTGGAAGGATTAGGAGGTAGATCCAAATCCATCGGTAATTCTGCATCCATAATTTGTTCTGGACTCATGTCGCCAAGAATAAATTTGTTTGTTTGTCTCTTGGATTTATAGGCAGAAGATTTCTCTTGGTTTAGTTGAACCTTATCAAAATATGAATAAGTCAAGCAAAGAGGCTTGCTCTTCTTGCTTCTCTGTCTGGGTTGACTTCAAAGGGCAAGGTCCAACCTTCATCCAGTACTGGGATTCCTTTGAGCTATCTAATGAACAATTGGGGAAGAGAAAGAGGAGAAGACATTGTAGGGGAAGAAGAGGAAACAAAATGCCTGAAATGCCTTTTTTTCGTGGGAGACCAGGGCCATTCACACACATTGCTTAGTCGCCATTTCAATAAATTCTGTAGTTTAACTCTGGGCACCAGATTCTCACACAAATCAATCCATAAGAACATATATTGATCAAAGAAACATCCGCCAAATCTTTGTCAGGCAGTTAAGATGCTGCCGTTATGAAAGTTGAGGAGCGAGAGGCTTCTAATTCCAAGTTCCTTGCACTTGAGACGACAGGGAGACAGTGGCCGCCCTTTCTTGAACCTGGGGCGGAAGTAGGAATCTTTCGTTTCATGACTTGTCCTGAATTGTCTTCCTTGGTCTTGAATTGCTGTATGCAGCAGCGTGCGATATCGACTATCAAGGACAGGTGAGACGAAGACAGGCCGTCTCCTTGTATATACGCAGAGAAATACGTTCTTCGCAAAGATAGCTGGTTTTCCACGAAAGAAAGCATAGTTGTCCGATTTTGACAAATCCACTCGACCTTTTGAAAGATTTGTCACGAAGACTTTACGCAATGGTCAGGCAGTCGAGGATGGCGAACATGAGCAAGGCACAATGTCTAACGGGGATCAATGGAGTGGATAGGATGTCTGACGAGAATATGAACAGTCTATTGCAAGGGCTAGGGAGGAAGAACACACAGAAAACAAAAGAAGGGGAACGTACTCCTTCAAAATGGCAAAAATATCATCTAATGGTATCATCGTATGCATCATTGAAAAGAAAGCTTGTCCAACATAGGTATATACAGGCATGAGCAACATCATGAGCCATGTCCCAAATAAGCCAACCGTGAGAACGAAGAGAAACAGGCCGACTAGTTTTGCTTTAATCATGAGCGTTCATAATGCAAGCTTCCCTTGAATGCCAGATCCGCCTTCTCCTGACGACGCCAGCGCCGAAGGTATCTTTGATAGGGCCCTCATTATCATAGACTACCGATGTATGCGCAGTTTTGTCTAGGCCGCCGTCTTTGGCTGAGGAAGACTTCTCCAAGACCCGGACTTCCTCTATACTGGCTCCGAATTCATATTCCCCTTTGCAGAGGACAGTAACCCCAAGAGTTGCCTGAGCACTTTCACCCTCATGCAAAACGGGGAGAACCCTCTGTAGCATTCCCGTCCATGCAAGACGCCGTGAAAGGTCAAGGGCAATATTGCTGGGCTGATTGCGGAGGCTTGGCTGTAGTCTGAGAAGAGGGTGAATGGGTTTGGAAGAACGATTGCGAACTATTACGACAAGTTTCAGTAATTTGTCCGTTTTCACATTATACTTCGAACATCCGGTTTGCACGACCGCGTTGCTCTCCTGGGCAGCCGCATCGACCTCGAGCGGAGCCACCGAAAAGGAGACGTTCACATCCTCCAGATGAATGGCATCCACCATCCGAGAATTCAAACGAATGTTTCTCAAATCAATCACCCCTTTTCGCCCGCCGAGAGTCTCACTCCATGTTCCAAATATTCTCTTGAGAAGCTCTTCGCTGTACCAGAATGCCTCTCTCGACGCTGCTTCAGCTTCGAACGTCTGTTTATTTGCACTGACGACGAATTGTCTCTTAAATCCAGTATTGAGAAGTGGAATAGGAGCACGGGGATTGTCTAGATGGATGCGGGGAAGAACAAGAACGAACCGAGATATCTGACCCGGTTGCAATTCCCCATCGACTTTATATTCGCCATCCACACATTGACTTGGAAGTATCTCTGTTGAAGATATAATAGGTTGCTCGCTGATGTTCAGTGACACTGAAATAGGACTCGGCCAGGCGTTCCGAAGATCAAGCAGGGCAATGCAATGATCATGTCCATGCGGGCTCCTCCTAAGGAGTGAGAGCACCGACGAAAATCGACTGTTGTCAACATTGCTGTTGATGATAGGATATGACTTTACCAGACTCTGAACGATTTCATCTTTGTTTGTCTCCAACTTCGGGTCGTCTTCTAAACTGTTCCACCAGGCAAAATCTTCGCTGAACGGAAGTATATCACAGCGCATCACTTCTATGCTAGCATTTACCGTGATAGTGAGCGGAACGAACAGTTGTCTTGTGTAGAATACATCTGGCAACTCGCTGCTGGATAGGCCAATGCTGGCATAGTCAATCTGAACCACTGCATCTTGTAGGCCTGGTTTCCCGAAGACATCAACAGTGTACGTAGCACATTGGCCAGCAGGTATTGAGATATTCCCCGTCGAGGAATCATCACGTTGCCATCTCAGTCCCGGCCGGGTTAATAGCTTCAGTTGCAGCTCATATACCTCTTCTGGTAAAAGGTCTTTATTAGTCAGGGCAGACTCAATCTGCCTGGCTGTAGAATCGCGGAAAGTGAAATGGATAAAATCAAGAGGGCAGTCAGAAATATTACGGAGCGTAATTTTGAAGGACCTTGTTTCACCCTCCAGAACCATCATTGCAGATTGGGACAACGACATTGTTTCTATAACGAGTGAGGGTTGTCGACGAATGACTTTGACCTCGCAGGGAGATGTCTCTGGGCCCTTCTTTGAGAAGACCTTGCCTTCCTTCGAACCTGAAGAGCTCCAGGACAGATGGCGTTGGATCAAAGGTATTTTCGCCGACAGTCCAGTGCGTTTGAGTTTAATTTCAGGCTCAGGTCTCCATGACGTCGTAAAGATGGGGAACTTTCGCTCGCGACAATGCCGAATCTTGACTATACAACCAGTGATGTTAAGAACACCTTCTGTATGGGCAACGCCAGAAACTATAATCTCTTGCAACGAAAGTGGAGGGAGTAAAATGCCTTCCATCCGGGCGTCTATCGGTGCGCCCTCGCTGTGAAGACGGAGGCTTTCGATTTCTAGATCGAATTCATAAGGATTTTGGAGCGTGACTTTGAATGATGCATGTTCACCAGTAACCATGAGTAGCTCAGTCAATTTGCTACTTGGCTTAGAGAAAGGATTATATAAAAACGGATCCTTGGTAGATTTCTCGTGGTTAATTATTGCACCTGGGTCCGCCTTGGATTGGCGAACAGGCCTCCTTGAGCCTGGGAGAGGTAGCAGTTGAACGCCGCGGACTAGAAAGTCATCCCAGTATTCTGCGGATAAGTCAGGCAGGCCTAATCTCTGAGCTGCACCAACTGTTCGTTTTATATTGTTCAAAAGTCTGACTTGCTCATCCGGAGGCAAACATGGGGGAACTCTGTAGGTTTCAGTGAGCATTAAATCTCCTCTAATTGTTTGAAGGAGCTCAACCGTAAAACGAAGAACACCTTCAAAGTCAGGTAGCGCTTCGCAGCAGTTGATGCACGTCCTAAGAACATCAATTTTCAAATTGAGGTCTCCATATCCGTTCAATACAGAATGACGAGCAGCTCGTTCGATGATAGCTGAGACAGAATCGTACGCAGAGTGGCGCTGGTCTTCATCGCTTTTCTCTAAATCGTAGAATTCCGACCGCTGAACGCCATACACTTCCCCTATTGCTGCAAGAACAGAGCGTATACTTTCTTCCATATTCCCCGGGCCAATATCGAGGGCGTTGATATCAAAAGCAGTGTCACTCAGCGATACCAAACCAGCTGCCGGATGAATTCCAGCCTCTGCGGCACCGATCTTACGAGCTTGAACAAGAGTGGGCACCATTGTTGAAAGAAGCCCCTTTAGGACCAGAGCTTTCTTTCGAGGGAGATCCAAAGCACTCAAGACAGAGGCCACCCCAACCACGATAGGGACAAAATCAGTGGCAGGTAGGTTGGAATTCTGTGGTGGAAATGCGCGAAAAAGAAAGTTCACTATATCAGATTTTCGAAGAATGACTGTTCCTCGATGGCGTTCCGGCTGCTGCAGCGGCACTAAAGGCTCATTCATAACTATAGATCTCAATGCATTATCATCCAGCGTCCCATCACGGGTCCGAACGACTACCAGTAACCTTGCAAGACGGATCACTGTTTCAGAGTAAGCCAATTGAGGCACCGGTTCGTCTGTGATATTGGCCGCACGGTTATAAAGATGGAGAATGTTATTTGAAAGATCGGGAAGCAAATTAGCCAGATTTTGGAGGGAAACAATGCGATTCCCAGGCACTGAACTGGGATCAAAGTTGCCGATAGATGATTTTGAAGATTTGTCTGCAATCGGATAACAAATAGGAGGTATCTACACGATCATCAGCGACATAAAGAGGAAACTTGAGGCCAGAAACATAAGGTGACATACCTGAAAGTCCATCCCTGCCCAGCCAAACATAATCAGGCAGAGTAAAATCAACTCAAGAGCCTTAGCATACCACACGTAGTCGCTGCCCGCTCTGGCCGTTGCCGCGGCCTCAACGAGCTCCTTTAGAGCATCCGGCCATCGGCCTACCTTAAGATAGAGCGAACCGATCACCACTCCACGACGTCCTTTGATCCGGTTCTTGACTCGATCACTCGCGCTCATATTACTGGTCGACATTCGGTCGCGACTATGCTCTTTGGGAGATGAGATGGAACTTGTCTTATTTATTAAACTTCGGTTCGCCAACTGTATGGAGCGCGTTATTTCATCAAACGTTGTAGGAGTATCATAATCTCTGGAAGTCGGTGTACTCTGTTCGGAACTCAACGAAGTTTCAGATATACCATTTGGACTAGACGGGAGATGCGTTGGCATAGTCATTCGATGGGCCATCTTGTCCACCGGTCGAGGGCGTATTTCTGGACCTCGATGAGGACCCCACGACAGAGCTTTTGGGGATTCAATAGAAGGTAGAGTTTGCAGCGTTTTCGCAAATTCATCCAATTCCGAAAGAAGAAGTGAGGTTATATCGCATAGGACAGTTTTCATAGTTGTAGCTCTCGAAGCTTCGGGTCGTGGAATCCATGAAACATCATCCGGGCCACTGACGAGGTTGTCCAGCCCATCAAAATCAAATATTAGAAGTTGATGGACCAACGCTCTAGAGTTCTTCTCCCTTGCCATGTCCAGCTCTTTCAGGAGCTCATCAAGTCCATCCGGTGTCGGGACTTTCACATTCCCATGCTCTTTATTTGATTCTGTTCCTCTAAATGTCTCCCCTGGGCTCTGTGACAGCTCTGCTCCATCAGCTATCGCAATGATAACCAACGGTTCTCTGAAGATCTCGAAAGGAAACAAATCCAAATGTGATATCGGAGGAACTGAGAAAGACAGGTCGAAGAGGATCATTCCCGTAGGAAACGCCAGCGGCGAAAACATGTCTATCACAGCAACTGTCAGCCTCCGCAATGACTCCATTAATTCTTGAAATTCCCAAATAAAGCATAGGAAGCAAGCGTACTTCGGTTTGGCCGCGCATCAGGGCTAATATCTCCCAAGCGAATTATATTTTCCGCTTGAAGTCTTGCCGCAAATCCCAAAAACCTCGACTTCCTTATTTTTCCCACTGGAAGTAAAAGGGCCCGGACCCGCGCAGGTGCAATAGGGGAAAGAGGATCAACGTCCATCATGGCATCTGGAGGGCAACGGAGTGGAGGCAGTCTGCGGGGAGCTCAAGACTGCTTCCCCAGGTGTTAACGGAATCCTGGCTGTCATACGAAGCAGTGACCCGTGAAAGAAGCCAAGATTAAAACATTGTAAGGAGAGAAAAACAGGAACAGGAATGAGGTAATGAAGTGGCCTGCAATCTCAAGTCACCGGCCGAATGGACACAGTTTAAGTATGGTATTAAATAAACGGCCAAGCTACCCCCTGCGAACTGCTGCGTGAGCGGCGGCCCCGGAACACCGTATATCTGAGCATCCACCCTAAGCCCTAAATTCCTGATTCTGCAAGGCACCTGACCAAAAACACTAGTCCGTAAGAGGAAATATATTATAATCACGTGTGATAAGATAAGCACCCGAGGCTTTAACTCCGTGTTCTCCGCCTCCGGGGTTGCTTTGCCTATCTTGATTCAGCTCCAGTCGTCTTCTTCCTGCGTATCCCATATACTTTTGTCTTTCATTCTTTTTTATATCGTGCTTGATTTCCCCTCATTCAGGGTTGACTTGCATTCTTTCTCCCCAAGGGGATTCTCTCGTTCGAGTCCGTCTATCTGTCAGCAGGTATTGGTCTTATGGCCAGCATCAACTTCCTCGTTATACACACTTGATATAATCTCCTTTTCGCAAAGGGGGGGAGATAATACATAATACATATTCCATCGGCTTTTCTATATACCCATCATAAGATGGCACAGAAGATGGACTTCAACGCGCTCAAGGCGCGCACTATGGGGTCGGGCACTGATGAGGAGGCTGTAACTGTTGACACGCGGGGTCTAATTTCAAAAGTCCTAGCACGATATTCGGGGAAATGGTAAGTGAAGCCTTATATTGAGGTTTTCTTTTGGTTAGCGAGGTTTCTCACTGGCTTGATAGGACTGTCTTGCGAGAAATGATACAGAACGCAGCCGATGCTTCCGCCACCAGAGTAACTGTGAGATTTGAGACGTTACCATCCACAATTGTCCCTCTCCCTCCAGGCGGTGACCAAACCACGCTCATAAAGCACGTTATTTCTCATCATACGCTGAAACGCCTTCTTATATCTAATAACGGTGTCCCCTTCAGCGAAAAAGACTGGGCAAGGCTGAAGCGGATCGCAGACGGGAACCCAGATGAGACAAAGATTGGTGCATTCGGTGTTGGCTTCTACAGTGTATTTGATGACTGCGAAGAGCCATTCGTGTCTTCTGGGGGGCAGGCGATGGCTTTCTATTGGAAGGGGAATGCGCTCTTTACGCGTCGGCTGCGGTTGGATGAAGGATCAAATCCAGAAACGACATTTGTTTTGGATTATCGCAATGATTCTTCTCCGGTTCCATCATTGCTGCAGCTATGCCAGTTTTTGGCAAGCAGCCTTACGTTTGTCGGCTTAGAAACAATAGAGCTGTGGCTGGACGATTGGAACCTCCTGCAGCTTAAAAAGAAGACTGCTCCGAGCGTCAACCTCGCAATCCCAAAATACATCCAAACCAAGACAAGTCAAGGCCTGATGAACGTTTCAAGTGTTACTAGGGAAATTGCTCAGGTGGATGCAATCTGGATGCGTGTTGTTGAATGGAACCCACACGCGAGTTCATTTAGTCTGGATAACTTGAGGGAAACAACAGGTTCGCTACGTACATTTTTTTCGAGACTTACCGGTCAAAGCAGCCTGGATAAACCACAGAAAGTCGAGAAAAAGGATAAGATTGGTGAAACAGAAGATATGACCAAGATATTAACGGCATCTGTTTTCCTGCACATCAATACTGCATCCATTGAAGCGTCTATCAGTCAATCGCTCAGTAGCGAACTTGAACGCGCTACCCGAAAGCCACCCCCTAAGAGGACTACTATCGCCGTTTTGACACCTTCTTACGATGCCAATATAGCTTCTGCCTCATCTTCATCTAGTTCCGAGGTCCTTGCGTCGATTCTACCGTCTAAGGCCGGGAGGGTTTTTATAGGATTCCCAACTCAACAGACTACTGGCCTGAATGCTCACATCTCTGCCCCCTCTGTTATCCCTACTGTCGAACGAGAGAGCATTGATCTCAATACTCGATATATTAGTAAATGGAATTTTGAAATGCTGAGGGCAGCCGGTATTGTGTGTCGCGTCGCCTGGTCTGCTGAAATGGCATCTATAAAATCCAAAATACTTTCGAGGCGCGGGCAATCCAGATCTTCGAAACTTCGAATGGATGACATAAAATATGTGATTCCGGAGGCTATTCACACTGCAAACCAGTTTACATTTCAAGAGTCTACCCCATCATCTGTGCTTGGACAGACAATTGAGGATGCATTCTGGATGTGCAATAAAGAAGCGTCTATCGAATTGCTTTCAACCTGCGGTATTATTCCAAGTCATCAAGTTCGCATTGCACCAAAGGAGCTTAGCTTTATGGATTCCATACCAGCTCTACCAGACGAGTTCGTGGTGAAAGCAAAGGACTTCGTCAAGAAATTAACGGATTTTGGGCTGGTAACCGACATCACGGTGTCGGATATCAAACGGGAGTTAGAAGCCAGCACTCTACGCTCATCACAGGTCACTGAATTTCTTACTTGGATTGGCCAAAAGGCTGTCTCTGGACAACTCGATACATTCTCGGTCCAGAGTCTTTTGCATGTGGCGGTAGCAAATGATGAGGACGTTGATGGTATCCCGAGTAAACTGATTGTTTTCGCGAATATAGATGGTTTCTTGAATCCTCAGCGCATTCCCGCTGAGCTACCGTTACCGCCTTCTGTGATACCTTTTAAATTCACGAAGACACTGAGTAAGTCAGAGCTAGAGGCCCTTGGATGGACAGAACTACATACAGTTCCTTGGATACGTTGGATCGTGAACAATGCCGGAAACCGGACAGTCCTCTCCCTAGAGCAAGACATTACGCAGACGCCATCATTTTCCGCGCAAGTGCTACCAGTTTTATCTAAGCAATGGGAGGGCCTAAGTCAGTCATCCAAGCAAACACTGGTTGGACTCTTACAGCCACGAACGGTCATTCCAACGAAGCTTGGGATGAAACGGCCTACCGAAACCTATTTCCCATCTGTACGCTTATTTGATGATCTCCCGGTCTTACATGGCTTAAATGGCGTTAAGGAGAAATTTTTAGCCGCACTGGGTGTCCGTAAAACTGTTGAACTGGGTGTTATTTTTGAACGTCTATTGAACACCGCACAGTTGGCTGAAACTGACAGCAAAAGTCAGAGGAAGTGGAGTCACGTTGATTTGATACGTTACCTCGCTTCTGTTCGAGATGACATCCCTGCGAGCGATATTGAAAAACTCAAAAACGCCAGGATATGTGCGGCAGAAGCTAACGATGACTCTCAGCTTGATCAAAGCAAACTCTACAAGATATCGGAACTTTTTGAACCTAAAGATTCATTGAGGAGCCTTGGACTGCCCGCCATTGCATGGCCTGGTAAATTCCAGTCAAGCAGTAACGAAGGCAGATTCCTTGGTGTCCTGGGCTTGAAGAAGTATCCCTCGGTCCCAGAGCTTATCCAGATCATGGCGAATACATCGCCCGGAAAGCGTGGTCTTCATGGGAAAACAATGTCCTACTTTATTACTGAATACTATGTGAACGGATACTCGTCGTATAGTTGCAATACAGTTGACGTTCCGTTCTTGCCGGTTGAAGGGTCAGACAATTTGAGTGTTCCAAGCAAATGCTTCACGGATGAAGGCGCTGCTCTGTTTGGATTTAAAATCCTCCGGAAGGACCTACATCCAAATTCGTTAAAGTTGGGGGTGAGACAACATCCGGCAGTGACCGATTGCATTGATATTTTGATCCAGCAACCTCCGATCACAAGGAAAGACGCAAGGGTTTTCTTCAAGTATCTGGCTGGCAGGGTAGCAGACCTCAGCAAAAGAGACATAGACCGCGTCGGAAACGCACTTATCGTACCCATTGGGACTAAGGATATTGCTGAAAAGGATCAAATTACTCGTCTCGTTGCGCCTAAACTTTGCTATCTTGGCGAAGGCGAGGATTACAAGGATATTTTCGACTTCGTAGACTTTGGTCAAGAAGCGAATCTTTTTCTTATGGCCGTGGGTTCAAAACGAGAACCAACAAAGGTCGAACTTGCCCGTATGCTTGTGAAAGAGCCGGTGAGGATATCCTCGATATTTCAAAGTTCGGATAAGTATCTCAAGCTTCTCAGGGCTCTTGCTGAGAACATTTCAACTCTCAAAAAGGACAGAGAGCTTGTTCAAGAGATGAAAAGAGCCGCGTTTCTTTTGGCTAGCAGGGATATCACCTTTGAGGATCAAAAGCAGAATGTGCAGGCGACTAAGGCTGGGTCAGAAGATGAATCCTACGAGGACGAGGATCAGAGTATCAAAGAATGGACGCTGGCAGCTGCGCGAGATATAGTGGTCGTGGATGACTTCCAGAGTTTTAATCTCTTCAGGGAACATATACTCGTCGCACCACAAGAGGAACTTCTGGAACATTTCTATTATACCCTAGGAGCCATCCCCCTGAGCAGCATTGTGGAGGAACGGCCTCAATGGGGTTCGGTATCTTCTGATCAGCGGCCTGCTGTCAAATTACAAAAGCTTATAAGCGAACGATCGCGACTCTTCCTGCACGACCAGCCACCGGATTCTATACGGCACGATAACAGATGGTTGGAGAAGAACTTGAATGTGCGAGTAGTGCATTCGATCTCCCTCACACGATCTCTCAAAGGCCGTAGCGTGTCACATACGCAAAAACGAAGCGCAATTATTACCCAACAACAAGGGTCTTGGACTCTTTGGATCTGCCCTGGCAAATATGATCTGTACGAAATAAGCCAAGCTTTGGTACACCTTATTCTCATCCGACCAAAGCTCCATTCGACTCTCACATTTGAGATGCTGTTGAAAACCGATTTGTTGGAACTCAAGGCACGGGGGTACAATGTGGAGCGTATTCTTAAACAGAAGGCCCACGAGGCAAGAGTGGCTGAAGAAAGACGCCAGAAGCAAATAGAAGAAGAACGTCAACGACTCCAAGAGAGAGAGCTTGAATGGACAAAAAGTCGAGCTCAACCAGAGAACGGAGGTACTTTGATGCCAGGAGACTTCCCGGACGATTCACCTCCTCGCAAGAACGCCAGTCATGATCTACAACCTGAGGAGTCAGTGCCTAACCAGAACCAGCAACCGCGCGGCTTGTTTGCCAACCTGACCAGACGTTTCGGTCTGGAAGCCGGAAGGAAATCAACGCCTCCCACAGTTGGTGGACCGTCGCAGCCCCATTCCTCTGATTCCCAAGGAAGTGCTGGTCCTCCTCCACCATACTCTGTCAACGACCCGAAAGACGCCAGGCCAGAGCAACCTGTAGCCGTTAATTCACCCCACAAGCTGCATAATGAGCTCCTTTCTGCCATACAAGCCTGTCGACCGCACGGGTCTTCTGACTTCTACAGCCGGCCGGAAGTCAACCAGATCACTGAAGCGAAGACCTACTGTGACGAGAGACCTAGTCAGGATTTAGAATTTGTCGCCAGTCTGCCTTCTGGTCTCAACATCTTCTTTGTGAAGTCTATCAGAGACCGATCTGCTTTCCTTGCTGAAAATAGCATTGGCATCAATCTGTTTGCATCAGTGCTGCTGGACTGTGCAGCTGCCTTTACAATGCGCAGCAACAGCCTCAGCATATTCTACGACCCTGGAGGGAAAACCATAGCCTTTAATAGGGCAGGTAGTATTTTCTGCAATTATTTTTACTTCAAGGAACTACATCAGAGAGACCTACTCCAAAGTCCCAGTCTTATGCCTGACAGGACTGAGGCGACAGTGTACTGGTGGGTGGTACTTTGTCATGAACTGGCGCACAACCTTGTTGCAGATCACAGCTCAGCACATAGTTACTACAGGTATGGTGTCTTTTTTTCATTTGTCGCTCGATATAAAGATTTCATTATGCTAACATGTCCACAGTGAAGGGTTTGTGATTCAATACTTTCCCAAGCTTGCCGCCAAGCTTGCTGTAGCTGGCAGACAAACTCAGGCATAGGTTGAGAATATCTCTTGCCTGATTCGGCAAAGAAGAGAATGGCATTGGGATGGATAATTATATGTTCTGCTCGAAACATATGTTACTTGCTAGGATTTCCCGATACCTTTTGCTTCCTAGGTAGAAGGCAATAATGAAGTTTATGTGTGTCCATGAACGCTTGTACATACACGGATGCCATAGAATCTGCACTCTGAAAGTTTCTTTTCATGTTATCCAGTCCTACCTTTTATATATATATCATTTACATTCTCAGCATCAGGCCTCGAAAAGAGGCTGACTCGACGGTTCGGAATGTGTTCGGGATGCGCTCGGGATTCCGGCTGGTTCAGAAAAACATCATCCATAGTTTTTGCTGGTACAGAGGAAAGCTTACCTTGCCTTGCCTTTCCTTGCATTATTCGCCTCGCTAGAATATTTCCTTCGTCTTCCAATAGCCTCTCTGCGTTGTAACTCGACTATGCGGTACTGCTAGCAATAAGATTTACGTTATTTTTGCTTCCGGGAGCATCTGGGCGAAAATAAATCTAGTCTTTCATCATCTTACCTCCCTTCATTTTCATCTCCATAGCTACCTACAGTTCCCATGTTGCTTCTTATTTCTTGATACCCCCGGTTTTATCTCTTTTCTTCATTCGGATTCGTCCGTTGAGTTCCTGTATTATGGCACCGTTGCTGAAGAGTCCAGTCGAGTCGAGATTCGATCTCAATCAGCTACCTTCGCCACAAGGAGGTGCTTTGCAACAAAAGAATATTCTTTATATTGATGCATACGACTCTTTCTCCAACAATGTGGTAGCTATGCTTGAAGAAACCCTCGACGTGAGGGTTACCGTGATGACCATCGACTCGGAATGGCCGCACGGGAACATGGAGGAATTTTTACGACACTACGAAGCGGTCGTTCTAGGACCAGGACCGGGAAATCCAGAAGTCCCTGCAGATGTGGGCATTATGACAGATGTCTGGGATCTCGATGAAATAGATCTTCTTCCTGTTCTAGGTATCTGTATGGGATTTCAGAGCTTGTGTCTGCGTCATGGCTGTCCTATCAGACGATTACCTTATCCGCTTCACGGACAGGTTCGGCAGATCTCTACTGTAGGAAGAGATATCTTTGACAGTATGCAGGAGGTCGAGGTTACTTTGTATAATTCGCTATACGCTGAAGTGGGCGGAGATGACGAGGCTGACTCGGCTGTGCCCAAGTCGAACGAGCTTGATCTCCTCTCCTGGTTGTTCATTGACACAGACTCAGCCGGGAGTACACGAATTCCCATGGCGGTTCGTCATAAGCAAAAGCCTTTCTGGGGTGTCCAGTTTCATCCAGAATCATGCAAGTCGGATGGAGCAGCGTGTAGGAGGATGCTGAAGAAATGGTGGGATATGGCCCTCGATTTCAACAAAAGAGTTGGACGCGAGACTAGCAGAGATATTCCTCAACGACTCATCATACCATCTGAAGACCCCACTTCTCTCCCGGATGCTGTGTTCACTATGCTTAAATGGAGTGCGTCTGCATCCGGGACTTCTGCATTTCGGTCCCTGTCGGCTCCAAACGTGACTTCTGAGAATATATGTGAGTTGCTAAATGCTCCAGGCTCACCAGCTGTTTTGTTTCAATCAAACGGAAGGTACAGCATCGTATCGGCTCCGGGTCCTGGTTCATGGAGGCTGGAATACTTTGCTCAAGCTAGAAGGTTAGTGTTGGAAAACCTGGGATATGATTGCAAGGCGAACAGCCTTGTAGAGAACCGTGACCTAAAGGAAACGGTGATCGAGGAGTCGCTCTCAGTTCCACAACTCTGGGACTGTCTCAGATATGTGATGGAAATGAAAAAGGTCACTTCTGGAAACGCACCTGTGCCTTTCTGGGGCGGATTCCTCGGGTATTTCTCTTACGAAATGGGACTTGCATGTCTTTCTCGGCCAAAGACCGCACCGGAACTCTACAGTGAAAATGAACGTTTGAATGGACCTAATGGTGATGTCTCGATCGAAGATCCCGCAGATACCAGCCTCCTATGGACCGAAAGAAATATCGTCATCGACAATGAGACAGGGCAAGTAACCATACAGTCAATGCGGGAGGAGGACGACTTGCCGAATGGGTGGCTCGACCAGATATTGCAATCGTTGACGAGGCTTTTCTGTGACGCTTCCGAGGAGGATAAAGGTCTGGATACGGAAGCCTTGGATTCAATTTTAAAAGGAAGCGTGCTCAAGTTTCCGGACGAGAAGTTGTATATGGAGCAAGTGGAAGCTTGTAAAGTTGAACTCAAGGCCGGAGAATCATACGAGCTGTGCCTTACCTGCGAAACGCCGGTCATTCTGCAGTCCCCTAAGTCGCATGATTCCCAGCTACGCTTTCCCTGGGATCTGTATAAAAGACTCAAGAAATATAACCCAGCAGCTTTCAGTGCCTATGCAAGGTTGGGAAGGACTAAGATCGTAAGCAGCAGCCCTGAATGCTTCCTCAATTGGGACCGAGAATCAACGCTGGAGATGAAGCCGATGAAAGGCACTGTGAGGAAGTCAAAGGAGATGACCTTGAAGAAGGCCAGGGAAATTTTGAGCTCATCGAAGGAAATGGCAGAGAATCTAATGATTGCGGATCTGATACGTCACGACCTCTACGGTATCTGCGGTTCAAGACAGGTCCACGTCGAGAAGCTCCTTGAAGTGGAAGACCATGGACGTGTTTTTCAAATGATCACACATGTCAAGGGGAAAATAGACCATCACAGACTGGGGATCGCAGTGGAGCATATGCCACAGCTACAAACTACAAACATGTCCGTCCACGGACTTACCGCTTTACAGAGGTGTCTTCCCCCAGGTTCAATGACAGGCGCTCCAAAGGAACGTTCCTGCATGCATCTGAGCTCAATTGAAGGCCGAAAACGCGGGATCTATTCTGGCGTCATGGGCTATCTTGATCTTGGTGGTGGTGGAAGCTTTTCTGTGCTTATACGCACTGCCTTCAGTTGTTCTGGTGATGATGATGATGAGCAAGTCTGGCGTATTGGTGCCGGTGGTGCTGTTACAAGTCTCAGCACAGCTGAAGGAGAATGGGATGAAATGTTGACAAAGTTGCGCACTGTCTGCACGATCTTTCGTCCCTTGGATTCGAAGAATGAATGAGGGGTAGGAGTTGAGATCCACGACAGGTCTCTGCTCTTTTTCCTTCTGTCCAGTATATGAATAGTAATGGTCGGAAATGTTCAACACTGACATATTGTTCATTGGAGTTTTCGAAAAGTTTAGAGGGAGTATTGGCGTCCGATTTGCATGCATTTCCAGTTAGGAAATGAGGTTTATTTCAACATAGCGTCGGGGTTGGAGCCTGCGAATGGATCATAAAACAAACATTGAAAGCCCGTGTAGAAGAGCAATTTCATTATTCAACACTTCAGACCTTGGTCATATCCTCCCATTATCAGTTATTGAAGCTCTCGCCAGGCACAGCGTGCGCCAGTAAGAAACAGCTGGAAGTATCAAAAAGCCTGAGGCATCCTGCTGGTTATTGCAAACAAGCCAAACATCATCATACCAGCTTCAACTTCGGCAGCGAAGACAACTTCCTACTTGCATCCTCTTAGAGAGACATTTGGAACAGAGCTGAGGGATTACTCAACTAGATATCAAAATGACAAATGCACAAGATGCGTCCATGGAGGAAATCCTTTGGCGCTCTCCGCCACATGTGCAGATGATGGGAGGCTTTCTCCATTCAAATAACAGTATGCGAAAAGCTATCCTTTTTTCCCTTGTATTTCAAATGATTCTCAAATTGATAATAACAACAAAAACCTTTTACTGAAATAAAAGTGGAATGAAACCCAAAAAAGTCCTATTCTATTTCGCTGAATCCCCTTTCTTTGACGCAACCTCGAATAATGCCTCTCTCGCCGTCCAAGCCAGCTACAATGAGGCCTTTCGTCATTTCGTGGAGACTCGGGAAGCATTTGAAGGTCGACTGAAAACGATGCAAGGGCTGGAGTTTATGGTCGCCTATGATCCATTGCAGGCTGCAGCACAGTCGGAGACCAGTTTCGCGCATGAGCCGTCTAATATCTGGGTTATTCGGAAACAGACCAGACGAAAACGCGCTGGAATGGAGGATGAGGTGGTGGTTCTCTCGATTTATTTTGTGGTGGGAGACTGTATCTACATGGCGCCATCGGTGTCGAGCATCGTGGGGAATAGAATCGTATGTGCCTCTTCCATCAACGTCGAGTTTTTATGCTGACTTGTGTATGCAAAAAGCTCTCAGCCGTCACATCACTCACGAAATTGCTGAGAACGGCGTCTTCATTACCTATTTTCACTCCCTCTTACGGTCATACATATATCCCACCTGCGCCCAGGCTCACAGATGAGGTAACGCCGGGAGCCCAGAGCCAGCAGCAAAGCAAAGAGAACACGCCTATGCCAGATGCGGAGACTAAGGCGAAGGCTTCGTTGGCTGAGTCCTCCACCATGCAGGATACGAGAAACTTGGCGGAAGCATTCAGTCTTCTTTCGAGGTATGGCGATGAATATATGGATGAAACGCCTCTAGTTGGAGAACCTGGGTCCTTCATATTATCAAAATCGGGCGAGACAACTGCTGCCGCCACAGCTTCTACTGCCAAAGCGGCTCCAAACACAAGTAACGTCACAAATGCTCCCACAAGAACTGGGACTCCCAGCATCAAGGGGGAGCCGTTAGTGTTATTACCTGGGAAAGCAGCAGAAAAGCCGAATACCCCAACTCCAGAAGGAGGAAAGCCGAAGATAAAGAAGATCAAAGCGTGAGTTTGACGGTACCTCTCTTCTCATCCGGTCTAGTTCCCCGCTTTAATCCTCCGTTCCTTTGTCCTTTCGGAGCATCCTTCACGATTCCCCACGTTCAGCAGAAGTATTTGGCGTATTATCCAGGGAGTTATTTTATTGGATTTGCGCCGAGACTGAAGCTTTGCGAGCATGGTAGCTGGAATGCCGTGTCGGTGGATATTACTTATCTGGAGGAAGAGGATGGTGTTTGAACACAGATTCCAGGCTGTCTTGTATACTTATACGGGGCTTCAGATGGCCGAAATGAAAGGAAGGCAAGGAAAAGAAGAGTCAAGAGGTCTTCTCTTTAGCCATCAAAAACGGAAGAAGCATCAGTAGGCCACAGCTGTGGAGAGAGAATGGCTTGCCATGCATACTGTAAGCAGATATGCCATAGTTAGATGGTAGGATGAATCATGTTCAGTAGTGATAACTGTTAGAAAATCCATTCGCTTTCTGCTTTGGGGGTCGAGGTTATATCAGTATATACTAATGGCGGATAGATCATATCCTGCTGCTTCATACACGATTACCCGCTTCCAGCCCCTGGACTAACTAGCTGACGTATCTTCGCTATGTCATCCAGATATGCTACAAATGGAAACTCTTCAGGAGGGCAGTGAGTAAATTAAGGCTAGAAGCATGCTCAGGCACATCCCACATCTCCTGTGGAACCGTCCCTGGGTAAGCGCTATGGTGGGATGCAAATACGCCGTCTATCTCACTTGCCTCCCAGCGACTTCCACTGGCCATCTCTCTTTCCACTAACTCACAGAGGCCCAGAGTGCCATCATTCGTTGATTAACTTGTTGGCTTTTTCTTTCTCCTCCTAATAGGAGCAGGCACCAGATTACTTGCTGTTCCAAGTCCGTCATGGCAACCTCTCAGGAACAGGAACAGCGGCCTGTGGTCGTCTGCGTCTTGTAAGTTCCCACTGCCTTCTCATTTCTTCGAATTGCAGAACGCCTGAGCCCGTTTTATGTACGGGGAGGATAATACATTACGGACATCTCAGATGTATATGGACCTACACTAATCAATGACGACCACAGCTGTGGCTCCACGGCAGGCAATAACCCGAAGCACCTCGAAGCGGCCCGCGCGCTGGCCGTGGAATTCCACAAGAACAACATCCATCTCGTCTACGGCGGTGGCTCGACAGGCCTAATGGGAGAAGTAGCACGCACACTTGTCTCCCTCTCCGGTCCGGAAGCAGTTCACGGCATAATCCCCGGCGCCCTTGTCAGCGTTTCATACGATAAACCGAAAGAGGAGCAACAACGCCGCACTGAAGAGGAATCCACCGCGCGTAAAGCACACGAGCGAGTGCTTCCTGGTGCTAAGGATACATTTGAGGTGTTCCAGGATTCCGAGTACGGTACTACCACTGTCGTTCCTGATATGCATACCCGGAAGCGGCTTATGGCCCGGAAGGTCATCGAGGGTGGCCCTGGGTCTGGGTTCGTGTCGTTGGCCGGTGGCTTTGGAACTATGGAAGAGGTTATGGAGATGACCACTTGGAATCAATTGGGAATCCACAAGGTTGGAGTAGTGCTGCTTAATATCGATGGGTATTGGGATGGGGTGCTGGGTTGGATCAAGAATGCCGTTAAGGAAGGCTTTATCCATGAGTCCAATGGGAGTATCCTGGTCGAGGCCAAGGAGGTGGCTGAAGTCTTGCCCAAGTTGAGAGACTACAAGGTTAGTAGTGGCCGGATGGGGTTGAATTGGGGTGAAGAGTAGATGGGGTCGTCGTTGTCTGGGTTTGCCCTCTTTCGGCGTTGGTTATGGCATGACATTGAGTAAAAGGTTAGACCATAGAGCCTATGAAATAGAAAAATAAATTATCCGGATTCGTATTCAAGTGGAAAACAAAACAGTAAAGTAAGCATGCAAATCTCCAGGATTAGAGACATGAGGGCTTTTCATCTATAAGGCGTAACATCCGATAGTTTATGAATCAACTTCCATAGACTCCCCTCCTGTTTCCGCCGATGATTCAGACTGTTCCAGGGCCTCCAGCAACGATGCGCATGCTTGTCCCTCATATAGCTTGAAATTTTCGATCTTGCCCTTGGCCCCTTCGCCGGCCAGGCCCACCACTCCAACAGACGTATTGTCGACCGTAAGCTCCTTGTCCTGGGACAGTGTCTCCTTGAGAGCCTTTAGGCCGTGAGTGATCAGCTCATCACGGCTGGAATCCGCGAATTTGTCTAGGTTTCGCTCCAAGTAAGTCCTCGCCATCTGAGAACGGGCACCGATAGCACAAGCTAGCATTTCGTTTGTCAAACCAGATGGCTGAAACTCGAACAAGTGAGGACCGGCTTCGTCAACACCGGCAACGAGCAACCCCACACCGTAGGGCCGTTTACCGTACTGCTGGGTGTTGATCTGGGCGCGATCTGCAATCTGCGTAGTAATGCGGCCCACGGGAAGGGGTCGACCGTACGTCAGCCTGGATCCCAGGCACTGCTGCTTCATAAAATTGGAGAGGACACGGGCGTCGGATGCCAGACCGGCAATAGCGATGCCTAGGTGTGAGTCGACTTCGATGATCTTCTTTTGGTATGAGGACAGTTCTTCGGCATTACGCTGCAGCGAGAGGAGAGAGACAACGGTAAGTTAGGTTATGTCTGTTTCTTGAAACTGGGATCTTTCGCCAAATGGCATGCGCTCAAATGACGGGCGAGATTCGAACCTTTAGACCGACAAGAACGGCGTGCGTCTTGTTGACGAGCCCCACCACGACTGAGCCCTGCTTTACTGCTTCTTGTGCATATTCGACCTGAAATATCCGCCCTTGTGGCGAGCTGTTCGAGCATAGAGTCAGCAAGGAGGTTGTGGTTGTCCGACGGGGCCAAGCTTACAAGGTTACGGCATCATTGTCGTAATTGTTCCTGAACATGGTTGAGGCGTAGACTGAAGAGGATTGGCTGGGATGCTAGGAGAAGAACGTAGAGATATAAGGGCCCGCAGGACACAGAAAGACCAGAGAGAGCCGCTGAAGGGGGGGATCGGGATTGCTGCAGACAGTGAGTGACGCGGTAAGGTCAACCTCCAGCGGAGCTGTTGGAGCTTCCCAGCTGCCGTTGGTGCCTTGGCGCCTTGGCGCCTGAGGCGTCAGGTAGATTGCTGCCGCCTTGTCCAGCTCAGCGTCACTTGCGCAGCAAGCCGATCGATCAAGTTGCTTGCTCCTCTGCGTCGGGCTCAGCTTGTCTTTCCATGCAGAAGCTCTCGTGCCGGCGGAGATATTCCTCGTGAGCCAGTCCTTATCACCTTTCTAACCGCAGGCTTGTCTACTGTCTCCTGAAGCTGGTCTCACTCCTCTCCGACCCCCCCTCCGCAATCATGACTGCGGGACTCAAGACTATCATCGCTCTTTCATTCGTACGTACCATGTCAGTGTGACAGCAGATTCGGCATCGCTCTGATATTTTGTTTCTGGTTCTTCTAGGTTCTGGCCATTGGCTTTCTCCTCGTCATCCTTTCTTCTGCGCTATGGCACAACTACCTGCCTTTGGTCGTCGTAGCAACATACGTTGTCGCTCCATTGCCTAACTGGATCTGCTCTCGATGCTCCAATCCAGATGATTTCATGGAAACTGCAGGAAATGCGATTGTCGACTTTGGGCGCTTCTTTACGGGATTCCTAGTCCTAATGGGCATCGGTAAGTCACAACGTCTCGAGACCATCAACAGCAGATGTTCCAGAAGATATATCTGTTCAACTATTTTTTTGTGCATTTGGCTATGTTGAATATTGTTTGGATTCTGTCATCTAACAGCGCTGACTCGTTTTGGCTTTTTCTAGCTCTTCCGGCTGTGCTTGCACATAGTGGTGCTATCAGCATCCCTGCGATGGCCATGTCAATTATCGGAGGTCTTCTTATCTACGGAACGATTGTTAGTTTCTCTATGTTCTTCAGGGAGCAGGAAGAGTTTTGAATGCAATAATGAGCATCAGTCGCGGTTTGGTCGATTTCACCATTGACTCCTCTGCTATGTGAAATTGCTTGACGGGCATTTCTCTTTCCTTTCTATATACTGAGAGATTTTTAATTATCTGAGTTAAACTAGCTCTTTTGATACATGGTGTGCTTGCTTTCGCTACCCAATCTCTACGGGAATCCGGAATATGTTAGCACAGCCGCATATCTTGACAATGATGAACTCGAATGTATTATATACGCAGTGATATCACTATGTATAATGATTGCAGTAAACCAGAGTAATTGTTGTTTGCTCCGTATCCATTTAGGAGGATGCTTTATGCAGTAATATCACTTACTCAATAGTGACACGTGACCGCGTAAAGTGGTTCTCAGGACGCGTCGTGTCGACGAAACAATTCATCACGAACAAAGTCAGACGGCACTCCATCCCAGCTGAGTGCCTATATTGACCACATATTGGCATCCTTGAGTCATGCCAAGGGAGTACAAAGAGAATAGTCCCCCATGATGGATGTCTGGTTAGGATCCATTGCATTGAATGGGGAAGCGCAGTTGCAAGGTAATCGACGCGACATTCGCTACCCTTCTATTATCTTCCTCTAACAGCGACGCCTGCTTCACAGATGTAAGACTGCGCGACCCTACACACAGTGGACAATTCGATATACCAAAGAATTCTGTGCTCAGCCTCCGATGTTTCGTCAACCCTGCTTTGGTCCCTCTGCATGCGCGAGCTGGGCCGAACCTTGAGTTTCATACCACGGACGTTACAACGTCGCAATGGCTGAAAGCCAAATTGCTGGGGAACATGTGGCTTGACGATGAAGATTTGGAGAAATTCCAATTGCTTCAGTGTCCTGTTGCGCTTCTTATAAGCGTCGATAATTCTAGCCAGAGAAGAGCTACTTCTGCCGCTAAGAGTATTGTCTCCGACTTGTTGATCTACGGAATCTTGTCGAGTAAAGCATCTTTCGAGCGTCTCCCCACCCCCCCTGAGTCGTCTTCGCCAGATTTCCACGAGAGTATCACCTTCATTAAACGGGAGCTGAGAATATATGCTGCGCCTCTTTCCGATCATCTTATCGCAAAAACCCACGCTCTTCCCTCCCTGCTGCCCACACTGAACGATGTGCATACTGGGGATGCTGAATTTGTGGAATTCCTGCATGGCTCAGACTCTCCCAACCAAAAGCGAAAAAGGGTCGCTACGCTGTTTGAAGTGGCCGCGCAGCATCATAGAAGGGTGCGGCAGAAAGGGGGAGAAGCCGTTTCTCAGCTTATGGCAAATGCACTTTCCCAATCTCAATCCTCCACGCAGCCGCAGACCCTCAAAAGCAAACGAGAATCCGAAGAGCCAGGGATTCTTGCCTTGGAAAGAATAGCATCGCAACGAGGACGTTCACTGTCTCTGGGACCGAATTCGAACACTAGCACACCGCTAGAATCCCATACCAGGCATTCCAGGCCAAATAGTAACCGCGGGCTGGCGCACAGTGCAAGCTCAAGCTCCAGGAGGGCCACACCAAATCCAGCTCTTGAGGCATCTGTGCGAAGGGAGGCTTCTCCTGGTTTACCTTTCCCTGAGGAAACACCACATTTACCGTCCTCTCCAAAGGATGCGGAGACTATCGTTTCAGAGAACAAGCATCTTATTACCCGCACAATACTGACGTGCATGCGACTATACGGCTACAACCGTTCGACGTCCCGATCTGTGTCTACGAGCAAGGGCATTACGGCCGGCGGGATCAATTCGGGCCAAGAGGAAACCGATGGCATCCGAGCAATGACTCCGGCTCCTGGAATGGAGGAAGATGAATTTAAGACCATGTACCATGCCACTTATCGTGCGTCTACATTTGCGCTGCGAAAGTATCTAAAAGAGACTCCTGTAGCCGGAGAGACTCTGCCGCCTGTTCTGAAGAAAGAAAAGGCGATGATTCTGATCGATGAGTTCTTAAAGTTGTTCTGCGAGGAACATTAAGGCCTGGTTGGCGCAAAACGAACGAGCTCCCACAGACGTTAAACCGCTTTCATGATGTTACGAGATATTTTTGTACATATGAGTGATCAATTTTCTGGCTTGATAGGCGCAAAGGCATGGGATGGAGTATAGAAGTAGAGGTTCTTTGCATTGGTTGCATGTCAACAGGTCCACTTGGCCGAATTCGTATAGATATATAGAAACGGGAAAGCTGCAATATGGGAAAGATCAATATTTACGATTGTTCCTTTCCGGCTGTTGTATATAAAGAGATGCAAACAGGATGAATGCTTGCAGCGCTGTAGACGTGGAACATCAGCGGCCTTGTGATTTTCCGGACTCCGACTGCATCATCACAAACCGCCAGGCAGCGTAATACATACAATCCAACAATATATTGGAGTATTTACTCTGTCCTGGCCCTTCCCTCTATTAATCACATGAAACCTTGAAAGGCACCACCACAATGGACGTATCCGACAATCGCCTCTTCCGCTTCTCCAAACCAGAATGGCTCAACAACACTGCCGTCCGCACCGCAGGCGTCTACACCTCGGGAGCACTGGTAAGTAAGGATTCCGATTCAGAACCGGATTGAGAAATTATAGTCCTCTCCAGCAATGTGCAATAACTAATATGGGTATATTTGCTTAATGTGATATAGTTCTCCATCGGCCTCTTCTTCCTCGTGGACGCAGCCGCATTCTCCCACAGCTCCCGTAACGGATCAAACGTCCATGTCAAATTCGTCGACTGGATCCCGGGCATCTGCTCAGCGCTTGGGATGCTCGTTATCAATTCTATTGAAAAGTCGAGGTTGCATGCTGATAGCTTCAGTTATGCGGGAGGTGGGGTTGCATGGAAGGCGAGGTTTGTGTTATTTTTGGGGTTTGCACTGTTGGCGGGGGGTTTGGCGGGGAGTGTGGTTAGTATATATTCTATATCCTTGTTTCTATTTTATCTGTTTTTCATTTGCTGTCCTTCTTGTGATGTATTGGCATGACTTTTTGACTAACATCTCTCTCTAGACGGTCATGGTCCTCAAATACCTCATCAAGCAGTATCCGCTGCAGACGCTTTATTTCGGGATCGCCAATGTCGTTGCGAATGGTCTAGTTATGTTGAGGTTTGCTCCATCTCTGTTTCATTTTGGTTTCCCTGGTTCAAATCGGATGGTGGAGCTAATATCAAACTCGGTGCAGTACGGTTGTTTTATGGGTTTCCCAGAACATAGAAGATGATTATACCTACAACCTTGCTCTGTGAGGTTGATTGTTCAAATGCAGTGGCCGTGAACTTTGTTTCTTGATGTTACGTTTATATTATTTTCTTATGATTTGCTTTTGCGCTTTATGTCTAGGTCTAGGGTTGTCTTGATTTCCATTTCTGCGTTTGAGGTTGACATTGTAATAGTATAGTTCTGCATTCATTGTCTGTCGTATTATTGGTCCTAAAATGCTTACAATGCATGAATCAGGAACTTTGCTACTCGTAATCAGATCTATATTTATAATGAAATGCATAGTCATTTTTGACTTTTATCATTTTGGTCTATATCTAAGTATTTGCCCTGTATCCAGGATGACAGCATTGAGCCACTGAGAAGACCAGTTTTTCTCCAATTCAACAGACACAGTGGAATAATAAGCACAGTGGAGGCAACGCATTCCTTCCACCGTTCAAATCCACGCCCCGTGATCGAACACGAGCGGCTTTTCGGTTCTTATACCAGGCTAAGAGGGAGGCAAAGAGGCGATATCCCCAATAGACGTGTCAAACATCGCCTCCATCTGCCTCTGACAGACACGTGTGCGGGGACCCCTCTCTCTTTTCGGGAATGCCTCGGGCCCGGGACAAGGTGAGTCGGTTCTATGGACTCAACATGAGTAGGATGGATATTTCGACCGAGTGAGTCATTTCAAAAAAAAAGGAAGAAGAAAAGGAAAGAGAATGGTAGCGATCATGCCACGGCAGCAGCCTTGTGGGCCCTCAGCTTGTCAATGACTGAATCCACCGCGTCCATGTCACCGGCATCAATCTTTTCGCCACGGGGGTACCCTTCTGGGAGGTGTCGGACAGTCTCGTCCATTGCGGGTTGATAATTCCGAACGGCAGACGAGAGGGCATACACGGCCTTCTTTCTAACGGCTGGTTCGGGGTCGGAAACTGACATGGACACGAGGGTGGGGAGAGCATTGAGGACGAGGAGCTATAATACGTTAATTTTGTCTGTGCAAAGAAAAATAAGGAAATCATAAATTAAAACATGTACATACCCTATCCTGCGCCTTCTCGTTATTCTGTACGGCGGTGCCAACACACCAAGCGGCCATGCGACGCATTTCAGCCTCCTCGTGCTCGAGCAGTTTAACGAGCGGAGACCAAAGACCCAGAGGCTCCATGTTATTCGCATTATCGACGGACTCGACAAGCTGCTCGAAATTGTCGAATGCGATCAGTTTATTCTCCAAGTCGACTTCCTCAGAGTGAAGAGCTTCCATAGCGGCTTTCATTAATTCGGCTTCGGACGGACCACCAAAAAGCGCCCGGAGCATTTCCGGGTTGACGCCGCGGTTGGCGGCCGGTGCAGCGGTTTCTGATGATGGCGCATTGTTATTCTGCTGTTGCGATTGTTGTTGCTGTTGTGAGGGAGTAGAGTTTTCGATACTCCATTTCAAGAGGTTGTTCATTTGGCGATCCATGATGAGACTGTTTGGTTAATGGGTTGAGTAGATTATCGATCTTGCAGAGGGACTAGAAAGACGTTCGATCAAAATGAATTAAATAGAAATGGTCTTCTAACGGGGTTAGAGAGGGCGGTTTGAAGCTTTTCGTGATTAATCTTGATGTCTTTTCTGGATGGTTCTTGCGGAAGCCAAGCGGTTCGATGTTCCATGGACTTCCACCGCCACCGAATCAAGCAGCTGGTTCTAATAATAGGGACAATGACTCTTTCTCTCTGTCCTGACTCTTGCTCTGAGTAGTGAGTATTGAATTGGCATTGGCATTGGAACACTGAATGTGGATATTCTGTGCTGTATCTATGTGACAGCACCGCCACTGCTCGGAAGTGTCGAGGCTTAAAGCTTCAGCGATGACCCCGCGGCTATCCATGTACATGTACTCCGTAGTTGCACATATATGTTGATGAAGGATGAGTCTAATTGTCTTACTCCGAATCATATAATTATCCGTATAGTACTCGGTACCATGGGCTGATTGAAATAGCGGTAAAAGAGTCTATCTATCAACTACCCCCAGCCTCCTTGCGTTCAGAATCCAGAAACAAGAACAGAACAATTGATAGATTTTATAGATATAATACGGGATATCAGGCACCAAACCTCGAGGCGCACATACAGCTTACTGTCTCTCCTGCAGTGCGTCTTGCAGCATTGTACAGCCAGCATTTGGCTGCGTTGCTCTGAGCCTCGTCAACGTCAGCGTCAGCGTCAGCGACATAGGCATACACATTCGACGGGCTCCACGAGAGAGGAAGGCTGGACTGGACAGCTTCTAATTTCTGGCAGCCTGCCAGACGACAGGATGATGGATCCATGGTAAGTTCAGGATGCTTTCGTAGACGCTCTCTTGGCCAGGCAAGGAGCGGCGGCACGTGACAGGCGGCCACAAAAAAGGGCGTTGACGGCCCCACGAGGATGCGCAACTCCTTTGCCATCGCACAACGGGCCACGTACAGTGAGGGTGAAGGTGATACTGTAAGAGGCGTAGACGAGAATGCAATGTGCAATGCAATGTAAATTGTTCTGCCTGACAGTAGAGGAGGTTTGCCTCCAGGTGGGGGACTGCATATAACATATATATAAGCGGTGGCTGATATTATTATTCTGGCGTCTGGCGCACACGGCACTAACGCCAATCCCGACTCCCTGCGTCTCCTCCTCGCCTCCCTCGAACCTCCAAATCTCATCCCATCCATCCCATTTTCCTGTCACTCCCCTTTCCAGCCACCCTTCTCCCTCTCTTCTTCTCCTTTCTCGTCGTTTTCTTTCTTAACGACTTCCTCGCGTCTTCTTTCCCATCCTTCTCCTTTTGCTTCTTTCCCACTTCGTTCTCTCCTATCTCAGTCACCATGGAAGGTAAGCTTCATGACACCTCAGCGGCTTTCCCACCGTTATCCACCCCCCTTTCACCCCCCTCCAACGACAACCTCCCTCGATGCCATCTGTCCATCGCTGTTTTCACTTACTCACTGGTCTCGTTATACAGAGGAAGTTGCTGCTCTCGTTATCGACAATGGGTACGTCTTGTTCCGGTTTATCTGTTCTGTCCTACCAGTCACCAAGCGCATCCCTCGGTCGCTGCAGTTGACCACATCGCCCCTTTCGTCTCATAAACTCCCAATGCAGCTGCAGCTCATCAATTTCATTCTGTTCACATGGGTTTCTATCCAATTACTGACAATTCTCCTCCAGTTCGGGTATGTGCAAGGCCGGTTTCGCCGGTGACGATGCACCCCGCGCTGTTTTCCGTAAGTCTTTTCCCTCCCCCTTTTCATCTGTCCTTTTCTCTCTCCCCCCTTTCCTGCTTCTCGAGAGATTGCATCTGCGCCCTTCGTCCGAAAGAAGGACAATTGGCTATTGCATCTCTTTACAGCATCCACTCGAATCGAAAGATAAGAAATGCTGACTTGTGGGTTCAGCGTCCATCGTCGGTCGTCCGCGCCATCATGGGTAAATTTCCCTCCTCCCCCTCCCATGGTTGCACGCCAGTGACCTCACTTTGGGATCTCCTGGCGTGTTGCGGACATGTGGCACCGCTAACTGTTCCCCCATAGTATCATGATCGGTATGGGCCAGAAGGACTCCTATGTTGGTGATGAGGCACAGTCGAAGCGTGGTATCCTCACGCTCAGATACCCCATTGAACACGGTGTCGTCACCAACTGGGATGACATGGAGAAGATCTGGCACCACACATTCTACAACGAACTCCGTGTCGCTCCTGAGGAGCATCCCGTCCTCCTGACTGAAGCCCCCATCAACCCCAAGTCCAACAGGGAGAAGATGACCCAGATCGTCTTCGAGACCTTCAACGCCCCCGCCTTCTACGTCTCCATCCAGGCCGTGCTGTCTCTGTACGCTTCCGGTCGTACCACCGGTATCGTGCTTGACTCTGGTGACGGTGTCACTCACGTCGTTCCCATCTACGAGGGTTTCGCCCTCCCCCACGCCATCTCGCGTGTCGACCTGGCTGGTCGTGACCTGACTGACTACCTTATGAAGATCCTTGCTGAGCGCGGCTACACCTTTACTACCACCGCTGAGCGTGAAATTGTCCGTGACATCAAGGAGAAGCTCTGCTACGTTGCCCTGGACTTCGAGCAGGAGATTCAGACCGCTTCCCAGAGCTCCAGCTTGGAGAAGTCCTATGAACTCCCTGACGGTCAGGTCATCACCATTGGCAACGAACGTTTCCGTGCTCCCGAGGCCCTGTTCCAGCCTAGCGTCCTTGGTCACGAAGGTGGTGGTATCCATGAGACCACTTTCAACTCTATTATCAAGTGTGATGTCGATGTTCGTAAGGATCTCTACGGTAACATTGTCATGGTACGTTGCGCCTTTCCTCTACCCCTTCTTACTACGAACTAAGACTGGCGAGCTAATGCTTTTATTTTCGATTAGTCTGGTGGTACCACCATGTACCCTGGTATCTCCGACCGTATGCAGAAGGAAATCACCGCCCTCGCCCCCTCGTCCATGAAGGTTAAGATCATTGCTCCTCCTGAGCGTAAATACTCTGTATGGATCGGTGGTTCCATTTTGGCTTCTCTGTCCACCTTTCAGCAGATGTGGATCTCCAAGCAGGAGTACGACGAGAGCGGTCCTTCGATTGTGCACCGCAAGTGCTTCTAAGGTGTGTGCCGATTTTTATTTAATTCAATTTACTTTACTGACTTAAATGCCACAGCTCTTGTTTTCTGCTCGTTTCATTCGCTCGTGTTTTTCTATTATATCAAAATGCGGGACGGAGGCAGTGGTGGCTCGATGTGTTCATCTGATCTGTAGGGTCAGGGAATAACGTGAAAAGAACGGTTTACCTGGAGATGGTTGGAGGCTTGGCGCTCGACAGAAAGGCCATTCTCTCAACGGCAGGAGGTTCGGTATCAGGAAATGTCATGCGAAGGAAGCGATATAAGAGAAGCATATCCATGGGGCTCGAAACTGTACCGTATAGTTCCATGCTCGTCTTGAGTTATCTACTCTCTCCGTGCTGGCTTTCGCGTCATAGATTTCCAAACACTGCCAGGGCGTGTGGGCTTCCTGTCGTTGATCAAGACGGACCCTTTTTTCTTCTTTTTCCCCCTTGGCCTTTCTATGTCCTCTAGTGTGTTATCCATGTTCAGTTTTATCTTCACCCTACGGGCGCATCAATAAGCAGCAAGCTTGGAGTTGAATAGACCACATACCACGAAGCAGCGTCTTGTAGCGAACAGCAGCCAGTTATGATGCCAGTGACAAACAATATTCGGATGGAACTGGCTTGTCTTGATGCTGAGTAGAACAAACGTCTAGCTTCTCTGAAAACGCTGTGCCATTAATGCTGTTGACCCTGGTACCAGCGTAGCTGCGGTACTGTGGGTGTGACCCAAAAGTTTAGTCAACTATTTTTGAAGCTAAAAATATTCGCTGAACCTTATATTCTGCCACCATTAGATAAGCTTAGGCCATTGATTTTTAAAGGGCTGTATGATGTAGCACATATATATTTGAACTGAGCATTTAATATATAGTATAACCACCGTTAGCATTTATAACAGCCTGACAGCGAGCTGGCATAGAATAGATAATTTCTTGAACATTTTCCTCAGTTATTTGGTCCCATGCTATCTTTATAGCTTCATGAAGCTGGTCGTAAGATAGGGAGAATAGGTTATCATAGTGCCTTTGAAGCCAATCTTTCATCTTATTCCAAATAGTCTCAATTTGGATTGAGATCAGGGGAATAAGGTGGCCATTCAAGCACAGTAATATCCCTATCTTGAAGCTCTTGTATAGTATCCTTAGCAGCATGACCTGGAGCTCCATCTTGCATAAGAATTAGATCAGGATTTAACCTAATCCAACCATGGATAATAGGCACAATATCCTCACAATAAGAATCCTTATTAATAGTGCCCCAATCCTTCTCCCAAAATAGATATGGGCCCTTTTTTTGACCAGATATAGATCCCCAAAACATCCACCCTTTCCCTCGTTGTCGGCATTCAATCACGCAGGTAGTGTAAAGGGGGGCGTACGTGCGTTGTTCCCTGCGACAGGAACCGGGTTGTGATCGAGGGATCACAGGAATGGATATACCAAGGTGATGCCGCTATACCACGCGGCACCGAACGATCTTAGCAAGAAAACGATATAACGATAAAAGGAAACACAACGACAAAGGAGCCTCGCTCCGCTCTGTACAATGATAACGATACTAGTGAAGCAATCTAGAAACCAAAAGAATGCTCAATTTCTCGTAACTATCTGGGAGGGAACCCTCCATTAAGTACTCTCCGGCCGCGGGCTCCACCATACATTAGTATGTCGGAGACCGCGGCTCTACGGTGTTCTAAGATAGGAAATATGGGAGATCCGGGGTTTCGCAGTGCCCCCGGCACAGCATATGGCATCTGTCTAGTTTTTTTAGAACTAGTAATAAATGCAATTATCTCATCCATTTGGTTAGGAGATAATTTGTTTGGTCGACCAGTTGGCTTTCTTAAAGTACTAGGGGCCTGGCAGGAATATTGAACTCGGGAGCGAGTAATATTCAATATCTCTGCTATTCTATGCTGAGAATAGCCTAAATCCTTCAATTTGAACTCGAATACGATTATCACGAGAAAGCCAGGCTGATTTTGACCGTGGTGTCTCTTCAGGGGGATTGGGGGGGATCTTGGGGGTCTGGGGTTCGTAGTATGGGCTCCATATCTAGATATAGATATATATATATAAAGAATCAATATTCAAACCTAGAAACGCGTTCAATTCATTCAAATTGGGGTTTAGATAGTATGAATATTCATATACATATATACGCGTATATGATGAATTATAAACAGCACCCGCGTTCTGCCATTTAGAAGGCGGTGTGGTGTGGCACTAAATTCACTAAGAACCCACTAAAATAGTTGACTAAACTTTTAGGTCACACCCCCATATACTAGTATGTTAAAGGAATGGAAGCTCACGCATTCATTCAGTCAGTCAGATCCACTGCACCCATCCTATTTGTTTGAAGTCTGCCGTTTGATTTTCGTTCCAGGTAAGTGTTTTCCCGTTGTATTCATTAAAAGTAAGCACAAGTCCAACATTCGCTGCTACGTTAATCTAGCCATCATGTTAGATGGATATTCGATGCCTCGATTCGGGATTCTGTTCGGTAAGGATACTGTGCCCATGCAAACATGCTAGGTATCTTGCCTACGGGCGTCGAGATCAATACCGAATAATGGGATAATATCTAGGCTAGGATCAATAGAACTATCTAAGACCTAAGTATCCTGGATAGACTCTTCCTATTGATATTCGAGGATTTTGACGGGCGGGAGTACGATATCAAGAGCTTCCTACTATAAGGAAAGCAGTCTACGATTTTTTTATTACTACTCGAAACCGGAATCTGAATGCTGAGAACTTCCTAACAGGAACACTGTCCCGCCGGTGGACTGACTTATTGTCGGACATGGATGCGCTATCGCTGTTTCTTACTCTGATTGATGAAGAGCTGCCAAAGGATGAGACAGTTAAACGGGCGTCGGAAATGCTCCTCAAGATCATTGGTCGGCATAGTCTCGCGATCCATTTGGCTCATGGATTCGTCCATAGAGAACACTATCGAAGAGCCAAAGATAAAAAGTATCCGCAATCAAGGACTATATGACTGCAATATCCCACTATCCCGAACGCAGGAGTTAAATTAGAAACGAACTGGACCAGATTTGAAAGAGCATCTGGGCGAGTATGGATTGTGTAACCCTGCCTTCATAGCGCCGATGAGGTGATGCACATTGCAGTTTATACTAACCTAACCCTTTCAAAAGATTACTCAGTTGCGTTCCGAAAGACTTTCTGAACCTGATCGCTGAAAAGGCGACTGCAAACCCTCGAGATAAAATCCAGGAGCATCCGGGCCTCTCAAAGCATCTGCAGCGAGGCCAGAGAAGGCATTCAATAACTTCAGGATGAACCAGAACCAGATGATGGGGATATTGTGGCGCTCAGCGAACCCCTGCCATCGGAAAGGTTGAAAAACAGTTGGATGTGCTCGACTCGGATCAAGCATCAACTGGAATTCTGTTCTTGAGACTGCTTTCTGAACGGATCGGCCAAGAGATCGATAATATCTTGACATTTCATCGCTCAAGAGCTGTAGTCGGCCTGCCAGAGAGTGTTGTCGGGAAAATTAACCAGCGGATTAGAAAAGTAACCACAGAGACAAACTCTGCCGCTACTATTGGAGTGTTCGGTGATAGTTTAGATATGAAGGATTTCTTCAAGTGATTATTTTGTTGTTGGAGGGTCAGTCTTTCAGATGCCGCAGAATGGCTTTGAAGAGAGCAGAAACACTTTTATTATAGAGAAACCCATCATTTAAATCATCCAAAAACAGAAAAAAGGAAAAAAAATTGACTCAAAAAGCAGGTGAACACCTCATCTTTTGATTCAACAATTCTAATTCCACGATTCCAACCCCTCCAGAACAACACTTTCTTCATCCGCCTTCTCCTTGCTCCTCAACTCACCAATCTGGTAAACAGTCTCACCCTCCTTCTCAAATAGTTCCCTAACAGCACCTTCATGGCCCCTTTGGACGATGATAACCATCCCGACACCACAGTTGAAGGCGCGCGCCATCTCTGTGGTGGAGACGTTACCTGTTTTCTTCATCCAGGCAAAAACAGGAGGAAGCTGCCAAGCGCGGACATCGATGTGTGCCAATAGGTTCTTAGGAAGAGCGCGTGGGACGTTCTCAACCAGGCCGCCTCCCGTGATGTGGGCGAGGCCCTTGATGGCGGAGGTGAGGGAGAGGGCTTTAAGGATTGGTTTAACGTAGATGCGGGTTGGGGTTAGGAGGGCGCTACCGAGGGTTTGTGCTTGTGAAGAAGAGGAAGAGGAAAAAGGTGATGGGTCGTGGTAGCTAAGTCTGGAGCACTCGACGATCTTGCGGACCAATGAGTATCCGTTTGAGTGGATGCCTGAGGAAGCGAGGGCGAGGAGCACGTCTCCGGCCTTCATGGAGGAGGTATCTGGGAGGATTGTCCTGGCCTTCGGGCCGGTGGTGTTTATAGCGCCCACAGCGGCCCCGACGGCGTCATAGGTGTTCTCGACGAAGAGGCCTGGCATCTCGGCCGTTTCGCCGCCGATCAAGGCACAGCCAGCCTGGACGCAGCCGTCCGCGACGCCGGTCACGAATGCAGCAGCTGTTGGGACGTCCAGTTTCCCGCACGAATAGCAATCGAGGAAAAAGAGGGGTTCGGCGCCCTGGACAACTAGGTCGTTGACGTTCATGGCCACGAGGTCGATGCCCACCGTGTTGTGGATGCCCATCGCGTGGGCGATCTTGAGCTTGGTGCCCACGCCATCGATGGCTCCGATCAAGGTTGGAGAATTGGGGTTGTAGACAGATGGGTTGGCAGCAGCGAGAGAGAAAAGGCCGCCGAAACCACCAATCACTGCGTCAGTGCCGGGCCGTTTGGTACGAGCGACAGAGCTCTTGATCTTGCTAACTAGGTCGTTGCCAGCGTCAATGGAAACACCCGCAGAGGCGTATGTGAGAGATTGCTGGGACGTCTCGGTGGATTGCTTGTCTCTGAAGGCACGGTGTGCGATGTCCTTGCGGTAGAACATGCCCTGGAAGTGGATCGTTGAGAGGCCCTCGTAGCTCTTTCGAACGGCCTCTTCGATGGTTGGTGCAGTAGATGTAGTCGCGATAACCCGGCCTCCAGATGTCTGCAGCTCATTGTTTACAAGGGAGGTTCCTGCGTGGAATATCAGCGTATCAACTGGGCACTGGTCCAGTGTGATCGGCCGTCCCTTTGCGTAAGATCCAGGGTAGCCCTCGGCAACTGCGATGACGGTCGCGGAGAATTTAGGCTCAACCTTGATGGTAACGCCATCAAGCCAATGCTCTGTACAAGCAACCATAATCTGTGCCAAGTCGGTGTCGTCACTCAGGAGGGGAAGAAGGGTCTGGGTTTCAGGATCTCCGCCGCGGACATTGTATTCAAGGACCTTAGGGCCATTCTTGGTCATCATGAGGCCGGTGAAGAGGATGCCGACAAAGGGGAAGCCTAGAGCATGATTTAGCATTTCGACGCAAATAAATTGAGTTCATGTGCAAGAGTACATACCGTCTTTCCTCATTCCGTCGATTGACGGTTGTACAATAACCCGATCGATCTCCTCCACAACCTCCTTAGGAGCAATTCGCGTAGGTGCGTAGCAGCCCATTCCACCCGTGTTCGGGCCCTTGTCACCGTCATAAATCCGCTTGTGGTCCTGCGCAGGGGGCAGCGACCGAATCGTATAGCCGTCGCTGAAGGTAAGAATGCTCAGCTCGTCGCCCTCAAGGTATTCTTCGATGACAACCTCGTTTCCTGCCGCGCCAAACTGGTGGTCAAGCATCATCTCCCGAAGCGCCTGGTGAGCCTCCTCCTTCGAAGTGGGGATTACAACACCCTTGCCGCCTGCTAACCCGTCGGCTTTGATGACAACATTATGAGACACCGAATCGAGATACTTCCTTGCGGACTCATAGTCGGAGAAGTTCCCGTACTCAGCAGTAGGGATGTTATGACGACTCATGAAGTCCTTGGAAAATGTCTTGGAGCCTTCCATGCGTGCGGCAGCTTTTGAAGGGCCGAAACATCTTATACCAACTGCAAAAACCGACAAAGTCTCAATCAACCGGACATTTTCTGTGATAAGCTCAGCGGTACAAGAAGAGACCGACCTGCCTGGAAATACCCTTGAATTCCATCCACCAGTGGCGCCTCTGGCCCAGGGACTACCAAATTCACGTTATTCTTCTGGGCAAAAGCAACAAGGCCAGGGTAGTCGTCGCCCTTGACGTTGGCATTGACGATTTTACGGGAGGCTCCCAGTCCAGTGCCTCCGTTTCCAGGCGCAACATAGACCGTTTCGACCAGCGGAGACTGGCTCAACTTCCAGGCGAAAGCATGTTCTCGACCGCCATTGCCGACGATGAGAATGCGCAACGTTTCTTGGAGCATATTGGAGATAGCGTTCTCGAGAAGGTCTAGCAGAAGTCAGCCCCGCGTCAGAGTATTTGACACAATTGCTTGCACAGCATACAAAAAGAGAAACCGATGCAATTGCAATTTGGGAAATGAACACTGACTAACCTTACTAGAGAACGGCGTTCCAACTGCTGCGATGGCAGGAAATGGGTTGTTTTTGGATGAGAAAAGCCCTCTTTTTGCGGGGTGTCTTGGGATTTTTTTCAGTGCCGGTTTTTCTCCGATGCCGCAAACCTTGAATATGCGTTGTATAATGCTCCATATACAGTGTTAGGTACGCTGGTTGACTTGGTATATCGTGCAACCTGTACTCCAGTGTAGTTAAATAAATAATAAATATATGTATTAATACTATCTGCTTGACTCTCAGAGAGTTTTTTCTTTGGTAAATACATGTAAATATGCTGTCTCACAGATCCTCTACTGCAATCTGATTAAAGAAGGCGGTGAGATGCAGCGGCAGAAAAAGAACAACGCCAAAAAACCCGAAAAGGGAAAGAAACTGGAAGAAAACGGTTCACTCTTCGCTTTGCGCATCGCCAACCATCGCCGACTCTTCTGCTGCCATTTCTCATTCCCTGGTCTTTTCTATTTTTCCCTGACCTTGATGTTTCGGGCCTCTGTACGGTCGTTCTCAGACCCTTTGCGTGAACATGTCTGCTCCTCCTGTTTAGCCCAGAGGTCCTCGGGGAACTCCCGATTATTCCATCCATTCTACAGCACGACTTCAACTCTCCACGGTCAGCATGCTGGTGAGCCTGCTGCTGGACTTCCCCGTCCCAGGGAACCCTCTGTTGCTATCCGACCATCAAGTCAGGTACAGATTCTTGTTCCCCGTTCGCATTCTGGATCTGTCCTATGCACTGCGTGAACCATCTTCTTACTCCGAGAACACTACTGACATAGATCGTTAGAGAAAATCTATAAGGCATGCAAGGGCTGACCATCTCTCTACGGGTCGCACTTCCAGTCGTTCACGACCTTCAGCCTCTGGTGCTGGTGAGGACCATGTCACTCGATCATCGAATGTTCATCCACCGCCGTACCAGACAGACGAGCACGATGAAAAGTCGAGGCCGTGGTGGGACGGAACAAAGCCGTGGGACGTTGGTCACCGTGTTGAAGATTCTTATGATGCGACTACAGAGAAAATGGAGGCAGAGTTCGCCCCCAAAAAGAGGGACAAATTATTGAAGAGGAAGGCCAGAATCAGAGCCAAGCTTACTCGGAAGCAGACTCTTGCCGAGTCCTACTTGGAGAAATCGGTGAATAGCAACCTCTTGTCTTGCTTTGTATCATTTGTTACTGATGGAAACCAGTCTGAAGCCAAAGAACCAGAAGCTAGAGCGCCCGATGTTATCCCAACGACAATCAGCCGTCTACCTATCAGGCGTGTGCCGTCTGGGCCTGCCTCCGAATCAGCTGGAACACCCAAGAAAAAATCAGGCGAGGATTCAATTCTTTCAGAACCAGGAGGAGCGAGGATTTCTGGTAGCCTCACCTCAAAAGCGCTCAAACTTACCCGTATGTTATTCCTCTTCTCGATTTCGCACCGCAAAAAATTATTTCCCCCCTGCTAACTATCTTAAAGCGTTGGATGTTGAAAGAGCTCCAGTCCCAAAGCTCTCCTTTGGACTCGAGAGGGTTCTATTCAAGTAAGTATCAGATCAAATGCAGCTGCTGTTCCCTGCAGACCTAACCATCGCCGGTTGCAGCCCCGGAGTCTACCATCTTCGCGACCCACGATCTCGTGTTTTCAACTTTGATCCGTATTTAGGCTCTATTATGCCTGTAACCGAATTTGACTTCACAGCCTTGAAAGATTATATTACCTCGTCACGAGATGAAACGCTACGCAGGATAGCTGCTAAGGAAAAGAAGAAGTATATCGGTTCTTCATCGAGCATGACATCTGTTCTCTCACAGTTCCACTACCTCCTGTCCGCGTGGAGACCGATCGATGCATCAGTTCTGTCCCAGAGTTTCCCTGACTCGTCAAGGTCCTTCACGCGACTCAGCCGTGCCCCTGCTGCCATCATTCTTAATTATCAAAATGGGATCTATGCCGTTGATGCGGACAAAGAGTTTGAATCGGCCAATATTCTTATGAATCTTGGCAAATCGATGGAGAAGCTACTCACGTTGCCCAAAGAGGAGTTCGAGCGCTATAGAAGGTCCCATGAGAACAAGATCTCCGCAGAAGAGGAACGAGCGATACCCGAATCCTACCATTACTCCACCTTTGGGGATTTCATCATGCGATCTCAGCTTGACGCCTATGATCCACGGCTTCCGGGAACCGGCATGTTTGATTTGAAGACACGAGCCGTCGTGTCCATCCGGATGGATGCGCGGAATTTCGAACACGGTCTGGGGTATGAAATCAGGAGTCGATTCGGCGCATTCGAGTCCTACGAACGAGAATTCTTTGACATGATCCGGGCTGCATTCCTCAAATATTCGTTACAAGTGCGTATTGGCAGGATGGATGGTATCTTTGTGGCATTTCACAATATCCAGCGTATTTTCGGGTTCCAATATATCAGCTTGCCGGAAATGGATAAGGCTCTCCACGGCCAGAGCGACACAGCACTTGGTGATAAGGAATTCGAACTCAGTTTGGCGCTGTGGAACAAGGTTCTTAACAAGGTCACAGCAAAATTTCCGAAGAGATCTGTACGTCTCCACTTCGAAAGTCGCGATACTTCGGTTCCATTTATGTACATTTTCGCCGAGCCTGTGACCGATGAGGAGATACACGCTATTCAAACGAAGAACAAGGCAGATATCGAGGCATATCAGCAGCGGATTCTGAACCTGACTCCCCAAGGAGGCGAATTAGATCTGACCAGGAAACAGATCACATCTGACAAATCAGAGTCTAGGACACAAGATGTCTCGAAGGAAGGCATTGCAGCGCCCATTGGAGAACAGGCTGCCGCAGAAGAGACGGAGACAGAGGCGGAGCAGAAGGGGAAACAGAACTCGGAGTTGCTAGCAATGACCCTATTCATCAAGAACAAGGTGAATGGCGAGTTCGTCGAGAGGCCAACGCGTTTAGAAGGAAAAGATGAGTGGGCCGTCGAGTATGTGCTGAGGGAAGTGCCGTCTTCCCGCGCAGCGTCATTATACGAGGCATGCCAGAAACGGCGTCGAGTCGCCTTGGAAGGGGTAGGAGAAGATGAAGCGGAAGAAAATGCAAACTATTACATCCGAATGCTGCGCGATATCGCCAGACGTGGCCGGGAATGGCGGGAACAGGAAGACGAACTGGACCGGAAACAGGGCATAGTGGTACTGGAAGGAGCCATCCAAGCTCCTCCGAGTCGAAAGTAATGCTTTCGTCCCTGAATTACCCTTTTCTTTCTCTTTCTTTGAATCTGCCGTCCTTGGAGTAAGGAGCATGATGATCAAAGACCCTGTATTCTATATTTGTTGATTTGCATTACATCAACTTGGCATCTTGGTATTTATTTGGATGCGAACCGGGACGCTCCTTGGCCTTTTTATATTGATTACTTGTTTGATGTATAAATAGAGTAATAGACATCAATCCCATAATACGCATACTCCCCTTTTTTTTTTTTTTCTTCATTTTGTTGAAGCTATACGGCGCCAAGTCCGTTATTTTATGTAGTTCCCTATTACAGCAGACCGTACGATCGTCTCATGAAGCACGATATTGAGGCAGTAAGGACTGCCCGACTAGGCAACTACGAGGTTATACAAGATTAGATTACTCGTAGACAGCTCTTCTTAATCAAGTTGTTGACTCCGCCCGTATACATTCAACACATTTCACGGAGTACCAGCATACACACAAAGTCTTTGGTGCTATATATATATATATATATGAATCTAGTGGACTTCCTATGCATAAATAATATTTATATAGCCATCTCGTCTTCTCACTTAACAATATATTCACTAAGCTAACCTACCCACCTAATACCAATATAGACTCCATATCTAGCTACCTAATAAGTAATCAATCTGCAATAACACCGAAAAACACATTGTTACATGCCAATATAATATATGATGCAGAGCCCAGGCCAGCCCACTCCAATCCAATCCAATATCGCCAAATTCAATAAGTACATACCCATATAGAGAGAGATATGCATATACATCCAGGTAAGAAAAGTCAAAAAGAAAAAAAAAAAAGAATATTGTCTTAGGTATATAGGCATCATAGAAAGAACAATAAAAAAAGAAGAGCGACTGGAGCTGTGTGCTGCAGATGGGTTGAATAAAGAAAGAAATAACGTGAAAGGGGAGAAAATGATCATGTAGACAAGACACTGCGCGCTGGTTGGAGTCATATGCTGGTTATATCTTCAGCATTGCTGTGCTTTTGGGTGGGTATCTTCAATTGCTCAGATGAGTTGGGTAATATGTTCTTTCCTGGACATGAAGGAAAAGGAAGAAAGTAGACAAAAAGTAATGATCATAGTCAGAAAAAGGGGGAAATGAAGGAAAGGATCTATACATGCATGAACATATGTACTGTATGCAGATCATTATGTACTGCTGAAACTCAAATCAAGCTTGGGCGGGGACCAGTCCAGCTGTGGCGGATTTGGCTGTCGCTCGCTGTAGGATTTCACATTCGACTCGTTGGATATCGGTTTAATATTTCTCAATTTTTCCATTCTCTTTTTCTCCCTGGAAGCACTCTTGCTGACAAGCCCTTTGAGCGCCGAGGGGTATAGGCTCCTTGAACTCGACCCCGTACTGTTACTGGTCGCGGAGCCAGAGGCGCTTCGAGCGCTTCCAGGTTTATGAGCACCATTGGTGGGTGGTGGTTGCGCACGTCCTCTCGAGGATCCAGGCAAGGTACTCGCAGGGGCTGGAGGATGGGTTGGAGACAGTGGAGCTGTCCTCGGACGCCACTGCTCGTCGAGTTTGATATCATGGCGTATGGAGCTGAAACTAGCAGCGAATTCACTGTCGAAGAGCAACTCTTCTTTCTTTTCCTCCGCGTTATTGCGATTCAGCATTGACAGCACACCTCTCAGGGCGGAATCTGTCACATCCGCCGTCTTAGCTTCAGCGACACTGGTTATCACCGAGGACCCGGTGGGAACTCCGCTGGTTGGAGGCTCTGTCGTCAGTGGTGACAATGGTCTGGAACCCATCTCTTCGGCAGCACCGACTGCATCATTAGTTGGGGCAGGAGGAACCTCACTTGAAGCCAGAAATTTTTCATAATCCAGCGACATCCTCGGACTTATGTCGGTAGCCAGCGGAAGTTCAAAGGGCTTCTCATCGATGTATCCAACGCCAATATCTTCGTAGGATTTCTCATCTAACCCATGGGCCAGGTTATAATTCCGAGAAAGATATCCGTGTAAACGGACAACCTCAGAGTCCCATTTTTCGGTCAGGGAAAGGAGCACACGTTCGATTTCCTGGCACGCAGGTTGATCAAGGAGTTCGGAAGAAGGAGGGCTAATCCTCGCAGGTCTAGAAGGGTGCCCGTTACGCGCATTGGTAGCAGAATTAGCATTCTTAGTCAACTTGTTGCCTCCTCCAACCTGGCCGACAGCGGCATAGATTGTCCGGCGCAGAGAGGTTGTCGAGGAGCCTGTCGGAGGGTTCTGTGGACGGCCGGAAGATTCTCGAGTTAGAGATTCCATCTCTCGACGTATCCGTTCAAGAGACCTGATCCTGTCTCCATCCATGCAAGAGAGAACGAACAGTGAATTATTCTTCTCCAGACCATTGACCAGAACGGTAAACGATTGCAGATTCATCTCATTGTTTTCACAGTGGACCTCGCGGAGGCAGGTATTTTCTTCCAACACAGATGCCAGGGTGCTGGCACCCTGAAACCCGAGCTTCTGGTGTTCGATACGTAACACCTTCAGTGATTTGTTCTTTTTCAGACCTGTCAATGCCAGATTAAGCCCAATTCCGAATCTAGCCACATCCAGATGCGCGCTATCCCCGCTGATATCCAGGTCTTCTAGCGTGTCGTTATCTTCGAACATCATCTGCAGAGACTTGCATGTCTCTGGACCCGCATCATATGGCAGGGACGCTTTGGAAATATCCAAGAATTTCAGCGATTTATTATTTCTCACAGCCTCGACCAGTTGGCGGAAATGCTCCTCCCTTTTGAAATCTATCATTCTCATCGAAAGGAAGGACGGTGTTTGGTCTCTAGCGATAGCATCAGAAAGATGCGGACAACCAGTGTCGAGTCTATTCTCATTGACATAAACATGCAAGTTTCTCTGGGCTCCGCCATTGCTTGCTATAGAGCGCAATAGCATTGCCACATCTTCCCCTGTCAGACCGCACTGGTTCATCTGCAGAACACGTAGGCTCCGAGATTTATCGCTGGCCAAGTAGGCTGCAATCGAGCGAGTTGTCTCTTGGTTAACTGTTGTCCGGTTCAACGATAACTCCTCCAATCGCCAATTAAGGAGCATATCCTTGGTGATAAGGGGGTCGGGACCCGAAGTCCTAGAGATGCACGACAGGTCCACCTTACGCAGCTGATTAAAGTAACCGAAATATTGTTGGAGTGTATCGGGGCTAAGACGACCTTGCATCCCCGAGATATCGATAGCCTCCAGAGTCGATTCCTGTGCTACTATTGTCGAGAGGAGCAAATCGAGATTATGGATGGATAAGCCACAGTTGCCTACTTCAAGTGCCCGAAGATGACTTCCCCTCTGGGAGGCAGCGTCGACCAGATAGTCGAGGTCCGATTCACCCAGTTTGATCCCATTCAAGGCGACCCAATCAACGCACGTCAGTAACTCCCGCCGAATTATAGGGAAGATAGCCTCTGGGATATCACAACCCGTATCCGAGGATGGTGTCCGTTTTAGACAGTATGAAAAGTCAAGTCGCCTGAGCCATTTGCTCTTCAAAGCTAATGCGCGTATCTCCTGTGACAAAACAGACAGGTTCTCTTGCCCTGGAATAGAAACCCGCGATCCCGCGCGGGTGGTAAATGCATCTTTGTCAGGACCATACGGGTCGCGAATACCACGGAGCGCATCCAAACTGATGCCGCTAAAGGATATGGTCCGGAAAGAGTCATTGTACCGCAGCGCTCTCATCACTGCAATCAGCTCAAGGGCTGTATAGTTCTGACTACTGAGTGAAGCTGGTGGCAAAAGCTTGAAACACGGCGCGTCGTCGCATTGCATGTCGATAGTATACCGGATGTTGGAGGTATCGATATCATAACCGGCCGAATAAGCGACCAGAGTGCGATCAAAGCAGCCGTAGTCCTCCTCTTCCTCCATTAAGCTCAATGGCAGCAGGTTGTCATCATTATCCAGTTCGCGGGGGGTTATAAAATGACACGGTTGATTTATCCAAAGCGGTCGTAAGAATTCACAGTACTGTCTTATCCAAAGAGCTATCTCGGTAGCATGGACGGACGCAAGAAACACTGAAAACGGTTTGCAAAGTGGAATGCTAAAACATAATATGGATTAGCACATACCAACATGGGTTCGACGTGACACACACACGCACACGGCCCCCTTGGTAATAAAATATCGAGGAAGAGAAAGGTTACGCATACCGGAAAGTTAGATGTAGGCTATCGTCACCCCACTCCATCGACAGACCGGTCAATGTCATCAGCCCAAAAGACAGCGATGCCGCATCCAGATCGCTTGACGACGTAAGGGAGCCACGGTGGGAAGCTTTGTGAAGGGGGATCAAGTGAATTTTGTGTGATCCAACGGCAAGATAACAGCCTGTCGGGGACAGTTTGGTGAGATCCTCGGATGATCCGCCAGAGGACTTTGTAGAAGCCATCTGAAGGACCCGGAAGAGGCGAAAAGTCACCGGATCATAATCTTTCTCATGTTCCAGCACACTGACAACGTAGTCGACAGACATCTGATCTATGGGCAACGGGTTGACAGAGCGGGCAAACCGTGCCGCGGAGCGAATGCCAGTCATCCACAGATTCAGCTCCTGGGGATCGGGCATATGCATCTGGATCAGGGCTGTCTTGTGCGTACGCTCGTCCAGGTAGGCTACTTCGACGATGGACGAGAGTCGGCCGTCGTCCAAGGCATACACCGCAATGATACTGGAAAGGGAGATTCCTGCAGCAGTGTCGTGGGCTACCATATGCATATCCTGCATCGAACCGATCGATACGGACGACTGGCGGCTTCCGGGGAGGGCGTGAGTGAACGAGGCTGCTATTGAAGGGAATGCGTCTAAGGCCTTGTTCTGACTCTTGAAGCGAATCAGATGTGTGTCGGTGAGGACCAGGTACTGGCTCTTCTTCCTCCACATTCCCCCGGTCGTCTGGACCTCTCCATGGTGCAATACAGCGGATCCTACGCCTAGGCTGGAATCATCATCGCCAATAGATGAAACCTTGGAGCGTCTTCCGGAGGCATCGCCATCGTCAAGAGAATTCTGTGAGCGCAAGGAGCCAAATACGGACCTACGTTTTCTCAACAGTGATTTGCGTCGGGGCATCGGGCCTGGCCGTGGGACCGCCTCCGGGACAGCACTGAATGGTGTTTCCGACTCTGTCCCATCGGAAATACGCTGGACCTGGCCAGGGTATGAGCTGCTTGGGTTGTGTCCGCCGAAGAAGCCAGAATTGGGACGGGGCTTGCCCTTCAAGGCATGATGGTCATCGGACGAGGATCGGTGGTGGAATTCAGGGCGGGTCAAAGGCGCCGGGGATGCGCTGAACATGCCCAGGCTCTTGCGCCGTTGTTTCTTTTCGGGGTGTCCGGTCATAGTCGGGAGTCCGGGGAGAGGTTCGGTAGAGTGAAAAAAAAGCCGTAAAAACAGACAACTGATGACAAGGAAGACAGCAATTGGGGAGGGAAAGCAAGTACTTTTATCACATGGGCGACATCGGGTGCCTTTTTCACACTGGTTGGGCTTGAGGCAAGTCAGCTATCTCTAGATCGCCTATGAATGAGGAAGGAGAAGGAAGAAATCAAGCTGATATTAGAGGCGAAGCATATAGTCCCGATGCAAGGACATACAGGAAGTTATATCAAGGCGTCACGCCATGAGAAGCGATTCAGTCGAGACGGGGCGAGTGAGATGGAGGCCGTCAGAGCACAAGCACCGGATCCGAGACAATAGTAGCGACAGGCGCACGAAGACAATCGAGCCAATACGCGCAATGAGTGGGTTCTGAAAAGAATAAATAAATAATAATAAAAAAGATAAAAGACAGGAATTGGATGTCCAAAAATAACCGGCGGACAGGTAGGGCGAGCCAAGGAAGCAAGGACGGCGGACCCAGAATATCCAAGAACGGTCGATAAAGCAGCCTTGATTTCCAAGAAGGGGGAAGCGACAAAGGAAGAGAGGATTCCCAACACGACGAAAGGGATGGGATGGCGGCCTGGGCAGGTGGGAGTTTGATGGAGAGAAGGATGATATCAGAGCAGAAAGGACGGAGAGTGAAGCTCTAGGATTGCAGTGATCACGGAGGAGATTTTAAGAAAAAGCAAGCCTGTTGCTGGAAGACAATCAACGAGGGAATGCTTCGGGAGAAAAACGAAAGTGGATGAGAAGCGAGAGAGAAAAAAGAAATAGAAGAGAAGGAGAAAATAGCCGGAAGATCATGAAACTGGTCGAGGCGATGCAGACAAATACTTTACTATACTAAGAGATAATACTATTAATACATTCCCCAAAGCTTAGAAGTTATTGTCAAACAATATTGTCATATTTAACCTCAGCATCACTGTGGATCAAAACCGCCCAGCATCGACAGGCTTGACGTCTGATATATCCAGCCTCTCTATCTCTCCCTCTCTCTCTGCTCTCTCTTCACCAGGACCCTTTTTCCTAATTCCCTCCCCTTCCACCTGTTCATGACGTATCTGCAATATATTCTTCCTCGCCCATTGGCCTGTTCTCGATCTCCCCTGCTAATCTCCGGGACGGAGTGGCTGAGGATTTTCTCTTAGCCTTTAGCCGGCTGCTTGCCGTTTACGCAATGTGACTTGTCCTATTTTTACGCGAAGTACGTGGAACTTCTCAGCGTGGAGCTTCTCTGGGAATGGTACCGATTGTATAATACCATATGAAATCATATCAATGTACAGAATGACAATTGCTACTCCGATGAATCCGTCCAATTTCGCGCTTGCGCCCGTTCAATCCGCTTCATCCTCCTAATCAGCTTGATGTACTCATTGTACCGTTTCTCTGCCCAAATGCAACCCCCCAGCGTCATGATTGCGATCTGGATGAAGACCTTGAACTGCGGCGTCAGAGTGCGATACACCCGGGACGTGGGCGATATCCAGTCCGAGAAACCCTCAAGCGGTCGGTAGAAGAATGTGGACTTGAGATGTTCGCGCGAGAAAAAAGACGGACGCTTTCCAGTGCCGGTTTCGACGGGCGCAGAAGTTCTGGGGAAGGTGAAGGGGTGAGGGAGCATGAGGATCATATGGCCTATGATTCCAGCGGAGCCGAACTGGTCTCGTTAGTCGTTTTCTATTACAGTTATTAAATGGGGAGACGTCAAATACCCGGAGAGCCCCCGTGAAGAAGCCCTGCATGGTCAGCGTCGACACCTGGTCTGCTGCCTGGAACTCAACGCCTCTCTGATCCGATGGAGGAGGCATGCTATCAATGCTCTCGTAGTAGTATCCAAATGATAATTTGATGCTATATACTCCGTGATGAATCTTGTGGCGAAGCTTCCGACCGGCGGACAGATGCCAATGCCAGCATCAATTTCAAACAAGACTGTTAAACCGATGATTATCCAGCAGATGCAGACTGGAATAGCTCTCGAGAAACCCGCGGAAACATGCGGAGAAGCAAGTCTTGTATAAATATAAAGTAATAGCAATAATGCGACCGGGAAGCGCAGTTCCCGGTCGGCGATTCTTGTTTATTATCGATAAGGAAAAAAAAAAAAAGTCAAAATAAGGCTGAATATGACTAACATCGGATTGTGCTTTGAACTCATCTAACTTCACAATTGCTCTCTCACAAACAACATCTCAAGAAAGAATAATCCAAAGAAGAGGAAGAAAAATGGCCCTCCCCCAACGCACCGCATCCATAACCCGCATCACCAACGAAACAAAGATCCAAGTTTCCCTCTCCCTCGATGGTGGCGTCCTGCTCCCCTACGAACCAACAACCCATTTCCCCTCCCCGACAGATCCCCAGGAAGCCGAAGCCGCGAAGAAGGGAATCGTGCCGCCTAAGGATGCGCAGCATGCGACGCAATTCACGGCTACGCAGCAGGTCACCGTGAGCACGGGGATAGGGTTCCTAGATCATATGCTGCATGCATTGGCGAAGCATGCGGGGTGGAGTTTGGCTATTAGAGCCAAGGGAGATTTATACAGTATTCTTCTTCCCTCCCTTTAGTTTCGATATATTCAGCTGTATACATAATGTATATGCTAATTGAATAGTCGACGACCACCACACAACAGAAGACACCTTCCTCGCGCTCGGAACGGCATTCACCCACGCCCTCGGCGCAAGACAATCCCTCGCGCGCTTCGGACGCGGCGACGCGCCCCTCGATGAGGCCCTCTCATGGGCCGTCATCGATATCTCCAGCCGACCCTGGGCCGTGATTAACCTGGGCTTCCGGCGGGAGAAGATTGGCGGTTTGAGCACGGAGATGATCACGCATGGGCTGCATAGCTTCGCGCATGCGGCGGGTGTCACTCTGCATGTTGGTTGTACGTATGGGGATAACGATCATCATCGCGCGGAGAGCGCGTTCAAGGCTCTCGCTGTGGCGTTAAGGACTGCTTGTGCTAGGAGAGTAACCGGGGAAGTTGGGGCGGGTGATGTGGTTAGTACTAAGGGGGTTTTATAAGGATTTCACTTTTAATGCATTGGAGATGTTCATAGAGATACATATAGAACAGATATCATACCAATCTTGTCCGGGCTATCGTCGATACATAGACCATATCATCATCAAAGCCCGGTTCATGAAGAATCAACCCCCAAAGCAGTCAAAGCCCGATTCCAATAATCTCTCCTTGCATCAGTAACACTCGTCCCAACACACTCTCCCAAATAAGAAGCCCACCCGCTCTCCGACCCCGTCCGCAACGCCTCCCGAACCTCGTCGGAACACTGCGTCGTCAAAAACCACGCCCCGGAACCGAAATCGTACGCCCCATCCGAAAGCAACAGTGAGAGAATCCCGGCTGGATCGTCGGAGACATGGCTCAATTGGGATGTGAGGAGGGGGAGGGAAAAGGCGTATTTAACGTTGTAGGTTGGTGATTGCATGTTTCGAGCTGCATCCATCATTAATTAATATAATCTATCCTCTACAGTAAAGTATGGTGTATTTATTATATTAGACGGGGTATAGAATAGATTGATGGTAGACTTACTACCCTGTCCAGCAACGCCGGGAAAATGATTCCGATTATACTTAAAATCCTCACTCTCAAACGCCATCAAACTGATCACAGCCGCCTGCTCCGCCCGAGACGTGACATTGTACGTCTCAAAGGACTGCGAGATATACGGCGCGGCCTGTTGGGCTGTCACACATTCGCCTGTCATGGGGGCATCGGTGCAGGATTTTGAGGCCGGGGAGACGGTCTCTAGTTGGAACGCTGTGATCAGCGTTGGACTCGACTTCGAGGTTGAGTCTTCCCTCGATATAAGTGCTTCCCGGGGGAGGTCGATGGGGGCTGCGTAGGTTGCTGTCAAAGACATAGCGGTCAGGATGAGTGTTGGGTTGATCAGTCGCATTTTGACTTCCTTGTTTCGATGGAACTTTCTTTTTCTTCTCTTGAAATATCCAAGGCACAGAAAATTGAGTGTATATGTAAACAGACGACTTCGAGTAAATGAATGGAAGATCGATCAGAAAGCCCTAAATCAGGTTGACCGGCAACCGAGTTGTGAAAGGAATGAAGCTAAGAATGAAAGGAGAGATAGAGCCCGCTAGAGGAACAAGGATAATGAGAAAGGACAGGTCTGAAAGAGGCAGACTGATTCCTGGATGCAGTGTGATATATACCACTGTATGGAGCACCCCAGGACTGTATCCCACTGCATCCATTGCCACTTCCCATGCATGTTTCACAGCCCATTGGAGAGTTGTCATGTTTCACCTCCGCAGCTGAAACACCACCGGTTTGTTGTTAGAGTAAGACACTACAACCTATAAGAAGCTCTAGAAGACTCGGTTCGGTAGCAAGTATATTGGCTGAAATGAAGTTGCGCCTTGTAGATTGTGCAAATCTATCCAGCTGAACGTTGCAAAGCAACCAATCTCTATCGCGCAACAGAACGACAGATTTTTCTAGCAAGCAATGGTAGTTGATTTGCGTCATAGTCATCATCAATGCACTGAAGGAGATCCGCAGCAAACTGGCTCCAGGCGTCTGTAGTCGCCGGACGAACAGTGGTTCATCCGGCTACGATAGAAGCAAAGTCTATGAATTTGAGGGCCCCAAAAGAGGAAGAGAACAAAAAAAAAAAAAAAAAAAAAAAAAGATGAAAGAAAACACAAAAAAGAAAGAAAAGTGATAAATGAACTCATCAAAACAGACAGAGCCAGATAGCACACGGATCACCTCAGTTGTATGCAGATTGGGGTGATGTTGCCAAACATGTGCGAGCATACAAATTTTGTTCCAGAAGCACCTTGAACAATGGGCACTGAAGAGCAAAGTGGGAAGAGAAGAAGGGAAAATGGAGCAATGGAGGGGGGCAAAAAAAGAGAGAAGACAAAATAGTAACAGACGAAAACCAAGCCATGCGCGCTAAAAAGCTTCGGAAGAAAGTGCAGAACCACCAACGTATTACAATAAATTATGGATCCAAATTCCACTAGAAGCATCCAACACACTCAGGAGAGAAAGGTAACGATGGAGAGGAATTGATGCACTTAATCATCACGCCGACCAAAGAGTTCATATGAAGTCTCAGTGATTGTCCCGGACTCTTCGTCCTTTTTGAAGCTCGCATGCCGAAATAGTCTCGGTACCGTGAGCCGGGACCTCGAGTTGGGAGAGGGACCAGCTTGGGAGTTGGTTGTAGGAAGTACCGAGTATTGGTAGCGGTACTTGGAAGTCAATAGTAGCACTTTCCCGTAGGCCCACCAGATTCCGACTCCGGCAACACCAGCAAGAATGAACCCACAGACGGTGAGGAACAGCCAGTGTTCACCCATCTACCGAATCCGTTAGTTCGGGGCCACTATAGAAGCTAGAGGAGTATTTAACCAAAAAAAGGGGTGCGCTGCCAAGCTCTCTACTTACCCAAAAAATCAATCTTGCGTCCTTTCCATGCCAGCTGTTGCCGATATGGTGTGTGAAGAAACTCCACGAATATCTGTTGTACTCTCCCTGCATGAGAATTCGGACACGGCCTAGGTCGCTTCGCTGCTCTTGCATGTATTGCTTCCAGATCACTGACAAGAACAACGGGCCCGTTGAGTACATAACTGTGACGTAGGGGAGCAGCCAGTGGCGGTTATACGATTGTAATGCCTCGATAACGCGAAGGAAGAATGGATGCTGGGGAACGGCGCCCATGGCATCGTTGGAGATGCCGGTGGGAGCAGTGCGACGCAACCAGGCGGGATACGCGAGAAGAGGATCCAAGCGACGGTTGCAACCCTAATGTTGTTATTAGCATCCTCGCGTATTCCTTCAAGAACAACAATTAAGCATACATCGTCAAGATCAATGTAGGTTCCTCCGTAATGCGCCAGAACGAAATACCGGATCGAATCCGCGCGCTGAATCGGATACTTGTAGCTATCGAAAGTCTCGAGGAACCAGGGATATTCTTCTGCAATGAACTTGCGTGACTTCTCATCGGTCCACAGCTATTTTGTGAAATGTCAGTATGTCTGTTTTCAGGCGAAACAAGAATGCGCCAACACATACAATGTATTCGTAGTCAGGGTGCAGGTCAATGCAGCTCTGCTGCGCTTCCCTCCACACCTCCGGAATAGATTCATTCTTGTAGGTCTGGTGAATGATCTTGGGGATGACCTGCGGACGTTGTTCAATCAGGCTTGAATTCGGCGACGGGATCTCGGCGCGGTGGATGGCATCGGCTGAAGCATCTTCGACGAGCAATGTCAGGAGGGTATAGACGCTTCTAACGAGGAGGAGCAGAATGATCAAGTTGACCACAATGAAAATAGAGAGACCGCGACGCATGGTGGATGGCCGCGTCGGTGACAGGATTGACACGTGTTTTGGTGGGGAGAATCGAGGGAGGCAGAGGGTATTGCGATTGCACTAGAGCCTGAGTGATGGACGGAGTGTCGCTGTCTCCAGGGTTCTTCTGGATGACCAGGATGGCGAGCCTCCAAGCCCACTTCAGGGCTTTATGGTGATTTATCGACAGACCCCCAGGGTCATGAACGTCAAGAGGATGCGGTCGCCGTCTGATCCTTGGAGACAACAAAAGGAGAAAAGGTAAGAGCAAGGAACGCGTCACGAGGTCACTCGGAGAGACACGTACACACACCCACAGACAGACACAGAGAGAGAGAGGGATGGGGGGGAGAGCAGGGGAAGGAAGGTGTTGGCAGGGGAATGGGGTCGTTGAAGTAACTTTCTCGTTATGGTTTGTTTTTTTTTTTTTCGTTTTTTAATTAATTTTTATCTTCACCTTTTTTATTTTATCTTTCGATCGAGAGAAGGTTAAAATAATGAACGTGGTTGGGGGTGGGTGGTAAGTGGTTGATATTTGGTAGTAACGACTGGTGAGATGCAGTCTCCTGGCCACGAGGGACTAGCAGTAATAAGGAATGACAGGGGGGCAAGAGAAATAATTAAAAGAAAAGAGCGAATTATGGTTACGACGAAGGCAAGGAACAGAAAGGCTGAAGGCTAGACAGCGAATCGCATCACCAAGAGGAGAACAGATCACACCGTTAGCTGAAAGAAAGAGGGTGGCAGAAAACGACGAAGGCCCATGGTTGAAGGCAGAAGGCAGAAAAGGGAGGGAGGGAAAGCGAAGGGGAGAGGGAGGCAGACGCAGACGCAGACCGTCACTCCGCCCGGCCTGCGCTAAGCCGCACTAGCTGCCTCTGGTGGCTAGCCCGAGGACCCCTAAGCGGCCTAGCGCCCAGCCTAATTTTAGCCCATCCTGTTTTGGGATTGGCGCGGGGGGCTATGGTTGGTGGTGCGGAGCTTAGCCTGGGGGCGTCGTACTAGGCGGTTTATGGACTAGCCAATACAATAATTTGCCAAAAAAAAACAAGGGCTGTGCATGCGAGTGGGCCAATCAGCAGGCAATACTGGCTCATTTCCAGGCGCCATCGCCCCACCAAGCCCAGCCTCCGCCACGACTTACGTCTGCAAGAGGAAAGGCGGAGGCTTAAGCTGTGGCTCTGCGTATTCACGCGTATACTCATCGTTACCTAGTACACTGCATACGTTACGAGTGGGGTGCAAGGGGCAATGCCAATGCTATTTATTAATTTTAACCGAGACAGAACATTGTCCGATATCTTTCCTCCGGCGGACAGCATTAATTATTATCACCATTATTGCTATGTATTCCGTCTCGCCATCTGCAGGAAATCCCACGGTTGCTCCATAACCATGGCGCCATGCAATGACTGACTTCAGTGGCCAACATATATGATGATACTCATACTATTACTACGCTCTGTCCAACGGCCGGGTTTAGACTTTGCCTGTTTCCCCCGGTCTCCCAACATTCCTCTAGCGTGAAGGCAGATCTGCGCTTATATTTTAATATCCGCGGGAGAAGCAGCATTCCCCCGTTTACCAGAATACAATAATAATGCCAATGCTCCGTTCTGCGTATGTTAATTTATTGCCAAGTCAGTCTTCGTGTACTGCACTGTATGTGTCGACATCTTGCCATACTGCCTTGGCGTCCATGGCCGGTTTTATATGGAGTGATTGGCAAATTGGGAGACCTCGGACTTGGATATGGACCGCAATTCCTGTTTGCCTTATTCTGTACAGTCGCTGTGAGGTTAATCCAGGAGGATTATCCTTGTCTTGTCCTGAAAGGTTAATCTGTGGATGCTCTTCTGGAAGTTCCATAATAATGGTTATGATAATAATATACAACCTTTCCCAGGGTACGTCGTATGTACAAGATACGAGTCGGAGAACGAGCAGCACTACCCTTAACCACAGTCACTTCATCGGCCGATTGGACGTAGTATCATGCATTATGCATGCTGGATGATAACAATCATAATACATAGTCGGAGGTTCCACTTCATACCCCTTTTTAACTTTTTCCCCACGCAACCTAAAACTTCCCATCCCAGCGAACACGAAGAAGAGAAGGGGGGAAACGTAGCAGGCCAAGGAACAGCCAATAATGCCTGATGGAACACAATGATAACACTCCAGGCCGTCATGATAGGAGGGAAAGCCGCGGTAGAAAAGACCCGCCAAGCCTGGGTGGAAGAATTCTGATGCTACGTACTCCGTCAATCAATAATGCAATAAATAATAATACAATAAATAATAATACAATAATCCTACACGAAAACGTCAGCTTACTCGCTTACATGAGGTGTTCTCTGTACTATAAGATGAGAATGAGATTAGTTCAATTAGCTCAATGACCCAAAACTGGTTGGGATGTTTCACGGCAAAACTTCGACAGAAGTAAGTTCAAATAACGATCCACAGTGGGCTGTCCGAACTTTTGGTTCGGACTCCGCTATCATATCTCTAAGCATACCTATTCTGGGAATGTGGATGTCTGTATTCTTGGCACCATGCATGCAACTGTGCACTGCCATGTCCATGCTGCAAAAGATACCAGGATACGATGTAGTGTACAGAAGGTTGAATCTAATGCGAACCAATTATATCTAATTACTATCCAAGTCCACTTTTCTACATTCTGTATGTACCGTTTGGACTTTCCTTGCTCATCTCAAGTAGTGGGATGTCAAATGCATTGCTTGTCTAGCCCTAAGTGCTTACTATATTAGTAGGTAGGGCCAAACCGAGAAATCATATCTCCATGACTATGGAATGTTCCATGGTGAAGTGGCTTCATACAGTGAATATCATTCTGAGAGAGCATAGAACCAAGATGTCTCTGGCAGCATCACATCCTCAAAGGGGAACAAATACCCAGCTGGCTAAATGAGTATCGCCAAACCATTCAAGCTACAGTCACATATAATATTTAGCTCTCTCCAAGAACTGCAAAACACACCTCATCATTCTCTCTAGACGTCAATATACAGGCGCTATTTAGTCTTCAGGCTAACAAAGAGTACAGTCTCACTACAACACTACAAAGTACTCAGTCCACTGAGAACTAGCAGCAACATCATAAGCCCTGGCTACAGCCTTTAGAGGATTATGTTTATGCTGTGAATAACTTCATCATGGCCTTGGTAACTGTCTACTATAAAACACGCACCTGCCTGATGCTGAATATATATTGTCACGCAAATAGAGGGCAAAGACCATATCCTATGCAATTCTACTGGGTTGCCTAAAGGGACAAGCCTGATCAATCAGCTGGAATCAACATCCAGGTCTCTTTTTCCAGATACTACCGCTGCTGTTCTGTCCTGGTATACAGATATAAAACCCAGATAGCACCTCTCACATCTGGACATCATATTAGGCGTCCTAAGTGGATTAGGTATTGTATAGTTACGCCATTGCTACAAACTTCGCATATCCTTCTTTCAAGAGGTGGCTTCTGCTGGGGGGGCTGTTATCCTTCTCCCTACGTGATGAAACTAGCAATCAACTATTCTCTCCGTTCTTTGCAAAGACTCGGCCAAGGCTAGGAGTTATATAAACTGTATATAGAGACTACAGGTTGGTTGGACATCTGTGTTGAAGCAAAATACTCTGTGCAGCCTGCGCCGGAAACCAACGGTGGTTATGGATTGAGCTTATGGAAGGAATATAATCTCAACACTCGTGACAGTATTGAAAGAAAACACAAGTCCTCCGAACATAGGACAACATGTGATATCTATTCCTAGATGATCTATTTCATGATATTGCTGGATATCGGAAATCTATGATCATATCCAATAGACGCTACCAGCCACACGTCATGGTGTCTTGCTTTTGCAATACAATGCCTATATCGCTCTAGAAGAAATGGGTCTTTCAACTGACTCGTTTCCCGTAACCATTCGCTCTTCGAAAAGCGGCGTCGCCGCAGACATTCTTTTTTTCTCAATTCCACATCATCTCCATTCGTTTTAGCGTGCATTATCATACTCTAGCAGACCCTTAAGACGTCCAAGTTCGCGGAGCTGAAAGGGCTCCGGATCTTAAATGACGTTGTTCTCCACCAAGCGTATCCGGCCCGATTTCACCTCACGGAAGTCCGGAAGGGATTCTGGCCGGCTTGTGAAGCAAGCGGCTTAGCAAGTCCGACATGTTCGGAAACGGTTCGATGATCTAAATTTGGGAATCACTATAGGCAGACGCCTGTAGACTGACGTGGGCTTCGGGTTCACCTCTATGTCCGCATCTTTGACGAGCACAATGAAACTTAATTATGACTGCAGCCCAATTGCTCGGCCGATTTAAGCCAAAACAATGGCCACAACCACATGAAAGTAGCTCTGTTCACCGAACTTCGGGAGCTGCAGCAGCGGCGAAAGCAGGATTAATAGAGGCAGTATCCGTCGCACCCGCCACAGCAGTTCTTTGAGGCGGCTCGAATAATCGTCTCCACCAAGCTGGAGGATCTAGAGGCCGATGCCCGCCATGGAGAGATGGATAGACGTCACTGAAGAAGTACCAGATGTGGCCGACCACGACACCGCAGATTTCATCCTTAGGCACAATACCGTGAACGACAAGACTGAATGCCATCAACACCCACGGAAGATACGGCGCGGTAAAGACCAGAATTCCTAGGAAGCTGAGACGAGTTTCGGGATTGCGACGGCTCCAGATATAAACCAGGCTGGATGAAAGTGCAGTGCCCAGGAACGGGAGAGAGAGGAAGGGAGAAAGGAGTATGAGGGACGCCATGGAGTAGACCAGCAGCCACGAGAAATCAGCGGGGGATCGACCAGACGACTCTTCAAGAAGGCGCGAGTATCGTTGAAGGAAGAAGACGTGGAAGAGTAAATCCAGGTTGAGTGGCCCGAAATAGAGAAACGTCGTAACAACACGCCAGTACTGTCAATTCACATTAGTCTCTTCCCTCTTCATCCATTCCTTCCGCAGGATGAGAAAACCCTCGACTCACCTGCGACTTAAAGTAAACAGCGCGGAAGCTATAAAACAGCTGGAAAGGTGTCACGATATGACAGTGAACCAGTATCGATGTGAATACTGTAGCCGCAGTCCACCATCGAGTAACCGGCGGCATCTCATAGAACCATTGCTCGAGCGGAAATTGGCCCGCCTGGCCGCCATTCCCCCAAAGAGCGGCCATAACTATTACGTCGGTAGGTTAACTAACCGTCGGGAAAGAGAGAAGAGATACTGAAGATGGCGCTAAAAGCCACGCAAACGCGGTACGAATCAGGATCTGGATAAACGAATGTATTGAGTTTGACAATACCGACGAATGCCGAAACAAGAAGACCGTGATAGGAGCAAGGTGAGCTGCATCTGCATCGCTGGAGATCTTGGAGGAGGACAGGACGGACAACCTCCAACTTGTCAACTTGGAACTATGCGAGTCACGGGCGTTATCATTATCACCACGTGATATTCAATCACGTGTATTAGTTACCGCGATAAACGGCTCGGCAAACGCGTCTAAGGAATCGAGGTCGACGACGCCAACCACCTCATTTTCCCTCCACCGTTGCGCTTGACGTCCGACGGTTTCGAGTCCCTTTTTTCACCCATTGATGGACTTTTGAGACGGCAATTGTTGAAGCGCTAGCCGCTTTGAGTCCTTGCGCTGCACCATACACATCAATTCTCGCGGCGCTTGGTTTCGAGCTTGCTTGTCGCATGAATAAACATAAAAAACACCAGTAAATGGGACATTGAATTGCTTTTCGGATTTTTTCTGAGCAAAGTATACAAAACCACTACACAGCAAAAATGCCACCGAAAATGGGTCGCCCCCGCAAAGCTGGCCCAAAAGCTGACCCAGCGCGCGAACAACGACAGCCCAGCACCGACGAGGACTCGCGAGACAGCGATGCTTCAAGTCCCTCGGCAGACAAGCCCGTAGCGACATTATCAAGCAAAGGTCAACCCAAGCCAGATCGAATAGAAAAGAAGAGGAAACAGAAACAGAAGAGACCCTCGGAGACAGCAGAGGAGGTGAGAGATGTCCAACGTACGTTATTTCCCTCCCCTCCCAATTCCATTGGAATTGAATCGCATTTAATATTTCTTGCTCTCATTCTAAAACATTATAGCCGGTGATCCAATCCCTAAAGGTCGCCGTCGACGCTACAAACCAGGCACAGCCGCCCTAAAAGAAATCAGACGATACCAGCGCTCTTTTGACCTGCTTATTCGCAAACTACCCTTCGCGCGACTCGTGCGAGAAGTCGCACTCGATATGCTTCCAGCTGAAGTCGGCGCTGAGCTACGATGGCAATCACACGCCATCCAGGCGCTTCAGGAAGCCGCTGAAGCTTTCCTAGTACATCTTTTCGAGGATACGAACCTATGTGCCATACATGCCAAAAGAGTCACTATTATGCAGAAGGATATCCAGTTAGCGAGGAGAATTCGTGGAATTTGGGGTGGTTTAGGCTGAGCCTTAGTCCTCTTTTTCTTCTTTTTATATTGCCTCTATTTCCATCTCTGCTTTTTTTTCCCAGCATATAGGTGCTATCAAACGGGGCGTCATGGTACTGTTTTATTTATTTATCATCGCCTTCCTTGTGAGAGGGTTGCAGCGAAGTGTAGGGTCTATATCTACAAATCCGTGCTTGTGCCTGGTCTTTCTATTCATTTTCTAGCTTCCCGTCTAGGCCTGAAGTCCTGCTTGAACTAAACATCGGAACACTTAAAAAAAGGTGGAATATCGAAAAGACAAGCAAACAACATTGATATCCGATTCCAATCCACTGTAATCAGTATACGCTCATTACAATATGCGAAGACCATACGGTTCTAGATCATTAAACCAGTCAGCCATTGTATATGGCGCCATTGGAGTCAAGCCAGGGTACTTGCATCGCAAAGAAAGGGCAAATTTAAAAGTGTGTAGAAACAGGGTGAACCAATGATAGATGAAGGGAAGAGGGAAGAGAGGAGTTTCGACAGCCGAGAACGGGTATCTGTGAATAGAGTGAAACGTAGTGATGGCTATATGTTGCCTAGCAAATGGCCAATATGTCAGCATCCTTAGTTCCCTGTTTTCAGTCCCAGGCTAAGTCTAGATACTTTGACCTAGACGGGAACATGAAGGACACGGAATTGCCGCTTTCTGGGAGGATATGGGGTTCGGTGTGACGGTAAGCGCAAGATGGGCATTTGTCTTCAGTTTGTAAGACCTTCACCTAGTATGCCTCTTAGAGAATCCTCCTTGTGAATCATATCTAGCATAGCTGTCATTGCAAGAAATTAACTGTCCAGCAAGCGAGGCCCACTCATGACAGCGTTGCAAACCGTCGGGGACAGGTCAACCGGATCTTTTCAACGCCGGTGGAAGTCCTGCTAGAACTCGCTGTCCTTCTTCCCGGACGGGTTTCGCCTCTTCTCCCTTTCCTTGTCTTTCAAGGGTCTCTGCCAGCATCACATCTGTAACGCTTACCCATAGTCGGTCGTTTGCTCTCTTAGCCATAGCGCGGGCAGCTCGCGCGCTTTTTTCAGCCTGTTCTCCAACCACACCTCGGAAATATTTCCAGCTCATGAATGTTAAAGTCATGCACGTAATCTGACTGTTACTTATGGCGGTAGCAAATTGGAGAGATTGCTGAAGAAATTGTTTCGTCTGTAAGGTCGATTCTGTTTGAACCAAGGCACAAACCAGATAGTAGGCCGCCTGTATGTACTTGTTGGGACTATTCGCGCAGAAAGATTCGACGGTAGAAAGTACGTTGGGAAGTTTTGAATGAAATGGGTTAGTCGGATCACGAATGATAAGAATCGTGTTGAGGGCCGCAAGGATAGAAACATCACGGCGAGGGTCGTTTCGGGTTGTCTTGCTGTCAGAAGCAGAGAGAGAAAGAAGTGGGGACTGAAAAGCAAGAAGAGCAGCCTCGAGATTACCAGTCGCTTGAGCAATGGTGCCAGCGGCGTATTCCATCATGCTCCGCACAGCGTCCGGAATATCATCACCAAGTTCCTCGGCTGCTTGTCGAAGCTCTTTCAAGGTCTGGCTGGCCAGGTCCCAGTTTGTGCGGCCGCATGCAAGGAATGTCTGATGCAGAAGCAAATTGCAGCACAATATTTTGCGCCATTGGATACGTCTGCTTGCATTTAACATCGACTCCGCTGTGCCTTGTGGCTCCTTGAAACTGCCTAGGGGAGTTGTCAGAGAATAGCCTGGAGTAAAAATGGGAGAGGGAAAAGAACAGACCTCTGATCATACGTAGCCCTTCTTGGAGAAATTGCTCTGCTTTGCGACCATCGTAAGAGTTCTTTGCGCTAAGTGTAATGGAACTGAGGAAATAGCAAAGTGCGTAAAGGTCATGCTGTGGCAGCCAGTTGAAGCTCATAAATAGTTTGCCATTCTGAACTTGCAGGATATCACCTGTATCGATCGATGATGGTCCAATTGACTTGCCGCTTAATGGGATGGAAAATGAGCCATCAATACGCCAGTTTGGATCATTTAATTTTTCGTCCATCATATCTTGGATGATTTTCAGCTTCTGAGAAGACTGATTGACATCGTGGTCGAGTAGACTACAGCAGATGTCAACCATTTGGACCAATGTGTTCAGCTGCGGGATATCCCGAAGTTCATCATCTAATTGATGACTTCGTGCAGTAGCCACAGCCCTCTGGGCTTGTTCAATTGAGTCGGAACTTGTTGAATTTTGGAGATGTGCGAGAGCCTCAACTACGGCTGATACGACTGAGACTGCCTTGTCTCCGTTGCAATGGGCAATATTGGTGATTTTGTGTAGATGGTGAAACGCTGAGACAAAATCTTGATGGGACGATGATGATAATGAGAGTGTCACTCGAAGGAATCGGAATGCATACTCCCAAGCTACATGGCGATAACTATTTTTAGTCAGTAAGAGCCAAAAGCTCGCAGAGGGGGGGGAAGGAATAATGGCACATACGCTTCTACATCTTGAATCATGCCATCAACGGCTTTCAGGGAAGCTTTCGGATTTGTCTTATGGAGCATGCGTGCGAGAAGCATTTGCATGCTGTACTTCAGATCTAGCATGCGATTCTAAAATAAAATCAGTCATCCGGCTAGAGCGTAAAGCAGAACAGGAGTGATAACTCACTCTTTCGCAGAGGTCAATCTACGAATATAATTTTTGCGTATTGTCAGCGTCCTTCTACAAGGCCGTCGTAATAAGAGAGGAGGATTAACATACCCCTTTGCTCAGCGCGGTTTCTGCTTCAAGGTCATTATCTGTCTCCTCGAACAAGACACGTGCATATCGAAGTCGTACGAGGGCCTCCACACGAGGTTGTAGTCTCCAATTCTGTGCATGTCCTTAAATAAGTAAGAATTCACAGGAACGGATAACCAGACTCCTAACCTTCAACACAGCTTCCAGGCATCCAAGGCCCGTTGCAACAAGTTTATAATACTCTTCGATATCGATCTCTTGTCTCGAGAGGGCGACCATCGTTCCATGGCTATGGGCTGCATTAAGATACTCGTCTGCTAGCGACAATAGCAACGCCTGGTAGTCCACCGGAGGTCTTTCTTGCTTCACGACAGACGGCTGACCGGGTTGACGTTGTAACTGCTTCGACATAGGCTTCGACTGTGATTTCGGTTTCGAATTCTTAGAGGTCTGCTGTTGGATTGTTTGCTGGATTTCTGGTGACACCGCGGGGATCAGGACCTGTGGGACTTGGGGGGGCTGCATCGCAGGGCTGCGGACGGTAGAGACGGTTCGACTCGGATTGGGTTGGGTTGGAGGAGTAGGGAGGGGAGTCTGCGGCGCTGATGAATATTGTCTGTAGGCATTGGGCGCAGTATAGTGCGGCGAGGTGTTGCCTGTTACCGAGACCACAGATTGCCCGCCGTATTGGGGGACATGTCCAAATTGCGACGACGGCGGAGCAGGTGGTGACTGGGGAAACGGGTTGATGTACTGCGGCAGTTGATTATACGCCTGCGCATAGGCAGGATAGTTTGGGACCATGATCTGAGGATAAACAGGCCCTTTGCCATAGTATGAATGCGAACCGGGGTCGGCATTGTACTGTAGCTGCGTTGGATGTTGGATCTGCTGCGGTTGCTGCTGCGCGTAGTGAGGATACTGACTGTTGCGAGGCGGTTGATAGGTCATCGCCTCGGGGTGCGTGAGAGGCTCACAGCAACGGTGGTACCTTGCTTCATAGAAGGAGTGATAAAGAATATGGTGTAGATGTGATGAAGAAGTTTGAAACGGCTGAGATGCTGCAGCATGCGTTCTCCAACTTTCCGATCCGCGTCGGGGCGGAGAAACCCTGGCTACGATATATCTATACTGAAGTATACATGTCTACATCTACATCTATTTATTTGCTCTATAGTTATTTGGCTCATGTGTTTTATTCTACTTCCAAGGAATCCTCTTGTGGAGAAGTGTAGTATGTGCAGTGTATGCTGCCATTGGAACTCTATAAACAATCGCATTATGAAAGGAAGATTGGAAAATAGTTAAGAGTCTTATCGAATACAACTGGTCTGCCTATATACAATGCAAGTTACAAAGATTCCGAGCGCCAATGTCTTTAACTCGTCCAGGTCTAGCACTCAATGCTAGTAGGCCACCCAATGCGTAATACCAAAACCATGTCTATATTCCTACAGGCCGTCAACCTCGTTATATCATGTGGATGGAGTAATATAGCTGCGACAACGGTTCATCGTTCATTGCCGGAAAAAGAATCTGCATACCCAGAGACGGTGGCCAGGTCAGCGGAGGGTGTTGCCGGATCGCCCAGGGACAGAGCTCGTTGGAGATGTGCAAGCTAACCAGAGGCCCTGCAGGATGTATCCTCTGCGCTGCCCAGACTTTGTCCGGCACAGGTGCTGGCCCTCCAAGGCATCTCTGTGTCCAGAAGGAATACCGGATTCGGTCTGGGCTTTGGAGAGACCAGTGGCGTCCAGAAGTGCATCTTAATGTCGTGTTGCAGCAGCCGCAGACCATTATGCTCTTGCATGGACCGCAGAGGGATTCGTGAAGCTGGCAGATAGTCGTTTGACAGACGCTGGAGAACCATAGGTCTACTGATCGATGTGCGCATCCAAATCGTGCCGTGATGTGTTCCTCCGTTGCCAACTGGCCAGGGCCAGTCAAGAGCTGATATTCGGTTCGGATGAGAAGTGTATCCTTCTCATCCAACTCGGGGAAGATGTCGATTTTCAACTCCGTTGATCCGTACCTTTCGGTGCATGAATGCCAACAATACGGCTCGTCCATTCTGCTGCCGATTCCTGTGCTTGCCAATGCTTTTGTCACTTCTCTTCGCGTTTGTAGGAGCGCAACGAGTTCCAGCTTGTCGCGGAACGTCAGCTTTTTGCAAGGGCACAGGTCGACTATGCCTGCAAGATCCCCCAGACTGCACGTTCGGTTTTCCGGCTTCCGTTTCAATTGTCGCGATGAGAACGTATTTCGGGGATGAAGCTTCAAACATTTCGAGCAAGCTCGCCATTTACCATCTTCGAGAGTGGTGAGCAGCTGCCACCTTGCGGTGCCAAAACTCTCCTGGTCTTGGTAATGACGGAAAAGCTGTGGAAAGTCGCGGTTAAACCGTAGAGCTTTGGAACTCAGGATTGGCCTTGAGACTGCAAAAAGCCGCTTGCAAGTCAATGCCAGGCACGCTTGTGACACTTCCGTGAGGTTGGATATTATCTCCAGCAACAGCTCCGTTGGCAGCTCAAGAAGACAACGCCGCTGCGTTGTTTCTCCTTCATGGTCAGCTGTGCTCCGTGACCGCAGTCCTTTTTTCTTGAGGATTTTCAATTTCTTCAACTTCTTCGAAATGTGACGGAATTTAGGGGGCATATTGACTGCTATGTGGGTTTGTCTTTTGGGATTCGGATCATCAACCATTCCTACAGGCCAGAGTTCAAGAAATATATCCTCTACCGTTGACAGGTGTTCAGGAGTCTGTTAAGAACTGGTGCTTCTTTTGTCTCTCCTGGAACATCATGTTGAAGGAGGGTAGATGCCAAAGGAGACCGTGATGCTGCCCGTGAGTCTTGTGATAGATGCTGTTCCCCAAAGGACAAGCAGGAGAAAGACCACTTGACACCGGCGGCAATGCACCTAATATCCATTGTCTTGATTACCTGTGTGCCAGCGGAACCCGCGGCTGAGGCTCCCAATAAATGTTATCAGGATTACATAGGAGGCCATGGCAACTCGGAAACCTCAACCTTATCCAACTTTCTTTTCTCCCCGCCGCCGGGTCTTCTATATTCGCCATACCAGTGCCCAAGCAACTCCCGAATAATGGGATCTAGACGATCAGTCTTCCGCTGCATATGGCATCTGACAACCGCAACTTGCCGGCCGGAGTTCTACAGACTTTATTTCCCGCCATGACTGCTGAAGCACCCTTGCTACTGACAACAGAGATCAAGGAAGGCCATCCGACGACGACGATGACGATGATGCAGTCGGGCATGGCTATGACCTCATCGACTGACCCTGGGCCGTACACGTGACTTTACCTGCATAAGATTGGCATAGCTTATATTTGTGAAGATCACGCGTGCATAATCGGCAATGGTTCGGCAGGCGATAAGATAAGAGGCTGACAAAGCAATTGTTTTTGACCGAGGGTCAAATTGCTTGTTTCATCTGTTTTTATATTGATAACCATGCCACGGTTTATATATTGTTAATGAGTACAGTGTATATCTTATGCTTTCGAAGATATCTTCTTGCCTGTTAAATCTGTCTGTGGAATGCTCCAGTTAGGCCGTCGTGATCCATGCACGAAAGACCCCTCGATACCCCTTACCTGGCTATTATCTCGGTTCTCCTATCTGCTCTGATCGCAATGGGGATTTTCTCATGGATTCGTCCGAACCAGCGGGTCTCTTTTGTGCACTCGCTAGAAAATAGACTGCTCTTGACCAAAATATCCCCCCAGTCCAGGACGAAAGAGAAGGTTACTTTGCCGGACCTCTGCAAAGCGACGACTCCCTCAACGTGTGACCTCAACCCCCTTCTCTTCAATGGCCACCTCCAAACGGCCTGGACCACGGTTAAAAACTATGACATTCCCATATACTACAAGCGGAAGATGTTCGAGTCCGACAGCTCCATGTACAGCGGGCACTTCGCTGTCGATTTCGTAGTCGACCCCTACGAAATACCTGATGACGACGAGGTGACCGATAAAGCACGAAAATTCACGCTGCCCTCTGGTCTTCCATCGCGAACCATCTTTTTCAGAGAGGACGAGTTTGCGGCCCTCCCATCTGACGATACAAGGCCCATGCTGGTTCTCCTCCACGGCCTAAGCGGCGGTTCGCACGAATTATACCTGCGACATGTTCTTGAAGGGCTCCTGACCGAGAAGGGCTGGGAGGCGTGTGTAGTGAACTCCAGAGGCTGTTCTCAGACGAAGATCACATCTGGTATGCTCTATAATGCCCGGGCTACGTGGGACGTTCGCCAAACAGTAAAGTGGCTACGGAAGGCATTTCCAAACCGCCCTCTTTTCGGAATCGGTTTCTCGCTCGGTGCGAATATCCTTGCCAACGTATGCACCCCCTTAGACATTGTGCAGATGGCCGTTGTAATGAAGTTAACCCCTTCTAATTTCATTTCTTTTATTCTTGTAGTATTTGGGCGAAGAAGGCGACGCCTGTCAATTAAAAGCAGCAGTCCTTGTTGCGAGTCCTTGGAACCTGGAGATTGGCTCATTGTGCCTACAACGCACCTGGCTTGGTATGGAGGTTTACAGCAAGACGATGGGTGCAAACATGAAACGACTCTTTGAACAGTGCGTTTTCAATATGCCCCTCCCCGTTCCTGGTGATGATGTTTTGGGGCCTCTTTTTCTGATTTCCAATCCGTCTTTTCTTCAGGCATGTCGAGGAAGTCTCCCAAAACCCACGGGTAGACATCGAGGAGGTGAGGAAGTCTACGTACTTATTCGAATTTGACCGGTAAGTTCCCTGAATTCGATTTCCACAGCAAACCTGCAATCTAGCATGAATGTTCTTAAGGCATCTATCTAACCTTCTAAACTACGTAGTGCCCTACAATGCACCGCTTGGGGCTATCCAACAGAAGGAGCATACTACCGCGATGCTTCGTCCGTAGACTCAATGCTCGCAATTAGAATCCCATTCCTTGCTATCCAGTCTGAGGATGACCCGGTTAGTGGTGCCTTTATTTGGTGTCATCTTTTGTCTCCGAGACATTTCCCGCTAACCCCGAAGACTAGATCGCGAGTTATGAAACTCTCCCTCTTCAAGAGTTCAAACGGACACCATATGGAGTTTTGGCGACCACACCAGGAGGTGGCCATCTTGGATGGTTTGAATATGGAGGAGGCAGATGGTTTGTGAAGCCAGTACGTTATTTTGTCCATACTCTATCTACCCTTTGAGAATTGAAACAGCTGTCAGGAGGGATATCGCCTGTACTAACGTTGACTAGGTGACGAACTTCTTGAACGCATTCGCCAAGGAAATTGATCTTACAGTCCCATTCACAGTTGAGAACCCTGATAAGGTTCCTGGTCAAATTGCGCTGCATGAAGATGGTACGTCGCCAAAGCTGGATTTCAATGCTATGCGCCGTAAATTGGACTTGCCAGTGGTGAAATAGAAGATGTATGCATGGGAATTTCTCACTTTCATCTTCTTTAATTGATGTGTGTGTGTGTGTGTGTGTGTGTCACTTCCATGTGCATTTTTCTTTTCATTTCTGTGCAAACCAAAGTCCCCATCATGGGGTATGCATCCATAGCGCAGTTCAGACAGACTTAGACCGGTGGGAAACGCCCGAACTCCTCCATCCAGGTACATTATATAGACTCTGTATAGAACAAGAAAAACATGATACTTTTATATGAAACACTCAAGCAAACGAAACGCTCTTCCGCTTTCCTTTGGACTTCGTAGATGAACCATTCGTCTCGGCGGTTTTGGAGGCGGCCTTATTACCATCATTATCATTTTGGTCGTTATGCTTCTTTCGTTTCTGGCGAATCGATTCCTTGGCTTTCTCCTATCCCCACATTTTAGTCAGAAAAGTAGTTTCTGATTCAACATGTTCATGATTCACGTACCAGTTTTGACTTCTTCTGCGCTTCTCTCGCTTCGGCCTCCTTTCTCCGCGCTTCTCGGATCTCCTCTAACTGCCGTGCTCTCATCATCTTCGATTCAATCCGGCCTTCTTGTTCCGCGTTCACCATAGCAAGGATCGTCATCATGCCTTCCTGTAAATATCGAAGAAAGTGAGAAGAGCCCGGGTAGAATTGTGCCATAAAAATATACAAGATATGTTTTATAAAACAAAAAGAACTTACACTATCATCCACAAAAGTCTTTCCCTTCTTCTTCCCCTTCGGCTTCAACAATCCAACAGGCGTAATGGTATTCAATTTAGGTAGATCCAGCTCCTCCTCTGTATACTCCCTCTTTTTCTTCTTCTTCAGCTGTTCGGGCGCCGTGCGCGCCTTGGACTTTACCTCCTGTGGAGGTGGGCGTTTGGCATTATTCTTCTTGCTGGGTTTGGTCACGCGGGACGATGAGGAAAGTGTGGATAATTTATTCGCTTTTTTTGAGCTGGAAGATAACGTTGCTGATTTAGCCATTGGGGATATCTTGTGTTGAATATCTGGGAAATGCAAAGGTGAAAAAAAAGCTATCGAGGTTGTGCAACTGAATTCAGAGGGTTCGACGGAGGGAGACGCGCACAATAGAAAAAAAAAAGATATTCCACAAGAACCCAATCTCTCTCAAACGTAGGATAAATAAAAAGGCAGAAACGAAACAGGGCCTCCTTTCCTGAAGACCTAGAAATGTAGACTCGTGTCAAAAAAGCTCCCCATGGAATGCTACGCAGAGAAATTTTTCGAAATGGCAGGCGGTGAGTGATTATGCCAGGCCCGCCCTTCCCACCGCCGACGGACAGCGTCAACTCCAATCAAACCCGCGCCAAAGCCAATTTCAAAGGAAACGTCAATTGATCGACGGAGACGTCTTCGCAAGGAATTCCACCACAGGCTAGGGCTCCTCAACCCACGCTGGCCCAAGATGACTATTAACCCGACCTTTCTCGCAAAGCGGACGCGATCCTGTATGTCCATCTCCCTTCCTCTTCCGCGGAATCAGACCAGAACCCGAACCCGAACCCTGGGAGCAGACAGACCATAGACAACCCACAGGGCTGAGAAGCTAACCCTTGTCTGCTTCGTTCATTCATATAGCCGTCAACTGGACCGATGCGAAGACTCGTGTGATTCATTCCTACAGGGAATGGCTTAGAGCGGTTAGTTCGAGATTGACACCTCCCGGCTCTTTCTTTACGTATTTCGCTTGTGACAACCGGCCCTATGGTCCATTTATTTGACCTGCCTTTTGCAACGAAAACCGTCCATCTTTCTTTCTACGCCGGCTGCTTGAAGGCAATTCAATTCGATTTGATCACTTCATACTTCTTGGCTTGTGAGACCGGCTAATGATGATTCGCGGAATGAGCAGTCCCCAGAGATCCAAACTATGTACTCTCTGAATATCCCCGTGTCGGCTATCCGGACGAAGATTCGCCAGGAATTCGAGAAACACCGCTACGTGAGCCAATTGCCAGTCGTCGATGTATTATTGTATCAGAGCCATGCAGAGTTCCAGGTAAGTTCGAACCTACTTTTGAATGAACTGAGAACAAGATCAGACAAGCTGGATAGATAGATAGCTAGTACTAGGATGGTCAAGATTCATGGGCTAACATTAACATTTCGAATCAGGAAACGCTGAATTACTGGAAGCAGCTTTCTCATGTGATGAAGTATTTCCGACCAGAAGAGGAGCCTGGTGCACGTTTACCCCAGAACTTCATCTCTGGTTTCTTGGAGGGCCGTAACTGAATTTTCCGCCGTTGATGATCTCATTATGTTTTTTGTGTGGAGGGGGTTTACACTATTCCGCAGCCCTCTTCTGGCTGGGCAATTGGAGGGTTCCGCGATACTGATTAGAGGAAATTCTGTATATATTGTCGGACCAGATAACTTCGAGGATCCCTTCCGACTTATTTTTTTCTCGCGTGGATTCGATAATCTCAAAATCCGGTCGTAATATATTATAATCCTATCGATTCATACGTCTTGATTGATCTTCCATCATAAGATGTGGTATCAAGAACATTTCACCCGGGAAGAACATGACATGACAAACTCCTAAACAATGCCAAGGAGATAAAAAGGAAAAATAACTTTTCAAATGTGTAAACGCCAAAAACGTGAAATGCAGTAAGAGAATAAACGGGCGCAAGCAATATCAAGATACCATCCGATCAGCCTGCGTTGAATTGTAAGCGTCTCGCGCAGCGGTGAACTTCTCAGTAACGACATCGCAGAGATCCATGAGATCGTCGAAACCCTTTTCAAGCGCTTCAATAGCCGTAGTATTTTCTGTTGGTATTACAATGTATTAGGAAGAGACCATTATAGAAAATATATGCCATAGTTCTTACCATAAGTTTGGATACGAAGATTCATCTTCGTCTCTGACGGATGGGGAATGGTGTAACCGCATAGTTCGACGGCGGGGCTGAAGAAACATGTTAATCTGATATTGAACGGGCGACAGAAGACCGAAAAACTCAGCTAGGGGGAGGGGGGATAAATGGGTGAATCCATACTTCTTCATGATAGCATATCGAAGCGCGTTACCCAGTGTATGTCCCTCTCCTTCGAATTGAAACGAGGCGGCGGTCTCAGTAGAGCCGGGCAACTAGCAGTAACGTAGCTTAGTATATATTTTTTAACCCTTCAGAATGAGAGTGGGAATGAAGCTACTAACCACAATCACCCGCTTGCCGTCCATCTCGAATTCGTCCTCTTCCTCATGCTGCACCTGTTCCTGTTCCTCCGGGGCCGCGTCCACCATGGACTGGTCGTGGTCTTGTTCTTGTGAGTGCACCGAGGAAGGCATTGCAAGATGATGCGAGGGATGTGTTATAAATGGATGGATAGATAGACGATCGAGAAACTATTTCCTAGGATCGCACTCGAAGTTACCGGCTCGTTGATTCCGAGTGTTGGATATGCCACACAGCTTCCTAACGCGTTCTCGAATTTGCGACCTGACAGAGCTGGATTTCTTGTCAAGGAAAGGATATGATATGTGTTATCGTTAGATTCCGTTCAGTGCGACAGTTTGAAGTTTCGATGCGGTGGACGAATGCGACGGAAATTTTCATGTCGAGAAAATGAAGATGTTATCGATACGGGAGACTTTTAGACCGCCCGCGTTGCCGCTTCTGGACAGATCTTGGCAGGAGAATCTTCTACGTTGGATACTCTGGATCTAATTATTATTATTACTTTCTTGACTTGTTGACAGTAAAAAGCTTGAGAATCTTATAATTACTATTAACTTAAAACCATTATCTAAAGATGATTGACAGAATGATAATAATAGCCAGGAGGCCCCTGCGCACTGGCTGCATGGCTTCATGTTGTGTACCACTAGTGGTTTTATCCCTAGCGCTTTTTTTACTTGGATATTCCCGTCGTACTTGATACCGCAGAGAGTATAAGGAGCAGGGCAGTCCATTCTGAAACAATATGCAATTGTGGGATGGGTGTCTTGGGGATGATTCCCGCCATAGTACTTGGTGAGATGGCGAGGGACCTGTTAGCACCTTGTTTTAGTTAGTTCCACAGTATTGCCAGCGCCGCCCGTCTTCGGGTATGAGTACCTACCTTCCCTTTTCTTCTTAATACTTGTTCTGTGGCCTATGGGGTAGCTGAGCCTGAAGTGGCTCAGCTGGCTGCCTAGCAGACAACTGCACTTCAGGGAGGGGCTGGCTAGGAGAAGAGCCTGATCAGACAGAGTTGACAGTGACATTATCAGGCCTTTTCCAGCAATAAAAGCCTACACTGATGAGAACACGTATTTGGTGACTGCATTGATTTCTGACGCTGTCGAATTTGACTCAAGACGACATAATGGAATATGAATCACGGAAAAAGCTACGAACAGCAGTAGATGAATCCCTATCTATCAGTCACTTCAGTGATCATACTTTCATTACAAACCCAAGTGCCTCCAAATATGCGACTGCGTGGATGGACCGTGAGGAAACCAATGGCAGACTAGAAGCTCTGGAATCACAAATTCAGAGCATCCTTCTGGAAAACCAGAGAATTCTTACAGAGAATGCCGAGCTCACCCGGAAGTATGAGGGGTTGAATGAGGTGTTCAACAATTGAAGATTCAAGGATGGATGAGGCCCTCCGCCAATGTTTTATGTCATGTGTTAGGCAGGATATACTAAATATTGCAACTGATGATGGTCACTATCATATACGCAAAGAGAATAGCTTTGCCTACTATGGCGGCTGACTTCGCGATTCTTTCCTATACGTGAAGGAAGGCATGCAGCAGGATTATGATGTATATACCAAAATCCATGGCTTATCACCGTCAGTTATCCGTTTCAAAGTTGACTGTGAGTTTCTTCTTATTTTGACTAATAGAATGAAGCTAATAGAGGCTCAGTGAACAGAAACAGACATGGAACCATATTTGCTGATCAAGGCAAAACTCCCCGAGCAGCTTTCCATGATTCATTCCAAAAGTCCATCGATACTTTTAAAAGCAGAAAACTATACACTAAAATAACCTTGCAGCAAATAGGCTTCTTGCCCATTGTCACAGAGGGTTTCTGAATAATTGCTATAGTTTCTAGTCAAGGACTGAGATGGATGTATGGCACTTGATAGCCTTTCTTACATAGTGGTGTCTGGAGATGCCTCACAGGGCCCATATTTTTAATGCAAGTGCTATGCTATTATTAGCAAATCACACACATTGTAGAAGGGAATACACCTTTGCTACTCTGTTTGGAAGGAACTGGCTGTTAGTGTTGAAGCTGGAGTTCTGTGGTGGTTGTTACATATTGTTGCTGAATACGACTATTGAGTGGGGTATTATACTAAATACTGCCTAGACTCGCCGTTCTCCGTACACAGCGTGGATAATGACAATGCATGGTCACACCAGGATGAGGGACAATCATCTGCTAGCGGGATTTGCAGTAGACCCTGGATTCTCTAATAACCGAACACGAGGGATTGGCCGGCAGTCACCAGGCTGGCCGCTGGAGATATTGGATCCAGCAGTTCGGGGGAGGAGAGCTATTGAAGCAAATAGATAGGGGATGTACGGAGTACTCGGTAGTGTATGCTGTACGCTGTACAGTCCAGACACCAGAGCACTCCGAGCACTCCGTACCCATGGGTGCATCGCCGTACGGTGTTTCTGGACCAGATGAATCCTGTTGCAATCGATGCCCAGGTCCTGCATGAACAGTGGGCCGCGGAGGCGCTGATTGGCATGGAGGAGACGTTGGTGGAGCACATCTAGGTTAAATAGTTTCAAGTAGTGTGCCTGGGGAGCAATGGAGTGTTCGTCCAGGCGCGACGGTGGATGGTTGACAGGGGTCGCCCTTGGATCCTGAAGCCACTGGTGTTACAGGACTGTCGCAGGGAGCCAGTGGAGAGGCTGGAGGCACAGCTCTGTCGAGGATAATAATAACCACAGCAGGCATCGTGATATGCAGCATTCAGGCTTGAGTGCAGCCAGCGTGTCTCAGCTCTGCTGGAAACCTGACACACCGGGCGTTGCAATCACTGGGATAGATGTGTATAATTAGCTCAAGAATAGCAGTCCTGCTTCTCTGAATCTTTGGACATGGCTGAATCCTTACCCATCGATCGTCGTCCAAATCGCCCCTGCTCTCGAGCCTCCTCGTGATCCTGAAGCATTTCTGTTCTTGCATCCGGCGTCCCCTCCTTCTTTTCTTTCTCTCTCTCCCTTCTTTGTCCCTTTATCATCTCCTGCTGACTTGTCACTTCACTCTTGGAAAAGGAAAAAGGGACAGGTCCATTTCTCTCGCTTATTCATTCTGGATCTTCGCGGTTCCCGATCTCTTTTTTCTTTTTTTCTTTTTTAAAAAGGCGTCCGTCGACAGCTGTCACTCTAACACCGCCTAGGCTCCTCCTTTAGCCGCCGTTCCAAGTCTATCTGCCCACTGATTCCGGGGATCCCTGTCTCCTGCATTGCTCGCTCTCCCCTTATAGATACTACCCCCTTCGTTTTCCCTCCCGTTCCTTTATCTGACGCCAAAAGGAGAGACGCTAGAGGCTATTCATCCTTCTCCGCAGAGTCCGATTGATCGTCCACCGGTGCATGTCACTGAGCCGTACCAAGAGGGCTAGTAACCTACACCACTCTTTCACAAAAATCCTTCACGGAACCTGCGTGCCCGACTTCGATGACGACGGACAATCTCAAGCTCGTGCTGTCCTGCAAAAGCCCTCGAGACAACAATCGCATTACGAGAACCTCCGTCCGCCGTAAGCCGTGCTGGTAACGGGAGAGCTTGACGGAACCTCTTATTTTAAACATACGATCGTGCTTTCTCTCTTTACAACCCCTGCAATATATAACCCGACAGCTGTGCTCAACCGTTGCATGCCATCGGACTGGCATTGTTACCATGTCCACCGCCGTCGCATCTGCTCCTGCGCACCCATTGACATCCCATATGCCTCGCGACGCAAGTCCAAAGAACATCTCGACGCTAGCCCGTTCGCCACCCTCCACTTCAACTCCTCCTCGAGTATCCACGGCCCCTCGAGATGATTCCGGAACCAGAAAGTCCCCTACGGAGAAGAAGAGAACTTCACCGTACGTATCCGATTTACCTCTACCGTCATATGCTGTTATTACCTATGCAGACTATTCACATGCTAACGGCTATCAGGAATCAAAATGGTGCCTCTGTCCCCAAGGTCTTCGTCAAGAAAGAACCGCCGCCATCGCCTGCGATGCATACTAGACCTCGGCCTCGAAAGCTTGACCTGTCCGCGAGTCTTCCAAATTCCGGAGGCCTGTCTGCCAGACCTCCAGGAGGTCCCATGACGGCTCGAGAGGGAGTGAGCATGCAGGATGTTGGGTTTGCATGTTTGTCCCCGGGATTTCAGACCCATGACCCTGTTATGAGGGAGCAATTGCAGAGGAGCCTTTCCGTCCGCGATCAACAAAGATCCATCATCGAAGCGAGATTGCACAAGACTTCCAAGGACGACGGCTCTAATGCTGTAAGACCGTCAGATTCGAATCCGTTTGGTCCCTCCAAATCATCGAAGCGGAGACCGCCGGGCTTGTCTATCGTCCCTCCATCTGCTTCACAGTTTGCCAATGAACGTGTGATCCAATCAGCCCCGCTGAACCGTACCTTCACTGGCCGATATCAAATGCAACCATTGCCGCGGCACCCTGCAAACGAGTCACCAATGCTAACCTCTCAACCTCACATTCAGCACGTTCCTGCCAATCAAACGAACAACCGTCTTCCTCCCCTCTCCGACGTCTTCGGATCCGATACGTTAGGTCCCCCCGATCGGGACCGCGATGTCGGCCGCAGCAGCTACTATCCGGCCAATTCGGCCACAAATTCGTCGCATGCAAAAAATATGCGCCCACCGGTGTCTCCTGGTCTCCCCGGTAATACCTCGCAGATACCTGAACGATCCCGGGAGTATCGCTCGGCAGAAGAGGCTGTCCATGATTTGTCGGGAGGGCGAGAAGAACTCTTGCCGCGTATTGTACACTATGGGGGCCATCTTCCCACGACTCCCCCATCGCCGCATGCAGTAAATATAGCTGTGCCTCAACGCGGCAATGAGAGCGCACCCTCGGCAAGCATGCAGGGCCAATCCATCTTGCCCCGGTCTGAAGGATCTGCTCGACGTCGTCCGAGAAGCGAGTATGAAATGGACAACGGGAGCCCTCCCTTGGGCCATGGTCCCGATCCTCGATATCGGCCAAATCCAGCTTTCAGTTCTGGCCACAACACTTTCCATGGGCCGTTTGGGGCTGGGAGAGACTCTCCTGAGACTCAAAGGAGAAAGAAGGAAGAGTTTCTCAGCCTTTGTTCAAGGGCATGGGATCTGTTCCATTCTTGAATAATGACTGGACGTTACTTTCTCTATATTCACCACCTTCCTTTCTCGATGTTTCTCTTCTCCGAGGGTCTGGTTCGTCTTGCGGTTTCAGGGACGGACAAAGTTTCTTTTTCAAGGGCTGTTGCTTCAAGTCCTAAATTTACTGGTCTTTTTTTTTCTTCCTCTCTCGTCCCTCTTCTACCAATTTCTCTTCCCCCCTTTTTGTGACCCTGTGAATTACAGAAGTTATCCTTTCTGAACTTTGCAATGGTGGTCGACTTTGATTTTCTTTATATGGGTTTTGGATTGTGATGAATATTGTGAAAGGGTATGAAACTGTATGAACAACATGAATTGTGGGCTGCTTTTCCTGTCAACTCATTCTATTTTCTTTCATTTATATTTTTTTTTCTCTCTTTTCTCTCTGGGAAATTTGTTGCCATTTATACATTTCTGTCAAGACAAAAAAGAGCCCCCTGTTTTGTGGTGTTCCCTTTGGATTCCCGCTAAGTGCCAGGGAATGAATATATCTATTTCTGTTACCCTTTTTTCTCTTTAGTTGGCGTTATTGTCTGCGTATTTGACACTTGATATCCTCACTATGATATACCTCTTGTTTAGTTCCATGCTCCTGTTTCCACTGGGGTTGTAATTATGAATGGAACTGGGTTGATTGCTTCGTTGTATTCAGCTCTCTATTTGTTATTACCATTGTCTCCCTATTTCTTCAATTTCTGCAAACCCTACAGTGGGATTTTGCTCCCTGGTCGTGAGGTTCGTATGCAATGCACATCTGGGTAGAATCAGAAAACGTAGGAGAAGATACGCTCTAAGGGACAAGATAGAATTCAAGAAAAAGGAAAGCAACATATTATCCTATCCCACCCGTCTCCGTTTCCTACTTTGACTATCATCACCGGGAGCCCTATCTTCCACCCCCCTCCGCTCGAGGGGCATATCCTTCCTCTCCTTAGCAGCCAGCTTTTTCCGCCTCCTCTCCAGTGCCTTGGCCCGATCCTTCGACTTCATCTCTTCATACTTCTTCGTGAGGACCTGCTGCTTCAATTCTGACTTCTTAAGGTAATACGGCTGACTCTTCTTCCCTTCCCGTAGCAATTGCTTCTCGCGCTTCTTATGCTCGGCCAAGATCTCACTCTCCCGCTTCTTATTCTGGATACTGCGCATGCGATCCGAGGCGGAGCGAATCGCACGCTTCAGCTCCTCTTTGTGCCCCGCATCCTTGGTCTTGGAATACTTGTCTTTGAGCTCCTTAAGTTCGGCGGCACGGTAATCATCTAGAAATGAGTAGGCTTTGTTGACCCCCGTGGGATTCTGTGCGCTGCCGCGACTGTGGCTCTGGACCGTGGGGTCGAATCGGGGGTCTCTGGCTTTCGGGACTGGAGGGGGTTCGATGACGGTACGTTTTCTGGAGACGGCATATTTGGAGGATTGAATTGTGGGCGCATGTTTGGAGGTGCGGGTAAACTTCTTTTTTGTTGCTGAGGAATCCTTGTCTTTGGATTTCTCTCCTTCTTTTTGCCGTTTTTGTTCGCGAATCTCGTGGATTCGGGCACGGACGTCGTCAAAGGGGTTGGTTGAGGATTCTAGGGGTTTGGAGGATGCAGGGAATTTCTTCTTCTTTTTTGGTCCTAGGGATTCTTGCGCTTTGGCGAGTGCGCCGAAGGAGATGTTGCTTAGTGAGGCTTGGATGTTGTCGTTGGGGTCTTCGTCTTCTTCTTCATCATTATCATCGTCACTATTTTCTGAGTTTTCTGGATTGGTTGACTGCAAGAGACATGTATCTGTTAGATATGTGGGTTGCGATCCTGTAGAAAGAGACTGACGTTGTCTGACTGTTCTTCCAATGAATCGTCACTATCGGCCTGCTCGTCGGAGAGATCATCGGAATCTTCTAGGCTGTCAACATCCGACTCCTGCCCCGACGCTGATGATTCCGAATAGTATTCTTCTACCTCGTCATCATCCGGCCGCACCTGTATACGGCGATTAAGAATGTCTGAGATGGCCATGACCGACAGCGGTTGAAGAGACGCAGAGAAAGCCTCGAAGAATCTCAAAAAAAAAGTACTGCCGTACTAAAGAAAGCGGTGAGGACCGAAAAGAAGAATCGCCGTTTGCCATTTCGCTCATTTCTGTTCCCTGCTTTTCCTTCCTTTTTTTTTTTTTTTTTTTTTTTTTTTTTTTTTCTTTCTTTCTTACTTTTTTTTCTTTTTTTTTTTTTTTTTTGTTTTTGCCCTAGTTTGCCTGCCGGTTGGGATCTATGTCACGGGTATGCAGACCCCGTCCATTCTTTTGGAATTTCGCTTCACGTCCGGACTTTTACCTCTCCGCGGGCACCGCATATGCACCTTCACTATTCCGCGGGGCTTCCTTCAAGGTTCGTGGATTCGCATAAACGATTACTTGCTACTTTCCAATTCTGGAGTTCTACAGTCAGGAACAGGTTAATAACCCGTTATTAGAAGCTTCGCTCAAGATTCACCGTGGCTTCGTACGTCACGTCCCCTCCGGTGACGAACCGGCAGAAACGCGCTTTCGATGACAGTGAACTCGATTCGGGCATGGAATGCCAAAATAACCAAAACAAAACGGTGGTTGATTTACAAGACACTCGTCCCGAGGGCCGTCATGCCCAGGAAGACCCAAGTTTCATGTTCGACGGTAGCCGCGAACCGCAATGCGATCATCATCCGAACTCAGAGACTTATTTGGTGGAAAGTGTTGAACGACAGCCCGAAGACGCCATAATTGCATCCGACTATGTACGAATTGATGGCCCTCGACTCTATCAGCAGCCACATGACTGTCATCAATTGAATACAGGGACGCCGGCCTATGCATCGCAGGGTCAGGAGCTGTATTCTCTCGACTCCATGCCGGAATCGCATTTTCAGGGCATGCCAGGCGTGAATTTTTGGCCTCCATTGAGCTTTGCAGATGATATGAATACGGTTCATTCAGGTCTGCTGTCTACAGCACCTTCAATGCCTTCCACGAACTCTCTAAGTGGTACTCTCCGGCATCTACAACAACAGGATCTCAACCAGCCCCCACTCCTATCAAGCTCGGGGCCTTGTGCACCTGGAGCGTTCAATATACCTCCATTGTGGGGTAGCATGAATTCTTTCTTTAAACAGCCCTTTCTACCGACTGGGGGTATGCTTAATTTCCACCCTTCGACCCCGGCGCTTGGGCCCGGTCCCAGATTCAATATAGTTTCTCGCTCCCCCCAGCACCGTCAGCCTTCCCCCGGAAGATGGCTGAAGAAGGGCAAGACTCCCGAACCCCAGCCACCGACCCCAACAGATGAATATTTAGAACAAGCCTCTCCGTTACCCAAGGAAATAAACCCTTCCCAGCGTCTTCTTATAATCTTGGACCTCAACGGAACACTTGTCTATCGAAAATCACGCCGCCCTTCCGGTATGTTCATCAGACGACCTGGTGTGGATGGATTCATACAGGCCTTAATGAACAACAACGACTACACAGTCATGATTTGGTCCAGCTCACAACCTGTGACCGTTGAAGGGGTCTGTAGGAAGCTCTTTTCGAAAGAAGACAGGAAAGCCATTATTGCCGAATGGGCAAGAGATAAACTCGGGCTTACCGAAGCTCAATATTATCAGAAGACCCAGGTCTATAAACGGCTCGATACGGTCTGGGCCGATGCAAGTATTCAGGCGACTTATCGTGGGCCTCGCAGATCAGGCAGAATGAAGAGAATAGCTGGGCGGGAAAATCATACATTGCCGCAGAAAATGCGCTGGGATCAATCGAACACCATTCTGATTGATGATAGCAAACTCAAAGCACTCGGCCAGCCGTACAATATCATCGAGATCCCAGAGTTCTCTGGAGATGTGGAGGAATCGAATGTCTTCCCAACGGTACTGGCTATGCTGAGGATATTGTCGAAACATGACGATGTGAGTAAGGTGTTGAGACAATGGAGTCTAGCTGAACCAAGCATAACTATGCCGAGTTACACTGCCAGAGAAGACGAAAAGCAGAGCAAGCCTGCAAATATCATATCTGAAACCAATTCTTCCAACAGTCGTCCGAGCTCTGCTGGCACCACCTTTGCGCCACCAGGCGGTGATATCAAACAAGCAAGAAAGGAAAGACGAAAAGCACGCAAAAGGCAAAGAAAGCAAGAAAAGGAAGAAGAGAAAATTCGCATGGCAGCCGAGCGCTTGCGGCGCCGAAGAGAAAAAAAGGAAGCAACCAAACCCGCGCGATTAGCAAAAGAGGTACATGAAAGACTTGGACATGCACAAGAGCATGCTGATGAACTAGTCGAGCAAGAAACGACCATGAAACAGCTATATGCTACGAATGACTTTTTAGAAGACGAGAAACTAGCACGAGAAGTGGAAGTAGAGGTATTTCTCCCCGAAGCCATCAAAGAGACACTCGAAGAGCAGAAACTGGAAGAACAGAGACTCAAAGAGGAGCAACTCAAAGAGAAGCAACTTGAACAGAAGAGACTCAAACAAGAGCGACTCAGAGAGAAGAGACTCAAAAGGAGGGCACTCAAAAAGACAAACAAAGAGAAGAACCCCAAAGAGAAGAACCCCGAAGAGAAGAAACCAAAGGCCCAGGAACTGGGAAATAAGCAAAAGAAAAACGAGACAACAAAAGTCCCTGCCACTGCTACTATTGGAACTGGCGCTCTTCTCGCCGCCTCATCAACCACTTGCAATGATGACGACAATAACGACGATAGTGAACGGTGTGAGAGCCAGGTATCTTCGAAAGTCTCTTCTCTTTCCGACTCTGCTTCTCCGAGACGTACAGCACCGTCTCCTGTTACTTCATCTGGCGAGGAGAATTATCTCCTCGATCGGTTAGAGGAGGCGTTAGGTTTGAAGAATCTATGAATTGGTCTGATCATCATCTGGGGACCCGCGGCGTTTATTTTCCATTTCCCTTTTTTTTTGGTGTGTGGGGGCATGCAATGCACCTATCTCAGCGCAGGAAACTTCTGTACATTCCGGCATATATCCTCGAGTTCTAGGTCATATCCCTGGATGGCGGGCGTAATAGATGTTTTTGTCCTTTCCGTTAATACCCAACCAGGCATTACTTACAACTACCTAAATAATTAAACTTCAACATTTATACATAACAGTTCACTTCGAATGGATTTAGAAAGTACATCAATTAGAGAAATGGCAACTGGACGAAGACTACTGCTGATTCAATTATGTTCCTTTTTGAGAACTAGCTATAGCTATCGTTCCAATTTATTCATATCGTAAGCGTGACACGACGTTCAACATCAGCGCATACTCATTTTTTAAGGGGGATATTCGACAAGAAAATACGTAATGCGTGTAGTCGGAAGCGTCATAGGCATTAAGGTGGTGAGGCTCCAGGCGATGTTGTCCTACATGCCTTTGTGGACTGGAACCGCCCGACAGCATTCAAGGATATCGGAAGGTATGGAAGTGCACAACCAGGACCCAACAACAGTGAACCCAAATTGACACCAGTTTACTATCTAATGAACTTGTTTATTTGAAGACGTGGCCGTCAGCCCAGGGGTACTCTTTGCCATCAACGACAACGGGGACATCCCAGGCCCAAAGGTCGTCGATAGTCTTGCGGTCCTCCTCCTTGGTGGGGTCGAGCTTAGTGAAGCTGTAGCTCTCCCAGTCAGGAGCGACATCGAAGGCGGGGACGTGGTCCTGGCCACGGATCATGAAGACACCGGTGATGAGGCAGTTGTTGTTAGTACCATAGACGGACTGAGCACCGAAGATGTACTTGCGTGAGGCCTCAAGACGGGCATGGAAACCACCTTCAAATAGGTCAGTGAGAATTGCACATAGATGTATTTATTAAGAGACAACATACCGATTAGGTTGTTAGCCATGAAAGTAAGCTTGAGCTCATCGTTATATTTGTAGTCGACCTTCCATAGGGAATATTCATCGGCCTTGTAGTGCTCCCAGAACCAGGGGAGAGCAACAGGGCGGGTGTCCTCGTTGGAGTACTGACGCTTCCAGTCATCAAGGATCAAAGTAGGCTTGCCAAGGGCCTCAAGAGGGTGCTTGGGCTTAGGGGCAGGCTTGGGCTCTTCTTCTTGTTGAGCAGGAGCGGCCTTGGGGGCAGCCTTGGGCTTCTCCTCCTTCTTGGGAGGAACGTACTTGATAGCCTCCTCAACGAGGATGGGCTTCTCAACAACGGCCTTGAAGGCGGGCTGGTTGACAATGGTCTCGTACCACCGGGTCACAGCAGGGTTACTGGAGCGCCAGGCCTTGTCCAAGACAGTGGCAAAAGCACGAGTAAGAAGAGCAGCACCGAAGAAGTCTGCGAGGGTGATACGCTCGCCAACCAGGTAGGTATTGGCAGTGAGATGAGACTCAAGGACTGCGGTGGCCTTCAGAGCAGCCTTGGAGGTATCATCGACAGTCTTCTTGTTGTAAGGGTCCAGGCCCAGAAGAGGGCGATACCAGCCACCGAATTTGGGGAGAACTTCGGCATTGAAGAACGACAACCACCGCAGGATGGAGGCATAGTCCTGCTTGGTCTTGCCTAGAAGAGTGGTCTTCTCATTCTGGGAAGTTACTTTTTAAGGAGAGAGTTAGCTTGTGCACGCCGAAACGGGAAAACATGATGTGATCGAAAACTCTTTTTTTCCTTTTCTGCCGCCATAGTGGGGCAGTAGCCGGTTTCAGAGTTGGTGGGTTATCAACAGTATATAGTTCTGCCAGGGATAACTGAAAATGATAGAATATTCATCATAGAAAGGCCACAAATAGAAAAACGGAGAATTGCCGGTGGCAATGGATACGTACTATAGATAGCAATGGCAATGACCTCAGAAAGAGTGTAGCCGTTGGCACCCTCGAAGGCTGGGATCTTGCCTAGGGGGGCGATCTTGCGGTATTCCGCGGACTGGTTGAAGGAAGCAGCCGAGCTGGCTTCGGTCTTGACGAGCTCCAATTCCAAGTCGTTGCTCTTGGCAGCGACAAGGACGGCGATGGTGCGACCGTTGTCCTAAGATATTGTTAGCATCAACTTGGGTATCACATAGTGCGAGATGCGCAGGAAAGAAAGTAAAGTAAAGGGGAATTCGGAAAGAGGAGTGCTGACATACAGGGAGACCGTAGAGTTTTCCGAAGGCCATTTTGATGGGTGATGCGAGGGGACAATGGAGGGGGAAAAGGAGAAGAAGCTGTCGAGGGGTTTTTTTTTGCAGGAAAAAGGCGGCGATGCGCTGCTTTTGTGCGGGTGGATCCGCCGGCGCAACGTTCAGCCGATATGTCACGTGTAGACGCCCTGGATGCCGAAAAACCTCATTTCACGCGGAAGACACAGACAGCAGACAGCTCCTATCACGCTCCCCACGAGGCATCTGGCAGCTCTCCCTCTCAGCTATGGCCTGGAGGAGTCCCAATTGCATCGTTCGTGCGGTGCAGTCCGTCCGCAAGAATGCCTGTCTACAGCCTTCTCTGCAATTCCCCGTCGTCTCCGCGTCTCCTCTTCCCCCGACCTCGACACACTTCCACCAGCGCCAACGTCAGAACCCATTCTCCACCTCGTCCCGACAATGTGCCACTGATATCACCGAGGTACAGGCTGCCCCAGAGATCGACTTCTCCAAATTGGCAATAGCCCCTGCACGGATCGTCCCCGCATCACCATCCTACTTCTCCGGCAGTCCGAAGTTCTTCGATCACCTGCTGAATCTTGAAAGGATTTTGGCCAAGTATGCAAGCTTACCCACGGTGCCTACCAGTGAAGCGCCGCGAATGGCATGGCTCAAATTGACACAATTCCGCGACTTTGTTGGCGAGCCGGTACCGACGAAGAAGTACAAAAATCTTCTCAAGATCCTGCAACGGCTGAATAGAATTGATCCCAATTTAGCGCCTCGTGAAGTGCGCGAAACATTGCATACCTTCCTTCGTCCTGGAAACCCCTATGAGAGTAAGCCAGAACCGCCCGTTGTGGACGAACTAGGTCGGGCTAGAGGCACAGGCAAGCGGAAGGAGTCTTCGGCTGTGGTATGTCTAGTTGAGGGAGAGGGGGAGGTTCTAGTAAACGGGAAGACTTTAGTGGAGGCATTTCCCCGTCTGCACGACCGAGAGAGTGCCATGTGGCCATTGAGGTGTACACAAAGACTGGACAAGTACAATGTCTGGGTTACGGTCAAGGGTGGTGGAGTGACTGGCCAAGCAGAGGCTATTACATTAGCTCTCGCGAGAGCATTATTGGTTCATGAGCCAGGATTGAAGCCTGTCTTGCGGAAAGGTACGCAACGGGACCCTGCCAGGGATTGCAGCGAGGTTTATCTTGAAACGACTTATGTGCTAACGTCAATGTTCTCACAGCGGGCGTTGTTACTGTCGATGCACGGCGCGTGGAAAGGAAGAAGCCAGGTCATGTCAAGGCGCGCAAGATGCCAACCTGGGTCAAACGGTGAAGAGAAAGAGAAGAGAATGTCTTTCCTTCCATTACTGTATTATTTTTTTGTGTCAAGACGATTCTGGGCGAGTCTATATATGCTGTATTCGTCGTCTTATGTCCAGTATGTCATGGGTTTAGCTTCAGGCACCAAAGGCGTTTTCGATGTTTTCTTGGACTGCGATTAGAATCCCGGGTGACTGAAGTAGGGAGCAGAGCCTCCAGGGATCTACTATTTTGTGCACTCTTGGATCCATTGGACAATATGGTGCATCATAATCCTGCCGGTAGGCAGCATGTATAGCGTAGTTACATATAGTTGGTTAGTTGGTTATTTAACTTAGTTATGTCTGCTTGCTGAGTCACCATGAATGTCGCACAAGCTGACTATTAATATCCCTCGTTTCTAATTATTGGGACTGTTGTACTGTCTATTAATATACTATTCTTGTTGTAAGGGGGAAAATCATAAGAAAAAGTAAACTCGGGCACTATTGATGATCTACAACGATCTACACCATGACAGATTGTCAGCCTCAGCCCCTAGGTAGTAGACATTGGATATGATAGAATAGAACCAGGCAATTCAATATTAGGGACGCCATTGGGCTGTCGCAGTTATTGACAGGTTCATTTCATTTATTGAAGTGAAATTGGGATCTGCGATACTATGTACCTTGTAGTAATACTTGTGCGGACTATGGAGTAGGATGCAACAACGTATCGTCTCTGTTGGTATTATTATACTATTATATTATAGTAATTACAGTATTTGTATTATTGTTGTTATCCTTAATCATGCAGGCTTATAGTTTCTGTCTTCTGGCTTTTTCTTCTAGTTATTTTTCAGTAATTATTAATTACTCCGTAGACACCTTAGGTATATAGATCCCATACAAAGGAAGTTCACGCAGGGTCTATGAGCAGTGATAGATCATATTCTTTTTCTTTTCCATTTTCTTTCTTCTGCCTTTCTCTCTATTAGGAATTGTCAAGCTGTCTTTTCCCCGGGGGTTTGTATATGAGCTGGCCAGGGTGTAGAGTTAGTCGGTTCGGATGCTGTTACAACTTACCACTGACATTCTTTGTTCGTAGATCGAACATGTCACAAGCTGTCGTTGTCTGATCGATCTATGCAGGATGGATAGGGCCAGCCTCATCATAGTCAAACAACGTGGCGTAGACTGCTTGAAACAATATACTCCGGATGCGCGTCTATTGCCAGACACTTTAGCGCCCAGCCAACATTTAACATCCGTGGCTCGCTTGCGGGTTCCTGGACGATAGACGACAGTGGACGCTCATCTAGAAAAGAAACCATCGTTCTTGGGCTTTAGCTGCGCCTCATCACAAACGCCGGCAAGCTTCAGAACACCAAGCACAGACGCCGCTGTTGCAGATCTTCCCAGCATTTATTGATTAATGGGAGGTCTGGCGACTCCGCTCCGTTTGGCCCATGGATAAACGAACGAAAGAAAGAAAGAAAGAGAAAGAGAAGTAGACCGACCGATATTTGTAAACTGAAACGGCGTACATGCGGCCTTGGAACCATCGCCAACCAGAGCATTCAATTTGGCTGCCTTGCTTCTCTTCCGAGCCGCCGCGTTTGGAGAGCAAGAAGAACAATTCATTATAACAATTAAATAAATAAATAATAATTAATGGATATTAATATCGTAAACCCACTATCAATGGCGTTTAGCGTCTGTCCGTTTCCGCTTATCGACTTGTCACCTTTCTTTCGCCCCAATGCTAGTCCACCCATGGCGATTAACTGTATCATGGCTTGCAGTTGACTCGACTCTGTCCGACCTTCTGGCATAGAGAATGCTACATCCTCTGCGGCCTAGTCCAATGAAATGCTGGGTGGATTGATTGTCGGCTATGTGCCGCATACCGGCTGCTGTCATCGTCATCGCCGTCGCCGGTCAGCTGCTGGGAGCAATTTGAATGAATGACTATCATGTCACTCCGACAATAGGTGACATGATAAAAAAGCCAAAAAGCCGTAAAGTGGAGAGGGAGAAGGAGAGACAAGACATCTCTTTCGTCATTGTTGTCCCTCCTGAATGCAACGCAACAACACATGGTTTAGAGAGCAAAAGGGGGTAAGGATAAATCATAATAGCCCAAAAGTATAGAGAATGAAATTAAAATAATTCAACCAAAAAATAATAATAATAAAAGATACAAAAAAAGAAGAAAAAACTACTCCCGCACACGTCCGTCCGGGAGTGATTGATCAACAGTCTCTTGCATGCATCTTTCCATGCAGGCGGATGCGTAGGTCTGGCTCTGCTTTCCAAAGTCTTTTCCCTTTTTATTTCTTTTTTTTTCTCTTGCATCTGTCGACATGTCCTATCGCTGTTTCTGGCCACGCAGCTCTTGCTATTATGCGGACGCCTCGTTCATGTTAAGGAGGCTGCCATAGCACCGGCGCGTTGGATTTGATCAGCTTCCCGGCCACTAATTCTGATAGATAGATATTCGATGGGGATTCCTTTCTTCCTTTATTTCCTCTCTCTTCGCAGCTCCGCTCTTCCCTTTCTTTGATTTTCCGGGGGATCAATTTGTATTCATTCGACTAGCCGGCGCCCTGCCTCCGGGACTTCCTCGTTTGGATGGTGGTGTTTGCCGACGAGATCGTGTTTTATGTCTGCGGATTCCAACTCGCAAGTATCCATACAACAAACAATCCGTCTTGAGTCTCGGGGGAAGACAGACGCATCGGACTGTTGATTGATTGATCAAGTTGATTGCCGTGTCTCTCCATAGGTTCGTTCCATGACGGCAGTATAGATCATTCCCCCTACTTACCCTTCTTTTTCCTCTTCTTCTTTTTCTTCTTCTTGTCTCGGATCTAGCATGAGAAGACAGTACATTTCCGATCATTGCTTGGTAATCTGCAACCTGACAGCTGAACTGATCCTGCCTAACACTAGACGGCCTATACTGTTGGTCTTTCTGCTGTCGCAAACGCGTACCGATCGTCACGATTCTTGTGCTTGAGCTGCATAAGTATTCGTTGCATTCCCAGTTCGCTTATCTCCTTGCTCCTCCATTACCTCTTCGTATCCGCTTGTCCGGAGCCACAGGTATCCTCGAACAGAATTGGTTAATCGTTCGAGCTTCCGTTCCTGTTGCTTTGGAAATAATCTCCAAAGATATAGTCTTCTTTTCTATCTGCTCCTCCCAATGGGAGGCGTTGGAGCTGCTTTGTGATGCTAAAGTCCCGTGTCTGAGTTGCCCTGGATATCCACGGTGAGTTTCATTTCGTACCCATTCCGAAATGGTAGATTGAATGTACGTGTGTCATCTGCATGCTCTTAGACTAATTTGGGAGGCTATCGTGTGCAGGTGCCGCGCATTCGTTATTTTCGATTCATCAGAACTAGGGCTTCTTTGCCCGCAGTTTGTCGTTAGGGCTTCGTGCACACGTCTCCGGTTTTCGAAACACTGTTAAATATATCTGTTTCGGAAGGAAGGGAAATAAAAAAGGAAGCAGGAGGAGAGGAGAGAAAAGACCAGTCTCATTTCAAAGAGACAGGAAGATTTCATAATCGTCAAGTACTCCAACAGATCCCCTCTGCAGCTGGTCCTCGTAGGACCGTTCAAGTGGCATGGATGGCCGATACCCGGGGGATAAACCGGTATGACCGTGCCAGCCATTTTGCAAGGATCGGAATGAGCCGTCATTCTGTATCTGGGCCATCTGGCGGTCCAACAGGGTATTTCAGGCAGTCTGCTCTGCTTCTGGATCGTGGAGATGCTGTTGGACTGTCACAGGCGCGCGAGAATTCTCGAGCGTCAAACTACACGGACTATGGATACACAGACCAGCAGCCATACGCAGCCAATTCTTTTCCGAACGGTTCACTGCAGGGACACGAGTTGCAACCATACCAGTCAGATTTCTCGCGACAACACCATACGTTGCGCGAACAGCAGCGGGGTCAGGACAAACAGTCGTTGCAGCAACCGTCACCGCATCAATTCTCCCCGTATGAGACGGAGATAGTGTACAATCTCAACCAGCAAAGCCAGACCCCGGCACCGTACAATGTTGTTCCACCGTACCAGGCGCGGCAATCTGCGGCCATTGAAGCCTTGTCATCCCAATTTGCCGTTCCACAGTACTTTCCGTCCAGCGAACCAACTGGGACCGGGGTCCATCCGGTAGTTTCGCCATACTTGGCTTCACATGAACAGTCTGCAGCGGCTTATAATCAACCCGCTGTCAATGGGTGCTCGAGTACGACGCAGCCGTTTACCACAACCATGGAGGAGTTTACCCCAATTGGGACAGCTGGGCATCTGGAGCAGCAGCAGCAACAGTCACAACAATCACCGGCGTCAGCGCATCAGCAGCAGAAGCAACAGCAACAACAACAACAGCAGCAACAGCAACAGCTGATTCCCAAAGCTACCAGCGTAGAAGAGGCCTATAGCCAGTTCCAACATGCGCTAGTGGAGATATTTGACCGTATTCGTGCCGGGAGACTGTCTGATGCTAGTCATACTCTGTTGGAAATATCTGGGTGGCTTGTCACAAATGCGCATGAACTTGGTATGTGTTCTGATATAGGCATCTTCTGTTCTTTCCTTTCCTTTCTTTCTTTCCGTTTTTATCCCTTGCTGTCATTTTCACGCCGAGAAATCCGCACAAGGGCATGCCGATGTCAGAAGGGAATTGCTAACGTCACGCTCCGGAATGTTCATGATTCATTTAGGTATTCTGCGCGACGACCAACTGGTATACTCTGATCGACTCCAACTCTGGAGCAACTTCAACATTTGCTGGCTAGCGGTTTGCCAGAAACAGAAAGACTTAACGCAGGACCTATTGCGGACAGGCCATCAGTTACCGAGTACCAATCTTCTTAGCATCGCGGCCATGGAACACATGGGCAATGAGCTCATCAGGCTCTGTGATCAGATGGAACAATACGGCCTCGTAGACTATCAGATGGGTATCTGGGAAGAAGAGATTCTCTGCGGTAAGTGCTTTGCTTTCACGAAAAAAGGACAGCGTCTATGCAAAAAAGTGTCATGCGATAATGATAATAAGTAATTTTGCCGTTCATTTGTTAGTTCTGGGTCAATGCTTTGATCTCATGGACAGAAAACCGGATGTCCTTCGAAACCACACTCTACCGTCTTCTGAGGCAGCAGCAGCAGCGACAGCCACCATGTCATCGCGAACGGGGTAGGGTTCTGCATACAGCTGATATTTTATGATTTTATGTGTTCCAGACACTGTGGCTCCTCGTCGCATCAACGTCCAACGGGTCCTTTTGTGGGAAGAAGACAGGGCTAGTTAATAGCCTGGATTTCCTAGGACATGGTTAGGGCAAACTTCAGCATGGCAGCCAGACCGGTATGCGACGCCCCCGTATATCTGTGATCTTGCTGTTATGCCAGTATTACTCATCGCGGAACCTATCATATAGCGAAAGATGGTGCTCTTGAGATATCCCCGTAGCCGTCGGAATATAGGGCTTGTCTATCCTGGGCGATGTTCAGGGCCAGCGATTGCATCACAGAAAATTCGCAAAAGATTCACCTAGAGCCTACAGGCCTACCCGCAGCACACAGGGCTTTTAACGAGGCATCCAATATAATATTTTCCTCGCTTTGTTCTTACACTTCCCAGGGACATATTGTTGATCAGCAATCCATGGACAGTGACGTTTTGTATAGTACAATAGATATTCGGGATTCGGGATCCGGTATTCAGCATTTGGGGGGGCAAAGAGGACGGGAGCTCGGTGTTACATCTCTTTCTTCTTTTTCTTTTGCTTTTTTTTTTTTTGAAGGGGGGAGGGGCAAACTTGTTTGTCTTTGTTGTCGTTGTTCTTTCGTTCTCTTATGTAGCATGGACACTGCAACCGTGTCTTTGGTTGGTTCTGTTTTCCCCGTTCCGGTTTTGATATAATGGATAATGAATGCTAGCATGTCGCTGCCAAGGTCGATTCTGAGCAGGAAGCGACAAAGGAATGGATAGCATGATGAAGCTGTCGTCAAGAATATTATCACTTTGTGAAGTCGAAAATGGGAGAAATTCCAAGGCGGAGAGCGGCCACGTGACCAAACCCCAGACTCCCAAACAAGGTTAGCGCCGTTCCTGCGCGCTTCCGTTTTGGGAACGAAAAATCCGGAGAAACTTCACTCTTTCCATCTCCACACATTGGCACTCAGCATTAAATTATCCTCCCATCATCATTTCCCGCGGTAACTGGCTTGCTCGCAGAGGATGCCATCCAAAGCATAAGCATGGAGATATGCAGCTAAGAACAGGCCCCTCCTGTGCAGGTAAGGCTGTGTTGTTGAGCGCTCCTCCGGCCCCCCACATTCTTCCTTTTTTCCCTCTTCCAGAGTCAATCTTACATACGGAGTATATTAATTAATATCTATTGATCTGTTTATCATATACGTTCTGTATATGACTGCAATGCTTTGATCTATTCTAACTTATCGATCGCGCCCAGGGCCAGTCGAGTACCGTTGTATCGGTCGATAGATAGGTGACAATCAACGTTTCTCACCACTATCGAGAAAGCAGCATGAACTACCACAGTACCAATAGCGACGGGATTAATACTGTTAATTCCGCTGATTCTCCCTTCTCCTCTGTCAATGACGAGGATGCGACCGGCTTGAATAATTCAGTTGATGAACAGGCTAATGATCATGGTAATCATAATAATATCGATGGCTCGCCTAGGAAGGCTCTTGCGATAACAGCGTACGTGTTTCTTTTCTTGCTTAAGCTTTTTTTTTTCTTGCTACAATGAAGCTTATCCAGGTAAGCTGATCTGTATGTCTGCATGTCCTTTTTATGTACTATATAGCTGTGAACTATGCAAGGCAAGGAAGGTTAAATGTGATCGCGCTGAGCCTTCGTGTGGCTGGTGCTCACGTCATGGCCGTCCCTGTATCTACAAGAGGAGACAGAAACCTGGATTCCGTGCTGGATCTATGCGTGAATTGGAGAATAAAGTTGATCGGCTTGAGGCTCTGCTCCAGGCCCTGGGCCGGAGGGTTGAGGACCACATCCAGCTTCATGATTCAGGAAGGGCGGCGACAGTCGCTGCGTCTCCTGCTTCTCGGATCTCCGATCAACCTCAGCAAGTAACGAAATTGCTCGACGACAATCGTCGACATTTTACGATTTCGCTCGATGGATCACCGGACAGTCAAAGGCTGTCGTCGGATCCTAAGATCTACGACAGGATGCAGTATGATCGAACGTCTGAAACGATGTCGGTCCAGTCCATGACAACTAGGACGACTGCGCTCGGCGATGTCGCAGAATATTCACGCTCGCCAAATGTTTCTGGACAACCGGGGGTGGCCTATAATAATTACCAGTCAACCCTGGATTTCGATCTGCCACCGTATGATCTTCTCTACAGCCTCGTAGATCTCTACTTCAAGCACGTAAATACCTGGTGCCCAATTCTGGACCGCAAGCTTACCTTTGACACCTTTTTCAACTCCTCCGTCCTAGACGATGCGGATCGCAACCTTCTCCATGCGATCGTTGCTACGTCCTTGCGATTCTGCGAGGCTCCCGGCCTGACACTGGAGTCGCGCAAACGATACCATTCCGCAGCGAAGCAGAAAGTCTTACTCTACGGACTGGAAAATCCAACGGTCAAGGCGTTACAGGCACTTGTGATCCTCGCCCTTGACTTTCTCGGAGTCTCGGATGGGCCCCAGAGCTGGAATATACTGGCGATACTCATAGGTAATATTCGGCGGTTGCGACTGAACGCCGAAAATAGTCTCATTCTCAATTCCTCTCCTCCCTTCGTATCTCCGGGGACACTTCAGGAGTTCATGCTTCCGCGACCAACCTCATGGATCGAAGACGAGGGACGTCGGAGACTCTTCTGGATGGTCTATATCCTTGACCGATACGTTGCCGTCGCAAACACCTCTGATTTCCTCCTCTGCGAGTCCGAAGTTGGCCGGTCTTTGCCGTGTCGATACGACCTGTTCTCCAAGAACGAACCCGTCGAGACCAGATGGTTCGTCTCACCAGGTCGATCTGAAATGATTGTCAACCGACCGGAGAACCTGGGAAGCTTCTCACACCACTGTGACGTTCTCCGCACAATGAGCCGAGTCCAGGCATTCCTCCGGAAACCAGTCGACATCTGCTCCCTCTCCGAGGTGCAGCAATGGCAAACCACCTACAGGGAACTAGACGGCGAGCTCAACGCCTGGCTCTACGACCTTCCGGATGAATACAGCCGCGTCTCGCATCTCTGCCACTCAGACCCAACAAGCAAGATCTCCAACTGGATCATGATCCATGCTGCGTTCGTCACGGCCGTCCTCCGTCTACACTCCTGCGCTGCATACCCCTCCGTGCGCTCCCACATCTTCGCCCCTTCCTTCATCGCCATACAGCGCTGTCTAGCCGCCGTCGAAAGTCTGCGCGAAATAGTCCAGGACGTAGTCAACACGGGCATGCTCAGTCTGCTCGGTCCGCACTTCGCCTTCGCTCTATGGGTCTCAGCGAGATTACTCCTTGTCCACGCCTCGAGCACCGGCACCGAAGTCGACCCCAAGATCCAATTCTTCATAACGACCCTCGAACAAATGGGCCCGTACTGGCCCGTCGCCCACCGGTACGCACAGCTGCTAGATCGTATTATCCGGGCTTCGAGAGAGGTCACTTCTCCTCCTGCACCGGCTGGATCGAGTATAATGGTCCCGAAAGCACTCGCTGCTCTGCGTCGGTAAGCATGATTCTCCTCTTCTAATCCCTAAAAAAAGCACCATGATAACGTAGACATGTATAGATCCGCATACGATGTATACCTAATCCTCTCTCAGCGTCCCTCACCAACGACCAAAGAAGTCTCCGCCCACGAACTCGAATACTTCGAGGTATTCGAGTTCTTCAATTGTCCCCGTCTCCCGGCTGGTTTGCTCAGTAACCCGAATATCCACGAGTCCCTGCGGAATATCCCCGGGTCTCCATCTTATTTCACTACGTCTGGAGGTTTCGGGATGGCTGCTTCGGAGCCGGATTGGCTTTCTTACAGGCGGTCTGCTTGAACTTGGTTTGCTTGTAATATTTCTACATTTTCATTCCAGCGAGCTCTGGTTGGACAAAAAGGGAAGAAAATTTCTCATGGAAAATCTATAGTGTAAGCCTAAGTATTTACATGGGTGTGTATCTATAAATGTACAGTAGTCCACAACCCATTGGAAGGAAGACAAATGAACAATTAGGGCGATGTCAAAAAAAAAAAAAAAAAGATGCGACGCTCAAAGCCCGGACCAGCCGTTAAGAACAAAAGAAGACGGGGAAAGAAAATCATGCATCATCCGACAAACCCATCGACTTCAAGAAATGCAATGTTTCTTTGTATTCTGATTGCTTCTTTGCCTTACTCCAATGCAATTCCTCGCCCATCAAGTCAATGACTTTGGGCAAAGCTTCCTTGGCAGCTTTGACATCTAGGAATGAGAGACGAGTGCGTCGAGCCAGGAAGTCCGCGGCGGTCTGTGCATATTCGTTTCGCACGGCGTAGCGTACCTCGGCATCGGTGAAGGGGTGCGTAGGCACCAGTCTTTGGAACTGCATACCCTTGGATGACGAGGATGAGGATGCAACGTCCCAAGCCCTGTCACCGTAATTATGGGCCAGATGCTCTGCAATATCCTGCTCGATGCTCGGGTAATGTTTGAGGAGATCCACGAAGAGCGTCTTGGAGTACCCATGGGCGCCCACCAGGCGTACATTGCGGGTCTGGCAGGAGCCATCCAACCGGGAGCCATCTTCAATGGAGCCCGTTCCACTGATGTCTGGGATCGATCTAAGCGGACCGGTTCTGAGGCCGAAGACGTCGATGGCCCTGTCGACGGTGTCCTCAGCCATTTCACGATACGTTGTCCATTTTCCGCCAACGCAGGAAAGCAAACCCGACGGCGAGAGAGTGATGAGGTGGGTGCGGGCCAGGGACTCAGTATTCGCGGCATTGGGATCTCTCACCAATGGCCTAATGCCGGACCAAACCGCGAGGACATCGGAGCGTTGCAAGTCTACCTTGGGAGAGAGAATGCGCTTCAGTTCGTTGAGGATGAAGTCCACATCTGATTCTTGGGGGATAGGGTCCCGTTCAATTGCGCAAGGGTTATCGGTCGTACCGGCAACCAGCTTTCCTTCCCAGGGTAGAAGGAACAGAACTCTTCCGTCAGATGAAGCATCAATGACGCCGTGGTCCTTTTTCGGACTTAGCCAGGAGGGTAGAACAATGTGAACACCGGAACTGGGCGCCACAACGTTGGAGGTCTTTGCGGGTTCGTCCATTTGATGAATTGCATCCGCAAAGGGACCTGTGGCGTTGATAACACCCTTTGCACGGACCGTGAATGGCTTACCGTCGGCACTCAGGACATCCTTGACGTTCGCACCACAGAGCTTGCCGGTAGCATCTTTCTCTAGCCCGGTCACTTCGACATAGTTGAGGACAGTCGCCCCATAGAAAGCAGCCGTCGTGGCCAAGGATACATTCATGCGCGAATCGTTATGTTGACCGTCATAATAGACAATGGCACCGACCATGTTGTCCTGGTTCAACGTGGGAATGGCATCCAAGGCCTGGTCCTTGGTCAGGAAGTAGGAGGAATTCAAGGCCTCGGAGCCAGCAAGAGCATCATACATCTTCGTTCCCACCCAGAGATATGGTGCCTCCCACCACTTCCTGACAGGCAGGACCAGAGGCAACTCAGTCGACAGATGCGGGGCGATGTTCAAAAAGTAGCGTCTCTCGTGCAATGCAGCGCGGACGAGCTTGTACTGCTCATAGTCGAGGTCCTTGACAGCCTTCTCGAGGTAGCGGATACCGCCGTGCACGAGCTTTGTGCTTTTGCTGCTGGTGCCGCAGCTGAAGTCGCCGCGTTCAACCAGGGCCACCTTGAGGCCGCGCGTGACGGCATCCAGAGCGATACCGGTGCCTGTTGCACCGCCACCGATGATGAGGAGGTCGTATTCATCTTGCTGCGCGTTGTTACTGCTGTGTCGGAGATCCGCAAGCTGTTCTTCTCGAGACTTCAACCGGGGAAATTGTGTGGGGATAACAGTGGTTGTGAGTGACGAGCCACCTCTGGAGAAGCTGGGCTGGAAGAATGCGTAGTAGGTTACGGCACCTCCTGTTGCAAGTGTGGAAACCGCAGCAACATTCCGGAGGGCACGACGGGAGAAGAGCCTGGAAGCAGCCATGGTGGGCTGAGAGCTGTGGGAGAGATGGAAGTTGGAGAAGAGGAAGAAGAGCAGGAAGAGCGAGGAAGAAGTGAAGGAGGGTTTATATACCCTAAGGACTGTGCCTTCCCTGGATGAATTCCCATCTTTTTGTTTCTTTTTTCATTTTTTTATTTTTATTTTTGGCCCACTCGGCGCTGCCACGAGACGCATCACCAGCAATAACAATAATAGTCACAGGAACAAATTATCGATATAACAGGAAGATCAGATCGATAGACGCGGCTATCTCCTACCCACGTGCTGCCCTCGGCCGCAACCTGCACCGAGCCGAATGCCCGATCGGGACTGGTGCTTCTCGCTGCTCGGTGCAGGTCAACCGAGCGCTTCCATCTGCGGGACAGCCGCAACATGTGCCTTGGCAGTTCGCTTCTTCTCGCGTGCCTAGACCTCCCCGGTTTACTGGATCTCTCTAAATATAACCCGGCTGGGCTCTCTAATTCGGCCACGCCAGGTCTACAACATATATTCAGTTTCTGGATGATTCAATCGAAACTCCATTAACTACACCAGGGGGTACTCCGTAATATCTGCGGACAAAATACATACAACCATGGAATGGCATAAGAAAAAGATATAAGAACCATCGTAAATATATCCAGAAGGAATAACAGAAGGAAGCCAGCTCCCAAGCGTCCTCGTAGAAAGAAAAAAAAAGGAAGAGAAAAAAATTTTCCCCCTCAAATATGGTCTGCACGAACACTGTTAGCCATTATCTTGGGAGATGAGGATGAAGAAAGGAAAGGAAAACATACTCAACGTCATGCTCAGACTAATATCCGTATTTTCAACCATATCCGTGAATTCCTCAAAGCTGATTTTCCCATCACGGTCCTTGTCTGCCTCCATTATGGTCTTATCCACGATCTGCTGCAGCTGCACGTCCTTCAGATTGTTGCCCACCATCATCTTCAAAACGATAAACAACTCGCCGTTGGAGATGTATCCGTCCCGATCGATATCATATACCTTGAATGCAAATCGCAGCTTTTCTTCCTTATTGCCCTTCGAGCTGAATGCTGACAGACCCGAAACGAATTCTTGGAAGTCGACATCGCCACCACCGTCTTCGTCGAAGATTGCGATCATTCTGAAATCCACGTGATAGCGCATCGAGTTAGTATGGTTGTAGAGAAAATCATAAAATACTTTTTATCATCAACGGCGGGTGGTTGGCAGCACGTACCTCGTCGCAAGCGGGTTGGATGATACCTGAGGGAGGGAAAGGAACTCATCACGATCGATCGTACCAGAACTATCCTGCTAGGCTTTAGCTGTTGTCCTCGCGCCCATCGCATGGTAATAGGTATCGAACCTTATCTAGTTTCATAAATCGCTTGCGCAGCCTATCCACTTCATCTCTATCGACTATATCAGGCGTCAGCAACGCATTTCGCAAGGAATCAAGAAACGCGAAAGACCAAGAAACAACGACCAAGATGGCAGAACAAAACAGAAATACACGTACAATTCGAAGTGGATACAATGTTGTCAAAGACCTGAGTCGTTCCAACAGAGGGAGCTCGCCTTCTCAAGGCTGCAGCGTTCGGTTCGCTCTGCGAGTAGGCTTGATTGAATTGATCCATGGCGATATGCGGATGATCTCGGGGACAAGCTGTTAACTAGAAAGTAAAAAAGTAGGAACGCCTGTATGGTTGGGGTTCCCCACGGATAGCGATAAGATGGGAGGAGAGCAGGAAATGTAGCAGGTTTAGTTGGACCCTTGGGCTATGATACACGGATGGATGTCAAGGAGCCCCGTATCAATTTGATATTGGCCGGCCCCGCACTAACCAAATCAGGATAATCAAGCGAGCCCCTGAGGCCGTGCACCCGCCCAAAACAGGTCACGGAAGGGTGACATTGCAACGTCAACTCAACAATCCGCCCTGTTGCTACAAGATTACAGCCATCAAAATCTCCTACCAGCAACCCTTTTCCATCACAAAAATACAACTACCATATTTTACATGACCAGACCTTTCATTTAATACCAATTTTGGGTTACCTCTCCCCCGGTCGCTGCCGTATTCGCCCCCCAAAGATCGCATGACTAGGTACGGGGTTATGGGGAGGACGCGCCCCAAAAAGCTCACCTCAAAAGCCTCTATTCCGATAGTCCGGGAACATGAGATAGATATAGTCGACGATGAGGACCAAAGCGTCCTACAACAGATTGAGACCGGCGTTGAGAAGGCGGAGGAGTCTGTGAGTACCCGCTATATTTAGCCCATCCCCGACAGAGTCACGTGATATAATCCGTTGCCAATGAGAAAATTCTGCATCCATGAAGTTGCTGTCATTCAGCGCCCCAATGCCGCATAGCTAACGCTGTCAATCATAGGAAATACATCTCCAAGCAGCAATAAATGCTGCTGCCAGGGGAAAAGTAAATGAGGCTCATATTCCTACCCCGGAGACCATCCTCAGTAATCTTCGATATGACGAGCTCTATCCCCCCATCTTCTCGCAACCGGCGACGTACATTCGCTTCTCTTCAACCGTGGAGGATTGTAGTGGAAGCCAGTACAACATGATCGAAGAGGATGATGCGTTTCTCAAGATCATGAATCAGAAACGAGATGGCTCCAGCCAGTGTACCGAAGACGAATTTGAGGAAGTGATCAGTTTCTTTGAGGAAACGGCTCAATTGAAGCAGCCATATGCAGCTGTGGATAATCCACCTGTCCTTGCATATTCGGAAATGGAAGAGTGCATGGATAATGATGCCGTAGAGGACAGCGTAAAGCGGTTTGCCAAGGACATCTATGTGCATTGGAAATCGAAAAGGATCCGGACAGCAAACCGTCCGCTGCTGCCGAATCTTAAGGTAAGCGGAAATAGCACCCCCTCTTACTGCTCCAAAGACAAGCGGGGAAGGGAAATAATAGTGCTGACTTTGGATAGTTTGAAACGGGCCAAGATACGGACGACTCCGATCCTTATGTTTGTTTCCGTAGACGCGAGGTCCGGCAGATTCGCAAGACTCGTGGCAGAGATGCTCAAAGCGCTGACAAACTGAGGAGGCTGAGAAAAGAGCTTGAAGATGCTCGACAGTTGGTCGCCTTGGTCCGGCAACGTGAAGTGGCCAGAAAAGAGATGCTTGCAGTCGAGCGGCAGATATTCGTACAACGCTCCGAAGTCAAGGAGATGAAGAGGAAACTTGGCATCAAGGATGACGACGAGGATCTCATTAACCAGAAGGTAGGGATAGCGTCCGACCCATTGCTGTCCACGCATATACTGACTAGTGATAACAGCCAAAGAAGAAAGTCGTGGAGGTGCCAGCAGCACAGCACCTAGCATCTCCTCAACTTCGGACTGCAAGATCCGGGGCGCAGGCTGCAGAAGACTTGCAGTTGTTGGACGATGTCCAAGCGGAGAAAGAAAACGAAATTGTCCGTGAGATCAAGCAAAATATTGCGAAACATGTTAAGTGGAATGAAGGTTATGTCGATTTGACGAGAAGACCTCTCTCGCCGCCTCCTGAAAGCACATTCCAGGTTGCATTCCGCCCGGCAATAACGACCCAATTGCCAACTCCTCCATCTTCAAATGCATCTGAAGAGATGGAAACAGCCCTAGATACCCAATCTCCTCATCACCGAGACCAATTAATTCCTCAAGCAATGGATATAGACGCAGGCGCCAAGAGAATACCCTCCTTTAGAAGGCGTATTGGACGTGGTGGTCGTCTGATGATTGATCGTCGGAATCTTGCTGCTCGGTATAAAGCCGACATGGACCCGTTAACGATTGACAGGTTCAAGTTTGATCGAGAAGATTCGGACGAGGAGTCAACATATGAGCGAGACAAGTATGACATCCAGGTTATGCAACATCGAGCAATTATGGCGGCCAAGGCTCGTGACCAAGCTGTAGCGGCCGCACAGGCACACGCCCAAGCGCAGGCGCAGGCGCATTCAGCTCAAGTACAAGCCCAAGCTCAAGCAGAGCGACGGTTGCAAGCCGATCGAGCCGCGGCTAATACTCCGAACATGGGGCACACAATGGGATCGAACCCTGGCCCTGGTGCTGTTGCTCCGGCATCACAAACCTGAACCGTTTCTTATCCATCTTGCCGTTTGCAGCGTTCGCCTTCTCTCTTTATCTCTTCCTTCCACCAGTCCGCTGTATTGTATTTTTATTGCTTTCCACACCCTCAACCAGCGAACTGCGATATGGCTGTCAGAACACCCTTCGTCCCCTTCCCTTGACACGAATACTCACTTACACATCTCAGCCACGAACCCCCCTTCACACACCTTCTAGCCAGTGAAGACATCCAATCTTAGATGAACGTCCATTGAAGGATCATCCTTCAAGGCTTTGACTCCGGAATGGTGCGGATGCCATTGTACATAGTAATCTTTTTGAAACCAACCAGTCGATGAGACTTGTGTGTATGTATACCAAGCCATGAGGTTAATGAAAAAAAAAAAAAAAAACAAAAATAAAAAAATTAATAATAATAATAATGAAATGTAACAATAACTTTTTACCCTCGCTCACCGTTTATCTTTTTTCTTTTCTGAATTATCGCGATAGGGAAGTCTTTAATTCCTTGTCAGTGGCTTGTTCAAGTTCTCCGAACCTTGGTTCTTCTGGAGTCATCAATGTCGCCGTGAGCGTCGCGTTTTAGGGTCGACTCGCTATTGGCGGCCACAAGGCTGTCCAGTTGAGCATGTAAACTCTCCAGGATTTCTTTCTCACCGATACGGACTTGGATGGCCATCTTCTGTCGTCGAGAGAACGTTTCCAGTGGACCGGAGGATTTTAGCTGATCCAGTTTTGCCAAAATTTCTCTGTCTTGAGGGATATTCGTGCTGTATCGTTCGCATGTCATTAGCACTGCCTTTTGGAGGATCGTCGCTTCCGGCAGGCCGAAGGAGAGCTTTGGTGGTTTGTGCTTAGACACCTGCTTCTGAAACTGCTCCGGCGTTAATGCAAGCGTTCGAAGCAGCAGTATTAACTCATCCGAGAGAGCATCTTCCAAAGAAGTTTCCGGGGTAGGCCTTGGAATGATGTATCCATCATCAAGTAGTTCAAGTTCTTCAAGAAACTGCAGCTGGAGAGGCCGTTAACATTGTGGATAGATAGCAAGGGGGTAGCTGAGCAGCGGAACATCCAACGTGATATACCTGGGGATGAATTTCGATATTGGCATTCTCGAGGCCAGCGGCCTGGCAGATAGTTTTCAAGGATAGTTCGACCACATCGTAAGGGGCGTAGCTGTCTGAGATGTAACCGTATCTCCTTAGCAGATCTGCTCGGGGAATTTCTCCATTATCATCGAAAATTTGTTCGCCCGCCTTAATTAGCTTCGTTGTCTTCATAATCAGAAACTCTTCCTCCTGGAAAAGCCGAGCCTGCAGACAAAAATCAGAAATCAGAAAATGACATGCACATATAAAACAGGGGAAGTAGCAAAAGTCTTACATTGTTCCGATCCGGATCTGCGTTGAGAAGATCAGCAAGAGGAACCATGCCCTTGGACAACTGTTCCTCCTCCTCATCAGTGATATAACCATCTTCGCCCTCCTTGTTTTCATCTTCCTCGGTCTTTTCAAGATCGAACGCGTAGGCCATTATCAGGGAGCCCATGATATGAGCAAGTCTCAGGAGAGCTTGTGTCCCAGCGTCACCTTCATACGAAGGGAGACCATGGACAGGTGGAAAGAGAGACGGATTCCGATGAACAATGGGTGCAATTTTCTCGAGAATAGCTTCCTCGGCATACTGCCTGCCGATTTTATCGACAACTGCGCTCCCCTGAAGTTCACACAGTTCTGACTCTGACCAGAACATCAGCGTGTCAAAGTCTGTAGGCAGGACCCTGAGATACGGAGCCCACATGGATTTCTCTGCCAACAGATACTCGTAGATCATGACCAGGATCAAGGAGAACCATGGATCAAGCCCCTCCAGATCCTGAGCGAGTAGAGTTTTCAACTTCGAGTTATTAGTCGAGAGGACGATACCGCGGGGAATAGCAAAGAGTTCTTCGCCCTCGGGGATATCCGTCTGAGCCACTGGTAAAGCAGACGAAAACCTATCAGACGGGGGTCACATCCATGAATATTGCTTCTATATTTTCCTTCGAAAAAGAAATGAAAAATAAAAAGGAAATGAAAAGAAGAAGGCCCTCTGCTAAGGCCCAGGGCGGGAAGGGGTGAGAGAAAAAAACACAAAGAATTCCAGCGAGCGCCAGCAGGAAAATAAAAAAAGGAACGAGATATAAAACATACCGATACCTCTTCGAGCATCTTGAGATCTCAAATCAGCTATACGGACATTTGGATTGATCCTGACGCGGGGGTCTTTGGCCAACCAGGATACGAAATCCTCCAACTGGGAGGGGGATTCGAGCTCTGTGGAAGACATGGTGTCCCTAGGATGCGAGCGGTGGGTGGCTCGGTAATGGAGCAGATATAATAACAAGAGTAGCAATCCCCTAGACGCCCGGGATGGCTATGAGCAGCAAGGACACTGGAATGAACGGGGAGGGAGGAAGAATGTGGGATGAGAGCGAGACAGAAACAGAGCAGACCGCCGCTGTTACAGCTCATGTGCCCTCAATTGCCCGACACGGCTAGCGTGTATGATATGTAACAATACCGTTCGATGCGGTAAATAAACCGGGACAATAATAGTCCGGCTGGACCTGCCAATCGATAACGGGGCGGAGATAAGCAGAGAAAGAAAGACAAAAAAAAGACGCCCCTCCGCAACGGTCAAGTATCAGGAACGCTTTTTTATGCTGGACAATTGCACGGCATATCTTTTGTCAATCATTTCAGTCTCAAGGCCTATAGATCCCTCTCCCGCCAAAATGATCGCTATTGGACTCGAGGGTTCCGCCAACAAGCTGGGGGTGGGCGTCCTTCTGCACCCCGATGACGGCAGCACCCCGCAGATCCTTGCGAATGTCCGTCACACCTATGTATCTCCTCCCGGTGAGGGCTTCCTCCCCAAGGACACTGCACGGCATCACCGTTCCCTGGTGGTGAAGCTCGTTAAAGATGCTCTCAAAGCTGGAAATGTGTCTGTTGCCGATGTCAACTGTATCTGCTACACCAAGGGTCCTGGAATGGGGGCACCTCTTCAGAGCGTTGCACTGGCCGCTCGCATGTTGAGTTTATTATGGGGGAAGCCATTAGTAGGCGTGAATCATTGTGTCGGACGTATGTATCGTCCTGTGTATCATTTGCTTTATACCGGTTCCATAGATCCATGGGAATATCTTTATGTTTAACAACGGACTTTCCAATGCCAGATATCGAAATGGGAAGACTCATTACCGGTGCCACGAATCCCGTCGTCCTGTATGTCTCCGGTGGTAATACACAGGTCATCGCATACAGCTCTCAGAGATATCGCATATTCGGCGAAACGCTCGACATCGCAGTAGGAAACTGCCTAGACCGTTTTGCGCGAACGCTACGAATCTCCAACGATCCAGCACCAGGATATAACATCGAGCAACTGGCCAAAAAGGGGAAGCAGTTGGTGGATCTCCCATACACAGTTAAGGGCATGGACTGCTCATTTTCTGGCATTCTGGCCGCCGTTGATGGGCTGGCGGAAACGTACGGTTTCCGTGGGAAAGAGAGCGCAGATGATGATAATGACGACGACATTTCCACAAATAATACGAATGATGATTCGAAGCCTACACGTGCTGATCTCTGCTTCTCGCTCCAGGAGACTATCTACTCCATGCTCGTCGAGATCACTGAACGAGCGATGGCACATGTCGGATCCCGGGAGGTTCTGGTTGTCGGCGGCGTGGGCTGCAACGAACGGCTGCAGGAGATGATGGGGATCATGGCCCGTGATCGCGGTGGCAGTGTATATGCCACCGATGAACGGTTCTGCATTGACAATGGCGTTATGATTGCACAGGCAGGTTTGCTTGCGTTCAAGGCCGGGCTTACCACTCCATTGAAGGACTCGACCTGTACACAACGATTCCGGACCGACGACGTGTTTGTAAAGTGGAGAGATTAATGATGACCTCGCTTAATTGCCCTCCTTGTCGATATAGGCCAGTGGGCAATGACTGTGCTCGACCACCTGTAATGTCGTCGTAGTCTGAGTATCCCCTTTGATATCATTCATCCTTGCCGTCACTGGCTTTGTCGCCGGTCCCCTCCGTAACAATACAGCCCTAAAGCAAAATGAAAAGGAACTACCCATGAACCCGAGAGCAAATAGTAATAATACATAGTTAAGTAATGTCAGCATTCATTAGAATTCTTAACACAAGTAGGAAGAGAAAACGATCCTATCCAGTTTTCGCGTTTTTGCCTTCATCATGCCGCTCCAGAAATCATTCCATTTAGTCATAAAATGTATAATGAAACTATTAAGTCACGGGTAGTACTTGTGGTTATTTATTTCTTTCCCTTCGTTATCTTCAATGCATACTCTAACCGGTAACATCACTCGTAGGTTTGTACAATATTGTCGTCACATACTGTGAGAAGAATGTCAGACGAAGCCATGAGGAGCTTGGAACAGCATTGGATTACCTTTCGTTTATATCTCGTTGTTACACTGGTGGCCAGCACGCCGTTCTTAATGCTGCTCGTTGCCAAGTGATTCAGGACCGTGTGATTGGGATAGTTGAGAACGCTGTTGTCATCTTTCATCGGCGTGGTGCCATTCAATATTGACTTTCCAAGGAATAGAGGAAGACTTGGAGGTGCAGATGCATCCCCAATAATATTTACGGCCTGCTGATAAGCCGGGCCATCTTCTTCCTTGTCTAGATCGACAAGGAACGGTGGGATAATTCTGCGGAAGTCCCCAATAGGGATCTCTTCCTCCGGCTCCTCCTCCTTCTCGGCGGTGTCTTTTACATTATCCCCAATTCGCTCGGTTCCAAAAAGTTCGGGAAGAACCTGCGGCGGGTGGATTCCTGGAGGGACGGTCACTCCGCGTGATCGATGAACGTCGTCCGGGCTGACTTCTACATAGTTGACCAGGTGATTTGTGAAATCAACCGCCGTGGGAAGGTCGTCTGATGCTCGCATATCACCATCAACAACGAACTTTAGATGATGAGTTCCAGGGCGGAGATTTAATGTTGTGGACATGATACGGGGGTTATTCTCGCTGTTTACCATGAGAAAATTAATGATCAGCGCCAGGAAAGCGAGAGTCAAGAGTCAAACCGCGATGTCACATACTTCCTATGAAGGCGAAACTTCTTCTCCCAATTCACAAATGTACCTGTCACGTAGATCTTATGGCCGGCGCCAGTCCATTTAATCAGCGTCGGCACAGCATACGTCTGAAACTCATCCACATTGATATCCTCATCGATTGTAGTATTGGAGGTGGATGTATCCTGTTTTGTCTGCTCATCCAGAATCCTGTCGTCAGGAGGTTCTGCCATCTGCGATTCCGCAGGCCCAATAATGGGAGAACCTGGGGTGGCAGTGGCATCGCCAATGGGCAGAGGCAGTCGAGGAGGGCGTCTGAGGTGTGCAGAAGCACCATAGTAGGTATTCGGAGGAGGCCCAGAAGGCGAGAATGGTGGGTACGGGTCGTGTTGGGCTGTGGAACGAGCAGAGGGGACTTGAACGGGGTTGGACTGGTCGCGAGACGGGCCGTCGGCGGTTTCCGTTATTTTGATATCATGTTTGTCTTGCCGATTAGAATCTTGGATTGGGACATTTGAGGTATTACTGGACTGTAGACGCTGCTGGACGGACGAGGTCTGGTTGTTCGAAGCGGATTGTCCAGTGGCGTTCCCTTTCGAGGGGGATAGGGCGGCGGCGGTAGTCTTCGCTGTGCCTGACTCTGCAACATTCGACGGCCGTCTGGGGAGCCTCTTGTCGCTTACAGGAACCGTCAGATTCGAAGCCAGGTTCTGTGGTGGCAAAGGGTCTCCCGAAGGGCCCTTGGATGGATTGTTACCCATCAGGCGGAGAAGCTGAGAGCACGAGACTTCGCGCGGGGAATGCAAGAAGCTAAGACAGGTCGATAAGCCAGCATCAGAGCGCCGGCCTTGGACAGGCAGGGGAGGAAGGGAAGGACGGTGATGAAGACGGATACTGGCCCGCAGATGACTGCAGACTCAAAGACAGTCCGAAGGTGCTGTTCAACGAGCAAGTAGAGCGGAACGCGGCCAGGAGCGATCCTGTTTTGCTTCCCAACGCTTCTTTTCACGATGACGAAGTTCGCCGAAGCACGTCTGTCCCAAAACGGAAAGTTAGGGCTTAGGGTTTGCGCACCTCTAGGCTGCAGGTCGTTTTTACCTCCTTACCTTCGCCTTACGATCGATACATCTCGCATTCATCAAGCGAGGAGCGCAAAGGCCCCCATATCCCAGTCATCTTAACCACCGACAGTGAAGCAGGCGGTTCCTGGCTGCAGGTTGTTGCCCTCTCACTCCCATCCGGTCTTTGAATAGGGCCCTTCGTATCGAACAGTACAGCTGCTATTGTGATCTCGACCACAGAATCAGTTGCATTGGATCTCAATTCCAGCTCCCAGGTTCCTGGATTGTTGAAGATCCGTTGTAATCTGGAGTAGGTTGTTTCCACCACCTTATTCGTGGTGTTCCTGAAAATGATGATTAGCTAAGAGAGCTGTCTGTCGCTTGTATGGAGTTCTAGTAGTACAGCAGCTCTCCATCAGCCCAGGCATGCGCAGTCATGGCTCTACTTCCAGCAATAACAGCTGCCCTCTATTTTACCCTCTATCCAGCCATCTACTTGGCGCATTGCATGGTTGCTGCACTGCAGCTCTTTCTCTCGCCGTTTGTGGATCTGGGATTGCTTGTTCTCCACACTGCGCTTCTCCCTTGGAGAATCCTAGCCAAGTTTCAAGTAAACAGAAACCACATCCACTATGTCTTTCTGCAAGTGATAAATATCTGACACGTGGAGATAATAGGCACTCTTCGAATTCCTCGCCATAGCAACGCTGGCGGGTGTAATTGCGGGTCTGGTACTGCATTACACCAGCACCTTTCTCTACAGAGTATTACGTCTGTCTTCCGAACCAACAACACCTTTGTCAGGTCGCAAGAAGGGCTTGAGGGCCGTTCAAAGCCCTTCACGGACATATAAGACTCACGAGAACCGGTTGTCGGAAATCCCCATGGTGAAAGGTCCTGTTTCCATCGGCAGTCCGAAATCAACAGGATATCCCTCCGCAGAGTGGAGGAGTCGGAATATGAGAGGGCTGCAGCACAGCAGACTGTTTACCTCGACAATATTCGAAGGAGACAGTCAAGAGTCTGATGAACCTGAAGGCAATGAATGATAGAAATGGCATAGCACCATAACATCCAACAAGATTATGATTGTAATCTTCAATTGAGCTGGACGGAACGGCCCTGAATCCCCTATTGACGATCAGATCATGAAGTTCACTTGAGGTTAGCCGTTGGCAGCGTCTTGGCTCATCAGCATCTCTACTGCATGTAGATTCATCAACAGTTGATTATCACTATCCACTAATATTAATAATACTCCGTATTAGAATCATATTGCTATCGTTCCAGTGGTCGAGGTCGAACAGCAAACCGACTCGCAGAATAGAGATCCGGGGCCCCGGCAGGCACATTGATCTACGTGGCCTTTACAGTTTATACTGTACAATGGACAGACTCCAGAACAGGCAAGTAATCGTAGCGAGATCGTAGATTCATCTCGATAATGAACCCTGTCAGCGTCGGTTTTCATATGAGACACAGTGGAGCGGAGGCGCACACCTATCGCCTCCCTTGTCAGTCTGCGTCTCACCTTGAACGATGCCAAGCCCTTGGCTGTTCATTCAGCTGTCGCTAGTCCAATCCGATTCCGTCTCACTGGGGACAGGCTTTTGAGAGTTTACATGGGCTTTTTGGGGAGGTTGCGAAGATTATTATTAGGGGCTTCTCCTTAGGCGCAAAAACCCTCGGTTCTCTGTGGGCGCAGATCAGTTCGTTCGGGCCACCTTTTCCCCTTGCTTCTTTCTTTTCCCTCTTTCACTCGTGTACTATACTGCGCTGTTGGTTTTTACCATGCCTCTTATTATTATTTTGTTCTAATATCCTCCTTTCGTTTGCCTTCTTCGTTCGCTGATCCCTTGCTCAGCCTTGCGTGTAGAGGCCGTCCTCCACGGAATTTCTCCCCAGAAACGTGACCTTCCCCTGACGCCAACAACCTCTCTTGAAGAACACCACCGCCGCCAGCCTCCATCGATTCCTCCAGCGCTCGTCCCGCCAAAATGGTTCTGGCACGCATGCATACGAGATTGCGATCGTTCCTCCTGGCCCTGGTCGTCGTGTGCCTGCTGCTGTGGGGCCTGTCGCAGATGCGAGAACCTGCCCCCGGATCAGTGCAACCCCAAGCTGAGCCTGCGCCGAATATCGAGCACCCAGAGGCAGAAAACCCGGAAGATCCCCACAAGGAACCAGCGGAACATCATCCGCAGAAGACTGAGATTGTGTACGACATCGAGGGTCACATCAAATTCTGGCGCCAGTTCCAGCCGTTGCTTGCTGCTCACGCGCCCAAATGCCCTTCCCCTGTACGGGTGTATAATGCGCCTTCGATCGGCTTCAAGGCAAAGGATCCGGAGAAACGACCAGAGCTTCTGGAAATGCCCGCCGCTGATGTCGCAAAGATGAGGGAGGCCCACACCCAGTTCGTGAACAGCATCTCCAACGACCCTCCACGGCTCAGTTATATTCCCGGAACAAGGGGAATCGTCTCAACAGCAGGCGGTTCATATTTGCCTGTGCTGGTAATTTCGCTTCGTATGTTGCGCAAAACGGGTTCCATGCTTCCCGTAGAGGTTTTTCTGGCCGACAATTCTGAATACGAGCCGTACATATGCGATGTTGTTCTTCCATTCCTGAATGCTCGATGCGTCGTGCTCTCCAGGGTTCTCGACAAGATTCGTGGCATCGAGAAGATCCAAAAATACCAGTTTAAGCCGTTTGCCATGCTCTTCTCCTCCTTCGAAGAGATCCTCTTCCTCGACGCAGACTCATTTCCGCTGGTGGAACCCGATGTCTTGTTTACCACTTCGCCCTTCGTAAATGACTCGATGGTCACCTGGCCTGATTTCTGGGCCTCATCGGCCTCTCCGATGTACTACGAGATTGCTTCGCGCGAGGTTCCCCCCATGGACCTCCGCCAGTCAACAGAATCCGGTGAAATCGTGATTTCGAAGAGGACGCACCTGAAGACCCTTCTTCTCTGCACCTATTATAATTACTGGGGACCCAGCCATTATTACCGTCTCCTGTCACAGGGCGCGGCCGGAGAAGGTGACAAGGAGACATTTGTGGCTGCTGCGGAAGCCGTTGGTGAGCCATTCTACCAAGTTAGCGAGCCCATCCGTGCTATCGGTCACCCGACAGAAGGAGGCATGGCTGGTTCGGCCATGGTCCAGTTTGATCCCGCGGAAGACTTCGCCTTGACCCAAAAGGAAGAATGGCGCGTCGCTGGCTCTCATGCGCCCTCTCCCAGGCCTTTCTTTGTCCACGCCAATTATCCCAAATTTAACCCTGCCACCATTTTCACCGAACAGGAGGTTAACCCGCCGTTCAACGATGACGGTAGCTACACGCGCGCTTGGACGATCCCTGAGGATACTATCCCTCAACTGAATGAAATAGAGAGAGAATACTGGAGAGAAATCATGTGGACTGCTTGCGAGCTCGAAACCAGATTCCAAAGTTGGGAGGGCTTAACGGGTATCTGTGACGGCGTCAGGGACTATTGGAACGCCTTGTTCGCATGAGACCCGAACAGTCCATGAAGAGCGGAGTAATATAGTCATCGGAAAAAGGGGGACAGCTCAGCAATTTGTTATTTCTTCCATTCGAAAATGCTGGACAGCGACTAAGGGACGGACGCCGTTTGAGAACCGGTGGCTTCTATCAAATCTGGCGTCCTAACCCTTCTCTGTTCGACTGGTGACTTGTCCGTGAAACAACTGAAAATTTCAAAGCAGTCTACCATCTTGTGGCCAGCGAGATTTCATCCTCCCCGGTCGCATACACATCGATGAAGCCCAATCAAAGCTTGGGAATCCCTATTGCTATCTCAAAATATCCGTCATGACATCATGATTCCACCAGGCTGGCTCCTGATAGACGCTGTGTCCTAGAGCAGTTTCGATGAGAAGCTTTTTCTTCTACCCAGCAAGCTGCTCGTAAAGACTCGTTTTCTTTCTCTCCTAATTTTTATCTTTTGAACACCTGTCATATTACTGTTACATAATTATTTCGACATGATTTTTGCCCTTCTTAGAATCATGTTCAGCCAAGCTAAGCCAACCCTACGCGCTGTGAGGACTGTTTGAGAGAAAACAGAACCAGAAAAGGCAAAAAGAAAGGTCAAAAAAGAACCTGAATTGATGGCTGATCTTCACATGCAACCAACTCTCGGCTTGACTCTGAATTCTGAAACGTCAAATTAATCAATTTGCATATTTTACTGAGTCAGTTTCTGCTTTAAACAAACCAGGGGGAGTGTGGCTTTCATTGTTCTTTTTATTTTTTGTTCTTGTATCTTATTTATTCACACACACAGAGACAGACACATGGTGTGAACATCACGAATGACGAGAACACTACACATTCTACACTCCTCCCACAGGGAATGAGTTGATGTATTTTTATTTCAATTTGAATGTATGTGTATGTCTTTTCTTCTACGAGCTAGGATTGGTTTTTTTGCTTGTATTTTATGGACAGTACCTTAGCAGTAAATTAATGTCTCGTATGAATCAACAGCAGCAGGCCATCCTGTCATGGGCTATTCCCAGGCATATTGCAAACTCAGGGCCAATGCCTGAATACTCTGCCTGCTCTAGTTGTTCCATTTCCTCCATTTGTTCTGTCTGCCCCTTTTGCTAGATTTATTCTGTTTGTTGCTGGCTCGCCTATTTCCCTTCCTTGTGCACAATGCCGTTGCCTCTTCCCTTCCTTCTCTGAAGGAATCCTTTGTGTATCTAGTGCCAAATGAATTCTATATTTGAACCATTACACATCCATCTGCTATTATATATTATCATTTTATAACTAGAATATGAGGACCTCTTTCTCCTGCATTCATCAAGTGACTTTACGGTCACTTACCAATTATTATTCATTACTCATAAGCACTAGAAGGTGAGTGAAGGTGAATCATACATCTACTGCACGCATTTTGAGTAGATTCTTATGCAGGAGTGTTATTTTCCTTGCCTCTCAGCCTTCTTCATAGTAACCTCCCTCCTCCTGGCTCCCTTCTCTAGCTCCCTGACCCAATTCTTCCAAAACCTGAAACTCCCCAAATCGGCTTCTCCAGAAGCCCCATTGACTTAGACCAAACCCTTTCCCCCCATACCACAGTTGACTTTGTTCTCTTTCTCCCCCATGCTACACTGTAGAGATTCCCCATGTCGTTGCTTTTGCCTCGAAAGGGATTCTTCAGGATGTCCTTCGCCACGGTGATGTCAAGGTCCTGTCTTGCTGGTGAGTGATTTGCGTCAAATCTCTTCTCCAGAGTGTCGACTATCAGACATAGAGCCCAATAGTGGGCTCCTGGGAGGAATCCAACAGCCAACAGAGAGGCAGAAAAAAAAACATGATAGTTGTTGTCCCATTTAATGCCAACACAGGGTCCAGGTCATACAATCAATCAAGCGGCCAGTCAATCTCATTGACACGGTGTCTTCCAGCAAGGGAGCGCCATTGACGTAGGATTGGTGGGTGGACAGTTCGGAGGTATCGAAGCGGAGGTCCTTGTCCTGTGCAGCGGAGATAAACCAATCTCTGTAGTTTGCCATGTTGATGGTCTGCACTGTGATTAGGCCTCTAAACGGGTGTCGAAAGTCTTGAGGGTGCAGGCTAAGTAATATACACAGCCGAGCTGGGTCCTGACAGACCAGCGTCATATAAGAATCTGACCATGCGTGGGGACGGAATCATATAGACGCCATGCATCAAGAATTTCAATCAGGCCAAATAGGGCGAAAGGTATAACAAGGTATAAAGCGGAGTTAAAAAGCACTCTAATCCCGTCAATTTCATAAAACCAACATTGCATCTCCCCAGTATCCTTTTCAAGAGCAATCAAGCATTCCAATTTCCCATGAAGCTTTTTGCTCTCATCCTCGCTGGTGCTGTAGCTATCAGTGCCATCCCTCTAGAAGCTCGCGTGGGCAAGAGGCCCAAGATCTCCCATATTCCCGGAAAGTCCATCAACTGTGGTGGTCAGTAACAAACTTTCCTATCCTTATTGTATTCATTCATTGATCCGGCCCGTAGGTCAGGATGCGTGTGCCAATATCTACCCAGTCAGTGTCATCAAGTCTGCTACGCTGGCTAGCTGGCTACCTATGAGGGATGTTCCAGGCAGGGCCACCACTGGTAAGTTTGTCCCACTAATCTCTTTCTCTCTTCAATTAGCATATCCCCGATGTTAATTGTGCAATTGTAGGAGCCAACCGCTACCCTCACGTCTATGGCTACTGTGATGCTCATTGCACTTCCCTGACTCCATCCGCAAGCACGGTGACATCCCCTATGAATTCCGCATCCTGACCCATGGAACTTTCGGTGAGGCCAGGAAGAAAGGTGGCAGAGAAGGAAAAAGAGAAAGTGCGTCGATGTGTCAAGGAGAGGGGAGGGCGGTATTTTTATAGATGGATGGCACCATACCTGTCACAGGAACGCTAACCGGAAGCGGGAATTCACAGGTCCTCGTTTTGGCAGCATTTTTTACATGCAGGCTCAATATGGAGATAGAATGGTTTAAAAATAGGTAAAAGAACAAGAGGAATTTTTATAGGAATTAACCTCCCACATGCTCCTCCAATTTTCTCTATAATGGTACATGTACATTGTTATTGTCACATTGCAATACTGGATACAGCAGATGTGTCATCCATTCTATTTTGCAAAACTCACATCGAGACCAGAGCGTCTCGCTTTCTGGACGGAATCCGCAAACAAATCCTTACACCGCACTCGACTGCCTAGTCGAGCGCAGAGCAGGAATGCCCCGCTGAGTTTCCGGTGTAGACTATACGTTTCCTCCGGAGGAGGCGCGAGACGCTCACGAATCATAAGTGGAATCAGGTCCCGGACTCTATCAGTGATGGTCTGGTTACTGAAATCGTAGATGTCCGGGGAGGAATCCATGAACGGTTCCGCGAGGGTGACGATAGATGTAACATGGGCATCGACCATGTTTTGAGATTCGTAGCCAGTCAGATAGCCCAGTTGAACGGAGAGGTCATGGCAGGCCTGTCGGTCGTTCCTTGAGGCAGCGACAAGAGTATCAACGTACTTGCTGATGAATTCGATCGGATATTCGCGCGAGGCGCCAAAGTCTAGGAGTTCTAAGTGATTCGTCTCGGCATTGTAGAGGAAATTTGTCCAGTTAGGGTCCGTTTGCATGTATCGGAATTCGATGATCTCTCGTAGACACAGCCGTAGGATCTGCGTTCCGATCCAGTCGCGCTGTTCCTGGGTGAATGTTTTGATCTTCGTGACGGCGATGCCGTTCATGAATTCCATGGTCAAGACATGCTTTCCAGAGGCCTCCAGGATGACTTTCGGGACGTCGAAGACCGGGTCGTCCTCTAGCAGCTTTTTGAACCGGAGATTGCATTCGGCTTCGCGGGTGTAGTCGCACTCCCATGCGAGTTCTGTGCGGGCGTTTGCAATAGTCCTGTCGAGAAACAATCCCCTTGGTAAGAGACGAGATGCTGTAAGCAGAATCGAGAGGTTGTTCAGGTCGGAGTCTATCGAGTCTGCTACTCCAGGATATTGCACCTTGACAGCAACAGGTTGACCCGTCTTTTTGAGAACGGCAGAATGAACCTGACCGATTGACGCTGCTGCTATCGGGACTTCATCAAACGATGAAAACAGGTCACGCCAGTTAGGGCCAAGATCCTCACTTAGGACTTTGTCTCGCTGAGAAGCAGGCATATAGTCTGCACGGTCCTGGACTCGTTGGAGGACAAGGCGAATCTGTTCAGGAAGCATTTTCGAATCTACGAACAGTCAGTTTCCGGGAAGCACGATGATGGAAATCCCCCACATACCCTGGAAGCTCAACATCTGCCCTAGCTTGAGAGCAGCCCCTCTCATTTTCGATAGTTTGGCCACAAGACGTTCCGTGTTTCCGGCACTGAAAATTATAGACCCTGCGTTATTGTCTGCGTTCCCAACGACCCTTCGGAGTCCCTCGCCAATAGCTCCGAATGCCATCGAAGTAGCCAGACCGGAATATTGCCATATTCTGCCTAGACGAGAGGATGGAACACGGGATTCCATCATCTGGTGATTCGTATCATCCGTGACGTTTCGCGAGGCTTTTGGATCGGCCTGTAAGAGGGTTACCATCAACCAGAGCTCTGAGTACTTTCTAAGGTCCAGGTTCTACCTACCACCGGAGCTACATCCCCCGCCTTTTTAACCTCATCCACTACTTCTCCTTCCGCAACAATTTTCCTCGGCTCTTCTGTGGGTGGGATTGGAGTCTCAATGACATTTCCTGGGGTACTCGCAGATCCCCAGTTGCTGGTTTGCAGAATCGAAGAAGTCCCCTGTTTGGAAAGGACTCTTGCCACTCTGGGACTGCGAAAAAGTTGGTTCATCATGTCCTCTGAAACCCCTCGGTCCTCAGCATTCTCGGCAGTCCTCTTCTCAGAAGTATCTCGAGGATGATCAATCGTCTGGCTGAGCAGTACTGTGTTATCCGGAGTGTTCGAAGGTGCAGGTTCGTCCGTATCCAAATGCGTTTCAGCTTCCTGCTTGTTCGCTTCCGCATTCGAATTCGAACCGGGAGAAGCACTGGTTAGTGTCGTGCGAGGAGTGTGATCCCCATTAAACCTTCTTATGAGCGCAGCAGCAGCCTGTGTTGTTAGAACTAGGCCGTCGACCTGGATTTTGATGCCCTTTGTGAGTGAAGAGGTCCTCGTGTAGATATCCAACTGCCGCTGGCGCACCTGGAGGTGCTTCCCTGCGACCAATTTGACGACATTGAGCAATTGAATAGCGTCCAGGAGACGCTTTCCCGACATAGTCCCGTACAATGAGCGTCCGTCGCTATCGTAATTGCATGGTGCACCAGCCGGTTGGCCTTGTCAAGCTTCTGCAAGAAAGATCCAGAGACGTGAACACCTCCGGAGCTCCGAAAGTACCAGTTTCTGCCGCCCAGAACCGCCTAGTTATAATCCACGTTCAATCAAGAACGACAGCCGTGATTCACACTGGAGCATCATGTCTCAATGTACGGAGAAACAAGCCTTGATAATCTCTCGAGAGAGATTTCTGAACTCGAGAACCGATTGCAGAATGCGAGGGATCGTTTGAGATCTGCTTCTGGGTGTCAGGATGTCAACCCCACCTTATCGAGCCCGTTGAACGGTACGACGCAGTTGCTCCTGGGGTGCACTTTGAAGTTGACAAGTACTGACAATCTGCTCAAGACAGCACTTGGAGCTCAAACTCAATTCACTTCTTACTGCTTCTCTCAGATTCTGCCCTTCCACTCGGCTCATTTGCATATTCCAGCGGACTCGAGTCTTATCTAGCCCACAACAAGCCCAATCCTCGTTCCACAACACCGACAACGTCATTCAACCAATTCCTAAAGCTCTCCATTGCTTCGGTTGCTAGCACCGCTCTACCGTATATTATTACGGCCTACAGACATCCCCAGGACCTGGAAACGCTGGACAACGATCTGGACGCGTCCACTCCCTGCGTAGTGGCACAGAGGGCTAGCATTGCTCAAGGCAGAGCTCTCCTCGGTGTTTGGGAAAGAGCCTTTCGACAGTCATATGCCGGCTTGGACTCAATGGCTGGTTCCTCCAGGACCGCAGTTCAAGCGATTGAAGGCTTCTCGGACTCCTTGAAATCTAGCGTTGACGGTACGGATGAATTAGGGCCTAAGGGACACTTGCCGCCTCTATGGGGTGTCGTGTGCTTGGCTATGGGGCTGGATCTCCATCAGACAACTTATGTCTTCATGTTGAACCACGCCAAGGCGATCCTCAGCGCTGCAGTTCGGGCCTCCGTGATGGGCCCTTATCAAGCACAAAATGTTCTTGCTAGTAGGGGTTTGCAGGAGATGATCGCGGAGCGAATTGAGCGGGAATGGAAAACAGACGTAGAAAATGCAGGCCAAGTTGTTCCTACACTTGACCTTTGGATTGGGAGGCACGAGCTTCTTTACAGTAGGATATTCAATTCATGATACCAATCTTTGCCTTTTTTTTTTAAAAAAAAAAAAAAAAAAAAAATCACGTTAGCTCAGAAAACCAGTTGATCTGTCCACATAGAAAGGATATGAATGGCATAACCGTACAATCATCCCTTTAAATACCCTTCCCGCAGATATCATACTCCTACACTTCAGAAGGCCACCGGCTTCCCACCAAGTGTTGATCACACACAAAGCGGGTATCCAAGAGGAAAAGCAATAAAAAGCAAACAGAGATCATGAAAAGGCATACCTGAGAACAGTAACCGTCACACCTTGCCAACATGCAATGGAATGGGCAAAGGCTGTCCCTCCAGAGCGAATAATTGAGTCCAAACTCCGGCCGCCTGAGAACCTGATCCTCCTGCTGAGATAAACCGTATCAAAAACCCATAAACCCCACCGAGATGAAAATACGCAAACACATTGACAGGGTAAGAAAAGAAAAGAAAATGGGAAGCAACAAGGGAGAGAAGAAGTAAAATAAGACAGTAAAAGGTGTAAACACAAGAAGAAAAAGACAAGCTATAGTACATGAAGTTTTGTGATTAAAAGGAGAGAAAAAAAAATAGTAGATAATAAACATTGCCCGCAGAAAAGAAAAAAAAAAGGCGCCCAAATCAAAGAGTGATGTGCATGTAATCGTTATTTCCAAAGGATCTATTGCAGTTGGGGCACTTTCGAGATCGTGAAATGAGGCGCTCTTCCACGCATTCCTTGCAGAAAACATGGCCACATGTCTTTATCGCAGTGTTCTTGAAATTCCTGCGGCAAACGGTGCAGATTGCAAGGGTCTGTGTCATTGATTAGTGGCGGTCCCTTCACTGTTGGATCCAAACCAAAGAACTTACCCTTAGCATCTCATATTCAGATGAAGAGTTCCCGAGGCTCTTATTCTTCCAGTTCTCTAAGCTTTTCTTGGTATCGGCGAGTGTCGACTTGAGGCCCTCGATTTCCGTTTCCGCTTTGCGATGAGCACTAGAAGCATTGGCTAAAGCCGAATCCTTTGACAGAGACAAGGTCTTCAGTTCAGCAACCTGGGCCCTCAAACCATCCATAGCTATGTTGTTTTCCGTAAGTCGCTGTTCTGCGGCGTGGTGTTTATAGAGTACCGAATTCAAGGCTTCCTTGCTCTCGCTAACCTGCTTTTCCATATTTGCTAGCAATGAACGAGTTGTCGCCTCCGATTCCTTGAGCTGCGAGACAATATCTGAACTCTTCGAATTCTGCACCCTTAGCGTGCGAACTTCATGTTCCCTCGCCTCTTTACTCTTCATGGCTGCGAAATATTTCTGGTCCGCTTTCGATTTCTCCGCAATCAGCCGTGCTACCTTCTCTTCTAGGGCACTAAAGTCGGTAACTTTCTGCGACGCTAGCGACGAGTATTTCTTGCAGGCCGTTTGCATCGAGGTTAACTCAGTGTTCAACATCGAATACTGGCGTTCCAGGTTACGGAATTTTACACGCAGATCTTCAAGAGGAACCTCTTCGGTGCCTATTGGGTCGGCTTTCACATCGCCAACTCGTAAGCGTAGTCTCTCCACTTCAGACTCCAATGACGCGATTTGTGCCTCCCTCGCTTCAGTCAATTCCTTCATTTTGATGGAAGCTGTTTTTTCCTGTTCTTGTGCAGCCTTCCTAATTTGCTGATCCGCTAGGAGTTCATCACGGGCATTCCGTATCCGCGCCAAGTCCGTCTCGGCCCTCACCAGCTGCGCTTCTTTCTCTGCGATGGTACTCTGGGTCTCTTCTTCAAGTTGATTGCGGTATGAAGTCCTCTCAGATCGTAGCTTTTCTGCCTCTTCGCGTAGCTGAACATTTGTTGCTTCAAGGTGATTGAGGCGCTTGACGACGTCTTCGTACTGTGATTTAAGCAGTTTGAACAGATCCGTGTGCGCATAATCCTCATCGGTGAGCTTTGAGTACTAAACCATTGTTAGGTACAATGTCAAAAATCAATCCGGAAAGGAGATGGCTTGCCTTGAATTTCAATTCTGTGATCTGGTTGACCAGTTTGGAATTATCGGCCTCCAATTTCTGTAGCTGTTCTTTTTGCTTTTCGGATACAGCCACGAGCTTGTGATGCGCCTCTTCCAATTCTTCGTTGCGCTCACCCCTATAGGCGGCACCATTTGACGCTGAAGCCTCTTCTCGATTTCCTGACGCACTGTCGCCTCCTGGCCGCTGCGCACCAAGAATGTATTGCTTTTCGAGTTTAGCCACGGTCAAGCTTCTTGCACGATCAAGTTTCTTTTCGGCCACCATATACCGCAAGGATGCAGCCTCTAGCTGCTCCTCGAGTTGTTGTTTTTCAGCAAGGGCTCTTTCGAGCTCGGAAATGGTGACCTTCTCTTCGGCCAATTTCTTCGCTAGTTGACTTTGCAACTCTGACACATCAGGAGGGGCTCTTGTCGATACGGACTTAAAGCGCGAGATTATGTCACTGATGTCATCTGTACGGGATTTAAGGTGTTTCTCAAAGCCTTCAACATCCTCGAACAGGAGGGAGCTCTGGAAGGACGGTCGGTCTATCGTGTGGTCAATTTATGTAAACAAACCATGATCAATGAAAGCTGTACCAACCTTTAGCTTCGTCTGTCGGGGCGCCCAAAAGAAGTTTAACCTCATCAATCAACTTTTTAAAATGGTTAAGATGTTGATCACAGAGTCGAGAAAGGACGGCCTACCTGGTGAAACCATGCATCGATGACTCGAAGATGGTCATTATGGTGGGTGGCAGCCTTTGTCATTTCCTTCAACCTGGTCTCCAGGGAGACTTTATCGCGTTTATACTCTTGCATCTGGCGCCATATCGCATCCTTCTGAAATCGCTGTTGCGAAAAAATCGTTCAGTATCATACAGATTTATAATCAGCGCACGAAGCGTGCAACCGATCACTCGATGCAAAAGAATGAAATTTATGGTAGGCTCACCTCCAGGTCATCTTTCCAAGGCATGTCAGCGTCGGGATGAGGCTTGCTACTACCATTCACTGAAGTCGCGTGTTTCTTCAGGGGAGGAGCGGATTCATTGTGATCATAAGCGGCAGCTCTTTTCCGGTCTTCCATCTTGACAAGACCGGACTCGGAGGATGGGACGGGGGTTGCTTCGACGGCCGGCATCAGTGGCTAGAAGGTCATAGATGGCGTGACAACCACAGGGGATGAGCCGGCCAGAAGCAAGAGCCGCAGTAAAAGCCAACGCGTAGAGGGAAAGGCACAGGCAGGGAGAGGGGATGGAATGGGGAGTGAGATAAGCAGGAACTGGAGGAGTGAAACGGAGAAGTTCCAGGAGGATTTTCGACTTGGGCCTTTGGCGTCTCCTTTAGCGCCTCCCACGTGACCTCCCACTTCCCCTCGCGGAACGCAGATCTAGACTTTGCAGCAACGCAGGCAACGCTACTTTGTGAGACTGCGAGGACGCCCAACGATGATTACGTCTGAAGGGGTGTCTTGTCCCTGTATCCGACGATGAGGTCCTTCTCGAGCTCTGCCGTCAGTAAGTGAAATGCCCCGTCGCCTGCATGCGTCGTATGTCGTGACTAATTTCTCTCCCGTGCGCAGACAAGTCCGGCAAGAAGTTTGCTCCCAAGGCTCCCGTTCGGCGTGCTCCTGCTCCTGCTCCCACTTCTGCAGCTCCCAGAAGACCTAGTATTATACGCCAGACGCCTCCCCAGCCTGAAAAGCCGGTCGTAGATGTGACCGCTCCCACCCCGGAACCTCCTGCTCCTGCTCCTGCTGCAGACCCCCCCACCTCAACTGGAGCTGCTACGGAGTCTACCGTTTCAGAAGATGTTCCTCCCCAGAGGAAGATTCCTCCACCTTCTCGGTCTGCTACGGCAGTCCCAATCCCTGCCCCAAGACAAAGGCCTTCTGTTTCTGCATCAGCTGTCAAAGCTCCCGAACCGGCGACTGCTCCTCGTCAAACTGCCCCGCAGAGAAGTAATACAGTAATCCCGGAACCTACACCTATACCTTCCATAGAAAATGAGTCACAAGTTAGAAGCGAGGGCGTGCCGGCGGCAAAAGGTCCGCAAGTGCCTAAACGACCTAGTACTTCGTCTATATCTGATGTTCAATCCCGGTTCCGCCGTCCTTCTGAAACCACCACGGAGGTTCGTCCAGCAAAGCGTCCCAAGACAGCAGCTCAAGATACAATTATAGTTGAAAGAAATCAGCCAGTTCCTAATCAAATTGCAACTCCTCCGGTGACTCAACCCGCGGCTTCCGAGGCGGAGGAGACGAACGGAACTCCCAGCGAAACCCATACAGCTACAGCGGGGGATCGAAAGGCTGCCAAGTCACGAAGAAGGAAATCGACTACAGAAGGCACGAGGAGGCCTCGGGCGCGAAAAGAACGCCAGAAGACACCGGAAGGCGCCGAATCCATTGAAATAGCACCGGCTGTTGTTAAGATGTCCGATCTCTGTAAAGACCTACGGACAGGAAAGTTGTCCAAGAGAGAAATGGAATTGCGAAACATGGAGCTGGCAGAATTAGAACGAAAAGAACGGGCCAAGCAAGAGGGGGAAACAGTTTCGCAGACGGCAGTGAAGCATAATGGCGAAGCCACCACGGCGCCGGCTGAAGAGGATGGTCCCGCTGAGAATAAACAGCAGGCGGGCCCGGTCATGAGGATTGTCAATGGAGAAATTGTACTTGATGCGGCATCTTTGCAAGTTGACCGCCACGCTGATGCAGCGAGGGATGCAGGAGAGCTGGAAGACGTTGTGGAGACATCGCTAAGTCGGAAAATCAACCAAGCTTCATACGGGAAACGATCCAAAACAGAGTCGTGGGATGAAGAAATGACGGACCTTTTCTACAGGGGATTGCGCATATTTGGCACTAATTTCATGATGATCAGCAAACTGTTCCCCGGGCGTTCCAGACGTCAGATCAAGCTTAAGTTCAATAACGAAGAGCGTCGTGACCCTGAACGAATCAAGCAAACACTGTTGGGGCCTTCTGAAACGATCGATATTGCGACCTTTTCGGAGATGACAAACACAACGTATGCCGATCCCAAGGTAATCCAACGGGAACTTGATGAAGAGAGGAAACGCATCGAGGATCAGCACACGAAAGAGAAGGAAGCACATGAAGAGCTCCTTCGGAATCCAGACGGCGCGAAAGATCCTGCAGACGCTGAGGGGGATGATGCCAGCATCAAGGGCAAGGGCCGCAATAACAAAAAGCAGACCCTCAAGCAAACGGGCGGTGGTGGAACTGAAGAAATTCTCGGTTCTATTGATGAATTTCCTTTTCAGGATTGAGCTTATAATCCTTTGATGAATAATGCATTAGGCGACAGGTGTTTGGTGGCGCTCTGGGGAACGCTATTAATAGGTGGTTATCTGCGAAGGCGGATATTCCCATGCTCTTTATTTTTTTGCTTCTTTCTGATGGGTCCCATATTCTCTATGCGCCGGCGAATTGAGATTGGACACCTGACACGGTTTAAAACAATTGTCATTGCTATCTTGCATGGTCCATGGGGTGGCAGATGATTACAGGTACCTAGGTACATCTAAGAGTATAGCCGTATCGAAGACCTACTACCTCCGTCTTGTTGACCCAAATCCAGTGCTCGTCGAAGTAGATGAGAATCGAGGAGCAGATCGTGAACTCCCTCCGACGGAATTGTCATAATCATATTCATGAACCCGTGCGGTGCGTCTAATCGGCGAGCCGCGGCCACGGTTTCTCCCTAGCTCGTAACCCAGAGCGGCACCACCCAACGCCCCCGTCCAAAATCCAGGTCTCCAACCTTGCGGAGAAGCCCGAGACGCAAAGGCATTGGAATCATCACAGCCGTATGGAGGTGGAGGGCCGCGAGGGTATCCATCATTATCAGGACCTCCCCCTCCCCATCCTCCCCATCCACGACCAGCTCTCGGACCTCGTCTACCTCCTCTGCGTATACCAAGGCAATCCGCAAGCATGGGCAGTATGATCAGGATGAGAACGGCGGCAACAAAGCCAAAAAAGAGTAGATCCCCTAGCAAGGCTATCACGTTGCTCCAGGTACTCCTGGACCCCTTCCAGGGCCATATAAAGTCGTACTGCAAGTCCCCGAATTGCCTCTCCCCGCGATCCGTTAGAAGAAGGCGATACTCGACTCCACAGCTCCCCTTGAGGACCCATTTATCGTCTGCGCTTCGGTAGCCTTCGCACACGACGTCCGTCGATCCCAGTTTGAACTCTGGCGGAAGTTGCGCAGTGCAGGTCCACTGCACATCCTCTTCATCGTAGTCGTAGCCTGCATTCGTGCATCGCATCGTGTCGATCTTGTACAGATTGCAAATGCGCCGCGAAGGCCCGGTACAGGTGAGTTGAGGTATTGGGGCGACGCGACGGGACGTTGTGAGACGGTTCGCTCGAAGGGTCAAGGCCTTGACGTTCGAGAGCAGGATGGCATCTCTACCAGGTGGTCTTTCTTGTGAAAATCTGTCATTTGTGCCGTATTTTGAGAGGACAGGAGAAACGAGGAAGAGGCAGAGAAGAATGGACAGCGAGGTCGCTAGATGCCTGTACATAATGCTGTATTGTTAGTAGTCAAGGCGTTAGATTGCTGGAGCATCTCAGGTAGATTCAGCAGAAGAAAGGCCTTCTTTGGACATCTTGGAAGTCGAACATGTCCTTTCTGATGGCCCGAAGAACCAGTGGCAATTCGATCTTAATGTAAGCATCCAATCTTCGTCTGTGCTCAGCATTTGAATAATCCATCATCCATCTCCTAATATGTCATTCCTCCAGCGACTCCGCAATGGGCGGCGGCTGACAGTGTCTTCCCACAAAGCATGATACAGCAAATTGATCCATCGATTTATTCCTTCATCCAGTTCAAGACACTCCTGCTTGTGTCGCTCACCCATGCATGAACAATGTCATGGACAGATGAATCTTCGCCGGCACCGGCTCAGTCATCGTGAGAACAGGATCCGCCGTTTGTGATGTCTACTGTCCTTGCTGACGCCCTTCTGGCTTCATCTAGTCTATCCTTTACACAGGGATTTCTCCTCGGACAGCTCTCAGTTGTGCTGCTGATCTTCGCCTTCATCAAGTTCTTCATCTTCGGCGAAGCTCCTCCTCCCCCGTCTCGCGGCCTCTCCAGGAACAGGCGTGTTCATTCAATCTACAATATCGCATCAAGCTCTTCTCAGACCAGGACACTACGTGACAAGCCGTCCACTTCCAATGTTCTCCGGCCGGTTCCGTCATCTTCGACCAGTATTCAGTCCATCCTGCGAAAGACGTACTACACCACTATTCCCATGAATCCTTCCGCTGCGAAGCATGGCCGCCAGAGAATGCATCACTCATCACATCAGCCTGAGTCCCTGGACTGGTTCAATGTGTTGATCGCGCAGACAATCGCCCAATACAGACAAACGGCGTACGTTCTAAAGGACTCGCCGACGTCCTCGATACTCAATTCGCTCACTGCAGCGTTAAACAATCCGGAGAAGAAGCCATCCTTCATCGACAGAATTACAGTCACAGATATATCATTAGGGGAAGAATTTCCTATCTTTAGCAATTGCCGTATTATTGCGGTTGATGACCCAAATTCCGACGGTGGAAGGCTACAGGCCTTGCTGGATGTTGATCTGAGCGACGACAACCTCTCCATTGCTATCGAGACATCTCTGATATTGAATTACCCGAAGCCACACTCTGCTATTCTTCCTGTCGCACTGTCTGTGTCCGTTGTCCGGTTTTCCGGGACTCTATGTATCTCCCTCATCCCCGCATCTACGCCATCGTCTGATCTTCAAACCCCGTCCCCGTCCCCGTCAGGTCGTAATGCGGCAAGCGGCGAGGCAAAACCGTCAGAGGATTCCGCAGCTTCTACACCGCCAAAAGCTGAAAGTTTAAAGGGGAATATTGCTTTTTCCTTCCTCCCTGACTACCGGCTTGACCTTTCCGTACGGTCCCTAATTGGCTCTCGTAGCAGGCTTCAGGATGTACCGAAGGTTGCCCAGTTAGTCGAGGCTCGTGTGCATGCCTGGTTCGAGGAACGCGTGGTGGAGCCACGAGTACAGGTCATTGGGCTGCCGGATCTTTGGCCACGGATGGGTAGGACGAGCGTCAGAGCAGGCGATGAGCCGCAGCAAGACTCTGCCGGACCCAAGAACATCGGAGTTCCACCTCGCTATACCCCCAACAGCGGCCGTGAACCAGAAAGTCTCAGATACCGCGGTGGGTTGTCTCCGCAAATGGGTCCTGACATTGCTTCGCAACCGGGTAGTTTGAATGTTGAAACCGGTGGCTTCCGTGGTCATAGTATGACTAGGCAAGAAAGTAACGGCAGTATGGCTGACCGGTTACGAATTCCCGGATCCATGCCTGATGGCGTCACTGCTACCTGAGAAATGTAGATTTTTGTTGGATTATCCTCATGGAGATGGAAGGGGGGAAGGTAGAAAATGGGAAAAGCAAAGTTCTAAGGTAGTCTCGAAATACTTCCTCTTATCTACATCTTAGATACCTAGGCTTATGGAGCATAGCGCCCACTATAGAATTCATCGAATGAAGACTTGGACGTATGATGTTCATTTGGGAAGACGTCTTCATCTACAAAAAAAAAAAATGGCATATCACAAGGCGTATAAATAAACGCAAAACAAACAGGGAATCGGTATCGTGGTCCTATAAATCCAAAAAGATCATAATTCACTTCTATGAGCTCCATGACGTCGAGAAAGAAAGGGCAGGGGGCCCCTTAGTTTGCAGCCACAGCTGAACCACCGTGGGTTTTCAGATAATCCTTACGATGAGGGTTAAGATCAACCTCAGCACCACGGTTCAAAGGTGTCCACTTGGGCTCATCTTTGAAGAGACGCACAGCTTTGATATACTACAATCATCGGTCAATTAAAAAAAGAAGCTACAGGGCCGGGAACACAGAGCCGAGAAACAAGCAATAAACAGAAACTTACATTCTTAGTATCAGTCGTGAAACGATGATAGATACCAGCAGGGATGATAATCAAATCCTCCTTCGCAACCCTAATACGAACCCACTCATCTTCCTTACCACGCACATCAAAGAAACCCTCCCCGTCAACGACGTACCGGATCTCTTCATCCTCATGGAGATGCTCGTGGAAGAACGACTTGACCTTCTCCTCGTACACGTTACCCATGCTTTGCGGCGAAACGACAATCTGGTCACGGTTCTTATAATCGCGCTCCTTGGCCAGAACATTGACTTCGTCGATGGTCGGGATGTGTCGATACAGGACGCCTAGGGAGGCCAGGTAGGATTCTGAGACTTCACGGCCGGAGTCATGGTCTTCGCGCTGGTCACCCTGGAAAAACAAAGTTGAGTAATCCGTCAGCATATATGAACTCGATCCAGCAGTTAAAATCTAGGCATTGGGACTTAGAAACCATCCCGTGAGTCTGGCTAGTGAGGAGTCTAATATAATATAATATATATTTCTAAGCAACATACCGGCTGGTTGTCGTACCAATAGGCTTTCATTTTTGCTCTTTTTTGACAGCGACAGGGCTTATTCGTGTTCTGTTCAGTGCTCAACGCGGGATATGTAATGAGATGCCTGTTACTGGCACAGTGGTAGGTTCCTCTGGGAGAAATTGGACTTGGTCAAATCTTTCTTCGATCGTTGCGAATTTATCGATTGCTTATCGATTGCGGGGTGGTTTCCTAATGCGGTTAGCGGCCCATTGTGCAAGATTGCGCCATGATTATATCAGCTGGTCTTTTCACCACGTGAATTATATTATGTAATCATAATAACTAGTTAACGTATTTCCCGGTTGAGCGGGCCACCTCATCAAATTTCTACGCGTTTTACTGCTTCAACTAATTCAACCACCAACCATGCCTCCAAAAGTGCGTCAAAATTCAAGAAATTCAGCTGAGAAAGAGGGAAAGATCTTACTTGCTATTTCTGCTTTAGAAAAGCAGGAAATTTGCAATATTTGTGAAGCAGCATATATTTATAATATCCCTCATACAACCCTCCAGCAATAACTTAATGGAATCACTTCATGTGCAGAAACACGTGCCAATGGCCATAAATTGACTTAAAATAAAGAGGAATTCTTTGTACAATAGATTCTATCACTAGATTAATGTGGAGCAGGCCCCTGACCATCCTAAATATAAGAAATGGCCAATATTCTTCTTGTAGAGCATGGTACAACACCTATTTAATTAATTAGAAAGAATTGGGTCTCTAGCTTCATTAAATAGTGTAATAAAATAAAAATATGCTATTCTCAATACTATGATTATCAATGAGTGAAATGTGAAGATCCTAAAATCATCAAAGAGTGGTTTGATCATATACAAATTATTATAATGTAATATAGGATTGTACAAAAGGATATCTATAATTTTAATGAGACTAACTTTATTATAAGCCTAGTAGCTATTGCTCAAGTAGTTACTAAAGCTGATTATTATAAAAAAGCCTCTCTTGTATAGTCAGACAATTGGGAATAGGTTACTTTAATTAAGTGTATCAACTCTACTAGCTAAGCACTTTCTCTATGCATTATCTTTAAGAGGAAGGTCCATATAGAGGGTTGGTATCAAGATTTTAAGCTCCTGTGTGATAGCAGAATTGAAGTTAGTCCTAATAAATGGACCTTTAATGAGATAGGCCTTTGCTAGCTTAAAAATCTCTTCATTCCTGCTACTTCTAATTATATGACTGGGAAATACTGTCTTCTAGTCATGGATAGCCATAGCAGCTATCTTACACCTTAATTTAATCAGATATACAGTGAGAATAATATTATTCTTATCTGTATATCTGCTTATTCTTCCCACAAGCTTCAACCTTTGGATATGGGCTGTTTTGCGCCTTTAAAAAAGGCATATAGGACTTTGGTGGAGCAGAAAGCACACTTAAGAATCAATCATATTGATAAGCTTGATTTCTTAGAGGCCTTTCCACATGCTCACAAATGTACTTTTCAAGCAGAAACTATTTGAAATAGCTTTGCAGGTGCTGAATTAGTTCCATTTAATTCAGATAAGGTGTTTAGCAAGTTAGACATCTGACTAAAGACCCCTACACCACCACCTAGTCAGTCAACTAATTCAGCATCTAAAACACCATATACTACTAGGCAGCTGGAGAAGCAGGCATCAGCTGCAAAGAAACTGCTTAAGGAACATGTTTACAGCCCTTTATCTTTGCTAGAATTGTGATTAGACAAGATTATTAAAAGTCATAAATTGACACTTAATAAGCTTATTCTTACACGCGAAGAAATATGCAAATTTCACGCTAATAATGAATGGAAAGGTCAAAAGCAAAAGCACTCTACTAGACAGCTAACTATTCCAGAGGGCTCAGCAATTCAGGAGGGTTTAGAGTGATTTCAGCATGAGAATGAGTGTCAGGGCCCTTGCCATGTAGACCAGGACGAGCACGTGAGCTTCCTTACTTGGATTAGCGTGGCGCGTGGATAGGAGTACGTCGTCCAGCTTCACGTAGACCTCTTCCTTTTTCCTTCCTCTTCATGCTTGAAGTTCTCGTCGATAGCTGCCTAGATAGTCGAATAGCATCCTATTCATCGTCTAGTTGAGCTCCGTGACAATGAGGTTGTTGAAGGTCAAGATATGTTTCCTAAAGATCCAGCACTTTCTGCAGTTGGACTACATGTACAAGCTCCACCACAGTGTTCTAATTGTCATATTTGGGGACATACTAGAGTTAGATGTCCCAGTCCCCTTAGCAATTAGTTTTTGTATAAAAATGCAATTGTTTGGCTGGTAGAGGCTCTAGTATTTAGCCCGCGGGCAGGAATTAGCAGCAGGTGGCCCGCTCGACCGGGAAATACGTTATATCGAGGAATTCTGATGTAGAGTCACTAATAATTATTATGTACCTAACCGATCCCGAAGGTTACCGTAGGGGTCGGTTATTCGATTTAATATATTCAAAAAGTATGGCCGGAATACTTGGTTCAACTATACGAGATTACTCCTGATATTCCAGTTATATGTTATGCCCAAACTTTTCTATAATTCTCTGTACAAATACATACATACAGAACCAAGAGATAAACACTGTGTAAGTAGTTCATGGCTGTTTCTGCTTGAGATTCCTTGCAATGCGAGCTTCCACCTCCTTTTTTGTCAAAATCTTAACTGCGTCTTTTGAGAAGACGTAACTGAGACCGGACCAGATCGTGGTCGTTGCGACTAGGTACCTTGGAGGGGATGGTCAGTATGCCCTCCACACTAAAAATTATTATAGAAATGATATAAATAAAACCACAACATTCAGAAAGAAAATAAACCAAAATAAGAAGCAAAAACGTACAACAGCCGGGATTCGCTGGTGGTCACCCACCCAACTACTAACCGGCCGGCGTGTGGCTTAAGTACGGCTGAGCAGACGGGAAGCCCTGTTTTCCACACCCTGTGGTCGTACGTGACAGAGTTGTCACTGCAAAGGCTTTTCTAGAGATGAAAATGACAGTCTACTTCGGCAAAACAGTGCTCCAAGAACATACCCTGAAGGAAACGGAAATGAAATAGAAGAGTCACTTACTGAAATCCAGTCATTGCTTCTTGCAAACTCCAAGCGGCCGTTACAGCCTCTGGAATAATTGGTAATGCCATAGCGGAACCCACGAGCAGGAGCTGTAACGCTGTGTTAATCTTGGAGATTCCGGTTGGCTTGACTTCTGCAGAAGGAAGCGAAAAATCCCAGTAGCGTGCCATTGTTTTTGGTGGCGGAAGGGATATCCAACGGTAGTAAATTGCAGACAGCATCAAGCCAACGTCACGACCTAGAATAATTATAGCTAGCCATGCTGAAATTCCATTTCGAGTAAGTTATGATGCTAATGACAGCGCCCTTGTCATATGTATGAAAAGAAACCATGGAAAAGATGAGCGAATGAAGGTATTAAATACTCACGAGGGAGAGATCCATTCAACGCCAGGCAGACCACACTGATAGTCATCAGTATCTTATCGGCCATTGGATCGATAATGGTCCCAACAACTGTTTGTAGATTGTACCGTCGGGCGATATGCCCATCGATGAGATCAGTGATGCCAGCGTATGCAAGAAGAGACAAAGCTGGCCCATGATAACCATGAACAAGAAGATACCCCACAACAGGAGCGGCGAGTAGACGCGAAAAGGTCAGGATGTTGGGAACCGTGTAGATGTTTTCATGGGAAGGAATGGAGAGTCGAGAGAGTATTTTGGATTTCTTTTTCGTTTTATCCACGCTTGAAAAAAAAATTAGTGGGGAGCTGGTAACAAGGATCATAGTAAGGGAGTCCAGAATAGGAAGGCCACATACTCCGCTGAAACCACCTCTGTTTGATCAACGGGCTTCTTTGTCGTGTTCCATCTGATTTGGGTCCATTTAAGAGAGCTTCTATAGGATGCCATGCATTTTGATTCTCTAGCTACACGTTAAATCATAGCCACTCTAAACCAAGGTAAATGTCATACCTGATACCTAATAGGCTCTGCGTCGAACGGCGACTTAGTATCATAAAAGAGCGGTGTTGGCATGTTTCCATCCGGGGGCTCATAATCGAGGTACTGAGTCTCAGAGCAGGGTATATGTTCCCACATAGCTGACGTGGATAGCGTCGGGATGAACGGATAGACATCGACAGCAGCTGAAATGTGCCAGGCGTAACCATAATGGCCATGAGTCCACGTCGGCACGGGGGATAGATAAAGTAAACAATATGTCGCAACAGGAGAGACAAGCAGTTTAGGTAGAAGGTGGTATGTCCTTCAGACTGGGTGATTTCGGTTTGGCTCAAAAATCCTTCCCGCGCTAAACCATGCTAATTCCACTCTGAAAGAATCATAATATGATCAAGCAGAAGATACCGAGAGAATCGCAATGCTTGGCGGGAGACGCTTGTTGCACTTTATACATGCAGAAACAACGCCGGAAGAAAAAGAAAACGGAAAACAACAATGCAATGCAAACGTATGATAAAAAATAAAGATAAAAATAATATTCAAATAAGAACAAATAAACAGATCGAGAAGCAAGGGAATCTTCGATGGATCGAGGGCACGACAACAATATCCGAAGAAAAGACGCTAGCAGCTTAGATGTAGGAATTGAAGATAGAACAACAGAGAAAGAAGGCAATGCAACAGCAGGGAGAGTCTAGAATTTCTTCAAAAACAGCACAGGCAGATCAGAGAGAAAGCACGGGAAAACGTGAGAAGAAATTGGGATGGACAGGAGTTGTATACGGTGTATAGAGTTTCCTTTTGATATTCTCAGCGCTTTTCGGACCGGCGGAGAAAGTGTCTCCCCGATATACCACGTGATTATGTGCACATTGAGACTATACCTATTTAGGGCTAGTTTATTGTTTAGATATAGTAGATACAGTTAGGGCTTAGGAAGAAAGGGCTATCTACTCTGTACTATTATTATATTTAAGATACGTTGATTGTAACGAGGATGATACCAGGTGGCTTAGAGCCTAGACCGTATTCGTACGCAGTTCCCTACTATGGCAGAATGTGCGATCGTCTCATGCCGGATGAAGCACGATATTGTTGCAGTAAGGACTGCCCGATTAGGCAACTACGAGGTTATACAAGAAGGCTAGATTATTTGTAGACAGCTCTGCTTAATTAGGTTGCTGACTCCGAACGTATAGATTTAACATATTAAGCTCCAAATCGATCTCCCGGCTGGCATTCCCCACTCAAGCTTCATCTTCAAGTAGGACAACGTCACGGTAGCCATAATGATAACCTGTGGTCCCTGCACAGGAGATAAACATATACGGCTTCACTCCGGCCCCCTTTGGCAACCCGGGCGTTCTCTATGAACAAGCCATGATCTATCTTCCACTGATTCTGGATTCTGCTGGTGGAAGTAATAATTATGATAACAATGAGAGATCATTTAGGGCTGTAAACATATCAAATCACGTGAGCGGCCGATATCCGCAGTTGGGGGCAGCAAAGGCCTGATTTTTTGAGGGACTTTGCTAGGTTGTGAGAACGGAGAACCTGTACATAAAAGTGAATGGTGGCGCAATATCTGAGAAGGACACGCTGAATATAGAAATGCATGGCTAGAAATGGGATTCTAGGGTCGAGCATGCCAAAGCAACGGCAAACTGTTACGACACTACCCGGAGCATCAGCTTATCGATGACAGGTGACCTTCTAGGTAGTGTAATGTACCTGCCTAATTACAGATAATATGGGATTTTTGTCTCTAGGAAAGAGCTCCTGAGGTCAGGGAGCAACAACTTCCTGGCCTCACCTCTCCGCTGATTCTACACTTCGGCATTCCCCTGCAGGCATCGATTATATTGTTATCCCCTTCGTTCTTATCATCATCATCATCTGTAGCAACCTATTGAGATATCCCTGTTTGACCTACGTGCATAAGCCGTATCTAGATTACCATGAGTCTGTGGAACATCAGCGACAGACGGTCTGTCGCCACAAACAGCAATGCCAACAAGAATGCAGCTACCGCTCCCCGAAGTACAGACCAGCTTGCTGATCCAAATCTCACGGATCCGAATCTCTGCATCAACGGGACGTGCGTCTATGAGCGTCATCTACCTGGCAATGTGTCCATCATGGCAAATGTGCAGCGTCTGCAGCATGGTCATTACTCAAGTCCAGCCCTAGTCACGGGAGATTTCGATAATGTCGATTTCCTTGCGCTGAACTTTGTGTTTCATGCTCCCCGCGCGCTTAGGCACCGTTTCAGAGCTGCCACGATTCGTGCTTCGGTGACTAACAGGGAGGCATTGTGTGCATTTCCCCGCCCAGAGAGACTGAGGGAGGCCCCACGGTTCCTCATGCATGCACCCCATCTCATATACGGAGCTGTCTCTCCTGATAACCTGCAGTGGACGTTCAATATGGCAGGATCGATGGGGGTCTCCCAGTTGCCCATAAGCGCTAGTTTCGTGCCCTCCAGAACCATGAAGGAGAGCTACAGGCGCTACGAAATGTTGCGAATCCAGGGATCAGTGAGAACTCTTCACAGTCCATGGGGCTCCCAATTCGACGTTGAAGCGGGAGAAATCGTCTGGTCCCTGGAGGAGAACAACGTACAGCGATCTGGTCTCCCGCGCGAGTTTACGTTTGTCATGTTGGTACACAAGCCACGCGCGGACAGCGACATCGTCCTTACGCTGGACATTAAGCCTGAGATCCAGGCCTGGATAGGCAGGTTCCCGCAGTTTTGGTTGAACAGGTCGGCATACCAGCCTGTGTGTCAGAAGTCGGTAGATTTTAAGAGACCAGTTGGGCAACGATTTGAGCCTAGCAGGTCTGTTAGGGGCTTTAATTTCGCAGCCCTAAGCAGCTCCTTTGAAGACTATGTCAGTATGCCCGGTAGCACATATTCTTCCTCCAAGGTGAGTTCAAATCTGCCTGTTTCCTCGAATACTGATACCAATGATGGGTGAAATTTGCCCTAGTTATCGCCGGATGGGGTGGTTCCAACAGATAATGCAGCTGGAGCCCCCAGCAGGGAGTTACTCGACATCAAGCATATTCCAGTAATGGACGGACTAGATGAAGGAGCCCAACATCCCACTTCATCCCAGCTTTCAAGAGGAGTTACGATCAGCGCTCAAATAGGGAACCAGACTTCAAGCGCGGCCTCAGCGCCCCTTGATAAACCTTTGAAGCGGAATAATACTTTTCAGCAGGGGGGTTATGTAAATGTAGGGATGTCCATGGAAAATTCTGACGATGTAATAGACTCACCCATGCAGAATGGTCCCGGCCTTCAGGAAGAGATGGAGGCTAGCAGAGGAGTGTTTTCTTCTTCAACTACAAACTGAGATGACACAGAGATAATGTCCCTTATTTGATGGACAAGAGCTGATGCGAGGCTGATTGAGAGCGCCGATGGGGAAGAAGGCCGCCAATTGCCAGGTTGGTCACGATGTTGTTATTCTGTCTGTCGGCACTATTGCCACGAACATGGGTGAGTAGTACGTAATAGAAAAATGGACTATTCATTCTTATCCCACGGGCATCAGCAGGGGGGCTGTAGATCGCAGAAGGACATGCTACGAGGAAGAATTTTCAAGCGATGCAACGATTGATATCGTCTGGCGTCCTCTAGAACGAGTAAGAGAGCACGATTGCATTGCCACAAGGTCAGTGCCACGTTGCGTCGCATGTTCCGCATACAGCTAACTAAATAGACGGATGAACAGTAGATCAGCAGGGATGCGCGGCTGGCTTGCAGCGTAAGTCTACTCGACCGAAGGAACGGGCAGTAATCAATGATATTGCAGCAGCGAACCCAAGCAGAAAGAAGAAGCCCTGGGTATCAGGGCTTCTAGAAGTAGTCACGCCATTCTGTGGCAGTAAAGCTGCATGTATCTACGTGAGAAGGAATTTGAGGGAGTAGTAAGTTGTAATGTCAGATGAACGAGTTGGGTACAACGTAGCAAGTAGCAAGTAGCAACGGACAATGATAGCTACATGCAAATTTCATTTCGGGTAGTCTTGGTCTGGACCATGTGGCAATGGCAAATTGAATCCATGACGCGCGATACTCCTGAGGTTTCATCGAACTGCTAAATTTGGTGGAAATAATATCCTCACTATCAGTAGTTCTAACTAGATACTATTTCCTGCAGTGTGCACGTCCAGCAATGGTTTATTACGAGTACGCGGAGTACGCGGTGATATACGTAAGCCATAAATAATTATTTTATTTACGAGACGTGGCGCAGAAGTAATAATTTACGCTGCACTGTAGATAATTACCTCGTGTTCAGTCTGTTGATCATCAAGCATGCAGTAACTTGTAAATATTCTTACTATGTACACTACTATGATATCTAATTTCCCATCAGAAACGCCCATTGACGAAGATCACCAGCTTGACCTACCGGTAAAAGATCAGCTTCCGGTCTATTAGTCTCTAGACCTAAGAAATAACGGCGAACAATTCGACTGAACCGGTCAATAGTTATTCAGCGGAAATTGTACTCCGTGTTCCGGGTGGGAACTTGAGCAATTGAGGCTGGAAATAATGGGGGATGGATCCATCATCCAGTTCGGTCAGGACTCAGGTCAGTGAGTGTCCAGTGTCATCTACTTAACTCCGCTGGCCTGTCACTGATAGAATCATTAGAGTATATATGTGTATATTTTTTTTCGCTGCCGGGATTTCCGCGGTATATTGGCTGACTCCGCTATTATTAGTTTATATTATCAGCCGAGATTGGAAGAAGATAGAGGAGTATGAAGTGACATACTCTATGGTACAGTATAAATCTATGCTATTAATTAACATTACAGAGAGAGACTTTAGGTGTCTAAAGTGTCTATAATAGTATGTATACTCGGTAGACAGAAGAGACCTGTCAGCTCTGGAGAAATTGAGTTTCAACAAGCATGGCGCCAACGGCAATCATGCGCCTGTTCGTCCAGGTTGTCGGTACCTTCAAGCATTTCTTCTGGTCACGATGGAAATTCAAATTCAAATGTGAAGATCATATTCATAGCGCAGGGGTTGTGTGAGAGTGTGTGAGAGTGTGAGCTGGGATTCGCTTAGCTAGACCTAAGTTGTAACTATTAGTTGCACTATCATCACCATTATTGTTATCATTTGGCTAGAAGCTTACACTCCTGGTAATTGGGTGATTAACAGCTTTGATTTGAGAGAGATCTCATGAGGATTCATTGCTTCGTATCATGGAACAGTAGATGATGAATGAATATTAAGCCTCTAGTCCCCTTGGGTAATCACCATTATCTTGGGGCTACCAAGAAGTTAGAACCTCTTGTCACACCCATCAGGATTAATATAATTAATGTTTACCCTAAGAAGCATAATTATAATTATATCTAAACCTGTGTATGACTATGTACTTAGTCTTGGTGCTATGTACGGGGGATGACTAGACTCAGGATCTACCTCTATTCCATTTCACGTACGGAGTACATTTAGGTACTATCCTGCAAGCCGGCTTCGGAGCTTGCGGAATCGCAAGTTGCATCACCATGCCAGTTTCTCTCTTTCTCCGTAATGAGCAAGAGCAATTATGATAGAAGCGAACTGAACTGGGCGTGGAGCATGTCAAGGCTTGGTATTGTGAATTATTGCTGGTGTCATTTCCCAAGATTACGGAGACGCACCAAGGAGCTTGGACCAGGCCATTGCCGGATTCGGAGGCGCGCGGACGCATCGGCTGCACTCGGTATTTGATTCTGCGGGTTCCAGACACGTCTCGCTCTCTCGTCTACCTACCATTAATTACTCTGCCGTCTGCGCAGAGTCAGGATCTATGTGTGTAGATCCGTAGGATACAGAATGTAGATACTGAAGCTCATGGCTTTATGGACATAGGCTTTACCATGCCCATTGGTTTGTTCCCAGCAGGATAGATTTGTATCAGGACAAGAGACTCAACACGGACCTACAGCCATGCATGCAGGCTCCACTGCACGCTGCCTGTGATTTTTCTCCCTTTGGCTCCCTGTGCCTCCACCGTGCTAGGCAGTATTCCTGCTGCCCCACTGTCCTGTCCATGGCACATGGAGATTTGGTGTGCACTGTGTCGCTAGTCCTCCCCTTCTTATCGCGTATCCAGATTTTGCATGGGAAATCCAAGACATGCTGACGAAGAAATAGCCGACAACTTTTGCTGGTTGATGATGGGGTGTGGCTCTCCGGGAGTCAAGACTATTATCTTAGTAACCGACCCCTACGGTAACCTTCGGGGTCGCGCGTATTGCGCGACCCTGACAACCACCCGAGCACCCCAGCCACCCGAGCACCGATTTTAGAACTTCGTAGAATTCCAACCCATCAACTTTATCATATAATTCAACCACCACCACCATGCCCAAATTCAATAAAAATTATGAAGATCGAATGCTCAAAGCTATTGACGCGTTAAGCACACAAAATCCCCCAAATATCGCCAAAACTGCACGTGAATATGGAGTTAAACGGCAAACCCTCTCCGCAAGGTGGAAGGGACGGTCCAATCTATGTGAACGACCACCAACCAACACCAGATTATCAGAAGAGCAAGAAAAGGCTCTGTGTCACTATGTTGATACTCTAGAGCAATTAAATATAAAGCCACTTGCACAAATGATCCAATCAAGTGCCAATTCTATTCTGAGATCAACCCATACCAGCCTAGACACCCCTCCACCTACTGTCAGCGAGAAATGGTTAAACTGATGGCTAGGAAGGCATCCTGAATATAAAAGACGTCGCTCTAGAGCTATAGAGCTTGACCACAAGCGTGCAGAGGATCATGAGGTTATTCAGGAGTGGTTTCAGAAGCTCCATCAGACCATCCAGAACCATGGGATATTAAAGGAGGATATCTACAATTTTGATGAGACTGGCTTCAATATCGGTGTTGGTCGTGATCAATGGATTATTACCAGGGACTTCAATATTAATAAGCCTCATATTGGGATGAATTCAAACCGTGAATATGTTACTGTGGTTGAAGCAGTCAATGCAGATGGCTGGACCTGCCCACCACTTATTCTCATGAGTGGTAGCTGTATACTTACAAATTGGTTTGAAGCTGCTGATATTCAACAAGACTATTCAATTGGAGTATCAGAAAATGGCTATATGACTGATACAATTGCCTTCCAATGGATTCAGTCATTCTATCAGCATACTAAAAGATATAGGAAGGGTCAATATACCCTTCTTATATGTGATGGATACGGCTCCCATCTAACACATGAATTTGTTGAATTCTGTGAGAAGACCAATATCATCACCTTCTTCTTACCTCCACATACAAGTCATTTCTTGCAGCCATTGGATGTTGGTGTTTTTCATGCATATAAGCACTGGCATTCAGAAGCAGTTGCAGATGCAACCTACTCAGGATGCAGTAAATTTACTAAGGTTGAATTCCTTCATGCCTTAGGAGCAATTCGCAAGAAGACATTCAAAAAGCGTACTATTCGGCATGGATTCCAAAAGACTGGCATCATACCATTCAATCCATCAATTGTACTCAATCAAATGCCTCAACCACATCGTCCATCCTCTTCATCCACCAATACCAATGATGTTGATTCCTGGGGCAGTACGCCAAAAAAAAGCTGAACGATTTAGGGAGATTGGTGATAGGATATGGGAGATTCATGATATCAACAAGGATCAATTTAATGAGGGCCTAGAGCTGCTTATTCGTGGTGGTAGTATGCTAGCATCATATTCAGCTGCTATCGAAGCTGAGCTTGACCGGTATATTAAAGCTGCTAGGGACCGCGCAGCTCGATCACAGGCCTCTAGGCGCAGGATTCGCAAGGGAGGCATAGTATCAAGCTCAGAGCTTGAAGCTATAAATCGAAATACTGCGAATATTAATGAGCAGGCTGAAATAAAGAGGTGGAGGACTAAGTATAAGCGTTGCCTACCAGAGCTGCTGGATGTGTGCATTCGACGAGGAATTATTATACGAAGGCAACGACATGCTAGGGCCCAAGCTGAAGAGTAGAGCTTTAGTTTAAATATATTTTGAAGTTAAATACTATAGAATTCGTTGAGATATTGAAGCTAGAAGGGGGGTCTAAAATTGGTGCTCGGGTGGCTGGGGTGCTCGGGTGGTTGTCAGGGTCGCGCAATACGCGCGACCCCGAAGGTTACCGTAGGGGTCGGTTAGTGCTGGCACAGCTACGCATGCAGCCTGGGAACGCTAGTACCGCGTATCTGTATCTGTATTACCGTATATACTAGTACGCAGTACCGGCACCGTACAGCGTATTAAACCCTGCCGGTCTTGGACTTAGCGAGTGCATGCCAATGCCATTGCCATGTGCTGCGATTCGTTCAGTAGGGATATATTCCAGGCTTTCTGTATCCGGCTATGCTCAATATTTCTTAACTGAAGCGTCTTGTAGAGAGGTCTGGCCAGAGAACGAGTCCGTCACACTCGGTTGCCTTGGTTCTTGGCCTTTCGCATTCACCCAATCAGCGAAACACCTCAACCATCGAGATATCCTGTCTGCGGAACCTGGACCTGCGCCCTTGCAGACGGGCAACGAGATTGGCAGACAATACCTGACTGGTCCTGTCCCATCCATCCATCGTCATCGTCAGCGTCATCATTGTCAGATCATCATCATTATGATTGTTTGTCGCCGTGCCCCGCTTTCCCAAGACTTTTCTTTCTGGATAGAGACTTAGCTTAAGTAATTTTCCTGCTCTTCAAACCATTGGAGTGCTACTATCTAGAAGATGACCTTGGGAGGAATGGCGTGCGGAGGCCGATACGTACAGTATGTATGTATCGTACCGTACACAGTCCGTACATACAAGCTGCATGTTCGGTCGGCGGCCGTCTCCATCGCCATCGCCATCCTTCACCATTTTTTGATTTGGCCTTCATCTTTCCAGCCCAGATCCAGACTGCTTGCTCCATAATTCGAACCGGGAAGCGCGCAGCTCTTGTCCGGTTGGTTTGTTGGCAGCCGAGGAGGAGATATATGTCAGCCCGTACCCATCATCGGTGCTTGGTTGGGGCTTGCGTTCTCTTCCATGCATGAGCTGCTCGGTTTCCATGGAACCGCAGCTCCAGCCTCTCTTCAGCACATCCATTCCATTCGTCTTGCTTGACGCTCAAAGCCGCCGTCGACTGAGATAAGAGGGGTCTGTGCTTGGCTTGTCGATCCGGCTCGTTAAGGTTGGTTACTTCGTTTGACTTGCCTACTATCGCTGCTGCTATTTTTCTGTTAGTTATTTATTTAGTATTATCATTATTACTACTGCTGCTCTAATACTATTATAATATTATTATTACTGTTTGTTACTGCGCTAAACGCCTCCAACTATTCGTGCAGCAGCTCTAGTCCCATCCATCCGTTCTTCATCTCTGGTTTCCCTTCGAGGAGGGGACGAGGCTTGGTTGGTCACTTCTGCTGCTTCACCTGCTTCACCTGCTTCACTCGCCTCTTCTTGATTTTTCTCTCACTCTCTTTTTTTTTTTTTTCTTTTTTTTTTTTTTCCCCTCTTCTTTTATTATTATTTCCTTCTGGAACCAATTCTTTTCTCACTGGTACTCAAATCCGTGCTGTTGCTGCTGCTGCGGTGGTGGCCACTGCCTGGTACTTACTCCTCTTCCCCCTCCCCTCCCTGCACGGCTTCAATTCTGCCACTCCCTCTCTCCGTCTCCCATCCTCTCTTCCCATCCCCCCGCCTTTTTACCCTTTCTTGCCTGCTGTGGCAAAATAATCCCCCGAGTCCGCTGGTTGATTCCGTTATATATTTTATGCCCGTCCTCATTGGAAAACTGGCCTTGTCTCTAATATATAACTTTTTCCCGCTGATTTAGCTTCCATTCCGATCCGGATCTGATCTGATAGTCACTGCGACAAGGTTATAATTTCCCCAACTTTACCTTTTCGCCTTCCTCACGGGTTAGCCACGTTGCTGCCGAAACCTTGACTGGCAGTTGGATCAACTTTGATCTTATTACCTTTATTGTCGCCTCTTCCTCTTCTTCTTCTCTTCCGTCGAACCTAGGTTCGAAAGGCCTAACCCTCCAACAATGGTCAACGGCACCGCCGCCGTGTTGGAACCCACGTTCACGGGATATGTCGCTACCACTCATGATGCCCTGATCTTGTTTGAAGCCTGTCTCACCGGCATCCTCCATCATGTCCCCCGTCGACCGCACGACCGCGAGCGCAGTCATCTCGTCCGCAGCGGCAGCGTGTTCATCTACGAAGAGAACTCATCTGGCATCAAGCGATGGACAGACGGCGTGACCTGGAGTCCCAGCCGTATCCTGGGCAACTTCCTCGTCTACCGCGAGTTGGAAAAGCCCTTCCCTCCCGGTGAGAAGAAACGCGCAATGAAGAAGACCAACCGCCGACCACTGCCGTCGACGCGGCCCGGTGAGCCGTATCCTCGCCATGACGCCAATGGTCAGTCCTACTCGCCAACATCACCGACGTCCGGGCCGTTCGCAGACAGGTCCCATCAATCCGAAGTGGAGAGAGCGCTGGTCGGATCTCTCGTCGATTCCTACGGCTTCAAGGACTCGGGCTTGGTGAAGAAGACCATGAGCGTGACGGTTTCCGGTGTGACACACCACCTGGTTTCATACTACGCCGTGGAGGATGTGCTGCGCGGCTCGCTCAATCCACCCTCGATGGTCGAGTCTCTGAGGTACATCCGGCCTCGCGCGGAACTGACTCAGAACCAGAGCTTCCGCGCCCCCATTGATGATTTGGAGACGGGTATGGATAATTCCCACGACCCGTCTCATGCCACCATGTACAGTTACCGTCCCCAGATGATGGGACCTCCTGGCTATGCTCTCGCACACCCCCATCCCGACTTCTACCTACATACGGCAACCTACCCAGCCAGCCATCCTCCACAGTCTGGGCCGATTCCAAATTACGCGATTGGTGCACCGATGCCTGCCCAACCAACCGCCAACCCTTACCTTCCGGCACCGATGCCGCAAAATCCGGACGAGTACCCGCAACTACGAACCGCTCCGTACGGAGCTGCATTTGAATCGGTGAACCAAAATGGCATGCACTCGTCTATCCCAGCCGCTGTTAGCACCAACGTCCCGGGTTCGCTTAGTGACCGGAGCCGTACCCACTCCGATCACAGCCCGACCGCCTACCGGAGCTCAATATCATCCAGAAGCGTTGCTACCGACAGCACGTCCCCGATAGACCAGAGTGCATCATATTCACGGGGTAGTTTCAGCCTAGCGGGACACCTGGACGGGTCCGCTCAGTCGGGCTATGACCCTACTATTCCACGACGAGAATCTAATCCAATTTCCCCGTCCTACTACGGAGGCGATCGACACCCGTACTATGTTGGAGCTACTGCTGCGGGCGGCCATCCAAGCTACGTGGCTACTCAGCCTTTGTCCGCGTGGACCACTGCCGCTCCTGCTCAGCCGCAGATATGATATTCTTCTCCAAGGATATCGATAGTGTCCAATTGAAATGGTGCCTGATAGTTTACCCCGACTTGAAGAACTAATCGCATATTGGGCTGAACTTAAAGGGGAGATTTAGAAGAAAAGAAAGAAAAAAAAAGTTGAAAAAATATGGCAGGGGGTAGAAAGAAAAGAGCCGATGATAATTATTGACGAAAGCTACGGAACGAACGCCTACTTTTACCAGGTGTTCAAGGAATTCTTTATTACCTTGTCTGATGCGGATTCTCAGGGATCTTCTCTATGATGATATGGCTACACTGGGGCCGCTACTCTGTTTCCTTGGATTTTTGTTTCCTTTGTCTTGTGCCCGGGAGCAACGTCGGCTTGTTAGCTTATTTTTTACCTTTTATTTTTATGCCACCTGTCGTCACTGACGTGATTATGAACAATGGATAATATCTGGTTGACTTTGTCTGGGTGGGATATCTGTTATTTGTTTACCTTGGCCGTTCTTGTGCAATGGAGGCTCGGAAAGGCAAGACACCTCTGCTCGAGAGCGAAGAGACATGAGTGTCCGGGCAGACGGGAGAGTCCGAGTGTCGTTATTTTGGTATATTCGTGATTGATTTGTCGTTTTCGTTATGGTTTGGTCATGTCTCACGTTCTTCAGCGAGGGCAGGCGACGGCATTCGTCTTTTTGTGTTCGATGACCTTTTTCCTTTTTTGTCTTCATATTTCTTTTTTCTTTTCTTGTCTGGTGGCCAAAACCGGGTGTGCCGATTTCGTGTTTCTGTCGTTGATGGTTCTGGGAGTGATTTGCTGCTAATCCAAAATACCCGCATCCCATGCTCTACGTTGACGGTTGGATATTGCTCCGGGGGTCAGTATTTGCGTCTCAGGTAGACAAGGATCAAGTAATGGATGCAATAAGCGATCTGGTTCAGTTGCTGCAAGGGCAGGGCCTAATAGGCTCTGGTAGGGCGGCCGTTTAGCAGGCGCCATCTAAACCGTATCTGTAACCTTAAATGCATCTGCACGGCGTTATGGCGTAAGTCCGAGATGGAGAAAAGAGTTTGAAGGGGTTAAAGTATTCATAAGCATTCATGTTCATTATTCTGAGGATTAGGGCTTGATGCTGTTCAGGAAAACCCTTCCCTCTGGAGACACGATGATCAGCAATAGGGATGGCTCCAGAAGCATTCACAGTCCTGATATTATACATATTCAATGCTCCATATTTCAATATCCATATATATATAATATTGGATTAGGAAAAGTGTCCGAACGGTTCAGAGTTCGTCCGCTTAAACCCGGCTTATCACCGCAACTGGCCAGTCATCTTGAATCATAGCGAGGACGCGATGTATTGATATCGCCAACATTCTCCTTTCTTCCACGTCCACAGCACCGTTGCCTTGATTAATAATGTGTGTCTGGCAGTGGGAATCTTCATTTGCCTGTTCTGATGCCCATTAATAATATTTGCCTTTGCTTACCCATCGGGTCCACTTTTTTTTCTCTTTTTTCTACCTATACTTCCGTTTCTGGTGGAGGATGGAGGTTATCACCGAGCAGGGAATGTGGATATGCATTTGGAGGATGTTCTATAACTATCTATAGCTCCCCCGTATCTTCTTTCTCTCTCTCTTTCTCTCCAGTTCACCGCATCATCTTCTTACTCCCTCCACCACTGCAGGCCGAGAGAGTGTGCCGTCTCTCTCGTTTCTTCCCTGCCGTCGGGAACACTTCCCGTGCTGTAGCGTCAAAGTCCACCGTATCTTTCCCCCCCCAGAAGGACCCTGGTGTCATCATGTCGGACGTTCCGCGCGCGCTCCCTCCCCACGGGGGAGTGCAAGAGTCCATGCTATCACACGGGAGGGCTTCGTCTGCTACCTCTGTCACCTCATCCTCAACGGTAACTGCCTCGGAACGCAGTCTTGATGGCCGATGGGGAGAGCAGGAACAGGGCGATCCTGTGTCCTGTCGTGGTGCCATGGAGGACTTTGAGCAGATGAGGCGCGAGCTGACCCGTATCAGTCTCCATCGTTCTGTTTCCAGGGGCACGCGTCGTCATCAGTCCAACAAGGACGACGAGGAGGCCTTCCACACCAAGGAGGCCTTGGCTGATAACCATGGCCCGCTTCCCAACGCCGTCGACTTCGATCTGGGCGAGTTCCTCATGAGCGGCCACCTGGAACGGCGAGATACCATTGGTGAACCCGCCAAGAAAGTTGGTGTTGTCTTCAAGAACCTCACCGTCAAGGGTGTCCAGACTGGCGCCTCCTACGTCCGGACTCTGCCGCAGGCCGTCATTGGCACCTTTGGCCCCGATCTGTATCAGATCCTCTGTCGTTTCTTCCCGTTTCTCCGCTTTGGACGGTCTCTGCCAATCCGGGATCTGATCCACGACTTCACCGGTTGCGTCCGCGAGGGGGAGATCATGCTCGTCCTCGGTAGGCCCGGTGCGGGATGCACAACCTTCCTCAAGGCCATTGCTAATGACCGTCAGTCCTTTGCTGCTGTCGAAGGTGACGTCTCCTACGGTGGCATCTCTGCTGAGGAACAACATGAACGCTTCCGTGGTGAAGTCAACTACAACCCGGAAGACGATCAGCACTTTCCCTCTCTCACGGTCTGGCAGACGCTGCGCTTCGCCCTGATGAACAAGACCCGCAAGAGCGACAAGAGTAGCATCCCCATCATCGCCGACGCCCTGGTGAAGATGTTCGGTATCAGCCATACTAAGAATACCCTAGTCGGCAATGAGTACGTCCGCGGTGTGTCCGGTGGTGAGCGGAAGCGTGTCAGTATCGCCGAGACTCTCGCTACCAAGTCTTCCGTCGCGTGCTGGGATAACTCGACTCGCGGTCTGGATGCGAGCACTGCTCTCGACTATGCGAAGTCGCTCCGGATCATGACCGATGTCAGCAAGCGGACCACCTTTGTCACCTTGTACCAAGCTGGAGAGAGTATCTATGAGCTTATGGATAAGGTCTTGGTGATCGACTCGGGCCGCATGCTCTATCAGGGGCCCGCAAATGAAGCCAAGCAGTACTTTGTGGATCTGGGGTTTTATTGTCCTGAACAATCGTATGTCTTTCCTCTCCTTAGTTTTGCCGTTTTTCAGGACTAAGAAATGTTAGAACAACTGCCGATTTCCTCACTTCTCTCTGTGATCCTAATGCGCGCCAGTTCCAGCCTGGTCGCGAGGCATCTACTCCGAAGACGGCGGAAGAGTTGGAAGCGGTCTTCAAGAACAGCGATGCATACAGGCATATCATTGACGATGTTAACGCTTACGAGAGACACCTCGAGGAAACGGACAAGGCTCATACTCGCCGATTCGAGCGGTCCGTTGCTGAATGTAAGTTCCTTTCCTCTTTGCTTAATCCTGTAGCAACCCAGGCTAAGATCACCTTTAGCCAAGAGTAAAACCGTTCGTAAAAAGTCCAGCTATACCGTCTCCTTCCCACGCCAGGTTGCTGCGTGTTCTAAGCGTGAGTTCTGGCTGCTATGGGGTGATAAGACCTCCCTGTACACCAAATTCTTCATCATCATCTCCAACGCCCTCATCGTTTCCTCTCTGTTCTATGGCCAATCGCTTGACACCAGCGGCGCCTTCTCGCGCGGTGGTTCCCTGTTCTTCTCGTGTCTCTTCCTGGGCTGGCTGCAGATGACCGAGTTCATGCCTGCGGTTTCTGGGCGAGGAATAATCGCTAGGCACAAGTCGTATGCTTTCTATCGTCCCTCTGCCGTCGTCATTTCACGGGTGGTCGTCGACTTTCCTTTCGTCTTTGCGATGGCTGTGCCCTTTACCATCATCGTGTACTTCATGCTAGGTCTCGATGTCACGGCCTCGAAATTTTGGATTTATGCGCTTTTCGTGTATACCAATACTATCTGCACAACGGCCATGTTTAGGATGTTTGCCTCTTTGTCGCCGACTATTGATGATGCCGTTCGATTTGGTGGTATAGGTATTTATTTCTCCCCTTCCGATACATCTCCCTGATTTCTAAGCTACCTTGACTGACACATTTCCTTCCTAGCGTTGAATGTGTTAATCATATTCGTCGGATATGTTAGCATTAATCCTAAGTTCCTCTCCTTGACGTGGTGATGGTAGCTGACTGACTGCGCAGGTTATCCCCAAACAATCCTTAGTTCATGGATCTGTTTGGTTTGGATGGCTATTCTATATTAATCCGCTCTCGTACACGTACGAGGCACTTCTAGCCAACGAATTTGCTGATCGTTCTATGAATTGTTCCCCGTCGCAACTTGTGCCCCAGGGTCCTGGAGTCGATCCCAGTTTTCAGAGCTGCGCCCTATCTGGGTCCAGCACTAATACTACCATCGTCTCCGGGAGTAGATATCTGGATATAACGTTTGAATTGTGAGTTCGTACCAAAGGATGGCCCCTCCACGGGAAAAAGATATGGTTAGTACTAACATTCTGGACAGTACACGACACCATCTTTGGCGCAACTTCGGAGTCGTTATTGCTTTCACCGTCCTCTACATCTTGGTCACAGCTATTGCAGCTGAACTGCTCTCCTTCACGGGTGGCGGTGATGGTGCTCTGGTCTTCAAACGAACCAGACGGTCGAAGGCTGCAGCAACTCGAACCAGTAAGAACAATGACGAGGAGAAGGTCCAGAAGCTAGAAGACGACGCGGCCCTGTCTCGCGGCGAGTTGAAGACATCTAACGAAGAGGGAAAAGCCGTCGCTCGTCTTTCTTCTAGTGAGCGGGTCTTTACCTGGTCCAACGTTGAGTACACGGTACCGTACGGGAATGGAACGAGAAAGCTTCTCAACGGCGTCAATGGATACGCGAAGCCTGGAGTCATGATTGCTCTGATGGGTGCGTCTGGTGCCGGCAAGACCACGCTGCTCAACACGTTAGCCCAGCGACAGAAAATGGGCGTTGTAACCGGTGACATGCTCGTGGATGGACGGCGCCTCGGGACAGATTTCCAGCGAGGAACCGGGTTCTGTGAACAGATGGATCTACACGACGGGACGTCGACTATTCGCGAGGCGTTCGAGTTCTCCGCCATCCTCCGCCAGGAAAGAGATATTCCACGCCAGGAGAAGATCAAATATGTCGACCGGATCATCGAATTGTTAGAGCTTCAGGACATCCAAGATGCGCTCATCGGCTCTCTCAACGTGGAACAGAAGAAACGAGTCACCATCGGCGTCGAGCTAGCCGCCAAACCGAGTCTGTTGCTCTTCCTTGACGAGCCCACCAGCGGACTGGACAGTCAAGCGGCATTTTCAATCGTGAGGTTCCTTAAGAAACTAAGTCAGGCCGGCCAGGCTATCGTCTGCACGATCCATCAGCCGTCATCGATGCTTATTCAGCAATTTGACATGATCCTAGCCCTCAATCCCGGTGGGAATACCTTCTACTTTGGCCCTGTCGGTAAGGACGGTTCCACCGTGATCAAATACTTCGCTGATCGCGGCTTCGTCTGCCCGCCTGCAAAGAACGTTGCCGAGTTTATTCTCGAAACTGCAGCGAAAAGCGGCAGCAACGGTAGCGGCAAGTCCGTCGATTGGAACGAGGAATGGCGGAACTCCGAAGAGAACCGTCAAATATTGGAGGAGATTCGGCGGATTCGCGAGGAGCGCAGCAAGTTGCCTGTTCCTGAGACGGGGACTCAGCATGAGTTTGCGGCACCGGCTTCTGTGCAGACGGTCATGCTCACTAAACGGATGTTCAAGCAGTACTGGAGAGATCCGTCGTATTACTATGGAAAGCTATTTGTCAGTGTTATCATTGGCATCTTCAACGGATTTGTAGGCTTTCCCCTTGTTAGTTGTCCAAGGAAAGGAAATTGACTGACCATTACAGACATTCTGGATGCTCGGCAACACAATATCCAGCCTTCAAGACCGCATGTTCTCCGCATACCTCATCATCCTCATCCCCCCGATCATCATCAACTCAGTCGTACCGAAATTCTACGTCAACCGCGCCCTCTGGGAGGCCCGTGAATACCCCAGCCGCATCTACGGCTGGTTCGCCTTCTGCACGGCGAACCTAGTATGCGAAATCCCCGCGGCGATTGTGACAGGCCTTGTCTACTGGCTCCTGTGGTACTATCCCGTGGGCCTCCCAACAGACTCCAGCACAGCCGGCTACGTCTTCCTGATGACGATGCTCTTCTTCCTCTTCCAAGCGAGCTGGGGCCAATGGATCTGTGCCTTCGCACCCTCCTTCACCGTGATCTCCAACACGCTCCCTTTCTTCTTCGTAATGGTTAACTTGTTCAACGGCATCGTCCGCCCCTACGATGCATACCCTGTCTTCTGGAAATACTGGGTGTACTACGTCAACCCGACAACCTGGTGGTTACGGGGCGTGTTATCCAGTATCTTGCCCTCGGTCAAGGTCGAGTGCGCCCCGACCGAAACGACGCATTTCAATCCGTTACCCGGCCGCTCCTGTGGCCAGTACGCAGGGTACTTTGTCTCCCATATCGCCAAGGCTGGGTACCTGGTTTCTCTGGACGATGGCGCGGATTGCCAGTACTGTCCGTATCGCGATGGGAGGGAGTATATGCGGACCCTCAACGTGCATGATGGAGACAAGTGGCGCTGTTTCGGGATCTTCCTGGCTTATGTGATTATCAACTGGTTCTTGGTTTATTTCTTCGTTTATACCGTTCGGGTAAGGGGGTGGTCGTTTGGCATGGGGTATGTATTTGGGTTGTTGGGGTTGGGGATTGAAAGGGTGAAGAGGATTTTTGTCCATTGATTTCTTTTTTTTTGCTGAAAAAGCCATTACGTGATATACAGTAATTATAATAACTAGAGAGATGGTGGATACATAGAATGGATACACCACAGCAATATCATAATGTTGATCAACAACTCAGTCTATTAATATGTTGCCAATACCCATATTAAGTGCAGAGTATATTCAACAATATTGAATAGATCCTGATTAGAGACGTAATAGCAATTAAGTAAACGTCCCTTTTCAATAAGGCTATTATTTGCCTGTGGACCCATGGATCCCAGAATTAGGGCATTGTTTTGAACATCAATGGACATGGCCTGAGGACAGTCATTATGCTTCTGCTGCACATCACTTCACTCTACAGTTTTATCACCATCTCTATTATCTATGTGGTTGTAGCTGGACTGTTTAGTACCGTTTTTGTCCATTAACAGCACTGTACAGATACGATGCAAACCACCCAAACAGAGTGCCATCTAAAGAAGAAGAACTTCAACTCTTCCAACAACATTTGTAGCTTACGTGGACCATTTCACATCTGAATTGACGCAGGGATTACAGACACTATCCTAGAATCACCATGCTCCAGTTCCAGCTGAACGAAACTGACCATGTCAAGCAACCATTTCAAGTACAAATACACCCCTCTCAATCCCCAGGCTCGCGAGATCCGTCTCCTCACATTCTCCCCGGGTGACTACAACGAACCGCTTCACTGCCAGTTATCCACCCATAGTCTCATTGGGCCCAACTTCCCATCTACAACCTTTATCCTATATCTGGGGTGACCCTGACAATTCGAAAAGCCCCGAGAATATCCTGTTTCTCGACGGACACCCCTTCAACGAGACAACAAGCCTTCTCTTTGCGCTGCGGCACTTGCGTCCTCCAGTCCGAGGCAGCTCGATATCTGTACCCCTCTGGGTCGATGCTGTGTGTATCGATCAGGGAAACTGGGGTGAGCGGAGTCAACAGGTTTCTCTGATGCGGGATATCTATGCCTCGGCTGAAAGGGTGTGGATATGGCTTGGTGAAGAAGGGGATGGTAGCGATACCACGTTTGATGCTCTTCCTGTCATTACGGGGCAAATTCATGGCCACGATGACGATGACGAAGAGCAAAAGCAGCACCAATTACATTTGACACAGCAGTGTGCTGGCCTCTTCTTTGAACTGGCCAATCGTCGGCCGTGGTTCTCGCGAACCTGGATCCTCCAGGAGCTGGCAGTTTGCGAACGGGATCCATTGGTAGTTTGCGGAAGAAATTTGTGCCATGGTCCGCACTAACCAAGGCTTGGAAGGCTATTGCGAGAGGAGTATTTACGGAAATTGGCATGCTTCGTCAGAAGATACGGGATGATGACGCTCAACAGACCGCAGACGATCGCCATAGCGATGGATCTGATGACAGTTCTTCTAACACTGAAATTCTCGCGTTGACAAAAATCGACGTCCTAAATGACCTCCGTCAAGCAATGTATGCTGAAGGTGGCGATCATCTCAGGAAACTGCTCTTGATTTCAAGAAGCTCAGAGTCTACTGACCCAAGAGACCGAGTGTACGGGCTTCTCGGTCTTTTACATGCTCAGGCTCAGGACCATGATAGCGACGCAGACCCAGGCGCCACAATTACAGTTGACTACTCCAAACCAGCGGTGGCGGTTTACACAGATGCAATGTCTCATATTTTTCATCACGGACAAGGCCCCTACTATCTATCCGGTGTATACCTCCCAGGTATTTCCGCCATTGCTCCTCACATCCCTGATCTCCCATCAGAAGTAGAGCAGCCTCGTCTTCCATCATAGGTCCCCGATTTATCGCGTCAGATTCCCCAGACAGCAACAACGGAACGTGACTAGGAGATATCATGACGCTATAAGTCGAGGGGCTTTTTGTAGATACGATCGGAGGTCATTCCATTCGGGTCGTCATGGTACCGGTTCCTTGAAACACTTCCGGGGCTGGAATTAATGGCGTCCAACGCTAAACAGCGACCATGCCAGTTCCAGCCCTCGATTATTTCTCTAATCGAACAATTCAAACGTGAAAAACCGTTGTGGAGGGCGCTCGTCTCGAATAGATCCTACATGTCTTGTTATGATACTGCCCCCTTAGCCTACGAAGAAATGTACCGGGGTCTTCTCAAGCATCATCGTGCTATGAGTTCTGACTCTGAGTACAGCCAATAAGACCAACTCGGAGTACGCACTCTCCTTGAAGCAGGGTCTCTCCAAGGAAATAATTCTTTACAACTCAAAGTGGATTCGTGGGTACCTGTGTCCCAGACAGTTGTAGAGATATTATTGCCATCTTATTCGAGTCGCCGGTCCCCTTCGTACTGCGTTCGGCAGCAGCAAAACCTCAGCTTGTGGAAGGCGAGGAGAGACAGATCCACTCTCTAATCGGCGCGTCGTATGTGAGTGGCATCATGAACGGGGAGATGGTAGACCAATTGTACTGCGAGGATCTGATTGATTCAACGACCTATCTTATCCAATAGAGCTAGCCACTTAGCCTAGCTTCACTTGGAGCTTGTTTTCATTGGTTTTACTTATGTCCATCCTCGAGGAAAAACCACGGCTTAAGTCCAGGCCCATATAATCGACCAGGAACCTGCATCGGCACGGGAATTACCCCTAGAAAAGCATCGACGAGGTCGACTCCTTCGAGTCCCGAGTTATTTTTGTTTCCATCGTTGACATGCTCAGTTGTGTTTTTCTTGTTCCTGTTCCCGTCGACAACCGGTATTATGACACCGCATTCCCAATTGCGGCACTTCAGCTTGGGATATTTGGTTGTTCGATCTTGTACGAGAAGACCCCTGTGGCCATTAGCAGGGATGGTAAAAGAATAGAGCAGTAAAGGGAAAACGCACCAGGCACTCTCCGATAAATTCGCGCTTCCAACATATGCCCAAGCTCGACATGACGATTTATCCGGCATCGACGCAGGCTCGTCCAGTCTCGCAAATAAAATCTAGCAGCGTCAGTGTCAGAACCAAATAATAGAACAAAATTATAGTCTATATAGCCTACCTTATTATGCATTAGAATCTTAGGCCTCTGACTAATACATTCCCGTAACACCTGGCGTGGGAATTTGGTGCCTTCGTACCATTTTGACTGAAAGCAAATCGTACCCGCGGACCCTGGCCCACCTCTGCTGTTCTTAACTGCAGTCTCTGATGGGAAATATACGCGGAACCTTTCCTTGAATTCTTCCGCTGTCCTTTTCTGGACCAGCCGGTTCGGGTCCCCCGGACTCTTTGCCGGAAATGACTTGGCGGTTCGAAGGACGAAATCAGTCAAGCCGTCATCTCCTGTATCATCCAGTCGGTCAGCACCTAGTATTGAAGAGAGTTTATTTGCATTCATGTTAATCCTTACCCTGTGATGCAAGGTATATTGATCTGAGAAACTCGTTGGTTAAGGAACCAACAGAGGAAGTCTGTCAAAGTTAGCTATCAGACTATCCTGAATTTTTCTCAGTGCCCAACATACCACGTAGTCGATATTCAGCGGCTTCGAAGTCCTTAGCCCAAGGGAACTTACTGCTCTGCCTAGGCCACAATACCCTGTTCTTCTCCATGCATTCCCTACATGGGCCCCGCCTCTGAGGAAAGTTTTAGAAAAAAGCTGTTGACACAAAGTTCAATGTCTCAGGGACCTACATGGTATGAACAAACGCAATATGTGCCGTCTTGCCGAAGTCATAATTATCAAGTTTGGCGATAATATTCTCGTGTAACGTACTGGCGTTTAGGAAATAAACCAAGTCGTCGTAGAAAGCAGTCTTCGAACTTCCTCCGGAGGCTTGATCAACCTTCTTCTTTGGAAGGTCTATCAAGAAAACGCTCTAACACACAAAATATCAGTAAAAACCTAGACAGGCAGAATGGTGGGATAGAAGGGCTTTTTTGCCGAACATTTTCCATGCACCCTCCTTGCTCGCCCCAGTCATATGGAACCAAATTGGCAGTTGGAACCACTAGCCGGACATATTGAGAATGAAAAAGTAGCATGAGTTTCGAATGCATACAGTTAACCTGTCCGTCCATGGGTGGGAAGCATAATCTTAGGTTTCTCATCGATGCTGTCTCTGATTCGTATTGACGTTTCTTCGCTCCATCATCAGCTTTCCTTCCCAAGTGAAAAAAAGGGTCAAAAAAAAAAAAAAAAAAACCCCAACAAATGCTTTTATCCGAAGAGTAGAATGGGAATTGACACGTGGATGATGATAAAGCTATCCGTCATTTGAAAATACTCACGGTAGCATCTTCTTTGGCCTGCATAACTAAAATGAACCTGGTCGTATGGGTATGCAGTTTCGAAAAGAGCCATTCTATATCCCACTGAAAAGAACTCAGAACGGCGAGCTCTAGATCTTTCTTCTGAAGCACCTCCTCGATTTTGATATCATCGCCAATGCGTCGGTTAAGAAAGGCCCATGTCTTCTTCACCACTCCATTCGGGAACTGAACGCCCGGCTCTATCGATGGTATCCCCGCCTGAGGTTGATTTTCTGCAGGAGCCGCATTATGCAGAGAGGATGTCTGTCCAGATAAAGTGGCCTTGCAGACACTGACGTTTTCTACAGCCGAGGACGATGGCCTGGCTTCTGGAGCAGCAAGCGTCTTTGGAATCTTGGACTCACGATAGCTCAATGATGATGAGACATTCGCTTCAGCCTTCCTCTTCGCGGCGCGCGCTAGGCGTTCCTGCTCCATCTGCTTTCGATCCAGAACTAGAAGTCCCATCGGTCTCGGAGGCTCCTGGACATCCGCGGAAGCCTCTTTTGCTTTCGTCGAAGAAGCCGTGGGGCTCTGTTCCCGTTTCTCATGCTCTGTAGCGCCCTGCATGGATAATTGAATGGCTTTTCTTAACTGCTCTTCATCATCATCTTCTTCTCCATCCGTCCCAGAGCCAACTACAGAATTTGATTTCGGGAAAACCTGTACCACCTCATCATCGTCCGAGTCGCCGGTTAAATCGACAACGTCCCGCTGATGTCCACCACTGGAAGCTTGACCGTCATTGCTTTGTGAGCCTTGGCATTCTCTTAACGAAGCCGCAATCGCAGCTTTGAGATCCGGATCATCCACATCATTAGAATTCATCTTTCAGTTTCCGGTTTTCGACGCGCGAAGGCCGAGATTCAAAAATCTAGCGAACTGGAGTGTGTTTGAAAGCAACCGCGCGACGACGCGGGTGGACGTCAATATCAATCCAACGCGACAGACGGGTTCAAAAACGGTGTACCTCCTCAGGGAAGAGACATCGGTTAGAAGATGCGTTCCTCATCTATAGTTGATTTTAAAGAAATGATGAGAGTAGGATTCCATAGATGTTTGATTGCTAGAAAAGATTCCTATCTGGGAGTGGCACCAGTCTCAGATGGCACGTGATACTACGCTTTATTTCCATGTTCTTTGTCCAACTTGTCTTGTCTTTTTAAGAATTTTTTTTTAAAAAAAAAAACAATTATGGCAGTCTGAATATCCTGAAGATGTAGATGCGTATCATGTGGCATAGGGCGACTGTACGCTGTTAAATTCATACTTGAACAAATCTACAAGGCAAAGCGAGGGTAGCAATATCACAAGGGAGTATTAAAGGAATTATTACCCTAAATGAAGCAGAGTCCAGGAAGAATGCCGTTTATTCTTATAGATAGAATACGAAAACTCATACGCCACAATTATGCAGGGCTGGATGTTGCTGCATCCTCATGGTCCTGCTTGTTCGCCATCGACGCTTCGTCGTCCTTTGCGGTGGCATTCGGGGACGGTTGCTGATCTTCCAGCGGAAAGTTCAAATGCTTCCAATCCTCAATTTCCTCAGTGACATATTTCAGTCTTTCTCTGATACTCTCCACGGCGTAGGTGCCCAGAACGAGTCTGAGTGGCGGGTAGGAACAGTGCCCAAGCTGCCAGGTCAGTTCCGCTGCCTTTACGGCGCTGGCTGGTTGCTTATCACCCAGCCACATCAGCATGCGCATTGCATGTGCTGCAGGCGCAGTGGGTGTGTTGTACGGTTCGCTTGGAGGCTTGACGAAGAAATGGCTGTACAGAGCCGGGGGAGAAGACAGAGCATGATCGTCCGCTACAACCGGAGGATGGGAGGCAAATTCGTTCACATTGTCGCGACGCATGTGGCCTGATTCCACAAGTGTTATTTTGATGTTGAAGCTATCGATTTCATAGAGCATGCTCTCCATAAGGCCTTCAACCGCATATTTCGAGGCACAGTAAGGCCCGAGTCCCGGGACTCCCAGCGCACCAGACGTAGAGCTGAAGATCAAGTATCGACCGGTCTTTCTCTCGCGGAAGTACGAAAGGGATAGCTGAATGATATTCAATGTACCCATGAAATTCGTCTCGAATTGGTTTCGGATATCGTATTCATCCTGATCCTCACAGGCTCCAATCACCCCATATCCGGAGCAGTTGACAATAACATCAATCCTCCCAAAATGTGCTATTGTTTTATCAATAACCTGCTTGACAGTTTCGCGCGCTCGAACGTCACATAGAAGACCCAGGCATTTTGCATTGTCCTCTTGCAGTTTCTTCATGTATTCCGGGCTGTTCTCGAACGTGCGACCCACTACCACGACTAGATCATTGTACGACAGGGCAGTCTTGGCGATGTAGCGGCCCATATGGCCTGTTCCTCCAAATATCTAGAGAAATAATCAAAAGTCAGAGCGTGTTGTCAAACCTCATAGCAGTCGGCTGACGGCTTACCAGCCATACGAGCTGCCTCGGAGGATTCTGCGGGCCAGGAGGATCGGCTGTCAAAGGAAGACGCAGTGCTGGCTGTTTAGATACAGGAGAAATGGGCTGAGTGCTCGTGTATTTCGGAAGAAAGTTACGCGATCCCATGGAGTTGGTTGAAGACGACGTTGAATCTGCGAGAATCTGGAGAAGCTTTCCCCGCATTTGGAAATCTCGTTTGCAGGAAGGTTACTAATAAACTCATTCCGAGTATGTATATGTAATATAATAATAACTACGCATGTCCTCAACCACCAGTCCTATTTCTTAACGCCCAATCTCCCTCCGCAGCCGTCCAGCAGCCGATGAAGGAGCAGGTTCCGGCCAGCTGTTCACAGCATCGTCAACCTCTTCCAAGAAGGTACTACTGTTATGGACTGTCGTGGCAGCGAGAACAACACGCACGCCAGGAGAACTCGCGTTTACTTGAGCGACCATCTTGGCTTCCTCATACGTTGCACCTCCAACTATGAAGACGATGATATCCTGTGGCTTATCCCTGGTGTGACCGCCACCTTCAAGGAAAGGATATTGGAGCTCCTTCAACCTGCCCTTGATCAAGTTCTGCAGCGTAGCTTCCAGTCTTGGTGAGTGCTGGGTATACACATTCTCAACGCCCTTGAGACCCTTGAAGCGGTCCCGAGCCCCGGAGAAAAACGAAGTAGATTCAAAGAGATCTGAGAAGCCACCTGCCACAGGAGGGGCTTGAAGAGAGTGATGATAGGCGAGCAACTTGGGGATCATGCTGACTCTTTGCGATGGGACATTGCCCGCAGTGACTAGTAGGTCAAGCAGGATAGGAATAGCATTGGATGGGTGCTTCTCGTAACGTATAGCATATAAAGCTACCAGGCGGAGCTTGCTCTCCGCGGGCACATTCTCCAGTTGGATAATGCGTTGCAGAGCCTGGTTTTGATTAGTATTCGCGCTAAATACAACGTAAGACGATGGGACATGATACATACCTTAAGATCGTTGTTATGACTATCGTTACAGGCTAGGCTTTGCTCCAACTCACTCACATCGAGAAGATTATCCTCGCCAACTCTGCGGCTAAGTTCGCTCACCAAAGTGACATGTTTGCTGACGTTGCCGGAGAGCTTGCGAAACTCTGGGTAGTCTTCGACGAAACGCTTCATGTCCGCAATCGAATCGATGTTCATGCTACTCTTCGTCTTCACTTGATACTGCTCAACGTATTCCTTAATGTTCTGCCCGAGATCACCGAAATTCTGATACATATTTGTTTTAAAGAATGGATCCTGGTCCTGAGAGAGTACGATCTCTTTCAGCTCTGGCCGAATATCGGGAACGTCACTGAGATCAACTCTTCCATTGTTGATTCCTATCAGTTCATGCACCATCGCCTGGTATGTCCATTGAGTGAGCAGCGGGGTAATTGGATCATCGCGACGGTCTAGAATAAGGAGGATCGGCGGGGTGTCCATCTTCCGGAAGTCGAACAATTGCTCCTCCTGGGTCAGCACGTAACGGACTTCCGTAGCAAGCTTCTTGGCCATTAAGCTGTTCTTTTCGTATCGAATCAAAGGATTCTTTTTCAAAGCTAGCAACATTGCGATGACCCCTTCGGTTGTTCGCTGCAAAGCATCCGCATTCCATAAGTCGGGGGTATTGCCCCAAAGGCGCTGTTTGGGGAAGCCCAGATTGAGGGAACAGAGATCTGGATTTATCACGATGAAGTCTGCAAATTGTTCCTGCACAACACGCACTACCTCGTGGTCATCCGCTTCCGCGAGTCGTTCAAGAGAGGATTTACGGACGATGTTGCTGAAGTAGAGATAGTATTCGCCATACTTGGGCTCCCGAAGCTCCTCAATAAGCAGTTGGATCGAATCGGGTGACGGTCGCACAAAGCATAGACAACGTAGATGTCGCATCTTCTCCCGCGCCTGGTTGTCCAGTCTGTCGATAAGATACACTTCATGATTGAGGAGGGCGGACTGGGTGATGGCAGTCGACACGACAGAAACCTGATCGACAAAGAGTCAGAATTCAAGAAAGATGGCATCTAGCAGATCGCATTTCCCACTGTCTCACTATCAAGAAGCAAGATCTTCATTTTCGTCGACGAGCTGCCTGATTCTCCGGCCGTTACCATCTTAGAGATGTAGCCGGAGACTGCTGCGACGACGTCCATGTTGGCGCCTGGGGAGCCCAAAGGGCGCGGAATGGGTCGACAGCCGGAATAGTGCTAATGTCAAAAGATGCGACTGAGCTTCAGATGATGCTACTCGAACTCCTCTGGTAGACAGCCAAAGATGAGACGGGGATGAGAAGTGTCCTGAGGGAGGTTCATCCCACAAGTCCGTCCGCATGTCGATGCCACAGATGTGGCGGTGCACGACAATGGTATGTACAGAGTAGTGTATTATTGTAATATACAATACAAGTACTTCGGTATCGTTCCCAAAGTACTTTGTACTCTATGCTCATACAAACATTCGTGGATATGTCAATGGTGACTTCATCTGGATTCTGCTCTTAGCTATCTGTCTGCTCTTGCTATTATAACTAGGGAACTTTTCATGACTCGTTCTCGGTAGTCAAATCAGCAAGGCTATTTTGTTACTCAGGTTCAGCCTGCACAGCCTGGAATGCAGTCAGACTCAAGGCTGACAATTATCTGTGGGCATTACTATCCTATAAAAACTGACCAGTGTACAAGGACGATATCACTGCTGACAGTACAGGTCTCCTCAATTTTTCTGCTTTCTTATAGTTGCATTTAAATACAGTTACCTGCTGGGCAAGACCCAGTGCCCCCCGCCATAATGCCTTGCCAGAACATCCCGGAGATACTCCTTCTGTGCCAGTTTAAGCACGATATTGATGCTTTCAATGAGGCGTTATCATCTCATGGCCTAGCTTTGCTAAATCCCCAAAGATCAAGATAACAACACTCAACGAGCGTCTATCCTCAATCCCAGAGAAGACAAAGTTCCAGCTTATTGTCTCCCTGCAAACTGTTACGGCCGGCTAGACGGGGCCTTCGACGATGCTATATCCAGGGCCTTGTGTCAGCCCCCTAGGCATGACTATAATATTCTTATTCGTGCAGCACAGAAAGCGCTCTATGACAAATGGAGAGGTTTCGCTCCACCGGGAACATGTACCCTTGTGAAGATCCCGGAGCAGTTGGAGGGTGTAAACAGTTGGGGGTGCAAGTGGGTAGCACTCTGTCCCACGATGAGACTTCCAATAAACGCAGTCTGGGATCGAGAGGTTGTCTATGAGTGCATTTGGAGCCTTCTTTGTGAAATCGAGGGATGGAATCGAAAGGCTAGAAAAGAGGAGAAGATCACCCGAATCCTCATGATCTTGGCGACTGGAGTTGGACGAGTCAGTAAGGAGCGGTGGGCTTCGCAGACAGTTCTGGCAATGAAGCACTTCGTGGACGCGTTGGAACGGCCGCAGCGTTGGAGCGCATTGGAGTGGGCGGATATTGGTGATGATGCTCTGGAGGTACAGAGGACCTGGCAGCCAGGCTCCAAATAACCTGTAGCTTGTCATCATCATAGGTCTTTGGGAATTATATTTACAGCTGAAGCCTCACTTAGTCAACGCACAGTTGCGTTAATAACTAACCCAGTATATGAACAACCATCAGTCTCCATCAAGCTCTCAAGAAGCATCAAATCATCAAATTTGATTATTTAAGATAAGAGTCCTATAGACATCAAATGACCCTAGGAGATTGGAATACCCCGATTTAACTCTGATGAGGTGTCCAAGTAAAATCGATAACTGGAAAAGGTTCTTTTTCCCTCATTATAAACCCAGAGTCAATGCCTATTGTTCCGCTGCTGTTGTTGAATGTGAGGTCTACTCAGCAAATATGCCACTTTTCAAAACCAGATCATGGTCTTCCCTCATCAGCTTACACTGAACCTTCAACAGATGATCAATATAGCTCCATATACCAGTATACTACCGGAAGATGGTTGTGGAATGAAGAAAAACAATTAGCTGTCCGCTATGTTAGATTCAATGTTGACGCTCTTTGCCCTATTGCAGCCAGATCAGTGGGACCTGTATCATGTACGAGCATCACCAAGCTCGTCGAAGGGAACCAACAAAGTCTCGCTTTTAACCATGAGTGGTGGGAAAGAGGTCATTGTGAAGCTTCCGAACTCCAATGTTGGACACGCTGGCTTCATCACCGCTAGCGAGGTCGCTACTATGGGCTTTGTACATACGCACTCTCTGTACTTCCTGAGGTCGAATGTTGCTGACCACTATCCTAGATGAGAAATACTTTGCGCATACCCGCTCCAAAGGTCATCGAATGGTACTCTAAAGCGAGCGAAACACCAGGGTGCCGAGTTCATCATTATGGAGAAAGTATCCGGGATAACTCTCCCATATCTGGGAGGAGATGCATGCCTTGAAGCAATCGGAGATTGTGACGAACTTTACAGTTTGACAGACCCTTAGCATCACATCTCTTTTCAGAATATGGGAGCTTGTATTACGTCCAAGGCCAAGCTTTAAATGGCAAATCCACCATTGGTCCTACTACCAACAGAATATTTTGATGATGGGAGACAAAGCCTGGATATAGACCGTGATCCTTGCAAGTATACACAGCATCTGAATTGGATATTCCAATGTTAATATAACATGGACTGGATATAGGAAGTCAGTTGGCGAATATGTAATTGCTAATGCCCGACGCGAACAAGAACCCACCATTCATTTGGGTGAACCGCCAGTTACATGGTCTCTTTAATGGCCCGGGGCATCGAAAACGGCCAAGATCAAAGCCTTGACGTGCTATATGAGAGTAGCCAAGCACCTACTCCCGAAAATCAAAGCAACTCATAATCCGGTATTATGGCATCCAGACCTTCATCGGGACAATATCTTCGTCCATCCAGAAGAACAAACAAAAATCACCAGCATAATCGACTGGCAAGCCGCACACATCGCCCCCATGTTTCTCCAGGTCCACCGTCCTGCTCTCCTGCAAGCAAAGAAGCTCCAAAGGGATCAGGCAATGTATGTGCTATATGAGATCGAACTTCTATAACAATGCAGAGACCCTGGCTACGCATTAAGCGGCAGAATACTCTCACTAGTCAGATTACTGGGTTGGTGGGGTCTCTTTTCATCGACAGTAAGCCGGTGGTTTTGGGCTATTTGATGCGAGTTGTGGATAGATGGGCAGAGATCGTTGGGAAAGACACAGATCGGCAGCCTCTAGTACCATGCTCAATCCATTTCCCAGAGAGTACAAAGCAACAGGGAGACCAAGAGAAGTGGGAGGCCGGGATGGAGGCGATGGATGAGATTCTGCAGATGTTCGGTGCTCACAGCGGCTGGGATGGGTTCGTCAGTTATGCGGACTATGAGGGACTACGAGAGGATGAAGCGCTGTGTTATTGATGCGCGAGAATCCTTTCTCCAGCACATTGCTACACGCGATGTGGAAAGGGTAGCTTGATCTAAAGCGTGGCCATTTCCCGTATCTGCTTATCGTATGGATTCATCTCTGACTTGCCATGGTGCATCTTCGAGACCTGTATATCACGTGATGGCCAGTGACACTCAACAACTACAGTTTCAGTCTTCGTGGTATATCCCCTCTTTGTTTCTTCTCTCGATCCCCTTTTTCTTTATCCAATCTGTTTATCAAATGTATTTGTAACTTAGATTTGCCCACCGACTTCTTCTCCTTCTGTCGTGGCCGCAATTGCACCATGCTGCCATTTATAGACGATTGTATGTCCTCGTCAACACCTTATCATCGACTTTGATAAACTGACTGTGGCGGGGATTCCAGTTTTCGAGTATCCTGCAACGCTCACCGGGGCTTCTATCGATGAGTGTATTATCTGCCATTCCTGCTTTTTATGCCTGCGCGGCGGTTTCTGACCTCCCCTGTCTCTCGTCCAGTGAAACTCATCGCGTCGTTTCTGCTCTCCTACCCTCTGTCGGCCGTGTTGAAGAGAATCCCTGATCGTCAGCCATGGATGAAGAATGTTTTCACCATAGCAGTATCTCTGTTCTATCTCGTTGGGCTGTTTGACCTATGGAGTGGTCTGCAGACTCTACTGTTCAGCGCTGCGGGGACCTACGCTATCGTCTACTATCTGGACGGTTCGCTGATGCCCTGGATCGGCTTTATTTTCCTCATGGGCCATATGTCTATAAGCCATATCTACCGACAGATTCTCAATGACCCCAGCGCGGTCGATGTCACTGGTGCTCAAATGGTCCTCGTTATGAAACTCTGCACATTCTGCTGGAATGTTCATGATGGTCGTCTCCCACAAGAGCAGCTCTCGGATGCGCAAAAATACACAGCAATACGTGAACTCCCAGGTTTCTTGGATTACATGGGCTACGTACTGTTTTTCCCATCTCTCTTGGCCGGCCCCTCTTTCGAATATATCTATTACCACCGTTGGATCGATACGACCTTATTTGATATACCTCCTGGGACAGACCCTTCTAAGGCCCCCCGGACTAGGAAGAAGCGCAAGATCCCGCGAAGTGGAAGACCTGCCACAAAGAAACTTGTTGCGGGGCTAGGCTGGATCCTTTTGTTCATACGATTATCGTCGGTTTATTTTCCCGAAGCCGTCCTCGGCCAAGACTTCTTGCAATATTCCTTCTTCCGCCGCATGTGGATTGTGCACATGCTCGGTTTCACGACTCGACTGAAGTACTATGGTGTATGGACACTTACCGAGGGAGCCTGTATTCTCTCGGGCATGGGATACAACGGCTTCGATCCGAAGACCGGCAAGGTGTTCTGGAATCGACTGGAGAACGTTGATCCATGGAGGCAGGAGACCGCGCAGAACGTACGCGGTTATCTCGCAAGCTGGAACAAGAATACAAACCACTGGCTGCGCAATTACGTGTACTTGCGAGTCACTCCTAAAGGCAAGAAGCCTGGTTTCCGGGCCAGCTTGGCAACCTTCGTCACGAGCGCATTCTGGCATGGCTTCTATCCTGGCTACTATCTCACTTTCGTCTTTGCTTCCTTTATCCAGACAGCTGCGAAAAGTACAGTGCTTCCTACTATAGATTTAATTCTTTCTCTTTTTTACTAACCGCACCACAGACGTCCGCCGGTATATTCGGCCCTTCTTCCTAACACCGGACGGCACCAAACCCACACCGTACAAGCGATATTACGACATTATTAGTCTGCTTGCCACGCAATCAATCGCCTCGTTTACCGTTCTCCCCTTCATTCTTCTATCTTTCCACGACTCGATCCTAGTCTGGTCCCGCGTCTATTTCTACGGAATAGCATGCACCACTGCATCCTTCATCTTCTTCGCAAGCCCCGCCAAGGCCTTTCTTGTCAAGCACATGAAATCGCGCAGCAAACGCGCCTTTGTGTCATCAACTGAGGAGCCACAACGACCACCTACATTGGGACTGCCGAATGACCCGGAGAGGGAATTCGAAGAAGCAGTACAGGAGATCAAGGCCGAGATTGAGGCGAGAAGAAGACGTGGTAGTATCATATCTATGCCGACTGGCACGCAGTTGAAGGCTGCCGTTCAGGAGAAAAAGGGTCGGAGACTATTGTGACACTATTAGTATAATTAGGGCTCTCTCTCTCACATCTTCTCACTACTTACTGGCTATTAAGTTCCGATAGGGCGAATGTCTGTATTCCTGTCATTTCAAATGCTCATAGCTTGATACCCATTGGGAGAACCTCGCCGGGAAAGAACTGGTTGTTCTATCAGTTCACTGTTTTTGCTTTAAAAGGCTTGTCGATGTCTTGATGCAAGCGTGATTTATATTCAGATCATGCCTTGGAGATGTCGAGAAAAAAAAATACACATATCAGCATGAACACTCCATGGGATATCCACCAAGGACTACTAAATCCTGCATTCATTTTGGAAACCATTCATAATGTTGAATAAAGATCGTTAAATGACAGTTTATCCATGTCTATTTAAAAAGAAAATTTTTTTTCCCGGTTTTCAACTTCCATCATCAGACAATATATATAAAATAATACAGTATTGTAAGAACAAAAAAAAAATAAGAAAAATTTCAAAAGGGTATTCGTAGTGAAGAAATCAAAGGCATCCATGACACGTCGTGTACCGAAGTTGAGCCCATCAACTGGTTCTCCGGATTCTATGCAAACGCTCTGTAATAGAAACCGACAACGGGACTGGTAACTGGACGGGGGAATGTGGCATAAAAACGAGAAATGAATAAAAAATACGGATCTAACGAAAAGCGAAAACAATGGACGTAACAGTCATAGCGGTCATATCATGCAAAAGAGGGCGTAATGAGCTGGCGTGACGGAAAAGAGGGAGATCTCAGCCTTTGGCGAGATATGAAGAAGGTAAGGTACGTGTCGGAGAGAGTGCGAAGAAGGGAATTCCAGCTCGAGGAGGTCTATCCAATCGAGGAAGATGAAATAAATCCAAGGTCGGATCCGGCCCTGTTTTGGGAGGAAAGGATGGCTGGCCCATGCCAGATGTCGAAGATGCAGCGCGGACTTTTTCAGAAACAGACGAATTTGGAGCGAGCAGTTTCTAGTAGGAGCACAAACGGCGAGAATCCTAGAATCCCAGCTTTGTGCCCACAACTGCGAGCGTTATCTTTGAAGAATGTCAGCAATGAATAAAGAATGTGACAGGTTCTACACTCACGATAAGAGCAATGATCACAATTCCTAAGGGAATCATAACCCGATTGAGATTCCTCCACCACCTTGCATTCTCATAGCGTCTTTGTTCAATGTCATAGGTTCGCACCTTAAGTGCCCGTTCCAAATCCGAGGCACTTTCGGAATTTGGCTTAGGAGGCAAGGGAAGGAATGCTGCAACTATCCAAGCTAGAGAATGTGTAAGTGGGGTCGTTCGTAGTGAGCAGATGGGAAGATTCACTCACCCAAAGGGAAGATAATTCCCAAACAAAATGAGTAGACCTGGATGTTTCTCCGTCCAAACGCAGGCTCTGTACGAGAATCCATGGAAACAGCCGTCCAGGTACTAGTCTTATGTTGAATGATCTGCCTGTCGGGGAACAAATGTGGCGACCAGGTGCCCTGCATTTGACTGCGAGAAGTGCCTGGTCGGTTGTTATTCCCTGCTTCCAACCCCTCTGCCCAATGACTACGGGGATCCCTGGGGTCGCTGGCCTTACGTCCTTGAGGCCCTTCCGTAATTTCAAGAGGTTCCGTAGCTTCATGCGGACGCATTCTTGGTTGTGTTAGGGCTGTCGACATGTAGTCAACCATATTGGAACCAGAATTTGTGGAGCGCGAGGATGACGGACGGCTGCCCTCGATCATTGACAGCGTAGTGTTGATTGCTTGCCCGTCACTTTGGTAGTAAAGCCTTGCCCACGTGGGGACTACGTTGAGGATATAGCTAGAACCCGTGGCAGGTCGCTGGGAACTTCGCTGGCTGCTACTCCTGGACCCGGAGGATGAGCTGCTGGGAACGGCTGGATTCCGGGGACGAACAAGGTCTGAAGGTAGAGTCGTAAGATGGTCAAGGTGCTCGTCACCTTCACTATCTGTCACCAACCACTCCGAAGAAGATGACTTCTGGCTAACAAAAGCAGAAGAGTCCACCCGCGAGTTCTGGGCACGTTCTCCAGCTGGAAAATTGCGTCTCACGCTGTATTCCGTGGACCATTGGGAGGAGACTGCCGAGAAGTTACGGCTCCAGTGCTCTGAAGGTTCTTCGGGCAGGACCTCCCGCGCAGAGCTGCCTGGAATAATTGGTCGAGATTCGGTCATCATGCTTGATGCAGGACCGCGGATTCTAGGATATTGAATGAAGATGCCGCTGTCAATAATGGCATGTATGTCCGAACCAGAGAAACCGCTGCGAGCAGAGGCTGCGCCAGAACCGGAACGACTGCGCGAATGGGAAGCAAGTGAACTCGACTGAATTGATGCAATTGGAGGGGTGGAACGAAAAGATTCAGAACGTGAGCGGGTATGCGAGCTAGAACGGTCCGAGGTCGCTGGATGAATCCAGGGGGAAGCACCGATGTGTCTCACTACGGTTCCCATAGAATTCATGGATACCACTGAGTTTGACCTTGTTGCGGATCCTGTGTTGGAAGATGAATTCCCAATACGCACAAAATTCATGCTCGAGCTGTCAAGGGGTATGAAATTAGGACTTGATGACGGTCCGATGGGTACGATATTAGGACTGGAGTCGATCAACGTGGGGTTTCGTGCGCCGGAAGTCCCAACGGTATGAGAATCAGGGGACGATGGTTCGGAGATGACCGTCTTAATTGTCGGGGCATCTGTGGGCAAGACGGCGATATCATCGTCGTCTGAGAACTCTGGGTTTTCGTCAAGCGTATGATGCTGCTCTTGGGCCGGGATACTAGGGTCTGGAAACGACGACCTGCTGGAGCCCTCCCATAACTGTGACCTTGTATTCGCAGGATCGAAGATGTACGGTAAGTCCCATAGATCAGCAAGAGACCGCTCTACGGTGGCCGACGAGCGAGTAACCGAAGAGACATCATGGATATCCGAGACGGGTGTAATTGAATTCTCTCTACTGAAACTCGGCGAGAGTACATGCCCTGGTCTTGTCGGATATGGACTTATCGAACGGGCATGTGGATCTTCCTTCTCTGCCTCGGTGACTAATCGTAGGGTCGAGGAAGAGGCCTCTTTGTTTGTCTCCGACGGGGTTCGTTCGTGAAGGGCTCTCCGTGACGGTGACGAAGCTGCAGAATGTGCTGTTGATCGCATGGCAGAATGATTATTGCATTATCATAAAAAACACTAAGTGCCCAAAAAGATATGGGGATAGAAGAAGTCGAAATTTTTCAAAGCGAGAGGTTGTCTCCGAAGCTGCAATTAACCATCGATGCTTGCTCGATTGAAACGAAGGATAAACAAATGTTGAAAGACGGCCGCGTCTTCTATACTTTAGATTTTTTTCGCAGAAAAAAAGGTGCTGTCAAAAAGAGCCAGATGATCGACAGCAAACGATCAATCGAATAGGCAATAATGACCAACGAAATGAGCGACACGAAAGACGAAGTAAAGAGCGTTGATAAGTTGGATTAGATTTTCAATAGCGAAGGGCAAAAACCTGGAAAGCAAGCAACGATGGTTTCTAAACGAGTGACAGAGCAGAAAATGACTGGAAGAAAAGGCCAAAAACAAGGAAGGATGTCGAGACAGGGCGTGGATCACGATATGTATATTAATGTATCATCGACGGACGGCGAAAGGGGAGGGAGTGACGGCTCGCATTGCCCAGCAGCGGTGTGAAAAGCCAACGGAAATGTGGCATGGCCAAATTCGTCCACTCCGATATGCATCCTGCACGGTTTACGGGGAAAAGCATGATATGAAACAGCACGATTGGCGCCGAATCGTCCAAAATTAAGAAAACGGAGCTCCGCAGAACGAATAAAAAGGCTCAGCCGAAAGTACCCCTGCAACTGTCCAGTTGTGCACAGAGATCGTCACCAATGGCTTCCGTCAGCATCCAAGGCTTCAATCAAGCCATTAATTGCTATCATTGCCATAATTGTATGGAGTATTAGTTCACACTGCACAGTCCTGAAGACACACAACGAGCGTGACGCTTTACGCTTTCCAGGAGCTCTCGGGGATCTGGCCAAACCATCGACCATTATCTCACGGGTATTTGCTTACTCCCCAGATCTCAGCTGTGGGCATCAGTTCATCTAGACCATTCAAATAATTCGACCCTTGTTAATCTCTCAGGGCGAAGGGGCTTAGCAAGCCAGGCCAAGTGGATAGCCATACAGAGCTGTAGTACCTCGGGAGTCGGGAGTCAGAACAGCCCTGTCAATTATGACTTCGAGAGATGAGTTAGCAGGTGTATAATTATTAATGAATCAATAATAGTTAGTTAAATAATATCAATTACTATGTTTATGAATGTGATCGGTAATGGAGTCCGGAGCATGGTCACCTTCGGAGTGCTCCCTTGTCCATGCCACTTTACGATGAAGATGATGGTTCGATCGGGTTTGTTCAAGCATGATCGCAGAAAGTCGAACAACGGGATCGAACTTTAGAAAATAATGCACTCATTTCATTTGTGCAGCGCGTCGTCGGCGATGTGTCTCTGCCTGAAACACCAGGGCCTCATTGGATCTGCAGTGGAAGGCCCTGGGAGACTGCGGGAAATGAAGCCAATCAAGGCCAGAAATAAAAATAGAGGAGTTCTGGACAAGTTCGCCGGGTCCAGAAAGCTCTTCTTGCGGGGATCTGCGTTAGACGAACGGTTTGGCGTGGGAAGCTTTGAAACAAAAGGAAGAACAATAGCAGATTGGAACATAATACTCGTCTACCACGTGCCGCAAGAGCCTCTTTTCCCTGCTTTTCTTCCCTTCAGCCTCTTCTATCCCCAGCACGTCCCATCCGGTCGAAGAGGTCGATCCAGTCTTCATTAATTACCTCGTCCCCCTGATCTTAAAGCAGCTTCCACGCCCCGCTTGGCTGGCGGACTATTGCTTCAAATTTTTATCCTCTCATCTCGGCTGCTGCGGACCTGTTCAGCCTCACGATCGATCTCTTCCACAATCAGTCAGCAATGGCGCCCGTAGGCTTCGTGGTGCATCTCAGAAGTCTTTATGCGAAAGAATCCGGTATGTTGGTGGAATTTCCGTGGAATTTTCTCCAGGGGGTGCTTGACAGATCTATGTTTCATATTTCGAACATCTGCACAACATAACTAACATCTGCGTTTCTAGAGGATCCTGTCATCTCTACGCGGACTGCAGCGACCCTTTCGGTGTGTATTCTGCTCTCTATCCGGCTGACTCATGAGCCAATGCTAATAGCCGCCTGCGTCAGATACTCCTGACTTTGTTCTATGTGGTTCCTCTCTATCTCTTTTCGTCGACTAGGCCAACTCCTAGCCTAAGCAGAGATGCTCCGTCCGTCATCCGAGCCAGGATGAGGACGGTAACGGCAACGAGTGCCATCAGTGCCCTGGCCGTCATATTACTTCTTCTGGACAAAGGCAATGTGTCCCTTCCAGAGGCCCTAAAGCTTCTTGGATGGTGGCCAATTGCGATCTCTGACGTCCTTAGCTGCCTTCTTTTGACAGCGCTCCTGTTTGCAGGACCGCTGTTTGAGAAATGGGCTGTGGGCGAATGGAGAGAAGAGGCGGAGAAGCTCAGTGGCTGGATTGGTTGGAGGAACTATGTTGCTGTAAGCCTGTTTTCCGCCACAGATGTGTATCTGTCTTGCTAATAGTACGCGCAGGGTCCTGTGAGCGAAGAGTTGATCTTCCGCTCAGCCATCATCCCGCTACACCTCCTTGCCAAAACGTCTCCCGGTCGGATCATTTTCTTAGCCCCTCTGTACTTCGGAATAGCACACGTGCATCACTTCTATGAGTTCCGACTCACGCATCCTGGAACTTCGGTTGCTGCGGCGCTTCTGCGATCCATTTTCCAGTTTGGCTACACCACCATATTCGGCTGGTATGCGACTTTTCTCTACTTGCGAACCGGATCTTTACTGGCAATTATTATTGTCCACAGCTTTTGCAATTACTGTGGGCTTCCCCGGCTGTGGGGTCGCCTGGAGATTCCTGTCTATGTTGGACCGGGTAGTCTTCGAGGCAAAGATGCTGACCCGAGATCTGCCAGCGTCACTCTCTCCAAATCTGGCAATGTCTTGACTGTGACGTACTATGCCCTCCTCATTTCCGGAGCGATAACATTCTATTTCCAGTTCTGGCCCTTGACAGAGTCGCATCGCGCACTGGCTTCTTTCACTGCCACGGCATGACTGTATCTATATTTTCATCCTTTCTAAATCGTCATCCTGAACATTAGGTCTCTAGCACTCGTATATATTATTGGCATCGCCCAACTCCACGAGGAATCGATCCCATTCTATAATTCACATACTTGACAGTTTCCAATTCCTAATTCTAAGGGTAGGTATACCTTCTAGTAAGATTGCCGCAAGGCAAATTAATTGAATTATCTTATCTCCGAGCTGCATGCGGGGACTCGGAGAACAGGAAATAACTTGCTTCCTGGAGTCAGCAGTGCATTCTCGCTCCCTTGTTCATCGATGGCTATTTAATGCTGGTATCGTCACAATTAAACCTCCTATCCGAGCCCCCCTTCTCTTTTCTTCAATAAACACTTGTTTTAAGGGGGTTCTGAAACCATCCACCAGCCAATGCGACTCCGATCAAGTACCTGCTGGTCCGCCGTTGCTAATCCCAGCAGGACTTACGCTCGACTACAAGCAATCCGCTGTTTCTCCAACGCCTCTCGAATTCCCCTTGGTATTCCTCCTCCGTTTCCTGTCATAAAAACCTGCCCCGAGCCCGGTTGTTCATGTCCTCCCACACCGCCGATGCCGGAAGGCTTACCGATAGACCACGAACAGACGCTAAATGGGACAATGGCAGCTTATGCCCAGCAGATTCTCGTATGCACTGGAAAGGAGGACTGGACAAGTCGCATTGAGAATGACGGGGACGGAGAGGGTTGGGGAGGGCTTGTACGAGGACTGAAGGCGCTGTTGGGTCGCGGTGGGAAATACTCTGATGTATGTATGCTGTCTGTCTCTTCCAAAACGGCATATAACGTTGTTAACAATTTCCTACAGCCGTATAATAACATTCTAGTTACGAATTCATCTTTCCCTCCTGCAGCAGAAGCATCGTCATCCTTCATATCCTCCGCCTTCCTCTTCCCTAGCTTCAAATACTTTCCCTCCATCCCCGTGAATGTCTCACAATCTGAGGAAACCGACGTCGATCTATCAACCTTTGTCCGAGCCTTCCTTCTTCCAGAGAAGCTTAACAATATGCATTCGTCCCTCCCCTCGTCCAAACGGGCGGGGCTAACCCGCTCACCAGACCTTGCGTCCAAGTTCCCGAACGCAATTGACATCAAACATTCGCCTACAATCTTGATCTGTGGACACGGCGGTCGAGACATGCGCTGTGGCACCATAGGGCCTCCTTTAAAGGCCCAGTTTCAACACGTCCTGCGCTCGCGGGGCTTCTCCTCTGCCGGAATCGAAAGTATCGTCGATAGACCGGATCATGCTAATATCGGGTTAATCAGCCATATTGGCGGGCATAAATATGCGGGAAATGTGATTATATATATCCCACCTGGTATGACTGTAAATGCGGGTGGATCTACTGCACCGAGCCCACTGGCCGGGAAGGGCATCTGGTATGGACGCGTGGAACCAAGGCATGTGGAGGGTATCGTTGAAGAGACAGTTATTCATGGAAGAGTCGTAACGGATCACTTCCGGGGTGGGATAAACATAGATGGGGAGATATTAAGGCTTTAATTAATGTATAAAGATATGCTATTCGATAAAGGTGATGCATTCTTGAGCTGCGGCATGAACTTGCTAGAGATGTATGAATAGAACTCAAGTATGTGATGCTCCTCTGTATAGATTGTACAACGGTTAAATTATATGTGTATATAGAAAATGATGAGACAAGAACGAGAAAAGTAAACATTGTTGACATCCAGGTCAAAATCTTTGATCTATCCAGAATTCCAACAGAGGTCTATACAATAAAACATCCACTTTTGAACCTTGGAAAGGACGTTTGTATGGTATAGCGCTTCGAACAAAGTTTTGAGCATTCATGTTTGTGAGCCCACCCAGTGTGGGAAGTTCAAGGTTTGCATGCTCAAAGATAGAGCGATAATTCTCTCCAAGGTTCCCTTTCAGGGGCCCTTTCAAGATAATCGGTACAGCTTAGTCCGTGCAGTTTGTACTCGTGTAATCCAGCCTTGGAAATTGGAAACAAGCCTAGCTTGTGTCTTTTCGACTCGCAATGTATACTGTGTACCCTGCTCAATGGTCTTTGTGCTGAAATAGGACTTATCAGTCTCCAATTCCAAGTATTTCCTGCGTATTTCTGCTATGCAAAAATCTCGAGTCATCTTCGAGAATTATTGATAAATCTGCGCAGAGATCCAGGATCCACAGTCGGCACAGCCATATAAGATGGTATTCTAAGCTTGCCAGTCAGGCAGTGGCGAGGGGCATTTTGGACGCATTATGTCACATATGATAACAATAAAACGGCAATGAAGTGCTGTTCAGTGGTGGTGGTGGAACACTTTGTTGTTTCTATGTGCTGGGAATAGGAGTTCGTGGAAAGTAGTCTCCAGTGTGCTTGCTTCCTTTAAGGCTGTCCGCTCTTCCTGTTACGCCGGTGTCGGTGAGATCGGCTAGCTGAAGCAGCCTGGTTATTGTGCTCGTGGCCACGCTTGAACTCCCTTCCTTCCGGTTCTCTTTCTTCGCTTTACTGACGCCGTGAAGATTCGTGGACCATTTCGGCTCCTGGGTCTCCAAGAGAACCCGTCCGATGTCCAAACTGACCCGTTGTTGTTCAGCATCGAAGCCTTCCGTTTAGCAGGGAAAGACATCTAGGGATGGGCAGAAGGCGAAGTCGATACATCCTCGATCTTTGGGAATAGGTTTTTAATCATTGCATCTGAGTAGTCATTCATTGGTGTAAGAAATGAAGAATAAAATCGGTATCTTTCAAACGAGTCTCCAGGAAGGTCATGATAAATGTACTCGCCACTCTGAGGGGGCATATCTTCTTTGTGTAAGTCAGCAAATCGAAAGCAGCCGGCATAATCAGGTCTTGGAATTTCTGAGCTGTATTATATTCATTAAAGTGAACACCTGCGGACCTGTACTAGTCTTTGCCTGGCCGACTTGTCATTTTGATGTTCTAATACGGCGCGGTGACAGTCTTCTAAAAGTTGTTTCACATCACTCCAACCACGGCTGAACCCATCATCTTGAATTAGCATGTTTTCGGGAAACCGGATGTCCTTTGCAACCGTAACTACGTTTTCGTCCACATGTGACAACTCAAGACGAGAATCAGATCTTCAATGCTGTGGATATCATCACTATCATGGTTTTTGTGGCGATAGTAGTGATTGCCGTAGTATATCCATCTTCATTCACCCCGTCCATGTCCGTTTTCTCAATGTTAGCTAAGAAGATATGCAACCCAGTCTTCTGGCATGCATTCTGTAATTCTGCAAAATGCCACTGGTCGACACCTTTAAGTCGAGCAAAACTGAACTTCGCACTAGTATATCCATGTTCGAGCACATAGATGAGCGCGGGTGGGCAGGCTTTTTAATGCTATTCAGTCTTCCAACATCCCAACAGGATAAGCAACTCTGGCAAGGAGCGCTACAAATAGAGGAGGAGCGCTTGATACTCGCTGTCCTTTTTGGTCACCCGAAACATGCCTGTATACATTATGTATATTGCAACATTTTATCGTATATACGAATTACCTAAGTGTATGTCTTCCACAATACATAATTAATAGTATTAGCTGGATAGACACGTGATATTGTCAAACGCCAGTGCCATATCGCCTTTTTCTTCCTGCCCAAGCTGTTGGACATTCAGTTTACCTTTTGTTTTGAAATTATTATCCCTCTAATTGGGGTTTGTTAGTACAGCGTATGAGCGCTGTTTGCTCTGTTTGTAAAAATCCAGTGCTGTGACGGAACTCATATTTACTCCACCGCGGATGGACAAAATTGCTCGATTGAAATCAATTACACGTCTTTTGCCGGGTTGCGCATTGATATGATTGAGACTTCAACCAATTCTGCTGCAGCATGATGAATAGGCAACAAAAATGCAGACTCTTCCACGATTCCGTTTGAACTGGACCATCCTTGCCCAAAGCCGGAGATGCAGTCGAATAGTACATTCCGCGCTGCGGCACCCATCCACCCCGAAAAGTGCATTCGTCCGGTTTGCAAGCTTGACGTCGGCTTCGGGAAAGCTTGACCTCCCTGCGATCGATAGGAAATGGCAGGCTAAATGGCGATTGGATGAAGTTCGGCCGCCCTCTGTCTCAAAGAATGGATCCGAATCGAATCCCAAGTCCTACGTCCTCTCAATGTTCCCTTATCCCTCGGGCACGCTGCATATGGGCCACTTGCGCGTCTACACCATCTCGGATGTTCTGGCTAGGTTTTACAAAATGCGTGGTCATGATGTTCTCCATCCGATGGGTTGGGATGCTTTTGGGCTGCCCGCGGAGAACGCGGCCATAGAGCGAGGGATTGATCCTGCAGAGTGGACGAAGGATAATATCGCAAGGATGAAGGAGCAGATGAGGAGTATATCGGTGTCTTTTGATTGGGATAGGGTATGTATGTCTGGCCAGAACAGGACATTTTGCTTTGGTTCACTAATGCGGCTATCGGTGCTTTTTCTTTCGCGACTCAGGAGCTTGCGACCTGTTCACCCGAATTTTACAAACATACGCAGCGCATTTTCTTGATGTTATACGAGAAAGGACTCGCCTATCGGGAAGAGGCATTGGTCAATTACGACCCCGTAGATAAGACTGTGTTGGCGAACGAACAGGTAGAGAGATGAGAGATCTATCATGGAAATGGTGGTTATTTCGTTTACTGAGACTGCTTTCTCGAATTGTAGGTCGACGCAAATGGCCGTTCGTGGCGCTCCGGTGCAAAGGTCCAGCAGCTGAAGTTGAGGCAATGGTTCTTCCGGATAACCGCCTTCAAAGAGATGCTGCTAAAGGATCTTGACTCGCTCGCGGGCGGATGGCCTGACCATGTTCTGTCGATGCAGCGAAACTGGCTAGGGAAGTCTTATGGTGCGAAAATCAAGTTTCCTATAGCTGTGGAAGGTGAAGGCGACAATCTGGATGTCAGTGTCTTCACTACACGGCCCGATACATTATATGGTGTGGAGTATCTCGCCCTCTCTCTTGACCACCCGATTGTGTTGAAAACTGCGGAAAAGGATCCAGAGTTGCGGAAGTTTCTGGACAATGCTGCGTCACTCCCACCTGACTCCAAGGCAGGCTATAGACTGTCAGGGGTGAGTGCATCTCATCCACTGCATTTCATCGACAAGGAGAGCCCCCATCTGTCCAGAAAGATCTCTGTTTATGCTGCGCCTTACGTTCTCAGCGGCTATGGGGAGGGAGCGGTTATGGGTGTTCCTGGTCACGACTCCAGGGATCTAGCATTCTTCAAGGAGAATGTGAATCCCGAATTCATAAATTTGGTCATCGGGCCAGAGCAAACGGCTGGGGACAACAGTGATGCTACCATCGATTTCGTTCCCACCAAGAACGTAACAGCATTCACCCAAGAAGGCATCCTTAATGCCCGATGCTGGAAGTACAAAGGGCTCCACTCTCGTGAGGCGGCCAAGCTGATCGTGGCTGATCTCAAGCAAATCGGCTATGGTGATTTTGCTGAACGGTGGAGGCTACGAGACTGGCTCATCAGCAGACAACGCTATTGGGGCGCACCAATTCCGATCATCCACTGCACCAGCTGCGGCCCTGTGCCTGTGCCTGTCGATCAGCTTCCGGTCAAGCTGCCGAAAATCGAGGGTGATTGGCTGAAGGGCAAGAAAGGCAATCCCCTTGAGTCGGCCGAGGAATGGGTGAACACTGAATGCCCTAGCTGTGGAGGCCCGGCGAGACGAGATACAGATACCATGGATACTTTTGTTGACTCCTCCTGGTACTACCTGAGGTTCTTGGATTCTAAGAACGAAACACTCCCGTTCTCCTCTTCCACTGCACGACCTGTTGATATCTACATCGGCGGAGTGGAACATGCGATATTGCACCTTCTCTATGCTCGGTTTATCTACAAATTTCTTGCGCAATCGGATTTGTTCCCAGAGATCTCTCGGACCGGTAATCTCCCGGGACAGTTGGAGCCGTTTAAGACGCTACTCTCACAAGGAATGGTGCATGGAAAGACCTTTACAGAGCCGTCGACTGGACGATTTCTTCTTCCTTCCGAGGTCGATCTTACCTGTCCGGACAAACCACTTATTAAGGGTACACAGGTCACACCCAATGTGTCATTTGAGAAGATGTCCAAGAGCAAGCACAACGGTGTGGATCCAACTTCCTGTGCGCTGAAATATGGTGCCGATGCCACTCGTGCACATGTTCTTTTCTCTGCTCCCGTCAGCGATGTACTGGAATGGGACGAATCCAAGGTCGTCGGCATTGAACGGTGGTTTGGTAGACTATGGAAGCTCGTGCTGGATACCAAGCAGAGCTTGGTATCGGCGTCCTTCTCTTTATCCCGGGCCGAGTTGCAGTCTACCTCCGGTCAGGCCGCCGGCGTCTCTCTCCAAGGTCTCGGTGACAGCGACGCAAACGCTCTTTTGAACACACATAACACCATTTCGTCCATCACCAACTGCATCGAAAACAACCCGTACAGCCTGAATACAGTTATTTCCGACTTGACAAAGCTCACGAATTCTCTGTCATCATCTTCCCCTACATCACCGCGGGTCGGTTATCTATGCATATCGAGCCTTGTCCGTCTCCTAGCGCCAGTCGCCCCCGGCCTCAGCTCGGAATGCTGGGAGATCCTGAATATGCCACTGCTACGTGGTGATGCGTTGGATACGTTACCTGCTGTCTTTGACTGTCCATGGCCGACCCCTCTTCTGACGGCAGAACAAGCGGATGTCCTCTCTACCCGCGGAGGCCAGACCGTTGCAGTTCAGATCAACGGCAAACTGCGATTCACAGTCACGATCCCACGGATGCTTCCCCCAACGACGACTGGCAATTCGAGCGGAAAATCCGAGGGGGCCACCGAGGAACAAGACTGGATCATCAGCCGTATCTTGGAGACGGATGCGGGTCAGCTCTGGTTGCGAGTGAGGAATGACTGGGAGAAGCGGAGGCGGGTGATTGTGGTCAAGGGAGGGAAACTGATGAATGTGGTCTTCTAATTGCCAGTGTATATATCTGCCCATGTATTACTGCCCTATAGCATTGTGCACAGTTACCTTTAACCCAAGGATTCTGGTCAATTGCGATTATTTCGAGGATAATAATAGTCTGCCAGATGCATCCGCTTGAACCGAAGGAGCCACATCTTCCGGAACTGAGCATTCCGGCTGCAGCAGGCAACGCGCGTTCTCAAATTGCGGACAATCTAAGGTGGATTGTTCCCCTCACGGCGTTGAGGCAGTTGGAGAAGGGTTAATTAATTTGTACCTGGAATTGATCAAGACAGCGGCAGCTTCGGCAGAAGAGCGGAGGAAGATCGGGAATCCCCTCATTATGTCAGCATTCCCCTCGTGAGGGGATGCCACTGTGCCCACAGCTTTCAGCAGAAGAAATGCGCAGTAAAAGTGGTGAGACGCACAGAGAGGGTAATAATAGTTAATAATAGCTGGATTGATGCTCCCATGCGGAGAAAAGAGAGGAGCATGAGAGAGCAGCAATTAGCACTGAGAGTAGCAAGTCCATACACCCTAAATTGCACTCGACTGTCCAGCGCATCAAGGTCCCTCTTGTCCCTCTTGCTGAGGGGAAGCTCAATTCCTCCCCGCCTCAACAATGCACGAAGCGGTGCAAAGTCCAGAGAAAATGCCCTTATATAAGGGAAAGAATTCTCCAACTTGGAGCAGGTCGTACGACTTGAATCAAAACATCATCATTACCTCATCTCAAACCTTGCCCGCATTGCCCGCACCGGAAACCCCTGGTCGTGTTACCCGTCTTGGTAATAGGTATGACGCTTGATCCCTGTCCATGTTTTCCTGACCGGATAACCCGTGGATCTGGACTGTTGGCTAACAGCTTATAAAGAGCCTGAACTCCCCGTCTTCCTCGATCCTCCATTGCCACAGTTGTCGTTGTGTTTCAATTAACTCTCACTCTTCAAAATGGTATTTGCTCGTTCTCTTTCCAGCCAGCTTCGGCGGCCAGCCTCATCCCTGCTCTCCGCCAGGGGACCTTGGGCGCGCTCTTGCGCTGCTTCTTGGACGCCCTCTCCCTAAGTGCACGCACATTGACAGCTTCCGCAAAACTACAGGGTAAAGTTCTTATGTGTCTGTATGACGTACGTGTCACATTCCCCCGGAAGAATGCCCCTGTTCTCTGTTCTTGTTCCTGTGCCTAACAAAAAGCTTTAGGGCGGTGAGCACGCCAAGCAACAGCCCGGTCTTCTGGGAACTGTCGAGAACGAGCTCGGCCTGCGCAAGTGGCTCGAGGACCAGGGCCACACCCTCGTCACCACCTCCGATAAGGAGGGTCCTAACTCCACCTTCGAGAAGGAGCTTGTTGACGCTGAGGTCATCATTACGACTCCCTTCCACCCCGGCTATCTGACCGCCGACCGTCTGGCCAAGGCCAAGAACCTGAAGCTCGCCGTCACTGCTGGTATCGGCTCTGACCACGTCGACCTGAATGCTGCCAACAAGACCAACGGCGGTATCACCGTCGCCGAGGTCACTGGTAGCAATGTCGTCTCCGTTGCCGAGCACGTCGTCATGACCATCCTGACCCTGGTCCGCAACTTCGTTCCCGCCCACGACCAGATTCGTAACGGTGACTGGAATGTCGCTGCTGTCGCTAAGAACGAGTATGACCTCGAGGGCAAGGTTGTTGGAACCGTCGCCGTCGGTCGCATTGGCGAGCGTGTTCTGCGCCGCCTGAAGCCATTCGACTGCAAGGAGCTCCTCTACTACGACTACCAGCCTCTCTCTCCTGAGGTTGAGAAGGAGATTGGCTGCCGTCGTGTCGAGAGCCTCGAGGAGATGCTCGCTCAGTGTGACGTTGTCACCATCAACTGCCCTCTCCACGAGAAGACCTTTGGTCTCTTCAACAAGGACCTCATCTCCAAGATGAAGAAGGGTAAGTTCTAACATGTTTTCGTATATAATCGAATACGTACTGACTTATTCAAGGCGCTTGGCTCGTCAATACCGCCCGCGGCGCCATTGTCGTCAAGGAGGACGTTGCTGAAGCCGTCAAGTCCGGCCACCTCCGTGGTTATGGAGGTGACGTTTGGTTCCCCCAGCCTGCTCCCAAGGACCATCCGCTCCGCTATGTCGAGGGCCCATGGGGTGGTGGCAATGCCATGGTTCCCCACATGTCCGGTACCTCGATCGATGCTCAGGTCCGCTACGCCCAGGGCACCAAGAGCATCCTCGACAGCTACTTCAGCGGTCGCCATGACTACAGGCTCGAGGACCTCATTGTCCGGAACGGTGACTATGTCACCAAGGCTTATGGCCAGAGAAACAAGGCTTAAACCTGTCCAGAGCCTGGCCGCTTTGGGGGTTTCTTTTTTTCCGAGTTCAAGTTGTCTCGATTCTCGCCCTCCCATGTAATTACTGGGCCGTTTTCTTTCTTCCATTTCTTCCGGTTGTATATTTGGGCTATAGCGCGTATGATTTTGCTAGTATTCTTTTCTTCCAAGACATATGAAAAAATTAATGTGGATTCTACGGAATTTGGTCTACCCTATTGGCTCGTGGGGCAATGTAGATGATCTGAACTTTATTCTGTTCGCATTATGCTCTTTATGAGGCAGGTCTTAGACGTATTACCTAGGCATATATTGCATATATGCATAGTAAAAGACTGGCTAAAATCCCAAAGATGCAAACATAAACTGAGCATACCGCAATCACCTTGTTAAGATGAACTAATGCAATGCAGATTCTTTCTTATCCAGATGCTTCATGCTTATGCATTCTCAACTGATAAATAAAGTAAGGAACCATGAAAGAACAATGCAAGAAGAAAATCAATGCCGTATCCTCCCATTACTCCGGCCCTCTGCCTCATCATCACTATCATCCATGAATCCCTCCTCGAGATCCCGACTAAGACGGCCCTCCAGCTCAGCAGGGTTATTCTGCCGTCTCTCCAGCGTTTGCCTTCGCGCAGGATCCATATTCATACCCACCATGATCTCTCCTTCCTCATCGAATATACTGATATTATCCTGCTGGTCATCATTACCGCCGCGTCTGCATCGCCATGTCGATGGGAGGAATACACGCATTACCGCGTTGGCTACGCGATCCCGGAGCGACAATGTATGTGCTGAAATGCTTTCCAGCGGGAGATACTGGGAATACCGCTGGTGGTAGCGGCGAAAGAATGGGACAATGATGAAGGATAGGAGGACGTAGAGGGCCAGTGCGATGGAGGCGGGGACGAGGAGGTTCTGTGATAGCGTTCGCAGGCTGGTTAGTTATTTTATTTTGTAGGATGCGCTTGCGACGGTGTGTGTTTGCAACCAACCTTTGCAAAACTTAGTGATGAACCCATCATTTCCAATGGAGCGGCGCTGCAGTCGCGGGTGAGTGTGCTCTGTCTGTCTGAATGGATGGTTCTCGGCGGTTGAGCTTGAGCTTGAGAGATGATGTGAAAGAACTTGAACAGATCTGACTCAACTTGAATGAGTCGCTCATTTCCAAGCACCGTGGCGATGTATCATTATTCCCGCAGGTAATGGCTGCTGCTTGTCTGGACTGCTATCAAGTTCAAGTTGTATCCTGGCCTCGCTGTCTCAGTTGCACCACAGGGCTGCCGAATTAATCACGTGACGTTTCTAAAAAGGGAAGCAACACGTGACCTGCAATCACGCCGTTCTAGAGCCGTTTCCCCCTGTAAGTTATGGAGACCCCTTCAAGTCTTGAGCCTTTTGGCGCCCGTGCTCCGTTTCTGACGGTGGAAAAAAAAGCCCCTCCCCTTTCCTTCCAAGTGACTTCTATCTAATCTTCCGCAGATCGGCACGATCCTGCTGGTTACTGGTGTCGACTTCGAAATTATCTCTTCTCGACGGGCCTGTGTTGTTGTGTACGAAACCCGCAGCGATATTCCCCCGTGAGATTTAAACCGCGATTCCCTGCCTGCGGCATATACTGCAGCTGCTTACCCACAGGAGTAGCACTGCTGCTTCCCCCTGTGCGACTACATACAGCTGTTCATTTTTTGGGGGCGGTTTCTCTGAAAGTGAAAAGGGAGGGGTATAAAAAAAAGAAATCGACTTGGATGAGTCCCATCATAATAGCTACTGCTACCACCGCAGTCCCGGAAGGTGCCTTTTAAGAGCGGTGGAAGTTTCCTACTGTCGACAACGCTCCATGTTGCGCGTTTCATATCCTTACCGACGCCTGTCAAGATGCCGCCTGCCTCATCGTCCGCCGACAAATCGAGACAAACGTCTGCCGGGAAGTCATTCTTCGGGAGGAAGTTGCACAAAGACAAGTCGCCTGAGGATCGTTATGATGGATATCAAAGCGGAGGCTCAGTAGGAGGAGGCGGTGGGTTCGACGCTCTAGCCCCTCCCGGAAGCTCCGCAGGTTCTCGCTCGTCTCGACATTCGAAGCGGTCCTCTGTTCAGTCTTTCGACATAGGCTACGGGTATGACGCGGATGGACTTGCCATGACTGCCGGTGTTATTACGTCTCTTCCGTTCGATAGTGTCCCGGCTGACCAGTCACCTGTTCCAATCGACACCATTTCAAAGCCGGAAGTTTCGAGAATGGAAGCCTCGCCGAATTTCATTTCCAAGATCGGGGGCGACTTTCATCAGTATCCGGCATGGAGTCCCCCTAAGCAGAATGGTTATCATTATTCCCCTTTTCCGCCGGCTCCACGCCCACCACCCCATGGCTCGAATGTGACTATGGCCGGAAGCACTTCGGGGGATAAGGGCGCACGCTACCAGCAGTGGGGTGCTCGTCCGGGAAGCTCTGCGGCAAATGGTGGATTCGGTCACAGTTCATCCTCTACTCTGGATTCCTCGTCGAACTCTCGAACGTCGCTTGACCAAACGAGTATTTATTCTTCTGTTTCTACCAATACACGGGGCTCCAGTCATTTTTCTTCGGACACCTCATCACGAACGCTTACGACCTCAAACTCTGCTGATCGCGCTGCACATCATCAGAATCCTGGTTCAGGCCGCTTTCCGAACGCTCAGACTGCTTGGTCAACCGCGCAGTCCTCCATTCCGCCTTCCATGACGCCGGAGCAGTATCTTACACGGCCCAAAGACGATCGAGTGGTGGACCAATTGTTTCTCGAGTTGATGCACAAGCGAGGATGGCAGCATCTCCCCGAACAGGCAAAGAGGCAAATGATTTCGTACCCTGCTTCAAAGAAATGGACCCTTGTGCATCAGGATAGGTTGACGGAATTACAAGGAGAACAAAGGAGGCGACAGAACGCTAGACAGACCCAGGGATACGATGGGCCTCCTGGGATTCTCGAACGAGCTGATGAGGAAGGGAGTCCTGAGTGGTATGTGAAGAAGGTGATGGACGACACGTTAACACCAAAGCAACTGGCCAGTTTGAGTGTCAGCCTGCGGACTCAGCCAATCAGGTAAGCTTTTTCTATTCATTGCACTTCCCCCTGATGATGGAAATATGCTTATGGTCAAATATAGTTGGGTAAAGGCTTTTGTTGAAGCGCAGGGCCAGGTTGCCTTGACCAATGTTCTCTCGAAGATTAACCGTAGAAAGGCCTCGGGGCCAGTTCCAGCACCACTTTCTGGAGATAAGGACTTGGATCGTGAATATGATATTGTGAAGTGTCTCAAAGCTCTGATGAACAATAAATATGGTGCCGACGATGCCTTGGCACACCAGCAGGTTATTATAGCTCTGGTGAACTCCTTGCTGTCCCCTCGGCTTAACACGAGGAAGCTTGTCAGCGAGGTTCTCACTTTCCTATGTCATTGGGCCGATGGGCAAGGCCATCTGAAGGTTCTCCAGGCCATGGACTATGTCAAGAACCAGCACGGTGAGACGGGTCGCTTCGATGCTTGGATGCGTATTGTCGAAGTGACTGTTGATGGTCGTGGGAAGATGGGAAGTCTGGTCGGTGCCAGCGAGGAATATCGCAGTGGAGGAATTGGCATGGAGAACCTGCTCATGGAATACGCTGTTTCCACGCTGTTCCTCATCAATATGCTGGTTGACACGCCGATGAATGATTTACAGCTTCGCTGTCACATTCGGGCCCAGTTCATCTCTTGCGGCATCAAGCGCCTCTTGTCGAAGATGGAGGGCTTCCAATACGAGGTCATTGACAAGCAGATAGAACGGTTCAGGGAAAATGAGGCAATTGACTACGAGGATCTTCTTCAGCGAGAGAATAGCAGCGTGAAGGAGGGTATAGAAGGTGAGGTGAAGGACATGGGCGATCCCTCTCAAATTACGGAGGCGATTCTATCCAAGATCCAGGGAAGCAGGTCCTACGACTACTTCCTCTCCGCTATGCAACACATGCTTCTGATCCGGGAGAACTCTGGAGAAGATGGACTGCGGATGTTTCAACTTGTGGATGCAATGCTCAGTTACGTTGCCATGGATAGAAGGCTTCCCGATCTCGACCTTCGACAGGGGTTGACTTTCACCGTGCAGAGCTTATTAGATCGCCTGCACACGGATGCTGAAGCAAGGCGAGCCTACGATGAATCTGTGGAGGCCCGTCAAATCGCGGAGGCGGCAATAGCCGAACGCGATGAGATGAAAGCACAGGTGGAACTGGGTGCGGATGGCTTGGTGAAAAAGCTGCAGAAGCAGATCGACGAGCAAACAAATGTCATAGAACTTCAGAGAAGACAGAACGAGACTCTCAAGGCAGAGCTTGCGGAAGTTCAAAGACTGCGTGCTCAGGAACTGCAGCGAAATGAACTGGAAACTCGTGAGCTCTACCTCATGCTCCGAGACGCTCAGGACATTGCCGCATCGAATGCCAGAAAGAACAACATTGCAGAAACCGATCCTTCACTCATGAACGGTATTCTTGACCGTGAAAGGCTTCTAGCGAGATTGGAGAAACAGCTTGAAAGGACCAAGACGCAATTCAAGCTGGAGGGCAAAATTTGGGGACAGCATGGGCCATCTGACAGGTTGCGTGAATTGCGCGAGCAAATGGATGGAGATGTGGATATGAGCGAAGCGTTCCAAGAGCAGACTCGTCGTACCCTCAACACCACAACCCTTGGGTCGACGGTTCAACGAAAACGGAGCCATGTTCCTCAGCTTGGAAGTAATCTCCGAGCGCAGCACGAAGAGCTGTCTTCGGCTGAGGACAACGAAGAAGAGTTCGTTTACGAAACGCCACGGCTCATTGAGATGCATCGACCCCGAATGAATGCTAAGCAAGCTGCTGGCCTTTTAGGGGAGATCACCTCAAAAGTTCCTAGGTATGGCGCTGAGGAAACAGAGTCTGCTGAACCCACGGCGGAAGAAATCCTTGCAGGAGTCAAGGTGGCCAAGCCTACCGAAGAAGTTTCATCTTGGGATGAAACTGCAGCAGGGAAGAAAGCAGTACCACCACCTCCCCCGCCGCCGCCGCCTCCTGGATTTTCGGGAGCCGTACCTCCACCACCACCTCCTCCTCCACCTCCACCTCCTGGATCTATCGGAGGACCTCTCGTGCCCCCGCCCCCTCCAGGGGCACTTCCGAGGACACTCGGATTCTCTCCTCCTCCTCCTCCTCCTCCTCCTCCTCCCCTCCTGGATTTTCAGGTGGAGCCGTACCTCCCCCGCCTCCGCCACCTCCTGGATCTTCCGGGGGTCCTCCCCCCCCACCTCCACCACCTCCTCCTCCTGGCCTTCCTCCTGGTATTGCGCCTGGTGGACCGCCGCCTCCCCCTCCACCTCCTCCTGGATTCTCGGGAGGATCCGTACCTCCACCGCCTCCACCACCACCTGGATCTTCCGGGGGTCCTCTCCTACCCCCGCCCCCTCCAGGGAGTCTCGGGTTTCTTCCTCCTCCTCCACCTCCTCCTGGTATTGGATTGCCGGGAGGTTGGAGGGCAAACTATTTGGCTTCCCAGGGTACTTCCGGCCCGACGTTTAATATGCCATCGATTCGCCCGAAGAAGAAACTCAAGGCTCTACACTGGGAGAAAGTTGATACTCCTCAAGTCACAGTGTGGGCCTCCCATGCACAATCTCCCCAAGCGAAAGAAGAAAAATACACCGAGCTGGCCAAAAAGGGTGTGTTAGATGAAGTTGAGCGACTGTTCATGGCCAAAGATACGAAGATCTTCGGACATAGTTCAGCGGCGAAGCAACGCAAGGATAAAAAACAAATAATTTCTAATGAGTTGTCGAAGACTTTCCAGATTTCCATGGCAAAATACTCCCAACTGCCTGCGGATGAGGTTGTGCGGATGATTATCCACTGTGATACAGAGATTTTGGATAACATGGTTGTGATGGAATTTCTACAAAAGGATGATCTATGTACGATTCCTGAAAACGTTTCCAAGCAGATGGCACCATATAGCAAGGACTGGACGGGCCCTGATGCAGCAAGCTCCGAGCGGGAGCAGGACCCCAATGAGCTTACTCGTGAGGATCAGATTTATCTCTACACTGCGTTTGAGCTGAATCACTACTGGAAGGCAAGGATGCGTGCTCTTGCGTTGACGCGTTCCTTTGAGCCTGACTATGAACACATCTCCACGAAACTTCAGCAAGTCGTGCAGGTCTGCGAGTCCTTGAGAGACTCTGTTTCCTTCATGAACGTCCTTGGTCTGATTTTGGATATCGGTAACTTCATGAACGACGCAAATAAACAGGCCCAAGGGTTCAAGTTAAGCTCTCTTGCCCGCCTTGGTATGGTCAAAGACGACAAGAATGAGACGACCTTTGCGGACCTTGTCGAACGTATTGTTCGTAATCAGTACCCCGAGTGGCAGCCTTTCGTGGAGGAGATTGGAGGGGTTACTGCTGTTCAGAAACTCAATGTGGACCAGCTCCGGACGGATGCTCAGAAATACATTGACAATATCCGAAACGTCCAGGCCAGTTTGGATGCGGGTAACCTAAGCGATCCGAAGAAGTTCCACCCTCAGGACCGAGTGAGCCAAATCGTCCAGCGGAGCATGAAGGACGCGCGACGGAAAGCCGAGCAGATGAAGCTTTACTTGGACGAAATGGCCAAGACCTACGACGATATCATCACCTTCTATGGTGAGGACTCCTCCGATGAAAGCTCCCGACGCGATTTCTTCTCAAAATTGGCATCATTTTTGCAGGAATGGAAGGTATGTTGTGTGCTGCATTTTGACTGTTGTGATTGGACGCCCCCTTTCTAACCACGGTGTGACTTGTAGAAATCGAAGGAAAAGAACATGGCTCTGGAGGAGGCCAGGAAACGTACGGAAGCATCACTAGCTCGCAAACGCGCTATGGCGAACGCAAATGCGGCTTCTACGACTGCTGCTACCTCAGGTGGGGATCTGCCGATCTCAAGTGGTGCCATGGACTCTCTACTGGAGAAATTACGTGCTGCAGCACCCCAGGCTAGAGATCAACGTGATCGCCGTCGTCGTGCCAGGCTCAAGGAAAGACACCAAGTCCGTGTTGCGTCGGGCCAAAAGATACCAGACAACCTCACTGTCAAAAACCCGGAGGATGGAGATAAAGCCAATTTTGAGGGCAAGGATGGTGATGTTCCGAATCCTGATTTGTTGGAACCTCATTCTGAGGAGCCAGAAGCAAAGGCTGCTGGAAAGGAGTCTCAAGTGTCCGAAGGTGAAGACGTTGCGGATCGCGCCGCTAGTATGCTGCAGGGACTAAGGAATAGCACGGAGGTCAACGGTGAACGCTCGAGAAGGAGAAGGGAGAGCGCGGAAGAAGAGCGACGAAATCGCAGACTGAGAAGGCGGAACGGAGCAGGTAGTGGAGGCAAGGGCAATGCTTCTCTTCCAAAAGAGCCAGACTCCCCTACCAAGACTGAGGTTACAGAGCCCGACGATCCTTCTCTACCTAGCACTCGCGCCGAGGAGTGCCTCCCACAACCGCCGATGACTCCGTCGATTGTTGTGTCAGAGACTACGGACAGCCCAGGTTCGCCTCCGGAACGCGAGCCTGCCGATGAAGCTTCTCCAGACAAGCCCGCTGAACCGTCCGAATAGGCTTCCACAATGAAGTCTCACTTAATATTTGTGATGTCTGATTGGTCAACCGATGACGTCTATGGCGCGCAGTGTATGATATTCTCACATACAGCTATTGCTTCTTGCTGTACCTCCACTCTTCTCTGTATCTCTCTGTATCATTTACATTTCTCTTCTGCCTTCTTGAGTGGAAATCTGCATGAGTTTATCATTTTTTCCCTCTTCGTTCCAAGCCTATTTCCATTTCTCTTGTCCGTTTCCTTCACTCACTTTCAGTTTTGCTTTTCCCTTTTTTCAGCGTGCTTCTTTCTTCCTGCTGCTCTTACTGTATGGAAACCCGTGTTTTGCCGTTCGGTTTGGCAACTCTATGCCGCTTTTCACCGTTGTACCGTGTTATTGCATGCTGGCTGAGCCGTGTTTTCTTGCCGTGTGTCCAGACGTCCTTGGAGCGCAGGCGTGACGAGGCGACACATATTCGTATCTTCCTTGCATCTACTGGACTCCTGGGGCGCTTTTTTTTTTTTTTCTTTCTTTTTCTTTTTCGCTGCATATGGAGTGTTGTATAGTTTTTAATAGATGGTCTATGGACCTGAATGCAAGCGTTGAATTCTCTCTGTATTGGTCGTGCAGGTAGAAGATATCTGTCAACATCACTCGTCAGCCACAGCATTAGGACTTGGGTCTGTCAATTAACCTTGGAACTTCCGTAGGGTGTCAGCAGACTGCATGGCATGGGTGTATAAGTAAAAACAGGGACGCAGGTTGTGCCGTGTCATGTACGTCGTTGTATCCACCGCGTCCCATTGTCTTGCGTTCGTCGAATAAAAGGGAGAGAAGTGAAAAATGACTGATACTTAGACAAGTTCTGGGGTCGAAGCCGAAGCTGGAGCTGGAGCTGGCTTTGAATGTTTTTACGAAGAAATGTAGGCATCATCGAACATGCGGACTTAGGCAGCGAAAAATTGAAACTAATCGGTTATGCCTGTAGATATGCCCGTAGGATTTACTGTTGCCTTGGAGCTTTTATATAATCGATTATGAATGCCTAGGGTCTTTGGAATGTGCTAGTATATGGTTCTTGTCAACAATATGCAGAGGGTAAACTATGTTTTTTTATGGCAGTTAACTATTTCTTTGACCTATGTGCAGTGATTGCAATGAGGATTACATCTGCAAGTGCTTGATATCTAAAAAAAGCTGGATGCTGGTCTGAACACAGTAGTGGAAGCAATCCAGACTCAGCTTCGATCCACCAGGTCGGAGAAGTATAGCCAATGCAGGTGACTGACTATATACCATACACATCGGATAGGAGTAGGGGTGTATCATTTATCATTCCATACACGCAGTGCGACAAAAGACTCCAACTTGGCCAAACAATTCGGCATCTGGGTAATCATCTTGCAATTCGGAGTCGTCTCGACGTGCTGATAGATGCCCGAGAGAAACCTGAACTGCGACGACAGTGAGGACAGAAGTAAGGATAATAGCTACTCTGATCGGTGTGTACTTCCTTCTCTGATAGCATTTGAAAGCGAGGAAATCGATCTGGGTCCGGTTTGTTCCTGATGTGCAATTGCCCGCTTCCAGGTGGATAAGCATTGGAGAGAATGAAGCGAATTGCGGATAGCAGCCGTAGCATTGCAGCTCTACGGGCGCATGGGTTCGTAGGTACTATTATTCCCTCAATTAGAATGATGTATCCGGTATATGTCGCATTATCAAGGGGATGGGAAAGGGAAGAGAAGAACGAGGACTAACCATCCGGAGATCATTCTCATTGTTAAAATACCGCTCGTACTCCTCGCACATATGACAGCCCTCGATATGATGCTGTTTGAGTCGAGTCTCAGTAGCAAAGAGCGCGTCACACGGCTGGCACCAGTGATGCGCATCGGCCATGTGTGAAGAGAGCTCTGCTCGCAGCTCATAATCCGGTCGAAGCGGACAGCACCAACGGATATTGTGGCTATCTGAGTGCCTCAGATGGTCGTCTCGCGCGGCCTCTGACACGAAGACGCGTTTGCAGCGCTCGCACCACGTGTCGCCATTTCTGGCTGGGCAGGAAACGGGAATGAGATGTGATGCTGGAGTTGAAGCTGGATGGAACAAGGCATGTGGGAGCTGATGCGGATTCGCGTGCTGGAATCCCGTCTCATTCCACAGGATTGATGGAAAATGAGAGATGAGAAGGGTGAGGTGAGGTGAGGCTGAAGCAGTTGGTATTACCTTATCTGTCGACAATGAATCCTCTCAGAATACAACCTCCACACACACTCTCCTACTGCTCAGTGTCATCCTAATCTGTAAACAGACGTCGGTTTTCTCATTCTAAACATCAACAGTCTACGTCTACATCTACGAAAGACCTCAGGATCATCACGAGCAAGCTCTGATGTGGGGGGGCTGTTAGAGACCATTGTTCCATGACTTGAGACTTATTGCAGTGATATCCCTGTCAAACCCCCGAGCAAATGAATGGCACAACCTCATGCAGACCAACAAAAATCAAAATCATAAATGTCATCAAATCCTATGCTCTTTCCCCGTTACAATGCAAATATAGGCCTATCGTCTTCCATCGAGACTGTGGTTTGCGTGTTGGCATATGGATTAATAGGCTTCTTGAGATAACCATGATGATGCACCCATGGTATTCTCGATCCTTTCTCATCAACTTCCCGTGTGCTGCTTAAATCTGGGTGCTCCGGTATGTCAAGCCCAGGGGTAACAGTCTGCAACGGACGCGTCTCTGGAAGGGGGATGAGGCGTTGGCTGCAATGCTGATAAAAGGTCACTTGCAAAAGCAATGTTTCCAAATGACAGGTCCCCCGGTACCGTCGCTGAGTGCGTACAGGCTTGATTCAATATAAGCTGTACCTCCTTTCTACGCTCTATCGTAATACTTGGATCCGGCACGAATCCGATATTTTCAGCGGAGAGGCCAGCTGTAGCCTCATTGTGTGCCGATGCAGGTACATGGGCTAGCAAAAGCTGCAGAATCTCTGGATTTCCATAATACGCGGCATAACGAATCGGTTGCCAGCCAACTTCGTCTTTGCTGACGACAGATGCACCGTGCCGAAGAAGAGATACGACAGGTTGGCACCCGGCTTTCGTCGCTAAACAAAGAGAAGAATCATGATACGGCTCTGGCCTAAGTGTGAAGTTTGGAGGGCATCCTCTATCAAGAAGCATACGAACCGCACGAACATTGCCATGTCGGCATGCTGTTCCCAGTTCTCGGTCTCCCATTGAATCCCACGCACCCAGGGAAGCCCCCTTGTCATAGAGTAAAGTGAGTAGTTCCACAGAATCGCTGGCTGCGGCAAGATGAATGGGACGTCGATGATGATGGTCTCTCTCCGTTGCTGCTTCTATGTCGGATTTTGCCATGAGCAAACAGTCTGGTAATGTGGTTGTTATTCGCGATACAAGCATAATAGAGAGCCGTCAAACCAGAGTGGCAACAGATTTCTATAGAGGTTTCCTTCCGAGTAATCCCTTCAACCACGGAAAATTGACATTTCATGACTGCAAGGTGGAGAGGAGTGCGTCCAACGGCGTTCGTCATGGCCAGCATGCCTTTTTTCCGGCTGAGCAGCTCCACGATATCCACCTGCTCGTTAAATGCAGCCCAGTGGAGAGCTGTCATACCGCCATCGTCAACACGTCGTTGAGATGCTTTTCTATTCAGAAGTAGCTCGACAACTGAGAGTCTGCCTGTGGCTGCGGCGCAGATGAGCGGAGTTCTTCGATCACACCCGGCAACGTTAATGTCCATCGTGTTATCAAGAAAAATCTCGTCAACGCCCAAATGGCCTTCCTCACACGCGTAGTGTAGCGCAGTTATAATTCTGACATCTTTTGCTTCTATATCCGCATCATGGGAGATGATAAGCTGTACCGCATGGCAGTGGCTCCGAGAGGCAGCAAGATGAAGGGCCATCGATCCAGACTTATCCATGATGTCCAGCCTGGCGTTGCATTGGAGAAGCAGGTCGACAACTTCGACGTTTCCGCGATGGGCGGCAACCAGCAGGACACTCCTGTGGGAATGAACGTGTCTCTCCTCAATATCATGGCCATTTTTTATGAGTCCCATAACCTCAAATCGGGAACCTGGCTGGGCTGCCTTGACAATCTGCGGAGCAGAAGCTCCTTCAGGGGACATGAAGTCGATGCTAACGTTAGTGTTCCTTTCGCGTTCACTCTTCCCTCTCGTCAGGCCCAGAGGTGGCCCATTTGGATCAGCCCGGAACGATGTGCTACTTAGTCGGCGAAGGTTGGACCAAATTTTCTCGCGTCGCGATCCTGAGTATAGCTGTGATTTGAGGAAGGGAGTTACGTCTGAGCAGGATCGCTGGACTTCTGGGGCCAGATGTTGCGGTCTGGCTATGGACGATACGTTCCTGGTATGCCCCGGAAGCGCAGGGTCGCGGGGGCCAGCAGCAGGTGCAAAGTGACCCGCTTTATAAGAGTGCACCGCTAGCATAGACCTTGTCTGTGTCCGTATATGAACGACTGTTGGCAGATGACTGTGTCGTCAGCTTCGAGCGTTGATTCTCATAAATGCGCTGATACGCAAGTGCGCGCATGACAGTATTGTCGAATTCAAATTCTTTGTCACCGATAGATGACTGCCGGTAGCAAGAAGAGCTATCAGCATGAGAGGCCACAGAGCTGGCAGAATTTCGGATGGCCGAAGTATCATCAGCCGCTTTTTGAATGATGTCAGTTTGCTGCTCTCCGCAGCAGCTCGGTTTGTTCAGACAATGACCAGCACCGACAGGCCTGGAGCAGCAATTGCAAGGCGCGGACCTGCGCATGAAGCATTTCTTGACGAGACCTCATCAATTCGTCGTTCCACGCCACTTTGGCTCGGGTCCTAAAATCAAGAGCGACACTCCCGTTTTCGGAAGAAACTGCAGTTTGATTCAAGGAACCTCTTCGGAGAGGCTCTCCATAACGGCCCAACAGCCTTCCAGCGTTATTTTCAGATCTTGCTTGTATTCACGATTCTCCGGCGGACTGTTCCAGCCAGCCCAATCGTCCAGCTTGATGATGGCTGACTTGATGGTTGTCAGTTCCAAGATGAGAGAATGAATGGTCATGTCTGCATTCTGGAATTTCCCTCGCAGAACCACTAGGCCTTTGACGACATCGCTTATGCACGACTTGGAATGCACCAGATATAAGACTAAAGGCAGTAACTGGATCCATATGTGTGATTTAGATGCGATTCAGTGAGGAGAAGCGGATTGGACTGTTAGAGATGGCAATCGTCCGTTGGCAAAGAGCGTTCGCCCTTCAGTCAGAACATTAAGGCAACGCTGTCTCATAGCAGCGCATTCAGAAATAAATCCAAAAGATACCTAGAGGAGAAAACACGGATGGGAATCGGAAAGAAAAGAAGAGATAAAGGTGTGGGGAGAATTGAACGATCAATGCAACGTGCATTGACAAGGCTTGAGGCAGAAGCTGAAAAAGGAACCTTTTTTTAGAACTCCAAAATGTACTCAGTAGTATATACACGATTTGCAATGCGTATTCATCCTTCTTTTTAATCAGTTGCAAATTATAAATCCAACATCCTGCCTGCGGTGAAGAAAAAGCGATGATGGTATAAAAGTAACCACACCTCACGGGTATAATAGCTCCACGAGTCCCAAGTTAAGAGAAAATGCCAATTGCGCAGACCAAATGTTATGCCCCAATGGCATTCTTCACCCATTTTTCCAATCCGCCCTGGGCGATGATCTCTTGCACATTTGGTGGAAGTTCACCGACCTTGTGAGTCCACTTGGGACCATTCTTGCCCTCCTGGACTTCAATGCGGCTTCTCCTGACATCCCATGTCAGAGTCCAGCCGGTTCTACGGGTGAGGGTCTTGCCTTGAAGGGCGGTTCCGAATGTCTCTCGTAGGCGGGCAACCAATCGGGGCACCTCGAGACCCATCAAGGCATTATTGATGCTGTTTCTGGAGAAGATGTTTCCGAAGCTTCCAGCGACAACAAGGGGAATATTCTTGGCAAGAATGGCTGTTGCGGCTTGCTCTCTTGAGCTTCCGCAGCCGAAGTTGAACCCAGAAACCAGAATGTCTCCCTCTTTCGCGATCGAGGAAAAGTCCGGGTCGTAGTTCGACATGCACACCTGCGCCATTGTCTCAACAGGGACATTGTCCTGGTAAGTGTACTTGCCAGGGTAGATGCCATCCGTATTGATATTATCAGCATCACAGAAAACAATCTCGCCCGACACTCGCTCAGGGAACCCAGGGTACACCTCTGTGAGACCCTCCTCGGCCGTCTCCTCAGCTTTGGACTCCTGTTCTGGGGAAAGACGAGTTTCTGCATCGGTAATGATATTATCAAGCTGACCGATAACCTTCTCGAGAGCTTCCTCCGCAGTGAGCATTCTATCTTCTTCGCGAATCCCATCGCCCTCGCCTCGGACGACACCAGACCAGCCCTCGGGGGTTTGGTACCACCCAGGTCCGCTGATCTTTCCGCTCAATGCGCTTGCGGCGACAACTTCCGGGCTGCCAAGATATGCCTTTGCTTCAGTGCTACCCATGCGTCCCTTGAAGTTCCGGTTAGAAGCACTGATACCAACCTCGCCAGGTTCAAGCAGGCCTGTTCCTAATCCGATGCAAGGTCCGCAACCAGCTGGCAAAGGCGTGGCACCAGCTTCCAGCAAGGTTTGCCAGTCACCATTGTCTTCCGCAGTCAGCTGTTCAGGGATAGAAGCAGCTGCGATATAGAACTTCACACCATCCGCGATCTTGGGCACCTTTCCTCCATTCTTCTCTGCAGCCTCCTTGAAGACTCTTGCTGCAGCTGCAATATCAGAGGCTCTGGAGTTGGTACAGGAAACGAGATAGGCCTTGTTGATCTTGATATCCTGGGCCTCCAGATCCCGGAGGGCTGTAGCCACCTTGACGGAGTTAGGTCCCGAGACGTAGGGGGAGAGTGTCGACAGATCCAGGAAGAGTTCTTTGGCGTACTTGGCACCCTTATCAGCGGTCAATGCGTTGCCAAAGAGCTGTTCCAAGGCAGGATGCGTGAAGCGTTGCGGGGCCAAAGTCTTGAATGGTCCATCGGCCAGTCCCATTGCTGCCGTCGTGGCCTTCCCTCTTAGCCATCCCTTCAGCACTTTATCGATAGGGAACAACCCTGAAAGAGCTCCCCACTCGGTTGTCATGTTGGCAATGGTCAAACGATCATCCACGGACAGGCTTGCTAGAGTCTCTTCCGAACCGGTAAACTCAATGGCATGGTTCAAAACGTCGTCCTTGTCAAAGAGACCACACAGAGCAACGATGACATCCTTTCCAGTGACACCAGGAGGTAGCACACCGGTCAACGTGACCTTGGCAACAGGAGGAATCTGCCACCAGGTTTTGCCCGTTGCCCAGATACTAGCTCCATCTGTCCTAACAATGGGAGTGCCCAGGCAGCCAACACCACCGTACATGTTGCTGTGGCTGTCCGACGCGACCACGAGAGTCCCAGGCCAGGCAAACCCTTCTTCGACCATGATCTGATGTCCAATGCCGCGTCCAGCAGGGTAAAATTCAACACCCTGCTGCTTGGCAAACTCTTCGATCTGTCGATATTTCTGCAGGTTCTTCTCGCTCTTATTCTGCACATCATGGTCCAGGGTCATGACAACCTGCTGGGGGTCGTGGAGCTTGGAGGCGCCGATAGACATGAACTTCAACGCAACAGGCCATGAGTTGTCATGGGTCATGCAGCGATGCGGGGAAATAGTAACATAGTCGCCAGACTTGACAAACTTATCTTGCGGTAGGCCAACGGAGTACCTCTGGACAATTTTCTCGGTGAGGGTTTGGGGGACAGCCCGGGATGTCTGGAGGGACGAGTAGACTGCAGCGGAAGCAGGGTCATTCAGCTGCGCATGGAATACGTCCTGGAAGCGATACAGTGAGGAGGAAAACGTGCGAGGCTGCCATGTCTTGGGCGGCGTGCAGCGCAAAAGTGTCCATCGCCTACTCGAACTGCCGGACGGCATCGATCGTGACTAGAGGCAATCAGAAGGATCAGTGATCAAATACCATCCGGAATTGTATGAACCACAAGAGCTTACGAGTGTCATCCTGCCAGCCATTGGAGTTCAACAGTGACTCCAACGGGGAAGGAAGAGGGCAAGGAGTTGAAGTGAAGACGAGAGAAATGCCTTTTTTGCGCTGGAGAGTATCGACCTTGGGATGCTTTCGGCAAATCAGCGCGCGGGTAATTCAGCAGCATAGACAAACATGCTAAACATGCCAAGCCTGATCCGATATCGGCACTCAATCAAACTTTTCCAGAATTTCCCAAAACAACAGCATTCTTCGTGACTTCAAGAACAGCCGTAATTTGCAGCGGTTCAATTCCAGTGATGTTTTTCTCTGGCATTTTGTATGTTTGTTTATGGCTATATCTATGGAAATGCAATTGTGGCTGCTGTGTGATGCGGTGGTACTTCCAGTACCTGAGTACATGTAGCAGTATTATACCAATTTCACCATCTGCAAGGAACAAGAAGGAAACACTAGGGTGTCCCCTGTAGTTGGGAGTCATATCTGCCTTCTTCTGTAATAACCAACAATCAAGACTGCCTGACATTTAATATTATCATCACAATATGATTGTATTCGAAGAGGACTCAGCATACTGAGTCATACCACGTGCATGGCTTTCTGTTTCCTACAATGACACAACTTTAACCCAGACAAATTTTCCTTTAGAAATTATCTGTCCTGTTATTCTTTTCTCCTCTGTAGTCCCTTGGACAAGCTTCTACTGTGACAGATCAGAACACTAACAGTCAATCCGCTCTCTGCAGAGTCAGCATTGTTTTTTTCAGCAGCTCAATACCAACTTACAGCCCTGATCCCTGTCCCCTCCCCCGCCATACATTGATTGTACGGAAGTGGGATAATAACACCAACACAAAATGCCTAGCAGAGATGAAGTCTCTTACTTTGGTGCCGGCCCCGCGCCTCTCCCTACCCCCATCGTGGAGGCTGGTGCAAAGGCTTTTGTGAATTTCAACGACTGCGGTCTCGGACTCGGCGAAATCTCTCATCGATCCCCCACCGCGAACAAGATCCTCGAGAATATCAAGGCTGATTTGACCTCCCTCATTGGCATTCCGGAAAACTATGAAATTTTGTTTCTGCAGGCTGGCGGAAGTGGGGAGTTCAGCGCAGTCGTATACAATCTCGTCAGTGTCTGGATAGAACGGAGAAGAAAGAGAGCAGAGGCGGAATCCCTCAAGGCCAACCCTGGTGCGGATAAGACGCAAATTGATGAATTGGTTTTCCAGAGGGTGCAAAAGGAGGTGGAGAAGGAGCTGAAGCTAGACTACCTGGTTACGGGATCCTGGTCGTTGAAGGCTTCGCAGGAGGCAGCCCGTCTGGTTGGAGCAAAGTATGTCAATGTCGCTCTCGACGCCAGGAAGTTCAACGATGGGAAGTTCGGCAAGATTCCACCTGAGGAATCTTGGTCACTCACCCCGACAAAGCGTGAAGGCGGGAAGGGGTCGGCTTTCGTCTACTTCTGTGACAATGAAACCGTTGACGGTGTCGAATTTCAGGGCTTTCCTAAGTCCCTCGAGGCTCAGACGGGAGATGAAGAGGACGAACGGCTGGTCGTTGCAGATATGAGTTCTAACTTCCTTAGCAGGAAAATCGACGTCAGCAAGTATGCCGTTATCTTCGTAAGTAGACCCCTTCCCTGTATTCAGGTTTCAGCCTTCTCCGGTTTATACTAAGAAAGGAATGATGTAGGGTGGTGCTCAAAAGAATGTTGGGGTCACTGGTATCACCATCGCCATTGTACGGAAATCTCTTTTACCACCACAGACAGCCACCCCACCAGCTTCACTTCTCCACAGACTGAACATCGGTGGCCTGCCTGGACCGATTGTATTTGACTATGCAACAGCTGCGAAGAACAACTCTCTCTACAACACCCTTCCCATCTTCAACCTGTGGATTGCTGGCCAGGTCATAGCCAACCTTGTGGGCGCATTCGGTGCCCAGAAAGTCGGCGGCCAGGAAGAGATCGCAAATAAAAAGGCGGCTCTTATTTATGGTGCTCTGGATAAATATCCTCAGATATACCACGTGGTGCCTGACAAGAGCGTCAGGAGCAGAATGAATATCTGCTTCCGGGTCCACGGCGGTGATGCCGAGAAGGAGAAGGACTTCTTGACTGGCGCTGAAAAGCGACTGCTCCAGGGTCTAAAGGGTCATCGGAGTGTCGGTGGTATTCGGGCCAGTAATTACAATGCCGTGCCGTTGAGAAATGTGGAGAAGCTGGTCAAGTATCTCGAGGATTATGCTACTGGACAGGCGGAGTGAGAAAAGCATGGGGTCAGTAGGTCGGTTCGCATCATAGAACGGGTAGTGAAAAGTCATTAAAGGGAATGAATTCATTTTTTTATTCGTAGTCTTCTACAGAGAATCTATGGAGAAGATATATGGACTATAGTACACATGAACCCGGCTTCCTTAGGTAGTAATCTTCAAAGCTTCCATACAGCCCAATCTTTTAGATCAAGCTCCTTGATGACACCCTGGAGCGGACCCTGAAGTTCCATTCCTTGCGCCCAGACTTTTGGCCCTGCCATATAGCCAATAAATCCATCCGGGCCAGACACCATAATCAGCTTGCTGTCGGAGGACGGACTTGAAGCATATGTAGATTGAATGACATCCGAAATCGTCTGCTTCCCGATAGACGTGCCCTCCTCATCAACAAAGTAATCCACCGTAATTTGGTCCGGGTATTGGGATTTGAGAGCTTCAAGCTCCCGTACAATAAACGAGGAAGAGGTATTCTTATCTTGAGAACCTCCAAGGGCAGGATCTGCTTCTGCTGATCTAATGAAGCCAGAGAACCAAGACTTCGGTTTCACAGTGGCCTTGGTATCGCTCACTCCTCCCAGACAGTCCTCTCTTCTTCTACTCGCCCAAAGTATATGTATCCTTGGTTTCCTAGAACCATCAGTGCGGCTAAGCAGCGTATGGCCAGCCTGAAGAGCCGGAGCAATTCCAGTACCGCCAGCGATAAAAAGAACGTCTCGGATGGTTGATGGTATTTCGCACTCGACCTGTGGCCCTCGCATTTCAACTGCGGTCCATAAGTCAAGAGCATGCAAATACCGCGAGACTTCGCCATGGGGATCTCTGCGAATAAGGAAGTGTAGAGAACCATCTTCCTGCGACGTCATCGACGAAGTCGGAGGAAGGGGAGTGTAGTCTCTTGCAATTTGCAGTTGTGGCTGTTTGAACATCACGCTCCATACTCCTGCCCGCCACGCCTTCTCGTATAATTCGCAATTGCCATCAGCATTGGCAGGTTTGAAGACGAAAATGCTGCAGGTCGAAGACACCGGTTCCTTGGAGACAAGGTAGTATTTGGTGAAGCTGAATGGGTTCAGAGTGGACTTCCCGGAATCTTGCAGCCACCTAACGTAAGCGCCAACACCTGCTGCCGTGGCAGTCAGCATAGTAAGACGTAGCCATAGACGCCGTTTCGGGGGTTCGGGAGCAGAAGCAGAGACAGAAGAGGAAGAGGAAGAGACACGGCGACTAGCAGGTCGAGAAATGGACGAGCTCAAGCACGAACGCTTGGCACAGGCTGTAAAGGGCGCATTGAATGACGGCAAGCCCGAGTCGACGATTCTGGACCTCATGGAAGACGGAAACCGGGCTCAATGCGCCTGGAATTGGCAGAGGTCGTCGAGATCGTTGCGATGAGTGTACAGCGCTGTACAGACTGGACGCCAGCGAAGACAGCGGGAGTGGCGCTAGACGGGATAGTCCAGGCAATGATCCCCTGTCTTATTTAATTTTCGTCGATCCACGACTCCGCCAGAATCTTGTCACACCTCCTGTGTTATTCTTCTTCCCGGTGGGAAGGTGGCTATGTCCCTGACATCCTTGTGCTGCGAGTGCCGCTGATACTAGGTTCCCTTCTGCACCTCCTCTGTTCAATTGCCTCTGCGCTGGCGGGCATGGGGAACTCCCGTCCACGACTTTCCGCAACACTATGTCTCGTAATATGATCCCTCAGGAGATCAGACACGGCGGCAATAATGCTCCTCGAGATTCTCTAGAACTTGCTTCCCTTGCCTCTTCATCTCCAGAGCCAATTGGCAGGTCCTCCGAATCGTTTTCTTTCGACGCCGCATCATCGCGAAAGCTCTCTCTCGACGAAGAAGATCCAATCTCGAATACCCTTCCGAGATCAGCGCGATCAGACTCCATAACCTCTGCTTTCGATTTCGGAAGAACCCTGTTTCCTCTATCTCAGACCGCTGGTGGTTACGCACCTCTGGGGGCTCCGTCTATCCACTCCTTAGATCGACAAGTTGGCGCAGTCGACGGGTCATTGGAACGAAATAAGACCCTGACATACTTGAACGGATTGTCCCTCATTATCAGCTTGATCATCGGCTCTGGGATATTTTCCTCGCCAAGCCAAGTTAACGCCAATGTGGGGTCGCCAGGTGCATCGCTCATTATATGGGCCGTTGCGGGTTTGCTTGCCTGGACGGGGGCCGCCAGCTATGCGGAACTAGGAGGTGCTATTCCTCTGAATGGTGGAGCGCAAGTTTATCTATCTAAGATCTTTGGAGAATTGCTTGGATTCCTGTTTACGTGGTGCGCTGTGCTGGTGCTCAAGCCAGGCTCTGCAGCAATCATTGCCATTATATTCGGTGAATACGCCGTTCGGGCCGTTGTTGGAGCTGATGCTGAATCTGTCAATCCTTGGATTAACAAGGGCGTGGGCCTTGGCGGACTTGTCATTGTTACTCTGCTGAATTGCATTTCAACGAAAGTTGCAACACGGATTGGCGATATCTTCATGTTTTTCAAGTTTGTTGCATTGCTTGGAGTGACCGTCACAGGCGTTGTGGTTGCTATAACGGGCCTCTCGTCCAGGGGCACTGCCAACCGGGAGTGGAAAGAAAGAGGCTGGTTCGAAGGAACCAGCACTGATATATCAGCTTGGGCAGTTGCTTTGTATGCTGGACTTTGGGCGTATGAAGGCTGGGATAACGTATGTTCTGTCTTTCAAACCCCCCTTTCTGTTTTCCTTACTAAGTGCCTCTTTTATAAAGACGAACTATGTGGCTGGCGAATTCAAGAGGCCAAGCCGAGATCTCCCTCGGGTTATCCACACGGCTATGCCTATAGTGATAGCTTGCTATTTGCTCACCAATGTCTCTTACTTCTTTGTTCTACCTTATTCGACTATTGAATCAAGTAACACCGTGGCTGTTCAGTTTGGTGGCAAGGTATTTGGTCCAGTTGGGGCATTATTACTTGCATTGGTGGTCTCTGCAAGCTGTTTGGGGGCCCTCAACGCGACAATATTCACCAGCGGCAGATTGGTTTACGCTGCTGGCAAAGAGGGATACCTGCCCCTTATGTTTGGCAACCTCGGATTCCGTAACTCTGCAGATAGAACGAGCGGTGGTCGGTTACGGCGTCGATCCTGGCTTCTCAGGTCCCTTACTCGCGTATTCGGTGATAACTCCCAGATTGGATACACGCCCATCAATGCGATTATACTCAATAGCGCTCTCACGGTTATTTACATTATAGTCGGTGAGTTTGGAACATTGATTACATTCTACGGAGTGGCAGGGTATGTCTTCTACTTTCTCACGGTGCTCGGCTTGATCGTGCTGCGGATTCGAGAACCGCATCTGGAACGGTTGTACAAGACGTGGATTACGACACCCATTATCTTCTGCTGCGTCAGTCTTTTCCTGCTCAGCCGTGCAGTTATCGCAGAGCCCCTTCAGTCTTTGATCGTCGCGGGCTTTATCGTCGTCGGGATCCCCGTTTATTTCTGGCGCATATACCAGCGGGATGGCAAAATCAAGGTCTCCGGGTGGAGATTCTGGAAATCGGCCTGATAGACTGCATCACGATATGTAATTATATTTCCTTGAAGGGGCTGTCCTTTTTTTTTCGGGTTTCTGACGGCGCATGTTAAATGATACCAATGCATATAGCCGGTCTGCGTCAGCCGGCAGGGGGTCGGACTTCGCATGTTGGCATTATTGGCGTGGGATTGTTTGTCGCAGACGATAGAAGGAATATGGCCATGGTCAATTCATCTAATTTTTAATTCCATTTTTGGCCCAAAAACCACTTTGCCTAGAGTTTGGAGTTTGATCTTGCAAATTCACTGTAATCGTGGCCCAACGGATGTCACAACGCTACGCTGCATGCTTTGGGGCGCTCTCCCGAAACATGTCTGCAGCGCTACAGATGCATGAAAGCTGTGCTATATTCATTTGGAATGGAGAGCGCATATGACTTACATATGTGAGCTGGCTGAGGTCCACTTCAGACCAGCAATTGGTCCTGCGGTGCGTGTCTATGCATTTTCCAGTCTATATTCCCCGGTCTCATCGCGACGCATACATGTAACTTTTGCACAGACCTCTCTTTCCGGGATGCAGTGTCACTCAGATCTCCGCAGGAACTTTGGATACTCGCCGGATGTTGAAGTCATAATAATCAATAGCTCCCCCGGCGCCACTCGTAAGACCGTTGTGCCCTTCTAACCTCCGCAACACCCCCCGTCTCCCCATCTCACTATTCCCCTCTCTCTCATCTTGCCAGCTTCTCTCTCTCTTCTTTCATTACTCTGCACGTATTCTCCTCAAGCACAGAACAGCATCGGTTAAAAGACCGTGTCTCGTGGTTCTGCCGGGATATTTTACCGAAAATTTCAGAATCCGGGGAAATCCAGTACCGGTAAGAAATACGTTAATATTAATTAAGCTTACCATTTTGCTGATGTTCGAAGTTTCTTCTTTTTCATCCTTGCCATTTCCTCCACTCTCTAGTGACATTATTTTTATTGCGATATACGTACACATAGTCTCTCCATACAGTCATGTCCGATCAGCTTTCTTACCGGCCCCCTCCGCGGCGAGTCTTCGACCTGACACCTGCACCCAGCGAGTCCTCCGAATCGGTGCTGCCTGCGGAATCAGCCAACTCCGAGCTTGGCCCACCATCGAGTAGCGTGAGTCGTACAGGTTCAATTATGAATCTGACCTCTCCTACACTAGTTGGTATTTATTCACCGACTGCGTTTGAGACACCACGGGAGGAATACAACAGCCCCTGGGGTACAGAGGTGGAGGTAGTCCCCAAAACCGAAAGTGCGGAGCCACCAGAGGATTCTGAATCGGATCGGTTCGCGCTTGAAAGGGCCCGACTGAGCCATGGGTTATTTCGAGGGGTCATTCTTCCCCGAATGCTGAGGGGTGCGCTTCTATTCGCCTTTGGTATCGTCTACGGGGTTATTACTGTACACTTGCATGAGAACCATTGGATTATGCCCGTGAGGCTGGGAAACATTGACCGCTCTTCGTGGAGATATCTGGGGTCCTGGGGACTTGCTGGGATTTCTCTGGGAAATCTACTCCCCTGGCTGGACCTTCTCTGGGGAAATACCATCTTGAAGGATGCCAAAAAGTCCAAAAAGTCGAGCGGGAGTCGCGCCAATCAAGAGCAGGTCCTCTTGTGGGATGTAGCTGTTCGCAGTGTTGGAGCCTTTGTCGGTATTGCCTTCGCTATGGTGAGTTTCTTTTACGTCTTTTTTCAATCGATTGAAATCTTGAGACTGACGAGTTTTTGTCCCTTCTAGCGGAGGCTTCCCTGGCAATCTACTACCCAAGCGTCGGTAACTCTCTCTCTTGTGAACCCTGTGTTATGGTATCTCATCGACCGCACAAAAACCGGATTTTGTCTCTCAACAGTTGTCGGGCTGGTCGGAATGAGTGTCATTTCGGCTCTAGAACCGGAGGTTGTGGCTCTCCCTGCTGAGACCAGTACGACAATTACCTTTCAGAACAGTACAGGTGCATACGCGCTGGTGAACAGCCTAACGCGAGAAGGGATCGCCGTTCGGATCTGGGTTGCCAGCGTTCTATTCTGCGCGTGCGTCTGCTTTGGGAACATTGGGCGGCAGCTGGCCCTGGGGGGGGCGCCCAGGGAAACTTCCAAGGCACGGAGCGTGTTATGAAGAGTAGGAGATAGGGTCTCTTTTGTTGGGATATCTTCGTCTCTTCATTTAAGTGGACTGTATTATTATAACGACTGCTCCCTTCTTTATTTGCTTTATGTTGCTGGTATCAGGAAAATATATAGATTCTACAGCCATATGGCCCTTCCCTGCAGATGACAACGCAGAATCCAATCCAAGTCTAAAAAATTGACTACAATTCAGAACCAGTGTAGAATCAATCATTGCAATCCCTTCCACAGAAGGAGAAAGGCACTGCACCCAAGACCGACCCTATGCATTGCAATCCATCTCCATTCTCTATGACGATTTCCGTACTTCATAGGAAAATAGAATCCTCGTAGGAACGCTTTTTGAGAAGAATGTTGAATTAAGCGTTGTTCATGAGGGAAAAAAGAAAAGGAGAAAAGGAGAGAAAGCTGAAGCGCAAGAGATTTTGTGTGTTGGGGAGGTGATCCGTGCGTTAATTATGTGATTATAACACGTGACGTATTAGGTAATAGAGAGTTCTCCGCGGGAAACAGGTATACGCTAGGCCGGAAGAGGAATGGCATGAGACTCCGAGGTCGGTCTGCATCAGGAAAAAAGAGAAAAAAGAGACCCCGCGGAGAGACGATCGGAGACCACTTTTGTCTGCTTTCTTGATCAATTCTCAGAGCTGGTTTTAGGATTGAAAAGCTGTGGTCAGTTCAAGATGTCTCAGCAGAAATCAGGTAGGGTATCTTCCATGTTCATTCCTATTCTCTCTTCGTTTGGTTTCTCCATATTTTACCCCGCTAACCCGTTTATGCTCCTACAGCTATCCTCTCCGTCTATGACAAGACCGGTCTGCTTGACCTGGCCAAGGGTCTTGTTAAACATAATGTCCGTCTGCTTGCGTCTGGCGGTACTTCTAAATTGATCCGGGAGGCTGGATTCCCCGTTGAGTGAGTTTTCTCCGTGGCCATCCCACCCCGGCAAGAAACCGGGGTGATGAAATAGAATAAATGTAACTGGAAGACGATGGTGCTATCTTGGAGATGTTAGCCTTCGTGGTCAGACTCAGTACTGATCGCTAATGAACAATGAAGGGATGTCTCGGCCATCACACACGCTCCCGAGATGCTTGGTGGTCGTGTCAAGACCCTGCACCCTGCTGTTCATGGTGGTATTCTCGCTCGAAACATCGAATCCGACGAGAAGGACCTAGCGGACCAGAAAATCAGCAAGGTCGATTACGTTGTCTGCAACCTTTATCCCTTCAAGCAGACTGTTTCCCAAGTCAACGTGAGCATTCCAGAGGCCGTTGAACAAATCGACATTGGCGGTGTCACCCTCCTTCGTGCTGCGGCGAAGAATCACGCCCGCGTGACTATCCTGTCCGACCCCAATGACTACCCCGAGTTTCTCAAGGAGCTGGATGCCGGAGAGATCAGTGACGCGAGCCGGAAACTTTACGCCTTGAAGGCCTTTGAGCACACGGCAGACTACGACAATGCCATCTCGGGATTCTTCCGCAAGGAATACGCCGGCAATGGTATCCAGCACTTGGCTCTGCGTTATGGTGCGAACCCACACCAGAAGCCTGCATCCGCGTACGTGCTTGAAGGAAAGCTTCCCTTCAATGCGCTGAATGGGTCTCCTGGGTACATTAACTTGCTCGACGCCCTTAACGCATGGGCGTTAGTCAAGGAGCTTAAGCAGGCTCTTGGTCTCCCTGCTGCTGCCAGCTTTAAGCATGTTTCACCGGCTGGCGCTGCCGTTGGCGTACCCCTGAATGAAAAAGAGCGCAAGGTCTACATGGTTGATGACATTGCCGGGATCGAATCTTCGGGTTTGGCTCAGGCGTATGCCCGTGCTCGTGGCGCCGATCGTATGTCCAGCTTCGGAGATGTAATCGCCCTTAGCGACGTTGTCGACTTCCCCACTGCCAAGATCATTTCCCGCGAGGTTTCCGATGGTGTCATTGCCGCGGGCTATGAACCTGAGGCTCTGGAGCTGCTCTCCAAGAAAAAGGGCGGCAAGTACCTTGTCCTTCAGATGGACACCTCCTACGTCCCCGGCCCTGAGGAAACCCGCACTGTTTACGGTGTTCAGCTCTCTCAGCACCGCAACGATTTCCTCATCTCTCCTGAGAAAACCTTTAGCAATATCATTACTCCCAAGGATCTGAATGCTCTTCCTGAGAATGCTCTCCGGGACCTGACTGTGGCTACTATCGCCCTGAAGTACACTCAGTCCAACTCTGTCTGCTATGCGCTCAATGGCCAAGTCATTGGACTGGGTGCCGGTCAGCAGAGTCGTATCCACTGCACTCGTCTTGCTGGAGACAAGGCAGACAACTGGTGGATGCGTTTCCACGAGCGCGTGCTCCGCATTAAGTGGAAGCAGGGAACCAAGCGCGCGGACAAAAGTAATGCTATTGACCTGCTCTGCTCTGGTCAGACTCCCCGCAACGAAGCCGAGAAGGCCGAGTACGAGCGTGTATTTGAAGAGGTCCCGAAGCCCTTTACTGAAGAGGAACGAAGCTCTTGGCTTCAACAGTTGACAGGTGTATCCGTCTCATCCGATGCCTTTGTACGTCCACACAAGATTAGATTTGTTTTCTTTATTCCCTCCTTTATGAATAATTACTAACTATTTTTCTTACAACAGTTCCCCTTTATCGACAACGTATTCCGTGCTGCCCGCTCTGGTGCCAAATACATTGCCGCTCCAAGCGGTAGCCAGAACGACAAGCCCGTCTTTGAAACTGCAGAGAAGCTCGGCATCGTTTTCGTCGAACAGGGTACTCGCCTCTTCCACCACTGAGCAGGTCTTTCCGGTCTGATGAGTCGGGCTCTGTTTTTGTCTTTTATTTGGCAAGCATCCATACTATTTTCTATAAAAAAGAAGAAGAAAAAAAGGAGATCGTTCACCTACACACTAAAAAGATATTTGAGAATCATTATTCTTCCTTTCTTTTCCGTCAAATGCAATTGTCTAACGTCTGATGTTATATTACGGCTTGTGCTAATATGTATTGACCTGTTTATAAGCCATTGAGTAAAAGTGGATATTACCGTCAAAGGGCTATTCCAAAACCTAGGTGATACTCAGTAAAGTACTATCCAGTGTCCACTGTTTCGAAGGTCTTGGCTCTGGTCCCCACTATTATTGGAAGCAACGCTGCATTTATTAGTTACTATTCCGCGCTGTAATTCCAAAGCAGAAACTCTACTGACTGGAATCGTCGTGATATCTATATGCTTGGGCTCCTTGCAGTCTCGGTTTATGAAGTACCTGCACCCAGTAAAGACTGACCGGGGCGATGCTTTTGCAATGACCAGAATCGGCAGCATACTATTGTCCCAATTCCATTCACATCCAGACAGGCAAGGAGCAGGATAGAATTTCTGGGACTATTGTTAATTCACTTTATAGGAAGCTGGTGGAAAAGCACTTTGTGTAATATTGTATGGCGAGATACCGTTTCATGGTAGGTAGGACTTGTATGTATTATTCACATAGGAGGGTTCTCGGAATTATACCGTCCATGGCAGTCAAAAGTAAGAGAACATTGAATGTATCCAGTCTCCCCAGTGAATCCGATAAGGAATTCTTTGAACCTTAATTCATCTCAATCGAATTGAATGAACTGGACTCCATTCTCTGTACTCTGGAGTCTGGCCAGCGTACGCAATCAGCTGCCCCTTTCCACGTGACGCAGACTAACGACCACCTCAGCAACTGCCAGCCGCCGGTCTCCTGAGGATTCCTCCGCGTCCAAGCTGTCAATCCACACTGCATCCATCTCCTTTTCCTTCCTTCATCCTCATTTTTGTCCCTTTCGTCTCTACTTTCGCATTTCTAATTTATTTTCTTTTCGTCTGTATACTCCAGCCTGCTCCATTCATTTGCGGCGCGTTTACTCGGGTGGATGAGGTCGGATTGCGGCCTTTGCGGATATGGCTCCTCTTCCCATTAAGTTCACGGAGCTTGTCAATGTACCTTCCTTGCCCACATTGCTGTCTTCTCTTTTTTTTTAGATTCAAATGAAACTGACATCTTCTCCTGCAGTTGACTAGCGTGGATATTGCGGTACGCCCCATTGCCAATGCTTTGCGTTTGTTGCTTCGCTGCGACTGGTCTGTATACTGGACCATCAGGATAACTTGCTGACACTGCAGTTTTATAGCCTTCATCTATTGGATTCAATTCATGCGTAAGTGTGCTTTCAAGAATCATATAAGGGCAACCTCTGTCTAACGATAGTGTTGCTACATGATAGACTCTAGAGTCGGATAATTTCGTTTGCGTTCGACAAAAACTCAGCGAAAGTGACAAACCCCAGGTTATCATCGTCAACCTTAAGAACAATAATGAAATCATCAAGCGTCCCATCAATGCGGACAGTGCTATCATGCACTGGAACCGAACTATCATTGCTCTCAAAGCTCAGGGGCGGACAATTCAGATCTTCGACCTTTCGGCAAAACAGAAGCTCAAATCAGCAGTGATGAACGAAGATGTCGTCTACTGGAATTGGTTCAGCGAGAAAAGTCTGGGTCTGGTGACGGAATCTTCCGTATACCACTGGGATGTCTTCGATCCTACTCAGTCCCAACCGCTTAAGATATTCGATCGGCACCCTAGTCTAAATGTGTGTATTATTTTCTGAAGGTGCTTAACTATCATCTTAGACTGACATCATGTTTAATGCATTAGGGCTGCCAAATTATCAACTACCACGTCAACGAAGAAGAGAAGTGGATGGTTGTAGTCGGAATCAGCCAGCAACAGGGACGTGTTGTCGGGTCGATGCAACTCTTCTCTAGAGATCGCGGAATTTCGCAACCCATTGAAGGTCATGCCGCGGCGTTTGCGTCTATTCGAGTTGAGGGCTCTCCTTTGGAGCATAAGCTTTTCACCTTTGCCGTTCGGACTGCAACCGGTGCGAAGCTGCAGATCGCCGAAATAGACCACCAAGAGCCTAACCCACGGTTTCAGAAGAAAGCTGTCGAGGTCTACTTTCCCCAAGAGGCGGTCAACGATTTCCCGGTTGCAATGCAGGTTTCCAAGAAGTACGACATTGTATACCTCGTCACGAAGTATGGCTTTATACATCTATATGACCTTGAAACCGGTACTTGCATTTTCATGAATCGCATCTCCAGTGAGACTATCTTCACTACGGCTTCCGACTCCGAACACGCTGGCTTGATCGGCGTGAACCGCAAGGGTCAGGTCTTGGCCGTCAGTGTGGATGAGAATACTATCATCCCTTACCTCATGGAGAACCCTGCTATGTCAGGAATTGCAGTGAGGCTGGCGTCCAAGGCAGGACTTCCTGGAGCGGACCACCTTTACCAACAGCAGTTTGAGAATCTTCTTTTGCAAGGTAACTATGCCGAAGCTGCGAAAGTGGCTGCAAACTCCCCCCGTGGATTCCTCCGCACCCCAGACACAATAAACCGCCTTAAGAATGCCCCCCAGGTTCCCCAGCAGATGTCCGTTATTCTTCAGTACTTTGGAATGCTGCTGGACAAGGGCTCTCTCAACAAGTACGAAAGTATTGAGCTTGTAAGGCCGGTTTTGCAACAGAACAGGAAACATCTGCTAGAGAAGTGGCTGCGAGAGGACAAGCTGGAAGCCTCTGAAGAACTTGGCGACATTGTTCGGCCACACGACATGGTCCTTGCTCTGAGTATCTACCTGAAAGCCAATGTCCCTCACAAAGTGGTAGCTGGGTTTGCCGAGACTGGTCAATTCGATAAGATCCTTGCGTACTCTAAGCAAGTCGGATATCAGCCGGACTATACCCAGCTTCTACAGCATATTGTCCGCGTTAACCCTGACAAGGGTGCTGAATTTGCTTCTCAACTTGCTAACGAGGAGACTGGCGCCCTCATTGACTTGGACCGGGTTGTGGACGTCTTTCTGTCTCAAAACATGATCCAGCAGGCTACCTCCTTCCTGCTCGATGCGCTGAAGTCTAATAGCCCCGAACAGGGTCATTTGCAGACGAGACTGCTTGAGATGAACCTGGTCAATGCTCCACAGGTTGCTGATGCCATTCTTGGTAACGAGATCTTCACTCACTATGACCGCGCCAGGGTTTCTCAGCTATGCGAGAACGCTGGCCTCATCCAGCGTGCTCTTGAGAACACGGATGACCCGGCGGTGATCAAACGAAACATTGTCCGCACCGACAAGTTGAACCCAGACTGGCTGATAAATTATTTTGGCCGTCTCTCGGTTGAGCAGACTCTCGATTGCTTGGATACGATGCTGCACGCAAACATCCGGCAGACCCTACAAGCCGTCGTTCAGGTCGCCACGAAGTTCTCTGATCTCCTTGGTCCCAACCGTCTAATTGACCTCTTCGAGAAATACCGTACCGCAGAGGGTCTTTACTACTACCTTGGAAGTATTGTGAACTTAAGTGAGGACCCGGAGGTCCATTTCAAGTATATCGAGGCTGCGACAGCCATGGGACAAATCACAGAAGTTGAGCGGATTTGCCGTGAGAGCAACTACTACAACCCTGAGAAGGTGAAGAACTTCTTGAAGGAGGCCCGACTGACGGAACAACTCCCACTCATCATTGTGTGTGACCGCTTCAACTTCATCCATGACTTAGTTCTCTACCTCTACCACAACCAACAGTTTAAGTCCATTGAGGTTTATGTGCAGCGTGTCAACCCTTCTCGCGCCCCAGCAGTAGTCGGAGGTTTGTTGGATGTCGACTGCGATGAGAGTATCATCAAGAATCTTCTTTCCACTATTGACCCCGCCGTGATCCCAATCGACGAACTCGTTTCTGAAGTAGAATCTCGGAACAGGTTGAAGTTACTCTTGCCGTTCCTTGAAGCGACACTCGCTACTGGTAACCAGCAGCAGGCTGTCTATAACGCCCTTGCGAAGATCTACATCGACAGCAATAATGACCCTGAAAAGTTCCTGAAGGAGAACGATCTGTACGACACTCTCACCATCGGAAAGTACTGTGAGAAGCGTGACCCCAACTTGGCCTACATTGCATATCGCAAAGGTCAAAATGACCTGGAACTGATCAATATCACCAATGAAAACTCGATGTACCGGGCTCAGGCGCGGTATCTTGTTGAACGTGCCGATCCTGAGATCTGGTCTTTTGTTTTGAGCGAGAACAACATCCACCGACGGTCTGTCGTTGACCAGGTAATCGCGACCGCTGTTCCCGAGTCCACTGAACCCGACAAGGTGTCTGTTGCTGTCAAGGCTTTCCTCGACGCGGACCTTCCTGGAGAGCTTATCGAGCTCCTAGAGAAGATTATCCTTGAACCATCGCCGTTCAGCGACAACAGCAGCCTGCAGAACCTTTTGATGTTGACGGCTGCCAAGGCCGACAAGGGACGCCTCATGGGCTATATTCAACAACTCTCCGAGTTCAGCGCTGATGAGATTGCTGAAATGTGTATCTCTGTGGGGCTGTATGAGGAGGCGTTTGAAATTTATAAAAAGGTCAACAACCACCTTGCTGCCGTCAATGTCCTTGTTGAGAACATCGTCAGTATCGACCGAGCGCAGGAATATGCCGAGCGTGTCGAATTGCCAGAGGTATGGAGCAAGGTCGCTAAGGCACAGCTTGACGGTCTACGTGTCTCCGACTCAATTGAGTCGTACATCCGCGCTGGTGACCCTTCGAACTACAACGAAGTTATTGAGACGGCGACCCATGCTGGTAAGGATGAGGACTTAGTCAAGTTCCTCAGAATGGCTCGGAAAACATTGCGTGAGCCGGCAATCGACACTGCTCTTGCATTCTGCTACGCACGTTTAGACCAACTTGTAGAGCTTGAGGACTTCTTACATTCAACTAATGTTGCCGATATCGAGGCTTCTGGTGACAAGGCTTACGAGGAAGGCTACCACCAGGCTGCCAAAATCTTCTACAGTAGCATCTCAAACTGGGCCAAATTGGCAACAACGCTGGTGCACCTGGAGGACTACCAGGCAGCGGTGGAGTGTGCACGCAAAGCCAATAGCGTCAAGGTCTGGAAGCAGGTCAATGAGGCATGTGTTGACAAGAAGGAATTCCGTCTCGCACAGATCTGTGGTCTCAACCTCATCGTTCATGCTGAGGAGCTTCAGGATCTTGTACGCCAGTACGAGCGCAATGGCTACTTCGATGAGCTCATCGGGGTTCTGGAGGCAGGTCTCGGTCTTGAGCGTGCTCACATGGGGATGTTTACTGAACTGGGCATTGCCCTGTCTAAGTACCACCCGGATAGAGTCATGGAACATCTCAAGCTATTCTGGTCGCGTATCAACATTCCTAAGATGATTCGGGCATGCGAGGAGGCAAACCTCTGGCCGGGGCTTGTCTTCTTGTATTGTCACTACGATGAGTGGGACAATGCCGCGCTGGCAATGATGGAGCGTGCTGCGGATGCTTGGGAGCATCACTCGTTCAAGGATATTATTGTCAAGGTTGCAAACCTAGAGATTTATTACCGCTCTCTGAACTTCTATCTGCAGGAGCAGCCTCTCCTCCTTACGGATCTCCTGCAGGTCTTGACCCCAAGGATCGACGTCAACCGTGTCGTGCGGATCTTCCAGTCGTCGGACAACATCCCTTTGATCAAGCCGTTCCTGTTGAACGTGCAGGGGCAGAATAAGAGGGCAGTTAACGACGCGATCAATGACCTGCTCATTGAGGAGGAGGACTACAAAACTCTGCGCGATTCGGTAGAGAATTACGACAACTACGACGCCATTGAGCTGGCGCAGCGGCTCGAGAAGCATGAGCTTATCTTCTTCCGACAGGTCGCGGCGAACATCTATCGCAAGAACAAGCGATGGGAGAAGTCGATTTCGCTGTCAAAGCAGGACAAGCTCTACAAGGATGCTATCGAAACGGCGGCTATCTCTGCCAAGTCTGATGTGGTTGAGGACCTTCTCCGCTACGTATGTGTACCTCTTTCTTTTTTTTCTGTTGTACTTTTCTAACTATCACCCCAGTTCGTGGATATTGGCAGTCGGGAGTGCTATGTTGGCATGCTGTACGCATGCTACGACCTTATCCGACCGGACGTGATCCTGGAAATCTCGTGGCGACACGGGCTGCATGACTTCACGATGCCGTATATGATCAACATGCTGTGCGAGCAGACGCGAGCGATCGAGATGTTGAAGAAGGACAACGAGGAGCGCAAGGCGCGGGAAACGACCCAGAAGAAAGAGGAGGATAACACTCCTATCCTGGGCGGGTCACGCCTGATGCTGACTCAGGGACCGGCGACCTCGCCCAGTCCAGTGCCATTTGGACAGGCCAACGGGATCGCGCCGCAAGTGACGGGCTTCCGTGCGTTCTAAACGATAATGTCTTTTTTTTTAACATTTCCTTAAATGTGGATTGTCACTTGACTCTTGTGTGTAACAATAAAGGGATGGATGACTCATTTTATTTTATCTTTATTTCTTTTACCTTTTTCATTCTGTGGTTAGGCTCGGTGAGAAAAAAGAGGACGTCGGGGGGGGCCACACCGAGCTGAGTGTAATGTTTCCATGGCATTCGTAGCTAGGCATTTTGATAATACGGGTGAAATCATCTCTTAGCATTTGTTTCGCATCGTCTATTGGCCAATAGCTGGGTACCAACTTGGAAGCCAGAAAAACAATACCGGTAGATCGCAGCAAGAACAGGCTGGCGGTCGGCATTTGGCCAAACTGTGGACCTTGGCGGAGCATCGGGGACCATGAGACGTGTTTTGTGGCGAGCGTTTGCCCCTTACAGAGTCGGCATTTCCCTGTGGCCTGGGGGAGCTGTGCGCGGAGGTATCAATGCTGTATGCACGTCGGATTCCAGGACCAGAGCGTCCGCAGGCAGTCCGTTGATACTCCGCAGTATCCGCAGTCCGCACAATAGAGATGCAGCGGTGGACAGCCAATGCGAGGACATGCAGATCCATTGCTCGGCGGCGGATAGACGCGCAACCGGCATCTCAGAGCAAGCAAGCTGGAGTTTGCTCCGTATTCCGGCGGTGGGACAAGGGTCAAGATAGACTTCCATGATGTTATTAACTATTATTTCCATCGTGGATCGCGGACTGGAGATAGAGGATGATTACGAGCCAGTCTGTGCGAGACAGAGCGGCGGCATTGGCGATTGGGCCAAAGCCCCGGCGGGAGCGACGAGCAAATGACGACGGCGAGCATCTGCAGGAAGATAATAATTAGAATTGATTATGCATGGAAATTGACAAGGGAAGAGCAGGAGCTGTTAAGAGACTCAACCGAGGGCCCGAGGTCGAGAGGACGGGTGTGTATGGGAGTGTTCTCTGGGTTGTGTCTCCTGTTGTCTCTGTTCTCTCGATTTTTTTATTTTTATTTTTATTTTTTTTCTCATCTCATGATGAATGAGTCAAGAGTCAGGATATCGATCAGGTAGTTTAGTTAGTCAAGAAAGTCAGAAAGGCAGCAGAGTTGCCGAGTTGGGCCAAGGTGAAGCTCAGCTCTTTTTCCGTTCCGTCGCGTCTTCTGCAAGAGAGACGAGACTCTTCCACGGTCCGTTGTTCTTCACGCCGAAGCTTTTCCTGGCATTTAAAGCCTGGTAGGGCCCCTCTTTCCCTTCTCTCCGCTGCTCCAGTTCTCTTCTTCTCGTCTCGTCTTCTTTTCCTTATCCTTCTTCGTCCTTTGCTCTCTCCCTCCAACCCCACCACGTCTGCCCCGCCTCTTCGCAAGAGCGGAGCTCCGCTGTCGAGGAATCCCCATCCTCTTGCTTGTGAGTCTTCTCTCGTTTTATCCTCTATTCTCTTCTCTTCATCTACTCACAGTACCAGACCTCTTCCCCTTCTCCTCTCCCTTCCCTTCATCCGTGCTCCTGCATTCCTTCCCCTCCCGGCCCTCCTTCTCGTCCGCCATGGCTGCCGTCGCCAATGGCTCCGCCGCCAACGGCGCCCTTCACCACGACGAGCACGATGACCACCATGCACACCACCGCGACTCGGTCCACCGCCGTTTGCGAGCCAATTCCACCATCATGCACTTTCAGAAGATCCTGGTCGCCAACCGTGGTGAAATCCCCATCCGTATCTTCCGTACCGCCCACGAGCTGTCTCTGCAGACCGTGGCCATCTTCTCCTACGAGGACCGTCTGTCCATGCACCGTCAGAAGGCCGACGAGGCCTACCAGATTGGCCACCGGGGCCAATACACCCCGGTCGGTGCCTATCTCGCCATTGACGAGATCATCAAGATTGCCCTGGAACACGACGTTCACCTGATCCACCCTGGCTATGGCTTTCTGTCCGAGAATGCCGAATTCGCCCGCAAGGTCGAGGAGGCCGGCATGATCTTCATTGGTCCGACCCCGGAGACTATCGAGAGCCTTGGCGACAAGGTTTCGGCTCGAGAACTAGCCCTTCGTGCTGACGTGCCCGTCGTTCCTGGCACTGACGGTCCCGTGGAACGCTACGAGGAGGTCAAGGCCTTCACCGACAAGTATGGCTTCCCCGTCATTATCAAGGCCGCCTTCGGTGGTGGCGGTCGTGGTATGCGTGTTGTGCGCAGTGAAGCCGAGCTGCGTGACTCACTTGAGCGTGCCACTTCCGAGGCCAAGTCGGCCTTCGGCAACGGCACCGTCTTTGTCGAGCGCTTCCTCGACAAGCCCAAGCACATCGAGGTTCAGCTCCTGGGTGACAACCACGGCAACATCATCCACCTGTTCGAGCGTGACTGCTCCGTCCAGCGTCGTCACCAGAAGGTCGTCGAGATTGCCCCTGCCAAGGAGCTGCCCTCTGACGTCCGCGACCGCATCTTGGCCGATGCCGTGAAGCTGGCCAAGACCGCCCGTTACCGCAACGCCGGTACCGCGGAGTTCCTGGTTGACCAGCAGAACCGCCACTACTTCATTGAGATCAACCCCCGTATCCAGGTCGAGCATACCATCACCGAGGAGATCACCGGCATCGATATCGTTGCCGCGCAGATTCAAATCGCCGCTGGTGCCACGCTCGAGCAGCTGGGCCTGACTCAGGAGCGCATCTCCGCCCGTGGCTTCGCCATCCAGTGCCGTATCACCACAGAAGACCCCGCCAAGGGCTTCTCCCCAGACACCGGCCGCATTGAGGTCTACCGTTCCTCTGGTGGCAATGGCGTGCGTCTGGACGGTGGTAATGGCTTCGCGGGTGCTACCATCACCCCTCACTATGACTCCATGTTGGTCAAGTGTACTTGCCGTGGTTCCACATATGAGATCGCGCGCCGCAAGATGCTGCGTGCCCTGGTCGAATTCCGCATCCGCGGTGTCAAGACAAACATCCCTTTCCTGGCCTCGCTGCTGAGTCACCCGACTTTCATCGACGGCAACTGCTGGACCACCTTCATCGACGACACCCCCGAACTGTTCGCTCTCGTGGGCAGCCAGAATCGTGCCCAGAAACTGCTGGCCTACCTTGGTGATGTCGCTGTCAACGGAAGCAGCATCAAGGGCCAAGTTGGCGAGCCCAAGTTCAAGGGCGAGATCATCCGTCCTACCTTGCTGGATGACGCTGGCAAGCCCCTTGATGTCTCCGAACCCTGCACCAAGGGCTGGAAGGAGATCATCGATAAAGAAGGCCCCGATGCCTTTGCAAAGGCCGTCCGTGCCTACAAGGGTTGCCTTATCATGGATACCACCTGGCGTGATGCCCACCAGTCCCTGCTGGCGACCCGTGTCCGTACGATCGACATGCTGAACATCGCTCACGAGACCAGCCACGCCCTCTCCAACGCCTACAGTCTGGAATGCTGGGGAGGTGCCACCTTCGATGTGGCCATGCGCTTCCTTTACGAGGACCCATGGGACCGTCTGCGCAAGTTCCGCAAGGCTGTTCCCAACATCCCCTTCCAGATGCTGCTCCGTGGCGCCAACGGTGTCGCATACTCTTCCCTCCCGGACAATGCTATCTACCACTTCTGCAAGCAGGCTAAGAAGTACGGAGTCGACATCTTCCGTGTCTTCGACGCTCTAAACGATATCAATCAGCTCGAGGTTGGAATCAAGGCCGTCAAGGCTGCGGGCGGTGTTGTCGAGGCCACCGTCTGCTACAGCGGTGACATGTTGAATCCCAAGAAGAAGTACAACCTGCAGTACTACCTTGACCTGGTTGACAAGATTGTCAAGCTCGGCACCCATGTTCTGGGTATCAAGGATATGGCCGGTGTTCTCAAGCCCCAGGCAGCCCGCATTCTCATCGGCTCCATCCGCTCTCGGTACCCCGACCTGCCCATCCACGTCCACACCCACGATTCCGCGGGTACTGGGGTCGCGTCCATGGTCGCTTGCGCTCAGGCTGGTGCCGACGCCGTTGATGCGGCCACCGACAGCTTATCCGGCATGACTTCGCAGCCCAGCATCGGCGCCATCCTGGCCTCGCTGGAGGGCACCGAGCATGATCCTAAACTCAACCTCTCCCACGTGAGAGCCCTCGACAGCTACTGGGCCCAGTTGCGGTTGTTGTACTCGCCTTTCGAGGCCGGACTGACCGGCCCCGATCCCGAGGTCTACGAGCATGAGATCCCCGGCGGTCAATTGACCAACCTGATCTTCCAGGCCAGCCAACTCGGTTTGGGTCAGCAGTGGGCTGAGACCAAGAAGGCGTACGAACTGGCCAACGATCTGTTGGGTGACATCGTCAAGGTCACCCCGACTTCCAAGGTCGTGGGTGACTTGGCTCAGTTCATGGTCTCCAACAAACTCTCGCCTCAGGATGTCATTGACCGTGCGGGTGAACTCGATTTCCCCGGCTCCGTTCTGGAGTTCCTTGAGGGTCTTATGGGTCAGCCGTACGGTGGATTCCCAGAGCCACTGCGCTCCAGGGCCCTGCGGAACCGCCGCAAGCTTGATAAGCGTCCTGGTCTCTTCCTAGAGCCGCTCGACCTGGCCAAGATCAAGAACGATATCCGCGAGAAGTGGGGTTCCGCCACCGAGTGCGATGTTGCTAGCTACGCCATGTACCCCAAGGTCTTTGAGGACTACAAGAAATTCGTACAGAAATACGGTGATCTTTCCGTGTTGCCCACCCAGTACTTCCTCTCCAGGCCGGAGATCGGCGAGGAATTCCACGTGGAACTCGAGAAGGGTAAGGTACTGATCCTGAAGTTACTGGCGATCGGACCCCTCTCGGAACAGAAGGGCCAGCGTGAGGTGTTCTACGAGGTCAACGGTGAAGTGCGTCAGGTCACCATTGACGACAAGAACGCTTCCGTTGAGAACACTACTCGCGCCAAGGCCGACCCGCAGGACAGCAGCCAAGTCGGAGCACCCATGAGCGGTGTTGTGATTGAGATTCGCGTCCATGATGGACATGATGTCAAGAAGGGTGACCCAATTGCTGTACTCAGCGCCATGAAGATGGTAAGTATCTTGCACTTTCAATCTCCTTTTCTCTCCTCATTTGAGAACAAGTGCTAACAACTCTCATAGGAAATGGTTATCTCTGCTCCTCACAGTGGAAAGGTATCCGGCATGCTCGTCCGGGAAGGAGACTCGGTCGACGGCCAGGATCTTATCTGCAAGATATCCAAGGCTTAGGAAAAAATGGAAAGGGAAATGGGGTTATAGAAGAAGAAAGGTAAATGAGGTACCTACGGCTTTCTTTTGTATGGTTGTATAAGGATAGGATACGCAACGCGAAAAAAATGTCTGTGACATTTTGATGTTAGAGCAATTTTGTTTTCTTCCGTTTTATTTATTGCTTTGGTGCACTGTATTCGTTGTTTTCTCCCGCGTTCTTGTATGGATATAAATATGAACACAGCATGTTTCGTTCTGTAGTCTATATATTTATCTGTTTAGTGTTCGTATAAGATTGAGTGGAAGTTGTACAAGTCAGTGCTGTGCAGTAGTGCCCATGCCCTAATACACTCAGGCCAATGCATATGATCAATACTCCTGAAAGTTAAAACGTTTTAAACATTTATTAGACTATCAATGCAACTCAAAAAAAAAAAAAAGTTTAATAATAAAATCAATAATCCATTGAACTCTAAACAAGCTAAATAGCACCTTAGACTAAGACTTAGCCCTTTCAGCAAGTAAGCCTTGGCTGCACAGAGGCAGGGGCTTTTATGGATGTATCCCAATCATAGCTTGCTGGAAACGAAGTAGGGGATGTTCTTGGCTTCGTAGAGGTGCTTGTATTGCGATTTGATGATGTCGGCAGCCTGGATATTGTTAGTTATATTTTTGCTTTCTCTTTGGGAAGAGGTGTGTCTTGTCTCACCTTCTCGCCAATCATGTATACCGAGTTCTGGATTCGGCAGTCTGGGATGACCGGGATGATAGAGGCATCGGCGACACGGAGATTCTTGATACCGTGGACGCACAGGTTGGAGTCTACGACACCCTGGTTGATGTCCTTGGATAGACGGGCGGTACCGCAGGGGTCTGGTGATATCAGTTAGTTTATTAAGGAAAGCGAGAAAGAGGGAAAAGGTAAAGAACTTACGGAATCCAGTCTGGCTCCTTTCCAACACAGCCTTGTTCATGGCCTCATCGGAGTTCAATGGCATTTCCCATGGGTATTCGCCAACGACAAGATCCTTGAAGTCCTGGCCATTCATGAGGATGTCATAGGTCCACCTCACACCCTCACGCATAGCGAGAACGTCCAGATCACTGGCGAAGAAGTTCAAGTTGATGTACGGCTGCACGAGGGGGTTCGTGCTGTTCAAAACGACCTCTCCGCCCTCAGAGACGGGGCGGAGCAGATCCACAATGACAGTCATGTAGCTACCCTGTTTAGGGACGGGGTAGTGCCACTGGAATGCGGTGCTGAAGATGCCGACAAAATCGAGTTCGAAATGAGGCTGGCCTGCAGGACCGAAGGGGTCCAGACCGCCGTTTGCTGCCTTGGCCTGGCGGTAGCTTTCATATCTATTCAGGCGTTCGTCAATTCGTGGGAATCCAACCAGTTCCAAGAGACCTGAGCCAACGGGACCCGTCTTGTCCCGGCGGTAGGCAGCCACGGCAGCTTCGTTGGCCGGGCCTGCGCGGAGGAGGTGGTCATCCAGGGTGTAGCCGTCCTTGAGTTTTAGGACGAATGGAACGATGGGGTGGTCGATCAGGTTCTTGCCGACATGGGGGGAGTTGACGATTGTATCAATACCGTGCTTGGATAGCTCCTCTGCGGGGCCAATGCCGCTGAGCAGGAGCAGCTTGGGCGTCTCGAAGACACCCTGGGAGACAATGACCTCGTAGTTGGCGTAGACATTGAACTCGGCACCAGTAGTTGCGTTGATCACAGTCACACCAGTGCAGGTGCGAGTAGCAGGATCGATGATCAGGCTCTTGGAGATGAAGGGAGAGAGAATGGTGACATTGGGCTTGTCCTTGACGAAAAGGTAGCTGGCCTGGCGTTCACCCCTGTAGATAGTGTCTACACAGTGAGTGAGGCCGTGCATCTCGCCGGAGTAGATATCCTCGCTGAGAGGCTCGCCCTTGGAAACCCAGGCCGACGTAAGAGCGTCCCGAAACGGCTGTAGCTCAGGAACAAGCTCGGCATGAGAGATCTGGAGAGGACCACCAGTTCCGATCTTGCTGAGCTCAGCAGGGTAGAGTTTCTCATCGTCATGGTATGTGGCGCATTTGCGGAGATACTGGACACAGTTATCCCAGGTCCACTGGTGGCCGCCAAACTCCGCCCAATCGTCAAACGTGGCCTTGGAACCAGGGATCCAGGTGAAGTAGTTGGCGCATGAGCTACCACCGAGAGCTTTGCCACGAGTGTTTGGCTTTTCAACACGCTCGTAGTCGTCACGTTTGATCATAGTCGTCACGTTTGATCATAGTCGTCTTGTATGCCCAGTCATACTGACTTCCACGGAGACCAAAGGCTTTGGACGGAGTGGTAATATCCTCAGCCTGATCAGGATGAGCTACACCAGCCTCAACGACCAAGATGTGGACATTGGGATTCTCAGCGAGACGTCCGGCGACTGTGTTGCCGGCAGTCCCGCCTCCAACGACGATGAAGTCAAATTGGGCGTTTGCGACTGCAGACATAACCGTTAGTTTGTCAGATATCAAAAATACAAGAGAAGTCAAAGTAGATAACAAACAATGAGATGATCTTGATGATGACGATGGGAAGGAGGTCCTTTGGTATGGACTCCAGTGCGTATATATATACTTACTGTTTCAATGCTTTTGGAGGCGATCGCCGTGCCACGATGAGGGCATTGAGCAGCGGATAATCTGGATTGATCTGGATCGATTCCATGTTTTCCCGGATGAATTGGAGAAGAGGAGGATCCAAGTACGTCAACGACTCCATCTATCTCCAAGAACCGCAATTGAGACGGCCGAATTAGGAAAATGTTGGCTATACCGTAGATGGATAATGTAGGGCTACGCTAGGGTTTCGGCAATTCTGCGGGATCTGCTCGGAGTTTTTGCACGGAATAGCTGCTTCCCCTCATGAGGGGAATTCCAGATCCTGTGATTGCCATGAGGGGAAACCTCCAGTCTTTCTACGCCGTGTTGAATCCACCAGCGTCAACGACGATGGCGACAATGTCTGCAATGAGGAGGCCAAATAGGGGAAATTATGGCAGACGTCACTGGCCCTTGTTCGAGACTCGATCATTATAAAATAAATGGCTTTATATAGCAGGTTGTTGCCTCGCTGGCATTGTGAGTGCTAGCCAGATATTTGCTGTACATCACCTACATCGCCAAACATCATGAAGATACCTGAGTTTACCTTGGCTGAGGGTAATCATCCTTCATTACATTTGCTCTGTCTGCTATTCAGATGCTGATACACCTTCTTGTTCCAGGACAGCCAATTCCCGATCCTAGTGTCAGCACTACTCTGCCAACGTTTGGTGGTGGAGCCCTGACAACTCTCGGAGACACCCTTCTTCTCGAGACCTTGGCCCATTTCAATCGCGAACGAATTCCGGAGAGGTACGCATATTTTCGTATTCCATGAATTAACTTTATTCTCTTTGTTTGGTATGGGTATGGGTTCTTACTAGCGGTCTCGCTATAACAGAGTCGTGCATGCTAAAGCCGCCGGCGCCTGGGGTCAATTCGAAGTTACCAACGACATTTCCCACCTTACCACTGCTAAATTCCTCAATGGAATAGGCAAGAAAACTCCAGTGCTTTTCCGCGGCAGTACCACTAGTGGCGAGAAAGGCAGCGCCGATACCGTGAGAGATGTCCGTGGCTTTTCTGTGAAGTTCTTTACCGAAGAGGGCAATCATGACATTGTTGGGAATCATGTTGTACGTCCTCCACTTGCGCTCTTCAGACATAATGTCTTGCAATTTAGCATCCAAAGAGCCCATCACTAACAGTACCTAATTAACAATAGCCGGTCTTCTTCGTCCGTGATCCAATCAAGTTTCCGTCATTGAATCGCAGTCACAAGAGGCACCCAACAACCAACAGGGTCGATCCTACCATGGTCAGTCTTTACTACCATCATAAATTCTTTGTCTTCATTGCTGAACACATTTCAGTTTTGGGATTTCCATGTCAATCATCCTGAGAGCTTCCACACTCTTCTTCATCTTTTTGGATCTCGCGGCATCCCTGCATCTGTCTGCCGTATGACCGGCTTCGGTGTACATACCTATAAGTTGATTGCTCCAGACGGTTCCTTCAGATACTGCAAGTTCCACTTCCGTCCCACACCGGGCTCTGCCAATATCTCGGCTGAAGTGGCCGAACGTCTTGCCGGTGCAAATCCAGACTACCATACCCAAGAACTGTTTGCTGCAATTGCGTGCGGAGACTACCCAGTATGGAACTTCTTCATCCAGGTCATGGAGCCGGAACAAGCCGAGAAGTATGGCCTAGCCTTGTTTGATATTACAAAGGTCTGGCCACACAAGGATTTCCCATTGATCCCTGTCGGCAAGATGACATTGAACAAGAATGTAAAGTATCCCCCCATGTTTCCCAGTCAGCCCGTATCGATGACATCTAACCCGCCTTATTTCACAGCCTGAGAATTATTTCGCCGAAATTGAACAGGCCGCTTTCTCTCCTTCTAACATGGTGCCTGGTATCGCGGTCTCACCCGATCCTAGTCTGTCTTGCTCATCCCCTTAATTACTCCTGGACTTCATAGTAACGTTCGTCGCAGTGCTCCAAGCCCGTATGTTTGCTTATCCCGATGCCCAGCGCTACCGTCTCGGTGCAAACTACACGCAATTGCCACCCAACCGACCAGTAGTGCCCGTTTACGCACCCTACGAGCGTGACGGTGCAGGCACAATGACTCGTAACTACGGCGGAGATCCGAACTATGTGCGCAGCCGGTATACTTCTGCATCGAGAAGCAAGTCCGCGCAAGAGGTGCGGCATGACGAGTGGTTGCTCAGGAGTGGCGCCGTGCTGGGGTTGAACGAAATCCCCGTAGACGAAGAGGATTACACGCAGCCAAGAGACCTGTGGAGAAGAGTGTTTGATGACGAAGAACGGAGGAAGTGGGTAGCAACCGTCTCCAGGAATTTGGCAGAGGTACCCCCAGAATTGCAGAAGGCTGCCATCGAAATGTTCGGCAAGGTAGACCCGCAGATTGCGGAGATGCTCGTGGCACAGTTAAAGGAAACACCTAGACTATAAGAGGGTCAAGAAGACAGCTTGTTATCGTTTCCAAATTCTACATATGTTTGTTGCAGGAGTTCAGGGCAGGCAGCGAAATGAGAAAAGCTCAGGCACACCGACACCGTTCAATTGTAGCCAGATGAACAGAAGTAAGCATAGTATTGCCCTGATTTTTAACAAGTGATGGAAGCATCCTGAACGCAGGCAGCTAACGGGCCTCCCCACACCCTGCCGAGTAATAATTTCGAATTCGGGCGTGTAGTTATCTATGCCGTTACAAGAGTCTCAGTATTGCTCCAGAACCAGTCAGCGGCTCAATGACATTTTTGAGAAGCCTTTCGAGAGGAATTGTGTCGGATCATGCATTCCTGACACCCCGCTTCCGCCCAACTGTGCCACCTCGCAGCTCTCCCTTGCGTCACCTCCATTCCTCCCTCACCCACAGCAGACGTTGCTGCTCGACCTCCACGGCCTCTATTCCTCAGTCCCAGTCACGTAACAGCTTTACCACTTCTCATCCAGCCAGACTTGCAATGGATGTGCAAACAAAGCAACATTATCTAGCTGATTCGCCCCCCACAGTGGTCAGGCTGGAAATCAAGCCGCACTTTGATAACCTCAAAGATGAGAATTTGAGGAAATACGCGCATTATATGAGCAGGTAGGCTTCCATAAATCGGATTGACTCGTTATATTGGGTTGCTTGAGCACTCCTGGAGCTGTTTCCAGCTTCTCATTGTACCTAATGCCCGCAGCCGCAGACAAGACTTTAGGAAGCCAAACTAACGGTGTGCATGATCTATCTAGGGCTGCTTTCCAAGGTACTCGCATCACGTTACGCCAGGTCTCGCCCGAATCGGAACCTATCTACGATCTCATACTCTCACTCTACCGCGCGTGTAATGGGGACTGGAACAGTCTGGTGCAGAGGACGAATGTCAGCCCTGAGAATCTCCGATACTTCCTTGAATATGCCGCACAATTCTTGGGAAACTGTGGTAACTACAAAGGCTTTGGGGACTCTAAGTTCATCCCGAGATTGCCAGCTTCCGCCTTTGAGGCGCTTGCTTCTGTGACGCCGGAAACAAAGGCGCTATTTGAGAAAGCGAGCAAGACCGGCGGTGGGATCTATGAGACACAGGAGCAGACGTATATGCACCTTGGGTATCCAGAGCACGGCCACATGACAACCTACTATCCCGACTCGCCCTCTATCACGAAGGCTGAAATAGACGCCATTGGTGAATTTCTAGAACAGAAGCAACTACCTTTGGAAAACACCAGACTCAGGAAAACACCCACTGGCGATTTCGAGCTTTTGATCGCTTCCGGTATCTCCTCCCCACCGCGGCGGGACCGGGACCTAGGCGACGAAGACTCGTGGGATTTGGATGGAGAATTGCAGGGCAAGAAACTCCGTTTGGTATTTGGGGATTACCTCAACGAGATGGCTAAAGTTGCCCACGACGTTAAGCTGGCAGGACTCAACGCGGCGAACGAAAACCAGAAGAAAATGCTTGATGCGTATGCCAAGTCATTTGCCACTGGTTCTATCGAATCATTCAAGGAAGCTCAAAGGATCTGGGTCAAGGATCAAGGGCCAATCTTAGAAACGAACCTGGGATTTGTAGAGACTTATAGAGATCCCCATGGTGTTAGGGGAGAATGGGAAGGTTTTGTCGCTTTGGTATGTTGTTATGGAATCGTGACATCTGCTGGATTTCTATTCTCTGAGACATTATCCTGGCTACGATTTGCTGACTTGTGTAGGTTAATTTCGAGCGAACTCAGGCTTTTGGGAAGCTAGTCGCCAGCGCTGAATGCATGATCTCCGAGCTTCCCTGGGAGAAGGAGTTTGAAAAGGACAAATTCCTCAGCCCAGACTTCACATCTTTGGAGGTCCTGAGCTTTCAATCAACTGGTCTTCCGGCTGGTATCAACTTGCCAAACTATGATGATATCCGCCAGAATCTGGGATTCAAGAACGTCTCACTGGGCAATGTGCTAAGTGCTAAAGCACCGAACGAACCGGTCCCTTTTATTGCGGAGAAAGATCTTGATGTCTACCGCAGGTGTAGAGATGCTGCTTTCGAAGTGCAGGTTGGACTGCACGAACTTCTCGGCCACGGTACTGGCAAACTGCTGCAGGAGACTGCTCCTGGGGAGTATAACTTTGATGTGTCGAACCCTCCGATTAGCCCTATTACGAACAAGCCAATCTCAACCTGGTATAAACCTGGGCAGACATGGAGCTCTGTATTCGGTGCTATTGCATCATCCTACGAAGAATGCAGAGCTGAATGTGTGGCTATGGTGCTCAGCTGCGACTTCAGAATTCTGAAGATCTTTGGCTTCGGTGATGGAAAAGAAAACCTGAACAACGACGCTGGTGACGTACTATTCGCGGGATACCTACAGATGGCTCGCGCTGGTCTAGTTGCGCTAGAGCACTGGGATCCTAAGACTAAGAAATGGGGGCAAGCTCATATGCAAGCACGGTATAGCATTCTACAAGCATTCCTTGGTGCGGGAGATGACTTCGTCAAGCTGGTCTATACCAAGGAAGATCTATCCGACCTGGAAATCCATCTGGACCGGTCCAAGATATTGACCCATGGACGGCCGGCCGTGGCAAAGTATCTGCAGAAGCTGCATATATATAAGACAACGGCAGACGTGGAAGCAGGCAAAAAGCTGTACGACGAGGTCACGTCTGTGGATGAGTGGTGGGGAACTAAAGTGCGTGATATAGTCCTGCGGAACAAAGTGCCTCGCAAGGTCTTCGTCCAAGCCAACACGATTTTGGATGGGGATACAGTAAGTTTGAAGGAATACGAACCCACGCTTGAGGGCATGATCCAGAGCTTTGCCGAACGGGATGCTTAGACCGGTTTCTGGTGTCGTTCTCTGTGGACTCATCTTGTTCGGTGGGCAGCTAAATAAACAGTCTTGGGGAGGAAAAGAAATTTGACTTCGTTCAAGGCCTGTCCATGGGAAAGACTCATTTCAGAACTCGTTCGTAATACCAGACGAGCCTCTCGTTGTCTTCTTTCTTCGTCTCCGTAGGATCGTAACTTGTAAGCGCGCAGATCATGTGACCGCGAGACTTCGGCGGCAGACAGCCGCCAGCTGAACAGCGAGTGCTGCATTGACGGTATTCTCTCGGACACGCCAGATGAGAATTCACTGACTGCGCACAGGCTGTCTTGAGATTAATGAAGGGTACAGCCGTCTTGGGTTGTATCTGTTTCCACCAGGGCACGGCAGGTGTCATTGGGCTTTGATAGCTGCTACGCCAACGCCAATCCACCTCGCCATCCTCTACGTTCCCGTCTCCTTACCTTTCCCAGTCGGCATTTCATCGAATTCGTCTTCAGACCCAGTTAAATATGGGCTTATAGGTCCTGTGTTTAAATTAAATTCCTGATATACACGATTTTCTTGGGTCAAATGTTTCCTGTTGTCCCTCAGCACCTTTAAGAGCCACCGCGGGCTTCCTTCGTTGACCGCAACAAGCTTTCGTATCTGCTCTGGACAGACCTGGATTGCAACAATACTACCGTATCTTCGCTCAGCAGAGGGAAGAAAAGAACACCTTAGCTGTACGGAACTGAAACAACTTCCTGCACCTTGTCGTGGTCAAGATATAGGCCTGGCTCGCCTGCCACGGCGCTGCCACCGCATCAGACGGACTCCCCGGCGGAGGACGAGTCGTATACAGGCCCTCCCACCCATTCACCACCATCAGAAGCATTTTCGTCCTGCTCTTCATCCTCGAACCCGCCTACCTTCTCGTCGCTCTTCTTTACCTCTTCCGTTGACGCCAATCGCCCCAAGGACACTATCACAGAGTCTGAGTCCGCTCCTATTCCAGCTTTTGCCCCCCCACCGCCTCTCGAAGAACCTTCGGAGTCATCTCCACAGTCGCTCATTGTCGCGGAGGCTAAATCGTCTTTCTCACCGGAACAGAAAGGAGAGCCTTCAGGGAAGCCCTCTGACGACGGAGAACCGCCACCACCATATACAGAAGGATCTAGCCCTATCGAATCATTTACATACGTTATGGCGGCTGCTGGGGGTCCTTCGAGTATTATAACCCAGGTGCAGCAGGCGGGTGGCCCACCGATGAATACGCTTGGAGGTATGCAATGTTGCGGACATTCTGAAAAAGTCTCAACCTGAGGGTTCATGACATGCTGACCTAGTCGTCTTCCGAAGCAGATATAAACGGAGATGAGCATATTACACTTGATCTCAGGTATAGTCCTTCATTCTAATATCGGCTGGTTCCTGTGTTATTTTCCCACTAACTTTAATTGCAGAGGAGCTCGATTCACTCTTTCTAGAGATGAACTTCTGACCTTGCCGGAGTTCGTCTTGCTGTCTCTTTTCCCTAATGGACTTCTTCCCGACGGGCACATGGGATTCGCAGAAGGTGACGTCTATCCAGTTGATGTAGGTGATGCCAATTTGCTTGTGGTTCGTAATGCGGAACCCGTCTCACAAATATGTTATTTAGTATGACCCGACATGCCTGCAGTATATGTTGGACTTCTTCCGTTCTGTCGCCCAATCAATTCCGTCTTCGCCTTCCGTTCCGACATCGCCAGATTTGGACATGTCGCCCGAGTCAATGCAGGGATCTGCTAGGGACATGCTTCAGGACCGGGCCGGTATCATCGTTCTTCGCGAGGATCTTGATTTCTACGTGATACCTCCGCGACCAGATGTGGAGCATCCGGAGATGATCCAGATCAAGCGAGCTGCTGGAAAGGAATTATTGAATCAGGATGGTATATTTTCTGGTTTGAGAAAAAGCGACGAACCAGGCTCAACAGAACAACATCTCATTGAGATGCTGACTGCCGGGTAAGCCATAGTCGTATCTATTATCCACTCGCTAGAAAGCAGAGAAAACATACTGACGGTCAACAGTGGTTTCGAACGTGATGATCGTTGGGGGCACCGAGCTCAAGAGCCCAACAGGGCTGTAATTTGCAGCCTTGCGCTCGCGAAACTACGGACCGACATAAAGGGAGATATATCTAATAGTAATGCTGTGGGGATGGCGCAGAAGCTTCTCTTGTTCTGGAGGAAGCCGGCCAGAAGATGCTGGTGGGAGGGTGTTGAGCTGACGAATGTCGAGGGTGTTGAAGGAAAACTTAAAGTATGGATTCGGAGAGTGTGGACGCTAGAAATGGTAAGCAGCCCTGGAATTCACGGTCTGGCAACAAGCTGACGTTTGGTACAGAGCGTTATTGGTCTGCGGTAGTCGAGTTCTTTTCCATTTTGCCCATGTTACTCTTTTTATGCCTTTTATCCCCCTTACAAGACTCCTCTGATTGCATCGATTTCCTCTTTTTTCCATCCTTTGTCCTCCATTTCGTCATCATATACCATGGTCAGCACGTTGCGTCTTCAACTCGTTTTTCCCTTTTCGCTTTCGAAGCAGATCTGTGTTTCAGGCATTATCACCAGTCCCTAGCCAGAATTTGCAGATGGCAAACAATGGCGTACTAAACGTTGGGGTACTCTTTATATAGTTTTGCTGTGGCTTGATATTGCATGCATTGGAATAGTCCTTAATTGGCTTTTTGGACGAAGATGAGACATGTCTACCTTGCTACGTTATTGTCGATTAAACAGGACATCCACTCCAGACTCTGTAGATTCCCTGCTAAAGCCATTCAGAAAACGCAGTAGCATAAAGCCAGGGCATAACGAAGCTCCGTGGGCTGAGCAAATGGAAGAAAGCCCAGAACAACCTGGCGGCACGTGACCTGGCACAAACTGCGCCAAAGACGCTCTCCAACGAAGCCAGAGCCAAGTCCGGAGCTTGACAGCGATCACGATCTCGCGTTTTGATCGCGCCACGCCCTTTTCTAGGACCTGGAGACCATTCAGACCAGTCGCGTATCCTCAACCGCCACAGAGAAATTTTCACTGCCTGCAGCTTCGTCAACCACCCATAGAAAGTTATCCTATCCAGCTACTTCGCGATCTTCAACTAGCGAATCGAAAGCCTATCACTTATCCAATTCTCCGCGAGGACATGTTCCTTTTGCATTGAACTGCCCGAAATGTCTCCTCTCAGAGGTTATATTACTTCCTACCCTCCGCGCGTGCGCCAGTATGGAAACGCGCTCCTCACGCCCGTCGTTCCTCCAACTCAAGTTGGTCCTCCGCCACGGACGAAGCGCGGTACGGCCGCTATAAACTATGCGGAAGATGGCTTTGACGATGACGATTTTGATGATAGCGAGGGACCCCGTCGTCCCACTGGCTTAAGGAGCCTTCGACGAGAGGAATCGGTTCATGACAAGGTGCCTTCTGCGGCGAAGCTAGGACAGGAAATACATGCTCCCGTTGAGGTTCAAGGGGTCTTTAGGGACTGGATGATTAAGAGGATGGTGCGGCCTGGGTATGTCGCTGTCTCTCCGTGGGCCATATCTCTCTTTTTATTTTCTTTTTTTTCGTTTTTTAAATTTCACCTAACGGTACTGACTGGTGTTTTTTTTTTTTTTTTTCTTGCCTAGTTGCGCCGACCAATTGCAGATCCAAGCTCAGCTCCCCTTGACACTCATACCTATCCGGATCGATTTGGAGGTCCCAGCACATCAGCCGTTGGAGCCGTTCCCCTTGCCACGAGGTGTTTTGGACCCTGGGATAAACCCGACGCTACCCGGATACAGGAGGCCTGACCCACTCCCTGCATATCGGATAAAGGATACATTTCTATGGAATCTTCACGAGGCTCTAGCCACTCCGGAGGAATTCGCGAGTGGCTTCGTCCGCGATTTGGACTTGCCCAACCCACAAGCGATGACGTTGGCTATCAGCAGCCAGATTCGTCAACAGTTAGAAGAGTACGCCGGTGTTGCACTACATCCTTTATTCCAGAGTACGCAACAAAAGCAACTTACATCTGCACCGCTCTCACAGTCTGGGCGGGTCAGAGATACTTCTGCAACCCCAGCGTCGACAAACGTTGCGACACCAGACACTCCAGCCGACGCAGTGGCGGTGACCAAAGAGCCGTTGGTGAATGACAGTTTACTTCACCCGGACGATGCGTATAGATGTCTGATCAATCTGAACATCAATCTGCAGAATAAACTGTATACGGACAAGTTCGAATGGTCCCTCCTCCATCCGCCTGGAATGGCTGAGGAGTTCGCTAGAGTCACTAGCGCCGACCTGGGTCTCGGCGGAGAATGGGTTAGCGCAATCGCGCATGGCATCTACGAAGCTGTGCTAAAACTCAAGAAGGAAGTCTGTGAAAGTGGCGGTCTCATAAGCGGCATTGGAGGGTACGGCTATGGAAATGAAATCGATAACCAGGCAGCTAACGGCGCCGAAGCTGGTTGGCGATATGACCCCGAAGGACTCGGTGACGAGTGGGAGCCAAAGGTAGAGACATTGTCCAAGGAGGAGATTGAAAAGAGAGAAGGTGATCGTGAGCGGCAGATAAGACGTCTACGACGGGAAACCGCGCGGTTTTCATCTACCGCAGGCATTACACCTGACATATCAAGACAAAGCGTTGGCTTTTTCGACATTGACAGCGAAACACCTCTTGGCAGAGGTGAGAGAAGCAAGCGCAAACGGCGAATCCGCAGTATCAGTCCTGGTGGTACACCAGGTGGACGGGGCACGCCAGATACCGGTTCCGGAGCTGGATATGGTGGAGGAGGTGGAACCTTGTCTGACTGGTAAGTCTAATCAAGTGGCCTCGGCTTTTAGCTCCAATGCTGACCTTCGAATCTTTCTTTGTTCTGTAGGGAACGGCAGAATTGGCGATGCACCAACTGCAAGGTATGGGGTACTGCAGTTTGGGCAGTACGCGATGGTCCAGCTGGTCCAAGGGTGAGAGAACAGTAGCGCCGAAACCGAAATGAGGCATCTTGCTGACTGTAAACCCCAGACTCTTTGCCACAATTGTGGTCTCCTCTATGAGCGCGACAAGATTGCCCCAGAGTGGTCAAAGGATCTCCACAGGCATGATATCCCTGTTGGCAGATAAGAGCTGATGTAGGCTGTGACTTTGTCTTGCCAGTCAAGAATGCACTTGGGGATCCCTTGTGGGTAAGTTGCTGGTTATTTAGTTACGTGATATAGGATACATCTAACTGTACGCCTTAGTGCGCTTTGCAGATGTGAAATTATGCAAGTATAAGCTGCTTATACTACCCTACAATGAAACTGGCTTTGGGCTATATGCCTTGGTTTTGATCTAGAGCTACGAGCATAGCTGCATGCCTTGTGCAAGCTGGGGCAGTTTTCTGCTAACCAATAACTGACAGGGATTGCTATATCTTTTTTGTCAATCATCAGAAGCATCATGCATCCTATTTTTTTTTTTTTTTTTTTTTTTTTTTTTTTTTTTTTTTATGCAAATGGGAGCCTTTGCCCTATTTCTATTACCTTGCATACCTATGGGACCATTTCAGAAAATTTACCCTATAGATTATTTCCCTTGACCCCATGCAGCTACGCTTCTTGATCGGTCCTTCTTCTATTTCGTCTTCATTCATACCCTTATATTTTATGGGTATTATCCATCTCTGGCTGTACGACTGACATCTATTTCTGGGCCGATAATGTTTTTACGAGCGTGGAGTCTTGTTTTCTCCTTTGTTCGTTTTTATCATCCTTGTCTTTTCTCATTCCGTATGGGAAACAAGGCTGATATTCGGGGAACAGCAAGGAAGAGAAATGGACTACATCGCCGTTGTTCAGTATCTTTCTTTTTCTTTTCTCTTCTTTTTCGTTTTCTTCATGTGACTACGCTGGGATCGGGTGTTGGATTCGGAGTGTACTATAGTGTGCTATATGCTATTGTGATGGATTAGAGCACGGCGTCCTGTGAGAAAACTTTCGTTCTAAAGATCTATTCTATATGTACCGAGTGCATTTGTATGGACGGGGTTATTGTGTCCTTACTGTTCACATCTGCTAATTAATACGATTATACCTAGTCACAGGGGAAGAGTAGGTATGTAGATCCCAATCCATGCTATCTTCCACGAGGCTATTTAATTATCATGAACTCAAGTCAGGTAGGTAGTAAGAATAATTGCTGTTGATAATTTTTGACAATGAATCGATCTATCCATATTGTATTGTGGTAAATCAATTCGCCGAACATGCCCCATTTCCCCCCTCACATCAAAAGAGAAGAGAATAAGGAATACAGTGGTATTTGGGTTGGACAATTTTCCGTACAATAGCAATGCAAGGTTAATCAGTTGTTTTGTTCTCTTCATAGACATAGGTGAATTGATCTATCGATTTCTCTTACGTCTCAGTACATCGGTAGGCTCCTAGAAAAGTCAAGGGATTAGCATTGATAATAATGAATGGATATCAGGGATAATAGGAGGAAGATAAAAGAGTCTGCCAAGAAAGCGAGTAAGCAATACATACAGACTGTGCCCGTCTCTTCCTTCCGGCGACGGCATCTTCATGTGCACCTTTCGTGACCATCGACCGACCTGGGACACCAGCATAAATTACGTTCCTGTTTCCCTCAACTTGTATCCCTGTGTTAATTTTAATTTCTATCGCTAGGTGCTGGTCGGTCTCCGAGCCGGCGGGATGTTCCGAGTGCCGCAGGGTGGAGATGATCGACGTTGCCAATTCAGTTAATTTAGCTTGTCTGTGTCTCTGGGATGATTGCAGGAGGGCTGCAGGGGCAGTGGGTGTAGATGTAGGTGTGGGTGGGACTTGATCATCCGTTGCCAGTTTGGGGTCTGCGTCTTGCTGGCGTCTGGTCATGGAAGAAGGTATAACAATCGTGTTTCCATGTCCCGTCACCTTGACCGAGGCGTCGATGTAAACAGTCACAGGACTGGAAGATGCGTCGTATCGGCCATCGACGCCGTCGCAGTCGATGTCGCAGTCCTCGAAGGAGTTCAACGATATTGTCCGCGAGTACGGAGGTGGAGGGATTATGGACGAGCGGATGTGATGCATATTAGCCGTTACTTCCTCTGCCTTCTGGGACTGGTGGGCGAAAGAATCCGATGGTGGTAGCATGTTGGCAGCTATTGGAAAGTAGGAGGGTGAAGAATCTCAGGACCTTAGACAAAAATAAAGAGACGTCCCCAACGCTTTTGATTAAAGTAGTTATAGCCAAAAGGACAGTCAAGAAGAAGACCAAGAAGTGTAGAGATGTATTTTAGAAACAGAGGTCTGGCGCTGTTCAGAATGGACAGGGAATGTAGACGCCGGCAGCATGGATATATATGTACACTGCAATGCAAAACAATAGAATGGGGACGGCCTGAATGCGTGAGTAGGAAGTGAGAAAGTGGAGGAGGACAGAGTCCGTCAATAGAACCAAGCTTCCGCAAAGAAAGGACAGCAAACCGGCACGCACAATTGTTTCCTGATGCACGCCGAGCTGCAGGACAAACAAACTGGGTTCTATGCGACAATAAGCCTATTGACAGTCAATGGCCGACTATATTGTTTTCCCGCCGTCAATAGGTTCCTGTCACGTGCCAAGGCCAGCAGGCCAGCCGCCCCCTTTCACCTGCAACCGCAACGCGCGAACGAACACCAGTGCGTGGATTCCAAGTCCTGGCCGTTTTTAGAATATGTTGAGCCTGCTGGATCACTGCCAGTCTCAATTCCACCTAAAAGAGAGAGAAGGAGGGGGGAGGGAGGGACAAAAGGCGCATGACGTGCCTTCAACGTCGCCAAAAAAGAGTGTGGGGGAAATGCAAAAGAAAAGAAACCCGAAAAGTACTGATGTTATGAGTCAGCTCATTTTGGACCAAACAATGTTGGTTCCCTTCTCACAAGGAGAAAGAAACATGCCAGAAGCTGGGTATCAAAATAGGCGAAAAGAACCCGGATCGAGGGTATCATCAATCAAGAATCGTCTCACGCGGCAGTTTCCGACAGTAGGATCAGGCACATTTCATCTAGTTATTGGGAGGGGCAAGGATCATGCTGTATCTTGATCTTAGAACTGTCCGAACCTAGTATGCAGAAAAGCAGACTCTTCCACATCGTCGAACTTACTAATGTCGGCAGCAGTGATCCCGAATTCATGTTTCTCGTGCCCAGGACGCGGTGCCCGGTGTTCGTCTGGGTAGTTTCTCCCACCGGGGTGTAAAGGCTGTGCGGTCTAACCCATATTAGCAAGAACAAGACCCGATTCTGAATAGACCTTGTTATACCAGCACTCCTGTCACTCCCGAAATTGAAGGTTCATTGGTTGGTACTGACTTCACGAAATTCATCACCTTCAACCTGAACTTCTCGGTCACGGATACGTCGCATCAGGGCAAGGAAATTGCTGTCTTTGAATTTTTGGCTTTGGTCATGACTGACGCTCTCCAGCAGTTGTCCTGCTGTTCTAGCAAGCTCGTCGGCCTCATTCGCAGACGAGGCCTGGTCTTCCTTGTTGGCATATGGAATAGTATCCGATCCAATCTTTATTTGCTCGCCGGTCTCTGTCTGAGGAGCGCCCACTTGAATTGACTCCCTTGCCGTATTGACTTCCTCCTGCGTAGTCTCATTTGCCTGTAATTCCAAATCTGCTCTCGCCTGTTCGAATGCGGCCTCAAAGGCAGACTCATCAAAAGCTTCAGTGGGCGCTTGACGCTCTCCAGCTACTTCCTGTGATGGATGGACAAGATCTGCTGCAGAGGCATGAGAGGGGAAACTAGGTGCAAAAGACGGCTGAAAGGCATGATTGTACGGTTGAAGGAGCTGCGTAGTAAGATTCCGCTGTTGATGTTGCAGGAATTCGTGTTGCCAGCCCCCTGGCGCTGCCGTACTTATTGGGGCAGCTGACGGACGTTGAAACTGGGGATTTGAATGTGATGGTCCAGATATTTGAAGATTTTGAAAATCTGCTGTCCAATCTGAATTCCCGGCATGACCGGTCATGGAAAGACGCGTGTTATGTGGTAGGAAAGGTGTAGCATGCTGGATATCAGGAAGCACTGGGCCCGCAGAAGTCGTTTCGAAAGCAGCAAACTCTGGATCAAGAGCTCCAGCGTTCGGATTGAGGGATCGGAAATTCTGGGGATCAAACAGTTAGTGGACTGTAATAACTGGCAAGTCCAGCAACATTTCCAATATTGAGCTTACCTGGGATGGCGACTGCCGAGAAGTCAATCGATCCTGCTGAAGCGTCCGATCTACCGATGTGTGCTTCTGAAAGTTCTGAAGCGCATTTGAGGGACCGCAAAGAGCATCACTCATGATGCCTGTAGAATGATGGCCAACTCGTAGACTTGAAGATTAATGACAGTGCAAGAACAGTACGTCACTGGAGTTGGCACCCACAATGCAAAGGAATGAAGAGAAGACAAGATAAAAAGATGACGGGACAAACTACACGTCCATCCAGGGTTAAAGGAGAGGATGAAAACAAGAGACAGTCGAGTGTCGCGGGGGCAAAAAGGAGAGATGGAGGTAGGATCGCGGGGAAGCCCGTGACGGACCGAGGATGCTCACGTGAAAGGGGCGTGACTCGTGCGATAAGATAAGATCGGCTGCGGCTCTGAGCAACTTCGGAAACGGACAGTCTGGCCGTGTTTCGCGCTCGGCTTGCTTTTGCTACGCAGACACGCCTGTCGCTGCCTTCGCGGTCTAGTCGAGGGAAAATTCTGGCTTTTCGCACAGCTGTACACAATATTCTTTCTTTCTGTTTGAAAATCTGAGCGGATCTCCACCAATATGGTACGTGGTGTATACCTAGCTGGCCCCTTTTCCAGTCACCTTCACTGACTTGGCCTTCGTCCATACAGGCGGCCACTCAAGTTATTTCCAATTGCGGCCACGAGGACATGATTGTACGTCTATGAACAGATATCCTGAAACGCATACGCCATATGCTCCCGGTGTATAGTGAAGATTCGTGGCTGACTTGCTGTTACTTGGGTTCAGCATGATGCAGGACTGGATTATTATGGTCGCAGGCTGGCCACATGTTCGTCTGATAAGACGGTAAAGATATTCGAGATTGAAGGAGACACACATCGATTGATTGAGACCTTGAAAGGGTGAGGACTATTGGTCTACCCCCCCAACCAAATGCGCACAGGATACTGATTTTGAGGGAACATAAATGAAGGCACGAAGGCGCGGTGTGGTGTGTCGCATGGGTGCGTGAGACTAATCCCTCGTTTCCCATGCGCTTTATCTTGGTCTTTTATTTTTGAACCTAGCTGATTACAATTCTTCTTCAATTTGCGGTGCAGGCTCACCCGAAATTCGGCACAATCTTGGCCTCTTCCTCTTACGATGGCAAAGTGCTTATCTGGCGTGAACAGCACCAAGGGCCAACCTCTCCGGCCGGCAGCTCCTCATGGACTAAAGTTTTTGATTTTTCCCTTCACACTGCGTCGGTGAACATGGTCTCCTGGGCTCCTCACGAGAGTGGATGTCTCCTTGCCTGCGCTTCCTCGGATGGACATGTCAGTGTCCTTGAGTTCCGTGATAATAGCTGGACTCACCAGATCTTCCACGCTCATGGAATGGGCGTTAACTCAATCAGTTGGGCTCCTGCGGTATCTCCTGGGAGCTTGATTAGCTCTAGCCCTTCATCGAGCCAGCAGAGGAGATTCGTCACCGGTGGAAGTGATAATCTGGTTAAAATCTGGGATTATAAGTACGTCTATGACTAGCCTTTATAGCGGTTCCTCCCTTCTCCATAGATAAGGTACTGATGAACTTTATTTTATGATCAGCCCCGAAAGCAAGACCTACACATTGACCCAAACCCTTCAAGGCCATTCAGACTGGGTCCGTGACGTCGCTTGGTCTCCAAGTATCCTCTCGAAATCGTACATCGCCTCCGCCTCTCAAGACAAGACGGTTCGCATCTGGACCTCTGACGCGTCGAATCCTGGACAGTGGAACAGCCAGGTCCTCGAGTTCGACTCCGTCCTGTGGCGCGTCAGTTGGAGTCTGAGCGGAAACATTCTCGCCGTGAGCGGAGGTGATAACAAGGTCAGTTTATGGAAGGAGAATCTGAAGGGCCAGTGGGAAAAGGTGAAGGATATCGAAGAGTAGACTAATATCTGTCCTGTCTCTTTTTTCCCCTTTCCTTTTTTTATCCCTTCTTTTCTTGGAATGGATGGTACTTCTCTTACCACCCTTTCTTTATATGAGCGATTCGTATTTGTCATGGACATCCTATGTGTTAATCAAAAAAGGTCAATCGAATACAGGAGTGCAGGTGTATAATCTTCCATAATTGAGGCATTCTTCAAGATAAAAAGCGTGGGAAACCTGTGGTAGTATGTAGCATTTGCCAGATGATCAACTTGAAGCTTCGGCTGGTAGACAACCAGGAAGTACTATTTCCATTTGCGTTCACAATTTTCAGTTACCAACGACTTATGTAGATAGTGTATCGTAAATGTTCATGATCGAGTACACCCTCTTATCTCATACGCCCCAAAATATGAACGGTCCCTTATCCATCCTACCTCTCATATCCTGCCAGCGTCCCGTCATGATCCTCCCTCCGAGTAAGCAACGCCTTCATGACCATAGATCCAATGGAAGCTCTACTTCAAATCTAACGGTGACCACTCCGTATTGAGGATTCTGATGGCAATACTTTTTCGGCAAGTGATCTGCAAGCTGAAGTGAAATTTGCAATATACTGGATGACTTAGATATCATATATTGAAAGGTTAGCATTGAAGTAGTGTAGACTCAGAATGTGAAGACTACCTCGGTTGCAACCTCAGGAGCGAACTGAGAGGCTTAGCCTCCATGTCTGACAAGCTCGTTCCCTCTGAGGACGCTGTGTCATCGAAATCCGAGCTCATATCTTGGGCTGTATGTTGTGTTGTGACTATGATAGAAGACTGAACGAAGGAAGACGATTGATTACGAGCAAGTCGCGATTGAGAGAGGTGGGAAAGAATGAGCAAGATGAGGAAGAGAGCAGACAGTTTCTCTGAGGCATCATCGGTCCCTTTTTTTTATTACTGTATTGCATAGACGTCCTGGGGACATGCCATTTCATATGTCAGAGACATAACACATGATCTATATACACTTTCACTCAAGGTCCTTTACAGGTGACAAGATAGAGGCAGACCTTGATCTACTCAAACTTAGCTCAATGATGTTTCACCACTCCAGTCTCACTTGCTTGAGAGCTGATGAGTTTCTTGTACTCATTAATGGTACCATCAAACTGATGTACAGTCCCCTTGTCGCAGAGCCAGAGGCTCGTGCAAACATTTTGCAACATTGTCACGTCGTGAGATACCATGAGGACACCTCCCTGGAAGTTCCGCAACGCATCTGACAAGGCATCCATACCTTCAATATCCAAATGGTTGGAAGGTTCATCGAGAACAAGGATATGGGGGTTTGTCAAGGATAAGCAGGCGAAAGCAACACGAGATTTCTGACCACCGGACAGAAGTGCCATTCGCTGAAGGCCAGTCGTCCCAGTAATACCAAACCTAAGAAATTATTAGCAATTTGAAAACGTAGCCACGAATGTTATGTTATGCATTGGACGTACGCTCCCAGATGTCGTCGATATTCCTCATCTGTCTTCCCCGGAAACTTTTTCGCCAGAAAGCTCACAGCACTGGTGGTAAGGTCCAAACCATCCACGTGGTGCTGAGCGAAGTAACCAATCCGTAACCGGGGGTTTTGAGATATTATACCGGACGACGGTTCCAGTTGGCTGGTAAGCAATTTCAGCATGGTGGTTTTACCGGCGCCGTTGGGCCCAACGATGCCTATGCGAGAGTCAAGCTGAACATCCAGATCGACGTTCTGAAGGAGCACTTTATCCTTCGAATATCCGAAGGAAACGCCAGACATCTGGATAATGGGAGGAGAAAGCTTCTCGACCTCGGGAAATTTGAAATGTACGACATATTCGCTTTCCGGGGGTTGCAAGACCGGCATTCGTTCGAGTTTCTTGATTCTCGATTGTGCTTCTGAGGATTTCGCAGCATTGTATCGGAACTTGTCGATGAAGGCTAATAGCGCCGTTAGCTAAAGCACGAAATCATATATCGATGGAGTGAGGTACGAACCTTGCAAGTGTGCCCTTTCCGTCATCTGCTTCTCATATTCGCGCCTTGCATTCTTCTTTCTTTCCTCCTTGGTTGCATAGAAAGAGTCTACAAATTATTAGTAGAGTTCAAGCACTGTTTACACGTCTGACTTACCGAAGTTAGCTCCCTTATAATAGTCTAACCTCTCGGAATGCTGATGGATGATGTCTGTTGCAACTTCATTCAAAAACGCCCGATCATGAGAGACAACAAGGACAGTGCTAGGATATGATTGGAGATAATTGGACAAGAAAGTAATAGATGGCACGTCCAACATGTTTGAAGGTTCTGAAGACAGTAAGTATGGTTTCACATCAATCATAGGTCATCACGGGGGAACATACCATCAAGAAGAAGCAAATCAGGTTCACAGAACAAAGCTCGGGCCAGAGCCAATCTCATTCTCCAACCTCCAGAAAATGTCTTGGTCGGGTACTGCTGCGCCTCGGGCGAGAAACCAAGACCAGCCAAGATACTGGCAGCGCGAGATTCAGCCTTGTCTGATTCCATCTCGGCAAGTTTCTCATGAATATCTGTCAAAGTAATGTCAAGGCCTTCCCGCTCGTGATCCAATCTTGCTGCATCTGTAGACGTATCTGCCAACGAGGATCGCTCGGCTTCGATTTCTGCGAGTTTCTTTGTGGTTTTCTGCGAGTGCTTTAGTCATTTGTGTGGAGATAGAGGAAGAACAAGAAAATTAGAGGCCATACTCACATCTTGCTCAAGGAGCAAATGTTTCCGCCACACGTCAGCATCCAACACAGCTTGAAGAACAGGAGTATCATCACCGGTGATCTGAAGACGTAAGGTTAATAGGGTGGTTTTCTTAGATTGACAACGTCGATGGGGGAGGAAATGCATACCTCTTGCTCGACGTGAAGGATAGATATATGGGTGGGAATGGCCACTTCTCGACGACTCAAAGCCCGCAGAAGCGTACTCTTTCCTATACCGTTCTGACCTACAAGACCATATCGTCGACCATAAGCCAGAGTTAATGAAGCATCGACCAATATGCGATTTCCGCCGATAGAGACGTCGATCCGATCGAGTTTGATATCCTTGCTCTTTGATTGAGAATCGGTGCCCAACTGCAGCGGGTTGACAGCCATATAGAATTCCTCGTATGACATGGCTTCCGTCGGCTGGTTGAGCAGGCGAGAAGATTCATACTGGACAGTCTTCATCTGCTTCTTCTCTTGTTTGGCACGGATCTTCCGCTCCGCCTTCTCAAGTTTCTTGCGATCAACGCGGGACTCGACCTTTCTAGAGTTGGCAGATTCCAGGTCGACATTACCTCCTGCCAGGCCAAGAGTGGTGGATATGTTTCGCTGAGAAGCGACATTGATAGCCTGATCGAGTTTCTTTGCTGTGAATGGCATTTGCCTCCGTTCCGGATCAATACCATCAGAGGCACTCAAAGAAGTGATGAATCTCTCCACGAGATTGCGTATGGCCTCTTCATTCTGAGACGTAAAGTCCCCGGATGCGGAGACAAGTAATTCGGTGACGGTGTCAGCAGCCTCCGACAGCGGGGAACGGCCAGTAGCATCATCATCGACATAAGCTCTGGATGCATGGGTTAAATATCCCTGTAGGGTTATCAGCGAGGGAAAAGCGATGCTGCGTGTTTCATGTATGCTTACCACGGAATATTCCGAAATTACGTGGTCAAGACCGGGGATTTGAGCTTGAAGTTCTGCCTCCATTTTGAACTGACCTAAGAAGGAGCCTTACTCGATCGAAATAAGAGATTCTACGGGAAGGAGAGGAATGAGATATGGCGTAGGTCAATTCCTCCGGCGTTGTTAGCTGTCGTTGATAAAGATACCGCTCTTTTTTTCTGCTTTATCGGCTGTCACGTGGATTACATAATTCATTATATAAGCTAGACGATGAAGAGAGACAAACAAAATGCAAACACGCCAAGAGTGACAGGTCACGTTTCACAGGATAGGATGCCTCGGTCAACACTGAACAGCCTTAAAACTCCGTAAATATTACTATTAAACATAACATTGCAACTGTCGCGTTGAAACGGGAGCGCCACACAGGCAATAGTGGGATGCAGGGTGACGGTTAGACAGCTGCATTCTGGGTTGAAATGCACCAGCCCGACGCAGCAGTGAAACTGATAAGGATGACGGTTGACAAACAAATCCATTCGATTTTGCAATGCTCAGGAGACTCCAGTCATCACGGACTGACCAGGCATGACATTTTTGCCAGGCCAGGCGCATTGCGAACCTTCATAAATTGAGAACCAATTGAACAGTATTGATGATAAATTTATCTGATGGCAATCGATGATGCGTACTATTACTCGCATGGATTGCGGCAGCCATGTGGCAGATGAATTCATTCCAATTGATTCAACAAATTAATTATAGAAAACAATGACTGCAGATGAGACAGGGAGGAAGGAAAACAAGGTTGTCCATTCAATAGTTGATTCTGATACTCCGCCCTCACGCTGGTTTCAGGTTTCGGAGACGACGTATCGACGCCTGTCCCGTGACGGGTACTTCCGCGCACCACGCAGTACCAAAGAGGAAATTGCCCACGCAGTTTCCATCGACAACGGCATCATCTCATGGTTTTTCTACTAGTTTCTGCAGTGCCCAGGAGTCAGGACGATATATCATGGAGTGGTTGGAGAGGAAGAATATGAGAAACGCTATCCGGGAGTCTGTACGACGCTGTGCCGTATCATACCCGTGATTTGATTTTATATTTTATTTTATTACCTTTTTTTTTTTTTTTCAGGGTGTCTTTCACATCAGCACTAGGAGATATTGCGGGCTGTCAGCACAACTCCGTCCAGATATTTGGCGGCGGCTTCGATTCGGATTCCAGCTGGCAGGGGGCGGGCTGAAAAGAGTCGCAGCGGAGACTTATGGTTGGGAAATGGTTGGCTCGAAATTCTCCTTTGACCGACGGGCAGTCGAGATCGGCCCCAACCCACGATGCCAATCATCATGTACAGCTCTCGCTTGCCACCGCTAGTGCTGGAGATAGAGATTGGATGTGGAGATGTACGGGAATAGCGTCGATACTGTGAATGGTGGAGGACCAGGTCGCCCGGTGAACCATGGCCCATGGATCGATCTCCGCAGCTAGCCAAAGCATTTGCCCAGCCGAGTTGCCGAGACTATGAGAGAATCGAGACTAGAGAACGATTCGAGAATCGAGAATAGAACAGATAGCGAGATACGCTCGTCTCCGTCCTGGAGATCTCCCAGCAAACCGACCTGGCGGAGCGCAGGAGAAATGGGACAGGAACCGACCCAACGCCATCCGCAAGGGACGGATGTTCTGCAATTATTCCATAGGAAGGAAGCAAACGGACTGTAACTATAGGCATCATTTGAAATTGTCTAATGGTAGCATGCATACAGTGCCGAGGGGGAGCGCCAATGGGCAACCAGCCGCGATCAAGTCCCAAGAAAGATAGAAACGAACGGACGGGGAAAACAACACAACAACACTGTGTGATAGTAGGATCCCTGCACCTTATTTCCCTGCCCCAGACAGCGCCCGATTGACCTGTCTGTCTGGTCCCTGTCTCCCTGCGTCCTGTCAGAAGAACCTCCATCTTCTTTTGATCTCCTTCAGCGCCAGCGGCCAGAGCCCAGGCAGTCCGTCCCCCAGAGAGCGCGCTCCCAGCAAGCAAGGAATGCGACTCCACCAGATTCCTCTTCAACATCGCCCAAATAACAAACCTCTTCTCCAGCATATTAATTCGAGCAGAACTGCGACTCCGGTGTTAGCGACTGTCCTCCCATTGTCACTTGTCAGCTTCTCATCTCTATCCCCCCTTCTCATCTCTCGCATCCGCCCTCTCCCCACCACCATCCTCTTCGCTGTCAGTCCAGTCACTCTCCCGGGAGATCGACTCATGGAGTGATCAGATTTCTTCCTTGCTCTGGTGACTGGCCCATCTAGCTGGCATCCTTGGGCCTTTCTCTCACCTTCAGTCCTCCATTCCTTTTTGTACGGACAAGTCCTACTTCACCTCACTCCCTGTCGCGTCTCAAACGATTGACCAGCCTCCTTCAGTCACTCTTTCATAATTTCTATTCAGTCCTCCTTAATCCGTTACAGAATCTACCTGTCTTGTCGCTAATCCTTTCTCTATTTCCTTGCTTCTTTGCTTTTGCAACCCTTGCATCAATCCTTATCCTCTTGATTACCATGCAGATGCAAACAACCTCATGCGACATTCATGCAACTAGGTGACCCCAGTGGTGCTTCTGTCTTTTCTTAAAGAAATGGAGCATGTATCAACAGTAAGAGGCTACCCCTCCTCCCTTTTGCTTATGCTTATTGGCTCCCTTTTTGTCCTGTCATGATATTTTTGACGCGTCACTTGTCTGTCATTGCTGACATGTTTCCTCTCACAGCTTTGTGCTGCTAGCACTGTCGGTGTCGCTGCCACTGGCTTCGCCTTTGGACGCGTGGAACGCGCTTCAAAATCACATGAGTCCCGGAGAAGATCATTCTTCTTACACCATCGCCATCGATCCTCCTCCTTCGCGACAGACGTTCCGGATCGGACGACGACCCCGACGACCCTAACGACTCCTGATATACGTCCGAGATCTTCTTCCAGATTGTCCGCGATAGTTGAATCCACATTTCGTTCGAATACAAACCACAGTGAGAATCATGTGAATGATGTTTCCGATAGTTGCCAGGCCGCGCGTCCAGAATCGCGGAGGGAACCATGGTTCAATTCTTCGGGACCGCGCCGTCTCCGTCGCAGAGGCTACACCAATCCCACCCTAACAAACAGTCAGGATGATCCGACTGCGTCCCATTTTAAAAGGCCGTCCTCCTCTTGGTTGCGACGCTTGTCGATTACCTCTTTCCAAACCGAGAGCCCTGTCCCGAGTCCGACTTCTGCGACCCCATCATTCGGTTCAAACATAGCTCGACCGCCCAGCCGGCGCAGGGAGCCGAATCGGCTTGTCAAGCGCTCGAATTCTCAGCATCTACGTGCTAACCCTCTTCTTGTTAATACGTCTCGTTCCACTTCGCTGCATCGGCCTGCTACAAGTTACCAAAGACCCGAGACGTCCGCACGATGCGCACCGGCACATACTGGAACACGCGAGTTTGACAAAAATGTCAACTGGCGGCCTTACTTGGCTTCCAGTTCAAATGAGTCACCAGATAGATGGGTTCGGCCTCGGTCAGCGTCGGGATTATCAGTAGATGATGCTATACACCGGATTCTTCCAGATCCATATGCTGCTCCCGCACTTCTACTAGCGACATCAATTACTAGAAAGGAGCCAGAAAATGACACTGGAACGAGTCGGCGTATTTCTACCGCCCCTGGCGATCTCCGATTCCACGATCCTTTTGGCAATGTTGATACTTCGCTTCATGCAGCAGAACAACCATTGCCTTCAGAAGCCGCTCTCAAAAATGAGCCAGAGACGGTTGTAGCACCGACTACTTCGGAAACTGAACCGGATAATCCACCTGGGGGGAAGAGTCTTCAAATTTCGGTCTCGTTGAGCAGGCCTGAGTCCGTGGTGTCAATGACAGCGTCGAATGCAGGAACGATCAGGAAGTTCAGTGGTAGTGGATCTTTGAGGCGCGTGAAAGGGAGGACATTCGCATCAAACCTGACTTTGTCAGAATTGTCGAACTTGGAAGGTGCGACCTCAGTCTCTCAACGTTCCGGTAGGCGAAATGTCACGGACCCAAGTATTTTTTATGACCCTGCGACTGCCACGCAGCATCCATATCCTGCCCCGTACTTTTCAGGGATCAACGAGCCCTTTGGGAATCCGGTATCTGCGCCGTTGTCGCGGGCTTCCACTGACATGACCCGTTTGCGAGGTATTGCACGGCGTTCTTCTACTTCGGACGCTGTACCACTATCGCCATCTCAGTTCGCTTTCTATCGCCAGCCCGATCCCACCTGGTCTCCTCCTTTCCGTCAGCGCATGAAGCGGCTATCAATAGCGACTTCCGACCCTGCGTCGACTGTTATCAGCTCTGATGACACACATACATTTACCTCTGGGGGTGAAGAAGAAACAGACTTCTTGAGTGAAACTGCCTTTGACTCAGTTCGCACATATGCGACCGCTAGCAGTTATTCAAGGCCAGCCCGCGGTCCACGAATTGAAACAGTTTTTGATGAAAATGATCCCTGTGGGCCGACGAAGGAGCGACTCGCGAGTCTAGAGGAACTCTTGCCGCATGGCTCCTTCTCAGCTAGGTTGTCTGGCTTGGGTTCTCAAGCTTCGGGGAACAATGAGGGCTCTATAATTGTTCCAAGCGGCACGCCCAGGACGGATGAAAACCTCCCTGTGGCTCAAGAGTCCGAGAAGATTTCTGTTGCTCGCAGCGTATCGCTGAAGTCCAATTTATCGGAAGCGAGAAGTTTGGTAGGTCCATTGCCAAACGACCTGAACGGATGGTCTTCCAGAGCGTCACGTGCGGTGTTCCCTCTGGCAGGTGGAAGGGACACATCCGACGAAGATGGCCATATCTTCCCCAAATCTGAAGATTCTGCTACCTCGACTGCCTTCCCGCTCCAGCATAGCAGGGCAAGATATCACAGGCAACCGTCTCTGAATTCTGGCCACAAGGCGAACATCTTCGACTGGTCCGAGCAACCAGAATTATCTGGATCCAATGCACGGCCAACTACAGTCCATGGCAAGCAGGGAAGCGACAGCAGGGCTAGCCGCCCACCCATTCGTAAGGCACCCAATACCCTACACTTACGCAGTCAGAGTGTTCCTGCTGCGAGGGAACCGCCCGCCAATGAGCCACAACAGGCTTCGGCCAAGTTTGGTACCTGGGGCCTAGGTAGTAAGGGTGCCAGTGAAGATTGGGACAGCGATTTTGAGTTTGACGACTCTGAAGGAAGCCTAAACAATGATAATGGAAAATCCAACAAAAAGACGGGCCAGCGCGGGATGATTGTTCCAAAAGCGATTATGGAGCGTCAGGCTAGCTTGTATGGGCAGTTTGGCCAGGTCCAAGAGTTGACCCTGCTAGTTGAAGAGCTCAAGCGCCTTCGTCATCAAGCTAATCATCTGAATATCGTCAATGGGTCATCCAGTGAGTTGTGGAAAGAAGCGGATAGCATTGTCAGGCTCGCTACAGTTAACGATGATGACGATGATAATTCACCTCCTCGATCTCCATCTTCTCTGACTTTTAGCTTTGACGATTCGGAAGAGGAATCCCATGATGTGGATGAGCCTGAGAAACATCGCAGTGGGGCGTCATTTCCAGACACTGCCCCGGAACAAATCAATTCGTCTAGTAGTGCCTCCCCTGACCAGCGCCCTGAGGATCCCACCGCTAAAGGCACGTCCGTGCTGGACTTGATCTATCAACGACGTACTTCCCCTGATTCGCTGTGTCTGGATACTGGAGTATCACGTCCCCGAAAACTTCTCTTTGACACACAGTCACTCCATGACCTTGTTGCACGCGCTGGTACTGTCACTCGTGCGTTGAAAGATGTGATCCGCAAAGCAGAAGGAGTAGCGCCTGCTTCTGTGGACGAGGTTCTCCAACCCAATCCGCCCTTCAGCCGAATTTTCGATCAACCACAGGGCGGTCTTTTGGAGGTCTGACTATCTGACACTCGTCACATCTCGTTTTCATGACACAAAATTCTCCTTCCTCATTCTCCAGCGCTTTTCCCAAAATTTGCCAAGACCTTAAATATCTGAGACGATTGCATGAAAGACAAGAAAAACGAAAAGTTCCTAGGGCGGAGTCATGTCATAATGCATTGCTTGGTGACGAAAGACGTTCGAAACAAAATTTTTACATTAGACTAATTGTCCTGTATGAGTGAACCACTTCTGTTGGATGTATCTTCTTTTTCTCCTTTGGGGCTCTCATGTTAGGTAGGTATGTGTGTTTGGACCTTTTTCTTGTACGAGTGTTACGGAGCATCAGTTACTGGACCCTTTTATTTTTCCTTTGCTTTATTTCATTATGTCTTTACCTATTCCCTAATTTCCGTTTCATTTCCCTTATGTCATATGAGCCTGAGAGATGTTTGTCCGTCAAGCTCTTTGTCTGGGGTTCAACTCCTCTGGGGACTTTCTCATGGCATGATGTCTGGAAAGATAAAATGAGGAAAAGAGGGATTGATTATAGGAATACATTAATGAGGGTGTGCATCTTACATACATGGCGTGTATCAGTCAATGTTAAGACTACTTCAAATGAGAAAAAAAAAAGAAATAAGTGGTACTGATGCAGGCTTATTAATTATTCTAGAGAGATTAGTTGAAGCTGGTTTTAGGATATCAGTATATATCTGAATGGAATGGCTTAGTCTGCAAGAAGCACAGAAGCCCATCTGTCTCCTGAAATGCACAACAGATACCCAATGGCCAAAATTTCCTGGGTATACCTAAAGGGAAGAATGTGAAGGAGATATATGGAAAATAGTCACGTATCCCAGTATTCAGGGTACCAGTCCAGACAGGAATATTACTCGGTGAAAAGTCACCATGAGCAAAATGGACATCATGGATATCTGTTAGAGCAGCCCTGGCGGGGAAAACAGCAGTCCAACAGTTACAGCACCACCGCCAGGAGCTTCTATGCATTTCCCCTTCAGACTTTTGAGTTGAGAGAGATATCCAGCAAGTTGCTGGCAGGTAGAGATTCTCTGGTTATAGTTAATTTTGCCCATGCTTTGTCTAGGGACTCTCCAGGTATATACTCCATGACAATTCCAGAGTCCTCCTCCTTCTCCTCCTCTTCTTCATCTCCAAAGCTGGCGTTGTAAACCTGAGGGACCGGTACAGAGGTGTTGGCTGCGATGAATCTCATGGCGTTTGTTTCACGGTGGTCGGTAAGCGCTCTCTTCAAGACGCGGTGCTTGTCAAGATGGAGGATTTTGGGTAGCCCTGAGAAGGGACCGTGGAGAGAATTTGTCTCTGAAAGCAGGTGTTTTAAGTATGCGATGTTGGGAAATCCTCAGGCGAGAGGTACACACACCGGTCCATATTGTGGTGCTTGTGAGAAGTAAGGCCTGAACCTCTGAATGCGAGGATAGAATAAGCCGTTGAAGAGAAGCCTGTGATGTAGATCTGCTTTGTTATGTATGATACCTGGGAAATATCTGATTTAACTCGAACAAGAATACCGCCAACGACATGTCGAACGAGGACATTCTTCTATCACGGGACTAGCCAGCAGCGAGGCTACCAAGCAGGGAATATTATCAATTGTCTACAGCGACATCCTAGAGGATCTTTCTATGAAGAAGATACGACCCTAATCTAATCAATGGTAAATTCAAGAACGCAGTGCCATCACGTTGTTTGACTTGTGTTATTCGGAGATCTATGAGGACATATGACGAGACCGCATGCATCTTCTAGAAAGAAGTATGTCATTAAAACAGACGGAGGAAGACAACATGACTTGAGAAAATCTGGTAATATGTAGTATATACATTATGCAAGATGTTGGAAATCATGCTAATGCTGACCACGACAAAAAGAAACAGAAAGATGAACGCCACTGCATGCAAAGGCTCTTTTATCTTCTCTTGCAGACACGTCTAAAACAAGCGCCAAAGATGCAAACCGGGGGTATCTATACTGTGATGACGGCGAAAACAGACAGAAGGGACGCTGGATTATAGCCCATATCTAGAGCAGGAGATGGAAATATTTTTAACAAAACCAGCAAAATGTCTTTTGGAGTTGTTGAGTTGGAAACCAAGGAGGGCAGTCTTCAAGCCGCATCATTCTCCTCATCCTGGACAGCTTGAACGGCGGGCAGATAATCGGTTGCGAATTTGCTTTTGGCTCGGATCTTATGCCCGTACAAGTAGAAGAGGATGGGGAGGGGAATCAGAGCGGCAGCGACACAGCCAAGCAGAGTTCCGGCCCAGTTGACTCCCATCGAATTGAACTAGAAAAAAAAGGGTTAGAAGTGGGAATCTCCGAAATTTGGGATAACGAGCATGTTCTTACCATGTACGTTGCGAAGAGGGGGAATCCACCCCCGGCGGTTGAACGCATAATTGAATTCGCAGCCAGTGCAGAGGCAGCGAAGACAAGATACGCGTCAACGATATAGTTCATGCACTGTAGGAAGATGGTCAGAAGACCAAATCCGGTCAGAATCCCGGACGCCGTCGGTACAATCCAATGGATCTCGGCCTTGAAACCTGACCATCCAAACCAGAAGAGACCGGCGGAGAAGGCGAAGCCTCCGGCGATAGCGGGAGGCAGACGCCATTCAGGAATGGGAATCCCGTGGTTGGAATCGAGCTTTCGGTTGTACCATGGCTGGCACAGGAGGATCGCGATGCCACCGAGAAACTCGCCGATGATCATACCGAAATAGGGAAGACCACCGATACCTTTGCTAAATCCGTGGATCTGTTGGAAGACAATGGGATAGGCAGTCATGAAGAGGTAGAGCAGACCATAGATGAAGGCCATGTATATACTCAAGGACAGGACGATCGGCTCGATGAACAGGATCTTAATAGGCCGAGCCAAGTTCTTCTCCAGCAGTTCTCGGAAGTCAATCTCGATCTCTTCTTGCTTGGCGTGAATGCCCCAGTTCTTCGTCCGCCGACGCAGCTCCGCCGCTTTCTGGACGAGTACGACCGGCGGGTACGTCTCTTCCATGAAGAAGAGATCCAAAACAAAAGCGGAGGCGCCCATGATGCCCGACAGATACTCGGTCCAGCGCCAGCCCAGATAGCTTTCTACAAGAAATCCACCGATGAACGGGGCGAACAACGGACCGTTGAAAACGGTCATGGTGAAAACGGTGATGGCAATGCCTCGGGTACGGTTGCCGAAGATGTCAGAAAAGACAGCGGCAACCACCGCGATTGGACAGGCTCCGAAGAAACCACCGAAGAAGCGGCAGAGCATAATCGTCTGGAGGTCCTTTGCCGTCGCCACCGCAAACTGGAACAGAGTGAAGCCAAACATACCGATGATGATAGGCAGCCGTCGGCCGTAAAGCTCAGACATAGGAGCCCACAAGATCGGGCCGGTCGCAAACCCGAGCACATACAGGGATAGGCCAAGCGTCCCAACCTCGGCATTGACATGGAATTCGGGCGATATGACGCTGATGGCTGTGGAGAAAATGGAGCTGGTGAAAGAGGAGTTGAATGTCGTCCACGCCAGCATGACGGACGTGGCAAGCCTGCGAGAAGCCCAGTTAGCAACCAGAGTCTTTATTTCAAAGGAAATTGATTGATCACTCACTTTTTCTTGGGCGTCCAATTCTGCGGGTGCAAGGGGTCGTCCGGTCCCGCGAATTCCACGACATACTCTTCCCTCTCCGGTAAGGCAGGAGGATACGGCTTGCCAGCTCCGAATTCCGGCAGGGGGGTTTTAGGAACACGAGTTTTGGGCCCAGCACCAACGGTTGCACTGTGCTGGCTTCGCTGAGTTGCGATACGGCTCAGGGCTGTGAGATGCCGCTCGAGACCGACACTCTGCTGAGTCTGAGCCGTCTGGATTTGCTCGAGGTAATGGCCATGCTGGGTGGATCCGGAGTCTGAGGTGAACGAGGTATCTGAAGAGGAGAGCGAGGCCGAGCGAAAGGCACGGTTGCCATAGTCGACGGAGTGAGGACGGTTAGTGCTCTCAAGCTCCGCCTTCTCCGAATCCTGAGGATCCATGGTGGAAGAGTCACGGTGATCCCGAAGCCAGATTTGTCGACCGGTTCACTTCCCAGAATTGAGAGAGGGGTGTGGAGAGAGAAGGGGGGATGGGTGAATAAATAGAGCGAAGTCGATGCTACCTCATGGGCAGAACCCTTTTTTTTTTTTTTTTTTTTTTTTTTTCACTTTTGTTTTATTATTAAAAACAGGAGAAAAAAGATAACAGAAAGACGAACGGAAAACCGGCATACGTCATGTGGGGAGGAGGCGAATGTCTCGATGAAATCCAGAGTTGATTCGGAGACGCCCCCGACGCTTCTGTTGCCTTCATTCAGGTATATAAGGGCCATGGTGGCATTCTTGAGCTCAGAGATTATAGCATATCTGCTTTGCTTGCCTTTTCGAGGCGATTTGAAGCGCTAGATGCAGAATCACCGGCAGGATTATGCTGGAAGAGACGCTGTCAGGCAGAGATGAAAAGTCGGGAGTTTTTCCGTTGATCTACCCATTGCCGCCAAAAGAGACGGTGTAGCAGCACCAAGCGTTTAGGCCGTCAATAGTATGGTTGCGGTCTGGAGTTGCAACCCAAGGTCGCTGCCTGATGCCACTTAATATTATATTATTATTATTTAACGGCATTTCATTTCTCGTTGACTTACGGAGAGTACGGTCTAGACACTGAAGTTTTTCATTGGGGTTTTCCTTCTAGGGCTGACTCCGCTTGTAGCCGCTTGTCCTCGGCTATCAAAGGACGGCTGGTACAGTGGCACCTAATAAGTCTTTGCCCCCCCCTGATTACTAATTATTATTCTGCCGGTCAAACCCTCCGAAATCAATAAAATCAATATTTAGTATACCATCCGTCAGCCTCAATGACAGCCTTTACACAGTTTGGCATTGTATCCGATAGCTTTACTAATATCTCCCTATCTAGAGCTTGCCAGGCCTCCTTGGCTGCTTTTATTAATTGCTCAAGAGTTCCCACAGTATTAGGGGCACATTTAAGTTCAGGGTAAAGCTCATAAATTTTTGCCTTCATCAATGCCCATAGATTCTCAATGGGATTGAGGTCTGGAGAATATGGCGGCTAATCCATTACCTCAATCCCTAGTTCCTCCAAAAGATCTTGTATCAGATAGGCCTGGTGTAAGGGAGAATTATCTTGCATAAATATATCTCCTGGGCGGACAAATTCAGGAAGAAAAGCATGATATAATGCCTCAATAACAAATCAGTCAACACCTCCATGAGGAGCTTCAGGATTGCCATCTAGAGGAACCAAACCAGTTCTTCTAGCTTCACCAAATCCAGCCCAAAACATCTTTTTCACACCTTTCCCATGTGGCCTCTCATGGATATCATGAACTTTAAGTTGTTGTGATGGCTGAATAAAGGTCCAAGTAGCTCTAGCTCCAACTCCACACTCAATAGAGCATTCATCTGACCAACAAACTCTAGCCCAATTCTCAGAAGTGAAATGCTCATATTTTCTAGCCCATTCAAGTCATTTTGCAGCATGGGTATGACATAAAGCTGGCTGAGAAAGTTGACGCCATTTGCGGAGACCCATCTCATTCAGGAGGTTGCGTATTGACTCCTTTTTACCCTTATTATCAACCTTATCAATCAGATCTCGGTATTTTATATGTGGATTTGTAGAGATAACATCATACAAATGATCTCGATCCTCTTCAGTAAGCTTGCGTGGTTGACCAGAACAGGGTAGGGAGGCATTGTTGCAATGTTGGTGTTCCATTCTAATGGTATATTTGATAGTTAATAGTGGAATCTCAGGATGCACTGTATGAATACGTTTAGCACCCCAATGGCAGGTAGTATGAAGCTCACAGATGCGAGCACGAGATGTAGGATCTAATTCTTTTCTTGGTGGCATGGTGTAGGGCATTAGATGGTAGTAAAAGGGGCGAGCATATGGAGTAGTAGGGGTATGCGGTGTGATCTAGAGCAGGCGGTGTACTAGAGGCGGTCAGATGGGGGGGGGTGCAAAGACTTATTAGGTGCCACTGTACTTATCACGTAACGGCATGTATAGTTAATGTACGGAGTAGTTAATTCTAGTAAATAGATCCTTGTCAAGGCATCATCATTATTTATGCTCCGTAGCCTGGCATCATTTCATTTGTAGGATGTTCAGCAATCGTCGAGGCTCTGCAGCGTCTCAGCAACAACACACCCATCATCTGCATACTCCGTATCACATGTTGATGATAGACATCTGTCTCATGAACAGCGATGCTGAATACAAAGACGAAGCCTAGCTAGAACAACCAACTCAGCAAGTTCGACCCCCCCCCCCCCATCAACAATCTATATATTGTTGTAGGAGAGAGGATTCATCCACAACAGGATCCAAGGAGAATGGGAGAATGGATGGAAAACATCAAAGAAAGGAGGACACCTCTGCCAGATTGATGCAGGTCTTCCTTCAATCCGCGCCCAGCAGATGTATGGCTCACTGCTCCAGAATTAAGCCTACTTGCTCACCCAACTCTAAACTGGTAAGCTGCGCCGCTTCTGAGAGGATGACAAGTGTAAGTGTAGAGCCTCAGAAACAGTGATCTAAGAGCAAAGACATGAATTATAGAAGAAGATTGGAACCACATTTAATGATATTCCTGGTATGCTGGGAGGAGGTGGCTCTCTAGGTAAGGAAGGTAGGTTAAAAGGCACTACGCGAGACAGTAGCATCTTAGGTGCAATACTGGATTTTGCAGGGGTGTCGGAGGTTCCAAAGCCACGCGCTACAGAGGCTGAAGAACAGAACACCAGGCACTTAGGCCGCCACAGGCCTTGATGAGACTCCAAATTCATCAGAAAGTACTGGTTCACTGTACATAGATATATATATAGTTAAGGATAGGGATAATGGTGTCCTGCATATCGCGAATGCGAGGGGCCAGGGTATGAATACAACCAACCAACCAACCAACCAACCAAAGTAGTAGCTAGCCGTTAGGTTACTATGGGTTGTTACGGGGTATGGGTTGGAAAGCACCGTCGTACTCGAGGATGATGGTGGTTGGTAGAGCCTTGCTGCTACTAAAGGAGATAATCCAGCCTCCTGTATCCGGATCTACCTGCTCTCCAGCACTAAGGGAAATGAGGATAAATAGAGGATCAGCAAAAGGTGGAAAGGGGATAGGACTAAGCTTCACACACATCTCAATTAAGCTGCTTTCTCGCCTCTAAACCTGGTGATTGTATTATACATTCTATAAGGATGTGAGCAACATGACAGGATAAGGATATAAGATGAAACATAAAGTGAGATTATATACCACCAGATGGCAAAGATATTGCACAGTTAATTATTATCCAATCCTCAAGCATACCAGCTTCAATCCATGGATAATATTGGCCGCCCATCACCTTTCCTAGACCATTCACTGGAGATTGGCACACCTCGACCTACTACTGTATTGAATTCTCTGTAGAACTCACCCTGATATTGTGCCTCCACTGGTCGAAGTCTTGCTACAGTTTGACAATTTGCCTTGCATGCAATGCGTAAGATTATGTGAGGTGAAGTGCTCAAGGACTTTCATACACAAGCTTTTAATTGTTGGAAACAATTCATCTCGAAATGTCTTTAGCTTCTTGCCGATTGAGTGCTCAATATACCTAAAGTAGGTCAGACAAGAGCCAAATAAAAGTTGTAACTTAGGGACTATTACTTTCCATGTAAGCGTGATGGTAGAACAGCAACACTATGCTGCTGTTCAGTGTTATCTCCTAGGAGAACCCTATGTATCCAGCTATTTTCATAGCAGCACATGATACCATTTGGACTGGTCAAAGGAAATATATCCAGCCTCTAACACTGCTCAGGGTGCAGGGTGTTTGCAGCTTCTACTGTAAATGTTTTTCCCCCTGAAAAAGATCGGGAGACAGTAGTTTCCTTGAGATAGCCGAAGACTTTATCATCATTTGCCAAGGCTTGAATCACGCAGTCCCGCGTTATTGCAGGAATAACTTCATGTTTCAGTTGAGAGCGGTATGGGCTGACAGGGCTGTAGATATTGAGATTCAAGTAATCTATATAACCAGTCCTGTACTGGGTATCCATCCAAATCTTCTTTTTGACACGATCAATGGTGTCGATGTAATAGTACAATCTATAGGAAACACTGTCAATTGTCGAAGAACGCACACCACTAGGTGCGCTGAGATGGCTGAGCCATTATTGGAGAGGATGACCTTCGATCAAAAATCCAAGAGAAAAGATTCGCTACAATGATGAGGATGGGAGCACTGGTCGTGATGTGAAATGAGGAAGGTTTAGGTTGTTCTCTTGTTCTGGAAGGAAGGATAGTAGAAGGCGCATGGCAGGATTGATTTCATTGGATGACGTCAGTTACTTCCCAGGTTCTTACATTACACTGGTAATTTGTGACATTGCTATGTTTCTTTTTCCTACCTCTTCTTTAACAGAAAAGACATAAAAGAATACATCCTAGCGCATGATGGGCACTCTGATTGCCGCTGTTGGCTCTTCGAAGTACAGGTATCAAACAGAATGGAGTAGGACCTTAGTGATCACCCCCTTGCGGCGGATCTTGGAAAACTGAATCTGGAGTCTTGAATCAAATACGAGACAACAACCTCATTCTCTATCTCCATCCTATGAGGATTTGACCCATTTTATAGTATAAAGAGGTGAGAGCCAAAGAGAGCTTGTTTGGCCATTTCCTTACTCTTTACATAGAGAACTAGAGAGGTGTTGAAACTTTTGGATCCTGAGCTCTTCCCCTTTTAGCCATTGGGGTTCCCCGATCAAGCTGCAGATGGCCTTACTAAGCCACTGTGCTCTGATTGTTTTCAGACATGGCTAAGGCTCATCAACATGAAATGATTACAATTACCAGATCAAGAAATTCTTTACTATTTGAAAAGCTTCATGTATGATAGTTTTGGGCTTCCAACACTCGGGCGAGGCGTGTTAGCACGCTCTGCCAGCCCAGACCGTCCTCGTTTAGGTCGCCCACATTAGATAATTCTGCTCTAGCTAGCTTCTTGGAATGCGAGGTATATCCTCCAACATATACTTATAGTATACATTGTACGGGGTTCTTTTGCCTTGTCCCGAGTAAGTAACACGCAGAACTGCTGCAGATGGTGTTCTTTGCAGAGCTTTGAGTTATCCATGCGCCCCATGTGGCGCACGCTGGCGTTTCGCGTTTGATAGCTTGAGAGCATCTGTCGCTCTATGTATCCAAAGATCTGTGCAGATGAGCAGCAAAGGACTCGGTACATACTACTGTCCACTGTGTCTAGTGTCGACGCTCCTTTGCAGCTTACCAATCTACTCTATATCAAGTTATCAACTTTGAAAGCGACAGCTGCAAGACACAGATGGCGTGCGTGTGGACGATGCAAGGGGTTCCTGGCTAAAATTAGCTGCCGACCGGAAATATCCAGGAACAGGAATAGGAACAGCAGGAATGGATTGAAACCACAGTGGACCATGCAGCAGAGAGTTTCAGAGTGGCGCACTGCGAGATTATTATTATGATCCAGGGGGAATACCTAATAATATCAAATCGGCTGTAGCGTTGCGGTCTCGCCAATACTGAATATGCATATCTCTTGCTATTTCCACGGCCCGACGAGCTAAGCCTTTCTGTGCCGTCTCCAGCAACTCCGCCTCGCTCTCTCTCCCCTTTCTTCCTCTCCTTCTCTCTTTCTCTTCCACACTCTCTTTTCTTGCTTCTTCATCATCCTCCCCTTCTCTATGACTCGGTTCGCTGCTTTGCATTGACTTTGCTGTTACCCTCCCCCCTTCCATTCGTTCTTTCTCTTGGCCGTTTGGCCGCCGCTCCTTACAGGGGTTCTCAAGCCCCGTTCATTCTCTACCTGCAAGGCGGTTGATCCAGTCCTTCGTTCGTTTCCAACTCTTTCTTCTATCAAATCCCGTGCTTCTTTTTATTTTTATTTTTATTTTCTTTTCTTCTTGCCGACAAATCCTTTCGTTATCCAACCTTGGCTTGTGCTTGATCGTCATCCCTCAGTTTGTCTTGGATCTTTGACTGGACACCGAATTAATGCTCTGGGAGAAAAACATCGTCCTTTTTCCATTCCTCTACAGATCCTACTATCGAACTGTTACGGTTCTCCTTATCCTCATTGATACTTCTTCCATTTTTAGTCGACACCCCTTTATACTTGGACTTTGACCCACCCCCAGACCAGCATGAGCCATAGAATTGCAGCGCGCCATGGCGCTCACGTGGGGACAAGATACCCGCGTAGACCGGATATTGTACCTCGAGACCGTCTACCGTTCCTTTCGGTTTCCGCACCCCCAACCATGGTAAGGCGGAGTGACTCGACCCAAACATGTGGATCCGATGGCGCGAGCAGTTGTCAACTGAATGACACCACGGCCAAGAATGCAACTTTGCCCGTTATCCTGGGAGTCGTGTACGTTCGTTCATATGGCCCTGGATGGCTTTGGATGTGGCTAATAAGTTGTTAGGATTCCCGTCGTGTGTGCCATCGTCGTTTTGATTATCTTGCATCAAAGATACCTGAGAAGACTTCGCCAGGAGGATGCCGAAGACAAGACCCGTTCACTTGATTATGGCCTGGGTAATGTTGGAACCTCTGGCCAACAGAACATGGAGGAGAAATCCGATCAGAAAGGCGGCAAATATGTGTCTCTGGACATGACCAACCCGAACAGTCCATACCTCCTTCCCCCCGGCCTCACGCACTCACGTGAATCATTGCATTCCTTGTCCAGGACGTTCAGCGATGACAACAAGTACCGACCTGCTGATTCTCTCTTCCGGAGTGATGCTGCTTCATTGCGGACCCGAGGACCAGTGGATGACGCCTCCAGCTTCACTGGATCGGCCAGGCTTCACACACCACCGGATGATATGAATCAAGGCCTCTTGAAGAATGCTCAAAGAATTTCGAGGTCCTCCCCCCCGCTTTTCAAGCTGGCTGATAACGAGCCCGAAAGCCCACAAAATGCTGGCTCCAGTCGTGACCCATCACAACTTAATCTACCAACGGCTATTAGTCCCGGTTTAGCAGTGGGAGACGATTCGCAGAACTCCCATGTCAGCGGCTCGAACTCCGTGGCCACGGATTTCAGAAGAAGCAACGATTACTTGAGCTCGTCCGTCCACCGTGACAGTCCATCTCCGGACGCCTCTCACAGCGCTGATCCTGCTCACGTTGAAGTCGTCGTTTCCGATTATTCGAATTCCTCCGACTTTCCATTGCCTCCCACGTCAGCCTCCCACCATGACAATCTCGCTACGGCACAAGTAAACCTGGAGCCTACCCAAGCGTCCTCCATGCATGCCCCGAGGATTTCACTCCCATTGAGTGATGGTGCTAGTGACTATGGCGATGGCAGGAATTCAACCCTTAATCCGGTAGTGAAGGTGGATGGAGTGGAGGACAAGAGTGCGGCGAGCAAAGAGACACTCGGTAACCCTGCTGTGGCCTCGCGAGAGTCAGTTTACAGCACCACCGGAGGGGCTGATGCCCGTCGTATGACCTTTGGATTGCGCCCGCTCCCTCCAGAGGATCCCGCAGAAGATCCGGAGCAGCGTGCTAATCGGATCCGCTCTTTTTACAAAGAGTATTTTGATCAAAATCGGACTGAGAATGGCGAATACCATCAAGAATTTGGTCCTGAGTTCTATGCGGATAGCGCTGTGTATGACCCCGTCACAGGAGAACCTCTTGGAATACCTAGACCATTTGCTGAACCGTACGCTCGTCGTGCAATGACTCCGCCTCCTCGCGCTCCTCCAAGATTCCAGGGAGCAGCTCGTCATATGGCCACAGGCTCCACCGGCAGCGGCTTTGATCTACCCAGCCCCCGCGTTTTCTCCTCTGCCTCTGGACGTTTCCCTGGTCCTCAAGCCCCGCGCAAGCCAATCCCCCCTCCGGCACCTCTCAAGATCCTTCCATCTCCCCACTCGCTGAAAGATGACTTCTACAACCAGTCCATTGAGTATGTCCGCCCGGGATTCGATGACCGACCTGACACGGCTATGAGCCGACGAGCCGCCACTCCTATTCTCGCTTCGCCATTCGAGGAACTTTCCGTATTACCAAGCCCGTAGGTTTTCTCCTTCAGGTATTCGCATTGGAAGTCACACTAACATTGATTTCAGGCACGCTTTGCGGAAATCAGGAGCCTATACAAATCTGGATTTTGCTCCGCCGCCTAGGTTTAAGACAGGTGACACTTCAAGCGATACAGGCAGTATTCACAGCAACCGCACAGGACTCTCGGCTGCTCAGCTGTATAATATCCGCTCGGGTGCGTACCGCGTCAGTCGTTTGCCTGCAGATACCGTGGGTACCAAGGATGATCTTCTCGCCAACCTGGGCCGTCCCGACTGGAACATGGGGCGTTGAAAAATTCGACGTCTTTTGACCAATCTCGACTGCCTCTGGTTCTGGGCCTAATGATATATATCTGTTTTTTTTTTTTTTTTTTTTGCCATCCTCTCTTCAAGTTACGATCTGTCACTTGTTGATCTCCTTGATATTATTTGGCGCTTTGCTGCAAATATTGGGACGATTTTCTTTTTCTGCTTTTCTATTTCCTTCCAGATCGTGCCCTCTTATCCTGAGACGTTACAGGCGTAATTAACACTGGCGTTTCGTGCTGTTGTGCTTACTTTTATATTATATTTCCCGCCATCGCCTTGGGAACCTTGTCCTTATATTTGCACATTGCAATGGATATCAAGATGATTCTTAATTTGTTGATGTCGCTTACTCTTGGACATATTGCCTAGTCATTTCTTGGATGTAATGCAAGAGGGGATATAGCGAAAGGGCAAGGCTGTAATTCAATATTTTCTAGTGATTAGCAGGGTACATGTGCAGACGGCTTCATAAGAGGAATAGGTTACCATTTGTGAGAGTCAAGTCTGAATTGGATTCCTCAATAACTTCCTCGTCATGATTCATTCATATAACATATATCATCCAGAAACAGAGGGATGAATAGCTGACAGGTGTCCCTACTTCCAGATTCAAAATGAAGACGAGTAGGAAGGAAAAACTAACTAGCTTGGGAACCCTAAAAGACCAGGTTCCTCGTCTGTTTGAAGTCCTTGACCTTGATATCTCGCCAGAATACAGTACTGAACGGGCCCAGCGCCAGGATAGCTGTGCTTACAATCCGCATAATGCGCTGGGTATCACTATAGGCGGTATTGACGTCATCCAGATAGGGAGTTCCCTTGGGGCCCGGCCATCTGGGCCAGGGGGGTGATCCGTAGATGGCTTGGATGGATGCATCAGACGGCAGGTACTTTCTCAATTTTTTGTCTGTGAAGACACCGGTCCAGATGACTGTGGCAACAGTCTGGCCAATTGCGCTGCCGATGGCGGAGAAAAGGTCGAGAATGGCGATGATAGCGGCGATGTGCTGATGGTCTGAGGGCGCCATCATCGCCATTTCACCGCAAATCACCATAGTACCGCCAGCAAGGCATTGAAGATCTGCGTCATGACGACATACCTGATATTGGAATGGGCGAAGCGGAAATGGATTATTAGGCCCTCTGCCAGCAACACGAGGGGGATGGCAAAGTACACGGCAAGCCATTTGAAGCATCAAGACACCCACGACGAGGGCCCAGAAGCACGCCCACGCGGCACATGGCTGAAATGTAGGTGACTTGGGGGATGTTCTGTCGTATACCACCATGAGCATGAAGTATGCACCCCAGATGGCGGAGCTGGCGAAGACGAAGACGAGCATCAGACCGCCGAAGAAAACGGTTCTGTCCAGGGGCAAGCGGAAGGGGACGAAGGGAACTGGGGCTAAGAAGGGTTCATACAAAGCGAAGACAACCAGAAGGACTCCGCCGAATGTGATCATGCATATGATCATCGGTGAGCGCCATTTCTCGCCTTGATATGACCATAAACTGAAGGGGAGCAGGAACAGTGCCATCCCGCCGGCAAGGACGAGGATGCCAACCAGGTCGATACCGATGGCATATTTCTTCAGGGTTTTCAAGTTAAATTTCCAGTGTGTCGATGGCAGAAGTCCGCTCTTTTTGGCCCGATAGTGGTTCCAGAAGAAGAGGGCACAGAGGGGTGCTACACGACGGGAACAACGACTGAGAAGATCCCGAAACCCAACGTCATCCTGCTCCCTACAGGAGACTTGGACGTTGCATAGGACAACACCAATCACCGGTTCTTCAGCGACGAGGTGTCGGCGATGAAGATCGTCAGACAGTAGCTCACTCCCTGCTAGCTCATTATCGTTCCTGTCAGCAAAATGCGCATGTCCATCCATTGTTTATCCAAATGAAGAAACGGCAGAAGCTTCACTTACCTGACGCTCGAGAAGACTTGCGCTGCCGCATAGGTTTTGACATTGTTGCATCCAGCCATCATGACAAAGCCAACAACCCAGTTAATCAGCATGAGCGTCAAGCCTTGCGGCCGTCCCCAGATGTCTATAATTTTGGCTAGAGGGAGGTTGAATATGCCGGCGACAATGCTGGCCACAATGCATCAGGGAGTGCAAGGCGAACGAACTCGTTACATACGGGTTGAAAGCAGCGGCAACGGTTTCCTGAGTTGATGTAATGAAGTAGATGAACCAGATACTGGAGAAATTTCCTTGTGTCAGCGAACCTACACAGCCATATAAATTGCTCGTTTTTCTTGCTCAACTTACATGACATATACAGCAATCAGGTGGTATTTTTTCCAAGCCGACAGGGCTGCTTCGACCCTGCGGATCTCAGCCTGTGTTCTCCTGCCGGTTCCTTATCTTCTTAAGCCTTGAAAATAGATGCAGACTTATCAGTAACAGCCACGGTACGAACGCCCTCCTCGGGCTTCTCGATATCTGCCATTGGCAGTGAAAAATGATAGCAATCGATTGCGATAGAATCCGCTCTCCCAGGCTTCCAGAAGTGTGAAACAATGACGAATTCGCCCTTCTGAAATCTTGAAGGCCTCTGCAAAGAACTTTATACCTTCCCCTTTTATTTTCTTTTCTATTTTATTTATTTGTTTATTTATTTATTATTATCATTATTAATTAAAATTTTTTTTGCTAGTGACTGACCACATGCTATGGAACGGTTAGACTTTGGCTGCTGCCACTGTAGCGCACGCATGGGCGACTGCCTGTTTCCGGTAGCTTTGTGGTTATTTGGTTACTGGCTTCCAAGATTTTCCCAAGACCTTGGCAAGCATGGTGACTTTATCAATCAGGGGCGTTTCTGGCCTGCGTTGGCTGTCTTAGCAAGGGTCAAGAGGTCCATAATCATATATATAATACAACCAGGTAACTACATGATGTGCTGTATGTATGTATGTATGTATGTATGTATGTATGTATGTATGTATGATATAGTATTACTGGGTTAAAACACTGAAATACAAATACCACACTAATGGATATCCACCGCCGACTTCATTCCGTCTCCAACAGAATCTCTCTCGCAGTCAGACCACAATGGGCCCGCTCGCACCATTAATTTATTATGATTGTGTCTCGCGGTTGTACGGAGCACTCCATAGCATCTGCTCACTGCATCCGCTATCCCGATTACCGGCAATTGCTGGTAATACATCGCCCCGCCATTGTCGACAGCCATGAGAGATGCGCCCCAGACTTTTGTCTTCTTTCTCTTCTGGAAGACAGTTGACCTGCAGATACCCGCTGGCCTCCGAGCGTGAATTCGAATAAGGATATTTCCTATCTCTTCTGCTATTATTGTCGTTATTAGACTTCCCGACTTTATACGGCCATCGTAATTTCTGTCCAGCAGTACTAACCAGCCCACCATGCCCAGCGAAATAGTCCCGGAGAGAGCTCCTTTTCGAGTCCTGGTCATTGGAGGCTCATATGCCGGATTTGCAACGATCGTGAACCTTCTGGATCTTTGCCATGGAAAGCCTTGCCGTTTTGCTGCATCCAAGACTGATGATGCATCGCGCAATGAACCTGAGCAGCGGCGCGTCCCCATCCAGGTTACCTTTGTCGACGAACGTGATGGGTATTGTAAGTGCTCTCTGAATTTTATAGAATTGACACCGCAAACTGTGAATGTTCGCTAATTCTTTTGGGGATTCTCTGTAACTCCTAGATCATTTAATTGGCTCACCATTGGCATTTGCATCATCATCGTACGCTGCAAAGGCCTGGGTGCCCTACGAGGAGATCCCAGCACTAAAAACCCCGGAAGTCCAATTTGTTCACGGAACCGTCGTGGAGGTCAATTGTCAGGCAAAGGAGGCGACCATTAAGGAAAATAACACCCAGACACATCGCCGAATTTCCTATGATTATCTGATCGCTGCCTCGGGACTCCGACGCAACTGGCCTACGGTGCCGCAGGCCTTGCGGAGAAAAGAATATCTTCTGGAAATGGCTAAGCATATAGATGGAACGGTGAGAGCAACTGATGGCGTTGCTGTTATAGGCGGAGGTAAGACCCCCCTACTCCTTGGTCCAACAGTATGTATGAAACCAGAATAGGGAATAGTAACATCATATCTCTTCTTCCAGGTGCGGTCGGTATTGAAATGGCAGCTGAACTCAAGGCTGTACGGCCAGAGTGTAAAGTGACGTTGGTTCATTCACGAGCAAGACTTCTGTCGTCCGAACCCCTTCCCGACGAGGTCGGGAATCGCGCTCTAGACTTGCTACACGAGACAGGTGTGGAAACTATTATGAGCACGAGAGTCACAAACATCGAGAAAAAGGATGAAAAGACTTCTGTGCTATCTCTATCTGATGGGAGACAGATCACTTGTTCGCTAGTGATCAATGCCATCTCGAAGTTCACTCCGACTTCCTCCTATCTGCCAGCCTCGATCTTGGATGACAATGGCTATGTCAAGATCAAAGCAAAGTATGTCAGCCGTGCCCAGATATAAATAAGGTTATTTACAAGATATGATTAACCCTGCTGAACAATCTAACAGCCTTGAATTCCCCGACAATGCGCCTAATGCCTATTATCATCACGCAGCGGGTGACATTGCTGCATGGCCAGGCATAAAACGATGTGGTGCTGCCATGCACCACGGTCATTACACAGCTATTAACCTTCATCAGAAGATGCTGGCCGAGCTGGATCGTAGCAGCGCCTTGACAATGAAACTAGTCGAGTTGGCCCGAGATGTCCCAGGCGTGATTGGGCTCGCAGTCGGGAAAAAGGCTGTGTCATACAACCCGTTGGCAGGCGTCCAATCGGGCGAGGATGTCATGAAAGTATACTTTGAAAATGATCTGGGATATCGGAGTATGTGACCTTGAATATTTCATTTTCAGCTCTATTGAAAGGATGAGACAGGACTGACTGTTTTTTTTCCGAACTTAGTTTGTTGGGATTATATGCGACTTGGTGAGGCAGCTCTCGTTTGAGAATCATGGGACGGTTTTCTTTTTAGGGCGTTTGAATGTGCTTCGGTTTATTTTAGATGGGAATATGAAGGGTCGGCAGTATATAACATAAAACTTCCAAATATGAATTATCAAAATGGAGACTTCTATCTATCAATCTATTGAGTAGTGTCGTAAGGACGTATATAGTTGACTACTTCTGACATTCCAGCTACACCGTTTGTTTACATCTACCCGAATAACAGAGACCCTGGCTCCTTCATCAGCTGCTTCACAATACCTTCCAGTTCATCAAGCAAGTCTCTCGCCGTCTCTCGCCAGGATTCAAAGGTGACAATTTCCAGACTCAGTATCTCATCATCGCCCCTCTTGCCGGGGAAAGCCTGGATCTTCCATTCCCGAAGGGGTTCTTCATGGGCATAGATCGTTTCTAGCTCTGCCTTTGTTGTCCTGAAGGGCAAATGTTCAACATGTCGCACATCTTGATGAACAACAGAATCGAACCATTCTGCCCTCTCTGTCCCGGCGGCGCCAGAAAGCCAATCCTTGGGAGCGCAGTTCTTTATGATTTCAGATAATCCTATGCCCTCGTAGGGGGCGCTGTTGATGTGCTGATTCTGAACGTATCCAAGGAGATCAAAACCGGTCCAGTGCGGTTCGAACTTCACCCGGACCGGCACGTATTGCCAGCAGGGACCCATGACGGGATCGGTGTGTGGTAGACCGATGTTGCGGCCACTGACGACCTCACCAAAAACGACGTCGCGGCTGGACAGGCGTTTTGCCAGACACAAGGCCCAGGCAGCGGTTGGCAATGTTGCAATCGTCACGTTGCTCGGTCGGCCTGAGATGTTAAATTCTCTACTGATTGCGAAGTGCTCTCTGGAAACTATCGGTGTGCTTGGCCGGATAATTGACATGGCTGAGCCCTGGAGTAATTCGCGCCAGTATGGGGCACTCCGCGGTATGTTGTGTCGAAGTACATGTCGAACATGAGATGAGAACGGAACGCATTGTTCAATTCCTTCAAGTCTGCCTTCATAGAGAGCTGACAGCTGCTCCAACAGGACGGGGAGGCAAATCTCGTCGTATTGGGCATGGGAGATGCGCAGTATCAGACAGCTCTGCTGGTCTACTCCTTGTACAAAGAAGAACTTCACGAAAGCGGAGCCCAATGGCATTCTCATTTCAGCGTCGAGATGGCAGAACCTTTGAACAAACTGTCGAATATCACCATCCGTCTCATACGTGTGAAGAGTGACATCCAGCGCCTCTAAGACGACCCCAAGGTATTCACCGTTGCTCTCCACAAACACAGTTCGCAAGATCTCATTACGAGCCACGAGGTCTTCACAGCTCCTCTGTAACTGATGCAGATCAACTGGAGAGTCGAAGTAAATATTTTCATACCGTGACGAATATCTTGGGAGTTTAATAGTCCCATTAACAGCAATTCTTTGCAGTGGACGGACTGGATAGGCGTCTGTAATCTTCCAGTCTGCATTCAACAACGTGGGTTTGATGGAGGCGGAAACAAAACTCTCTGGATCCTCCTCGTCCAAAAGCGAAAAAGCTACATCCGCCTCCTTTTCGTTTTGTGGTTCCTTGACTTCCACCTCTTCCTCGGTATGGCTGACGATTGGACCAAACAGGCGAAGGTTGAAAATGTGAGCAACCGTCAGCTTGAGACTCTCCAGCCGCGCCTCATTCGCCAACCTCATAGCCAGGATTGAGTCACCGCCAAGGTCAAAAAAGCTGGAGTGATGATGGATTTGCTCTTGTGGAATGCCGAGTATTCGACTCCATAACATTGCCATTTTCCTCTCCTTGTCTGTGCTCTCGACTGGATCTTGAGCTTCGCTGATTTGAAGCAGCTCAACCGCCTCACGTTCATGAAGCTTCACAAACATGATGGTACCATCGCTACGATACCTTACCAATCGACGAGTGTGGTACAACTTCGATTCATGTCCTGCTGCTTCCTCCGATGGAGTCGGTAACCAATGTGGAATAGTTGCCAGAGGCTCCAATTTGGCAGTCGAGCTTTGCACGAGCAACTCGCCCACCGCACCAGGTGGAAGAAGACGCTCCGGGTCAGATGGATCCACAATCCAGGTTGATGTGATGGTGTTTGAGATGCTTGCCAACTCCTCGTCTTCGCATTCGGCGAGATTGTTTAATTTCAAGGTGTTGTAGGCAGGCGGACTGCCACTGCTCTGCTCGGCGAAAATATTCAATTCCTCTAACCGCTTCTGTGGGAATCGGCTGACTTGCTGGACTGTCTCCCCAAAACACTCTAGTATTCTCTTCATATGAGCCACGTCAATTAAATTCGAGTCGAAACTGGCCATGATCAGGAATCCATCTGCATCTAATGAAAACACCAACATCAACCCGAAGGAATTGAAGTTTAGAGCCTCACGGGCTGCTTCAATATCATCGGCAGGAATAAATCCACTAGCTGGATTATTCAACTGATCACCTTCTCTCTCTTCAACTTCCATGGGAGGGTGGATGACGATGCCAGTTCTGAGCTCGCAAGCCTCTCGCGCGTCGAGACTGACACGACGAATGTGCTGTAATCCGAAATGCTCGTGAGGAATACGCTCCGCCGTTTGCGCCATGATATCTCGCAAATATTCTGATATCGTCATTCCCTTATTAATGCGGATACGTACCGGTACCGTAGTGATCGTTGGCCCCTCGATATCTTCGATTCCAGGGACAGGAGCATTGCGACCTGTCAAAGTCTCCCCGAAAATGACATCGTTCGAGGACGTATAGAGACCCGCGGTCAGCGCCCATGCGCCGCGAATTGCATTTGCAATGGACGTAGAGGAGGAAACCGATTTCAAAGGTAAGGGCACGTAATGCTCCAATAGGGACTGTGCCCGCACCTGGTATCCAGGGACTGGGACGACTGGGAATTGAAGTCTGGTTGCTCCCTGTAGTTTTCTGAACCAGTAGGTTTTGGATTTGCGACTATCGACGCTATTGATGGCTTTAATGAAAGCATTATAGGGAGTTGGGCTCTTGGTTTTCAACCCCCTGTAAGCCTCATTGATCCGTTTCACGACCAACGGCATTGACCAGCCATCATACAGTGCGTGGTGGATAGTCCAAACGAAGCGCACCTTATCCGATCCCTTTACTGTGATAAACGCTAGCCGCGAGAGTGGCTTGTTGAGCTCCATGGGCCTCTCCCGATCAAATTGGAGATAGGCCTGCAAGTCGTCTACGGAATCCCAGAAGAGTGGTTCTCGTATCACGACTTGCATCAGTCCGCGACCGGGAACTTGAACAATTCTCGTTCGCAAGACTGGCTGGTCAGAGACAATTTGGTCAAATGCCGTCCGTAGTTTGGATGCCGTTTCTCTGTCGGGAAGCTCGACAACCCTTTGGGCGACATATGCTCCACTGACCTTAGCAGACAAAGCCATGAATCCTTCCTGCAGTGGCGAACAAGGATAGACATCTTCTATCGACGACGTCTGTACCTGGCAAAGTTCTGCTACCTGTATGCGGGCATCTTCTGCTGTCCAATCTTCAGGGAGCAACGAAAATGGAGGTACATTAGCTTGCTCGACATTTCCATCGATGGTCTTTGCGGCCGCAGCCATGTCTGCCAGGGCCGGGCTGCTGAAGATGTCTCCCACAGTCAGGGAAATGCCTTTCGCTCGCAGAGACGAGACGAGTTTCATCGCCTTGAGCGAGTCACCCCCCATAGTAAAAAAGTCGTCCTGTAGCCCAACCTTGCTATCACTACCCAGTATATCTTTCCAGGCCCCACTCAATGTAATTTCGATGTTGGTCATAGACCTATTTGCTGCAGGCGCTGAAACTCGGAATTTAGCAAGACTTTCCCTTGTCAGCTTGCTCCCAATCAGTCGCAGAGTCTTTCTATCAGTCTTACACGAGACTAACAGCGGTATCTTGCGTAGTGGTATGTATGTGGTAGGCACCATGTATCGTGGAAGGACACTCGACAGATATTCGTTTAGTTCCTGAAGACATTCAGTTACCATGGGTGATAAAGAGACTGTTTCGCCGTCTGCCTCTTGATCTTCTCCTTGCTCTGCGACAAATGCCACAAGAATCGGGTCACGGCTCCCATCTTTGGGAACAATCAACTCCGCAGCCACACCGACATGTTGGGGGAGCTTGCTTCTCAGGTGGTACTCGATTTCCTCAAGTTCAACGCGTTGTCCACGAATCTTGACCTGCTGATCTCTACGGCCAACAAATACCAGGGTGCTTGAGTCATCAAAGTCATATCTTACAAGATCTCCAGTCTTGTATAACCGTCCACGTCGTCCGGGGAAGTTTTTCGTGCCAGAAAGCAGCCATTTAGGATCCTCGATGAACACCGTCGAAGTCAGTTGCGGATTGTTCAAGTATCCGGGTCCCACAATTGGCCCTTCAACAAGTAACTCTCCTACAGCTCCAATAGGTGCAAGACTATCATGATCTTCTGGGTCGACAATCCATGTTGTTCCTCCCACGCCCTTCCCGATGCTGGGGGCCTTCTTGTTGGGGTCCACTTCGTTGTTGATCGTGCAACCTACAGTGCACTCCGACGGTCCGTAGGCGATAATAATATTTGTCAATTTGCTCCATACAGACAGGTCGCTCGCCGAAGCCGCCTCTCCCCCCAGACCAAGAGTGTCTAGAGAAGATATGACGTCTGTCGTTAAGATACGGGCTACTGACGGCGTCATATGTGCCATATTGGCATTCATACGTTTGATTGCACCATTCATGTCATTTAGACGCTCTTGCTCTGATGGCTCGCAAATGGTACCTCCAGCAGCCAATGTGCATAGCATGCAATCGAAACTAACATCGAATGCGTATGAAGGGAAATCTAGGACACGGGAAGAAGACGTATAGCCAACTGCCTCAGCCCTGGGTATGGCACCGCTGGTGTAATTGCTGTGAGATATAACAACGCCCTTGGGTTTTCCCGTACTTCCAGACGTGAACTGGATATAAAGAGTAGCCGTACAGGGCACATCAGGCAGAGTAGCAATGTTCACACTGCTACCAATATCTCGTAAAAGGTGGGGGCCTACAGCCACAAGTTTGGCACCAGACGCAATCCGCGAAGCTAGCTCCACCTGGTTGTTGGAGGTCAACAGACATGTTGCTCCTACCTCGGCCACTATGGTCCGTAGCCGTTCTTCCGGTTGGCTAGGATCGGTCAGTACCAGAGCCCCTCCAGCCCTGAGAACAGCCAAAACGCCGACAATTGTCCAGATCGACTTTTCAAAGCAAAGGGGAATGGCGGTACCTATCGTGACCCCGAGATCAATTAAATGCGCTGAGAGCCGGAATGACAAACGATCGACCTGCTCATAAGACAATTCACCGTCCCATGAAATGACTGCCTGCTTGCTTGGGTATCTCTTTGCATTATCCACAAAATATTCATGTATGCAACGGTTTATCCGGGGCGGGACGGGTGAATTCCAGCTCCATAACTTCTCTAGTTCGTGTTCGACGACTTCGGTGAATTGTGAAACGACGTGTTTTGAGCCCGTACATATTGATTCTAATATATCTCCAAAGATGAGGGCGGCGGTTTTTTCTCTGGATTGAGATGACCAGTATAGTTGTCCGAGAGGTCTCACGTGCAGCATTCTATCTTCGAGGATTACTTCAATCGCGCATGCCCACTAGATTTGTTACTAATGAGGAAAGAAGAGTTTATAAAAAAATGAGTGTAGGGAACCCTTTCACAACAACATACCTCGGGTCTTGGCCCTGAAGGATCGAAATTTGAGAAGAAGGCGGGGATCTCGGAGTTGAGAGACCCTGCGTCGTCAAGAGGGAAGCCCCTTCGGCGTCTCCGTTGAATAATCTCCAATAGATTGGACAATCGATCTGTACCACTAGTTATAATGTCGGAAATATGGCCAGAATCCTCTTGAGAGGTTGGTTTTCCCAGATTAGAGAACCCCCAGGTAAAGAAACCGTCATGTCCGTAAGCAGTTCCCCGGTAAAGGAGCAGGATCCATGCTAATGCAAGTGCAGACACCTGTTCATCGACGGTTCTTCTGCCAAATTCCACGGCATTGATAGCAATTTTGTCCGAAATGCAGGAACCAGTGACGCTCCCTTCAGACATGCTATCGCTTGCAGAGGCTGTGCTTTGAATGGACATCAGCGTCAAACTGTCAGATGTGGCTGAGAGGTATCTGTCAGCAATGGCATAGAAAATGCATATAAAATTACATGGAATATGTATGGACTTACAAAATACAAAATAAAAGTGAGACAGAAAAGAAAGAGTGAGGTTGATAAGACGACAGAGCAAGAGATTCGGCGAGAGAAAGTCAACGCTCTCTTCTGACCAAGAGTCAATTCATCACCCCCATGCCGGCTCCAGTACGGTATGCACTAGGATTGCTGCTCTAATTAGATGGGCCCCATTGATCCTCGTTTCTGCAACGCCTCTTCTTGGCTGCAGCATGACCGCAACGTCAGAATCATCTGCAGAAAGCAATCATTAATTTGCAGCTCTGGTCCGAGTGCGCAGCCCCTTTCAAGGACGGTCCGATAATCGCACCAAACATATCTTTTGTTCTGGCTTCAGGATGGTGTCTTCCGGTTGGCCCGATTTCTTTTTCTTGAGACATCGAGGATCCCACCGCATTTCAACACGTGAGGGAAAGGTACGCGCTAGCCCATTAGGTAACGGCGGCTGTAAATACCGCTAACGCAGGTAGGTTAGATGATCTGATAAGATTGGACCAACTTCTCCTGGTACCAGTGATACCGTTCCGTTTTGCAGCAGTAATATATGTATCGTACATGGAATCCTTCGGAAGGCAGTAATACCGCAAGACTCGGCCCAGAAACTTTCGGTCGAAGTAACAAAACTCAATTCAAACTAATTACATGTCCAACCAGAATCAGATAACGTCCAAGCCAGTCTTGGCAGTGGAGTCGTGATGCATCGATGCACTTTGCGCCGTGTACGGTCTCCATGCAGACGTTGCAGAGGGTGGAACCCGGCGTCAAAATATTTTCAGTAAGAATATTGTCGCCATCCCAGCGAGACTCACAAGAATTACCAAATAAAAATGGACAATGGAAAGTCAAAGATCCGCCGGTGGGCAGAGATGCGATTTTATCAATCAGATTAGATAATCTAATCTGATGGTCCTTCTTGGTCTAAACGCCGGTTCCGGCCTAGTTGTAATAATGATTCTTGGCAGCACAGACGATCAACAAAAAAAAAAGAAAAATTATCTAGGCGAAAAAAAGGGAGGTTTAGACGATGTTGCCTTTCCTTTTTCTCATTGTGGAGAACCACCCAGGGAAGCTCGAAGTTAAAGCATTACCATTACCATGGTGGTCGGACTTAGAGAAAAAAAGAAAATAATGACAATCCTGCATGCTTCTTGTTTTCCCCTCAGTCGATAGACTAACTCACCACAGCCATTGCCATTACCATGGGAATGGAAAATGCTCCCGCAGCGGGCGGGGTGCTATCCCAAGTGAAGGTAGGATTACCAGCAATCTGAACTCTTTCGAGGAAGATGCTCTAACTCGTTTCTGCAGGGTCTCTGCAGGCGATCCTTCACCTATCTCCGGCTTCTGTGCTATGGGAAACCAACACCCATCGATATTGCGCTCATGATCATCGGTACTCTTGCTGCTATTGCTTCAGGTGTACCGTTCCCACTCATCGGTATCCTGTTTGGAGAACTAATCGACGACCTCAATTCGGCATCGTGTAGCGAGAAGCAGTCACGGGAAGAGCTATCAGCATACCAGCATGCGGTTAATCACAAAGTTCTTGAGATTGTATACATAGGGATCGGATACTTCGTGGTTGCATATGCCTGCGTCTTTTGCTGGAATCTGACCGGAGAACGTCTAGCCCAGCGACTACGAGAGCGATATCTCAAGGGATTGCTGCGGCAGGAGGCCAGTTTTTTCGATGAGCTATCACCTGGAGAGGCATCTTCAAGGCTAACAGGCCACATTTCCGTCATTCAGCAAGGCACTTCGGAGAAGGTCAGCGCGGTGCTGAATGCCATTTCTTTCTTTGTCACGGCATATATTGTAGCCTTCATCAAAAATGCCAAGTTGGCTGGTGAGCTTGTCTCATTGGCTCCAGCGTATCTGGCGATGACCCTGGTGGGTGGCTATTTCGTCCAGAAGTACTCAGGACAGATGCTGGAGAGTGTCTCTGCGGCCTCGTCGATTGCCATGGAATCCCTATCCAACATTACCGTTGTACACGCCTTTGGCGCCCATGCTCGTCTGGAGGCAAAATTTGTCCAAGCATTGCGCACTGCCGTGAAATCCGGAATCAAGAAAGCAGCCGTCGTAGGAACCATGTCCGGTTTGCTCTATTTTATTGCATATTCTGGAAATGCGTTGGCGTTCTGGCAAGGATCGACCTTTATTGCGAAAGCACTTACTTCCCACAACAATAGCTTTTCTGTGGGATCCACCTACACAGTCATATTCATCCTGGTAGATGGTAAGCGACCAAAGCAAAGGTTCTCGATAGGGAAAGAAGAATAGCTGATTCAAATATTCTATTTGCAGCCTCGATCATTCTAAGCCAAGTCGCACCTTTTCTGCCTGCATTCGTGGCTGCTTCATCCGCATTTGAGGCATTGGAAAAGGACATGATGCGACAGTCAAAAATAGATGGGACCGACGAATCCAATGGGCTGAAATTGGATCAAATTGAGGGAGCTGTGGAAATTAAGGACGTTTCTTTCACGTATCCATCTAGAAAGGATTCCCCCGTTCTTCACAACGTATCTTTGGTTTGCCCAGCCAAAAAGAAGACTGCCATTGTCGGACTTTCTGGAAGCGGCAAGTCAACGGTGGCTGCAATGATGTTAAGACTCTACGATCCCGATCAAGGAGTCATCCTGCTAGATGGCCACGATTTGAAGACGCTCAATGTACCGTCTCTCCGACAACATATTAGTTTGGTTCAACAAAATTCTCCTCTATTGGACCGATCCATTCTCGAATGTATTGCCCTCGGTCTCGTCAATTCGCCATTCCATCGTCATTTGAAAGATGCTTTGATGAGCCCGGTCCTTTCCCAAGTTGCCAAGCGCATTCGTGAAGGAGAGAACCCGATGCAAGCAGCGGAGAATCGAGGTCCTGAAATAGTGGAAATCATACGGCTGGTTGAGCAGGCTGCAACTACAGCTGACGCAATCAACTTTATTAATTCCCTAGAGCATGGTCTCGGTACTCTCGTAGGCTCCAGCGGTGCTCTGATCAGCGGCGGCCAGAGGCAACGGATAGCGCTTGCTCGGGCTCTGGTGAAAAACCCGCCGATCCTAATCCTGGACGAGGCCACGGCTTCTCTAGACTCAGCAACTGAATTACGTGTACAAGCAGCTATTGACCAAGCGTCAACAGGAAGAACCGTCATTGCCATCACACATCGTCTTTCTGCTGCCAAGAATGCAGATAATATCATTGTTATGAGAAATGGGAAGGTAGTCGAGCAAGGCACCCATTCGGAATTACTTGCCAAGGATCGGAGCGAGTATGCGGATCTCGTTCGTTTGCAGCAATTGACATTATTCCATGAAGAGGACACCCAGGAGACTCCTGGAAGCAGCTCGACCGAGATCTTTGACAAAGCGGAGGCGAACGGCTATGGCAGCGGCCAAGACACCGACGAAAGGACTGAGATGTCCCTCGCCAAAAAGATATCCACGTCATTTCATCAAACTACCGCTGATACCGAGAAGAAAGACGAAGAAGAAGATGTCGGAGGTTCCGTGTTTAGGTTCATGGGATCGCTATTTAGGCCATATCTTGTCGTACTGCTCACAGCCCTAATTGGCGTCGTTGCTTTCGGCGGCACACAGCCTGCTGCAGCTGTCATCTTCGGTAACACGGTGGGAAATTTCAGCCCATGTAATCCTGTGCACCATATCCTGTCCTCTGGGCATTTCTTTGGTCTGATGTTTTTTATCCTCGCGATTATCACCTTTTTTGCGAACTTTGTCGGCATTTTTCTGCTTGGATGGATCGCTGAGAAGATCCAATTCACAGTCCGCGTCCTCAGCTTCCGGTCCCTTCTAGCACAAGATCGGCAGTGGCATGAATCGGCTGGACGAACTCCTGCCCAGCTTCTGTCTGTGATTACAAAAGACGGGAGCGCGATAGGAGGCTTGACTGGGTCTACGCTGAGTTCCATTCTTGGGGTTCTAGTCAATCTGGTGGCTGCTATTGTCATGGCTCATATTATTGCTTGGAGAATTGCCCTAGTCTGCTTGGCCGTGCTACCTCTACTTATTGGCTCCGGGGTCATGCGGGTAAAGGCTTTGGTGGATTTTGAGAAACGGCACGGTAAATCCTTTGCTCAGTCCATCTTCATTGCTGTGGAGGCAGTGGACTCGATTCAGATGGTAGCTGCTTATTCCCTTGAGGATGAGATTCTCAAAACTTACCGCCGCTCATTACAAGGACCCATCAAGGACGTCACCATTCACAGCGCGTACGCGACGTTATGGTTGGCAATTGCGTATGCGATGGGCACTTTTCTTTACGCACTCGCCTACTGGTGGGGTACCAAACAAGTCATTGATGGAAACTACTCTCAGACGCAGTTTTTTATTGTGATGATAGCTCTTCTTGTTGGAGCCCAGCTCTGGACCACAGTTTTTACCATGGCGCCAGAAGTCTCTCAGGCCCGTGGTGCGATTGCCCGGATATCGAAGGTAGTGAATGAGGGTTCAACCAAGGCTCCCAATTATACAAATCCCAGTGATGATATAGAACGATCTGCGGAAAGCCGCGAAAAAGCACCAGAGGTTGATGGGGGGTCCCGTGGAGGTCTCAGTGTGGCCTTCAGAAACGTCCAATTCTCTTATCCAGCTCGTCCTGAGTCTCAGATCCTACATGGCCTCAACATCAGTATCCAGCCAGGGCAATTTGCGGCAATAGTCGGTCCCAGTGGTGCTGGGAAATCAACGATTGTTTCCTTAATCGAACGGCTCTACTATCCTTCATCTGGTGCAATCGAGATAGATGGCCGTGATATAACAAGGAATTCGGGGACGGAATTCCGTAATAATATATCCTTTGTTCCGCAAGATAGTGTTCTCTTTGAGGGCACTGTCCGTTTCAATGTTGGCCTTGGTGCACCACCAGATCGCGAGGCCACCGATGCCGAAATCGAAGATGCCTGTCGATTGGCGAACATCCATGAAACCATCATGCGGCTGCCACAAGGGTATGATACCTTAGTTGGCGCGGGCCATGGCCAGCTCTCTGGCGGACAGAGGCAACGACTATCCATTGCACGAGCCCTAGTCCGCAAGCCTCGTCTTCTGTTACTAGACGAGTCTACTAGTGCACTAGACGCAGAATCGGAGCGACTCTTACAGGAGGGCCTCAACCAGGTCAAAGCACGCGGTGATGTAACCATGGTTGCCATTGCTCACCGTTTATACACCATTCAGAAGGCCGATGTTATTTTCTTCATCGAGGCAGGCCGCTGCGTTGAACAGGGCACTCATTCCGAGTTGATGAGCCGAAGTGAGGCTTACCGCATCAACGCCCTGCATCAAACAGTAGACCATTGATTATGTCAATTATGTACTTAAGAAATGATACTTCGGGGTTGTCCAAGGGCTCTTTCAATAGAAAATTAATCTTTGTACCATGCTTTGTTTATGCTTCATGCACGGATTCACCTAACTGCCTCTACTGCTAGATTCTTCGGGAAACTCATATTTCCAATCTACGGCTAGAAATATAAATCAGAAGCTCCTCTCAAGTGTTATAAAGTCCGTGTAGCTTACCAGTTGCCAATATGTGGCTGGCGCACGTGTTGAAATCTAGACGTGATATCTGGACTGTAATTTACCAGGTAATGCTTGTATGATGGTATGATGTTAATTACCGTCATTACGTTGTTTCAGGGAAAGCGACGAATGTCTTTTTAGGTTTTAAAAGTTGATGGTCAAAATAGGCCGTTGCTAGGAGTACGGAGTATTTCCCTGCAGGATATATTTTACTTGGTCAAGTCTCTTCATCTGCTTCTGCAATCACACAGCCGAATGTTTACATCCCAGCGCCAGAGAACAATAATCGAAATGGCTACAGGCCAGCGACTTCCATTCGTCTGCCTCCCCGAACCCTACAAAACCCGCTATCAATTGAAGACCATATCTCAAAATGGCTCCCAACGAAATTTCAAGCTTGTCCTCGCCGAGCAGCAGAATGAAGGACTCTCTCCTCCCCAACCACTTGATCACAAATCCCTGACCTTCACCGAGCCTATCTCCATTGACCGTTCAAATACCCTCGCGGACTCAGACAACACGTCATGGGCAATCGCTCAAAGAGCGCCTACGGTTTGCCTTTCATGGCAGTCGAATCTTGCACCCACAGTGGGGCAGATATGGATTGTCATCTACGCCATTGTTTCGTTGAGAATGGAGTCTGAGCTTTTCACGGTCAGCCTTGCTGGTAATGGAAAGGAGTCTCTCATCCGGGAGCTGCAAGCTGTCGGTCTGGCGAGAGCCCATCCTGTTCCATCTAGCTCTCCTCGTCGGCGAGGTCATCCTGCTCTTGAGGCTTTCAACTGCTCGGACTACCCACTCGTGGTTTCGCAAGCAGCTTTCTGGCAAGGCGCAGGGTCACCCTTCGGGCCTCGACCAGCTTGGGTGGCCAGTCCATCACTTCACGATTTTTCCCGGCGGGTGGTTGGCGAATACCCTCTTCCACCGTTGGAGTACACTCTCACGACAAAACTCACAGAGCCACAGGTACATACCCATCATCCCGTGCGGCCGGCGAAGCCCAGTCGGGGTGCGCTGATTTACAGTCGATATATCCCGCACTTGGATGAGTTTTTCTCCATGGTTCTGCTTGATTACACAAACCCAGAGCATCTCCAGTTGTTTCATCAGTGGCAGAATGACCCCCGGGTTGCCAAGGGGTGGAATGAAACAGGAACTCTGGACCAGCATAGAGAGTATCTCCGGAGGATTGATGAGGATCCTCATCAAATAGCCGTGCTAGCGAGGTTTAACGATACCTTCTTTGCGTATTTCGAAGTTTACTGGGCCAAGGTAAGTGATAACTTACAACTCCTACACTGAGTCTCCGATTCCATTGCGTCGGCTCTTCCGGAACTTGAAACTGACGGCGTCATTATAGGAGGACCACCTCGGTGCGTACTATGACGCTGGAGATTTTGACCGCGGCCGGCACTCACTTGTCGGCGACGCGCGTTTCAGAGGCGCTCACCGCGTCATGGCTTGGTGGTCAAGCTTGGTCCACTATATCTTCCTGGATGATCCGAGGACCCAATGTGTTGTCGGAGAACCCAAATACGTAAATGCGACGGTACTGGCATATGACTTTGCGCACGGATTTAATGTTGAAAAGCTGATCGACTTGCCCCATAAACGATCTGCATTTGTGCGGTGTTCTCGGGACAAATTCTTCCAGCTTTCGCCGTTCCGCTTTGACGAGGGCCTGAGTCTGAGTGGAGGGAAGATCAAAAGCAATCCGGATCGGATATTGAAATTGTAAAGTGTGTATTTAATCTAGGAATAGTATAGAAGTGTTACCCGATACGGGAAGCCCGAACTCGCCGTTCAAGGATCAATTGACTAAATAGTCTTTGCTTCTTACATGACATCTGCAGGCTTACATTAAAGTTCATAAAGTTAGAACCATCACTCCTACATACATACCATAATAGTTAAACTCAGAGGGTATTACCTAGGTAGTTTAGTAGGTACCTACCTTGGTAGGGGTAGAATAGTATGGGATACGAAGATACCACAATACATACATACTGTACAGTACCGAGAGACATTACATGACGTGGAAGAAATGTATGGTAACAATATTGTCAATACAATGCTCCACCTTAGTGGATCAGATAAGATTATCGCCGTAGCAGACCCACTTGATCCCCGCCAGAAGAAAGTTTCCCAAAGCCGCATTTCTTGAAACCTTTTTGTGGTCCCCGAGTATTAGCATTCTTTCCGTCAGCGGCGCGGAGTTTTCGAGTCATTACGGAATGTTCTTTTTTCCTGGGAAATTGGGAAAGTTAAAAAATGTACTCCATAGTTGACGCTTGGAGAGAGTGGTTGGTATTGCAGAGTACCGGGTCATACAACCCCTGCAGTGCAGAAAAATGGAGTGGGCCTTTTGATGAACTTCTGCATTTGGAATCGGTGTCTTTCCGAGGTACGGAATGGCCAATTTAATTTACATTTAAATTACCTTTATTTACTGCATATTGTTATTGCACGGGGATATGTGTATGTAGTATGTACTAGTATGTACCTCAAGAAGACAGGGTCGGCGACGTCATGATCGTCGGTTGTAATTGTCTGTCTTGTATGTAGAACTCCCACATTATTTTTTCGTCTATTACCCAGGCTACAGCTTGTGTCTCCTTCTATCATCAACAATGGCGTCTATAACTGCAACCTCGCAGTTCCATTTCGAATATCCTCCGCAAAAGGTAGCATGGACAAAACGGGATGTGATCCTGTTTGCTTACTCGATCGGATGCAATTCCACCGATCAGCTACATTACCTTTATGTTAGACGCTTCGCCCTTCCCTCCTTTGAGCTGTTCTTTTTAACAAAATCATGAATTCCACGTTTAGGAGAAACATCCAAACTTTCAAATGTTCCCTACCTATCCTATAGTTCTGAGTACGTCATAGAACACTGTGCCACACACCTCGCATTTATAAATATCAATTGATTTGAGTAATGACTAAATAAAGGAAAACGGAGGAAATGGCGACGGTTCATTCCTCTTTGGTTACTAGTAGCATTCAAATACGATAGCTCAGAAGTCGTCGACTTCCTTGCCCGCAACAACGATAGCTCACGATCCCCGTTTTCTTCGCCCAAATTAGACTGGGCTCGCGCCGTGGATGGCCGTCGACGTCTCCGTATCTATCGGCAGCTTCCAACCTCCAGTGCCGATAAAAGGCTTTCTTCCTCTCCTTCGTGGGAGGTTCGTTCTAGGATCCTGGGCGTATACGATAAGGGACCCGGGAAGGGCACCGTCATGGAACTGGAACATAGTATTGTGGATTCGGTAACGGGAGAGGTATACACGCGCTCGTGGGAGACTGCTTTTTTCCTAAGAACTGGGGGTTGGGGTGGTGAAAGAGGTATTCTTTGTTGTTATCGCTTCTGTATGAGGTCGCAGCTAACAATCTACAATCTGAAATTGTATTCAACACACGCAGGTCCTCAGATGGAACATTTTCCGGTCCCTACTTCACGAGAACATGTTATGGAATCATTTCAAACTACAGGGGAGACCGCCCACCTTTACCGGTACGTTTAAACCTCAGCTAATTTATCTCGAACAGATTATCATACTAATCCGTGTCCAGCTTGAATGGTGACTACAATCCCCTTCACGCCTCTCCCGACGTCGGCAAGGCGCTTGGGTATGGAGATATCATCATCCATGGACTCTTCAGTTGGAATGTCGTCGCACAAGTTGTTCTGAGGCATTATGGGGAAAAGAGAAAGGATGGAAAGAGCTATCTCCTCAGTTTTGAGGCTAGATTTGCATCGCCGGTCAAGCCAGGAGATAAACTCGACATCTCCTTGTGGGATATGGGACTTTGGGGTAACGAGCAGCTTCTCGAGTGGAATCAACAACAACAGAAAGAGAAGGTAAAGATAGGAGGAAAGATTCGAGAAATAAGATTTCTAGTCAAAGTCGGCGACAGGATCGTCTTGTCTGATGGGAGGGCGCTTCTGGAAGAGTTGGGAACAAAGCAGTCATTACTATGAACAACTAATGTAGACAAGACATCATGATGTACAAAATAGATTCTTCAAAATTATAGAATGCCCACTGGTACTGGATATACAACAAAGGGGCTCGCTTTTTGATATATAACCAAGCCACTAAATTCTACAGTTTTGCTCGCACCTCAACAGGCTTCTCAACTCCGAATATCGAGTCAATAATCTCACCGGAACGCACAGCAAGTATGGAGAGAAGGGAATCACTGATCTTTAAGAGGAACAACAGTCAGATGGGTGTATATCGAAAAAGTATGTTGGAGAAATAAGAGGTGAACTCACTCCATGTGTTCCTTCACAAGACCCTTGCAGCCATACACCGGCGTCACGGCGGACTGCTCCCGGTTGAAAACGCAAACGATAGTTCCTCTGCACCAAATCACCTGGAGTGGATTCGACCAGAGGCTTGAGGTCTTTTAGGATGCCGTTAAGCGGGTTCCGTTGATAGCCCGTTGCGAAGACAACCAAGTCATAGCTATCGTTTGTTCTCCTAATCTGGCCCGTTTTCATGTCTTTCAGTCGAAGATACAGGGCTTTCCCCGGGCGATCAGATGAGGCCTCCTCCCTCGCTACTTCATCTATGCCGCAAACTTCGCGATTTGGAACCACAAACAGAGACCAGTCTTGTGGGTTTGGCTTCAAGAGCTTCTGCGCGTAGAGTTTCTCGTATAGGCTCTCGATCAGGTGAAGTCTGACCACACTATAATTGGTGGCTTTATTTTTAATCAAGAACTGCTTCCGGGAAGGGGAATCAAGTGAGAAAAATTCGTCGACGCTTTCGGGGTCGAAGATCTCGTTCACGCTATGGAGGATGACAGACGGTCAGCAATTCGCATTTCTAAAAACGAGTCGGATACCAAAGCTTGCTACTTACAAAGGACTGTCATCACTTGGCCGTAGAGCCGAATCTCTGAAGATCAGACTGACACTTGCGTTTGGATACCGCGCCTGCACTTCTTCACAGATCTCCACGGCACTCTGGCCACCTCCGATAACTGCGACTCGGTATGAGGCTGCTTTGTTGGGGAGCTTGCGATCAATGGTATTCATGTATTGAGCGGAATGGATCACTTGCGCCTCGCCGGTGAGACGTACAGATGTTTTAACGCTGTCCGGGATGGCCACTTCGCCGCCGGTTGCGACAATGACGTGCTTTGCAGAAAGGTTCCACTTCTGACCAGATAGAACATCTCGAGTAGCAACCACGAATTGCTCAACCCCAATAGCCTGAGTTCCAGGTGCAACGCCCTTAACTGACAGGACCTCCTGGTTGTACTGCACCCATTCATTGAAGTGTGACGCACACCACTTCATGTAATCGTTGAACTCTTCCCGAAATGGTGTATGGGTGGACAGATTGATGAAATGTGACAGACGTCCCTTGTGGTGAAGATAGTTGGTAAACGTAAAGTGGGATTGTGGATTTCGCATGGTTGCCAGATCCTTCATGAAAGAGATTTGCATCTTCGACCCGGGAAGAAGCATCCCTGTGTGCCACCCAAACTTGGATTGCTTCTCAAGAAAGAGTACCTTCTTGTTACCCAAGATGGGACGGTTCTCACGCAATGCAATGGCGATGGCTAGGGCAGCAGGGCCAAAACCAACGCAGATGATGTCGTATTTGCCATCACCTGGGACGGTTTTAACTGTCTCTTTTGTGACATTGTTGTTGACCTCTCTTGCAGCAGCCATCCTAACAGTGTTTTGTGCAATCTATAATCTATGTGCAATGCAATTGAAAACAGATAAGGTCAAAAGGTAAGAAGGAATGATAAACAAAGAGCCGAGAGAATTGATCAGAGTGTTAGAAAAAAATCAACGTCAAACAGCCCTACTTTTTCCCCTCCACTAGCGTAGGAAATGTGGTGAATTTTCAATACCTGATTCAAGCAGGCCTACGCAAGAGACGGGATCCGTTCCGGTAGAATGGCACCACTGCATCGGAATAATCTTTCAGACTCCTTTATTTCAACAAATGAATTACCCTTGTCACAAGTGGGATTGTCTTGGCTGCATGCCGCTCACTCGAGCTAGAAAACAGAAGGAGATATTTCCCGATCTCGGACGTTGCAGCTCAACTACCCGTTGAGGGAAAAGATCATCAGATAAGATAGTATTTATGTTACCGAGGAACCGAACCTCCGGAATACGCGCGTAATTTTGGAAAAATTTTTTATCTGATCTTTACGCGTGGGTCAGACTGGTCCAGTCCCGCCCGTAAGGTGGGACACGGTAAGATTACAGCTACTTGTTGCAGACCTGTATGGTGTTACGAGTGCCCTAGGCTGGCATCATCATGCATGTTTCATCCTCACTCAAGAGGACATGGAAGCCTCAATGAATCAGAATCTCCGGCTGCGCCCGGAAGTGCAATGCTGCGGCTGGATGATGATTGATTTTTTAATTTATCCCGCTGCTGGTCGCGTCATAGCGAGAGATTGAACGATAATACGGTTTTCTTGGGGGTTTTTCTTTCTCTTTTTATTTTTTTTTTTCCATTGGTAATATTATGCAGATATTTATTTCTCAGCAGTCCTAGATTGAAAGCAGCCAGGTATCTCAGGCTATTCCATCCATTCCGGTTGTTGAGGGCGCTGTTCGCTGAAAGCCCAGCTACCTCTCTTTCACTTCATCTCTTGTACTGTATGTGCGTGGAAAGAACCAGAGTGAACCCCATCTAACGAACATGGCTTCACTGGAGAGAAAGCCTAATGCACCTACCCCTCTTGAGAGGCTGCAACAGACTCTCAATCATTTAGAACCAACGCCCCAGAGTCAGCATATCCAGAGCAAGCAGCAGCTGTCCATCGTCCATGGCCCCACGGATTCACCTCTGTGGGACATGACACTCGGCGAGTTACTGGAGTATCAATGCCTCCAACATCGCAATGATGAGTGTCTTGTTGTATCTTGGACAGGGACTAGATGGACCTACGGGCAACTCTATGAGGAAAGTCAGCGAGTAGCCCGCGGTCTCATTGCCAGAGGCGTGCGATTGGGCGATCGGATTGGCGTCATGGCCGGAAATTGCGAGCAATACGTCTCGCTATTTTTTGCTGCTGCATCCGTTGGAGCAATCCTAATCGTTATAAACAATAATTACACTCTAACAGAGTTGGCATATGCTTTGGAGCACACAGGCAAGTTCACAGAGTCCTTTTTTAAACTGTATTTCCCCCTTTTTTTCCCTTGCTGGCTGACCAGATCGGAACCTGGAACCTCGAACAGGCTGTAAAATCCTCTTCATTGCTCCCAAAATCGGACGACGTTCACTGGAGGAACCTCTGGAGCAATTGCGTTCACGGGACACATCCAAAAGTCTTCCGCTTCTGCAACATATCATAATTATACGGGGTCAATATCAAGATCTGAAGACCTACGAAGATGTTGTTCTCGAGGGTTCGGCGGTATCCCTTCACCAGCTCCACCGACAGTCGAATTTGATCAGTCCCCACGATGTCTGTAATTTGCAATTCACGAGTGGATCAACTGGGAATCCCAAAGCATCAATGTTGACACATTAGTAAGTTCCCTCCTTGCCTTTTTTGGGATTCGTAATTGTCTGCCAAAGAAAAGTCGGGAACTCACTGCTCTCCTTCTACAGTAACCTCGTGAATAACTCACGTTTCATTGGTGACCGAATGAGCTTCACATCAGCAGATATTCTCTGTTGTCCTCCTCCTTTGTTTCATTGCTTCGGTCTCGTCTTGGGATTGCTGGCTTGCGTTACCCATGGAGCAAAAGTTGTATATCCGGGGGATACATTCGATCCACAATTAACATACAAAGCTATTTACGAAGAGAGATGTACAGCCCTTCATGGCGTACCAACCATGTTTGAAGCTATTCTCTCGGAGTCGAACTCTAAGTCAGACTCCCTTGTCGTCTCCAAAACCCCCCCTTGTCTTCGAACCGGAATCATAGCGGGAGCTCCTGTTCCTCGGCCTCTCATGCGCCGGCTACTCAACGAACTCAACATGACTGAATTCACCAGCAGTTATGGGCTTACTGAAGCATCACCCACATGCTTCAACGCACTCACTACTGACACAATCGATTGTCGCCTGACAACTGTCGGAAGGATCATGCCCCATGCCAGTGCCAAAATTATTGACCCGCGAAGCCCCCACCGGATCGTCCCCGTGGGCGAAAAGGGTGAACTCTGTATCAGTGGATACCAAGTACACCGGGGTTACTGGGAGAATCCCCAAAAGACAGAGGAAGCACTCCTCTACGACCCCCCTGAATCTGAACATGAGGACCCATACGATGGAAGAGGTAGAGGAAAGGGGAGAATATGGTTACGTACGGGCGATGAAGCTGTATTCGATACCCATGGCTATTGCTACATCACAGGAAGGTATAAGGATATTATTATTCGGGGTGGAGAAAATATATACCCACTGGAAGTTGAAGAGCGGCTCGTGTTGCACCCGAAGATAACTAAGGCAGCTGTTGTTGGCCTTCCGGACGAGCGTTACGGAGAAGTAGTGGCCGCCTTCATAGAAATTGATGCCGCCAGCAAAGGGGATGGTGGTCCGTCACTCTCCGCAGAAGAGATCCGAAACTGGACACGCGAAACTCTCGGGCGGCACAAGACCCCTGTGTACATCTTTGCGTGCGGAAGCCATCCGATGCTGCCCGTGGTCATCCCTCAGACTGGGAGCGGGAAGATCCAGAAGCAAAAGCTTCGAGAGTTGGGGAAGAGTGTTGTGGAAAAGGGGCACACGGTGCTGCTAGGGTAGATTGGTTATTGTTCAAGGGACTTGGTTGCATGAGAATCAAGAGTAGACAAATGAAAGGAGTGTACACCATGGTGGTAAATATTATCCATCAATGAAGTGCTTAACGTATTTCACTAGCGAGCCGCCACCACAAACGAGCCGCCACTTCCGCTCCAACTCCTGCCCATGGGCTAAATACTAAAGGCTTTATCAACCAAACAATCGTATTTCTATATAAAAACTAATTACTAAGTGGTTTAGGACATCTAACTCTAGTATGTCCCCGAACATGACAATTAGAACACTGCGGTGGTGCTTGTACATGTGGCCCAACTGAAGAAAGCGTTGGAACTATAGGGATAGTATCCTGAGCTTTCTGAACCTCATTCTCGTGCTGAAATTGCTCTAGGCCCTTCTGAAGAGATGAGCCCTCTGCAATAGCTAGCTGTCTATTAGATTTCTTACACTTTTGGCCTTCCCATTCATTATTAGCGCGATGTTTGCGTATTTCTTCCCTTGCAAGAACAAGCTCATTAAGAGTCAATTCATGACCTTTAATAATCTTGTCTAATCGCGCTTCTAGCAAAGGTAAAGGACTTTGAGTGTATTCCCTAAGTAGTTTCCTTGCTGCAGATGCTTGCTTCTCCAGCTGTCTAGTAGTATAGGGTGTTTTAGGTGCTGAATTGGTTGACTGACTGCCTGGTGGTGTAGGAGTCTTTAGTCAGATATCCAACTTTCTAAACACCCTATCTGGATCAAATGGGACCAGACCAGTAGCTGTAAAGCTACTCTGGATATTCTCTGCTGTAAAAGCACTTTTGTGAGCCTTTGGAAAGATATCTAGGAAATCAAGCTTGTCAATATGGCTGATACCCAAGCACATTTTCTGCTGCACTAACTCATCATACGCGCCTTTTAAAGACTGGAAACAGCCTACATCTAAAGGCTGGAGGTTGTTGGAAGAATTTGCAGGCATACAGATAGGAATAATATTATTCTCATTGCATATCTGATCAAATTGAGGCGTGAGATGGCTGTCATGGCCATCCATAACTAGGAGGTGGTATTTCCCAATTGTACAGCTAATAGTGTAAAGGGGGGCGTACGTGCGTTGTTCCCTGCGACAGGAACCGGGTTGTGATCGAGGGATCTCAGGAATGGACACACTGAACAATCTAGCAAAACGATATAACGATAAAAGGAAACACAACGACGAAGGAGCCTCGCTCCGCTCTATACGACGATAACGATACTAGTGAAGCAACCTAGAAACCAAAAGAATGCTCTCTTTCTCGTAACTATCTGGGAGGGAACCCTCCATTAAGTACTCCGGCCGCGGGCTCCACCATACATTGGTATGTCGGAGACCGCGGTTCTATAGTGTTCTAAGATAGGAAATATAGGAGATCTGGGGTTTCGCAGTGCCCCTGGCACATTAGCACCAGTCATATAGTGCTTTGAAAAGGGTTCAAAGACATTTTTTAGCCAGAGAAGGCCTATTTCATCAGTTGTCCACCCATTCTGACTAGTTGCAATCCACCAGTCACTAGCAAGCTTAGGTTCTTAAAACTAGGCAGCTTGTTGATAGCTTGCTTTTAATATAATGACTAGTGGTAGATGTATGCCTTTTGACCCAATTGTTTCAATAATTGTGATTTATTCATGATTGCCCTATATAACTCTGTATGGTTGCTCACTTCACTCAACTGTAGTAACCACTTTAGAAGTAGAGCAAAGTCCCATTGTAAAGCTAGTCTCATCAAAATTCCAGATATCATCCTCATGTATGCTATGTTCTTGAATAGCTGCTTGTATAGTCTCAAACTAAGGTATTATAACTTTTGGATTTTCCTGTTTCGCACGTTGGTAGGCCATTTATCTTGTATATTGCATATGTAGCTCAGGATAGCGCTTAATAAATTTATAAGGCCAGTTGATTCCAAGAGTTATGGAAGAATCTTGTATACAATTATGAAGTAAAACCTGTGCCATTTCACGTAGAAATTCAGGCTAAATTGGAAATCCTCACTTATCTGCATCCAATAGTTGCTTAAAAAGTAATTCTTCTTTAATTTCAGTCAGTTTATGACTATTGGCATGTCTTTCTGACTGTGATTTTGAACCATGAAGCTGATTGCGTAGAGTATTTTCAGGGATTGCAAAAACTTAAGCAGCGTGTAATATTGATTTAATTTGGCCTTTCTGATAGGCTGAAATAGCCATCTGAATACGCGACTCTTTAGAAGGAGGCATATTGCAGTATAGTCATGAAGATTTGACGCGTTAAACAGAGAGAGTAGAAACTGGGTTGAAATCCGCGGTTCGGGGGTTGATTACGTTACATATGTTAATACATACAGCATACTTGGAATTACAGATACATTTAATATTACATCTGATCACATCCATTGCAGCTTTCAGATCAGATAATGTACGTGATGCGGGAGCACGCAACCTATGTCATGCTTGCCTCTCTCCTCTGTAGCGGTATGATCATATATGCCATGGCTCTTATTTTTACACAATTTTAGAATTGAAGCCGTAGATCGCCACAACAGATTTTTTTTTATCCGGATTAGTATACGGAATTAGCCATGTATTCTCCAAGAAGGATACCCCTGTGCTCTCCAATCCTGAAAACTCATCCCGTTGGCACATGCTGGCATCCTCACCATCAGAGGGACTTCTACATCCTCGTCCGTTCCTAGGTCTCCTGCCTTGTGAACTATCGTTTCTGGCAGGGTCTCGAATCCCATTTTCTCATAGAAGTTCTTGATTGACGGGTTTGACTCCAAATACATTGGTAGCCCCAGTTGATCTACGAGATCTTTTTGCCAGCTCACAATGGCAGTGCCCGCTTTTTGGCGTTGAAATTCTGGTTTCACGGCAATAACATGGCAATCTTTGGGACGATTGAAATGAACGAGTTAGTTCTGGAAAGAATATTAAATGGGACGTTTGGTTGATTCAGTCAAGAACGCAAGCTCCAACATACAAATATATGGTCTTCCTCCCCAGAGCTTTTCTCTCATATCTGCCAATGGATTCACAATCCTCTCTGCTAACTCTCTTTCCTTGCCCTGCAGCCAGAGCACTCCGGGATTCTTCCTTTGCTCCTCGCTTCGTTCACGGATATATACATCTAGCAATGCCATTCCCACGATCTCCCCTGTATCAGTATCGATGCATTTAAATGTATACTGATCTGTGCTTGTATGCCACCAGTTCAGAGTACCGGAGCGGTGGCCCTCGCGGAATTCTGGAGTGTTGACTCTCCCACCGGGGAATAGGATATCGAGCAACAATGCGTCCTTGGGGTCTGCTTGGAAGGCGGAGAAGAAGACATCGTAGACGGTGCGGATGTCTGGGATTAAGGCGGGGAGGATTGAAAAAGGCATGATGATATACAGCGTAGACTTGGTGTTTTCATGGAAGTGAAGACAGGACAGAGGAGGCTGAGTTGCGAGAGACCCTTATAAAGTAGAGACAGCTGTTAAAGTCACGAGTTTCAGGATGTCTAGCTCTATTTGGTAATTACTTAGTTCTGCACTGGAGACATGCTTGCATCTACAGAATGAGCAAAATGCCGAAACCGGAATGGATTTCTGCCCAATGTGGGGATTGTACAATGGGAGCGAGGATCTCAGTGGATTGCATATGAAAGGGGAAAGGGAAAAGAGGAAAGAAAATATAAAACATGAAGTTCAAGGCGCTGCGGCTAGGTTAAAATGCTTCTCAAGCCGTTCTACTGTGCTGAATGGCTAGAATGTCGCCACAATGCACAACAGCTAACTTTGCCGTGTTTTATAATCGATATCTGTTCAGAATTATTGTTCAGGAAGGATTAACAGCATGATGCACAGATCCTCGGGAAACATGCAGGTTTGATTAGATATATGTAAACCCCTGAAGCCTAAACTGAGCTGCTATTATATCACATGATAATATCTATTTGGATGCGAAGGTGCAAGGCAATTTTTGTAGTCATCTCACTCTACAGACCCAGAGTACACTGTGCGTACGGAGTAGACACGTCTGCTTTACCCAATTATTGATGGATCTTCTGATTAAGATTGCCAAGCCTGCCTGACCTTGCAGGTATTCTTCCCAAAGCCTCGCACTCAATGCAGAAATGGATAAATTGTAATCTATAATCATAATTACTCTGTGCTGCGTAGCAGTGTCAAATGTGCCTACAGCGTGGAGTTTCGATTTTTTTTTTCTCGACTCCTGCTACTAAAACACTCAGTATAATTATATAGGCTATCCGAGCTGCCGGTGGATTAAATTAAGATCGCTAACTATGATATGCATTATTATTACAGTGATAATGATTTAACGACGATCAGAATCCTTCCCTGGAAGGATAAGAAAATAGGCGCTGAGAAAGACCAAAAATCGAAGGTAAATTAAACATTATTATTCTTCTTCCACTCCATCGAACTTCTGAATCATCTTGCTAATTGGCATTGTCAGGACTTGTTATGATTGGAACCTCGGTGCCTGAAATGGATCCAAGCCGTCGGAAAGTAAGTCTCTGCGTAGCATTACGGAGCATACAGAGCTCAGCAGAGCATAGTAGAGGAATGCAACTGTGCAGAAGGGTTCGCGACGGGACATTACACCATTGTTTTCCACCCAAAGACTGCCGCATACGATAATTCGCCGAAGGAAGAATGTGTAAGACAAGTGTGCGAGCGGCGTCGAATGGCATGCTTCAAAGACCGGGTGCTTATGATTGTGATGATTATGATGATGCTGATTATGAGTAGGACAGCGAGAAACCACCACGCACCGCTATCATTGGACCCTCACATGATGCTGCGCCGTACCGGGCAGGGATCGCTGGTTCCTCACTCGTACTAGCGTCGTCTCGATCCCATACCTTTCCCTCGAGGCTCCGTTTCTTTCTTCCCTCTCTCCATCTTCAACCTCCGTCCATGGCTCCTGATTAGCCGTTTTCCCGGAGTCCTCTTTGGCCGAAAGAGTCTGCTGGCCTCGCAGGCAGATATCCCAACTTTCTACACATCCTGACGGAATAACCCGCTCCTCTCTCTCGCCCTGATCCGATCCACCCGTTTTTTGGGGTGGCCCTAGCCCCTGACAGACGAATCGAGCCCTATCCGTTCCCCCTTCGAATTTACTACTACCGCACTCCCTTACCACCACCGACTAGTTCATTCAGTCTTTCCATTCGTTATACCAATCTTTGCTCTGTTGAGGAATTTAACAGCAGGACAAAATTTCTCTTGTCGGCTGTATCATTGTTATCTCAAAACCGGTTGTACTGTGCACAGAAACGTCGCATTGCTCCCCCTTTCTACGTGGCTCGATTGTTGGACTGGGAAAATCAGCCCCTCTGCAGGATAAGGGCGGATTGCCTTCATTCTCGTTCCCTATCGCTCTTTTCTAGGTAGCGCATTTACGCTATCTATCAGCTGGACAGGTGAAAAAGCACCTGGGTTTGCGCGGAGGAACTCCTTTTACCACTTATAGTTTTCTTTTAAGTTCATTTTTCCAAAATGTCGAGCGGTATGGAATATTACCCCTCGGGAATGGTTCAAAGTTCCGCGGTACTGGAAGCGCACCACGTTTACGGAGAGTACTGATTCTCTACACAGCACCGGTTGCAACCGATTATTCCCCTTCGCAGGCGCCTGTGCCATCAACAGAACCAACCACAGTCGCAGAAACGTCCATTCCAGCTGCCACCAGCGAAACCCCTGCGAGCAGCGCCGATCTAACATCCACCTCCGAGACGCTGCCGCCCACGATCACCTCCGCTACGTCTACCAGTACGTCGGGAACCTTTACCTCGTCTTCGGATACTTCTACTAGCACTTCGGAAAATTTTCCTACTACGTCAAGCACTTCTACCAGCACAACAAGCACTGCCAGCAGCTCGGAAACCTCATCCACGACTTCCGCACCTTCAACTACATCAGCTCCGACCACTAGCTCCACTTCGTCAGAACATGTGTTTACGACTATGCATACGGTGACCTCCAGTGGCGGGGGAGCCACCACTATTGTCATCACATCTACAGCAGTCGACACTCAAGCCGGTGCGACCTCGACAGGTGCCTCATTGACAAGTACTGCTGCATTAGGCGCACCCACAACTGTACACAAGGGGTCCAGTGGAATGGGTACTGGAGGCACCGTCGCAGTTGCCGTCGTGGTCCCTGTTGTTGGTGTTGCCTTGATCCTTTTGGCTGCCTATTGGTTCTGGAGGAAGCGGAAGGCAACGAAGTTGGCGGAGGAGGAACGACGAAAAGAAGTGGAGGAATATGCGTTCAACCCCAACAATGACCCGACTTTGCCCGCCGTGGGAATGGTCCAGGATGACAACTCTGGTTACCGAGGCTGGGGAACAACATCTATTGGACGCCACCCTTCTACCAATCCATCTGGAGGAATGACGCATTCGGACAATGGAAGCGTGCCAGGATATCATCATGCTCCTTCTCCAAGCGACGATACTATTCATTTCTCTGAGGGAAATGACAGGCCGTTATCAGCAGAGGTGGAGCCTGTTGGTGTCCTCGGTTCAGCCCCAATCGCGTCCGCGAACAGGAGCGCGGGCATCAATCGTGGGCCATCCAATGCATCGTCGGCATATTCAACGGCGAACCACTCAGATGCTTCTGAGGATAGTCGTATGTCAGGCGCTCGTCCTTCGGCACAATTCTATGAAGAAAATCCGTATTACAGTGAAGTTCAGCAGCCATACGGCTCTTACGGGGATGCCGCGTATGGGGGTCAGCCCGTGATCCGAGATGTACAAGCCCGACGCAACACTCGGATTGAAAACCCTGCGGTGTTCCCCAGACAGGGAAATGCCGGTATCTCGCAGAATTTCTAACGAACAGTCTATCTTTTATTGCAAGTTTCTTATATGTCTAGGTATATACCGACCGGTACAGGGTTCGGAAGTGAATTTTGCGACTTCTTTAATTGGAGAATATCGTTTTTTTTTTCCCCTTGAAAGTGCATATCTGTTTTATAACCAAAAAATTTTTTTTTTTCAGCATATGAGCTTGAACATTGGCCCATCTTGGGCCGTCAAGCCGGCTGACTCTTCACAGGGATCCGTTTCCCAGTTCTCTGTTCATTATTGTTCGTCATTCTTTCATTTCTGTGTCTGTCTTGTCACTCGACATGCTCTCCTGCTCACTTTCTTTCCTTTCCCCTGTTTTCTGGTTCCTTCTCTGCCCCTATGACCTTTTTTTTGCTATGTTGATCGCACACTATGCGATTTAATCACGATCGGCATATTTTGAGTCATCATGTGCGGTATATTCATTGCAATGTTAATTCTTACCCTGTTCAACTTGTTTGTCTTCTGCGCATTACCCTCCCTCCTGGCCCACTTGGTGACAACAATCGCGGGCTGCTTATGACTTTGAATATGTTCTCTTTTTTATTTTCCTCTTTTCCATTTCTCTTTCATTTATTGCAAATGTCCATGTCTGGGTGGGTCGCCCAGAAATGCATCATGTCTGTGCCGTGTTGGATTATTTGCATCTATACCGCTGGCATTTGACTTGGATGGCGGAGGATTGCCACGGTAGGGATTGATTTAATAATACCCTGGGATATAATTCCCCCTTTTTTAATTTTTTAGCTTTGATTCGAAGGATGCGTGTATAGTCTCTGATTACAATCGAACGGTATAGCTACTCGGCTTGAGCTTCAGGTACAAAATATATACGTATACCTAAGCATGTAACTAGTGCGTGCAGGTCGATTAATGTTGGATCACGTGGGATTCTGCCGCATAGGTCCGCCCTCGCTGACCCTTTTCACCACGTAGGCCTATCTAGCTAGTGACCAACCAACAATACACCTCCATTAGGTTATGAGCCCGTTTCTTGCTCGGAAATATGAGCTATTTTAGGCCCGTATAAGTGGTCAATTTAAGCCCTCTGATTGGCTGAACCAAAATTCCATACCCCAGATTCCAAAAATTCCAGGATCCCAGATACGGTCCGAACCTGAGCATGTCAGGAGAACCTACTACGCCTCCCGCTACTGCTATACGACGATCACGTCGCCGAAATCTCCAAAACAGGTCCTCGAATATAGACGAGACCTCCTCATCAGTTGTCTCTGAAGAGATAGAGACCCCAACGCCTTCCGGAGCCAATCTGAGCTCTACCAATACCGCCAACATGGCTTCCACAAACGAACTTACCCCTGATCTTGCTGATATGATGCGACAAATGCTTGCTCGCCAGAATCAGATGGAACAAGATATGCGAGACCGTGAAGCTAGAATGGAGCTAAAACTGGCATCTATCATCCAGTCTAATACTCCACAAGCTTCCTTGCCTTCAAATACAACCCAAGATACTACACCAATGGATATCCAACCGCCTCTGCGTGATGCCTCAGACACAAATATCAGCAATGCTATTGCCCTTGTCCAAGCCGATGTCGATACGCTACTGCCTGACCGATGCCGTGTCATCTTGACACTGGATAATTACGATGCATGGAGCTCTGCCATACAAAAAGAAGCTGGTATTCTCAATGCTATTACAACTCTTCACCAGGACTCTCCTCCTGCTGGATCATCTCCACTTGATGCTGCAGTTTGGCACAGAAAAGCCATTGTCATGAGAGCCCGTATGCTCAATGCCATGACAACCCCTGCTTCCGATAAACTAGGCACCGTATATGACCTCTCTGCCCATGGTCTTTGGGACCGAGCTGCCACACTTTTTGGCAAATCCACCGGTGAAGAGCGAATGGCCCTTACCATGGAGCTCAAAGAGCTCTATATAAAGGATAACGATTATCTCACCTACCAGTCATCCTTTAATCGAATCTTTGACCGCCTACACGCTATTGGAGAAGAATCTCTTGAAAATCTCAAACATGACCTCTTCTTTATAGGTCTCCGGGACTGGAACCGCGCCTTTATCAAGAGTAAACTAGATGATGTCTACTCTACTGGCCGTGCTCCGGTTACCAACCTGGATCTTAAGGTTATCCAGACCCAATTATCTACTCGAACCGGCACTAAATTCCGTGATACTCATTCTCAAGACCGGTCAAACCAACAGAAAGAGAACTCCCAGAACCGCAGTTATTCAAAACAAGCATCTGGAACCAAATACACAATTCCTCAACGTTCCAACAACCAAGATAGATCTCGTCATACACTTATAGACTGTGATCACTGTGGAAATCGCCATGGACTTATATGCTATTTTAAACATCCTGAGAAAGCACCAGAGTATAGACGCAAGTTCTATACTACTATGGCTAATGCTCTCCGTGTTCAGCAACAATCTGAAGCAAACCCACAATCAAACCAGGATCACCCTGCTTCACAGGAACTTGTCTTGCATAAGAAACTCTCCAATGCCAAATCTGCCATTGTAAAGTCTGCAAAGACTCTCTCATTTTCCAATCAATGGTTTGTTGACAGCTGTGCCTCTTTCCATTCTACACCTGACCGTTCACTTTTTGCAACCTACAAGGCCTTGCAGAAGCACGATCTGGTGGAGACAGATTATATGGAAGGTGCTCAAGGCCATATCTCTATGCCTCAAGGCATTGGCACCGTGATTATAGATATTGGTTACGGATCTCTGATCCTAAGAGACGTCCGCCATGTTCCTTCCTTTACTTCCAACCTCATTTCAGAAGGCATGCTTGTACGACAAGGCTTTAGGCTTCAATATACACTAGATTGTGAAGTCAAGCTGATTACCACACCATCTGGAGCTGAATTCCAAGCCCGATTGTTCAAAAACAATGTTTACCTCCTTGAAGACTGTCTATCTCCTGGAGAAGAAGAAAATTCCTATGCCTTTGTCACCACCCGGTCTGGCAAAGAAGTTAACCGCCCAGAAGAGCCACCTGCAAAGGCTCCCACAATTAAGACACCAGCTGAGGCTCCTACTCCAAAAGAGACCCCGGTTCTAGGGAAGCCGCGAACTACTAAGATATCCCTACCTATCATGGCCTGGCACCGACGCCTATGCCATCTCAATCAAGCCGATCTCCTCCGCCTCGCCCGAGATCCTGAGTCTTGCATCGAAATCAAAGGCTCTAAAGAACTCCCATTTTGTGAAGTCTGTATACAGGCTAGACAGACACGCTATTATAGCAAGGTCCCTAGGTCCAGAGTTACCAAACCCCTTGCCCGAGTCCATCTAGATATCGCCGGCGGTGGACAAACTCTTGATTTTGACAACCCTAATGATGTTGTCACTGGCCGAATTGGGGCAAAATATGTCTTACTTATTACCGACGATGCCACACATTATCGATGGATCCTCTTCCTTGAGACAAAAAGTGCAGCCATTACCGCCTTCAAGAACTGGCTTCAAAATATGAAGAACCATGGCTTCACTGCTCCTGCCTACCTAGTCTCTGATAATGAATTCCGCTCCACTGAATGGATGGAAACCTACCGTCAGGAAGGCATAGAATGGCAACTAAGCTCGCCATATTCACCATGGCAAAATGCCGTTAGTGAACGTGGCATCCGGATCCTTTTTGAACGGGCCCGAGCTATGATGCTTGATGCCCCATATATACCAGAACGCTTTTGGGTAGATGCTCTCCAATATGCCACAGATCTTACAAATCGGCTCCCTACATCTACCATCTTATACAATTCCCAAATTCCTGGGGGGGTGAATATCAACAAGGACATACACCCCAGCCCTTATCGCGCTCCGTTGGCAGCGTGGACTAATTCATCCATTTCTTCACTCCCCGGATATCGCCGTTGGGGGTGTCCAGCCTGGGTCCATCGGCATGGACCAGATAAACCTGGAAATAAGCTTGATTCACGTTCTCACTGCTGTTTCCTCATTGGCCAAATTAGTAGCCATCAATATCGTGTTTGGGACCCTAAAACTGACACCGTCTTTGTCACCAATGATGTTATATTTGATGAGGATTACAAAGATCCTACAACTACCTCTCCCAAAGGTCCCAGCACCCCTACCGAAGAAAATCCAACTCAATTAGTTGAAGATGAACCTCTCAATGACCAAGATATATGGCTCCGACCTGCCAAAGGCATGTCCCTAGCTTACTTTGCCACTTCAACCATTCCTTCATCAGAAGACAACACGCCTACTTCTTATAAGCAGGCCATATCCCATCCTGATGCTGCTAAATGGCAAGCTGCCATGCAAAAGGAAGTCAACCAACTTAAAGAGAAAGGCTGCTGGCAACTCATTCGCCGTTCTGACCTACCACCAGGGACCAAAGTCATCCCTGGCCGGTGGGTATACAAAAAGAAAGAAATCCCCGGCATACCTATCTCAGAGGATTATCAGGCTAAAGCCCGCTGGGTCATCCGTGGCAACCTACTTGATAAGGACTTCATGGAATCCTACGCACCAGTGGTAAATGAAAATACTACCAGAACCCTCACGGCACTGGCCACCCTGCTTGGCTGGCATACCCGAAAAGCTGATGCCACCCTGGCTTTCCTAAATGGGAAAATGCCCACGGACAAACGTGTCTTTATGACCCAAGTTCAGGGATTCAAAGAAGGTTCTGGAGATCTTGTCTGTGAACTCCTTCAATCCCTCTATGGATTAGTCCCATCTGCCCGCATCTGGTATGATACTCTGGGTGCTTTTCTACGCCAAATCAGCTTCAAATGCTCTGAATATGACTCTGGTCTATGGATCCACACTACCCGGACCCAACTCTATGTGACCACCCATGTGGATGACTTCAAAGTCTATGCTAAACATGAAAATGATGCCATCTGGTTTATGGAGACTCTCTCCGCCAAATTTGACATAAAAGAAGTTGGAAACTCTACCAAATACCTTGGCATGACCATCTCCCAGTCTGAGACTTCATCTTCTTTATCTCAAGCCGACTACGCTGAAGATGTTGTTGCCTCTTTTGGTCAAGCCCAAGCACATCCTGTTAGGATTCCAATGGATCCTAGCCTAATAATTGATGATGAACCAGACCCTACAGTCAACACCAAAGAATATCAACGTGGTGTAGGCTGCCTTACCTGGCTAGCCACCAAAACCCGGCCAGATCTTAGCCAGACGGTTGGCATACTATCCCAATATAACGCCAAACCCACCCAAAAAGCATGGCGTGCCCTTATACACGCCATACGCTATCTTAAAGGCTCCATCAATCGGCAAATTACCTATCATAAACCCACGGAGTCCATTACATCTGACCTCCTCATGCCAAAATGTTATACCGACTCTGATTGGGGTGGTCAACTGACAGGCAACCGCCGGTCAGTTTCTGGATACATCTTTCTGCTTGCCGGAGCCCCAATTGCCTGGAAAAGCCGCAAGCAAACATCCGTTGCCCTTAGCTCCAACGAAGCTGAGTATATGGCTCTAAGCGAAGCCAGCCGTGATGCCCTCTGGCTCCGGAATCTCATCAACGAGCTTAATGTGCTCCCAACTGAATGCCCACCAATATCTCTTCATATCGATAATCAAGGTGCTCACGCCATGGCTGAAGCCGAGCTCACCACCAAGAGATCCAAACACATTGACATACGCTACCATTACGTTCGGGAGAAGGTCCGAGACGGCATTGTTAAACTTCAGACCTGCCCTACCAAAGAACAGGCAGCAGATGGCCTGACAAAACCTCTCCAAACTGAACGATTCAATCATTTCCTGGAACTCACCGGCATACATTAAGCGGCGCTTGCTCCCCCATTTTGGTTATACTTTCTATTCTGATTTACGGCTTCTGATTGGCCAAAGCAGAACCTCTCATTTCTCTGCTTAATTTTGCTTTTATTCTCTCATTTGAAGGCCTGCATAGAGGCCGATTTTTGTATTTAAATTCTTTAGATTAGTCTTTAGGCCAGCTCGTGCGTGGGGGGGTGTTGGATCACGTGGGATTCTGCCGCATAGGTCCGCCCTCGCTGACCCTTTTCACCACGTAGGCCTATCTAGCTAGTGACCAACCAACAATACACCTCCATTAATTAATAATTAAGATGTCAGGTGCTTGCAGCAAACGTGGTCTGGCGGGGGCCCATGATTGGCTCCGAGCTGCCCTGCTATCGAAGGGCGATCCCGCGGATCTTCAGAGCTGCTCTTCTTCGCTTTACTTCAGGTTGTCCTTCCTTTCCTCTCCTCCTCGTGCTGCCGCTGCCCCTCCCTGCTCTCCGCCGTGCCTCTGCTACGAGGCTCATCCTATTATACCCTTCCGTCACTACGCCTCTCTCTCTGTCGCATTCGTTTGATCTTGGATCGGTCCCGCATGTCCTTCCGCTTCCTGTGCTCGAACCGTCCTTGTTCTCTTGGACCAACACAATCAATCTGGGTTACATCCTGTCCCTAAGACCGTGCCAGCTGGCTATTCCGATCTGTCTCGTCCTGTCTTGCCCCACCCCTGTTGCATCCATCCTGCCCCTCCGTCTGGCAGTCGGGACGCGTTCCTTTTTACTTTCTGTGTCCCCATCCGAGCCTATTCTGCTTCTCCTTCCATGACGGCTTCTCTATGCGGCCTTCCTCACCTGTACCTACAATCACTACTCATTGCGTGCCATCGGAACAGTTCATGTTACACTAACTCCCAGTGTGATTGCGTGTCCGACAAAAGAAGTGGGGAACCCTCTGTGCTCCCCCGGGGTTTGCGAAGATGTACGTGTCTGCTGCAGGCATTTTTTTTATATTCGCTTCTTTCTTTCCCATGAACAGCCAGTACACCAAGAACGCTTCAAAAATCTCTTATTCTGCTTCAAATGGCATTCTTCACATGAATGGCCAGCTACATCCACTTTCTCTTTTCTTCCCCTTGACGCTAACATTGGGATTCTATAGGAAGTTCGGCAAACAAATCCAGCGAAGACAGCTAGATCTCCCTGAATATGCGGCGAGTTTTCTAAACTACAAGGCCCTGAAGAAGGTCAGCTTCCGCATGGTTCCCGGTGTCCGGAGTTCGTTCCCCCGACAGCTTGCTAATGGATCAGCAACAGCTCATTAAGCAATTAAGTGCAACGCCTACTATCCCGGCGCAGAGCACCGTCGAAGTAGCCCACGATGAGCTCGATCCGCAGACCGCCCTTCGTGCAAACAAGGAGGTGTTTTTCTTTCGTCTTGTACGCCACTATGTTACTCATTGGGGTTGGGATACACACTCACAGCCGCCTTGCACAGGAACGTGAGATCGAGAAAGTCAACGCTTTTTATTTACAAAAGGAAGCTGAGGTCTTTTGTCCCCACTCAACGAAGCCTGTTATTAAGTGGTGGGGCAGCCAACTGATCTTCATTGCAGTTTTCCTTGCGCCTAAAAACATTGCTTGATAAGAAACGAGTGATTCAATCCCGCCCCGCTTCTAGCTCCAAAACCTCGGCAAATTTTGTAAGCCTGTTTGAAGGGTTTCAGCAGTTTGATGGTGACCTGAACAAACTCCAAGTAAGTCCGGTTGCCTCTGGACATGTTACAAATGGGTTGACGCTCACGACCGGAAGCAATTCGTCGAGATCAATGAGACCGCAGTGTCAAAAATACTCAAAAAGGTTTGTCAAGATTGGATGCGAAGGGAGTTGAGCTCTTGGGCTTTCTAGTTTCTGAATCGCTGACAGAATGATAGTGGGACAAAACTTCGAAGGTCCGAAACACCAAACGTTGGCCCCCTCCTAGGATTTTGCTAACAGCAATTTAAGTCCCGCATGAAGGAACTATATCTGCATCGAGCAGTTGAAGTGCAACCGTGCTTTAATCGGGAGGTTCTACGTGATCTATCTGATCGGGCGACTACAGCCCGGCTGGAGCTGGAGGCATGGGCAGAAGGAGAGAATATACAGTTCGATTCCGTGCGCCCGTCTGAACGAGGAACGGCTACGCAGCCATATGGTACTGAAGAAGATGAGCTTGAACTGCAGATCCTGCAGTCGTCAAAGGCTGGAAATCTCCAGGCGCTACGGGAGTGGATTTCGAAATTGAAAACATCCCCCGATGCTTCCGATCGTGCCACGCGCACATTTCTTACCGCCATAAATGGATACTCAGACGACGTCCTACGCCTTCTCCTGGACAGCGGGCTGGTTGACATTCACGCTGAGGACGATATTAACGAACGGAATTGCTTGCACGAAGCCGCCATTTCTGGTCGAGAATTTGTCTTAAAAGCCGGCCTTGGAGCAGGTGTTGATGTTTCGAGATCCGATGTTTATGGCAGGATTCCACTTCATTATGCGTGTATGCATGGTCGAGTGGAAATGGTGCGGGAGCTCCTTGCTGCCGGCCCTCACACCGTCGACTTGATGGATCACGATAACTTTACTCCATTGATCCATAGCATAGTGAAAGATCAGCTTGCCTGTGCCGAACAACTTCTCTACAGCAACGCGCGTATCAACCCAGCTTCAGAGTCGGACCATATCCCTCTAAACTTGGCGTGTCAGCATGGGTCCATCCCCATTGTCAAGTTGTTACTTGAGAGGAATGCTCGGCTGCTTCCCGATGCTGAAGGGCTCTACCCCCAGCATTTGGTGGCGCGTTCCTCCCAGTCTCCGCAGTTGCTGCTACTTCTCAAGCAACATAGCGCTGATTTGGACCAGAGGGACAAGCTGTATCAATGGACCCCACTCTTCCACGCGGCAAGCGAAGGCTGCGTAGACTGCTTGCGCACACTTCTCGAATTGGGCGTTGATGCTGAGGCGACCGATGAGAAGGGCCTGCCCGCAATGTACTATGCCGCGTGGGAGGGACGGTTGGAGTGTATGCTCCTCCTCTGGTCAAAACGCGCTGATACACATTTGACGCAGCGGCCACTGGATGTACTCAACGGCCTGAAACTTCACGAATTACAGCCCACGACCGAGACAACGATGGAGGACATGGAGACTGCAGATGGCATTCCGGATCTTTCGCTGCCACCCCCCATTATACCTTTGCGGCGTTACGGTCATAACTTTCTTGACAGGAAGGTTTTTGTTCAAATATTATTCGACCAGGGTAGTCCGGGTTCCATCATGTTTGAACAAGCGGAGCGTTATCCTGCTGCTCGGTTGACGATCTCTTCCAAACTCTCGGATTTGATTCCTCGCAGCATCATTCTTCCCATCCATGAAGAGTCGCGGATTGTGTCGTTTCATGTTGATAATCTAGCTACCTTCACCGTTGACTTCGAAATCTTCCCGACTTTTGGCTCAAAAGTGATTGCAAAGACAGCCGCTTTGCCCACTGTATTTAGGGCAGAGGAGTCGAGTGCAGGGTCATGTGCCCTGCCACTTTTCGATCCCAGATTACGATCGATTGGCCAACTTCACTTTAACTATCAAGTCATCAAGCCTTACCATGGCGAGCCCCTAGAAATCACACATTTTGCGACCTACTGGAAGGCAACGAGCGCCCTAGATTCGGAGCACAATGGCCTGGTTACAGGGTCTAGTCTTTCTGGAGATTATGTCCAGCTCTTCGTGCAACTGACTAGGGACAGAGTGCCTGTTCTCTATCCGCAGTACACCATCAACCATCATGGTGTTGTGATACCTGTCTGCCATATCACTTACTCTGAATTTCGGTTGATTGGTTCTGATCGGGGAGTGGACCATTCAGAAGTTGTACAGTTCCTACAATCCCACGGTGCAGATGACATGTCGAAGATACATCGACTCCTTGCCAGATCATTCTTTTCATTGCGAGAAGTGTTGCAGCACCTCCCTATCTGCGTAAACGTCAACATCTCTCTTCTCTATCCGTCGGCAGTTGAAGAGAAAACTTTGGATATGACCTCGATGGCCGACATTAATAGCTTCGCAGATGCCATCCTTACGGATGTCTTTGACCATGCACGTGTTGCGCGGGAGAATAATCCTGATTTCATGCGTTCGGTGGTCTTCACATCATATAATCCAAACATCTGTACCGCCCTGAATTGGAAACAGCCTAATTGTGAGTCGAATCCGAATGCTCCGCGGAAATTAGCTGGTATCTAACTAATCTTGACAATATCAAGACCCTGTCCTTTTATGTAACGATCTCGGACAAATTAGAGACCTGACTCGTGACGTTGGTTCGCTACCACTCATTGATAGCAGTGGCCGTGCATCAATGTCTATTAAAGAGTCTGCCCGAATCGCACAAAGCAATAATTTCATGGGGCTGATCTGTCGGTCGAGTCTTCTGGTGCGTGATTCCTCCCACCCCCTAATATGGCCATTTCGTATTTGTTGGCTCGTGGGTTGATATCACAATGGCTCTGGGCCCCATTCTCTTACTGACCGTTATACTTTTAAACTATAGAATGTCGTACCGGCACTTGTGGAAACAATCAAGGAGCTAGGACTCGTGCTTGTGGCAGATACTTCAGATGAAGCTCAACCAAGCCGGAGTGAGGCCCTGGCGGCAGCAAATGCAATGGGCGTCGCTGCCGAGTGGGCATATCGGATGCCTGATGGAGTTAACGGCGTGATGAAAGCCAATGGCATTCTAAGATTCAACGATATGATCGATATGTGATGATTTATTCACTTTTTTTTTCCTTTTTTCTTGGAGACTAATAAAACCATGCTTCCCTACGTTTTGACCATTCATCTTTTTCTCTTTTATTCGGAGTCCTTCTCATTGTCTAAGGTGGATGCGCTTGAGAGAGTCGGTCACACTTCTACTTGGAAATACCTTACTCGAAAAAGGACGAGTCTATGTCTCTATACTATAGTGTACACTGAGGTTCTAGACCCTCAGTGCTAATATATATTGTACAACGCAATCGCAAACAAACCCCACCTTATGCTAACATGTTGAAAAAAGAAAGAGTGTGGAATCTATCGTCATATTTCAGTGTTTGCACCAAATGCATGGCATCCATAGCCGTACAATATAATACAGATAGTCAACGCTATGTTTTGGGTGTTCGTTTCCCAATGTTCCAACCCCAGTTTCTCAAGACCTGTACGACCTTGGGGGTGACAGCAGCAGTGAGCGGCACCCGGATGAAGATCAAGCTTTTGTGAATTGCATATGCAAGAGCAACTTGGGTCCATATACCTGGTTAACGGAGTCAAAGGTTAGTTCCAGTCAGCGCAACGGACATTCAACCAAAATTAACTCTTCCAACACAAAAGAGACATACTCGCTTCACCATTCTTCTTTTCCACCGCAACCGAGGGCGGCTCGCCATCTTTAGCCTCACCATGGTCCTCCGGCTCCGACTCTCCTGGTCTCACTCGGAAGCACACGCTCCCAACAGCGTCTTTCACTGAGCTCACAATCACATGCTCGATATGCCCAATTTTTTCTGTTCCAAAAAAGCGCACAGCGAGAAAACAAAGCGGAAAGTCTACAGCTGAGAGCAACAGGTAGACACCCAGTGCTGACCATCCGTACTCACGGGAGAGCTTGCGCAGTTTCTGGGAAAGAGACGAATGTTCTGGAGATGACGAGGAAGATTGACCGCCTGCCTTCGACGAATTGAATTGTCGGGAACTTCCGCGTCTGAGAATAGTATGTGGCTGCTTCAGATTCTCTTGAAGCACAGATCTCCTTGCGGGTCGGCCAGTCGCTGAGCCGGAGGAAAAAGCGCGAGTCCATGAACACGAGGTTGGGGGACGAGATGTGGAAGCAAATACGAAGGGTTTGCGAGCAATTGAGTGCGTCATAGAGAAGAAAAAACCATTAGCACTGCTTCCCATTAATGGGACATGCTGGAAGTTTTCGGTTGGGCGGGAAAACCAGCGACTTGTCAATGGCTTTCTTGGAGGCATGCTGCCGGTTTCCTATCCCGATGCTGCCGGAATTCGTTGAGATCTCGGATAAGGGGAAATAAGGGGAAATGAGGGCGTGGGAGGGGAAGGAGGAGGCCAAATAGAATGCAGATAAGAATAGTATATTCGAAATCAGCAGGGATACCAAGAAAGTCAAAGAAAAAGCGAAATGCAGAGAAAGAGAGAAGCAAAATTTTGGTCCGCGGACCTATGATTGCACTGAAGGGGAAATACTATTATGCCAGCTGTTGTTCAAGAGGTCCCAGTAAAGCTCTCTGGTCTAAGCAGAAGCTGAAATGGTAGGACAGAAGGAGATATTCTATTTCTTCTTAAGGTTGAATAACTATAATTGAAAGTAGAATGTTGGATAATATGAACGATGATGATGTTGATGCAAGTTGAACAACGCTGACTAAAAATTGAAGCCTCAGGCTTGCACGGCCTTACAATCTCCGCTCTGTCCGCATTAATAGTTCATATCGAAAATCTCCAAGAAGCACCTCCGGTTTTGCCAGCAATCAAGTCAAGAACGGCGGTCGCATCTGTCTCGAGCATGTCACCGCGTATAACACGGAAGCTGGCCCAGCTTCCTTTATTATTTCTGTGTCCCCGGTCGACGACGGCTACCGCCATTACCAGCGTTCCAATCCGAACATTTGGTATCCGGTCACTGAACCCTCCTAAAGAAAACCGTTTCAATGCTGGGCCTGGTCTCCCTGTGCTCAAATCCACGCCTACAGCGGCTCTTGAGCGCAAGGCATATACACTACCTCTTCGTACCGGTGCTGTTGCCATCAAGAAGGGCATGACAGCGATCTTTGACACCGAAACAGGCCAAAGGGTTGCCTGCACTGTTCTACAACTTGACCGGGTGGAAGTTGTGTCACATAAGACAGTTGAAAAGCACGGCTATTTCGCCGTGCAAGTCGGTGCCGGCTGGAAACACCCAAGTAACATCACAAAGTCCCTGCTGGGTCACTTCTCCGCGAATGGTATTTCACCGAAAAGACACGTCTACGAGTTCCGAGTGAAAGATGGGCGCGGTCTATTGCCTGTCGGGCAAGCCATAACAGCAGATTGGTTTCAGGAGGGTCAGTACGTCGATACCCGGTCCAATTCAAAGGGTAAGGGGTTTGCTGGTGTGATGAAACGACACGGCTTCCACGGTCAGGATCGCAGTCACGGTGTGAGTTTGACACATCGTTCGCTTGGTTCCGCGGGTCCCAGTCAGGGTGGTGGCTCGCGTGTGTATCCGGGGAAGAAGATGGCTGGGAATATGGGTAATGAGCAGAATACTGTCCAAAATTTGAAGGTGTTGAAGGTGGATCCCGCAAATGGTATTGTGGTGGTGAAAGGTATGTCAGCCACTGCTCTTATTGAGGGCCCCCTGAAATGATCTGTCTAATACGTCTGTCACTGTAGGTGCTGTCAGTGGTCCCAGGGGATGTGTTGTCAGATTACAGGATGCTATCAAAAAACCATGGCCCGAAGTCAAGCCGCCAACGGAATCGGCTGCGTAAGTATCAATTCTTGAGGGAAATTGTTTCATCGGGTGTACCAATGTACCATACTATTTTACTCGAGCGGCGTCTGTGTATGTTACATGAATGATATCCTTTTTTTTTCTCCCATTTTCTCCGCAGCTAGTCCATGATATGTAATGTTCTTGGCTTCGCTGCACAATCAGGCCGTTTCCAAACCCAAACGCCGGACCCATGCTTTATGAAAGATAAATGGTTTTTGTACAAAGTACATCGCATCCCAACTATGGTTGGCATGAGGTTCCTTTTCATGCCTGTTGAAATGGATCACCGTCGCTCTCGTCGAGTAATTGCACCACCTTTCCATCCTCAGTCTCTAGGCTCCATTCCTGTGTCCGGAACTAATGCATTGCGTTGTGGTCAGTGATGTCTTGAGATGTAGTTCGACTACGCATATACCAATCCCAGATACTTTGCTTTGGGAACAAGGGCTACAGGTAGTCAGTGTACAAGTGAAAGTGGAATACTCACATAGCTCATGCGATCAGGCCTAATGCTCCGAAACCTCATTTTACCTATTCCCTTGGTCCCCTTCACCCAAAATGAAATGTCGATCCTCCCGTGCAATTGGTTCATCTCACCACTAATCCAAGGCATTTTCTGAGCAAAGTAAATCTCGTCACCTAGGATCTCCCGAGCCCGAGGAGAGGTCCGAAGAGCGTAGAGCGTACCGCTGACCACGCTCGAGGATGATTTCTGGTAGTTGAAAATACCCAGCATGGCCGCCCCAACGACAACCGCAAAGATTGGCAGCGTACGTAGCCAGCCTCTATTCGTATTTACAGAAGGAAGCTCTCGATCTGCACGTCGCTCCATCAGAGGACCCGAACTGGGGGTCGGCGGGGGGATCAGGGTCCGGCGTGGAGGGAGTCGCAACGGTGTAAGGGACATTGACAGGCGCTGGACGCCAACGCGCCTCTGTATACCTCCCAGGACCATTTCAAGTTGCCAGATTTAAGATATTCCAAAAAGTTGAAATCAATAGGAGGGTCTAATGCTGCATACGCTGGTTCATAAGGTTGGGGAATACGATTATTAGTTTTCAAGCCCTCGGTCCTGGAAGGAGGGAAGGTTACAAACAAGACAAACTTGGACAGCTCCTGAGACCGCATATAGGTTTTCTGGACCTTCCACTACCCACATCTAACCACAGCCTGACCTGACCTCTTTCATATCATTGACACTTACTTATGACATTGAAATATTGTGCCGTCTATGGCGACAGTGAGACTTCGACGGGTGTTTCGTTATCCCGAAGACTCGGATGGCGAGCATGACCGAGAGGAACTCGACGAGGAAGGTCTGATAGTTATTCCCATACATATCATCTTGTCTTCAATCTATTCCTTACACTGACAACTTTTTTTTTTTTTTTTTTTTTTTTTTCAGAGCAGGAGCGCGTGATTAAGCAGCTTCAGAGCCTGAATAGCAAGAGAAATGCAGGTTATAGTGTATATCTTTACCTCTGCCAGGATTCTTTGTTGAGCTAGAACAACCGAAATGATTGGATACGGGTGCTGAATGTTAAGAGATCAATATAACAGATAATCTTCACAGCAATCCCTTTAATTTCGGCGGCTGCTTTCATTCCATCCATATTATCAGAGTCACCCACGTTATATGAACGACTTCTCTGCTTTCTCGCTCTACTGTCATCAGCCACCACGGCGTACATTATGAAGAATCTGCCCTTACGACCCCTAGACAACAAGGGCAAGAGGCCAGTGATAGAAGCTGGTCGTACCAGGCCTGATCAGCATCTCATAACTGTCAATGCCATTGTCTGTACACTTCTGGCACTGGCATACTTCTTCTCGAAAGCAATGGGAGCATACAATGTTCGTCCGGCTTTATATGTGGTCCCGGGAGGTATAGACTTCCATTCCATACTTAGAATAACAGTGGCTTACTTGTTGGCAGCAATGCTTATGGCAATTTTGATTGCGCGGAGAGTCATGCTTTCTGTTGATCCCACGTCCCTCGAAGACTTGAGGTACGAATATAAAGGAGCCTAGGACACCGGCTTATATCCGCTCTCCCGAATTCAAAATTGTGAGTTTAACAACAACTTTATTGGCTCCATATGGAGTACTTTGTCCTGTAACCTGGGGCTGAACTGAGAATCAAGTCCGGGATCATATTATCAATTAGCCGTCTGTCACCGATATCATATTTGAAGCCTGCGCCAAATCTGTTGTACCCATTGATTCCTTTAGGTCAACTATTTAGCGTACTCTGTACAACTAACTGCTGATTCCGGTCAGTACGTAATTCATTTCCATATTCCCATACGGCCACATTCTCAGCTACCGACGCTTCAAATGCTCCTTCTGGCTAGTGTTCTCGATCAAAAAACAGTGTTGTGCTTCTCATCATATTCGACATCAGCATTATACCCATAGAGAATGGTTAAAAGGTATTAATAGAATCCCCAGTGGCCCAATGACAGTGAGTCAATCTACACTCCCGCCTTCAGAAGACAGTCTAATCACTCCAGTATCTAATTCCAGGGCTGGATCGACGGGTATGTCTTCATAGTCCGTGAGGTGCGAATTTCCCTTCTCGATAGGAATAGGGGGTCCTAGTTCAATGCCATGCTCGTCCAAAAACTCTAGACGGTTTTTGTCCTTTTCAGCCTCTTTCCGCCGTAGTTTGAGGCGGCGAGAATCCGACGTACTGTTGCCAGTTTTCTTCAGCCACCGGATATTCGACTGCCGGAAGTCAACCAGACTCTCGACACTTCGAGGGTCTGCAATCTTTTTTGTATCATGGCCCAGTGAAGTATATATGGGCTCGAAGGGTGTCATAGATGGGTCTTTGCGACATGCCCCGCAACTGCAAATCTTCCGACATCTTGGACACGTCCATTCAAATTTCTCCATGATGCTCTGGGGCTGTATGTTAAAGGCTCTGAACAAGCTACCATAGCAATAGCTTAAATTGCAGGAGCAAGAGGCCAGTCTCCATAATGCATCAGGAGCCTTGCAAATATGACAACTGCCATTTTCCTTGTGCCACTTGTCAGATTTGTGAACTTTCCTGCGTTTTCGAGGACGGCCAGGATCATCGGGGTCGTCCGCTTCTTCGCCGACCATGCTTTTGGCTGGCGGTTTAGTGATGTCTACCCACGGTCGCCTCCTCAATTGCTCCTGACAAACTTCTGCAAGCGTCTTCTTTCCCAATCGTTTTCTTTCTACCGAAAGAGGTTGATAGCCATCATCAACAAAGCCTCTAAAGCTGATGATCTGATGCCTCCAGCGTTCGTGCTTTTCAATGAGCTCGCTCCAGCGGAATTGCTCAACCCATTTCAACTTCGAGATGCAAGCACAGCTCCTACCCATAGCGTAGCATTCCATGCAAACATCATAATTATCTTCTTCTGAAGAAGAAAGCGTTCCCACACACCATGGGCACGTGAGGAATCTATTAAAAACATTACACCGGCAATAAGAACAGGTGATGTTCCCTTCGAAAGGAAGCAACTCAACATTCTTCTCCCCCGGCAGATTCTCTGAGAAACTCTCCGACAGAAGAATCTGCGTATATAGGGAGTATAGTCGCTGAAACTCTTTCTGCAACTGCTGGAGCTTCTGGGATCGGACACCGTTTTCGTGAGCATCCCGGAGAAGCTTTGAGTAACGCTCAAGTGAGTAAAACACTATTGCCTTGGTCTTATATTGTTCATCCCGGCAAACCATTCTTGCTTTATGGAGAGATTCGTTCAAGGCCATTTCCAGGGTTTCCACAGTAGTGCGATTCCATGCCACTTTCACCGTCCTGGTTCCCCGATTCCAAACTTGGTGAGCGGCAAGAGAAGGTATGAGGATGAAGTCACCTGGCTTTTGCTCCACGATGTACGTCTTGAAAGGTGCCGCCTTCCAAGCATTTATCTGGGCGAAGTGGTCCTCTATCTCAAGGTCATGTCCTAGAGTGGACATCCAATACTCGGAAACAACGTCGCGGTCCTTGCTTGCTGTCATAAACCAGATAGACGAGCCTGGTTTAGTCCGTTTTCCATGCTCTACGAGCCCACTTGATGCCTCCACCATTATGTTATGTCCGAGGGTCGCACACATCTCTCGGTGGCTAGGCGTGTAAGTACCTTCATGACCAATGTAACACATCAGGTTCTCAGCACGCATGTCTGCTGGGAGGCAGCTCATAAGGTCTCCAGGTTTTGATACTTCCTCTTCCTTCTCGCACTGACCAGAAGCCAAAGATGCGGACCCAGGACCTTGAAAGGGATCTGTTCGTGATTCGTTAAAGTAGAAAAGTGAAGGTGGAATGAGCGCTTTTAATTCTTCGTGCCACAAGGGAGGACAATCGATGTCTTTGAGATATATTCTCTGAAAATCGGGATCTCTATAAGTGGATTCGTTCCACTGGTCGGTTAAGAGTGCCATGTTGTTCAAGTAATGGCCGACAGTAAGCGGAAGGTCGGATTTGTTCGTTAGGTTGCGCGCGATTTCAGCTTCAATAAAGCGATCGCGGTCAGAGATAAAAGCAGACAATAAATGTGAATGCAAAGAGACAGTGACTCACTTTTCTTTGAATAGTTATCCCGTAGCCATTTTTCTGAAAATATGGATTTATCTAACCTCTGATCATACCCTTCAATGACAAGAGGCTGCCCACCCAAGACAACATGAAGCAAGACTAACTTCTCAAAGGTCTCTAATCCATGTTCGTCAATAGAATCGCAATGAATCCTGGCGACGTACTCGAAATTTGGCGTCGATTCGACGAGGGAACGAACATCCAAGTCAGGAGATATTGGGTCGAACGCCGCACGGGGAAGCTGGGCGGGCATTGTGGTGACGTTTGAACCTTGTAGTCATGAAAAACTCCTCGGACTGCATTCAATCCAATGCTTGAAGATTAAGGAAAGGCGTCTACTTCGTAGCTCGCGGGGTTTGGAGAGTAGTCAAGGGGCCATTTATAGTGAATGACACATTTTTGCAAAAAAGTGAATAGATTTCCGAGGAGTGAAATCATCAAGGACTTTCTAACACCAGAATGCGCCAAATTGATGATTCGGTTTTGATCAACAGGAATACTCCGTACTCAAATCCCTTCCTCAGACCTTAAACCTGTCCCTACGATTTGGTCTCTGGTCGAAACCTACAGCGCTGGTGGACGTTCGAGACGACCCTTGCTCAGTGTGGTAGTCGCACGTATTGCAAAGCAAGAGAGCTACTATGCTTTACTGTGAGGAGTGAAAAGAATGTAGTGGATGTTATGTAGAAGCTCGACACTTTGCAAGATCAGAGGTCTCGATGGAATGTATGCCTCTATACGCTATTCCTATTTTTGGTTAAGTCAATCGTTTAACAGTATTAGGTAATGCAGGTACAAGACACGTGCCCCACGGCTCAAAGAGAAAAGAGTCAGTTCGAGAGTCTTCAGATCCCGACAGAGCCATTGACGGGGATATCTCGGATAGTGGGCCTTCGTTACCTTCTTTCTCTAATCAGGAAGGCCGGTTACTTGAGAAGCAGGCGTTCAATTTATTATTGTGGTCGCGCAACCCTGGCCTCCGGTATCTTTGTTGGTCGCTACATTCCCTTACCAGCTTCAAGGTAACAGTTACCTACGCTTACCCCAATATGACCACTGATTGACCGATTCCTCCGGGTTTCTTCTTGTATTTGAATACTATTAGGCATCGTCTGGGATCTGATGTTTGGCTGTATGCCGCCACTTCGCTGCAGTATGCCTTTTTCAATTCACTCATCCGGTCTATTTTATCGAGCGCAACTGCAAAGGAGCATTACTGCGGCTTCGCAAATTGGCTACTTCTCATTAGTGCGCCACGCTTCACTTTCTCACTTTCTCCCCTACAGAAGTATACCACGCAAATCCGCAACCTCAAGGGAATCCCAATTAGCGTCAGCAATATTGGTTCGTCATGACCCTTGTCTCCCTTCGCCGCAATTAGTAGCACGGGGAGGTCTCACGACAAGTGCAAAGCCAGTAGCTCACTATGTTCCACCGAAAACGGGACTTATCGCTTCTCTCCCAAAGTCTTGGATACCATACGCGGAACTGATGCGACTTGACAAGCCGGCAGGCACATACTATCTTTTCTTCCCTTGCATATTTTCAACACTTCTCGCGGCTCCAATGGCAGAAAATATTGCCGGCCCACCGGAGGTTCTGGGGACTGCGGGACTATTCTTTGCTGGTGCATTGATCATGCGGGGTGCTGGATGCTCGATCAACGACCTCTGGGACAGAAACTTGGACCCTCACGTTGAACGGACGAAGTTCAGGCCCATTGCTAGAAAAGCAATATCTCCACAGAAGGCAATAGTCTTCACAGGTGCCCAGTTACTGGCAGGTCTCAGTGTTCTTCTGCAGTTTCCTTACCAGTGCCTCTGGTATGGGATTCCTAGTCTACTTCTGGTGACAACTTATCCGCTTGCCAAGCGTGTCACCTACTATCCTCAAGCAGTCCTGGGACTCACATTTTCATGGGGTGCGATAATGGGGTTTCCAGCGTTGGGGGTGGACCTTCTTGCTAATTGGAATGCCTTGGGGGCAGCTACCGCCCTGTATACTAGCTGCATTGCGTGGACTGTATTGTATGATACGATATATGCGCACATGGACATAAAAGACGATGTGGCTGCAGGAATCAAGTCAATCGCCTTGCGTTACAGGCATAACACCAAGGCTCTTCTTTCCGTTCTAGCAGTGACTCAAGTATCATTGCTTGCCGCTGCAGGCACTGCGGCAGGTGCAGGCCCTATTTTCCTCGTCGGCGGCTGCGGCTCCGCAGCCCTCTCCCTAGCTATCATGATTTGGAGAGTTCAACTGAAGAGCGTCCGGAATTGTTGGTGGTGGTTCAAAAATGGATGCTTGTTAACTGGAGGAGGTATCACATTGGGATTGTTCGCCGAATATTTGGCGCAGTACCTTGGACTGTACAAAGATGATACGAAAGTCGAAGCTTGATCCCGGGTTTAAAACTCGACAAGAGGGCATCCTTAGTAGACGGGTCTATCAGCCAGCTTCCGTGATATGGTTTGTCGGCTTTGTTGGGGGGGCAGGCCAGAGAAATTCTTTACCCTACGGAAAATACCTTCCCAATCCATGGTCTTTCGCCAACGTCTCCGAAACAAGCGACTTCTAGACTAGCTAGAGTGACTGACTATAAGTCATATTTGATGATCCGTCTCTACTATACCGTGGTTAACACCTTGAGGTGCTTTTGGTAGATTGGGGTTCAGCATAGCAGCGCTTGTCAATTATTCAACCATTAAGGCTAACTGTATATTATGTAGCCTTAAAACCCCCGAAGATCATTCCCTTTGCCATCATGGACAAGTTGTAGCCAAAGAGAATGGGAATGGAGCCCGTTGACGTAACGGCGTCCTTCTATTGGATCAACTTGCTTGTTTTGTATCTATCTAGGTTGGTCTAGCTATTTTAGTGTGTCAGGCCAAGCGAGGGCGGTCTAATATGGCATAATACACGTGATCTCTAACACTTTCGCCCAGAGCTTTTGCCAAAAGTTAGAACTAACGTAATCCACAAGCAAGGGACTCTCAGGCGAGTGACGCAGCTCTGTATTGCATATAAAAGGGCACTTTTTAAGACCTTAATATCTCAGCAACAACACGTCTAGCAGGCAAAAAATTTCATATCTAATTTAGTATTACATTGATGTAGATTCAGAGATTTCTATGATATATATTTCTCTAGGTAAGATAAGTTATAGTTGTATTTTTTTTGTATTTTAAATGTTTTGCTATTTGAGGCTGAGAAAATTATTTAAAAAAATAAATTAAATTAGAAGTATGCTTGTAGAGCTGATATACATACTCTTCCTTGCTTCTATCATTCTACATCTATTGGTGGTCAAAATATTAAGGTCTTAGAAAGTGCCCTTTTATATGCAATACAGAGCTGCGTCACTCGCCTGTGTGAGTCCCTTGCTTGTGGATTACGTTAGTTCTAACTTTTGGCTGATTATTAGTACCTCCAAATTCAGACATCCGTCAGTTTGCAGCTTGTTGCTTCCGCATTCCTCATCATTATATCCACTATGTCCACTATGTTTTCGAGAACTATTTTTTCATCTGTATGGTCCCGCCTCCTGACTATCCTTTGGAAAAAGTACTAATGACTATCTAAGGCATTGCGGCCACTGAGTAGGCCTGCACACCTCTCGCAACCTATCCGTCCCCCAACTTTCCGGGTACCTTCTGCCCTTTATGCGCGGCTTCTCTCTACCGAGACAAGGGAAGCGATCGATAAAGCCGTCGCGTCTGCCCCCGTTGTTCTCTTTATGAAAGGCACACCAGAGACCCCACAATGCGGATTCTCGCGAGCCAGCATACAGATCCTGGGATTGCAGGGTGTAGACCCCAAGAAGTTTGTTGCGTTCAACGTGCTGGAGGACCCGGAGCTGCGTCAAGGTATGCTACCAGAAAGTCGTTGATGATTGTTGGAACACAGTTAGGAAGGCTGACGGGCTTTTTTCGAAATTCTGAAACCTGACAGGTATCAAAGAATACTCGGATTGGCCAACAATACCGCAACTGTACGTGGATAAAGAATTCATTGGTGGTTGCGATATTTTGATGTCGATGCACAGAAATGGTGAGCTCTCCAAACTCCTAGAGGATAAGGGAGTTTTGGTGGCAGCAGATCAATAGAGCCGAAAATCCAGGATGTGGTGGATAGTTTTAAGACCTTGCTTTTTTTGCACATACCTTCCATTTCCTTGTTGTCTTGTCTGTCTCCTGCTCTCTTCATTCTGTTGTTATATACCATCATACCAATGGAAATTTTCATCGCTCTCGAAACACTGGCCTTTCTTAGCAACTTACTTGGTGGGACGACAAGTTAGCTCAGAAGGTATGTGGATGTCTTGGATGAAAAGACATAAAAAAGGCAACATGTGCTATATACTGGAAAGCTTCGAGCTTCTAGCAAGCGTATTTTGGGTCCTGCATCGTTATGTGGTTGGCTGAGGGCGCAGATCCACGTGTACCAGAGCCATATGGTGTTGCATATCCCGACCATCATGATTCTGATTCACCGAGTATCCATCCCATCAGGAACCTCCACATTCTTCTTCCATGCATTTTTGACAGGATGCTATTTAGTTAATCCCTGGAGTTCGAAGCCAGCAGTTCTCCCTTATTCACAGTTATTATCTCGCCGAGTTACTTTTTCCCCTAGGGTAAGTTAGATAACGTGGAGTCTAGTACAATATTACTTTCTAATTTTGTTGCTATAGACCTGCTCCTAGCACGAAGAGACTTGAAGAAGCTCGATGGATAGTAACAACAGCATGTCTGAAGACCACTACCCATGGAGCACTAACAGGGACAAAGGCCGGTGCTCTTGGAAAGAAGAAATCCTGGTTAAGTTCTCAGGTAATCTCATGCCCAACGCTTCATGTCTTCTAACTATTAACTGATAATTATCTTCAAAAGATGTTCTTCAAAAAAGTCGCCAAGATCTTGCAAATGAAGCCATTCGGGTGCTTTCCAAAAATGAAAATGAACTGAGAAGGCGTTTGCATGATATCCCGGACTCTCTTATGATTGACTCTTCTCACTCGAAACTCAAAGGAGATGTCCTCAGATCTCTCAGCGCTGAGGATAGGACTTTAGCATCTGCACCAGTTCCTGGTGGTGACCTGGAGCGCAGTAAGGATCTTGAGCTAATCATGAAAGATTTACATCATGATTACCGTATCCACAAAAAGAGATTGAAGGAACTATGGAAAGGCTGGCATGAAGTTCAGGAGGAAATTGTCTGCCTTGGCATCGAGGTGCTGGGCTCATCTCGCCTTGGCATAATCCAAGGCAGCAAGCAGCATGCACGCAAAAGAAATCTTCGAGAAAACACGCTGTGCCACAAGTCATGGGAAGAGCAAAAAGCGGAGCATCATTCCTTTATTCATAACGAAGCTGGTAAGATCAAGGATATGAGCCGAAAGACCATTGCCAAATCGAGGACTCAGGCGAAGGTAAGAAAGAATCTGCTAGCTTTATTGGAGTAATATTGTACTTATTCTTGATTGATGAATCCCGCCAGGCTTCACGGGTTGAGAAACACAAATGCTGGAAGATAGTAGGTGACCTAGCTCGGAAACTGGTCGCAAAGACTATGCAATGATGTTAGCAGATACAGACATGGTAGTCTGATTTTTGTCCTACTCCGTAGTTGTCATGTTTATGGATCCAATGGTTTATCAATGCCTCCTTCGGCTTCCATGAAGCTCCGTAGGTCAGGGTTTTTTCTCTTTAAAGTCCATAAAGTGGATTCCATCATGAGCATTTCTCGCATAGCAACACCTACTGGCATCTACATCTTTCATACAGTGTCAACATCAACCCCTGTTAAAATGGGTGCTCTACTGAATTACCTTTTTTATATCAATTGGTTCAACTATATGAAGTCTAGCCTGATGCCTCCCTCAACTTTGTCAATTCTTCGACAGCACTCTTCTTCAATTTGGTGCGTTGTCTCTCTTCATATGCCTCGCGGCTCTTCAGAATCCTACCGACAATTTCACCAGCATTCACATACTGGAAAGGATGTTCACCTGTCTCCTTGAAAATACCCATTCTCTTCGGAGCGACATATGGATCATATGTGAGAGGAATGAATGTTGTTGGGCCGTGGTAGACAACGCCTGGTACGCCAAAGGGCATGGTTTCAAGATATGATTGACTAGGAGAAAAGGGAGCCGAGAATACCACCGCATGTATGTACTGGTAGGGCATTAATGAAGCTTTCTCATGCTAGAAGGTAAAGTAGAACTCACACGGCATTGAAGGACGCAAAGCCCACGCTCAAAAATGTTCATGATGGGATAGTTGAGTCCTTTCCAGTGATTAATCACGTCGTCATCATGGATTCCAGCAATGACATACGAAGGACCATAGTCTTCTCCATGGTCTCTGATCCTCCTGTCCCTTTGCCCAGGGTCGTACCACCCACGTTGACGGCCATCAGTCTCTTCGTACGATATGACCTGTCGGAGGAACTCGATATGGCCGGATGAGAAGAGGTCAAAGCCGCCATCAACATAGACGACCCGCTGTCCTGGTTTTGGCGGCTTGCCATTGAACAGTGTCTCAAATGTTCCTGCTTCTTCTACCACGTGGTCCAGCTTGGCCAAATTTGAACCGATCCAAGTCCAGACTTGGGGTCCTGGTTGAAGGCCGCTCTCGTCGGTGGCATAGTCCCGAATTCTTTGTAAAAGGTCTGCAGCTGATGCCTTCCTCTCGTCGGGGCTTCCCAGGCCCTCTTCCCCCGCAAGCGTGTCTTTCACGGATTTTATGAAATGGGTCTTCGTGCATAGGAGCATACGACCAACAAGGTCGGTAGTGGATATGCCAGGTGTTCTCTTGACCACGCGAAAACGTCCAGCAGCTTTGACAAACCGATAGCAATCATCGCCACTACTGTCAGAAGTGATATCATCTCCGTGAACAACGTAGTAGCACCCATAATGTGATACCCATGGCAGTGATGTGACGTAAGGTGCGTGTGGGACGCAATGAGAGGCCCATCGGCACGCCTCTACTGCGGCTACCCTGCATTGTACATTCTTGAGTTAGTGACGATGGAACGAGTGGGATTAGGGGGGAAGGCTAACCTCTCTTCCAACGTCATCACTGTTGGGCCTTTATTCTCAAGGATGGCCTCGTCAGAGTGAACGCCGACAACTAACTCCTTTCCCAATCTGCGTGCCTGGAGCATGGCTCCCGCATGTCCTAAACGGTATCAATTTGCTGATCAGGGATTGAAGGTCGTAGCACAAGCCTAGATGGCCAGCGGAGTCAAACACACCGTGATGAGTAAAGTCAAAGCACCCGTCAACCCAAATGCGATCTTTCAATATTGGTACATCGTCTTGGGGGTCTACAGGCCAGTTTCCCGGTGAAGGGATCGCAGGTTCAGCAGATGCGCTCATTCTGGATAAAATAAGGCCAGCAAAGTCCGCATGCAGCTTCTACTCCCGAAAAAAAAAGCGAACTTTGTTAAATGTCAAGGAAAATAGTGATCTCTTCTTGCTCCGAGGTATAGCAACGCGAAGCGGTTTAGATAAGGTCGACAACGGGTCGTGGAGACGGAAAAACGAGTTAAATGTGATAATTAATATCTATACCATTATAGTCTAGGCTTTTACTAAAGAGTGCAAGCCATTTCACATCACAAATTAAAACAGGATTAGACAGTTCTGCATAGAACTTGAATGGCTGTATTAATAGCAAAAAGGGGTCTTACCAGTTCCAATGCTTCGCACCTCTTGTATGCCTGGAGGGGCAAGATGTGAAGCACAAAATAAGGGGCTGTAGAGCGATCATGCACTATTCCCAATTAGGAACACCATACTTCTTTCCGAGATACAGTATTCCATCACCGAGGGTCCATACTGATATCATATCATGGAATATAGTCCCACAATCCAACTTCCCCGTCCTTTGCATGCTCCTCGTCCTCCGTCGTTGTCGTTGTCTGAATGCACACTTTCACCATGATTCCATCTTCTTTCCCACAAACCTTGTCCCGGAGAGATACAGGTAAATCAAGTCTGGGACATGATAGTACCCCCCATCCTGCTTTGGCGAGCGGCAGCGGTACATTGGTGCCCCAAAGTGCGGGGGCAATCTATCAGCATATCCATGATATGGCCTCAAAACGCATATCGACTTTGGATTACCTGAGAAAAGCGTTAGTTCGTACCGAATCCTTTCTAAGCCGAATTCTCGGGCTTGTTTTTTCTTGCAACGATAACCTAACCGAGCTAAAAGCCACGAAGGCCGTATTTATTGGTTCAATACAGTTCGATTCTCTAAAGCTGATCTAGGGCGTATGCCGTACTTCGAGCATCGAAAACTCTCCCGGCGTGCTGTCAACTATCTACTTCTCGGCATGTCTCTTCCACCCATCCTGGATGTTAATTCGACCGCGTTCGAGTACTTGAGAGCTCTCAATGCTCTCCTCCTCGAATTTGAGACATTTCAACAAACCCACCCGCCAGAGAGAGGCTCGTCATCGGGCTTGGCGAGATCGCGCATTCCCCAGATGTTCAGACGGGCAACGCATGCAGGAATCAAAACGAGAAGAGCCAGTTCCGCGAATGATATCGGCTTGCCCATGCAGTCTAGCGATCCATCCGATTTGAAAACAATGGCGTGGAACGTTGCCTCCCCCACCACCGCTGCTTCTGTCGTCTCTTTCCCTCACACAGACGCCTCAGATCTTCTCCCCGGGGAGGAATACTCTTACCTTCTGACACCTTCATTGCCCTTTGAACCCGACTTCTTTGAAACCTTCGCAACACTTTGTGATGTATTGATAGACTGCTATACGCGGCTCATGTCCCTGGTATCTACGCCTTCAGTATGCACAGTTGCTCTAGGCGAGTCGTTTTCAAAAGCAGATGCCAAATTACGGAAAGTCATTCTTTCTGGTATTGTCCGAGAATTTGAAGATGCCAGCAGAACTGCTGCAAAAAATGAAATTGCTGGAGTCAGCCGTGTCGTCTTGGGTGGTCTCTTGGGCTAGGGTTGCTTATTTTGACATATGAAGTGATGATGTTTCCACAATTGTCAGTTTAGCGGGAATGAAGGTGTTAATAAATGATATTTTAGGTCTATTCTTCTAGAGAGAGAGAAAATATATATATATATACCATACAGCCGCTGCGGGCTCTCCTTCATTCTCAACATAGCTCAAAGTCCCAGCTATTTGCTCTCCTTTTCATGTATTGGGAAATAATATGAACAGAATCGCAAAATCCAGAACGTGGATATCTATCTATAAATGGCAACCTTCATAACAATGAAAGCGTTGTAAAAGGCCTTGTCAAAGAATAAATACATTTCACCCATTTGAAAGGAAACACTTAGGGGGAAATAACAATAATAAATTAACGCCAACAAACTTGCGCCGCATGCTTTTAGAAATACCAAGAACAAACACCAACATATGCGATCGTGACATGCATTCATGATGAAAATATGCCCGAAACTCCGGCAATAAGACCTTTCATGCTTGAAGCTGCCGGTTCTCAAGTTCACGCTGCTCACTGAAAACTCGACGGCTCATCTGCAGAACAGCCTCAAAACCCTCCCTTCCCCGTTTTGCATTCTGGCTGAATCTCTCAATGCTCGCCTCCTCCACTTTGTTCTTGATTTTCTGCCATCCACCACAAAGCGCTGTAATCCTCGCCTCTTGATTGAAGTCTGTCGAGGAAGAGGGGACTGATAGAGACGGCTTGTATACAACAGTTTCTCGGACATTAAGGACATTGGACCATGTGAGGTTGGTCGAACACATCGTAAGCTTCTTTGAGACGGGATCGACGTATGATACCTCGTACACGTGAGAGGTCGCATCGCCTCCAAAGAGCGAAAGAACCCACTTGGGCACAGATTGGTTACAGGTTATCAGGCGCTCTGTGCGTAGCTATATTGTCGCAAATAGAATCAGTCATATCAGTCACACTGAACATTCCGAAAGAACAATTGAATTGGAATGGAATAGGTGAAGACTCACAACCCCAGTGGACGAATCCACTGATCTCGATAATGTATCCACTGCTACGACATGCGTCGACTTGTCATTCCATGGACAGTACTTGCGCCAATTCGCAGTCGAAACCTCATCCCAGGAGTAATCGAAAGTACAAGACGAAGCGAAGACCTTCATATTGACGAGTAAGACCTTTTAAATGCGTACCCTGATCCTAGATTGGAGACGTAAAAGCCTTTTGAAGTGGATAGTAATGTGAAGACGGGCTGGATGAGTAGGATATCCGGGACTAGTCTACAGAGTGGTGCTGATGGGTGATGAGAAAGGTCTTTTATCAAAGAACCGTAACTCGAGCACGAGCAGTGAAGAAGAGAGTAGAGCGGATGCAGGAAACACTAATTCATGGTATTGGGGGAAGTCAACTGGATTGTCTAGATAGAGCAAAGAAAAGAGAGTGGACAGAAGCGCGACGTATTGCCAATAATGGAGGGGAGACAGGAAATGGCAAAACCCAAAAAAAAAAGGAAAAAGATAATGGCAACGGAATGGAATGGAAGAACAAAAACCCAGTTGTGGAGGCTGGCGCGCATTCCGCGAGAACCGGCAGAAGGCGAACCGTGGAGAGGGAAAGCCTCGGGAATTCCCGGCCATCTTCGAGGACAATTGACTTGTATTAGTAATACGGAGTAACGTAGTTCACTAGCGAGCGCTGCACATAAACGAGCGCCGCACCTCCACTCCGATTCCTGCCCATGGGCTAATTACTAGAGTCTTTATCAACCAAACAATTGCATTTCTGTATAAAAACTATATTAAGTGGATTAGGACATCTAACTTTAGTATGTCCTTGAATATGACAATTAGAACATTACAGTGGCGCTCATACACACAGCCCAACTGCAGAAAATGCTGGATCTATAGAGATAGTATCCAGAGCTTCCTAAACCTCAGTTTCATGCTGAAATCACTCTAGACCCTCCTGAGATAGGCCCTCTTCTATAGCTAGCTGTCTATTAGATTTCTTCTGTTTTTGGCCTTCCCATTCATCATTAGCATGATATTTATATATTTCTTCCGATTATTAAAGAGTGATTTAATTATATATAAATCACTATAATTGTCAGGGCCCTTGCCATGTAGACCAGGACGAGCACGTGAGCTTCCTTACTTGGATTAGCGTGGCGCGTGGATAGGAGTACGTCGTCCAGCTTCACGTAGATCTCTTCCTTTTTTCCTTTCTCTCCATGCTTGAAGTTCTCGTCGATAGCTGCCTAGATAGCTGAATAGCATCCTATTCATCGTCTAGTTGAGTTCTGTGACATTAATACAGTATAGGATTATATTAAAAGATATTTATAATTTTGATAAAATTAAATTTATTATAAGCCTAATAGCTATTGCTTAAGTAATTACTAAAACTAATTATTATAAAAAAGCATATATTATACAGCTAGGCAATTAAGAATAGATTACTTTAATTAAGTGTATTAACTCTACTAGTTAGGCACTTCCTCTATGTATTATCTTCAAAGGGAAGATCTATATGGAGGGTTAGTATCAAGATCTAACACTTTTATTAGATAGCAGGATTGAAGTTAGTCTTAATAGATAAATTATTAGTAAGATAAGCCTTCACTGACTTAAAAATCTCTTTATTTCTATTATTATTTATTGTACAATTAAGAAATATTATCTTTTAATTATAGATAGCTATGGTAGCTATCTCATATTTTAATTTAATCAGATATTGTAAAGGGGGGCGTACGTGCGTTGTTCCCTGCGACAGGAACCGGGTTGTGATCGAGGGATCTCAGGAATGGACACACTGAACAATCTAGCAAAACGATATAACGATAAACGAAAACACAACGACGAAGGAGCCTCGCTCCGCTCTACACGACGATAACGATACTAGTGAAGCAACCTAGAAACCAAAAGAATGCTCAATTTCTTGTAACTATCTGGGAGGGAACCCTCCATTAAGTACTTGCCGGCCGCGGGCTCTACCATACATTAGTATGTCGGAGACCGCGGCTCTACGGTGTTCTAAGATAGGAAATATGGGAGATCCGGGGTTTCGCAGTGCCCCCGGCACAGTACCACAGCCAGCAAGAAAAATATTAGCTATTTTTTGTGTATCTAATAGCTTAGGAGGTGCTCTATGTTAATTTAGCAATAGAATCTATTATATAAATAATTTCTCTTTATTTTGAGTCAATTTATGATTGTTAGTGTGTATTTCTAAGTATAAAGTTGTTTCATTAAGTCATCACTGTAAAATTTTTTCAGAGATATTATAAACATGTGCTGCTTCACAAATACTGCAAATTTCCTGCTTCTTTAAAGCAGAAACTGCTAGTAGGGCTCTACCCTCTTGCTCAGTTAATTCTCTTTGATTTTGATGTGCTTTTGGAGGCATGGTGGGTAGTTGAATTAAGGAAGGCAAAACAACGCCTAGAATTTTGATGAGGTGCGGTGCTCGCTAGTGAAATACGTTAATTCGTTTTAGTGTTTGCTCTATCATATCCGTGATCCAGACCTACTTTTGTTTATCATTGTTGCCTCCGCACACCGAAGATGACGATCCATCGTGTGCTCCCTGCTAAGAGCAGGGAAACTATCTTCGTAGCTTTCGGCTTCCTCGATATTTAATATCATTGCCCAATAATATCAGTGGTGTTCCACGTTCTAGTGTGAGAAATATTGGCATACGGGTAAGCAGCACTGTTAGCTACTAGATAAACACCGAATATAGTTGACACTATTCATTCAGTTCTACACTCATTTCCCTTCTTCCACTTTCCAATCGATTCCGGATTTCAGATTCAGCAAGAGGTTCTACACAGACTTCTCTCAGAAATGGTCGAGCTTAGAAAACGTAAAGCACCGGCGCCGCTGCCTGTGCCTGAAAAAAAGAGTAAGAACCCACGACGACCGCGGAACGCCACGAAGGAAGAGCCAGCCAATGGAACAGATGCCAGTCACACTGGGTCTCCTTCAGGCAACGTACGTCCCACTGTTGGCCAAACCATCGATCTGGATGGATTCGGGGGCGAGATCGAAACTAATGATGGTACGAAAACTACACTCAAAGCGCTTGTGGATGCGAGCAAGTCGGGCGTGGTCCTATTCACGTACCCTAGAGCTTCAACTCCAGGCTGTAAGTTGGGTTTTCTCTTGTCTTCTTCTCCCCTGTCAGATCGCCTCCTTGCTCCCATCTACCAAGGTTGGCGTCCGGCGGTCCTTTTGAGATCTTGGGTCGCTCTTGAGGCATTCGCACCACCGTTGCATAATCTTGTCGCCAAGGCCCTGCAGACTGTTCCAAATTGTCCATTGTAACAAAGCTCACTCGTTTTAAAAGGTACAAGGCAAGCTTGCCTGTTTCGTGACAACTACGACGCTCTCATCTCCGATGGCCTATTGATCTACGGTCTATCGACGGATTCCCCCAAAGCGAACACCGCGTTCAAATCTAAGCAGAATCTTCCCTATCCTCTTCTCTGTGACACCAATGCTACATTGATTAAGGCACTGGGGCTTAAGAAGGTACCGAGAGGAACAGTCAGGGCTGTCTTTGTGATTAACAAAGAGGGGAAAGTTCTGCTCCTGCAACCTGGAGGTCCAGAGAGGACAGTCGAAGCAGCCAAACAACTGGTCAGTGCTGAGTCTGGAAAGAATGAGAATGGCAATGCCAACAATAATGAAAGTGAAGAACAAGGTGAAGGTGAGGGCAACCGTACCGCAACTGGTGAGGGTAAAGAATAAAGGGGAAAACAAAAGTTCAGAGATGTATAAGGATACTCCATGCAGATTGTGGAAGCAGTGAGATAAATGTTTCAACAAGGGAGAATTATTGTTTCAATGTAAACCTGTAGATGGAAGTCAAATGATACACTTGTGGTAAAGAGTGTTACCTGTGCCTGTCATCACCTACATGTATATCTATTATCCATTGACGATACCAAGAAGACCAAGAAGCAACGTATGTCCCATGCTCGGAAATACAATATCCCGCCCAGGTCTTGCCGATCCACCGTTGTGCTCCCGCATGCTTCCCGCCGACTGCAACGAGGGATTGTTCCAGGCCCCGAACACTTGAGACAAGTATTAAGGTATTGAGTCTTTCCCTTTGGCCGGAAATATAGGAGCTATTTGGCTGATCTTTTGTAGGGAACTTTTGAATCGCAATGGCTGGCGAGATTCTGAAGGCTGCCAAGTTGGCGTCGAATGCGATACCCGTTCAGAAGGTAATAATGCTTCATGGGATAATCATATTCAGAAGCTATTTTCAGTCCTTTTCCTTGTCATAAGCAAGCTGAGACGTGTGTCGAATTTTTGCCTTTTTCTTTGGCAATTTAGAAATATACCCTTCAATCCACTGGGATATGGGAGCGTTTTCGCCGCATCTTTGCACTTGTTCCCGACCGCTCGACTGGTGTTCCGTTGAACTCTCAGTTTCGCAACCCTACTCCAGGAGCTCTGCCCCCGCTATCTTATGATGACCCTATAACCATACCTGCTGGTGATATTGCCGATAACCCTTACTGGAAGCGAGACGTTCGGAGAAACTATCCCAAACTCAGCACGGTGAAGCAGGCCGATGTTGTCGGTCTCCTCAGCGTGGGCAGCCATGCCGCACCGAAAGACGATGTTCTTCAGATTGGAGAAGCAGGTTCCAAGCAGCTAGCTGCCGTGAAGCAAGAAGGAGAGGAGCGCGGGCTGGCCGCTTTCTTTGAGAAGGACAAGAAAGGTGCCGAGGGTGTCCTAGCCTCCAATGGCTTACCGGTGACACCATGCAACCTGAATGCTTCGTCAAAGTATAAACTAGATGGCGAACATGGTTACCCTAACGTGTACGTCTCAAGTTCCCGGACCTCTAGTTATCTTACTGCTTAGGCTGATCATGGGCACAGTTATCCTTGTCGCACTTTTGTTTGATTACATTTCCCGAGGTTCGAATATGTCGATGTGTCCCATAGTCTGCGCCTGAATAGATAAATACACTTCAAGTTGTATTGATTATCGGTCTTAAGCTCTCACCATTGAAACCAGGGAAGGAAAGTGCAATTGGTACATTGTTTCAATTGATGGTCAGGAATAGAGCCCGAGGATATATTTTTAACTTGAACCCAAGGCGTCATTACATGGAGCATAATTCAATTTTAACCGCTCTCTGTGTTGTATTTGAGTTTAAGGTCCAGGAAGGCACGGCTACTGCTGCTCAGAACAGGTTACGGCACAGGTATCAGGACGAAAGCTGCATACATGGTGTCATTATTGTTATTAGTATCCTGGGACGTAAAAAGCAAAGAAAAGCCCTTCTTCAGTGGCTCACTGCTAATCGCTTCCTGACCCTCTTCAACTTGGCCTCCTACCAAGATCGACAAGAGTTCTCCCTGGAGTTGCTGCATCGCACTTATTATACCTTGCACTCTCTCGGGTTTGAGCACCCTCCAACTTCCCCTCGTTCTACGTTTGAATATCCTCGGTCCAGTTGGCATATTTTTTTCCCCGAAAGATTTAATGCTATTTACTTGGGACGTGAGAAAACTGATACAGACAGGGGTCTGGAAAAGAAGACGAGGTTCGATTCAGTTATAGGTCCATCCATCTGGTAATCAAACTCACTGTACAGAGTCCAGAAAGTGCTGGTCTGGTAGAACAATATACTACATGGGTCTAGTCAAAAGGGCTCGTCCGTGTGCCCCACCAGGTTAGAAACAGGCTCAGCCCTACTGTTTCAAACAGTCTACTCACTGCACCCACGGCGATTGTGTCAAGGGGCTGTTTCTCTGCGAATATCTGACTGATGAACTGTAACCATGGAGCAAATTGTCAGCATCTTGACCACCGGCCCTATGAAACTTCCAGGACCAAGAGAGAAATAAATAAATAGAAACATACACTTGGTGCAGCGCTAGCCATGAAGATCAACCCTCCCAAGTAAGCTGCTCCCTTGTAGCTCAAAGTTCCAGTTGCATTGAGGAGGGCTGCCACCCCATATGTCTGGACAGCGCTTCCAACTAGGGAGCTGCCCCAGGCTGTAGCTGTTCCAGCCGCCTCTTTGGACTTGATAAATTCTTCCTTCGAATTGGCAACTTGCGCTCGGTGGTACGTTTCCCCAAAGACGGGGGCGAGAATACCCAATGAGGCAGTATGGGTGAAAACAGTACCTACTGCGATTGCGGATGGCTTCACGGGAGGCAGATCTACAACTGCACTTAGCTCCCGACAACACCAAGCTAGTGTATCTTGAGAGACGGTGAAATTTTTGGGAGCCATTAGGGGGGTAGTAGGGAGACCACTCACAGTGTAACGTTGTCATCTTGTGTGCCTGTTTTTCAATTTCGACTGTTCAATGGGAGTACTTAAGAGTTATTAATAGAGTGGAAGAGAGCACTATTAAACTTGGAGGTTACTGTTAGAAGACATGGACCTTTTCAATACTGCCACGACGGAGTTTCTCAGAATCGAAATCAAATGACGTCGTCATGATCAAAGCTGTTCTTGGGGTCAACTACCCCCATTTTGACGTCATATTATTCCATCCTCTCTGTACGGGAAGGTCGTCGTTATCCGGTTATCCGTTTCTCTGATAGCAGGGAGATATCCATTGTCATGATTTTCAAATTGATGATGCTGGTACAGATCTGCACTGGAATAAGTCTGGCATAGGTATGGTTCATTGCAGGTTCCAGTTGCATGTTTGCTCAATCACCCAATGCCATGGTGTTGCACATGTGACAATAAATATAGAGATGGTATTAACTTGATTTGGGTTGTCATATGTCTAAAGTGCCCTTCTGTCTTCTGTCTAGTAGGCATATCATATTGGTATGTCCTCTATATCCTTGCTGCATGCCTGGAGAGATGGAAACCAAAGGTGAATCAGGGATGCAGCATCCAGATATCAAATACTAAAATAAAACTGTTAGATTCATATGATTTGTGGTGGATGCTCTATATTAATATACTGTCGTCTCTAGTACATTGTGAAGCTCTTAATTGACATGCTCTCTATATACAGCCATGGTCTGAGTTGGAGAGGGACTCATCATAAACATGTAAAGCTATGAATATGAAGGCTTTCAGCAGTGGCACCTGTGATTGAGACAGTTGGCAATACAAAGGGATACACCAATCCCTCCAAAAGATTGCAGGCAATTCACTTTGAAGATTTACAAACTAGGATCCATTGAAGAGGGTCCTTGCCAAACATAATATTATTAGAAATAGACACCCATTGTGGTAACAGGCCCGGATTTATCATCCATTAATGATTAGGATCGAGGATACATTCGGCTCCTGGAACCAAAAGGACCCTAAATAAATTTGCTTCATTCAACACCCCACACTTGTACAGAGGAGTTCAGCGCTGGGAATTGCTCTTCTTGTATACTTCCAGCGTGAAACTCTTGCCACAGAGCTCTATTAGCCTAAGCCCAGGAATTCATCCCATGTACGCTGTAAAAATTACATTACGACTCAGGGCTGGAGCCAATAACCCATTATAATCCTGCTGTTACAAAGTGTATCTGGTGAGCAACCACCACCAGCAGCTCCCGAATGAGCCAACGTTGCGTCGATGTTAGCAATGATGTTGCTACGAAATTATATTATCCAGGCATCAAAAAAAGGCTTGCCGATGCGGCGGGAGGTATCGTCTAAGGACAGTACATTTGTTTCTAACTAGCTCTCCTTCCTGGACGGCAATCTTGCCGTAGCCGATTGACTGTTGATATTCAAATCAGTGCAAGGTCGGCTATAATCACTATTGAAGAGCAGTTAGATAGTTTGTTAATATGGAGATGACGGGTTTGACGTGGTTGTATTCATAAAGGGGTCGGCGGAGTCGGTCCCTATCTAGCTAATAGAGATCACGTGACTACTCAACAGGAGAAACTACGGAGTAATAATGCCGGTATGGCAAAATCATACCTCTAGCCGGTCTTGGTAGGCGGTATATTATGTATGTAAGGTTATTTTCAAAGATTGATTGATTAGATAACTGACTAATCGAAAATTTACGGACCACCTTATTTTGCAGTTCCTTTCTCAATTAATCTTGCTCTGACATATTTTTTGCTATTCCCTTATTTATTCCAAAATGGAGCCCCACAGTTCCATCCCTGATACATTGACTAGCCTGGATACTTCTTTGAGTATCAGTGAGTCATTAGTTCCGATAAGGAATCATAAACCAGCGCAGATTAGTAGTGTCTCATTCGATGGCCTTTTGAAAAATCCCTTGCTTCTCAAGGAGGACCTGAGGGAAGGATGTGGTGGCCAGCTGTGGCCAGCTGGGATGGTTCTGGCCAAGTACCTACTGCGTCAACACCACTTGGACCTCTGTGACAAGACTATGTTTGTATTCCCCCACCTACATCAACCTGTTCTTGTCATTGTGCGGAACAGTGGAACCTCTAGAGAACAAAAAGGAAAGAAAAATATAGAAGAGGAACAAAAGAGAGGTTGCTGATATCTGTGAAGAGTTGAATTAGGGGCAGGAAGCGGGCTTGTTGGGCTCGCACTTGCGCACAGTTTCACCGTCGAGGCGCCCCATATCTACGTTACAGACCAGGAGCCGATGGTACCCTTGATGGAAACCAATATCAAACTGAATAACCTGTCTTCTATTATCACTGCTAAGGTGTTAAACTGGGGTGAACCTCTCCCGGATTGCATACCTTCTCACCCCGCAGTTGTCCTTGCGGCGGACTGCGTTTACTTCGAACCGGCATTTCCTTTGTTGATATCGACACTCCAAGACTTGCTAGGCCCCGAGTCCATTTGCTACTTCTGTTTTAAAAGGCGGCGAAGAGCGGACCTCCGATTTATGAAGTTGGCAAGAAAGACATTCGATATCGCCGAGATTCGTGATGACCCTGATGCAGAGATCAACAAAACTGAGGGTCTTTTCCTATACACAATACGAGCAAGGTCTACAGAAAAAGGGCATCCAAAACCAACGACCCAATCTCAAAAAATACAATAGTTTGACAATTGGATAGAACTGGTAAAAGAATAAATATAAAGAAATAGCCGGATCGTCGCATCACAACTTCAGTGCGTCAACGCCGTTCCTTGCATTTTCCTGGTTGACTTTGTCACCATAAACATCCGTGACTTCGCCCTGCTTGCCGATAACTTTAACACCGCCTTTCTTCAGGTCCGATACAAGCTGCTGTCTTTCCGCTGTTCTGCCCACTTGCCGCTTGGCATCTCCCCTGTTGGCCTTCCTTAGTTCCTCCTTGTGCTGGCGTCTCCATCTGGCTTTCTCTTCTCGAGTCATTTCTTCCCTGGATACTGATATACCGTTCTTAAGCACTAACTCTCCAGCAGTCCTACTATCGTCACCTGGCGTATAAATCTCCTGCGGCGCAAGAGCTTCTGAACCTCCGACAGCACTGCCAACAGTCGGCCGAGCATCTTCCATCAAAACTGTTGCCACATCCGCAACAACATTTATACTCGCCTGAGGATTCTTGGGCTTATAATGCCAGCTAGAGAGTGTGTCTAATTGCGAACTTATCTCCTTCCACAGGCCGGAAATATCAGCATGTTCACGTTTCAGTTTTGAGTCCTTCATATCAACATAGTTAGAGTCGGTCGCATGAAGATGGTCCATTTCGTATAGCTCAGAGAGACTTTTATGTGGTTTAGAATCATCGATCTCAAGTTTTCCTCTCCTAGGGATTTCCCCTGCCGAAGTAGTCCCGGGATGCCGGCGAATAACTTCATCGAATTCCTTGGCGAGAATCCGACGTTTGATAAGACTTTCGATATCTTCCGTGAGTTCCTTGGTAACTACGGAGACAGGTCTTCCAATCCTTTCGAATTCCAAATCTTCTTCGATCAGGGAATTCATCGGCCTTCCTCCAGCTTTGGCTTCACCAGCAAGCATCCATTCCTTTTTTGCAACGTTGGCCGCTTCCAGACGACGGATTTCGTCTGCTATTCGCGCACGATGTCTCTCATGAGATGAACGTTGTACTCCACTATCGAGATCCCCGTCAGAATCAAGTTCGGCATCAGTCGAATTATTGTCTTCGAAGAGATCACGACGGACATCAGCAATCGCATGCTCTATATCATTTTCAATAGTGGTTTCGTCTGGTTGCGTCTTCGGGAGCGGGCGTAACTTCCTATCTGAGGCTTTTCTCGGAGGCGGGGCGAAGAAATCAGAGTATTTGATGTCGTTGGTGTTAGTCCAGCCTGTGGAATCCTCACCAACATGTCCATCATCTTCTGAATCTGAGTTATTTTTGGGATCGACGTTGCCAAATATCGGCCCTTCTTCATCGCTCATTTCACTATTCTCCTCAGCTTTGAGTGAAATTGCCGACATTGTCTTCGCAGGAAATAGAGGATCTGCATGCCAATTAATTTCCTCATCGCTCTCGTCATCGTCGTCGTCGATCCCGCCTTTGGCGTCTTGCCTCTCAAAGAATTCAGACTGCTTATTAAAATCGTCGATGGAGAAGAAGCCGTCATTCAATCCAAAAGGGTCCTGTCTGTAGACATCGGCTTGATTTTCTTCTGAAGATTTGGAATCGGCATCACCGTCCATGGAATCATCATCGGCACTTCGGGCTTCCCATGCCCCGTCGGCAGAGTGCAGGGATTGAGAATCATCGAATTCCACACCAACTTCATAACCACTGTCGAATTTCTCCTGGTTCGAAGAACTCTCCGCAGAGGTTTCGGAGTCACTGTGCTCTGAACTATAATCCCAGAAATTTGCGTTACCGAAGGACGTATGTCGCGCCTGTTTTTTTGAGGGAAGACGCCCTCCGTACGAGCTTATGGTGGAGTCCCGCCCAACCTCACACGCAGCTGAGTCAAGAATTCTTGTTGCCTGTTCCCAAATTTGACCTGATGTGAAGCCGTCAACATATAACTCTTTAATCTGCAAAATCCGACCGGTATCGTGTGGTTCAATCTCAGATCTTTTACGCTTTCTGTTGCTTTGCAGTCTAGCTGACTGGGAATCGCTGACGGAGACAGCTAAAGCATCCAGGAATCGTTTCGCAGTCTCAACTGTAGCGGTGAAAATTTCTTTTGTCGGGTGGAGCAAGGCCCATGGTGTATGCAAATGAGAATTCAGATTAATTTGTACTGTGTCGCTGTACGTCTGCGAGGCAACTGTGGTTGGGGGTGGATGGCTTGCGGATATCTTTCTTTTCATTGTTTTCGTTGTGAGGGAGAACAGTGGGGATCTGAGTAATTGAATCAGTATATCAAAAGAGGAAGATAAAAAGTGGGTGTAGATTTTTAAACAGAGAACTTCTGATGAGAAAAAAAAAAAAAGAGCACTGTGCTAAAAAGATATTTTTATTGGCTGGTCTGGGTGTTCGGGCTAACCCAAATGGGATAGTGTTATTTAATCATCTGCAAGCGCAGCCCTGGAGGTATGTTCATTGAATAACTCAGGCTAGATATAATGTTTTCTTATTATATACAAAGAAGCCACATCTAAGAGGTATATGTTCTGTTACCCTGAGGCTTGCCTGTACAGATGTTGGATATCGTGTAAAGTATGATGAGGGTGCATATTTTGGTTTGAATATACAGCATACAACGAACACTGTACATCCATAGGACATCTTGTCAAGCTCCCTGCTTCTGGTAGTAGTGTCAAGGTTAATTTCAAGCTAACCATATTTTTAGAACTAGAATATGGTTTTATTACAAAAGATGCATGTGATATTCTTCTGAGATGAGAGTAGTCTACAGGGACAGGGCAAAAATTACATAGTATATATTGATCGTATCGCCACTGCTGATTTGTCCAGAATTGACCACTTCGTTCGAATGTGTTTGTCATTTGAACATATAAGTCGGTCACCGGCGTTCAACCTTAGGCAAACACAGAAAAGGAAGTTTTCTCCCAAGGTGTGAGATTTTATAAAATCAGGTACCGTCTGTTGGCCACGTATCGGAAATAAATGACAGTTTATCTATCGTCATAATGAGAATTCACATCGCCATGCTGACATAGGACTGGAGTCTGCGCCGTAGACCTTGCCAGTAGATCCAACCATTTATACCGTGGACATATTGTCGCGCATCAGAATCCACCAATAGTCCGAAAATGGAATGTGACAGAGGCTTCCGAGGTTGGTGGCTTGTATTTCCTAGATTTCCAATGGATGAGAAGAGGCGGTATCGTAGGACAAACGTCACAGTGACGGTTTCTCCAACTGGACAGCTATGGAGTTGATATACTTAAATACTTCTTCCATTCAACTTTCCACCCTACGGTTGCATACATTGCTCGAGGAAACGAAATAGAAAGAGAATATCAAAAAGACAAAAAGCACAATGCAGCAATACACCGAAAGGCCAGCTCGTGGCGCTGAATCTCAGTTTCAGCCAGGTAAGTCTCGTGTGCCCTCTTTGGCTGTAATCCAATATTCCTGACAAGAGTCTCAGGGCATCAAATTCCCATTCAACATCAGAGAAAGCCCGGGCTCCAATCCGAGTTGGAAGACCCAAAGCCTGTTTCTACCCGTCTACCAACAGAGGATGGTGGCTACCAGACTTACAAGGCAGCCGGAAAGTTGGAAGGCAAAAGGGCCATCATCACCGGCGGAGATTCAGGAATTGGACGTGCCATTGCGATACTTTTCGCCATGGAGGGCGCATCAAGCCTGATCATCTACCTCCCAGAAGAAGAAGAAGATGCGCAGGAGACGAAGAGAAGAGTCAAGGAGGCTGGGCGTGAATGTCATTGCTTGGCAATAGACATTCGGAAAAAGGAAAATTGTAAAAAGGTGATTGACACGGCTCTTCAATGTATGGGCGGGATTGATATCTTGGTGAACAATGCCGCATTTCAAAATATGCTGAATGATATCAGCGAACTGGATGAGTAAGCTTTAACCTATCCATTGCTTTGGATCATAAACATGGCTCATCCATTGTTGAACAGGGCTCAGTGGGAACGCACCTTTGACACCAATATTCATCCACTGTTCTATCTTTCAAAATACGCCCTACCGCACATGAAGAGGGGCTCAACAATAATAAATTGCTCGTCAGTTAATCCATATATTGGGCGTGGCGACCTCCTTGACTATACATCTACCAAGGGTGCTATAGTAGCTTTCACCCGAGGCCTGTCTAACCAGCAAATTCACAAGGGCATACGAGTCAACTGCGTATGCCCTGGCCCAAGTATGTTTCCTAAGCGGCAACAAAACCTAATGAAGTGAATTCAGCTAACTTTTACAGTCTGGACCCCCCTTATACCATCAACCATGCTTACTTCTGCAATGGAACAATTCAGCTCCGTGCCCATAGGTCGTCCAGGACAGCCAAGTGAGGTTGCAACATGTTTTGTTTTCCTTGCCAGCCAAGACAGCAGCTACATATCAGGGCAATGCCTCCATCCCAATGGTGGGGTGGTGGTTAATGGGTAGCAAGCTTAACCAAAAATATGTGGACGCAAATATAAAGTTCATTTGTCCATATAATTGAATCTGATTATACTTCCTGTACTTATAGAGCATCTTTGAAAGAGGAAGCTCGCGATCTTCCCTTCTCCCCGTAGATGCTATCCTGTCCCTCACTCTATATGAGATAAATGAAAGAGGTGCTTGGTCGACAAGAGTGCGTCTGATGCCAAATTCCAGTGTAGTATTTATTGTCAATTGGTTCTGGCTAGACATTTGCACAATAGCAAGCTAACGTCGGTACCACATACGAGTAATCTTGGTGTGTCTCATCTTCTTTTGAAGCTGGAAGATCCCGTACATTAGTGCTTCCGAGGTAGGCGGGCCTTCATCTCTTGGTCAGCAATGCCAAAAAGCAATGGATATAATAAGGTGAACGAACATCCGGGAACATAGACGTCAACAGGCACAATCCGGTCACAACCTCTGACGACCGAATAGCTGTAATGATAATACCCACCACCATTTGCACAGCTGCCCATACTGACGACCCAACGAGGATCAGGCATCTGATCGTAGACTTGTCTAAGAGCAGGCGCCATCTTATTTGTTAAGGTTCCAGCAACGATCATAACATCGGACTGTCTCGGGGAAGCTCTGAAGATAATTCCCATGCGATCCTGATCATATCTTGGGGTAGATAAATGCATCATTTCAACAGCACAGCACGCGAGACCGAACGTCATGGGCCAGAGTGAACTCTGACGCGCCCAATTCGCAACTTGATCGAGTGTAGTCCTGCGAGATTATAAGCCACAGAACGACGGACAAGAATCCTCAATCCAAGGAAACTGACAACACATATTGCATTGCGCCCTCTTTTTTTTCCTGGCTTGGCAAGGGCACCTCCTTCCGCACCTTACCAGAAGCAGTGAGATGCTGCCCAGGCTGCCCTCGCTCTTCCAGCGCAGTTGCTGGTTTAAACGACGAGCCAGAAAAAGATGCAGCAAGTTGTAAGTGAGGTTGGCGTAACACCAGGCATGGCCGCACTATCTCTTGTAAGAATATATCCCAACAACCGCTTTCTCCGTGTGCCTGTTCCAAGCAGAAGACGGGGAGAAAAAAGAAAAAAATAGAAAACCTTACCACACACAGTGCCAGATACAAAAGACCTAGATAAAGACAGCATGGCTGAATATGCCTGTAAAACCAGCAGTCAAGGACGAAGGGCAAGTATGGTATGCACTGTCTACTTTCTCATATCTGTTGCTACATCATGTTCCGTTCAGATTGGAGTAACGGGAGTGGATTATTCAATTTTCCGGTGCGTAGGTCTACTACACTACACTGTAGTTCTTTACATTTACGGAGGATGTGGGTGGGAACTTGGAAAGCCTTAAGAAATCTCTGGCTTCTCTAGCCCCTGAGATGAGAAATAATTTACCCTTTCCCCGCTAGCCGCAGATAATTTACGAATCTACTGTAAGAATCAATCCAAGAAGTCAAGTAATTCTCTAGGTAGCGTAGCTTTAGTGGTAGAAAAATTACCGAGGTCCACAGGTATTGTTAATAATGGTAATCAGCAATATCCAAATGGCTCGCCCAGCTGCATTATTATTAAGTAAAATTGCCTCTGTCATTGGCTAACGATAAAGACAATAAGGCATGGATACTCTGTACATCCGCCTGGGCCAGTAACCTACATAATCGCCCAACTAAACAAACGGTGAGGAAGGGAGGCGACAAAGGAGTTCATCAAGCATCCACAGAAATGGCAGGCTCGAAGATTGCCTGTATTGGTGTCATTGGAAAAGATGTGCGAGTCTGTCAGCCATTCGGTGCTGCGAAGCCTGCTAACTGATTTAAAAGGACAATCCCCTTCATATCTCCTTATTCCCTCCCTATTTGGAATCTACTATTGAATTCTCTTTTCTTCTAAACTCCTGCCTTGACGTATTTGAAATACGCCAGAAGCAAACTTCTGTCGACCAGGACTTGGGTCTATTACATGCCGTCGATGAAAGACTAGCAGCCTATGGCTGGTTAACAACCACGGGGGTGAAATTCATTATCATTGTGGATTTTCTTGGGCAACCAGTACCTTCAAAAATGGAAGGACCAAGGAGTGCAATGGTTGCTACTTTAAGAGATTCAGATCTAAAACCAGTATGTCTACTTAGCCTAACTCTTTCTTTATATGGCCCACGTCGCGTTTATCCACTTCTTCGTTTTCAAGGTATGGAATTAACGATGGCTTTGTAGGTGTTTCGGGCATTACAAACTGCCTATATCCAACTCTTACAGAATCCCTTTTATCTCCCAGATGATTATATTCCTGCTGCGAAGACGATGCTGCCACTCTCCCCATATCTACAGATCACAAACCGAAAGTTCATTGCAGATATCAGGAGAATTGGTGAATCTTGGAATGCAGGCGTGATGATGTCTGTTTGAAACACCAGAAGCGCTGGTTTTATTGGAGCAAATCCCCATGTGAACTATTCCCCAATCGAACTGCTGCTAACAATGACTGCTTTCAACTTAATATTGTTATTTCATATGTGGTCTAGATATTCGCCCAAGGATCTCCTTGAGGCCTATCTCTGCTTCACTGTAACATAAGGTCTTCGGTCAATTTGAAAGATCAGGTCTACTAAGGGTACGGAGTTGTGGTCAATTAAAGTGGCTCGCGCATTTCACCCAACTTCCCATTAAATTCCCTACTAGTAGTATATTTCGCCTGCAGACAAAGCAAGCCATTGGTTGGCCAAAGCTCTCAAATCCACGAATGGCAATCTTCTATCATGAGCCTGATGAGCTGATCGCCTGTGTCGAAACTAAGATGTTTCTAAACCAAACCTCAAGTTCCCCATTGTCGATGTATTGTCGTAGAATCTCATTCTCCTTCTCGAGATCACGGATGACCCGATCGCGCTGATGTGAACGAAACCGTGAACCTAGTAAATCAAAATCTGAGGAACTGTTGGCGACCTCAGATGGGGAGAAAGGCTTGTTGAGCAAAGGGTCATTGGCCCCTTTGCAAGCAGATAACGTCAGCTGCAGCCTGAACAAATTGTTTTCAAGAACTCACCTTCACCTAGACACATGCTCATGGTACGAAATAGTGCTGTGTTGTGAATGGAAGAGTTGACTCCATCGCCATCGAATCCGTCCATAGTTTCTCCCACAACTGCCCAGTTGTCTCTAATCATGCACCGCCTCCAAACCAACTTCTGCAGCGCGACATGATATAATGGATTTTTCTCGGAGTAGTTGCTTAAATGAACAACGCGAAGGGCTAGATAAAACTCTCTCCCTAAGAATCTGCTGCGACCATGTTCGGGAATCTCGCTTGGATCGATCAAAGTCAACAAATCGACAAGCTGGTCGACTCCAATGACCTTTTTGCTTACTACCCTTGTGAGGGCGTCGCAGAGGATCTCATGAAGTGAGGGCCTGTCTTTCAGAACTGACTTCCCGAAATGGTCAATTGCTAGTTCAATACTAGCCTTTTGATCAATAGCGCCATGCAAGACGGGTAGAATATGCTCGTAGACCATTTCTTGCACGGCATCTATCGCGGCGTAATTATCAAGTCGTTCAATATCAGATTGAATCACGGAATGACTGGGTGAGGGTGCTTTCTCCGACGCCGCTAATCGAGCAAGCTTTGCCAACGACAACTCGACATGATGATTCCAAATATCTGGCTCCTCTTCAATAGCCAGGGTTTCTAAAGACCGCGCTGCTGTGCTATAATCGCTCTCACTGATCACATCATTGATCCAGCTTAATCGCGAGTAACAAGATGTCTTGCGCAAGAATCGCGTGACAAAAGCCTGGAACTTTCTCATTGCAAACAATACCCCTGGCTGGCCCATGGATATCTGACGAGAAAAAAAAGCATCCGCCCAAGGTTCCCCGAATCTGTCAAAGTAAAGAGATATTTTCTCCGCGCACTGTCCCGCATCGCTGACCACGACATCAGAGATGTCTCCCAACGATACATTGCAGAAATTCCGATCCCTAGTTTGATCCTGAAGTTCGATAATAAGTTCCACAAGTGCACTCATGTCTCGAAAAGACTCAGCTAGGCTAATTGCGTCGTGTAATTGCCCGATTCCTGCCAATTTGAATAACTGCCATTTGCGTCGTTTGGTATATTCCCGCTCAAGGGCTACACCCTCATCTATTAATTTTGGGTCTTCATGAGAAGAAAGCCAATATGTCCGCTCACGGTGCATTTGGCCCAAAACACGAAGATGACGGGAACAGTTCCGTGCAACCCTTTTCGTAACAGTGGTGTCTGGTGCTTCGGCTGTGGACGCGGATTTCTGGAACCAAGCCCTGCAACTGTCCAGTTCGAAATCCAGCAAGTGACCTGTTTCGACGTAGATGGTATTTCTCGACGTCCAAAATTCAGGTAGACCTTGGTATCCGGAGGTTAAAACCCCATCTTCCAGGACTCCCCCATTGAATGCATATAGGTCAGCATGCTTTTCGCGATATTGGAAAGCAGCCTCTAAAGCGGCCAGAGAAAGTTCACTCGCTTGTAATATATGTTCGGCCATTATTTTCCCTCGCCTCAATGAAGACATCCCTCTCTTGGGCTTGGCAGCATTGACCATCCATGGAATTATGTGTTCCATCTGGTATGAATCATGTAAGAACCACTGGCGGACGGAGTCACTTTCGCTGCCACAAGCGTCCCTTTTCGTTTTGAATTTATCGTTCATTTGTTCAATAACGTTGGCTAAAAATGTTGATTCGCCGTATTTATCCCTGAAGCTTTCTTCTACCCTCCACATAGCTTGTAGAGCAGCTAGCTTTTCAGCCCCCCATAATAATTCCCACCATGCATGGAGACTCAATTGTTTACCCTGTTGCAGCAATAGGTATACAAGGTCATCTATTGCCTTCACCCGCATTCTGAGATGTTGGGCGAGGGAGGTTGATGGGTTGGGTATAAATTTTGAGCTCGATTGAAGCAAGTCTCTGCTGATATCTAATGAAGCCTGTTCAATTTGTTCGTCGGGAAATCGCAAGCCATCCTTCCTGACAAGGTCCAGTGGACTTCCCAACATTGATCCATAAAAGACAGCCTGCTCAAGTTTGTGTTTTGCAGTGATTGGCATGTCATCGCTTTCAGCCACTGCAGCGTGAGGTAGAGCGGTAACTCGAATGACACCGAATCCTCTCACCATGATCAAACACGCGGGATAATGGTTTTCGTCTGCTTGTTCTTCAAAACCGTGACCTAGTATGTCGTACTTTTCTCCATTGCGAAAGTGGATGCTGTCTTGAAAGGTCGGGCGCATATTCTTGGAAATAGTTTGTACGTTCGGAGACTGCTCGATAGGCTCGAGTGACAAGAGGGTAACTGACTGGTCGGTAAGGACAAACGCTGTGTCACCGGTTTTTGGAACATATATTTTTGGCTGCAATGCATCCGATCTTGTAGGGATGCCATGCTCACCAATGAAAATGGCAGATAGAACGCTGGGTTTCTCGCCCAATATGTTTGCCTTGACTACCCATAAGTTTGCAGGCTGTGATTCTTGGGACGGGACCACCAGAATCAAAACCACCAATGTCCCATCAGCCGTTTTCCTGGAATCGGATGTATCGATACATTGGCCAGGTGTAAATGCGAAATCCAATATCCTAATGTCCCCCTGATGGACACCATTTACAAAATCCAAACCAAGGGCACGGCACACATCAGGCTTAATATCAAATTGCCTTTTGAGGACATTTCCATTGTGCCAATGTGTATCCCAGGTTTCGAAAATACCAGCACAAGTAGCAATTATGACATCTCGCTGTCCTCGCTGGTGAGACAGGCCTGTCGTAGTAGCGGCCACATCCTTTCGCCAAAAGCCTCCGCCTAGGACATTTTTTATTCCAGCTAGAAGTCCAACACTCTTGGAATCGGCGGTGTTGCGAAGAAAATTAACTCTCACATTGGGTTTACCTTGGGAGTCCCTAAGAGTAAGATGCGCCACTCTCCCAGAGGAAAACGTGACCACTATACCCGAGGGCTCAGCATTGACAACGTCCTTCGCATACTCACCAGAGAACAGGCCAGGTATAGAAGCCTGGACTCCAATTTGCTTTTGCTTTGATAACCCCAGTGAAGTAGCGCTGGACACGGTTTCCCAGTAAACTATCCTTCCTGTAGAAGGTATTACGATCATTAATCCCGGAGATCCCAGCGCCGAAGACGATAGTAGAACTCCAAGAGGCGCAGGACCCTCATAATCCCTACACGATTCGGGGATCGACAGGGTGAAAACATCGGGTGAAGAAAGAGACGCAGTAGGTGATGGGTAAGACCAGACAATTGCATGTGAATACGTTAGAGCCAATGCATAATTGTTGCTATATCCGAAAAAACATCTGCGTATTTCTGCTAATAGGTTAATAAAAATGCTTAGAGCAACAGTGGCACATAGTTACCTGATTGATGTCCGCGCAGCTGCTCAGGTAAGGAGGGAAGTTGTGATACAACATAGTAGTCAGTTTTGGACTATTGTAACGGTTACCAGCTGTCAATACAAGCACTTCTAGGGGAAGGATAAGTGATGGGAGCATAACGAACTAGAGTAACAGCTCCCCCGCTTATGCTAGTTTCTTGCTGTTCCGGGTTTCTCGGGCCCCTGATTGGGATCTTTTGTTCACCACCATTGTCATGAAGTGAGTGTACATGTCCAGAATTGTCTCTCTCAGCGGGTTCTTTAAATTGTATAGGTTCATCAGCCCGGGAAAGTGAACCAGTTCTCTCAGGCGATTCCTGGAGTGACACAGGGCGCTGCCTCTTAGCCCTTGGTGGCTTGTCAAACTCATTAGAGTCTGTTCGCTGTCTCCTTCGACTCTGAAAGGGAGCTGCCCCTGTTATATGTGTCTTTGGTGCGAACATTGCTAGACTTCGAAAGAACTCCGTGGCATTAGCACTCTCAAAAACTGCACCTCCAGTGGTCAGTATATCAGTCAATTGTCAAACTAGCTTAAATAGTTACAGAGTAGTTGAAATATATTGTATGTTGTATGCGGGTATATAAAGTCAACAATTACTTACCTTCACAGTGATATCAGATATAATGGCAATTTCTTGTAGCTGTTGCCTTTATAGAAGTAGTGCCCGTGGTGTGGTAGTAAATATGGATCGCCGTACTTGTTGAGTAACTACCTGAGATGATAACCCAAAGGTAATTAATATTAACTGTTAGTGGAGTAGCAGCAATGCTACTAGGTAGGTAGTATGAATAACAACAAAACAGGAAGTATTGGTGCTTGGAGTGTAGATAAAATCATTGCCTCGTATGCTTATATAATCTACTCTAGTTAACTAACGTTTTCAACCACCGAGCGGTCTAAACCCACGAGTGGTCCGTTTTCTTCCGCACCCCCATCTAAATCGACCTTTAAAACCACCAACGCCATTAGAATTGATTAATTAAGATACATGAAATAATAGCTATTTACTAGGGCAATTCTGAATTGTATGTCCAACTGTTCCACACCCACTACAGTGTTGCAGAGCTCATTGATAAGGCACTGGAGTAGATTCTGCAGGCTGCTCATTAAGCTGCATGTTAAGCTGCTGAACATGATTTTCACCTTCCTGTATATTAAGAAGGTGGTTATTCCCTATTTCAGCATGTTTTCTTGCTTTCCTTTAATATTGTCACTTATTTTCAGCATATATAGCCCTAATTTCTTGTTCTAAAAGTAGTTAAATTTGCATTGCCATTTATACTGCTTTCTCAAAATATTAAATATAAATAATAAGACTGCTAGAAAGCTGTTATTTTTTATTAGACTATCCTGCAGGCTTTAACCCTTTTAATTTAGCTAGTGAATATTCTGTGAGGTTTGAAAAGTAGAAGAAATTGAGCCTTTAGCTAGTGGTGGTGTAGGTATACATAGTTGAAAGGTAAGCTTTGAAAAAATATGTTCTAGATTAAGCAGCTTAAGCTTTGCTCCTTTAAAGCCACTGCAGATATTAACTAAAGTAAAGATTTCTTTATATATATCTGGATATAGTGATAGAAAGTCTTCTTTATCAATATAGTTATTGCTAATAACTAACCGACCCTGAAGGTTACCGTAGGGGTCGGTTATATGGTTTTCAAGAAGCTTTCTGTACACCTCTTTAAGTGGGCTAAAAATACCCATATCAAGCAGTTGAAGAAGATGTGAAATATAAATAAATATGTAGAGACAGATTATTATATTCTGCTTACAAAAATTATTAAATTTAGCAGTTAAATAACTGTTATAGTTGTCAAGAATAAGTAAGCACTTTACACTAGTTATATAGCATTTAGAAAGCAGTTCAAAGATATTTTTTAATTAGAGAAGGCTTATTTTATCAGTTGTCCAGTTAAAAAAAGCATGATCTTACTGTAAGATAATATTTAATAAAGTTAATAATTTAGTTTAATTAATTAAATAGATATAATATCACAGCTAGCAAAAAAAATATATTAGCTATTTCTTATATATTTAATAATTTAAGAGGTGCTCCATATTAATCTAATAATAGAATCTATCATATAAGTAATTCCTCTCTATTTTAAATTAATTTATGATTGTTAGTGTGTATTTCTAAGTATAAAGTTGTTTCATTAAGTCATCACTATAAAAATTTTTCAGAGATATTATAAACATGTGCTGCTTCACAAATACTGCAAATTTCCTGCTTCTTTAAAGCAGAAACTGCTAGTAGGGCTCTACCCTCTTACTCAATTAATTCTCTTTGATTTTGATGTGCTTTTGGAGGCATGGTGGGTAATTGAATTAAGGAAGGCAAAACAACGCCTAGAATTTTGATGAGGTGCGGCGCTCGCTAGTGAAATACGTTAACGTATTCAACCACCGAGCCGCCGATTTTCCCCTTTTTCCACCACCCATTAAAAATTAACGCTTTTTCAACGACTAACACCATTAATTCTTGTTGAAAATGGATTTATCTCATGAATCTAAGTTGTAGATGGCTATTTCAGCTTATAAAAAGGGTGTTTAAATCAAAAGCAGCAGCAGCAGAGGTTTTCAAGGTCTTAAAAAAAATTTTATAATTGGCTTCATGGAATTGAACCACATACAAAAAAAGTATGTAAATCGCCATAAATTATCAATTTATGAAGAGAAAGTCTTTACAAAGTGCCTTCTAGAAGTAGATAAATAAGGCTTTTTAATCTGACTAGAATTCCTATATAAAATAGCTTAAATTTTATTTAAGAGTATATATATAGTTCAACTATAATACTTAGTGTTAATTAGACATACAAATTCATTAAATATTACCTAGTATTAAAATTTTTTATATTAGTATGTAAAGCAAGAAAATCTAAAAATAATAAAATAATAATTTAAGACTATTTCTAAGGCTACTTAAAATTATAAAATATATGAAGATAATATTTAGAATTTTAATAGGATTAGCTTTGCAATAGAATTTTATATAAGTTCTAAAATTATTACTACTATTAAGTATAGTAAGAGATTATATATAGTTATCTAAGAAAATAATAGGGAATAGATAATAATTATTAAATGTGTAAGTTCTAGAGGAATTGTTATTCTTTTATTTATTATTCTAAAAAGAAAGAAACACTAGGCTACCTAATATCAAGAGCCTAATCTTTATTTAAAATAAAATATTATAAATAACTCTAATAGCTAGACAACAGATAAAATAAGTCTAACTTAATTAAATAATATTTGTAAATCTTTTTTAAAGTTATATTTTACTGAAGCAAAATGGCTATTAAAAAAAGCATATAAGAAGTTGATTAAAAGGTTAATAATAATTATATTAACAGGAAAAACTTCTTATATATTTATCTTTTAGCATACAAGGATGTCTTTATTAAAGAAAGAAATATATATAATGACTTTTCTGGAGCTAGCCTCAACCCTTTTAATAAAGATAGGGCTTTTAAGGAAATTATTTTTTAATTTTATACACCAATACCATTATTTATTAAAGGATCTAGGTCTATTTTTTAATATTTTAAACACCTCAGAATACTTGCTAGCTTAATTCTAAGATTAAGAATCTATAGAAGAATCTTTAAAGAATAAATAAGATCCTTTCTAATAGACCTAGTTTTGATATTTAATATCTTAAGAAAGCTGCATAAATAGTTATGAATATAAATATATTTTTCCACCAAGAAATTAGTATTTTATAAGCAAAGAATGAGCAGAAAAAAAAGAAAAAACAAGAAAATAAGTTTCTCTAGGAAATAACCTTTTTATATTTATATAAGATGGTCAGAATTATGTTCAGCAGCTTTCTAAGAATAGCAACACCCATATTAATAAGATGCCCTATCAGCAGGCACCACTTTACTGTAGTGGCTGTGGTATTATTAATCATACTATAAGAAATTGTTCTGCTAAATAGCTATATAATCTACAATTTTTAATAAAACTTAATGGTGTTGGTGGTTGAAAATGCATCAATTTTTAATGGGTGGTGGAAAAGGGGGAAAATCGGCAGCTCTGTGGTGCCAGCAGCTCAGTCGTTGAATATGTTAATGTAATCAACCACTGAGCTACGAATTTCTTTCATCCCCCACACCAGTTTCATTCTACCATTTTCAACGTGTTTTTTTTTTACCTTCTTCATATAAAATGTCTCCTTCTCAAGAAGACTGCATCCAGATGGCTATTTTCCATATAATTCAAATAAAAAAAATCAAATCAAAATTGAAAGTTGCTATGACTTTTTGATGTGCCTGAATATAGCATTCACATAAGGCTTACTAGAGGTATATTATGTACAGGAATCTGTGCAAATGGTCACAGACTATCTAATATTGAGGAATAATCATTTGTCAAGCATTTATTAGACATAGATAAAAGAGGTTTCTTAATCAGATCACAATTTTTATATAAAATAGCACATATTCTACTTTATAAGTATATGTAGGATTTAACTGCTACTTTTGATATCAACTAGGTATATAAATTCATCAAATTCCATCCAGGGATAAGAACATAATATAACTAGAGAATATCTTATTGTTGTGGAATATGCATGTAGCTCAGGGAAGAAGGGCAGAATGAAGCTGTATCGACTACACGTAGGTAGGCCTACTAAGGAACGGATGCCATTGATGATTCCTCTCTCTACATATAATCAGGGGCTCGGTTTCTCAGGGGTTGGAGACGGAGCCAAGCCGCCATACCACGTGACTTTTCCATATAACTCATCAATAAGCAAAGTAGGAGGATCCTAAGGTTATAAAATTATGATTGGAGGTAGTTAAAGAAGGTGAGATATATGTAAAGATAGGTAATTATATTTTTTATAAAACATATTAAAATCTACAGTCAAATAACTATAATAATTATTAAGAATAAGAAGTTGCTTTAAACTAATTAGATACTATCTTAGATATAATTTAAATACATTTTTAAGCTAGTCAATGCTTGTTTTATCAATAATATAATTACTGTAGCTTATTGCAATATGCTATTATTATATAAATTTTAATCCTTAATATTAAGTAGTCTATTGCTCCTTTCCTTTTAAAATTATTAATAATTAAAATATATACATTCCAGCAATTATCTTCACGTACCAACCGGTCCACCCGTATCTGCTATCCCAGCACGCTGTCGCACACCACCCGCTTACAAATAGCTTCATGTACTATTAGATGTTAGTGTGTTTGGGCCTTTAAAATGGTTATATAAAAAGCTTCTTAAGGAGATAATGATTGCTGGCAATAACCATATTGATAAACTTTTATAATAAAGAATATCCAAAACCACCTCTTCCTGACCAAACTGACCTACATTTGGGGGGTCAGAACCCTCAAAACCTATATCATTTTGAAGCTCTCACTGAGCCGAATACTTACCTCTATTTTCAACACCTATCCCACTATCTACCCTTTGAAATCCTCAGCAAAAACCACCCAAATCCCCCTGGGGAGTTTTTCATGTGGTGGGAAGCCCAGCAGGTGGCATAGACCAACTGCACAACTGCCACTCAGCAACCAACCACTATACCTACTGCCCTACCTATCATACTGCTGAATCACACTGCCTCCTGCCAAACACACCCTATCCTAATAAGGGAAGGAATAGTTAAACAAGGAACCTGCACTAGTTGCTCTGAGCTTAGTCCCTATAAGATCTATTAGGTCCATATATATATATAGAGAACTACCTAGAAGGTATCTCCCTTTATCAGAACCCCCTAGGTACCTAATAAATGGTTCTAGTCCATATATTAAAAG